CTCCAGGTATGAAGTTGACCACAGATGACTGTCCCAAAACATATGAAGAGGCACAAGAGATGGTGGATATCCCCTACATGAGTGCTGTCGGCTCCTTATTGTACTTGGCTACAATGTCCCGGCCTGATATAGCCTTTGCTGCGAGTGCACTGGCTAGGTTCAACTCGAACCCAGGCATGATCCACTGGAAGGCTGTAAAGCACCTGCTACGCTATGTGAAGGGCACGATGGATATGAAGTTGGTATATGGACCTGATCCCACCATAGGAGATGAAATCTTCGTCACGTACAGTGATGCAGACTACGGCGGTGATAAAGGGACAGGGCGGTCTACAAGTGGTTATTTGGTTAAGATTGGGCTGGGAGCGGTCTGCTGGAGCAGTAAAGCGCAACAGATGGTTGTTCTATCGACCACTGAAGCAGAGTATGTTGCTGGGGTTGCTGCTGGTAAAGAAATATGCTGGATGAAGAACCTCCTCTCGGAAATTGGTTACAAGCCAACTGCACCATCCACGCTCTACATGGACAACCAGTCAGCGATTAGAGTGGCAAAGAACCCCGAACACCATGGCAGAATGAAGCAACTGGACTTGAGCTTCTTTTGGTTACGCGATCAGGTTGATTGCAAGCGCATCCAGCCAATCTATCTTCAAACAGAGGAAATGCCGGCAGACCTGCTCACCAAAGCACTGGCCAAACCACAAGTGGAGAAGTTGAGGGAGATGATGGGATTGGTGGGATAGGTGTTAAACTATAGGCTATTATAGTTTGATCAGAAGCTTGTAGAAGCGTCCTAATGCACTCTAATTGCCTTGGTAACAATCACTAATGATGTGTTGATGCAATCAATCAATAATATGTAATGATTTGCGCTCTATTGACTCTTTGTGTCTATTACTCTAGACATGTAAGGAAAATGACCATCCCAGGTTCCCACGGGTACTGTTCTGCGCGAGGCGTGAATATTGGTGTCCACTAAATCGCGTCCGAATTTGATTAGCTCCGGAGCAGCTTGGGAACATGCCAGACATCATTCTAATGATGGCTCCATGTTTCATTTTTGCTCCTTTTGCTTCCCTGCTGAGACCGAGGTGTTCCGGTGCCTGTTCCGGCGGTCACAATAGAGGTCAACAGACCTACTAATGGGGCGCTGAACGTGGGAACGTTGCATTGACCGTGGGAGTCGTGCGCTTGTAATGTATGTACAGATTGCTAAACAGTGCTTGTGCACTTTTAGCAATCCTGTCAACACCAGTCATCCCATGATGACCTGGGTCGTTCCCATGGGTGTTGGCAGTGTCTATGGGTGGTCCCCAATGCGTGGGAACCGGGCGCTTATGTAGCGCAACTTTATTGTACATTTGTACAACAAGTGTGCACATCACTTCAACAGCCCATTTGGTTACCTCCTGGCACCCACCTGATATCCACATGTACACCACATGAATGCCACAAATATGACACATGAGCAGGAAGTAAGGCTAACTATCTGTGTGGACTTGTGTATATTTTTGCCAACACATCACTCTGTTACCACTTGAGTATCACATGGTATTCAGATGGTATTCAAGGGATGACCACACAATGCCCGCATATGTGCCACCTGGATATCACCTGGCAACCATCTGAATACGAATGCCACATGGTAGTCACCTGAGTATCAGTTTGGACTTGTATATTTTTTGAGAAATCTGCGAGTCACATTAATACCACATATACACTGCGTGGTCACCACCTGGTACCAGCTGAGCTTCTACTCTATGGCTGTAAGGGTATGTGTAGTACTCTAGTCACTTTTATACCACATGGTCTCCACTTGGACACCACATGGTCACCATCTGACTATGTCACCATTCTACCACCTGGGCACCACCTGAACACCACCTGGCTAAGAGCTTAATGGTGTTGTACTGTCTAGTCTACTCTGCCACTTTTTCACCACCTGGATGTCACCTGGTGACCACATGGAGACCACATTGACAAGTCTACTTAGTTTCATATTATATAAAGTGGTCTTGAAGTGGTCGCCAGGTGGTAAAATAGTGAAATAAAGTGAACAGAAGTGGAATTGAGTGGCAAAAGTGGTATCCATGTGGCAAAAAAGTGACAATCACTTGACCACATGGTGCCACGTGGGCGTCACGTGGACATGTGGTGGACCGCCAGATATATGAGACTTGCACAACCTCGGTGCAGAGTCAGACAAGGAGTCGGAGGCTGATGCGGATGTGGAGGATAAAGAGAATGACGATGAAGATGTTGATGAAGAGGCTGTCGGAGCTGCTGAGGGTGAAGTCACTGGTGTAGGTGATGGAAGTGGTGATGATGAGGGTGATGCGACAATCATGGATGTTGATGTCAATGTCACTCCTTGCAAGCCTGCTAAATGTGATGCTAGCCAGTCCCCACTCACTGACAAGCACACTGGTAAGGCTCAGCACCGTAACGTCTCTCGCTCCAGTGCTGCTTCCAGTGCTGCTTCTCTCCCAGTGCCTTCTCACTCGCCCTCTCCACCCAACAACTTGCAGGAATTGCAGGGCGCTTTGCGGACCACTGGTGGCTTCGCACGTGGTAACGCCTTTGGTACTGCGCACAACATGGCTGATTTTGGTGAGTTTCTCAACTTCACTTCCTCTGCTTTGCGCTTACCTTCAATCTAGTTCCTGTTGGTGTATATCTGGCGCTTTACCACATTTATACATGAAGCTCATATGAAGCACATGACTTCACATCTTCCATACATTTATTTCATATAAAGGTCATATAAAGCCCACTTCTTTTGCGAAACTTTACATTCCTTCATATGGCTTTACATTTCTTCTACATTTTCTTTACTTCTTCATGACTTTGAGGCAATAACAACTGTTGAGGAGCTTCACGTAAAGCTTATATGAACTGCATGTGAAGTTTATATGCGACATTCATATGTGCTTCATGTGAAGTCCATGTGAAGCACATATGAAGAGTTTATATTCATATGGATTACAACTAAGTTATGAGTTTGTTTCATACACAAGTGCATACAAGCTTCATGTGTGGTTTATATGAGCTTCATGTGTACTTTATATGAGCTTTACATGTGATTTATATATGAACTACATGCACTTTATATAGAGTAAATGTAAACTTCATATGAGCATCATGTGTGGTTTGTGTAGAGCGAATGTATACTTTATATGAGCATCATGTGGTTTATACAGCATATATATATGCTTTATGTGCAGTTTATATAACATACATGTACGCTTCATGTGAACTTTATATGTGGTTTATGTGCGCTTCATGCGCACTTCATATGCAACTTATACATAGTAGAGGTAAATACTTTGACACATTTAGTCCTCCTCCTCCTCACTCTCCTCCTCCTCTTCACTCTCCTCTTCACTCTCTGAGTCTTCTTCATCCTCACTCTCCTCATCACTGTCTGTCATTTCTATTCCTGCTTCTTGATTCCTCTTCTTTTCCTCCTGCTTGGCAATGACCCGTTGAGTGTGTATGAATAACAGCACATGCATCGTGAAGTCAAAGTTGCTAACTGTCATTCGGTTGAGAACAGTCTGGAAACCTCCAATCCATGCATTGAGCTGTTCACAGGCCTAAGCTCAAATTAGACAAGTATGACTGCTAGACCACTAAATTCACTTACCTGAGTGTTGAAAGCCCTCTTATAGTAAGGGTTGCCTTGCTTGTCATTGGCAACCACTACAAGATTTGGTGCATCTCCATTGAGGGGTGCTGGATTGCACCAGGTCCGGCAAAGATGATCAGTGATCCGGTGGTTGATGTAGTGGTATGAGTCCACAATAATCCTAGTTGTTGGCTCCCAAGTAGGCCAGTGACCTTGCCTGACAATATGCTTGAGTAAGGCGCACCCCTTGTCAATGGCAATGTAGCTGGGGCGTGAGGCAGGATCAGGATAGACATCTTCAAGGAACTGAAGAATCTTGGCCACCCCTTCTGACTTGGCAAACTTGCGCCAGGCAAGGACCACACCACATGGAGCACAGATGGTCTCCACACAGTAGTACCTAGGAGCAGAGAAGTAGTTGTTATACTTGCTGCCACTGACCTGTTCAACCTCCTGCTCTGCAAGGTCATCATGCTCTGGCGCCTCTGCTCCTCCACCAACAGGCAACCACTCCTGCCTCTCCTCCTGAGCCCTCCTCAACATCCTCTGAACTCCTAAGAGTGAGGAGTTGGCATAGCGAGCCCGGTAGACCCTCCACTGCTCCTGGTGATTGACACATGCCTGAGTCCCAGCCACCTTGACTCTGACACAGTCTTTCATGCGACAACGGACCCCCATCTCGTCCTGATGTGCCTTGCAAAACACTCCAGTCTGAGCATTAAGCAATCCCACCTCACACCCTGGCATGGCACAGTGACAAGGCCCCATGACAATGCCATCAATAACAATCATGTGAACGTCAGCAGGATTGCTAAGGGCAGCCCCCCCAGCAGGTTCAGATGCATCACTGGCTGGGACATCATCAACATCCTGTTGGAATGATGTAATCCGGCACATGATCACCATTTGAATGGACTGGAAAGGGGCATTGCCCGGCCAGTAATGAATAAATGGTTGGGTGGTCATGTGATGGGGAATACATAATTGTTGGTTGTGCAGTCATTGAACAAGGCCAGATAGCTCAGATGGTTAGAGCGTCTGGAAAGCATCCAGGAGGTCCTTGGTTCAAACCCTAGTCTGGCCATCTTTTCTTGCCCCTGATTTTAACAGGTTATGGGCCCTGCATCAGGTGATTGGTCACCTGAGCGTGTGAATTGATGTGCTGGATTAGGGGGCTGTGTTGGAATGATGTAATCCGGCACATGATCACCATTTGAATGGACTGGAAAGGGGCATTGCCCGGCCAGTAATGAATAAATGGTTGGGTGGTCATGTGATGGGGAATACATAATTGTTGGTTGTGCAGTCATTGAACAAGGCCAGATAGCTCAGATGGTTAGAGCGTCTGGAAAGCATCCAGGAGGTCCTTGGTTCAAACCCTAGTCTGGCCATCTTTTCTTGCCCCTGATTTCAACACATCCATGGCCTCAGCATCTTCCACAGCAGGGCCTGCATACTCTGGGACAGCATGATTTTCATCATGGCCAGCAAGAGCAGCAGGATTGTCAGGCTGATTAGGGATCACGTCAGCCACATCCTTGAATGCATGACAACACTCATCACAAGAATGCCCCTCTGCACTGTGGATGATTCCCCCATCTCCCAGATACTCATATGCAGCAGTCACGAGGTCCTTGACAGCCATGTTGTCCACAAAGAGGAGCTCAGCACCACTAGGCTCAGCAAGCAACCGGATGGACTCCAAGACAAAAGCCTTCCAGGTATGCTGTAGTTGGCATTGACAATAGCCCTGGAGACCAGGCAGTCAACCCAGACCTGAGTTCCGGCTTTGAGGTATTTGGTGTCTGGAAGGTGAATCGCAAGGCGGCAATCGTTAGAAGGGTCGTTGAAGCTCTCATGGTCAGCCCAGAACATGGAGGAACATGCAGGACATTTCCCTGCAAGTACTGGAACCTTCTCAAAGCACTCGCTCCCCCTAAGCAAGGTGGCTTTGGAGACATCACGGTACCACTGGTACTGAGTCAGAGCACGACCAGGAGATGTAGCATCAGAGCATTGCATGACAGTGGGAGTGATGATGAGGACAGGGCGAATATTGGCGGTGGCGATCGGTGGGGAGGAATAGGGTGTCATAGGTAGTTCTGGCATCAGAAGAGACAGAGGTGTTGGTGCTAGAACCAGATGCAGAGCCAGAGTTGGAGCCAGAGTCAGAGCCAGAGTCAGTGTCAGTGTTCATTTCAGTATCCGAGTCATCATCAGCGACAAGGGAGTCAAGCTGAAGCCTGTCTTTGATAGCAAGGACAAAGGCAGCCATCCAGCTAGTCACGACCTGAGTGTTGGTAGGGACAGCTTGTTGTTGACCATGAAGGTTGAGAAGGTCGGTGTTGTTGGTGACGCTGAAGAGGAGCATCAAGACGGTGGCAAGAGTGATGTCGGCACCAAAGCTGGACTTGATCACTTTGGCAAAGTCAGCAAAAAGGATGCCTGGGAAGGGATCCTCCAGTGGTGCTGCAGAGACACATGGAAGGAGTCCGAGGAGCAGCCAGAAAGAGAGCAGCATGAGCAGGGCCTGTAAAGAAAAACTGCTGAAGTCAGTACAAGTTGAAATGCAAGGTGAGATAGATTCAAACAAGAAATGGCAACACGAAATCATTTGAATTACAACTATGATTCACAAACAGACTACCTACTTTGAAGTTGAGGCCTTCTTGGACTTCTTTTCCTTGGCCAGCCTGGCCTTCTCCTTGGCCCTCTTCTCCTTGTCCTCCTTGTCCTTCAACTCCTTTGTGACAGCTGCCAAGTTCTCCTTTGTAAGCTTGCGAGTTCCCCAGACAGCTCTGTGTTCCTCTGAGCTCTGATTGTAAGTGGGGTCGTTCAACAGAGCATGGAGGATGGGGAACTGCTCAGTGTTGTCGAACATCTTGGAGTAGGTGTTGTAGTTGGTCTTGCAGATGTAGAGTGAGCGAAGTTCGTCGTGTTAAACTTTAGGCTATTATAGTCTGATTAGAAGCTTGTAGAAGCGTCCTAATACACTCTAATTGCCTTGGTAACAATCACTAATGATGTTGATGCAATCAATCAATAATATGTAATGATTTGCGCTCTATTGACTCTTTGTGTCTATTACTCTAGACATGTATGGAAAATGACCATCCCAGGTTCCCACGGGTACTGTTCTGCGCGAGGCGTGAATATTGGTGTCCACTAAATCGCGTCCGAATTTGATTAGCTCCGGAGCAGCTTGGGAACATGCCAGACATCATTCTAATGATGGCTCCATGTTTCATTTTCGCTCCTTTTGCTTCCCTGCTGAGACCGAGGCGTTCCGGTGCCTGTTCCGGCTGTCACAATAGAGGTCAACAGACCTACTAATGGGGCGCTGAACGTGGGAACGTTGCATTGACCGTGGGAGTCGTGCACTTGTAATGTATGTACAGATTGCTAAACAGTGCTTGCGCACTTTTAGCAATCCTGTCAACACCAGTCATCCCATGATGACCTGGGTCGTCCCAATGGGTGTTGGCAGTGTCTATGGGTGGTCCCCAATGCGTGGGAACCGGGCGCTTGGTATAGCGCAACTTTGTTATACATTTGTACAACAAGTGTGCACATCACTTCAACACGTCAATGGAAAGATCACGACCAGTCCACTTCCCTGCATTCTTCAGTTCCAACCACTTCACTGGGACTTGGGCAGCTGCCTCTTCATCCGAGCATAGATCTGCAGGATCTCACCCTTCTGAGATGCCTTGGGCGTCATGCTGTAGGGCACCTTCAGCATGATGGCAAGCTGAAGAAGGGTGGGGTCGGAGAAGGCGGTGGTGAGCTGCTGGGAAATGGTAAGCGAGGCGGTGTCGGCACCAGCAGTGGAGATGGAGGCAGAGGGGGCAAGAGATGAGATGGTGGAGGGAGCATCGACAGAGGTGACAGAGGGGGAAGGAGGGGGGTGGAAGCCAGAGCCTTGGGTTGAGTGTTCCTGAGTGAGATAGAGTCAGAATTTTTTTCAAGTCAAGTCGGAATTTGCTTACCATTAACAACTCCATTTCCTTGTTGTTGTCCCACTCAACAGGCTCATCCCCCTCAATAGCCACAGCAAATGGGCCCTTCATCTCCCAGTCATCGTTAACCACAACGAGATGTCAGAGTCTAAATGGCAACAAATAGTAAGCAAAAAACGCGAAGTCAAAATGTGTGACATACCTGCAAGAGCGGTCATTTTCTTGACCATAGCCTTAAGGATAGGCCCCAAGGTGTAAGCCAAAGGGATCCTTACAGCACGGGGCTTAGCAATGGTGCAGTCCTCATGCTTGTACACCAAGACCCTGCCCTCATTGTGAATGGGGACAAGGTCTGCTTGCTGGGTATCTAAGAAAGAAGTCAGTAGGTGAGCCAAGTATGAAAAGCACAAACTCACTGAAGTCAGCCATGTTGGGGGCTACCCCATGTCCTTTGGCCCTTGCAACTCCACCCTGTTAAACTATAGGCTATTATAGTCTGATTAGAAGCTTGTAGAAGCGTCCTAATACACTCTAATTGCCTTGGTAACAATCACTAATGATGTTGATGCAATCAATCAATAATATGTAATGATTTGTGCTCTATTGACTCTTTGTGTCTATTACTCTAGACATGTATGGAAAATGACCATCCCAGGTTCCCACGGGTACTGTTCTGCGCAAGGCGTGAATATAGGTGTCCACTAAATCACGTCCGAATTTGATTAGCTCCGGAGCAGCTTGGGAACATGCCAGACATCATTCTAATGATGGCTCCATGTTTGATTTTCACTGCTTTTGCTTCCCTGTGGAGACCGAGGCGTTCCGGTGCCTGTTCCGGCCGTCACAATAGAGGTCAACAGACCTACTAATGGGGCGCTGAACGTGGGAACGTTGCATTGACCGTGGGAGTTGTGCGCTTGTAATGTATGTACAGATTGCTAAACAGTGCTTGCGCACTTTTAGCAATACTGTCAACACCAGTCATCCCATGATGACCTGGGTTGTTCCCATGGGTGTTGGCAGTGTCTATGGGTGGTCTCCAATGCGTGGGAACCCGGCGCTTATGTAGCGCAACTTTGTTATACATTTGTACAACAAGTGTGCACATCACTTCAACAGCATACTGGGTAGGATTTGGTGATTGTATGACCTTCACGAGACCATCAAGATATCTTGAAACTGAGTGTGATGACATTTGAGCAAGGTCGACATCTGGATGACTATTGTGCTGGTCCGGCTGCAGAAGCGCTAGGTAGTAATGTGGGCCTCCTGGTTTGTGACGTCCTGATAGCCCGCAAATTATGCAAGCATACTCTCTGTGGTGACCAACCCAGTTCGCAATTTGAGCCATTCCAATGGAATCTGCTGTTGCAAAGGCTAAATGTAGCTGGGAACAGAATACATGTTCGTTGGCGGGATCCCAGACAGCAAGACCGCCATCATTTTGGATTGCCGCAAAGTGATAAAGACCTGGGAATAAGAAGGAGTCGATGTTTTTGGGGTGATTTGGACCCTGAATACAGCCGCCAGGAAGAACATAACGAAGCTTGTAGCGTTTGTCGGGTGATAGATTGAGGACTACCCAAATGTATATCCGGCAGTCAGATTGTTTCATTTTGTACAGCTGGGCACCATCGATTGAGAAGAGAAGGACCGTATCACCACCTTTCATACGCCCTTTGCATACAGCCTCAAGATATTCGCTCCCGCATATGAAATCATTGTAAAGGGGGATTTTGCCACCATTTTTTTATATCTCGCGCAAGATAGCATCTGTCCACCATTGTCAATATTGCATATCTTCAGCACTGCTGGCTGAGGACCACTGTGCCTGGATTTGCGGGCCAAGGGGTATAGTCGTGAATGTCTTGCGAGGGCTTCCGGACAGAGTCTTTTGAGCTTCATGACAAAGAGGACAGTTTGCGAGCTTCTTGAACGGACCGGTGAAGGCTATGCAGCTATTAAAGCACATGTCATGTTCAATAGGATAGACTCCTAGTAGGTTCGCCAGCTGCGTCCGAATGGCATTGTAAGTCAATAATTCGGCACCAGGGACGTTATCCTGAACAACAGCACATGTTTTGGTATACATGTCTTCAGATGTGTTTCTACAGGATTGAAATAGCCCCAGTGAGAACTGAACATTGGCCTCAAAGTCCGCCTCCGAGATACGTGCAGGATTCCGAAGACGTTCAATCTTGTTGGCACTCAGCCCAGAGTTATCAAGAGTCGCTTCCTTCAGATGCTTGATGAAGTTGAGGGAGAGTTTGATCTCGGGTAACAGGGAGGTTATTGGCAGATCAGGCAAGTTTGTGTCATTCGCGTCTTGATCATTTCGATGTTCAGGGCTTTGTGGATTCGGCTGGTTTCCTGAGCCGTTGGGAGGATCAAGGCCCTCGGGTTTGGAGGACACTGGTTGTTGGGGAAATCCAAGAGGTGGTGGGGAAGCTGGATGGCTGTCTTCGAGACACATCTGGAGTAAGGATGATAGAATGAGTACTCTGTTTAAATTTATTAATCTGAGGTCTCACTTGAGTACCACAGCCATCATTCTCTGGTTCTTGGGTCATATGGCGATGCTTTCCCAAGCTTGAATCTGAATAGGTCTTCAAGTCAGTGATCTACATGCCACATATCCAAGATAGAGACAAGTACCTTGTCTGTTCGAGTCCCCCGGGCCTGTGTCTAAGTATTGCCTGAATGTCTCGCCAAAAACGGGTGCACAATATTGGGCATGTCCGTAGTAAGTTGCCCTCAACACATACTTGCCACCTTTACAGCAAACCGGGCAGTTGCAGAACATTTGAGGCATATTGAGCAAAGTTCAAACTTGCTTGTGTGCAGAGAATGTGTCACACGTGCGAGGGACAATGTATTAGAGAATGGGCACAACGTTGGACGAACAATGAAACAAGGTATAATGGTAGCCAGCGACAACTTCCAACCATCAGGCACGCTCATTGGTGTTTGTGGGAACTTTCTGCACCCAGTCCCAACTTCCTGAAAAGTCACTGGGCATCATACCTCATGCAGCTGAGCTAACTGTTCCATGGAAAGCCAGTAGGATGCAGCATGTAGATAGACATGAGGACATAGCATGTACTGTAGTATATAAACACCCTAATAAACACCCAGAGATGTTAACTTGTTCTCTTGGGAATACAGCTAATACTAGCACCTAAGTCATTGTCTTCAGTCTCCCCCTCTCCCTACTTCTTCTACTCACTTTCTACTCCAATTCTTGTTGGGTCCGCATAAACTCTAGTAGTGTATTAGTGTCGCCCTAACATAAAACTCACTCCTATTCTTGTTGGGTTCACATACACAGTTATTGTGTATAGTGTCGCTCTAACAACTTACATATTCTAGCATCAATCAACATTTATTGGAAAGATCTAAATGTGTCCCCCATTTGTGTAGCTAACTGCAAGATTGAGGGGTGCAATTTCTATCGATATTGCCCAACCAGACTTTGAAGCCAAAGAAGGAATTCAAAGTATTCCAAGCCTACAAGGTCATATATTATATTGTTGTCTCATGCCTTGACAGCCAGTTACAAGGCCACTCATACAATGGTCATTCAGAACAATGATCATACCACTCTCTCTTATTTCTTGTTATGGGTTTATTTTTATTTACCTTACCCCCCGATGCGTAGCAAGCCATATATACTACATGCTGATAGCCCTGCAGGTATAGATTGTCTGTAAAATAAGTAATGATCGCTACATTAGAAACCATAAGTTTACATGATGGTACACCCATTCTCTGAGGGTGGACACAGCCCCTCTAACCATGTTCCTTCACATACTGAGCCGCTCGTTTCGCTCGACTTGAGGACACCACCATGCCGTTTCACTTCGATCCACTCTTGCCTCTCACTCTCTCCTACTCCGGGGACATCATACCACCATGTCAAGGTCTGACCATGGATGACAAACCTTCCGCTGCTGACCTTGACTTCTACGTCGATGAGGTTGTCCGATTGCAGGAGGAGCATTTCTCGAGGTTCGTGCAAGGGACTGATGGTACTCGAACTGCTCCCAATATCACTGGTAGGAACGTCCTTCACCGTCGCCGTGGGCGAAGTAGAGTGGCTGAGCTGGGTGCTTAAACCACTTTCAGAGACGATCGATTCTAAATCGGAATCTTTACCACCCCTCGACAGAGGCGCAGTAACGCTCCCTTTCAGCACATGCTCGCTAGCATAGTGCACCAGTGGGATATATATCTCCGTTCCTAATTCTTCATCCCCTTCGTCATTGTTCGGCCCAACCCTAACCCGGTCCTCCGCGCCGACACGTAGTGTCATTCTGAAGTCGGCTTTGGCAATGTTGAATTGGATGTCCGTAGGGATGCCTACGACTTTTGTGGGCCACGGTCGAGCGAAGGAACGCACTGCCCTGGCGCCGTCGGTCAAGAAGTCGTAAGGGTTTTCATTCCACCCAGCGAGTTCTCGTGGTGTTCGCTCCCTTAGCTTGTGAATGCTCATCGATTCCTGAGCGTCGATCGGGAGAGCCGAAGGGACTTGACCAAGAGTGTCAAGTGATAGAGATGAACTTGCCGCAGTCGTAGTTTTCCTGACTTGCGTCGGACTTCCCGCATTCTTTCCCGCCAACAATTTAGCCTGAGAGCTATCCGACATCTCAAACATCGATCCTTCCTGCTGTTGGTTCCCTTCGTCTTGGTGAACCAGCATATCCTCCGGGCACCACAAACTCAAATCCTCCATATTCCAGCCGTCCCCCCAATCGTGGGTCCCGTCCGGGCAATATGTCCATATCGTATAATTCAGGGCGTTCACCCCATCGCAAGCATTCATACTGGCATCCAGCGCTCGTTCTTGACGACTGTAGTCGCCCGCATATTTCCCCCCGTCCGTCCATCCATACGAACGTTTGTCGTCCATGTCGTACGGTATTCCGATTTCACCTATAACCGTGGGGTACTTCGGCACACCATTGCTGAGCACAAGCGCATCGGACTTGAGCACGCCTAGCTGTTCCTGAAGCGACTTCCGTATACTCCGTTCGCCCATCTTAACGGCTTGCAATGGGGAAGAGTACTTCCCTCGTAACACACCCAGTGCGTCCGCATTAAACCAGTTCCAATGTCGGGTGATCAGCGTCAGTCCGTCGTAGTAGTGGGTGGAAAGGCAGCAGCGCCCCTGAAGTTCAGATTCGTCGATTATTGGCGGTGGAGCGAAGACCGGAGGTTGAACAAACATTATAGACTCGGGGTGGGCTTTCCGTATGCGTTCGGTGTAAGCTTTCCAATGAGGCTTCCAGTAATCGTCGATAAATTCTGCCTCTGCGCCAGGTTCTGCATCAGGGATATATCTGAAATACTCTGGGCGCATGATGAAACCAGTCTCGACATCCCATACGCCGTGAAGAGCCCATACACAGGTGCCAAGCCTCCACCTGAGATCTCGCCTCCAACCCCAACGCGGATGTACACCGTCGACCTCAGTCTCCGGAGACGCCCAAATCTTTAGACCTTTAGGATCAACGGTCACGGTACCATTTCGTTGTGGCCCGAAAACGCCGAACGTCCAGTTCTCCACCGTTTGCTCTTGGCCCATGCCTAATCGCATAGACTGAGCAGGCGTAGGGTATGTACCCTTCTTAAGCGTAGAGCCTTGCTTGACTGGGTTAACGTTAAGGTCTTGCCATCCGCACAGGCCTTCGAATGGTTCGTTCAGGCTGTCCCACCCGATCACACACTCATCCAGCAATCCGCCAGCATCCTTCAGACAATCCGCTAGTCGACCGAAGGATTCGATATAGTGCTCCTGCAGATAGTCTTGGATGTTCTTGCCGTCGATGATACACCGTGGGGCAAAGTCGCGGCCAGCAAAGAAGAGGGTGAAGAGGGTCTGCGAAGCGAGGCGGCCGTAGTTCGTTGACCATATCATGGCAGGTAGTGATGCAGGATCGGCAACATGAGCAAGGGGGTATTCGGAGTGAATGACGGCAGCTTGTGTCGCGGTGAAGTTGCGTGGATCCAACCCGCACGCGGCGAGTGTCCAGAAAGGTGCACCCGAACCACCTGAGTACCGCGACCACTGATAAGATATGCTTTGAGATTAGGTTTCAATGACAGCACACGAGAGTTTACAACGCACAGTGTCTTGGTGAGGGTCCATGTACACTTTGAAGCCGTAGTCTTTACATTTGCGTATTACGCGCACGACATAGTCCATGAATTCGTGGTCGTGCTCCCCACTGGAGACAGGTGAGAAGTTCATCAGGGAACGGGCTAGGTATCACTCACGGACCAGCATGCTCTAAGGCCTCCCATGTTACAGGGAAACGCAGCAAGTTAAAGCCCCAACCGCGCAATCGTGCCAGATGAACGTCTGCGGATCCATCATCTATGTTCAAGGGCCTGCCGATGAAACTGGTGTCTCCCCGCTCCCCCGACTCCCAGAAATCATCCAAAACGTAGGACGGCATTCCGACTGGGGCCTTGGAAGCACCAGATAGGTTTACCCCTCGCAGCAGGAGGGTTCTACCATGATTGTCGACGAAGTTGCATGCGGTGGTGTGAATGTAGGAATTCGAAGTTATGGGTTCGCCCGTCGCTGGCGAAATGTTCGGGATTCTGGGCATTTGGTGGTTGAAGCTCAAGTGGAGGTCTGCTGGCGCTAGGTTATCGTACCACAATTGCTGTCCATATTTGGTAATCAGTCCAACTTATCCGGCCCGACACTGCAGCGCTTAGCCGACGACGATCCATCCACTCATTCAACTACAGTCCACAACGGCTATACAGATGTACTGACATCTCAACCCTTTTAGCTCCAAGTACTCTACTCGTACTAGTTTCGATGGATCAGCCTCGCGTTGCTGCATCGTGGACGGGGAACACTACGCTTACGTAACTCTAACGTTCTTGATGTGGTTTGGACGAGCTGTGTGCTGTATCTGTCTCGCCATGAAGCTATAATGCCCATTGCCCCCGTCCAGAGCCAGAATAACTCATCGCTATCAGGCAATCACGACCATATCTATCAATCTGATATTATTTGCACCGTCTACTGATTTGTATAAGTAGTGCGCTTTCGCCTGCTCTCCAAACGAATTCCGATATAACCCCACTTTCTTGCAGATGTCGAACCCAGCAACGACAGACTGTCCAATACTCGTGTGGATGCTCTCGTTGAACCGGGAATATACCAAAGAAGTAAGCGAATCAACTATCCCCACCGGCTGCAAGTCCTCATAAATCTAATCAAGGAATATGATGCCTGTTACCAAGTAGTAAAGGAATGCGTGCCTCATGAAAATGTCAATTATAATCCCCCAGATGCAGATACATTCAGTGAGCCTCCTGTGCCTCTTCTCACTCAAATCTTACCAATCGTGCCAGGACAATTGATGACATTAATGTTGCCATTGCTGATGATGAGACATAGACGGATACCTAGAGCCAAGTGGCGGGACTGCGTGACTCCTACCGGAAAGCATTGGATTGAGCAGGTGCAGTCGTACGCTCCGTCTCCTCTTGTGTCTTCGATGTTGATATACAATCCCGATGTTCAAAGATTCCAGACGATCTACCGCCAGAAAAGTTTCTGCACTCGATGATTGGATACCATTTGGCCACCGAAAACTCGCTGTGTGGGATGGCTATGACCCAGGGTATTCAGCGTAAAGTCATCAACATTGGTCTGGGGATGAAACAGCTTCTTGTTGAGCCACGCGGAATCTCGATGCAGACCTACGTAGAGTCGTTCTCACATAAAGTATGTCCTCTCCATGCGTTGTACTCTTCTCAGACGGAATTGACTCGTATCCCAAGCTTACCCAGCTGGAACTTTCAATGATATCGCCTGATCTTGGTGACGAAGTGATGCTGCGAAGATTATGCATCATCATTTCCCTCAAACAGGCCTATATCAAAGCAATCGGTCAACCAATAGGTTTCGACTGGTCGCGGCTAGAATTCAACATCCCTGAAGAAACCGTCATTGGCGATGGCCATCCGCTAACAGGATGGGAATTCCGTATATTTAAAGCCAACCTTGGTGTCGCGCGCAAAGAGATCCTCGTTGAGGAACAGTATCAGTGCGTCTGTGCGTTCTTCCGAGGGACAAAGGACTCCAAGTTTATATGGCACGAGTCTCAAAAAGAGCTGGAATCCTGGGTGCAATTCATAAATATCGACCAAATGGTCAAAGTCATTCCGAAACTTACTGCATGATCTACGATACGCATGACCCCCCATAATTCAAGACTATTTATTGGAGTCTGTCTTATTTACGTCTGTTCGTTGCTCTCTAATTGCAGTCATCTTGAAATCACTCGGGCTTGATCTTGACGCCCACGATGTCGATCACCAAAGTGAAACTAAAAGCTGCGCGAGAGGCCCTATCTCGCCAGGATTATCCCACTGCACGCGACGCTGCTCAGCAAGTACTAGGATATGAACCAAATGACTACCACGCGTATGTTATGTTCTCCTCATCTAGATCCAATTGCCTTAGTATCGTAGCCATGTCTTTCTAGGCCTGGCGTCGCTCGAGCTGGCTGATTTCGTTGCATGCGAACAAGTACATGCTCCATATACTCCATCCATAAGCCACTCTAACCACGCCTCCCAGGCTTATAAGAAAGCGATTGAACTGAAGCCCGAAGTCACGCTTGCTTGGCAGGTTGGCCATTGTCAACGCATCAGGTTCACCGCGCTAATCGACGGCAAAGGGCCTCACTAAATTCTACGAACGAACAGAGCGCTGGGACGATTGTGTCGTATCATTAGAGAAACAGGCGATCCTCTATCAGTATGTTCGCAGCTACCGCGATGTGCAAGTGTCATAATACCACATCACACGCACACCTCCTAGATCCGAAGCGACAAAATCTGCTGAAGCTATCCAGAAGCTAATAGACATCCGTCGAAACCACGGTACTAGAGTGCAGGTGAGAGACAGCATCTCCTATGTGCCGCTTGACCAATACACCAGTATGTCGTAGTTAGCCCAAGCCCTGAAACTGCTGCTCCATGGGTCCCCCGTGTTCGAAGCATTATCCGATCTCCCCCTTCCAGACCACACCAAGCCATCTCCCATCACGTCAATACAGGACGCTATACACAACACGCTCCCCGTACTGCAAGAGCTAGTAACTCTGTATGAAGATGAAGAACGACAAGTTATCAAGAAGGAAATCGCCAAGCGCAGAACCAGACTCGGTGCTCCCAACCTAGATCAACTCACGAGAGAGGTTAAATGCGCCGTTCTAAGTAAATCTGAGGTAAGACAATACTTACCATCATCCTTCCCCGTTTGCTCATCAGTGGGATGAAGTTACCTACCTTATATGATGAGGTCGCGGCACACCCCAATGCGTCTGAAGACGTGCGCCGTGCGGCTGAAGGAAAGCTCTTGCGATATCGATTAGAGCTTTTAGAATCGTTGGCTGGTTCAGATAATTCAGGTCTTCGCGAGAAACTATGGACAGCCCTCGACGAATCTATTAAAGGTGTTGTTCTCCTCGGTATCCCTGACGAAGTTGCCTGGGGGTTGCATTTCCAGTGGGCAGATAGTCGGAGTATCGGTAAGCATCTCGCCGCCTCTCTCCGCTCTCTTTAATATGATGGTTTCAAAGAGGGATATAACCTTGCATTGCTCCAGCAATACGCTACCCTGTTCTCTTCCTCCAAGCTCAGTCAAGTGTTTGCCGGATACCTCTCATATAGCAAAATTGGCGCGTCAGTGGAAGAGACCCAAAAGTCAGGCGAAGTCACCGTTGACTCCACATTGAACACTATTTTTGTAAATTATCACTACTTCTAGTACTCCCTCAAGCCTGCTGATGATGCAAGTAGGAAGGGCAAGAAGCTACAAATGAATTCACAATTGCCTGTCGCATCCTTGCAGAGGTTTACTCAAAGGAAAAAGACTTTCCCAGCGCCGTCAAGATGGCAAAGCAAGGCATACATATCTTGCAGCAGCAGGAAGCGCTCTATGGATTGAGCCTGCGCGGGTACATTCATATTGATAGAATGGCAGAAAATCGCGTAGGCTAATGATCACCTTTAGGACACTCCTTGGATTTTACAGTATCTTGGGGACTTCTTTGGTTGGAATCTCGCCGTTGAGATACCGCACCAAAGCCCTGTCCTTTCTCTCTGACGTTCTTCAACAAATACCCGACGACATCCCTTGCCTGCTAGCCAAAGCTCGTGTTTTGCAAGCCATTGGAAACTGGGAAGACACCACGGTCACTCTCGAACACGCCATAAAACATACGCCGCCCGATTCTCCTCTTCACCTTCTGGTTCAGGAAGAATCCGCTTGGTCTCGCTTCCATGTCTCTTGGAACATCAGCGAATTGACAACATTAGAATCCATTCTGACATCGTATAAATCGCAGCAATCGGATGAACGCGCCAGGTGCTCGTGGAGAATCGCAGAATGCTACCGAACTCTCGGAAGTGAGTTGGCCGCCTCCACATGTTCCAAATTACTCGGTTGATATTCACAGTCGTTTAGATGACTACAGTCCGGACGCCTATCGCTTCTACATTGCGTCCTTGAAAGCGAGTTCCACATTCGCTCCTGCGTTCACGTCACTAGGGATTCATTACCTGATAGCAAGCAAGCCGCCGGATCGCGCGCGAGCCCTCAAATGCTTCCAAAAGGCGTTTGAACTGGACTCCAGGGAAACGTATGCGGCGGAGCAACTTGCCACAGGTTTCGCAAATGAAGGAGCATGGAGCCTAGTTGAAGTTGTTGCACGGAGAACCATACAGGGTATCAATGTAGAGGTCGACCTTCCCGGCTTTGAAGCTGAGGATGATGATCCGCACTCTGCATTGACTTGGGCGTGGAAGGCAGTTGGCGCCGTTGAGTTGGTACGTTCTCCTTGTCATGCTGCTCCCTTGCTCCATTCTTTTACCGTCTTTTATAGACCAACAAAAAATATAGCGCCGCGATCACAGCCTTCCAAATGGTCCTTCGGTCGCAACCCCTCGACCACTCCTCTTGGTTATTCCTTGGCGAGACATACCAAAAGGCAGGTCGCTTCACCGCGGCGCTCAATGCGTTCACTCGTGCGCAAGAGCTAGCTCCGAACAGCTGGATACCTTCCTATAATATTGGCCTATTGAAACGACAAACCTCCGAATACGCAGAGTCGATTGTTTGCTTACAATCCATCCTCGACCTTCGACCCACTGAGTTTGGCGTCCTTATGGCCCAGGCGCAAGCATATCTTGAGCTAGGATGCAGCGAGTTCAACTCGGGCATTTTCGCTCGTGCAACGACTGCCTTCATAGAAGGTATCCGAGCCGCTCTGCTTGCGACATCTACGGACGCTGCAGGATTGCGCAATCCCTCTTGGAAGTTAATTGGCGATGCCTTGGTTATGCTGGCTCGAACCTCCATTGTCCCTAACTCATCGATTATCACACCAATCTTTGCTGATCTAGTCTCTAAACTTCCAAGTAGCTCGACGGACCGGCTGCGGGGGGTCTACTCGTATCTTGGTGCAGAGGTGATCTCCTTTGCACACACGACTGAGTTGGCAGTAGCGGTTTATAGCCACCGTGTTTCTCTTGACCACTCTGAAACTTCTGTCTCTGCTAGCGCCCACTTCGATCTGGCCACTTCGCTTATCTGCTGGCTAAAAGAATCCCCCAGGCGCAATGGTGCCGAAGTCGCCAAGGAGTTTATCAGCACATCACTACTTCAAGCCCTCAGATTGGATCCCACCAACGACTTGTATTGGGTGACCTTTGGAAATCATGTATTCAGTGACCAGCCCAAGGTTGCTCAGCACGCCTTCATCAAAGCTTTGGAAATTAATCCGAAGGTCTGTGCTCTAATGATGCTATATCGTAGCGTACTTACTATTGTAGAGCGCAACTACTTGGACCACTCTGGGCCTTCTATATCTCCACTACGACGACATGGAACTCGCTGGAGAAGCTCTCCGCAAAGCCCAAGTCCTCGATCCTGATTATCGCTTGGCATGGGTCGCCCAAGCTCTAATGGAGGAGTCTTTAAGTAACTTTGCGAGGAGCAGTACCCTTATAGAGCATTCACTTGGAATGAAGCTGAATTCAGTATGCAGCACACCATTCCTTGTCGCCTCTAATGATAATGTGTATAGGCTTGTTCTGATCTCTGGTATGCCTCAAAAGTGCTCGCCTCCCAAAACGCCTCTCATGATGGCTCTTCCGACGCATTGCTACCTGCGTTCTTCGCTCTAGGCCGTTATGTAGGCCAAAATCCCAAAGACGCATACAGTCTACAACTCTACGGACTACTTTGCGAAAGGTTGGGGCACCTCACCGAGGCCGTGACATCACTTAACGGAGCAATTGCCATTCTGGAAACGGCGTATGAAGAATTGGAATCGCAGGAGGTCGAAACCCAGTTTGCCACTGCCAGCGGAAATCTCGCGAGAATTAAACTAGCCTTGAGCGATTACCAGGGTGCTATCGACGCCTATAACAACGCACTCGGCCTTCTTTCAGAGGAAGATAACTCGCCTAGCACGCTGCTCCTGCGATTCCAGTCTTCCCTTGGCAGTGCTTTGGCACACTTCAAATTGGGTGACCTGGCATCCACAACGTCTTCGATAGAAACAGCGATACGGAGTGCAGGGGATGATCTACGCTTACGAGGCCTGGTGAACGTGCTTCACAGTCAGATTTTGTGGAAGTCGGGCGACGAGTATCGCGAACATGCGATATCTGGTTTGCTTGAACAGTGAGATTCACGTACCTCCTTGGTCATATTTATCTGTCTTACAGAGTTAACCCACTACTACAGCGTGGCTGAGGACGTCGAGAATCTTCGCGTCATGCAGACGCTGGTCACCATGGGCATACTCACAGAAGACGAGAGCCTAATCGACGCCGCAATCTCTGAAATCATCAACCTACCCCTCGATAAACGACAACGTTTGGACCCAAGAGGGGATATTAATTATCTCCTCATTCAGAATCAACTCGGACAGGTGAGCAACGACTTTGTTTCTGCCCCACGTCTGCTTATTAACAATGTTAGAGCAACACTGCTGGGGCAATACTGACCGCTCAGCGAGCTGTGAAGGTGGCACCCACGAATGATACCATGCGACGAACCATGGCGTCGTTGGAGGTCCAAAATAAATCGTTCGGCACCGCATTATCAATGCTCGCAGGCGCGCGCGATGTCACAGACAACGCCGCCGACTCTGCGGATTCCTTCACGCTACACGCGGCCGCCTCTGCGCTCTCTAGAAGTGGCGGGCACTCAATGGCACAGAAAGCCGTCATGCTCGCGCCGTGGAAACTGCAGCCATGGCTGGCATTAGCGTATATTAGATCATTAGGAGAATCAGGCTGACTCTAAAGAACAAACACATATTGTATACGACAAGGAATGTGACCCGCTCATCTATAACCCATGCGCTCGCTACGCGCTTGAGACTGAATTCCGTAGGATATAGCGAAGGCGGGTCGACACAGCATCTTCGCCGTCATTTCCCTGCGTGATACTAGACAACCACCAGTTCAACCGTCTCCGCTGCTCTGAGAGGCTCACTTCCGAGAAAAGGCTGGTGATGATGAACGCACAATCAGATAAACAGGGCGTGCGGTGAAAGGTAACCTGGGTACTCACAGGCCTCGTTCTTCCAGTGCGCTGCGGACCTCCTCGGCTTCGAGTTTCTCTTCCTTCGCCAACAATTCGTCGTCCATGGCAATGAAGTTCAAGTGCTGACGAATACGTCGTTTCCGTAGCAAGTCGGGTCCCCAAGTAGAAAGCCTCAAGATCCTGCAATAGACATGCGTTCAGTGATGTCGGACGTCGTGTGCGTAAATATAGGACTTACCCGCAGACAGCCATGAATCCTTCTGGTATCGAGATACGGGAGAAGGAGAATGGAGACGCCTCTGCCGCCTCGTTTGCGAGCTGCTTCAGCGTGTCTTGGTATTCCGCTGCTATCGATAGTGCCTTGGTCTCTTTCTGTATATATATGCGTTCTTTCTGAGAGGGCAGAATGCAAGTTGATGGGAGCATGAAGGGAGCGTAGATAGCAATGAGAGGGACGATTTCCTCGACGACCAGGACAATGATAATAAACGGCACGAGTCTACGGGTGTTCAGTCGTCAATCGAGCAACTCCAGCTGCAGGAACAAGTGAAAAACAATCACTTTCTTATGTCCTCGTAGTATTGCTCGATGAAGCGGAATTCAGTTCTCGTCATGGGCGAGCCGCCAGCATGGATCCTGCTCTTTATCTCGGCAACTCTCTTGCGATTGGTGAACACAAGCTTTATGCCTCGGTAGTAGAATTTCTGCAGGCGATATTAGGTATTTTCTGCGGCAGACATTGGAGACTGGCACGCACGAATAACTCTATCGCCTTATGAAGCAGCCGGCGTGCCCAATTCGCGTTTGGCGGGGCTGGTTTCATCAAGCCGTGCTTCTCAGCGTCCTCCAAGTCTCGCTTCGACGTCTCTATTACGGGTGTCGACGACGCGGTAGTGCTGCTTGCAGATTTGTGTTCTATCGCCCGGGCCAGAACCGAAGGGCGTTCCTTCAAATCTGGCTTCTTGGGCGTGGGGCCTAGCAGCGAGTGCTTTTTCTGCGGCAGCGGCGGGGGGACGACCTGTGCTTTGGGGGCATTGTGGCGGATCGGAGGAGGAACGGGAGAGGAGAAGCGCCTGCATTTTATGGAATTTGTGGCTGGCGGGATGCGACACTGGCGACGAGAAGCCGCGCGAATGGCTGGGATCATGGTCACTGGCAAAAAGTAGAGCGTCACGTGCACCGCATCCCTCCTGCTTCACTCCGCCACCGACATCCGCAACGGCCATGGACGCGACCACGACGACGGACACAGCGATGGCACACTCGTCCTCAAAGCCACAGTCGCCGTCGCCCCTCTCACCGCCGCCTCCGACCGCGAAGGCCGCCCTCAAATCCAAGATCGAATTGCTGAACCAGTCCATCAAATCAATCCAGCATTTGAGGCAGATCCCACCGCTTCTACTCAAACCACCCCTCAGGAAACCGCTCACCCCGTCGCGCCCCATCCCTCCCCCGACACAACACCTTGCATGGCAGCCGACGAATGCAACCCACCACTTTGAGCAGTTCCGGGGCATCCATGATCAAATATTGTCCGAACCCGTTCAGCAAGCTCTTGCGGCTGCCCGCGACAGTGAAAAGGCAGACTCCAGCGACCTGACGGTCAACGCAAGGAGGGAGACCAGAAAGCGACGGTGATTTGGGCTTCAGTTCTACCATACCCTTCATTGACCAATTCAATTAGACGGCCGCCATCTCCCAGCTCGCCTCAGCCGTATATATCCACCACCACCTCAAACCCATCCCTGTTCCCCCCACCGTCAGATACAGACCCCGAACCCCTCAAGGCTGACCAGCTTGCCCAATTCATAAGAGATTTCAACCGTGGCAATGACTCGAAACTTCACATATGGCTCCGATCTCGAAGTGCTCCGAAAGACGAACTTCCAGTAGTCGTCCGATTTACCCTGCCGGATGTCCTTACCGCCTACATCACGCTGAATTATACACCGCCACATCGTTCTACCCTGGTCACCGAGAGCGTTTCCATGTTTGCTCCGAGGGAACAAGTGAATGCTATGCCTCCCTTCTCCGTTCCATATCTCATTCGTGCCTCTCCCCCGTAGGCCACCCCACAATCCCAATCTGAGTTCACTGTTTATCAAATTCTGTCGCAACAAATATCAAAGATGATACAATCCTGTCCATTCGTTCCATTCCAGACACTCATGGTATGAATCTTGTTCGTCGTGACTCCAACTCCGAACTTACGGGTCCGCTACAGAGCCTTCTCTCTTCTTATGACGTTCTCTTCTCTGCACGGTGCGTCAAATGTAAACGGGTCCTCCCGTCGGAGGGATATATACCTGCCGTGGCCCGCTCATGGGTCACGTCCCCCGAGCTACTAGAAGGTGCCCAGGAAGCGAAGTGGGTCGCCTTTCATGTAGGTTGCCAACAGTTATAGCGCTAGCCCGGGGCCCCCTTGTACGCTACCTGAACAGGCAAAATTCATTTTCTCGATCATGCTTTGTGACCCAGGTGTACGGCGGCTCCGCGACTGGAGTCGCCACCTAGAATGGACAGCCAAACAAGGCTCTTTGAAAAAACGCTCAGGGCGGGGGAACACGAGGCTACGAGGCCGAAAAAGGATAACTCCTTCAGGGACGTTGGATTCTAATTGCGAATAACGAGGTGAAATTCAGCCATCCCGAAGGACCGTCCTTTCTTTGTTCTGTTGGCTCTTTAACAATACTCCATTGTCGTTCGGAGCTCGGTTCTTCATCATCCCTCGAGCCTTGGAGTTTGCAATTTAACCAGCCGCTGGTGGCTCGGTCAACTGTCATGTTCGTGGAAAGGGGCCCAATATCCATCTCCTGTGTTCTTGTTTCCCCTCCCGCTTGCCTAGAGGTATATATAATAAACATTGTTCGATAACGGCTAGCGTCCTTTTGCTCCATTCCCATTTCTTAGCGCAATCGTTAGGCCTCTTTTCTTGCTCACTGACCATTTCGTTCCTCAAACAATGACCCGCCCCTCCACCCGCGCAGCCGGTCGACGCACCGCAACTGCGCCGCGCACATCTCCCTGTTTCACCGAACGCTCACCAACCAAGACATCTGCAACCCCATTGATCTCCTCTCCGTCCAGTCTCGTACAGGTCTTAGACTTCAGCCCTCCTGAAGGGGGATGGGGCACCCCCGTGACGGTCCGCATTAAAGTCAAGCACAACGCTCTCCCCGCCCTTTGCACGCGACTTGTAATTGGCCATCAGGCCGTCAACACCGCCGTGCAGGAGTTTTCCGCTGCTGGGCTCGCAGGCTGGCAGCTAGATGCAGCTATACCCCGCCAAGCTTCCGATGTGAAGGTACCCATGATCGTTCAAGTGCTTGATATGAATAGCAAGGTGATAGAGTCGCTCACATTTGCTGAGTTTACATACCGCGTATCAGGCAAGTCCTCACCGTTCGATATCTCGGATCAGGCTAAACGATTCACCCTCTTTTCAGGACCAACGAAATCCGTTTCATGCTCCGAGTCACCAGCACTAAAGATCAAGCGATGTTCCTCTCATCCACTCCCTTCATCGACCGCGCGACACGTATCCTCATCAGCAACATCCGTTCGCAGATCGCAATTCCACCGCCGCCGTAAAGCTCCTTATTGTGCAAGCGGCGACAGTGACGATGATTCGACCCCGGTTCTCCGGCTGATCACCCCCCTCGAAACCATGTGCTCCGACTGGAGCGACGAAGAGCTCTCCCAGGGGCGGCGACTCGTCAAATTCTACAAACTCCAGCAAGGTAGAGACCTCCTCGTCTCCTGCGATCCCCTCATGCAGGAAGACTACCATGAATCAGACACCGTCATTTCGTGTATCTACCGTAGGGAGTCCCAGGAATTCTTTGCAACCTCCGTCGATATTATATACCTCCTCGAGAAGCTCACTAACGACGAATTTCCCGTCGAAGAGAAGAATCGCATCAGGCGCAATCTGGAGGGTCTTCGCCCTGTGACGGTGTCGAAACATAAGCACGGCTTTGAGAGGTTCTTCCAGAGCATCATGAAGTTCCCCGAGCCGAGGCCCCGCAATATCGAGAAGGATCTCAAGGTGTTCTCGTGGCACTTGCTTGGCCAAGCGTTGGCCAAGATATTGTCGAAATACGTATGCTATTCTCCTCGTCTGTCACTTCATAGCGTACTCACCAAGTCTCAACCAGACAATTGTCGGGCCATCGCCAAAGACACGCGTCCCGAAAGTAGAGGAACCGGTCCTCGTACCCAATCAAGATTGGGAGACCTACTTCCTTTCTGACGAGGAAAAGCCCTTGATGACCCATATACGCCCTTCACATGCTCTCAAACGCGAGTCATTACTGGCTCCGTATTTTGTCGACATGTCCGAAGACAGCCCTCTCCCCGTATCCGTGTCGTTGCATGACACTGGTAAGTTACTTCTGCCCATGGTCAGCCTTTGTGATTTATTCCCTACTCAGAATACGACTATTGTTCACCCGAAGAGGCCGTTGATGCCAATCTTGCAAAAGCAGCTCGTTCCGTTATGCCCAAAGAAGAATCCTTCGAAGATCTATCCTTGCCCTACCCTTACGACTCTTGGTGAACTACTGGTGCTGACCGTCACCACGTTGCTCATGTTCAATCAACCACCCCATATGACGACTCTTATGAATGAACCCTTTCCCTATCTTTATTACTCCAAGATAAATGTACCATACCTTTCATTAGTCTATAGTCTATTCCTTATTTGCATGCATGTGGTGTTCGAACATATTGATTGATAACAGGTAATGTATAATTTCCTTGGCTACAAGTCGATCCAAAAAGAGAAATAAACTAATGTAAAGCAGAATCAGATCGTGAAGTCAATAATAGTCCTCTCTCTACCTGTCAGCAAATAAGATAGTAAAGAATGTCATGAGTTGGTGGCGCCGCGTCGGCCAAACTTCAGACTACCAAATCGCGAAAATCGACCCTTGAGGGAGCCAAGTGACCCCATGCTTCCTACGCCGGAACTGATGATGGAACCGCCCGAAGCTTGCGCCCCCGGGACAGTATGACCATGAATCCCATTTCCGACGTTGACGAAAGAATTATGGGGTGATTCGATGGACAACGAGTCGCTTCCACCGTTGTCGCCAGGTGCAGATGAGACGCCATTGATGCCATGTCGGGCTAAATGGGCCAGGTGGCGTTGTAATGGCGTTTGTTTATTGTAAAACCCCGGCTCTGAGGGGCTGGTAGGCGATTGAGGTGACATGGGTGGAGGAGTCAGGGCAGACCTCCCTAATTGCAAAGGGGGAATAACGAAGGGTGCACGGCTTGTAGATGAAGTAGACATCGACCGCGATAACGAATGTTCGTAAAGTGAAGGTTGATACTGCGAAGGCGCCCTGACGTTGTGGGAAGTAGCCGATGGGGATACAGTAACTTGATCGGACGACATATCTTCCAATGCCAATCGACGGATTTCATCTCGGAAGTATTTTTTGAAAAACTTCTCCAAAGTCTCATGGAAGGAGATAAACTCAGGCGGACACAGTTGTCCATGAAGCCTTAGACAGCTGTCTATCGTGCGAACCTATTGCAACAACCATCAACAACCTGTGAACGGCTGACCACGAATGGTCCCTTACCTGGTCATCGATGGCATTCCTTAACTTTTCTATCAACTCGATTCGCTCGGGGTTCCTAGACATGTACTCTGGCGTCAGGAAGGTTTGGCGATATGAGGCAATACCGGTGTTTGTTGGGGCATCGACAGCACCATTGAGGCACATGGATAGGGCGTTCGTTGAAACAGTGTGCGCTGTCTTCGCAAGTGCAGAGAACTTCTGGTAAAGCGCGAGCAGTTCTTTAGTCTTGCTCTCTACATCCGCCAATGCGCTTTCCAGGGGCGATATTTCCGTAACATCGATAGCGATGACTTCGGAGCGACGCAACACTGTTGGGAATTCTTCTTCGGTAGTAAAGAATGTCTTCTCCGTCCAAACCTCCTCTGTGCCGTCGCGCATGACCTTCCGGATGGGCCGTGAGCAGCTGAACAGGTTTATGGCACTGAAGAAAGATTAATTATGTAGGCCGATATGAATGAACTCGAGACTAACCTGTGTTCGTAGTATGTTCTCACAGACAGCGGAACGTCAGGGTTGGTGAAGATTTGGAGGGAACGATTAGGTTCTGGAGCCACAGCGGTGCATTGAATATATTGGTCATTTCCAAACCGAATATCGACGGGAGGATCTCCCATGGTCTTGAGTAACTGCGCGCCTGGGTGTTTGTTGAGCATACGCTCGCAAAATGCTCCGAACTTCTCCCATTCGTAGCCACGGTACTGTAATGCATGCTCTGTTGTAGTTGACTAGACTTCGACGCAAGTTTGAGATGACGCACGATGAACCGCTTATCCCGAATCGCTGCAGGGAAGTTTCCGAAGAAGGCCACTCGGTAGTAATCAGAGTAGTATCTTTGATCTGTCACGATGTGCTCATATAGCTGTGCTTGATGACGGAGGATCTCAGAAAGTCGTCCGCTATGAAGGGGTTCAACAGGTTAAAAAGCGATAAACACAAAAAGACGCGCACTAGTTGTAAGTGAATTCAGCATGTTGGTACGCCAATTCTTTACATATTTCGATGGCCTTTTCCCAAGCCTTTCCTTTACCTACAAGACTTGAAGTTAGATGAAATATAGTTGACGTAGAAAAATAAGAGATACCCAGATAGTCCAAGATGAGCAAGCAGAGTGTCTCCTTTCGATGGAATTGTGATTGCTGCGGTAAGCCTAGGTCTTCCATAGGGCCAACAAACGTTGACAAATCCCATTCATGAAGATCAGAATGAAGCTTCAGGGTCAGCGCTGCTTCTACATAATTCTGGGCTTGTAGGTGCATCTAATGGCGATGTTAGAACGAGGGTCGTCGAAGATGACGATTAATGAGACCCACATTGACGAGTTGGTGAACATATTTGATATATATCTCATCGCGACCAATCCTCCGGATGAAATTCATGAGACGAAGCTGGAGACCAGGAAATCGATCAGCTTTTATGTCTTATACTCTGACCAGTGGTACGTTACCGTAGCTATGACCCTGTCATCCGCATATTCTTCACCTTCTGGGAGGTCTCGCACGCTTAACAGCAACTCTAGGAACAAGTCCACCGAGTCAAGGAAATTTGCCACCCTCTCCCGTAGAAGATCGTCTACATCCGATGTGTCGAACAGATGGCGTAGTTGGCCAATGAAGAAGGTTCGTGAAATGTCATCACCCTTGCTGTCAGACATGAAAAGGGAGTCCAGACGATTGACTAGTTCGTTCTCGATCTCATCGAAATGACGGGCCTGTTGGTACTCGGCGACAATCATGCTGTACAAGATCTGAACGGCATTGTTTCTGAGTCTGTCGTGATGGCTGAGACACAAGTGCACGACATGGCCAACCAGAGGATTCAAATATATTTGGTAGCCCTAGTATAGTATAAGCACGATAAGGGGGAAATATTCAAGTAAAGACGTACCCCACAACGGGCGATCGAATCGTCGGGCTCCGCGGTATTTGCACTCAGCGCAAGGGCGTTCCATAACTTGAGCATTATGGTAGCACCCTCTCCTCGTATATTTCCTGCCAGACGCCAAACAGCACGTTGTTTCTGTATATATCTTTACATCTACGTTATCTCTCAATATCAAGAGCCATGCACTCACCTGTGGGCTGAATTCTTCAATAACGAGTTGCTCGGAGGATAGAAGCTTTAACAACATGTGAAAAGCGTCCCGCCAGAGAGTCGGATTGAATTGTACATCTGAAGAAGCGGGCGAAGGGAGAAATTCCTTTTCCAGAATCGCAGCAACGGGGTCCATCATCTTTATCAGTACTTTGTGAGCCAAAATATTGATATTGAGCCACGTCTTGGGGAAAGCGTCATTCTCCAATATCGATGTCGAGACCTTGAAAAACTGCGACAGAAAGGCAATGAACCGTTCCCTGCCTTCTATGTCTAGGCATGACTCCAAGAAGTCCTGAATATGCTTTCGAGGGGATGAAAGTATCAAGACCAGGAGCACGACTGCAGCTTCTCCTACGCCGGGATAGAATGTTAAATCATCATCAGCCGAAAGGGAAGTCCCTTTGGATCCTTCTGGGAGGTAAGAGACCATTGAAAACGGATATGACTCTGGGAACGTCACAGGAACATGGGTCTTGGCAGTGCTCGAACCCTTGTGCCGTTCAATAGCCTTTCTGGAACTTGGACTCTGGAATTCCCGATACGACTCAAGTAACCTGGGCAGATAACGTGTCATTGTTTCTTCCGAACGGCGAGCACAGCACACCTACCGTGGGAGCAAAGGTAAAAGGCACTCAATGTTGTCCTGCTCTTGACGCAGTAGATGTCGGTCCGAGATTGTAGAAGGGGAGACGAGGTTTTGTTGCAGTTTATCCAGCATGACAGCAACGATTGTGACGCAAAGGCGAATGTTCTCAAGCCAGTTGACTCTCGCTGCATCAGGGGCACTGTCTATATCACCAGATTGATATCCATAGTCATCGTAGCGTCCGAAGTGAGGCTTGATCCAGATAACCACAGCCTCAACGAGCAGTGGCCGGGACTGGTGATTGTCGAACAAAAAGCCCTTGACGATCTGAAGGTACATTATCAGTTTCCAAATAACGATTCTGCCCTTGTTCGATGTTATAGCGTTGGCAAAGGTTGTGGCGATTGTCACGAGTTCTACGTTTGAGAATATCTTCGCAAGCTCGGGGAGAATGGATGTGAAATGCTGCAGGGCGATCGTCTGCGTGCCAATGATAGACGGCGGAACGGTGATGGACATCATTCTATTGACCTCCGCCAGGTGATTGCGAAGCTCGCGCTTGAATGTTGTTTCCAAATGTTCTGCTGTTGCTCCTCCTCCCATACCAACTTCCTTTGCTTTCTGCAATTCACGAGACCGAGCAATGAATTTGAAGATATAGTGCCAAACCTTGAGCGCGGCACGTAGGTGGGATGCATGTTGGGTACCAGTCGGATCCCCAAGGAGCTGATTCATCGAGTGGATCATGTGGGAGGAAGCTGCAGCGCAGTTGAAGTGCTTCTCGATATAAACATCTAGCACGGGTTGAAAGTTACTGAACCGACGATCCTGAACAATGCCCAGAACAGTGACAAGTGCCTCGAAGACGAGATTGTCGAATTGGCCCGTCTGGTTAACGGCCGAGATGAGGATGCCAAAGAGGGAATCAAATATGTCGCGTAGAAATTTCACGATCTCCACCTCGCCCACGAAAGTAAATCTCGTGAGCACTGCGGAAAGAAGGTCCTTGTCCGCGATCTTTTCCCAGCTCAGCAAACTGAGGAGAACCGAGTTTTGTGTAAATCTTGTGGAACAGAGTGATGTGCGGATCGTGAGGGTGTCACGAAGAGGTGGGGCGAGTCTCTGCATGTCAGGGTACATCGTCGCTTGGTCGCCTTTCGACGAGTAGGCAAGGTACATTTCTGGAGTTAACTGGCTGAGCTTGTCGCCCCGATACAAGAGAAGAGTATGGCTTCCATCCTCAACGAAAGCACGCTTATCCGGAAACAAAGGTTGAACCGCGAAAGCAAAGGGCTTGTCTGAGTTATCCGCAGTTGCTGGTCGATTACTAGTCTTGGCCGTACGATTGCGGAATGTAAAGAAGAGGTACCACTGCGGCATGCCTTGAGGTGGAAGCTGAACTTTGATCAATTCGCCGAACGTCGGTTGATTGCACCGCTGGAACACGATGGAGTTCCAGGTTGTAACGGGTGGCTCCCCACTACCCAAATGGATGACCCCTTCAACAGTTCGGCCGTCTTGATCCTTGACTTCAACCGAGACCTGAACATTATTAGGCACGGGCCCCATTGGTGCGCGGGCAAACCCAAGTCTCCCTGAGCCAGAATGTCCAGGAGAGAATTCACCACTCCAGAACTTTATATATAGTTCGTTTCGCGTGTCGCCCGGGAAGACTACGTCTGGAAAGCCAAGCCGAAGTGTATGTGGGGTGTCTTGCAGTAATGAGGAGTTTTCTTTGATGATGGTCGCTGCATCTCCACGGAAAATCTTGGCCGAAATCGCCAACATCTCTGCTCTGTATATATTTGTAGGTGATGGCACTCAAGCTCGGAGAGATCAGACCCACCTCGGAGACTTTTCATATTCCTTAGTATTTCCCTTCATAATATCTTCATGCAGCATCGAAAATGTGGTCTCGTTGGTCGGTATGAAAATCGGCATGTTGTATTCTCTTGTTGGCGTTATATGAAGGTCATCTGTTAACATGCTACCGAGCTGAGTAAGTTCGAGGACGGCGCAACCAAACGGTCTTCGAAACTGCACTGGACTTCCAAATTCGCTCGTCGGGCTTGGGTTCTGCGTAAAATCCAGCCCGGAGCCTGACTCCGGCCTCATAGTCAATTCTGAAGCCCTTCGTCCTCCATCGGAGGGTAGGCCGGAACTCATACTATGCCCAATTTTGAGAGCGCCGTTACGCACGATGCGACACACCAGATACACAGGGTCTTGGATGTCGGACAGAGCGAGATCTGTGAAGAGCGTCCGTATTCGCGCCGACGGATTCCTCGCAAGCACACCATTATGATTGAGCACCACACAAAAGTCTTCGGTGACAAACTGTGATTCCGCCCTGTTAAATAGTGAGAAGTAAAGTTCGGCGGTTTCGCCCGGAGAACAGGGTGATGCAACGAAAGCACGGAGGTCGAGATAGATGTGGTAGAATTTGGATGAGGGTGTTATACAGGGCGGTGTTGGGTCAAGGCAACCTAGCGATCTTGTTCTTGCTTTATGACGAGGAAGATCCGAAAATGCTGAATGGGCCGGTGTGGGTGTAGGGAATCCATAGGTTGAGTCGATAGATCCACCTGTGAGGGTTGCCCGCATGCCCCTCCCATTTGAAACGTTCATGTACGCCAGAGATGTCTGCATGGCATACATGCGCACTGCGCTGACCCAACTCCGTGGGTCAATTTCGCCTTCGACATCAACTGTGACCAGGCCTCCCCAGGTGGGATGTCGGACAATGACGTCTAGCCCTTGCACAACGTTTCCGCTAACCAACCTTGTCACGCATTCACGACGCATGTTCACCGTCTCTTCAGCACTGAGGGTTTGTGCAAGGAGCTGTCGGCGACCCAGATGCAGAGCTTCAATGTGTTGTCGGACGACATGGAATAACTTGTAGTCTCGACGGGCCAGATATTGAAACATCAGAGAATGCCATTCTCGCAACGCAGACGCTATTTCATCTATTATCGGTTGCTCGGCACCTGCAGCAGTATCGTCTCCGGACTTGAGCGAAGGGCGTGGAGGGAGCGGTTTTTCAACTTGGGACTCGGCTGGGGAAGACGACCTCAAACTGGTAGCATATACCGCAAGACCGCCACGAGATGAATTAGCTTGTTCTGGAGGCGGGGCCAGCTTGAAGGACGACTTCTTGACCGAGACCATTGTGCTTTCATCATCGGCGGCGGTGTCATTTCCTCCGCCTCCGTTGAGTTTGTCCTTATTCCAGTTTATACTGGCGTCCGCAGTGCTATTCCGAACGCTCGAAGCAGCATCACGAGCCGCATTCGCAGTGAGCCAGGAAGCGGCCAGGTCCGGCAAACGACCCTCGGCATCTGCGAGTTGATCGCGGACGTAAATGTGGGAGGCGGGAAAGATGCCGATGAAGACCTGCTGTTCCTCAGCCTTCGGAGATGCTTTGATGACAGACGAGGGGTCCGAAGAGGCCAACCAGGCTACTGGAGGACGTCTTGAAGTACAGACAACGTACCTGTGAAGCGAATGCACGGATAAAAACGATGCACAATGGGGGTCACGGCATCACTCACCCTCTGTACCACTCGCCCTCCACCTCCTTGCCCTTCGGTGTGTATTTCTCAAATGCATAGACTTCATCGCCGACTTCGAGGGAAACGATGTCTCTGTGAGCCAAGTGGTCGTCTGCGGAGGCTTCAGTCACGACCGAGAGTCTTTGGGCGCGATGGGATATTCTCGTGTCTCTCTTTGAAGACGGGGTGAGAGGGTGGATGGCGTAACCATACACGACGAGGGGAAGGGGTTCCCATACGCCCCTGCGCTGGCTGCCTCCAGCTGTCATGGTGGTGGATGCTGTCGACGGACAGGACGGCGGGGAGGAGGAGATTCGTGGCGGAGGTGAGGGTATGAGGGAAAGGTTCAGGCCGCGATCAGGGCAGTAATCAATATAGCAACTACACTCAGGCACTTTTCGGCGCTAAATGTCCTCTCTCTCAGACCAGATCGACCGTCTCACGAAAATAACAAAGTCCATCGCCGCCACCGCCGCCAGCACCGCCGCCCTCAACCGCGTCCCCTCATCGTCCCAGCCGTTCACAAGGGCCGTCCTCAACGCGCCGCTCGCCGACCTCATACGTGACATCGATGCCTCCTCCGAGCTCGGCCTTTTCGAGCTCACTCGTCCAGCACTCCCCCTGCCAACGGACAAAGAACCCCCATCGCTTCAGTACCATGAGATTCAACGTGTCACATTCAACGGTGCGACGCCTCTGCGACGACACCCTCGACCCGAAGGGCCGCTAAAGACACCCGAGCCTGACCCCGAGATCTACGCGCAGGCGGCGATGAAGTACATCAATCGCTTGTGAGCCTGCTCTTTCTTGCCACACGCTTATATCCAACCCAATGAGACAGCCAGAGCATCCGACCGATGCCTCGAGCCTATTCCCAAGTAGAGGCCGTGATGGAGCGCCTCCAGGCCTCCAGAGTTCGGATCCAAGAACTCCAGGAGCGAGTAAAGCAAGTCAGTCTTTTCCCCGAGTCACCTGTATCACTTTGTCACGGTACCAGCAGGCTGAGAACGCGTCGGCCGTAGAGCCAAAGAGCCTCGCAGACGATGAGCAGCAACGGATAGACGTACTCATGGAACGGATCGCGTTGCTAAAGGAACAGGTACGCAGTCACGTTAACATGTCTAACTCAATCAAAATGACAATTTCCATTTCAGAAAGAGAATCATTTTCGAAAGCGTCTACCCAAGATACAGCCGAAACGCGTGCCAGCCCCGAAGCCACCCAAAGCCACCCCACGAGTGGATCCTGAGGATGAGTTTGGCTTCTGGACAACACCTACTGCCGCTGCTCGCACATTCAAGTTGAGCACCGGCTTACTGATGGACGAACACGTAGATGCTGGCGAAATGTCCATGGCTTCGTTCGGATCGCCGCCTCCTACGTTGGCGGGTATCATCCAGCAACCATTCCAATCATTCTCCCACTCTATAAACTCTCAACCTCCGAGATCACCTGAATCTCTGGTGGAGAATGCGACCCCTTCAGCATCCCCTCCTCCGATGCCAGAAAGGCAGTCTCCGCCGCTTGTGCCGATCTCGCCGTCACCGCCTCTTACACCTCCATCTGCTCCCCTCATATCTCCACCCCCTGACCCCGAAGATCTGCTTCCCCCACCCGCAGCCGCAGCCGCGTCACCCCCACGCAAAGGCAAGATCAAAATAACTTCCGACGTCGATCGAATAATTGTGAGTTCTCCGATCACCTCATCTCCATGACACGATTCTCGATCTTAATAAATTTACTCCCGCCCGTTCACATTTACAGGCACGCATATGGTCGACGGTCGGAGACATCATTATGCAAGGTTACCATTTGGCGGAGACAAAGCCACTTGGGGCGAAAGCAACGATGTGCGTTCCCGATGTCTAGCTCCATTCTAGGCCTTTGTTGCTAACGTTGTTTACATAGAGCCCACCTGCAAACCCTTGCAGCGCAGACAACGGTGCCACCGTCACCATCTGCTACCAGTCTATCCTCATTGGCTTCCGCTCCAACCGATCAACCAACATTCCAGCAGATAATGACTGCCTTCCTCCTGCTCCGTCTCCTCTCTGAAGCGCCCTCCTATTCATTACTGCTAAACGTTGTCAAGGATGCTATAAGCAGCAAAGGATCAGAGCTCGGGGCGGCAACCAGCACGCAGAGTTCCCGTGTAATGTACGCTTGCATTGCCAAACGTCTAATCAAGATCGACCGCAAACAAGGCGAGCAGACCGTCAAGTTTGACTTCGGTTCTGGTGCATAATCGCACGCCCATGGGGTTAAGGAGTACACATTAGTTGTTCTATGTAGAACCATTTATTCGTTTTTTAAATGTTGATGTTGTAAAATACAATTGCAATACAGCGAAGCGAAAAAGTCGAGTTGGGGTCGAAGCGAAGCAGGTATAAACAAAGAAAGCAAGTAAGTAACTAAAAACCACCTTGAATCCCATTGATAGCTTGGTGGTGTTGAATCGAGGGTGAAGGTGCAGTTGGAAGCGGTAGCTGAGAGGTATTAGGCGAAATACTATGAGGCGGAGAACTCTGCTGGAGATGTGGCGACATCGAATGGGCTACGCGATTCGGGGAACCAGCTATACCCATTCCACCAACACCAGGTGGTCGCATCCCTACTCCCATGCCAGTTCGTGAGGGGGAGCGCACCGGGATGGCGTTGGTGAGGCTTGGACTTGGTGACATCGATGTCCCGTTCACCAAAGGGGCGTGGTCAGGGCTAACCCCGTTGATACTCATGGACGTTGCCCGAGCAGTGTTTCCCCATTGCATTGGTCGAGCCGGAGGTAACTTCGGCGTCAAAGCAACGTTCCCGTTAAGCTGAACATTGTAAGTCCCGTTCGGCACTTGCACGTATGGGACGCCGACGCCAGGACGACCAGCAACACCGTTGACGCCTTGCGGTACAGGCACAAGATCTTGCGTCGTCGGAATATTTGCAAAGGCTGATTTGAGGTTCTGCAGTTGTTGGTGACTAAGGCCACTCCCCTGCTGTCCTTGGACATTGAATACAGCGTTGCCATTGGTATAAGTTTGGATAGCGGCAGGGTGATATCCGTTGGGCTGTACTGTCTGGTTCTGTGACTTCGGTCGCACGAGCGCTGCGCCGTTGACAGGTTGTATGATCACGTTGTTGGTATCAGTTGTGAGGGGAACCTCTGGCGAAGAAGCCTTCCGTGGTTGAGACGTTTGCAAAGCTGGAACATTCATTAAAGCATTGGTGGTTGGGCTGAGATGGACGTCTGATTTGCTCAAGTCAAGATGAGGCATATTAATAGCCCCACGGTTCACTCCGTTTACCCCGGTCGACGATAGCTGCTGTGGAACGGAATGAACGTGAGGAGGTGAGGACTGCGAAGTAGGGATGTTGGTCGGCATACTCGATACGACAGGCGACGACCCTGCTGACAGAGGAGGCCTCATTCCACCGTCCACCGATACAGTTCGCATTCCTCCGCCGGAAACACCATTGCCATTGGGCATTGACACTGTGCGCCCTTGCGAATGGTTGGCTATAGGCGAGTGTAGACTTACGCCAGGAGGAATCTTCTTCAGCTGTAATTGGGTGGAGAGCGCAACGGGCACTGCACCGTTGACGACACCATTGCTCTGAGGAGCAACAACGGCTGATACAGCGACGTTGGAGGTGGGCTGTTGCATCAAATGAGGCGTCACTACCCCTGGTGGCATGCGTGGAGGTTCCCGTCTAACTTGGGGCACGCCAAGACGATACGGAACTACTGGGTGTTGACGTCCATCAGCATGAGTGACAATAATGGTGTTATCGGTCATCAGCGAGGTTAAGTCTGAGTCCGAGAAGAGCTTCATAGTCTCCAGTAGGTGCCTAGAAGTGCCATGAGTAGGAGACAAAAGATATGAAGAGAAAACATACCGAGGAGTATAATCATCAACGAGGATGCGGTCGTTTTCGTCGGCGCCACTGGGACCGGTGGGTGGGTAGTCGTCTTCATCGAACTTCCATCGACTTGCAAGTCGCCTTGTGAGCTCCGGATCGTCAACGCGTTCGCTGCCACTATCATCGAAGGCAAGGAAACGGCGTGGTGGTGGAGTGGAATCGTCCATTCCAGCCAGTGCTTCCTGCAGCAACCTGGGTCCTGGACCACGACTGCGGCGGTCAATCCAAGTCCGGCCTCCACGGCCATACCGACGTCGGATTGCGCGATGCTGGCGTTCGGCCAGGGGCACAGACTCCGAGGGCTGGATAAACTTGAAAGACCTAGATGCAAATGGCACAGGCAACTGCTGATAAGCATTGTCGAGTGAATCTTCCCAATGATGATCTCTGTCCTTCTGCTTCGAAACCTCGCGCTCGACATGGGCTTGTATTGTGGCAGCCCTGTGGCTAGGCCGTATAGCGGCCTCGGCGGGCATGGCTGGCGAAGCTGGATCGTGGCGCAGCTTGAGGCGCGGCGTCTCGAGCTTCGGCTTCTTGACCACACGTTCCTTGTCATAGAGTAGCTCTTCGTCTGCCTTGTCTCCAAGCATGGGGAACTTGCGTTTCAGATCAACAATTGTCATTCGCTTCTCCCAAACTGCTCTTGCATTGTGGAGAGTTTCCTTCTTCATCATCTCGCGAGTGAAAAGAGCTTTCGCCATTTCCAGTGGGTATGAGAGTTCGTTTTGCAGGCGCGCAAGCTTGTCGGAAGATGTAACTTGAGACGCTCTAGTTTTGCGTACAGCCTTGATCTCCCGACGGCGGAAGCAAACGTAGGACTCGTTAAGGGTATCAGTCTCGTCGCCCTATTAGATAAAACGTTTAGGGCTACTCAAACTTGAGGTAGGGAAACAAAATTACATGTAGAGCAGGGATAATTCGAAGGCCGCCGCGTTCCAATCGTCTCTCCTTCCAATGTGGATAGATCAAACGCGCAAGTCGTACGAGTACAGTAGGAGGTGGTATGCCCGTTGGCACGGCGAAAGTAGCAAAATATGACGGATGCATGGGCGACGCGAACGTTTCCTGATATTCCGTGAATGCCGGAAAAGCCATGCCGGTGTTCAGTGACTGAAATATCGCAAACACGTTAGTACAAGCTTATTGCGAACGTAGGCAGCAGACTGACAAGGTGAAGATGTTCGGTTTTCTCGTGAGTGACCTTCTCGAAGAGCCCCATGACAAGTTCGAAGATATCCTCTTCAATGACCAGAGGCTGAGAAGACTCAGGCTCTTTGCCTTTAGCCTTTGCACTACGCGCCGATACGCGAGTAGCACCGGATGCAGAAGCAGAAACTGCACCCTGCGTACTGGTACCCTCGCCTCTGGCTTCTTCATTATTCTTATCAAGCCATTCTTTGTCACGTTCATCCATGTAGTAGGTAAATCCATTCGACAGAGCGCCCCTGCAGCACTCTTCGACGGTGGCAGAAGTAGCGACGTAGGTAATCGGGTCCTTCCATCGGCCAGGCGGATATAGATCTTCGTATTTGTCGACAAGGCCAGTGGAGTCCGGCACCGGGATGTAGGCTACAGACTCAACTGGCTTGTCGCCAGCCCTTGTCCGTTGGGCGGCAAGCTGATTACGTTTAGACGCCGCAGAGAGAACGGCTTGCAAATGATGTTCCTAATTTGGGAGTGATTGGTCAGCATCCCATGGAATGACAGAGGCGGTGCCACATCAGCAAAATCGTGGATGGGGTGGGGGACGCAGAAAATGCGTAGAATTTCTGAGAAAATAGAGGAGAGCTCAACGAGCAGAGACTTACGTTCGTCTCCTCTGCATCTACGCCTGCTGTTTGAATCGAATTAGACCCGAAATTATCTTCATCGAGGAGAAGTGGGTCGGCATCGATTAGGCCTCGGTAGATTTTGAGGCGAGTCTTGTTCCCAATCCGGTTTCGATTCCTTGTTGAATTCGCCGGAACGAGGTTTCGGGGCATATCATGGAGGGGGGCGGGAGCGTGCTGAGGAGGCGGTTTGGCGGGGGTGGCGGATTGTCTTCGCTTTGTTGTTGCTGTCGGCACTCGGGCGTCGAACTGTGGGAAAAGTTAGTCACCGAAAAACCGAAGGAAACTTCAATCAATGGCCCGTTTAGGCAATCATTTGGTCCGCATTTGGCCCATACACAACCGTAAATAACATACGGCTGGGCCGTTGGCAGGCAGAAAGGTCTTTACAACAAAAGACTCAGAGATACAGAGGCTCTCTGGACCATTAAATCAGCTTGGTGTGAAGGGCACCCCGGCCTGTCGACGGGCTATAGTCTTGACGGCAACTCTTGCCTGCAGGTAAACAACGTTTCAGCATGCTCCGTGTTCAGCAAACAACCTACTGAGACAATGCCCTCAAATACATAATGAATACTCAGCGGGGTCCAAATGAAAGTGAAGGGTACGAAAGTGGTTAACTTGCACCCCTTCGATGACCATCTTCTGTGGGATCGTTGGGCTTCATGCCCACCAGAAGCTCAACCTCAGCCTGAAAGGGACGTCAACTTGTCAAGCAACAAACCGGGTAGAAACGAGAGCGACTTACCTGTGTCTTATCCCAGTCCAAGGGCTCGTCCTCTTCTTCCTCTGCCTGTTTTCCGCTGTCCTCGTTACCAGCTCCAAGACCCCATCCACCGATACTAACACGAGTTGACGGCCCATCGGGGTCGGGACTCCTGCAGTGAGAATTCAAAGGCTGTTACGTAGAATAATTGCCACAATAACTTACCTCAAGGCCTCTAGCAGTTCTTGCTCCCGTGGATCGGAAGTGAACCCGCCAAACCCATTTCTAGGGGTTTCGACGCCATCGTCCAGGAGATTATCGTCTTCCCCTCCGCTGCCGGCCATTATTGTCCCTGCCTTGCCTTTCTTCTTCTTCTGGGCGATGCGACCTCTTCTATCTCGAGGGATGGCGCCGGAGAGGAAGGTCGCTGGATTGGCGATGCCGCCATGTAAGTTCCGTGAGTTGGGCGACCGTAATCGATCAGCTAGCGAGCCTGGCGATCGAACAAGTCGTAACAAATCCATGACGGCGGACTCCCCTGGAGTGGGCTGGGGAGGAGGAGCCGATAATACAAAGGCGGAGGGCGGCTTGCGTCCTTGAGAAGCAAGGACGAGCAACCTATCATAGATCAACGAAGTGAGCAGATGGATTGTGAGACGACGTTACATTTGCTGCAACCGTGGTTGATGGTGGGCAGATGTCTCTTGTAAATCTTGCTTGTTGGAAAGCCGTTTGTATAAACGCTCGAAAATGGGTAGAATGACCCGATCCCGAAACGAACGCAAGGCAACAGCTCGCACGTCTATATGACTAGATGAGTGCATGGAGACATTTGACGATGTAGAGATGGAGCCTTTGGAAGGCTGTCGACCGGGTGAAGACGAACGATGTGCTTTGGGAGCTCTGTAAAGGGATGAGAGCAAGGCATCCGTCTGCAAGGGAAGGAGAACCTGATTCGGACATTCAATCTCGGACTGATAGAGTACGGCAGGGAGAAAACTCACCCCTTCGACGTAGGGGAGGACTTGGTCCCAGAAGAAATTCCATATCTCCACGACACGGCTAACGAGCTTTTCGTCGTCTATGCCAGATAGTTTTGCGTTGAGAGTCACCATGCCAGAGGATATCAGCTCCGCCGTATGATTTTCCAGTGTCGAGAGGGTTTTAGAGGGGGCTAAGGGGATGACTTTCTCAATGTGCTGCCTCACAAGCACGTTGAGATCTTCACTGTAGAGATCATAAGTGTAAATTGAGAACGGTGGGCTTTGAGTTAGGTACGTACATTGGGATCCGCAAGGCCTCTCCATTGAACAACGGCAGTACGTGGACATGCAGCGTTGCCCAAGGATCGGTAGAGGTGGAGGAGCTGAGGGATGCGGACGGTATACTGCCTGGAGTAGAAGCAAGAGTGGATGAAGACGATGGAGTCGGTGATAGAGACGAAGGCAAGCTAGGTACGTGGGAGAGATTGCCGAGACGATGCATCTCCTTCGAAACGACCTTCGAATCATAGGTGCGACCATACAAAGCCTAACACGCGAATTCATGAGAGTCAGGTAACACATTATGAACCGACGCACCTTTGAAGGGGACGTATGAGACTTGCCTGACGAGGCTAGATGCGTGGAAGAAGCCATTGGAGACGGGGAACCTGCCTGATCTCTGGCAGACAAGACTGAATCAGCCTTTGTGTGGCCGCTATGCGGGTGTAACAGCTGGCTATGACTGGACGCCGATTTCTGGATTGTAGAGTGCCCTGAGGACAAGGAGGATGAGATCTTCTCTGCAAGGTAGCCGAGACGCCTGGAAGAGGGCGCCGCCGACGTCGAAGGGACAGCGTCCGTCAACGGGTTTGACAGGATATTTACGTTTGGATCGTGCACGGTGCTCGCTGGAGATGATGGGAAGAGGCGGGGAGAAGGTGCGGGAGTCTGGCGTGGAGTCGCATCACTGGAAGAGCGCCTTCGAGGTTCCGCTGTGTTCTGATCCGGGGTGGGCGACCTTGCCACGGATATTTCTGGGCGGGACTGATCATGGGAACGACGAGGAAGGGGGTGACCGTACGTTGACGCCCATCCAGCAATCATGTCGCGAGTCAACAACTCTCCAGCATTCCGCCACATGCCCCTAGCACCGATCCCGTGTTGTGCTCTGTTGCTTTCAAACGCCAATGACCTCCGAGAACCAATGTATTACAGCTAGATATCTTCAATACTCCATTTTGGTCGCAATTCAATCTCATAGCTATCGTGATCCTGCCCAAGGAAGCGGTGCATAGATGCCCACGCAATCATGGCCGCGTTGTCTGTACAGAGCAATACAGGAGGGAAGAACGTCCTCAGTGACTGCCCTGAACAAAATATGTCCAGCCTTGATCGCAAGTACTGATTACTTGCAACACCGCCGCTGACGACAACTCCTCGAACGTCTACACTGCGGTTGGCGCACCACAACAAAGCCTGCGACAGTTTGTCTTCCAGCTGATCGACAGCTGACTTTTGGAACGCGTGAGCAAGGCCTCGGCGCGCGGATACGTCTAGGTTATTGACACCGCCTAATGAGTGCACATGTCTCTCGACAGTGGAATGCAGTGATGCATAGGAGAATGCCGGTTTCTTCCAAAACGGGCGTGGAAACGTTGGAGCTTTGGCGATCTCCTCGGGCAGCGCTAGCGACGCAAAGTGTTCGAGGCTAGCAGCGGGCCCATGGGTACCCCATTGCATTTCCAGAATTCGTCCAACTTTATCGAATGCCCGGCCAATGCTTTCGTCAGCTGTTGTCGCCAAAATGCGGAACTTTGTCAAGGATGTCGCCAGTAGAAGCAGGGTATGTCCCCCTGATACTAGGATAGTGAGGTATGGGAATTCAGGAGAATCACTTGGAGGTGAAGTCAGCAGTGGCGTGAGGGCGTGGGCTTGCTTCAAGTCTGTTAATTCGGAAAGTCATCCATACGCGATGGATGCTCACCATATGATGTACACCAACCATGGGCTTGTTCAGAGCAGCGGCAATGTTCTTTGCAGCATTCGACCCGACGCTCAGACAGCCACCGATGCCGGGGCCTCGTGTGTAGGCAATTCCGTCAACGTCGTTTACTGACAGACGCGCATCGGATAGGGCGGTTCGGATAGCACGAGGCATGTTACGTTGGTGGGCCTCAATGGCTACAGTCGGGTGTATCCCCCCGAATGTTTCATGTCTTTCAATTCCCGTGTTCCCGTGAGTAAGGACCGGCAATGATAAATGGTGACAGACCTACAGGTCGTGTTGCTTGATAACCACATTAGATAAAATATTGCGGAAGGAGTCGACCACAGCAGCGCATGTGTCATCAGCCGAAGACTCGAGCGCCAGCACAGTAAAAGCGCGTCGCCATCGCGGGGGACGACGGATGGTGGCACTGAGAGAGAGCATAAATTGGAGTCGTGGGAACACTGATCACGAACTGAAAATGTGATCGCGCCCTGCCTAAATAAGGAAATCAAGGCGGGACTCGATGATCGATCATCCGAATCCACTGCCCTGGCCGCGTTTTTCCATATCTGACTACTTCTCACCTTGCTTCAATCTGGAAAGTCTCTGTACTCCACGATACATGGAATTTCTGATTGATGAAGGCTCGTACTTCCCTATCACAAGCTCGCTGGGCTTGGAAGTGATTATCTAGGGTCGAAAACCAGCCTCTATGCGAGGACGAGTCTAGTTATTGTCCAGCTTGCGACGTATGAATACGAGGTCTAGATTCCCAATAACATTCACCGCATGCAACGACATCAAGATATATAGGAATAAACACCAAGCCCACTATCCCTAACTGTTGCAGATTTCAATAATCTGTTAAATCAATAATGTCGCCATCATACAGGGCACTGTCCTGCGAACTTGATGGCATTTGGTCGCCAATGGAGGGCCGCGGGAGGAGGAAATGTTTCGTAGGTTGACCAGACGGGAGGGAGGGCATATCATCATCGTCGCTGTCCCACATCCCTCTCAAAAACAAACCTGGACTCGGTTTGAACTTCGGCAACGGCACAGGTGCTGAAACGACACGATTGGCTGGACCCGCGGGCGGACGTATTGGGCGTAGGTGTGGACGTGGACGCGGACGGTTCTCTTGATTCGACTTCACTCTCTTCAATGTACTCCCTGGTTGACTTACAGATGGACTTATAGATGGACTTGGCCGCTTTCGGGCGCTTATGCCACCATCATTCACATCTCCTAGATCTCGTGACGAAGGATTCTGCGCAAGAAATACGTCGAGGGCGTCTGGCAATCTAGCGACCGGCCTGAATTCGGCCCGCGGCAGGGGCAATGGAGATGGATCAGCACGTAAATTGGGCGGAATGATTCCGTAGGATGGTTGACCTAGTGTAGATGCGCCGTTTCCCCGAGGCCATGACTGGGCGACGTTGTTGCTATGTGCCAGAGTTTGGGCGGCCACACTAGTAGACGGTTGAGAGAGCGACATATTCAAGGGGACCGGGGACCTAGGCACCCTCATCGCTGCCGCTTCAGGGAGGGGCTGTGAGAGCGAAAGAACAGGACTAGAAGATGGACCCGTCCTCCCTCCAGTGAGATCTCTCACCTGCATGACAGGTGCGCGAACTCGGGCTGATGGACGCCAGTTTGAAGTCGGCCTCGTCGACACAGGTTCCTGTGACATCGATGGAAACGACATCGATTGGGTCGTCGAAGTTTCACTTGGACCCTCGAATGGTTCTACCGACCTCTTGGTGTTCCGTGGCCGACATTGTCCAGCCCGCTTTATTGGGGCCTTCTTTTTGGATATCAACTGCTCAAAGATATCATCAAACCGACTTCGGGGCAGCTCCTCTTGATCGCTGAGGCCTTCCGAAATAATATCTGCATCATGCAACCTCCCGTAGTGTATCTTGGGTGGCTGAGTACTACTTGAATTATAGTCATTGCGTCTGTTGTATCGTATGGGACCCGGAGCAGAGACCGGGATGGAAGATGAAGCATGCTCTGATTGCCTCGAGGGTCTGACGGGGGAATTCGTGAGATCGATGATACTGTGGACTCTTTGTAGTGGCGCAGATGCAGACGGTGGCTGGTTGTCTTTGCGAGTGGTGATTTCGACAGGATTCACGTCAACGAACGTGATACCCTCAAATAGAAACTCCTTTGGCTGGGCCGTCGGGGGCGTCTGAGGTCGAGTGGGCACATCTACCAGTGTTATTCCTTCAAATTCAAAGGCAGAAGGTCCAGCCACAGGCTGAGTAGACGTTGACGCAACGGGAGATCGGCGTGGAGGTATTGCACGCCTTGGTGGGGAGCTCTTGATGCTGAGTGTATCCTCCATTTCCTCGTCAGGGGCCTCGGAAGCAACCCTCACTTGAGTAGCTTGTGGTGCACGTCGAGGTGCCCTAGTGGGACGATTCCTGAACTCCTCCTCAAGTCCAGGATATACTTCAGCAAGGACGACGCTTGGTACCCACAATTGCACTGCGCTGCGAGGAGGCGGAGGCAGCTTCCCAGTCGATCTTGCACCGACCTTAACGTTCCCGGTTTCGTCTAACTCCTCGCTATCGTTTGTTGGGGCGGCCCCACGAAATCCCTTAATTCCTAGATTAGCAAGATCAACGAATTGGGTTGGCGAAAATGCGACCAAGTATTCCAGCATCTCGTCTGTGGAAACATGCTGTCGTGTTCGAACGATCTTCAAGCCCAAAGGACACGTGTCGTCTACTGGTTGTACGGCTGGGCGTACCGTTCCTCTGTTGACGAAGGCATCTGCGATAGCGTTAGTCGGTTGAATGGAAACGGGTCCACCGAGGTATTTCTGCACCAAAGACGTCGGAGTCCCTACGGGCGGAGGCCGAACGCCGTTTCTAGTCGGCTTCTCGTCTCTGTCCAAAGTCGAGTGGCGCAGGAGATGCATCACTGCTGATGGCCATACCAGTGTCCTAAACCGTTTGATGATAACGTCTCGATATCCCCACTCCCCGAATTTCTCTTCACAAAACGCAGCTAGGGCGGCAATATTGAAAGACCTCGCATCCCTCACGCTCCCCCCTCCACGTCTCGCCTGTGTCGCGAACACTGCCGGCTCCACATAGTTTTTCAATGCATCCATGTCAGGAAACGTGTCGGGAAGACTCGTGGATGCACATATATGTGGTAGAAATCCCTTGGAGTTGGTGCGCAGCTCCTGCATCATCTCAGCTCGCCACTGGGGGAGGAATGGGCGAATATCTTGGTTATTGCGGTTTTGGTATGCGGTTAGCAATGAGTCTCCAAAGCCACATCGCGCAAGGCCATGTGCTATCACTTTCCCGATCTTGTCGACCCCCTGTCATATTGGATATTAGTACTTGGACAACGCCCGAGTAGAGGTGAATACAGTATGGTAGTCCCCGCCATTTAGAAGGGCGAATAAAATCAGTCCTCCTCGAGTCAGGCAGACGCCAGGGTGGCTCTGCATGGCATCGGCGGTATACACCCAGACATGATGCTTGCTAGGTTTCCCATTCTTGTCCAGGGCGGGCTTCGATTTGTTGCCTGATAGATTGATCCCGGTGCTGCAAAGAGCCCCAGTCAATCATGGCAAAATTGCATAGACCATGAATGATAGAAACTCACTTTTTTATCACAGTTTGGGCCCCGAAAAGAAATGCGTCTACGTCATCTGTCATGACTGCGTCTAAGGAAGCGTATCTGTTCAGTTGCGCTAGCTCTGCCTCTGCTTCACCCGCAGCCTACGGCGTGCCGTCAGTATGAAATTGGATTACGCCATGGGATGATAGCCTACTTCTCGCCATTCTACACCCATCAGAGACAGCATCGTCTTGAAATCTTTAGCGAGCGCGTGTGATCCTGACTTGCCCAGTTTACTGCCTCTCTGCAAGGAAGCGTTATTGGCGCTCGGAGAGAGGGAAGGTCCGGAACGTGTACCTTAGTTTTGGGCCTTGCACGCCCATCAAACATAAAAAGAGGAAGAATGGGCCAATGTAACAAACTCAGCACCCGGAAAAACAGCAGGCGAAGGCCCGGATTCTCTCCGCCCTGGCAGAATGACGCGTGGTGCAGCCAAATACTGGCATCGATTCCGATTCTGTAGCCACGCCTTATCACAGAGCAGATCAGAATGCGGTTCTAACATCTATACGATAACGAAAAGATCTCGCACCTATTCGACACGTTGTGCTGAAAGCCGTCTAACACAGCGAGCTTCCCAATGGCGGTAGATGTTCCCACAACGTGAATGATCTGTGAGATAATGAGAAGACATTCTCAGCTCCTGGACTACACTCACATCCCAGAGACCTGGCACCCCCATGAATGGAAGCTGTCGCGGTGTTTAGATGGGAGGGATGAAGGCGACCCTGAGCTACTGCAGAAAGTAACGCGATCACGTGCGTGTGACAAATCGCGTCGAGTGACCGTGCCAAATGACACCTGTGACTCTACGCCACTCAACAACAATGCCCGGTTTTGCTCCTCTGCTGGCTGGATCAAAGCGACAAGCTCCCTCAGGTCTGCAGGGACAGCCCGCTTCGAAGAGACCCGCGCTCGATGAACGCTGCTGGATGGTACAATGGTACACTGCTTTCCATGATTGTCGAGACATATTGTATTCACGCGACTCTGCACTGCAGGAGGAAGCCTCAGACGCGAAAACACAAGACGTGGGATGGCGACGCTGTCCTCGTTGTTAGTGGTACACGGGCAGTGCTCTACGACACCGACGGAAAAACGTGCGTGGCGTCTACAACGATTATAGATGACCCTTCTGATTGTCCGTATGGCTTGACAGGATTGGCAGCGGAAAGGTAGACGCTGATTTGTCCGAGGGAACACCATTGCAGCTAGCAGGCAAAGAATTAGAGATCGACTGCCCAATACCTCATTCAGAGTATCTGTCTGGTGCCTGCTTTGGGCGCAGCACTGCTCCTACGCCACAACCAGCCACGAAAATCCAGAAACCATTCAAGAAGCTCACGACATCTAACATGAGAGTGCCTCTCGTCAAGGACTCTAGTAATCCTCTGTCTGCGACGCCCGGCTCAGTAAAGGAAGAACAAGTGTCTCCCGGGGCAACCACCAGTGAGGATAGCGACGAAGTTTCAGAAAGTCACTGGGTAGCAAACTGGTAGGCTTCCTTCAACTCGTATACCACTGCTGGTTGCTCATTTTTGGAATCAGGCGGAAGCCAAAGGCCTCGTCCAACAAGCAGACTTGGGACGGCGATGCCTATATCTCTCAGCGTGGCAATCTCTTGACCATGATCTCGGAGGACGGGAAAATGTATGATAGTATCTTGCATCGCAAAGCATACTGTTGGTTAATATATGCGTTAGAATGGGGACCATGACATGGAAAGGATCACCACTTTACGCTGGTCTCTCCTTTCACTTTGGAGGCAAGGTAGTCCAGCTTGATGCTCAAGTAACAGCGTCACAGTTACCAATGACCACCGGAACGTCACATAATGAGAATCAACCACCCCCTCCTGAAATCCCCGCACTACCTCAGGATGAACCGAAAGCTGCGCCTTCACGATTCGTCGTTCCATCCGCGAACTTCTACGCCCCAAAGATGAAGAATGTTGTCCCTAAGTATGAGCGTTCCGCTTTACTCCGCGTTTACTAAATGATGATCCATTGTATAGGCATGACCCAGATGCCCCAGGTGCGTTACTTATGAAGGCGCCAACGAAAGAGCACAAATCCCTCTTCAACAAGAAGTACGTATATCCTACGCCTACTCTTTCTTTCTTTAATGTCATACCCCCAAGGAATTTACCTGTGATTCCCGTTGTTCTCGACCCTATACTTGTACGACATTTGCGTCCACATCAAATAGAAGGTCAGCATCGTGGACTCTCCGAATCACAAAGTTTGTTCATAGCTGGTCCGTTAGGTGTGCGGTTTTTATACGAGTGCGTCATGTCCATGCGAAAGCACGAGGGTCAAGGCTGTATTCTCGCAGATGAAATGTACAACCCTTCTTCCATTGCCTGAATATTGCTGACCCAACATTCGTGCATAGGGGACTGGGTAAAACCCTGCAGGTACTCTAACTCGTGTACACTCCTCTCCATTCACGCCACTCAAGTTGTTGTAGACCATCACCCTCGTCTGGACTCTTCTCAGTAAGACCTAGTTAATCCATCACTCAGTCCTGACCATGTTTGCCTTCAGAACAAAACCCCTACGGCAGCGGCCTTCCTGTTGTCAGCAATGTGCTCATTGTCTGCCCGGTGTCATTGATCAACGTATGTTTGTCCGTCCCCTCTACACCTTTTACCAACATTCGGTCCAGAATTGGAAGGCCGAATTCCATAAATGGTTAGGTCGCGACCGAGTTGGGGTTGTCGCTTGCGACAAGGCAGACAAGAAAGTCATCAAGACGTTCATCAACACGTTGAGTCGCCACGTCGTCCGTTGAATCATCTTTTGATGAAAGTTGTACAGGAAAACCCAACAGGTCCTCATCATCGGTTATGAAAGACTGCGAACAGTAATGTAAATGTTTTTAGCGCCTAGTTGGTATGACTTGGCCCTGACTGTTGTTCCACAGCGGCGAACTTGAGTCTTGCATGTGAGGTATTCAACAAGTTGTGGTAGAGTTTCGACTCATGGCGTGCAGCCCCCCTATTGGACTAGTCATTTGCGACGAAGGTGCTTCTACAATCTCACAACTTTGCTCCATGTCCTCAACGTCGCTGAACTAGGACATCGCCTCAAATCCGCAAAGAACAAGACGGTCGAGACGCTGAGAAGGGTGAAGACCCTCCGTCGCATCATCCTTTCTGGGACCCCCATCCAAAATGATTTAGGAGAGTTCCACGCCATGGTAAATGACGATCAGATTACAGCAGGAATCCTTGACCTATCCTTTCTTAGGCCGACTATTGCAATCCAGGTCTCCTTGGTATGAACCTGTCTGTTCTTCGGAATTGGTATTGATAACGGAACAGATGAATATCAGGCCTTCCGTCGCATTTACGAGGTTCCGATTCTTAAAAGCCGAGAACCTGATGCTACTTCTAAAGAAATAGAAATCGGCACTGCACGTTCGGAACAGGTACGTCACTCCTATCTACCCTCAACATACTCTCTCATCTTGTCTCAGTTATTAGCTGTTGCAAAGAGCTTTGTGTTACGGAGGGATGCCTCAATCTTAAATAATTATCTACCACCCAAGTGTATGCCTAATCCATTGCTACCCGGCTTTTATCTAATTCCCTATTTACCAGATGAATTCGTGGTGTTCGTGGCGCCCACGAAGCTCCAGACATCCATATTTCAGAAGATACTAAACCCTGATCGTGTCGACAGCCTTATGCAAGGGCCGACAGCGGAGTCCCTCGCCTTGATTAATATGCTCACTAAGATCAGCTCTAGCCCAATCTTGTTAAGGGCAACTGCTGATAAGGCTAAGATAGCCGGAACATCTGTTGCCAGTAAGAGCTTGGAGGGCGCCTTGCAACTCCTCCCACCCAATGCAGAAATAGAGGACCTTTCACTCAGTGGTAATCTATACATTTACTCCCATGGAAAGCGTCGCTGACTTGTGTGCAGGGAAGTTGTCTGCTCTGGCGCAACTTCTTGCAATCCTTCGACTTGTATGTACATTTTTCGTGTTAATCTCTCCTTGCTCACGGCTGCCAAAGCATACTGACGAGAAGATCGTTCTCGTTTCCCACTATACATCAACACTGAACATACTGGAAGCATTCTGCAAGAAGAAGCGATATTCGTATTACCGACTTGACGGGTACGTGACGAGGGCTTACCAGAAATGCCTGGCCTTTAATCCTTATCTTTACAGACAAACAGCTGCGACCAAGCGACAGGAATACGTCAACGCATTTAACAAGTCAGATGCGAAGAGCGCTTGTAACTAAATACTACTTGCAGTGATTGGGATCGGTGCTAACTTCAACGGTGCCAGTTGTATTTCTGCTCAGTTCGAAGGCTGGTATGTATTTCGCCATACTCTAGAACATTCGGGCTCATGATGCATCATTAGGTGGAGTAGGCATCAATCTCGTCGGTACGTGTCTTCGCTGGAGCCACGAGCTCCTTCTCACATATATCAAAGGCGCTTCTAGGCTGTGCCTCGTAGATTCAGATTGGAACCCAAGGTGAGTATGATTGACAGTTACTAGTTTCGCGCTGATGATGAACGAAAATAGTCACGATCTACAGTCCATGGCGCGAATTCATAGGTACCGTATTCACCATTATTATATATACATTATTTACGCTTTCTTTCAGGGACGGGCAGAAACGGCCAGTGTATATATATCGCTTCTTGACCACAGGTGCCATCGATGGTAGGTGCCTCATAGTCGATTTGCGCACCAATTAACATTTGGGCAGAGAAAATATACCAACGACAAGTCACGAAACTCGGGTTGAGCAATGGTAAGTAGGTGACTGAAATCTTGAACACCTCGCTGACGTCTCATCCAAGCTATGATGGGAAACGTAGGTCTTCCTCGATCAAGCATGGGTACAGAGCGCCGTAAAACTGATCATCTGTTAGGGAGCGGAAAATAGCAAATCGGACTCATTCTCGCGGAAGGATGTAAGTGCCGGGAAAAGTGAGGTAAGTTATCAACTGACCTTGCCACCTTTCAGCTACGAGATATCTTCAAGATCCATTTCAACACACCTTGTAACACACACGACCTGTTGCAATGCTACTGTGCTGGCTCCGGGCGTCGGTTATCAGAGCAAGATGTTTCTTTGTCGGACGAACTCATGTCAGATGACGAGGAGCCCTCTCCACACGAGGGTTTCGTCCAAGCTTCAGAAATCCGTATGCAACCAGTTGCCGACTATGACAAGAAGGTTAGCAGCAGAGCATTGTGGAACCATCTGAATTGATTTAAGTTTATTCTTGCAGCAACTAAAAGAGAAAGAGATGCAGCTCGCAGCATTGGGAGAATGGACTCATATCAACTGCCTCAGACCGACAGTCCAGGATGATGTCCAGGACGACATCCTCAGGCGAATCCTCAGGCAGAACAATTCAAGGCCGAATGACCACTCTCCCAAAGAACAGTCGCGATTCGATCGGCTTCTACACGACACTGACTTGGATAATATTGCAGCCGTAGATGAGGGAGTAATCAATGTCGATTTGCGCGAGCTCCCGGGTGGTACCATATCGTTCGTCTTCCAGAAGACTTCTCTACTTCCGCAGAGTTCGGAAGAACCAGAGTAGAATAAAGGCTGTAGACACGGGTGGTTCTTTATCATGCATAATAACAACTTCAGTCTGGGACAATTGATCGGTAGAAAGACGGCACCGCCGTGAGGTACAGAGAAAGAGTGGTGTGCCGGACACCATAAATACGGATACAACGTCCAGGAAATCTAATGGATCCAAACAATGTCCGAAAACCCCCCAACTGATTGCAGTCGGGTATTTGGGCTGAAGGATAATGGAACATCAATTCGGATCGAGTAGATCCCCTGGTGTGTTAGAGACTTCCGTAGACAACTGTTCCATCTATCGCGGTCGCGACAACTTTGGTATCCAGTAAGTCTCTGGCCGGGACAGTCATGATGTCTTGTGATAGCACAACATAGTCTGCTCTTTTGCCGGCGACAAGAGTTCCAAGTTCATGGTCCGAGAACGAAGCATACGCTGGATCAATGGTCAGACCTGTAAAAAAAGCGCCAAATTGATATGAACGATCATCAAAACCAAGACTGCAATCTGTACCTCGAAGTGCTTCCACCCGAGAAAGACGTTGGTCTGGGAACCTATAATCATAGATAGCATTGATATGAAAAAGCTCGCCCATCTCCGAGAAGTGGTGTTTGCATACCAGCCTGCGGGTCCATGCGGAGATTCGCCACTCAGGGACGTACGAGTAATAGCAGCATAGAAACTGCCCATCGGATTCATATCTTCAACTGGGAAATCAGATCCCAATGTCAATCTCGCGCCACTTTCGATAATGTCTCGGAAGGCATAAAGGCCCTTCACCCTTTCAGCGCCCTAATACCGAAAGTTAGACAACTATATCTCAAAGCTTGACTGCGAGTTATGTCACCAGTTTGCTTTCAGCATACCACATGTCGCTAATGCTGTGTTGAAACACATAAATATGAGGCCAAATTCCAATGGGCGGCAACAATGGTGGAACTCACACATGGGTTGGCTGTACGCTGGCAATAACTTTCAAGCGGGGTATGAGTTTGCATTTGGTGTGTGCGGTGAACACATACCACCCAGCTTCCCGAGGCGCCGCATATCGGCCTTTGTCATTAACTGAGCATGTTCAAGCCGAGGTCTTAATGCAGTGACATTTACGCCCTCCAACGCCGCCTCGAATGAATCCAACACAAGGCCATTCGCACGATCGCCAATTGCATGAACGTTCTACACCAAAAATATATCAATGCGATGCGTGTTGATGTACCATCACTCACAACTTGCCATCCATCTCTTAGAAATCGACCGATGACCGTGGAGAGTGTGTCAGCCGATAACCGCATAAAGCCATTTGTCGAGGAATCATCTGTGTACGGCTCGTACAGCTTTACAGAAGTAAATCAGTCTTTATCTCTTCTCATCAGACTCACGAGACTTACAGCAGCTCCGCCCGTTCTCAGAGCACCTATGTCAACACTAAGAAGTTAATTCTGATTGAGTCAGGATAGATTACAACGTACCATCTGCAAAGATCTTCACACTGCGCGCAGTGAGTCGTCCGCGGCCCACAGAAGCATCGGGGGTCGAAGTGTTACCCCAATATGCCTCGTTTTCGTTGAAGTAGGTCATGCCGTAGACACGAATCTACAATGAATGAGAATGGACCAAAGGGCACTGCTTTCTACTAACAGGGAGATCACCTAACCCCGCTTGGCTGTGAAAGCTAAATTAAGCACAAGGCAGTTGGTCCGTTGCTATCCGAACGTACCGTTTGAAGAATTTCAACGATGTGGGATCCAAACCAGCATCGTGGATAGAGGTGAGCCCAAACCGATGGGCATCTTTCACGGCGGTCCCGAAACGCTTCAATAAATCTGCTTCGGTAACTGGGGGCTGCTTCACAAGTTCCTGCGCATTGTCCAGGAAAACACCTGAAGAAGGTAGGAATTTTCGTTGAATGTCATCATGACGCAGAGGTAAATACCTGTCGGCTGGCCCAACTTGTCGCGCACGATGACACCGCCTTCCAGGGTATCAGGGAAAGGAAGACTGGCTTCCACAGCCTTGGGTGATAGCCAAAGTGCATGGCAGTCCTTACTTTGTAAGACAATAGGTCTCCCATTAAGGATAGAATCCGTTTCCAGATCCTCCTAGAAGAATAGAACATAAGCGAACGTCCCGTCAGCGAGACACCCAGACGTACGGCAGAAGGCCATCCACCTCGGGGCCAAAAGGTGTGATCCCAACCACCACCTAAGATGTACTTGGTAGTGTCTATGTATACGTCTTGATTAGCAAGGACATATTCTCGAACCCGTGCAACGGCGTCTACGCAAATCATTAAACAGGGGATATACTGAATGTGTAAATGACAACTACCTTGGACAGAAGCAGCGCCATCGAGAAGAAGCTCTCGACTGGCACCGTATTCAAGAATGTGTCCATGGGAGTCTGTTAGTACAAAGTGAGCAATAGCACCCGAACGATGCCGCGCCCAGTGCTAACCACTGAGCCCGGGAACAATGATTGTCCCGGGTTTGGTGTATCGAACAACCAAGTTGCTCTTGCTGCTGTGACGACGCTGAATCTCGGCTGGCAAGGGTCGTGTGCCGTTGTGAACATCGTTGCTTTGCATTTCACCAGAAAACACTCACACAGATTCCCCGTAGCTACGATGAAGGCACCTTGAACCACCAAGCATTGGACATTCGGACGATGTTCATCCACTGTGTAAATCTTCGGGCCATCGGGAGTACACAAAGCATAGGGTTCAGCGAGTTCGGATGCAGGTACCGTGCTCCGGGTAGGAGCAGAGGCGAACCAAGACAGGCCGGCCAAACAAGCCACCGCCACTAGAATCTTTGCGTTGCGAGAACTTTCGACGAAGACGGGCTCCACAGAGACGACAACCTTCTCCGCCTTTTCTGTAGTGGTACGGACCCCAATAGGGGCCTGCGTGCACCCAGATCGGCGTTGGCGAGAAAGAGACATGCTGGGCAAATGATGAATCAACAACAAGTCCATACATCGAGGGAAACCCCATATGTGCGTACTTTCTTCGGGATGCGGTTTGTATGGGATAGCAATTGAGGGCAATGCTGCTTTCCACTCGGCGCAAGGTACGGCCTTTTTAAAGCCCCCCACTTGAGGCTGTGAAGAGGGAAAAGTCCCATAGGCCCAAGATGTGGAAAAGAGATGTGCTTCTAGGCTAAATTGATTGTTTTTTTTATTCAATCAGCAGTTTTTGCCAACGTATTGACGCGAGTGGGCGCAGCGGAGTACTAGTATATCGCGTGCAAACGCCCGTTTGGCGCCCGGTTCAGTGATCCAAGCTTTAGCGGCTTAGCGCCCGCTGGTGGCGTTTGTTCGAGTTAAACGCCGAAGTGACACGCTCGCGACACGTCGCTGCTGCCCTTGAGCCTGAACAGTCACCGTCAACACCGTCAGGCAACAATGCCAATTCCCGAATTTCTGCGGGAGAGGACCCAAGCCGCTGTGGGCTCACTTAATGCCCACAGAATCCTGCTTTATGGCGCTGTTTCAACCATAGCTGTCACCGCCGCAATCGTTAATGCTTTACGGAATTACAGTAATTTCTACTCCGTAGCAATTTACCTTTCCAAGAGCAGTCGCAGTGTGCTGGTGAGCGCGCATTCCATTCATCCCCTCGTCGTAATATTGATTCACTCAGGTTCTGGCAAATTTCGGCCTGCTTATAGCATTGTTATGTGGTCACTTGGTGCAGCAGATCTTCTTCGGGACACTGAGAGCCCCAGAAGTCGAGGTGCGGGTAGTTTCAATACATGCCATGCCTCCTTCTGACACAATTCATAGCGTCTGTACGATAGACTGTGGTTCTTCATAACTGAATCGCTGTTAGCGTTCACCATCTTCCGCGACGAGTTTGACATTCCTTTTGCCCTCATGTTTGGCTTCTTGCTCTTCGTCAAATCATTCCATTGGCTTTCCGCAGACCGCATTGAATGGGTGTGTGACGCTTCTGTAACTTTGGTTCTCGTGCATGTATTGACAGCGCCCCGCAGATGGAACAACGCCCTTATCCTGGGCCCCCAATCTCATTCCATGTCAGAATGGCCGCCCTTTTCATCATTCTGTCAACCATCGATTTTCTCATGTTTATAATTGCTGTTGAGAACACCGTCGTATACGGTGTGGGTGGAATGGTTCTATTTGCCAGCGAGGTAAGCTGTTCATGAGAATTATAATGTCAACTACAGCGCTCACTACATCTCCGATCATCAGTATGCCATCCTCATGGCTAGTGTTAGTAACACCATCGCGAAATATGCACTATCGACTTACGAACTTCATCGTGCGGGACGCCGTGGAGGGGAAAATGCACCTCCTTGGGATAATAAAAGCATGTTTGTTTTCTATATCGAACTGGTCACAGGTAAGAGAACGAGCTACTGTTTTCTCCCGTGATCATTCTAAAGCGCCTGCCAGACTTCCTCAAACTCAGCACATATCTCGTGTTCTTCACAATCATCATCACATTCTACGGCCTTCCACTTAATATCGTCCGCGATGTCTACATTACGGCTAGGTCATTTATCACTCGCTTACGCGCTTTACGTCGATATCAGACGGCGACTAGAAATATGGATCAACGTTATCCAGATGCAACCGCCGAGGAAATGTCGCAGATGAACGACAGGACATGTATTATTTGCCGCGAGGAAATGATCCCGCGCGTGAACCCTACAGAAGATGCAGCCCAGGCTCCTGCCCAAGCAGACGGACCAAATACCACTCCCAAGAAGTTGCCTTGTGGTCACATCTTCCATTTCCACTGCCTTCGTTCTTGGCTTGAGCGCCAGCAAAGTTGTCCGACTTGGTGAGAAGGATTTCCTCAAATGTGTTTAGATTCTAGCTAAACTACTACCCTTATCTTAGTCGCCGCACGGTTTTAGATCCCAACCCCCCGGGCCCACAACCGCCCACAGGCGGAGTTCCTGTCCCCCAGCCTCCACCGCAGGCAGGAGTTCCTGTCAACCCTCATGACCAGGGCGGTCAGAACCCTCACGGTATGAACAACCCTCTGGGTTTTATGGGGCGATTATTCGGGCCGGGCCCTGCGCAAGCAGGTCAAGGTGGACCCGCTGAACAGAATTTACCGGTACTACAAGGCGATCGTCCTCAAGACGTTATCATCCAGTACCATATTCAATATCGACCGCACGCCCCAGCCGATGCGCCAGCTGCAGTACCGGAACCTGCGCAAGAACCAATGCCCATACCGCGTCTCGTTGAATTCCAAGGTCCGGGCAATGTCTTCCATCCCTGGGAGATGGATAATCGATGGTTTGATGAGCGTGCGCCTCAAGACCCTCCCACGTCCGTGCCACCGCCGAGCGCCACTACTCCAGCAACCCCCGAAGCTTCCTCGTCTTCTAGCGCCACGCCTTCAACGGTTCCTGAGTCCGCAGCAACCGCGAGTGTTGAACAACCTATGGACCCTCGGCGCGCTGCCGCAGAAAGCGCCCTGCGTCGACAGATGAGCGCCAATCAGAAAGCTAACTTGCAGCCTAGTTCAGCGTCTTCCCCCACAGATGCTGCCCCAGCGGTTGCAGCGCCTTCAACAGATCTCGTGGTTGAACCAGCTGTACCAGAAAATGACTTTTCGATACCCTCGTTGATCCCTATCTATGGCGTTACACCGGAAGAACTAGCACAATCGAAGACCCCGCTACAGTCGAGAGATACCGGGCACCTCCAGACGTCGTTCTTGTCAGAAAGCGGCCTCAGTGTGTCTGAATCTCGCGCGGGGCCATCGGTACTTCCTCCGGCCCTTAGCAACTCCCAACTAGCAGCTCTGGACACGTTGACACGGGAGGCTATCGATGAACGACTACGCATACTGGAAGGTGTTTCGAATACCGTTTATAGGTGCATCGACGATTTGATGAGGATGAGGAGCGCTCTGCCAGTCGTATCTGCCCCGCAAACGGAATCAACATCTGAGGAGGCAAGCCTGCAAAGATCCGGTTCGATGTTACCGCCTGAGGCCAAATCTGGCTCGGCCAGTGGCGAGAGCCCCGTCCCTACACCTACGACCACTGTAATATAACTCAATGTCCCCCGTTGTCATCTAATAAACAGGCTACGGCCAATATGTGTTAAATTCAAGCATGAATGGTAGCTAATGTAAGAGCGCGTTTGCTCTAGCTTTGACCATATTGGGATCAACACACGACTTATCAACCTGGGCGTAAAACGCCTTGAACAGCTGACCCGAGTGAAGTTTCGTGTTTTGTCCTTGCGAAGTGATGATGTCAGTTAGCACACGATCAATGTCGCTTTCGGAAAGTAGGGGAGGCAAAAATGCATTCAATACTTCGGCCTCTTGGTTTTCCTTCGCAGCAAGGTCCTCACGAGAGGCTTTGATAAATTGCGCAGCAGATTCAGTCTTCAAATAGATTGGGGCAGAGGAAACGTAAGTAAGCTTCATGGAAATGCAGATCGGGAAGACTCACACGACGGTGGTGAGCCTTTCGTAGAATCGAGATGATAGTCGAAGAGGGAATTTTGGATCCCCCAGTCGTCTTATCCGCGGCATATACCTCTGATAGCACAGACTGTGCACCGCATGTGTATATCAGTATACACCACTCTTCGCACATGTCTGTTCATGGAAAGTGCACTCACGCGAAGTGTAGTTGAAGTAAGCGTGTCTTTGGCCTAATTAAGGTGAGATTAGCTGAGTATCGCGTGAGAGGGAGATTCAGAACACACTTTCATGGCATGCTTCACTTGGTCCAGCAAACGCTGCCGTACGTCTAAATAAAAAGCTGTTAACAACGCTGTTCCGACCCGTGAGCGGCATATTTCGGACCTGGCTCACTGGTGGTGGATTGCGAACTGTTGGCTCGAGACAAGCGTAATGGAAGCAGCGAGGAACGCACAGAGGCAAATTTCGTGAAAGCTTTGGTCGTGAACATGCTGGTGCGCGGTCCTCAGAAGTTTCGCGGTGTCGAAAGTTTCAACCAAGAAGGAAAGCTGAAATGAAGCTTTCATACACGTGACACGTGTCGCGTGACAGGGGCTTCTGAAGTCCAACTTTCACTGCTTCACCCCAACCTTGAGGACTCGCACAAGTTGACGCCTGCCACGCTTTGTGAGGATGTCGGGTATTAACGATATGCGGTGTCCATTCCCACCAAATGGAAAGTACCTGGATGCCATACGATCTTCATCAAAAGCACTACGTCTGATATCCAATGTGAAAGTAGGGTTCACTTTGCATTCACTCGCAGCACGCGACTAATGTATTGGTTATCTTCATAGATTGAATCAGAGCCTATACAGCGTCTAATAACGTCCCCAGCATTCACATCGTCGTTTAAACGCGTGTCTGCTGTACATGGCCTGGCCTTGCCATTGAACTTTCCTTCCACAGCATCCGAGCTTAACCTCATCTCCATCCTCTCCCTGCTAAACTTCGGTTCTGGATTCCGAGTCCCCCTTCACCAGGCAACAGGTCGCGGCGCATGGGATAACATCCGTGCTCTCGTATTCTCCATGTATCTCATGTCATCTACCGACGATGAAGGCGATCTACTCTCTGCGCGCGGTTTGAAGGCCGTCGGAACACAGAAAGTGGCGGAACTGATGCGGGTGAGCGTTCATGTCGAGAAACCCCACGAGTCTATTCCGGGAGTGACAGTGGGCACCCTCGGTGGACCGATGTACGATCTAGTGCAACTGATCACCAACACGTTGAACGAAACTGGACGGGTTCTTGTCGACACTGGCTACCCAGATTTGGGAAGTTTTGTTATCGAGGCATTGAAGGAAGGTGCTAAAGCCGGGGCGACCCCGGATGCCGAAGTCGATACGATCCTCGACAGAGTAAGCACTCATAGTCAACTCATAGCTGATCATCAATTCTTCCTAACATTCCATACAATACAGTTAGTTCGCGCTATACCTGGCTTCCGAGACATGGGTATAGTAGACAGCCAACGTGCGTCGAAATCAATCACCTTCAGACATGCGGGATATCTCATCTTGAATCCTCAGCAATCTACTGTTTCAAGAAGGCACTCTTTTTGATCCATGCCATCAAGGTACGATTTGGAACGCAATCATCCGCACCGTTCCCAATACCATCGACGGCGCACCTGCCTGTCTTCACGGACAACGTCCTGCCGTCAATGCTGATTCACCTTGGTGTGATCGACCTCTCAGAGTCAGCACTCTCCTCCATATTTCCCAACGTCGCCGAGAACCTCCCCAGTCTATTAGAAGAAGCGCCCTCAGACAAAAACCCACCTTCCCCCTCAGAGGGCCCAATACTAAGCGTGGAGCAAGCCTATGTGTTGCGCGCATCCGCTATTGATGCTTGCGAGATGATCATTGCCGAAGCTCGTGCGTCGGTGCCATCAAAGGAAGGGGTTGAATGGATCAAGGACATCACATTGCCAGAGTTGGATATGTGGATCTGGGGGGTTGCAAAGGACCGATCTGACTACCGACAACTCGAGCGATTTGTTCTTCGCGAGACAATCTTTTTCTAGGGGACATCAACAGGCACCAGTGATAGCGAATAATCCGCTTAGCGTAGTTAGGACCAAACTAGACAATGGCCTATGAAAGGGCAAAGGCTGAATCGGAGGTCGTGAAGGTGGCAGATGGCGCCCGGCAGTCGTAGGATTAACTAAGATGATGGTTGGCTGATGTGCGGCATCCAATTGCGAGGTTCAGAGTCGTTGATTCGCCGTCGTTCTGATAAAAATTCGGGATAACACACAGTCGTCTGGGTGATGGGATTCAGGCCTGTCTCAAGGCGACACCACGATGCAGCGAATACGTGGATGAGTTTTGATTTTTCTGTTATTTAAGGGGTTGGCCTGGTCATTGGACGAGTGCCTCACCAATCGTAGAATTTCCTTTCCTTCACCACCACCACCACCGCTACACTTCCATGCTGGCCATGCAGCCAATAACCTCGCCCGATGTTGAGGCCTTCTCGACGCCGCCCACAACGCCGGGCCCTAATACGGAGCACCACCACCATCACACTTTGTCACGGCGCAGCAGTAGGCCCTCGAACTTGAACATCCAGGCCCGCAACGCCTGGGATTCAGACGTGGTTCTGGTCGAGCATTCCCCAGATGTTACGAAGAAGCCGAACGGTCTCACACAGGACGCGAAATCCCCCGGCATGGTACATAACCAGACAGTCACCCCGGGTACTCTTGCAGCTCACATGCCGCCTAATTCGCCTTATCATCCTTCCCAGAACCAGAAGCCGATCGCTTCCCCTTGTTTCATTCACTCATTTCTCGACAAGGGTGGATCGCTGACTGATTGGCTTCGTCATCAGCAACAGCGACCAGACGCAGATGTGGGTGTAGCCAACGGTCTACAGAAGAACGGCCCCATTCCTCATCCGAAGCCCAACATGCAGCTCAAGGACTTATCCCCCGTATCCAGCAGCAGCCCCACTGCTTTCAGCCATGAAGACGAAGAGGCACTTGCTAGTAGCAGTCTAACAAGGCAGCTGGCGGAGACAGCGGTGGGCGTGCGGGAGATGAGTAAGCAGCTAGGTGAACATCTCAGACATCCTCCCCACATCGAGTTGCGAAACTAACGTATCTGCTCCCCATTAGGCCGAGCGCGAGTCCGCTCAAACATACAGAATGTCCTTGTCATCACCAAGGCCAGAGATAACCGACTTATCAAGCTGACACGCGAATTGGCGTTGTACCTGATGATGAAGAAGCGACCCGGCCAGGCTCGTGGGCTTACTGTGTACGTGTTTTGCGTATCCTGAAAGTGCAACTTCCCTTACTAACGGCCGAATAGTTATGTTGATCACCAACTGCGTCACTCGAGACGATTCGATGCCGAAGGGATCCAGCGAGACCACCCGGAGCTATTTGCTCCCTTCCCCCACCGCCGTACCTCCAGCAGTTCGTCTGCTTCATCCTCTTCTTCACTTTCGACCGGACACTCATCTGACGACCAAATGAATGCAACCGGTCAACTAAGATACTGGACGAGTGATATGTGCAGCTCGAGTCCCCATCTCTTTGACTTCGTCGTGACGGTGAGCCTCTTGTTTGTTCATACTATGCTTATCCTCATCACCTGTATCAGCTCGGCGGCGACGGCACCGTCCTCTTCACGTCCTGGCTCTTCCAGCGCATCGTTCCCCCAGTTCTGCCTTTCGCGCTTGGTTCTTTGGGCTTCCTAACCAACTTTGACTTTGCCGACTACCAAGCGGTGATGGATTCCGCTATTGACTCTGGTATCCGCGTCAATCTTCGAATGCGTTTCACTTGTACTGTCTATCGCGCGGTCGCACACGGCGAGAGCAAACGGAGAAAGGCGGTCAAAAAAGGTGAAACTGGGGAAATCATGATGAAGAACATCGAGAAAGGTGGATGGGAAGCGCTCGAAGGTGGTTGGTCGGGGAACTATGGAACGACAGATGGGAAGTCAAAGGACAAGGAGATTATGTGCTTCACGACACGACCCGCGGAAAGCTTTGAGGTTCTCAATGATCTTGTGGTGGATCGTGGCCCTAGTCCGTATGTCAGTCTCTTGGAATTGTTCGGTATATCATCTCCCTTGTCTGCCCTACTGCTTGTCTTGACATACTGTTCCAGGCGACGAGCATCACATGACCACCGTTCAAGCAGACGGTCTCACCGTGTCCACACCAACGGGCTCCACGGCTTATTCTGTGCGTAGAGCGCCCTGTAGCTTATTCCTCGGTTACTGATTGTTTCCCTAGCTTTCCGCCGGCGGGTCTCTCGTTCACCCTGAAATCCCAGCCCTCTTGATCACTCCAATATGCCCACACACCCTCTCCTTCCGGCCGATGTTATTGCCTGACAGCATGGAACTGCGTATATGTGTACCGTTCAACTCTCGCAGTACCGCCTGGGCATCCTTTGATGGTCGAGGTCGCGTTGAGCTTAAACGTGAGTATATTATCCCACACGTCGTACGCGCGTTGTCTAATACCCATCCCAGAGGGCGACCATATCAAAGTCACGGCTTCAAAATACCCCTTCCCGACTGTCTGTGCAGACAAGCAATCGACCGACTGGTTCCACTCAATTTCCCGCACCCTTAAGTGGAACGAACGCGAACGGCAGAAGTCCTTTGTCGTCGTCGAGGAAGGCCCCGCCAAGCCGGCCACCCGCAGGCGGTCTAACACCACAACTCCAGAGATGGTTAAATCCATCCCAAACTCCCCAGAAGACGAGGAGATTGACGATGAGGAAGATGAAGTTTCTGAGGAGGAGGAAGAGGAGGATAAATTCGACATTGATGATTCTTCGCCCGAGGCTGCAGCGGCAAAGCAAAACTCTCAACAGACAAGCCCAGCCCATTCGTCAGATAGCAACACGTCATCTTCATTTGACGCGACGGCCCCATCCAAAGCGAACGAGTCTCTTCGGCCAGATCGGTTGCTGACCACTGCAGTCAAGCAAGGTCTAAGGCGACACTCGAAGTCTCGTTCTCGCTCGCGCTCCCGTGTGCGCTCTGGAGTCTCCACGCCAGGACGATACGCAGGCCCGCAAGCACATCCTCCCCGATCCTCTCCTCGACATGTCGATTTCACGGCGGGCCAATCGTCTCCCGAAGGGAGCGAATTCACCTACCACGATGGTGATGGCCAACGAGGAACAAGGGATGACTTGCGCGCCACGAAACGACCAAGTGGAAAGAATCGTATACCCGATAGAGACGTTGACGCGGATATGGCCAAAACACCTACTGTCAGTGCTCATCTAGAGCACGGACGATCACGGACGCACGGCCGGTCTATCTCTGCAGAATACCACGCCCCAAGGGCGTTTGCGGTTTGGGGCCACGATGAAAGCGATAGCAACACGAGCGACAGCGATAGATGATAGATGTCAATTTGTATAAGAAAGAAAGAAAACGTCTTTACTTTATTTTCCTCGTAGTGCATATTTCGGATCATCAACCCTGGATTAATTAGTTCGTAGACTTCTATACTGTATTCGTGACTTGGAAAATATTACAAACAATCAAATCTCATTGTCCATCAAGCCACCTTGAAGACTTTGAAGTTGTGAAGTTGTAAATCACTTTGCACTTCACGCCCATGTGACCTAATGCTATTGGGCGCCTGCCACATTGTAGCGCGTGCGCCGTGAACTTGACCTTGACTTCGACCCGCGACGAGTAGTATGGTGGATGTTGAATCTCAGCTGAGTATCTCGCGGATTCATCGTCTTCTGCGACCACTACGATGTACTCTTGCCTCGAACACGCCTCAAACTCTCCAGAGTAATCTGCAACGAACGTATTCATCGAAACCCACGAAGTTCGTAACCAATATCACCCTTACGCCTTTGGAACGTATACCGCCTCCCGGGAGAGCTGCATTACTTGGTGGCGAGCAGCGGAACCTACTGATTGAACTGTCGCGGAAGATCTACGCTCTTCGAGACTGCTTCAGGAATGTAGTGGCAGGTGTGTTGGGCAAGGACCACGACGCGTCAGCTCAAGTGCCCAGCTTGGCTTCATTGTGCGCTACGGTCATGGGCGAGACTCTAAATCAACACATGCAAGAACTAGAGCGTGAAATCCGGGAGGAGAAGGAATCTGTGGACGACGCCGAGCTCCTCGAAGCCGTAGAATCTTTATTCGAAGCCATACCCGCCCATCAGCGAAAGTGAGCGAATCGGTAGTTTGTTTGGGTCTTGACGATTATTGAGCATACTTAGATGGTCACTTGTTGCACACGCGTTGGACGAAATAATACAGGCGGGACCAACACATCCGACGCTGGTCCACGAATTATTGCAGACATGTCTGTCGTACCGGCTTCAGCGCGAGTCTTCAACGCTGCTTCGAATGTTGCTGAAACTGGCCTGCTCGCCAATATCGGACTCTGATGGCACTGCACGGCTCTCACATCCTGCGCATGTGATGTACTTGACAGAACTCCTGGCTTCGTGGACAGGCGCCGGATTCACAGCATCTCATTTCGTCAACATTTTCACCGAGGTCTTGTCCGATCCATGCTATGCAAATGCTTGGCCGTCCAGAGCTACAACTAGACTAGCAAGTTCCCTGCGACTGCAACCCCACACCTTTCCGTTATTCCTTCGCCTCATCCATGGATTAATGGTCTGCATCCGCAACTGCAACTTCAATCATGACATGGGATGGATTCTGCCTTCCCAAAGCAACGGCAATATGATGAGCTTACTTTCAACATGGGCAACTACCTTGGTCGACTGTATTCTCAAGTCCGAACCGCTACCTCAAGCTTCCCAACTATATGTTAGCGAACTCCTCCAAATGAATGATACCATAGGTGTGCCTGTCGGATCTTCGACTAGTCCAATTGCAACGCTTGCTACCGTTGCTCTCGCGTTGAAGGATTGTGCCTGTGTGGCCAAGTCGCTCCTGGAGGGTGTCATACCAACGACCTCAACATACGACGCGCTTCTCGTCAACCTGTTCAGCCCCATCGCTGGGCCAAACTATACTACCATAGACTTACATGCGTTCATCTCATCTGTAGAGCACTATGCCTCTGCACTCACATCCGCCAACTTGCCTCAACTCGAAGCATCCCTCTGGGCTTGTGCCCACAGTTACTTCGACCGCATTCGCCCCGCCCGTGACGCAGAGGTTGAACGCGAAGCCAAGTCAATCAAGACAAAATTAGTGTCCAACGTAGAGCGATCGGAACTGCGATGCTTCACTAAAAGCCCTTACAACCCACGCCATAGTACTTCATTCGAATCGCCTAACGGCCGTGTTTGGAAGTGGGAATCTTCGTTCGAGTCCTGGGTTCGTCGGGGTACGCCCATAGTAGCACCAACGAAGAAGCGAAAGGTTGAAGAGGAAACACCCACTAAGCCAGTAACTCGCAAATTCTCGGAGCTCGGCCAACATAACGTCCTCTCATCGTCTTCTCTACCCTGGGAACAACCGCTCAAAACCTGTAACGCAAGACGCAAATCTTCGGCGGAACTGGTACCCAAATTTAGGTCACTTCTGTCAACTGCTCTATCCAACCGCACAGTTCTTCACGACAAGGAGAACATAGTCTGTCGCCCTGCAAAGCCCACATCAAAGCCGACTTTTGCCGTCCCCGCCGTTCGGGTTCCTGTAGCAGGATCACCACTATCGTCACCGGTACATGCCCCATCATCTGAAGACGCTCTCAATCTATTCTCCTATAGTTAGCTTGCTAGTTCCTCGATTTATCTTTCTTTATTTCTTTATATCATGCCAATGTATAATACGTCAACATCACATTTGCAGCTTTATCAAACTCTATCAAACATGTATTAGTATATACATTGGCACTGCAGATCACCATTACTTTGTCATAAGAAAAACCAACTGACATAAATGTGCCCTATTACTCCTATATTTGTCCCCTGATATTCCTTTTCTTTGCCTTCATGTAAAGTTGCAGTGAAATTATTTATCCAACAAATGGAACATCTTCTGGAATGTAAACAATATGTCTGTGGTCAAAGTAGACATACAAATCACCATTTTGTCAATCTCTTTAGATTTAAGCAAAGAAATGCTTTCTCAATTGGTTCTTCCAAAGTCAAACTTTTCTATTGTTTCAACAAAGAAATTGCTTTGTCCAGAGATAAAACATGGCCTATAGGAAAGGTTTACCACCAGATAAAGCAATGGTCAAATGTTATCTTTGGTGTTCACTTTATCTTTGCTTTCATTGTTCATTTGTCACAGGAAAAATATGCTGTTAAATAATTTAGTTATCCAACACTTTGTTAACAGTCCAATAATAAATATATTCATAGATGAATCAATTGGAAAATTGTACATTTGAATTAATTACTTTATCTACGGAAATACTGATGGCTTCCCGCAGTGTGGACGGTCATACATTGCACTACAGCGGGCTCGAGGTTCTCCCTACATGACCCTGCTTATACAGGGCACTCATAAACTTGACAAAGTACTGAAGCTCGAGTACTGACTTATCAGAATAGAAACCTCGCGTGAAAGCCCGTCAACACAACTCAAATGGCATGAATCTAGAACAAGGTCGATGAGAGAACACACAAAGTATTTTAATTCCATAACTTTATAGAAGACTGCATATCGGTACAGTACTGACGATAAATAAAAGGAAGCTGATTCGACGTAGGGGGAGTTATTTAGGAAGGAGGGCTGGAATGCTGATGCATCAGTTTCATACAAAATTGCTTGGATTCAGGTACTCACACGGGCGGGACGGCAGTGACTGGACCTGCAGAAGAATGTTAGCAAGACATGTATAGCTCCCGGGAAACATAGATACGAACCAGGGTCAGTAGTCAAAGCGGGGAAAGGAGTAGCAGCGCACTGAAAGAGCAAACAATTAACAAATCAGATGTAGCAGACAAGGAATCTGCACGCACGGCTTGCTCGACGTCATTCTTGGTAAGTCCAGCTGGGAAATGTGCGGCTGCGTTCAGTGTTGGAGGAACAGGGATCACGTCAGAACAGTCGACCAGCTTGCTCTTGTCCTGGGCGACCAAAGACAGTTTCAACATCGCGGCCTTAAACGCAGATTGCAACTTGGATTGATTGTCTGTACAGCGGTTCATTGTTGCTCCTGTGCAAACATAACATGTCTTTAACACTTACTGACAAACGACTGCCATTCGCATGCGGTTCTGGGATCTGTGGAAACCCCAAGGATTTAGCGGAAAGCTGGGTCGCGATCACTGGTATTCTTACCTCGGGCAAGCTACAAGGCAGAACGTGATTAATCCCGCCGTGAGATGGAAAGTGACCCACATACCTCGGAGTCAGACTGAAGCCGCATCTCTCCTCGAAGGGGAGATTCAACTTCGCCCTGGTTTCCGGCAGTACTAAAAGTGTGTTCAGAACCAATACCAGGGCAACGCATTGGAGAGATTATAATTACCCTGGGAAGCTTGTCCCGCGGAGCTGGGTCTCAACGAAGAACTGGGAATCGAAAACTGAAGGAGTCGAGTCGAATGGCGTTCTGTCAGTGACTAGGTAAGTACTTTCTCATCGATTCCTAGGGAGCATATAGACATACCCAGGAATCTATAGGGACCAGGGCCGTCAGAATATAGACGGAACGGAGTGATTGAGCTGACATACCGTTGGGTCAACATTGTCGGCGGCAGCGATGGTGTGACTACGGATTAAATTAGTCGAGGTTTTTGAAGTCCAATTTTCGCGATGCTCACGAAGCCAACAAGGCAACGACTTCAGCAGGCGAGAAGCCAGCGTCAGCAAACCTCGCAAGGATGCTGTCCACCGAGTCTAGAGGGTGGTCTAGTGAATACGTTGATCGTCCATCTCGTTCTATGACCCACCAAATGGCTCAGGAACCGTCAGGTCTGGCGCTGGAGCTACGGCGTCGGGGCGACCCAGGAAGAATTGTAGTCGCGGAGCGCCAGGGCAGTTACTAACACCAACAGCTCCAGCGAACTGGATGCTAGAAGTCGAGGTAAGATAAAGTCGTGCTGGTTATGCTGCGTTGGTTGACATACAAGTCACCTGCTGAGATGTTATGCTTCGCGACGAAAGGCTTCTGAGCTTCGACGATTTCGTCGATACCAAGGTTCGCATGGAATGGAGTTTCGATCTCGCTGAAGGTGATCAAGGAGCCATCAGCTCCTCCACCACTGTCGCCCCTAGTCAATATCAAATAGCGTAAGAGCTTTTAAGGCATACCCTCGGCTGGGAGAGAACCCAATAGCGTCGTGGAAAGTCAGACGGAGTGACTCATGAACCTGCCCAAGATTTGAGATGGCGCCCTGGTGTGAGGGGTAGGTGCCAATGAAACTGTACCTCTTCACCGCACTCTCCACCGTCGAAGAGGTTGGTCTGGATGTCCTCCAAAATTGGGAACAAGACGCAGCAAGCAGCATTAGTGACAGTGTTGCCATCTGCGCATGTAGCACGCTTAATCGAGGCAGCTAAAGGATATTAATGAGTTCCGTGAAGCATTCGAAAGAGGAGGTTACCTACCATTCGAGAGCTGCACAGCGCCGAGAGCCAAGATCAGAGAAGAGAGTCCAGAGAATGTCATTGCTAGAGAGGGCTTCAAGGGGATGACCAGTGCCTTGAGATTGGTATGAACCGTCTGCATTTCCACCTTTTATGCTCCCTGGAGGACGCTCCTCATCCAATTGCATTCCTTCGTCCTCAATATATGTACGTAGCGAGTACCGTCGATTTGGTGTGAGGCTGACTTTCTCTCAACCATGCGAGGTGCGTGCGAGATGAGATATGGATGAATAACAGAGGCTTTCATCACCGCCGTTGCCTGTTACTCGACTATAAAAAACCAATGACCGCAGCCGAAGCTTGATGATACACATATTTTCAAAATTGCCGAGGGCGATACCTATTTTTCTGTGAATTGTGGAGCAAGAGCGTTATGATATTGCTCCACGGTGAGAATGGATAGAGGTAGTAGAACCATTGTCGCGATGCATTTGCAATACAGGACTGCATGGATGAAATCCGGGAAGAATAATCAGTGATATACCGATGAGATTGTTTATTTTGACCCACTAAGTCGCAATATTAGCCTGAGGATGTTGGTGCTGAAAGCAGTTAGGTTGAATTCTCGGACTCTCTACACCCTCCTGTAGAAAGAGACCCGAGGCACGAGCCCTATACGATCCCTACACACTAATTTTCCAACCGTTCAGATACGAGTAATCGAACAGTAGGCCCTTCGACAAGGTTGCACGCTCACCACCGACGCGTCAGCCTATTTGGGTCTTTCCAAAATAGCAAGAAGTCTGACTGTCTATTCGCAAAGTAACGTTTTGCCACTAAACGGGTCGGTGCACATGCTATATCATCTGGGCGGGAACGGTCTATACGGACGCTAGTCAGCCATAATCCTGCGTCTGTGATTGGACAGAAATGGATACCAAGGTACCGGGGTGTTACTTCGACGCTTCATAGCGAACCCGTACCGGGGGAATGCTAGTGTCCGGATGTTAGCAACAGTGGTAGCCTATCATGCATAGAGAACTTACCGGGTGAGGTGCATTACATGTGCCCGACGCGTGGTCACACTGAAAACTGCTTGAAGCGACACATGGTGGACTCGCAGAAGCTCCGTTAAGTTATATTCCAGAAGAATAATCTACAAGACCCAACAAGACGGGAGGCGATTAATTACGGGAGTTCATGTTCTTACAGATACATTCATGAGAGTAGGACGTTCTAGTTCGATGATCCACATACATATTTACTGCGTTAAGTTATCCCAATGGAAGCCTTATGAAATGAAGGTATTGGCATTTGCCGCTGTTTCGGGTTCAGCTGCGAGTTCTAGCTCCAACCATTTCACCGCAAAGCTTGTAGGATCAGCGGCGCGAAGGGCGTCATGCACATGCTGCCCAACAACAGGCCCACATTCCTCCGCTCTCCCAAATCCCGACAAGCATACTTGCTTGTATTCCGCCGTGTCAAGCCTCAGGATTTGAGGTAAAGAAGTCCCGAGTGGCGAACCGAATGCATTAAGGATCACTTGCAAGGCAATGAGTGTTGGCAGCTCCTCCGCTAGGGTTACAAGACGCTCTAAAACCACGGTGGACATGGGTGACACCATAGAAGCGTACACGGCCTCGATGAAGGGATCGAATGCATGCAATGCGGTGAAGGCCTCTTCCACTGCTTCTCTCGCTAGACGAGAGGCTTCCTTGTCAGCTGCAGGTCGGGGAAGGTGACTGAGTATCTCGTAAAGGGCACGTGCGTCGGTAGTAGTCGAGGAGGTAATGGGTGAAGGAGGTGAAGGAGGTCGGGAAGGAGGGAGCTTCATTGTAAATCTCGATGAAGGAGGAGTAAGCGGTGGTGTAGTGGACGAGCTACGGCGCTTCTTGACATCTCGGGCCGCAAGGTATGGTGAAGCAGGAGGTGAAGGAGGGTGGTAAGGTCGGTGAGACAAAGCCACCAAGCCCCGCCATATCAACGAAATAAGGAACGTGGCTACAGTAGTCTGTGATCCTGGAAGCGAGATACAACGTTCAAGGATCCGAGTATATGCAGCCACAACCCCCTGCAGCGCGACAAGTGACGGGTGTGAGACAGATGGTTTCGCTAGAGTCTTGATGGGTGTCTGAGGGAATTCTAGTCCGTCAATAACGGCTCCAAGATCATTCTTGATGTTGACGATCAAGGGGTTAATGACACGGTTAACGACGGAGACTAAGCCTTCCCTGATCGTCTTCAGCCCATGGGGATCAGAATCCAACCCGAGGCCCGACTCATCAAAGGAATCCAGTAACTCGCCAGCAAACGCCGCGATAGCGATGGCGTGGAGTTGTGCGGCATTGAGAGAGGGTGCCAAAAAGTTGAGGAAGGCGGGTGAAGCAACTAGCGGCACTAGCTGAGCTGATAAGTTGCTGACTAGGACGGAAAGTGGTCGGTGCAGCGACCTAAGGCTAGCACGGTATAGATGCTGATTATCGTGAGATGCCCTCAGTTCACTATAAGGGAACAGGGTAAGATAAGTTCTATGAATTCTCAAAGATGATGACTCACGATGTAATAAGCGCACCCAGCGCCCGACCTCTACCAGCTGGAATAGGACGTTTCCCGCCTACTAGTTCCGTAGGGACTACGGGGCCTGAAGGCTGCGCCAACGCCTTTGACACGGCCTCGCTGAGTTTAAGACTAAGCATCTCCAAGTATGACCCATCCTGAACCAGCGTCGAGGGCGGCTTCGTCGGTGACTTGGGTGCGACGGGTGCTGGTGAGGCCTTTCTAAATGTGCTCAACGACAATTTGTGGAGTGGGCGCGGTGTACGGTCGAAACCAATCCCGGAGTCCGGCCGAGATGGAGGGGCTGGGGCGGGTGATGAAGGGCGGCTGGTAGGTTTGAAGAAAGATGGGTGCTTAAGTGCATGCATCATTGTGGCAGTATTGGCGAAGATGTATATGGATGTTGGGTGCTTTTCTCGTATGTTTTCTGTTTGGTTGAGAGAGAGGATTATAGTTTCTAGTTTCTAGATGATAGGCCGCAACCTAGTTCCGACGACGACAATATAGTGTTCGCAATTATCCCATTGAAGAGTGAAAGGTGACCGGGTCGATTTGCAAGCTTGAGAGCTTCTGTTCGTCCTAAGGGGGTCGGTCGGTGTCAACGAGGAGGCAGGCAACTGGTCCGAAGATAATCTTGTTAATCTGGCTCAAGCTGAGACCAGAGAGTAAACATGAGCTGCAGTCCTGGCCTCGCATGGAGGAACACGTACCAGAGTAAAGGAAGAATCATAGATTGGAGAGTTTGGGCAGCGTTTTTATTCTGGGCGGCGTTGTGGACAACACTGAAGGAGGGGGCCTTGAAAAATTTCCAGGTCATCAGGACCCCACCTATTTGTAGTCCAGCACAAATTATTCGCACGGTCAATACAGCCATTTGAACTTTGCCGCATTGGTTCCGTTTGCAGCGCCGTCGCCCTTCGGTGTTTAGCGTTCCTTTGAGCGGTGCTTCAAGATTGCGGTGTCAGAAACATGCCGTGTTGCGACACAAGACTTGACTCATGATGCCTATTGGACCATTGTCTCCATATCGCAGGCTTCATTTACGTATCTGAATCAGACAAAGCAATTAGAACAGCACTAAGCGATTGCAAGATAACTGCACAAATGAAGCACATGACTTGATAAGTATACCATCAAGCTCCCTCTTCGTCTGCAAAGAGCCTCTTCAAACGTGTTCGCAGGCCGGCATCCGCACATCGCATGCGCCACAGGCAGCTGTCCTCTTCGCTTTCCTTCAATCGGACGAGCGCATGACTCGTCGAGCCATTCGTTATCAAGATTTTCAGTTCGCCTACAACATGTTGTCAATCGTGAGGTCCATCGCACGGTAACAAACTCACCCAAAAAAGGCGGATAATCAACTGCAATGACCTGCAGACGATAACCCTCGAGGCTTTGTTGTAGAATGCGCAATACACCTTCCATCAAAATAGAACACCATCCTCGGGCGCCGGATGTATCGGACAGAGAGTCCCATGTGGCCTCGAAGTCAAGGTCCTCCGAGCCCATATTTAGTTGGTATTCATCGGGTGCAGTAGGCGTATCAAAGGCAATAAGGTCCATTCGCGAGCTCTACTTATTCTTATCAGTAATCCGATGGCTCGGCTAACGAGAGAGAGAAGCACAAACGCACTATATCGTCCAACACCTGTGGAGATGAAGTGCTCTTCGATAGGTACGGTCTTTAGATAACATTGACATGAGAGGAATGCGATACGTACTATTTCCAGTTGATCGGATCCTGCAGCAAGAGCTAGTTCCCCTGGGGACACCGTGTTGGACAGTGGATCTATGAGTCCTGGGCGTCTCAGTGGTGAGCGTTCGATGATCATGTTTGGTGAGTGGCGTGGAGTGGCCAGGTGACTTCTCTTTGGGGGAGTAGAAGGGGGTAGCTCGTATGCTTTGTACCGCAATTTGGGGGACAATTTACGAGGTTCAGACTTGGGAGGCGAACTAACGGGAGTAGGGACTTCAGACGATTGGCTATGAGTTGTTGATTGTAACTGGCGAGCTTCATGTTCCTGGAGGGCCGCTAGGAAATCAGGGAGCTATGAAAGAGAATAAATCTAGTAGAAATTAAATGAAATGAAGACAAAGGTATACCGAAGATGAACGCGCGCTGCGCACAATTTGCGTAATTACACTCCGCTGTGTCGACAGAGCAAGGAACTGGTCGCATCGCTGCAAACATATAACCGAGATGAATGAACCATTTACAACAGATATGAGAGATGGTCTCACCCGCTTGACATATCGACCTCCCTGATCCTTTGCAGCGGACACATGCTCAACGATGTCATTAGGGATATCTTCGCAAAGTGCGGACAGCCGCAGCATAGCCAATAAGCATGCATCCTGCACCGCAGCTACAAAGACAATGAAGACAGACTCTTCAATGAGTCATGGCCGGAATTAATTCTGCCTATCCTCTCACCACTGCAGTTCTTCAAAAGGTAGCCAAGGCCGCGCATGACGTGCACAGGCGAGACGGACACACACTCTGCATATTCAACAGCGAGCGCCGATACAAGGACGATCAGAGTCGGACCAGCGTGCACCTCGGCTTCAGCAATAGCTGTAAGTAGAGCAGTCGCACAATTCATCCTATACGCGCCATCCCCTGTATGAAGATTATGGCTGGATCAAGCGGATCCGCAATTCCAAAGATACGACGTACCACTCATGATGCGAGTCAGAATTATCTGGATTGCTTCTTCCGACACACCTTGTTTGGGGCTAAGAGGCGGACCTTCCAAAATTCTAAATAATTCCTTGACTTCACGGGCATATGCCTCGCCGTCCGAGGCTGTTTGTACTTCGACGATCTCCAGTAACAGAATCACGGCGTCAGCAGAACCGTGACCTGAGTCTGCCACGGTTTGAAGAATTTGTTGATAATAGTTGACGACGATATTATGATCGACTTGGTTCAAGATCCCTAGGGTCTAGTCACTGCTATGAGTATGTTTATTTGGGCTGGGTGTCTGTGACTTACTTTCCGCCGCATCAAGGGATCTTTTGAATACAGTAGTTGCATGACACGCTCCACCTCCCATGCCTCCAAGACCGGTGGGATATCCGGTGTCGTACCTGCCCACAATGCCGGAGTCAGACATTCCAAGCACGACAGAAAGGTGTACTGGTCGTTCACGTCCGACGAAGTCAGCAACCCCCGTACACTTCGTACAGGCGAAAAGCTGGGTGTCAAAGATGAGAGTTGTTGTTCGAGATTCCTATCACGCAGAACGCGAAAGCACTCGCAAAGCAAAGCTAGCCTAGATCGTGAGGATGGTAGGAGTGGAAGTATGCTTAACACTTGCCTCTTGATGGCTTTGCGGTCGTTCTAATTAGTTTGATGAGCGAGTTCAAGTTTTGGATTGCGAGGCTGACTCAAGATTAGATGTGCAACAAGATGAAGACATGTTATGGGATGGCTTACCCCACACTACTAAGAGCAAATAACAAGACAAGAAGGAATTGGCGCAAGGGGGAGTGGTGGCTCCGTGACTGCGAATCTCGCCAGAGGGCGTTGAGCTCGTCCGCTACTCGTGCTTTCAAGCTTTCATCAGCCTAGTCATGAAAGTTTCATTCAAATAAGGACCTCAAGATTAGGGATCAACTCACTTCAACAAGTGCTAGCGACGTGAGTATCGCAGCTGTCGCAACAGATGTATCCTCGTCGCCCATACGCTTGTATAATTTGGTCGAAATTTGTGTGACGAGCGTCGGTTCTGCCTGAGATAAACTCTTGTAGGCCAATAATGCACGTCTGCGTACATTAACCCTGTGAAATGACTTCAACGTCAAACCGGTTGAGAGGCTTCACAAAAATACATACTGACGAGCTGTGAGATAATAGATCGTGCAGACGCGACTGTACTGCAGGAATGACGAGTTCGTTTGGTGATTCACACAACGAATCCAAGGCAATGCATATGTGGGGAACATCTGGACTCTCCAGGTCCTGTGCTTCGCGTTAGTAGAGTCGCGACGCTTGTCTGTGTTTGCAGCACCTTGCGAAGCGTATTGACTAGCATCAGCTGAAGTTCGTGCGTGACTGGCATCATTTGGGCACAGAAGAGGTAGCCTAGTGCATGCTTTCAGATTCGCAAGGCGCGTCTAGTTCGCCAGGTACCAACCGATTCGTTTGTTCTGTATCGTTCCACCGCTCTCTGCAAGCGTGACCGCGTGTGGCAGCGCCGAGTCTGTAACCCTATGGTCTAAAGAGCCGAATGTCGTTGCCATAGCGCAGTACATGATCATGATCAAGCATTCCTTGGAACGTCTCTAATAACAATCGTGAGCATTCAAGATTGTGCCCAAGCTGGGGCGATTACCTGGGATAGACCTGGTTGAGATAGCTCGTGTTGCATGGCGCGTGCTTCTTCCTGTAGAAGTTGATCTGCGGCACCTGGCGATGGCGCTTCCTCAACTTTTCGCACAAGTGAATAGTGCATTCTGTTCATGGCCCCAGACGAGGCGAATGGAACGTCCATTGTGAGTGTCTATCAAGAACACAAGATGCGGATGCGATATTGCCACACGCGCAAGAAGCCACGTGATGTGGAGATCACTCAGCTTGCGACTTCAAAGTTTCCAACGTCCAAGTTCTTGTGCGCCTTAGAGTGACTCGAGTACTCGAAGAGCTGCTGAGCACCAGCAAAAGTAGTGCGCGGGATAAGTGCATGAATGGAATATCAAGTACAAGTACAAGTCGTTTTGCTAATACTACTACTGACCATAGTCCGGGTCAAGCGAACACAACGCCCAGACAGCAAAGGAGCGATAACGAGCATGTGGAAATGTGATGGAACAGGACATTCAGGAAACAAGCCAGACATCAAGATGCCATGCGCGAGGGAAAGAAGGGGGAAGGGGAACTGAAAGATCCGATTAGTCAGTGCCAACGGCCATCGGCACTCGACGAGACTTACCATGGAGCGACGGGGAGGGGATCCCTTTAGTAGCCTCCGCCACCTTGATATCCTCCACCTTGGTATCCTCCTCCTCCACCTTGGTAGCCACCGCCACCGTAGCCTGCGTCTGCCCAATCAGACCAACGCAAAGTTATATGATCGAGGAAATTACCTTGCTGTTGGTAGCCTCCTCCGCCGTAGCCGCCTCCACCTTGGTAACCTCCTCCACCGCTGTATCCACCGCCACGACCTGTGATAACAGTTAGCGAAAAGATGGGGGAGAATCAGTGGTCAAATTACCTCCACCATAGCCGCCTCCTCCTCCTCCTCCACTGTAGCCTAAAGAATGATTAACACATGAGCAACGGGCGATCATCGCGCTTACCTCCACCTCCACCAGAAGGACGAGCATTAGCGAGGTTAACCTTGATGCGCCTGCCATCAAGTTCTTGTTCATTCAACGCTTGGATAGCAGCATCGGCCTCCTGGGGGCCTTCAAAAGTAACGAAGCCGAAGCCACGGGAGCGACCTGTGTCACGGTCGCGCATGACAATGGACTAGGAAACGAAATAGCAAGGTCAAACTCTCATCTCACGAGATGTAAAGATGCAGGGACGCATTCAGGGGACGGGAGAGCAAAGAGGTAGGATAGCGCACATCAACAACGTTGCCGAATTCCGAAAAAGCCTATAATTGGGTCCGATACATGGTAAGACATGATTCAAGCGAGCGCAGAAGCACAGCAGGGCAGCAGTACTGTGATACACTAACTTGGCGCAAAGTGTCATCGGTCGTGTTCCAACTTAAATTTCTACAGGCAGCAGCGAAAAAATTATATTAGTTCGGAAAATCCCCACATCGATGGGAAAAAACATGGAGGGCGGGAACCAATACGAAGCACAGACTGACCCAACATAGATCTTGGCCGACATGACTATAATATAGGGGAACCCTTCGAAACGACGAGAACAGACAATCGAAACCGAGACGGAACCGGGAAACGATGGACAGTTGGGGGAGAAAGGAAGGATGAGGAAAACTGGGAGCGCGGAGACCCTGATTATATACCTAGGATTTAGACTCCGCACTCACCTGCACGGATTTGGAAATGCTCAGCTTCCAAAAGTCCCTTCCAGAAGCCAGACAGAATTCCAGGCATCGTGCTCAGAGGGGCGACAATGTGACCTCGAATTCCCGAAGTACAACTGCCCTCAAATAATCCGAATAGAAGAAACCTTAACGGTGATAGGCACTGGCCATGGCCGCCTGTCTTCCCATGGAGTGTACAGTCTTCGTGCGCGTGCCGCGCGGGGTAGATCAACGTGCAATGTGAGTAGTGTTGAGGTCAAAGCGGTACAGGACTTTTTCCAGCTTTGCAAGTAGACTGTACAAATACAGGAGCTAGAGTTGGCGTGCACTGCAAGAGATAATACGGAAGTTGTGTGAGAGGCCATGCATGGTTAGAGTTATCCGTGTAACAGGGGCTCACCTGTGATAAACGATTATGCAGAGAAGGAAGTGCATGCAAACCGGCCAATGTAGACAGGCTTCGAAGAGGGTCCCTCAAACCCGTGTAATCTGACTGAGTAGGCAAGCGGCGAGATAGACACCGGGAGTGGAACTAGATCTATATTCTCTCGTGATACAGAATTGTAAATAAGCTCCTTAGACAACACCCTTAGATGCTTCGCCTGCAGCTGCTACATCAGTGGCAATATTCTTGTTCAACTTCCCACTAGCGATGAAAGCAAATCAGTAAACGGCGCAATAAATGGAGAAAGAGGCTTACAGTTGTGTCTGGAGCTTGGTCTCAAGGTCACTAGTATCGTCGCCCTTGGCCGTGGCTTTCGCAATCTAAATGACAGCAGTGTCAGTCATCAACCTTCAGTGATCTGTTCCCTTTACCTTGATATTGAGCACCTGGACGCTTCCAGTCAGCTTCAAAACCTTGTTCTTTATTTTTCCGTTTTGGAGGGCATCAGCTATGGATAAATTAGTGACTGCTTACAGTGAAATGAGAAGATCAAAAACCTTCAGCGCCGTCGGCAGCGTCGATGGCTGGGTTGAATTGACCAGTCTCGGCTGCCTCAGCTGCCTTGCGCATAGTCTCGACATCCTTCTGCGTTTGATCACTGACGGTGGCGAGGTCAACGCCTTCAAATGGATCTACAAATGGTGGATTAGTCGAACGAACCACGGAAAAGGTTGAATCACTGACCGACGAAGACAGCCTTTGCGAGCGCTTCCGCATCGCCAGCTACACCATCGGAAATTTGGAAATCAGCGTAGCTGCAGTGTTGTGTCAGAGACGCATAGATACGATTTCTGATTGCGTCACTCACTCTTGAAGAGCGAACGCCCGCTTTTGGATGGTGTTGCCTGAGATCAGGATCGGTGCGGCAGCAACCAAGCAAAGAAGGTATGCAAAGAACACAAAAACCGAAGCGCGGGCCATTTTAGGAAGAGATTGGAAGTTTGAAGGTGCAAGGAATATTAAGATTGAAAGAAGACGGATGTAAGAATGCAGGCTAGGTCAGAAAGGGAGAGTCAACCTCCAGGGAATGAATGAACGGTAGGAAAAAGAAGGAAAGTGTCGACGTCCTCAAGACGACTGCAAGATGTTGCTGAAGGAAGAACTGTATTACCAGCCCTCCTTATATATGCTCTCGGATAGGGTCGAGCATACCGGGTGGCGACGGATAATAAGCACAAGGTGTTTATGTGAAAGGCCCCGGTTGCTACAGTGCTCGCCTACATGAGAGAAGATCAGAAGTTAGAATGGACAAAGGTTTTCCATAAAACAACATATTCTCACTGATGGGAGAGTTTAGCGGCATCAGAAGGTCGCACTTGAATGGTGCCTCAATTTTGGTTTCTATGCAGCCTAATACCTCCTTCATAAGTAGCCGTTGGCAAGAGGATAGGCTTGAATTATGCGGGCGGGCCGCTGCATTGATGGCCACGAACGCATGTTGTGCAGAGGTGCGTAGCGACGAAATCAATGTTCGATCGCCCAGTGGAGCAGGGTATATGGGAGTTGTCAGAACAGATTGCATACGAAAGTAATGCTACAAAACCATAGGGATAGTATATCACATAGGTGGCCACTTGCTTGGGGTGTCCTCGCCCCATAATACCCATGTGCGTTTCTGCCATGTAGCCAAAGCATCCAAACAAATCATCCATAATTCGGCGAAGGCAGACTTCAGTCCACGGCGATAAACAAAATCCTTGATGGCTAATATAGACCATGTGTGTGGAGATGATGATAGATCATAAGTGTCGGGTCGGATGGCATATAGATGGAGATCAGGTTCGAATGGATCATAATAGGTCGTCGTGAAGATGTCCTTGGCTCGGTTAAGAGACACACTGGGCGACAAAGCCGTTGGTCAATTTGATGTTTAGAGTTGAGCAGGAATCTTACCGATACATCGCTAGAATCAATATAACTTGAGCAAACAGCATCGTCCAGAAGAACCACCCATTCCAGTGACCCCGATTAGGGCTCACATCGTATGTCTAAAGGGGAAATGAACACTAGGTAGGGCCAAATTTTGGCGGGGCTCACGAATAGTTGACTGCGGCGCATGCTAGCTCTGAGAGGTGCAATCTTATTCCGAAGCTCTTCCTGACTATTGCGAGCCATCCGTAACGTCTGGGAAAGTTTCTCTCTAGTTTCTCTCGCTGCTTGCGACATTGTATCAAGCTCTTTGAGACGCGTCTGATCCAGGGCAATTTGATCATGGGACCTAGCACCTAAATGTCAATCATGATACAATGAAGGAAGTACTTTGGACGAACCTATCAATATCACTCATGTCATGAGCAAGGTCATTCAGCCCCAATCGGACGCGAGTGAGGGCTTCGTTATGGTCGAGTATTGTACTGTCGTCTGTTGACATGACACTGAGTTCGCCCTGGTCTTCAATCTCGCGACCCATGGCATCTAGAATTTTGATTGAACTTATATTGGCCTCAGGTTCTGGTTTCGTTTCTCGACCATAGGCATCGAGCATACGAATGCTGGGTAACCTCTTCAAACCCTTCGAAGAGTCAGGACTCTGGTGAGTGATGTCTGAATGACCTTTCGACTTCGCAACTTGTTCATCGGCCTCAGCTGGAGGGGTGGGGGGTGATCTCACAGGATGGCCGTTCTGGGATTCCGGGACGGATGTATCCTCTTGGGAGCTCGCAGTAAGTGTATTGGGCTGTGGGTCGAAACGGACTTTTAGGATGCTCTTCCGCGGCGCAGGCGTAGCCATCCATCCTCCAGGTGGAGCAGGGGTTTGGAGCGGCATAGTCGAAGCCCTCGATAGCGATGGCCCGGGAGTAACCAACCCAGACCCTTCTTGAGCAGGTAAATGCTGCTCTAAAGACGCTGTCCGTTGCAAGAGGGTGGGTCTTTGAGGTCCAGGTGTATCGGCCCATCCTCCAGGGGGCTTTGGTGTTTTCATCATCGAAAGGTTTGGCCCGCTTTGAGACTGTAGGCGTGGGTATGTTTCAGCAGTGCCCGTGTCGTCCTCGGAGGATGGAGGCGGACCAGGAAGGTCAGGTAATCCTTTCGGTGGGGATGGCGTCTGGAATTCAATGCGAGAGGCACTGAAAGACGAACGACGAGGTGGAGTTGACAAGACGGACGCCTGAAGAGGTTCTGCATTTGGCTCTTCCGAAGAGGGAGTAGGAGGGGGAGATAATTCCTGTATAGTTGTGGGGCCAGACAAAGAGTTCTTCACTGTGGCCTCGTCAGGGAGAGTAAGGTTTCGCATAGAGGGTGTAGCTTCGTGGGACGCCGAAGACTCTGTTGCCGCAAAAGGGATCAGTACAATTTGGGCATCAATATGATTTAAATACAAACCAGGGGAGTGGTTAGACGCGGCAATGTGGAGTGTCGAAGACTCGCCCAATGCCTGTGCTACAAGTCTTTCTGGACTAGGAGATCGGCGCGACACTGCAGGAGCAGGGGAAGCAGGAACACTTTGTTTGGATGTCCTAGTAGGTATTCGGCTGGACTGCCCAGGAGCTCTAGTCGATGGCCTTGGATTCGAAGGAGTAGGTGATCCTACACGGCCTGCATGAGGCCGCGAAGATGGACGCTGAGGTAGAGGAGAGCTACGACCAGTGTTCCCCTGGGAAGTAGATGCAACCTGAGTCTCCCTGTTGCGTGCTGTAGATCGGGAGGGAGACGAAGTTGTTATAGATGCGCCTTTGCGGATGCCGGGTGATGGAGAAATGGGCTGGTCGGACCCTCGTGAATGAGCCGCCAGCGGTAAACGTAAGGAGGCGATGGGAGGATCCCCGACCGGAGTCGGAGTATGAGGGCGCCCTGATAACGGGTCCTTCTGTCGAGTCGTTGGTGATCCAGGAGGGGTGCCCCCATCTGGGGGTAAGGGAGAGAGTGACCGACGGGAGGTCAGACTTAAAGTTCGACCATGCGACCATCGAGGACGAGGAGCATTCCAATTTCGTTCCCTCTGATGTACTGGATCCTCTTCGCCAAGGTCTTCTACTGATCGATTATGGGAATCGTTGGACGATGCAGACGAAATCGAATGCCGCTTATTCTGACGGTCCGGGGAGTAGAATGAAAGAGATGAGGTTGATCGTAGCAAACCACCACCGCTCTGTGTCCGGGGACGAGATGGCGAGTGAACATCCATACTAGAAGATGATCGGTGATGAGGCTTGTTCCATTCCCTCTCTCGTTCGATGTCACGTTCTCTCTCTTCGAGACTTACTCGCTCTCGATCTGCATGTTACCTTATTCAATAAGTGTACAGAAATGCGTCGAGTAACTCACAATCTGCTTGCGACATAACGGAACTAGCTCTTGACGAGAAGTCATCGTCTTGACTCTGTATAGATGCGACACTGCTTTTTCTAGACAGCGTCCTGCGTACGGGAGACCACCCAGGGGAAAGCATAGGAGAATTACTTCTTGAAGAGAAGGAACCATGAGAGTGACGGTGTTTGAGATCAGGCGTCAGGGGACGCGGTGGCTGCGGCTTATTCCATTCGCGCTCCCGTTCGCGAAGTTTGTCGTTGTCCGAAACACGTCGCGAAGTTGAATGAGGAGAACTCTTGTGTAGGGCTATAATGAATGTGAGTAGGTACGTATTACAAAACAAGCCAATAGCGTACGGGATATCGGTACACTATGCCGTCTAGCAGTGAGATCCACGGAAGTTTCACTTCGGTCTCCAGTAGGAAATGGCACTGCGGCACCGTCAGCACTGTCGCAGGCGACGTGTACCACCCACTCACCTGAGTCCTCGATAGCTTCCATCATTCTGTTCATCTCAGAATCGTGTTCAAGTAAATCTATAAGTACGTTAATTGGCGGCCAATAAATATCAAGTTGCACTCACTACTAGATTGAGAAGAGAACAGAGGCATTTGCATAGATCGCTGAGGAGTACTAGTAGCCATTGGAGGTGTTGCTTGGTTCAACTCTCGTAGCAGAGAGGCGGTGTCTTGGCTATCGTTGTCTAAGTCAAGGATTTTGCTGAGAGGCATATTCTTCAGTTGGGAGCGCGAATTTTCAAGCTTCTCTCGCAAGTTATTGAAGGTAGTGGTAGCCAGAGATGAACGGAGAGAAACTAAACCGTTTGAGACGTCACGTACGATTGTTTTGGCTCTAGCACATGTCAGCTTACCATTGTCAACTTCCTCGTCGCTTAAGCTCTTGCGCTTGCCCTTGTCACGCCTCTTCATGGGACTTCCATCCACCTCACTTCCGTCTATACTGTTACGCCGCGTCCGAGTCTTTTGCGGAGTGTCGCCCGGTTCACGTAAAGCAAGGGAAAATATCTGTTTTACATCGGCGACACTCGATTTGTCTCGCCCGACAACATGGGGCGTTTCAAAGTCAGAGTCAAGCAATGATGGTGATTTCGGCGGCGGCGGAGGCGTCGACTGAGGGAGCTTAGAGGACGTGCTAGATATGAGAGCGCGCAGTCTCGCTGCGGGGGTATCTGCCGAATGATCTTGTGAATTTGAAAGCAACTTTGACATAAGTTTTGGCGTAGAGCCATCGGTGTCTTCGTGTTCTTCGACGCCGCTCAAGTTGGTGGCAGCACCTCCGGGGAGACGAGACGGACCTGCCACGGGATCGGAGTGGGTATAATGTGGATTTCTCGAGAGTCCAAGGCGCGGAATGGGGAGGATGTTGCTGTCCATGGCCAGCGGGCGTGGCCTCCGCGACGTGGCTCACAACGAAGGTGAGCGGAGGTGTCTTGGGCCGCTCACAACAATAGTACTCCAAATATGGGATATTCCCACGCACCGAGTCCCGCTGGTCCAGCAGAAGAAGGTCGTTCTTGGAAGTACTATGGTCGCCGTTCCTTCTCCGAAGCGCTTCGTGGTTCAAAACCTGGGGGTTGATGCTTGGGGCCGCATTCTACATTTTTCGCTCCCCAATTTTACTGCATTTTCTCACTAACAACGCGTCACACACTTCATAGTTCCAACGCAACAAGAGACCATCCCAATGGCTGGGTCTACAGACATTGTCGACGTAACCACCTTACTGGTAACGGGTCCTTTTCGTTCAGTTTGTTTCACTAACAGTCGAATTGACAAAAATCAAAGTCCATTTCCATTGCATAGACAATGTAAGGTATATACCAATCCAAATAGAGTCCGCCCTGTATACCAGCAGAAAAAAGGAAAGGTTCATAACGGAAGAGAACGTCTAATGGCAGCCAGTGTCTAGTACCGTCACATCTATCTACTGGGCAAAATAATCAAGCGTCACGAGTTCAATTAATCCTCAACAATTCAACCTCAAATCTAAGGGTTGAGTTGGGAGGAATGCCGGGCGGAAATCCCCTCGAGCCGTAGGCCTGTTTTGAGAAGGTAAGTAACTCGAAATTATAGAATCTACCCGCTGACGTACAAAGTCAGGTGTGCATGTGAGGATGGCCTTTTGCCCGACCGAAAGCTGTTGAACACCTAAGTTATCCAATACCAGTCAGCCAGGACCACGTTCATTAGCCGTCATTGGAGTACCTTCATCCCATCCCTTTATGACTTTGCCTGTTCCAATTTCGGTCTCGAACGCCATGCCTCTGCCAGCATGCAGTCAGTCAATCTTATCAAATAGTGCACGAAGCAGCAGCTAGTCACCGGTCTCGACTCGAATCAAACTTTTTACCGTCGAGCAACGTGCCGACATAATGTATCGTGACTTTGTCTAAGAGGGCTCGCACTGCGTTAGTCCTCCATAGACCGGATGGACCAATGTACATACCGCCTTTTTGTGGGAAATGGACTCCGTCGCCGGGCGATAGGGTCTCGATGATGACGCCCTGCAGAGAACGGTGAGGAAAATTTCCCGGTACCAAAGGGTGTATAGAATACTTACCATGATGGCACTGACCGTCTATGGCTGCAGGAATTGTCGACAGGAGTTGTGAGTCCATCTGCCGCTCTATTGGTCTTTACTTATAGTATGGACGAGCAGAGATAACTGGCGGAGTGCGGATCTTGATCCGATAACGACTTGGAACCCTTTTGTTGAAAGAAAGATCCAATCGTTCTCAACATGCAATCGATAGCGATAATGAAGCGACATTACGAGACTTGCCGTCGGTACCTTGGTCTTAAAGTAGCCTATCGTCAGGTAGGTAAATGCATGGATACACCTGTTGAATTTCTCATTTCCATTGATCCACGAATGTCCCCAAACGAAGTCGATGGCGATCATTTCACCCGTGCCAATGTGGTGTAGAAGTAGTAAGTGGTACGTCCACGTGACCTTAATTTCTAGACGCCACTCAGGTTGACTGAGCAGTACTCGCCAGAAGTTATTGGTTCCTATCGGTGTATTTGAAGCGATCGACGCGGAGGACAAAAAAGCACCCCATTCATAGTCGGTTACCCCCTAGATCTTGCGTCAAGCTCAACGTTTGCCACGACTGCATACGGCTAGTAGCTACATCATCTTCAGATATTATTCATGAGGCCGACACTGCGCTTCTTCCCCCCAACCCTCGGTCATCCAGAACTTTCTCTGTCTCACATTTTATTGCTGCCATACTTCTTGAGCTTCTTTATAGCGTCCTATCGTCCGCAAGGTGACTTCATACATGGCTTTGGGTTATCTATTTACTAAGCCGAACGTGGGTCCTTTTGGTGTGATAGCCCGCACTGTCGATACTAAGTATCATCGCCCTATATCCGCTCGAAACTATGACGGAGATGGAAGGAAGAGTAGACTGCGCGGTTCCGTTCAATGACTTCTCAATGTGCCCCTCGATCAAGACTGGACCATATACGAAAATACCGGTGCCTTGAAACCCTGGATAAGACGCTGGATGGTTCTGACGCATCCGTGCGCTTCAAGAAGGCCTGTATGGATCATGTATGAATTAACATGCTCCACCCACGTGTCATGCTCATGCCATATAACTGAAGACGTTGACGTTCCAGTCCAGCCCCGAGCAAAGCCTCCGGGACAGAAATTTCGATAGAGTTTATGCTCGTAGACCTCATCTAAAGCGGGTATGTCAGCTTTCTATGAACACCTATCAAAATCAACAATGTTGATTCGCGGATAGGACATGACACGTACCATCATCCTGGCTGCGATCCATCTGCTTCATTCTCCATCAGTTTCAGCGCAAATGAGGGATTGTCTCCAGCGTGTCCCTTTGAGAGTTCCAACCTCTCGCCATCTAGCCTTAGCAAGGTCAGTACAACAACTTTATCTGGCATGTGCAGTGATCTCGAAGCCTTGCGTCGGGCAAGTGCGATGTTATCGAAGGAGAGGACTGAATCGCCCTCATGCCTTCGAACGCCAGATGGGTAATCCTTGGCTGATTCTTGTTTCCCTGACCAGCTATCAAGCTCTGTGATGTCATTGGAATCATCCAGCACTCAGAAATAGTCGTCGCATGCCCCACCAGCTTCTCACCAGATACAGCTTGCCACTTGAAGCCGTGTATTCCCAAGGTCTCGTTGTCGTCCTCTGCATTCGTGCCCCAGTAATCTACCCGCGGAGTGCATACTCTGGTCAGCAAGGAGGCCGACCGGAAAGTGCCAGACCTTTGCACGAGATCCTCCGAGGTGATCAGAAGACTGAGTGCACTCGATCTTGCCAATCGCTCGTAACTTCGACGGACATAGATAGGAACGTGGAGGAAGAAGGTATTGGGATCCAGGCCTGCCATGCATCCCTGTGATGACGCATGAACGAATATTGCGCGGTCAAGGGCTATCGAAGCATTATTTTCGGTCAATCCCAAGGCGTCAGTCTTGGGCGTCCAGACTCCGAAGAAAAGTTCGGCCATGAGTGATAATCATGGCACAGGCAGTATTCAGCAGCAGCTACCATAAAAATATATTAGTACGTTATCAATGGGGAAGTGGGACACAACTTGCAGCATTCCCAGTTAAGGTGTCCACCCTATTTCTCTGACCCACTGCAGTTTCTTTCCCCCCATCAGTTCTGCCCTTCTTGAAGCTTCTATAGGCATCGCAACCATACCATCCCTTTCGTAAAGTTCGTAAGGGAAGAACGTCCAGGACTGCTGTCAGTGGTGCTGCATACCTTCCTTATTTCTGGAAATGATGTGGACCATTCGGTGCAATTAAAAATAGGGTGCCATTCTCTTTGTGCATGTACAGCATACGAAGCAGTGCCCACTCCGGCATGTAAGAGTTCCTGTAAGCGATCGTTGATGTTGCTGGTGGTATGTCTTCTGGGTGGCTCGGCGAGGTGCGAGCATTTTCTGCACTGAGGGACATGGACAGTGCCGAGGAATGGTAGCAGCGATAACCGGGAGCAGATCGCTCACACGAGGAACACGCGTGTCGCCCAGACGAAGACATTTCACCTTCCCCCCAGGGAGTCAAGGGGTACGGTGCATATTTACTGCAAGCATCATCCAGAGAGAGCTAGTCGGTCGCAGTACGTCGCCCACACAATACGAGCTTCTGGTCCCGTTCATGAACTAACAGCACTCCCGAGAGCCCTTGAATTTCCAATCCGCCGACCATCTTTTTCCAAATTTACAAATTCGTCCAAGGGACATAAAGAGGCATGAGGCGTAAGCCGCGCTCAACATGGACGATCGTGGATGACGCCAGAGCGCGGTAAAAACCACTAATTCGCGTGGTGTGCATGTGTGGGCGTCCCTAGAAGTCACATCTCGAGGTCAGACTTTCAAATACCATTCTAAATAATATCAATTATGAGCGATACGATAGAGGCCGTATATACAACAAGTTCTATGCGGCTTTGGGCGCCTCGGGATGCGCGGAACGATATCTTCGAGATCGTTATCAGCAAAGGGCACAACAAATAGCAGCGAAATGAACTCACTGTGCGATACGTGCTAGCTGAGTCAACCCAGACAGTCCAACGCAGAAGTTGACCTGGGGTTGACAGAAAAGACCGATGAATACCCGGGTTACAAGACGAATGACAATGTAATGCTTACGGCGGCTAAACTGTAGTTGATAGGTGTGATCACAAGCGAATAGCGCACCCAGATGAAGCCGGTAGCAGTGAGGGCTATAATCGACAGGCAAAGTAATATTTAGTTATGTGCGAGTACATTGGCATGGGTTCGGGCTTTTGTGGTACACACCAATGTTCTGGGACACGCTCAATTTCTCGGCTGGCCGAGTCAAGTCTTTGATACCAGCGGCCACCAAGCACCACTTCATCATTGGTGCCCAGAAGAAGACGGTCTTGGGCCCTAGTTGACACACTTCTCAGACGAAACCCATATGCTCGTATTATCAGCAAGTTGCTTACCTGCAGGGTGATTCATGAAAGCAGTGAATTTTGACGCTCCAGCGGACGCAGCAGCTCCAGACATATTGGCTGATGGACTTTGGAGGACACGGGGATGATGGAAGTGGTGAATAAAGAAAGGGTGCTGAAGCGAGTCACTAGAGAAGTGAAAGAGCCCTGTTCGGATTCTCGGACAATTGGTGGAGCGTGACGCGTTACGCAGCGTTATATAGGGGAGCCAAAGTCACGCATCTCCTCATCAACTTGCCTCTTTCGCTGACCATTAACAGTGGCGGCGGTAATGTCTGGCTAAACGCGTCGAAGATCGATGAGTTCTCAGATCTCAAAGTCCAACAGTGTGCCTATGAGAGCGCACTCTATCTTCGACACCAAGCGCTGCTTCACCGTATGGGCCCATGGCACTGATATCCATCCCGGCCTACCCCTTGGGCAGTTTTTGGACAAATCAACGGCGATAATTACGGGGGACACGCCTTGTGGATAATTACCCCGTTTTGTCTGTGCGGGTGCTGCTGAAACGAAATCGTTACACTGCACCGGACGCTCGCCCATCAGCAACAACATGTAACAGGAGACGGTGCACCACACAGTAGTAACCCCCGAATCTCTTATTTAAACGATGTCCCCTACTCCGTGGTTCCTTTGTATCAAGGCTGGTCCTCGATCCCTCAATCTCTCTCGAACTGCGTTCGAATCATCGTTCTGAAGCTCAACTCATCCAAAAGCCATGGGTTCATTCTCACAGAGCTGCTGTTTCTGCCTCTCCCTGAGGTTCGGGACGATGGCCATCTCGACCATATCCTTGCTGGCCGGTTTTGCCTTGCTCGTAGTAAGCGGCTATTCGCTGAGCCACATCTGTGAGTCCCTTCACTATGGCTGGTACGCCCGCGCTCTGATCGGGTCATACAGCGAGTGACGCGGGATGGTACCAAAGGTTCCTTCTCTGGCTGCACATCATCATGTATATCTTCCTCGGCACGTTTGGGGTGGTAGGGTGAGCCAGACTATTCCACTTCGCGTCGCCTTGGAGCTCTCATCCATCTCTCCCAACATCTAGACTGGCCGGGGCAATCAAGCAGCGTTTCAAGCTCATTGCCGCTTTCTACCCCGTCCTCCTAACGGACTTAACATTCCATATATCAATGGGCATCATCACTCTTCGGGATCTGTTCAGCGATGGTGGGCGCATTGCGATTAGCAAATGTGTCAAGGCGACGACGGATCAGGCAATCAAGGACAGGTGTCCAAATGAGATTGCTCGCAGGAAGAAGATGACCATCCCCTTCTTGATCGTCTTCTGGATAATCCATGCCTGTAGGTGCTTTCAGCATCATTCTCATAACGACACTCACGTGTCGGTTGTAGACGGCGTCTTCGTGGTTTATCAATATCAGAAGCAACTGAAGAGACGCGACAACAAGGAGGAGGGGCAGTTCTTGAACAGTGATATTGTGGGTTAGGTAGCGGGTGATTGTATTGTCAATCAGCGTTTCAGTAACATCCTCGGTCGTCGTTGATTTTGTGACAATTTTCGGGGTCAGTGACGTCCCCAGTTTCAAGTACCGCATGTCCCAATGTTCGAGAACGACTGCAAACGATACGTCGATGAAGAAGGGTTGTTGAGAATGTAAACAAATGATGTCGAAAGCAGATTACAAGTACATATGTCGATCAGGAGGAGCTGTTCATCTCGTGGTAGCACGTCCAGTCCGACTCCGGGTAGATCTCGAGTTCCCCCTCCCAGGATTTTCCGCATTAACATCCGAAGGGGCATTAACAATGCCTTCTACGGTATTCTTTGCGGCCTCCCACCAATCATTCTCCCTGACCACCTTTGCCGCCGCATCAACCATGCTCCCAAGGACCTGTTGGACGTCACCACCATCCTGGTCCTGCCCTGCGTTCTGAGTCCGCCACTGCTGATGGCGGTCGAATGATTCCCATGGCTTCGGTCGATCGGCGCGTTGATTGCCACGCGTACGTGATGAACGCGACGAAGTTGTTCTTGTTCTCGAACCTTGATTGTTTGGCACATTCTCTTGCGGACCGTTAAGCGAGTCCAATACGAAACGGCCAATGCTAGACGCCAGACCCAGACTACCAATGCCATTTCCGCCGTTCGCACCCCCAGCTATATACCAGCCCCCTGCCACGCCGAGTGCGGTGAATATGAGACCCCATTTGATGAAAGCGAGCACCGTCCGGAATATCCACCCCGTGGTGCGATATAGGGTTATCAGCGCTAGATATGCAGATAAGAGGGTGATGAGGGGCGGCAGAACCGTCTGCGCGTCCCATTCGAACGGATTCGTGCGTAGCAGAACGCCCAAGAATGAAAGCAAAGCGGTGAAGAGGGCTATTCCATGGGCCAAAACATTGATGAACAGAGCAAATACTGGCTGTGGCAAACGATCTGATAGCATCTCGAGCACTGGATCCAGAAATGCTGGGAGGGAGATTTCCGCTGCGGCGAACAGCACCATGGTGGTTGTTGAAAGCGAGCTAATAGGCGCTCATGGGACGGTGGCGGTAACACGTCGGTCAAAGCGGAATATTATATCCGAGCTGTCAGGGGAACCTAGCGTGCCGAGCACGGCCTGATGCAGGAAATGATTATTTTAGAAAACTAAGGACCGCGGAAGTTCAGAAGGATTTCTAGGCCGAGAACAGGGCATGTGACCCAAGTAAGGAAACTCAGAACTGGGGTGCGTTTTATTGACGTCCAATCATACGCTTTGGCTTCTCGGCTTGGACGCCGGCCGGGCGCTGAACTTCCTTAAATGCAATTTAACCGGATATTCTCATAGGATAAACATGCGCAAACAGAAGAACATATAAGTTCCCTCTCGGGATGCCATCGTCTCGATTCAACTCTTCCCCACACAACCACCACCTTCTCCGTTGCCCGTATCCTTCGCTCGCACCATGGCCCTCAAGAGAAAACTTGACTTCGACTCAGACGATGTTGCCCCTACGGTGAGTCCCCTATCCTCGTACCATACCACACTCGCTCATGTCTCCGCACCAGAACGCGAAGCAGTTGAAGCTCGTCCCTTTCCCTAACTACGAACCAGACATGGACGTCTCTATGTCGGACGACGCAATGTGTGTTGACGCCCACCATACACGTCTCTCATCCACCACCAGCTCGTACTCTTCGAACGCGTCCGACTCTCCTCTTGACAACTCCCGTGAGTTTGCGTTCGTGTACGCAACTCTTTTATCTAATCATAACAGCTCCGTACCCGACGTTTGACCTTTACCCTTCTTCACCATCTGAACAAACTTCGTCGCCCAACCAGTATCCATACACGCCCGCTCAATCCCCTTCTCTCCCCACTGTTGGTCTTATTCAACCGTCAAAGTCCTTCGTTCACCATGGGTAGGTCCCCTCTCGCATTGATTGGGGCGCGGCTCAATTCCTATTTTCAATTTCCTGCGTGGCTCAGATCGAACTGCTCGCAAATACCGAAGCTTCGCGTCGCCTGTGCTCCTGGACTTAACGGCCAACGAACCATGTGGAGCTTCTGCGAACAATGCGGCGCCATTTCCATGGTCGAAAGCGACTGAAATCGACTCACCACGACTCCCTTCCTCACGATGCCGGCTCTTGTCCTATGTAACTGTTATTGTTTTTTCTAACCCACCTTTCATCCTGTGCTACTGAACTAGGACCTGGCCTCATCATTTTATTCCCTTTTTATTTTCTGGCGCACTCCTCTATCCACATGGCGGACGCTAAAATGCGACACCCGATTATTTATTCGATTTCATATAGAGCAAGATAAAACGTCGACTCCCATCCGACTTCCCGCCGACTCTCCTCATCCCTCCTACGATCTCGCTATTCCTCGATACTACCCTCCGACTTCCTCGACGTATATGCCCCTCTCCATTGCTTGTCCGACTCTTACAAAACGGCCTGGAATCTACTCTCCCTCCATCGATGCTCTGTTCCCCCACTACGTACTTGCTGTCCTGTAAATAACCTACTGCTTGTGTATGTTGATTTTAACAAGTTGCCTCCAAATGCTGTGTGAACGTTGCTGGGTTCTATCGTGAGCGCTACGTGTACCGTAAGATGCCATAATTCACATCTCCTTTGCGGTACGGAAATACCTTCGGATTCCGATGCGCCACTCCGTATATGGTGCTTCGCTTGCAGGTCACCAGTATTTAGCGCCTATCAACGTAATTCCCACCTCTAAATGCGTGGAGACCAACACCCAGTAATGAAATGATGCGCTGGATCTCGAGTTCCTACCGACGCCAAAAGCATTACTGCAGACCCTTTCTATTGGAAACCGCACGATGCCATTCCAAATAGGTAGCGTCGCGTTAACAGCGTCGGGCAGACATACTTGACTTGGCACATCGTGTTGATGGAATAAGCTGCCTCGTGAGATGCAGAGAACATATGCGCCTAGACAGCTTTTAGCTTTCGAAATATCCCTGCTGTATGTATCTGCCGAGTATTGATGGCCCCACGGTCCTAGCCCCAAGGAAACACTGTTCCAGCGATAATATGTTGACAGTCATCGGTGGTCCAACGTCGGGTGCACTGTGCTGTTCGGCCCACCTAAATGTGTTTCAGGAAATTTGTTCATTGGAGTGCTCCCCAGTCGCCGTTCCGACAGACGCGGGGTGGGTGCAAGGATGGTAGGCCAAGCTCGGGCAGCCGACTTGCTGCCGACAGCCAGAATGGACGGTCTGCCATGTGCATCCCACATGCCATATGGCGCAAACACTCCACTACTTCATTTCTCAGTCTTTCGAGCCAAAGCAGGCGCCGTCTGGGTGAGTCAAATGCAAGACTAGCAGCCACCGCGCTAACCTAGCAGTAAGCCCAATACAGCCCTCTGCGGCGAGCACTTTCGCTTTCTGCTCGTCTATTCCACCACAAACGACCCCCGCTCGCTTGAGGGAGGAGGAGAAATATGGGGTAGACACAAAGCCCCACCGCTTGCCGGCCGCTCGGATATCTTTCCATCATGATCAAAGTATTTCACAGGGAGAGAAAGAAGCGACGCTGTGTGTATTTCGGTAGGGCGAGCTAGATCTGGGGGACCGGGGGAAACCATTTATAAAGGAAGGTCACAGGCAGAACGGGGCTTCTTTGCTTCTTTCTACAGTAGCCTTCCCCCGAACTTTTTTTTGGCGCGCCATGTCGGGAGCTGTGGCCAACGCAGAGAAACAGTCAATCGAGAAGAAGGAGGCCGACTCCTACTCCGAGTCCGCGCGAGGACCCGTCGATGTGAACGCCAAGCTCGCAAACCCCTTAGAGGGGATCCCCCAAGAGCAAGTCATGGATGACGCTGAGGCGTTCGCCAAGAAATATGGCCTCGGGGAACTCAGCGATGTCTTCAGAAAGGCGGCACTCGTCGCTCAGGATCCCTTGGGCTTCGAGACACTCCCCCATCTCACCGACGAAGACAGGGACTGCCTCAGAAGAGAGGTCACCCACCGATGGGATCAGCCAAAGATGCTGTATTACCTGGTCATCTTGTGCTCTGTGGCTGCTGCCGTTCAGGGAGTAAGTCGCCCTTCTCTTGGCTCTCGATCATCTCATTCATGGATTTACTCCTTAGATGGACGAGACTGTGGTCAATGGTGCTCAATTGTTCTATGCTTCTCAATTCCATATCGATCCCAGCGTCGGTGGGGCGGCCGGGGGAAGAAATCAATGGTTGCTCGGCCTGGTTAACTCTGCCCCATACGTATGTGATCCCACTTCTCGACACCCTTTGCAAGGATGCTCACCGATCGACCTGACAGTTGTGCTGCGCTGTGCTAGGTTGCTGGCTGACGGACCCAGTATGTGGCATTTCTCCTTACATGCTCGCACAACCCTAGATTGACATGATTATAATCAAGTTGAACAGGTTGTTCGGACGTCGGGGAACAATTTTTATCACCGCAACATTCTCTTTCTTAACTTGTATTTGGCAAGGCGTGACCAACTCGTGGCCACATCTCTTTGCCGCTCGATTCGTCCTCGGTCTGGGTATCGGCCCAAAAAGTAGTACTGTCCCCGTATATGCGGCGGAATGTGCCCCTCCCGCCATCCGTGGTGCCCTCGTAATGATGTGGTAAGTGATATGCTATCCTATATCTTGTTCAATGACGAAATGCGTGCGTACACAGGCAAACTTGGACGGCCTTTGGGATCATGATCGGTTATGTTTCAGGCCTGATATTCTTCCGTGTACCGGATAAGCCTAATATTACTGGCTTGAACTGGAGGTTGATGATGGCTAGTGTATGTGATCCTCTGTCTCATCGAAATAATATGTATGCTCACAACTTTTGTCGATTCCAGGCTGGTATCCCCGCTCTTTTCATTATGGCCCAAGTATTCTTCTGCCCCGAGTCCCCGCGTTGGTACATGTCGAAAGGCCGCTACGACAAGGCATACGAATCGCTCAGTAGGCTCCGTCACAAACCAATCCAGGCCGCACGAGACCTGTACTGTAAGCCCTGCCACCAATTGCGACAGTCTGATTGTTGCTAATTTCCGAGAGCGTAGATATTCATGTCCTTCTAGAAGCCGAGCGTGAAATCAGTCAAGGCAAGAATAGATTCCTAGAGCTCTTTGTCGTGCCCCGTAACCGTAGGGCCACATTGGCAAGTTTGATTGTCATGTTCCTACAACAATTCTGTTGGTGCTCCCGCGTATACTACTCTCTCTCTGGCTAAACTCGCTCATAGGCGGTGTCAACGTCATTGCGTACTACTCGGTATGTCCCCCTCTTCTCGTCTTCGACAAAATGCTGACCACAAATCACCACAAAGTCAAACATCTTCACCGAAGCCCGTTTCTCCGAAACACAAGCTCTATTGGCCTCCTTTGGTTTCGGGTGCATCAACTTCGTCTTCGCCTTCCCTGCTGTGTACACTATCGATACCTTTGGGAGACGAAACCTGCTGCTTACAACTTTCCCGTTGATGGCTATCTTCCTTCTCATGACCGGTTTCGCATTGTACGTCTCCCTCTCCCTCACCTTTGGCTACACCAGCTAATTTTGCTACTTGTATAGCTGGATTCCTGAAGGGAATGGCCGTCTTGCTGTCGTCGCGTTGGGTATCTATCTCTTCGGTATCGCGTACTCTCCCGGTGAAGGACCGGTACCTTTCACGTATTCTGCGGAGGCCTTCCCTCTGTATGTTCGTGACATTGGCATGTCGCTTGCTACCGCTGTCCTCTGGTTCTTGTGCGTATCGATCCTCTGGCATCACTTAACGAACGCGAACTCACCTATCTGTGTATAGCAACTTCATCGTCGCCATCACGTTCCCCCGTCTGCTAGGTGCATTCGGCCCCCAAGGCGCCTTCGGTTGGTATGCCGCATGGAAGTACGTTGTTTTAGTGCCATTCATTGTCAACGAAACCTGACTTCTCTACTACTAGTGCTGTTGGATTTGTTGTGATCCTGTTGTTTGTACCCGAGACGAAGGCACTCTCCTTAGAAGAATTGGATGCAGGCATGTGTCCCCGACTATCTCCTGCACAAGTACTTCTCCCTAACAACCCAACAGTCTTCAGTGTACCAACACATGTCCATGCGGCATATCAGATCAAAGCCCTACCTCATAACATAAAGAAATACTTCTTCAGAATGAAGGTCGATCCCCTCCCACCTCTATACGACCACGAACGTCTCGCCAAGAGCCCCAAAACATATGCCCCTGGCGGCGCAGGCCATGCATGAAACCACTCTTGATGTCTTCGTATCCCAATGTTATGACCTACCACCCGTTTGTTCTTGCTATCAGCATCCACTTTGCTTGCTTCACGTTTCCCTCTAGTAATTCCACAGTGTATTTCCTAGCTAAGTACGACTCTTCACGATGCTGATTTGTTCTGCTTTGTACGACGCTTTCTTCTCTTGTCTCGTGCCTTCGTTTATACATTTTCCTGTATTCGTAGCAGCGATGTCAGTGTACATTCTGTGACCTGCAATATTTGAGCCTGTTTCAAGGAAACGCCGAGTCGCAGCGCGGAATTGCCATTTTCGACCACACATGTAGCCAACAGCCACTAGTACCGCGCTCTCTGTATTTTACTTCGCATCCATGACTCAAACGACCCTCCTCCAATACGAGGCACCATGTGAGTCTTGAACTACTGCGATGAAAAGCGCACTGTGGACGAGCAACGCATACAGGGCCTGTCCAGAGCTTAGATTGGTGCAAGACGCCCTCTCCTGGTCAACAGCACCGAGCGCGATCATCCTTTCGCTTAGGCATCGCCTCCTTCCTCGAGAGCTACAACAACCAGATCGCTGTCATTGGGCTGCAAGACGAGCGAGTCCTTGTAGAAGACGACTACAATGACTACCCCGACTTTGTGACACTGTGCGAGGCGTCCCACGGCTACCCGGCGACGAGCTTGCAGTGGCAGCCTGCATCCGCGACGGGCCATGCATGGTCGCAGAAATCACCCTCGACGGAGTTGCTGGCGACAACGGGAGATGCGCTAAGAGTTTGGGAGTATTCGTATGATGGGCCGAGTGCGATTTCGAGTTACGTGGGCAGGCAGCCGGGGTCGGGGGGACATTCTCTGCAAATGAAGGTTGCTCTATCGGGTGTACGTCTTTGCCCCATTCTATGGCTTCTTGTACGGATGGCTGATCTTATTCGACGCACAGCAATCCAAAATACAGAGTGGGTCGACGGGGGCACCGCTGACGAACTTTTCATGGAACGAGAAGGCCCCAAGCCTCATCGTGACTTCCTCCATCGATACAACGTGTACAGTGTGGAACATCGACACCTCCACTGCGATCACCCAGCTCATCGCTCACGATCGTGAAGTCTACGATGTAGCTTGGCTTCCCGGTTCAACCGACATCTTCGTGTCCGTCGGTGCAGATGGAAGTCTGCGGGCCTTCGACTTGAGGAGCTTGGAGCACTCCACTATCTTGTACGAGACGCCAGCACCCAAGGGGCCAGTACCAGCGGAGTCACCCTCTTCATCTGCCCGTCCAGCGACTTCTCCACTCCTCCGCATTGCTTTCAACCCTTCGGACTCCAATTATATGTCCACCTTCCACATGGATGGACAGGAAATACAAATCCTTGACATGCGTAGCCCCGGCCAGCCTGTCATGGAGCTTAGAGCCCACCGTGGCCAAGTAAATGCTCTTGGATGGGGCTCTGCTGAACGTCCCCTACTAGCTACCGCGAGTAAGTCCTCCGGGTCATCTCTTCAAGGCATCAACTGACCGCCCTTGGGTGGCTTAGGTGACGACTGTCAACTTCTCCTGTGGGATTTGGCTAGCTACACACAGAGCGCCGCATCTCCGCGCAGCGCCGGGTCGCGATTAAACTCCCCCCGCCCAGATGTCAAGAAGAAGGTCGTGACTGATCCTGTGATGGCATATACCGCTCCGGGGCAGATAACAAATCTTGCTTGGTCGCCTCCGATCCCCGGAATGGTTATGAATACTGGGCATTCCACGGCCACGGGAGAGTGGATAGCGATATCGTTAGGCAAGTCTATCAAGGCCCTGAAAGTCTGATGTGTGCTGCGTGCTCGATGCACTATCGCCCTGCTTTTTGAAAGTACTGTGCTATCTATTCTGTAATTTTACCTTCATGGCGTTTATTCTTGTGTGGGTATTCCATCATTTCCGCACTCTTATCGGGTGTCGGCGTCTTGAACATATGGGCCAATTTCGTGATTGTGCGGGTGATGTCCCATTGGTTTCATCTCAGTCGGATACTGTAACTATCTGAGCGGCGTCGTCGAGCCCAATGGCTCAGGTGCTTGTGTTTTGCCTGCTGGCGACGGATCCACACTTGTTCCCCCAATAATTAACATGTGCGACGCACTCCAATGGCTATCGTTCCCTGCAGTCATATCCAAATTCTGCAACTGGATGTGTATATACTTCCTGGAATATTGTATTTGATGCAGGACCCTGATAGGGATTCTTGGTCGCGAGACCATCACTTTCTGTTTTGCAACATAACTCTGACATTACCGCCAACATCGCATGGTCGCAGAGCCGTTTGACCCATTTATCCGCGCGTTATCTCGCTTCCAGGCACACACATCGGTGGATTCAAGAAAGAAGCACATGGATCACTGACAGATGGAAGCGCATGCTCGAAATAAATAAAAAGTAGCCCCGCGCCAGGATTCAGACTAGCCGAGTGCTCCAACTAGTCTGTGCCCCACGCCAGCCTCTACAGTTCCGACGCTGCTCATCGCTGCCCACTCAAAGTTCGTACAGGATGACCGACGTTATGGTTCAAGGCGCCACACTCGACGAGAGGCGGAAGGCAGAGCGAAAGGAGTTATCCTCAACGGACTCGTTCGACAAGGAGAAGCAGATCCACGAACCCCAGGTCTTGCTGCAGGACGACGCCGATGTTGAGGCGGCAAGAGAGCGTCGGGCGCAGCTGTATGCTCGGCTGAGACCCTTCCTTCTGGGCGGTCTGGCTGCTCTGATACTCGGTTGGTGGATTAGCGCTACGATCCTCCCAGCTACGCGGCATAGATGGTGATTTCCTTGAATCTGAGCCGTTGGAATAGTGCTCATTCAATATCTCTAGGATCGTACAGACTCTCTTTGCATGGTTCTTCATCCTGTAAATGGCACCCCGTCCACTCAATTGAAGATCTGCTGACTTTGGTGGAACTTGTAGGATCATTGCGTTCCGCTTCATCCCCAATTCAGTGGTTACGCGCCCTGTCAGCGCTGTCTGGCAGCCCCTCGTCCACAAACCATTCTTTGCCATGTCGTTCAGAGCCCGACTGGCCATCGGTTGGGCCTGCTTGGCTGCCATTGTCTTCGGATCGGCATTTGGCTTCCCATTGACCGGCGTAAGCTTACGCCACCCGTACATATGCTTTGTCTAACGCGGCATGGAACACTAGAACACGACCTACGGTGATCGCGCCGTCTCCGTTTCTGGTCTCATCGTCTTCCAGCTCGGATTCATCGCGAGTTCGAAGAAGCGATCTGCAATTCCATGGTGAGTGTCTACCGGGGTGTCGTTGGCGTCCGTGCTAACGTCCCATGCAAGGCCCACTGTGATTGTCGGCCTTTTCATGCAGCAGGCCATTGCCTTGTTTGTGCTCAAGTCTGGCGCTGGGTTCTCGATCTTTAATTGGATTGCTACCCTTGCCTCCGACTTCTTGAACCAGGGCTTGGTCGGCGCCCAGTTCTTCTTTGATGCAGATACCATCAACAAGCACTGGTTCTTCGTCAATACAGTGGGTTCTACAATGCTCGTCCCTCTTGCAAGATATCAAACTGCTCTACTCTAGCTCGGCACAATTATCTTCTTCATTGCCTTCGTGCAGATGATGTACTATCTCGTACGTGATACACCCACTATCAACAGCTACGACTCGCTCACAACCTTTCCTCAGGGCGTCATGCAATGGATCATCAAACATTTGTGAGTATATGCGCACATACAGAGCACAACTGGTAATTGACATTTCCTGCAGTGCTTGGTTCTTCTTCAAGATCATGAACGTGTCTGGTGCCGAAGCCGTTGTGGCCGCAGCCTCTCCATGGATCGGACAAGGAGAATCCGCTTGTCTCGTTCGGCCTTACGTTGACTGTACGTGCTGAATGATTCTCCCCGAGATCTGTACTAATATTCCCCTTATCTTTCTAGTGATGACACCTTCAGAACTCCGTAAGCCCATATACCGTCCGTATCAACCAATGGTTCAAAGTACTAACGTTCTGTTTATAGACCTTACTATGACCTCTGGTTTCTCGGCCATCGCAGGTTCCGTTTTCAGTGCTTATATTAGCTTGGGTGTCCCGGCACAGAACTTAGTCACATCCTCCGTCATGAGTATCCCCGCTTCCATCGCCATCAGTAAGATCAGACTTCCGGAGCTGGATGAACCTGTCACTCGCGGCCATGTTGTCGTTGACCGTGGTGAGAACCAAAAGAACGCACCTGTGAGTACGCCAATACAGTGGAGACAGTTTATATTAATAAACCATACCGCAAGGCAAATGCCCTCCACGCTTTCAGTCAAGGCGCTGTTTTCGGTCTTATCGTCGCCGGTCAGATTTTGTAGGTCTAACATGCCGCGTGCTGATGCAGAAGTCATTTGATTCCCTTTTCCTAGGACGAATGTATTGACTGTGCTGTCTCTTGTTGCTATGTAAGTTAACACGCTCTCCATTCCGACCCCATGACTGACGATCTCTTCCAGGATCAATGGCCTACTCACATGGATCGGACGAGGCTTCGGCATCCACCACCTCACTCTTCAACTCGTCATTGGCTACATCGCCTACCCAGTGACCTTCTTCTTGGGTGTCCCTCGCGGCGAAATCCTTCGTGTCTCCCAGCTCCTCGCCACGAAACTCGTTGCTAACGAATTCGCCGCTTACCTTGACCTCCAGTCCATTCAGCATAGTGACAACCCCCTCTCCCCACGTGCATTCACGATCGCCTCTTACGGCCTCTGTGGTTTCGCCAATCTTGGTTCTCTGGGTATCCAGATCGGTGTGCTCAGCGCTCTCGCACCCTCCCGCGCTAAAGTTATCGCTCGTATCGCTTTCTCTGCTATGATCTGCGGTTTCTTGTCGACGATGCAGACCGCTGGTATTGCGTGAGTCTTTTATCTTGCCCTCCATTGTGTCCCCCCGAATTGATGTACACGGGTAATTTTCCAGCGGCATGCTTGTCTAAGTGATCATCTTCCGCGGTTGTTGATACCCATTTCGTTTTGTAAGTATTAATGCCTGAGAGGTTACAGGTTTGTATGAAAAAGTTAGATAGTTGGATGGGTTTAATGTGCATGAGATGTAGCATACTACTTACTGACTGCAATCAAAGAGGTCGCCCTTGATGTCGATTATAGGGTTAATGAGAGACTTGATTCTACATATTGCGAAAGTACATGGACATTCTAAGCCGGGCTCCCAACAAATTTCTTGACGAGGGGCTTCCAACAGTCACCGATCTGCATATGTTCGCCTTCGCAAGTCTCTAGAATGACGCGGCCTTGTTCATCCAGCGTTCGCAGTCCAATCCAATCCTCAAGATATAATGGCTGGCGTCGCATGGGTATGATCGTTGTTTCTTCGCCACTCGTCGTGGAACCGAGTATCTTTTCCTGCATCACTGTCAGGGAGTCATCAGACTCGTCAGGCTCGGCCGCTGAGCCAAACCAAGCACTCTCTTTCGGTATCACTGTCACGTCCTTCGTAAACAGGACCAAGACCAGGTGCTCCAAACTAGCGAGATTGCGTGCGTAGGTTTCATTTCGGCCATCGATGGGGGCGACCTCGTTGTTGATTGACGTCAGGAAGTGATTGGCTTCGAGGAAGGTCTCCAAGTTGCTTGGGTCGCGGAAGTATTGTGCCTTTCGAGTGGAGTCGATGGAATGTCTCTGGAAGTGTGTGGAAGGCGTACCTGGACGAGATTCCCTTGAGCCCACTTGGAGTACACGCCATTCTTCACGGCACGCCTTGCGATCTGGCACAAGAAGTCGTATCGGCGGCATTCCGATACTTCGGAGACACCCATATGTTGGGACCCGAATGTGATGAGATTGTGTAACGGGGGGTCGTTGTACCTCTCGACGTACGCACGAAGGAACTGTCCACCTGGAACGTGCCCAGGGTTCAACACAGGTATACGGACATGGCGTACGAGCGAAGCTATACCTACCTTGCGAGAATCCGATAGCGTCAAACCCGTCCTTTAGCTCCGGTATATCATTCAGCTGCTCATTCACCATGTCCACTTGGGAGTTGACGTTCCCGTACTGCCTTGCAAAGCAAGCATTAGATGCGCAGTAAACCAGTTGGCCGGTAGGCACGAACGAAAGTAGCTTTTCGGTCGGCATCGGCGTCCTGTTCGATGTATATTGAATGTATGAATATTCCGGGGTACATTTCCCCGATGAGCGACGCGAATTCAAGCATTCCAGGGGAGGAATGCGAGTCACCTAGGCGACGCTCAGCATCCGTCTGATAAATAGAAACCGAGAGATGTGACCGACCCAGTCCATGCCATAGCACTAGAGGCCTATACTTCTGGACAAGCGGTGAGGCTGCAGCAAGCGCACAGAACGAGAGAGCTAACGGTAAGAGCATTGGTGAGTCAGGGCGTACAGACGACGGGCGCTCCGTACTCAGTAAGGGCGCTTAACTCCTATCTGTAATTGTAACCTGCCTGGTGCCTTTTGACTTTCACCATGATCACGGTGATTGACCACACGGTGTAAGAAATGCTTCTGTCGCTGGATCCGAAAGCTCCCAGTCTCCAGTAGGTTCCAATCTGTCCATTGTCCTTCTCCTATGCTCACCTGTGCTTGTCACGATGATGTAGAACTTGTGCTGTGTGCATAACTTGGATACTAACATGAACGTGCCCCCAAGTCCCTGATGGCGCGACGCAGCATGATCGATGCTTCATTTCAAACGGTTCAAAAAGTTTCTAGACCATTTCGATGGTCACAAAGAAACCAAAGCGATGATTATCGATGAAATGCGATTTGTCTTAGCCAATTGTGTACACTCTGCCGCATCGCCATACAGAATTACCCTGGCGCCGTGACATGCAACCTAGCAATCGACATCAGATTGAAGTCGCGGAGCGGCATTACCCACCGGCCGCCCTGGTTCTGGGGTTCATGACGCCATGCGACTGTGAGTACCCTCAGGTGAGCCAGATTCAAGCCAGATCGACAAGATGGCTGGGCTGGTATATATAAAGACTAACTGGCCATTTGGAAATTCAGCAACCACCCCCACCTAGCACCAACAATCCTACACATCAGACACCATGACCAACCTCTGGCAACCTGGCACATACTACGGACCTGGCTCCGAAGTCAAATACAATGGTGCGCCCACTACTTGCTACTCTCTCAACCAACCCTCGCTGATTCATCGTTCGACTAGGCGTGAACTACAGGATCATCCAACCACACTCTTCCCAGGGTGATTGGACCCCCGATGTAACTCCTGCTCTCTGGGGCCGTATGCAAGGCGGCGACAACGATAGCCACAATAACAACAACAACAACCAGAACAACAACAGCCAGAACTACCAACAGCAGCAACCACAACAGCAGCAGCACAACAACTATGGTCAATCAGATTACAAGCCCCCTCAACCCTCAGAACAAAGTTGATCCGTCATCATTTGCACTGACTCCTAAGCTGATCGTCCTTTCTCTAGCTGGATACGGCGGCAAACACCCAGAGCAAACGGTCGAGGTTACCCATGAAGAGAAGAAGAAGAACTGGTTCGATCTCGATGATGATCGCAAGAAGCAAATAGAGGTATGTTGCCTCTCATAGTGCCGCCCATCATCAACTAATCAAGCATTCTAGATCGGAGGTGGTCTGCTCGCCGGAGCCGCTGCCATTGGCGCTGGTTTCTTCGCCTACAAGCACCACGAGAAGAACGAGGAGGAGGTTCGTATCTCCCATCTACACCTCAGACAGGTCCTAATTCCGTTGAACAGAAAAAGGCTCAGGCTTGGGGCGCGCAGAACTGGCTTGCTGAGGCTCAATCCCGCGCTGAGGCCTTCAAGCGCAATGGTCCCTCAACCGCCGCTACGTGGGTCTTGACAGAAGGCAAGCACATCCCCAAGGATGCAATTCTCGTCGGTCAAGAGAAGAGCTGGAACTTGTACATCTGCCGAGCCTTCATCGATGTACGCTTTCGATTAAAGATCGTCTTGTTGACACATACTTAACTACACTCTAGGGCGGTGTCCGTACGTAACTCTCGTGGTATGACTTATGATGCCGCTGAACCTTTGTTTGTAGAACTCGGCAAGGCTTCCGATGCCTTCAAGAAGGGTGGTGTCATCGGCTACGGTGGCGACGAGAATCACGTACTTACACTCCTTGCATCATATCAATGATCCGCTAACACCTTTGATTTCTAGGTCAGCACCTACGAAATCCTCCTCGGTGACATGCGTGGCTTGGTTTGGGTCAACGCACACGGTAAATTGAACCCAGACTCCCTCGGTAAACGCCCCGTCGAGGGTGGTCGGGAGAATGATGGTACCCCATTGTATGTTGCAAAGGCCCCTTACAAAGGAGCCGTTCACCCCGGAAAGGCCAGCGAGAAGCTCAATGGTGAAGCTGCATGGATCGATTGTGTGTAAAATGTGTGCTGATCTTGTTTGTAGGTGCCTACATTCCTTACGATGGTGAAGAGAAGCGCGTCGAGGATTACCAAGTCCTTTGCTACGCTTAAATACTGCAAAACAATTGTTGTTTTACGTCGGACCTTTCCAACACCTGTAATCTTACCTCCACAAATGCAATGTTTTCGTTGAGCAGTCACACTCAAAATACCGATTTCCGAAGACCCCAACTCATCACGGTTGCAACTGACTAGAAATACATGTCATCTGGAGTATGGGGCGTATTATTGTACAGAATCTTCGAAGGCGATTAGCGAGGTGTCATGGATGACCTGTGTTTATTTACCACTGAGGGCGGCGGGCCTCGGTATCCTTTCGCACATAGTTGGCATCCTCTTCCTCCCACAACTGCTTGGAGTAGCTATTCACGATGAAGCAACCCCCTGAAACGGATGATGAGAGTTGGGTCGGGCATAAACTTTGAAACGACCACTCACATATTTGTATCAGCCAGACGACAATAAACAAGCCAACCATGATACCCCTCATGAGGCCTGCCCCCTTCTCACACGCCGTCTTCTGTAGCTTACTATCAGAATCACCGATACAGTCATCGATGGCCCCCTGCTTGTCGTTGAACAGCCGGTAAAGCGAATACGCCCCCGAACAGATGCTGAAGGCCAGAAGGGCCGTCAACATGGTGAAATAGGCCGATATGAAGCCGCGTATCTTTCCTATCGCCCCTATCAATCTGTTGAAGTCGGTAAGTAGCGGTTCTGAGGTGATCGAGGGGGTTTCTGTTACCCGAAGATCGAGAGCAAGGCCAGGAGACCGTAGATGATAATTTGAATGATGAGAGCAAGTTTATTTCCGCCTGGCGACGGATAATCAGTTGACGAGATTAATGGATTGATTTAGGAGGAACGAACTTGTTTTGGTTGCTTGCATGATGCCTGCAACGGTGATTACACCACCGCCTGCCATTCCGAGGATAGCAATGACCTGAAGTATATCTGTCAGATTGGTGTCGTGTACGGAGTAGAAACGGCTCACAAACACGCCAAATCTGACGGGGAGACAGCAGCAGAACTTGCGAGAGCGAACATAAGCCATGATTTATTGGTATTGAGCTGGAGTTCTTCAGAATATTTTTGAAAGGGCGTGAAATGTCGTGTTGACCGATCAACGGTATGCTAGTTGTGTGCGCGGGGGAGAGGACCAGCCTATCAGCTTCCATCAAAGCCGCTGCGAGGTATATATACTGGGCGGAGACCCATGGATACTGTTTGGGACGGAGCGCTACGGCCAGGCTATGCGTGATGGTTCAATGTGGGTTCCTAAGGCGAAACAGATGCACCAAGTTTCAGATGTCTTGTCCCCACAACGACTTCAGGCTCGGGAATAGGCCCATACTGCATGAGGCTGGCATGAGGCTGCGCGCGGTGTGCTTGACTCCATTCACTAACCTCAGCCATGATGAACTTGGAAGTGAACAAGCTGGAAGTTTAGCGCCGAGACAGTCGCGTCTCGCGTCTTGATCACGTTCCACGACCTCATGAATGGCCCACAACCGCAGGAGACGCTGCTCTCCTCAATCCACAAATTCATAGTGCACAATGATTTCCCTGCGCGCGCCGTACACCCATATGCTTCTGGCTCAGAAGCACCGACGGCTCTCCTAGAGCAGCTGGTCGCCACCGCGGACAACATGTCGCACTCGCTGCAGATGTACTCGACGATGCCTGTATCGAATCCAAAGCTCGTCTCGCTGTTGCGAGAACACGCTGCGATATCCCGGTCTATCTACACCGTCAGAGCTCTTCCTGCGGTCCCGTTTCAGCCAATGCTCAACGTCAGGTATTCATAGTTAGATCAGAGCACGCACCAGATCCTAGATGCGCTGAAGAAGCGTCCTGAGACGAATTATGGCGAGGACATACCATCAGACAAGTCGACGATCATCTCATGGTCTGTTGGGCGGCTGCAGACTTGGGGGAAAGCCGTTGGAATGGAATTATTTCAAGACCAGAAGGACGGCGGGATTAGTCTCATGCTTGGGGGGAAGGTAATTGTCATAGATATTGATCTTTCAGTGGACACGAAAGACCCAGCGAATCCAACCGTCGAAGTGACTAACGTGAAGACAGCCTACGCTATCCCGAATACCTCGTCGCAAGGAGCTTCGACATCGTTGGATGGTTTACTCAGAGACAGTGTCAGCGCGTTTCTGACCGAGGTTCAGAAATCAGACGACACCATGTCTCCACGAGAGGCTGCGAGACTCGGGCAGAACATCCGAAGCCATCTATCGTATCTGGTTATGTTAGACCAACTTGCGGCGTTGGACACTGGTGCTGGGATCCAGTGGTTCGCCGATGTTGACGCCCAATCATCCTTGCTCGAGCTGTTCTCCAAGATAGAAAGCGAGGCGGTCGCATCGTAAGTTTCTGATTAAAGCATAGCCATGTCACTATCTCTCATTCAACTAGGACCTCCCCATCGCAGCAAGCACCTCTGGATATATATTTGCTCAGAGCCCACTCCCTTCCCCTTCCATATCTACAAAGACCATCCCTCTCTTTCCTCGTGTACCTTTCACCTCTAGCCTACCTGTCCCTTCTTCGCTCTGTCCCAAAAGACATTCCTTCCGCCATAACACCCAACCTCCCCTCATTCGACATACCACTATCCCACTTACGCTCCTCCATCACCTCCCACTCAAAAGGCGTTACCCTTGCTACCTTATCCCTCCAAAAAAGCACCTTGCCCATCCATCAAACTCTCCCCACAATCCCTGTGGGCAGCAGCCGTCCAACATTTGCGCTTCCTCGCGCAGAGGCCGCTGGACGGCCCGACCACACCTTCCCTCAATACACGCCACCCAACGCAAACTCCATGAACGTCGCAGACGCGCCCTTGGAGCATTATGCCTGGATCCTGGATTTCACGGGTGATGGACAGTCCCCTGGCGTTGTGATGTCGCAGACGAGGATGCGGGAAATCGAGGGCCTTGTGAAGCAGGATACTGGATTTGATGTGCCCGATGCCATGATGACGCTGAATACGCAGAGTTGGATAAATCTGTTGGTGCGTCTGTCGAACGACTCCCCAATTTCTTCGTCCTGACAGTACTAGCTTAATCCTGGAGAACATGTCTCTCCTGAACGTTACACGGCACTATACGTACGTTTAACTGACTATTTTTCTCCTTCCCAGCACACTGCTCATCATGCTCGATAGAAATCACCTACATCTGCACATCCACCACTACAACTTCGCCTCACTGCACCCGACGAACCTGGCTTCCGTCTTGAAAAGGTACACGTTTGCAGTATGAAGCAAGTCTGGGGTATCCTGGAGGTAAGTTTCTCCATCTACACGTATTGATGCGTGGCCACTTATTGTCGGCATTGCCATTGCGTAGATTGTCAAAGAGCAATGTTGGTTGAACGAGATATTACTTGGATGTAATTGGACTCCAGAAGGTTTGGATATGGGAGCAGATGAGCTCCCCGAAGAGTCAGCTGAAGTGACCGAAGACGATCTTCAAGCCGTTCTGGCTGGCAAGTCTCACCATTCTTCGACTATATTCACTTAGACTATATTATATCTCACTGTAGGCACCCTCACACCTCGCAAGCTACCTGTCAACATCACCCTTCCATCTCTATCGCCCCAACTCGACCTCGACCCCTTCGCCTTCGACGATGCCATGACCATCCTACAAACATCAGCAACACCAAGCCGCCCGCGCATCGCGATGTCATCGCCTGAACGACCCCCAATGTCCGGGGACGTGCAGATCACGGTGGAGTACGACGAAACGCGGCCGAGGGGCGTGAAGGTGGAGGTTAGTGGGATGATAGGCGTAGAGTTGAACAAGGAAACTATGGAAGAGGCCGCGAGGCGAGGCGGGGTGTTTGGGTTGCCTGGCAGGGTCTGGACGAGCTCGCGAAAGCTGATGTGAGGATCTATCTTTGTACCTTGTATATAGACAGGCACAGGACGCGTTCGAAAGCATGCGATCTGAATTTAAATGCGTTTCAGAGATATAATGCATAGAGACAAGTATGAAAACAGTGTTATTGATTGTCTACTCGGCTGGGACCTCGAGCTCCCCAGAGTTGATGGCATCGATAACATCGTGAGGTGGCTTGCCGTCTACTGTGCAGCCGACGCTCTGAGCGGTTCCCAAAATCTCCTTCACGCAGCCCGAGAGTTCCTTCGCGAGGGATTTTGACTTCATTGTTCGAGCAATGTCGTAGATTTCGTCAAGGGGAATGTTGCCGGTGTGCTTGATGTTCTTCTCCTTCTTGCGATCGCGTGGGGGCTCTGCGATAATTTATTAAATTGAAACAACTAGGATGCAGATGCGCGGTGAGGCATACCCTTGAGCGCACGGATGACGAGGGAAGAGGCAGATGGGACGACTGAGACCGCGGCTTGACGGTTCTGTATCGTCAATTGGACAGTAACCCGGAGACCCTTCCATTGCGAGGTAGCTTTGGCGATATCTTCACCAACCTTCTTGGGGGACTACATTGACGGCAGCACTTAGAACATGGACCCCTCAGCAGAGACAAATCGCGTTGCGTACCAAACCCAGAGGACCAATTTTGGGAGCAAGAGCAGATGAAGCCCCGACTTCACCACCTGTTGCCCTCAGGTAGATGATTTTAATTTCATTGGGATCCTGCGCAGGTCGCGAGCACAATCAGCACAGCTTGTCCAGTATGCGAAATGCTGGACATACGAGTTTCGGGGCCATTGCAACGTTGAGTAGGGAGCACGATAACTTTTTGGCGCTCGCCCTCCAGTAGCAGCGGCCTCAGTTTCTCACACAGCGTTAAGGTTCGGGCTCCGCCTTGTTGTACTGTACAGACGTGCGTGACTGAGGATAGGGGCGTACCCACGTGATGATTATCTTATCTTGCACTTTTCTGGCCAAGTCGAGTTTCCATCATTACTACATCCAGCGCGTTTCCTGGAAATATCGACTGCGATGGATCCATGGAATCGTCCACCTCAGAGAGGGTCGAGTTACCGGCCTCTTTTGAGGACACTGACATGGACTACCTTGCGCAGCTCATAGGTGTGTGATTTGCCTTTCGTTTCGGTCCAAGATCGCTCATTATCGGCTGGTTGATGTAGCTGACATGCTTGAGCGGTTAATGGTGCACAACGATCGCATACCCCTTCTTCCGTGTGCATCTCTCCTGTTTTATTAAGGCCCACTCCTGAACAAATCTCTGCCAGTGAGAGCCTGACACGGTTCCATTCAAGATCAGCACCAAACATCAGTGTTCTGGACTATCTCAGGCGTATCATTCGCTTTACAAACGTCGAGGTAAAGTTTGTCTGAAATCCTCTACTTCTCAAGGAGTATTTTTGATCGCCCTTGAAACAGAAATCATGTCTGCTGCTTACTTTGCATTATGTTGATCAAATCTGCGCACGAACCCCTCTTTTCACATTGTCCTCCCTCACCTGCCATCGATTCGTTATTGCTGCCATCGCAGTGTCAAGCAAAGGCCTCTGTGACACCTTCTGTACGAACAGCCTTTACGCCAAGGTTGGAGGAATATCCTTGTCGGAGCTTAACCTCTTGGAGCGAGAGTTTCTCTCAGCGATTGACTGGCGATTGACGGTCAGTATGTTCTTTTCATTCCGTTTCGGCCTGCGCTTCGATGCCTTAAGGAACTCTGTTACACTCCATCTGCCATTTGTTGATGCATGTCCTCACGAGTGCTTCTTTCCTTCCCATTCAACTCTCTAGTGCACACGCGAAGTCCTCCAAGAATACTACATCAATCTCGTCCGAACCCATAGCTCCGGAACCTTCGTTATCATTGGCCCTCAGTCTCCCACCATGACATCGTCGTCCAGCGACATCGACATAGATAGCACACAGTCTCGCTCCGTTTCGCCTAGCGACACCCCCACCCGATCGATCCGACACCGGCATCGTCCCTCTCCACATGAGACGTCCGCTATACTCATTGACACTTCCATGCTAGCCCCGGAAGCCCCTGTTCGAGCCACGCTCGAACAAAATATGGCCTTCGCTGCCCTCCAGCAGTCGCGGGACACGCCTTCATCGGAGGATGACAGAGATCAGACTCGAGATCAACCTTCCCAGCATCAATGATTTCCATTGGCATTCCTTTGATTCCATACCCTACAAAATCAGTAGTACTATTAAAACATAGATATACAAGCAGCTGATGCATCGTTCACTCAGAGTTACGATTGCATCAAATACGGAGTGCTTCTCAATGGAGGCGCAGTTGAGAACATTAAAAACACCAGTGTAACAATGTATCTGTATGGAATGTAAAAGAACATGATTGAAACGATTGCAGATTGTTGAACATATTGTGGTTTTGCGTTGATGAAAGAAGTGGGGTGGATAATAAACATGGTTGTACACTGCTACGGAAGAAATGCAGGCTCATCTACAGGAATAGGATAGAGGGAAGAGTCCAGAAGCCCATAATAGCAACTGGCCGATGCACGAATAGAAGGAAATATTGTGAAACGAGTGTGAACGATGTGTTTCGACCCAAAGAGAATGTGAGGAGACGACGAAGGAAGACGACGAAGGAATACGATAGCACGGTGATACGAGGCGAGTCGCGGCGGCGGCGGTTTTGGCAAAGGAACTACATTGCAAGGGATTAACTTGTATGCGAGACAATTCCACGGCGAAGGGCGTACCAGTAGAAAAGAACAATATAGCTACAACTCGTCTTTACCAAAAACACAACACGAACACGCAATGGGGGAGGGGGGATTAGGGTGGGGATGGGGGGAGAAGGCGACACAAGAAAGATATTGCTCTCGAGGGTGAGGGGTAACGATAGCCAGGGAGTTAAGACTGGGGGGTTGGTCCGCGTCGAAATTATTAGCCTACAAGCAGTCCGTAAAACTCCAACCACATATTTCTTCTGTGCGTATGCGACGCATCGCCATGTTGTACACACCACTTCACCGTCTCAAGGCAGACAGCATCTTCGCGAGAGTATTGATCTGACCCTTCTGGACCTTCTTCGGGCCATCAGCTTCGTCCTTGGCATTATACGTGCTGGTAAGATCCGTGGTGCTCGTGGAGGCGTCTCGACGGGGGTACTCTGGCGATCTTTGCGCGGGAACGCGCTCGTTGATAGTATCAAGCTTGAGGTCCTTGGGCTTGCGTGTACGTTGCTTGCGGACTGGTGGGGAACCGAAGATATCACCGACGGGATTGGGATGCAGACCACGAGGGAGCTCGTTCAATTCCCATGGAACACCAGTCATGACTGAATAGGAAACACATGGTAAGCACAAAGCGAAAAAAAGCAGATGGTAATGTCCACGTACATTTGATGTTCTTCGGCAACGTGGGTGGGCGGTAGGCAGGGACGTTCGGACTGGAAGGATTTGACTTTGCACCACCCGTCCGCCAGCTTGCCGAGGAGACGCTCGTAGCAGCAGTGGACACGCTGCCCATACTCGAATTGCTGTACCTCGTAAACGCCGATGTCGAAGTGCCAGCACTCGACGTCGTGCTCATCGAGTTGCGCCAATTGCTTGAGGTCATCGAGCTAGCACTTGATGCCAATGGACGCCCGCTTCGGGTGCTGTTCGGTGAAGTGGCACGTTCGTTCCTACGTTCACGATGCGGGCTTGTTGACAAGCCGGGAGGGCCACGGCTTCTGCTTCCACCCTTGGTGGCGGGGACGCCAAGACTGTTGATGTTGACGTTGACAGAGGAAGCAGCGGGAGAGACTCTCGGGCGACGGCCCCGAGGCCAGGGAAGAGAATCATCCGAAGATGACTTGATGGAATAGGCGGATGACCCGACAGACGGCGGAGGTGCATTGAGACCCATCAGGAGGTTCGCCACATTGCTAGCAGTTGCGGAGGGGGCATCGCTGCCTTTGCTCCCGCGAGACGTTCTGCTTGTCTGAGAGCCGAAGCTCAAAACGCTGTCTGTAGGCAATGAAGGGGGAATGGACGACATAGTCGACGCGCTGTCGTCTACGTTAGGCATACTGCTTGCATTGCTGGGCATGACAGGAGCGCTCGCTTTGCCAAAGCTGAGCTTCCATTTCGAAGGCTTCTTGACGGGGACCTGTTGCGGTGCACTTGTGTTCGTGCCAGTTGATGACTTGGTCGCCGGAAGCGATGGAGGAGGGCGCGCTGGAAGGGATAGAAGAGGTGTTGGTACAGGGTACATGGCAACAGGCTCGAATGGTCGCCTACGTGAAGTAGAAGCAGACATTGAACTGGATCCTGACTTGACAGATCCATGCTTCGATGCGTGACTGAGCTCACGCGCAAGGGATTGCGACGCCACGGCGAGCGTTTCGAGGGTAGCATCTTGAGGGGTCGTCGGCGGCTGCGTGATACCCTTACCCTTTCTTGCGCCCCGCTTCCTCCGTTTGTTGGTCGATGTCGAGCGAAATTCCGTGCCTATGATACTCGTACCATCTGTCGTACCAGATGCCGCTGTGGCCAGGCTCTGATCAACATCTGCATCAACTTCCAACTCTTGAATCTGCTCCTCATCCATCACCGTCGACAGCTCGGCTGCAACCATCGCCTCCTCCCTCTCAAATGCTGGCCCAAGTGAAGGCGCCCTTGACAACGACCGGGTCTGACCACCAGCAGGTGTCAGCATAGCCATGTTCGATGCACATCTTGATGGTGGCCGTGAACAAGGCCTGTAAGAGATCTGCGTGGCTGTGGACAGCGGGTGAGCCCCGGTGAGACTTCCACTGCGACTATGTGCCACAGATCCGGGAACACCGAGGAGAGCAGGTAGGTCGCGCGCCCATTGACCGAACTCGGCTGCAGATATCCGCCGTGCATCATCCGATGGGTCTTCGAGAATACAGAAAACCCTCGTGGCGAGGAACTCTGCCACGGGACGGGTCATCCCTACGAAGCTGGACATTAGGAAGTAGACAGGGCGTTGCCTAAAATGCGTGAAAGAAGGGCAAGCTCCTTCGGAAGTATCTGTCCACGGATTGAAGTGGTACAACCTGTGGTGTTATTGTTAATTCAAATGGTGCGATACGTGAGAAGCAAAAGAACCCACATATTGATCAGCACTATGCCTAATGACCACACATCAGCTGCGCGAGGCTTGTAGATAGGTGCCATGTTGTTTCTGCATTCTGTAGTCCAAATGAGCCATCACGATCGCGCAAATGAGACGTGGTTGCCTACCGTAGCTCATATACGGTGCGCTCCCGCAATCCATATCAGACGAGTGGATATCGGTAGTTGATAAGCCAAAATCAGTCAACTTCACAATAACCTTACGCTCAATCCTTCCGTTCGGGAGCATTGAGTACCCGTCAGTGACGATAAAATTCTCGGGCTTGATATCACGGTGGAATACTTGCTGCGCATGACAGGCGGCAACAGCATCGCACATTTGGGCAAACATGGAAGAGATAAGGCGCAATCGGGTGCGGGAGAGGAGCTGGGAAGGATCGAGCGTGGACAGGAGGCTGGGCGTGGGCGGAGTGCGGGAAGGAGAGTCGGAGGGGTCAGTAGGGTAGTCAGACTCGTAGTGATCGCGAGCCTGTTCCAAAAAGTAAAAAAGGTCCTCGCCAGGAACGAATTCCAAGACGAGGAGAAGGAATGAAGACGTCTCAAGGGTGCGGTGAAGGGTGACAATGTTGGGATGAGCCTGCAGCGACTGGTGGATGGTGACCTGTGGACGAACATAACCGCGATAAGCCCACTACCGCTTTGACCCAAAAATAGCAACTTTTTTAGAGTTGATGCACTCACCTCGGACATTTGGGCGGCCAAAGCGTCGTCGTCAAGATTGGCCTTTGACAGACACTTGATAGCAAATTCACGACCATACTCTGTTCCCTGTTGACTTATGGGACCATCCATTTCCATGGACCCAAGAAGAGACATATGACCATGACCGTCGTCTGATGACGGGGAACGAGATAAGACTTCTCTAACCAGGTAGACTACAGCGTAGCTGCCGGTGCCAAGGCGCCGTACCACCTCGAATTCCTTGGCTGGTTCCACGTAGTCGGCTGCGCAAGATTGCGAGGTGGAGCCGATTGATACGAGGCGGATGGGCTCGCCCTGCAGCAGGGCATCCTCGCCGACGATGTCGCCGGGATAAAAGACGTCTTCTATTGTTGAAGAAGCGATAGAAGAGGCCCCGCTTGTCGGTCTCTCGACTGGAAGAGGCGTCGTGCCTGTGGGAAGGGGCGAAGGCAAAATCTGCCTGGACGAAATGTAGGGCGAACGTGGCAGCGGCAGCTTTGTAGATGGGGTAGGGGGTGAAGCAGAAGAAATGGATGAGTCCGAAGGTAAATTACGTGGAATATCGATTGGAGAGGGAGCAAAAAGAGGACGAATGGTTGAAGAGCGGGTTGAGGAGGACTTGGGGAGGGTTATTGGGTGGATATCATTCGGGCGACGGATATCTTTGAACTGAAAGTGCGAGAAAGGCTGCTGCTGAACTGGATACTGCAACATGGGGAGAACTGGAGTTGCTTGAATTCAGGAGACAAGACCTGCTGTGCTTGCTTCAACGGCCACGACGCATACAGTTCTCTTTTGAGGGAGGGTGGTGAGCACAATGAGGAGCTGGCGGACGGGTACGAGGAGGAGAAGGGGACTCACAAGAGGAGAAGAGAAGAGGGAGAGGGAGAGAGGAAGGGGATGGGGATGGGAGAAGGGAAAGAGAGGGATGTGACCATGTGGAGGTCGTGACTTGTTTGGGACGGGCACGCATGGCGCTTCAATCAATCATATCAAACAGCCCACATGCTCGGTTTTCCCAAAACATACACGTGTAAATACAACAAAATTCCCCAAAAATCACCAGTGGCTGTACTCGATGCCTGATCCACGATGCACCTGCACAATATCCTTACTCGGCCTTTACACGGTCGTCAAGACGGACAAAAGGCGCAATGCACCACTGGACGGCCATCATGCCGCCGGAACTGAAACCACATTGCGTGCTGCAAAGGTGTCCTCGTCCTCTGTCCAAATTGTAAGGTGTACCTGATAGCCCGGTTGCCTGGTTCATGTGCACGACGGACGTATAATAGCCTGATGTTCACAGACTACAAACTCCGGCTGCAGCATCCATAATTAGTACACAACCAGAGAAGAGAAGCAAGGCGATATAATAAACGTACTCTGTGCTTGTGGGGTCCCCAACGTGATGCCGACGTGCATCATCCGCAGCAACTCACTTTCCTCAAGCCCAGCCCTCGCTCGAGATTCTCGATAGGTTAAATGATCAGGGGCCTCGAGACTGCATGAAGTGCGAAATGCTTTCCTCTCCACCGACAGGTCAACCACCACGACGAGGCCACGTACGTGGTGGTTATCCGGCTTCAAAGCCATATCGCATTCCGCGAGCGTCGATTCATACCGCTTAACTCTTGTGTTTTACCCATGCCTTTCCACACCACTCGGCCATGCACAATGCGCGACTGCGAGCCTATAACTGTTGAGGTTGCGTGACGTCAAAACAAGGTCCAGATAGCCCATATGGCATACTTGGATTATCCGTGTCACATACTATAGCCGGCTACTGTACTCTTGATCCACTAGTCGCATGCTTGACTCCAAATACTGCTTCTGTTAGGACGAAACAAGCAATGATTAGCAAGGCAGGGCAAAATCTCGGTTGAAATGGTGAAACGAGATTCCCAAGGCCAGACAGCCAGACGCTAGTGGCCGATGCACCAAGGGACGATATGAAATAGTCCTCGCCACACACATACGCATACGTGTAAACTGAGATGAGACGCAATCGTAATGAAGGAACTCACCAAATACACATCGATCCCCCGAGCACATAACCCCTCGATAAACTTAGCGTACGCATCATACACCTCCTGGCGCTTTCGCTCCCGACCGCACCATCTCGCCTCAATTTCCGCCTGGTTACATCTCCTCACCGCTCCAACACCGCGCAGACTCACTAGATACTCTTCGTTCGCTTGTCGCACGGCCTCGACCAGCTCGACCGTGTGCGCTAACCGCGGTTCTTCCCTTCCCTCCGTATCTTCTTCCCGTCCTTCGCGATCGCGTAATGCATCGCCATCACCAACCTGGCCCACACTAGCCGCCACATTGTCATCTGGGTCCGCTTTGGCTTTCCCCTTTGTACCAGAAGCTCCACGCACGGGTTCGAGATGTCTCCAAGCCAACATGTTTACAGCTCCCGCCTCCATTCCCATGCACTCCCTCAACACAGTGAACAGGTGGCCCAAAGCCTCCTTTTTTAGCTCATCGGGGGACGGATGATTCTCGATCACTTCTTTCAACGCGGAGAATAACGATAATTTTGGTAGTGCTAGAAAACACAATGTACGGTTAGTATGATGATCTCCTATCCGTCTGGCATCATGAACATTGAGGGCATCAGGTTCAGGACCCAAGGTGCCAAGAAAAGAAAAGAGATAAAGGGCAATTCTCCGGCGAGCTAACGGCAACGGAAACGAAAGCTAAAACATCCGGGAAGTAGAATCGGCCCCGTGACAAAGTGGCAGAAACCAGTCTCAACAATACCGCCTGACTATCCCGCGACGGCCACTTGTCAAGAAACGAGAAGACAAGAATCCACGGGCATATATCCCTATCTCGACATAGGAAGGTTGCCAAGCAGCTAAGCTATAACGGCATTAAGCTCGCCTGAGAATTGGAGCCATGTGGACGACTCGCAGTCGTGTCGCTGCCAACGCTCGGCTAACGAGAACGAGGCCTACCCCAGAGGACGCCTCTTGAAGCCCGTAGGGAGGTACCGCTCCAGTGACTGAGGCGGTAGCGCCCCGTCCTCCGCCTACATGTGGCACAACGAAAGCCAGGACGCCAGAACGCCACAAACTGAGCCGATATGCCGATATCAGCTTCAAGGAGCCATTAAACCTCCCCCTGACAGGTTACAGGAACGTCTAACGCCCCCGTCAGTCCAGCGGAGGACGAGAGAAAACGTGATTCGCAGCAAGGATGACGATAGGCTGCAGCGACCCAAAGATAATATGGGTTTAAGCAGCCTGACGCCACAAACGCGGACGACGCTGAGTGGTGAACGGGGCGCACCACAAGGGGATCGGTACCGCAAACAGCGGAGCATGGATGCAACAAGTGATGATAAGAAGGGTATTAAATGTGTCATATGACGGTTTTAGAAGTGGACGTGGATAATAAAGGAAATGAAGCTCGAAGGGACGGGCAAAGAAGAGAAACGCCGCAAATAGAGAGACGCACCTTCTGCAGCAGCAGTGATCACTGTTTTAACGATAGCGCCTTTCATTATGTGCAGCCGAGCCGATTGACCCTCGCCCCCGTCCTGGTTAGCGATGCGTTCCATTTCGGCTTCTTCCTCCATGCCCTTTTCAACCGGACGGACGTCTTCCATGCCTTCATCTGCTCCTGCGACGAGGCTGGACAGCCCTGTATCCCTGTCTGCATCGTTGCTTACCTCCTCATGGTCTTTCTCTTTCCCTGATCTCCTACCCCCAGTCGATATAGTCCCCTTCTGTATTCCCAGCACCTCCCATCGCCTTCGCAATCCCTCAATAAAACTCAGTTCCATTCGCACCCATTCCCGCCACATGTCGACGCTTTCTTTGTTGAGTCGAATGCCTCTCTGCAGGAGAACGCGAGCCGCAGAAGGCGACTGAGATGTGGATAATTCGTGTTCGGCGGCGAGGATGTAAAGGGACGGTGTCGAAGGATGGAGATGTATCGCGCTAAAAGTCAAGAGCAGATTAGATGGCGGGATAGTACACCGACGCTAAGCCTTGAGGAATTAAGGTCCAAGGTTTGAATAGCTGCGACATAGATAAGATGAGCGAAACGAGCCACTCACACTCACCGTGCGCATATGCGGCCGACCAACGACCTGGCCCCTTCTTTCTTTGCAAGTTCAATGTATTGTATCCACAGTCCAACATCGTCTTTGAACTTTTTGAGCGCACGTTCAAAGATGTGAAATTGCCGGCGAACGATAGAATACGAGGATATCGTCGGGGGTCGCGTATCGATTTCTAAAGTGTATGAATTGAATTACCACAGTCCATTCCACGAGACGATTCAGAGACTCACTGAGCCTTTCTATTCGTTTCTTCCTGAGCTCTTCCAAGGTCATTTCATATGTCACATAGCGTATGTAGTCGGCCTTCTTCGCGACGCGTCGCACTAGTACGGTTTCGAACGCGGTACGTCGCTTCACGATTTCTTTAGTCTCTTGCTATGCAAATGGAGCGTATTAGCGAGACATCGCTCCGATATTGCGCATCGCGGCTCACTGGAGTAAAAATGCCTTTCTCTACTAAATCTTTGAGCTCATCGAGCATCTAGAAGCAAACCATTATCAACTGATCACTTCGCTGGTACTGAGTCAAATTACCTGCTCCTGCTCGAACTGAACTCTCTCCATGATGGCGAAGTTGAAGGGACAGTGGAAAGTAGAGATTGAGACCTCCTATGTCGAAACTTTTGTGGTCCACCTGTGGATGTTTGCCGTTTGCGGAAGGATATTCCCACGTGTCCACAAACACGGACACCAAACAGCGTCAGTCGCCGGTTGTTGAAGAACGTCCGCATCGTCTGCAAAAATGCCCAAACCACACAAATCCTCTGGCCAGAGCCAGCTCAGAGCTCATTCACGCAATTCCTCGGCTGCAAAACTTGGATTAAATCTGCAGCTTACGCAGAACGACCTCCAGCCAAGAAAAGGATACGCCCAATACGCCCATGAGCTCGTTTGTGCTATATCTGTTATCTGCACCGCTTCTTTTCTGATTCCCTTTCATGCAGAACCACACCACGAAACCGGCGATTCCACGAACGAATAGTGCCATTCGCGCTGTACCGAGCAAGGACCATGTCCCACCTGCCCAGCCGAAACGCAAGGTCTCAGAGCAGACACAACATAAGCTACACGTACCGAATTATCGACCGAATGGGAAACCCAAGGCTGGGTTCATGATAGCAAGCCCTGCGGACGAGGACGACGAGGACGATGAAGATGCTTGGATATCCACTGAAAGTGGTGCCGTCACTCCCAGCGGCCACGAATCGGAATCGGACGATTCTGACGCTGCCACTCAGGCGCGCACACCCATCGATAAGCCGAAAGTCGTCAAGCCCTTGAACAGTACTTACGATAAGCCCAAACCACCGCTGACACTCCATCTCGACGATCCCCGACCTCTGGATCGAGTAGAGCTTCTGACAAATGGCTTCTCTGATCTGACAGCCATCGAAGACCCAAGGAGGGATGCAGTTAAACCAGATGGTCCGACTACTACAGCCCGTCCGTTGGGAGAAGCTATACGTACAGCGCCTCCTGCCCATGACCAATTCCCAACGACAGCGGTCCAACAGGAAGTGACTCAGCTTCGACCACCGGAGCAACCCCCCTCTCCTTCCACGGCTCCTCCTTCGCCTATTCCCTCTGCACCGTCCTCTCGTCCAGCAAGCAAACGCTGGTCAAGACCACCATCCATGCTCTCCACAATCAGCAAAGCAGATCACCAACCCCATCCACTTCGCCCCCATCCCCTCATTCGTGGCAATTCATATGGCCAGCCGAGCCACTCCATTGCAAAGCCTACCCCGCTAGCCCCCCTCACCGTCATCTCTGAACCCTCTGCATCTAATTCACATTCGGCCGTAACCCTGACCGAAGAACGCTCAACCTCACCTACCAGTATGAAGACAGATACTGCTTCACCCGGCTCTCCGAGACATTCATATCGCCGCACCTCCGTTTCTTCCGCTCGTTCTGTCGCTACGCTCCCCGCCACATCCACCACCGCAACTCTTTCCCAACCCTGGACTCCATTAATGTATTCGCGCTCGAATGATCGCCAGCGCACGTTGTCCACCCTGTCTACATCATCCTCGTCCGCAGCCATATCTTCCCTTGCCCATCTTCCTTCCATCACGAGACCCCCGACTCCCCAGAAAGTCTCGTTTTTCCCCCCACTCAACCCATATTCGGATCCAGAGAAGATACACCCGCACCTTCCCTCGCCGTATGTGTTCGCACACGCAAGTGTCCTGGCAAAGAGAAATCCCCTTAGGGAGTCCTATGACCGTGTCATGCTCGCGAAGCACGCCAAATAAGCCGGCAGTAGTAAATAATGGATGCATCTATATTTTTTAACTTTGATTATGGCATGATAATGTGAGTCTATCTCTTCGCCGGCGTTGCTCTTTCCCCTCTCATCTCTTCCCTTGATAGTAGGTTCAGGAACATTCCGATTATATGTACCATAAGTAATAGTCACTTGGCATAGGACAGTGTCAGGAAGTCCACTCGTTTCGCTCTCGATACCATGTATATCAGTCCCATAGTTCTCAGGCGCACTTTCTTTGCTTTCAATGTTATCGTACATACGATCTGTACTTAGCGTGGGGGCTTGATACTCAGAAAGCCAGTCAGTGCTGCTGATTCTGGGTTAGGATTGATCATAGATCCAGTGAGAACTGACGGCAAGATCAACAGTTCTGCAAGTCCAGTAAAATTTACAACTTCGCCGGAACGCTAGAAGCCAGCAATCTGTATTCTTCTCTACACGCCGGGCCACGAAGCCGACCAATTTTCTATTGGTTACTCTTCTTCCTCATCGCTGCTGGATTCCGGGACGTCGTCGTCCTCGGAATCAGAAAGTCTCTGGTGATTTGGATTCGCGACTAGTAGATCCTCAGAGCTCCCGTTCCGGGTTTCTAACAGACTCTTATAAGCAAGAACAACCAGCCGCGTATGGGGGAAAGGGACCTTTGGTTTTCCTGGATTCTTCGTATTGCTTCTCCAGGTCGGCGATGATCGTGTCCTGCATGGCGAACACTTCTTCAGCGGTTGTGCATTCTCGGTATCTCTTGATATACAGCCTAAAGATGCCGTCAACCTGATTGAAACACAGACCATAGGCATACACCTACTCGTTAACTTTGTAAAAGCTTGCGCCCCAGCCAAATCCATCGAGCAGCTTTTCTGCATACTCGTCAAATCCAGTTATGTAAAACGCAGCAGCCAAAGCCTCGACGCAGTTCAGCCGCCATGGTTTGCCGTAGTTGGTGGGGTTGGTTGCCATTAGATACGGCACTGCGCTGAATGTAAGCCGACGATCAGCTGGTACATAAGGAGGGTACATACATAGTCGCTCGTTTGGGCTGGCTATTTTATTGAATGGGACGTCTTCCAGACGTGCCCAAGAGCATTCTACTACAGCCAGGCCATTGTTCTCGATTATTTCACGGTCAGATGGACTAATAACCCGGGTTCCTTTCGGCCTGTAACGTGAACTCAGCAATTTCTTACCACTTGACTACGGACTGAACCACTCACGATACGACGACGCCTCGGAATCGAGATCCCACTCTCAGTTCCTTGATTAAGCCCAAGCGTGACAGTTTCTTTCCTGAGCACCGTCGGGGATCGCAATGATCAAAGTCCTGAATAAAAACTCAGTGTATGAAGCCAGCGCGGGGGATAAGGCTCACCCACATGGCTACAGGAACTTTGATCTTGACCTCGGGTACTTCATCTCCTGGTAAAATTTTGAGCTACAGCTTAAACGACCGGCATAGTGAAGACCACCTACCTGTCTCCTCGTCTCCCTCTTCTTCGGCATTCTCTGGCGACATTTGGACGACGTCTGACGAACGTCCTTCCGAGAGGGATGCCTTCCAACGAGAGGGTCGACCTTTGTGTCCCGCGCCTCTCTTGTGAGATGACTTTGACGGTCCTTGTTTCGATCCTTTAGCCATTAGTGACCGTCGAGAACAAGTTGAAAAGATAAGATAAGATTGGACGTACTTCTCATATCATGTGACCGCCACGAACTCAAGTTGGGTCGCAGCAAGTCTTCGTGTCGCCAACCACGGTATTCATTTCTTCCTTCTAGACTTGCAGGTTCAACGATGTGGCTCTCGGATGCTCAGAGTATGTGTATCTTCCCAGCTCAAGCGCGAAATCTTGCCTAATCACGTATTTCTCGACAGAAATTGGCGTTGCTCTCACATCCTTTGGAGGGCTTTTCATGATGCTAGGCATTGTGCTCTTCTTTGACGGCGCCCTGCTTGCTCTTGGCAATGTGAGGGACACACACCGTTGAGAAGAATTGACGCTAATAGCATAAATGCAGCTCCTCTTCCTGTCTGGCATCACTCTAATTATTGGCCCAACGAAAACATTCTACTTCTTCGCGCGCAAGCAAAAGATTCGTGGGACAGCTTGTTTCCTGGGCGGCATCTTGCTCGTATTCCTCAAATGGCCGTTCATTGGAGTCATTGTTGAAGTATTTGGGTTCTTGAATCTATTTGGGTGCGTGAATGGTCAATCCTGTACGAGTTACTTCCACTAATTCGAACTCGGCGGCTGCAGGGACTTCTTCCCTGTTATCGTGACCTTCCTGCGTCAGCTTCCATTTATTGGGAACTTGCTCTCGTTACCGTTTATCAGCACAGTGAGTCTGCTTGGGAGGTTGCTGGGGTTACTCTAACTCTATATATTATATAATAGGTGGTAGATCGGGTAGCTGGGTCTCGTACGTCCGCTGTATGATCGTATCATTATCCAATTCTTTCGCATTGCTCCGCCGAACATACCTCCAGCAAATAGGCTCATCCCTCATGTTCAACAATATCAAGTCGCAAAAAAATACATATAGATCTGGTCATGAAGTCGTAGCATTCCCTAATATGATACATAATCTCAGGCAACCTCGATGTAGTCCGTGCTAGACTTCTCCTTCGGATTCTCACTTTCTTCCTCGGATGTCGATGAGCGGCGCTCGACTTTCTCCACGCGGCGTTGTTCGACTTCATCAATGGTGCGGAAGCGGAATTTCTCCTTGACAGTCTGATCAATGACGAGACCGCTGAAGATAGTGGTTAGCACGCGACATGAAGACCGAAGCGGAGGACATACGCCGCGTATATGGTCATCACGACATATCCTGTGAATGGTACGAGGTACGAGCGACGGGTGGACAAGCTGTCAGCGAGCGCGCCTTGCGAAGGTGGGTACCAAGCTCCCCCTCCAACCCCCTTGAGTACCAGTCAGCAGTGATCCCTACACCAAGGTGTTCGCGTCTATTTACCATTACGATTAGGGCGGAACCGTGCTTGGTGTGTACTCCGAGGTTCTTTGTGCCCAGTGTAAAAATACACTAATAGACGGGGATCAGTCACACTTGTGCGTAAGGCCCAGATGGGTAACTTGCCGGATAGCAAATCGATTCGAAGAAGAACAGAGCATATAAACTTCCAACGCCTCCCCAACCAGGAAGTAGAGCCACCAATAGCGAAAACAGCACGCACATGGAGGCGTAGAAAGTTAGCAGGAGTGCAGGGTCAACGTAGCGCAGGATCAGGACTCCGACGAAGCTAATTGCTAAGTAAGACTTCCATATCATACACAAGGAAATGAGACATACCGTCCTACGGTGAAGGTCACTTGGCACAGGGAAAACATTGTGCTAGCTTTCGAAGAACTGATACCGAGTCCTTGTTCCGTCAGGAAGTTGACCACAAATGAGGCGACGCCAACTTGTGCACCACTGAGTCATCCATGCGCTAGGTTCAGAAATGAACAGGTCGGCTAGGGTAGCAGAGGACGCACACATAACACATCTGTGCCACGAAACCAAAGATGCAGCGATATTGCTTCCAGAACGGCTCCTTATCGGATTCAATGCCCACTTCGTGAATCTCAGCCGCCAAAGCTTCTTCCGTTATCTCAGGCAGCGGGCAGAAGCTATCCCATGCATTTGTCAGAACGGAGATATGATCAGTGACCTAAGAAATAGACTCACTAGAACAGCACATTGAGCACAATCCCCAAACCCGCAACCGCGAGGTAAACCCTAAGTTATGTCATCAGTGATTCGTGTAGCGAAGGTTAGAATTCCGTAATCAGACTGTACCATTGAACAGTGTCTAGCTTCGTGGCATTCTCACCGAGGAAGAACCATCGTGCGGCGATAAGAGGTCCGGTGAAGCTAGCCACGCCCTGAAAACCCTGACTGAAGTTGAGACGCGCTGCAGCATATTTGGGGGAACCGAGAACAGAGATGTAGGAGTTAGCGGCGACCTCCAACGTAGCAAGACCGCAGCCTGGGGGAATATTTAGAACACGTTTTATATTTAGGGACTGATAACTCACCAATGACGAAAGTGCAACCAACAAACCCGCCATACTGTTGGAATTTTGCCGATGGCCAAAAGAATATTGCACCTGGAGATAAGGTGACTCAGAGGGGGTACGGGGAGGTAGAATATGGGTCATACCCAGACTATACAGCGACAAACCAAGGTGGATCCCTTTCTGTGAAGCAGTCAGCGAGATCTAATGTTATCCAACACGCGACGATAGGAATACCTTATACCCATATCTTCTCATCTGTAGTAAGTATTAGCCGAACAGGATCAATGTATATCTTGGAAGTGGTACGCACAAAAGCACCGGCAACCGGTGCAAAGAATATATATGCTCCCTTTTCAGAACTTAGTATACGAAACAACCGAAAGACGTGAACTGTCACGCACAAAGTAGGCGAATTGAAGGAGCGTTGACCTTGTCTTCGAGATATGAAATATGTCCTGAAAGTGGGCGTTGAGGACATCAAGCAGCTATGGTAATGATCCGTGAACATCATGGTCTAGTCGACGGTGCCGCTATACGTACGCCGTAAGCGAAGCCCCCTGTGTTGTATAAGACTCGGATGAATCCTCTAAAGTTCACCAGATATTAAAACGTACATGTGAAGAAGAGTGATGTGACGAGACTGAAGGCGAATAACCATTCTCCTCTTGACAACTGGGATCCTGTAGATGACGCGGTCAGTCGCAGAAGCAACAGGGGGCTGAATGGATCTACCTGTCGTTCCTTGGATAGCCATAGCACCTTCGTATGATGGGGCACTTCAAAGAGATAGAAACGCGGGCGTGGATCTTAAGAAGCCCTTGCATCGGCATTTGACCGGTTCATCGCACGCCAGTGGGGGAGGTGTGTGAAGAAGCTTTCGGTCACAGGTCTTGCGCAAGAGAGAAGTGATGTGTAGGGTTTCGGAGGTCAACCCATTTCAAGGAAATGCAGCAGCGGTCCGAGCCTCGATGTCAGTCTTTTGACAGAGGAGTGGGCCTAATGGATTTTGAAGGTCCATGACGGGCCGTCGTTTGTCAGAGGCTTACTAGCCGGTGGGGAATTTCTCCACGGACGTATGACTGGAATTAACGTCGGCATGCAACATGCCCTGCGGCAAAAGATTGCGCCAAGGCTAAGCATGGCCGCACTGATACTCGTTTAACGAGTGAAAATTTATCATATTAATATAACGCGTTTGATTCAACAGGCTGCAAAATGGATGGTTTCACGTGAGTAAAGGTATCTACCGCAAGTACACAACATACCATGAGGGATGAACTGCTGCAGTATCTCAAGGTCGGTTCCTAGTAGTATAACCTGAATCCCTGACTCCAGCCTACTGATACTGATCAGACTCGATATGGTGTCGTCAAAAGCCAGTTTCCGGGAGAAGGACGCCGACGGTGGCAAATTCGGGCGCTGAAAGAGCTCTGGAACGACCCAAACGCGTTGACAACCAATGCTGATTCCTTTTCAACACCGGTGGTGACTATACACGCGTATTTGGAGTCCAGATTCACCAGTATTGACGCGATTGCAGGAGGTACTGCAGGACCCCGATCCTTTTGATCACATCACAAAGGACTGCGCCGAGTTGGGCATCCTGCTGCGAACTGATTTTGCTAACGAGGCTGCATGGCAAGACTTCGTTGCCCGACTCCAAGCGGCAGAGAAAGACTTCATTGCGTCGTTGAAGGAACAAGAGACAGTCGCCGACAAATCAACTGAGGGAGATGGTGGTGGCGCAGACGAAAGCAAGATGGACGTCTCCGACTCGGAATCGGACGACGACGAGAGTTCCCCGATCATCAAACTCATCTCGCCGGATGCAGCAGACGAACGAGCTCGATTCACGAATATCTCGAACCTCACCGCGCTGCGCCTCTTCAACGATGTCGACATACGGCCTGCACCGACGCCATCAACTCCCAGGGACCGCATATCCCCTCCAAATCCACTCATAGATGTTCGAGGCTGGCAAGAGGTCTATTCTGGCGTTGGCCTCTGGATATACGACGCCAAGTCTAACACGGACCAATGTGTACGGCAAGTTAGCCAGGAAGGACATTTCTATGGCACAGCTACGTGAGGCCGATTTCTTCTGACTATGCGCCAGATCACTGATGAGTCGGTCACTAGCGGCGATAGCTGGCGCGCCAGAGTGTCGCATGTAAGCGAGCTGCAATTCAACATGGCAGTCTCAGGAATGAGAATCAACTTCGGGGAACTCGACCGTTGGGACTACAGCGAGAGGAAACGCAATCTCGATGAAGCGGCCACCCCCATATAGTTAGGCGTGCCAGTGCAACTAGTCATGAATAAAAACACATATGGACATCGCGCGCGTAAGAATAGTTGGAGTTAATTTTTGGGTTGTGCGGCGAATGGATGCACTACTGCATGTAGATAGAAGCACAAGACGCCTCGACCCCCTCAGCCAGCTCATGAGATCACAGTCCAGACCCGCAGTTTGTTATCCGTGAAACCAGCGAACAGTGTCTGACCATCGGCGGACCAGGCGATCGACACGCACTCGGGTTGCCGGGAGTCCTCACCAACGTCAGTGTAGGTAGGCTTGAGCTCATCGACGATGGACCTATACGTGAATGAGAAACGAGGAACGCCAACAGCTGGTAAGGCCAGCAAGACCCATTACTCACTTGCTCTCGAGATCGAATATCTTGACGCAGCTGCTGGTGGCAGCGCAGAGCCAGTAGCGGTTGGGGGAGAAGACGAGGGCATTGACGATGTCACCGGCTTCGAGCGAGTACAGGTGCTTGCCCTCGTTCAAGTCCCAGAGCATGGTTATGCCGTCCTTGCCACCTGAGGCGGCGAGGGAACCATCGGGGGAGACGGAGACGGTGTTGATGTAACCGGTGTGGCCGTAGTGATTGGTCTTTAGCTTGAACTTGGAGAGTTCCCAGACCTTTGAAAGAATTAATCAGTGGACAATTCTAACGAATGTAGAATCAAAATAAAATCAGAGATCTTGGTGGAAAATTAGTCTCATTGGGTGTATACCCTCTGAAGTAGCAAATATAATATTCTAACATCATCTAGACCTGAGCTGGGACGTGCAACTCACCTTGACAACTTTGTCCCATCCGCAGGACACGATAACTGGGTTGGAGACATTGGGGCTGAAGCGCACGCATGATACCCTTCAAAGGGATGCGTAAGAATTAGTGGGCTAAGTATCATCTTTCAACGCACCACTCAGAGTGGCCATCATCCTTTATGTCATATTTGCACTCTCCCAAAGTATTCCAGAGCTTGATGGATCGATCGCGCGAACCCGAGACGATCTGTCGGTTATCGGCGCTGAAGCTGACCGACAGGACATCGGAGGTATGACCAACGAAACGACGCGTCGTCATTCCAGTGTTGAGGTCCCAGAGACGGAGGGTGTGGTCCCATGAGGAAGAGAGCGCGAATTGGCCATCTGAAGAGATAACGACATCGGAAACGAAGTGGTTGTGGCCGTGGAGGATCCTTTTCGGGTATCCGTATGTGTCCTCATCACGGGTAAGCTGCCAGACGATGATAGTCTTGTCTGGTCAAGGCCACCTATATTAGACTGGTGAAAACATATGTTCAGAGGTGACAATCACCTCGGGATGCGGTCAGAATCATGTCTGGGTTTTCGGAGGAGGTGGCGATGGCGGTGACCCACCCCTTGTGGCCCTCCATGGTGCCGAGAAAGCGCAAAGATTCCGCCATATTGGATATTGAGTGTTGTAGCTGCGACGGTCAACGATGAGGCAGTCGACGATGAGCAACTTTCCGTCACAGCCAGCCACCGTGACCATGGGCTATACAGTTCTCGGGAGATCCCGTGTCACGCATATCTTGGATGTCGTTGGACTTGTTCAAACAGCTTTTCCGAAATTTCAGTGGTGAGCACGGAGTTTTCACGTTTGTCCCCTTCGTGATGCATGGATATTTATATTTGCTACTTCAGAGGGCTCTGCCCTATGAGACAACATTTCCACCAAGATCTCTGATTTATCTTGCCTCTCATTGCCGAAGCCAAGCTTTCTAACTCTCATTTTCCTAGGTATCGCCCCTCAGCTAAATGATCCTCCGTCCGATTCGAATAGAGAAGGAGTGACCAGCGTCGGTATCTGCGACATATAGAGTAGATCTGTGAATGTGAATACTACTTACTCTCTGACCTGCGTAATATACGAACTTCAGCACGGCCTGTGGCCCCTGTCTCGTTGGCGCCCTTAGATTTCGAGCGCCTGCGGCCAGGATATGTCTCGAACAGCCTTCAGAGTTCACCTTCGCTCAGATCAGATTGCATTCAGCGCCCGCTTCACTGAATTTTGCGGTTCACCACGACCACCCAAAGAGGCCAAAGACTTACCACCTGCCACCATTGACGCTGCGGTGAGGGAGGACTTTGGCTTCAAAACCACCAAGAATCAAAGGGATGGCCAAAAAGCTCGACCACTTCAGTGGCAAATTCTAGCATTTTTGTCAGACTTTTGTCCGGAAGACGGGCCAGAGGGGGCAAAGACGGGCCCCTATGCGGTTTTGGACGCATGGGAAGTGTCCGAATAAGGGCAGTAACCTCTACAGCCCACGTTGCGGCACCAAATAAATATGGACCCACAACTCTCACGGCTCTACCACCTTCCCAGCTTTATATATTGGCGCTTGTTTCTCAACCTCTTCCACCACATTCCCAACATTTGCCGCGTTCGCTGCCCCAGCTCCGAGCGCATTTTGATCTATTCACAACATCTCCTCCTCCGCGTACATTCGACGGCAGGATGCCCAAAGATACGAGCAATAAGAAACGGACCGATGGAAAACCCCCTCCACGACCTTCAAACCGCTTCTTCATCTACCGGGCAGAGCAAACGGCGCTCCACAAGAAGTTGAACCCTCATGACCATCAAACCGATATCTCGAAGATCATAGCTGAACGGTGGAAGCATGAATCACCGGAGGTTATAGCAAAGTACGAAGAGAAGGCCCAAGCCGCGAAAGCAAAGCATAAGCTTTTGTATCCCGATTACAAGTATCAGCCCAAGAGCAAGCAGCAGAAGCAGGTAGAACGCGAGGAGCAGAAGGCGAAACGGCCGACGAAGAAAACGCGCGCTGGTAGTACAAGTTCCCCCGCCCCAAGCTCAGTCGCTGCTACCCCCGTGCATACTCCCACCGTCCTCCCATATCCCCTCGTCCAGCCCAACGTGCCACATCCCGCTTTCCTCCCTCAGGCGAACCATCCAATGTATTATCCGCATCTTTACTACGGGAACGTGGGGCCTACACCCCCGTTGTCTGCAGCGCCAACTCCCACCGATGTTGACACCGACGAGCAACCCGACACACCAAATAACGCGTCTCCTTCTACATCGGCTTCAGGGAAACTTGCCGATGCCTCTTACTACTCGACTTCCATCCAGAATCCTCGACCTCAGTATCCCCCGGCTGTTGCTGAGAATTTGCTCCCGCCTACCGATTCTGAGGCTTCTCCGCCATCCGCCTCTACTTACGATTTCCAGTGGATGCAAAACTCAAGTAGTCTTTCTAACGATCAATTCAATTGGGATAATATCAATACCGATACTAGTCATGTATCACAGTCCGCGTCCCTCTCTCAAGTAAGTCCGTACAACATTTATAACCATTGAAGCTAACAACCGTCTCGTTAGGAGTCCTTCGATGTGCCTTCATCATCAGCCGGAGCCGAATTCTCCGAAAATATATGGGCGTATTTGAACGTACCAATTGGTGCCAACGACCCCAATTCTCTGGGCACCGCAGCTTCATCGTTGTACTGTCTTTCGGACTTTACGCCAGGCAATGAGCTAGAGATCACCCCAGGGAACGCCGAATTGACCGACTTGGCTCGTGTCTTCGGGGATGACTTCTCTACATCGACGGACCTGTTCTCCCCGGCTCTGAACGCGTCGTTCTCCTCTTCGCTATCGCAGAATGACTTCGCCAGCATGCCTTTCTTCACCGACAATACTACACCTTCCTCCCAAGTCTTGTCCTTGACGAGTTTCGCGTCATATAACACGGCGGAGCACTTGGAGCCACTCGACACTGGCGTCCAGGGCTCGTCGCGCCAAGTTTCCTACAACGACACGCCACCCGCCGCCACCGCCCAACAACCATCCACCTCGGGCGCGTCGTCTTCGTCCTATGTGCCTCCGCCCGGTGCTTCGCTTGCTGGCACTCGACGCGTCGCGGGCAGCTGGAAAATCCCTCGCGATTTCGATGCCTGAGTCCAAGTCCGGGTTGACTCCTGGACGCAGGCCTCACTTTCACTCTTCGCTTTCCTTTATATTCGTCCCATTCGCTTCGTATTGTCCCAATATTCATTGTTTTGTTGTCCTCGTGCTTTGAATGTGTATATTTGCTATCCACCGTCCCCTCCATCCACTCGCCTACCTATATAGGCGACGAATGACTCGCTCTTCCAGGGTTTCTGTCCTGCCACCTCATTGTTTTATACTCTATTATCTCGTTATGACTCTTACGCTTTCTATCCTATATATCTCTCAAGTACGCGTTCGCATGGAACAATGCTTTCACTTCCGTGCCATTTCTTCGTTTTATCGCTGCTCTCATATATCCTCCACCATCTCCTTTCGCGGTTACGCCACTGGAACGAAGCATTACCACCTCTGGACGTCGAACCGACCCGCCGATCAACAAAGCATCCCAATCCCTACCTCCCACCAATCTCTCTCATCCGCATCCCGCCAATTTCTACCATCCGCATCCCACCATCCTCTACCCTCCTCCCCGAACTCCCTTATCCATCAAAACAAGAACCCTCACTTCACGCGGCACGCGGCAGAGCATCGCTACGCATAGATCCGTTGATCCACCATCTCCCACGACATGTTTTTCTCCATATCATGCATTTACTGTACACTTGCTCCCATCATCAAAGAAACGCAATAATTTATCACTTATCTCGGGCAACTATGTACTTGGTATCGAATAAATAAATAAAAGCACTGGTGTATATTGTATATCGATATTTTTTGGAATATACTTTACTACCGGTGCACCAACGGCCAACGATCAACCCTAAGTAAAAAAACGCAGCATCTTTTCTTCGACAAAACTCAAAAGTACAGCAAGAGTGGATGATGACCATATATGGCTAGGCCGAAAATGGGAACAATGGAGGTCGGGGCAGCGGCAGTCAGGACAATGCAGCATCGAACAATGGAGAACCTGGCATCCTGAGAAAAAAGTGTTCAGTTGGCCTTCTAGAACATGAACTCACCTCACTAGACAATGGCTTGATGAAATTGCCTTGTAGTAAGAAAGGCAATTCAGGACTCGGGGACAATGAATTGGACATGAGGCCAGAGTGATTGGATATGAGATCAGGACGCATGGCGCGGCACACGTAGATTTCAAGGAAAATATACTGTTCCGACCGAGGACGCTTACGATTGCTTTCGCACCGTATCCAATTGACCGAGCCTTACAATGCCGGAAATAGGAAGGAAATCAATTATGGGCGCGAATTTATCCGTATTTGGTTGGATTTCGCTCCTTTTGGTAGCGAGTTGCCGACTTCTTGCTTCTACTTCTCCTACTTCACTTCGCCAGCTGCCTCGGTCGGCAAGCCAAAAGAGTGTATACCATGGTGCACTTGAGACTAGGACGTTGAATATGATATGAACAACAAAAGGACTAATGTGAAATTCTGTCATAGACCACAAGATAGAGTCAGACACTGCTTGTCCCTTGTCTCAGCGCGTATCACGACAGCTGCTGCGAGCTCCTAACGTTGTATAAATGGAGATGTAGTATTGGTTTGTCTTCCAGATACACCCCTCTGGCTATCTAACTCTCCAACTCTCGATTTCGATTACGTTGCACTATGTCGAAGGTTTCTATCGGGTCAGTTATTCTGCATTCAACGCGTCAACCCCAAACAAATGATCATGAATCACTTCTCCCCAGAAATTTGAGTTGGAACACCAACAACGATTCTCTTCGCGAGGTCAGTAGGGCGCCAAGGCTATTTCTACAATCCATCCTAACCATTGCCTAACTCGATTCATGACCAGCTCTTTTCCACGTACGGCGAGGTCGTTGACGTACGTCTTCACTTGGGTAGTCCCTGTGCTATGTCTTACAAACTTACCCCTTGTAGACCATCGTCATGCGCGATGCAGAAACTGGTCGATCCCGTGGCTTCGGCTTCATCACCTTCAGTAGTGAGGGAGAAGCCGCCGCCGCCGCCAAAGCTTTAGACAGATCGGAAGTCGACGGAAGACGGGTGAAGGTTATCGTTAGCGACAGTCGTCCCCTCTAATCCATAAGGTATGGATACTAATCTCATTCATTGATGCATATTCAAACTAAACGGTAGAGCCTCGTGAATTGCATTGTGAGTCGACTTTTACAAAATTAGGTCTCTACGATCGCTCACTAACGGGTCTTTAGTGGCTAGATGACCTCCGTAGAGCTCTGAACATCATTAACGCACCATTGTGTAAATATTTGTCCCCGACCTGTCTTTCGATCAGCCTAACGCATCGTGCTTGAGAGAGACTTGAGACCGTTTCACTCAGGAAGTAAAGCTAGATTACATAATAGCTTCTCGTCGGATATTCGGGTTTCGAACAAAATCAGCCCTTGAGTTCTGCAGGATAAATTCTGTGACTCAGTCATTGTCCACGACGATGGCGACGCTTCAAAATTTCCTGCGGTGTCGGGCGGTGCCCAGAACCCTCTCGACGCGATGCTTCTCGTCGACAAGACGCGTCTTTGCGCCAGATGAATCCGCCCCTAAGCCTCCACAACCACCAAAGCCAATTGATGACTCGACATCAGCATTGGACTACAAGCAGTCGCAGAGAACAAGGCCACCTCCTCTGCCTGCTATGGACCTACCGAGGTCGAGAACTGCGGAGGAGGCGGTGACCAACATCCTGTACAACACTCCTCCGCCCAGTTTACAACCCTTCAAAAAGTGCGTTTTTACGCTATGCTAGGCTCTGTTCTGACATCTCGGTGTTTACATTATAGGCACATCTTGAATTGTCTTGTGCAAAACGAACCTGGTGTCCTGTCTCGTGTCTCTGGAATCCTTGCAGGGAGAGGCTTCAACATTGATTCCTTGGTCGTCTGCCGGACCGAGATTCGCGACCTCAGTCGAATGTGCATCGTGTTAAGTGGACAAGATGGTGTCGTTGAACAAGCCCGGAGACAGCTTGAGGACCTGGTGCGTTCCTCGTGACCAACTTTCATTCAGCACGGGATAATTTACACTCTGACATTCAGGTTCCCGTATGGGCAGTCTTGGATTATACTGAGACGCGTACTATAAGTCGCGAGCTGTTGCTCGTCAAAGTGTCAACCTTAGGACAAGAGTACCTTGATGCTCAGCTCCTCGGTGGCCCCACACATGCCCCAGTCCAAATGTCCCCTTCTCATCCTCATCCGTCAAAACTGGAAAAGGAGGCAGAGTTGGCTCACCACTTCGAAGCGTCTGGTCACCCTGAGCCACCATTACAGCAACCCCTCACCCCGTCCGAAGCCCTCCGCCGCAGATACCAGCATCTGCAGTCAATAACCACCCTCGCTGAGCAATTCAGCGCCAAAATCGTTGATGTCAGTGAACACAGCGTCATCGTAGAACTGACTGCGAAGACAACCAGAGTGGAGGCCTTCTTGAGCTTATTGAAACCCTTTGGTATCCTCGAGGCTGCTCGGACTGGTGATTCTCACTGCGTACTTGTTACGGGCATTGCTCACACTTTTTACTTCAGGAATGATGGCCATGCCTCGCACACCTATCACCCAGTCTCCCGAGGATGACGAGTTCTCTGACGCGACTGGCGGATCTGTAGACGCAAGTCAACTCCCTCCTGGTTAAATGGTAAAAGGTAGTTAAAAAGGTAACATAATATGGATCCGCGGGCCGCGCCGGCGGTAGCTCGCTTCGAAGTGCTAGGGCAAGGATTCAGTGTATATTCCTAGACTAGGTAGATGGCTAGCTATTACTTGCGTAGAATCTATGAGCGCTAGGAGGGCGCATATGAGTTCTCATCGATATGCACCCAGTGCGTACACCGTAGTAAGCTCAGAGAATTAGGCGCGCGCCACGTCAGCAAGCCTATGACTGGTATTTAATCCGTTGATCTATGCTACTTGTCTGTCCCTCGTCCGTTACAGTAAGTACGAGAATCCCCAAGGTACTACATATTATGCACATCGTACGCCGCGAGACCGATGAAAAGGGAAAAAAGGAAATAGAGAAGTGCAAATAATTTACGCGATGCAATGCATGCGAAGAATATCAAAAATATACCTCGCGGCCAGGAAAGTTCTTAAAGTACTATGTCCGTGCTTGCGAAGGAAGGTTGCTTTTGTACATTTCCACTACTTGTTCGATCTTCTCTATCCACAATTGGGCAGTTGTTGCGTCTTCGGCAGCAAACGACTGGGATTTCATAGACTAAGAAGGTCTGATTAGTGGAGTGGCATTTTCCGAGAAACAGACGCCGCACGCACAGTGAGGACGACGAACTCTCTTCCCCCCTTCGATGCTACGCTCATGACGTATCCACGGATGTCTTTTCCTCGCTCCTTCGATTTCTCCGATGGTTTCAGGCTAAGTTCGTACTTCACATGAAGTGTGTCGCCGTGTTTTCTCCGCTGTTTGATGCACAGCAAACGCTTCGTAGTGAGAACGAGATGTCGCGTCTTTGGTTTGAAAGCGGTGACGGAACGAGCGATGAGTTTACTCGCGCGACGGCGAAGTGATCTTGACTCGACGAGCGATCTGAATAAAATCCTCTCTTCCTCCTGCAGCAATGGTAAGCTAAACTGAAGGTGATTAGTCCCGGTTAAAGCGACACAATGCGAACGTACATATCAGTGGACTTAATCGGGTCGTTGAATTCAAGAGGAGTTGGTAAGGTGCTACGGCCTCGTTCGTCATCCGCTTGTTCTGGGGGCATCGAGGATGGCGGCTTGGAGTAAAGCCCGAGTGAGTTCATAGCCAATCCCAATCTCTCTTCCGTTGCACCATCGGACGCAGTGGACGGCGTTCCAGGCGGCGAGTCCCCATCCTGCCCAGCAGACTGGCCTAACCTAGCTTCCGCAACCTCTTCTCGCACCGATTCGTGCTCCAATGGCGAAACACCCGCTACATTCTCAGCACGTGCATCCGAATAGTCAGCTATTTCGTCCATAGGTCCAATATCCACCACCGGTATAGGAACGGTGTTGTATCCGTTGGGTTGACCGAATCCGTTCTGCCGGGAGAATAGCGGCCCATGTCTGTCGGCATCGGATGCCCAGTTGATTTCGTCGTCATCGTCACCGTTGGTCATGTCGTCCCAGGTCGAGATGATGTCCTCCCAGTTGCCGCTTCCCTTGGCCAGGGGATGATCCTTCTGCAACATCCCAGGCTGTAGACGAGGCACCGATCCATTCCATAAGGTTTCCCATTCAATCACCGATAAGAATGGATGTGAACGCAAGGCGTGCATGTCATATGGAGTGCCAGGGGCACCGGCACCCAGGCGTTCAGTGGGTTCACGGACCTAGAAGAACCCGAGTAAGTCCACGGCCTAGCCAATTAGCGACTATAGGTACCAGAAGCTTCTGAACCAAGTCCTTCGCTTCCTCATCAAAACCTTCTGGGAAAGCATATTCGACCTTCTTAATCTTCTCCATAGTGATGTATGCAGAGAGGCCCTGGAAAGCGAAGCGACCCGCTATCATTTGGTATATGATACAACCCAATGCCCAGAAGTCCACGCTATAGAAAAATTAGAAAAAGCCATTTATTAGCAGCGTAAATCATTAATTACCTGAAGCTGGTTTCATTCTTTTGTATCATTTCCGGCGACACATATTGTGCAGTGCCCACGAAAGTTTGATCGGGCTCAGCTAGATAACGGTGTGGTATTAGAATAGATATGCCAAACAAGGTGCAAGACAGTAACGGACCCCCTGGTTCTAGAATCTTAGCCGTACCGAAATCGCATATTTTGATACGAAAGTTCTCGTCCAGGAGTAGGTTCTCCGGTTTGAGGTCCCTACCGGCGGCAAATTAGAGGCGAACTCTTTAGTGCACTTCCAACCTACCGGTGGACAACATTCTTAGCATGCATGAAGGCAAGGGCGTCGACGATCTGTGCGGAGTAGTAGCGAGCACATGTTATCGAGAGAGAGCCGATGCGAGACAAGAGTGTTTGCATCTCCCCGTTGGGAACGAGGTCGATTACAAAATCTTCGATTTTTTTTAGTTATCTGATATCTCTAGAACAAACCAAACGCACGTACATAATTGATATTGGTCGTGGAAGGCGTGGTGGAGCCTCACGATGCCAGGGTGACCAGAACTGAGCCTAACCAAGGCGTTCTTCTCGTCCAGAGCGGTAGACATCTTCCCCTTGCGTTTGAGGAATGCTTTATCCAACACTTTGACAGCAAATTCCTGGCCTGTTCGCAGATATGTTGCCCGTTTGACCTATGGTACGGTGAATATGTCTAGAACGGTCTCTCTTGGTAAACTCACCTCCGAATACGATCCCTCGCCCAATGTGGCCGCGAATGCGAAATCTCTGACCGATGGCAGACCTTGCGGTTTGCGAGAGCCCGAACGCGCGCGTGCCGTGGCTGCCTCGACTTCAGCAGGATCGTCCATCAAACCAAACTCCTTATTCAAGTACGCAGGAGGTTTAGAGGAGGCGCGGACACCTGATGGACTTCGTGGACTCCTGGAACGAGGCGAGGTGAAGGTACGCAGCGGCCGCGCCTTCGGAGTGGTCACGATATGTGGAGAGCCCGAGTCTGAGCTGGACGTCGAGATGACCGACGCATTCCTGCTGAGATCTGCTAGCGTCGGGGGGAACGTGAGCTCTGGAGACGGCTCGAGTTTGGGCATGAAGGCCCGCTTCAGGAATGAGAATTAGTGACCATTACTATCATTGTTAGTAGAGCGTAATAAGGGACCCATTACATTTGTTCCCACGGTCAGATCGACTTCGGCCGGATCCACTCCAAGCCTTGCGCTCAGAACGGCGTACAAGCAGCTGTCAAGCGGTGTTTCCGACGACGAACTTCAAACCAAGCCGACTGCGAGACACCGCCCGGATTGTGCACCACTGCGTCCTTACTGCCACGCGTTGCCAGACCAAGAGTCGTGCCAGAGGCGTGGACTGGGACGGGCTTCTCGAGAGCCAATAGCCGGTGCCCCTACCCCCTATCCCGCTTTAATACGCTTGAAAGGTTATCACCATACGGCCACTCCCCGAAGGGCGCGTAAAACAAGGTTATTTGATTTAACCCAGCCGCCCGCAGGTATACAAACATCCAAAGGTGGGTCGCAGATCGCGCACGGCTCAGGTTTTAGCGAGCTAGGACAGCGCAGCCAAGCAGTATTCCGGTGGCGTCTCTTAAACGAAGTCATCCTCGACATCCATTGTACACGGATCGAACCCCATACTGCAGGAGTTTTCTGTCTAAAAACATCCTTATCGTACGCTGCGTTTGCAAACGACGCGGCGATACGTACTTGATCATCTCGACTTTACTTATTTCAAATTTAACGCGATCCCGGTCGAAGGTCCCAATTCTGGAAGGAGAATTGCATGTTGCTGACGGGTGTGGCACAGCACATGACGGTCAAGACCAATGCACGGGATGCCCAGGCCAGCGAACTCTGAACGCAACACTTTCCAAAATAGGTATTTTTAGAGATACCATCGCGTTCAATCCCCGACACTCACACTGCTCATTCAACTCTGTCAACGTTGTGGTTCTTGGAAAGTAAGTCAAGGAAACGATAAGAATAAGCTCGAACAATGTAGCCGAAGTTAGTTAGGCCATCGGATCTGGAGCTACATATATAGAGAAAAGTTGGACAAGGCGCAGTGGGGCCAAGTAGAACGCGCCAGGTCCGCTCCGCTGCATCTGAGGACCACTGGGTGGGCCAAAAACGAGAACGTGTCGGCTTTGCTCGACCACCTGCATCAGGTGAAAGAGATGAATTTGATATGTAGTTCCGAGTGGTTGAAGCGGATCGTGTCCGAGCCAACCCCACTGCTTGACACACTCGCGCTCGAAAACGCTTCCGGTTCTCGTTTTGCAACCACATTCACACTTTCTGCAGATGCATTTCCAGCATTGTGAAATCTGACCTTGAAGTATTATATCTGTGCAAGCAACTCGGCATTATCTTTCATCCCTCTCCACTCTCTGGCCATCGACTGTACCTGTGTAACAGGGGGCGAGCTTCCAAACTCCACTGATTTCTTCTCCGCGATGAACAACCTTCCCCATCTATCGTCTCTCACTCTTACAAATGCTTTAGCACAACCAGTGGGACCGGCTCCTTCGCTGTCGATAAACCTCCCTAGCCTCACAGACCTATCCATCACGGATAACAATATGCATAATATTGCATGGATGGCATGTATCACGGCACCGTGTATTAAAACCATCAAACTCTGGTGCTCTGAAAAGCAAATAGAAGCAGAGCATTCTACGGCCATTGTCGCGGCCATATACCTAAACCTTCCCAATCTTACCGACAGCCATTGCCAGTTTGCACTGAGCCTCAACACTCGCCAATTGCACGATTACGTGCGTGTGCAAGCCTGGACGAAGCTCACAGAATTCGATGAAGATGCGCTTTCGCTGGTCTTTGATTTCAGAGTCCCTGGTACCAGCGATTTGCGGCTAGAGGAGTCTGTTTTGACCCTCTTTCCACCGACTAATGTACCACCTGTCCTGTGCTTTTCTTCCAATGCTACCACGTTCAGCGATGACGATTTGACCATCCCCCGTCAACGGATTCTCCGCCGACTCACCGAAAAGGGCAGTTGAAATTGCTAATCTCTCATCAGCGAGGGCAGCGGAGAGTGTAGCGAAACAGAGATGCAGCCTTACTTTGTACGCACTGCAAGAGTAAGAGTATCCTCCTTGAATTACAATCAGTGACTCGGGACCATGTGGTATCTCGTGTGGCGGATTGTCAAAGCGACTCCTGATCATCACTCGGACCATTGCGAATGTAAAGTTGTGGGACCCCTGGGTGAGAAATTTGACCACCCACAACGAACAAATAGGAGATGATATCCAAACCGTTAACAGTCAAAAATGAGACTAACATATTGCATATTGTAGATCCAAAGATGTTTACCCTACTAGTATTCGTTTTTTCTTTCCCCCAAGCAATAGCTTACATACGACCGCAATCAGGATGCTCGCCATATACTCCTTGCCTTGCCGTACGATTTTCGCCTGCAATCCGGGAATCTCACAGGATGCTCGTTGTGTTCCATCTACATATACCCTCTCGAAGCCTTTCAAAGTCCGCGGCGACACGTGATCACCGGCAATATTGAACCACCCACAACAGCCTACAACGCAGATGGACGACTTTGGGTTTGGATGCTGTGCTATACCCTCTGCAGGGTGGTAGATTCGAGTGAGTCACAGATTTGATTTCCAGAACACAACGTAGATTCTTTTTCTATCATCATCGATGGCGCACTCTGATGTTCATGAAACAACAGCGCCTGGTCATGAATTCGGATTCCTTATCTTCAGCCCCGTTGGATTCATCGAGATCCAGCGAGGATGAGGATATAAAAAGGGTGCCCTCTTCCTTCTCCTCAATAACAAGTAAAGAAATGACTGACGGTGATCACAACCGGAAACGGTAGTTTTATCTCTGTACAAACGATGACTGCAGATGCAGTTCGTGGCCTTCTTCGCAATCGGCTTCGGGAAGACGGCAAGGTTACCAGAGTCCCACAAATGGTGGTTCAAAGACTTCGCCTCAGCTCTGTCAATGAAGCATTTGTTGACTCTTGTCGAGATGCCTGTGTTGTCGAGTGCGCCAAGAAACTTGACGAATTAGAGACGCTGGCAAGTAAAGCCGATCTAAAAAAAGGCATGGATAGACAACGAGATGAGAAGAAGATGTATCCTGCCTTGGTATGTTTAGATCCAACCCAAAAGACATGTTTTTTACGCTTCAGTATGTGCAGAACAAGCTATTCGAGTTCATAGCCACCTATCGTCACGACTCGCAAGATAGCTCTAGCAGAGGGACGTTTCGTTGCTCGGCAAAGGCAGGCATCAAGGGCGAAGAGCATACCGCAGGCTTTCCTCTAACGTACCCCGATGGCGCGGCTCTTACAAGGGGCTGCACTCCTGACTCATTCTACTGGCGCGACGTACGCGCGTTTGTGGAGTGTAAAGCGAGCACACTTCAAGGGGAACCTAGCAGAACAACGACGGTGCCTGAAACAGTGGTCCAAGGCGCCGATTATGCGCGTCTTCATTTGTCTGCCGATCCTTTCCGCGTGTTCTCGGTGGGACTGCTGATCTACGGCTTTCGCTTCATGGTTGCCATATTCGATCAAGACGGCGTCTGCCTTTCAGATCCCTACCACCTTCGCAATGACCTGGATGTCTTCATTCGAGTTGTATACCAACTAGGTCATGGCCTATCAGATGTCGAGCTGGGTCGTGATCCGACCGTTGAACAATTGCATTTGCCAGAGGACTCCCAGCTTCGCAAGACCCTCGACGAGCTGTCGGAGGAACAAGGCATGCCAACCGCTTCAAAAAAATTCCCGTCGTACAAGATTACACTCAAGACTAGTGATACTTACTTGATGGACGGTGCTACGAAGCGTCAGGAGACTGACGCAACCACATGGGTGACGATAGGCCCACCGATATGGAGTTCACTATCCTACTTGGGACGAGGTACCACAGTGTGGCGAGTGGTAGCCATGGATGGCAGCGATATTCCTCGTCCATGGGAGGTCCTCATCCTTAAGAATGCGTGGCGACGCAGTCACCGTGACTCCGAATCCAACATCTATGTGACTTTGGTGCGTGCGATGGCAGCTGATCCGCTTCGTACCCATCGTAAAGGAATTGCTGAGTTCAGGGTTGGAGCGGATGTCACCTTTCCAGGACGCGGTGAAGCTATCAGCGTCAACAACCTACGCTACCTCTTCCTAGGCGGTTCAATCATCCCTCCGCCTGCGCCGCAGACACCTATTCTACACCGACTCGTACTTGCGACGCAGGGTCGAGCTTTATGGTATTGCGAGAACCTGAAGGGACTTCTTCGGGGTATGGGAGCGGCACTACAAGGTGTGTCGCACCTTGGCTCTACTCAGTATCGCGAACGCTCATTTTGTAGGCCATAAATTCTTGGTTTCGAAGGGCGTTCTACATCGCGATATCAGCGCTGGTAACATTATGCTATCGTCGTCGGACAACCCACCCAATGGAATGGAAGGGTTTTTGATGGACCTAGAGTACGCCAGGCTCAATACAATTACGGAAATCCACTCGATGAAGATTGCGCCAGACGCTGCCACAAGCGCGACACACACGGTTTTCAAAGACGCAAAGCGTGGTGCTGAAATGACAGTGAGTTCGCTTTCTCATGTGATATTTAGAATGACACTCTTTCCGCAGGGCACCCTTCAGTTTATGGCGGCTGAGCTCTTAGAAGGGTTAGGGCAAAAAGTTCGGCATGAAGTCCATCATGACCTAGAATCATTCGTATGGGTCCTGGCATACGCCGTCAGCCGACACCTACAACGTCAGTCGGGCCTCGCTGAAGCAGTGAAGGCAGAATTAAGGGAGCACTTTGTGCGATCCTATGGGCGTTTCCTTTTCACGGACATAAACGATGCTCGTGTCAGCCTCCGACCACTTAGACCGCCGGCGGCCTATCAAGAGATGCTGCCTCAAGGGATGCACAACTTATACGTAGGGCTTAGAGCTGCACTGAATGCACAGTTCGCCTATATCTGTGGACGGGAGCCCAAGCCTTTGACGCATGACGTGCTCCTCGAGCTCTTCGATACCGCATATCACTCTTTGTAAATCAAAATTGACGGAGAAGGGATCTGGAAATATAGATGCCTCCTGCGTTACGCACCACATACGTCGTACACATGCGTTGCTTCAGAATGTCTAGAATAAAGATTTGAACTGTCAGCCTGCTTTGGGCAAACTACCTTGTAGAACTACCTGGTTGGGTTCCCCCGGTGCCAGTTGCTGCTCTGCACGCCCCGTGGAAATTGCGAGAATGCGGCCAAACAGTGATTCATAAACACCCGTCGGCCAGTCTCCAGCGCCGCCTTCCAACCCATGGACAATCTATCGACTTTATGCGTCGGCGACACAGACAGCGATACCAAGGAACCAACGAGGTAACAATCGCGCCTGCTCCAGTGGTCACGATATTCTCTGTAAATGTTTCCCGTTTCTCTGTAAATGTTACAACATACAATATTCTACCACTTTTGTCACTGGATTCCATAACTAACCGACACCTTATAGTGATCCTGCCTCAGCACTAGAGCATCAGCAGCAACTCGCAGTGTGCCACAAACTCCCGAAAAGAGAAGACGAGGAACATATACTACGCACATGCCGGATCCCGGAAGCCCATCGTTGTAGTAGACATCATGACGAGAACGGTTTCGAGAACGTTGACGCGAACTTATTGGCTCCTACAGCTGTGAGTCCTTCAGAGACTATGACTCTGCTGGATTGTTCACGTCTATATACAGAAGACACCGCTACATCGGCCAATCCTGCCACGCACACCCATCGCCGCATCTACTCAATGGCAGAACAATCAACCCCACACCTTTTGTTGGCGCGTACCTCTGGCGAAATCATTGCAAGCATCGACTGTGCACAATGTAACCCTTCCTCCCGCTCCTTTGGGCCTTCACTCTCTCGCCCAAATTGCTCAGAGGGAATGCGAACGCGCTGAACGAGTCCAGCCCGCCGGCAGTCCTCCGGTATGGAACACTCCAACACCAGCCGTAGCGCCCCTATTTATCAACCGTCGATCTATTGCGCAAAGAGCTCGTAGGGAACGCGAACGCGCTCAACGAATGGCGGAGGCCGCTAATATTGCTCAGTGCCCAACTGACCCGCCGAATGGCCAGAGTATAAATCGGCGATCTCTTGCACAGCGAGCTCGGAGGGAACGGGAACGAGAGGAGGCGCGGCGTGCGAAGGCCGACTGTATGGCAAACGCCCACCAAGGTGCACTTGAGTTGGAGGCGACAACGCCAGAAGGGCTTGCACTTCCCAATTGTCGATCCCTGGCTCAAAGAGCGAGGGGAGAGCGAGAGCGCTTGCAATAGTCACCAAGTCAATGAATACCCCATCTACGACGGCGCCAGATACTTCTGATAAGTCCATGCAGCGGCCATCTGAATTCCACCACAAATGCCCAATACTCTGTAACCGAATCAGGGCCGTCGAGTACAGACACCAAACTCAATACTCGCTCAGATACATGCCAAACGAGACCACCTGGTCCAGGTAAGTATGCTTATTGGTGACCTACAGTATGTAGGTTCAGATACGGTTCAGATGCTGACCTGTGACTCAGGTCTAAGTGCCCGTCAAAAGCTAGATGACGGGTGCTTATTCGGTTCAAGGACGAACCTGCCGCTCAAGCAGAACGAGTTAAAAGTAACATACAAAAGTCGAAGGCACGAAGTCCAACTTCTGCACAGTAGAAACAGAATATAATTAAGTTGACTAGTAGAGGAGGTCAGCTTCAGTCTTTGACATTACCAAGTACCGTACGAGCTAGTCGAATATACTCATCAGCCACTGCCTTCTCTTTCCCCTCACTCCCAGATATCTTCTCCCAATGTGCCAGACCACTTTCGACCAATGTCCACGCCTCTGCGTCCGAGTGCTCGTCCACCCAGCGAACGTATTCAGCCTCCTGCCAACCGTGAAGACTGTGCGGTAGAGGTATAGGTGACCGAACAAGGATGTGATGCAATACAATCAGTGGTGGCAAGCCTGCGGTGTACTTTGGCTCGGCCAACTGGGAGTTCTCGAGGAAGAGCAACGGCCTATAAAATCGTAATCAGCGCCTATGAGGACACGACTGAGAAGGGGGACCAACCGTAATGCACGAAGCGTGCGATAGTCTTCTCCAACGGTTTCAAGGTCTCCCCCTCGTTTGTTTTGACCGCGGTCAACCATAAGGGCGTTCAAAGCAAACTCAAGCTCCGTCATGTCACTCGTGAGCTGGAGCTTCCCACTTTCGCCGAGGGGCTTTGCGATGGAGACATGCAAGACGAATGTTCGAATCACATATTGAACGATGGACACAACCCTTGAGTTATGATTGGTTAGTATGAAGTATGCGCTCGGAGGGGGCGCAGGGTTGGTCCCTTACCATGGCTTGGTGATTTCCCCGATATTGATAGTTGGTAGAATTTCCGCTTTCACGAACGCGAGTTTTTCGACGAGGTCTTTCATGTAGATGCTTGCGCCGCCAAGACCAGTCATCGAGTCGATGGACTTGCTGAGGTCGACGCGATGGAGGCGCGCAATAATCGCGGCAACTTCTCTCCGAATGGCGGTCAGCGTAGGGTCAATGATCCGCTGGAAAGCAAGTTGCATGTTCTAGATGAGGTCCGCGAATCAGCCGAGAGTTCAAGGCTATCGTGATGACCTACGTCGATGCTGGGTTTGAGGATGGCATACACGCTATCGGTGTATTCCGATGCAAGTTTTTGTAGCCGCGTCCAACAGTGATACAGGAAATTGACAATCTGACCATTCGTGATTTGCTGAACTGAAGCCGTTGGGCCTACTAAAGACACCGCCGAACGATCTCGCACCACCTACAAATCGCGCCGCACAAACGAGGGTTAGCATCGGAAATGGACTCTTGGATAGTTGCCTACTAATGGGTCTATCCTGGTCAGCATCATATCCAAGGAAGTCACCGCGTTCTTCGCCACTGATCGAACGAGTAATGGATCAAAGCGCGCGGAATCGAGCTCATTGACCACTGCACGAGCAACATTCGTGCCTTCCGTCAAACCTGGAGGATTGCGTGTTCCTCCCGCCAAGGCTTGCCCCACAGTCTCATTGAGTTTATTTGCCGATCGAGAAAGGTATAATGATTCAAAGTTCGATAAAGCCCGGAGGATGAGCACCGTCTCTGGACTATTGAATGTTGAGTATGTGGCTACTCGGGGAGTATAGCGCTACCATACCTTTGGAATTTGTGGGTATATATAGTATCCGTGTGTACCGCAATCTTGGCGAAGAACTCGTGAAAGAGGCGCAGCAAGCGTGGATACCCGGTGCTCAGCGTTTGTTGCAAGAACGATGAATCTGGCATCCAGTCAACAATTGAAATCTATTGATGTACTAAAATACTAACTCTTGGATGCGTCTCGTGCATGCTTCTCGAGAGACCGGCTGAGTGATGTCCAGAATGAAGCGCTAGGCGTGTTCTCTAGAAGCTAGTACTTCGTCAGATACATCCGAAACCGTGGATGACGAGAAACTACCTTCATAGTCTCATCCAAAAAGACAACATGAGTTACGGTGTCTTTCTTGATCTTGAGGACCTTTTCTAACGTGTAGACCTTATCACAGCACCCTGCCATTTCCTCGATCATATTCTCTAGGCGGGACCATAGTGCGGCAGCATATTGAGGAACGGTCAAATTTGTTGGCTCTGTGCGGACCCGCGACCTGTACAACGTCGGTGGCGACTGTGCATTGTTAGACATAGGTTCTATTGATTCGTGAGTACGATAAACTGTGTTCAAGGAAGGTACAAATACCTTTGGAAACTTCTTTCGATATACGTGACAGGTCGAACGCGTTATGAATACGTTCTTCGACCGCTTGTGACAAGTCAGATATGAGATTCTGTACGAGATCAGGAAGGATACGAAGATTGTACGCCGTTTGGAGGGAGGATGCAAGAAGGGATTGGTCCAGTGTCGTCAGGCCATTGATGACCATGGTTTGCATCTCGTCGGTCACCTTGTCACGCGACTCTTCGATGAAGGGGATATGAGCTGCGACTGCCTTGATCGAGCGAAGCGAGATATTGGATTCATCGGGGCTGGCAGTGGGTGGGTCAAGCAGGGCGACTGTAACTCGAAAGTTCAATGATATTTCAGCGACTAGAGACGAACGGCCTCACCTAGTTCAGCGATGCTGAGAGCGGCTTTGGCAATCGTACGCTCCTTCTCGTCCTCTCCCTCAATGGTCACGGTTGCAGTGTCCTCCTTGTTCGGGCTGTTCATGTCGACCATTTGAACGTGAAGCCGACGCGTAAGTATGACGAAGCGTGACGTTCTACGAAGGAGGTCCGAGGCTGTCTGTAGTTTCTGCAACCGTGACGCGTGAGTCTGCAGTGCTGTATACGGTGTCCGTACTTTCTGGGTCAACCTGTAATGTCGGTTACACGGGGATTCGAGGGAGACGAATGGACTCACTTCTCCATCGATTTGTCGAGCTCCGCAAGCCCTGACCGCACCGAAGTAATTGAGCTACCGAGGTCATTTGCGCGAGCTACTTGCGCGAGCAGCTCTTGGTGGTGATCCGTAACCTATTCGCCTCGAATATATTTTACATGGTGATCTAACAAAGGCCAGCCGTGACTCACCAGGGCTTTGATCTGTTTGGATACATCATCTACTCCAGCATCCAGCTTCGCGATGGCCTCTGAGATGTCCTCCTTCGCCGGAGGTTCTGGCTGCGACTTAAGTGCGTCTCCCGAAAGGATCGAGTTCGCGAATTCATTGGGGTCAAATTCTAGATTCGCGAATACCGAGTATTCGGCCTTTAGGGCTGCCATACTTGATGAATCGCTGAACGGTCAGTTACTTCAGTGGCTCAAGCAGTCTGGACTCTGAAAATTCCGCAACTGCGACCGATGTCGAGACTGAGGCTGGTGGAATCCTGTGAAAATGGTGCGCCACAGAGCTTTGCGGTATTAGGGCGTGCAAGTAACGGATATACTTCTGGACCTGGGCTTCGAGGCAAAGGTAGAAAGCAAGTTCATGAATTGATGATGTGCGCAACAATGAATAGTCACATACTCCTATCTTTGCACGTGACTGCTATAAATGTTTTCTACTGGTGCACTCTTGCCCAAAGCCTCTCCTCGATAGTCCTCGATTCTTGCGGAGCATGGGCTGGAGCGGCGTGACCGGCTTACGCGTCCTCGTTTCCGTCTCCTCCACTTGTAACTGGCTCGTCTCTAAACACGTTTTCTCTCAGGACCCCCACCATCAAATCAATGTGACCTCTGCTGCCTTCTGCAATGCGGCGATTGTGTATGGCATTTCTCAGATCCGAGAATCAAGCAAGACACAGTCAAAATTGGCGCCTGCCGCTGTCGCCCTGCACTCAGAGTCTCCGCGTCGCCTCCAACTCGGACACCGCCCATGGCTTGACGTCACATGATAGCTGATTTAAGAGTCCGGGAAAGCAAGGATACACCATCTGAACTCTCATCTGCACCACCAGATGGCCTACAACTACTACAGAAATGCGCTTCCTGGCTGGGGGACATCTCAGGTCAGCATAGTCGTGGTGCCCGGTGCCGGATCGTCCTGAATCTAAACCCATGATGTGACACAGTTCCAGTTCGGCGCCCCGCCGCCCCCCACCTTCCAACCCCAGCCTGGCTGTAGGTTCACGTCAATCTATCTGTCTGAGTGGTCACTGACATATTGGGTTTATTTTGACTTGATGCATTACGAATCCACTACTCGACCTTTCACATACTTAAACGCTGGAAGGGGGAGGCATGGACTACTACCGCGCCCATGCAGTCTCTCCAGACCCGTAAGCCCACTTCTTCATACTCCTCCCGCCCCCGCCCCTCGAACCCCCTGCCTGCACCCACCCCTCCCGCTCCTCTATCGCAACCATCTTCCTCCAACCCCACCACCGCAGGGTCCCACAAACTCCCAAAATCCATTCTTAAAAAATCCGAGTCTATGTACATCTCACAGCAACCTTCTCACAAAACTGAATCCCATAGATCACTCTATGATCATGCCTGGGGACGAGTGAGAAATTACCAGCCCGGCATGCACGGACTAGGCGTCGGGTTGAACGAGGCTAGACACTGGCATCGCCGAGCGTATGGCGGCTTGGTGGGTATCTGTCCATCACACAAACTTGCGCCCTGACTGTTTTCCTTCATTCAGGGTGAACTTACTACCATGAGACCGACAGAGATTGGACATGCTGCCGCCTATGAAGCCTATCGTACTTGGATTCACAACAGCTCAATATACGAGCCACTGAGTGGGGATTTGGAAAGGCAGCGTGAAGGCCTGATAGGCCTCGCAATCGCTGAAGGTGCCTCGCTTCCGGCTTGTGTCATGGAAACAGACTGACGAACAAATTTAGCTGCGCGTTTATTGCAGTATACGCAATCCCCTTACGATACTTACGCTAGGACGGAAGCGTCAGATGCCGCTGCCGCAACCGCATCGATCATCTTCTACCAGGTACGCCCACAGCATTGACACCATCATAATGTTCTAACGATCACTTAGTCTCGCGAGGATGGCCAAGACGAATATCGTTCTAGACCTCGCTCCCGCGCTGGCTCGTTCACTGGTGGTTCTGGCTATGCATCATCTATTGGCGGTGATCCGTACGCTCTGGATGATCCACTACTGTCCTCACGAAGATACCGCTCTCGTTCTCGCCATCGTTCCTTGTCCCGTGGCCGTGGCTCTCCAACCATCATAAACCTTCCTCCCCAGATGCCCCCTGGCGGGATGCCTTACGGTCAGGCAGGCTCTGCCTACGGTATGCCACCTCCTGTTGGTGGATATCCTCCAATGGGTGGAGGGTATCCTGGCAGTGCAGGATCCTATGGGTCCTTCGGCTCGCCATATGGTTCATCCTTCCCTCCAGAAAATGCTGCCATGCAACCTGGCGTTGGCGGGTTTGCTGGTGGCGCTCCAGGATATGGGCCTAGTTACGCAGGTAGCGCCTTTGGCGGTAGTGCGTACGGCGCGGGTATGCCCATGATGAACCCATCCGCGTCGATGGGCTATGGTCAGCAGCCGTATATGATGCAGCAACCTATGATGGGTGGTATGCCACCAGCTGCTGGCCCTACTACCGTGATTCTCCAATCCAGCAGGCGTAAACATAGGCACCGCCATCGAAGAAGTTCCGATGGATATGCCTCCGATTGAAAACAATTCCGATGATTGTTTAAGGGCGCGCAGCCCTCTTTGCCTCCCTGCACGACTCCACTTTTTCCCATCTGACAACCTAAATCAGCGATTGTTCTCGTTGTACATGTATGTTCTACTAGCTTTTTGAAGACAACCCATGCCGCTTTGTTTTAATCGATAGACCTTATCTATCTTGGACAAAACGGCCTTCTGAGTACCACAAACAAGCCTCGAGGCACGATGATAGCAAGATAACAGCAGTCACTGAGTCAGGTTAGGCAACTAGTCGATGAGAATAATTGATAGCCGTGTTCGCCAATCCATTTTAACTTCTATACTTGGCAATGCAAGCCTCGTGGATTACGTCCTGCATGGGTCACGCGTGACATGATGTCACTATAAGTGATTTTCGGACTGGGTTCGCCAAATCCACCGCCTTTTGCTCTTCGCCACCATCCACAACACCGACGACATCGACGACGACGACGAGCAGGATGCCCATGGCACCACTTCTTGCGTCGCACGCCCTCGAGCTGGCGCTGTTCATCCTCAGAATCGTATCTCCTTCACTTGTCTTCATAGCGACACTTTCGTTGGTCACGACTCGTCCCCAGCCGTCCGAACCGTCCGAACCGTCGCCCATAACTCCGGTCGTCGTCGCTAAACGTGTTCCCCGTCGAGCATTGATCCTTTCCTTCCTTTCCTTGTCTGCTCTTTCTTTCCTTGTCGATGGTTTGACTTTCGTTGTGTATGCTGTATTTTACAAAACGTGGCCCTCCAACACCGGAATCGAGTTCAACGCCGTCATTGGTCTCGCGTCTTTCGCTGGATTGGCGGCGCTGGGGGCTTGGAAGGACGTGTCTGGCGTTGAAGTCTGGTCGTTCAAGCGGGTGAGGACTGCAATCATTCTGTCGCTTGGACTTGACCTCGCGACTGTGGTGGCCTTCGGCCTCTCCCTCCGTTCTCTGCAACGCCGTGAGTCACGCGACATCTAAAAGAACGCAAATAATTGATCCTTCTATCACTAGATCCTCCTCCTCACATTCCAGAAAAGGATTTCCACCTCCCCCTGGATGCACTGCTTCATTTCGCTTTCCCAGCCTTCCGTGTTCTTCTATTGGTTCCATTATCTTTTGCTCTATTTACGCCCCGCGTCGTGTACACATATACGCACGCCGATGAAGAGGTTGAAGATGTCCCTACAGCATCGTCCTTCCTTTTGCCCCCGGAGTCTGGCGCGCGTCCGTCAAATGGCCTATCATATGGAAGCGATCTGTCGGGCGACGCCAGTAAGTACGGCACCTTCCGCGCTTCTCGCACCACCACGACTCTGCATCGATCTACGCCAACAACCCGTGCCACCACCCCAGTTCCTCGCGAAGCCAAGGTATGCCCTACAACATACGGAGTTTGACTGCGCATTTAATAGATTCTGTCATCTAGCCGGAGGCGAAGTCAGACATCGTTTTGGACCCATCTTGGTCCGAGATTTGGCGTCGCATTCGCCGCCTTTCCCCTTATCTGTGGCCCTCCAAGAGCCGTCCGCTACAGGGACTCGCGGTACGAGCTCGATCATACTCCCTCATCTTTTCACTCATGTGACCCCGATTAGTTCATCTGTATCATTATACTGCTTATTGGGCGAGTTATAACTTTTCTCGTGCCTTACACACTAGGTGCCCTAGTCGATACATTCGAAGATCCTGCGAGAGGCCGCTCGCCATGGCCATACCTGTTTGCCTATGTCGGCCTGCGCTTCCTCCAAGGCAGCGGTGGTCTATCCGCTCTCCGTGATGTACGTATTTCACGCTATTTCTCGATTGAACGTCACCAACCTTGCGCGTGTAGGCCATCTGGGCTCCTGTTATGCAATACTCTGATCGAGGTACGTACATCAACGTTAGCATGAGTTTGAGGAACTGACTTCCTGGTACAGAGATGTCGCAACTTTCATTTGATCATTTACTGAATCTCTCATATTCATTCCACACCCGACGAAAGACTGGAGAGATTCTGCGCATCCTCGATCGTGGTGCAGCAATCAACCATACGCTCGAGGTATGTCTATTTCTAAGTTAATCAACATCAATGAATGACGCATGTTCGCAGCTCATCCTTTTCAACATCATCCCCATCTTCATTGATATATTCGTGGCTATCATCGTATTCTGTGTGCAGTTTGACTGGACCCTTGGTCTCGTCATCTTCCTCGTTATAGCCGCCTACAGTACGTTTTTCTGGTGACGTTATTTTATTGACGTACGTGCTCATATTTTTATCTTTTAGTCACTGCTAGCATAGGTTTGACAAGTTGGCGCACGAAGTTGAGACGGGAGATGAATGAACGTGATGTGGTATGTATACTATTCAGGGAACACAGCCATGCGTAGCCTAACTCCAGTCAACAGGTTACGCGCGGTATTCATACCGATTGCCTCCTTAATTACGAAACCGTCAAATACTTCAATGGTGAAGAACACGAGGGTGCTAGATATCGTGACGCCCTCCGAGAGTACCAAGGATTGGAGCTCAAGGTCATTGGTAAGCTGAATGGAAAAATAGGCATCGTATTATATTTGACTGATATCTTCGCAGTTGCACTAAATCTCTTGAATTTGGTACAAAACTTCATCATTGTAAGTCGTACTTGTGTCCATGTTTTACCAGTTCTCAAAGTGGCTGTCTGATAGACCCTCGGTCTTTTGATTGGCTCTATGATCGTCGCCTCTCGAGTGACCCACGGCCTGGCTCGTCCAAGTGAATTCGTTATGTTCATTACCTACTTGGCTCAGGTAATTTCATTCGTCCTTTAGGCCCAAACAGACCTAACGCAGCCGAATGTTTAGCTCTATACACCGCTGAACCAACTTGGCTACACCTACCGTTCCATGAATCAATCCCTCGTCGATACAGAGAGACTGTTGAAACTGCTGAACGAACCCACAGAGGTCAATGATCGGGAAAATGCGCCCGATCTCATCGTTGAAAACGGTGAAATCGAGTTCGACAACGTCAACTTCTCGTATGACGATCACACCACTGCCCTCCGCGGTGTTTCTTTCAAGGTGCCGAAGGGGTCCTCGGTGGCACTTGTTGGTGAATCTGGCGCAGGAAAATCAACGATTCTGCGACTCCTTTACCGATTCTACGATCTCCAGGAAGGTCAAGGACGGATTCTCATTGATGGCCAAGACATCCGAGACGTGACGCAGTCTAGCTTGCGAAAGGCTATTGGCGTCGTTCCACAGGACCCAGTGCTCTTCAATGCCAGCATCGCATATAACATTGGGTGCGCTTCTACTGAATATCAGCAAGGATAAGTTTTCTGACGTTTTTCCAGATACGGTAAACTTGGATCAACACCAGAAGAGATCGAGGCCGCTGCCAAATCCGCACAAATGCACGATCGTATACTGTCGTTCCATGAAGGTTACGACACCAAGGTTGGCGAACGTGGAATCAGGCTAAGCGGAGGAGAGAAACAGCGTGTTGCAATTGCGAGGACATTGCTCAAGGATCCGCCAATATTGCTCCTCGACGAAGCCACCAGGTATAGTGCTGCTGAAATACATTGGTTTGGAATAGTAGCTCATGGGACTCTTTAGTGCTTTGGACACTTCGACTGAGAAAGACATTCAGAACGCACTCCAAAACTTGGTGAAGGGCCGCTCATCGCTGTCAATAGCGCATCGATTATCTGTACGTTCTCATCCTCGAAAGGTAGCGGATCTCAGTACTGACTTTCACCGCCAGACCATCGCTTCAGCTGATTTGTGAGTTTTCTGCAACAAAAAGGAAGTTAACCATCCTTATTGATTTATGGTCTTTAGGATTCTTGTCCTCAAGGACGGTCAGGTCGTCGAACAAGGCACCCACAAAGAACTAGTCGCCATGGATGGCATCTTCGCCTCCATGTGGGCTGATCAGGTCTCCACGACCGACGAACATCATCCATACGCCGAGAGCCGCAGCTCGAAAAAGGACCAGTCGGCGTTGTCATTGCATCCCGAAGGCTCAGTTATTGCCCATGATGCCGCCCCCTCTGAGGCTCTTTCGCCATTCGCAGACGCAGAACCCAACGTCCCATCTTCATCAAGCCACGTAGAAGCTCCAGAGGTACCGCCTAAAGAGGAGGCTCCCTCTGCCGCTCCTATTGCCTTCCCTACCTCAGATGAGCCTGCCGATGCGCCAATCAGTTTCCCGACCACAGATACACCAGACAACGTCTCACTGGCCGCAGCCCCCGCTCCCTCTGAGGCCGTTCCCATTGCCTTCCCTACTTCTACTTCGGACGATACAGCTTCTCAACGTGAAATCATCTCGCCATCCCAGACACCGGGTGTGACCTTCGAATCGAGCGTTAATACACCGCCGCGTACGGGTACCCCAGACGTAGAAGGCGAACCTAAGCGCAAGTTGAACGCCGCACAGAACTTCCAACGCCTAGCACGAAGAATATCGCTAACGACGAGGCGACAAGGTTCTTCCTCTTCTATTTCCATGATCCCAGGTCTTCGACGCGGTGAATCGACTAAGGAGCCGACAGACGCTAGCGGACGGAGTTCCAACGATAGTCCCGCAGAGAGCGTCGCCAGCGACGATAAGACCAAGAAGAAGAAGGACAAGAAGGATAAGAGGCGGAAGAGTGTGTTGTGAGGATGTGAACTGCACCATTTTCTCTACTTATGCATTTCATAACGATTAACGATTTCTGCTTTACGACCCCATCCCGACCCCCCTACTAACGCTCATACTTACATATGCACGTATTATCCAATCCGTTTTGCTCATCTCACTGCTTGTACTCATTGCATTGTCTCACCACCACCGGATATTCATTCTCGTCCAATCCATTCTCGTAGTCACTTTGCTTTCCTGCCCAGCCAACGTTAGATTCTGGTTCTCATACTGAACAATACATCGTTCTTCATATTGTTCAGTTTCGTATATGCCATGAGGCCTCGCCAGGTGCTGCATGAGGAACATGAGGCAAACTGCGGTGAGCCAGAAACACAATTGACAAACCGAATCATGACAATCCCTGGGAGATCTCGTCCAGCTGGCCCCTCAAGCTCTCGATATTGTCTGCTAGCGAGTCGACGGTTCCTTTATTCGCTATCGCCATGACCTTCTTAGCTTCTGCGACATACTCGTACGAGAGCTTTACGGAGTCGCTAACTTCGCCCTCGACCTCCTGGCTGCTAGAAGACTCGGGTTTCAGGCCCAGCTTCGAAAGATCGATGTCTGATGAACGGAGAAGTGCTAGATCGCGTAACGTTTCGTTCAGTGGAAAGGCCTTTGTGTCTTTCGACTTCTTGGACATGATGGTTTAGAGAGAGAGCGTGTCGGTGCACGTGCAAGCTGAACTTTCTGCAGCTTTCTGAATCTGCAGCTTGGGCTTCTGCGGTTGTACCCCAGGTGCCGAAGGTATTGAGGCCACCTCTCCCCGACAGCTGAGGTTGCACTCTTAAAGCCACACCAATATGTAGGCGAATCCAGAGCAAGTTATGTAGGTAAGAGCTCAGGAACCCTCTCGGAAGCATAAAGGTTTAACGCCGGGACCACCGACCGTACTCAGCATGAACCGTATCCTCTGATGCAGGACACGGACCGTTAAAATATACTGATTTACCGCACAGACAATTTGGCGGACCGTTCTGCTTGCTTGCAGAGTCCCCCTGCCCACGATCCTCTCCGACTACTCCAATTTCGACATTTTCTCTCACCCAACGCGTCTTCTGTGACGCACACTTGATGTTGTCCGCTGCGATCGTCGGACGACTCCAGCCAGAGGTCATGCGAGTTCACCATGTGGGGAGGATAGCCATGACCCTCCAACACGCCCCCAGCTGTGTCGCGGATTGGTTGTGGAATCGTACATACGCTTCCTGGCCGTCGAATTTGTGATGTGCTTCCCTTGCCATATCGTCAGAACACTCCGCCACGTACCCCTTCGGTCCGGAAACGACTAGTATATAATGCGCAGAGCCACTCGAAAAAATCCCAAAAGAAATGTATCGACTCGCTGCACTAGCGGTTATTGCCTCTTTTGGTGTCTGGCAAGGCCAGGCGCAAACTGTGTCCGTCAGCGCAACGGCTAGCCATCCGATTCCAACGACATTATGTAGGCCTTGGCCCTTGATCCCGCGGATACGAGGTTACTTAACCATTTTTTTTTCTACCAGGGGGACAAATGTTTGAGGTAATGACAATGCACGACTCTCCTAGTATCACTGATGTTCATTCTGAATGATATGCAGGATATAAGTGTAAGTAGAGGTCAACAAAGGGCTGACGACAGACTCTAATGTTGAATGGGCGTCTTCCTTTTTATAGCATGTGAGTACCACTTTAATGACAACAGAGTCTCGGTTAAATATACTCCAATAGAGTGGTGATGGTGGACTATACGCTGAACGTTCGCACCAACATATATTAAACATTTCATTTCGTTGACCTCGATTGTAGTGCTCCAAAATCGTGCCTTCCAACAGGTCACACCAAGTAAGCTCTTGGCTTCATTCACTTTTCAGACGCTTGTGCTCTGACATTGTTTGTGTAGACACCGCAGCATCTTTGAATGCATGGAGCGCCATCAATGGAGGGCAGATATCCGTTGTAGCTGACTCCGTTCCGGTGTCGAACTCCCTCCCGAACTCCCTTAGGTTCACTGTACCTGCGGGGCGCACAGGTCAAGTTGGATTCGCCAACTCTGGTTTCTTTGGTGAGCTACGTCTCGTGGACTCAGGGAAGGAGAAGACGACTAACGCTGTACCTCCAGGTATGAAAATCGTAGCCTCGTCGACTTACAAAGGTTCTTTCTTCGTTAAATTCCCGACTGCCTCGTCTTTCACGGGCAACCTGATTGTCGGGTTACGAACCACCAGTGGGAGCACCATCGTCTCTCAAACAGTTCCTATTCGTGGTGCTTCGACAAGCTGGCAACAGATCAGCGTGTCGTTGACCCCGAGGACGCCGCCGCCATCTACTGACAACCAATTCTTTGTGACGATCGATGGGGCTGCTGCTAGCGGACAAACCATTAATTTCGCCATGTTCTCCCTATTCCCGCCGACCTTCAAGAACCGAGCGAATGGCATGCGCGATGATATTGCTACGGTGGGTGTTTCCGTCACACCGGGGAGCCTCGAAAGCTTACGATCTGGGACGTAGGCACTGGCTGAGATGAAGCCCAAATTCTTCCGATTCCCTGGCGGCAACAATCTGGTGAGATCTCTTGTGGTTCCTATGTCTTACATGGTACTGACATGTCGCTCCAGGAGGTTAACCGGGATTGTTTATCTTCTTATCAAGCGATGCTGATTATACGTTACGGTATAGGGACAAACCGTGCCTACTCGATGGCAATGGAATGCCACTATTGGAAGTCTACTTGACAGGCCTGGTATGAACGCATTACCCCTGGCCTGCCGAATTCTCGTATGAATGCGTTTCTCTTTTAGGCCGCGCCGGCGATTGGGGGTACATCAACACTGAGTACGCCCACGGTTGTGTTATTCCCAAAGACACGATGTAACTAATGTATTCTTCAGTGGTTTGGGCTTGTTGGAATACCTCTTGTTCTGTGAAGACCTCGGGATGGAACCCATCATGGCAGTGTGGGCAGGTAGGCACCGTTACTGTTGCCGGCACATCCCCAACAATCTCACCTAGTATTACTCCTGTGTTGTGGTAATTAGGGTTCGCTCTCGGCGGCACCAGCGTGGCCCAAAACGGCCTTCAGCCGTATATTCAACAAGCAATTGATCAGATCAACTTCGCGATTGGTGATCCTGCCACCAGTGCTCCCGGTGCGTTTGTTTCCCCCTCCGGGACTGTTGACACCCATTACACCCATTCTTACGTTCCCTTGTAATCCACTTACAACTTAACTGATCTGATCAAACACCCACCGACCAACAGCCGCGCGCCGTGCTGCGTTAGGTAGGGCGCAACCATTCAAGCTTACTTATGTGGAAATCGGAAACGAGGTGCGTACGCAGGCCGCAGGCGGCGACCCTTTGTTCCATGTCCAGTGTTTCCTAATTGGTCGTGCAGGATTTCTTCGCAAGCGACACGTTCGTCCAACTTACTGCATTTCCCACATTCCGACATTAACGTATCTGGTGTTGCTGTTGTGATGCAGTTACACCTACCGATGGCCCGCTTTTGTCAACGCGCTGAGGGGTGCATTCCCTAATCTCAGTGCGCCCTTACTTCCGTTTGCGCTGCCAATGTAGCGTCCCTGATTCAGAAGTCCACAGAATTTATCGCTACCTCCAACATCAACTCCCCGGTCTTGTCACCCAACCCTGCACAGTGGGACCATCACGTGTACCAAACGCCAAGTAAGTCACTCGCTAAATGTAACTAAATTCAAGCTGACATATGCACTACAGCGTGGTTCGCGCAGAACTCGTTCTTCTACGATGATATGCCAGTAAGCCGTCCACCTCTTTTACGATCCTTTTCCGCTGCTGAGTGCTGACTCGACATTGTAGCGCAATGGAATCACCTTCTTCGAGGGTGAATATGCTGCCATATCCACGAACCCCAACGACATCTTTGGATCGCCTGCAAACGGTCGCCTAACTTTCTCTACCATGCAGAGTACGCCTTTCTCCCCAGACTGCACCCCACCCGGTCACAACGTTAATTAATGGATACTTTCGTGCCATTTCAGGTGCGTCCGGTGAAGCTGCATACATGATTGGGATGGAGCGCAATTCCGACATCGTGTTTGCTGCTTCCTATGCTCCTTTGTTGGGAGTAAGTTTACATCTCTTTTCGCGCTGTTCACCGTGCTAATGGTCTTCTGTTCTTAGCACGTCGCCGGTTCACAATGGGTACGCATCATCTATATTACCAACATCACACCCACAAGCTAAACTAATCTCTAGACTCCTAATCTCATCGCATTTGAGTGAGTCGTAGCATGGAGACCCTTTGACAGCGATTGTATGCTAACGCTGTTGTATAGTACCGGTAATGTTTACCGTTCGGCCAGCTACTTCGTGCAGAAGGTGAGTCAACGGTTTGTTGGCTGCAACCCAAGATCTGCCCTTGACGAAAGGGTATGGCATCTCTAGCTTTTCAGCACGAATATGGGCAATGAATATATCCCGAGCACGTTGCCATCGCGTACCGGAACTGCCTTCTGGGGTGTTACCCGAAACACTGCGACTGGTGAAATAATCATCAAGGTTAATACAATACACCTTATGATCTATTTCTATCTCACCCTTCTACCCTCTAGGTCTCCAACACCGTTGCCGCACAGACCAACCTGACTTTTGTTCTTCCATTCGCCAACGTTGCTACGTCCGGTAGCCTGCAAGTCCTGACCGGTGCCGCCACCGCCAGCAACTCCCCCACTACGCCCTCGGCTCTCGCGCCTGCTACGAGGACGATCACCACAGGCAAGACCTTCACGTTCGCCGCAGCAGGGTTCAGTGTGAACGTCATCACTATCAAGGCGTCGTAGTAGTTACATGAGTATTAGTACATCCGTGTGCGTGTTGATATGAATGTCCGAAAGTATTATGAAGTGTGTATATGGTATGAACGGTAACGTAGCAGCAAAGCGTGTGTGGTAGGTCCTGGGTGCTTCAAATGCTTTTGGGAAGACTCTTGATGCAATCCGAAATAACTCGAATCGTTTCTGCCTTGTCGTACAAGAAGCGATCACAATCCTTGTTGGGACACTTTGCACTCCAACAGGCGTGAGCTTCTGGCCAACTCTGCAGCCCATTTTCCAGCACTGTGTCCCCAAGCGGACGAGCGTCCATTTCCAGAATGATCTTGTACTTCAATTCTCTCCATGTGTGGTAATCAATCAGGCCGTTGCATGACGAACACGATGCCGTCCCGCCAGCTACGAACGGAGGCTCGTTTAGACGCTGGCAGAGGCCTTCCCGGCGAGTTCGGTGGAGTTCGAGGAGGTCAAGCAGCGCGTTTGCAGAGAGGCGCTGGAGAAGGGGGCGCATTTCCTTGTCAAGGAGGTTGTAGGAGAGCGTTTGCGTGGAAGCGAGCTTGGCTTCGTGGTCCCAACCAAAGCGACAAGCAACGATGTAGAGGCGAAATGGTTCGCTCAGCAGAGTCGGGGTCATGACCATGATACGGACGATGGACATGACGGCGGGGATGTCGTATTTCTCTGCTGCGAAGAGCAAAGCATCTATCATGTCGTAAGAATCGACCTGAGGAACGGGGAGGCCACATATGATTCGGAGGACCAATTCCAGCGTCTTGGCATCCTCCTCCATGTAGATGATTTCGTTCTGCGTCGTCGCGGGCGCATTTGAGTTGGCGGAGGGGGTTGTCTGGGGCAAAGAGAACATGGAACGAAACCAGCCAGAGGTCGTCCGCAGGGTGTACGAGTGGACGCGGAACATCGCGCCGTCGGTGCCCAGGATGACATCGGCGTCGGGCGAGGAGAAGGCTGGGTGAAGAAGCTTGACGTCGCAGTCGACGGTGGGCGCGAGGCTCTCTGGAACGCTCTCCTCAGCCTGCATCCGTGAAATAGGTTGGTGGTGGCCAAAAGTCAAGAGGCTGTATGCATTTCCACGTGAAGCTGGAAACTTTTGAAGAGCGTCAAAGAAAGACTTTCCCGCCTTATTTGGCAACGGACCAACTTTCTCGCCCCGGCACCAATAAAGTCCTCAACTCTGCGTAGTGGAGTCCTCAGCTTCGAATTACTAAGTACTGTGCGCGTAGTAGTCAAATTTACTCATCAACCACTGACTTTTCCTTCCTTTCGCTTCTCTGAATTTTGAAAGTGCCAGGCCTCTGTATCCGCATACTCGCCTACCCAGCGAACGTATCTGGCATCTTGCCCGCTGTGCGTCAAGAGTACTATAGGTACATGAACGAGGATGCTGGAGGCGTGTTGAATGTGAACTCGTATGGCCTGTTCACTGGCTTAATTCGATGGCCGGCCGCCGCCGCGGTCAGACGTGGGTCACGAAGGAATCCTGCCTGTTGAGTGAGAGAATATGTCGAAACTCGCGAGTTTGGTGGGTATCGTGGGCGCAAGAGCAAGCCGAACGGTCCGCCAGATATATTTTTGGCGGTCCGTGGTCGCTGCATGGTACCGTGGCGGTCGAGGGTCGTCGAAGTCGAGCAGTGTTTGTTTACATGGGTAACTGAATCGGCATTACTCCCTCAGTACAGTGGTTTGCCATCATCATATCAAATCCTTGGATGGTACGAACTTGGATGGCGGGTGCCTTGTCTCCAAGCCGAACGCAGTGTCCTCGACAAGGCCGCATCCAAATCGCATCCTATACGCATCCCTGGTGAATCTTGGACACTCGGACGCGTGTATCTAACCTCCCACTGCCGTGCCACCGTGCCTGTGCAAATTTAGACGGGCGTTGAGTGCACCGTTTTTCGACATCCCAAATGAGTTGCTGACTTATCGCTCTTTGTAGCAGTTGCGGGCCCAAAGCAACGGTCATGATGAAATCCTCAGCTCGCAGCCTTTACTCCCCCGCAGCCTCGACGCACTTTGTTCCGCAAAAGGAAGTCTCGTCCATAAATGGCAGGATTTCGAGCGACTCCGCCCTTGTAACCACCGTGGTTAACCAAGTCCTCGCGAACTTCTCATGTCCCCAGCTAGACCAGCGACTGCACAAGGTGCCTGGCGCCACCACAGGCTGCGAAAAATCATCCTAAACCTGAATCTTTACTTAGCTTATCGGCGACCAAGGCTACGAAAAACGGCTTTCCTTCTTGGGATGTTGCTTTCAACTCCAAGTTCGAATGCCAGCCCCGCATGCACAGTTTGTTGTTGGTATTAAAGCGACGGTTGTCGAGTACATGCCTCCTTGTCTCCAGTGCTCCTTTTACTAGACGCAGCTCGCTTTTGAGGCTCCTCGCTACATCCTTCCTGCTTTCATCCAAGCACACTCAGCGAGTTTAACCACCACACCACAAACACAATTTACAATGCAATTCTTCACTTTGGCCGCCTTCGCTCTTGCCTGCAGTAAGTGCTGGTTGGAGCACGTGGATTAGTAGCTCATACTGATATCCCTTCGTAGTGACTATGTCCGTGTCTGCAGCCCCCGTCCCTGCCGCTGTCGAGTTGGCAGCCCGAGCTCCTGTGGGTCCACATACCCCTCGCGCTGGCTTCGAATAATAACAAATATCGTTTTTAGGAAGCTCAACCGGGCGTTGAAGTTGCTCGCGAGCCTCAACCTGAGCCATGGTGCCGCTACGGCTGCATCTAAATAGTACGTTCAGCGAGCCTCATAAAACAATCATAGTGGCTCACATTGCTCGTACCTAGGAACAACATAATTCTATACCACCGCATCACCAACCAGGTCCCCCCGCGCAGTACCCTCGCATTCCATCACATTGTTTTAATATCTTATATATGAAGTCCCTGCCCCCAACTTGGCTCTTCGTCCACTCCTTCACCTTGTCGCTCCTTACCTAGCTATCTCTTTCACTTGCTCTCCCACCCCTCTTCCTCGTCTCACCTTGTATCGATTGCCTCATTTATTGGTTCCCTAGGACTTGGAGTTTGATTAGATTTGTTTAGCATACGCTGGACACCTAATCTCTTCAGCTACTGTATAGTCTTCGACCATCTTCTGGAGGATGTAATTGGCTGTATCAAATATATGTGTCTGTTCTGTGTCCCCACGTACTCCACTTTTTGTCAGGCCTGAACTAAACTCGGAAGTAAGCTTTTGTACGTACTAGTACTTCGATCGAAGTAAGCCCCTAAATGCATTAAGCGCCCTGTTGGTGGTTCATGTTCAATTGTCAGCCACTCGTCTCACTTTGACCACCACCATACCATCTACCCATTTAAGGATCCACCGGACCTGGATTTTGCTCTCCATCTCGAACGTGAACTGTCATGCCCGCTACGCGCGCAACAAGCAAGCTGCCCCATCGCCATGATCCCTTTCCCGAAGTTCATCGTAACAAACGCAAGTCCAACTCACCTCAGCCACAAGTCCCCGCTTCTGACGACGTGATTGTTCTGTCTTCGTCAGACGACGAGGCAAGACCCGCGAAGAAGACACCCAATAACAAAATAATGGCGGCTTCTAACAAACATCCCAAATCCACGCTACAGTCAACGGAAGTGATTGAGATTTCGGATGACGAGGACTACCCTGTTGCTCCGGTGAAGCCTTCGAGAAACTTGATGAAGATTGCGGAACTACAGAGTCAGATAGAGACTTTGAAGGAGGTGAGCGACCCTGTTCGCGCTTCATTAGCGCTCGGCCTCAACAGCTCGGTATCTCCAGAGTAACACTCGGATGGGGAAGGAAATCGAAAATTATCAGAGCCTTCTCGACGAGACTATGGTGGAGAAGGATATGCTGTCCAACCAGGTCGCCGAGCTACATCTCCGCCAAGAACCACCATCCATTTCTATCGTACGTGCACCCTCGCCACCACTCTCGGACATTAAACGGACGTATATCGCAGAACCCTTCTGATCTCGAAGACCAAATTAACTGCGAGATATGCACCATGAAGATGTGGCGGCCTTATCTGTACGTTCCGCATCTCGTTATTTGAAATGCAAATATGAACTCACGTGCATTCCAACAGGCTGCCAGAATGCGGTCATTCATTCTGCGAGTCGTGCATCCAGGATTGGTTTAGTACTATCCTTGCGCGGCACATACAAGCCCACCCCGAATATAATGCCAATAATCACAGGCAAAACGTACCCGCGCATATCCGCCAAATGATGCCGTATGCGGAATACCACCCCCAGGTGCAACAAATGCTTGCGCAATATAACCTACAGAACCCACAACCAGAGTATAACTGCCCGACGTGTCGCGTCGAGGTGAAGTCACGACCGATCGAAGATTTTGCGCTCAAGGCCATCGTGCGGGTCGTTGCTAAGGCGCAAGGCGAGGTCAGCCCACAGAAGCCTGTCTCAACGTCAAGCAACAAGAAAGGAAAGCGTCGCGCCCCCCAAAAGACCCAGAAGAGCGTGTGGGACCCATATTTTCCCCCCTCATGAACAGTTTAAATATTATGTCTAAATGTTCATCCCTATCCTTATTATCACATCACGCGATCTGTAGTATACCATTGATTACATTGTATCTTATGATGCCCTATACTCTACATGTCTATATTATTGTACTGTACTCCGGTCGTTAGCATATATGCAGTACTGTACTAGGTGGTCATCATCGTTTCCTAGCCTTAGTCTTCCCTGCTGTCCTGCCCTTTTTCTTCGACACAGTCTGCGACGGTACTGGCCCTTCAATGATTTCAATATCATCGTCACTGACTGTCGAGGTCTTGCGCTTCGATGACATGACACTGTCTACGTCAATAGGCTCGCCCATGGAGGACCCAGAATGCCGATTGATAGAGACCTCGCTTGGGCTTGGTCGACGCATGGACGTCGTCGACGACTGGTGAGCTGAAGAACGCGACAAGACAGACGAGGCAGGCGACGCTCGTGGTGTAGGACGTCTCATTTTACTCCCATATTCCTGGTCGCCTTCACCCCTGCTCCGAGACCCCACCAAAGTATCCATGTCGCTCCCCACTCTTGATTCCTGCCAGTCCCGGCTGAAGACACTATCACCAGAGAGGCGGTCCTCGAATGCCCGTAGATCCTTGCTCGATGCTTCTGGAAGTATCCCGTCTCCCGTAACGCGAGCTGCAAAGTTCTCTAGAGACAGGGATCCGGAGTTCTTGACGATATACTTCGTCCCCTGCCGATCCTTCTCCTCTTTCTCCTTGGCTTCGTCAAGGGTAGGCGGTTCGCCTAGGTTTTCGATCCATTCCCAAGGTCTGTTGAGGACAGGACCATCGATTACGAGAGTACCGTTCGCATCTCGATGTGCAAGCGCCAGATTCTCCACCGAAGAGTTGGCCGGAAAGCACGACAGCAGACGTGAGAGCTGTGTTCGATATTCGGCAGGTAAGTCTGGCGGCAAGTCGGAAATAGAGAAACATGGATAATTGAAGCACGGATCAAAAGTAGACGCCTTTGGGTCCATTGCTACCTCTATAGAAAGGTCAGAACACATGTTGAAACCGCTAAACCAACAGGCACACCATCCAGAAGATAATACAGAGTATCAAGCAGCAATGTATACGCCACCACGTCCAAGTTGGTCCGTGTGCTATGAAGCTATGATCACTTGTCAGATTCTAGGAGGCGAATGATGATACCACAACCATCGTACCAGCACCAAAGTCGCCAAGCTTGAAGACGTTTCGCTGGAAGCTGATTTAACGCTGGGGGAGCATTGTCCGTGGAAGCCTAGCAGGAATTGTAACAATCTTGCGAGCAAGATTGCCCATGCTGTGGATTCTGATGGGATAAGGGCATCATCTGTATCGGTCGCGTTCAACTCTTTTGCTAGCGATGCTATACTTTTATTTATCGCGAAGAAAAGTTTGTCGTATGCATCCTGATTAAGCTGAGGGAGTGGGTTTCCTTCCTTTCGAAAGGGTTCAGCTATGTAGGCAAGCACCCGGAGTACTTCTCCTGCGCGGCGAGACTGGTCCACAAGGCCGCCCGAAGCCAGTCCGGGGCCATTGAGCACAATAGTGAGCGTTTGCACACCGTTGTGCATGAACTAGGCAGGTGAAAGTTGATGACTTCGAATACTACGGAAGTCAATAGACGGCATACCTCTGAGACTACCTCAGGGTCGGCGCCCTTGGCCATGTCCGCCATAACGCATGCCTGCTCTGCTGACACCGCATGGTGGAAGATAGCTTTGATTAAACGATCCAAGTCGTGTTTGGCTGACTGTCGAGTATTTTCGGAGAACGTAGTTTTACCCATTTGTCGCAGGATCAACTTCATTTGTATGGCGGTGGCAGCAAGTTTCCAGGGACTCAGGAGTGCTATATCAGGGTAAGTCGATTTAGAGTTGGCTGCTAGAGATGATCAATCGCGAGCTTCCCTAGAGTCAGAAAAAATCATACCGTCTCGGGTGTTGCACAAGGCCTCTTGTAGGGCCTCAGCGATTTGCTCTGCGAACTTTTCACACATACCGCCGGGTACTATTGACTGTTCGAAGGTTTGTCGAACAACATCAAGATCGCGATAAACACCTTGCCGGAAACTCTGCTGTTGGCAAAGGGAGGTGCGGATAAGTCCAGTGCGCTGCCGTACTTCTTCTGAAACGTGGCTATTGTGCTCCAAGGCCAGCAGAACGGGGACGCTCGACAATAGGGAGTAGAACTTTGGGGACAGGTAGAACTCCTCGCGGCGGGTCCTAATGCATTGTATCTCCAGCAAGTTCGATGGTGGGGTCCCGTCAGCATTTGCGGCCTCGGAGAACATCAGGCGCTCGAAAAGATTGAGGGAAGCAAGTAGAATGGGAGAGAGATCCTGTTCCTCCTCTGCAGAAGATATATGCGCGGCAGACTGCCAAGTCGGGAGAATGAGTCCTTCGAAAATAGTAGGTGCTTTGAGTGCCCCATGAACGGACAGAAAAAGCAGCACTATCGTCAAGGCGTCCCAAATGTCCGCCGAAAGTTCTAGTAATATCGTTCTCCCGTGCCCCAAAAGCCATTGAAGTACCGGGTCGTCGAGGCCATAGGGCAAATGGGAATCAATTTGTAGCAGGAAATCAGCACATCGCATAGAAAATGTCTGCCGATCCATTGGGTCTGCCAGTCGTAAACTCGTTACAGTGTCATCCCAGACTTTGCCACCCCAATCGTGAATGGATCGATACTTGAACCAAAGGCCATTGGCGAGCATGGCAGGAGCATCGTTGCTCAGATCGTTAGCGAGGCGAGAGATGTCTTGAACTACGTCAGGCATCTGCGTCGAAACAAGCGCGGTTTCTGGTTGAAGAGCCTAGTATCCTGGTTCAGTAAATAGATAGTATCAGATTGAAGTTCAGAACATACCAGAGTGTATGTATTGATGTCCGCTGTGATATGGTCTCGCGCAGAGGTTTCCAAGTGTCGTGAATCATCGAATTTCAGGAGCAGGGCAACTAGCTTGCGTGATTGTATACCTTGAGCTTTCCAGAACAGATGGGCCGAGTACAAGGCGGAGCAGATGCTGTCCATGACATCCAGACAAATCCAGATAAGGTGAAACCGCTGGAGTGTATCGATCGAAGAACTGATGAGATCTACACTGGCGGGATGAGCGAGAACAACGAAAGTTAGCTGCGAATGGCAATGTAAGTGAGGAGGGATCTGCAGCGTGTGGTCATTTCTCACATCGAGGATTGTGTGGAAGCATTGAGCGTGAGTCATAAGTTCAACGGCCAAGGAATATGACTTGTATAGCATCGTTCTCTTAGAATCATCTTGAGATTGACTGTGGATTCGTGAATATCGATCTTTGAATTCTTTGTACTCTATTATGTACCTTACGATTGCCTTCCGAAGGATAGGCATTAGCCATTGCTTGAATGTTCTAACCTGCTCAAAACGAGATGCAGATATCAGTGTTGGGCACTGGCTTAACAACTCGCTAGTCGAGATTGGCGGTGCCTGTAGTTCAGCTAGAAACAGAGATAGGATATAATAAATGCTACGCAGAGTGGCAGTAACCTCACCTCCAAACAACTCGGGCAGTAACGCTCTAATCTCCTTGCGTATCTCCCGTTCGTTTAGACATTCTGGGGTGTCTCGGGTTCTGGGTCCGTATAGAGTTACCTTCCGTTGGCTCGCCAACGATGGCTCTGAGTTGTATATAGGAATCCATCGCAGAAAGCTGCGATGACGAGACACTGGATTGTCGGTTTGTAGGAGGCCAGTTTCACCTCTAGCGATAAGCCTCTGCAAATACTCCGCGTAGGAGAACAATTCGTGCTTCACAAGCTTGCCAAAAATAAGCGCGACTGCACGAATATTCTCTGTATCACCCGCAACCTCGGAGGTGTCTAGCCATTCAAAGAGGTGGTCTTGGAGGAATTCACTGGGTGGTGGGAAGTGTCGTCGGTGGGCGCGCTCAAGAACTCGATCGCGCCATTCGCGGATAAGAGTCACAGCAGCGAATGGGCGATGTTCACCAAATTGGAACGGCGAAACACTCCAAGTCAGAAGGCGGTCAAGTTTATCGGAGAAGGCAGGATCGTGAGGAGTGTCGAAGGTGAAGAAATGAAGCGACTTGATGTCTGTTGCACTTGAAATGGAGTTCAGGAGCTACCACGGTACTTTGTTAGACCATCGAAATGCACAATATACAGCCAATCACCTGTACTTCCGTAACCGCTGAGCCAAGTCCTGTCGGGGCGCGCGGAGGTAAATTACAGAACAGCATGGCTTGATTCCGACGCCTCACGTCGTTGAAATTGGTCGCTAATAGCTGGCGTATGTTCTGAGCCTTCTGTTCAACTCGCTGATCGGTAAAACTGTCTAGTACATTCTCTACGAAGGCATACTGGAGGAGGCTCGCGTGCATTATCCACATACGTGGGCTTATGAACGAGTCAGGCAAAGTGAGACACATTCGCTATCGTTGATTAGATCGAACGAGTAGCCTCCGTGTCATGTAACCTGTGCTCACCTGAAGAAGACTTCGAAGGAGTGTCTCTGTATTGGCCAGATATTGTGCAGGCACTGACGCGCGTATCTGATTTCGGGATGCATTTGGAATCAACTGGGAAAGCTTCAAATGGTACTTACCTCCGACAACCTGCTGAGACAAGCATCCGCAAAATGGCGAGCCAAAGCTCGACTACATATCATCCCTTCCGAATATTCGTCGGCCAACTTAGAGACAAACCCGGCTTGCGCAAGGTTGCAGGTTGCCATTTGCTGGACGAGCCATGTGAGGAAAGTTCGGTGATCCACCAAACCCTCGGAATAGAACCTCCGAAGGAGCTGCAAACTATGTCCCCCATTAGACCTGCCGAGAAATAATACGACCAGGACCCACCAATAAGTGAATCGAGATATCCAACGTTCCCGAGAGTCAGCATCAGCGAGAACTCCCTTGAAATTCTGCTTGATATTCATATTCATTCCGTGCCGAGGGGCGCTTGGCAAAGCAATGGCCAGTAGCTGCTTTTTCACATAACTTGTCATAACACCCGTCCACTCAATGCTGTAGGATGTTGGATTATACGAGGGTCTATTCCGTAGTCCAGCCTGAAGTACAATATAAGCCATAGGACAATAGACCGATGAGCGCACTCACCGTCTCGTTAGCTCCCAGCACTCTAAGCAGCCATATTGCACGCGGGATGGCAACATTACTGGAATGGAGCAGGTCGAGTAAATCATGTCCCTTAGCGCCGTGGGGGACGTTCTTTCCAAGTTTATAAAGAGGTACATCGGGATTGGCGAGGTCATCAAACCAGCTTTGCCGTTTAGCATCAGTCAAAGTCACCCGAGATGGCATTCGAAACGTAGAAGCTCTATCGTAAGCAAGGGTAGTTATTATCAAGCCAATGAAGTGAGTATCATAGAAGCTCACGGAATGGGAGGCAGCTGTTCATTTCTCCGAGAGAACACGGCATCCATTAGGTCCTCTAGTTTGGATATGGAATCATCGTTTATTTTGACGAAGGGCTGCGCAGTGAATGTCTCGGCCTGTTATCCCAGCAAGAGTGTAAATGTTGCGTGACCTGGGCTGTATCAAAAGCATGCTTACCGATACGACAGGCTCAGCAGTGAATCCGTTCTTGACATTGTTCTCTGACAGAACATCTTCATCTTGACCTGGACGGGGTGGATAGAAACCAGGGTACCCTAAAGGCCAATGAGATACAAGCGGTACAAGGCATCGTCCAACGTACCCAAATCCCCCGACTTATGGGTCTTCGGAAGCCATGTAGGAGGAAGTGACTCGTACACCGGAAGATTCGTCGCAGGCTCTTTTCTTCGTTGTTTCGAACTCATTCGGAGAAGTTTGGCGTCACGAGAGATGGCGCATTGGTGATTGTACGTTTAGTGCCGCGGCGGGCCGTGTGTTGTGCAATGTCACGCGTCACAGGTCGGTGAGTCACGGGGCCCGCCACTTCCTTTTTTGCCTTTTATGGAAGGTGTTCGGAGAAAGAATTACATTGCAACTCGATATTATACACGGTATAATGAATGAGGGTATACAAGTTCTTAATTGCTGTTGAGCCCTTCTGCCTTCTCCTCTGCTTCTATCTTTACTACCCCCGAATCCCCACTAGCAGAACCCTGATCACTACCCGAATCTTCGCGCTCTCTGGAGTCTATCCGATATATAGCCATCAACCTTTCCCTCCGTTCCCTCTCTCGTTCTTTTCTCTCTTCACGAGACACGAGCTGTGATTTGACCCAAGCTTCTATTCCATCGGCAGCTACTACCGGATGTTCCTTGTGTAAGAGGAGATATCCTTGGAGTTCGGCTGTGGAGAATTGATTTGGGGGAATGCCAGCACCGAATTTCTCTGACAGCAGCTCGATAACAGACGGAGTAGCAGGTTTCTCGGAATCTGCGGGCGCAGAGTTAGCAAGCGCGTTTCCGGGGTAGAAGCGCCGGAAGAGGGAGGATGCTTGGTCTTGTGAAGTAAGAAAGTATTCAAGTTTGTAATCAACTCTGCCCGGCCTGAGGAGTGCAGGGTCCAATCGGTCCATGTAATTTGTCTAAAGGTCCCGAGAATCAGCATGTTAGGATATGAGAAGATTGCTAAGTTCTAACCGTGGCAAAGAACAGCACGCCATCTTCACTGCACACACCATCGATGGTATTCAGCAACGCGGAAAGTGTGACCTGACTCTTCGGTTGCTTCATCCCGGTTTCGTATTGGTCCCGGTTGTTGGCTGATCGCGACAAGCGAACGGCTTCTTCCTCTTCGTCCTCTCGCGATGGAAAGCAACAGTCGATATCTTCAATGAGGAAAATCGAGCCGCTAGGGACTCCAGATACTGCGCGGTGTAGATAAGAATCGTCGACACTAGAAGAAAGTTCAGTGTCCGAAGTAACAAGAGACGGAGTCTAATCTTACAATTTCGAACCAAGTGAAAGCGTGTAGATATCGACGCCGAGTTCCCCCGCCTGCAGGAATATGTATGTTAGCGCTTGGCACGAGGTATACGACGATAGCCTTCACTGACTAATGCGTATATCGTTGAACCTGTAGATAGTCAATTGTAAGCTCAATAGCACCACAAAGTCAGAGCATAGACATACTTTTCCCCGTCCCGGGTGGGCCATGCAGGAGATAGCCACGACGATACGGGATACCGGCGTTGATGTACCATGCTTCAGCTCCAAGAAACTCGCGCACGTCATACAAAAGAGAGTCCATTGTCCCTTCTCGGAGCACGACCGAAGATAGAGGACGTCTAGCCTTTCGCTTAACATTATTCCAGACGGGGTGAAACAAGCTAGCTTCCTATGGTCCGAGAAAGTTCAGAGCATAAGCCATATGCAAGCATGGAGCGCGTGCATATAACTTACCGAGTCAGCGACGTGAATGACAACATTAGCGATGGATGCGGAAAGATAAATCTCTTTAGCTTCGTTAACGAGCATATCCACAATGGAGACATCCAATGTGAATACTCTGACGGCATGTTAACAGTGATTCTGTTGTACATCATCAGCACTTACGAGAGGTAAATCCTGCCCTTCGGCTGATCAACCACACTAAATTTGTCTTCCTGGCGGTCGCAGCGAACTTCGACCCAATAACCTTTCCAGTAGAACAGCTGTGGGATGTCGTATAGTGGTATGTAATCGGCTAGTGGTTTGTCCTTTCGACTAAGAGTGACGCCCAGTCTTGAGCGGGAGGTTTTTGCGCCAATTTGGAAGCTTTTCGAACGGCGCCAAACTTCGTGGTGCGTCTGACAAGAGGGGACTGTAAGATTGGAGACCTTCAATATTAGAAAGTGGTCGTACGAGGAATTGAACGATCCAGGGGTATGTAGGGTCTGCTTGATTGAATTCGACTGATACAGCGTATCCTATCAAGGTGATTAGCAGTGGCACCTCAACAGATTTTTACCACAAACATACGGAAGGTAAATCGCTCAGCGAGCCACTCGAATAGCTTCCGCCCAGCTTCCATGAGGGAGCCAAGGAGGATGATCCTGACTGTATCAAGGACATAACTGTTCAATGTGAGGAATATCCCGGACGTGCCGGGGTTGGGTGGTATGGAGGAAGTGGTTGTAAATGTGTTCATGGGGAGGGCAGTGGATCGCGGAAAGCCACTATGCTTATATACTTATCTAAGTCCGCTACAACGAGTCGAATTAAGGGGATATGGGCGCAGGGGGGGTGTCGCGGGGTCACTGAGCCTTGTTTTCGCCGTGGCTCCCATGAAGTCAAATCTGCATCGTGTACTCGCAAATCGGAAGTCCGGCAGATCAGGATTGGACGTGGACAAAAAAGCCTGTATTGAGGCGGCTATTCATGGCAACGTTGAAACGTAAAATCTGCGATAAAGCTGTCATTTCGAGTGCAGCGGCAAGACATGCACTGTGCTGCAGTGTAGCACAGCGCCTCGGGTATTTGCGTTGGCGCCAGGAGTCTGACCAATTCCGCAAGCGATTTGCCAAGTAGCGCTATGGTGGTTATTGTTAGCTGATTGGACTCAATGGAGCAAAAAGTTACTTTGTTCTCGTGGCAGGAAAGAGTGCTTCACAAAGTTGATGATCGGATGATCGGACTCTGTGCGCGGGTTACTGCTTCGGCGCTTATTTCCACGCCTATCCATGTTACGACCATCGGTTGCGCCTGGCCGTGCCTCGCATGCACCAGGATCGTTGAACTCGCACGAATACGCCGCCGCAGCGGCCCAGAGGCTCGCAGAAAAGAAGAAAGAATATGAGGCTGTTGCTGCGTTAGAAAGCGCAAGCAACTTGCTCCTTCAGCGAATGTCTGGCATCAGTGGAGACTTTGATGTGATGGCAGACGCAGGTCGAGGTAAGAATCAGCCAGCTTCCGTCCTTGTAGGCCATCTCTGATCGGTATCAGTTCATGGACAGGTCCTTGAACAATGGCCTAAGATGTTCCAGATCTTGAGCTTGTTCGGTGCGTCTAGACACCCATTTAGCATCTGCATCTGCACGCTCACGGCCTTCCAGTTTCGCAGCGCCAACAAACTGAGGCTTCGCAGGAGGAAGAATCCACTGTCTCTTCAAATTTCGAAGGGCAGCGTCTCGTCCGAGTCCCCATTGACGAATTGGCGTCAGAGAAGCATTGATTGCGATCATCTTCAACTTCTTGAAAGAGACCAGACTGTTCGTCGAGCCCGCTGCTTCCTCTTTGCGACCCGCGACCATCCGACGTACTCCCCGTAGGACACGGCGCCTCGATCGCGCATATCCTCCTTTCACCTGACACTGATGCGGTGGTCTCTACTCTGTATACATAAAGTAGGACGCCTTTACTGAGTTGTACCCCAATACTCTGATACTGGAATTCATCGTCAAGTTTCCTTCGTCGAATCTGTACGTTTCCGCGCAACATGAATGTTGCGAAGACCTTCTGAGATAAATTAACATTAACTTGAGGAAAGTAGAGTAGCCCCTATGTTTGAAGGCGTGGCGGAATGCTGGACAGCGCGGTTACTGGCACATACCGTACATATTTCCGTATTACCAGGAATCAGACACGCATTCACGCTGCGCGCGCAGCAGTCATTTATTAGGCGGCAGAATCTTCAGTGTCCCCCATGGATTACCTACGCACTCTGGGATCAGCAGCCGTCTCCTCCCTCGTCCAGAAATCTGGTCTGAATCTCCCCTTCTCTCTTGGATCCAAGGTCGCGTACGAAGGCGTTTGGAATCTATATGAAGGAACGAAACGCGTGCGTGCCCAGATTCTTGAAATTGACGTGCCAGCACTCCCTCAATGTGGCAGCCCTTAGGAAGATGGAAGTCATGTGTCCGTATTCGAATTCGATGCGACGACGGAGACCAGCAAAAAGAACTTCCTACCTTTGGCTAAGAATGCTCTACGGAAACTACGCACCACACGCCACCCCGATGTCCTCAAATTCATGGATGTCGTAGAGACAGACACGACGATACATATCATGACCGAACGCGTTCGACCGTTGGGCCCGGCCCTGTTAAGCAGATCATCGAGCAGTCAGCAAGAACGTGAGGATTGGTTACTGTGGGGGCTGCACAGGGTTTCGGTGCGTAAATTATATCCGTTGCATGGCGATTTCAATTTGACGCACTGTATCTAGGTAGCTCTCGCATTCGTCAATGACTCGTGTGCCTCAACTCACGGGAACATACGCATCGGGTCGATCTTCATAACACCGTCGGGCGAGTGGAAACTTGGAGGTTTTGAAGTGCTGAGCAACCCGAAGGATCCGGCTGCCGTTCTATATGTATGTATGGACAACAAACCACCGCGGTGGAATAATTCTCATTTGCTACTTGATTTAGACGATGGGTGGTTCGTTGCCAGATTCATCCTCATTGTCCCCTCCCGAAGTCAAGAAAGGCGGTTGGTCGGTCTTAAAAGAGTATTGCATAATCCCCTCCACGTCGAATTCTTGTCTCATTATAAGATTCTAGACACGACGTCGCTGCAGCCGATGCCTATGCGCTGGGTCTACTTTTACATGCCCTCTTCAATCCCAATCAACCATTGCCCGCTACTGTCCACCCTCCACACCCACCCCCGCAACCATCATCGAGGGGCTCGATCCCCGCTTCCTTGTTCCCTCATTTCAAGAAGCTTCTAAACCCCAACCCCAAAGCTCGCATGACACCAAAACACTTCTTGGATATCGGTATGGCGGAAACGGGCTTCTTTGCTACCAATCGACTGGTCAAGGTATGCCTTGGCCTCGATAATTTTGCCCTCAGCAGTGAAGCTGAGAAATCCACATTACTGAGGCACGTTGGAGGCTTTCGATTAGTTGCGTCGGTCCTGCTGACAATGTCTGGTCTACAGAACACTGAAAGAATCTGCTTCATCATTCCCTACCGAATTCGCATCATTTCGTGTCCTTCCATCTCTCGTGTCCGCGCTCGAATACGGCGGCGCATCAGCCGCAACCATTCTCCCTCTAGTCCTCAAATTCGGTGAAAACGTCGCGTCGGAAGAATATCCTAAGGTCATCCTAACGCCGTTGGTTAAACTGTTCGCTAGCCCAGATAGAGGAACCCGGATGGCCCTACTTGATCACCTACCTGAGTATGCAGAGAGGCTGGACAAGAAAATGGTCAATGATCAGATTTGGCCAAATCTTGTAAGCCTTCCGTGCATCCCTTGAGTCGCGGATTTTATTATTGTACTTAGCAAACGGGATTTTCAGACACTGTCGCCGTCATACGAGAAGCTACAGTCAAGTCGATCAGCCTACTTGCTCCCAAGGTACATGACCCGCTATCTTTCAGTTGGTTTACCCCCGATATTCAGGCCACTACAAGTTTAGCGATCGTATCCTCAATAATGATCTTCTAAGATTTCTGGCGAGGATGCAAACGGATGTGGAAGCCTCAATACGAACGAATACCTGCATTCTCATCGGCAGACTTGGGCCATCCCTGGGGTATAACACGAAACGTAAAGTTCTGGTTCCAGCATTCTCCCGAGCATTGAAGGATACCTTCGTTCATGCTCGCGTTGCTGGGCTGATGGCACTGATGGCCACCATCGACTGCTATGAACCCGATGACCTCGCTAGCAAAGTCATACCAAGCATGTCGTTCACCATGCTAGATAAAGAGAAGTATGTTCTCCCTTCTATTTGCATTGTCATAATGGGCAGCTGATAGGTACGAAGGTTGGTGCGCGACCAGGCATTCAAAGCGATGGAGTTGTTCGTCAAGAAACTAGAGACGCATGCTTCGACTTTACCTGAAACCGTCGCACCCCAAGAAACGTTGGAAATGCCAGGTGGCTTGGGATCTGTAGCAATCCCCACGCAGGCCACCATCGTCAACTCGGCTGCTGGTGCTGCCGGCGCCCTAGCAGGATGGGCCATCACATCGCTAGGCAAGAAGGTTAGTTGATTTCCTTCGTCCAGGCGAAACAATTAGTGATGAAGCATGTAGCTCGCTGCTTCCGATCTCCAAAGCACCATCGCCGAGGCGAACGGGCCCGCTACTGCTATCGATCGGTCGTCTTCTGCCCCTTTCACGGCTGGACCTTCTGCAGGATCTAATGGCCCTCAACCAAACGGACAAACCTTGACACCTCCCGGACCCGAACGATCGTCTAGTGCACCGAATCAATCCAAAGGGCTTAAACTGGGTAGCGCGAAAGCACACGCCGACGATTCATTTATTGCCGAACTCGAGAAGGATAGCAGTCATGACTCCAATCCTTGGGCAGCTGAAGACCTTATGGATGTCAATGCCGACCAAGATGACTGGAGTGAGTAAGATATTGAATTTACAGTAACGGTTTATTCATCCCACCGTCTAGGTGCCTTCGAAAGCGCCCCTGCTCCAGTGATAAATTTGGAGATCACCAACGATCTGGGTTTCGACGTTCAGGATCCCTGGGAACACCAAGACCCAGTGCCACCAAAGCCGCGCTCGTTCTCCTCAAGCACTCCACCATCAGTGAAACCTTTGTCAGTCGCTCGTACAGTGTCATCCTTAAGTGATCCTGCCGGACGTGATGAATGGGGTGCTTTTGCCATCAAACCCAACGTGGTTGCGGAAGCGAAGACTACAATTAGTGTTCCGAACACACCTTTAGCAGCGACGATGTCTAAAGAGGATCGTGCCGCGGAAATGGCCAGGCGGAAAGAGGAGAGGAGGCAGGTTCGTGTGTTGTCGTCTTTCATATGCTTTACACGCTGATCGTTATGCCACTTCCAGCGCATTGCAATGCTGAAAGAGAAGAAGCAGAGCAAAACCTAATTAATGTCTAGTCATTCATCGCTTGTCGTTGACCGTTCATAGGTGTACTTTGCACTATTATGTTTCAACTTATCGTCATACAGGTGTACTCTACGCGTGGTCGAACGCTGCCGAATAAATATAGACAGCAAACTACCGACACTATCGATATAAGTTGATGGTCGGAGACACTGCCCGTTTCGTGAGCAGTATATTGTTACATATGGTTCCTCCGTCGTCTCCTCGATAACCTAGCCCCTGTTCATCGTCAGGAGGGTCCCTCTGGATTCTATTTATTCCTGCCTTCGCGCAATAAATAGACGGAAGTGAGGGCGATTTGCGATTTTTGCGGCTGACATCGTATGTTAGTTTACGAATGTACTGCGCGGGAGTCGCACGTTACAATACTTGAATGGAGCTCGTCGGCGGACGTTCCTATTATTATCTGGGGGCAGGCCTAGTATATAAGGTGCAGAACTGTCTACAACAGCTTATAATCAAGAAGAATAATGGCAACCGAGAAAGTTGGGTTCGAATTCGCCCCTCACGAAGTCGTCCCCAGTCTCGACCCGAAGCTCTATTCCCTCGACGAGCAAGAAGCTGCCTTCTTCAAATCCGCGACAGGCATCCAAGACGACGAAGAGCTGAAGAAACATATCCTCGATGTCCAAGCCAAGGCTTACGTTGTACGTGACATTGAGACTAAATTGTTGGTAGTGGGACACTTACATGTTCGTCTTTCATAGATCTTCGGTTATCCATGCATTCGAAGGTTCTCGTTTCTGAGGTAAACAAGCTCATATTGCACGCCCTCACTACGATCGGTTACTGATATATCCTCCCGCGTAGATTGAATATATGCAAACTCCCAGCATACACGCAAGTCCTTAAGCTGGCTAAGGAGCGTAAGGAGGCCGTCCTGCTAGACATTGGCTGCTGCTGTGAGTACCATGAGCATGCATATGTCAATTGACCATCAGCTGAACATCTGTTTATTTCTCCCCAGTTGGGAACGATCTGAGAAAAGCTGTAGCTGACGGTTGGCCGATTCAAAACGCCATCGCTTCCGACTTGCGCCAAGGTAAGGGGCTCCAACCATCCCAGCGTAACTTATACTTACACATCTGGGTCAGGATACTGGGATGCCGGGCACGAGCTTTTCAAGACCACTCCGGGATCATACCCCTTGAAGTTCATCCCCGGGGACGCGTTCGATCCAGCGTTCGTCGCTCCTCGGGACCCTTGCTACGAGCTTCCCCCTACACCCGCGCCAGAATTACAGTCTTTGACATCCCTTTCGCCTTTGCAAGGTCACGTCGCTGCGATTCATGCCTCGGCTTTCGTACACTTGTTCAGCGAAGAGCAACAGACCCAAGTCTGCAAAACCCTCGCGTCTTTGCTCTCTCCGGAGCCTGGGTCCACTATTTTTGGTGCCCACGGAGGGGTACCGCAGAAGGGATTTAGAACAGTTAATTTGGGAGACGTCACCCGAAGAATGTTCTTCCACGATCCAAACAGCTGGAATGAGCTTGGGGATGGCGGGATATTCAAGAAGGGCAGCGTCAAGGTGGAGGCACAGCTCATGGAACATAAGAGAGAGGACCTCAGTGAGGAATTCAACGGGGAGAAATTTTATCTTATAGCCTGGTCGGTGACGAGGCTATAGTTCTTGTTGAAATCAGCCGGTGAGGTCGCGAGAGTTCCGAATAATCAAGTAATGCATTGCGTTTGACTGGGACTCCAGCAAACACATGAAGAAAAGAATACATGGACACGCAAACTATGTACGTAGTCACGTGAACCCCTGTAACCCCTGTACCGCCTAGATTGTCAGAATCCAACAGTTCTGTCTGTCTTGTTGAATATGCAGATGTGTAATTTAGCACCCCTCTTTTCAGCATGAGCAAGTCCCCAATGCGCTCCCGATTCATACTCATAATCAGTGACCAAGCAAGTCTGTGTGCAGATTAGTGACTTCTCGCATTAGTTGAAACTGAACGGGTGATTAAACCTACCCACAGGAAGGAAAGCTGTGAGCGGAGGGATTAAATACGGCATTGTGATGATAACAAAGCATCGTTGTGCGCAATTTCAATGCGGAACCTGGCTAGTAAAGGTTGAACTCACTGATCCATCTGTTGTCTGACAAGGAAGTGTAAAAGAGTTGATCTGATTTAGGGTCTTCGTCTGACCGTGGGAGTTCTCAAGCTGATCGATGTTTTGTTAGTATGCCGGACCGGCCACACACCTTGTCTCTAACTTTCATGTCATGAACAACGCTCCCAAGCAGGAAGAGCTTCCTGCAATCAATGGGGCTCACGCCAATGGCGCACACGAGCCGTCACTCATGGAGCTGGAAAGTGAACTACCACAGGTCAACGACGAAATGGTGCCATTGGGAGAACTTCTGTCGCGCGTGGTTCAGTCAATATATGCAGAGCTTACTGAGATGGCGGAAACGTATGTGCACATATGCACTGGTCCTGATTGATATCAATTAAGTGTTTTACTTGAAAGGCTACCTAATATGTCGGATGCAGCACGAAAACGCTTGTTGGCGGACTGGGTAGTGCGGACGAAGAAACAAGTGGTCAAACTCTATGCGACGGCGAAGTGGGCGAGGGATGCTGATGTAGCTCAGAAATGCATGGTACGTCTACTCCTAGTCTGTGCACCTCGATCCTGCTTTTATATCATTTCATAGAATATTACCGCCTTCGTTTTGACCCAGCAAAGGCAGTTTGAAGATGCAATTGGGTATCTTGACACTCGAAACAAGAGTCTCAATGCTGCAAGGTAGCTATCAATCTACTAATCCTTTCCCGTTGCTCACTGTCGTCTTCATAGACTCGGAAACCATGACTTGCTTACGTCTCTTGACGTACTTACCACTGGATCATACCGTCGACTCCCTTCGGCAATCAAGGTACGACGGCCCGTAATACTAATACAAATGACTTATTGTCGCGTAGAAAGCCTTCATTCCTCCCCCTCCTTTGACAGACTTTGAAGTCAGAAAGACTTTGGTTGACATAGAAGACGCAATACGGTTCCGTTTGCGCACCCACGAATTTATTCCCGTTGAAATGTCTGAACACCACGTTGGTGAGTGACACGGATGTCTCCTTGCATCAAGACTGAGCCAGTCCAGCGGACGGTCGGGTATACTTCACTGTACCCCACCTCTTCGAGACGTCGGTTTCTCTGGGAGGTGCTGAGAAAGACGACGGGTGGTTCTTCGTACATGTAGATTTTCTGATCAATATTGGAGGGGATCTCACTGGGATGGAAGGTGCGTAATAATTGACCCTAAGCCGTTCGGTAAGTGAACTGCGACCAGAATTCCCCCGACAACCTTCGGGCATCTTGAAGCGCCACATTACGGACGAAGCTGATAAGCGACTGGCTTACTATCGTCCTCCCCCTCCCCCACCTGTCCCTTTCCCTCCAGGCTTTGAACCCCCCTCTGCCCCCCAACTACCAGAAGGTTTCGTCGATGCGCCGCTAGTGCGACTCTTCAATTTCCTCCGTAAGTACATCATCTTTGCATCTCTTCATTGACTTAGTTCTTGGGGGAAGAAATGATGTCCCTGTCCTATCAACTCGAGATATTATGGTACCAAGTGAGTCGACGATATGCTTTATATGTAGCGTAGCTTCTTACCCTAGTAGGCTGAGAGGATGCGTTCACTTGGTTGGGCGGAGTACCTTTCTGTTAAAATGTCACCAGATAGAAAGTCATTTATTGCGACTTACTGGATGTCAGTTCGTTCAACTTTCGCCAAATTGCAGAGTTGCTCATCATCCGCAGACGCCCAGCCCGCACTGCACCCACCCGCGCCCAAGCTCGTCCCATTCCATTACAAGGAGGCACCTTGACAATATCTATCGTACAATCAAAAGGACCGCCGCAGGCAGGTGGCGGTCCCACACGAACCCCCAAGCAACGAGTGCTTGCTGAACTAGAGCATCGACTGAAATTGGGGGTAAATCGGCCTTCGGATGAAGTCGAGGGTCTGCAGTTTGAAGTCAAATGGGAACCGACACCTTATGTACTCGCTATGATGATTCCTCCAGAGTTACTGGCTATGGCCCCGGAGGAATTGACGATAGTAAGTGTAGCATCCAGCTATTTGTGTGTTACTGAAACCCTTCCTAGCACGCCGATAGCCTTGACTTTGAGTCGCTTCTACGTAGGGTGATTGAGAGACACACCAAGGCCATATTTACGGTTCATCTATACAACCTTGCTCGAAGCCAAAAAAGAACCGTGTTTTCTGCTCCAGGAGTGGTCACCATGGTTTCTGAACGTCAGTGCACTCTCTACATTCCGCCTACTTTGCTCTGAACTCCTCTTAGCGGACTTCTCTGCCCTTCGCATCCATCTCTGCGCAAACGAGGAAGTGCTCATCACCATCGATGCCCGTACTGGGCGATTGAGTCTTCGTGATTCAGCCGATCTCGCAGCCGCAAGCAGAGGCATTCACTTCAACACCATCTCAGATCTCATCAACGATAATCCTCTCATCTTGTATGAAGCTTTGCTGAGGTTGCGGATGAATGTAAGGGACTAAGCAATAGGAACAGTCCTCGTGCTCATACTAGTTCTTAGACTATCATCGACTTTACAGAGCAAAAGGCCAAATACCTGGGGCTGCAGTGCTACCGCACTCGAAGCTTCCCGAAGGAAGGTCAGAGGCCCCGCAATATAACCTGCATTATTTTCACTCACATCGCCTCTTATTTCGTTTAGCTATTGCCCAGAAGTTTGGCTCAACACATCCTCACGCTCTTTACATCCAATTGGCCAACTTCCCCGACTACTACCTTGTACTGGTGATAGGGGATGGAGGATTTCGCTACGCAGTCATCGCCGCCGAGTCCATGCTCGATCCGGAGATTGGATACCACACATATAAGATTGCTCTCTTCCAGTGGTTAGATGTTCAGGGCATCTTACAAAGCAATGCACCTCGACAAGATGATCCTGGGTCCCCTCGGGTCACTGACACAAACTCACTCCCAAGCGATGATGTTGCCCCTGCTGGGTGAGCGATCGAAGTTACACCTGGCACTGTACATCTGCTAATGATGGGGAAGGTTCAACATCGAGACTAAGGCCTTGAGGGAGGTCTACTCTTATTGCTGGTCAGTGCCCTTTCATTGCGGATGCTGATAGTGTAGTATCTAATCCAAACGACCATATAGCGCACTCGTTGCTTGCAAGAAAGTACAAGATCAACTGAAAGCCCGCAATATCGCATGCACCCGCGTAAATCCTGCTGGCGGGTCACCTTCTCCTGGGGTCAATCATATTCAATCATCGCTTGCAAGATATGTCCCTGCTCTGTGTGTCCAGTCAAAGGACATCTTGTCCGGTGCTCCTGCGGCCGAAGCCGCCATGCCCAATATTCGCATCATCCCCCTGAACTGGTGGTCAGAGAAGCAAGTGCAGGTATGCACAAAATACGTACTGCAATTCACCACGATTGATTCATTCCCTCATAGGTTGTGACATGTGTGAAACTGAAGTATGTGCAACAGCCTACGGGGAAGACCGCTGGCGCCTTAAGCGCAGTCATACGACCGTCAAAACGCATCATATACGACACGAAAGACGCCGTTGTCTCTTTTCTATCAGAAGACGTCAATACGTGTGTAGATGAGTTCTTGGAAGAATGGGCCCGGGTTTCGAAGATGGTTGTGATTGCTAGGGAGGGTACACTTATTCCTCTTTAGCATTTCACTGGCAGCTACTGAATTACTCCCCGTGCTTACAGTTGCCCAGATGGCGAAAGACAAGAAGTGGGGAGGCGTCAAGTTGCTATCATTTGACTTGCAGACGGTGAAGTTCGCCTATATGGATGTATGTCGCGCTCTCTTCAGTCCCAAACGTATGGTAAAGTCCTAACTTTACTAGGACTACACTGTATCGATCACTTGCATGGACCAACTTTCCCCGACTGGCGGCACTTTCGACCTTCGATTCTCCAGGACCCACGCTGACGATGCCATGGATGAGGGCGTATCATTCAATCCCCACGATGATGCTGAACCATTCCTGCGGACTATCTTGAGACAGGGCCATGGTCGACTCGCTCCTTCCCTGCATCGTCTTGTCGGACTCTTGAGGGACACATTGCCTATTGTTGTTGCTCTTGAAGACATTCGCCTTGAGAGCTTTAACGGTGGCGCTAGCTCGTCGAAAGCGCTAGTCGGTCTTGATACTTTCGCTAAGGCTGCGGGGTGGTATCGCATTTTGTATGGTGATCTCAGGTGCGCAGATGTTCAAATTCGAGGGTGACATACACTAACGTAATTTGATTAGACACGCACTCGACTTCCGGTTAATGCATGATCAGAAAGTAGTCATACTGGATGGCTCTCATTCCTTATTCAGCAAATCTTCCAGCGAGGACGACGCTAGCAATCTCGGGCTGAAACCACTCCCCAAGCTTCGCGAGGCTATAGGGGCAGCGGTGAAGGAAGTGCGAGCCACCGCAGCTCGAGGGAGGATTGCCCCGATCGACGTGGGCGTAGTGTGTGACTGTGCAGTGGTCCGACCTCTCGCAAAGGCGCTCCATGCCCAGATACTCCTCCGACTAAATGAACTACCTAACTAACTTACATCTTTAACTGGGACCCGAGGATCGTGTAATGCAGTGTATCTATAGGGCTTGATTGTGCAGGTTTAGAGCTATATACTTTGTAATAAACTAATCCGATGATATATAGTTCTCCGGACATTGCGGCGTCGCGCTTCGTTGACCTATTTCCCTTGGGACAAGGCAAGGGCTGACAAGGAGGTAGTCAAGCTAGTCAACGAGGTTAACGAAGATTTACGTGGGCGGCCGCGCCTACGTTTGATGGGGATCGCTTCTGATTCGCTCTCGGTCACAGAGCTCACATCCAAGTCAAACGCCTCGCCTTCGCTACTCGAGGCATTCCCGCCGGCCTTGGCCTTTACTGTACCCTTCTTCTGTTTAGCCTTGGAGGGCTTGGAGGCTTTTGGCTTCGACGATTTAGCTTTCCGGCGCGGCGATATTTCAGCTTCGTCGTCGTCGTCAGAACCGAAGAGTTCATCGTGGTCGCGCTCTTGTAGGTCATCGTCGTCTTCTGGTGCCGGAGCTGCACCGGTGGATCGACGATAACACCCACGGATGATGTCGCCCCAAAGAACATACGTATTGCAGGAATTGCATGTGCCGCCCCGAGGAATAAATCCGGGTCTATCGTTCTGGCCAGCGAGGAATGCTTCGGATAGGCAGAGCAGATGCGCGACGCTATTGCAAGAAGGTTGCGGGCACAGCGATGTGGATAACGGAGACTATGATACGTAAAAATGGTACAAAATCGTGAAGTCGAGGAAGAGACGCACCGTACTGTAATCGTGGATCGGCAAGCGACACACAGAACATTCCAGCGGGTGGCCCGATGCTAAAAGAGCTGTGTTCTTCGCGAGGTATCTAGATGTAAATTGATCTACAGATAAATGATAAATAGTTCACCACTCATCCCATTTTGTGACGGCTACTGTGAACATACCGTCATTGGCACCAATCGGACCTTGTCTCCCTGAGCCTGATTTGCCAGACTTACCGTCAACGCCCTCCAATTCAACGGAGCATGTAAAGCCCTGGAGTGCGTCCAAGGTCGCGTGGGCCGCTGCATCATTCCAGTGGGTGACAGCTTCATTGGTGAATAGCTTCACATGCAGGGGCCACGTATTATACGGATGCGTCGAAATCATCGTGCGCACAATTCTATTTCCGGATCATAACGCACGGTGAGAATAAGAAACGGAACCGGCTCAATAACCAAGCAATAATAATAGGTACTAACCGAATAGAAGATTTCAGATATTTCGCTTTGCGATCATAGTGGAACAGCGGCTTCCCGTGCCCATCTCGAAGATGGCGCGAGATATGGGGGTGCTGCCAGGCCCATTCGAACTGCAGCGCGGCCTATATCTCACAAACAGCAATATTCAGAGAAAGTGATGCTGAAGCAAGGACTGTTCGCGCACGAGCTTGGATGGGAAACCGTGTACGATCATCTGCATTATCCACGGTCGTTTATGCTTCGTCTTCCACGCTCCCGCCGTAATCTCGCCATTGTGCTGCCTATCCAAGATTGCAATCCCCCAATCCATTGGGTGATAAGCGACGACCCCTCCATCGATTGCACGACTTACCGAATGCGTCTCGGTGGATTTGGAGTGCTGCCGATATATGTTCTTTAATCGGCCGACGGAAATCAATTCAAGGAATGAGCGCGGAGATTTGAGAGGCGTACGCGGTAGACTTGGTTTGTATGGATTTGAGGAGGTAACAAGCGTAGAAGGAGGGGAAAGAGTGTCGCGTCAAGGTCGACCTGGATGTTGGTTTGCGACCGACCATGGTTTGTGCCAAGGCCGACGCGTCGCATCACGTGTGACTGAGGTGGTTGAGTTCCGTCTCCGGGCCGCCAAGTAGCCGTCGCAGCTAGGGGAAGGCCTAGGGGGCTCCAGCACTTCTCTTGAACGGCAAAACGACCAGCAGATCGGAAAAAACACTGGTCAATGGCCCAGATTTTATTGGTCTGCAAATACAAGCCAATTGCAGGGGTCCGTCGTGCACTGCCAGCACCCGAAGGCTGGAGCCCGGAACCTGCAGAAATCCCGCATCGCATGTGACGGATGTAATCTGAGCCCATGATTTTGGGTCTGATGGTCTGTGAAGGGCCTCCACCGGGAAGCGCCCGGATGAGCACTGCCAATCCTGAAGTGCCCGAAGACGCGATTCCGCGATGAAATCCTTGCGGGGAGCCACCCAACCCGGTATCCCCTCTTTCACGAAGCGCCCAGCCCCCCCGTACACTACAAATACGGATCTTTGCTCCACCTCCAGCACCCGCACCCGCTCCCCCACTTTCAATCCTCGATATATCCGCCATGGTTCTCGCTCACCAGACCCCCTATGTTACCCCCCACATCCTCCACAAGAACTACGCCCAGAGCTACGACAATGAGGAGATCAGCAATCGTGAGTGCACTGTATAGTCTCCTGACCGTTGCTCACAGCGTGTGCAGTGATCGGTCGTGACCTCGAGTACTGGTCGCAAGCCGGGTTCGATATGGACCGGATTCAGATCAAGCGCAATGCGCCGGTGTCTCTGCTCTACGAAGACGCCATCCGCAACGAAGGCGCTATCATCTCGTCGTCTGGTGCCCTCATCAACTTCTCCGGTAAGAAGACCGGACGAAGCCCCAAAGACAAGCGCATTGTCTACGAGGAGACCAGCAAGGATGATATCTGGTGGGGCTCAGTAAACATCAAGATCGACGAACGTGAGTAGCTATCATGATTACCCCTGACTCAAGCTCAAAGCCATCCCACAGACACTTTTGAGATCAACCGTGAACGAGCCATCGACTATCTGAACACTCGGGATAACGTCTATGTCTTTGATGGTTACGCCGGAGTACGCTCACCGTTTATTATTTGCAATCCACACCATCTGATGCCGATTTGAATTGCAGTGGGATCCCAAGTACCGAATCAAGGTCCGGGTCATCTGCGCTCGCGCGTACCACGCCCTCTTCATGGTATGTCTTGTCCAAGATCCATTGATGATCAACGTACTAATTGTTCGTATTTTTAGAACAACATGCTCATCCGTCCAACGGAAGAGCAACTCGCCGATTTCGGCGAACCGGACTTCATCATCTACAACGCTGGACAGTTCCCCGCTAACCGATTCACCAAGGGCATGAGCTCGACGACCTCCGTCGAGATCAACTTCAAGCGTATGGAGATGGTCATCCTCGGTACAGAATACGCCGGTGAGATGAAGAAGGGTGTCTTCTCCGTCATGGTATGTTATCTATCTCTTGGATCACCTCCCGAGACTCACATTCCCTTGTAGCACTACCTCCAACCAGTCAAGTTCGGCCAACTCTCCCTCCACTCCTCCGCCAACGTCGGTAAAGATACGGGCGACGTCACGTTATTCTTCGGATTGTCAGGAACTGGCAAGACCACCCTCTCTGCCGACCCTAACCGTCTCCTAATTGGCGACGACGAGCACGTTTGGTCAGATACGGGTGTCTTCAACATCGAGGGTGGATGCTACGCCAAGTGCATCAACCTTTCCGCCGAGAAGGAGCCCGATATTTTCAACGCCATCCGCTACGGCTCGATCCTCGAGAACGTCGTGTACAACCCCGTCTCCCGCGTCCCCGACTACGACGACATCAGCATCACGGAGAACACCCGCTGCGCCTACCCCATCGAATTCATCCCCAACGCACAAATCCCCTGCGTTGTGAACACGCAACCCAGCAACATCATCATGTTGACCTGCGACGCCTTCGGTGTACTCCCCCCTGTCAGCAAGCTTACTCCTGAGCAGGCCAGCTACCACTTCTTGGCGGGATACACGTCGAAAACTCCAGGTACTGAGGACGGTGTCCTCGAGCCTATCCCCACTTTCTCTACTTGCTACTCAGCTCCATTCATTGTCCTCCACGTAAGTTCCCATCTAACGACATACCGATCATACACTGATCATCTATCCAGCCCGGCCGCTACGCCGAGATGCTCGCTGAGCGCATGTCAAAACACAACGTCAACTGCTGGCTCATCAACACCGGCTGGACTGGTGGCCGCTACGGCTCCGGCAAGCGTTGCCCCCTCAAGTACACCCGCATGATCGTCGACGCCGTGCACTCTGGCGAGCTCGCCAAGGCTGAGTACGAGACCTTCGGCACCTTTGGCCTCTCCATCCCCACGCACATCGAGGGCGTTCCCCGCGAGCTCCTCAACCCGCGCCTCGCCTGGACGGACAAGGAGGCCTTCGAGCGCGAGGTCCGCAAGCTCGGCGGCATGTTCCAGAAAGCCTTCGCCCTGTACGAGAAGGACGTCGATGTCAAGGTACGAAATGCCGGCCCCCAGATGTGAGCAGCGCGTCTGCATGCATAGGCGATAACATTGGTTGTAGTTATATTGTATATTGGACATCATATTAAATCATATAGAGGTTTCGTCATCACAAACATCTTGCGCCTTGTCGTCGTGGCGATTGGCCTCAGTGTGCTCAGCACCTGGGTCCAGATCGCGCCGAACGGAAGAAGGTGCCCACACGGCGGTTCTTGGGTGTAATCGAATTTGCGAATCCTGTCCTGAATGGAAGCCAAAGCAGCTAAATGCAAATCGTATGTGTTGGCCACTTACACGTCGCGTATTTTTCCGTTGCCGGTCCGTTATGCATAATAATTTAGTAGGAGCATTATTGGAACAAAATATTGAGCAGCCACCCCGGGTGTGCTGGATGCACATGCAGCAGCTCCGGAGTTGCACCACGAGACGGTCTGTATGACTACAAATAATTGGCGGTAGCTTCATTTGGGATCGTAATGTTGGTAAAAGAAAGGGCCCGATGATTCGTTGGCCTTGCGAAGCTTCCTGCGGTCCTTACATTTACTCTCTAAATCACCACCCACTGTGCGCAGATCCTCGCTCACGGGGGCACGGCTATGCCCCTCAGAGGCAGCACTCTTTCAAGTCTTAAGCGCGGCCATTTCCAGACTCTCAACTCCACTTGGTGGAAACCACAGAACTCTCGGAGCCTTTCCCATTCCTTGCTTCACTCCAAGACCCGCACTCCCCAGCCCCAGCAGCAGCAGAAACCCCAGTTGTCCTCGACGCACTTTACGATGGTCCTCCCACAGCGCGGCACGCCCTACGTTACGCCCCACATCTTGCACAAGAACTACGCCCAGAGCCACGACAATGAAGAGCTCACCACTCGTGCGTAGATCGTCTCTTTGTTGAGCAGATTGCTGACGATCCCTACAGTCATTGGCCGCCAGCTCGACTACTGGTCGCAGGCCGGCTTCGATATGGATAGGATTCAAATCAAGAGGAATGCGCCGGTGTCGCTCCTATATGAAGACGCTATTCGCAACGAAGGTGCCATCATCTCATCATCTGGTGCCCTCATCAACTTCTCGGGCAAGAAGACTGGGCGGAGCCCCAAGGACAAGCGCATCGTCTTCGAAGAAACCAGCAAGGACGACATCTGGTGGGGGTCGGTGAACATCAAGATCGATGAACGTAAGTTTATGCTTTTGTGCGTCTCACGATAAGCCTCATGGTGGGTGTACAGACACTTTCGAGATCAACCGCGAACGAGCAATCGATTACTTGAACACTCGGGATAATGTCTATGTATTCGACGGTTATGCTGGGGTATGCTGTTTCTCACTTTCCAAGCTATCATCTTACTCACATAAATTCCTTCAAGTGGGATCCCAAGTACCGTATCAAAGTCCGCGTCATTTGCGCTCGAGCGTACCATGCTCTCTTCATGGTCTGTTCACCCAATTGACCCCGATTGTCCGCACTACACTAACGCTTAATCTCCCTATTTACAGAACAACATGCTCATCCGCCCCACGGAAGAGCAACTAGCTGACTTCGGCGAACCAGATTTCATCATTTACAACGCCGGGCAGTTCCCCGCTAACCGCTTCACTAAGGGGATGAGCTCGACCACTTCCGTCGAGATTAACTTCAAGCGCATGGAGATGGTCATCCTTGGCACAGAATACGCCGGTGAGATGAAGAAGGGTGTCTTCTCCGTCATGGTAGGCATTTCATCTTCCTGCTTGCAGTTATCCCAGCAACTTACGTCCCCTTCCTTCAGCACTACCTGCAGCCAGTCAAGTTCGGACAGCTGTCCCTCCACTCCTCCGCCAACGTTGGGAAGGACACGGGTGACGTCACGCTCTTCTTTGGACTCTCAGGCACTGGCAAGACGACCCTCTCCGCCGACCCTAACCGCCTCCTAATCGGGGACGACGAGCACGTCTGGTCCGACACAGGCGTCTTCAACATTGAGGGCGGGTGCTACGCCAAGTGCATCAACCTCTCCGCCGAGAAGGAGCCCGACATCTTCAATGCCATCAGATTCGGCTCGATCCTCGAGAACGTCGTGTACAATCCCGTCTCCCGCGTGCCTGACTACGACGATATCAGCATTACGGAGAACACCCGCTGCGCGTATCCTATCGAATTTATTCCTAATGCGCAGATCCCCTGTGTGGTCAACTCGCAGCCAAGCAATATTATCATGTTGACTTGCGATGCTTTTGGCGTGCTTCCCCCTGTCAGCAGGCTCACCCCAGAGCAGGCTAGCTACCATTTCTTGGCCGGATATACTTCGTAAGTCCTACCTCCTTAGTCGATGATCATTCGCCTGATAGCGATGTGTAGGAAAACACCAGGTACCGAAGATGGTGTGCTTGAACCCATCCCCACTTTCTCTACTTGCTACTCCGCTCCGTTCATTGTCCTCCACGTAAGCTTCTCTGCCACCCCGTCTTATCTGTCTACTGACTTTCCCTTATTCAGCCTGGCCGCTATGCAGAGATGCTCGCGGACCGCATGTCGCAGCACAACGTCAACTGCTGGCTCATCAACACAGGCTGGACCGGCGGACGCTACGGCACGGGAAAACGCTGCCCTCTCAAATACACCCGCATGATCGTCGACGCCGTGCACTCCGGTGAGCTCGCCAAGGCCGAGTACGAGTCCTTCGGCACCTTCAACCTCACGATCCCCACACACATCGAGGGCGTGCCGCGCGAGCTCCTCAACCCGCGCCTTGCGTGGAAGGACAAGGAAGCGTTTGAGAGGGAGGTTAGGAAGCTTGGGGGCATGTTCCGCAAGGCGTTTGCGTTGTATGAGAACGATGTCGATGAGAAGGTCAGGAATGCGGGCCCGCAGATCTGAACGGCCGCAGCGATTTGGATATCGCTCTCTTGGTTATAGGCTATATTGTATTTTTGGACACCCATATGTAGTAAAACTCATGAATATATCGTTGTACCACCAGGAAAGCTTGCATCCGCAGCCTATCATCATTTTGGAGAACCGCGACTCGAATCGAAAGTGACTTCCAGTAGACATTGAATTCTCTGCAGTGACGGACATCATTACAACGTTTATGTTAGTAGACACTGTCAAATCCAGCAACAGGAAGGGTTTTCACGGAAGATTGCGCGCCGATATTGAATGCTTGCGGTTGGATTCTGTGTCTTGTCGAAAGTTAGAAGGGATCGCGAGAAACAATCATATTCAAGACGAGAAAACAAGCAATTACAGGATGCATACAGTTCTACGAGACACACATATCCCAGTCCGTTTCATTATACCTATACAACGCACCACCTCCAACAAACCCTACGATAAGCAGGTCCTACACTTCAGCCAGAGCACATGAGGCATGCTTCCTTGTTCTCTATCGAGCAAAGTAGCTTGGCCTCCTCCAGCTCTCGTTCCTTCTGTCGCTGGAGAGCGGCGGCGAACTCGGGATCCGCTTCAGCAGCCTTCCGCGTCTTCTCGTCCAGATTCAGCTCCGCCACGCTTTCCGTGATCGTAGTAGTAGTCGCCACCGCCGCCGACGTGCTGGAAGACGAAGCGACGGTCGTCGATACATACGAGGCGGCACGAACGGGCGAAGTCGAAGACGGCGTCACAGGGGTTCGGAGACCAGTTCCATTGGCGGTCGTAGATAGGGTAGTTGAGCGTCCAGCCGCCTGTTGCTTCTTTGCATCTTGGAGCACAGACTGATCTACCGTGAACTGGATAGCTTGGGCAGCAGGGCGCGTTCGGAGGTAGTACATCCCCGTCTTCAGACCCTTCTTCCAGCCGTAGAAGTGCATGCTAGTTAGTTGGCCTAGAGTAGGCGCTTGGAGATGGATGTTGAGACTCTGGCTTTGACAGATGAACGCTCCTCGGTCGGCAGCGAGGTCCAGTACCTTCTTCTGGCTGATCTCCCAGACGGTCTTGTAGATAGCCTTGACGCGATCGGGAATTTGTGGGATGTTCTGGACCGAACCGTTGTGCGCAATGATCATGTTCTTCATCTGGTCGTTCCAGAGGCCAAGGTCGACCAGCTCTCTGAGGAGCCAGGGGCAGACCACTTGGAATTCACCAGCAAGGACACGACGTGTATAAATATTGCTAGTGATCAAGGTTCGTCAGCAATGGTCATTACTCGTATGAGAGCTATATGTCCTACCTCGTGTAAGGCTCGAAGCACTCATTGAAGCCAAGTATTTGACTAGTAGAAGCCGTAGGCATAGGAGCAGCAATGAGCGAGTTCCGCAACCCGTGCTTGGCAATCTTCGCCTTCAACGAAGCCCAGTCCCAGAGATCCGTGGGGGTGACGCCCCAGAGGTCGTATTGTAGTTTCCCTTGAGAGGCAGGACTGCCTTCGTACGTCTCGTAAGCGCCTTCCTTCTCCGCCATTTCGCAGCTAGCCTCGAGACCGGCATGATAGATGGTCTCAAAGATTTGCTGGTTCAACTCTCTGGCAGCGGGCGAATCGAAGGGGATGCCGAGAGCCATGAACGCGTCGGCGAGGCCTTGCACACCAATGCCGATGGGGCGGTGGCGCATGTTCGACTTACGTGCCTCGGGTACGGGATAGTAGTTGATGTCGATGATACGGTTGAGGTTAAACGCGACGACTTTGGCGACGTCGTGTAGCTTCTGGAAGTTGTATGTACCCTTGGAGATGAAAGATGGGAGTGCAAGGGACGCTAGGTTGCAAACAGCAGTCTCGTCCGGCGAGGAGTACTCGATGATCTCCGTGCAAAGATTGGAGGACTTGATGGTGCCGAGATTCTGTTGGTTAGATTTGCCTACGATGCGGCGTCAGGATATGAGAACGAACAGCGACGAGGGGCTTACGATTGGCGGCATCCTTGTAGAGCATGAAGGGACCCCCGGTTTCAATCTGTGACTCGAGAATAGCGTACCACAGCTTTTGAGCCGGAACGGTCTTCCTTGCGCGTCCCTCCTTCTCGTATTTCTCGTACAGAGCGACGAACTCATCACTGTGTACTTCGTGTAGGCCTGGGGCCTCGTTGGGGCAAAACAAGGACCAGTCTTCATTGGCCTCCACGCGTTGCATGCTAAATGAGACATCAGAAATGGCAAGCTGTATGATGTGCCCATGACGTACAAAAGGTCAGGGATCCACAACGCGTAGAAAAGGTCACGAGCACGAGATTCTTCCTTCCCGTGGTTCTTCCTCAAGTCGAGGAAGTCGAAGACATCGGCGTGCCATGGCTCGAGGTAGATAGCAAATGCGCCAGGGCGCTTGTTACCTCCCTGGTCAACATATCGAGCTGTGGCATCATACGCCCGAAGCATTGGTACAATGCCGTTCGAGTAGCCGTTGGTGCCAGCAATGTAAGATCTACCAATCGTGATTAGGCGAGAACAAAATCAGTACAGCTGCAATCACTTACCCAGTGGCTCGAATGCAGTGGATGTTGAGCCCAATTCCACCAGCTGTCTTGCTAATCATAGCACAACTCTTCAAAGTGTCGTAGATTCCCTCTATGGAGTCGTCCTTCATGCAGACCAAGAAGCACGAGCTAAGCTGTGGGTGGGGAGTACCAGCATTGAACAGAGTAGGAGAAGCATGCGTGAAGTATCGCTCCGACATGAGGTTGTATGTCTCGATAACGCGGTCGATATCAGCTCCGTGTATGCCAACAGCCACACGCATGATCATATGTTGTGGGCGCTCCGCGACGCGTCCATTGATGCGAAGGAGGTAAGAGCGTTCAAGGGTTTTGAAACCAAAGCTATCGGTCGTTCAGCAAGTAATGCGTAGCCAAGGGATAGGCCGCTCACTAGTTGTAATGGAAATCACGATTATAGATGATGGCGGAGTCGAATGTTTCCGCGTGCTCCTTCACTATGTTGTAGGTTTCTTCAGAAATCATACCAGCGGGGCGTCCGTTCTTGGGGTTTACTGGCGCGCAGATGAGCGCGATTCGCCGCCGCTAAGTGGTTCACTCACTATAATGGTACAGATCGTGGATGACTTGGGAGAAGTTCTTCTTCGTTTCTTTGTGCAGGTTGGAGATAGCAATACGTGCTGCGAGGACCGCGTAATCGGGATGCTTGGTTGTCAAATAAGCAGCGGTCTCCGAGGCGAGGTTCTGCGTCGCGTTAGCTGTGATCCTGGTGACTAAGCACTGGGTAGAGACACCCACATCGAGCTCAACGGTCGTTACGCCCTGATACACACCAGCAACTACTTTCTGAGTGACCCTATGGTTGACATGTTATTGATATCCGACGGAGGGTGGCCTGTATACGCGTAACATACTCAATTGGGTTCACATGATTCATGTCGAGACCGTAGCAAAGTTTGTCGATCCTTGTTGTGATCTGGGAGGATGTTGAACGCGAGTCCGAGAGATACTCAAGGCATGAACATACCTTATCAAATTGAACGCGTTCCTTGCGTCTGTTATGACCAGTAGAGTGAGTTTGAGAAACGATGTGAATGCTGATCAGCGACGTACCCATCTAAAACTGAATTTCAGACTAGTCGCAGGCACAAGAGTCCATGAGTACGCACCTCGCTTAAAGACGTAGGCCATATCTGCCGATAGTGGAAGGAAGGTGGCCAACAGATGGTGGTAGGAAGGTAAGGAGGAAGAAGAGGGACGCGTCGCGTCGCGCTAAATAGGGCCTGGAAATCATGTGATACACTCGGTCACTTGACATTCAACGATGGTCGAATTCTCATGCACCTTCCACCTTTTCACCACGTCCGACGCGTTCCCCTACCTCCAAGAATTCTGTGGACTCGTGTTTGGGCGATTTTTGCACCCATATGCTGGGTCTTACTCCCGATAGCTATTGCGAGCCCCGGCTTTGAGGACCCAGGGTCATATCATGGCCAAGTCGTTGGTATACGTGAGTACGGTCACGGTCTCAGTTGACTGGAACACGAAGTGACCTTGGCCATTAGAAATCGGCAACTCGTAAGTGGAGACCTATGTTTCCCGATTATAACCGCCTTAATCTGCGTATAAATGCAGCTACTCGCGAATAACGTGGGCATACAAAGTTCCATCTTGTGGGTTTGTGTTGACCATGGGCAAAGATTTCAAAGTAACGATACCAATGATAAGAACGGTCACGGGCAGCATATGCGAACTATTCCTTCTTGGGTTTATTTCGGCAAGAACGAAATAATGTACGGGGTAAATTCCCGAGCTTGACTTGATCATCGTTGCTGACCATTGGTTAGCGCAGGCGACAAGGCTAAACAAGCCTATCTGGTCGATCCCAAGAACGCTGTTTGGAATATCAATCGACTATTGGGCCGCAAGACAGAAGAGCTATCACACGAAGATATTGAACGCTGGCACTTTCAAATCCAAGATCGAGGGGGATACCCAGTCATCAAGGTCCAACATGGCGACAATACTCGGTTTATCGTCAGTATTTCAACCATGGTATGCACTTTCGAGGGGGTGTTCATCGCGATTTCACAGACCCCGCAAGACGTTATTGCGGCAATCATAAAGAATCTGAAACAATCTGCTGAAGATTCCCTGGGCCACCCAGTAACTCACGCCGTCGTAGCCGTCCCACCATGTATGTAACTTTCCAAGAGTAACCACGGTATGCTGAGTGCCTGTGCGTACTATCTAGTATATCTCGAAACACAACGCGAAGCGGTCAAAGATGCAGCCCGTCTAGCAGGTCTAGCAGCTTTGCGAGTGACTGCAGATTCAGTATGTATAGGCCTGGATCACGGCTTCAGCAAAACTTCGGCCGAGTATTACACACTGGTATACGACCACGGCGGTGAATCACTCGACGTCTCTGTCCTCTTCATCGAAGACGGTATCTTCGAGCACCTAGCAAATGTCAGCAACCCCCATATCGGTGGCCGTCAGTTCAGTGATGGGATTAAGGCGTATCTTTTGGAACAACACGCTTGGAAGTCGGCGATGTCGAAGGACGTACATTTGAACCCTTGGGTGTCTGCTAGATTTGACGAGGAGGTGGAGAGGGCGAAACGCTTGTTATCGACGGGAGACGAAGTGTACATACAGATCGACGATTTCTACAATGGGAAAGCTTTGAGGGAACGCCTGACACGCTCGAAATTCGAAGAAATCAGCCGGCCATTACTTGAAAAGTCGCTGGCTGTAGTAAAGCAAGCCCTTCGAGAGGCTCGAATTCCAGAAGGCGAAACTCTCCATCAGGTACTTCCGTCGTGCTATTAACCGTCGACGGATTTTTGAGGTGTTCGTTCTGTCAAATAGATTCTCCTCGCCGGCGGCTCCTCAAATATTCCTGCAGTCAAGCAAATGCTGTCGGACTTCTTAGGGAAACCAGTAAGCCAGACGGCATTGCCAGAGGAGTCCTCCATCCGAGGCACCGCTCTCCAAGCCGCTATATTCAATTCGCCAGTCGATGATATCCTCGGGAATTTCGAAGTCACACCATGGGGCGTGAGCGTCCTCACCCACGGCGGGAACATGACTCGTATGATTCTGCCATGGAGTATAACTCCAGTGGCTCGCAATATCAGGTAAATAGCGCCTCCCTCCATTGCTCTAAACTTATCATCGATCATTTCGTTGTAGTTTTACGACGACTGTAGACAACCAAGAAAATATAACGATTGAATTATATAAAGGCTACGATTCTGTTGCGAGAGGAAACAAACAATTGGGCCAATTCGAGATTCATGGGCTTACTCCTGCTCCAGCCGGAGTTCCTGAGATTGTCATCGGTGTTGAGGTGGATGCTGGAGTTGACCAACTCAAAATCGGCGTGCTCGAACAGTCTAGGTTGGTCTGTCAGTACCAATGTACCGTATAAATTTACTGAATAGAATTTGTAGTAACAGGACATGGTCGACTGTATTGTTACCGGAGCGTAGTGGGCAGTGGGAGGACGCGTTAGAGCGACAAGCCGTTGAAGCGCAGTCTGACCTGGACCATGGAGTTGCCAGACGCCGGCTGGTCGTCTTTGGATTCCTAAGTGACCTCGTCGAAGAATTGGCAGAGCAGTTGGGATCTCAGCCGATGAAGGACGACAATGTAGCCAGGCTAGCAGAAATATACCTGGACGGAAAACTGTGGATAGAAACGAACAAAGTCGATGCGACCACAGAGGGCATAGTGGCACAATTGATAGGTGGGTTCCCCTTCCCTTCATTCTCGCGTTCTGGCGAAGTAAACCCATGGTTACACAGTTCTTCAAAAGCGCATCGACCCTGTTGGCATAGTTGAGTTCTCCAAACCTACCAATGATAAACGCAACGATATTTGGGATAGGGAGTATACAGAGCTGTAAACTCTTCAATAATGAGAAGGTCGCCGTGCCTTACCTTACAAAGAAGTACGGCGCTGAGCGCTGTAAATCTGCCTTGCTTGGAACAGCTCCAGAGAAGGTCGATTCTTTTGCCTAAAAGGTGGGGATGATGCTCCCAAGTAAATCAAATGTTGCAGCAAATGCGATTCAAGTAATAATACAGGTGGGACGAATTTAGTCCAAAAATCACCATATAGAATTCAAATCCAAAAGAGATGCATAATTGAGATGGGACGCGCCCACCCCATCAATGTTACTCCTCGTCGCTATCTGTCGCCTTCGCTTTTGACTCTGTTTGATCTGCGCTAGGAAGGTCGTCCCCCAACTCAAGGACCGACGGAATGGGACTGCTCTTGAAGCTGCTCGGTTTCGAACTCACTCCGGCAATCCTGACACTTAATCCTGGCTCCGTCTGAACCTTGCGAGCAGGTGTAGCCGCCGCACTTCGTTTACGATCGAGTAGAATGCTGGCAACTGCGGCTGAATTGGAACGATGCGGCGTAGTGAGGCCTAGTGCAGAGCGCTCTGGCACGTCCAAAGCAGAAAGCACTTGACGTTGATCGAAACTACCACGTTTGGCACGTCTAGGGTCCTGCAAAACCGCATCGCTGGGCGATTCCGCTTCCAAGGTGATCTTGGCTGGGCGAGGGGAGGATGGCGCACTGCGCGATCTATGCATCTTGAACTTCCGGTAGCGGCGCGGCCCAGCAGGTCGTGTCTCAATGGGTTTCACGTCCTCGCCTGCAGGAGAAATCTCGAGCGGAGCACGCAGTGGTTCGCCGTGAGCGCCCTCCGCGTCAAACTCATCATATATTTCCTCTCCTATAAGTTCTAGGGGGGGAGGGAGGTCATCGCGGATGCATACATGAAACAATTCGCCAAAGACTTGCCTTCAAGTACATCCTCAAGCGTGATGATCCCAAGGGGCATGATGTTAGGATCTAGAACTTGAAGAAACTAATGTCGCTAAGGATTAAAGGGCGAAAAGCATATACATGGACGTTACACTTCACCTCTTTCGCGCCTTCTTCACCAAGGACAGCATCATCTGGCATACTTTGCTCTAGATTCATGGTAGGCTTCTTCGGCGAACGGCTTCCAAGGGTAGACACTCCAGACTCAATATCATCCTTCTTACGACGCGAACGTTTGCTCTTCTTCTCCTTCTCTTCGCCCTCCTGGCTTTCATTCGAATCGCTATCGCTGTCGGTCATGCCAACTGTTTCCTTTAACCTCTGCCTCAAACTCCTCTTTACAACGTCCGCGGCTTCCTGGACACTTCGGGCCTTCTCGACGCTTTGGCGGCTGACAACTGCAATGTGCGAACGACCCTCTTGGAATTTGTCGAGGATGCCCAAGAGGGATTCGTTCTGAGGTACACTGGGGATCTTGTTCAACGGCATCTTGCGAAGTGGAACCGCCTCTGGTTGGTAGCCATGGGTTAGAGACGTTCGTCTACCGATTGACTAATTGAATAAAACTACCTTTGGGATCAAGCAAGACACAGTGTTTGACAAGAAATACACCAATGATTCGCTTGACCATACGAGGCTTCTCTGCAATCCATTTGCTAGACTCGGCATCACCAGTAGGAGGGAGCGCAATTTCCTCGTAGACGGGTACGCGACTGTGTCCCGTGGCAGTAATCTTCTTCAGCGTGTCGTAATCCAGTTTAGCATCAATTGACAACATGAAGACATCAGCGATGGGTGTCATGGCCTGATGATTGATTATGTTAGCAAGAAGATCATGCGAATACCAACTCTTTACCTGCCGCACGACCTTCTCTTGAAGATCGAGTGTTGCCCCAATGATAGTGACCGTGTCACTTGCTAGGTCACCCCCATGATGCATCATTTCTGCGTGCATGTTGATGAGCTCCTTCAGCTCTGAAGCATATATATCATATATGTGAGTGGACTACTTTGCACGATGCGTAACAGAGATTAATTACCTGCACGCCTATAGATAATTCCGTGGTGTGATCCAAGGACAAACTCAAGAAGTTTAGCTGTCGGCCACGATATGATTCCCTATATATTATTTAGTACATTCCCATACCTCATATCGGGAGTGTGTGACATACGAGCGCATATATCAAGCATTTCGTCAATGTGGCGAACTTGGCGCCGAGGTACAACCCATAGCGCGTAAATAAAGATTGAGGAATGATTTCAGCGAATCTACGCGGGAAATCCAATCAGCCACCGGCCTGCACTCCATGTAGAAACGCGGTTGCCTTTAACAACTTACATTACAATCAGCGTCGTACTGACGACAACACTCTGGACGCCGCCGCCGAGCACGGGGTCTGCTATCACCGGCAGCGTCTCATTCGTGATCATGTTGGCTAGAAGAAGCGTCACCAGAAGCAGATGTCCATTCTTCCGGACAGGCTTGATCTTGTTGGCGTATTCCCGCTGCTTTCTGAACGGCGGGCATATCCAAGTCAGTTAATTGCGCTGCGCGTCGACCGCACTGCGGTATGCATGGGAATCACTCACGGCGTCCCACTCATACTCAATACATTTAACTGAGTCTCATCCAAGCTCAAGTAGCCAAGCGTGAGGCCTGCAAACAGTCCAGAAAGCAAGACCAAGACCGGGATGAGGATTGGGAAGACTATCGACTCCACTCCAGAGATCTTTCGCTTTTGGAAGGTGTGGTAGTGGGGGTCTGCATTGTAGCTCTTCCAAAGGCCTTGTACGATGGCGAATACGGAGTAGATGGCTCGAGAAGAAGAGACGCTAGTGCCAAGGGGTCTTGGTACCATAGGAAGGAGCTAAGAGGAAGAGCCAAGCCAGAAATCGCCACCCTGAAGTCCTTGGAGAATGTGGCTGTGCGGCTGGGTCATCCATTTAGCGCCCATGATACGACTGCCAAAGTAGCTCTGAAGAGCGTGTCCTAGCACAGCTGTATAATGAAGACACATATAATACATATAAACCCAATAATACATATCCCCGCGATAAATATACTACAACGAATCACCATCCGAGTCTTCGAACTCAGGAACTCTCTCGAGCGGGTAATCCTCACACATGCGCGCAATCCGCGTGGCCGACTGGAGGGCCCGCTGGATGGTCGACCATGAGGACGAGGTAGGCGGAGTATGTGTCAGAATATCTATAAATCAAGGTGAGCCACCACGTCAAAAGGCAAACTATTTACAGGACGACGGACCTTGGAATAAGAAGATGTATCTAGCGACACGATCAACCGGAAGCTCTACAGCATCCCGGAGGGACTTCGCTGTCTCTGCATCTATATCGAGGGAGTGTAGTGCCTCGCTGCATGCGATGAAGGCAGACTGGATCACATCCTGATTGATCAAGAAGGCATTGGCTGTGCCCCATGAGCTCGAATCTCTGCCCAGGGCGCCAACAAATGACTGGCTAGCAGCGATCAGGGAAGGCGCATGAGAGCGGACCACCTGGGCGAGGGCCGGGGGGATACCTTCCTCGTAAGATGACAATGAGCGTAAGGACGCTATATAATAGCGTTCTGATCGAGCGATTTCCTTGCATGAGAGCATCGCGCGCCTAGCGGACTGCCAAGTTGACATGAGCGCTGGATCCGACAGCGATGGGAGTGAAGGTCGCAGCGGATGGAAGGGCGATGGGGAAGGAGAATCGCAGCTGAAGCTAGAGAAACCTGTCCCTAGAGCAGCACTCATCGGGCTTAGAAGCGCGGAGGTGGGAGAAGCAAGACCGGAGTCTTCATCGCAACCAACCGACCACCTCCGCCGGTACTGAACTGAACTTGAGGGTGTTCGGCTTGAATATATTGGGGAAGAAAGAGTCAGAGTTATGGCACCGGGGGGTCGAGATGATTGCGAGGCTTCGTCGTCGCTCAGGATGAGATGGAACTGGGGTTTCTGCGGCTTCCGATGATCAAGTTCCGTATTTAGACGAGGAAGGGATGCATTTTTTGACGGGGATGGAGTCAAGCTGGGTGTTGGACTGTCGGAGTTGGGCTAGAAGGACTCTTAGTTAGCGTCGCAATCGTTTCCGCAGACAACTGAGATCGCTTACACCATCCCGAGCAGCAAAAGGGGAGTGTAGCTTCAACGACTGCACCCTGCGCAGCCTCTCTTCTCTACTTAGCGATGAAACCCGCAGCTCGCTGGTTTCCACGGAGGCAGCACTCTGGGTGAGATTGAGATCGCCGAATGTATCCCGTTCGAAGGCCAACTTGATAGGCGCAAGAGGGCGCACACCATCCCTCGACACGGACTTGGCTTCCTCCGCTTCCTCGAAGAGCTTCATGATAGGGCTGGCGTCCATGAATTGCGTTAGGAAGGGTAACGGTTTACGTTGGCGATGTAGGGTTGATGCAGTCGAGTCGTTAAAAGGCAGCATACCAACGGGACTGTTGGGAGGGGCGGACACTTGGAGCGTTTCGTAGATATCAGCATCAAGACTATCATCACCCGCATCACCAACATGATGTTGATGAACGAACGAGTCTAGTGGTTCCAAATGGAATAACGGTGTGCTGGGAAATGCTGGCTCCCATATCCCCGGTGTGATTTCTTTGTCATAGCCACCACGCGCTCGATAGTTCGCGATCATTTCTGATAGCGGCGAGGTCGAGCACAGGCCAGAGTCAAGATCACTTGACAGAGGGGAGAAGAGCCCTGACGAGGACGATGATGTCAGGTCGGGCGTGTCGGGCGTCGACAGCGGCGCAAGAAGGTGGGATGGCCTGGAAGGTCCCGCTGCGCGCTGCATAGTGAACAGACGGTCATGCACTGCACGATGGGCTACTTGAGTCATTATCTGCGAATTCGAGGGGTACGTAGACGGAACGGATATATCGGAACGCCCTATGACTTCCAGAGATGAGGGGGATATGGGGGGGAGCAAACCAGGCAAAGAACAAGCAGAACACAACTCCCCCCGGCTTTAAGTAGCGCAGCGTTCGAAACGGTGGCTATGGTGAAAGTTGGGCTGCAACTGGCGGGCTGGCTATCCTCGCTGGCCGTCTCTGGCCGAATTACTAGTAACATGAAGCATCGCAGGGCGTTGCCCTGTATCAAACGCATACCAAGGTGGATATGTGGACGGGTTGCCAGGCCGACGACAGCGATATCGAGGAAGTACCCCGGCTTCATCCTAGTTCGCGGGGTTGTTCAATTGTTCCGTTGCCAGCTGAAACTTCCGCCCAGAGGGGCAAGCCCTGGTAATCCTTCTGAAGTCTGGGTCCCATAGACACACATGCACAGCGATAAACTGAGCCAGAGAGCGCAGGCTGAGGCCATTATTCGGAACAGCTAATCAATCCAAACCCGTCCAGATTATGGTAGTGATAGAACGTCGTAAAATGCCTTCTTCGGGAGAAGCAAGAGAGCCATAGATGATGCATCAAGTCGTGTAGATGTATTGGAAATGGTGGTATCGGAGAAGTTGATGAGGCCCCATCCTCGACAATAGTCCGTGGGTTTGCGGTGGGTCGTGTTTGATAGTTGTGATCAAAACATATAGCATCGCCATTTGAGTGAGGGTCCTCGTAGATCCTCGCGTGTATTACTCCAGGGTGGTCTTGGGGTAAGGAATGGCCTTTCACTGGTGGTGAAACAGTTCACTCAACCACCGCTTGAGGCCGCACAGGAGAACCTCTTCAGTGCTCTTGGCCGAGTCCGATCCGTCTGCTTTGAATCCAAACATGGTCAAACGATCCCCTGAGCCCGCTACTTCTTTCTATTTTCTAGTAGCTTTCTGGGCTGTGGAGGGGTCCTAAACTAGGACAGAACTATTGAATTGTGATTTGATTACCACGTGGATTTGACCATCATCAACTAGCAGCTCCTTGAGTGATTCTGATACGATAGGAATATATCTGAACTTGACAGCAAAGGAAGGACCAAAGGATAGAAATATAGGGGACAGGAATAGCGAACGGTATTCACTGTACGCCATGGAAGTCAATAAACGTGGAACGCTTTACAGTCTTACCAGCATCTACTATAGTATTGCTTTTGGAGATTTCGTGCATACTGGATATTTCATTGTATCTTTGAATATACATCTCAACTCCGTAGTATACCGCCCACTTTGATGACGCTTCCCTTACCTGCATTAGCGTCACTGCTCTGACTTACTTGCTCCTCGATGACACTGACCTGGATCCAGGAAACCGATTGTAGTTTCCCGAAGGACCGAAGATACACGAGCCGTAAGGTGACCGCTCCACGCACTGTACCTGACTGCTTATTTCCCATAGATATTCTTGTTCGGACCGCTGTAGCAAGTAGAAGTCTGTTTCTGTGAATAGGCTCGATAGGACAGTGATGGATGATGCATTATATCGCCACTATTCTCTGCCTGGAGTACTTGGAAGGTCCCAGCTGGAGACGCTGTCATCCATTACTCGTTATTTGTGCCATTTTGAATTACTCCATGCGCACCATGGAGTTGCAGTCGCTGTTCTCTGTCGCCTCGGAAGAAGGTACAGGCGAAAGGCTTGGCTGCTCAGCACCAGCGCTCTCAACACTTCGTTTCGTGTGCCTGTACGGAGTCCTCTAACGACCTGGGCTTGAGATTGACCACGCAGCAGCCTTCGAGTTCCAGAAATCTCGAGAAGAGGGCGACGGGGAAGAGGAAGTCAGGGGTAACGTGACTGGTCATAGGGGCTGCGCTGAACCACGCCGTGGGGCAAGAACCGCAAGGTGACGTCAAAAAGTCAAAAGTGACCTACTGCGGGGACCCGAACGATTTCCTCATTGCAAGTACAAAAGGCGAGCTCACAGCGACATCCTCCTTTCTTCCCTATTCCCATCTTCCCCCTCACGAAATCCCACATTCCGCAACACAACCTGCAAAGTTGATAATGGCCGACCCCGTGTGGACTGATGGGATCTTGCTCAAGGTCTGTGTTCCACGAATCTCGAGTTTACGGCACAGAGTTGATGCAGTTTACCTCAGATTGCGAATGTAATCACATATCTGTTCTTTTTGGGCTCGAACTTGTATACGGTCGCTGCCCCAAACGATATTTACTACACTGGAAAGGAGACGTATATCACGCCAGCTCCATGGGCATTCCTCATTTGGTGCGTGTTGAACGCGTTGTCTGTCGTGTACCAGCCTCATTGCAACCATTCAGGTCTTTGATTCACTTGCTGCTTCTTGGAACCGTCATCTACCAATTCTTCCCCGCCGGCAAGCGTGTTATCATTGATGGTATCTCATGGAGATTCCCCCTACTTGGCCTCCTGAACGCCATCTACGTCAACCTCTGGGCAAGCCACCACTACATTATTGGTGAGCCTGCTTTTCGAGCCGGAAGCTAATATCAGTGGCTAATAACTACATCAGCTTTTGTGTTCTCGCTCTTCGTCAGCTCCGCAGTTACTGTGCGTACTTCAGCCATTTTGTACCCTTAGTCCTTACACTTTTCGTTCTAGCACATTTACTACATCGTCAAAAAACATCACTCCCCGCAAAGTGCTGCTGACGAAGTCTTCGTTCACTTGCCGTTCTCACTTTACCACGGTTGGACAACTGTGCTTGTCATCTTGACTGCCTTCGAGGCGTTTGGTGTTAGCGCCTTTGACCACAAGGCTGGCGTTTGGACCAAAGTTTTCGTCTTTCTCGCATTGTACGTCCTTCTCCCCTTCTTTGCAATCCCACGTATGCTCATCCTTGATCAAGGTTCTTCCTCGAGGGCACGGCTGCCGCATACGCTTTCTCCACTCCCGAGGGCGATCTCCCAGCGTCGGTCGCTATTGCCTGGTCGCTCTGGGCCATCTTCTCTCACCAAAGGTCTTCGGCTTTCATCCACTGGTCGGCACTCGCTTTCGCCATCCTTTCGTTGTTCTGGGTGGTCAAGGGTGCCTACGGGCTCTGGGCCACTAGCGGCGGACGCGTAAGACTCGATGATGAGGAACGCGCACCCCTTGTCGGCTCGTCGTAAATGCACAGCAGAGATTGTCATGGTTGGATTATGACACTTCACCCACCAGTATCGTATCTTTCTTTGTATCTGTATTATATGACTGCCCGAATACTCTGTTGTTCCCCTTGATACAGCCTGGGGCCTCGGCTACGCGAGTGGTCCTACGCCCCGTTGAACTCAGTTGTTTCGACCTCACGGGCGTGCGATATGTCGTACCTGCCATCAATCTTGAGACAAAAAGCATCACTTGTCTGTCAACGCTATGCGCAGTCAAGCTTGCTATACGATACACATGGAAGCTTCGTGCTAGGTCGTGCTTCATTAACCCACAGCAGCTTGCAGCATGTCATTCCTGTTGGTACTCCTGTCCCTCCTATACTTTATCACGTGACTAACTTTTATGTCACAGATGAGCCGCATTGTCACACCCAGCCACAGTCGTTCCCTTCTGATCGCAACTTACCCGCATGCCCACAGGATGAATACTATGCCGATATTAGCCCAAGCGTGAAACCTCGCAAGGTAGGACTATGCAGAACGTTAGGCCCCAAGCCATTATGAAACTGTCGACTTCTCTTCCCCATGTTCTCACCCGACTCGAATGGTCCGCTGGTTTACCGTTTACGCGCCCAGGCCACTGGCCAGAGCCCCATTCCACGGGTGATTGACCGGGCTGATGTTGGGTGGAAATACTGATGTTTGGTAAAGTGCTGGATCAGCCCAGTACCATGGTCAGGCGACGCACGGCTTTCGAAGAGCTTAAACTGTTTGATGGCCCTCGGTGTCTGGTAATCGGTGTGCGGTAATAGAACTCGAGGAAGGAAGAAGTCGAGAAGTCGACCGTGGCGGCCAGAAGGTTGAAGAGGCCCAGAGGATTCGGTGGACATAGAGGTTTTGGGGTTTGAGGTGAGTTTGTCGACGGAGATGTTACTGTTCTCGTATGCCTTACCATTAAGTCCAAGCAAAGTCTAAATGCGAGCGGTGAGCGAGCCCCTTGTCCTTGGCTTTGGGTTGGAAAGCGTCTTGCTGGGGCAGACTGAAAAATTCGATGTTACAAATGCATGGGTCAAGCCTTGTTTTCCCTCACACCGACACTAGGGGACATCCGACGGATAACCTCGCAGTGCGCCAGATAAGACGACTGTGTCGTCTAAAGTTACCGATCCGTGGGTCGTCGCGCTGGTGCGAATGTGCTGAGTGCTCTCGCTTACTCTCACTGTGTTTTGATTCATAACAGAAGACCTGTCATTGGATCGCAAAATCAATGCGATTCAATTGCACAACCGTCTTGAGCTCCGACGCTTGTGAAGACTACGTACGCAGTGTGCACACGGTGCATCGTGATGTACGCTAGCCTTCCTATACATTCGAATTTCGCAGCAGCAGCAACGAGTTCTGTATCACATATTGCATATCAAGAATCTTTCTTGTTTTACCTCTTCCCATTTAGATGCCCGCATTCCACGACATGCACGTTTGAGCTTAGAAGCGAGAACTGCGGGTTGATGTTTCCTCCGCATAACACACCATCGTAAGCATCCGGCGTACGTATAATACAAAGTACACTAACAATAACCCATGGAATAGGTACGCAATCAGATCACAACTTTGTTCCCGCCCGTTGGGTCACATAGCGCGCATAGGCGATCTTTGTTCCCCATACCGCGGGTTTGGGTGTGAACGAGGTAATCAAAGTCATATACGGGTCCACTGTCTCACGGCTCATATATCTTTTCACTCGACATTGTGCAGCAAATTGCGCGCGAGCCCGTCGTGCGTACAAGCAGGTATGAACCACCCCCATTCCAATTATAAACTCACATCCTCTGATTGGACCTGGCCGCAGTATCTTCATTTCAGACATCCGAATGTCTAAATCATCCGGTACCGCCTGTTAGAAGTCGGGTTATCCGCAATCGCTGGACCCAAACCCCCGACCGGTCTTGCACGCCTTGCGAACTTGATGGGCACGGTGCGATTAGACCGCTTCGACACACTGACATCGTGCAACTTTGGTGGTGCAATCCCTTACATGCCCATCTGCCAAATCAGAAAGAATCGTTTGTTTATTGGTTATCGTGGAGCGCTTCGACGTGTCTTTCGATATTGCGCCGATAGTCACACAGAGATAAATCATTCGGTGATCCTGACGGCGCTTGTGTATGTGTTTGCTATGTCAATAACTTTCCCTTGCACGTCTGGATCGTGGAGCTCTCTTGTGATCACTATGGCGAACGCGGTCATCAGCCAACAAATTAGACGAGTCACTCATTTCAAGGCAACACATCAACCACAGGAATATAACAATTGAATTACGAAGGCAAGCATCGCATATCATATTCTATTCGAAACACTTAGATTAACGTAGACATTCGTTTCGTTTTCGTGCCGGCATCCCTTGTGAAACGTAGACATCCAGTTACCATTGCTCCGGGCAACGTTCACACCATGGTCATTAGCCTAAATGCACCGACGCCCATCGACAAGATAACGGTAAATGGACGTAGGTGAGTTACCGCTCAGCCGTCGTGGAACAATCAACCCACGACGCTGGGACGACAGGCAGCATGAATAATCCACTCCAAGGTACCGGGCGAGGTCAAAAACAAAAGTGTTCCGTAGAAGATGGACGTACCTCACCGAAGCAGAGGCAACGCGAAAGGAAAGAGCTTATTTTTGGTTCGTAATACACAAATTGAAGGTCGCGGAGTTGATTGTGCAAGACCGTGCGACAATGATGTGTTCCGGGAACATCGAGGTATTCTAACTCCATTCTCGCGCCTTCGAAGGTTGTCTATTTCCCTCCCTTGAGAAGTTTGTTTATCTTCGCATAAGCGTCTATTGAATAAGTTCGGACAGGTACACTTTCCACCGAGGTTAAGCCTTGAGAGCATTCACCAGCTAGTAGCTACTACTTACCACCACCTCTTCGTCGCCACGAAGTTGCTCGACTACGTGCAAAGCCCGCTTGGGCGCTGATCCACTCGGTGTGCTGTGAATCTGACTACGAGGGTCACTCAGCCGAACTGCTAGATCTGATGGTAGCTGTTGTTGATGGGCCGCCTCCGTTTTAGTGTTGCCGCCGCTGTGAGAACAACGGATGACTCTACCATCAAATCGGGAGCTCTGTTCTACCAGTTCCGAATGCCCGGTACAGGCGTGGACGCTCTCGACAGAGCTCGATCGTAGATCTTCTTCCAACAACTTCTCATGGCAGCTCCAAGGACTCATGGCGAACCTCTACTGATTGACGCGAGGCGCATAGTCAAAATTTCTCGATGAGAACTATACGGAAGTAAGTATGTTTTCGCGTTGCGATGCACAACTCACGCGTCGTGATTGGCCATTCCTGCTGATACGGCATTCGGTGACCTTCACGAATAGTGGCCTCTCTACGGGTAGAAATGGTATAAAAGGGTGCCGACATAGCAGTGTTTGAAGCAGAGAACCTCGTCTCTTCAACTCCAGCAATGGCCTTCAAGAACTTCTCGTCCCTTGTCCTCCTGACTTTGGCATCTCAAGCCGTCCGAGGCGCTGTCATGAAGCGTGCTACTTGCGCTGACGGACGTACTACTGCGAACGCCGCCTGCTGCGTCCTATTCCCCATTCTGGATGACATCCAAGAGGCCCTCTTTGATGGTGCCGAGTGTGGTGAAGAGGTTCACGAGTCCCTTCGACTCACTTTCCATGACGCTATTGGTTTCTCGCCAACCAAAGGGTATGTGCAAACTTCGCATCTTCGTGAATGGTGACTGACAACAAACACCCAATAGTGGGGGAGGTGCCGACGGCTCTATCGTAACTTTCGACGAAATCGAAACTGCTTTCCACGCCAACGGTGGAATCGACGACATAGTCGATGCGCAGAAGCCATTTATTGCTCGCCACAACATCTCCGCCGGTGACTTGTAAGTTCCTTTGGGAAAATTCGCAGTGAACCCATCTAACGAGTTATTGTAGCATTCAATTTGCTGGCGCTGTTGGTGTCAGTAACTGCCCAGGAGCTCCAAGACTCAACTTCTTGCTTGGTCGCCCGCCAGCTACAGCAGCTTCGCCCAATGGTTTGATCCCTGAACCATTCGGTACGTTTACTTCTTTGGTACTATCAGTCATGCTCTAATAGTGTACATCAGACACCGTCACCGATATCCTTGCCCGTATGGGTGACGCTGGCTTCAGCCCGGAAGAGGTCGTTGCCCTTCTGGCCTCGTAAGTCAAACAGTAACCTATCTACCCATCTTGAAAATTGACGAGCTTCGATAATCGCAGACACTCCGTTGCTGCCGCAGACCACGTCGATGAGACCATTCCAGGAACACCCTTCGACTCCACTCCAGGAGAATTTGACTCTCAATTCTTCATCGAAACCCAACTCCGTGGCACTGCTTTCCCAGGGTAAGCGATCCATTACGTCGATCGTAGTCGCCAATCTCACTTCTTGAACAGTGTTGGCGGTAACCAAGGAGAGGTCGAATCGCCTCTTGCTGGAGAAATCCGTATCCAATCAGATCACGATGTACGTCTTTTCCACCTAAACTCGCTTTATTGTTCTGATCAACTGTCTTTCTAGCTTGCCCGTGGTATGTATTCAGCTTGCCGGTATACTACTTAATCTCAAAGGTTTGATTAGATTCTCGCACTGCTTGCGAGTGGCAATCCTTCGTTAGTGAGTACAAGCAACACCATTTCTAGGCCTGATCGCGATACTGAACATCCTCTAGACAACCAGGCCAAGCTTCAATCCGCTTTCAAGGCTGCTATGGACAAGTTGGCTACACTCGGTCAAGATCGCTCAAAGCTCATTGACTGCTCTGATGTTATCCCTGTCCCCAAGCCATTGCAGAGCAAGGCCCATCTCCCTGCTGGCCTGACGATGAACAACATCGAGCAAGCGGTACGTGGAGAGTTCGATTCACTGATTTGCTTTCTCACTCAATTGCTTCTTTAGTGTGCTTCTACACCCTTCCCAGCTCTCACTGCCGACCCTGGCCCAGTCACTACTGTCCCCCCTGTGTAAGTCTCAAGTTCTCCTGTTGACACGTAACTCAACAGTTGTTCAGTCCCCCTTCGTAAACCGTGATGACCATAAATTTGATCAAGCGCCACTTTCCTTTTCATCAGCGGGTAGCATAGTCGTGTCGGGTTTTGTTTAAGTAATATACCTCCTAGAATCAACTTTCCTTTGGATCGTCCATAACGTCGAGACTTCCTGAGTGATAGATGCAACAAGCATGCCATCCGATATCTATCAGCGTTCACTTTCTGCGAAGTTGTTGCCCTTCCGATGTACCGTTTTCGAGATTCAAGCTTCATGTCTACCCGCAAACCATGGCATTCTCATTGTGCTTGCCTCCTTACTTATCATCCCTCTTCAAAGCCCCGTCGATGGTAGGCTCTGTGCATTATTGGTCTCCAAGAGGTCATTGTAGAGCGCAGGTGCGGCATCATCTTGGTTGTCAAATTTCTAGAGAGCCCTCCCTCTTCAGAGCTTGGACTATCTTTATCTGCTTCTTCATTCTTGCGAGTACAGCCGATTTATGCTCCTACTCGCGTCTATACGATGAAACAGAAGTTGCAGGGCAAAAAACTACCGTTTTAAGCGGTCGTATATAGGTCTCGTCAATGAGCCTAGCGCGTTCAGCGCCACGTACTTCAATCACACAAGTAAACAGGTTCGGCGACAGCTCCGTAGTACACTTAAATCTCTGTTAGAACAAGGACCAACAACCAGACATTCAAAGAAAGTGTAACATACATGATAGCTCTTTAAATCCATGGAACATTTACCAGTTTCCTCAGTGAAGCTGAAACCCCAGAGCAGATTCATGGTGTCGATAGCCTATAATATACACTTTGCATAAGATCGGTGGTAAGAGAGCAAGGTCGCACTTACTATTGTCCTCTCCGTCATCTCTATCCCAGGACAGATACGCTTGGGGTGCGATAAGTTACTCCGAACGGTGTACTATCAGTGATACTTACTCGGCCAGAACCGAAAGGAAGTGTGTCCCTGAGGCCGTCAGAGCACACACCGTCCTTAATCCCGAATTCTGATTTCACATAGCGTTCCGGGTCGAAGGTATCGGGAGACTCGAATATCCCTAAAAGATGAACATCGGATGGATGCAAAGTGAGGTGGGCATATCATCACCTACTTGCATCATGGTATATCCCCCCTAGAAGGATGTGAGTAATTGGACCAGTTCAAGTGGTACATTGACAAAGAGGTGTTCATAACGAGTATAGTGCCTTCTGGGATGAGGTATTCTTTATACTAATCAAGGCGAAGGTAAATCAGTGTTGTGGTACCCATGGATTCAGTAGGGGCCAGAAATTCTTACACGAATGTCCTTGGACACAGCATGGGGTACAGCACAGGGAAGAATAGTGCGAAAGCGATGGGTCTAGGAAGGTTGAGGCTGAGATCAATATATTGATATGAACGCTCGAAGTTTACCTCTTTTATTAGAGCACGAATATAGTGTAGATGCTCGAAGTCCTCTAAAGTTGGCATGCGGTGGTCACCAATCACTCGATCAATCTCAGACTGGGCTTTGGCTTGGCAAGCGGGATTGCAAGCTAGAGCCAGGATGAAGGTCAGGAGGAATGCCGAGGATGTCTCGACGCCCCCATCCATCAATACATGGCTCAGTCCGCTGTTGGAGATGAACAAGAGATCTCGAAGGCCGTATTTACCTAATTTCCTCAGCCGACAAATCGAAGTGAGTTGGATGATCGAGGATCTTCTCCAAGAATGATCCAGTTCGCTCTCCAGCGGTGTATCGTGCTTAGAAGTCTTTATTGATTTCGTCGAAAAAGCTGGCGCCCGTCTGCTTGACCTCCTCACACAACCCTTTCCATTTTGCCCAACGAGCGGGACTCAGCCTCAGAATATCCAATGGCGGCTGCGCGAATGGGTCTGCCAAGTGAGAGAACTTCTTGATACTGTCAAAGAATAACAGGTACTTGTTGTCTCCGAAATCGGATAACGATTTCCCATAAAGGAGGGATACCAGTATCGAAGACGTCATTCGCTTGATGTGAAGAATAAAATCCTGTGGATCAAGCTTTCAACTAGATCTACAACGAGGAGAACATGACCAACGTCGGGGAATGAAGTATATCGTGTGCCAGCCTTGTATACTCTATCTGTTGCATTGGAAGATAGCTTGCGATTGCTTCGCTGCTTAGGAACGTATGATAGACTTTCCGACTCCCTCTGAACAAACGGCTATCTGTCGGAGTAGTCGTATTAGTTGATAGATATACGGCCCTAGCTGCACGATAATTACCAAGATTGGGTATACACCCTCCGCCCGTTGAATGAGGTAGACTTGGGGACGATCTCCACTAAGAAGGCCTTGCTTATCCAGAATTTCCTTCATCGTGGGGGCGTTACTCAGAATCACCATATTTCGGTCCAAGATCTTGAGCTAAGGGGTGCCACATAAACCGCCTTCCGTTCCCTCTAAATCAACAGACTGACCGACACTAGTTGGCCGTACTCTGCTGCCCAGCGTGTAAACCTACCACGACGAGTGACCGAATTAGCTTATACTAGGCGTGCAGGCACTTACTGAACAAAGGACGTAAATCTCGGAAAATCACTTGCGTTTCCTAGCAGAAACTTAGTGGGAGGCCCAGGAGGAAGAAAGCGTTCTCGGCGACCAACCCCCCAAAATCGCGACAAGACGACGGCTGAAGACGAAAGTAGAAGAATCAACACAAGGATCGTTGAACTGGTGGGATATCTGTGCAATTGACAGCCAACCAGTCTAATCATGGTGTTTTATAGCCATCCTTCCAGGTATAAATAAATTTCCTAACAATCAGCATGCTTCCAAAAGAAAGGTGTCAGTCCTGTGAATGAAACTGCCATCGCTGATCGTCTTGAGGTCGCCTATTACGGGCGATCCATGGGGTCTACTGGTACTCGGAGGCTCGGTGTGCTGGTCTTGATTCTTTGTCCTATCTTCATTTGAAGAACAGCTTCGATGGCACTATCTGAGCACCACTTATCGACGTCAGGTGAGCATCAACAATTGGCCTAGAATACGACAGTGTCTTCTTTGTCGTTATTGGTCTCCGCTTTCGAAGACATATAGCGCCGATACAATCCAGCTGTGCAGTTTTAAGGATTCCGTGCAACAGCGCTGGTGCGGCCCGTGTGCTTTGGGCCCCTCGTGCCCTTCCATTTGCTGGTCGCCCTTTTGATCTTCAGATCTGTCAAGGGTATGTATTGTGATGTATGTTCCGTAATCCTGACACTGTCCGTGTGTTATATGGTTACCCAGCTATCTCTCTTCGCACTAGGATCATGTGAGTAGACGATTGTGCCGTCGCTGATACCATGAACTCACTTCGCATCTTCACTGGTATCAATCACCAACTTCACGGTCTTGATTTCGAATCCGCGGAAATCGAGTTTCACGAAAGTATCTGATTGACTGGCATGGTCGGTGGAATGTAAATGGAGTCCACTCTGTTCGTCCTCCAAAAAGTTTGTGAGATATGCCTTGGCCACAGGAATATGGCTTGCAATCCTTAGTTGAGCGTTGGCGTGTCCACCGAAGGCCTCATACAGACGAAGGATGATCGTCGTGACTGATTTTTTGCCCTTCGTGGCGGAATATGCATCGTCTTCCCCACGCTTTATGGTTTCGAGAACTACATTTCTCGCACCTTCGAGAATGAACGGCGACTTCGGGTAATTCAATGGGGAGATGCTATGCTCCACAAAGCGAACTACACTAAATTAGGTTCGGCGGGCCATGAGGAGAAGCTGAAGAACTCACGATAAAGAGGAGAATTGAAGAGATAAGCCGCCATTGGTACGTCCGATTCCAGGAAATGACCCTCGTGGGGTAGCACGGCCCAGGAGAACTCGTGTTTGCCTACTCGTGTCAAAAACCCGTAGCACGATATACTGAATTGACAAACCTTGGTCTTGTTCTGCGTCCGGCGCTGTTGCGGCTCTGAGTAACGAAATCCGAAGGATATTCCCCGTGCAAGAGAATCCATACTTAGATTCCGACAAGAGCGCAACGCCATAGCCAAACTCGCTCAAATCTGCGTACTATGTCCACGATTCAGATGATGCGCGTAAAGTGCTGATTAGGAATTTACCTTATGTCCGCAGACTTCGAACTTTGCCATGTCCCAGGTCGTGTTCTTGTGCGTCGGGCGTTGGACGAAGCCAAATTGAGTTTCATAAGTGGCGTTATCGTTATGGATGTTCAGTGGGAGTTCGACTAAATAAGCATGAGTGGTATGTCAGAGGAAAGTGGTGTCATATCTACATTTCAAGAATTCATGCCGTTGGTGCCAGTCGACGACTGCGTCGAAGACGAACATTGAGCGTGATTGAGGCTTGAGGGTCGCTGTGTTGCCCTATTGTGAACCTATCCCGATGAAGGTATGGCTGAGATCTTACCTGAAGTGGCATCAAGCGAAATCTGTCACTTTATCAGCATACTTTAGGCAAAGGATATAAATCTGAATTACTGTAACATCGATTGAGCTCTTTCCATATTGAACTTGAGCCTTGACAGTACCGCGAAGAGGACCATACTCAACCACCGAGACTTTGGAGAATGCCAAGGGTGTGGCCGTTTCCAGATGATGGATTTCGACATCTAAGGAAGAAGTAAGTATTCGAGTCGGACACGCCTATCTTGGGGCACCTTACCCCAGGCGTCCCAGTAGTTGGGCCGGTCCTCGAAGATGACGAGGCCGCCTGTTTGTCCCTCCGTGATAAGTTCCCGTCTGAAAAGAGTCAGTACACTTAAAAGATATACTGCATGATCTCCTACTCACCCAAGCTTTAGATCAAGCAAGCTCGTGATACGTCCTTTAGATATCGTCAACTGAATGAAGGCATTGCGAAGCACGAAATGGTCGGAGCCATTTGTGTAAACTTTAATAGATTTAATTGATGATATCAGGTGAGGGAATGAAATGCAGACCAGAGACGGGAGCAATGTCGTTCAAGTCCGAGATAGCTTGGCTTGGTCCGGCAGCTTTAGCACCCATAACACAATATGCAACATCTTCCGTGCGAGAAACTTGCAGACCATGGGCTCTGACGCCCTTGGAACGGTTGAAGGGCACCTTCACAACCTGTTGTCGAGGGAAGAAGGTGGTGTTGTAGGCTATAAGCTGTTGAATGTTTGAAACTGTAGCCGTAGTCATCGGACGAGAATCTGGGAAGAGAACGCTGAAAGCTTCATCGAGCATGGCATCGCCGTCTTTACGAACTTCAGCGTAGAGCTTTTCGGCATCGTCGTATACCATTCCGCTGTAAAAATACGTTTAGGTGAGTTATGAAAGCCTGATAAGCGACGTACATTGCAGAGCCGGGAAGGACTGGAGGTTCGAAGTTAATACAGTCACTTTTGCTGCCGATCAAAGATCATGATCTGCTGCTTACCATCGTGGACTATACGAAGATACGTGAGTGGTGTAATGTCATGGTGTTCACTGCACACTCACATTGGTTCAAAAGGACCTTCTCCCAGCATTCATCTATCCTGGATTTGGGGTACACAAACTTGGATGACTTGTCGCAGAGAAGGGTTGCCAAAGTTGATGCGTGCTACAACAGTTTTGAGTCGTGCGTGGCAGTTGAACTTATACTGCTCCTACCTCGACATCCCGTAACAATATCTCAGAGTGCCTGTTGCCCTTCTTTATCGAGCCTAGTATATTGAGTTATACCGTCGAAGCTTTGTTGTAGAGCACTTACCATGGGACGTATATGTGCCGCGATGGAACTACATGTGAAGACCTCAGACATATGCCCAATCTACAGTTCAAACGATAGGATCTACCTCCAAGTATAGTTCGCCATGCCTGAACAATGCTTCAGCATCGAATATCAAGGTTTGTAATTCGTACACACCAGTTTGGCAACGTCTTGCCACCCTTCGATGATTCATTCAAGTCCTCAAAGAACTCGTCAACAGAGTGGCCCATACTGACGGGCGGCAATTCCCTATGAGTGTTCGTAACAGCTCTGATGCGACGAAGCTAGGAAATACCGTATAAGCGCATGTATACGACAAAAGAACATCGCTGAACGCTTACATTCTCCAACATCTTCGACAAGGGTCCTCCTCCTCCATCGCCATTCCCAAAGACAAGCAATGCCGTATCCGAAGACTCGAGATTCTTGTGGTTGTTGATAGCCTTGTTCACGTCTCCCGTCGTTGCTTGCGCTGTGTAGGTATCAACAGGGGTCATGTGGCAGAGAACTTGTGTGCCATCAATGCCAACCCAGTTGAAGGTCGAGTGAGGGAATTTATTTCTGAGGTTCGTTAGTATAACCGACGGAGGCGGACGTCGACGTAGGCTTACATATTGTTCCTGCGAAGGTCTTAGCAGACGCGTCAAATTGCGACAGGACTTGAGAGCTCACCAGGACAGCTTCTGTGTAAAGAAATACTTCATCCCCGACCCTCTGATGATTTGTGGCAGAGCACCAGTAAGGCCAAACGAGTCGGGCAACCACGCTGTATCACAGCGGATCCCAAATCTTGACTGGAAGAAACGTTGTCCAAAGAGGAATTGTCGAACCAACGCCTCCCCAGAAGGCATGTTCGAGTCGTTTTCAACCCAGGAACCGCCAACGAGGTGGAACTTTCCGTCCAGGACCTTTTCTTTCACTCGGTCGAAGAGCGGTGGGTACAACTACAGAAGAGACGTTAGACCGTCAATGAAAAGACGCGATGGTGTTGGGATTTACCTGCTCCAGCCACTTATACTGTTGTGCGGAGCTGCAGGTGAATCTGTGTTCCGGGTAGCGCTCCATGAGGTCAACTTGAGTCGACCAAGATCTGGCAACCTTCTGTTGAGTGACTCTGTACGGCCATAGCCAAGCCGTGTCGATGTGGCTAAGGGGGGATGTAAGCCACAGTCGTTAGCTGGATAGCAGATACGCGTACCAATGACCTATACCCCAAACAAGTGACTTCTTCGGTCCTTCGTCATAGATAGCAGCACCCTTGCTCTCCCAGCCCTCGCCAAATACCTCCTCAGCCAACTTACGTGCCCGGTTGATATCGGACGCGTCTCCCTTGTTGAAGACGTTCATGATCTCATTGGCCGTGCTCAAGGCCTTGTTTTGCAAAGGCGTATTCCCAGGAAGCGTATCCGCAATCTCGCGCAATGTGACGAAGTCCCAAAACAGCGCCCATGCCTGCTGATTTGGTACTACGAGGTCGGCGGAGGCAAGTGTAAAATAACGGTTCATCTATGGGTTCAAACTTCAGTTAGGCGAGTACGAAGTAGATCGAGACGTGATGTAACGTACGTCGGGGGGTTGGATGGTATCGCCATTCCAAGGCACACCAAACATACCGTTGCAACTAGACTCGATTACGAATTCATGGAAGCCTTTCTGTACTGCTTCAGGAGGGATTATATACTCGACCCTCCGGTCGCCTCCGTAACCACCTGTGATGCCTACATAATGCCGCATGAACATCGGGGAGTCAATATTGGATGCAGTCCTACCTTGCAGCGGCAAGCCGTCAACTGTGTAGATCATAGCCTCGCAGCCAGGATCGAATTCGACTATCCCGAAATCAGCAGTATAGCACAGAGCACGACACGAGCACGTACATTGGACGCGTTCGTATTGCTGCCAATATCCAGGAATTGTAACGCGGACCTTCCACCAGTGGTTCGTCTAATGCCAGCCATGTTAGCTGATGACCGTAGTGTGTATGAATTACTGACCCCTGCAAAACACAGTTCCGATCAGCATATAGATGATAAGGTGAGGTCAAACCAACTAACATGACGGCCCAAATGCCATTCCCTTCTTCGCTGGCTTGAATGTCTGCTCCATTGCCTCCTCGAAGGTCGGCTTGGTCAATCCAGGTGCACTCCAGCTATAGGTTTGATGCATTCAGACCGTAGTCATGAGTTAGCCCGGGACTCAAAGACACATACACTTCCAGTTTGACGTGCTCTTCATTATCAATGCGATGTATGAACATGACCGCGGAGAGGTTCACATCGGAGAAGTGGCCTCCATTGAAATTGTTCAATCTATCCCGAGTCAGATTCTTGATCCATTTCGCTCCAGCACTGAAGTTCGTCCGAGGATAAGGTGTACCGTTGTGAGCATCCATGGTGGAGTCGTGGTGGCAACCGAGAGAGAATGCGGGGTAACTGTAAGTTTAGCGCCCATAACATTCAACCCACGTTCACGTGTGATCGAGTCCTCTCCAACTCGCCGCCATGTCCTCCACCACAAATGAAGATTCACCGAAGCCTGTACGGCCCTCACAATCCCTCACAGAGCATATACATGCAATGCCTGGCTCGAAAGATTGCCTGTCCTGTAGAATAGTCGGCACCGGGACATTTGCGGGCGTTGGGACGTACGCGTTATACCAGGCTCGGCCGGCTGCCCTGGGCAGTCCCATGCAGAAGCGACTCGTAGCGGGATTGGGTGTCTGTACGTTGAATTCAATATCTACCGCTGTTTCGTGGATCTCAACCATGTCCAGGCCTACTGATTGGTGGTGTTATCAGGTGGAGACAATGTAAGTTTTTGTTTAGACTGTCCGCACGGTGCTTGCTCATATTCATCCAGAAAAGATGCTTCCGTGTAGTCCTTTGAGCACGCCATAGTTTGCCTCATTCCACTATTGAAAACACGTCCAATGCACTCTCATCTCGTTCATACCAAAGCCTATCACGTAGACGTTGGACACGCATTCCTGGTGAACTCTTACGCGATCTGTATTGCCAAGACTGCGTGGTCAGATGGCCTCACCATCACATTGCTGACTCCACGCTTATAGCTTCCTTGTGGGCTTTGATGCAAATCAGTGATAGCCTTATGATACTAGTGACTAGTTGCTTTGAGTCGAACTCTCCTCTCCTTTATCATATATTCATGGTTGACTTATTTGTTGCGTTGAAATTGTGAGAACACATCGAACTGCATCTGAGAATTGGAGAGGACTGGAGGGGTGCCCGGCTTTCAAACCGACCACGGGATAACCGGTGAGCGCTTCACGCGTCCCCGCATCTCGACCACACAGTCACTGTCATCTACGCGCCGGTTTCCCTCTGGTCTACACAAGGCCGCCGAACTTCTCCCATTTGAGTCTCAGCTATTCATATAGCCAGCTGAATCATCCGCAACCATGTCTCGTTTCTTGAGTACTGCTGCCTGGCGAACGTCCGTCTCTATCTTTACCCGTACCCCCCAACAAAAGTTCCTCCTTACCGGAACGTTGCGCAAGATGTCGACAGCTGATTACGAGCACATTCTGACGTCCAAGCCCGAGCCAACCGTCTCGCTGATTACCCTCAATCGTCCGAGAGCACTCAATGCGCTATGCTCGCCTCTGTTCGTGGAGCTGAATGATGCCCTCAGGAAAGCAGACGAAGACCCGGAAGTCGGAGCCATTGTTTTAACTGGTAGCGAGAGAGCATTTGCAGCTGGCGCAGATATCAAGGAGATGAAAGACAAGGAATGTGAGTTTGTATCTCCCCTTAATATGCTTCCGCGATGTATATAACTGTACTTCAGTCTCTGATGTCTACAAAAACAACTTCCTCGAGAACTGGGCCACAATGACCAAGATCCGGAAGCCAATCATCGCTGCAGTTAGCGGCTTTGCTGTATGTATTCCATTCCTATCTTCACCGACTTGCTGAACTGATACCACTTATCTAATAGCTTGGGGGAGGATGCGAACTTGCTTTGATGTGCGACATCATTCTGGCTTCACCCACCGCCAAGTTTGGCCAACCGGAAATCAACCTCGGTGTCATTCCTGGTGGGGGAGGCTCCCAACGATTGACACACGCGATCGGCAAGTCCAGGGCTATGGAAATTATACTGACTGGTCGTCAGTTCTCTGCTCTGGAGGCCGAGCAGTGGGGCGTAGTGAGTAAGGTCGTTGAAGAGGGCGAGGGTCAAGTTGTCAAAGAGGCCGTGGCCATGGCTAAAGTTATCGCGAGCAAGTCGCAGATTGCAGTCCAGGCTGCAAAGGAGGTCGTCAATGCCGCGTACGAGTTGAGTTTGCCCGAGGGGCTGAGGTTCGAGAGGCGCATCTTCCACGGAATGTTTGCCACCAACGACCAGAAAGAAGGTAAACCAACATCCAACCACTATCATGACTTACTCACCTCACACAAACATAGGCATGGCGGCCTTTGCCGAAAAGCGCAAACCAAACTTCTCTCATTCATAACTGAGCGACGAGATCATGCTTTAAATAAGACTAAAACCAGGATGTACCATCATAGCTGCTGTCTGTACGTCGATTACTTGACGTCACCTGGAGGAATGGAAGTATCGTTATTTCACCACCGTACTGTCAACCCGCTTGCACTGTCTAGCGTCGTATCCCGACTTGGAGTTGACAGGCACATATTGCCAGCCCCTTCACCAACAAAGCTACCACACATTATGAATTACGGTTGTATTAGATTAGGCCCATTCCATTTTCATAAAGGAATGAAGACGAAGAATTTTGACAGCAATTCGCCTTGATTTGTTCAGCCCGGCATTCTGAGCAACCCATTAGCCCTGCTCAAGGTAGGAGATGTTAATCAATTGTCAGTAAATAAATAGCAAAGACTTACACTCTAATCATTTCTTCGGTAAACGATTTTGCGATCAAGGTGAGCCTGAGGACCGGGGTTGCTCATCGTAAGTGTCACTTAAAACACGCAGAATGTCGTCGGTATCAAGCATAGAGAGTGGCGATATGGGGGGACAATGGTACCGGAGCGAAGATAATTCGTGCGCTGACGGGTTGCTCTGACTTCCAGCGGTGCGGTGTACTGGTAGCGGTGCTGGGGGTATAGCAACCGCAAAGATTGTGTTCGACGTGCTGATACTGTGGGCAAACTCATCCATCCACACAACGCGATGTTCCTTGGGCTTAGATCGCACTACAGAGAGATAATGCGGGAATCGGTTGGGTAAATACTCTTGTACTTCAGGGTCAGCGAACTTGATGGGCGGGGTGGGGTGGGTTATTTGCCAAGAAGGTGCTTTTCTCTTCTTTGTCTGAAGTCTATGCCTAGCATAAACAAACCAGCCAGCCGAGCAAATGGCCATTAAGCTTAAGGCAACGGCGATGGAACCGAGGACAATGCGTAGTTGATGAAGTCTGGATGGAAAAATCAATATTCACACTGCTTATGAAGGAATACAAGAAACTCACTCGCGTTGGACTGCTTGGCTGCTCGAGACACAGGGAGAATTTCCCAAAGGATGGGAAGAACCATTTCTTGACATAGGCATGCTCGTGGTAGAGTTACGAGCTAGTGCATTGATAGGATTCGACGGTAGTATGGGTGTCGTCATCGGCGTGGCCACTGCGACCGTGGTCGATGATGTCGTACCTAGTTGCGGGGAGTCGGGGGTAGGTGATTCCGGCGCAGGGGGAGCTACAGTGGCAAGGGAAGGGGCGACCACCGACGACATTGCGGGCGACTGGCCCAGGTTCTTGTGGCTGCCGCCCTTAACGTTCTTGCTGCTCCCATGATCGTCTTCGCCGCTGGCGACACTATTAGTCGCTCCGCCATAATTCTTGCTTTGTTTGCGGTGCATGACATTCGAGATCTCTGAACGTCGAGGTGGTGAATTTGTCGTGATTGAAGGGTTGGGTACTCGCGTGCAGTCCATTTCTATGTGAGGGAGAGGTGGGACAAGTGCAACCAAAACGACGATCACCACCTCTAATAATGTAGAAGGACCATTGCAATATTGCTCTGTACTTGTCAGGCTGTAGAGACTCTGGTCTGACTGAAAATATAATTAGAACAATCAACGTCGCCTCATGACCTATTATCATCTAAGCAGCAGTGATGAGAAGTAGCGAAGGCCTATGGATGCTGTGGTTCACAATGGCTTACAATTATTGACGATATGCGGCCTTGGCTGAGAAGCGTAAGCGTATTCTCACTGATGCAATGGAATGCTATTGTGGCTTGCATTTGCGAATAGCTTGCAAAAATGCACTACATATGATGATTATCAGAGCAACGGCACATCAGCTAAGTGGTGTCACCGGGAGGAACGGAAATATCGTTATTTTATCGGCGTCCCACTATGTAAACCACAAGGTCAATAAACGGGGTTACGACTGTGATAGCAAAAAGACCTACCACTTTCTCAGTGAAGTAGATGTCTCGCTCAATGATCTGCTTAACTTCCTCAAGTGATTCTGCCTCAAATATCAGGAGTGACCCTTTGGGCTTTTTCTCTGCTCCTTCAGCGATGGATTCCGGCGTGATAGTCATGCCCGCGACCTCTTGAAGTCAGAAAGCGTCAACTGCGAGTCAAACACACCAACAAACAACTCTAGCGACAACGCTCAAACTCACTTATTACACTCGACTGAATGAGAGGTGCAACCTTTTCTAGATGTTTCGGCCTTACTGCAAATCGCCGCTGGGTAGCTTCGCCGTCGGTCATGTCTGGAGCGTACACAAGGAAATGGTGATGTTTTGAGTCCCCTCGACGCCCAAGCCCCGCGATGCTGCGAGAAACGCCACCATTGAAGCCAGTCTGTCGATTCACGCAATTGCGGATAGTAGAGGCCAACATTCTGGTGATATAGATTGGATAAATTGTGGTCGTCTTAAATAACTACTTCAACTCTGTGTGTGGGAAGCCACGGTTGCCGCCGGCCCGTTCAAGGGATCGTCGTCGCAGCGACGAAGGGTAGAATGACAATTCGCTCTGCATCCCACTTCCACAAATTGCTCAGATACAGACCATTTCAAGAGGTGTAGGTCCGACTCACCACTCCCGACTTGTAGTATATGTCTCCCTCTACCAGCTTCCGGACCTCGTCTATATTCGCGGCCTCGACGATGAACGTCGATCCTACCATCTTCTTCGGTGCATCAGGTGTGGCGATGGACTCTGGTGTAAGCAGGAATCCTCCGACGCCTGGATCCCCCGTAAGTAAGTTTGACTTGCGCACATCTCCCAGATATAGTTTCTTACGAATGACACCATCGGCGATATTCTTCTTAGCCATCTCGACATGCTCGGGCCTCACAGATAACCGTTTCTCAAAGGTTCCATCCTCTGTTTTGTCTGGAGCATAGACGAAGAATCGTTGGAGCGGCTCGCTTGACATCGAGGAGAGGAGAAAGAACCCAATCAGTGGTCCACAGTTACACCAGTGTTTAAAGATCTCCGGTAAATGATATCCGTTACCGGGCCGCTACGTTCTGACCCCCCTTCGTGTCAAGATCACCTTTGGCTAAAGGAATTCGTCACTTGGCTGCCAGGCTGTCACATTCGTTCACTGAACCAGAGGAAGACTGTGCATCAGGGGACCAGGTTAGGAAGCCGAACCAAATGCTCGGCTCAAATGCACTTTCCATGGACACGGGCTTATGCCCTTCGAGGGGTACCTACCCCTTCCGTGGTTACGTGTATTCCATCTGTCATGGATCCGGATTGAACTATAGGAAGATACTGCTATGTTGTCGTTGGATTAGACATCGTAAGTTATTATCATGTTCTTCCACTAAGTAAGCAGTTCTATGGTTTTGCCGATGTAGGTGCAACTTCTCCTTTTTCTGTCCGCATGCCGTCACAATACCTCTTGTGGTAAATTGATACTACAAGGGGGCGATGTTGAAATATGTGTATCGACTGATTCCTCTGGACTGATGTCCAGCCACCAGGTCACAAGGTATGATGTTCCAGAAACGCCACTCTCCACGAACCAGCTCCCTTGAGGGCGCGTGCGAGCGAACGGCTTGCCATTGGTATGGCTGCTTTATATAATGACATGTAACGTACTTCAGAGAGCCTCCCACTTTCATCATGGAGTACCCATCTTATGTGTGGGCAGCCTGCCTCTGCATATCAGCCTATGCATTATACAGAAGATACTTTGTGACGTCTGTATCTCACATCCGAGGGCCTTCTCCGGAGTCCTTTTGGCTAGGTAAGACGCGATTCTCTGTCCTGATACAACACCCACTGATCGTTATTGCCCGCAGGGAACCTTAGAGAGTTGTTCCAGTCCCAGGCTGGAGAGGCCGACTTTAAATGGCAGAAACAATATGGGGATGTCGTCCGTATCAAAGGGACGCTGGGGGTACGCAGACGCCTCTAATGCTGTTAAGGGGATTAATGGGGCCGCTTTCTACTGCAGGAGGATAGGCTGTTGATCTCTGACCCGAAGGCTTTGCAGTACATTTTCCACACGTCAGGATACAATTTCCTCAAGTGGCCTGAGCGTACCGAAATATCAAGAGTTCTCATGGGTCGTGGACTCCTGTGGTCTGACGGTATGATGTCGCTTAGTTTCTATGTCTCCATATTCTCATCGATCGCTAGGTGAGATACACAGGCGTCAGAGAAAGGTCATGTTGCCTGGTTTTGGAGGTACGGCACCTTGTTTTGACGCTTCTCGAACTCCAGCTAATATTATCCCTAGCCCCTGAAGCTAAATCCTACGTCCCAATATTCCGTCAAGTTGCGGATCAAGTGAGCAGTTGCCTTGCCGTCTCCGCGCCAGTGTCTGAAACTGCAATATCATTCTCAAGCTGTGTGTTAAATGGGAAGATCTATTGGCCGCTGCGCCCGACCAGACGAGTGTCGTTGATGTTCCTCACTGGCTCACCCGTGCAACACTCGACACCATCGGACAAGGTATTTTGACCCGCTCAGTAAAATGTGTATTTACACTGCTCATACCCTACCAGCGGCCTTTGACTACAACTTCAATGCCATTGAGAATTCGGAAAACGAGTTTGCCGAGTCCTACTTTGGACTGATGTGAGTCCGACTCTCTCACTCGTGCGGGGGAACGGACAGCTTACTACGGACTATGTCTCACAGGGCAGATACTTTGGGATCTCCCCCAAAATCCGCCATATTCTTGCACGCAGTCTCGCCTGTATGGTTCCTGAACCTGTTAGCGAGATTCTCGCCCTCCAGAAACAGAGCACACGCTCGGAGCGCCGCTAGGATAGCCAATCGAATCGCAAAAGAGATGATAGATACGAAGGCCGATGCATTATCTCAAGGCAAAGGAAACAAAGACATTATGAGTCTACTTGGTTAGGTGCTTTCCCCTCCGCACGGATGGCATGATTGCTTACTAGCTGATTTGGTGTTTGATATAGTTAAGGCCAATGCTGGTGAGAACGAGAAAGGAAAATTATCCGAGGAAGAAATGTTTGGTGAGATGAGGCGAGTACACTGATCCAAAATTGCGGCAGAACCGAACTGAGCCACTTATAACATCCACTCCAGGACAATCCTTCTGGCTGGTCATGAGACGGTCGCAGTTACTTTGCTGTGGACACTCTTAGAGCTTGCGCGTCACCCCGAAGTACAAAACACGCTCCGCAAAGAGATCAGAGAGACTGAGAAAAAAGTCCGTGTCCGTGGGGGTACTTCCTTCACCGCAAATGATCTGGATGACATGCCCTACCTAGCTGCTGTTCTAAAGGTAAGATTTTCTTGACCACATCATTGCCACGATCACTGAACACCTATAGGAATCAATGAGATTCCATCCGGCATTGTATCAGAACTACAGGGTTGCAGTAAACGACGACGTCATTCCACTATCTAAGCCCATCGTGAACAAAATGGGCCAGGAAGTCCAGGAGCTTCAGATCCCAAAAGGTATCAAAATCATTGCTTCCATTGCTGCGTACAATAGGTATATGTCTCGCTTTACCTCGGCATCTGTGCACTCAACATGTATCTGCTCAGGAACAAAGAGGTATTTGGAGAAGACGCAGGCGTGTGGAACCCAGATAGGTGGCTGAAGGACTCTCAGGAAAGGAAAGGCCCAACACTCGGCGTATATGGTAACCTGTGAGTTCCCCATCCACTCATAGGACAAAATTGAATACTCTGACCGGTCGTCATGAAAGACTTACATTTGCCGGCGGTGTCCGTACCTGTATTGGCTGGAGGTTTGCGTAAGTTTATATGTTCAAGTCGTCCAGTGTCTTCTAGGAGTGACTGACGGATTTCGCTTTCAATTTTCAGCGTCCTAGAATCGATGACCTATATCGTCGAGCTAGTCAACCGGTTTGAATTTGCTATGACGGACGTGGCCGCGAAGAATCTCAGGAGAGAGGCCTGCCTTGTCATGCTTCCAACAGTCGAAGGCGAAGTCCACAAAGGAGAGCAGCTTCCACTTCAAGTTACCATTGCTCAGAGAGACTGATGTATATTGTATGTGTATAACCAACCCTGCGCTATGCATAGAACAACTCAGTATAGTGACGTCGCCTCGATTGCGACTTGCGGGTGGGATAATACCACCAGCACATGTGACCAGCGATACCACATTGCGAATATTGGATGGCTCTCACACCATCTGAATTAGAGAGAATTGACAGTATGATTCCCTGCCCTTATCTTCTCGACCCCCTCAATCTCGTCCCGAATGGCTCCTCTCGTAATAAGTATTGTGGCCGCAGGAGCGATGGGCTCAGCTGTCGCCCATCGGTTACATGACTCTGGTTGCACTGTGCTCACAGACCTGACTGGTCGGTCCGAGGATACACGACGCCGAGCCAAAGAAGCTGGGATGGAGGATGCGACATTAGAAGACATAGCATCACGCGCCAAGTGGGTTTTGAGTATACTCCCCCCTCGCGACGCACGATCGTTCGCGGAGAAATTCCTCGCTGCCTATACGAAGATACAGAAGACAGGGGCTGCCAACTCTGATAAGATCGTATTCGTCGATTGCAACGCCGTCAATCCCGTTTCGGTGAAGGGTATCGCTTCGATCTTTGCGCAGACCCCGCAGATCAGGTTCATTGACGCTGCGATCATTGGTGGTCCTCCGAATCCTGACGGATACAATCCTACTTTCTACGCTTCTGCACAGGCAGAGGACGGGAAATTGCTCGATGAATTCGCTTCCTTGGGTCGATATGGCTTGAAAGTATCTCTATTGCAGGGCCAGGGTACGGGAATTGGGGATGCCAGCGCTCTCAAGATGTCATACGCAGTATGTAGTCGCCACTTTGACTATACATGCGACTATGACTGATAATATTGATCCATAGGGTATCTCGAAAGGATTCACTGGGTTATTAACTACTATGATCCTGGGTTTGTAAACGGTCATCATCACTCCAAGTGCCTTCATGATATTGAATGCGTTATATTTAGCTGCTCACAGCTCATCTCCGGCCACCGCCAAAGCCCTAATTCGCGAGTTGAACGCCTCGCAACCTATCGTTTTGAAAGGAATACCCACAAGGATTCCCTCAATGATACCAAAGGCCTATAGATGGGTTGGTGAAATGGAAGAGATTGCTGGCTTCGTTGGCGAAGGCGAGGGCGACATATACCATGGGTTAGCTCAACTCTATCAGCGAGTCGAGAAGGCAGTCGATGGTGGCTCAGAGGATCTTCAAACTTTGAGTGAAGTGATAGAAGACGCAAAACAGGTCCTAGATGGTAATTTGTGATAGATAGCCTCGTGTTCAGTGTGCTACGGTACGTAACGGTAGCACTATCTTGTTACACTCGCTCCTACCCCTGTAGAGATGAAGCGCCCAATTGGCGCTTGCCGATGCTCACGTAAACTCCTGTTCGTCGTTGGCCCTGTCGAGCGCGGTTCGACTCTTATGGCGCCAATGTATGTATGTTTTCTTCAACTGTACGGTTCCTTCGACTGCCTGATCACTCAATAGACGCGATAAATTCACCATTCACTCTAAGGCTGTGGTTTGCCAGGATGTTGACTTGAAAGGCGACATAACTATCGGCGCTGGTACGCGACTCATTTGGGCATTTGTTCTCCTAGTAATTGAACGGATGGTCAAAGGTACCATCGTACACCCGAAAGCTACTATCTTTGCTATTGGTGGTCCCATAGTCATTGGGATGAACTGCATCATTGAAGAGAGTGCAATTATCGTCAACAGGTTCGTACTGAGCTACAGGTACCGTTATATCAATTAGTTCATGCAATGTTAGACGCAAACAAGTCATGCGCATAGGGGACGATAATCTATTCGAAATTGGTTGTCGTGAGTACTTACCCGCTTCTGTGTTCACCATCTAGTCTCTCATTCGGAATAGGCGTGGAATGCCCTAGTACAGGGAACTACAATACAGTATCTACTCGCGCACGCGTCCATCATACAGTCCGACTCTCTTCATACTGCGTGATCGGCGCAGGATGCCTCGTCGCACCGTCAGAAGACGAGATAATTGACGATTACACGACAATCTACGGGCCCGACGCGCAGAGGCGTGTATGGAGTGGAAGGGGGAAGGTACAGGAAGCAGATCTAAGGAAGAAACACGTTGAGTACCTACGAGATACACTGCCAAAGTTCAATCGACTCAGGAGAGGCGAGGCGACATGAAAAACTGGAAGTGAGTCTCGTCAGACACGTACTCTAGCTAAACAATGACACCTTAATGAATACTTTTACACACCTAGTCGAGCGTACATTTCAGTTGCCTAACCCTTTACCGACACATTCTCTGCTCTCGCTCGGTGACGAGTGATAGTGAGATACAGCCAGATTTCGTCACATTTCCCAACACCCTATCTGTGGTTATTTATAACTTCGCACTTATCTACGTCTTCACACCTTGGCCTGAGAACTCTGAGTTCGGCATTGGTGTGTGTTATTTCTACCACTGAGCGCAAGGGCCCCAGATAAATATTTGACAAAAACGATTGGCTGAAGAGGTGCGTAATTGGTTCTTAATGGAAGACCGTACACCACGCGTTCGTTCACTTATCTCTGGGAGGGCCCCTCAAGTGCCACCTTGTAGACCCATTCAGCAAACATTTGCCCATGCCTTCTCTGCGCAGAAGGATTGTCACAAGACCGTTTACCTACCGGGAGGATAAGAATCAGAATGAGATTCCATGGCGCCTTGCCTTCGCACCTAATCCTCCCTCGGAATGGCGATCGACGCTGAAGTTACTCTTCGAAGGAAATCATCTCATTCTCTAGATGATCCTGAGAAGGTTCAAGAGAAGATCGATGTCGAGTCTGTAGATGTCTCATTCGCCGATGAGGCTCTCCGGTTAGTTGGCACGGAACGGACTCAACGTTTCAGTGACGAGTACAATCGCAAGCTACGCCGGAAGCTGGTCGGTCTCTTACTCGAGGTCGCGTAATGAGGCCGTGTGCTCACTAAACGGCAGGACCTCTGCATTCCTCCCCTATGTGCCGCCGTCTACTTCACTCAATTCTTGTGAGCATTCCCTCCACAGATGTCTCCGCCTTCAATTGATCATCTCCCCACAGAGACAAGACATCTTTGAACTACGCAAGGTTAGCACTATTGCCATCTCGCTCTCAGCATTGAGGTGACCAGTTTATCAGCATAATGGGGCTGCCCATCACTGGACAGGTAAGAGACGTACAAGATTTTGAACTACCGGTGGTTTATGACGATGCAGAATTATAACCTAGTGTCCATGGCCTTCTATCTCGGTGTGTACTCGTGGGTAATGTATAGATTTATATGTGAAACTAATCCGAGCTGTCAGGGTTTCTATTCTTTGAGTTCCCGACAGTTTACATCTCCCAGAAGCTTCGGGTCGCCAAATACCTAGGTTAGTTGTGATACATATGATTTGGTAACAGCGCCCTTGACAATAATACGACATCAGGAGCCAATATCATCATATGGGGTGCTGTCTTGATGCTCCACGCAGTAGGAACGTCGTTCGGAGCATTCTTTGCCCTGCGGTTCTTGCTAGGTATGCCCTACGCTCACTCCAGTGAGCGATCACTGACAAAGATAACTCAAGGGATGTGCGAGAGTTGTGTGGCGCCAATCTTAATCCTCATTATATCCATGTTCTACAAGAAGAATGAGCAGGTAGGCCAAACCTATCATCATGATATGGGCTCTTTGCTAATGTCGAGTATAAAATAGGGCACGCGAATAGCTTGGTTCTATATCATGGTCAGTTCTCTAGTACATTCATGCACTGAAGTCGTCTAACTGTTACCACAGAATGGACTGACGCAAATCTTCGGCGGATTCGTTGCATACGTTTGTAATGTCATGATTCATAGCCACTCTACCAAACTCATCTTCTCTATCGCCAGGGGATTTCATTCTATGACGGTCATTTGCTGGCTCCGTACAAGATCATTTACATCCTTCTAGGAGGCCTAGCGATCATTGTTGGAATTTGCGTATTGATCTGGCTCCCCGACTCGCCTGTGCACGCAAAGATGTTGACGCCAGAAGAGAAAATCGCTGCTTTGGAACGCGTCCGGGATGACCAGGGCGGGACGGAGAACAAGAAACTCAAGCGAGACCAAGTCTTCGAGGCGCTACTTGATGTTCGAACGTGGTTGGTTATTTTGACAACGCTTCTTAGTAAGTTAGTTCTGTGTCCAACTTCGGTGAGGGCTGACTTAGGTTGGTATCAGCGAGCATTCCGAATGGTGGCATTAGCAATTGTAAGTCAAACTCTTTTCACAACCGGTTGTTTCTCTGACGAGATGTAGTCAGCAACCTCATCATCAAGAGCTTTGGATACACGTTCGTTCCCCTATCATTCACGTCCGGAAGTATACGCTAACATCATACGCAGGTCCAAGCAGGCTCTCATCCTTTCTACACCTGGAGGTGCCGTGCACACAATGATGACCTTGTTTTGCGGGTACTATTCAGACAGAAAGAACGAGAGAATGATTCCCATCGTCTTCGCCGTCGTTCCCACTATCCTTGGTTCAGGCGAGCGCAAATTTGGCAATAGACCAAGCGATACGCTAATTGGCCTGTCTCATAGGTCTATTAATTGGCTTCAATGGCACTGGCCAGAAGGGTGTACTCCTCTTCGGTGAGGCAATGTCCTGAGTAGCACATTATTTCTGGTCTGAAGAGTTTCTTTCAGGTATCTACCTTTGTTCCTCATTTGGGAGCGCCCTTTCCACCGTTTATGCGTATAATGCATCGAACACTAGCGGCCACACAAAGAAAAGCACGATCAACGCACTGACGCTTACAGCCTTTTCACTCGGGAACATCATAGGCACTGAGATATTTCAACCGAAGGATGCCCCCGACTACATCCCTGGGAAGATAGCAATAATGACTCTCCTTGGTGCTCAGCTGGTCATCTCGTTCCTGTTGCGTTGGATCAACCTGCGTTTGAACAAAAGGAAGCAGGCGCGTATTGCGGAACTGAAGGCCAGAAACGGTTGGTCAGATGCCGACGTGCAGAGGGAACGTGAACGACACGCATTCTTGGATATGACAGACAGACAGTATGTATTCCAAAATATTTCTAATTCGCCTCTTCACTGATGGCAATGTTCAATAGGAATCCATACTTCGTGTACACTGCGTAACTACCGAAGTGTTCGTGTGTATCTATATCATAGAGAAGCTACGACATCACGGGAATGGACATTCACTGAATCAAAGGACTGAGGACTACCCAAGGCTTAAAGCTTAAATTACAATGGCACCCTTTCGCGGTCACGATTTACTCAGTGCTTGTTCCTGTGGGCGCTTAGCAACGAGAGCACGTCCCTGAGATCGACTTGCATTGTGTGAGGCTTGAAATGAAGGAGAGCCACTCCCAGCAGCCTCTTCATGATCACAAAGAGGCATTTCTTTCGTTCCTCGATGCCTCAGGCCCGGGGGTCAAAACGTATAAATACGCCGTAATGCCAGGTTACCACTAACCACATTTCGCTTCCCACTCTTCTGTCAATAACCTACGGAACGGATACCATGAGCTGCCCAGACTGCGTCAAGGGCGCATATCTTCCTGGAGACCCTGTCGGAAAATTGGGTTTCAAGGGGGCTTACTACTCTCCTGCACCGAAGCCGAATGCCATCAGAGGCGAAGAGTCGAACGCGCCGCACTCAGACTCTCCGCTGAACAACGACAGCGCAGTGGTCCTTCTCACTGACGGCTTTGGCTTACCACTCAAGAACTGCAAGATCATCGCTGATACTCTGGCAACAAGGCTTGGATGCGACGTTTGGGTACCCGATATACTTGGTGGTGCGTACACGATCGAGGCTGGTAGGACTCTGAAAAACTAACGCTCTATGGTTCTAGGCCGACCGCTCGTCAACGTAGACGATCTGTTGTTGCCCGACAGAGCAGGTGTCAAGATGACCTTTGCAAATTGGGTTACATTTATCAAGAAGACGATACCTAAAATCCCTGCTTTCCTACATAATACACCTAGCAAGGTTGATCCACGGATCCACGACGTATGTTCCTCCAATGGCGTGATTCACGTTGCAGCGCCTTGAATATCTATATAGTTCATTCTGGGCCTGCGAGAAGACAAGAAGTACACAAAAATCGGCGCTATTGGGTATGAATACACTTCACGCGACGAAAGGCGAAATGCCCATTGACACACCATACTAGATACTGCTACGGCGGAGCTGCTGCTGTACGATTGTCATCTCATCCAGAGCTCATAGATTCTGCCGTCATCTGCCATCCTGGTCCCTTCAGTCTCAAGGATGTGAAGCGAATACAAGTCCCAGTGTCATGGGCCTGTGCTCAAGGTAAATCCTACGTACAATGGCGATCATGATCTAATTCTCAATTTCTCAGAGGACTTATTCTTCTCCGACAAGCTGCGAAAGCAGTCTGAAACTGCACTTGCCGCTCGCAAGGACCAAGCGGGATTCGTCGAGTACCAGTTCATCGAGTACAAAGGTGAAGTGACCCTCCTTCAATCCTAGACAATTGTAGCTCATATTCATCTAGGAACCACCCACGGCTTTGCTGCGCGTCCAAATCTAGAGGTACCTGAGGTCGAAACTGCATTCGAGGGTGCTTTAACACAGGCGACAGAATGGTTTGCTAAAACTCTCCACCTTGACTGAATCTTACTTTTTGATTATTAAGTCTTGTGAAATATATATTCTTGTTGTTACCTGATGCATTGATGGCTGGATTCTCCTCTGAGTCCTGATCTTAGCAATTATCCCCTGAGAGCTCCTGAGTCTCGTTAGGGGAGGTAGACAACATGCAACAACAGGCCGATCACTTGCGCGCCAATCTAAAATTTCATACTCCAATAACTATGGGACTGTCAGGTCGCAAAGAAAAGCAGCGCATTGCAGCTGATCCCCGAAATCTTGGATGGGCAGGAGGTAGGTCATCCGTCCATCCCTTCTCGAAACATATCAAACTTGGACACAGACGCTGCTCGGTTCGGCTCGACTTATCTCTCAAAATTTGGATGGGATCCGTCCAAGGGCCTTGGAGCTACCGGGGAGGGGCGGATATCGCACTTGAAGGTGGCGCAGAAGCTCGACATGCTTGGGATTGGTGCGGCTCAACAGAACGACGTTAATGGTATTGCCTGGAAACAAAATAAAGATTTTGAGGCCTTGCTACGACGGTTGAACGAAAGTACAGGCGAGGAAGCAAAGGGATCTGTCGAAACGGTCGAGATGCTTGAAGTAAAGGTCGAGGAGGACGACTACGAAATTGCTGGGCAGGCAGAGAAGGGGCGAAAGAAACGCAAGAAAGGACAGGACGGAGAGCGTGAGGAGAGTGTTGAAGGAGCCGTGGAAGGGAGCAAGAAGGACAAGAAGAGACGAAAGAAGGATAGAGATGGTGGTGCAGATGGTGAAGATGTCGACGGTAACAAGGAAAAGAAGAGAAGGAAAAAGGACAAAGCCAGAGGCAGCGATATCGAACTCGTCGCAGGAACACATGCGAACGATATTCCTGACGACGACCAACTACTCAGCGAGCCATCCTCCTCAACATCCGTTATGCCCACCCCGACTGCAAGACGGCCGGCAATGCGACATCGAGCGTAAGTGACATGGTCAGTTATTACTCTCCTCGAGTTCATCTCTTCACGCAGACATCGCGCCCGCGCAATTGCGTCTAAGAGTATTGCCTCGAAATCATCCGCAGCCATAGCTGAGATATTAGGCATCTCACCGTCAGCATCACCCTCTGTCACGGCTTCGGTTGTACAGACACCTAGAGCGGGATCACCAGAGGTCACGCTCGAGAAACTCCAAACATCTACTAAAAGCGTGTCGGACTACTTTAAAGAGAAGCTACTCCTTAAATCGACCGGCTCGACCTCTGGCCCTTCGGCTTTGCGAGTGGAAAGTACTTTGAAGGTAGAGGTAGACTCTTGGGATGAGACTCCTAGGCTTGGCCTTGGTTCTTCGTCGTTCGCCGCCTCAATGACCACTGAGGTTGTGAAGACGGAATCTAACCCAGGGATCGGTATGTCTGCATTCTCCCGGCACCTTTCTTCGATGTTTGCATCTGCGACTTTGTCCTCGGAGGTGCCACAACAAGAGGAAAGTGAAGCAAAGCTGGTCGAAGAGCCCGAACCTTTACCGCAAGAATCAGACCCTGAGTCAACGACCAAGAAATCGAAGTCGAAAAAGAAGCGGAAAGGGAAAGAGCGGGAAGCAGAAGATGTATCACTCGTAGATGAAGAGGTTAATGGGGAGCCTGTAACGGAAACACTGCCTGCGGAGACGAAGGAGAAGGAGGAAAAGAAGAAAAAGAAACGGTCGCAAGATAGTGCTGAAGCTTCCCTAGAAAATGAATCAAAATCAGAATCCAAGGAAGAACGTCGGCGTAAAAAGGCGGAGAAGTCAAGAGAGACTAGCTCATTAGAATATTAAGCTCGATTATCGTTGCGTTGCTATACATTTCTCTGTAGATTTAAGGAATATCGTCCCATTCCGAATGCTTGCAAGCTACAACATTCATAGGTGGCTTGCAAGGCGACTGGACCCCGTCCAATTTGCTGCGAAGAATTCTCGTAAGTCCTCGATCAACCTAAGAAAAGAGTTTAGTAAGAGACGACGGATGCTAGAATGTCGTGGATTACTCTTCAGGGAGTACGAGCGCAGGAATGTGACCACCGCCCTCAGGATGATCTACGTGTTGATTTGAGTAATAAGAATTGGCGGGTGGGTAGCAAGTCACTGACGCTTGTAATATATCAAGTTCCCAGCAGCCTTAATCCACGGTTGGGGTGCTAGCCTACGTTATATTACCATTTGAGTCTTGATCAGAGCGATGCGACGCGATGCACCTACATGATTTCACCCTGCGGAGGGAGTGAATGGTCAGACCGTAGACATCGATACAATACTGATAAACGCTGACTTACATCGAATGACGAAATACCCATTGGGCATCCCTGCTTGTTCGGCTGTTTTCCGAAAGCCTCGAAGATATACTTTCGACCACTTTGCTACAGGATGGCAGCATAAGTGGACATATGAAATGAACCCCGAGAACGTTACCTTATACATCAACATAGACGTATGGGAGGAATGTGTGTATTGGTAAAGGAGGACATTGACAAGCTGGTCCATCCACACTTGTTCGTGTTTCTCCTCTGGTACTTTGCAACTCGACATTAGGGACCGATATTTACTAACTGAGAGCGTGTAAGACTCTCTGAGGGGAGAGAAGGGAGAGGAAACCTTACCAACCCAGCTCATCATGCCAACACCGTCGTACAGAGCGTAACCAAGGGTGGCAACCTTCAGGGACACAAGTTATAGTCTGTAAATGGCCTAGCTATGAGCACGACCTCTGTGGTTTGCATACCTCTGTGGTTTGCATATGCAAATAACCGAGTCCGAATGTTTGGAATGCTACGCTTTTGCCTAGCACACGTTTGTCGACTTCATCCAAGTTGGCCATGTCACTGTCGGTAAAACCTGCTGGACGAGGAGCAGGAAAGCCCGTGAAATGGATAAGCTTGCACGTATCAGCATGGTTAAGCTGGACTTGTCGAAGGTTGATCGCGCCGAAATCCCCTCCGTGAGCCCCGTATGTCTGGTAGCCAAGTACATCTACCATCAGAGTGTTGAACACTCGAGCCACATCTGGGGTACTGTGCTGTTTGTTTGGAATGATGCTGGACAAAAATATTCCCGGAAGGGAGGGTAGAACGACGTGGAATCTGTCGCAAATATAGTGAGTAAGTATTGTAGTTTTGATAGTCAAACTGGACCAACGCTGGCTGCTCCGCGGGGGGATTGGTCAAGGGTTCTATGAGGTACTTGTATTCCCAGAAGGAAAACGGCCATCCGTGCAAGATGAGCAAAGGTATAGCGTCCGCTCGTTTGCTCTTCTCGTGAACAAAATGAATCCTCGATACGTACAGTGTGTTAACTTCATATTCACTCTCATTATAGCGGAGAACTCACTGTGCACCTTCAATTTCGACGAGGAAATGTTTCCATCTGCCAGTATCTCGTAAAGTCAGTACTGCTTAATATGCATGACAGAAAACATCTTTCCTGTTCATCTCAGCCTCAAATTTGCGCCAGTCAAAGTTCAGGAGACGCTCCTTTGCGTCTTTGAAATCCGAGAGCTTGGTACCATACATGCTCCGGTCTTCGTCCGCGCCAGGGACTATGGGCAACGCGGGAAAGCGTGTGATAGTCAGCATCTGACGAAAGTGGTCGATTTCATCCTGGGGGATGTCGATTTTTGTTTCGAGTATGCTGTAGCCTGCCATCGTGCAGGTGGAAGTCTGGAGAGGCTGAAGCGCCGATGAATAAGTAGTACACTATCAATCACATCGGAGCCTTTGGTCACCGGTCAACCGGATACCGAGTAGTGGCCTTACCTCCAGCTCCAAACTGGGGCTGCAGAAACTGTGCTTCCGATCTCTTGAGTGAAACAGTGTTGATAGATATAGTCCAAACATTCTCAAATGAAGATAACAAAATGACATGCTACGGGCCAACAAAACCGCCAAAGTGTTCAGGTAATTTGGCGGCGTCCAAAATGACACACTACACAATTTCAATCCATTCTCCTTTTTCATCCTCGTCGAAACAAGACCTTTCGCATCTGTACGAGTGGGGTCTGACCCAGCGATAAGTTGGATATGGTGATTTGAACTGTGGCAGGCGTTCCAACACAACCCCGACAACTATGATTATATCGACGTTGCTGGTTGTGATCAGACACATGAATATGTACGACTGGGGGGAACATGGGGGTAGTACTCCCGGAATGAGGCATGCTCAGATGCCAATGGCACCTGCAGGGAAGTTCTCCTTCAAGCGGCGGTACCCCCACGCTCCAACCCAACGATGGTCGTCGGGGAACCCCGAAAAGTCATGAGTAAGCATAGAGTTGTATGGTAACGATGCAGACGAGTAAATGAGGATCCTTTGAATGAAAGAGGCACTCGACTTGAAGGCGACAAAATGCAGTGTCGAAGTCTTCGCCATCTTGCACAGGGATGTTGACCTTGACAGCAGAAAACAGGCCATATGCCATATCCACTGCCTTCGTGATTTTTCGTTTACTCATTTGGACGAAGAGTGAGCGGGCTTGATCTTTGTAATCATTCCATCCTCGAACGAGTCGGCTGAAAAGATATTAATCACTGGGTTGTCAGTAATCGAAGGAACTCAACGTACGTGGCGTTCGCAACCAAAGCGGCGTCTAATCATGGCGCAATCGAGCCGATATGTTATAGGAATAGGTAGCCACGATGTAGACGCAAGTGCCCTTGCCCAACTGGTTGCATGTGGAGCTTGAAAGAAAATACCTCAGTTTTGCCTTTAAGGGAGCATCGCTGGACCGCTGACTTGTCTATGACCCCGAGGCTATGCTGTTCTATCTGCACAAAGGAGAGCGCTGGTACTGAGTCTACACCAACCGTATATAGCTCGTCTCCGTATGAGACGACATAATTCTGTGGAACTACGAGCTCCATACGTCCGAAACATGAGCGTGTGATAGGAAAGCCTGTGATCGCTATGAAGAAACTCACAAACAGGATCCATGTGTGCTATTTCCAAGTGAAATCGCGCACACTGTAATAGTGTGCTCGCATGGGAGACTGCCGACATCGGTCAGCGGTTGTCAGTTGTCTACCTTGAGATGGTAGCGGCCAAATCGACTGGTGGTAGAGAGACCGAGGTGGGTGCAAGTAGGTCAAGCTGTCATTGTCTAGCGTATGCGACTGGTACGAGTACGTTCCGTCCACAGCCTCCGTTTCCTGTGCATCGGCAACACTCTCGCAGGACAGCAGTTAATCGTAGAACTCGGTATTGAGTATTGAGTACCGAGTCGTGAGGGAGGAGTCCAGAACCCCACAATTCACGTCTCCTCTGTTGCAACGGCACATTTTGTCTCTTCGTTCCCTTCAACCCTAGACGATAGGCCCCAGGTCATGCTCGGAGAAATCGTTCATAGGCTTAACTCACTGAAGATTATGCCCTACCTCATAATTTTGTTTAACACAAGTCCTTATTTGACAAGGTGCCCTGTGTTGCTTGTCGCATCGAATTTCCACGCGGAGAATTGCAAATTTGGAGTCTGGAGAGCAGGAACGGACAACCAAGGTAGAAACACCGTCCATAATCCAGAGCAAACAGCAATCAGAAGCCTAGCCAGTCTTATGGGCGTGATCTCGAACCGTATGGAAATTCCACTCTTCAATATCGTGCACAAGGTCCCGGAAGACTATGTGAGCATCTGGTTTCTCGTCCGACCAGTGGATGCAGATTTATGAACGAGCGAAATTTGATCTTTTGCGATCAAGGCTGTCGGCTGTGGTGGTGAAGGTACTGTAGGGCCAGTTATTCGTCAGAACAGAGATGAGTGGGCGCCTTCTGTAAGCGCGCGAAAGTAGCCCAAACATAAGCAGGGCGCAAGTCGCCAAGATAGCTTTCCCATCGTGAAGGTGATCAACAAGCGTTTCGGTAGGACTCTAGCTATACGAAAACTTCCTTGTGATGTTCTGGAAGGCGTCGACACTGGTTGGGGCGAAGCGGCTTGCGCCCAATATGTGTATACCTACAAGAGAGGTCCGTATATCGACGATGATCGACCAAGAATGAGCGCAATGGATTAACGTGGATTCTGGCTTAGCGAAGCATCGTCCTAAAAGCCTTTCTCGAGATGATTCCAGCTGCAGAGTTATTCAGGAAGATGCATGTCCAAGTTTGGGTGTGCGAACAGGAGCGTCCATCGTGTAGGCGACAAACACCAGGACAAATCCGGGTGATAGGACCATCGGGAGGGGAGATCAAGCACCTTGACGAGTTGGGGTCGCGGGCGGGATTGGAAACCCGTTTTGACTTTGGAAAGCACACCATCTCTTCGAAGACTTGGAGTTGTTCAAGAAAACGTTCTAGTAGTGTCTCCACTAAGAAGCACGCACCGTTGTTTTCGATCGCCAGATCTCTGCAGTATGTGATATACATCCAGACATCGTAGAGTCGCGGCGAGTAAGCCACAAGGTCGCATCCGTTAGGAAAGGAAAAGAGGGCCCCAAGGCTGGCTTTCTTGTCGTAGGGAACACAGCATTGGGGTTAAGCTGGTTATTCCCGTTGCTGGTAGAGTTGTTGATGACCTGATATCGTGAAGAAGCTATTTGAACGGTCAACGGGCGTTACTCACCAACACCGACGCGTTAGATGATTGCGCAATTGCTCTAAGGTGTCTCATAAAACCAACCATTAGTGCGTGTCCTTGAGCCGATACGGCACTGAGAGCAGGCCCGAGGAGTGGTGTAATGCTATCAATTACGACGCAGCTGGGATGTCGAAGACCGTGCAGGGCTTGATACGCCGAGTCAAGGTCGAATGCGAGGGATAAATGGAGGCGTGCAAGAGCTGTGGCGACACCCTATCGCCTCCTTCAAAAATCATGTCTTCACGGAGAATTGCGCACGTACCTGCCCACTATGACGGGCTAAAAGTGCGGCGACCTGATCTACCAAGAAATTCCCAGTAGTGTCGATCCATAACAACTGAGCATCAGGATCGGACGCGAGATGTCGGAGTGCGATGTGAGTCGCTAGCATCTGGAATCAAGATGATCATAATCCGTCGCACGGGATGGGAAATGTCGACATACAGATTTTCCAGACCCGATGTCCCCAGAAATTTCTATAACGGTTGAGCCGCCACCCAACCCCATCAATAATTCGTCGAGATCGTCTACGCCTGTGTCCAAGCAGAGTTTTGGCATTGGTGTAGCCTGACTGTGTAGAAGGCTACTAGCATGAGAGCCCTGGGCACCGGAAGCCTCCAATACGCGCGCTAAGCACTCTTCGAACTCATTGAATCCAATCGTATTGGGAGGTAGTTGGCAGAAAATGTCTTCCGCTGAACCGCTAAACAGCAAATCGGCGCTAGTTGTATATCCTGTTTGTTCCAGGGCCGTCACGAGAGGGGCTGGGAGGTGAAATTTTGACGAGCTGAGCCTCATAGCGCGACAATATGGAACACAAAGTAGGACGCTCAGGAAGAGGAAGTCTTTCGATTTGCGGCCCCTGCAGGTTCGTCGCGGTCATGTGATTTACTTCTCTGGTCTCCCGTCTTTCCGTCACCTGTTCCAAGGGAGTGAACCCTCGTATAACTAAGATATGATCCTTTGTATACTGAAATATATAAACAGAGCATTGTCGTATGTTGAGAGTTAGCAGACTGGATGGCCTTGAAGAAACTAAGGCAAAGCGCCAGCGCCGGTAAGTATATTAAGCAAACCGGGTTTAGTTGTACATTATCTGAATTGGAATGTGGGTATAGGAAAGTAATGATTGTCTCGATAAGAGCTGATGAGCACTGGTATGAAAGCCTCACTCCGAGCTCACATCGGCATGGATACCATTGACGAGCTTGACACCGCAATGCTTTCGCAAAGAATTGAGCACCTCCGGAATCACATCGATGTGGACGGACTTGCCCCACAATATATCGAGGTGTTCATATCCAGCTAGTCTCCGTGCTACGGTATGCTTGGGTAGCTGCTTCGTCATGACATCAATGTCCACAAGGCTGTCGGAGTCTCCATATAGAAGAACGATCGGGGTGACGATATTCTTCGTCGGGAATCTTGCTGGGCGGTAAGAGCTGACCGAGGTACGAGTTATAGCGGCTACATCGTCGTCGTACATTTGGAACGCGCCGTTCCGCATGATTTGGAACCAGTGAACGACCGATTTGACCGAAGCGAAACTGTAGAGATGGGCGTACGCGGCGATCTTCTGTGAGTTCGAGATGTTCAAGCTGCGCCAGTCGAATAGCCAACCCAGAGACCTGTCAATAACGGATGCGAATATCGGTGGATAGAGGATGGATTGCCACATCCCTGCCGACGACATGATGGCTTTACGTCCAAAGAAAAGGAAGATAAGGGTGGGGCTGTGGGGGGTAGTGGAGTCAATCTAAGCCTAAATGGTGACAAGCTCAGTTCGCTACTCACGATGCTTTCATCAAGCTATCCACAATGGGAGCAGCAAGCCCCGCAGGGGACATCGCTGGCGCGAGGGCAATGAAGACGTTGATCTTCTCGTTTAACTGGGGATGGATGCTGAGAGCAGCAAAGGCTTGAGCGGTGCCTTGACTAAAACCAACGTAACTCAATTTCGAGGCTTTCGTGACGTGGAGGATATAATTGATCGAGTCTGGAATATCGTGCCATGCAAAATCGTCGATGGAAAAGTTCTAGGAAAGGCGTAAAGACCATGGAAAAGATGATCAGCGCTCTACGCGACGCACCCAGAATTTAGCCTCATCTGGGGCATGGTGGATGGACTTCTTCGAGTACTTGTTACCTCTAAGAAACATTGGCATAAGATCCGCAGCGACGAGTAGGAAAACTCACCTATTGTTCCCCAACCATACATCGTACCCCTGCTCGACCAAAACAAAGGGAAGCGATCTCTCCGCTTCGGTGAGACAAACCCACACTTCCGAATTCATGAGCAGGCCGTGATGTAAGTATACCACTGGCTTGCCCGTGCTGGTCCCAGGATTGGTGTTGTGCTCGCCATGTGTCGACGGCAAGCGATGCAAACCAAGAAGGTATCCGTCCTTGGTGAGGACGACGTGCTCCTCGTGCTCGTACCCGAAAATTTCGCAGAGGTCGCTGAAGTCCCTCGCTTTGAGTATACGATCCGCGGTCTTCTTTTCCGCCGACTGGGGCTTGCGGCCACCGCTCAATTTATGGAATAGCGACCTCGACCGCTCGTAGAACCAGTTGATTATTGGTTTAGGCAAAGAGAGGGTAATTAGGCGAATCACGACCTCGAAGGCGATGAACAGAAAGCCGAGGACCAGCGCTACATATTCCTGGGATTTCAAACGCCCGAGGAGAGGTATTCGTGGCATAACGGGCGGGGATTTGCTGGTTGAGGCCGTCAGGCCTTTCCGAAACTGCAGAGTATACGGCTCTCACTTAGCATGAACTTAGTGGTGTGAACAATCGAAACTGGAGCATGATAAATCCAGAGCTACTCTACTGTTCAAATTCGCACGCCCAGTACGGCGCGGGGAGGTGCACGCTTCAATTTGGTTGGCAGTAAGACCACTGACTGTGGTGCCACTGAGGTACTCCATTGCAATTAGGAGCAGACCTGGGCGTCTTAGTTGCGCTTGGCCGCAGTGAAACAGCTTCGGAGCCATGCCATTGTGGCCATCTTATTACGGAACTGGTGTGTAAAAGAGGACCTTCCCGACATCCTGGAACTCTCAATCCCCCCAAAATGAGTTTCTCGCTTAAGTGGTTGTCGAAGATCTGCAGCCATGACTTCGCTAACATGCTACGGGCGTCCAAGAATAATGTGGACCTAGCCTTTGGATTCCACTCGCACCCTCATCATAGTGTCGGGCATTTGCATATGCACGTATTGCTCCATGACTTCGAGTTCAGGGCATATAGTACGCTTGAGCACGACTGGAAGACAATGCCATTCGGCGCTGTAGAAGACGTATTGGATGATGGCCCTTGCAATAGAATGGAACAGGAGGACACGTTCTTCATTTCAATGTATCATATAAGAGATGTTTATGATGTATTTGTACAATACCCATATTCAACAGCAGTACTCACGATGAACATCAGATTCAGTTATCTCGGAACCAAGGGGGAATATCTTGCAAGTAGTTGGCACTTTTGCTTTGGCCTTTGGCAGCTGATCTTCTAAAGCAGATTGCGCAGAGCGTGCAAGAAAGTTGCCCCCGTGGTATTCTCTGAGCGTCTCAACCAGTGGAAAGTCTGTCGATTGGGAGCGATTGAGAACATCTGTCCGCTGAAATAGATACTCTGCAAGATGATAACGATTAAGTAAAGTCGTGACCCAAAGCCAGGATGTCTGTGCTACCTTCATCGAGTATGGCTTACTCGATGAATAAATCCGTTCCCCACGCCTGAGTTCGACAAAGCGACCACCAACGCGCCACACAATGCATCAAACAATGCACTGCATTACAACATTTGGTTTGTGCTCTCCAGGGCCCAGGTGCACAAGAACTAGAGCCGAAAATGGGCCCACTGCTGATAACGGCGAAAATGCCTCTTCCAACCTCACGGTCTCCCTCATCCTAATGCTGTCCAACTCAGCAATATCGATATCTGGATGTTCCCAAATTCTGATGTTGAAGATGATACGTTTCAACAATCCAGGGTACTGGTGCGGTAGTAGGAGGCGACATAGCGTCTCGTAGCACGTAGATTCGGGGAACGATGATAGGTTCTGGCCATAGCTAACGATTTTGATAGTGAGTTCACGGAGGCGATGGTGGAATGGCAGGCGATTGATGTTTCCTTCCAACCATGTAATATCACCGTCGAGGGATATTAACTGGATGGTCAAGCGGGAGGGATATACAAGTCGTTCAAACTGGAGGGGGCCAGATCGAACCGAAACTGAAGAGTGTCACTTGATTAGGAGGTAAGACGGGGCTGGAGGAAGACGTAATACCTCGCAAATTGAGATCAGAGATGCTCGCTGGAATCCAGGGCGGCAGCTCCCAAGGATGATCCTGGTAGTGAGAAATGGTGAATGTAGCCAGATCTGGGCATTCAATGGTGTTGGTGTGGGCAAATGGTGTGATTGATTCGTCCAGCTCCAGTCTCCGAAGAGCTTTCAGATGTGCAACGGGAGGCACAAATGGCATGATCCTACGGCTGGGCTCCCAAAGGAGGCAGTCGATCATGAATTCCTCGAGCGTTGCTGAGCAGGCGAATAGGATGCGAGACATATCCGAGGCATTAACAAACTTATCCCAAAATAATAGAGCGAGACGTTTGAGGCTGATGGTAGCAAGCAAAGACACGATTCCTTGCACCAGTGGAGTGGTGACCGTCGGCCCCATCTCTGAGAAGTACCGTAGCTCCAATTCTCGCAGGTTCGTGAAGCGACTGAGGCAGGCATCCATCCATGCTGGAACCCATACAACGTCAATGCAGAAGCGCAGACGAAGCTCCCGGACATATTTGCAGAGATGAGGGGCTGTAGAATGGAGGAAGGCAAATGCCTCGAAGGTGGTGTCCTCATTGCAATCGATATAAATCGCGCGAAATATATAGGCCCGGCAGATATCGTTCCATGCGTGACATACGAGGGAGCAAGAAGAGAGAGAAGGAGGTCCACTGCGACGCCGAATCTTCGAATTTGCCAAGAGGGGAATGTGCTCCCATTCTTTCTTTGGAACGTTCGGGGGATCGTCGAGAAATGGAATTATCCTGAGGATCAGCTCGAGGGGGAGCTGTATCGGATGCATGCTGGTAGCTTGCAAGAAGCGGGACAGTCACGTTGTCACAACATCACCCTCTTCCTCTACGACCCAAATGTTCCCTGGGCCTCTGGCTCGACGATGGTACGCAACCGCAGCACAGAGCACTAGTGTCAGTGCAACTTCTACTCCACTGCCCGCGTTCTCTTATATTCTCCACCTAGAGTCGAGCTGGCCGCATGCGATCTACGCTTCAGAGCGTGTAACCGACCGAAGGTCTGCCTTCCTTGCGCATGCCACAACACTATCTTCCGTGGACCAGTTGCCAGATTTTCTGGACTACATTACCTCGCAACCCCAGCTAAAACGCGCTACGCATTGTATGTATGCATATCGCACTTTCAAGCAGAGTCCGGAAGAACCGAATCATCACGGCTCGTCAATGGGCCAAAGGGCTCAAGCGGTGTCAGCAACGCCTCCGTCCAAATCAACGGTGTTGACGGGGCAGAAGGATGGCGGAGAAAGTGGTAGTGGGGACCGCCTTGCTCGATTGCTTCAAGACACGCGGAGTGATAATGTCGTGCTTGTCGTGTCTCGTTGGTACGGCGGGATACAACTAGGGAACGACAGGTGGAAGAGAATCAACCAGGTTGCGAAGGAAGCATTGCAGAAGGGCAACTTTCCGCGCCCAAAAGAAGACCCTGCTAGTTCTCATTCTGCCTCGAGCTCAAGGAAACGTAGACGCTAGGAGATGTTACATGCGATACTGTATGCACGTACACCGCGTCTTATAAATATCCTCTAATGAGAATATGCTAGCCTCTCCCCTTCACCGATGGACAATAACACGTGTGCCAACCCACTCATAAATATCTCTGTTAAAGCGCCGGTGTCTTGGGATTGCATTGTATTCATCAGGCAATCGTTGCTCGCGCCTATTTCCTTCCCATTCCAAGACATCGACAACGGGAGGTAAATGATATTGAATAATGGAAGAAGTTCCGCCAGGAGGACATCCTGCATATGGACTGGAACATCCGTGTTATACGATTGAAGATGGCGTTACAGACATCGTACCTTGGAAGTTATGATACAGAATCCAAGGATCGTCTCCTAGTGGAAACATCATGTTCGTTGTCGATGATTTCTGATAACGGCCGCAAGATGGATTCGTATACCAGTTCCCATGCCAAAGAAGCGTTTGAGCGCGAATAAGGGGTTCTATTTGTATCTTTTGCAGAGTTTGCAAGACCGACGGAAGGAAGACAGATACGGTTGCATGCAAGGCAGCGTTGAGGATCAGAATTTGTCGAAGGGAAAGAGTCCCATCTCGCGGAGGATCAGCATCGGTGTCGAGGATCGCCGCCAAGCTTTCGTCAATAGGCAGGCCGCGCAGAAATGACCAGTTGCCAGCGGATGTAGAATCGTGAGTCCAGGCAGGTGCAGGTACAGGAGGACGGCTGAGAACGATTACTTGTGAAGCCCGTGCTCTACCGATCCAGAAAGACTCTCGCAATCGCACACCTGTCGAGGGATCAACAGTGGGTATCTGGAATGCGGCGTCCCAAGGCTTCGACGAGGGGTGCAGCGTATCAGACAACACATAGCGAAATAGTGCTGAGTCGGTTCGAAGGAGATCCTCGTCAGTGGGTGCCACTTTGAACCGGCCAGAGCTCTCGAGAGTAGAATTAACACCGGGCGGAAGGCAGATATGATGCCAGGTGCAAACATCGATCCCAAGGCAGGTGTGTGGGTGGCCATCGAATGGCGCAAGCATATGAAGCCAGATATTATGAAGAAAATATGACATGCTGGATCCAACCACGAGGACGTTTTTCCCGCGTATCATAGAGCAAACGTGCTTCAGGCTTCTGGTGGCATCTCTGTTGGGAGAAGGGGCACATGTAGAATCCGCCATAAGACGCGCAATTCTGCTTCCTGCGGCCCATTGGGACTGTCTCATTAGACATGTAAGTCCTTGTTGGATATTGCGAATGCGAGACGAGGCTTGAGGTGTCGCGTCCCCTTTGGGTAAACTTTCCGTGACGGCACGTCTAAGAACGGTATCGACGAAGGGTGCTGGGTGCCATGGCACGGTATGAGGCCCTGATATTTGTGTCGCGAGCGGTACGACGAGGAGAAGTAGGCAAACTGCGCCAGTGAACAGAACAAGCTTTCGTCGAAGATGCTTCATGGAGGTAGCTGATTGAAGGACATCGAATTGGCGCCCACTCATCGAACCGGGTCCTGTTCTTCTTGTGCATCGTCGCCATGAAGTTCGGAAACCTCCCACACATGGCCGACTCAACAGCAGAAGGGGCTGGAAGGGGCTTCTCGAGTCCACTATCAGAACAAAAATATGAAGCTAGGATGCCCATCACCGACGATTCTGGCATAGGCACCATGTGCTTATGGCTTGCATCCACAACATACCATTCCATAAGCCTTCCTGATTGGGTGCGGTCCAGTTTCCAGGAAGACCATTCATAAGCCTGGCTTCTTCCATCTTTGGCTCTCGGATGCGTCGGAACGGTACTGATCCTTCGACGTGCTCATGACGGGACTTGGAAACAAAGCGTATCACACACCTCATGCGCTGGCGGCCATAAAAAGCCAGCTTTGGGTATGCTGCGCGCAGAACCATCTGCGAGCAACAACCACTACTGAGCCCACCTCGCAATGCGTTCGTCGCCTAGCTTTATACATTCGCTTGTACTGGTGCTCACAGAAATACAGGTCTGATCATCCGCGAGGACCCCGCCGCCGTCGGTGAATACATCGCCGAATATATCTGTAAACGGTGCGGAAGTTTCAGTGTAGGATGATGATGAATGCAGAGATCTGATACTTGTTCCTTATCCAGCATCAACGACTTCGGACCCACCGCCAAGAAACCATTCGTTCTTGGCCTCCCTACCGGGTCATCGCCGATCCCAACTTACAAAGTACTCATCAGGCTCCACAAGGAAGGCAAACTCTCGTACGTACTGAACATACGAAGATCTTTACGAAAGGGCTCAACAGTACATACTAGCTTCAAGCATGTTGTTACATTCAACATGGATGAATACGTCGGCCTCCCTCGCGATCATCAAGAATCTTACCACACATTCATGTTTCGCGAATTCTTCTCGCATGGTCGGTGTCTTGGTCTCTCGCGTCCTCAACCAAGCTAACTGGCATTATAGTGGATATTCCACCGTCGCAGGTCAACATCCTGAACGGAAACGCGATCGACTTGATCGGCGAATGCAACGCTTATGAGGAACGCATCAAGTCCTACGGCGGTATCGAACTGTTCCTTGGAGGCATTGGAGAAGACGGGCACATTGCTTTCAACGAACCAGGTAAGCTCTGTTCCACCCATACATGCATCCCTATACCAACCCAAATCCCGTAGGTTCTTCCCTGGCTTCTCGGACACGAATCAAAACACTGGCATACGATACTATCCTCGCCAACGCACGTTTCTTCAACAACGATATTTCTGCTGTTCCTAGAATGGCTCTCACTGTTGGTGTCGGTACGGTCCTCGAGGCCCGAGAGGTCGTCGTCGTTGTAACAGGCCAAAGAAAGGCGCTGGCATTGAGCAAGGCTATCGAAGAGGGCGTGAATCATCTTGTACGTATCTTACCACCTCACATTATGACCTGTACTCAACCGTGGCTTTAGTGGACCCTCTCTGCCCTGCAGATGCACCCATGGGCGCTCATTGTCATAGATGAGGACGCGACGGCTGGTTCGTTTCATTATCCGTCTCCACGTTCCCCCAGTTTGACACGGAGATATAGAATTACACGTCAAGACTGTCAAATATTTCAAGTCCATTGAACGTGTCCAGGAGGAAGTCGAACGAAACCAAGCCGAGCTGAAAGCAAATGGCGTAAAAGGGGCAGGCGTGGCTGAGCAGCAGGTTGGAAGTATGGAATGAACAATACCCGTGCATTTGTCCGCAACACGGTTATATTGGAAGTAACGAATGATCATATTGTCAATATTAGATACAAGATTGAACAATGCTCGAACTCGAACACGAATAATTTATTGTTGGATATATAAAATAGACTAATGTGTACTATCTACCCTTCCGTCGTTAATAGATGCAGTATTTACTACAACATACGGTCGTTATAACATTCGTTAGAAATGCAGTGTCACATGCAGAGCCCAGTAAAACGATTACTAAATTATAGGCGAAGATGCTCGCTTCCTAGGCTCTAGAATAATCTTGGGAGTCCGGAGTGTGCTGCCAATATCCGAGGTAAGAGGGACACTCTCCGAACCTGTTGGTTGGACCATCCTCGAGCTCGTTGCATGAGACACGAGGTCAACCTGACTCCCCCTCGCTGACACACTTGTCCAGTCCGTGGGCTCAATTTCTTCTCCGTCAATTGTCCACGATTGTCGTTTAGAAGCGGACGCTGGGAGGATGCCACTGCTAAAGTATCTATCGAGCTGTAGTTGCGTGTGATACGCATTGACAATGTAGACGCCATCTGTACAACGGTCAGCCCACCGCGTTGAGGTAGTGCGATGAGCACTCACAAAGTTGTAATGTGGCTGGTATGATGAAGAATACCACCACAATTACGGTCCGTACTCTAGGGTCGTTCAGAGCTTCAGCTTCACTCTTACAATCGGCCCAGACACCTTGGTCCTGTGAGCCTCTTGTACATTCCTCGACGTACTCGGCTTCGGAAGTTGTAAGGAGGGAAGAAAGAGTAACCACAAAGTATATGGTCATGTAAATGGCCATGTACACCATCAACCGCAGGAATAAGCTGATGAGATGGTACTGTCTTCGAATCACACCGACTAGCCTAATTTGCGTCAGCCAAATTAAGATGAGGACAGTAAGCAAGGGTTACCCTAGGATGGCCATAAGGAAGCCAACTGAGAATGTAACGGCGTAGATGATCACTCCGGCGTATGGTCCAGAGAGGACATGTACTAGAGGCAACACCAAGTCAATAACGCGTCTTTGGTTGAGGATATAGCGTACATTGGCGAAATCTGACGAAGCCATACCAGAACAAGAGTGCCAGGGCTCCGTTAAGCAAGAGCTGGAATATTGCCACCACAAATACCCCAACGCGTAACGGTAGACAGAACAGAAACTTGGTGGACTGTGTCATTCTTCGGAACAAGCTTGCAATGGGCGCAAGATTTATATATCGTCGTAGGGATATCGACGGAACCTTGGGGCGATACCCCTGCCAGGCCGCAAACGAAACATGCATCGGAGGCGAGGCGATGGAAATAGCACACCGGTTTGCTATGATATGGTGATCAAGAGGGAGTTATTGTGGGCTCTAGCGGAGGATCTTCTAGCTCGCCGCCGTAGTTATTATCAGCGCTCATGCATCGCCCGCTCATTCAACTTCCAAGCGAGCGTCCGGGGTTTCATGGACAGATAGTGCTTTCGTGCTCAGGGTCAAAGAATACCCGTGCCATGAGCGGCGAACAACGTTGCTACTAGCGGGTGATGAGGACTTCCGAGCCAGCGCTGAGCGCTGATCAATGGCTGTTGAGGGCCTGGTGTTTGAATGTGGGCTCGCTAGGTACATCGGTTGAAGCGGGCCACAATGATCGCGAGTCTGCACGCTAGTAGCTCCTGAGTACGACAGGAGCCTCCAATTTTGGGGCTTCACGTTATTCTCTGCTGTGAGGCTTGAATCCCTTGCTGTGATCCTATATGAGTGATGACGATGACACTGGCTATACACGTTGTGGCCACTTCATGTACACTAGCAACTTCCGTAAGATTCTATGAACTTCCTCAATTTCGGTTGTCTGTCTTGGATTGATGTCTTCGAAGCACACTGGGCCCCGAGTAGTGCGTAGCTTAATAGGATACACGGTCATTGTTGTATCGAGAGATGGATGCGTGATTGCTCGCTGATGTACCTATATACAATAGCAAAGCTAATAAATAAGTGATGTGAAAGTCCAATTCGTGTCCAGACGTAACGCCAACGTTACACTACGTGAGAGGAATTATGAGAGTCATTAAGCGTGGTGACCGCCATTGTTTCCGTAGGAGTGGTTGGTATCCTTGTATGGGTACAACCCGTCGTGTTGTGTAAGTGGGCGAGAGTCGTCGTCCGTGCCGGCGGCTGTGTACTTGAAGCCCCCAGAGGTTGTAAGGATCATGTTGCGATCCATATCCTTCTTCTGGAGCTTCTTGGCATATGCGCCGACGAGGTAGCAGCCGTCTAACCCAACTGATAAACAAGGAGATCATAGCGAGATCGTTGGTGCAGACTTACAGAGTTGCAAGAGAAGAGGGATAACAAACACGGCAATGACCCCAGCAATGACCCCAGCACTGTTAATGTGCTCCGGGTCGAAGATGCTATGGCAAGCGTCTATAGTTTTCTGGTCATCTTTTGCTCCGTTGAGACAGCTGCGCAACAACCGGTCCTTGGGTTCCAAGAACCAAAAGACGAGGGCGATGATCGACCAGATGAATTCGACGAAAAACAAGTACCACAGCGTCGAGGCGAAGCCGCTAACAAAACTGAACTTCTTGAGCAATGTTCCAATAAAACTATCGGTTATAGTCAGCGCTATGCCAAACTAGGTCCTTCGTAGGTGATCACGTACCCAAAAAGTGCCATTATGCCTCCCACACTATAGATGACCCCGTACAAGATCGTCCATATTTTGGTCCGCGTCGATAAGTCCTCGTCTGGGAAAGGGTCAGAAAGGTAGGAGATAGAAGGGTGAGTTGTGACTTACGACTCTTCTCATGTACATACCATAGTGAGTACCACATAATGGCAGCAACTAGTGAATTTAAGATGAATTGCACTATGGAGACAAGGAGGACACCCAGGCGAAGGGGAAGGCAGCAGAGGAATTTGGCACCCATTGTACGGTCGGGTTTACTGAAAGCCTGCAAAGTACAATGAAGTACTAGGTACAAACGAGAAAGTGGATGGGAAGTTGTGGTCAACGCGTGTCCGTTATATATCCCCAGCCAAGGATGGTTTCATCCGAAGGCTGTCCACTCGAACACAGCGCCTGCACGCCGAGGGGACCAACAGGTGTGGGCTGCGCGGGCGTGCCAAGATCAGACTCCGCCTGGGAAGGACCCTTTGCTACGATACTCCATCCGTTGGGCGAATATGCGGTGTGCCGTTTACTTCGTGAACCTGTGCTGGATTTGTCTACCGAGTGCGATGATCTCTGGCTAGCCGTGCTACTCAACCAGCGATTCCGGACGGACCTCTGGAATAGCAAAAAATCCTCAGCGAGCGCTGAGGCCGCCGCTGAATCTGAGCTTCATCAATGCATCATGGAGCCTAGTAAAAATAACGACTAAACTTAGTGGTAATCGATTAATCAACACATGGATCTGCAAACGGCATGTTAAGAAGGCTGTATTGCAATTGTGCCGAGGGTTGATACGGTCTTACTATATACCCACTGAACAATAGGTAGCTGCGGGTATAGTTGATTACCCATCGAACTTGCTTCTTCGCTACCCTACCCAACCAATCACTCCAAAGTTGGCGGCGGTGCCCCGCTACCCACCATAACCCATGCACCCTCGCTGGTGACATCGTCCACAGTCAAGAATACCGTCGCTGGTCCGGGGGGATATACTCTGCCATTCGGGGGCGTTGTGAATGTCAGCAGGTTCCTACCCGGCGAGATAGTAGCATCCATGAACACTAGTCGAGCGCTGGAATGGAAGGCGTGGGTCGAAAATCCAAGGTCCATGAGGGAGACTAAGAAGTGATGACACTGGCGTTAGAATACTTGTCTTCTAGACTCATCTTCTAAAAGCATACCTTTGATATTGCTCGCTCTCAACGACCGCGGGATGGAGATAGGAACGCTAACCCTCTGCCCGAATCTTAACTTCTTCGGCACACTCAACAATTTGGGCCTCTCCACGAACATGAACGGAGGGTCCAAGGTCTCGACTCTAAACTCACTGGCGAACTCCACTGTTGTATTGATGTTGACATTTGGGTTATTTCCAGCAACCAGGAAGTTGCCCTGAGGGGTTAGGGTGATGCTGGAGTGATACAAACGAGCAATGTTCGTAGTAGGCATACCCTTGTTACTGATTCGGCGGCCAAGAGGGAGGTCGGGGGTGTACAGCGAGGGCGTCAATACGGGGTGGTCGGCATTGGAATTCCCTATGGGGTCAGGGACTGTGGCGATGGCAGCGAAACCAGAGCCGCCACCATTAGCGATGACGATTTGTCCGTTGGGTAGATGAACGAGTTCCGGCATAGTGCGTCCCTCCAGCATGTGTTCTACCTGCCATCCAGCCTTAATTCCTTCTTCGGTAAGTTTAATCCTACTACATTGGGATGACGCGGGAGTTTGAGAGGAAAGAAGCAAGGGGTCGAGTGTGTCCGTTGCGGTTCCTCCACAGACGAGAACTTCCGGAATATAGTCGGGTGGGGAGAGAGGGAGGAGGATGGCTGATCCGTCGATGGGGTTGGTAACTCGCACGTTATTGGGAATGTCGGGCAGGATCGTTTCGGTATTGGCTTCAATATCATAGATGATGGACTGATTATTGGCGACCATGAATACGCGACCATCGGGGAGAGCGAATATCCTATATATCAATCACGAACAAATGAGACAATTAGTACGGAGGTTGAGGACACCAGCTTATAACTTACCGAGGGAACAGATTTGATGGAAGACTTCGTTCAAGGAAAGCAGACGGCCGTGGAGTAGACTCTTTTGCGGGGAAGAATTCAAACGTGTTCGCTGGGTCTATGTTGTAAAACGCCGCATTGACGTGCGTTCCTCCGACAATCAAAAGACTTCCGTCGAAAATACGGATGGAAGAGGGATACCATCGCTTTTCAAGGAGATGGTGTGTATCTGGATTCTCAAAAAGGGTACAACCCTCGCCTGTGGGAGAGGCGCAGGGTTCGAAGATACGAAGAGCTTGATTCCCGGGTTGGATGACAGGGTTTCCTCTGAAGCCACGAGGGTCTCCTCCGACGCTAACCTGGGAAAGCAATGCATAAATGGTCATTATTGGAAATGTAGTATAGAAATAAAACTTGTACCATGGTTCCATTGCTCAAAAGTGCACCGCTAGCACAGAAGGAATTTGAGAACACGTCAAGGGCCGTTGCAGTACTGGTTTCGAGATTCCAGAGGACACCCCATGCAGAGTGATTGTTGATTTGCAAAGGGTCATCTGAAGCGCGGTCAAAGAAGATGGCGAGGGTGGGGGAGACGACAATAGATTCGAGGGCGACTATTCCACTGGTTGATTCTTTGAGATTGAAGCTCCATTGCGGGGCACTAGGAGCAGCGGTTATTAAAGCGAAGAAGGCGGAGAGTGCGTAGAAGGAATAAGGTTGTCTCATTCTAACCCAACAGAGTAGACGACGCTTTCAAACCGCCCTTGAGGTCGAGGTATATATGCTTGTTCAAACGTTCATGGGAGAGACTATGCCGATGGGAGACTGAGGTCAGATGAACTTGTGTCAAAAGCACTAGCCGAGTCGCTTCAAGCATCGGCCTCTCACCCCGCTGGTGAGAGCTCCCTCGAGCTCGCGCCAAGCGCGTCCAATGACATCCATGAACTGCAAACTGGGGCAATAACACCTCACAGTCATGTCAAAAAAGTACCACGCCCATGGAACCGGGAGAACGCGACTGAGAGAAAAGATGTTGCCTCGGGAAAGAACCACTGTTACCGGTGAGCAATTAGTCAAATCCAAAGGATCACAGTTGATGAACGACTTTGGATGTGATGTTCACTGCCACCGTGAAATCTTTATGAGGCACGAATGTGCCGTCTCGGGCCGTCAATACAATGCAACATAGTCCCGTCGTGTTCGCAGGTGTGATGCCCCCTCTTCTCATCAAACTAAATAAGATGAGTGCTCTGCGGTTAATCTATGCTACTGAGGCAGTGCAACTGATCAGTACTGCATTCACTATAACCAAGTAAGGATTCTATAACGTAGCACCCACCTAGAATCAGCCATTCTGACCCAATCGTTCGGACCGGAAAATCCTTCTCAATACCAAAGAATGGAAATACAGGAAAGATCTTAGTGAAGGTCGAGAAGAAGGAGATAAGCGCTGAAGCGCCTAATGGGACAGCCTGTATGGTTATGTTTGTAGCTCATCGATGTGCCCCTAGCCAACATAACAGATCTAGCGTGAATGCTATAAAGTGATCAATCCTTCTCTGATCCTACCTTCAACCGCTTTGGCACCCTCCCCATAATGCAGAGGCACACATTCACGGCTCTAAACTCCACCTTCGTAGTCGACTCCGAGTACCAGTTTGTCAAGGAACTCGGGCAGGGCGCTTATGGATGTGTAGTCGCTGCAAGACACCGCAGATCAGGCGAGGGCTGCGCTATCAAGAAGATAACCAATATCAACACTAAAGTGCGCTGCGTTGTCGAATGTCGAACTAGATGCTACATTATGCTAACGGGCCATCCTAACAACTAGCGAATTTTAACCAAGAGATGTTTGCGTGAAATCAGGTAAGGTCAGAATACACCGCAAGCATTGAGGAAATTGAGTTCTTATCTAGGTTACTCCACCATTTCCGCGGACACAAGAATGTGAGTGACCTAGAACACGTTCGATCAAATCAGTGTCGACGAAGCCTCTAGATCACTTGCCTGTATGATATGGATATTGTGTTCAAGCCAGACGGCAACTTCGACGAAGTTTATCTCTATGTGAGCAGCTGCGGGGCACGGTCCATATAAATAAATGCTGAATATTTCTAGGAAGAACTTATGGAGGCCGATCTCCATGCGATCGTATGGAGTTGTTTTTATCCTATGCATTTAATATTCATTCAACTTGCAGATTCGATCACAACAACCACTCACCGACGCCCATTTTCAATCCTTCATATACCAAACTCTCTGTGGGCTGAAATACATTCACTCGGCCAACGTGCTTCACCGCGATCTCAAACCTGGTAACTTATTGGTCAATGCTGATTGTGAGCTCAAAATATGCGATTTCGGTCTCGCAAGAGGATATACTCCGGGCGGTGGCACCTCAAAAGCAGCAGGTAACCAAGGGTTCATGACTGAGTATGTTGCCACTCGGTGGTACAGAGCCCCGGAGATCATGTTGAGTTTCGCCAACTACGTATGTTTTTTTGTTCCGTCATGGAAACGCTTCTTCGCTGACTTCGTTATAAATAGACCACTGCCATTGATGTGTGGTCGGTCGGTTGCATTCTTGCTGAACTCCTTGGAGGAAAGCCTATCTACAAAGGTAGAGAGTGAGTGTTCAATTCAGCGGGCGCATCAAACGACTCGGCGTTGATCGAACACATCACAGTTATGTCGATCAGCTGAACCAAATATTGCACTATTTGGGAACACCATCGGAGGACACCTTACGACGAGTCGGTTCTCCTCGCGTAAGTTTAACAGCTTGCTGCGCTCGAATCGTTTTTTTTTTGATGCTTGTGCGGATCTATAGGCCCAAGATTACATTCGTTCCTTACCGATCAAACCGAGAATTCCATTCTCGACTCTATTCCCAGGTGCCAACCCAAACGCCATCGACCTTCTGTCCCGAATGCTATGCTTTGATCCCGCTAAGCGTCTAAGCTGCGAAGAGGCACTGAACCACCCGTATCTCCAAGTTTGGCACGACCCGGCTGACGAACCGACCTGTGAAGCTGTAAGTGATCCAATGTTCCCTCTCCAAGTTCCGTGATGAACAAGCGGACCAGAAATTCGACTTCTCCTTTGAAGAGGAAGATAGCATCGAAGGAATGAAGAAGCTGATTGTGGAAGAGGTGAACAGTTTCCGTGCTGAGGTTCGCGCCCAAGCCAGAGCTGCGGGCCAGATCCGGCGACAAGACAGGTATGAGTCCTCCCCTCGATAATGACGTTAAACGTTCGTTAATCATCGGGACCGTAGCCTTCCAATCCCTACTCGCGACGAGATCCTGAACTCTCCTATGCAAGAGCATGGCTCTACGTCTGGATTCACCGTGCCGCACGATCGCCCCCATTCTCCTGTAATGGATGATCCTAGTGAGGCACTTGAACGCGAGCTCGCAGGAACACATCTAGGTGGTATGCGCCGTTAGATGGACCAATACTTGTACAAATGAAGTAGCAGAATTTCACCCTATGTACAAAGAGTAATTTGGATGTTTTTATATCGGTGTCCGTCTTGTAGCTTTCCGGATATTTGTTTATATATAATCAGTGTGCTTGCACACCGAGGGCGATGGAGAAATTCTTTCGATTCTTGCGCTAGTTGTCGACAAATATGCCTCTACATATCGACGTCGACAGTGTGTCTTATTTACCAAGACGTAACTAATAAGATGACGGATGCTTGAGCAACGTCTACAGGCAGCAGTCGTGAGCTAACCATGCTAGTGAAAAATTGTGATAAACGGCTTACTCCTCCGTCGATCAAGACAGTTTCGCCGTTCACGAAGTGATTCGCGACAAGGAACAGAGCCAAGGTCCCCATATCAGATCTCGACCCGGTCTCCAGTCCGACTGGAATCTGGAAGGGCCAAGTGAGTTTGTGGGTGGGCTTTGATACCCCAAGCTCGTCGGCTGAGCCTGGTATGGCCATCTAGAGCATTCTCGTGAGGGTCAATCACACATTTTCGCTGGGGATGTACGAACCTCGGTGTGGAACAATCCTGCGACGAGACAAGGTTATTCGACGGCGGAGACAACTCGATACAGATAATGCACTAACCAGGTGCTATTCCATTGACTCTGATCCCAAGTGGCAGCAGCTCGTGTGCCAAAGTAGAAGTAAAATGGCCTATAGCACTCTTGGAGAAGAGGTACGGGAACGAGAAGCTCGAAGTAGCAGCATCCTAAGTTATCATTCAGTACCAGAAACACTCGACCCAAAACACTTATGGGTCCCACCTTGGTCCAACCATTCATACTGCTCGTCATGATGATCTGCGGGACGAATTTCCTCGCAGCAGGCTCGTCCGCGTTCTTCCACTTCTCAAGCAAGGGCAGGAATGCGATGCTCATCCAGTACGCACCGACCGCATTCGTGCGTATCGTGTTATCGAAGTCCTCAGGATTTATCGCGTCGAAGAGATTGCGGACGAACGCAGCCGCGGTAGCCTCGGTCGGTCTGTCGAATTTGCCACCACCAACTCCAGCGTTGTTGAATAATGCGGTTACGTATTTCTCCCTCTTGCTGATTTCGTCTGCGAGACGTTTGGCCTCTGACTATAAAGGGCGAGAGGCGTAAGGTGATCAGTAACGCCAAAATAAGGAAGCGCGGGGGACCGACCTTGAGTCGGATGTCGCCTTCCAATCCATGCATTCGTCCTCTACGAGGGTCGTTCACACAGGCAGCATTGTAATTGCTAGCCACTCTGCCGAACGCGAACACGTACACAATGTCAGCGGATGGGATAGGACGTCGAATGTATATATAACTGACTTGTCCAGATTTGCCTGATCTGGTCCAATGATATACACAGTCGCGCCATTCGCAACGAGGGTGGAACTTATCATCATCCCAATGCCCTATCCAAAGCGTCAGCCACATCTCGATCATCGATATCGATACCAAGATTGTGCGCACCGTCCCCCCTCCTGTGACTACAGCAACCACCCCGCGGAGGTCGAAGAGATTAGCAGCGTTCAGCTCATTCAAGATGCTGTCGGCCATGACTCGGATGCACGATCACGAAAGTGGGTCACTGATTTTCTAGATTCCTCATTAAATAGCATCTCTCCACCTGACTTACTCATCTGCATCTTTAATGACATAGGCAGCGCGTGCACCATATCTGACCCAGATCAAAGCCGACTCTCACAGTCGCGAGCTTAGGTCACACATTCACGGCCATGGGAGCCTCGCCAGCTTAGTAGCAGCCTATCGCCATTCGGCAATTCCACAGTACCCCAAAACGTCAATAACACTTATATCTCCAATACATACATACGAACAAATCGTGTCAGAGTATCTTTTTCCGCCTGCCTCTTGCATACGAACATAAACAAAACCAATCCGAATTACTGCTCGACCGCAGCGTCGTCTGTTACACCAGCGTCCTTCGGTTCGGCAGGAGCAGGAGGAGCAGGGGCGCTGGGCACCCAGCCCTTCGCAATGGCGATGAGCGTGCGTATTTTGTCAAGGTCTTTCGTGGGCCCGTTTCCAGCTTCAACGCCGCCGCTGACATCAATCACCCAAGGCTTCACCTTCTTGATCGCCTCGGCCACTGTGTCGACTGTGATGCCGCCTGCCAGGATGATGGGTAAAGGGTATTGCGAGGCCGGGGCTTGTGGTATCGGGGGTTCAGCCGTTGTCGTTGTTTCTGTCGCGGCTTCATCGGTTGTAGGGATAGCAGCAGTAGTGTCGTCATTCGTTGTAGTGTCGCCATTCGCGACGATAGTTAGTACCTGCGCATTGTATGAAGCGCCTCCGTCGAGCACGATCTCTCCAGCATCCACAACACGCCTCGCCAAGTCCCAATCGACAGTCTTGCCCGTGCCCCCGCTTACACCACTCCCATCGTCCCTCAAGCTGTCTATAAGTATGAAGTGGTGCGCTCCGCCCCGCGTGACACCTCCCAACCCCGAACCCTTGCCGACATGAAATGCCTTGATCGTAGGCACAGGGATCTGCCGTGCAAATTCCACCGTTTCCGATCCATGCAGCTGCACGATGTCGAGCTGGAGGTAAGCCACGGCGTGCAGGATGTCATCGAGAGGGGCATCCTGGAAGACGCCGACGAGGAGGGGGCGGAGCGAATGCGTGGACAGCCGGATGGCGTTTGCAGTGAACCAAGGCGCGTTGCTCGCGAACGCCTCTGCAGTGGGCGGCGGCGGAGCAGCGGAACGTAGCGATCGTATTGCGGCTGAGATCTCCTTCGCGGCATCCAAGTCAATACACCTCTTCGACGTGGGCACAAGGATGATTCCGAGCATATCAGCCCCCGCCTCGGCAGCGAAGACGGCCTCCTCCTTGGATTGTATCCCGCATATCTTCACGAGCGTCTCCTTGGCGCCCCATCTGCCCTCGACGGCGGGTGGTTCCGGTATCGACATCAACTCGCGAATGAATTTAGCAGTGTCTTTAGCTCGCATCAAGCTCTCGCCGATCAACACCGCCCCGACGCCCTCCGCTGCGTACCTGTTTACGTCGGCCGCGCTGGATATGCCGCTGAGTGCGCATAACACGACGCCCTTGCCTTCCACCATATCAGTGAGGCGGCTGGTGGTGTTCATGTCAACCTCGAAGCTGTGGAGGTTGCGGTTGTTGACCCCGATGACCTTCGCGGGAAGGGAGAGCGCCAGCTCCATCTCCTTGGCATTGTTCACCTCGACGAGGGGCTCCATGCCCAACGAAACAGAGAAATTGTACAAATCGCGTAGTAGTGGTTCGTTCAGCATGCTTACGATCAGTAACAGGGTGTCCGCTCCCCATACCCGCGATTCTAGGACCTGATACCGGCTAAGGATGAAGTCTTTGCGAAGGATGGCAGGCCTGTTTGGGAGATTGGCAACGGCTAAGCGAGCGTGTAGCATGTCCTGCAACGATCCCAAGAACCATTTCGGCTCAGTCAGCACAGATATCGTATGTGCTCCAGCGAGGGCATACGTCAAAGCTTGGTGGGCCGGCGAAACTGTGGTATTGATAGGCCCCTTCGACGGCGAAGCACGTTTGACCTCGGCAAGCAACGAAGGATGCTTCTGGTCTTTCTGTCTGAGGCGCGGTAGGAAAGGGATGATCGGAGGAGCGACGTTCAGCGAGAGAAGGGTTTCTAGGTCAGCATAAGTCGTGCCAGGTGTGGCCTGTGACTTCGCGACGTCTTCGAGCCGCTGCTTGTAGATGCGGTCCAGGATCGATGGTATCTGCTTCTTCATCTCCGGGTCTGGCGGCAGAATCGTGGCATCGAACGGCGGGATGTTCGGGTCGCTGACCATCGCATGCGGGTTCTGCTCCCACAGCCCGCCCCGGAACGACAGGAAGTTCTTCACTAGGTCGTCGCCGCCTTCGCTGAGGATGCTTTCAGGGTGATACTGCACGGCTTCCACAGTGTATTTCCGGTGGCGCACGCCCATGATCACGCCCGACTCTTCGGTCGTCGAGGTGATCGCGAGTTCAGGGGGAAGCGTGCTGAGGGATGCGCTGAGAGAGTGGTAGCGAATCGACTTGATGCCTTGTGGGATGCCCTTGAAGCACCCCCGGTTATCATGCCTGACACGGCTTACCTTTCCGTGCATGATCTCCCCGGCATACCTAGGCAAATATTCCAGTGTGAGCGCAGCAGACATGTATACGACTCACGCGATAGAGCCTCCGTAAAGATCAACCAGGCATTCCAAGCCCATGCACACACCGAGGATAGGCACCTTTCCCTGGAAGTACGCAATCGCCGCCTTGGATATCCCCGAGTCTGTCTTTGGGTGCCCCGGACCAGGCGAGATGATCAGCGAGTTGATTTTGAGGAGGGGTAACTGCGCAGGCGTAATAGCATCGTTTCGAATGACCACGACGTCTGTACCGAGAAGGCATATTTGCTGGTAGAGATTCCAGGTGAAGGAGTCGAAATTGTCGATCAGCAGCACGTCTAGCTGTCGGGCAAGCGTAGGGGGTAGTGAATCTGGTGCAGACATCTTCCGGCGTTTGATTTGGGGTGCTGCAATGGCCCAATATATAGCCCCACGCTATACAATCACTCCGGTGTTGAAGAAGATATGAAAACACCTACTTTCCGGACATATTGGATTTGATTAGGTAAGCGATCGTTCCGCTGTCACTGCATCGTCCAATCTGCAGGTTTGGCCTGAGTGTTCGGAACGCTGAATAAGTGTCCATCTCTCTTCGAGTTAATTACGCGTATTTATCACACAGCTACCTTATCCAACCCCTCGACAAGCTCGGCTTTATCGAAACGGTATGGCGTTGGTCTACACTCGTAGGCGTGGGAACGAGATACTCAATGTAGGTCACGGTCGAAAGTTAGGAGGCTGCTTGCCACGTGATTCTCACGGAAGTAAAGCCCGGGTAGTTGTGCGAATGTACGCCGGCCAAAACTCTACGTCCACCACATCTCCAGAACGATGCCTCGCCGAGCAAGAATCCACTTCAATTCATTGCGTTCATCCTTGGTCAATCTTCCAATATCGATCTATGGACCTCTCTTGGAACGGAACATCGTACGTATAGCCTATGTAGTCGCTGGAAGACATCTTACCTCCATTCCGTAGCGTCCACAAGGACTTGCCGTTCATCTTAGCTTGGTCGCAGAATCGCGTCCAAGTCGCCCAAATGTAAAGATAGAAGCATATGTTGGATGGACTGGTATGGCCTCCGCATCGTCACTTGCACAGTTCAACGCGTCGGGTCCCAATGAGAAGGGCTTCGAAACTGTTGAAATAGACCCTCAATATGCGCAGGGGCTTGGATTTACCCAGGGAGACTTGGTAGGTGATCACCTTCTTTGATTCGTGAACCTCAACTTTTTAACGTGAATTCTCTAGGTGGAGATCGGTCTTCTTCACGATCTTTCCTTTGCAACATCAGTTGCAACGGAACCAGTCACATCGGACGACTGGGAGATCATCGTAAGTTTCTGCTGGTCTACAAGCTGACGCTCCTCGTTTATCTTTCTGAAGTTCGTGACATAGGAAATCCACGCAGCTCATGTTGAATCTACTCTGCTATCCCAAGTTCGAGTGGCAAAGGTTGGTCAAGAGATCGACATATGGGTGCTTGGAAGAACGAGAGTTCGGCTACGCGTCGGTGCGTCTCCTCGAGTATTTCCACGCGTTCTGTGTATTCAGCTTCATATTAGTATCTGTGGATCCATCGACGAAAGGGACCGCAGTTCTTCTGACGACCAATACAGAAGTTAGCATTGCTCCTAAACTACATAAACAGATAGACGGAACCGCAAGGGCACAAGTCTCAAAGGACATCAAAACATCCGCCACTCCGTCCCAGCCAAGTTCGGCGCCTTCCAAAACACCACAAGGAAGCTCTCGTATAACGAGAGTCCTACCGAAGCGCCTGTTGCCACACGATGCTATTTCAAAGATAGATAGTTATTCTGGTGATCTGCGGACCGCTTATATCTCTTGGGTTACATTCGTGCGCTTACGGACAGGGCGTCCCCCCAACTCACTTGTACCCGATCCGAGTTCTGACGACAACAGCACGCTGTACGCGCATACAGTCAAACGCTTACAGCCCCCGGTAGACCCTTCGTCAAACCCGTCTACCAGTTCTGCAGCACCTTCGCCGCCACTGCCGACAGTCTTGACCGCTGGAGGCAGTCAAGAGAAAGCTAAAACCTCGCACGACCAAGCCAAACAAGAGCCAGAAGTCTACATATCCTGGCTGAGCGAGGTACCAGATGATCACATAGTCTTCCGGAATCTTGAGGACGACATTGAAGAGTGGGACTTAATACGGTTTGAAACTACGTCCGTCAGACTGGCTAGGTTTCTGATCGCTGTACAGGATAATCGAAGTGTCTAATGCGAAGACGTTCGACGTACCATCGCCGCCTCAGCCAAATGGCGTCGTTACTCCTCCTGAGATGAACGAGCGGAGGTAAATCTGCCGCTTTTACTTTGTCATAGCAAAATCTAATGTATCGCAACTCCTCAGCGTTCTTGCAGGTGTCGACGATATCCTAGAGACGTGTAGAACCTTTTGTTTGCAGAAACTCCGCGCTCATGCTATGGTGAAGTCTGTTCCTGGTGGTATGTTATACTGCACAATATACGCTCTATGTAAATATTGACTGCCTTTAGTATCTGGATTACTGATCACCGGTCGTACGGGAGCAGGGAAGACGTCTATTGTGCAGGCCGTAGCGAAGTCTCTTCAAGAAGACCCTAAAACATATACATGTCAGTTCCATCCGAATCGTAGTTGCCCTTTCACGCTAATTGCCTGGGTCCTGTTAGATATTCATTACATTGACCTATCTCGTTACACCGAGAAACCCATCGCGACATTGAAGGCTCTGTTCAGACACGCGTACGAAAAGGCGGCGTGGCATAAGCCGTCGATCTTGATCATGGATAATTTGGACAAAATCTTAAGCGCAGAGTTAGAGGTCAGTACTCAATTCAATTCGTTTTGCTTATTCTAAATTGCTTTCTGGCGTAGCACGCGGATTCTTTCCGTTCCAGGCATCTGACTGAACTCTTCTTGCACCAATATTCTGCAGCATCCCGGATGGCGACGTCCAACTTCAGAGGCATAGTTCTTATTGCAACTGCTAGCTCCACCACTGGCCTACATCCCCTCATCAGCAAATCCCATATATTTGAAGAAGAGGTTCACGTCAAACCACCTAACAAATTTGCTCGTAGAGATGTGAGATTGTAGTCCGAGACTATATCCCTACTAATCCTGCCCTTGGCACCTTGCAGATTCTCTCCAGAATAGTCGAGGAACGGCTAAAGACCGCAGTCAACTTACGCCAAGATCCCGATGCGATGCTAAACTTCACTTCACTAGCGACCCAAACAGAAGGTTACTCTGCTACTGATTTACAAGACCTGGTGGCAAGAGCCATGCACCGCGTCGCTTTACGCGCAGCAACAGACCCCGACTCGGTAGGCAGAATGATCACCACTGATGCGACACAAGCCTAACCAACAGCCTAAGGTAAAGTTGACGATAGCTGACTTCGAGGCCGCTCAAGTCGACTTTACTCCTTTATCGTTGAGAGACGTGAAGTTGCAGAAGTCTGATGTCCAGTGGTCCGATGTAGGAGGTCAGGCGCACGTCTATCAGTTCTCAACTATAATTATGACAGCGTCATAGGCCTCTATGAAACGAAGCGGGTTCTTAGGGAAACGCTAGAGTGGCCGACGAAGTATGGTCCGATCTTTGCGCAATCCCCTTTGCGTTTGCGATCTGGGTATGTCTTTTCTCACCTTGTTCTCTTTTTTGAGACTAACTCATCGTAGCATCATGTTGTACGGGTTTCCGGGTTGCGGTAAAACACTGTTGGCATCAGCGGTCGCCAAAGAGTGCGGATTGAATTTCATTAGCGTCAAGGGACCCGAGATCTTGAATAAGTATATTGGAGCCAGTGAACAGTCCGTAAGTGATTTAGATCCAAAAAAGGCGTATCTCATTCGTGAAATGCTATATAGGTCCGTGAACTGTTTGAGCGGGCAAGTGCTGCGAAACCTTGTGTCCTTTTCTTCGATGAATTCGACTCTATCGCACCAAAGAGGCAAGGTAGTTCAACCCCTCGCACACGAACTCAATTGATCGCCGTGCTTGCAGGGGTCACGACAGTACGGGTGTGACTGATCGTGTTGTCAACCAGATGCTTACACAAATGGATGGCGCCGAGGGTTTGGACGGCGTTTATGTTCTCGCTGCAACGAGGTCTGTTCCGATTGAGGTGGAGTACCGACGTCGTTGACGCTATTAACGCTACCTCAGCCGTCCCGATATGATCGATTCTGCCTTACTTCGACCTGGTCGGTTAGACAAGTCGCTGCTCTGCAATATGCCCGATGCTAGCGAACGCAAAGACGTACGTGTTTCATTTACGCATACCAGAATAAAACGACTCAGCATTGTCAACAGATTTTGAAGGCAGTCGCAGGGAAGGTTAAGCTTGCTCCCTCAGTCGATCTAGACGAAATTGCGGAGGCCACGGAGGGCTATTCTGGGGCTGACCTGCAAGCTCTACTTTACAACGCCCATCTTGAAGTGGTGCATCAAGCTATTTCCAATCTTCCTGCGGCTGACGTCCCTTCAAATCGAGACGAAGTCCCCATTGAGTACACTATAGTGGGTGGACCGAAAGAAGGCAGCAAGGTCGCTTCAAAGGCCACTGAGATGGCTCTCCAACGGAGAGTGAGTATATTGTGGCCTGCTGTATATCATTAGTGCTGACACTGTCTTTGCTAGTTGCGACAAATACAATCTGCTTCAACCTCTCGAACCAATACGCAACGAGCACCTCCGGCTGCGCCCAAACATGTACGTTCCGTTCGAATTGCTGACATACACCCCTGCTGATTCTTTTCAAGCACGAGATAACGCAAGAACATCTGCGATCAGTTCTCAAAACCTCTAGGCCATCTGTATCGCCCGAAGAGCATCAGCGGCTTGATCGGATGTGAGTATCATTATCACTCGCGCCCTCATAATCAGTCTGATGTCCTTATAGATACAAGGAGTTTATTGGAGATCGTAGTGGTGACCTACCTGTCCCTCCTGACGGGGTAGGTATTGGCAATCGTGTGTCCCTAATGTAGCCAGCAGACAGAGAGAAGAACCCCTCCGTAACTCGGTGGATGGAACAAAATCAAAACGACACGCTTAATATCTACACATTTCCGTTCTGACCTGCCTTCGTCCACTCCTCCAACGCCAACTTCCCTTCCTCGCTGAGTAGCTGGTACGCCTTTCTAATATGCACTTCCTCTGTCCTAGCAGCGCCCACGGCGAACCTAATGCATACCGCGCCGTTCAAGACTGTCTGGGTGAGTAGAATATCTTTACGCGCCGATATACGAGCGTAGTATATTCTGTTCAAGTCGTTGAGAGTCTCTGGCGATAGCGCTTTGGTGCTATTCAGAGAAGCACTCTTGGGGTCCAGTCGGAAGACAGAGAGTGCGAGAGAAGGAGCGGTCATCAAGGAGAGCACCGAAGAGGCGGATACGAGCGACGCAAAGATATTATTTAGGTTAATCGTTCGCCGGATATAATCTCGGAAGCCCTCTGCGCCAAAGCTACGAAGGACGAACCAAAGTTTGAGGGACCTGAATCGTCGTCCGAGAGCGAGGTGCCAGTTTCTGTAGTCAATGACGGTGCCTACTGCAACTCAGACACCTATACACTTCAAAGGTTTCTACTGAATTTGCTTACCTGCGTCGCCCTCAGCAGATCGCAAGAATGGAGGTGTCACGTCAAGAGCGTCTGTCAGGTATTTGCGATCTCTAACCCACAACGTAGAAGCATCGAAGTTAGTAAGTCCCCACTACACATGATAATTTGGTCAGCGCTGGCAAATTGTTGGTATAGGCAACGGAGGTATACTTTGTGGAAGTTTGTGCAGAAGGAATGCGCGTGTTCGTTGATCGCATTCAGGTGGAGTGTTTCGCGATACTCTGGACATGAAAGTGCTACGCCCGCCCAGGCTGCGTCAACATGCACCCAAAGGTCCGGGTAATCTTTCGCTGACCAACCGTTCAACGAACATGTTAAATTAGGGTAGCGAGAGGGACTTACTGACTGCCCCTATCTCCGATACATTATCGATCGCTCCAGACGAGGTTGTTCCAACGGTGGCAACTGGATAATAGTTGTACTTGACTCCATCGGTTCCGGGATGTTTAGATGGCACTCACGCAGGATGAAGGGCTTTTTGCCCTCCCTCTCGTCTCCTTCCAACGCCTTTCGTAGGGTCTCCCCTCGCAAGGAGAATTTATCCTCCCAAGTGACTTCGAGCGCACGGACGGATAAACCGAGGATTAACCCTGCTTTCAGACCCAGTGAATGTGTTTGGGTCGTAGTATAGATAACGAGGGAGGACTGTGTGACAGAGGGATGCCGTCGCTGATAGAGGGACCGTGCGGCAACGACAGCGATCAAAGCAGAATCTGATGCCGTACTCTAAGGAAGGATTGCATTAGAAACTAGGTCCCATGTGCTCTCCTAGCGAAGGTTGGCCTACCTGCATGCTCCCTCCGCCTATGCCAGACGTATTCAGGAATTCTGGGCTCAGACCTAGAAGCTTAGCGGCCCAATCCATCATCACTGCTTCTAATTCAGTGCATGCTGGGCTACAGGCCCACTAGCTCTCCCAATTATTACATTGTTGAGAACAATGCATGTGACGATATACGTACGTTGAATCCGGGGTTCATTGTGCTGGAGGCATAGAGATCTGCGAGCATGCCCTCGAAGGTACATCCTGTGGGGAAGAACGCAAAGAAAGACGGGTGCTGCCAGTGTGTTAAGCCTAGACCAGTGTATTGTGGGGCATGAGCATGAGGCGACCCGAGGAAGAACGGCGAACGTTCGTTTACCCGGGATAATGAATTTCTGATAGTCGTCCGCAATTTTCTGAAAGTCTTCCCCTGCTTCAGGAGCCTCCACTGTCAATAGGATTGTACATTTATCAACTGAAGGTCTCATTACTTTTTGGTGCGACGAAACCATACCTGGCAAGCTATCACGAAGGTAGCCAGGCTTTACGCTGGAGACGACGGATTTGTCCTGCAGCGTATAGTAGTAATCACAGATTCTGTCTATAGCTTGGTAGCCAGCTTTCCTGAACCTGAGTTTATTTAGTATTCGCAGAATCATCCTGCAATGACAGAGGGTATACTAGCACGCACTGCTCGATATCCATTGTAATGTGTGTGGGGGGATTGTTCCTGAAGTCACTGCGCACGACCCGAGAGCTATAAGTAGTCCTGGTCAACCCAATTCAAAGCGGGCAGAAGCCTAATTGAATCGTGTCATCTAAAATCCACCACAACCACGATTTGTCTTGCCTGTGGGGATTTTTCTCAACCACATGGGGGTGTGGTTGCCCAAAGAGACATCGATGTATCATCAATCATTTCCGCAGAAGGCCTCAGTGTCAAGCGATGTGGGTACGCACTGGTTTCTAAGGTCAAACTTCCTCCCTTCTGTGTGATGCACGGATTCAAGGGGAATTTCCGGTAGATATATGAGCCCCTGAGATTATGATAAGATAAGATTCTGGTCGGTGGGGGGGGCGACCCTGTCCCGATAAGGCGCTTGCCGAGGTCGGGCGCGTCCAACTCAATTCAGTTCACGTCCTGGAAGGCTTCCGTGTTGTTCCAATCTTACAGGCCCCCTGGAAAACCCGACAATCGTTGAACAGCAACGCTTAACATGCTCAATTTACCGTTGCAACAGTTCAAGGCTTTCTGTAAGTTCGTTGACCAAGTTTGAGGCAGGGGATTTACCATTGGATGTCTAGCCGAGGACCAGCCGTGGTTATCTCTTTTTTTCTTCGCTGTGGGCTCCCTATCCATCGCGAGAGTCGTGTACCAGTCGGTCGTGGTGTTGTTTCAAACTTTCGTCGTCCCCGGTACAAGCGTGCGTCCACTTGACACTGGAGCATTGTAATTGGAATTCACTTTCCCCCTATAGCTCAATAGATACGGTGCTAGAAAAGGTGCTTGGGCGGTCGTGACAGGCGCCTCTGACGGTATCGGCAAAGAGTTCTCGTTCCAGTTGGCGAAGGCCGGTTTCAACGTGTTGCTCGTGGCGAGAAACCCGGAGTTGTTGAAGAGTACAGCACAAGACATTGGTGCGTGAGGTTATGTCTAAGCTGTTTCTGTGACTGAGTTTCCGTGGGTCATGTCCATAGAGCAGAAATATAGCTCGGTGTCCACTAAGGTCCACTCGATTGATTTCTCGAAGGATGATGAGGCCGCATACTCGGGTTTTGCAGCTGCGTTGAACGGATTGGACATTGGTGTTCTTGGTGCGTCCCCCAGTATATGACTATCTACCCCGCGCATTCTGATATATTGATGCAGTAAATAATGTTGGAAAATCGCATAACATGCCAGCCAACTTTGTGGAGACACCAAGAGACGAAATCAAGGACATTGTTTCTATCAATGTGAACGCGACGCTGCGAGTCACCTATGAAATTCTCCCAGGTATGGTTCAAAGGTACGTCCCTTAGCACCTCCCGACAGACCCCTTGATACCCAATTAAGCACCATAGGAAACGAGGCTTGATCCTCAACATTGGTTCATTCGCAGGCGCCATCCCTTCGCCAATGCTCGCAACCTACTCGGGCACCAAAGCGTTCTTGGCAACATGGACAAGCGCCCTTGCAGAGGAAGTCAAGAAGGACAATGTCACGGTCGAGCATGTAAACACGTACTTTGTAGTAGGTTCTTTCCCCCACACCTGTTATTCGAGGTTTTCACATCTGCTCCAGGTATCCAAACTCTCCAAAATTCGCAAGCCATCCCTCTTCATCCCAACTCCTGCTTCGTATGTCCGTGCGGTGCTTTCCAAGATCGGCCTCGCGTGTGGGGCTGCTTTCGGTCCCATACCCAGCACTTCTACTCCCTTCTGGGCGCATGCACTCATGCATTACGGTATTACTCTGATCAACTCACCCAAGTTGTTCATTGATTACACGCACGGTTTACACAAGGACATCAGGAGGAGGGCGTTGAAAAAGCTGGAACGAGAGGCGAAAGCCCAGTAAAATAGCTGTTTTGTTTAGAACCTCGTGTTTGTCGTATCTTTAGACTCGTATGTTGTTATTTCATGTCGGTATCGTCCATCCTGCATGGCCTTGGTGTGGCCACTTCATTAATTTCGATGAACAACGCGCTGGGCACGTGGCCATTTGATTTGTTTGATCATGTTTCATCTTGAAGCTTGCAACGAGGATGCAGCGTTGCGGTTGTTCTCGACGACGAGTAGATGCGAACGCTGCCGATATAACTCTCTTCTTCTCCCCACGACCACCACTTCAAGTTCTTCACTTTCCCCCGTCTCCGTCGTCACCGTAAACCACCATGAAGCGCAATCCATCGCGAGCACCATCGCCCACACCTACGGCCTACTCAGGTATCTCCAGTTACCGAACGGATTCCTACCGTCCGATCCGAGACCGCAACGTGCCTTCAGTACCGACGATTGATTATCGTATGGTTTCAAAGGTGCACTTTGAAGAACTCTCATCTTATCTTGCCGCATATTTGGCACGGTGTACGTGCCTTCTGTTCGTATGCGTTTTGACTCGTATCTCACTTGACATGGGGTTGTTATCTGATAGCACCTCCGAACTCGCGGTCGAGCGCACGGCAGAAGCTCACGAGGCTGACGATACAGCAGTTCCATGAACTATCAACTGATGTATACGATGAACTTGTTCGACGGAAGAAGGAGAATGAAAGTAAGCTTCACAAATTCTCATGCTAGCCTCCAAACCCACATTTCTACCATACTATCTAAGTTCCTTTCCTTCCTGTCCGAGAAGAATTCCACCCGAAACGCAACCAGGCCCGGCAAAAGTTAGCCACCCTCCCGACCTCGCGCTTCGAAGACCTATCGAGTGATGTGTACTTCGAGCTTGCGAGAAGATACCCGGAGTTCAAAGAAGACGTACGCTTCGTCTAGTATCACTTTGACGTCTGGGAACTGACCCAACCCTTGCAGCCAAGCGGCGAGCCATCCCCAGGCTCAAACTACGATGATTACCCAGCTCCTGACTTCCCTTCAAACCGTCAAGCTCCTCCGAGTGGTCGGACATCCGCGGGACGTACATCTGAGGATCGGGATCGCCCCAGTGACAGCGGATACGGAAGTGTAACAGGGTCTGGTCGACGACCCTCAGAAGATCGACGGAGGCCCAGCGAGTCTGACTTCGCTGTGAATAATTCTGGTCGCCGAAGTGCAGACAACTATGGCCCTGGTAGGTCAAGTGAAGACGGTTATGCCCCCAGCGCATCATCTCGCAGAAAGCCCTCTCAAGACACCACGAGACGATTAGACGATCGCGACTATATGGGTCGGGCTGGATCCTCTAGTGTCAGTGGCGGTAGCGACTCGACAGCCAACGCTCAGAGCGCTACGGCCACCAGCGGGATGATTATACCCCAGAAGAGCACCATGGCTGAAGAAGAGATCAAGGTCCCGTACGGGAGGGACGTCAGAGAGAGCAGTAGTAGCGTGATGGAAGCGCAGGACGGGAGTAGGAACCGAAATCAGGGCGACGGAGGGTTTACAGACCAGGAACCGGATACCGCTAGTGAGTATCCTAGTCCAATGACTCCACATAGTCCACCTGCTGGGTTGAGTGGGCTGAGTGCTCGGCTGATGGGTGTGGATGACGACGACGAGGCGCCAGGGAATAGGAGCGGCGAAGACTACATGGATAGGTATAGTCGAAACTCCACTACTCCAGAACGGGCGGGCAGTAGTGGGGTGGGAGCCATTTCGCGATTGCAGAATGGGAGGGCAAGCGTCACAGAGGATCAAGAGCGGATACGGCGAGATTACGAGTACAAAATCGCTACGATGCAATCGCAGATCACGAACTTGCAGCGGGATTTGGGGGACGCAGGAGAGAAGGAGAAGATGTTCAAAGATGGGGAGTCAAGGGTACAACAGCTGGAGGATGAGTTGGCAACCTTCCGACGGGTGCGTATCCCTTCCTTCTTGTTATCTACAGCTAGGCTTCATGGCCTGGATTTACTAGCGTGCGGAAGAGCAAGGTTCTGCCATGAAAGCTCTTCAGAAGGAACTCGACGAACTTCGTGAGACACGCGCCAGAGAAAAGGAACGCGAGGCCAGACGCGCCCGTGAAGATGAGGAAGAGCTCCAAATTCTTCGTGACCGCTGCGAGAAGTTGGAAGACGAGCGAGTTAACTTCCAGGGCGGTGTGAGTAGCCCATGCCTGTATTATGTCTTCGTACTAATCTTCGAACTACTAAGGCCGATGCCGAGGTTGTCGACCAGCTCCGCTCTGACATGGAGGGACTTCTGACAGAGCTGAATGATCTGTCGAGACGTAACGACGAGTTGATGACCGCCAAGGACGCAGACCTGATAGTAATCCGCGATCTCGACAATCAGCTCAAGGAGTACAAACGCAAGTATGAGCAGGCAAAGACGGAGCTTCGAAGCGTGAAAGGTACGTATCATGCATATTCATATGCCCTGATATCAACTCTGAGGATTTCTAGCCACCTCCCAACTCTACAGTCAAGCGCCCAAACTGGACAAATCGGACGATCAGCTGCCCGTTTCTCCGGAAGGCGGCCTACTCGACATCCATGTCACTGCGTTTGTATCAGCTATCGACAGTCTCTTGGTTGCTGGCCGATCAAACGCGCCCACAAGGGTGCTTACACCTATGAAAGCTATCGTCAATACTGTATCAGCGATCATTGAGGATGTACGTACGTACGAACGGCGCTCGCCGCGGGATCGCGCAGACGTGGATCTTGAAGCCCTGCGCGCTCTCCGTGAACGAGCAGACGCCACCCTTAGCAACCTCACAACGGCAGCAAGGACTCATGCCACAAGCTCTGGGATGTCTCCCGTCAGTTTGCTTGATGCTGCTGCTAGTCACGTATCCGCCACTATAACGGAAATCGGCAAGACGATCCTCATCCGAAAGGCGACCCGGGCAGAGCAGGAGCAATTCTCCCCCTCAGGCTCTTCGGGACCTTCAAGTACTAATGGGTACTCACCCGCGCTACGGTCTGTCGATGAACTACGGAGCTCAGCATCACATACAAGGAAAGCCAGTAGCTCTTCTTCAACCCGAGGCGCAGGCGTCGGTAGTTCACGTCTTGCAGAGTCGCCCTCGAATTTCTCGTTTGACGCCCGAAGACAACCACCATCTGACTACTCAAGCTCGGACACAAATTCCCCTCCACCTATATTCGATCGCCAAACGCGGAGTACAGGCGGGATGGTCAGCGACGATTCCGGCGTTGCTGATGGTGGGGAAGATGCTTGGGCTGAGCTTAAAGTATGACTTCCGTAGTTGCCCTGGCTTACGTCGCTCACGGTCCTTTCCAGCCTTACTTGGAAGCTCAAACTGAGTCCATCGTATACGCCATCCAGAGCGTGCTGTCTGGGGTACGAAGTCCAACACCACCACCAACCCTTAACGAAAACCTAACGCAAATCATCACCATCGTATCGAGCATTGTCGCCGTATGCAACGACAACCTCCCACCAGCAAATGCCCAACAGGGCAATGACATACTACGCGAGCTCAGCGAGCACGCCAACAAACTCAGCGAAGTCCAATCTATGCCTGAGGTCACCAAAGAATCACGACAGATAATGGCGAAATCGAGTTTCGCCATTGCAAACGCTATGAAAGGATTGATGAAGCTATGATAACCGTGCTTGGTTCACGTTTTTCCCCTGACGCTCTTTAAAGTTGGCTACTTTGTGACCGCTACGGTCGGTTCACAATAGTTTACACCAAACATATACACTCCATACCCCTTTGATTAATTATTGCTCATCGCTCGGGTACTTGTTCTCTCTCAGAAAGACAAATCCAGACTCATAATGTCCGCCATTGCGAATCTACAAGACACAAAACGCAAGTCCGTTCTTCTTCACCAAGTTCTTCAGCCGCTGGATATCTTGCTTTCTCGTCGGGTTGTGACTGCCAGTAAAGCCCAGCCGGCGTATGGGCTTCACGCTTCCCCCTCCTTGCGCAGCATTCCGCGAGTCCACCATATCAGCGAGCATCCCCTCAGGCGCAGAGATCAGTAGCTCGAGGTAAAGAGTCTCTAAGTTTGGACATAGGGGGAGGCGATCTTGATTGTGCGTGAGCGCGAGTAGGAGTTTCTCTGAAGCTACTATCTTTCCCCTACCGTCGGAGATACGGAGCTGCGTCAAATGACTGGTGAAGGATAGGCACTCGATGAGTTCGGCTTCGCTGATACCGGTGTAGTCGAAGGACAAGTAATTGAGGGAACAGGCGGATTGCTCCAGGAATGAGAGCAACTGATGCTGTGGCCACGGGACGTTATCAGTGAAACCACAAATAGCTGTGAAGCTTCTGAGATTGGGACACTGGACTGAGTCGAGAAGTGAACCTAATCCCGTATTGAGGTACAGCTGATAGATGCTGAGGGTTTGTAGTTTGGGGAGGAGGAGGCGAGGGACCTTCGAACAATCGCTGGGGGTGACAAAGCCACCCCCAAAATGGCGAAGATCGCACTCGACCAAATTTTTGCACTGGTTGAGGACGTAAAGGAGGTCCCCTAGGCAGATCCACGCATCGAACACCATGTGGGTGAGAGACCCCCACGAGATGTCCATTTTGCACAGAAAGTCATCGAAGCTCCTGTCCCATGAGCTCCACGAGGCGCGATTGCTCCACGTCAGCTTGAGCAAGGAACGCGCGGATTTGAAGATGCGATTGAGGGCGTCCATCTCCTCCTCCTTCCAGTCTTGCAAATCAATTGTGAGGCTGGTCAGGTGGTCTACCCCAGTATCAATGGGAATCGAACGGAGTAATTTGTATGATCCGGGGAGAACTAGTTGGATGTCTCGCCAAAGAGACATCTTGTTGGCGAGGAGATTGAGTATCAAGATAGCCTGTCGGACGAGCTGCAAGGGGACAGGCGGCCACTGATCTAGTCGAAATGCAAAATCGAACGGTAACTCCCCAATCCTATCCACCCATAACTCGACGATTGACAAAGGTGTCGGGCGGCGTTCCAGAATATCTATGCAGAGCGACGTCCACATGTGGGACGTCTGCACTACTAGCATGCGCCATGATGAACAAACATGGGTTAGGAGCAGCGGGGCATCGCCCAACGAGGGCTTTCGATATCGCACGTCCGGGAGGCATTCCTCAAATATCGTCAAGAGGATTTCCGTTGGGACACGGTGAATTGGCGGTGATCTCTGAGAAAGAACATAGGTTGGTTAAGTTCCATAACTTCGTCAACGAACCCACCAATTGACGTTTCATCCTTTCGTAGTGCGTGCTGTAGGTCTGGGGGGGAAGGAGGTCTCGCGAGCAATCCCTCAGGCTGCCTTGGTAGATATAGCTCAGCCTTTCCGGTTTATCTCCGGTAGTCGTCGTTTCGAAAGGTAATTCCGCGTAGCGAGCAGTCCTCGATGACCACATTCCCTCGATGACAACATTTGTGAAGCCAGCAAAGGCGAGGGTGCGCCTAATTTTGGAGTGCCAGGCCTTCCCAGCGACCGCGTGTCCTGTCTAAATTCGAAAGGGCACTCTATCGGATTCTATAAAGCATAAGTGTACACAATTTGGGATTTTAGCAGCTAACTAACTCTCATGTTTTCGGATTTAGAGGCCTTCGAGAAAGACTACCGTTCCAGACTGTAGTGGCTGATTTGGGAAGTAGTGTACACCAGTAGGCGCCGAAAGCCTGGAACCTGAACGGGTGTTTGCTGTCGACTTCCGAGGCAAACACTCTCCATAGCTTGGCCCGCTCGTTCCAGGATCTCTTGTCTGGTTGGCGATTATACAGCTCAAGTGCTCTCGAAAATCCCCAGGAAATCCCCTAGCTTCTTCTCAGTTCTCATTCGCAGACGGTTACTGCTGTCCGTGATGGTACTGGCAGCCCATCAGAGTCTGAAGCTGAAGCCGACCCCGCAAGAGACCTAGAATGTAAATCATACCGTCATACGAAACAAATGTATGGCACACTAGCACTGCAAGTACCAGCGGCGTTAGATACTCCATCATCTGACCAGGCACCATCGCGCATTTCCTGGCGTTTCCCCGCTGTAGTTGCCGTCGCCTCTCGAGATCCGTACCTGGAAGCGATCCTTACATCTATGCCACCTAGTCCCCGCCTCGTCTTGAGACTGGGTGGAAGGTATGCAGTTTCGACCACGGGCTACGTTCACCGCGAACGCTTGCCAAGACATGATCAGCAGGTGCCTAGTTGACCAGGGTTGTCGTTGGATGAGTCCCGACGCTAGCTTAAATATTGTGCACCGAGGTCTAAGAGCTGTAAGGAAAATTCCTCTTAACAACGATGCGTCTCTCTCAATGCCTGCCTCTGCTCAGCGCATACGGCGTCTTTGGCAGTCGAATCTACAACATCGTCAATAACTGCCCTCTGAGCATCAACCTCTTCATCAATGGTCAATCGGAGGGATCATTGGCGTCATACGGCGGGACCACCAGCAGAACAGTCTCTGATACATGGAGCGGTTTCATCTACACCGATTTCAATCGAGGCAACCAGGACGGAGCGGGGACCGTGCGTGCAGGGTTCTTTGGAGATGTAAGTTCTCGATAGACACTCAGCGTCCATGTGATGAATAACTCAAATACTTTATTAGAGTAACTACTACTATATCGTCAAAGATGTGAACTGGCTGAACGTAGGAGTCTCGATTGCTCCGATCGACCGAGCGCCTGTAAGCCATCATCTCTCTTAGGGCAGGTATGATTCTTGACAATAACTTCTCACAGAAAGGTGGCTTGTGCCTCCACGCTACATGCGAGGTCTTCAATTGTCCCGATGCTTTCTCCCAACCCCCAACTGCCTTCCCTCCCCCTCAATCCGGTGTTCCTCCTCAAACACCCTTATACGAGTGCCCGCAAGCCGGAACGGGGTACACCGTAACGTAAGTAAAAATAACCCACAGAACCTTGCACGCGAGCCTAATTAGACCCACCATACCACCTTACATTTAGTTTCTGCCCATCCGGAGAAGTCCCGAATTATCAGACGGGGCCAAATCATATTTCGACGTACAGGAGTGTCAACAAATGCTTAGACGTGCCATATCTCGGCAATGGTGCACCTGTACGAATGTACGGTCTTGCATTCCACATTAACGAGTTTTCTCTTATTTAACATTTGTTTGTCTAGTTACGACTGCAGTTCTCCTAATGGAGGGATCCAGAGATGGGCTATCAAACGCGGTGGACAGCAAATCAAACTCTCTGGTACCACCTATTGTCTCGATGCTGGCTCCAGTGCGTCCATTTGTGTGTGTATCAATAGCCAAAGCCTCATATCGGTTGTTGTGTAGGTCCAGCGAGTGGCATTGGAGCAAAAATATGGACATGTTACGACAATCTTCCCGCGCAGCAATGGACCTACACCCCAGACGACTACATCCGCTTAACTGGCACAAGTATGTTGTTCTATCTTTGACACTTCCTCCATCAGCATTCGACGGCTGTGCTTACTGTCCTTTCTACAGGCCAATGTCTCGATTTGACGGACGGCGATCTTACGAATGGACGGCAAGCGCAAACTTGGGAATGCGCAGGCAATAATCAGAATCAGTTATGGAGGATTTGAGGGGTGTGGATTTGATACTTTTGTTTTCTACTTTTATGGACACTACGAGCTCTGATGGACTGGTCATTTACATGGACCTAACGATTGATGTTGATGACTTCGTTGGTTTTGTTATTGTTGGGAGATTGGAACAATTTTCTAGATGTACATAGACGATGTAAGTAGCTGATGAGAATGGTCTCAACGACGTGGGAAGCATGTCTTTAATTCACCAGTAGCGTACGGGTGCTAAAACCCTCGATAAGTATGTCGCGTCATAATACACTGAAGGACCCGGTCAATAATATCAATCTGTTGATACACTGCTAAGTCCGATAGAAAAGTCTTGTACAATGATGCTGGAAGTTAAGTCAAGAAAGCATGGCCGAATGCAACGAAGGATGACAGGAATGACAACAAGATGCAGCAAGAAGGGAGCGAATGCAGTTTACAACAACAACAAATGGAAGCTAATGTAGCGACAGACAGACAATGAGAAAAGGAACGACGACGTGTATAAGTACATGCGAACAATAAAAAGGGATGATCCTGGTCCGGAGGCCACTACTTTCCTTTCAGACCTTGGATAAGTGATTTGATACCACCGAAACGTTTAGTGGGTGGTACCGGCGGCTGTGGATGAGGGGCAGTAAAGCCCATCTTCGTCAACTTGGTAGCGCGAGCGATATCTCTGGGTTGATCGCGTCGAGTGCGGGGAGTGAAGCCGATGCTCGATGTCGAAGGACAGTCCCCATCAGTATCATTGACTTCCAACGAACTAGTCCGACTGAGGTCTTCAGAGTATAACATTGGGGAAGGTGTATACGGTGCCGATTTAGGCTGGCTACCCTCCACGGTCGGCTGTAAGTCATCGGAAGACGAACCAGGAGGTTGACGAGGATGAGGGGTAGTAGGAGAGTCGAGTTCAGCATCGATTGAGAGTGCTCTTGGCCGAATGTCGATGATTGATGCGGATTGCGAGGATTGGTGGGTCTTGGTCGTGAATAGATTCCTAGCGGTCTCGGGAGTTCCGCTACTGGTATGCGGTCGTCGAGGTTGCTTCTGGGTAACTCGGGACCCTTGTCGCCTCGGCCGATGCTCTAAGCTATATTGGCGGTGAACATTTACAGGCGCGGACCTTGTGGGTTCATTCAAAACGTCCTGAGAAGTATACGTGGAGGAAGGTGGTGAAGATTGGCTAGACCCGGTAGAGGGTGCACTCGTGGCCTCTTTCATTTGCTCTTCCTTTTGCTTCTGTTCCCTGAGTTTACGTTCTAAAGCCAAACTTTCCCCATACTTTGCTAATTTAGCACTGAGGGGAGTGTACCCTGTACTGCTTGTACTCAACCCTCCGGACTCTAAGATCTCGTTCTCCATTTCCAGGATGTCTCGTTGTGCTTTCTGAACGAGAGCCTCGGCCTGGGCGTGAGTCGAGATGGACGAGATGTTGATATCCATGGGGGTACGAGTGCGACGGTGGCCGAAGCCATTCGCGCCTGGAGTGTCTTTCTCGGCAGGAGGAACATTAACGGCAATTTTTACCGTGGGTTCTAGTCCATCCACTTCCTCCACATATACAACAGGCTCATTCAACGTGCCCTCTAAAGCGTTCGTCGTTGACGATGATATGGCAGGCAAAGCGCCTTGAGAGCTGACACCAGTGCTTGCGCTACTGACAGAGTCACCACGGGTCCGGTTGCCCTCGTCGTCATCACCTGAAGGAACGCGTAAACGGCGAAGATCAGTGGGGTCATCGGCGGGCGGAGGGGTACGTCCTTCTGAAGCATCAATGAGGGGGAGAAGCGGCGGTTGGTTGAGACTGAAGGGGAATTGAGTGTGAGTGCCATGATCTTCACCTGTCAGCAACTGTTCTTGACCCATGTCACCGTCTACCGGCGAGTACGAGCCATCTGAGGAACTGGTGAACGACAATCCGCGTAGTCTGGATGGTACTGCGCTCTCAACGACCTCCAAGTCAAGTAACGGCTTAGGAAGGGAGGGTTCTGCCAAAACTTCGCCATAATCATCTTCAAGTTCCTCTTGTTCGACGTTGGGGGCAATCGGGAAACTGGAAACGGCGATTGGCGCTGATTGTTCCGTTTGGGTAGGTGCTACTACGCGGGACAGAGAACTGGTGCTGGTGCTGCCACGCAATGTACTATCAACCGCGGACACAACGGGAATATTGTCTGGGCGACGGGTGGCGCCTACGGAATCAAACCTGAGGGACCGACCGCTCCCCACGCCACTGGTACCGCTCGATGTTCTGTTATGTCCTCTCAGAATCCCTGGACCTGGCGGACGAACGGGGGCCCGAGAATACATGGATTCAATGGCCGGAACGGTAACGTCGTCATCAAAGACAGCCCCGCTCCTGTTGCGAGAGCGACTGATGGAGCTGCCGCTTCCGGAGCGATCCCTTGGCGAAGCAGTTCCTGCACGAAGAACACCCATTCGCGGCATATCTGCAGGCGGCGACGAAGAAAGAATATCTGCCACTTGAGGTGAAGAGGGGAGAGAGAAATCATCTGGACTGGGGCTGATATCGTCGTCCGATAGCAGGGGTGGTGATAACTCGGGGGCTCCGCTACGTACCGATGCTGAACGGTTTCTGAGGTGTTCCAGATGTTGACGCCTAGGAGATGTTGAAAGAGACTGTTGTGAGGCATAGTGCTGTTGAGCCATGGCATGATGCAATTCTACTGCTGATGGACCGTGGTGTCTATAGACTTGATGAAGACCTTGATGTGGCGGAGACTGTGATTGAGTACTGGAGATCTTGCGATTGCGAGTAGCGATGGGTATTGAATTCGAGCTAGGCGAGCTACTGCCTGTGCGAAATCCTGGAGACTTGTTGATCAACGAAGACGAACTAGTATCATTTGAAATGGTTGGAAGGTGTTGATGATGGGAAGTAGGCGACAGGGATGGGTTGAATAAAGAACTGTAGGTAGACACCGAGCTAGGCGCCACCGAGGAGCTAAGGCTGGGTCTATGGGTGGAAGAGGAGTCGGAGGGAACTTCGCTACTTTGATACTGGCCCTTCTTGAAGAGATTCATGAGAGAGTATTTCGACCCGAGCCTCCTACATGCAGGGGGCGGAGAGTTGGCGGAGTCAACTCTATCAGCATCGCTGCCAGCAGATCCAGGTCGCCTAGGACTTGGTGACGCTGTCGATTGACGTGGCAATGACTTGAAAGAAGTAAGAGATGCTGCAGAAAGAGTATGTTGAGCACTCAGAAGAATATGATCAACCTTGTGGAGCTCACGATTACCAGATGAAAGTGGATTCAGAACGTGAGGCAAGGAAGGTCGGCGCTTGGATGGATCGGCAGGGTCGATGCCATCGTCCGCAGGGGTTATGGGATAGAATGTATACTCGCCAAAAGATCGAGTAGGCGATGCCGGTGGGGTATGAAAAGTTGAGCCAACTCGTATATTTGGTTTCGATGACGAGGATTTGAGGGTGTGCAGACGAAGGTGAGCATCAGAAGCTGACCCTTTCAACATGTGGAACGCAGTGTCGATGGACTTCTTCACGTGTAGACGCTTTCGGCCAGAGGTAGATGCCTCATGAGGGTCTACACGTCCTACAACGGCTTCATCTGCACTTGGCTGATAGCCGGATATCCTCCCCTCCCTTTCTCGGAGGTCTCTGTCCTTGTTCTGCGCCCAATCTCGTAGCAAATCAGCGCACTCTAGCCATCCTTGGCGACGTGCTAATTGCTCTGGTGTGACCCCATGCTTGTCTGCTAGGTCGGGGTGAGCCCCCCTCTGCAAAAGTATCCTCACGATCTCGGTGTTGCCGTTCGCAGAGGCGAAGTGGAGTGGGGTAGCACCAGTGTCACCGACGATAGGGGCAGATGCATCTCGTCCCTTTTCGTTGGAGTAGCGTCTCGGAAGCCTGCAGAGAAGAGTACAGTGAGCATGAGTTCGGGCAGGAAAGGGAGGTGGCGTTAAAGTCAGTGGCGCATAGGTACAGCAAATGATACGATATATGAATTAAAGCGACGATGCTCACCTTGGGGCATTCACATCCGCACCGTAGTCAATCAAGAGCCTGACCACCTGCTCATTCCCACCAGCAGCCGCTGCATGTAGCGGTTGAACGCCATCCAGCACTGAATTGATTGGTTGTCGACGGTGGAGTGCGAATTCCACCAATCCTATGTCACCGTTGGCTGCACCAGCATGGAGATTGTAATTGGTGACTATGTAGTGCGAATTGAGCAGACCGTTGAGGAGCATAGAAGACAATGGATCTTACACTCAGTGGTAACATTGTATTTGGCCTCTGCTTTTTGGATTGTTGTCCGCAGAGGGACAGGCATATTGGTTTCCTATCCCAAGGAGGGACTCTCGTTCGGTACAACGACCAGCAACCAAGAAGGTCGCAGGTGATGATGTGGGGGCAGATGGTGCCAAGCTGGCGAACTCGGTTATGGGGCTGTTGTCTGCTTAAAGGCAGTGATGATAACTACCCCTCCAAATTAGGCGTGGGGGCGTGCTCGTTGTCGGGATCGTCGACGGCGGGCAGACAAAAGCTTGCTCGAGGGCGGCGGCGACGACGAGCGGAAAGGTGAAGGAGTTAGGGATGCAATTGTGCAAGGTTAAGAGGCTTCGCCGGTGCGATGAAGCCAAGGGTGGATTACGTAATACCAGGGATTTATTCATCTCCGTCTATCTCGGTTCCTCGCTTGAGTGGTTTATTGTTGTACCATCAGGAAATATTTTCTTCGAAACGACCATTATTCTTCGCCACTGGATCATTTCGAGGCTGATCAACACTGCTAACGGCACACGGCTTGATACCTCTGATTCAACTATTCATTGGGTCGTCTGCTACTGGCTAGTGATTGCAACAACCAATCCATCGACTTCCAGGACGGTTGAAACAATCTGACAATGATTTGCTACTGTACTTGACACGGTGAATATTTATGTTATCATCCCCAGGCTTGTCACCCTCGCCATCTTGCTGATGGACCCCGGTTTCATCTATTCATAGACTTGCATCCAGTAGCAGTAGGTCCCTGGTCTGTGGATATCGCGGGCATGTGCACCCTACCCACGACCCATGCATTGCTACGGGCTTTTGTCTAAATTTGCGAACAGGTCTAAATCGGTCCAAAGGGTTGAGCGTACTGTGGCTCGCAATCTTCAGCCTCGTCCAGATCGACTACCCATATCAGCTCCCATCGTTCTCGCGCCCTAGTTGCCGAGAGTGGGAATAGCTCCCGAGCAGTGCGTTGCATAACAGTCGGGGTTTACGAGCCCGAGCATCTCATCACCGTTTCCGAGCGCCCAGATTGACCTCAATGAATTCGAATCCGGTAATATTGCCGCATCGTACCGTAGGTTCTCGCGCTTCAGACAAGCCCATGCTTATCCAGTAGCTTGCCGCTTACTATTTACCATGGAATAGAATGCGCTCAATGTCCGCCTCTAGCGCAATCACTAATCACCACAGCAACGAGACGCAGTACAGCAACAATAAGTAAATATGCACTAAATCACCAAGATAGGACGACCTGTTGCGACACCTCAGTCTCCATCGGACATATAACACCGGGGCTGTATACGTGCGATGGTCATGTCATCCTCTGCGTCACACCCAAAAACCTAAGCAATCGTGGATCAGAGGATCAGAGGTGTGTACCTCGCTGTGCCTGCTTCTTACAGCGGACGTCGGAGTGCTGTCCAGCACACATCGCAATGCAGGTACGCCGTTTATCCCCAACATCTAACAACCAGATCAAGAATGTATTCTTTCGCGAACGCGTAGTACTGGCAATTTTGGAAGACAGGGGCACCCCTGAGGCCTGAAGCTGAAGCTTTGAAGGCCTAACAGTTCGAACTTTTCAGCCTCGGTCTCAGGTTAGGCAACCAAGTGCCAGGTCCCATCGTCAATCACAGACGCGCGGACAACGGAATCCAACTGGTAGGATAACGCGCATGCTACATTTAGTTTCATCTCTTCCTCGGACACGTGTCGGTGATTTGGTGAACTCTGTCCTATATATCTTTACCACCGCGACAGCTCAATCCGGCCATCGCAGTCACCAGTGCAGTCGCACGAATCACTTTGGAGAAATCATGAAAGCCCATCGCGTTCTCTATTACTTGACACCGGCCAAGTCGTCACCTGGCCGAGCAACTATATTTAGGGACTGCTGTTCATACTTGTCCCCAATTCAAGACAATTCGGCGCTCTGGACGCCAGTCATCTCCCTTACGGTTGGATCGTAATGTTTAACCGGTAACGGGCTTGGACCAATGTTCCGGTGAACGGAGAAGTAGTCCAGCGAGCAGCCACCATCGGCGAAAGGCCACCAAGCCCTCTCACGAACCACAGTTCACCCACAAGTCCTCGGTGACGACTTAGAAAGGGAGCATCACGCCAAGGTCTGACCTTCACCCAAACTGAATCCGGCGCTGACTGATCACTGGTCTTGCGTCAACAGTTGCACTGCGCGTTGAAGAAATTGATGAATGCGACTGTCTTCAAGTTGGTCAGGAACACAGAGCCATATCTCAGTTGCCTCTCGGCGAAACTTGACTCTCAGGAGAGAGTATTCACTCCGCCTCGGCCTCCGTATTATCGGCGTTACTGTTTCACTGCGCCTCACAAACTCTGGACCTGGTCCCAGGTCGCCTGTCATCTGTGGCGCTGAGTACCACTATTTAGATAAGCCCGCAAGAGATATGGTATTATGGTGGATTTCTCTTCTATTCATTTCACTTCTAGAACGACTAGCCTACATGTCCATGATAATAATATGATAAACCCTTGAAAAATACTAACTGTGTATATCGACGATCTTGGCCAGCCAGTCACTGTCACGAATGTATTGACTTGGACTTATCACTTATCAACCCCCCGTTCGAACGAATGATGATGAACATCCAAGAAGCTCCTGACTGAGGGCATCTCCATTAATGTGGCTGGATATGACTTAAGGAGGCCCCTGTCATTGGGGCGCTTTCGAGGCGCGCCCGGCGCCGCGAATGTCATTTATACACATATATGGCTTCTAGCGTCGACTCGCCCAGTCAACATCAAGGGAGTGTCAATCGAGGGTTGGCATAGTACACAGTGAAATACAGTTACACTAGAATAAAATACAGGATACTGACGGCCGTGCTTGTTAGCATCAGAAATGCATCGCTACTGCCGTGACCCAGAAAAGGAGAGCTATCTGATGGCGTACTAATATACAATTGCGTTGTTAACATCAATGCTGGCGGCCTGACGCGATGTGAGTTTAACGCCCGGTGATTCTTGACCGACAAAGCACTCACGGGCGACATATCCCCTCGCCTCCACCCTTGTTCTCTCCCAAGGACTCTCAACGACTCCAACGCAAGGCCCATGATATCTGCCCTCTTCCCAGTCAACGCAGCAGCAATACTCCTCATCATGGCCACCGCCTTGTCGAACGCCTCTTCCGCACCTTGAGGTCTCTTCTCAGGCTCCGTCAAGGTCATTGCAACGACAACGGTCACCGCCGCATCGTACAGAGTAAACACCCCCTCGAAACACCAACTATCTTTCACGGGAACTTCATCGACTGATATTTGCCCGTTGCGAGCCAGAAGTACGCGATGATAGGCTGCCATCTGGTGGTAAATCATTTCTATGGCGACTTCGATGCAGACGTCGCGGCTTCGGCTTCGCCATTTATTGAGTGAGATGGCTTCGGGGGTCCTCGGAGGGCCAACTTGGGTAAGGAAGGATCGGTGCAGCTTGATACGACTCGTGAGGTACCAAGTTCTCATTGAGAACCGGTGATTGCGCAATATTCGATTATGCTCTGCCGTCCCTGTAGATGGATCCACCGTAAAGAAAGGGGAATCGTGAAGGTAAGTAGCCCAGTTGGCACGCCACAGCTTGATTTCTTCGTCGAACTGGAAGACATCCTCCCCTGTCGGGTAGGCCACGCTCAAGCACTATTCAATCGAAGTAAGAGACCAATTTTAAAACGGAACGGAAGGCCTTACCTTTTCGACCGCCTTCTCAAGGATGGCAGAAAGCTTTACCAGCTCCAACTGATATGTGATGAACAACTGATCGGTCAGAGACATCTTCGTATCCACCACGGGTAACTGGACATCAAATGAGCTTGGTTGGATCATCGGTGGCCTTGATAGGGTAAAAGAGTATAAGCTGGACAAAGGGTGATAAGTAAATCGGCAGGTAACACGTACATGGAAGTCACTTACATGTCCCATTGCCTCAAACCCCACCACGCCCTAGTCCTAAGCATCCGCTCATTTTCTGACATCGTGTGCCATTGCCTCCATGAAGGATCGCGATGCATCCCAACGGCTTGCGCACTCCGTATGCTATTCCCTATCAACTTCCACGCTTCACTGATACGCTTCCGCTCCGCAAGGAAATAGGCTAGTATCGGTGCAGCAAGACAGCCTAACGTGGTACCATCTGCAGCACTCTCCAATGGTGCGAACGCGGGCACAGAAAGATATGTATCCTCCGCGACGCGGCGTGCCATCATCCCGTACGTGAAGAACGCTTCCGCTTGGGTATCTGCGGCAGCGCTAATAGCACTTTGTGGGCATATGGCAAGGATCGCGAAAAGAAGCGACAGCCAGTTTGGGTTAACTTGCAAGCCAGCGCCATACGGGAAGTTAAGCGCTGTCCACATCTGCTCATATGCAGAGTAAAACCAGTCTTCCGATATCCCGTATCTCCTGAAATGTGTATGTGTGAACGATGTTACGGCCCGTGACTTGAAGTAGTTCGGCACTTACCAATTGGTCCTAGCGAAGAAGGTTTTTATAAGGGTGTCTGTGACTGCGCGCAGAGGAATACTGGAGACTAAATGTTCAACGGTATTAAAGAATACCGGTGGCATGAGTTCGTTCACAGACTGTCGATATGGCCCGACGGCATCTGTGGATTTAGCATAGGGAAACGAAGACCCATCGGGTGATCCAAGCTAAAGGGGAATAACCGTCTATAAGTATACGGCAAGATAACAACGTTACTACTCACCATATGTAGGGCGCAGAAAGCACTCCCCCTTCCAATGTACTCCCCATGGTGTCCTATAGATACTAACGCTAACGCTGCTGACATGATGTACGCGTCCCTCTTCACTGGTATCAGCGCGCTTGTCTCCCCATTCGTACTGAGCACCCTATGACTTTCGTTGTTGTCCGGAGACTCAGACGCTTCGGTTTCAACTTCAACCGTGCGGGGAGAACGCGTATTCATTTTCATTTCTGCGATGGTCTGCTCTAATGCGGCAATTCGCGCCAACATCTCTGCTGCGCTTGGTTCCCCTGATTTTTCGGACTCGCAAGCGACCGCTGTGTGTGACTCGGCGCCCATGCCTACATTCGGAGGCCGCTGCGGGGCAGGACGAGCAACGGGAACCTTCTCCCATCGACAAAGGTGGGAAACACCTCTGGACACACACAGTCCACAAGGTTGGTTCCTATCACATTTCTAGCGGAGGAAGTTGGTCAGGTGAGCGGCTAAGTAGTACAAACAAGACTCACCTGTCTGCGCCTGGTGCACTCCAAGCAACTTAATCGCAAACGATTTCTCGTTCGCTTCTGCTTGCCTGACACGTTGGGCTCATGAACTGTTGAGTCTGGGGACATTTGTGTCAGATTCGGAAACGTTGCTGACCGGTTATCTACTCACAAGCGCTTACCGGCAATATGCAAACCACGGTTGGTTCACCTGAGTCAGCTACGGTGATCTAAAGTACTTGTTAAACGCCTAGCATCCGTTTACCGCCCTGCCACGCTGCGTAGCTTACAGCTGTCATAGGTACTATCTTCAAGTAACCTACACTAAGGCCTACGAAGAACCCCTTCAACCCTTGAGAGCGCCATATCAAGCCAACCGTCTCCCCCCAGCGAAGCCATCGGTCAGGTTGCGTCACACCTCCCACCTGCATCCTGCGTCGCACAACTTCGAAAGGATAAGATGCGGTTTGCGCGACAGCTCCAGAGACAGCTCCGATCGCCAAGTCTCCGACGGGGTTGGGGATAATACGGCCGTGTTCATCAGCAGGCAAGAAGCGGGCCCTCAATCCTCCCCAACTCAAAAACGACACTCCTGCGTAGGGTATCATCCCAACAACGGTGACGGTAAACCCTCTATAGTATTTCAACACTGGGAAACGATGCAGATAGTTCTGGGTATTCAGTGATGTCGCGGATTCAGTGTATATCTGGCGGGCGGCACGGACAAAAGAGGGCCGGAGCGGGGATGTCTTATCCATAGACTTTGTGTGGAACGCCATTCGAATGCGAATAATTTCCAAGGGATAGGTAAAGAATACAGAGATAATTCCTGTCGTCGATGTCATTGATTGTAAGGTACTACACAGTCAACTCAACGCACCGGATATTGCTCCTGCAGCGAATCTTCGAGCACTGGTTTCTGATTGCGTCGTAGGCATTAACATCTGGTTGGGAAGTTGAGTATTGCATCTTATGAGGCATTGATTATGTTTACTGACGTAGTGGACCTGGTCGTATGCCATGAATTTGATGGCCGCGTACGGAAACACGCGTAGTAAGGTTGCAGAGTGTCCTTGTAGCAGTCCTCGAACACCGTTATCTTTGTATATCTCATTCGCTGCCCGGAATATTCCGCTCCATGATCCTGGAATGCCTCAGCTAAGTCCTTACCCACAACCCTCCGCTCGTGCGACTCACCTGCGTACTTCTGGAAATCCGGGTTCGACGCCTGGAAGAGAATCTTGACTCTGTCAAGAGGCGCGACAACCGTCTTAGCCTAGCATCAAAACGTTTCAAGCGTTCGTTGTGCGCACTAAACAAGGAACGCACCAAGCATCCAGCGACTCCGCCTGCCAATCCCGAACGGACGATAAAGTGGAGGCTCGTTGTGTCCTGACTGGAGACATTTGAAGTCATAAATATTCGAGTACTTTCATGCACTCTGCCACCGTGGAATTCGCCTTGCTGGGATCCGTGTGGGGTCGGGGGAGAGTAGAGTGAGAGAAAGACCAATGAGAGGCTTGCTGATAATTTAGAGTAAGCACCTTCCGAGTGCCTGCGAATCAAATAGAAGCAAATAAGCGTTAAGATCGACCCTGCACCCGTTGCAGCAAGTTACTTCTTGATTCCTTCTGATCCATCATGGCCAGCAAACCCAAAACTGATGTCAAGGTCCTGAAAGGCCAAGAAGGTACGTTTTGGCTCTACGGAACTTTATGAACTTCTCTCTCAGAATTTCAGCCGAGGACAAGATCCTTGAGTACATGAAACGGGTGAATTCCTTCCATCATCGCGACGCGTTCAGACAGAATTCAAAGATGTCAGATGAACAGACCATTTGGAGCAGTAGACGTCGCCGCAAATCTCAAAGGAGCCGTTGCGAAGGTACCCTCAGTTTTCCCTCATATATGCTTGACTTTTACTATGGTGGCTTTAGACAGTGACACAGAAACTTCTAGTGTCTCTGGCTGAGAAGGGTGAACTAGTGCAGAAGCTATATGGTAAGACGCGTCATATGTGCATATATGGACTTATAACGGTGTATAGGGAAGACTACCTTCTTTGTCGCCAACCAAGCGAACATCACCTCAGTTCCTGACGAGGAAATAGCGACTTTAGAGGCCGAACGCAAACAAGTCGAAGAAGAAAACAGCCTCAAGGCAGCTGAAGCGAAGGCTCTCATAAACGGTCGGGTTCACACTTCGGCATTTCTCTGATTCGTGGATACTCACCCAACGCGGATTGTCACCCAGAGCTTGCTCGCCTAAAATCTACTCCAACTAACGACGAACTCGATACTCAAATCGCGGACACAAAGGCGGCTGTGAGTCAATTCCAAGAGCCCTCAGCAGCCGCCATAACTTCGAATACAGATTGCAAAGGCTCTGGCTCGACTGCAGCCCCTTCGAGGAGGAGCGACGTTAGTCTCTGCCGATGACATCGCCCAAATCGACACAGAATGGGTAAAATGGAGAGCCGAGTGGACACGACGCCGAAAGATATTCACTTCGTACGTTTGAAGACGCCATGCACTCTTCTTCACTCGCTCTTCTGCTCACAGTGCTTCCGCTCGTCTCCACTCCTGGACTCGTAGGTTCTGGCAACTTGCTACCGATGCCCTCCCACCGCAGGACGCAAGTGCTCTGGCGGAAGACCTTGGGATCGAATTTGATACATCGGAGCATCAGGCGCTAGAGCGATCCCATATATGCACGGCCAATCCACTCAAACGGAAGCGATAGAAGCTTGACGCTCAACGGCCCGGGTTCATTTGCTTGATGCTTCGCTTTGCTCTATATGTTAGTTTCGCTGATGTAACTTGGGCACTCACCACCAACACGCAACACTCTTAAGCGTCGTTTTATGAGAGCCTGCTAAGATGATGGCGCAACGGTACTTGGTTGTTGGCTCGTTGCATTATTATATTTGGATGTATTACTGTCTGGGATAATATGGCGGAGAGTCTTGTGGACGCGAGGTTTTTGGGTGCAACGTACGACAAGGGATGCTGTCGGGGAAGAGGGGAGAGACTACGCCTTTGTTTTGACTGGCCCAAATCGTAACCGGGAGGGGTCTGCCTTCATGATTTCCTCGTCGGTGATAGCCTCCAACCTCGAAAGCTCCCTTCGAGTATACCCCACAAGATCAAGCATAAGTTCCGGATACTTCACGTACTTGTCCGATTCTTGTGGTGGGAAATCATGCACGCCCGAACCATCATCCTGCGTCTCTTCCTTCTCAAAGTCTACCTTTGACACATTGACGACTTCTCCCCCCACTAGGTTGACAGTGCGCCTGAACTGAGCCTTCGAGGATTCCAAGGAGATCCCTCGAGCACCGCGAGCACCCAGCAAATTCCGCCACATCGCAGCCGCGAGCTCCTCGTCCCCTTTCACAATCCCCAGATCTAACGCCAGCCCCATCCCCTGCCACTGCTCCTTGAAAATCTTCATCTGCCTCATAACAATGCGATCGGGCGCGCGGCTCGGCGCTTTTTGCCGAGTCTTTGAGTTGGGGTCGGGCGGAGGGGGTGCGTTCGGGTTCGTGTAAAAGTCGGATTTGAAAGTGTACGGGGTAGGAGGTTGGAGGCGGGGTTGGAGAACGGCCCGGATGCGGTCTTCTATGTCGATGAAGAAGTGGTCCAGCAGGCCTTGCACGCAGGCCTTCCCATGAGGTTGTGGAAGTGCACGGAGGCGGGCAGTGAGAAGCCAAACATGAAGGTTCGTTATGGTAAACCATGATTGGAAAGTCGGTGGCAGATAGCAATCTGTAAGAGTGTATATATGGTAAGAAACCCAGGGATCAATGCGCACCACTCACCATTTTGCCAGAATGCACTCTCCTCGTCGGGCCTCACGGCACACAACTGTTTGTAAAGAACGAAGGTTCGCCTACCGGCGATTTGTTCAGGACTCCCATATCCTAATATTCTACCCAGGCCTCTCAATACAGACAAAGCCGCAGGCGAGCCTTGGAGTTTACGCGTCAACCATGCTTTTTGTCGCTTCGGCGGCGTTGAGGGCGGCGGGGAAGTTGGTGGAGCGGAAGCAGCGAGGGTGATTTTGGGAGGTTGCGTGGCCAGACGCCGTACGCATTGCCTTGTCGCTAGAACACGGAGAGCTGACCGGGGTATCATGGCAGATTTGGAGAGTGAGCACGTCGTCCCGGCAAACAACGAGCCTTCGACCACGTGATTCGTAGGGCGCGTCACGATCGCCTTACTTATTCCTTCTCAAGTTTGGCACGGTAACTGAACCTTTCTCGTCTCCAGATGCCACACTAGGCCAGCTCATAGGCCCACGATCAGTTGCTGTCAGCATGCTCACGAAACAGGCTTCGACCCGAGTCTGTTACGGCGGTTGCACTGGTGTCGGAATTTCAACTTTTTATGTTATACTCCAAAGCGTGCGTGCAGTGCACTTCGAAGGACTTGGTACTGTACCCCATTCCATGTGCACCTCTTCTTTCTGGCTAAAGCAGGCGGCATGGTAACCTCATTTCCGGTTGTCTCGACATTCGCGATCTCCAGCACGTTGAAAGCATAACTCTACCGTGGCTCGAGTGACCGATGCTCTCGATATATGTCCGGAAATGCGATATGGCTTTCATACAGTTGGCCGAGCCATTCTCTGGTCATTTCCAGCACTCCTTCCAGTGAGGATCCAAGAGTTTACCGTTTGATGACAGTCAATCTAACTCCTAGATAATATTTATAAGTTAGGAACAGCTCTCGTGGGTTTACACGCGACCAGAGACAACGAATGGGGCCGGTTGAATCCGGCCTGCCGAAGATGGTCAAAACTCAGCCTCAGCTGATGTGCCTGGTAGAGGTACTCGCAGGAGTTCGTCTCCCTAATCTACATACACCCTTCTAGCCCGGATAATCAGCCTTCAGAAGTACGTACGATGCCCAACTGCTGGGCCCTGCTACTCACGGCATCGTCGCCATTGGGCAGATATCAATGATCCATTCAGCGACCTTGAGAGTTGCATCTATTTCCGTTTCTCGGGGACTACGTTTCTCCTGCAAAGGCAACCAATATTCCAGGAAGTCGCGGCTGACATGTGTAGATGAGACTGATAACGATTATACAACCGTGCGTTTTGGTCGTTCTGCACCTCGAGGCGTCGCTAATAAATACATACTGGCAGTTTGATTCCGAGAGTTCAGGATTATGGACGCCCCCATTCATTGGCGGGCGTATACGGGTGCGCAATCAGCACCAGAACCCAGACGCCATGGAGTTTTGACGGGCTTCGGACTTGGTGAGAGGTAAGGTTCTGTCAACGGTGAGTACATATTGCAAGACTCGTGCCAAGGGATGGTAATTATATACCACGCTAAGTAAGTAGGTGCTTGAGAACCCATGTTCGCTGCAAGGTTCTTACCGTCGGACCACAGAGCCCCCCTGTGTACGATAGTCTCGCTTCGTCTGCTTCCAGAAGAATCCAATCGCGAATGTTCGAAAGCTTTATATTCGCGTATCGCGGGGTGACGTGAACGAGCAAACCTACTTTGACTTGACATTAGGGTTCCAGCTCGCCTGTCAGATCCTAGGCAGCAATCTGTGATGTTAGCTTCGCAATGTATGATGATTGTTGAAGGCAGAGCACAATTTCTGGGCGGTGTTGCCGAATTGGATTTTTGAGTGAGAGTCACATATGTCACGTTGACGGCGACACTAGTCCGACCGGAAGAAAGAGGGCGCCGATTTGCGGTGCTTGCCATGCATGGACCAGGAGCCTTGGGATATATATGAGGGCCGCTATCCTCATTCCGCCCTGTGCTTGACTCTGACCTCGACCACTGCACCCGCTGCACTCAACTTGAAGGTAAGTATCTATATATGTCGTCATGGCCTCAATTTGGTAGCACCCTCCAGTCTTAACAACCGTAAACAACCCGTAGGGCTCATTCAAGTGGCTGTGGTCCTCTTTCACTCTCTTCAATCCCATTCATCCGATATCGCTTCATTCAGCAGCGCTCCTCGTCGAGTCGCCCCCCTTCTCATTCCCAAAGTGCGTCCTTTGCCCGTATTTTTCTTGGGCCACAAACTGAGCGCATTTCTCGCGCAGACCAACTAGCGGCCGACCACTCAGTTGAACTGAGACCGGAGGAAATACACATTTACCATGTCCTCACAGAACGCTGTACGTGACCGTTCTCCTGCGCAGTGGCCTCACGTTCTGACCCGATTCTCTACAAGATTCGCCGAAAACTCGTTATCGTTGGAGATGGCGCGTATTTGCCGTATATTGGTTTCTAGGGATGCTGAAGGTGCTATACAGGTGCCTGTGGGAAGACATCGCTACTCTGCTCGTTTGCTCTAGGTGAATTTCCAAAGGAATATGTGAGTGTTTCTATCGCAATGCAGAGTGATCTATGCTCATATGGTCACCGTGTGCAGCAACCGAGTAAGCCCAATCCATGTTCCAGAAACCTTCCAGAAACTCAAACAACTTCCAGCTGTGTTTGACAATTATGTTGCTGAAATTAGATTGGACGACAAGCCTGTTCAGCTAGCCCTTTGGGATACTGCGTGAGTTCCTGTGATCGCCGACAACCAATGTCCGGGACTAACAAATTCTAGTGGCCAAGAAGAATACGAAGTACTCCCATCCGCTTCATTTGCCGTTGCTCCTCGTTGACACCCGAGTTTCCCAGCGCTTACGACCGATGTCTTACTCAAAATCCCATGTTATTCTGATAGCATTCTCACTCGACACCCCGGATTCATTAGAAAACGTCACAACCAAAGTGAGTGTACCTATCACCCGCTCCTTGCGCTTTATCTCTCGTGGGGGATGAATCATTCTCGGAAGCAAAGAAGCTAAACCTTCCCTTTCCAGTGGATTGAAGAAGTCCGTTCCATCTGTGGCTCCACTATTCCCGTTATTCTTGTTGGCTGCAAGGCCGACCTCCGACCCAGCGCCCACCATCCAAATACGTCCGATAACCCCTGCCCATGGGTCACCCGCGAGCAAGGCGAACGTGTCGCCCAGATCATCGGCGCACGTGCGTACAAAGAATGCTCTGCGCTCAAAATTGAAGGTGTGGACGAAGTCTTCGAAGCCGCCACGAGGGCGAGCATGCTCATGCGCGATGGCGTACCCGCGAATGGCCACGTACACAGTCCCGAAGCAAGGCACCACCGTAGGAGAAGCAGTGGCAGGGCTGCTCCCCAGGAGGAACCAAGCAATGGCTGGAAGTGTTGTGTCATTTCATGAGCTACGTTGTTTCGGTGTATCGGACATTCTTAGGTAGCCAATTCCGTCGTCCCCGTCGACCTGCATTCATGTTTTACTTTGTTTTGCCAGTTTCACCCGCATATTAGTTACTCGATATCATAACCTATTATTGGCCCCCGTCTAGCCTCACCAACCCCGCTGATGTTGATCTACTCTTCGACATACATATTCGTATTTACCAGCTCGTTACCAGACCAAACGATCTTCCCAGAGTTCTGAGATGCACCAAATGACAGTACATCTACTGGTACGTGTCCTGAGTACTCGGTACAAGGCATGTTGCGATATCGCATCATTCGCGGGTGATTGTATGTTACTCACAGAATGTCGAAACTGATGGAAGCTACATTTGGCCAGATACGATGTTCGGTCCGGGAGCGGCCCCCGTCATATCAGAGTCACTCATCATGCATCAGTGCCTCAGCGCTTGGCTTAGCTAGTCATGAATGACCTTAATTCACATCATCATTGGTGTTCTAGCACTAGTAGTAGGGGGCAGAGACACTATCAATGGATCGTAGTATGGTTACTTTCTGTTACAAGTATCGAAATCGTGAGGAGAATGGACTCGAATCGAATACGGGATCGTTTATATCGTTAGGTATAAAAAGGCTGGGTCTCAGCAATGTCATATCATAGGGACTAGTGGCCGTGATCGGTGGGTATTTAGAAGGTGGGGTATAGCGCGCATGCGGGGAAGTGGTCCGTGAAATGAATAATAGCTCAACGTCTCCATTCACGAGACGTTGATGGACCAGACATGGGGACCAAGGGGAGTGCTTGACAATCCCATGAAGCGGTTCTTGTTGACGAAGAAGTCAATGCGCTTCAATCCCTTCTGCATCTCCACCTGCTTTGCACTTGAGTCGAGTATCCGCGCGCAGCGATGGCTGTACGCGTCGGTAACCCGTTGTTGCGCTGCTAGTGATGGGAGCGCTGCATATTCCACCTTGCTAACAGTGAGGCGTAGTGCACGATACATCCCGTTGATGACATCCGACACTGTCACGAAATGCCCGACAGTCGGCTTTATCTCAAGCTTCCATGGAAGGTACTGGGAGACAAGTGTGATTGATGGAAGAGGCGGGCGGGTGGCAGCTTCGCTCAGAATTGCCGGGGATAGTGATGGGTGGGCGGGTGTGAGTGTTGATGGGTGGCATGATATGTCGTAGTTGAGGTGTGGGGTCGTACTATATCCGAGTGCCGGGTGAATCTGCACCGTCATCTGGGGCAGCGGCTTTGTGAAGTAAGGTGAATCGAGCCCGTAGTGCGAGACTGGTGATGGTGTCTTTGGGCCGCTGGTCGAAGGCAGCGAGAATTGGGACCATGTCGGAGAGGGGGTAGCGGGGATGTCCGCTGCGAATCGTACGTGCTTTCCGGGCATTGTGTTGTTGGCGAATCTGTTGGTGATAGTGACGATGATCTGAGTGAATTGTCCGGGGTGTTGACGGTCACTGAGGGGACGTCCAGCCCTGTATATATAGGCATAGGGGGCATACCGACCGCGCTTGCGATAGGCGTTGGTGTGAGTCAAAACGTATGCAAACCGACACCGCAGTCCGAGTCACAGCCCGTTTTCTGGAAGCTGAGGCGATGTCATATGTTCCTGCATATTTGGCGCTGGTAGACGCTCAGCTGCCATATCATTCCATCTTCGTCGGACGTACCCCAATATCTGATCCGGTGGTCATTTTTGGTCAGATTTACTTTGCACCGCCGCAGCACTTAGAATACGCCTGTATGTTACAGCTGCGTAGTCGTAGATCTAATGTAGGGCTTCGCCGCGTCGTCGAGGATCATTTTGTTACCTTATATAGAAACACTTTCCGAATGGAGCCACGTTACTGTCACTTACCTCCCAGTTGAAACCAAGTTGAAAGGCATGTAACGGGCCCCCTTTCAGCTTGGAGGACAAAGGGACAATGCGGTATAATTACCAGGACTCTGTGCCACATGGTTTCCTTAGACTTCTCCCACTACTAGCTACCAAGATGCCGTACCCACTCACCAAACTACCGACATCCCCCGACGACATAACAGCAATGGAGTAGGTTAAGAATACATTCAGTTCCAAGCCATCAATTCATATCACCATCTCAGCCCAAGGCATGCTTTGAAACTGGGGATGGCGTTTACAAAGGTCCGTTTTGCCCACTCCCGGACTCCGTAGCTGCACCTAACTATTGATAGAACGGATTGCTTCAAGCGCTAAACAATTTGTATAATCTGGCCCCGGCTGTAGAGGCTTCTCGCTCTGCCTTTGTGCCGTTCTTAGACTATGCAAGCATGACCTTCTCGATATTACTTCTTCACCTAGAAGGTCGGACACCTATCACTGATTTACCATCTTCGTTACTGACTAGCGCGCAAGGCGATGATTTGTTCTTCTCTACCCCAAATAATGGCCAGGGGAAAACTCTACAAGCCATCCTCGGTGCAAATTGCAATCCAACGATGAGTGCAGTGGTGCGGTCTATAAAGAAAGCGCAAGTATTGATAGAACAGTGGAGAAAGGTAAGACCGTCAGCTTCTAGCGTGAATCTGAAAGCTGATGAGACAAATTACTGGGCTCAAGACACCTGAAGATTACACAGCTGCGGCCCTCCGAAGCGCTATCGACTTCGGACCACATATGCTCGAGCTGATGCAGGCACAGGTACGCAGTTTATACGCGAGCATCGGACGCGGGCTGACTTGGGTATTTGTAGATTGCCAGCATCGACACCAAACGGCTCGAAGGGAGTCTGACTGCAGAAGAGGTTAAAACGATGGTGGCTGGTCCGTTATCTCCACCCTCTTTCCAGACAAATTCTGATTGTATGGACAAAGAGAATGTAGGGTGGTTCGAAACCCAAGTAGGCGTAGAAGCTCTCCTTCCGTAAGTTGCGATATCATTCATTCATCGTCAGCTGTGTGAGTTGACAAATGGGTTGTAAGGTTTGTTGTCTCCCATCATGATGCCGGTGCCTCGAAATTTTGGCCGCCCATTCATCCAGACGGCATGGCCTTGATTCCTCAGCTTATCGAGGACAATGCTGCGTAAGTCGCGATTTCGGGCTGAGTGGCTTTGGGCGTTAACCTGGGCGTTTATCTAGTCGTTGGCAGTTCGCTCCTGTGCACCCAGTTACCAGGGAGGCTAGTCCTTGGGCGGTGTAATGAAGCGCATGGTTGATGAAGAGTGGCAATAAGTGGGACTTCCAATACGAGATTCAATAAATACATACATAGATCTAATACCGCGCGGAGAACAAAGCGTTGATTAACAACTGTCATTATTACGATCTGCCTGCTGGGAGATCGTCTAAGTTCAACTCCCAGCTGACCCCGCATCCGCATCCACTACCCTTCGCGTGCGGGTTGTCCAGGACTCTGAAACTACTCCCTATGAGTTCTGTAGCGAAGTCGATAGTCGAGCCATTGAGGAGAGAAAACGAGACGGCATCTACGAGAACATTCGATGGAGCGATAGTTGGATGTGTGAAGTGGCTGAAGAGTAATGAAACCTTAGTTCCATGGGTGCACGCAGGTGGAGAGGTCAAACGCACTAGTCTTCGGGCAACCGGGCTGTTGCGAGCTCTAGCTTGTACTGATAGCCATGACATCCACCTGATTCCACGACAACGCGTAGTGCTGCGTTAGGGTCATGCTGTCGTAAAGCAATTGTTCGCAGTTGCTGAAATGATGGTATTAATTCCGCTACGCCTGTGTTCCAGCCACACCACACACCTCGGCCGCTCGGTCAGTTATACTTATTCGCGCATCCTGTGCCGGTATGACCTGAGCATCAAGTTCCTGTTCGTCGAGCGTTTCCTGGGTCGGGGAGGACACCAGATATGTCCTGTGTGCGGGAGGATGCTCTGAAATTCCAGCACTTCTTATTGTCGTTGAGGCGAAATGTCGCGGATGCAGGGGAAGTAAATTGCGTGGCAGGCTCTGGGTCGTGTTCAGCCTGATGCTTCGGGGTATTCGATGTACAAGACGCAGCGATGCGCGGAATGTGGCGGAGGACATGAGTGCGGCAGAACACTATGGCTGGAGAACGGAATCTCACATAAGGCAAAGATTACGTAACAATTATCCTCGTCCAGTTCAGGCAACGAAGTCAAGAGTTGTGTTCCTCACCACCATGTCTGCTCCTCAGAAAGTCTCCTTCACGGTCAGGCGACCGACCCCAATATCTCGAGGAGACTCGTCCGGCCCAGAATCTGACAGTGGCTCCTCGTTCAAGGTTCCTTCGCTACCTCGACATTTATCTTCACAAAATGACTCAGTACCTGGAAGTCCTCTTGCTCGTAGTGCGACATCTTCCCCGAGGCCCAAAGACAAGCCCGTAGCGTACTACGATGACAAGGACTCAAGTGACGAAGAAGAAGAAGGAATGCAGGATGAATTAGTGACTGGGTTCGACCGTTTTGGAGTTCAGCGGTGTGTTGCGAGGTTTCCTTCATCATTACAGCGATTTCAACTCACAGAAGCCTTGGACCACGACGTCCTACTTAGACTCAAGCCAAAGAAGAAGCCCGAGGGCCCGCTCATAATTCCTGCCCTCAAGAATCGCGACTGGCGAGAAGTCGCCCGAAAGCGTCGAACAGCAACACAATTTGTACCCGCATCGGGGGCTGCCCAGACTGGAGCTGACGGAAGCGTTGGAGGCTTGGGCACCAGGGACTCCATAAATTCTGGCCCTGTCCTCATTGGTTTGCAAGTCAAGGCCAAGGTGGAGGATAAGGATACAGTGATGTCGGAGATTAAAGAGGAGGAAACGACAGAGGTCAAGATGGAGGAGCAGGAAACCGAAGATCAGAGGGCTTTACGTGCCATCCTTGCTGGTGTCAATGGAAACAACAACGGCGAACCGAGCATTGACATCATCCCTACGCCTGTGTCAGAGGAGGACGCGCTCAAACAAGATGTCGCAGACCTCCCCGACTCCGCGACCTTGACAGACTATGAGCGAGTCCCCGTTTCTCAGTTCGGTGCTGCTTTACTCAGAGGTATGGGTTGGAAAGAGGGGACAGCTGCATCGAAGAAGGGTAAAGGCATGGTCGAGCCATACCTTCCTGAGGCACGACCGGCGCTACTAGGCATTGGTGCGAAAGAAAAGGAAGCTTTAGACGATGGTCGTCCAAAGAAGGGAGGAAGTAAGCGCCCCGAGAAGAGGTATGTGCCGGTGGTCCGAAAGGAAAGGGAAGGTAGCAGGCGGGATCCGGATGCGGACGGTTACAGAAATGGGACAAAGGACAGGTCAGATTCTCCAAGGGGGAGCGGCTCCAGGAGGAATTCGAGGTCGCCTGGAAGACACTCAGAGAGGCGAGACCCCGACGAGCGGCGCAGCAGTCGCCACCGAGACTATGATCGGGATCGCAACCGCGACGACAGGCGGCGTTCTGACAAAGACAGAGATCGCCGAAGAGACCGCTCATCCGACTCCAGTAGAAGACGTCGAGATTGACACAATAGACGACATCTTCCTTTTCACGGTTCGTCAGCGCTAATACATACAGCAATATACATATATCTAATGCACAATTGCCCACAAGCTACCGCACAGCTATGTATGTAGTCCATAGTCCACAAAGTCATGAAATGTTCATCACAGTCCTGGTAATCGCATCCAACATCATCGTTCCTTCGAGTCATCTATCACCTTCGGCGTTCGAAGTTCATGCACAGCGTTCATAGGCCAAACCCTGCCGTCATGAAGCCCGAGACCATCACCGCAATGGTCACGACGCCGGTCACGGAAGCGGCTGACATCCTTGCTCCGTTGATATCGTTGGCGGGAGCAGTAGCAAGTGCTGGCGAAAGACTCGTCTGTCCAGCGGGTACAGCGCTCGGGGAACTCAGAGTCGTGGCCGATGCAATGGTCGCTATTTTCTCAGGTTAGTTGATATTTCTACCCCAAACGTGGTGGCCTACTGCTATCGTCTTGGCCCCGATTACGATCGTCCGACGATGCAGACCGATCGCGGTCCTCGCTGTGCGGATGGTCGTCTGAAGAACCAGAACGGTCCCGGTCCCCACCCCGGTCGTCAGTGCTAGTCACGGGCGCAGGCGTCACTTGACCGCTCAATGCAACACTCGTGGCCGTCAGAGCAGTAGAGGTCAATGAGAACGAGCCTGTCATAGCATATCATCAGTTATGATCGTTCGTTGAATTCATCCACCTACTGCTATCGTCTAGACCGTGGTGGCTCTCGGTATGGGGGCGGTCATCCGATGAGATGGTGTCGTCTCGGCCGCGATGATTCTCGGTATGAGGATGATCATCCGATGAAAGGGAACGATCACGCCCTCTGTCATCGTCTCCGCCATGACGGTGACTCGATTCAACGGTGCTGGAGTCGTCTCGCCCTAAACAATGGATACAGAAAAGTAAGCAGGTCTATCCGTTGTACTGGAAACCCTAGCCTTGGTAAAGGTCCAAGCTTTTGGACTCGCCTTGTCGTTTGACTACGCCGGCGCTGACAGAGGCAGCCATGGCAATCAAAGTGAATACCTTGAAGAAGTGCATTGTCTTTTACCGAGGAAGTCAAGTGAGTGAGTGACCGCTGTTTCATTGGGCTTTCGGGATGGATTTTATAGCTGCAAGCCAAGCCTGACTGCTTATTTTTGGATGCAACAGAACCCCACGAACTTCACCCTTGGATGCAGAAGAGATCGAGTCCTAGCAGCACGTTGGCCAACAATAGTAAGGGCAGGCTGTGTTGAACATAGATGTTATGACAATCCGCAGTCGAGTGATTTCATGGCAGCCAATGGCTGAGTGTCCTGTATGAGAAAGTCGAGTGTTGGAGTTGATGCAAGCGACAAATTTAGCTCTTAAATCCCGTGTTGGACACGGTTGATGGACGTATGGGAGGCGAATGTGGACCGCAACGGCGACCTTCTTGCCTTATGGGACTCCACCAACGCTTCATAAACCCCAATCCGTTGTTCAGGAAAGTTCACTCACACGAACCCAACGAGGTCAACAGCGAGCCAAGCCCCGGTATGTGGATGTCGAGATCATACCCGGCCGGCAACATTTACTTTGTGGTTGATAGACCTTACTCGAGGCGATGAAAGGTTATACAGCTTTGTGATGCATGTCAAGTTCTGATCATTAATGGGGGAAAAGTGGGAACGCAAACCTATTTTAACGAGCGCGGTCGACCTAGTGTGCGAGGAAATGTCGGTATTGGGAGGACGCGCGGCACTTTCGAAGTGATTTCGATCTCTACTATTCAATGAGAGAGACCCATGGAGAGATAAATGTCAAGATAAATCAATGCTATGATACAGTGTAAATGCGGGGTCATGAAATGTGTCGTGAAGATAGAGGATGGAATATAAATCGTCAAACAGAAACGAGACGGTGGCTCCATCAAGGAGTCCTGTCATGATCACCTCCGACTGCTGCGGCTCGTGCGAACTGTTGAGGCTTTCGAAGGAGCCCTCTTCACAGTCCTCGAGGGGGCCTCCGAGTCAGGTGCTGGGTTGTACAAATAGCTAGCACTTGTTCTGGGGGTCCCGCTCACAGTAGACGGAGGCAATGGCACACCCGCAGCACTAGGTGCTGGATTGTACAAGTAACTGACATTCGTTCTGGGGGTCCCGCTCACAGTAGACGGAGGCAGTGGTACACCCGCAGCACTTAGCCGAGACGTCCCGGTGTAGCTGGTCAGAGGTGTGCGTGAACGAGGAGGTGGCGTAGTCAACGTATTTGCGTCACTATCGAGGCTGTCAGAGGACGAACTGCTAGTAGATTCTTCGACATTGCCTCTGCGAAGCGACCCATCAGGTATCACTGGAGCGCCGCCCTCAGGGTAGTCGAGTCCGCCAGGCATTCCTGAGCCAGTGCCCCCAGACGCCTCAAAAAGAGGAGGGAGGAGATCGTGTTGAGGTACCGCGGGGGTGAATGTAGTAGCAACGAAAAAGGGAGGCAACTGTCCATCCGGCAGCACGATGGGGGTCGCACCCTCAGCGGATGCTGCTGCCGGAGGATTGGAGGGCGTAGAAGAAGGAGCGGAGTTCCGTGCAGTCGATGATTCTGGTGGAAGCACTCGAATACGGTTAGCATCTTCTGGGCTAAGCAGATCACCCATGCGACGGGGAGGAGCCTGTATCTCAGAGCTTGACCTGCGAGTCATAGATGGGGGTCGGGACTACACGAAGATAAATTTGTCAAGGAACCGCATAGATAACGGAAGAAGAACACGCACCGGCGGCTCAATATTAATATCGGGTACCGTGTTCATTGAAGCCTGACTGTTACGCCGGTCACCCGAGGGAGCTCGAGATTTCTTGGCACTGGATGATTGTGAAGAGCTAGAGTTCGAACGTGTCCGCGTGTAAACGCCTCTCATTGCAACCTGTTCCAATTCCGCCAGGTTGGCCATAGCTGTGCGAGGCGAGGGTGGAACTCGAGTCACTGATATAGCAGGAGTGCGCTATGTTCACATCCCAACTAAGCAGCATTCAGCAGCGAAATAAAGTAGACTTACGATAGAAGGTTTACTTGAAGCTTCGCGCAGAGTGCTGGGATTGGGGCTAGCTTGGGCACTGAGGACTTCAGGGATGATACTCATGGGACTACGGCCGAAAGAGGAACCAGGATGGTTTACCATCTCTAATTGTGAAATGGTTGTGGAGTTGGACTCAGGTGAAGATGGGCGAATTCGATCCATCGATCGCATGGAGCGAACTGACCGACGAGAGCGCACGCTCTCTGGGGGAGGCACTCGGAGAGGCGTTTCGTCCCCTGCCCCGCGACTCGAAGGACGAGGTGACGACACGGGAGGCATCGTCGGGGGGCGATTATATTCGTGCGGAGGTGGGAGATGAATGTAGGAGTCCCGACCAGAAAGTGGGATGTCGCTTTCTGGCGGAACATGTATTGGAATGTCGGGCGAAAGAACACCACTTCGTCTGGGGGTAGGCCGTGAATTGCTTCCACTGTTGGACGGTGGAGGGATAGGCACAGGTGGCACCGACGACGCACGGACATTGCGATCGCGAGGTGGTGGAGGTGGTGGGTCGTCGTATTCCTGCGATTCGTCGGACAAGGGTGACATGTCGGCTTCATCTCCGGTATCATAATACTCTTCTTCCTCCTCGTCATCTTCATACCTCCCTGCAGAATGGCCACGTGCGTAACCTTCATGATACCCCATATCTCTGCCGCGCTCAAAACCTTCCTTCATTCCCTGCTTTCTCCCTTCCTCTCTCGCTAGATATACTAGATTCTCCTCGCGAAGCTTATGCGCAGTACTTCGGTCCTTAGCAGCCATCTTCTCGGCCTCGAGTCTTTGCCCGTCTACAATCTTCAGAATATCCTGGGCCCTAAATATCTCATTCTGAGCTTGCTCCAAGCGAAGCTTATATTGACTATACATGATCGATCAGCGTTCAAGGTACACAACTCAAGAAAGCATCCACTCACTTAACATTCTCTTTGGCGGTAGCGGCTTCCCGCAAGGCTGCGTTCTTCTCGTCATTTATTCTTCTCAGTTGTACCAGCACCTCAAAAACCTTCTTCTCGGCCTCGTCTGCCCTAGCCTTCTCCACCCTCAATTGTTCATTCACGGTATTCAGCACCCTTTGTAAATTCCGGACCTCACTGCCTTCGAGTCCTTGGGTCAAGAGACGTGCAAACTCTGCGCTGGCCTTCTTGTTTCGTTTGCGAAGAGGGCTATGCTTGCGCTCCGAAGATGTATTCCGTGATGTATCAGAGCTTTCTGGCTGCGGCAAATACTCGATGGGTGGAGGAATGAGAAGTGCTGGAGGTGATTGGAGCGGGGAAAGTGACATGATTGGTGGTCTAAAGCTGGGAAAGGTTAGGCTACATGCCGTAGACGACCCAAAGAGTACTTGCCGTGATTGAGTCTAATGATTATGAATTCTAGTCGATGCGAACCAACCGGTGGACCGCGAATGGGCGTAATAGCACTGCAGAGTCCAGCCGCCAGTCTGCAACGCAAGAGTCTAGTGAAAGGAGAATTTTCAAGGAAATAAAGGCTCACTGGTCGATTATATATACAGTTTGAAAACTTTGGGGAAAGCTCAGTGGCACCCTCGCAAAAGTGCAGAACGCACTGTTAAGAAGTCGAGAAGCACTGCATTGTGCTATAATATGGGCGATCACGTGTCCACGCTATTGTTCAGTCAATAGGGGATTCAGGAGAACCACTATTTGGATTTGGCGACAAGCTACTCTTAATCACTGTATTATACCAAGGTAGCATGCAATGATGGCTGTAAGTATCCACACCACCCATTTCCTTTGCCCCTCTCCCTTGTGTCTTGAAGAACACGCGGACGCAGACGCGCCCCTCATTCTTTTCGACAAAGGCGCTTCGGGGGCGCTTGACGAGGTATAGGGTCCCCTTTTAGGTATAATAAATCCAAATAAGGAAGCTTGTATTTGAGGACGTCTAGACTCGATTCCCTCTTGACTCTTGACCTCCATCTTGCCCAAAGCAATGTCTACCGCAGCATTCCAAGTGACCATCACAAACCACACGACAACGTCGCACCCGAGTCCCCATATCCTTTATGTCGTCAAAGTCAACACCGAGCAAGGACAGTACCAAGTCCTCCGAAGGTTCTCTGAGGTATACTTCTACACCCAGCTCTTCCTCGTTTTCAGCGCATGATGGATATACCAGTTCTACGAGCTTCATCTGAGCTTAGGCGACCAATACAACTTCCCGCCTAAGCGCAGTGTGTCGAATTCGCTTCTACCGAGGGCTTGGGTCGACGATGAACTCATCGCAGAGCGTAAACACGGGTTGCAGGACTACATGACAAACGTCCTCGGCGACTCCAAACTTACTGGAAACGCCGCCATTACAATGTTTCTCTCTGACGATGATGGCGGTGGACATCCTGAAATGTCTTCGCTTCGGCACATCGTCCTCAAAGGCGAGGAGACCAAGGGCGCCGAAGGGAAGAAGCCTATCGCAGCGGCGTACTATACAAGCTGGTCCGCGTGGAGCAATCCACCTAGCAAGATCGATTTCTCAAAGTTTGACGTCCTCTTCTATGGTGCGCCCTAGCATATATACGTCGAAAAGCCAAATAACCGCCTTGAATAGCATTTGTAGTACCAAACTCTTCCTCCACAATCAGTTGGGACTCTGGAAGCCAAGATACTCTGAGGACCCTGGTATCAAGTGCTCGTAAGAGCGGCAAGGGAACAAAGATTGTCCTCTCCATTGGTATGCTATATCATTCTGTGCGTCAGCCTAGTCTCACAAATCAAAGGCGGTTGGGCGGGCAGCTACTGGTTCTCCAACTCTATGAGTAACAACGATAATCGACAGAGGCTTGCCAACGAGTTGATTGGCGCCGTTAATTCGTTTGGCCTCGATGGTATGCCATGAACCCCTTATTCGCTGTGGCTTTGTTAACCATGAGATACTTTCCCAGGTATCGACATCGATTGGGTGCGTTCTATCCAGATTTAAGGCGCATATACAGCGCATTTAGCTCATGTTCTTCTGATGTGTGCAGGAATATCCGAATTCCGAAGGTTCTGGCAACCCTCACTCAAGCAAGGACGCCACCAATTTACTCACCTTCGTCAAGATACTCCGCTCCCGTATGGGTTGGTCGAAGATTATCTCTGCGGCGGTGCCTCATCAACCGTGGTTGGGTCCTGATGCCCGACCCATGAGAAATGTATCCGACTTTGCTGCCCAAATGACATACGTGAATATTATGTGAGTGCATACATGACTTTCGTAGGAAGAATATCCTAATAGAGTCGATCGCTAGGAACTACGATGTCTCTGGCGGAACGGCACCACCTGGTCCTAACGCTCCCCTGGGTAAGCGACTTACTATACACTGAGTCCTGGACTAGGATAATAACCACCACGAAGGCAACGCGTGTAATAAAGCCAAACTTGCAAATGCCAATGCACAGGCCGCGTTAGGATTCTGGACTGCTGCGGGCTTCCCGGCGAACAAGCTCCTCCTAGGATTACCCCTGTATGGATATGTGATCAGGAGTTCCGCGACGAAGATGTCGGCCTCTTTGGTGGACAACGTTGAACATATGGGCAAGCACTTGATACCCGGGACCTATAAACACGAAGAAGGGGACAGTGATATGGCGCCAGCGGGGGATCTCACTCACCTATACGGCCAGCAAATTGGTTTCAATCAACTTGTGTCAATGCGAGCGCTCAAAAAACAAAAGGACGGGTCATACGTAGGGGATAACGGATACAAGAGGGGTGCGTGCGTCGCAGATATATTCGCCGTATTGTTGATCAAGTTACCCCATCCACAAAGGCTGGGACAACTGCAGTTCTACCCCAGTAAGTCTGAAGAACCTTCGGAAGTAATTATTTGACGTGAGGGATTGTAGTTCTTGTTTAACACGGCGAAGAACACATTCGTCTCGTACGATGACCCGCCATCGCTAGCAATGAAAGCGCAATTCGCTAAACAGAAGGGTTTCGGTGGCTGCTTTACTTGGTCCCTTGACCAGGTGTGTATCATGATCGTTTACATCCTTGGGTTGGAAATACTGATAGCCCGTAGGACGATGGTGTCGCTTTGCAGGATGCCATTCGAAAGGACTTAGGCCTCAAATAGACCATCCAGGCTCCAACCCGGAAGATAGGACAGCAATTGGACGGACAATGAGATGAAATCATGGGACAATAAACATAAAACTGTGTTGTAAGTATGCAAGTTGAATACATTGACGACGACCATAGCATAGGAAGAAAATTATAACATAGGATATGGAAGTGTAGGATACCAACCTTCGTAAAGGAGAAACTCAATTTGAGCGGTGGAAATGAAATATGTAGAGGTGATAGTCCATTTCAGATCGGTGAAATCTGGCTCAGTAGGCTTGCTTTATACTGGAGGCTCCTTGAGGCGCTCGTAGTCCTTTTCGTTCGTGTTCTTGCGACTAGGAGGCGTGGGCTTGGTGGGCACTTCCGTAGTCTCGTTTACAACACGTAGGTGCCTTCTCCGCTTCAAGAACCAGATCAAAATGGAAAGTATAACGACCAGACCGACGACTAGCAAAAGATCACTTTAATACATTTATGTAGACGGACGATAGATAACTCACGTCCGCCAACAATTGAGCCTGCGATGAGGTACGCCTTCTTATTCACGGGGCACTTGATTTGCTGATTGCTGTGGAAGGCAGCATGAGTAAACAGCGAGGCATATGCTGGGTGAGGGACACTTACTGCTCATTGAAGCATCTGCGACTCGAGCCAGAGCCCGTGCTAGTGATGACCGTTCCGCCAGAACTACCGCCGCCACTACTTGAGCCTGAACTCGATGACGACGACGAGCTACCGCTGGAACTTCCCGAACTTGTTGAACTACTTCCACGGCCATGTCCCCCTCCACCTTTTCCTTCTCCACTGACCGCCAATGACAATGCAAACAACAACACGGGCGCGATTTGGGCTCTCGCCGCTCTGCGCGATGTTGATGAAGCGACGATCATTGATTGGGCTTGGATTTCTGTGATAGTGGGAGTTACGAGAACGGGGCAAGGAAGATGTTGATCCGTTAATGGGTACTAGGATGGTTTTTATAAGCGTCGGTTACTGCCTCAAAATGTGGCGGGCCTGAGGGGTAGCTGTTTCTGGTTCTTGGACAAAAGGAGGCGCTGGGGCCAAGTGTGGCCCCGGGAGGACAACAATGCACAATGCAGTTTGCTGCAAATTCAAGGCTGTGAGCGAGTCGAATTTCAACCCCAGCGGCCAACGTTTCACATTGTTGACCAGGATTATCACCTAGACAAATAGGGACATAAATATGTCGACCCTGAGACTAACGCATCCACTGAATCTGGAAAACAAGAGAAACGTGAGGCGCAATTATAATGAGGATATGATAGTATACACAGAATGAATCCGAATTTATGCAAACCAATAATAACATCTCCATAACGCCTTGGCCTTGCCCTCCATCCGCCGCTGCCGCTGTTCGTCATCAGCCTTGTCTTCCTCGCCCTCTTCGTGCTCGTCGCGCTTCAAGTCCACTGTGTGTACATCGACGAGGTCGCTATGCCACCAGCCTCCTGAACGCCCCGACGGACGCGCATTGTCCCTCGTTGCTGTATCGGTAGGCAGCGCGAGTTTGACTGCCCCTGGCCGGCGAACGAGCATCCACACGACATACATCGTCAGCATTATCGGAATCTCGATATAGAAAGAAACGAAGTCGACAGCAGTGAAATGGGGGAAGATGGAAGACCATCCCTGGACTGCAATACAGCAACACGCATGAGCAAGGTCTCTTTTAACCGACACCGGATGCGAGGAAGGACGCATGACTTACTGAGAATGAGCGCAGTGACGGTGATGATCTGTTGTGCACATGTGTCGGCGGTGAAATGAATGTCATGACGCATGGCACTTACGACAAAGAATGGACCCCAAGGCCATGTCCAAGAAGCACGGAACTTCAGTTCGTCCAGAGACCGACCTTGTGCTACCCATGCCTTCCGGAATCGCCAACTCGCTAGACCTATTGATAGCCATGCAATCTTACAGAATGAACCGTATATTGAATATTGATCCTGATGCGAGAGAGATATGAACAGCCCACCTGGTTCGAAACTCCTACAAGATTCTGCAGCCAGCCCCAGAGCTGACCGCTCCCAACGTAACTACTCCCGAAGCATAACGCACTAATGCTACTTGTCAAAAGTAGCGAGGGCAGCGGAACACCGGCCCTTGTCGTCCAGAGGAACAATTTAGGCGCTTGATTGACCGCTGCCAAACCTGAGCGAAAGCTGTGAGTGCCAAATTTCTCTGTATTCGCGGTGGCATAGCCATACCGTATAGTACCCGAGTGCCGGCGAAAAGCGCATGGTTTCCCGCTGATAGAACAGATGTCAGAATGACAGTGTTCATGAAAGAAGCCGCGACAGCTGAAAACGAAGGTTAGTTCACACAAAATTGTTTTCGTGAGAAGATAAAGAGACGTACTGGATCCAGCTTTCTCGAAGATGATAGTAAACGGCGAGGTTGTGGTGCTCTTGTTTGACAGATTTGGATAATCCCAAGGCACTAGAAAAGTCACCGGTGAGCGAGTGAAAGCACTGGTATAGCCATGGCAGCATTTACCATTGAGTCCAATGAGGAGAATACTCAGAACGTAGAAGATGAGAATTCTATCGACGCGATCAAACCGCGTGTCAGATGGCTGCCTTCCCGGATGAATAACTAACTCGCCTCCAGAAGACAGCTTTCACCACGCGAGGCATGTTCCTCGACGGGTTCTTCGTCTCGCCGGCGGTGACTCCAAGACTTTCAGTACCACCATCTGCCATACATTTGAGTGATGCACCGGAATGAAAGGGAAACAGAGACATACAAGCAAAGCTGGCAGTGACGAACACGCGTGCAAACCCGCCGAATCCACCACGAAATGGAGCTCCTTCGATTCGCCAGTTGCTACCGCCGATGTATTTGTGGTCCGTGTTCACACCGACGTTTACAAGAATGCCCAAGATGATGAAAACCAAGATCGTCGCCACTTTGAGAGAGGCGAGCCAGTATTCTGTAGTATATAGCTTGAATACGTGGGATCCATCAAGGACATGTCCGATCAACTCACCCAGCTCTCCATATGCCTTGACATGTATCGCGTTCAAGCTGACCAGGAATGCCCAGAATATGAGGCTGATGACCCAGAGGTTCCATGTCGTCCAGAACTGTAATACGAGCTGCGCGGCGACGAGATCACCGGCGACTGAGACAGCATCGTTGAACCAGTAGTTCCAGGACAATGCGAATCCGTACGACGGGGAGAAGAAGCGTGTTGCGTACGTATTGAACGACCCTGCGACCCACGTAAGTTCGGGTTAGAGTCCAGGCCCCGCGTTCTGCACTCACCAGCAACAGGATACTGAGTCGCCATCTCTCCCAGCAGCAGCAATGTCACATAGACAATGAATCCAATAAGGGTGTAGCAGATCAGAACTGCGCCAGGTCCACCTTGCGCCAAAGACCGTCCAGTTCCCAAGAACAAGCCAGTTCCGATAGTCCCAGCAATGGCTATCATCTGCACCTGTCTCGCAGACAATCCCCGCTGCAGCCCTCGCCTCGCATCTTGGTCCGCCGGTGGAAGTGGCAACGCTCCGACCGGGATGACCGTTTCTTCGATGGACGGCACCTTCGACTTGCTCGACTCGCTGCTCATCGAATTCGAATCCTTTGATAGGCTTGAGGGATTTGAGATTGCTCCATAGTTCCGCTGTTGATTCACTTTATACAGAGCTCCCTTTGGGGATGGAGAGCTGGTAGAAGGGTCCATGGCATATTGAATCAGGTCTTTGCCCACCGTTAGCGCGTGGGTCGGCGTGGGTGCACTGCTCTGAAGGGGATCCCTCAGCACATCTGGAGTCAAATCGATTGCGTCTTCCTCGCAGTGAATGGTGCAATCGACGTGAAGCGTGTGCTGAAGTGCGTGAAACAGGTGGAAGCGCAAGAAGCATAAGAAAGCCAAGGCAATAATTATGTTGTGATCTGCCGAAATACTCGAAGGTAACACATGAAGGACGAATGACTACGAGAATTGCGAAAATTGCGATGATTCCAGGAATCCTACAGTGTCAACATTACAGACGCGACAAACCCAAGTCCGACATATCCATATCACAAGCCCTGCTGCGTTGCCATCCATTAAACCAAAAAATAAATTACTGTCCGTTTCAGAGAGAGAGAGGTGATTATTTGTGGCTGCGTTTTGATACAATTAGAGGAGATTCCTCCAGCCTGCGTCGCGACATTTCTTGACAAGGCGTTTGACTTCTTGAGATCTTGCTCGAGTAGTAACGAGGAGAGTGTCTGGCATGTCCACGATAACGAGATCATCGACACCAAGACAAGTGATGAGCCGGCCGGACCCTGGTACAACGATACCTCCAGCCATCTGCTCAGTGAGAACTGGGGAATATCTCAGCATCAAAGTTTACCGCACAAGGGCCGCGACTCACCTAAGTTGCTGTCGCCAAGGATACGTGGCTGATTTGCTTCCGCGGGCAATAAGTCCGCCAAAGAGGAGAAATCACCAACATCATCCCAACCTGAAAGAAATAAGTATCAGGAGCAAAGGGATTCGGCCGACTAACACACCAAACGTAGCGGGTACTACAGCAACACGACCTTCAGCTGCAGCTGGTTCGGCGACAGCGTTGTCAATGGGAATCTTCTCAAGAGTAGGCCATACTTCATCTAGGACTTTCTGCTTTCGCGCTTCATCGTCCCAGGTGTCCGCAATCTTCATCAATCCTTGGTGGATCTCGGGCTTGTACTCTTTGAGGAGTTGCAACAAGAAGCTGGCCTTGGTCACGAACATTCCTGCGTTCCACCGGTATTTTCCAGTCGCAATATATGCGGCCGCAGTCCGGGCATCAGGTTTCTCCTTAAAGCTCGAGACCAATCTAGCATTGGGCGCTTCTGCAATATCGACTTTGTCGCCAAGACGAACATAACCGAAACCAGTCGAAGGATGTGAGGGTGCAATTCCAATGGTGACAAGGTAATCCTTGCGCGCGACTTCAACGGCCTCAGCTACCGCTGACAGGAAGGCATCATCACCAGAAATCATATGGTCAGCAGCGAAAGATCCAATAACGGCATCTGGGTCACGGCGGGCGAGAACAGCCGCTGCAAGGCCTATAGCGGCCATGGAGTCCTTCGGCCCAGGTTCACACATGAGATTGTGGGGGAGGAGGTCGGGGAGCTGTTCTCGGATGTCTTTAATATGGCTGGGGCCGGCTACGATCGTTGTTCTGGCGGGAGAAGTGAGGGGAAGGAGACGGTCCCAAGTGGCCTGGATGAGAGACCTTCCCTTCAGCGTGAGATCGAGAAGGAACTTAGGGTGGTCTTCTCGCGACAAAGGCCAGAGGCGGGTACCTGCGCCACCAGCTGGAATCACGACATAGAAGCCGGGGATGTCACGGTGAGGATGCGGGTGTACTACGAGTGAATTATCGCCCAATGGGGACGCGTGATGGGTGGTGGTCAGCGTCGGAATGATTTGGGTGGGCGTAGAGAGGAAGGGTGATTTGGCGCGAAGTTGGGGGCTGCCTGGGATGGCGGGCGTCATGAAGCCAGGCGTGCCAGTTCTATGTCCGTTGGAATACCCCTTGCAGATAGGTTAATACAACGTGTAATGTAGGTTAAGACTGCAACTGCCAATCAGGACACGCACGTAGACGCGACCCAATGCACAGCGCAATGCAGTGAGATTCAGCAACTATTCACCTGGATTCCTTCACGGACTTGTCTTTCAAGACTGTGGTTGGTCATTCTGAGTTCTGTGCATTCTTGTCTGAGCTCTGCGAGTTCATGGCTCTGCCACAAAATAGCTGGTGAGACAGCCCGGATGTTTTTGCGCGCAGCGACTCACCTGTCTCTGCACTGACTCGAGGATCTGCGCGAGCATAGACTCTACAACAGACGGCGGTGCTGCAGGCGCAGCCGGTGCAGTAGCGGAGCCATTTGCATGCTCAGCAAGGGCCGAAGCGAAAAGTCCAGTGGACGACATGGTGGTTGAAATTGAAGAAAGGTCGATGTCTGCGTGTTCCTTATTATATCCCTATCCTCGAATAGCCGGCGCTTAACAGCATTCCCTCGTGCGTGGCCAATTTTGAAGAATTTTCGCACATCTGACCAAACGCTGGATCGTTGCCAGCGGCCAGCGGAAGGATCATGATCTCGATTGTTGGCAGAGGAGAATCCTCGCGTGGAATATCATTCGCTTTCTGCCCAAAACGTGATGCCCGAAACCACCTTCATATCGCCCGGAGCGCCGCGCCACACCACGGGCGCTTCCCCTCAGTATGACCATCGACTTTATCTCCTCCTTCGGTGGCCTGGACGAGCTCGTGCAGATCATATACCAGGGCGCGCACCGCTTCGTGCTGCTCTCGACTGTCGACGACGAGAAATGGACACTCCATCTCGGCATGTCTGGCCCCGAGGGGCGGTGGTGGCGCGGGATATGGGCTCAAGACGATATCCTCAGCCTCGTCGTTCGTTTTCCATTTCAGGTTTCAGGAAACATTCGGGCTGAATAGCTACCGCGCAGGGATCTAACCCATCTGCCATACTACTCGATACATTTGCAGAGAAGCTGGCAGACACGTTCACCAGCGGCGATCTATTCATCTCGGGCTGGAATCCAACGGAACGAGACGCCGAGATCAAGGCAAGTCCCCCGCATTTCCCCCCAAAGAACGACCCAAGACTCCGCATCCACCTGTAGCTGACCCTCGGCCCCACCTCCAAACGCCCGCTTCACGTCCCCCTCGTCGAGTTAACCTCGGAAGAGGCCGCATCACATGCAACGGACGTGTTTCTCGAGGTACGTGTCTCCGCGTATACTCCCCTCAAAGTACCTCCTCGAATAAAGCGCCCCGAAGATCGCCCTGCAAGCAAAATCCCGGAACCACCGGTTGAATGCCCCTGCGTACTCCGCCACGTCGGCACGGGCGATATCGCCGCCAAGGCATGCCTGTAAGTGACGCGACCTGACGCGACCTGCTATCTGCTTGGATACTAATCGCTTCTTGTCGCGAAGCCTCGAGGGACGTCGACTATTCGACACCCTCTTCGCCTCCTGTTTCATCCCCTAAGCTCGCTTCATCGAAACCAGCGGTTCCACCTAACAAGGTTAGTACTAGCCAGAAGCACGCATCTTCCTCGACGCCGGCGGACCCACCCACCAAGAAGCTAGCTACATCCACGAGTCAGAGTCTAACCGCCATCCTATCTTGTATGCAAGCCACTAATCGGAAGCCATCCACACAGAACCCCCCGCGCCAAAACGCCCAATCAAAGGTGCTTCCCTCGCTAATCCGAGTAAGAAGGCGAGGAAGTATCAGGCACTCGAGTTCGCGAGCGATGACGACGAATGACTCTTTTCATGGCAGGAACATAAGACAAGATATGCATATGCTGATACTTATAACGGTAATACAACAGTGTCACGCGTTGAGATAGACTAGGGAAATTACATTACATCCAGATGAGATCACATACATAATGCAAAAAATTACTGAAGATGCGGGGTGCAGTGGGTGGTCGTGGGGCCGTATGGTAGCAAGAGATAATGGTGACAAACAACACTGGGATCAGACGAGGGAACTCTGTTCAAGGTTGCTACGCAGTAGAACATCTTGAACTATGTATAACCTCATTAACGTACGTCTCTTTGTCTTTGGCATGGAAGAAAGGCTTACCATTTTGCAAGATATGAAGGGTAGATGAAGTGTCCTAACAATCCCTACGTCAACAACCGCGCGGTGATAGGCGGGCCGTACGCACGATAACAGAGGTGAAATGGCAATAGTACGATCTTGGCTTCGGGGAACACTGCTTCTGGATGCCAGCTGTGCACACAGATGAGCCCAGTGCTAAACCGCAACAAGAACACCAAAACTCACAGAACTTCTTGCGCAGATCTACGAGTTAAACATGAAAAATTAGTCAGTCAGTCATTCCAAACATCGCCTCCACGCTTCATCCCAGCACGAAACAAAACCCACAGTTAGACGCAGTCTCAAAATTGTTCGGCCTATCCCCATACGAAATTACGTATTTCGAAAACTGTATTCCAGAGGCCAGTTTCGCTCTCATTATGTCGCATTTATCTACGCGAACATCGGACAATCAGCATCCCCACTTAGAGCCGAAGAAAAACATCTAAATGAAAACGCACTAAGGAATAATATCATGCTTGTGTGTTTTAGTAAAGGGTTTGATACGATAGCTTTCCATAGTAGGATAGAGTCTTCCTATCAGTGACAGACATATCAAGGGTTGAACGTGCAACGAGGCGTAGGGTGCTGGGGCACGTACTAGACGATTAACAGATGGGTCTTCTTGCAGTACTTGGTCGAAGCAACTTATGGGGGCGAGGAAGATGATGGCCTCTACGTCGTCAAAGTAAGGTACCCAGGCAGCTAGAAACGAAAGATTATGAGATGCATATCAAATGATGTCGAAGATCTTTGAGCTTACCGCGCTTGAAGGGTACACCAATTATCAACCCATTAATCGCCACCAACTGATTAAACAACCGAACTCACCAGTGACCGCTGTCCACCAACATCGAACACCGTCCATTCATGGCTCATCATATTCCCTGCTTACAATTCGTCTAGGTTCCCCACACTAATAAGCAGGATAAAAATACCTGTCTTCAATTTAAACCGGTGTTCTGATACGCCGAGGGTCTTCAGTCGAGCTCGCAGGATATCATCTAGAAAGATGAGGACGCCTTATCAACCAACAGCTCCCCTGGAACCTCGAACAATGTCATACCATCTGATGGCACGTATTTGGGTGCAGTGACACGGTCGAGGGAGTCCAAGAAGCTGCAAATGATAATCTACATCAGTCCAAATAGTGCTATAAGGAGGACGCACAATCCCGCCATCTCTTCTAGTCGGAGTCTCTGTACTTCTAGCAGTTTTCGCACCGTCGGATCGTTCCATAACTGGGTCATATCAGCCGCGCAGGCATGCAATACCAGCCCCGGGTCCTTGGGATCATCCCACACGACTTCTTCACGGTCGTCGACGTCACTACCTTTGTCGCTGCTCATTAGACGCCCAAGTGCACCTTTCCAGAGTGCCCCAGCGTAAACCGATGGTTCCTTCGGGGGCGTGTTCGAGCGGCTGGAGTATCGCAAGGGGATGAGTCGTGTTGCTTCGAGCTCACTTGAGCCCGAGGGTGCGAGCGTCCGCGTCAAAGCTTCCTCGACAGAGAGGAGTGGAGATAGTCGCATCTTGAGTTTGAGTAGATCTGGGGATAACCGGGGGTACTCCTTCTCGACGAGCGGTGACGCGGGCCGAGAGCTGCTTGACGTGCTGTAGGTTGATGGGGCGGGGGACGAGTGGGCCTCTTGGGCTTCTGTCATGGAATCAAGAATCAAGCGGATAGATCGCACGATGTTGAGCTGGATAACGGCTTTCCAAAGAGCACGTTCCGCTCGGAATGCCTACCAATCCTGTCAGAACGAGTGCGGACGCGCGGGGATGATGTACGTTACGCACTTTTGGGGAATGCATGAGCTGAAAATCTACCAAGTATTACAATGTAAGACATCGGGATTTATAATTAATATTGCTACGCACTTTTCAACGTTGTCGATTTGCCTATCGAGTATCCGGTGAGCAAACGACTCTATGCAACCCAAAAGGATATGCTTAGTTACCTGATTCACTCTGCCCTGTGGGCGGGATATCCTCGCATGTGAGAACCGAGCCGAGAGCGTGATTGCGCCTACTCACCAAGCAACAGAACTTTAACCTGCTTTGGCGCTCTCTTCTCTGCTTGCCGTTGTCGATTGAGCTCCTCATCGATGGCGTCCGAGCGTACTTTGGCGGCGTGCTCAGCGGCCAGACGCGCTTGGCGGTCTTCCTCACTCTCGTTTGGTGGCGGTGCCATGGCCGCCGTGAGGGGATCTATATCTGCATCGCGCCGGGTGATGGCAGTCATCGTTGGTCGTTGCGAGCTCTTCGCTGCAATGCTGCAAGGGAATGGAGTAGCGCAGTCGTCGGCGGCGGTGTCGTATGAAACAAGGGAGATGGTGGCGGTCGGAAGTCAAGGTTCAGCGGCCCAGAATAATCCAATGTCGAAGGAGTACAGAGAAGAGATTGTTTGCCCGAGTTGATGCCCCGGACATACAACTATAAATGAAGAGGGCTGTTGGGGAAGAGAGGGATCGCCCAATGGCGGATCGTTAAAATATAGACGATCGTTACCACATGATTTCCAGCGTCTGTTTTTGTGTGACTTATCTGGAGCTGAGTTCTGACTTAGCACAATTACTCTCATCTGTCCGCTTCTCTCGCAGGTATCCCAATCGTCCACGGTCAGTGCTACCATCTCACTCCTCATCCATTCCGCTGATGAAATGTTTGACGCGAGCTCTCGCATGTGAACAAAGTGTCGGACGAGGACGAGCCGTTTGACAAGCCCTGAGATCGGACCCTGCACATTCTTTACCACTTGATGAATACTTCCGCGCGACCCTAATCTGGTACACGCTCTCGACGCACCGCCTCCAAGTTTCAGTACGGGGATGCATACCTTAAATGTCTCTGAGGCGTAGGCTGATACAGTATGTGGTACGGTGCCACCATCCTGCTCGGGGACGTTCATCACCGATTGATGCCCGTCTTGCAGCCATCTTGTTGGTGCTATCCTTCCACATGTTTGACAATTCTAATTCCCGACGCCGCGCAGTCCATGATGGTTGCCTTAGTCGGTCCGTGGCTTTGTCCTCAGTTTCTGCAAGTCGTGGCCAGGATGTGAACTGCAGTCATGCGAACTCGCTGCCAACCTCGGAATTAGTGTTCTCGATCATTGATTAGGCGAGAAGAGAAGGACTGTCAGTTTGTTATCGCTTAACGCGGCTAATCCTCGTACAGACGGCCAGAAAGTTTTAATCGACGCTTCGCATTGCATATGGACGCTCGAGAAGACACACACCGCCGTAATGCGAACTCAGCAGAGTCATCTGTCTCAACACGAGTCTCTACTTTCTCATCCAAAATCAGCACGATTTCCCATGTAGCTGAATTAATACATAGTTACACGTATCCAGGTTCTCTTTCGTCCAGTTATCAAGTGTGCTTTTCCGCCTTCTCTTTAACATTGGCAGCACCTTCGGCGACCTTCTCAGCACCTTCCTTCTTGCCTTCTATGGCCTTCGCTTTCCCCCATCCAAGCCAACTGAACCATCCGGCCTTCGCCTCTTCTGCTTTCTTCTCTGCTCTATGAATATCGGCAGATACCTTCTCTTTGGCTTCGTTGTACAAGCTTTCGGTGGATTGGCGCGCAGATGCTATCGACCCCTCGACTTTGCCTCGTGCATCCGCTGCTGCCTGGCGCGCACGAGCCTCTGCATCATGTACCGCATTACTCGCAGACGTACGAGCGGAATCTATGCGTTGCTCTGCGGCATCCTATACATGATCGCGTGATCAGTGTGATATGATCTACAATCAAACTGAAGCAACATATATGCGCACCTTCTTCGTGTCATACTGATTCTGCACCTGTTTCGCAGCTGTATCCATCCTCGCCTTCCCAGCATCTTTCAACTCGCTCGCCTTCTGGCGTGCCTCTGCTGCCTCTTTCTGCGCCTTCGCCTGGAGCCTCTGAGCGTCATTAGGATTCTCGTTGAAATACCAGTATGCGCCACCCGCTGCAGCGGCGGCAGCAGCGGCGAGAAGTAGTCCATTTGAGCCCCCCTCTTTCTTCTGCGGTGGTGGAGATGGTGGAGCCTGTCCGCTTGGTGGCGGCGTGGTTGTCGTCGCGCTGCGGGATCCTTTGGCGAACGCTGCGACCACTGTCGGGCGCGTAGTGCGAGTGGAGAGTCTGGCGGCCTGGATGATATTCAAGGAGTGCATTGTGGGGATGTCTTGCAAGTGAGAGTCGGGTAAATAGAAATTCAGTATGGCGTGCGCTTTTAACGTGGTTACTGTATGGTGTATTAATTAGGCTCATGGCGGGTGACCCATGACGCACAGATGGCCATGATGTCACTCTGACAATCAGACGCTAGCGGTTAGATTAGATTAGATCCTGAAAGTCACTCCCCGCTACGCATCTGCGGCGGCCCGTTGACGCGAAGGCCGTTGTTTGACATGGATGGCGTAATGAATAAATTATGTGTATTCTGTACTACATGCATAGTGGTGCAGCAAGAATGGTGATACAGCGAATGAGAGCGAGAGAAATGATACGATACGAAGTGCGCACAATCCCAGACACCGATAATGATAGCAAGGCATCGACATCCGTACTTTTGTAAAGTTTTGCCGTTTACTTCTTCAGCGAGCCAATGACCGCGTCAGGTGCATATCGAGGAATGACCTTGGGGTCGTGCAGCATGTTGAACTCCTCCGTGGCGTCCCGTCCGGCGTAGAGCATGATGGCCTTCTCTCCTCCTGGATGATCCGGAAGGAACTACTCGAATGGTCAGTATCAAGCATTGGACACAAGACATGGTGAACTGACCTCAGTAACATCCAAGACCTGACCATCGATGACTACCCAGACATCATCCTTCTTGGTGTGCTTCGCAACCTCCTCCATGGTGTACTGGCCAGTCTTGCCAACTGGTGTCGGTGATGAAGTTGTGGCAGCGGGAGCGGAAGGTGTAGGGGCAGATGTTGATGGTTGAGATGAGAGTTGTCCGGCGAGGGCACCAAGACGACCGCCGGCCTTCTTCACAATCTCGCCCGTGGTCTGGAGGAGGTATGCGGCTGCTGAATCACCGGATACACGGCCGAAGACAACACAGCCAAGAAGGGAGGAGCCACCGAGGCGGTTGGCACCGTGTACACCACCAGCAACTTCGCCAGCTGCGAAAAGACCAGCGATGGGTTTGCCGTCATGGCCGATAACACGGGATTGGTCGTCGATCTCGAGACCACCCATGGTGTAATGGAGGACGGGGGTCATAACAGCGACGTTGAAAATGTCGTCATATTTCCACTCTCCAGAGAAGAACTGTGATTCGAAGTTTAGACGTGCACGTTGCATAACGAAAATGTGGGTACTCACTTTCTTTCCGAAGGGATCCTTCTTGGTGCGGACGCTCTGGTTGTAGTCCTCAAATGTCTTCTTAAGAACCTCAGGCTTGAGGCCGAACTCCTTGGAAAGCTCATCGCCATTTTCGAAGCGCTTCATGAGTCCACGACCGACGTAGTGCTTGCAATGCCACTCAATTTCCTTGGAAGCAGGACCGTTGAGCACAAGGCGAATGGGGAACTGACGAGCAGCCATTAGCATGTGAATAGTAAAGGATCGGGTGTCGATCATCATACCTTGCCGTTCTCCCAGATCTTGCCAGTAACGAAATCACGGTGTTGGAGTTCGTCGACGAAACGCTTGCCCGTGTTGTCGAGCAGAAGACCACCAACGCCACGGAGTGCCTCAGCTGCGAGGAACTTGACCTTAGCTTCGGGCTCCTTAGGGTCAACAAGACCGGTTGGGTGGACCTGGACCTTCTCCATGTCGATTCCGTTGGCGCCGATGGCCATTGCCATCTTGTGTCCATCACCAGTGCAGTGGTCACCATTGGTTGTGGGGAGATTCCAAAGCTCAGGACGATGCTTCTTGAGGAGCGAATCCTCAGAGAAGTCGGCAGCATAACCACCGGTGGCAAGAATGACGGGGCCGTAAGCAGTCTCGGTCTTTCCGCCGTGCGTGTACTCGGCACCGATAACAGCACCAGCCTCATCCTTGACCAACTTGGTGACACGGGCCTTCTTAATGATCTTGACACGTTCGGGGTCGCTGACGGACAAGTCCTCAAGACGCTCTAATTGTGCATAGGTGATGACCTGTGGAAAAGAACGAGGATTGGCCACCGGCTTTAAAGCGGGAGACGGAGCGTATACATACCATGCCGGGGAACTGGGCATCGCCACGATGTGTCCTTGGTTGAGAGTGACCGCCGAGCCGCGCAACCTTCGAAAGGTCGAGAGCGAATTTGTCCTGCAGCCAGTTGACGGCGTCACCGGAGCGGCCGGTGAGAACGCGAATCAAATCATCTCTAGCGAGATCACGAGCCTGAAAAGCAGAAGTATGAGAAATAACCAAGGCAGACCCGTGTATCAGGTTACTCACCGACTTCTTGGTATCCTCGAAGAAGATCTTTGTAGTATCAGGGATGCCCTGCTCTTGCTGTGCCTGCGTGCCAGCACCGTTGATTCCCGATGTAGCCTTCGTTGAGTTTCCACCCATGAAGCTGAAGCACGATAAGTTCCTCCCCCCAAAAGGATAGAAAACGGATCTGCTTACCCTTGCTTGTCGAGCAACAAAACGCTTGCGCCACGCTCGAGGAGAGTGTGAGCAGCAGAGAGACCGGCGAGACCGCCACCAACAACGATGACCTGAGCCATTTGAATGTGTGTGTGCAAGAGGGGGATGGTAGTGGTAGAGGATAGAGAACTGTCCAAGAGCGTCGCCTCCCCGGCTCGATACTTATAGCCGCTATCGACGGCTCGGACCAATCACAGGATTTCAGTTGTACCATGGGATTCGCATGTGATTCCCCTACTATTGACCGAGCCGGCTGCTCAATCAGGAAAGTCGGCTTTTGGCCGGGATGCCGTCTCCTATTTCCCGGGGTAGGCGCCATTTAGCGCCCGCCCATCCGGTGTTAAACATATTTTGAACCTGAGCAATACAAATGCGTGAAGTAAAAGGGCGGTCTGGAGGGACACATGTGCGTCCAGACCCGCACCATCAGACACGCTAGTTATAAACGATTCCTGCTCATGTGGCTTACAATCCCAAGCTTGGGCGCGACTTTGGATTGGTACGAGCGGACTTGGTGCATCCGCCTCCTGATGTCTGTTTACACCGTCTATGTGCTTAATCAGCCGTCGGGTGTAATTCCCCCAAGGCACCGTCCAATACGCTGCAGCACTTCTCCACGGCGTTCCCCATGGTCATCTCCAGTGTTTCTAATAACACAAGCTTATCCGCATCGCTCGCGAGTTTCCCGTGCTCGACATCGCCGTCCACAAATAGGTGGCGATGCGCCTCAACATATGCCGGATATACGATGTTCTCCCAGTACTGAGGGGGATCGCGCCATAGTGCACCCTCTAGAAGATCGATTTGCACTCCGTACGGAAAGCCAAGGAACACCGATTGTCAAATATTTGTGGAGGAAGTGGGGAATTAGAGGTTTTGACGTTCATTGAGGAGTGGCATAGCGGCCAAGGACGACGGGTGAGCCGTGCGGACATTGAGCGCGGGGTGAATATACGATCGTGTATACAGTTTGGTGATTCGCGAGCAAGAAAGAAGAAGAGAGTTCTTGTAAATGGCAAAGAACACGCCAAGGAATAAACAAGACCTCTCACCTGCAGTGTGATATCCGTGTCTGTCATGACGCCTCTTCTTCAATGCGTCGTGTGGCACCCTCAGGAAGAACTTCACGTCCAATTGGTCCACTACATCCTAACCAGACGCGTCGGAATTCGGGCTGGCAAGACTTATTGATCATAGCTTACATGATTCCAATAAAGCAAGAATCCATCGACCAAGCCCCAAATGATCTTCTCTTTGGTCTCTGCCTCAAGCTTTTGTTGGAGAGCTTGAAAGTGAGCTCTCCACTTATCAGCGAGCTCGTCGGGTACCGGTACAACTTGCTGTTCGTTGAGATGATCGTGGCTTCGATGATCGGGCGGGATTACTCCTGTCTCCTTTACATGTCGGAGAAATGTGACCATACGAGCCCATGAGATGGCTCCTGGGGCAGAGTCCCAATCCTGGACTCCGTGTACGGGATGAAGAGGCACTTCTTCCATTGGCTAGAAATCCATCTAGTCATCTACACAAGTTGAATTCTGCAAGTCCTTACTGGGGCAAAGTCCTAATGTTCTAGCTAATTTGAGCTTAAGCAACATGGTATCCACACTGAGTAACGCACGTCTTGATGGATGATCACGCTGTTAGGAAGGATCCGCCTGAGATGTTTCGCAAGCGTTGTCTTCCCAGAACATGTTGCACCGCTAAAAGCGAAGATCAGGCCCACGGACACTATATCTAGAACAGACCTAGACTGACCCGACGCCGACAAATATAACCTTGGTAGGTACGTCCTGCTCATCTGCCCTCGGCGCGGGCTGGGCGGCAGGTTGTGGGCTTGTAGTGTGTTCGTCGCTCATCTCGTTGGAACAGGGATGAGATAGGAGGCTGCAGCTGAGCGTACCAGGAAACTATATTAAGGCTATGTGGCCGATTATAGATGGGGGGAGCTGGGGGGCTTCAAGAGCCTCAGAAGTCGAAAATATACTCGTCAACTAAAAAAGCACACACCCACCAGGCTCAACAGTTCGCGCCGGAGAGATTGAGAGCCTAAAGATAAGAAAGATAAGATAATCTTTGATCTTGTTCGGACCTGACTCCGATTTAGAACCTTGTCAGAGGACCGCTCACGAAGGTAGGAAGTGCTAACCCGAAATCGTTTACTACGATATTGTGGGTAAGAGCTGGACCTACGGTCGAATATTGAATTCAACTGTGCCATCAAGTGGTCGACTAGCCATGTTTGAGCCCTAGGATACCCATCATGCATCACAGCTCGTCTTGTTTCTTGCCGTGGATAATATATTCTCAAAGAAGCACAGGGCATTGGACACTCAGCCGCCCACCATGATACATGAAGCGTCTTTTTTCCCTCCAGAACAAATGAATCTGTTTCTCGCATCACTGATCCATGTTTATAGGCGATTGTTGTTGATAGAAACATATGATATCGGCTCAGCAACGAGCGATAGTGTCGAGAACGATATTCTGCCGGGACATCAATTATATTTATACCAGTCCACTGATCTGAACAGCAAATTTGTTGGCGTTCGATGACAGGCGACACACGGCCCCCTGCTGTTGCAGAGCTGCTCTCCTGACCAGTTTCAAACGGAAAAAACTTGCAGATTGAGCGGCGGCGGCTGTCATGCTGTTGTCAAGAGCTGGTTTGAATTGCCAAAACGAACTCGAACTGGATGCGGAGTGCGCGAGTGGCTTGCTTGAATTGCAATGTTTTCCAACATAGAATGAGTTGCAGCCGGACTCTGAAAGATATCGGCTAAGCCTAACAGGGGTTTGAGCTTCCTCATGGTGCTCATCCTGCTTTAAGACCTTCTCTCCCATGCCGCGCGAACGAAGTGGAAGCCAAAGCTCCAGTGATAGCAGCTCGTCTGGCCATGAACAATCTAGGACCACGCGCGGCTCACAGGCTGCCGCGCGTATGACCATGGCGGTTATTCTCGGGGTCACACAATCAGTACTCTTCAGAATGAACGACGACGACGATAACGAACGAACCCAATTGCTTGGCCAGGGGAACCAGAATGGTGATGGAAATGACAGCAATAAGGAGACTCAACCCAATTCAAAGACTCGAGCTGCAGTTTGGGGCGTTCTCACTCTCTTGTTTGTGATAGGGCTGGTTCCGCTGCTGGCCTTTCAAGATAAGTTGCCGGAAGAGCTATTTCCGTGGCTAGGCAGGTTGCCTAGTGATCCTATGCTGGCAGCGCTGAGCATCCTTGACAAGGCCCCGGTCATCGTACGTGACGGCAGGCCTTTAAATACACTCGACTGATCATTCTTGCGCGTACAGGACGGACATATAGGTAAATGTCGTACCTTGTCAATGTCGGTAGAACCGTTTTTCATGGTTTCGCCGCAGACCTACCTATGCTTGCGCGGTTCCTGTACAAGAACAATGTCACCGCCATAGACCTCGACAGCCCTATGCCTGCTCACGTGGATATACCTCGGTTGAGGGAAGGCAAAGTAGGAGGGTTCTTCTGGTAAGAGATGCGGAATTCGGGTATACGTTATTCAATCAATAATTGGACAGGTCGGTCTATGTCGGCTGTGCCGACCCACAGGAAGAAGGAAAAGATTTCATTAACGCTACTTGGCGTGTTCGGTATGCTGGCCCTGTGCCTTGTCTATGACTGTCTTGATGTCTTGACACGTTTTCCAGCGATACTTTGGAACAAATTGATGTAGCCCGTCTCTTAATTGACAAGTATCCCGAGGTTCGTTGCCATCCCAAACACACTTACATTACGGCCTGACAAGCATCTGTTGAACTAGACCTTTCAATATGCTGCTACTTCCGAGGACGTAAAAACTGCGATTCGCAGCGGCAAGATAGCCAGTCTTTTGGGCGTAGAAGGGTGAGCGTGACCTTCCCTATACTCGTCAGAGATGTGTATAACCCCTCCCGTCGTTCCAGAGGACACCAACTCGGCAACTCGTTGGCCGTGCTAAGACAGTACCATGCATTGGGCGTCCGTTATATGACTTTAACTCACACCTGCCACAACGCCTTCGCAGATTCTTGCGGCATGGCACCAGGGAAGAAACCCCTGCATCATGGGTTGAGGTATGACCACATCCTGTCAATGTCTGACTACCATTCTCATGATGTTCGCAATAGTGCGTTCGGCCGATCGCTAATCGACGAGATGAACCGACTAGGAGTATTAGTTGACTTGTCACATACTTCGGATGATACAGCAAGACAGGCCCTTCAATATTCCAAAGCGCCGGTCATATGGTCCCATTCTTCCGCCAGAGCTGTTCATGATGTACCACGCAACGTTCCGGACGATATCCTTGCGTTAATAGGCCCCGGTAAAGGCCAGAACGATGCCGTTGTTATGGTTAATCAATCTTCGCAAGTTGTTGCAAAAATTGCTTTCTGATTCCTTCTGACAGGTCAATTTCGCACCGGCGTTTGTAGCCAAGCCAGACGAGGCCAACGTCGAAACAGTAGCCAACCACGTCGACCATATTGCCCAAATAGCAGGTAAAGAACAGTCAGTATTCTCCCCCTTAGCTATCCGCCTCCATGAATTCTAACCATACAACAGCGTTGGGATAGGAAGCGACTTCGATGGCATAGGCGACACTCCAAAAGGATTAGAAGATGTCTCACAATATCCAGCTTTGGTATGTCCTCCGGTCTTCTGTCCGACTAGACACGCTCAATAAAATCGGTTTGTGGTAGATTGCCGAACTATACAAACGTGGATGGAATAAGTACGAACTTGCAGGGCTTACCGGGGCTAACTTCCTTCGCGTCTTCGAAGGGGCGGAACGTGTGGCCAGGGACATTCAGATATCTGGCCGGCGTCCTAACTTCGATCTATACAAGAAAAGGCCGGATCTCTAGAATACCTCCAAGTTGCCTGTGGGGTAGCATCGACAAGGGTTGTTCTGAAAGGGGTTGTAGCAGGTTTTCCAAGGACACTGAGGACACTTCTGCGCACGTTGCAGTTTGCATAGCCACCGAGATCAAATATATATACAGCGAAGGTGGAGTATATAGGACCATCTACTTGAACAACTTGATGAGGATTGCCACCCGAGCCCTGGGAGCGCGGATATACGATGGCCTATAACAGACCAGCTTTAGAAATGTGTCTTTTGAGGATTGCATCGTGGACTAAGGTAACGAATTAATGGTGCGCAATGTACAAATCGAGATATGTTCACATACCGCCAAATAGTGTGAGTGCCGTTGCCTTCGTGTCCTATATACAGGTATACTTCTGGATTGGCTGTTCTCGTAAATGTGAAGGACTCACGACAACTGAAGTAAAATGAGAATACAGACGGCGCTCTTGCTTGTCCCCCTTCTTGAATATGTCCTTAAATGCTTTGTGGAAGACTACCGTAGCTGGCATCAGCCTAGATACAACATTGCCCAGCACAACGCTCACATTCGGTCACAGTTTTGAAATCATTCGGTCTACTCCCAAAGTCAAGAACATAATCCCGAACTTTGATCCTCTTGTCCTTCAATTTCTTGGCAAGAAGGTCACATTTATTCATGAACAGAATGATCTGCACATGTGTCAGTAAACGACTTTCGCAGAGCATCTGCCAAAGCATGTAGGTATCTTGTAAGCGGTTCACTCGGCGTCCTTCGTGTATCCATTCGTCGAAGGCTGAAATGGGAGCCAGGAATAATATGGTCGTTACATCTGTGAAATAAGGAATCCATGCGGCCCGCTGGGTGCGACAGCCAGCGACATCGTACATCACCCATTCGGTTTGCGGGCCGTCAGCTTCAAGCTACGTTGGAAGTAGCACATGCCATCAAATGCGGTTATCACGCACCCGTGTCCAATGAAAATCGGTATTCCTGTACACCGAGTGTGCGCAAGCGAGCGCGTACGATGTCCTTGTCTGACGGTTCGTAGCCTCGGGAGGCAATCCGGTCCACGTCGTCCAAAAAACTCAAACCAAGTCAATGCATAGCCGAGAGGTATGTAAACATTATCTCACAATCCCGGGTTATCTCTAAGTTTGACATTGTGACGAGCGAGAAGGTCTTGGACTGTATCATCAGACCACAGGGCGATGATATCATCCTTGCACCTATAGAGCAGATCAGAGACTTCCTCTATGGGGTGGCCGTGTCTCCGTTTGCTGATTGATCTTGTCGGGCTTCCTGTTGCGATATCTTGGGTTCTCTCAACCGAGTCTAGGACGCCCTTCCACCCCGAATGAGAGCGCACAGATATCTCTGGAAAGCTATGCCCGGCTCGTCGGGTATTACTTACTTGCGGTCGAGAACCGAGTTGTGATGTGGCTGAAATGGTAGCGGAACTAAAGAGGCGTTCCAGTATCTCCTGTATTCGTCGAATGGGTCCCAGACGAAGCAGCAGGACCTGAAGGTGACTGGATAAGGTGGGAGGGCGATGCGAATCTTCCCTAGCTGGAGCGTTAGTGTGAACTTGATCCCAATGTCAAGCCACCGGCTAACCTCAAGGCATCGGGCTCCGAGCCAAGTATAGTGGTGATGCAGTTCACGGATCTCACAATGTTCAGGTAAATTATCGGCCGCCATGAATTCCGCTCCTGTGCCCAAGCTTGACGGGCGTAGGTCATTTGGAAATCTGTGGGGCATTGTCGGCCTAAGCGCCTCCAAGCATCGTACGTACGCGTCCGTCCGCTTACTTTTTATAGTCGTAGTCTTTCCTGCACTAGACTAAGCGTTCGGGTAAGCGTTGAGTAAAGGTAATACACAAACCAGATTCTGATTGACCAAGCACAAGAACTTTCACTGGTGGCTTCTTCTGCAACGCGATACGCCTAGCCTTGAGCTCGGCGTCAATACGCTTACTGGTTTCAAGCGCCACGGCTTCTTGTGCAATCCGCGCCTTTCGAACATCTGGTGTTTCGAGAAGCGGCGGGGCAACATTTTGAGCAAACGTATCTGTTGAGTTGAAGTTGAGCATTGCGAGAAGCAACAGGACTCCTGGGACGGCAGAGATAGCTTTATCCTTTGCACCCCATCGCCACCCAATGGAAGCTCCAGGGCTCGGGATGATGGCGAAAAGGACGACCTTTAAGTCAACTGGCCGCCATCTTTACTTCCACACGCCTGCACCCTTGAATCTCCTGTGGCCCCCTTCCCTGCGAGTAGCGTGGGAGCGTGGGAACAGGGTGCATTCTAGACGGAAGTGGCGCGCATCTGGGGAGCAACTGACGCGGCATAATCGTACATCGGCACACTTGAACGACCGAGATGTGAGTGGGCGCCTACACTGTTCGGTACGACTCGAATGCAAGACGAGCCTGTGATGCTGTAGCTACGGCTGTGAAACTTCGGCTATCCTCGCCGAGCTTTTCCCACTCGGCTGCGCAGTCCTCGCTGTTAAGGATGAATGGAACCCCCACGCCCAACGAGACCTTCAATCGTATGCGCTGAATTTCTGATGGCGTGTGCGTTCTGCTGTTTGTCGTTTGTCGTTACAGCACCACCCTGAGCTCTAGCCGATCGTGAGACGAACGGGTCAATCGTACATTGCCGCCGGAGGACATCACTGCACCCCTGAGATGGGATCGGAACCGCCCTGGACAACGAAACCGGTTCGTCCGAGGGATATGCCCGGCTTACTTGTATTGCACTTTGACTGGGGTCGCATGAGTGTCCACGACGATGCGTATAGGCCGGAACAGGTGCGTCGATCATCGAGAGAAATATTCTTTTCGCCGGAAGCAATGAGCAGGGAGGAGCAACGGAGGGAGTGCGGAACGCGAGTGGCGACTAGAATTTTGATCATGAACTGTGGTGTTGTCTGCAACATGGTGTTTGGATTCCATCAACACATAATCTCCTGGCAGAAGGCCTCTTTGATCACCGTGCTTTGATGGTATCGTGAGATGGAAACTATAATAAACAGTAGGAATATATGACAATTGACAAGAGTGCGAAGGCACATACCAGTTACCAGTGAGCGATGCTTAAGCTTCCATACCCAGGTATATTGGCATGGCGGCCAACTTCGGAAAAGCCGCCGCCCGCCCAAACATAGATGGTGCACATGGTAGCTCTGCTAAGCGAGCGGTATCATCATTTACATCCCGAAACGGGTTCAACGCGACGTCTAGGTTGCGACAAAACGGGAGAGAAAACCACCAAAATAGAGTGGAATAAATTGCGAGCAGCGTGATCGAAGTTCAGAACACTCAGTGTGCACATAATTTGAATTGTGATGATGATCGGGTTTCACGAGGAAGGCGCAAGGTCTCCGCTCTCGACTGTACGCGCAACGATTCACGGAGCGCAACTAAGAATACTCACTATGATACAGGGTTCTCCAGGCGACACTAGTCCTCTTCCATGTCCTCGCCTCTCTCCCGCCGCTTCTCTAGCCGAGTCTTCATCACTTGCTTGGCTTCGTCTTTCGCCTTTCCCAACATGCCGGCCTTGGCCAGCGCAAGGAGGATACCGTAGGCAAGACCGGTATGGTTGTGCCGCCGTAAGCTATTTTCAAACTAAGCATAGAAGATGGTTAGTCAGTCTAGCGGGGTGAAGTCGCCGGAAGATATTCACCGCCCAACGTTCGCGTTTGGAATTTTCGTTCGCAAGTCTAGCCACAATCTCAGCGGCCTCAGAGTCGAGACCGGCAGACTGGAGCTGGGTCAACTGAGCCTGCAGCGCGGGTAGGGGGTCATCGCGCAGTGCTAAGAGGCTGAACTCTAGCTAGAAGGACATCAGTCAGTAATAGATGAACACCCGACGAATAGGCGACGTACAGCGCCGGGAGGATAGGTGGCTATTCGAGCTTCGATTACTTGACTAAACGAGATATACAGGACGTAATACATGTGCCGAAAGCGTGGACTTACCGAGCTCTTTGAAGCCAGCCCTCACCAGCTTCAGGGTATGGTCCGTGGTTCACTGGATGTTGCTTTAAGCCGTCCAGTTCGTAAACAGATCCCATAAAAGGGAGGTACACCACGAAGTGGTATGCATCTTCGGACTTCTTCGGCAAACCTAATTCGTCCAGAGAGATAGCGCTGGGGGGCGAAAGAGCGTTATGAGCTTCTCGGAGCCAGTCCGCGCTGGTAATTACCAAGCCGCGAGTCTGAGGATCCATGCCCGTGGTGAAACTATTGAGTTCAGCAAGTTCCGGCCCGCTTGCCAGAGAGGGAATATTCCCGAGAGCGTTTAGCACTGCAAGTGTTGCGCAAGCGTTATTAACGACCTGATGAGCGAAGAAGCCGGGAAACTCTGGATCGGGGACCCCAGATGAGGCTGAACTGGAGTCTGAGGCGGATTCCGGTATCCATTTGAAGAGGAAAATTAGGGCATGAAGGGGCTGTAGCAAGGCGAGTGATTCCGAGTCGAGAGAGTAGAGATCGTCGACAATGAGCGGTACACCCAGTCGTCTCAATAGTTCGCTGCGAAGGATCGGAATCGAATTAATGGTGGTGCACCTCTAAGTCGCGAGAGAGCCCCTACGTGAACACCCCTGGGTCGGATTCTGTAAGTTGCCAGCCTCCTGACTCTTCAGTACTAGACATCGCGAGATTCGGTGGGGATGGGAGGAGGGGAGTGGCTGCAGTGACCGACGCGTCAGTCGGCCCATAAAATTGATGGCAGGCACGTGAGCGCTGAGCTTGGCTCGGGTCCCTGGAACAAACAATCCTTCAAGTTACCACTTCAATCGTCGTGTAGATAAGTCGGCTATGGATCCTGCAGACGATAATGCCCAACCCACATCACCCAGCAGCACGGATCCCAAGGCTGTCAACAGAGCCCGATTTGAACTGGAGCTGGAATTCGTGCAGGCTCTCGCAAATCCATTCTACTTACACTCCCTGGCGCAACAGAACTTCTTCGAGCAGCCAGCGTTCATAAATTACCTGGAATATCTGCTTTACTGGAAGGAGAAAGAATATGCGCGTTTCATACAGTACGTTTCCCACATACACCTCCGCGTATTCGAGTGCGGAGCACTGATCATGACGGGATAGTTACCCACATGCCCTCCATCATCTCGAGTTGCTGCAGACCCCGGAATTCCGAGCGATGATGAAGAAAGACGAGGCCCTGAGGGAATATCTGCAGCAAAAACAACACGATCACTGGCGGAGCTGGTTTGTGGTCCATTGCCTTGCAGGTGGATGGATGCACTCATTCTGTAGGCGAGATCCCAATCATCTGAACCGTACCAAGCAGCCCGTGGCTTCAGAATCTCACGATGAGGGGGGAAACCCCACCTCCACCGGCACAAACCCAACTTGAATTGACAGTCCTTGACTCATTCGGTGTTTCTTGGGCAATGTCCAGCATGACCATGGTGCCTTGAGGCCTCTCTTCTGCATTCTGGGGTTGGTACTTGGCGCCGATTGACAGTAAATTGCTTTCTTCGATCTTCTCACTCGGACTTGCAGTGGATCATCCGTACAGCATTTGATGGGCTTTTACATATAAACTGTATATTTCGAGGACGGGCACGCGCTAAGAAAGTGTCCCAGAGAAGCGTAGTGCTGCGATCATGAATTATATCAGATAGCCTACGTGTAACATTCAGTGTGCCGGATTCTCACGCTCTACTCACTCGACCGCCATGGTCCACGAGTCTCATGACTATGCGCCGACGCGTCAATCTCATTCGGTGGAGGTGTATCCTGCGGACGAGTACGACCTGGACCATGCAGGGCACCTCAACGTCCATCTGGCTTCGATAGCCGAGAAGAAGAAACTTTGGTGGAAAAATGCCATCATAAATACAGCATTCATTGCATCGTGGTGAGTAGCCTCGGCCGGAGGACAGGCAGTGAATCTTGCGCTCTTCTCGAGAGGGGCGCGCCATTGACCGAACTGCGTTAGGTTCCTATTCGCGACCGTCCTCTCCTTGTACAACAAATGGATGTTCTCTCCAGAGCACCTCGGCTTCGGCTTCCCCCTCTTCGTCACAACCCTACACATGTTCGTGCAATTTGCATTGGCTGCTCTTCTGAGGTTGTTTTGGCCTGGACGGTTTCGGCCACCACGGTCTCCGAGCCGTGCGGACTATGGGTGAGTCTCGATTACGCATGGTGTTAGAGAGGTGTTGTGTCTCTTGCTTTCCCTGGGCTCTACGTCAGTCAGATAGCCCTCCAATGCCCTAGCGTGCCCGTAAAGCACGACTAGCTGGCTGCGTTATCGCGGTGGCCCTTGCCACATTGGCATGGCGGTCGTGCTGGCGATCGACGCGCATTGGCGCTGTCTTAGCCTCAGTATGCTGTGCTCTGTGTACTTCTCCATCTCCGGAGATTAGATTTACCTTTACCTCTGCGCTGGCCTTTGATGTGGTGGCGCGAACAAATTCCGCGATCCTGAAACGCGCTGCCCAAAGCGAGCCGGGGAGGATTATTCCTGGGCGTGGATGCCTTCCAAGGCGGCCGCGTATTGCGTGTCCGTGTCGTATTCATGGCATTGCTGTGGGTATATCGACAGCAGGCCGATCTGATCAGCGCATGGTCTCATAGCGATTGACTGCGATCGAAGTCGTCACGTACTGGCTCGGATATCTATCACACCGTATACGCGACTGTATTGCTGACTGTGGAGTTGGTTCGTAGGAAAAAAGCAGTTCCGACTGCTATAGCGACGAGTCTTGATATTGGCCTCTCAAATCTGTCGTTGAAGACCATAACTCTATCATTCTACAGTTCGTGTCCGATTTCACCCATATCCCGAGTATGATGGACACTAACCGCTTCAACGAACTTGTTTCGTGAATGATAGCCATGTGCAAATCGTCATCACTGATATTCGTGCTGCTGTTCGCTTTCCTCTTTCGTCTGGAGAAATTTTCCTTCCGTCTCGTCGGGGTCATATTCTTGATCTTCTGCGGCGTGTTGTTAATGGTGGCTACCGAAACCCATTTCATCTTGACTGGGTTTATTTTGGTCATCAGTGCTAGCGCACTTGGCGGGTTTCGCTGGAGTCTAACGCAGCTGCTGCTCAAGGACAAGAAGATGGGTATGGACAATCCAGCGGCGACGGTGTACTGGCTTGCACCCGCCATGGGTGTGACTGTCGGGATTGTCAGTGCGATCGTAGAAAACTGGGTAGTTGTCTTCCAAAGCCCCCATTTCTCAGGACTCGGAAGGATACTGCGAACCATCCTCTATCTCATATCCCCCGGGGTTGTCGCATTCTGTATGGTCATGAGCGAGTTCTAGTAAGTTGCTTAATTTTCATCCGTTTGAAAATGCTCTGACATCTTTTTTTTTGCTGAATCTAGCATTATCCAGCGAGTAGGAGTTGTGCCGATGTCTATTGCTGGAATAGCCAAAGAAGTCACTACGATAACGTTATCGGCCTGGTTCTTCGGCGACCAACTGACCCCCCTCAATATAACCGGCGTAGGAATTACCGCGTGCGGTAAGGAAGTCAGGATGGCCCCACGGTACCCGCTTCTCTGACGCTATGACTGTACAGGCATCGCTCTCTTTACCTTCCACAAATATCGCAAGTCGATAGAATCTACGGTTCCGCTGGATGCTCACGGCAATCCCATTACCCCTGATGACCTCAGCGACATAGAAGACGGAGGGTATACGACGGCGTTACGAGAAACGGATACTCTAACATCGCAGACTTCGCAAGAATCCGAGGTAAGCGAGCTTGTCGGTCAGCGAAGATGAAATGTGTGGTTTTAATGAATGTGGTGTGGCTTGTTACAGGAATTTCCGAGTGATAACGCCAGGCTATTGTTCTCTGAGGACGAGGGCGAAGGTGATGCCGAGGAACTTCGGAGCATTCGTTCTTCCAAAGTTCGCCAGTACTCCGGCTATTCCGGTGCGAAGACGGAGCATGAAGAACAACTTCCTCTCGTGTCCGAAGATTCTGGTCATTCGCGGGCACACATGGACCTGTAATGGACATCTCAATGCATAGAGTATCCACTGATTGTATGAATCTAATAATTCACATTATATATTTAGTAGAAAATATCAAGGACCTCATTACTCTGAATGGACCGCGCCGCGTCCATGTGACTGTTGTCGCCTAATATACGTTGACTGCGGTTTATCGGGATTCTCTCACCTGGAGACTCGAGGCCGACATCTTGTTTGCTTGGGCATCAAGCTGTGGTGCCTATTCTCATGGCTACGGTCGACTTTTTCGTAATCATGCGACGGTCTGACAGTGTGGGCCTCTCATTTGCAGGCTTGACTCGGATATCATTTCCCTACTTCAAACTGCCTGCTGTTGCCTTTGTGTTTGTGCAGTCGTCGGACAGGCTCCGTGATTAAGTACCTGAGTCACGGTGATCGAAGTGTATTGCAGACGAAAACCTGGGAGACCGTAGCAGACGGAAGCTTAAAAAGAGGGACTGGAAGAGTGCGGCTTGAGCAGGCGATGTATGTCAAGTGTATACAAGGCCGGAAGCAGGACGGGGTGATGGGGACTCCTTCAGGAAAGACGCCGCGGGTTGCCACGTGTGTGGTTTCGCTGATTAGGCAAGACCGGCTTGGCTTGGATCGGAGGCTCGTCGTTACATAAAATTGCTAGGCGACTGAAACAGTTCGTCTCTCAGCATGTGAGAGATCGGATCGGCTCAAATATTTCTGGTTTCATGGCCAACCACGAATATAAGGATGCGCGCCAGGACAGAGACCGTTACACCCGTGACTGTCGCAGCCTCGAGGTTATTATATAGTCTTCGCCTCTTTCTTCTGCTCTCTCACTTTGTCTCATTCACCGCCATGGAGGACTCTTTCCAATTCATCATCGAATCCCCTCAGCACAACCAGGGTCACAAAAAGCGTCCGCGTCTCGTCACTTCCTGCGACAATTGGCAAGTAGGCCCATTTGTCCAGGGCGTCCTTGTCGTCTCATTCTTTGTACCAGCCGTCTCAAGAAGATAAAGTGTCTCCAGCCCTCGCCAGAGTCAAAGTGCGAGGCATGCAAGACGGCCAAGATCCCTTGCAAGTTCAAGGATCGCGAACGCTACTTCGCAGAGCGCAGTCGGGCCATAGCAGGCTCCAATGTACCTTCATCATATGGGGATGAACGAAGGTGAGTAATTTACCGTTAGGCCCATTCACAGACCCGCTGAATAGCCACAGATCTAGTAGTAATCCCGCCCTGGACGCCTTCTCAGTGGCTTCGAGTTCATCGAGCCCCGCATCGTCGCACTCGGGACCCAGGTCGACTTCGCATTCACCAAAGGCGAGCGGCGTGGTTTGTGCAGATGGCAGCGACTATAACAGCCGCTACCCGTCTTACCCTCCGGATCCCCGCCGCGCGACCAGTCCGACATCTCGCCACACCCCGTCCTCGTCGATATCGTCCTATCACAGCAATACACGCGGTGACTCCATGGGATACAACTTTATTCCAGCTGGCCCGGCCCAGCTATTGCAAAGCACACATCAAGCACGATCCCCCTCATATTCTTCACGAGCCCTGCATCTCTATGACTCGGACCAATCCCAACGGCCGCACCCCGATTTAATGCCTCACTTCATCCAGTTGTTCTTTGAGCAGTTGGGATCGGAGTTTCCCTTCCTGAACTATCAGGAGATCCTCGCTGAGTTCTGGGAAGGGACACTACCGCCGCTTCTTGCAAATTGCATAGCAGCTTTGTCAGCGCGGTGAGCATCCTTTGTCGCGTCCACATCCAAACGCCGTGGACTCATCAGCTCGCAGGTACTCTAATCTCCCCGACCTCGCCGTCAGGGGTCTGCATAATGTGTCCGAGTCTTATTCGGAAACCGCTAAAGTGGGTGCTCCCCTTTGTACTCAACTTGTCGCGTGTATTCAACGGTCCACCTCGTGTTTGCAGAGTATATTGACCGCCGTTGCTCATCTCCCAAACATGGACACACTCCACGCTCTGATGCTGGTCTCATGGCTAGAGTACAAGAACAATAGAATTTCCAGTGAGTTTCCCACTCGCCCGCCATCATATTGTTCCGGGTGCTAATGGGTCCGTCCGCAGGTTTCAAAGTTTATTGTCAAATGGCAATGAGCATGGCTATCGACCTCGGCCTTTCTGATCAACACACAATACAAATGAACCCTAGTGAGGTTGAACGCAATCGCAGACGGTCTACGTGGGCGAACATCGTCCAATTACACTTAACGGCTTCATCGGGTACGTGTTTCGATTACATGCCCTCGGCAGACAATTCTGATGGTTCCCTCCCACCTTAGTTCGCGCCTAGATTCTTACTCAACACTCATCACGCAATTGCAATATTCATGTTAATATCCACGCTATCATGTATGTTACGCTATCTAATAACTAATGCATAATTCGGATCACTGGCTACTCAAATATCTTTCGTATTCCTGTGTGCGAGCTGGCTTCGGCGCGCATTGTAATCGTAGGGTTCCCGGCAATTGCCCGGTGATGATGGTGGGATAAAAATACGCTGCCGTGACGCCAATCATGATGATGGGCAATGACTGGAGTGGCTTAGGGGGGCGATGGCTTGGGAAGGTCGGTCAGCCTGGCCACTGTAAAGGTTGCGAGTGGAGTTTGAGGAACATCTGGACAAATAGTCTAGAGACAAACGAGGGTAGGAGCATATGGCGCACACAATTTAGGTGCGTAGCGTGTTACCACAGATCGCCAAGTCCGGAAGTATTCATCAAATCGGTGGTGGAACGTTATCCAGATATCCACTGCTCTTTCCATATGATGCACCAGCTCGATTACAACTTCCACGTTGTATTCGGAGTGATGGTGGTGAACACTAAATGCAAAAATCGTATTGCCAGGGCCAGGCGTTTCGTTATGTGGCGCTGCGATTACTGACTTGTGCTGACCAGGACCAAATGATCGCATCTGGGACTTGTGTTTATGCGAAGTCGATGAGAGGGTGTGCTGTATTGTGGGAAGAATTGACCGGCATCTCTAGTCGGCTACTCAAGGACTGCAAGCGTCCAAGCACAAGGCTGCCACCGTCCTCCCGCTTGCCGGCATTGCGCCCTGCTGATTGCAGACCAGAGGAGCTAGAATGGCCAAATCATCTCATCAGATACAGGCCCCATCACAGTCCTCGAAACTTTATAGATGTCATTCATTAGAAGGCACCCCCATGTGTGCTCATGGAAGCTGCCATCATTTACAAGGACCATGTTCTAGACAGTCCTTCTGGTCAGATGCTCGCTTTGGAATATGGAAGGAGCCACCTTGACAATTTACTGCCAACTGATCCCCAATTCAAAACACCACCGATGGGTATCAAGTCGCTGAGTCTTTACTTCCAACATCCCATATGGACTCATCTGTCACGAATGATGGTTTGTCAGTGCCTAACGTACACCATAGCATGCAACTGATGTGTGCGGGTAGAAGGCGGTATTCGTTTCACACCCTTGTCGTTTCCGTGATATTGAGAGTTCAGCGCTCTTCTCGGAATGCGCCTTATGCCCCGCAGCGTGGTCGAAGCGTCGCTTCTGGTTGCTTAGTGCCTTCATCAAGTCCCCCAGGCTTTGCAGCGAACAGTCCTTCTAGCTCGGTGGCTCGCCCACATTAACTCAAGTAAACTCTTCATCGAGACTATGCTGAGCCAAGCAGACTATAATGCCGCGGCTTACCTGCGCATTGCGTCCCTTGCGGTGGCTGGATTTGAGTGAGGTCCTATTTTTTGATGCTAAATCCGTGTGCCCTGACACTCTGCCTTCGCCCTTAGCTTCGTGCAGACTTCACCTGTGGTGTGGAGGTTTTATAGAGACCAAGCAAGTTTAGGGCGTCTCACGTTCGTAGAGCTTCGTACTTATCTACTGGCGTAGATCTCCTGCTGATATAAAGATCCATTTCCCAGGCTTTCTGCACTTCTCTTCTTTCTCATACAGTGGGTGCACTATCTCACAGAGTATATCCGGTGCCATCTCATCGATGATTGTCGGTATGGTAGGTTCGTGAGCATATGCTGCTTGGTCGTTAGCAGTACGGGATTTTTCTATGGCCACTTCACGGATACAACGTGTAGACTGTTCTACCTTGTACCGCCTTCATTCAAGGGTGTGTCTTTTGTATGGAGCCCCCGCCATTCTAAATTTAACGCTTGGCGTCATGAAGTCCTCCAGGCAATGGTGTCTCAAGCCATCATCGGAGTAAGGTAACCCTTCTTATTTCTCCTCTGCACACGCCGATTTCCCATACGCCGTAACAGGGCATACAACCTATCACGACGATCAAAGATTGTAGGATGGACGCTCATCGGTGCTTACGTCGTTGCATGTGCTGTATGTTGCTTTGCCCCCACTCCACTTTGATGGACGGTATCTCACAACCCACGACCACTCGTGCAGTTCCAGTGGATAACAACGCTATATGGAAGACAATGTCCGTCTCATTAATTCTCTGATTACTTGGCGCTGACCTGGTTACTGATAGATGTCGTGTCTCCACAATATGTAAGTTATGAATTCCCTTCACTTGCTGCTGCACTTATTAACTTGCTTGTTATAGTCAAAGTAAGTCATCTCGGGTTAACGGCCTCGTTCAGTAGCCTAATGTCTTCCAGTTGTCGAGGTGCTACCTTGTATCTGAACGGATTGGCAGCTTGGGTATACTATGTCATAGCTATCGCCTATGATCTTACTGCCACAGCAATCTCGGTGTTCTATCTTCTGCAACACAAGATCTCGGCGAGAACTTCTTTGATGTACAGGCTAGCGAACATGTGCGTGGCTTAATGGATTAACCACGCCCGTTGTCCGGTGACTGAGACCTACTTCCCACTCAGGATGCTGTATGACGGCTTGGGCTATTTCTTGCTGCTCACATGTATGTCATTGCCTCTGGTTTAACTATACATGCGTTGATCGGATCGCATCAAGCCGTAAACATTGTAAACCTCATCCTGTATCGAAGCCAAAACCTGCAGGTGAGCATGACGCATCTCCTTGGTTACCTTCTCCCATACTTATTACTGCGTATGCAATCATCAATACTAGACGGCGGCATGTTCTGTTGGATATGCAATAACCTGGATCATGTGTCAACGGTTGTTACTTCATCTACATAGTAAGTATTTCCCTCTCTCTTTCCAGGCCTCCGTTGTCTCACAACGGCGGCTAGACGCATCCATGGACCGTCGAATGGCAAGTCTAGAGGAAGCAGTTACCATAACACAAGATATCGATTCTGCACGCGCGGCGAGTCGCGCGCTACGATCACAGTTCGAGAAGGACACGAGAAATACATTCGACCTGACCGTCCCGGACTTCGACTCGTCGATTGGGGGACACGAATCTGAACTTCCATCACATGTTGATGTACAAGTACGGATAGAAAGGACGGTGAAGGTGGAAATGCGGCCACGGACATTCGAGCTGGAGAACTACTCGCGTTCGGCCCAGTTCAGGTCACAGTCGATGCGGTAGCTTGATTATATTTATCACGATTTCACGATATTTGTATTTGTCGATTTTTATTTTACTACGGGGTAATATCAGGCAATATCTAGCATACGTACTTGGTTGTAAGGGTGTGCCTCCACTAAGGGCAAATAAGGGCTCATCGGACAAATTAGACTTTGCAGCGCGTTCCTGACTATTTACAATCATCCCGCCCTCCCGACTCTTCATGGGCGTGGGAAGAGTCGCGCGTTGTCGTACGCACTCGACGATTCGTCTTGAACTCGAACCACAACGTCCACCATCTGCATGCGATGCTGGCGACGGCAATGGTTGTCCATCTAAAAAAAATCGCGTTCTCACCGTCTTCAACAGCTTTTTCTGTCATTTGACCAATTAAACTCAGTTCCCGTCCTCGCCATCGCGACAAATATCACAAGGGCGTACACAAAGAGCGTCGGGATGCAGAGGCTTGCATCCTTCACGTCAAATGTCCTCGCCCGATGGCTGCCGCTCAGCTACCATGGCGTGCCGCGCCGTGTTTCAGCATGGTGTATCGAAAGTCGTTATGGGGATGCGCCTTAGAGCTGTGTCGTCTCAAACATCTATCCCTTCTTTGTCAGGGAATTAGGACAGTATCGACCGCCCAGTCGGTCCATGCACACCTTGCTGCTAGCCCTCATCTTCGACGTTGACCGTCAGGATAATCATTCCCTCCCTCCCTTCCACCATTTCCGAGGCTGGTCCTCTTGTTGTCATATTCTTTCGTTTCTTGTAATATCAGCTGTTTTGGGACTCAGGATAATTCATGGCCGACGCAATCAAGTTACCCAACGGTGACGTCTTCCAACTTACGGTTCCATATACCGCTAGGGAAGCTAATGGCGTTACTGTAAGTAAACTCAATCCTTCGCATGTCACTAAATCGAATGAAGATATCTTAGGCTCTTGTCGTCATCTCATGCTTCTCACTGGTCGCAGTTGTCGGACTGCTCGGCGCCATTGTGGTGAGTTGGTTTACTTTGTTATCACCCACGACTTAAATCAATTGGTAATGTCTAGCTCTCGGCCTTCAACACGAGGAGCTGGAAGGACCAGAACCTCTTTGTTCGGACTCATGTCGCCGCATACTTCATATCGTTACTCCTGTGCGACTTCTTTCAAGGTCCATTTATTTATGCTACACCGAGTTCGGGCTCTGACATACCACATCCAGCGGTTGGTTCCATTCTCGGCGCGACCTGGATTCGACAGATGGGTGTGCACTATGGGAGCACCTGTGTTGCGCAAGGTAGGAAGTCCTCGGTGATCGGCGATTTGTAGGTCTAACGTTATGTTTCTTGCAGGTGTGCTGAAGCATCTGTCCGATGTTGGATCCGCCGTATGGACACTTGTATGTCTGACAAACAGTTACCTCGACCCTTCGAAAAGTTGAATTCACCCGTTAGGTGATTGCTACTAACACATTCTGTCTCCTGTTTCTGGAGATAAAGCTACGGCACTTCGTACTATGGTCCACACTTATTGCGGGGTGGTTTGGTATTGGTGCAATTGTCATCGCTGGACCTGCATCTTTGAATACAGTAAAAAAGGGACCTTTTCGTGAGTATGCTGTATGGTTCTCGAGCCTGCTCTGACATCATGAAGACGCCATCTCTGGTTATTGGTGCTGGATATCTCCTGAATATCCAGCGGAACGTATAACGTCAGCGCTTCTTTTATCGGTTATTCGACGTGTATTGACGCTCTCGCGTAGACTGGACTATATGTTCGTGCGTACCCGAGTCGAATCCTGATCATGCGGCGTTATGAACTTGCCCCTTATCTAGATGTTTACCTCTGCAGTGCTGAGTTTTGTGATCTACACTCTCATCTATTTACGACTTCGGGGGAACCTCATTGTGAACGGTTGGCACCTTCGCTTTCGCAAGCTCGCACGCGACAGCGGCGGTGATTGGAGAGGTCGAGTTGCCGATAGCCACACGATGCGTATTTCTAAGCAGATGCTTCTGTAAGTCTTGGTCATTGTGTCGGCCTTTAGCATCTAGGCTCATCGTTATCTCTGCCTTTCAGATATCCAGCAAGTCTTCTATTACGCCTGTCCTGTCAAGTCGCTGTTACTCATGACCCATACTCTGGTTCTTGCAGGTGGCGTACACAATACTGATACTTCCTATCGCAATTTCTCGATTTAGTGTGTGGGCCGGAGTCAAGGTTCCATTTGAGGTGACAATATTCAGGTGAGGACTATTCATTGTCACTGAAGGGCATAAGAAATGACCGGTGATCTATTTAGTGGATCGGTATTCCTTCTATCAGGGATAGTCAACGTGATCTTATTCTCCACGACGCGACGGATTCTGCCACCCCAATCATTGTCAGTGGGCAAATGGAGAATATCCCAACCTAGACCCCTTACGCCCCCTCCTGTCCAAGCGGGGGTTGATCCATATTATCAAGAATCGGATGCTCGTTCCGAATCGACCAAGGTTAGCAGTGTTGATGAGAAGAAGCTCCCGGAGACGCCAACGTCAGTATCCCGGCACCCCGATTCTTCATGCGACTCGGGCGGTTCGGTGTACTCTCTCGACGCAGATCCCCCTGTGCCACCCCTGAAGGTGGTGAAGGCTAAGGACACCACGCGTACCGCCCCACCAGAGGTCCAAATTCCTGAGGCGAATAGGGCTAGCATTGGTCTTGAAAGTATATATAACAGGTATGGATCACCGCAGCGTTCCGGCGAGGCGAGTGGTTCGTGGAGTTCGCCGCATTCAGCTGCAAGCGATTATGGCGAACCGTCGAACCAGTATGGTTCAAGTTCACGACGAGCCTCGCAAGCATCACAGTGGACTTTGGATTATGGAGACCCTTACGGTGGTATCATTCCTGAAGACCATCCGCGGTAATGGTCTGCCCAAAGTAGCATGTAACAACGTACTCTACTTCTCTAGTAATAATCGCAAACCTATATGTTGTATAATGAGCGGCATCATCGAGTTTCATCATTCCGGGCCAGAGGGCTAGAAGAGAGAGCATGGAGCTAAAGCGAATGATGATCATTGCAAAGTGTTTAGCCAAAGTCTAAGTACTCCAAGGAAGTGTTCCGTCGAATAACATCGTCGGCTTGTCGGGGCACCAGTCGAATAAACCTTTCAACCCGGGTGCAGATGCATAGTATGGATGGAATCGGCGGAAAGGGTTCCGTTGACGGCGCTTTGTTAGAAGATACGAATGACACCCATATTTATCTTCCAAGTATGGCAGATATCCATTTTTATTCTACAGAACAGAAATGAAGAGAAGCACATCAGTAAGCCATGCATGCACGCTGGGCGTCGGCATCGACTGACCTCTCCGTCCTGTGCTTGGACGCCCTCTTCGCCGTAAGGATCGGCACCAAGATAGTGGAATCTGTCAATTGGCCAGTGCAGAGCGGCCCGGTGAAGCTTGACGAAGCGTCTCCTTTTCATCTCGTATCCAACGACAGTGATTCGCTCGGGGTATCGGCCAGTATACTCGAAGAAACGTGCGATGGAAAAGAGAAGGTTTTGGAAGGAGTCCAAAGCGAAGTCCTCAGTCGTCGCACGGGGGAAGAGCGCCTGAGGCGATGATAGGTTGAATGCGTTGGATTTGTGGGCCAATCGCATGTAGGACTCGGCCTCGGTCGTAGTTGAGCCTATCCGAGTTTGCCCACTAAGGATGGATTTGAGTCAGCAACAGAGTACGCATGTCAAGTAAGAAGTCTAGTACCGACCCGCTGAAGACGAGCAGGGAGTGGGGATCGTTGACCGCTATTTCTGCTCTGATTGCGTTTCATCGTTAAGCTGGCACTACCTTATGAGTACAATGCCCATACCCTTTGGCTATATGATCATAAAACGCGGCCACACGACCTCCACCCCGTTGATATGACTCAAGTATCCAATCGTCCTCGTTCAACCGCTCATTGGCGTTGTGTCCTGTCCAAATAGAATGGCCGGGTACAATAACAAGGTGGTTCAGCTTTTCGGCATCCTGGCGAGAGATTGTGGCGAGTATGCTGCGAGGAGGTGCAGCCCCTGTGTAGCTTTCGGACACGTAGTAGCGCAAGTTGTAAAGGAACGAAAGGACGGCGAAGGAAGCCAGCAGGATGACGCCCAGATTTGTGATTCGGGAACGCTGGAGCAGCGCATCTACAACGCCCCGACGCGATTGTTTTCGAGAGAACGACCGTCTTGGCCGCTCCCCGAACGACACAGGTATTGGTAGCATGCAAGAATTATATAGGTCATGATTGTGGTGGAAAGTAACACCGTGTGACTTTCAGTATTCCTCTAAAGTCCAAAACATTATAGACTAGTGCGTGGCCGAAGTATTACAATGATAATTTACGTTGATATATCGTGGCAGGGTAACAACAAAAGATATGTGAACGTCCTGTATTCAGCGCGCTGTAATGGTCCTGCATTATACAGTCGCAGACAAAGGGGGAACAGTTGGCGATGGTGATGAGGAAGAAGGTGGGTCAACAGCGGTCTTGGGAGCTGTTGGTGTGGCCGCATCGGTGGCAGAAGGCGTCGAAGCATCTGCGGCAGGTGCGCTTTGTAGGCCCATCTTGATCCTGACCATCTCGAATGTCCTCAACAGCCGTCTTCGGGCGCCAAGAGTTACAACTCCCTTCGCCTCCAAAGCGGCATCATCAAGTGAAACCATCTCCTGCCAAGTCAAGCCTTCGAAACAACTGGTGTATTTGTGCAGGCGGAACGTCTTGAGCCAAGCGGGGATGTCCTTGAGCATCTCGGGATCAAAGTCTTCTTCGCGAGGCGTAGCAGCGCTGCCAGTACTGTTGGCACTCTTGAGGCCGCTGCTCTTCAATCCACTACTTTTCAGCCCACTGCTCTTGAGGCCGCTGGACTTCAGACCGCCGCTTTTCAGTGCACTTGTGGGGAAACGGGCACTGGCGGGAGCGCGCCAGTTGTTACCAGGCTGACGTGATTGGCGATTATTGTTGGTGTTCGATCCAGTGGGCTGGCGATGAGGCTGTGGGTGTGGCATCTGCATCTGCCCTGGCTGGACATATCCTCCCATCATCATTTGCACGGCAAGCATCTGCGCTTCAGGGGACAATCCCATAGCGCCAATCATACCGAGATTGTTGAATGGGTTGCCTGGGATACCTTGAAGACCCATTGCGGGGTTCGTAAAGCCCCCGTTGAATTGATTTGTTGGTTGTTCTTGTTTCTGTGATTTGGCGGCTCCAAACATGGGGGTTGATGGGGTCTTGACCATGCTGGCCCAGCTTTCGTCTGCCGGAGCACTGACGAGAAGCTCTTGCGCCACACTCTTGGGAGCATTGGCGCTAGGTTCTGCAGATCGGAGAGATGCTGATTCGACAGCGGATGGGAGCGAGGTGGAAGGATCGGGTAGGTTGAGACTCGGAGGGCGGGCATTTCGGGTGGCTTTGCCTTTGATCTGGCCATCGATCGAGGCTAGAAAGACAGTCAGTTTTCGACAGATGGGATACTTCATTGACACGCACCAGTTGGGGGCGGGTTGGCATCAGATTTGATCATCTGTTGGAGTACGGCTATGAGGAACCGTATTTGCATCTGGGATGATTGCTGAAGTAGCGTGTATAGTGTAGCGGTGCGTTCGGGCTCTGATAAGATCTTGAACCCTGTTACAGCAAGTCAGAGAACGTTGCTGCGGCTGGACATCAATGGCTTACAATGTTCTATCGTGCTAAGCTCTTCCTTGAATTTTGGCTCCGTTGAAGCAGCAGCCATTTCCTCCTACAATACATCAGTACTCATCACATATCACAGCAATAGAATCACGTACTAGTGTCGCCTCATAGATTTGGAAGTTGGCAAACCACTGATCAAGCGCTTCGACTTTACGGACCCGTCAGTTGGGCCTTTGTGATCAGTGAATTGCGCCACATACCATCTCGAGTCGGAAGTTTGTTTGCGCTACCAAGTAGCTCACTCGTCGGCCTCATAGAGCTCGTGGGAGTCATAAGACGCGGAGAATGCATAGGCAAGCCTGGTGTCGAAAGCGGGCGAGGTGAAGGGGGCATAAGATTGGCCGGTCGGTGACGGGGTGCCTTTTCGTTTGAGGTCATCGCTGGGCTCGGTGATTGGACACTCAGCATAATATTTTATGGTCGACGAAGTAGAACGAAGGAGGTGGAAGCAAAGTATGTAGGGCTGGAATCAGGAGCGTTCAATTTAAAGATGGGGGATGAAACCAGTGTTTTGGGATCATCTAAAACAGATGCGCTCGTGTGTCCGAGATTGGTTGGTTGTTCCATGGCGACGAATTGGTGAGGTCGTGCTGTGCAACGGCTTGCCGCCTGCAACATCACAAGCGGCTCGCAACGGAGACCTCGGATCTGGGGTGCGTGTGCGTGCTCGTGCTGCCAGTTCCCATTGCCATGGTCTCTTTCATCATTTCCTGGCAGATTCCTGGTGATTTCAGCCTTTTCAGGGGACTCGAAACGAATGTCGGTGATGGTCAACGTGAAAGGAACGACAGGCGCCCATAAACGCTTTCACAGCCACAACGAGCGCTTCGTTTCCTGCCTCTCCTCATCGCAAAGGTAAACGGCTATCGTTTTGCATCGCATGTTCGCCTTTGACCCAGGATTTGCGCAGGATTATACCCATGATACCCTTCAAACTCGCAAATCAGCATCGCGAGGTCGGCTCGCCCTCTGTGAACCTGGAAAAGGGCCGGTACCGAATGCGGGGACCTATGCCCAGCACCCCGACGCGTAGCGGAAGTTCCAGTACAGGCGATGCGGGACAGCCGATCAGGCGAAAACGCAGCCAGTCGACTCAGAACATGGCCATGTCGACGTGCATGGCCACGATCGTCGTCCTTCTGGTCGCAGCTTGCCTGACCTCGTTCGGCTTCGCCTACTACCTATTTACTACGAGGTGGGATCAAGCAACACTCTCAGACGCGTACACTCCAGCTAACCGTCTCGCTTCGACCCCTCCGCACTCCCCGCTCCTTCCTCTTCAAGTCGTCCAATTTGAGCCTGAGGCTTCGGACCTAGACGCGTACACTACACGTAGCGACCCACACGAAAAGTTTCTGTCATACCTCCCTCATAGTGGATATCATAATCAACGCATTGCACTCGAAAATGCCCTAATTCTTGCACGTCTACTGAATCGTACCCTTCTGCTCCCTCCTGCAAGGCTCGGAAAACGCGTCATTCATTACATGAGATACGACCTTCTACGAAGAGCGCTTGGTCTACAGGGAAAGGAAGGCCTTGAACACTGTGCCAGGACGTTTCGCTTCACCCCTCCGGAATGCTACGGCTACTTCGACTATACACTCGTGCCCTGGGACTGGCTTGTCAACTTTACCGCGATCCGTAACTCTCAACAACTGCTTCAGCGCTGGAATATGACACATGCATGGCTGTCCGATAACCTTGGTATCAACGTAGGCCATCCCGATGTATATGGTGATGGGAAGGACGTCTATACACTTACCGACACGGATCCGTATCAATACGTGTTTCTCGACACGGATATGTCTATGTCAGAAGCCAACAAAAAGTCCACAAAATATAAAGAAAGCATACGTATCGACGCGCTGGCTCGGGATACCTCCGATAAACGTCTACTACAGCTTGGAACACTCTTTGGCTCTGCGCGGTTGAGGCTGCGTCCTTCAACTCTCAAACTTCGAAGTGACATTCGTAAATCTATGATCCCTACTATTCCCCAGATCGAACAGGTATCAAATGAGATCAAGCGCCACTTGTTGACGCTGTCACAAGAAATGGGTATTGACGACTACATCGGCGCCCATATACGCCTGGGCGACGGCAAGTTCTTGGAGCAGAGTAAATCAAATATCCGGACTATCTGCCATGACATGGTTCGGCTCGTCCTTGGCTTTACGGATGATGACGACGAGGACGGACTGCAGACTTTCCTCGCCGACCTTCACAACTTTCATGAGACGCGAAATGAACTTACGACACCGAAGACAAATGGACAAGCCGGCAAGCTTCAGTGCTGGTTACCAAAGTACACATCACAGCGTTTTGCTCCCCTCAATACTCCTATCTTCGTTTCCACCGACGCGCAGAATCCCCGTCAGGACACCGTCATAAGTTACCTGCTGCAGACTTTCCCTTGTACTTTCTTCCTAAACGATTTCATACCCACATCGCAAGAACACGCCCCGCCCCTGGTTACTATCAACGACACGCTGAATCTTGTTAGTGGGTATGACGGCACACCCTTGAGAGATCACCTCCTCCCATTCGTTGACGCCATCGTCGTAGGCAAAGCTTGGAAAGCTGTGGGGACAGAGGGGAGCACGTTCAGCCGTTTCATTCTCGATGTGCTATGGAGAGTGTATCATGGGTTGGAGATAGTACAGCGTGGTTGAGAACGTAGTTAAGTATCTCCGTGATGCGGTGTGGGTGCATTGATGGTAGCTCGGTTGTGTACGGATAGGTTATCGACGCTTTCCCCTACGACACGCACGTTTCTGTCGAAGAAAGCGCTCCCCTCCGATTGGCAGAGATAGAATATATCTGATATTCCGACGTCCTGAACATACTTCTCTAGCTTGTCGTAGTTGAGCCCGACGCCTTGTGGCCCATGGCTATCATCTGAAAGTGTGAATTTGCCCCCATGCTCTTGAATGAGCTATGAAGATTTGAATACCCGAATACCAGTCGAGCACATTCACGAACGCACCTTGACTACGTCCCTTCCTGGGTATGCCGTGTCCCAACCCTTGCGAAATGCCGCAGCGTTGAGTTCAAACAAAGCACCATATGAAGCCGCGAACTCGATATTCTTCTTAAGTTTCTGCCACGCATTCGGGAAGTCCTCCAATTTGACCTCAGGTGTGTATAGGCGGCAAAGATCGATGTGGCCTATAATTTCAGGCAGGAATCTACTGATTATGTCGAATTGCTGGTCGAAGTACTTGCACAGAAATCGCTCCAGTGAAGGACTGTCGGTGTCGCTCGCGTCGGAATCCAACATGCAAGACGCTACGGCCTTTTTGTATGTGGCTTTGTCGAAGTCAATGGGTATTTCGTTCACATGATGGACAGAGCCGACGATATAGTCTATGCGACCGAGGTCTCGGTGTTTCTTTAGCAACAACTCCAGCTTATCCAAGTCCTTGATCGTTATGTATTCGGTTTCTAGCCCCACCAGAAGGGAGATTTGCTCCTTGTAAATAACCCGAAGGCGATGGGCTTCGTCCAAGAAGCCTTCAAACTTGTCTTCCAGTGTTTTCAGAGGCATCCCTTCCTGAATGAATTCATTGGCATCTCCGTCGTTATTCAAGAACATGCTTGACTGATCACCTCTTCAGGGTAGAGATCTTCTTCCCTGTAACGAGGGACATGTTCAGTTAGCCCATAGACCTTGAAATTTTGACGAATGGCCTCTTGTACAACTTCTTCGAGCGTCCCTGTCGCGTGCTGGCAGAACTGGCCCGAATGCGAGTGGTGACTATATGGCATCGGGATAATCTATGGGCGCTTATCATGCTAGCTAACCATTGCGCGCGCGCGTTATTTGGTTCCAGGGTGGCGACTAAACAACGGCACGGACGATCGAACGGGGTCTCCCTTATTTCCTTAATTCCACTCACACCACCATGCTCGCGTCACGACTACCCCAGATTCCCCATCCTCGCGCCCTCGGTCTCTCCAGCCTCAAGGCATTCCGGGGCTGCCCCGCTCATTCTATACAGAACGGAGCACCAATAACACTGACGAAATGCAGAACCCTTCACGAACATTCCAGTGGTCGACCGCCTTTGGCATTTGTCTTTGATATCGTGCGCGCAATCGTGGATCTAGATTCTATGATACGGCTGGAACTTAATCTCTGTTAGGATGGGGTGCTGATACGAGGTCCTAAGGTTATTCCTGCCGCGAAGCGGGCCTTGGCTATGCTGGAAGGAAACAATGAGTGGGGAATGTGAGTAGCTTTTTGGGTTGACCACCACACTGCTGCAATTGATCGCAGAAAGATACCGTATATTCTGGTGAGCGTGACCACCCGTCCCCTTGGCCCGGGAACTCAATTCATGGCTTGCGTTCCGCTGACCCTATAGCTTACGAATGGGGGAGGTGTCGGAGAGGAATACCGGTGTCATAGGTTGACGAAGCAACTTGGCTTCGAGGCATGAATCTTCCCCGCAGTCGTTCATTCTTTGCATTCTCATGACGTTCGCAATGTCTAGATTCGCCCATCCCAGTATATCCAAGCACACACCATCCTAAAGACCTTTGCTCCAAAGTTCGCCGATGAGCATGTTCTTGTCCTCGGTGGCAAGCTTGATCGGGTACGGGAGGTCGCGGAGGGGTAATTCTATTTATCATACCTGTATCTTCATTCCCGGTTAAGCCTGCTTCCCCCGAAGATACGGTTTCAAGAACGTGTACACTACGCTGGACGTACACGCATGGAACCCTTCGTATGTTTCCGCTTCCAGCTGATGTTGCGTTTATTTTTGACACAAAGGCCTGGACTTGCAGCGTTTGGCCATTCCATGAGTTGACATCAGACGAACGTCATTCTGCCAAGGTCTGATTGACTAGATTAGACTCGCAATGCCTCCGCTCATGATACACCCCAAGCTAGTCGACTTCTCCCAAACACCTATCAGTGCCGCTTTGGTGTTCCATGACCCCCGGAACTGGTCACTGGACATACAGGTACGCGTGCTGCGTGCAACGAGCCCATCGATATCGAACTAATTGTCATCACGACAGATTCTATGCGATATCATTCTCTCAGGTGGTATAATTGGAGGTCCATATCGAGCGGCTGAGAAACCCATAGAACTGATTTTCTGCAATCCCGATTTATTATGGCGATCCGACTTCAGCCGTCCTCGCTTAGGACAGGGTGCCTTCAAGGAGGCATTCCAGGCCGTCTACAAGGTATGTGGCACGGTGGCGGCGCACGCGTAGAATACAGTGGGACATAGATGGCCCAACTGCGTGGGATGGTCATGCGACTGGGACGGCTCAGCTTATGCGATACTTTGATAGGCGTTGACAGGATCGGAATATCCCTACATTCAGTACGGCAAACCCACTGAAGCGACATATCGCTTTGCAGAGAAGGTGCTAAAAGCTCACATGGGACAACTGGGCTGGAAAGGGAAACTGCCACCGGTGTAAGTTCGGTCGTCGCTTCGTGTTCCGTCGCCATCCGAAACCAACTGAATTCTTGATTTCTGCGCCCGTGCCCTTGCTCCATTTGCGCAGGTATATGGTGGGAGGTGCGTCATTCCCTCATGTTCATCTCGTGGGGGTGCTGATATTTAGTGGACACACGATAGATAACCCAGAGTCTGGTGAGTCTTGGACATATCGGGTTAGATGTCGAGTTGATGGGATCTTGCAGACATAGCTGGAGCGAATGCTGCGGGATGGCCTTCGGTTCTGGTGCACACGGGGGTGTACGAGCCCAGTCAGGGCCCTCCCTCGCAACGCCCGACATATGAGGCCGACGATGTCGAAGCGGGTGTGAGATGGGCAATCGAGAGAGAGATGGGGGATTTGAAAGCAAGGGCTGCAGCGGACCTTGGCAATTAAAGCTAGGCGACATTCGCGAGAGCGTAGCGGCAGAGATATGGTGGATGGAATCCAACGGTGATCTGTGTGATATCATACCTTACCTTAAAATGTCTACTGCCGCCGGCCGGGGAACATGCGCGTTCCTGGGTTGTCCGTTGAGGCGCCCACCCGAAGGAGCCGGGCCTTGGTGAAATTCAAACTCCACGCGTGAGCCATTATGGATACGCTCCCTTCGCTGTTACATCCAGCAATTGTCCGTGTATTGAAATAAATTGAAATTGCAGCACTACTTCAATCCATCTGTTGGCCTTCTTCTCTCGACCCACCACCATCAACTCCTCTCCCCGCTATCCACTTGGAGTCTCAGAGCCCCGCAAGCCTTTCTGATGGCCCCAGACAGAACTCATTCCCCCTCAGCCTCCTTGACGCTCGATACTGCCTCTTTGTCCGATGCCTCATCTGGTTCTAGGCCAGAAATCCCTGAGCTCGACCACCAGCCCTTCGAGTTCAGGAAGAAGGACGGCACACCGTCCAAAATGCGATCCCATAGAGGAAACGTACCTGTGCTCCCCCAGACTAAGCTTTGCCCTCACTGTCCAGCGAAATTCACGCGGACAACCCATCTGAACCGCCATCTGAGAACGCGTGCGTGTAGTCGATGGCCGTCGTCGAAGCACACAGCAAACTAACCTGGCGCATCCCTCCTAGATACAAACGAAAGGCTGCACCGATGCGATGTAAGCACCTTTGCCAACTACCGCTGCTTGTGCCCTAGTGACACCCTCTGGTACGTAGACTTGCGCAGCAGAGTTTACTCGCAGCGACCTCCTCACTCGACACAAGCGAAGCTGCAATGATCCGTAAGCACTGCAGGCATTGACCCACAACCTGGGCTCACATTTCCATATCATTCCACAGCCTAAACCCCGGCCGCTCACGCAAAAAGTCTTGTCAACCTTGCAGCGATTCCAAGATCAAATGCGACAACAAATTCCCTTGTTCAAAGTGTACATCACGCGGAAAGGAATGCGTGTTCTTGCCGAACAAGAGGAACAGTGCACATGCATCCACCAGTAAGGTTTCGCCAAGTTTTCCAACTGCACCTGCGCCAACGTCTTCCTCTGCCCACGAATCCAACCCGTCGCCGTCTACGTCGACAACCTCCCTACCTACCCCCTCGTCGTTGTTCGCAGCCACCCCCGAATCATGCTTCTCCAACTTCACCATCAACTCAACGCCACAGATACACGACGTCGACGACATGCTGTCAGAGTCTGACCTGCAATCCACATCTATTCCGCTTGACTTTTCATTTCCTGTTTCACAGCGATATGACAGCTCGGACAAACCTCCCCTCCCCTCCCCTTCCCCAGATTTTATATCATCCGACTCGGCAACCGATAACGAACATACCCCAATCGACAGCCACTTGAGCTCGATGTACCAGAGCGATCTCTTTGAGCCCTTCTTCAGCACGCTCTTCTCGCAAACGCAGCTCCAAGATTCTCCACCGAACAGCGCGGGAGGCATCACCAGTGCTGGCGTGTTCCCCTTTGCGCGTCGGTCCGGATCACCAGAGTTTCCATTCTCCATCAACCCGGTCGAAACACAGCAAGGCCAACCTCAACAGCTCCCTTTAGACGCGGGCATGGTGGGAGCGGCGCACCACTCAACACCATACTCTGCGCCAGACCCGCTTAGCCCTTCGGCGTCGGAGAGCGACAATAACGGTGGTGTCGGTTATACTTTACAGATTGCCGAGCTCGACCATTTCCGTAAGTGCCGCCCTGGCCATATGCCTACCCGGCACTGAATACTGATAATTGATTTCCGTTTTAGTGTACATCTTCTTCTCGGCGTTTTGTGCGCAGATGCCCATCGTTCATCCCGCAACGTTCAAGGTAGATGGAAGGCCACAGGTGCTGCTGCGTGCCATGCAAGCTTGCGGTGCATTGTTCGTAAAGACGAAGCAGGCGACTAGCTTTGTGAACAGCGTACTCGAGACAGCTCGAGACGCCCTGGTCCAGGAATTCGTGAGTATATCTGCCGTTATTGATGGGAATTAAACTGACCACATGGCAGGCCAAGAACCCGACCGACTGTAGCGAACAAATAGACTTCATACTTGCTGTAGTCCTGCTCCAGACGATAGGCCTTTTCCACCAGAAGGTTGATCAGAGAGCATCGTCCAGTATTTATCACGGGATGCTTGTCATGGTACGCACCCACGCTGTCCGCCTGGGAATTTCCTCACTGATCCACCATGAACAGATGGTCCGGCGCGCGAACTTGATGAGTAGGAACACTGCGTGGATCCCGCCTAGGCTTTCCGAATCCTCGATCGAAGACATGTGGCGGAAGTGGGTTCTCCACGAAATGACCAAGCGGTAAGCTCTGTCCACTCAAGTTTTGTGTCTGGACGAATACTCAACGTGTCGCGTAGGGCCTTGTTGCTTTCTTACCTGCACGACTGCTGTCATAGCATATACTTCGCGCTTCCGCCGTCTTATCTCCCTGGGGAAGTAGAGCTTTACCTTCCCTGCGAGGACAGCCTGTGGAAAGCGGCCTCATCAAAGGAATGGTTCATGCTCCTGCAGTCGTCTTCGCCGTACGGCGACGCGACTTCGCGGCTCATCGGGCAGAGCATGCCTAAGGCTCTCTCACTTATGACAGAGCCCCGCCTACTCAGCACACCCATAATCTCCAACCCATTCTCTCTGTTCATCCTCGTCCACGTCATGCTCTACCAGCTCTTCACCGTCTGCATGGAGATCCGCCTCCCAAAGACCAACATCGCCGAGGACTACACCGAGCAGACAAACCAGCAGGTCCACCGGCTACAGTACGGCCTCCACAACTGGCTGCAAAGCTGGATACACTCGCCGGAGACGCCGCACTCCGAGGGTTCGAACGAGGAGCCGCCGTTCATGTCGTACGGGCTACCCTTTTATTGGTTGGGGCAGGTGGCGCTCCTGGCGTACCAGGAGGGCCTCCCCCCGTTCGAGCACAACTCGACGAACAACCTGCACGTGGAGATGCGGTTCAGGCTCGTCAAGCAGTGGCTCAAACACATTCGCGGGTTCCTCAAGAAGTCGGACAATGGGCCGACGCTCTTCTGGGACGAGCTGATGAAGATTCGATTAGATACTTCAAGGGCTTCCGGGGACAAGAACGATACTGGGGACGACCAGGAGGGCTTGCTGGGGTTCTTCCCTGAACAATAGCATGTCCGTCGTGGTTGTCGTGCCGGTTTAACTTATAGTCATCGTAATATTGCATCTGCATTTGTAGCAATAGCCATTATGTATGAGTGCCTCTGGTATCTTGTTGTTTAGCGGATGAACAATTGGTTCGCTTGGGGAACGTACCTTGTGTTTATGGTTTAGCATGGGAGTTGAGACAACCTGGGCGTGAGCTTAGCGGTGAGGAGGAGGAGGAGGTTCATATGCACCATCGCTGGGGCGAGTAACGGTATAAGTGGGTTTGTCCCACCTGAGACCCGTGGCCTAGAACGGGAAAACACCTACAACAACGGCGTGCATGTCAAGGCGCTTTGGGCAACCCAATGCAAATGCAACAAACAAGGTATGTTCGCGGTGTTCACATCACATCGTCGAATCGAAAATGCCGTCTTTTTAGCTTTAGGTTGGTGTGTCCATTTGGATACGCCGTTAACGTGGACTTTGTCGCGAAATGTGGGTACGTGCGACGACGCAGGGGGACATGCATCCGTACTACCGTAGTGGTGTGGGGAGGTAACGCCGTTGGGGATCGGCGCGAGTTGGTTGGGCACCAGGGCAGATATTTGGGACGATGTTCGGATGGTTGCAGAGCGCGAAGTGAGGGTACTTTGTCACTCTGCAGCATACCGGTCGAAGCTATATAACCATTGGAGTATCGGAAGAACATTCTCATCCTCTTCGCGGGCAGAACACGGTGGGTTGCCGTGATCGTTTGCTTGTTCCTGATTCAAGTTCGTGAAGAAGTGGGGCGCGGTCCGAGTCCTGATTCCCAGTGAACTGAAAGCTGTTGGGTGGGCACTTACGGGGTTGAGAACATGGCGCGGGGAGGTGTGGCTGCCTGGGTGGCTGATGACGGGTTTTGCGCTTCCATCAAGACAGGGAAGAACTGGGTATCGGCCACTGCGAGGGTGATTGGTCGGCGAAGCGTAAAAGTCTCGAGCAGCTGACCATTCGGAAACGAGACGCGATGGAATTCGTACATATTGCTCCACTAGCAAACGACAGTATGAATTAATTCAGGCCGGTTATATGGGGTTGGGAACACAGTGCGGCCTTGAGTGGCTGTCTCGAGGGCTGCTAGTGGCTTCGTGTGGGTTTACGAGTCCTAAGCTCGAGTACCTGGTGACTCTAGGGTAAGTGAGAGCGCAACATCATTCGTGAATATTCTCTCTACCTGCACCCAGGAACATAGGATAATTGCACCGCTCGTTCAGCTGAAATACGGCTGTCGAATACACTTCATGTTCGGGTCGAACGCGGCAAGGCTCGGTTATGCATCGTCCCGAAACCTTAGATAGACGAATCCTCTGCGAGAAAAATTAATGCTGCTGCAAATCAACAAAAATCAAGAATTTGTCGCGAAGAATGAAAGTGAGCGGAGAAGGACGATACCCCTGAGAAAGCTCCTGAGAAACTGCCGCAGCTCAAGCGCTCAGCTGCGGCGTTCATCGAAGCCACGCCCATAAAGCAAAGCGAACAGTCCAACAGCCCAATTGCCTATCCCAGCATGGAGATTCTGATGGGCCTCGATGCATTCTCATCGCCGGAGGCCTTTAACGCCCTCTTCTTCAAGTACTGCGGCTGTTCATCCGTTTCTTCAAGTCCTCTCCCATGTCTGAGATTGACGGCTCTCAACAGGTACGCGATACCGACCTGATCCATTGGTCCCAAGCTAAAGTGAGCATACTCCTGCACTATGTATAGTCTCAAGCAGCAAAGCGTCAACGAGTTCGTCGGAGACCACCACGAGGCAACCAAAATGCTCCTGCTGCTGCGTCGTCAAGCGGTAATGGTGGTGGCGGTATCAGGAACAACCAGACAAATGCAAATGCGAACGTGAAGCCCAAACGCGGCGAGATCCCATGTAGGGCCTGGAGGGCAGGCTCATGTGCAAAGGGCGCGAAATGCTGGTTTGGGCACGACCCTGAGGTAAGTATAGATCAATGAAATCGTGCTCATTCAAGACTAAAGTAAAACTCCGTAAATGTGCGTAGGCCCAGCGGCACCAGAACACACTTCAGGCTCAAGTGAGGCAACTCGAGGAGCAGGCAGGCGAACGAGATCGGGTGAAAGAACACGAAGACGAGGAGAGAGAGTTAGTGCGCATACGTGAGGAGGCTCGAGTACGAGTACAGAGGGAGCAGAGAGAGCAGGCGCGTATTGCAGAAGAAGCACGCATCCAAGAGGCACTGCGAGTGCGCGAAGCCGCCCGATTCGCCGAGCAAGAAGCCCTACGCAAGGCCTCTGATGCAGAGTACCAGACCCGCATGGCAGAGATCGCGCGGGAGGGAGCCGCGCGCACCACCCAATTCTGCATCCTCGGCTCCCTAGTAACCTTCGGCGCGGGCTTGGACGTGCGACACCTTATCACCGGGTTTGAGTGCTGTACGGTGCAGATTAAGAACCTCCCCGCCGACGCGCGCGAGGGGGAGATCGCGAACATATTCCTGGACCAGGGCATCGACCCCGGTCGGTTTCAGATCCAGGAGAGCAGAGCCACGCCGGAGGGCGGGCGCACGGCGACCATCGTCACAGACGCAGAGAGTGGAATGGCGATGGCGGCTGGACTGGAGGGCGTGGAGTTTCGGGAGGAGAAGCTTGTGTTCGAGGTGGGGTCGTACAATCTGCCTGGAGGAATGGGCTCGTCTGCCGTGCGCGATACAGATGTTCTGACGATCTCGTGGCGCTCTCCGTCTGTGCGCTTCGTCGCCGAATTCTCCGATATGGAGGAGACGAGGAAACATGTACAGGCGTTGAACGGCAAAGTATTAATGGGGCGCCGCGTCAGAGTCACGGTCAACACGCCCCCTCCCGGACGCGGTATCAGAGGCTTCAAACCCAACTCCATCATGATCAACAACCTCAACCCCATTGTCGACGCGGAGTGCATCCGCCAGTTTACTGGCACACCGTCTGTGAGACGAATGCGACAGCCCGTCACACAGCAGAGAGATCAAGAGGTCATGGACGCGTTGCGCTGGCACATTGCCGCTATCTCCAACGGATTGCAGTCGTTAGACGAGGTTAACAACGGACAGAAGACGCTGGATGGGATCGCCACGGTGAAAGCGCGGTTCGAGTCTTCCGACGCTGCGGAGCGCGTGCACCACACACTGAGCGACGGCACCTTCGCGCGAAGCATGGGCATCAAGGAGTCGGTATTCTGGGTGCACCTCCCCGTGCCCATGCAATACACGATCACGGTCCCCACTGCCCAGTACGCCGCGCAGAAGCACCAGTGGGACGCGTTGGTGGAGAGCATCAAGGACAAGAGCGCGTGCAACCTCGTGATCCACGAACAGCGAAATATGGATGTCGTGCGCATGCGTCTCCTGGGGAAGGTGAAGGAGGCCGTCGGCGCGCTCAAAGTGCGCGTGGAGAACCTGGCTGCGGGGGAGAAAATCGAGGGGTGGCACCCGTCTCTGGGGTACCAGAAGAGCCAGTTCGTCCGCACCGTCGCGCAGGATACGGGCGGCTTCCTGCGGGCTGACCACCGGCGCAAAGTGCTCAAAGCGTACGGCAAGCCCGATGTCGTCGACGCGATCCGGGCGATGGTCGAAACCGAGCTGCAGAAGCTCGCGTCGCGCGAATGCGCAATGAATATACCAAGGCAGAGCGTGGGCTTCTTCCTCCGCCAGGGCGTGCCCGCGCTGCAGGAGATGTTCGGCGCCGAGCACGTGCGCTTCAACCCCGCGTCCTGCATGATCACGGTGCGCGGGGAGGAGGCGCGGCATACGCTGCGGAGCTTCATTGACCAGGCGGAGGAGGAGGCGAAGATTGCTGTCGCGGCGAGCGCGTCGACGGACCACATCTGCCCGGTGTGCTACGATAGCGCGACGAATCCGCTGGTGCTCGGATGCGCGCATGTCTACTGCACGCCGTGCATGCGCCATCTCCTGACGAGCGCAGAGGAGGCGGACAACTTTCCGTTGACGTGCGTCGGAGAGGCGTGCGCGGAGCCCATCCCCATCCCCATCGTCCAGCGCTTCCTCCCTCCCGCGGACGTTACGCATCTGCTCGAGGCGGCATTCACATCGCACGTAACGCGCAACCCGCAGAGGCTGAAGTACTGCAGGACGCCGGATTGCACGCAGATCTACCGCGCTGCTACGGAGGGTAGGGCAGAGAGTGGTTGTACCGTGCAGTGTCCGTCGTGCTTCTCGAGTGTGTGCGCGGCGTGCCATGAGGACGGGCACGAAGGGATGTCCTGCGAAGGTGCCCGGGTCTCGAAGGACCACGATGGGTTGAGCGAGGCGTGGATACGCCAGATGAAGAAATGCCCCACTTGCCAGGCGCCGATCGAGAAGGCGGGCGGGTGCAACCACATGGCCTGCAGGTGAGCACCGACCCCGCGCTTCGGGTTAAACTAAACTCTCTGTTCACCGCATCAACGTATCAATACCCCTTACTCATGCGCTCTGCTTTGTGATTAATTGTAGATGCGGCGCGCATATCTGCTGGTGGTGCATGGGCGTCTTCAGCGCTGAGACGATTTACGGGCACATGAACGCCGCGCATGGCGGGATCCACGATGAGGAGGTTGTGCCCGAGCCGGTGAACTTCGAGGAGCAGGAGCTGGTTCTGCGGCAGGCGCAGGAGGCTCGCGTGCTGATGCCGCTACCACCACTACAACTGATACAACCAGCACCAGTACCAGCACCAGTACCAGCACCAATCCCCCGGGAGCGGGCTAATGATGATGCTGCAGGACTGCGGGCGCACATCCGGCGGGTGGATGAGGAGAGGGCGGCGAGGGCGGCGAGGGCGGCCGGGGTTCGGCCTTTGGTTCAACAGCAATGGCACCTACAAGCTGTGAGGGAGGCGGAGGCTGAAGAGCAACGGCTGGCGGCGGCGAGGGCGGCGAGGGCGGTGCAGCTTCGGGCTCAGATTCCACAACATTGGCTGCTAGAAGATGTGAGGGAGGCGCAGGAGAGGGAGAGGCTAAATCAGAGGGTAAATCAGAGGGAGAGGGAGGAGGGCGGATGGGGGTGTATGATCATGTAGGTCTCTGTTACGGTGGTGGAACGTTGGTGGGATGGTGGCAGGTGGAGGTAGGATGTAGGGGTTATTTCCTCGAATCGTTTGTTTGTTTGTAGCATTATGTGTTAGATTGTGTTTCTGTACTGTGTACTGTGTACTTGGATTTCAACGCGTACTTACCTTTGAGCCCAGCATGAGCTCGAGTGTGTAAAGCACTTCAATTTCGATCCCATTGCAACGTTTGAACTTTGTGTTTTCTGAAGATGAGAGAACATTCGAGCTCGAGCTCGTAATTTTGGACTCCGGACGGCGCAAGGTCTATATTTGATCATTAACATTCAGTTGGTATGGCTCGATATCTATGGTGCATACTGGATACGGCGCACTGGATACGACCGATCGACCGACCAGTCGAAAGACTGAAGAACTTATCAAAGGCCTGAAGAACATCCATGCAACATCGAACGTCGAACCTCCCTATACCTTATAACCACATTACCACATAACTACAGACTATACAACGCGTACAACTCGGACGAGGGTATCGTAATATCATTTGACTCTGTGCGATGTGCGTGTTGTGCGTGTTGCTGGATATTGATGGTGAGTATCTCGTGGATATCGCGTCGCGTCGCGTCGGGGTAGCTGGTGAGATGTTCAGTAGGCGTTCAGTAGGTGTGTCGGCGTGCTGTAACCAAGTCGGATTGGTGACATTTTGAAATCTCGTCGTTGCGTGCAGCGTCTAGATTCTCCTACGTGTCGTCGAAGTGAGTATCTGAGAGAACGGAGAACGGAGAACGGAGAGCAGGCGGAGAACGAGAACAGACTCTGACGAGAGGCTATGGTCACCCGGAAGGGGGAGGGGAAGGGGAAGCCGGCCGCCGATTTGAGCTGATTGCTTGATTGCTCGGCTCGAGATTACTCTACAGCGTGTAGTGTATAGTGTATACAGTGTTCTGGGGGACATCATACTCACCGTCGAAGTAGCGTCGAAGTCGTCGAAGTCGCGTAGGGGCAAGCCAGGGGGCAGGGGGTGGGAGAAGGGACATGTAACTACGATTATGGCGGGATCTGAGGCCTGAGGCGTGAAGGCGTTTTCCGTAAACGAGTAACGATAAGAGAGTGTGGGTGAGTGGGTGAGTGGGTGAGTGGATATTGATGTCTTGAGACTGGGCATACCACCACGAGTCGAGAGAGTAGGTATCAAGCATCAAGCATCAAGCACCATGCACCATGCACCATGCATCAAGGATCGTGAATCGTGAATCGTGAATTCTCAGCTGGGCGAAGCAACCTACCGCCAGAGGAGGGAGAGAAGGAGCCACGTGGACTTAACCTTTGTCTTGATCAGATAATGCTGACCGTGCGAAGAGACGACACAAGTCATTGAGGAACTGGTGCAGGGACTTGAGCCATTTCCAAGCGAAATGATAGCTGTGGCACCAGGGCCTGAGGCCTGAGGCCTGCATGAGCCCCTAGTGACCTCGCCGTCCCTATCGGTCTGTAGTGATGCCGAGCATGTCTAAAGCCAGCGAAGACACAGTCCCCCGAATAACGATTAGACGAGATGCATATAAGGCAGGCATAGGACGCACCAGTCACAGAACAAGAGCAAGACAACGGTAACGATTTTCGACCCGCTAGCCCAAGGTGTGTAGTGTGGATACTCCGTTTCGCCTCAAACTGTGCGTGCTGACCGCGAGTAGGAACCAGAAGGATAAGATACTATGCAAATCAGTGCTGGCATGGACTCGGGGATACTGACCGTGGATAATCTGCTCGTGCTCACCACAGCAGTCGCATTCTGCGTCTCGCTGACGCCGCCGAATGCGCCGGTGCCCCAGGAGCAGATGCTGCAGAAGACGTTCTTCGAGCGGACCATCGTGCTCCGCGTGTTCCTCCACAAGGTCTGTGGCTACATATCTGTCCCGTTCGCAAGAAAGCCAGCTAACCAACTAACCACGAATCATTGTGGCAGGTCCTACTATGCGCTCTATCATCCCTGCACATCGCAGCCTCAGTCTCCCGACACTCCGGCGGCGGCGGCGGCAGCAGCAGCAGGCACGACGCTGCAATGATTCTCGGCACACTCATTTGCCTGCTCTCTGCCCTCCTGCGCCTGTGGTGCTTCGCCACGCTCGGCCGCTTCTTCGACTTCCAGGCTACGGTCAAGGCCGACCACCAGCTCATCACCAGCGGGCCCTACGCGTACGCACGCCACCCGAGCTACGCCGGCCTCGCTGGCTCGTACCTCGGGACCATCCTAGTGCTTTTCTCTTCTGGGCACTGGTTTAGAGAGCACGGGTTGTTGGCGTTGGCGGGGAAGATTGTTGGGGGGATTTGGTGCGCGGAGAGTGTGGTGATTTTTGTGGGGGTGCCGCGGCGTGCCAATATGGAGGACGCGGCGCTGAAGCAAAGATTTGGGAAGGAGTGGGAGGAGTTCGCGCGTAGGGTTCCATTCAAAGTAGTACCGGGGATCTATTAAGTAGTTAGGCGCCCAATGTTCATTACCCAGGCGTCACAAGCGGGGTGTCCAGCGCCACCGGGCGATGTGAAATACACTCTATGTATTGTCTTTCTCTCGTTCTCTCGTCACTGTAAAGGCAAATGCACGAACTAACATGCAAGATAAATTTCTCCCGAAAGCAAGTAGAAATGGGCTAATACTTCTGCAGACCGTCCGATATTTCCCCTGGATTTCGGAATTGTGCAAGACTGCGAACAGGATTAGTATGGCGTCGACGGGGAACTCAAGTTGATATGCAGCTCCATGGCCCGAATTTGACCTTTTACTCTCCTGGTGATTTGGGACGGCCGAATAACACTGTCCCACGTTCGAGGAACGATGAGGCACTGAACCCCGCCAGGCATCTTCGTCAATTCCTCGAGTTATAACATCACTTCTACCATCGGTATCATTCATGAAGCGTGCCCGGCGCTTTTGGAAGAAGTCTTTGATAAAAAAGATTGCATTGATTGACGAGTGGTGGTGAGAGTATGGGCCGAGCGTGTTACCTCCCAAGTTATTGCAGCGCATATCACTGCTGTGCAACACTCTCTCTTCCTTCTGACTCTTTCCCTCCGCTCGCCAGATGCCCTGCAACTACACCCACCAGCAAGGCTTGCCCAAGCTGCCAGATCCTCCAGGGGAAGTACGTAACACCAATCATGGTTCCGGCGCGTTTTATCAGGTGAACGGCCACCAGAGCATTACATACCGTTTATCACTGTTCGCATGCTACAGCATGTCAGGGAAGGCCGTCGAAGAGGATGCTGCCTCAGAGAAGTATCATAACGGACCTGCTGCCTCGGATACAGGTCTGACTCGCCGCCTGCGCCGTGGTAGAGAGTTAGAACCATACCAGACCATCATCGACTCCCTCTCTCGTATCCGCCAGTATATTCTGCCGATATCACAGCTGTTCCCGCGTAACAACACCGTTGCAGATCTCTGCGGCCAAGCTGATGAAGTAGTTCTGCTTGTTCGATGCGTGGCGCGAACAGTTCGTCAGATTGAGGTGGCCTCGACCCTCGTATCCCACTCTGTCTTTGCCTGCATCTCACGGTACGCCTTCAAGTATACAATCTGTTCGAAGGTCTTGGAGATGTGCCTTGACACATTCAAGCCCCTTCAACATCCACTCCCAGTTTCCGAGAAGTCCGAGGTCAAGATCGCTAACACTTCGCACTGTCTCCTACAGATACTGAAGCCTTCCCGACATATATCACGCGTGGGTAAGACGCTGGCCCCCCTGCAACTGGCCCTCGTTGTCTCAACGTCTCCACGACCACTTCCGTCGCTGTCGATTCGAAATGATGCAATTTCTACACCTCCTCTTTGCGTGGGTGATATCACAATTAGACCTGTTACCGTGCTGATTTTTTGAAGGTCACATCTACTTGAAGCACTCGACATTCACAACGGAGAGTGGGGAGAGCTCATCGCAGGCCTCCCCCTTTCAGCCGATCTCCATCATCCCAATCCTCTCAATTCCCATATTCTCTTACCACCGCCATTTCGAGCGCCGTCGGACCTCTCGGCTTTGTATCCGATTCATGGGTCGACTCGCCTTCGTGGCTCGTGCGGGTTCGGGAGCCAGCTGGACAGGACTGGTACAGTATCCCCCTGAGATTCTGTGAAACATGGACGGTAGGATCCCCTCAGTACTCTCCGCTGAGCCACCCCCATGTCTTTCTTTGTAGGGCTTTGCCATGGTCATACACCAACACTGTAGGAACGGCACGGAGGTCGAGTACATCCGCCAAGGAAGCTGGGCAATCGTTCACGTCGAGGACAATCTCATCATTGATCAAACAAGCTTTACTGGTATTATCAAATCGGAGATGCGCTTCGACATCGGTATTGTTGTGCAACTACTTTCGGCGGCGTTGCGCACCTGTCCGCAATGTGGTCATCACAACAAAGGGAAGGTAACTGTTGACGGCTGGATCCGATGGTAGCTATCGCAGCTCTATTCCCTTGTGTTTTCGTGCTGATTCGCAGTAGCTCCTACCTTGAATGCAATAACCCATTGCACAGGAGCGAGCCGGAGCTCTCTTTTCAAAGTGTAAGCCAAAATAGAGATAATCCTATGGGTATATCAGCCAGTGCATCGGACCACACGGGCTTGGAGGTCACCAGCTCGAACAACGGCGGGGAGCACGCAGAGCCACTCAGAACTAAGTTTCATTGGGTTTTGGCCAATGTCCCACATCCTCTACCTGAGGTCACTAATGACCCTTCTCCTTCCTCTCCTCACCATGTTCAATCTAGTCATAGCGGATCACCGAAGCTAGATTCACTACACTTAACTGAGCCACTGCCCAAGATAACGGTGAAGATTCACTCGGCACTCGAATGTACTACCACCCCACACCTCAACTCATGCCACCCATCACTATCACCAACAGTCTTGAGCGAAGCTGCCACCATCCCCCCTCTTCCATCAATCAGCCTCATCTCCCAGCATTTGCCATGGAAAATAGAGATAAAGCCGGCTGCAGGGCATTTCGTGACAGTGTCGGATGTTATCAACGAAATATATCGTGCACTACGCCTCACTGATAGCAAGACGGAATACGCAGCGCTCCCATCAGCAGCAGCACGACAACGGGTCACCGACGCGTATAGCCATCGCTGCGCGCGAACACCCGACGCAAACGCGAAGCAGGCGGAGATGCGGAAGGGATTCAGACGGATTGATTTCTTCGTCGACGAGAACCGCTTCATGGGATTGTCGAGCACTCTCCTTGGCCCGCATGTCTAGTCCATCAATGCCTCTTGATGTCGAAAGGCCCAGCCCTCTTATCACTACCACTAACGATATTAAACAACTCTACCATTTTGCATTCGGGCTAAGTCTGATACCCCTTGCATTTCCGATACTTGTAACAAAAGAAGCCATACTACGATGCGTTGATAGATGTACTAGACGGCGGCCAATAATGGATTATTATATGAAGTAACTAATACGCTGATGAAACCGGGAAAACAAGTACGGTCATGCAATTTAGGCGCCCGTGGTCGGTCACGCATATCGTCACACTCATTCTTGCGGCTCACTCTAGTTCGCTCTCAAATGCTTCGGTCATTGCACAGGCAGATTGGTACACGAACTCGCATACAAGGTAAATATCTCCTGAAAAGCAAGTAGAAATGGGCTGAAACCTTTGCAGAACATCAAATATGGTTTCATAGACCCCGGAATTGTGCAAGACTGCGATGTTACTCGAGCACTGGTACGCCGTCACCTTCGACGCCTGCAACGGGCGGGTCAGGCCAACAGTATGTGTGCAGTGGCTCCTATAACAATCGATTCTCATTTGCATCTAGAAACTCAGAAGGCCAAAGTCCTGACTCAAGGTCTATCTTCGAGTCGAAAAACGTCTGGGACCATGTTTTCAAAGACATCAATGAGATGCCTCCCCTCCTCCCATCGGCCGTCCGCAACCTACGCTCTACGGCGAACAAGTCCGAACACAGCCGTCACGCACGGCGGCAGACCATGACAGCCCGCGAAATCAACGCCTTCGATGACATGTTCAACATGATCTTCAACGCTGTCTCCGAGCAAAAACTCTCCTCTAAAGGCCCTAATGAGGGCCCTGGCATCGGGCGCGACGCTGCTTCGGTGGGGGACCTGTTTGGGAAGCTACGCCGGCACTCGAAACGCTTGAAGTGGACGTCGGAGTTCGACGAGCTGCTAGACCGGAAGAAAGAGGCGATCAACCTGTGTGATAACGACCAGCAGCTGCTGGAGTGGGGGATGACGGAGGTGTTCGGCGAGTCGCAAAAATACGAAGCAGCGTGGCGCGAGTCGCCCGATCTCCCTATGCAGCCCCCGACCTACCCCCACCTTCTCGCGCTCCTCATAAAAGAGTTCCGGGACAAATACGGCGACCCGAACCTCGCGCTCGCGATATTCAACTACGCGAAGAATCTGTCGATCGCTTCCTATGTGTTCGGATGCTCGACACAGGCGTACAATGAACTCATCGAGACGAGGTGGAGTTCGTTCCAGGATCTGAAAGGCGTGCATGATGCGCTGGAAGAGATGCTCGTGAACGGCGTAGAGCTCGATAGCCGCACAAGGAAGTTGGTGGATACTGTTCGCCGCGAGATTGGCGGACAGCAAGCTGGGTGGCGGGAGGTTAACGATGTCTTTGGGAAGGAGATGTGGAATCTCATGACGAAGATCGATGGGCTGGTCAAGGCAGGAACACCAGAGTCTCCTGACGGTAGGCTGCGCTTGGACGAGTGGAAGACTATCGGTGACGACGACGACCGAGGTTGGGACTTTGACTCATGGAGCGGCTCAAGTCGACATGACGAACCGCGCGACAGATCCAAGAGCTTCTCGTCCCGCTTTTCATGAGTAGAATAGTCAATGATTACCTAGGTATTAGTGCTTATTGTATACATGAGACCGTAATGATAGTGGACCGTGGTGGTGATGGTAAAATGCACAAAGCAAAAATAAGTATACGACAAGTGAGTGAGTGATATCCAAAGATGGGTATATATATGGGGGTCCATCGTGTAGAAGAGATGCTATGGTATATGTATGTATGTATGTTGTATGTATTATCGCCGGGAGCGTGATTTTGATACTCGGGGAGCAGGGGTGGTGGGCACTGCTCCCAATCCATGGACAGGAACGTAGTCAGTGTCGATTTCGTCGCTTTTCAGATGAAGCAGTAGATGATATACGAAGATCTGTTCGAACCTGCAGGTCATCGTGAGTTGATTGTGTCAACCATCAGAAACAAATGTGGGACGGGTACGCACTGAGCATTCGTGAAAACGATCGCCATCGACTCCGAATTGCACCGCAGCAGATTTGGGGCCATCACCAGCGCCAAGTTCGCCGGTGTCATCTTCGTGACAGTTTGGATCCTGTCGTCCAGAAACAGCTGCAAGAAGCTGATGACGAAGAGCACGACCCGCCGATTTATCGTGGGCAGCCGCTCGACGATGCGGACGCACGCCTCGGGGTCATTCGAACTTGTTATGCATTCATTGTACATCTCCTCAGGCACCAGCGGATCGCAGAGCTCCCGCAACCACAGTTTCATGAGGGAGGCGAGGACATGGGGATCATCGACGCCGTCCAGTGTATAGTACCCCTGGTCAATACGCAGCTTGAGCTCAGACACGGAGTCGCCGTCGCCCGGGACGCGGAAGATGCCCTCCGACTTCGGGCCCCCGAGGGCGAGGATCCCGTCCGCAAGGAAGGGGAGGATGATGGGCACTTTCTGGTGCGGGTAGTTCCTTTCCTGCAGGCGAATAATGGCGTCAAGTGATTCGCCAAACGTGGATGGATTGAAAGCGGCGTCCTGCATGGGCATGAGATTGAGGATTAAGTTTGGGATGTGCCATTTCGAATACGCACCGAAGCAATCTCGATCTCTGCGACCGTGGGTGGCTTGCCTCTTGGTCCTTTCTTGGCTATATACGTGAGTCGCCTCAGGCAGTACTTCGCCATCACGTCCACGCGGCCCTCTGAGTGCGACGTTCTTTGCTGGATAAAGGATCGCAGATACGTCTCGAAGTTCTTTGATGGTGGGAACGTTATCAGCAGCACGCATAGCAACTGCCATCCTTTGAACACGCTTTCACTACAGATCCATACGCCTCAAAGGGGGCTCGGACACAAGGACGGAAATAAAAACATACGTATTGTGGTTGCCGATAAGCTGCTTCATAAGCTGGCAGTATATCTCATCGCGAAGCTCGCCGTGTGTGAGACCCTCACCCAGCAGCCACCGTTCTTCCTCGAGAATGCTCACATTATGCACTGACGTCGACGAACCATTTATTGAGGCGACGGTGGAGACGTGAGTGTCCGCCACGCGAATGCTGACGCTTCGCTCGCGTTCTCGATCACCCATTATATGTTGTATGACCTTGAAAACCTTGACAGCATCCTTGTGCAGAGATCTTCGGATTGTCAGCAACGGTGAAGTTAACGGGGGCTATAGGATGGGACGAAGATGAGCAAGATCGAAAATTGGACCAAACGATGCGAACCTTCTGCCAGGTCATCATCTGTGCAACGGGGACTTTGCGACGAAATATGAAACCAGTACGGTGTGTCGAAAAATACTGCTTTGCGTAGTCCGACTCCGAGAACTGTTGAATCGCCGAAGCCAAATCATGCGGCAGGATTGGGTACGTCCTACAAAATCGAATGTTACATTGTGTTGACAAATACGGAGACGCGTAACTCGCCCAGATCGAAGTGTCGCGGTATTCGTTCGTTGAAGTGATAGTTCGGTGCGCATCGTTGGCTCAACAGGTATGGGTTTCCCTGCAGCGCGATTCTTGACGGGACTCATGTTGAACGTAGCCTCTGTTACAAATTGAATAGACGACATCAACATATTGGCAATTGAACGTACCGTTGTTGGGTATGGGATTGCTGATACCCCTTCCAGCAACTGAGGACTTCCAGGGCCCGGGAACAGCTGGTATAGGTCTGCGTGGCGAAGGCGGCGGAGCATTGTGTTTGTCTTTAGTGGGGGTGGTGGACCGTGGAAGAACTAATCCTATCTCTTCATTAGCCGACGACTTCCTCGTACTCATGGTCGTAGTTGATTGCCGAGGAGCGGATCCCGGACTATGTCCATTGTCGGAATTAGGTCCAACTAACAGTTCAGCCGCCGCATTCAAGCTTTGTGCAGGGGGAGATCTATGGGGAACATAAGACGAGGACTTTGAGCGCGACCGCGTAGCCGAATCAACGCTTCCGTTCCGTGAGGTTTTCCCATTGGACTTCCCATTTGGGCTGTCATTCTCGTGCTTACCGTTCGCGAGGGAAGGGGTCATCGATCGCTGAGATGAAGGAGAAGGGGGAGACGAAGCTTCGGTCATGTATGGAGATCCAGGTATAGTAGGAAGCTGCGGCGCCAGGGAATGTGGATGGAGCAACCGGTTCGCGCCACTGACTGAGTATTGATCACTGGACACAGACCTCCTAACGGCCTGGCTGTGCTGCCTTTGACTTGAAGTGGGGCTGGGTGAAGACGCCGGAGCGGTCGAGTTCGGCCTCCGTAACTGCAGCTGCTCATGCGCACCATCTTGACCATTCGCGTACGACTTGGATCGCCTGTACTGCGGCTTGGGTGCCTTGATCTCTGGTGGTTCGTCTTCTATCACTTTGGATAATCTATGAAAAGACAGCCGCCGACCCAAAGCTGTATCCTGTATGTTTCATCAGCACCATTTGATGTCGGAATGACTGTATACGCACCTGGACTATGCCCAAAGGAATAACGAAACCAGGCGGTCTCTCCCAAACTGTTTCGCCTGTCTTTGTCTGATAGTAGTACGGTATTCCGCCGCGCGAATCGTCGCTCAACTCCCACCACTCGCCGTCAGTACTCGGGGGAAGTCTGCCAAAAGAAGTTGGCACCTAGTCTATATCAAATTAAACCATAGACATACACGAAATTTCCAACGGGCGGGTCCCAGCTGACTTGGCCTGTCGCAGGACATGCGTAGAAAGAGGTGTGCGTCTGGTGGACATCAAATCGTCAGACAAAAAAAGGCAAACTGCTGCAAAGGCATGTTCAGGATCTCGCACCTGCGGGTCCACCAGAGTCACCCAGAAATTCGAGCCCCAGGTCGCAGAATCGTCTCCTCCGTTTGCATTTGCCGGCTGCTGACTGCTTTTCGGCGTTCGAGGGGTCCTAGGCGTGGTCTTTGAAGGGCTTTCTGCGCCATCTGCGGCTTTTGACTGCTGATGAGGATCGAGCTGCTCTGGTTTTAGTTCTGGGGGAGATGATAGTGCAGATACGGGGGTATTCGATGCAGATTGCGTCGAGAGTGTCATTACGAAGATCCCTGGCGACAGATGTGAGACTGAGTGGAAAAAATTGATTCCCGGGTATAGATGGCACTGGTGCCGTCCAAATCAAGCTGGAAAGAGACGATACGATTCAAAAACGTCCTCTGCAAGAGTGTTAACCGTGGACGCGACGGGGAACGCTGGTTCAGGGTCGGCCTCAAGCCATGGAGATACCGTATCGTCGGTCGCTATAGAGTTCCTGGCAAACAAGCGCCACAGCAACACCGTCGTCGCGCGCAGTGGCGGTACAATGCACATACAGGGTGTTTTGTCCTACATAAATATTGCATTTGATAGATGTACAGTGTTGCGAGACAAAGAGTCCATTACTTTTAGTACTGTGTCCTACATCAAACCTCCTACATCAAACAACCGCTGAAAAGCGCATGAACCTCCTGCGCGAGCTTTTCATGGTCGATGTCAGCAGTCGCCTGCGGCTCCTGTGATCGATCATCTTGTGAAGAGATATCCAGCCCAAGTCCCGCAGAGTCCTGCCTCGTGTCAGCTGAAGCGCCAGCTTCAAGAAGCGGCACCATCGTTTGCCACAATTCTGTAAAGTCGAGGTCGTTTATATTATCCGGCATGGAAAAATCGGCCGGCAGTTCCAGCGATAAACCATCTTGCGCCTGCGCTTGCGAGTCGTCAGAAGCCAAATGAGTGAACTGATTGAACAGCGCAGCGTCCGAGAGTGGTTCTGCGCCGCCATGCCGCGATGAAGGGTTGTTGACGGACGCGTAGTAGGCATCGAACTCATTTACATCAAAGTACATGGCCAGATTGGAGAGCGTGGGCGTCATCGTAAGATCTTGCGTATCAGTTGATTCTGAGGGCAAAGTGCTTGCATCTTCAAAAGGACTTGATGGAGGCGGAGGCGACGAAGGAGGCAAATCCGTCCAATGTTCTTTCACTGGGACTGTCTCGCCAGCTGGATCACAATTCATGGACTCGTCATCTTCTGTATCGCTGCTTGCTATAGGAAGCGAATCAGGAGGAGATTCAGCGTTGGGAATCATTGTTTCTTTGGATACTGTTTCGCTCGGCGCATGTACAGGCAGATCCTCCTCATCGTCTGATTCATGATCGGGTATCTGAAGTCCATGAGGCCCAACCATCTTCCCCCAGATGCTACTCTGCGGAACCGGGGACCCCATGGCACCAAAAGGCGAAAATAGAGGGTTGCCATTGTCCCTTCCTTTCGGCGTCGGCGTAAATAAGGAACTGTCGTGAAGTATATCGTGTCGTCGAGGTGGTGTGCTGGGTATTTCAGGTTCAGGTTGGGAGGTATATGGTGAAGGGGATACAGGTCGGGTGGGGGGACAACTGTCGATGATGGGGTCTGACGAAGCGAACACAGGATGGATGTTGTTCGAGGTGAGCGGGTCGGAATAAATAGCTGAAGGAGTTTGACTTGACTGTTGAGAAACCTGGGTTCCATCGCCCGTGTCAGCGCGTAGTAGCCCTGGTTTCTGACTGCCATTGTCTCTTCCGCGAAACGTCTGCTTACGGGCCTTAGCACGCTTACGGTTCATGATCTCTTCATTCTGTTGGGCAGCAGCGTCTTCGAGGGCCTTCTGCGCCTCTTCAGATAGTCGAGGTTGTGTCGCAGTCGTTGTCCGTGCCCACTCCGGTACTACGTACTTCTGTCGCGGCCGTTTCGATGTTTTCGACGTCGAGGGAGCTACTGGCGAGGAAGCAGAAGTGGACAATATCCTTCCTCGTTTGGGCGATATGACGACAGAAACAGACGAAGACCGAATAGTAGAACTTTCGTGCCAAACATGCAGCGAGCGCTGTCGTTGGGGAGGCGGACTCGTAGAAGGTCCAGCAATACTCGACGGCGACTCGGAGCGGTCGAATGTCGGAGGGTCTGACATGATATGTGCGGCAGACTGCTCAGGTTGCCGGTAATATTGCTTCGCTTCCGCTCGCGAACAGAGGGGTTCAATGGTTCGGTAATATCTATGGGCGTCGCGTTGGCCCACTCGTTTCCTGACTGAATCGCGTTCATCCATGAGATCGCTTAGTCGTCGTTTCCTTGTGACCTTCTCCTCTTGTGCTGGGTTGGCAGCAGGGACGTGTGTGTACGACGAAGACCTATTGCTAACTGTCCGAACTTTGTTCAGGTCTCGAGGAGCACCAAGGATCGATGTTGTCGCGGCCTCTGGACCCCCCACCTGCCGCGAACTAGAGGCCATCCCAGAAGTCAGCAGCATACGCTTCGCCTCAGCCCGTTCGCGCTCGGCCCTCCGTCTGAAAGCCGTAGGGTTGACATTCTCCTTGTCCAATATAACAACCTCATCGTCTTGGGATTTCGACGGCGAGTTCGATTCTGAGCCAGAAATCGACGCAGGGTGAGCTCGAACTCGAGAATGCGTAGTACGAGAAGTATTGTGATTCAGTCGGTCGGCAGAAGCTGCAGATACCAGTTGCCTGAGTGCCGACACCAATGCAGGATTTGTTGCAGATACAGAGTTGCCTGGCGTAGTCGAATCGATCGCCATGAGAGCATCAAGTAAGACGGCAGTCTGAGCTTCTGAGAGCGGATTTGTAGATGGAGGCAGCGCATCCAGTGGGAGTGATATAGATGTTGTTTGCGGAGAATCGACCGCTTTTGTTATGATGGACGACAGTCAGTCTAGTAACCCATAACTATAAAGCGTCGTAGTAACTCACTGGAACCAGCAGAAACCTCCGAGGGAGGTTGTTGAGAGTGAGTACTACAGCTTGACAACCACGCAGCCAGACGTTGATTTTTGGGAGATGCGGGGGGAGGGTCTTCTTCCTCTTCATCATCTTCAATGTCAACAGATTGCGGCGGATCCTTCGACCGAGGCCTGCCACTCCTTGGTCTGCCCCACTTCCTTGGAGGGCCGGTATATGTAACGCCTGAAGCCATAAGTAGATCCGCCTCACTTGGGGGTTGTTCGGGGACTACGCGCTTGGGCGGGGGTGGTGGCGGTGGCACTCTCTTCGCGCGCGCCTTGGCCAAGGATAGAGGTGAAAGTAGCTGTTCATCGATTTTACTAGGTTCTTGGCGGACGTCAGTTCTTCAATCTGCGCGCTTCTGGTATACCAACATACCTTGTCGACGGCGTCGAGAGGTTACCTTCTCGGCTACAATCGGTGGTGGAGAAACCGTTTTCAAGTGAGTAGCAGGTGTCTACGCAGATACTCAACATGATGTAATTTGTCCCGGACGTAGACGGAAGCTCACGCACCTCACGTAAAGCAAACACAACCTCCAGGGCCGCCCTCCCGTTGTTTATCAAAGTCCCTGCTATTTGCAAAGACTTGCTCTCCTCTGAGACTCGAGCCCATGACATCAATCCCAGACCCACAGCCACCCCGCTTTGCTGAGACCGTCGCTCCGACGACGACGCGTGGGCGCCAATCGGGGTGGGTGCAGACAGCGACTCCAGAGGATCGAGGACATACACTGAGTAATCTCTCGACCTGTCCTGAAGGAGCTCAGGACTGGATCGACAAATGGTATCAAGACAGTGCTTGAAGGCGACGGTGCCGTATATTTGGGGAGAGTCCCCCTGGTCTTCTGCAGTACATTCCGACACAGGCTGCACTGGGTAGGCGGAGAGCGAGCGAGCTAGGATGTATTGGGGGGAGCTATTTATTGTGTAGAGGATACGAAGGGGTAGAGACCGTGTTGTCGACATGCAGCGGTCGTTTCTGGGAGGGTTTCGTGTCGTTTCCTGTGCCGAGTCCTTCACCAACGCCTCAATCGTTGATGGCAGCGTGTTCGCGAAGGAAAGTTGGTTCTTCGCCAGGTCGCGCCGTTCGCGCAATGACAGACAAACATGTGACCTTGATTACTGCGTGGGAAGACCCCCTAACTCTTGAAGCAGCGGCGGGTTGCCCTCGAAGCGAAGGTAACATGTTTCACTTACTTCGTATCTTCCAGTCTATAACAAGCTCAGTTGTACGCTGGCCTGCACTGGCCTGGCAGACCAACCACCAATCTTCCCCCCTTTGTACACGTGATCGTGCAGCCCATCTTCTCTTTCTGATTCACCAGTCCACACCGAACGCTGATACACCGAGCTTATGTGCTTTGCTGAGGCTCAAAGTTTTCCCTCCTCAGCGACCTTCTGCCCAACCCCCCTTCGACGGGCTCAACATCCGCCATGATGGCAAGGGTATAGCTTGTCGACGCGGTAGTGCTCTTGGAAAGAACCTTTCTTCCTGCGGTCCAACGAACACCTGGAAATGAACGTAATCAAGATTAACCCCTCGGTTCATTCACTCGCAGCGCTGATTAAAGCGCAGGCGTCGAACCCATTCGTAGATAAACTCAGATCCCCCCATACTTCCCCAGCTATTCTTTCCCCCAACTTCAGTCAACTCTCGCCAGAACTCAATGTTACGTTGGCTTGGTTTGAACGCCGTTGTACTTGTGGTAGTTAGCTGCTTCGCCCATGGTAAGGTGCTCAGAACAGCGTCGGAGATGTCCCCGCACTATGACTTCGTGGTCGTTGGTGGTGAGTCGCCACGCTATAGTGCCTGGCTGTCTTACTCACGGTGTCGCGATGCGCTAGGTGGGACGGCCGGCAATGTAATCGCCAATCGACTAACAGAGGATCCTAACATTCGAGTACTAGTCATTGAATCCGGTGGATCGTGAGTAATGCCTGTACACGGGTGTCGCCCGTTCATATCACAGTCTAATGCTCGATGACCAGTCACGAAGGCATACAAGCTCTCGAGGTCCCGTTTTTCTATGTGTCTTTATTCTCCTCCCCAGGGCTACTCTGGAACTATACAACGACTCCGCAAGCTGCCCTTGCGGAGAGGTCGATTCCCTATACCAGGGGTCACGTTTTAGGAGGGTGCTCTTCTATAAGTGAGTACTTGAGTCATCAAGCCTTCAAGTTCCTTGACAATGTTATACGAATAGATGGAATGACTGTCACCAGAGGCTCGGCTGAAGACTATGACAAGATCGCCAATATCACTGGAGACGAAGGATGGTCGTGGAACCGACTTCAGCATTACATCAAGAAGGTATGCTCACTCCTTCTCTTCCTCCGGGCTTTTTTGCTTACTTTCTGACCCCAGCACGAACGATGGTCTAGTCCTGCTGCCTCCCCGATGTTTTACGATCCTTCAGTCCACGGCTTTCACGGAATGACTGAGCTTACACTCTCTCGCATCCCACATTCCATTGATGATATGATGTTCAATGCCACCCAAGGAAATAAGCAATTCCCCTTCAACATCGATTATAACTCTGGAAAGCCTCTGGGCTTCGGTAACGCTCAATAACTGAATCATCGATCACTCGTAGCTGATCACGGTCAAATTGCCAGGTTGGAAGCAGTCCTCGATAACCGCAGATGGCCGCCGCGACAGCTCCGCGACGTCGTACCTTGGTCCCAAATTTATACAGCGGCCCAACCTTCACGTTCTGCTGAACCATCGAGTGCTCCGCTTGCTTCATGCTAAGAGAACTGCCAGCTCTCGTGTTCATTTCAATGCCGTTGAATTCACGGAGGTTGTTGAGGGTCTGTTCTTCACTCCCTCCCCGCTTTTATTGAACTTCTCGTTTACCTTCTGTGACAGGCGTAGTGGGTCATCGACACGTTATTACAGTATCCAAAGAAATCATACTTTCCGCTGGCTCCATAGGCACCCCTCACATCCTTCTTCACTCAGGCATAGGCGATCGCAACGCGTTATCTGCACTCGGCGTCAAACCAACACACCACCTCCCCAGCGTCGGCCAGAATTTCACGGAACAACCCGCAGCTATCATTCACTGGTTAGTGAATGACAACAATACCTGGGAACGGTTCACGCGAAACACCACTTTGATGGCCGAAATACTAGAAGAGTGGAAAGTGAACAAATCGGGTCCGCTGACGGGTCCCGCCTCATCCCACCTGGGATATATGCGGTTGCCCAAAAATGCAAGCGTGTTCGAAACCGTGTCCGATCCGTCAGCTGGACCAAATACACCCCATGTTGAGCTGTCTTTCAATGTGAGTACTGTTTTGTCCATTTGTGCACAGATGAATCTGAACGATGTTGTGTAGAATGGAGCCTGGCTGGACCCATTACCGCCAACTGGCAACTTCTTCAGCGCGGCTACTGTCGTTGTCACCCCCATGTCGCGTAGGGCGCAGTCCTTATTCTCACTAATTAAGGCATTATTCACGATAAGTGTTTAGGTGGTTCCGTCTCGCTGAAGACTTCCAACCCGCTGGATCAACCCTTGATCGATCCCGCCTTGCTAATGCACGAATTCGACCGCTTCGCATTCCGTGAACTCTTCCGCCTCGCTCGCAAATTCGTCGCCTTACCAGCATGGAAGGACTACATCCTCGACATATACGGGCCTCTCGCGTCATTGGACTTCGACAACGACTCCGAACTTGACAAATACATCCAAGGCCAGACCTTCATGGGCCTCCACCCCGTCGGGTCGGCGTCGATGTCACCCAGAGGCGCGCGCTGGGGCGTCACAGATCCCGATTTGAAGGTGAAAGGAGTCCGCGGGATACGCGTTGTGGATGCTTCTGTCTTCGTTGAGTTCAATGTATTTCTGACTGAAAATGCGCTGACTAGATGTCACTCGATAGCCCCATATACCTGCTGCCCATACGCAAGGTCCTGTGTATATTATCGCGGAAAGAGCAGCAGACTTAATTAAGAGGAGTTGGGGAATTGTGTAGGCATGTAGGCATTGAATAGATCATGCTGTAAGTCCACGTGTACCACCAACTTCGTGGACATAAACGTGTGTCTACCTTTGACCGAATATATTGGGCGGTTCTTCGTATCCTTGAGAGAAGATGTCCGTAAACTTTGCTTCTAGAACGAAGATATCTGCATGTGTTCCGTTCTAATACATTACAATCATAGGGAGACTTCGATGGAGCAACGCCTTTCGTAGTCATTCGGTATACGGATGAGGGAGCGAGAGAGGGAAGACGAGCCCGCTATCCGATGTTCTGGAAGATCTTCATCTTTAACCATAAGCTTAGACAACGTCGATTGCGTATCACTCTGCGTCGTCGAAGAAGCTTCTGTAGACGTGGACGTAGACTGAGACGACATGTGAGACGCTTGGGGAGCAGTGAGGAGCTGCTTCGAAGTACAGGTGCATTCGGGAAGGCAGAAGTGTCTAGACTCGACAGGAGCGTAAGGCTGAGGACCCTGGTCGAAGGCCGAGGAAGAGGCTGGGATGGAGGGGTAGCTGCGCCATGGAAGCAAGAAGGCCAGAACGACCGATGGAGGAAAAGGTGATGGTGACTCGTCGATATCCCGTATCCAAATTAATCGATCGAATTTGTAGGCGACGATGATTGATACGGTGATCAGGAATAAGCAGTATGAAGCGACTGTCGAGCCCATGTCATCAGTTAGCTGATAGTTGATTTACCAGTAAAGCGAGAGGACTTACGTAGTGCGGTTTTGACGTATGTAATGATCTGGAGGCCGAATAGCACACTGGAGATAAAGTCTGGTGCGAGTGTCGTTGGCTTCAATGAGAGAAGGATGAGGACTAGGACTAGTGCATTGCCGTCGTCAGCCGTCAGTAAGGCGAATGAATGGAACTCGCCCCACCGAGTTCAAAAGGTAATATTGTGAACGCCATCGTAGTTTCGTAACCTATCAGCTGTGGACGTCGAGTGAATGATTTCCTGAGCAACCTGCAAAGGCGTGGGTCATTCGAGATATGGATGGGTATATGAATCCGCTCCTTACACCCAAGCACAACACAACGCCGCTATGGCGGATTCGAAGGCGACTGCTATGAGGGCGTTTCCATGAAGTACGTGTCGATGAATCGCCAGCGAGATACTGAAGCAGCTGGTGTACAGTATGAGCAAAGCGGCTGCATCGAGCCGTTAGTGGGCACGACGAGGTCTCCCAAGGGGACGAGTCACGCACAGAGTAAGCAGCGGCGAATGAGTCGAAAGCTAGGCGCCATCTTTGTCGAAACTGGGCCCTAGGCTCATCCAGCGACCAGCCACTGCGGTGCCAGGAAGGATGGTGTGATGGTGGTGGTATGGAAGAGAAGCCGCGGTTTACATGGCAGGCTCGCCATTCGGTCCAATAAGGACTACGTGTCACAGCATTAATTGCATTCTTTCATAGGACTTCAGGCCTTCAGGTTGCGAATATAGAGGAGCCTTGTCGTTTGCTTGTCAAAATGGTTACAACCAAGAAGTCTTCAGGGTCGCCGGTAGGCTGCTTCAGCGCTAAATTTCCTTCGCCTGGCCATGACACCCTCACAAACCGTTGTCCAGTCCATCAGCATCCTCGGAAAGCGCAAAGCTTCACAACGCTCAAAATCACTGGTGATACACCTATCGTCTGACGCAGGCTCTAGCTATGAAGAACTTGAATCAGATCATTCCAATACCCCGAAACCGTCGACAAGCAGGTCGGCCGTAATGATGGTCAATGGCACCTTGCAGATGTGCCCCAAGAGGCGGTACCAGTGCACGTTTGAAGGATGTGAAAAGGCGTATACGAAGCCCTCGCGACTGGAAGAGCATGAACGGTCTCATACTGGTCTGGTAAGTGACCTTCGGACTAGATAAGAGGCCATTGATGGAGACGCGAATCAGCGACCGTTCGTTTGCGAGACGTGCCATAAATCGTATCTCAGAGAGAGCCATCTCCACGCGCACGCAAGGAGTCATCTTCCTGAATCAGAGAGGCCTTTTCTTTGCGATTCAGGCAGTTGTAGAAAGCGTTTCTGGACGTCGCAGCATCTCCAAGCTCATCTCCAACTCCACACCGGAGAAAAGCCGTTCAAAGTGCGTCCGGAATGCATATTTGTCATTGCATGGTGCTGAACACCCATAAGTGCTCTGAAGTAGACTGCGAAGAGGCTTTTGCCAAGCACCATCAACTTAGAACGCATATGTGCACCGTGCACGCCCCGCCTGGCACCAAACCATACCAATGTAGCCATGCGGACTGCAGTAAATCTTTCTCCACTAGCCAAAAGCTACGTGCACATGCCAAGACACACGACGGTATGTAGACATCATTTCTTTTATATTTATCGGCCTCGCTGCAACGATATTTACAGACAAACGATACATGTGCGCCCACCCAAACTGTTTGTCCCCCACCTCCACCCCGAGATATTTCAGCACTTGGACGGCTCTGCAGCACCACACGCGCGTCGACCACCCCCCAACATGCACTCACCCCTCTTGCAATGGCAGACTATTTACCTCTCAAAAAGGTCTGCGCGCACACCAGATGCTACACGAGGAACGCGACGCAGAGGCGAGGTTGGGTGCAGAAGTGCATAATGATTCTGACGCAGAGGACTCGGATAGTGAAGCGCCCCCGCGCAAGAAGCGAAGAGGAGGGGAGCTGGGGAGGGACTGGAAATGCGATGTCGATACCTGTGACAAGAGCTTCAAATCCGTAAATGGATATTCCTCAATTATAGACTGGACTACGCTCACACTGACATCGAATAGAAAAAGGCGATGACGACACATATCAAAGTCAACCATCAAGGACGGCGGGACTTCGTCTGCCCCCACTCTGCCTGCAAGAGGGCCTTCGGGTATAAACACCTCCTCCAGCGCCATCTCGCGAAGATACACAAAGCCTCCGGTGATTCCACGAGCTCAGAGGCCGAGGAAACGGAGGCCGATGGACATGCCCGTGCACACGAATCGGACGTCCTGTTGGATATCGATGCGGTCACTGGGAACAGCTACTCGAAACGCGCCGCGGAGAAGGTGGAGACGGCGAAAGCGCTGAGATGTCCCCACCCTCACTTGCAGGGATTGGGACTTCTTGACACCGCTCTTGCTACTATACTGGAGTCAGAGTCTTCGTGCGAGTATGTGTTCTCGCGCGCGTATGACCTTCGTCGTCATCTACGGGCTAACCATGGAATTGAGTTGGAGAAAGACGTCGTTGATAAGTGGGTGCTGAAGCAGAAGACCACTTCTCGAAATATCCTTCAGTAGGGTAGACATATTAGACCATCGCTACTTGAATCCCGAAATGCAAATTCCATTACCATCGTGTATTACCCGTTTAGCGAGAGGCGTACAACCCAATTCAATGGCTATATCGTACTTACAAGCCTCAAGGGCGTACCGAAGAGAAAAAAGAAAAACAAAGGCCTTACCAGGGCTCGAACCTGGGTCACTGGAAATCAAAGTGATTTCAAAATCCAGTGTGATAACCACTACACTATAAAGCCAGAGAAGAGGCAGGCCTGACCAGGGTTCGAACCTGGGTCACTGGAAGTCAAATAACTTCAAAATCCAGTGTGATAACCACTACACTATAAAGCCTTGATGACCAAGGCCAGATGGCCGGGATATCATCTGTACTCAGATTGCAAGGTATAAAGAGACAGGAGAGAAGCGAAAGGTATATTATTCATTACAAGTTTTTCTACTATCTGACATGGATATGTGGGCAAAAGAAAGGGTATTTACCGCCATGTATCGTTCTCGATGAAAGATCCGGGGGCAGGTGTGTTTATGACGCGGTTGGGGTCAGATTCCCATGTCACTGCGCCATTGAATTTCCTGATGAACTTGTACTCGATTCTCGTGTTGGCTGGAACCGAGACAGTGACTACGATGACAGGATTCGTGAGCTCAGGTATTGCAAGGAGAATAAGACTATCTTACCACTCCAAATTGGGTAGTTATCGGAGTTGAGTGCAATAGCGTTGTCTGGGGACCAGTTTTGAAGTGCCTCAACAGAGCCGGTCAAGAAGATGTTCTCTGCATTCCGTTCATCAGCGCTTCCCTACCAGAAAGTGCCGTATAACACATACCTCCGAAGACAGTTGTTGCCTGAACATTGAACGTGACAGACACAGAAGGACCGCCGCCGCCGCCTGGGCTGGTGTTCCTCTCGCAAGTGGTGGGAACAGTCAAGCCGCTGGCACCCCAACTGACAGGTGTCTTGCCTTCTCTCGCAGCAAAGGCCGTCAAAGCAGAAGCGTACGACCATGTCAAGTCAACAGCGCTAAGAGGATGGCCGTCGTTACGATCATACTGCTCTGCGAGTGCGCCGCTGGATGGTGTGAATTGGGCAACCTTGGCGACGAACCCGTCGGCGAATGTCTTGACGGCTGCAGTGAGGGTGGTAAAGGTCGAAGTAGATGCGGCGTAGGTGCCGACGGCGACACCGGGGCTGAGACTAGCGAAGAAGGGTTGCGAGACGGCGGTGACGGTGAGCGAGCCTTGCTTGTTCCAGACGATCAGGGCATCGTAGAGCTGTTCGGCAACAGCGAGGGTAGAGAGGTACCAAGGATTGCCGCCGAAGTAGACATCCTCTGGGTAGCGCCCAGTAGCGACAGCCTGGTTGGCGGGAATTCCAGAGTTGACGGTGTAAATGGAACGGAATGCGTTGACGTAGACAAAGAGGTTAGCGAGCGCTTTGTCTGAACAGGGTTGGAATGTTGCAGCATCGCATCCGGCTTCGGCATCGAAGGTATGGATAGAAGTCAAGACCGTGTTCGAATCCTTTCCTGACCTTCCTCCGCCAGTGTTTGCGGTCGCGAAGTTGCCGGATGGGTTCCAGTAAGACTAACACAACGTCAGATGGTCGTGCAATTCAGAGTACCAAGCGGACTGACCTGCAAGAAGCACAGACTGTTATCGGCTTGGGTCGTGTACCCAGCGACGACGCCTGTTTGGCCGATTGCTTTAGCCAAAGCCGCGCCTTGACGCAGGGAACGGTGCTGAACAGCAGTTGTGAAGAACGATGCCGAGTTGACTTCCTCCCAAAGGTCAAATCTGTAATATACTGTTAGGACATGAATAAGTGTGAGACTGAGCGTTCACGTACCCAGTCAGGTTCCAAGAGTTGGCTACGTAGTCGAGGTCGAGTTTAATTATGGGCCACAGCGAGTTGGTGACGTATGAGGCATTGTTGGTAGCGAGAAGGTGGTTGGCCCAGTTGATCAATGCAATGGAGCGAAGAGCAGGTCCATCTATAGACTCATAAAATATATTAGCTAGCTTATATGATGTTGACAGTGATTCTCACCTCTTTGCGGACGTCTAGAGGCAAAAGTTGAAACGTTGATGAGTAAGTCTTCGTAGTAATTTGGCATAAAAAAGGCACGTACCCCCAAGCTCCCGTGAATGCGGTCAAGTCGATGTTGAATTTCGGCTCTCCGAGACCCCCGGACGAGACTGTCCCGGATGGATTGGACACTTGTTGCAGTATCGTCTGTGACCTGACGTAATTGTCGATGTGGGGTCGGAGAGAAGCATCCGTCCCGCTAATGACTCTGCAATCACACACGCGTTTCAGTCGACGAAGTTCTGCCGAATTGTCTGAACAGAGCAAGCAACGTACTGTTCAATGATTGCCTGGAAGACCAGAGCCGAGTCACGCGTCCAAGTAAAGAGATAGGGTGGGTCAGTCGCTGATGGTGATGCAATGACGACGCCGGCTTGGGCACCCTGCGACTTCGCTCCCGAAGGACCGATGTTAGCGAGTAAGCCCGCTTTGGCGATCGGGCCCTCTTTGGCGATGAACGCGTCGGCGTTAGATTGAGCAAAGGCGAAGCCGACTGTCCATACAGCGGACAGCAGAGACAAGAAACGCATGGCTCTGAGGGCTGTAGCAACGGGAATCGTGTGGGGGGTGGAGAATAGTGATCGTAGGCCTGTCCCATTTTATACAATTTTGAGTTCTCTTCCGTTCGGTTGAGTCCCCGTCCTTTGCACCCGGCCCTCGCTTTGGCACTACTCGGAGTACGCAATAGCCACGAGTGTTGAGCAAAACGAGTCGCATGATCGTGATAGCACATGGTTTGCCTGTGATCGAAGTCCAGAAACCATACGAGCACATACCGGCGGGGTTTTCTTGACATATCAAAGCTTGTTTATATCCGTTACACATCAACGCGGGGATTTTCCCAGAAGTTCAGCCACCTGTGAGGCCTTCGTGTCGGACGAAGCGGCACACTGCCCGCTAGTACATATTAGCGCCCTCGACATAGAAATTCGGGCACTCACTTACATAGCATGAATGCAATTCAATAACAGCCCCCACCGCCAAGGGGCACTCGAAAACACGGCACGAAATCATGGAGAAGACTGGGGAAGTCTGCAGTCGCCTGATATTCGTTTTACGCTGGGAATATCTCTTCTTTCTACTCGCGATGCTCGGCGAGAACTTGCCAGGGGAAGAAGCCCAGCGTCTTGTTTATCCAAGGCGAGTATGATACGTCAATCGATTCGCAAGAGGTCATCAAAGCGGAAGTCGGGGAATAGGCTTGTGATATGTCAGGCCATCGTTCGGCGTTGGTCAAGAGAACTTGATGCTTGATTTAGGCTCCATTTTAGAGAACTTCCAGAATAGCCAGCCATAGTTGGCGAGAGCTGGTCATAAATCGTGTGCAGTATGCAAATCGAGGACAAGTTCTTGGAGTTAAAGCGGTGGGTTGCCAACGAGAACAAGTCCGACGTATGAAAGAGGATTGCCCCACATGGTTTCGTATGTCCATTAGCACCGTGACCCCCGAGGTACGGTCAACTACGATCCCTCTGGGTAATCCTGTGTAGCCCGTTCCAAGCAAACCTCTGGGAGATGAACAGGACGCCAACTTGAAGATGCTAATGGCTAGAGCTGTGCCGCCGCCATTATCAAGACCCAAGAGTACAATGGCAGACAGGGAACAATAATTGGAACATAGCATCTCAAGTTGCCAATTATACGAAATTGGATATTTGAGGGGCAATATAGTAGACGAGTACAACACGTCTATTGTTTGGGATAAACCTAGGCTTGCGTTATTATATCTGTAACTACTATTTATACATGATATATCCTCACCCTTTTGCTTCCTGCTTTTCGTCAGAAGATGTCCGGCAGGTTCGTGGAAGGCACTTGCGTGCCAAAATTCTTGCCAGTCAGGAGCAAGTAAGAGATGGGGGGATACCTTCAGTGATACGTCGCGAGGCTGCATGTCCGATGCGGTCGCCTCTGGCCGTACTTGCGGACAAGCTGTGGTGAAGAAGACGTCCTTGCAGCTGCGCACTTGCCAAGATTATGCTGTAAAGTGACCGTGGGAGGAATGACTTCGGCTGAGTCCTGACTCCTGACAACAAGCCGCTGAAGTGTCCAAACGTTCAAACGTTCACACCACGGCTTTGCGGTTGCTTGCTCATTGTAAATAGTAGATGATTCAACGAAGCTGAATCGCAGACAACCAAGGAGCGCGGCAGCGCCAGCCATCGTCGGGCCATCTGTTCGGAATATCGGACGGTGCAACACCGCTTGGGCGGCTGCTCGACGGATGTATAACCTTGGAGACCAAGGAACAACGGCGCTGGCATTTTCTTGCACAAAGGGGGTGTGATCTCGCGGTAGCACTGCAATTAGCTGCGGATGCCTCACGAAAACTCCATGTGACGCCAATGCCGGGGATGGTAGCCGTTCTCACTGCATTTGGGGTAATTTAGGGTCAATAAGCGAGGCTCATATAAAACACGGCAACCTCACGGTGGGTTTCATTCTGCTGCCCGTCTTCTTTACTCTACATCATGTTTAAATCGTCGTGTCTCCTGTCGCTCACCTTCGTCGCTGGCCTGGTCGCCGCTCAGTAAGTGCCCGCCACAGCCACCAGGGCTTCCATGCTCAATCTAAATTTTACCTCCTAGATCACTGTCAGACAGCTGCCAAAGTGCTCTCAGTGGCATCGTCACCAATGCTGATACAGCCAATTGTCTGAATCCGTCAGCTCTCATTTCTATCGCTCTGAATGGAGGGAACACTTCTGTCATACAACCCATCGACACATGGTTGACCGGCCTTTGCGCACAAGCACCCTGCACAAATGCCACGCTGGAAGCCACCACTCGTAGCATTCTATCCGGTTGCAGCACCGATCTCGGTAGTTTCGGTCTCAACGTTAATGATGACTCGACGGCGTCCTCGGTGGTGGCAACTGTTCAGCAGTACTACCCCACTGTCCGCAAGGTTGTGTGCCTAAAAGAGTACGTGCACAAGCGCCCTCCATCTGAGCTATCCTAATGTCTCGAATAGTTCGGACAAGCTGTGCGTCACTGAGACGTTGACAACCGCAGAGAGTCTTGTTGGGCCACTCACTCTCAACAACGTGCCATCTATCTTCGGGACAATCATGTCCCAGACACAAGTTCCCACCAATATATCATGCACCAGTTGCGCGAAGGAAGCATTCAACATCATCAAGCAAGACGTACCAAGCGCTGCTGATGCTATCAACCGTGATCTTGGGGCTCAATGTGGCGCAGCCTTCGTTGGTATGTTGACCTTTCCACGCTTTTCGTATTCTATTAAACCTTCTTCAGATGGCAATACTCCGTCGGGTATCAGCCAGAGCGCATCAACTGCCAGCCCTGGGACCAATGCTGCGAACAACGGAGCCCTTAGCCTCGTTTCGATTTCCTCCATTGGTGCTTCATTGACCATGATCGGTTCTGCTGCTTTTGCTCTCTTGATGTGATCCGCTTGAACATTGCATACAAAAGCTCATTATTGGACTTTAACTGTACATTCATAATCAATAATTGCTTGCCATCTATCCTTATATAGACCTCAGACAATCCTCTTGAATTTATTTAAGCCACCTTACAATTAGCGCCTGTCTCCCCCCTAAGTCTCCTAAGTTGCACGCTTTCAGTGAGCATGCTACTTTCTTGAGACAAGCCGTTACGGTGAAGGGCTGCTGTACGCCTTAGCTACTTACGACCATGGAAACGTCGTCCTCTCGCATGCGCACCTATGAGATACCCAAACCCGACGCTGGGCTCGCGGAATGGACAAGCAAAATCAAAGCATTGCAACGCCAAGTAGATGCAGACGAGGAGGCCGAGCAGCAACGCCTGGAAGAGGAGATCAGTGCGTTTAGAGCAGCGCGTCTGAGGAGGAGTCAGGGAATTGGATATGGACCAGGTTCAAGTACACTGGATGCATGTAAGCACCTGTTCTGTTGATGGCAACACCAGACGTTGATGTCCAATTGCTCATTTGGCTCAGCGAAGGTTAAAGAGCTAGCAGAACCGAGTGACATTAGTAGTCCTCGACCGCACGCTTTAGAGACTTTCGATTCACCGATGGACCGGCAGAAGAACCACGACGATGCGCTGTCAAAACTCACCGCGAAGCCAACGCCTGCACGAGCACTCACCACGAGTTTCTCGCATACAAGTTCTGCGGGGCCATCGGCACACCATGGGGCGACGACGAAACCTGAGCCTATGTCTCTCGCGCAGTTTATGGGAGGGCGGGCTACTGGTCCTCGGCTGAATCGACATATGCCTCAGCAAGATGCACATGATCCCACGCAATTCGAGCAGCGAACCAGGATTGATGCCCCTCATCCGGTGTTTGGTCGCGGAGGTGTTGCTTTGCCAGGGCTTGCTCGTCCGAGTACGTCCAGCGGGACTCGCGCCGTCGTTGGCACGTCGCAGACCATTGAACCGCCCAAGGAAAGGGATAGGCGAGTGAGCACGCCGTCAACGCCGGTGCAAGTCCCTCGCGTCGAGCCCACATACGTACAACCAGCACCACCGAGGGTCAGCGTCTCTGCGCGTGTCCGCACCATGAGCACGCCTAGCGGGCCTGTCGCTGCGCTGAAGCCAGTTGAAAGCTTAGTTAAGTCTCCTAGACAGTCTTTCTCTCCCTCTCCATCAATATCCATCGCAAGGTCACCTGTGCAAGACAGCTTTAGAACGGCAACACCTCCGCGCTCGACACCGTCGCCAGCTGCTCCAGCTACCCCTCGACAACAAACGCCAGTCATTATAACACCATCATCACCTCCGCCTAAATCCGTCAGCACGCCATCTCTGGCGCGCCCCATTCTTCCAGATCCAAAGCCAACTTCGCAGTTGTCAAATGTAGGGGCTTCGGCGTCGCCGTCTCCAGCTTTCCTGAAAATCGCAGCCCAGAAAGAGCCAACTCCTAGTATCAGCCGACTGCAAGGTCGAGGGTTCGTGCAAAGCATGGTTCAGGCTAGCTCGCAGATAGAAGCTAGGACACCTTCGCCCCCTGTGGAGAAATCTCGTCCAGGGAGTGGTGGCAAAAGGGTATCTGTACTCGACCGATGGCAACCAAACTCACCTTCCTCTACTCCCTCTTCACCTCCCCCCGTTTCGCCCAAACCAGCAGCAATGCGGAAGTCAAAGACTCTCGATCCCTCTGCTTCTTCTCCGTTCACTGGCCATGCATCATTCGGCAAGGAGACTCCGCCGAAGGTCCTACGGAACGCACCATCGCTACAATCGTTGATCCATCGAGGAACCGAGTCTCCATCTCCACGACCTATCGAAAGTATGCCTCCTGTCAATATCCCTGGTCTAGGCTCTGCGACGACAATGGTGGTTTATAAGGAGGATTCCCCTACAGCGGCGGTAGATGAATTAGGTGTTCGCCGCAGCATCGGGGGCTCTGGCAGCCCCACGCCGGCGAAGGGGCGTTCGTCACTTCCTGCACCGTCAGGAAAGCCCTTAGCTCATGTGCGTTTTTTACTTAGTGATGGTCAAAACGAGGAATAACTCACTGTGTGTCTTGCTTTGCTCTACTATACTCCATACGCATTCTACGCATTCATGTCATCATCTCCGTAAATCATTCATTCATCTTTTTGCTTTTAACTCATACAGCCCACGCGGGATCGTGCCAAACTTCCTAGGAAAAGCAAAGGTACCCAGGGACCCAAGGTCACTTCTGAGTCGACCCACAAATTCGACCCTCCTCTCACTTTCAGCCCCCCTTCATCTTCGGCTCCAACCAAGCAGGCTGAGGCCCAAACTCGTGAGGCTCCTGCAGTTTCCAAATTGTCCGACCTACTTGCCGCGGGACCGCCAGAAGGAGGTCCCCGACGTGTTCCTTCACCACAACAGTACGTTTCCTCAGAGCCCAAGGGAATGGTCGGTGCGAGAGCACTGCCTGGCCTCACTCCCGCTGGGAGGAGTTTACCCATTCCGCCCACCTCTCCGCACCCCGTTCTCCATGAGGCGCCTACCCAGATTATACCCCCGACGCACCAGGATCGTCAACAACAGGAACCATCGAAAGTATCACCGGAATCAACGACTACTTCGCAGGAAGAAAGGTCGCCTTCTGCCTTTTCTAAACATGTCCGTATACCCAGCACTGGCAACCGTGCAACCGTCATGGATGTTGTCCAAGCTTTCAACGAGCACACGCATCCACCGCAGTCCCTTAGTCCTGCCGAGGTCAAAACTGTAGAACCACCACCCCCGGTACCAAACTCACCGAAACCACCGTTGATTCCAAGAATCTTACCGCCCATGCAAGCGGAGAAACGCAAGTCTAGTTACGAGAGATACTCGGCGATCACTTTACCTCCTCTTCCCGAAGAGACGACGCCTGCTCCAACGCCTGCCGGCTCATTGATAAGACACGTCAAAGATAGTTCGAAGACATCAGCGACATCAGCAACCTCAAACACCGGGGATGAGATTAAAGAATTATCCAGCGTTATTAAAATCCACTCAGGTAAAGATCTATTCTGTCTTCATCAAAACGATGGCATTAATTGTATTTGCAGAATCCAATGATGAGCCTTTACCCCCGGTTGATCTTGCTGCCCTTGCCAATAGAACGTCGCAGGCTACTCTACCTACCGACTTTCAGACGATTTCGGTAGAGGTTATCGCTATAGCTGGAAATACATCCACAATCATAACGAAGGATCCTTCTATCTTCTATGACTCGGAGGTGCTCGCTGTTATCCACCGTTTCAAGGTCAAATCCACTGGACTTGTTTCAAGTACCGTATGGGGTTGGCAAGGGAAGCGTAGCCAACTGGGCGACAAAGAAGAGAACAAACTCCAGGACTTTGCGCGCCGATATGGTACAGCCTTGGTGAGTCCACTTCGGCCAGCTTCGCTCCGCTTTAGTCTTAATATTCTTGAAGAACCCCGTTTTTCAATATAGGGAACCATCAGAACTTGTGTATATTCTTGGCGGGCAAATGATCATAAGACAGGTATGTGCATATTTTCCATTGTCACCTTGTTAATGTCTCCATGCAAACTATTAGGGAACTCGGGCACATTGGTCTGCAGAGAATACTTGCATGCATCTTGTTCGCCTATCAGATGGCGTTATATTTATCGATGAACTAGACTTGGTTTGTCGAAATGATACCTCGTATACGCTAATAGTTCACTGATTGATGCAACCAGAACGTCAAAAGCCTGTGTTCCGGATTCAGTTATTGCTTATCTATTTTAGATACGTTGTATGTATGGCATGGTCGGGGCTCTCCAACCAAGGAACGTCAAGCAGCCTTGGACTACGCCCACCGCCTCTCATCAGATCCCGACAACATTCACGGGCTTGTCGAGGGCGAAAACGACGACGACGAGATGTTTTGGCTGATCCTTGGAAGCGATGAGTACGCCAGGGCGGACTATTGGCGATGGCGGCGTGAATCCGAGTTTACAAATCCACGCATCTGGAGTGTTGACACGCGCGGCGACCAGTTGGTAAGCACAGCTATTGGTGGCTGGGGCGCTACTAACAACCATCCAGTTCCGGCCAGTCTTGTCTATTCTGGAGGAAAAGTCGCCTCAAGAGACCATTCTCCTAATTGACTGCGTATGGGAATTTTTTGTCTTGGTGGGTAGAAAAGCTAGAGGAAGGCGAAGGGATATTCGTTTGGCCGTATCTACGGCTAATGTGAGTCTCTAACGCTATGTTCGGATAGATGAGGTCCAAGTGCTGAATGCTTCTCAAGGATCTTTCGGCGCTATGTGCCAAGGGAAGACCATTTGTCCCACCTGTCCATGCGCTGGTTTTACCCACTCAATTCCCTTGTGACCTCCTCCTGAGTTTGAGAGGCGTAGAAGAAAGCTGGCTGGTAAGCTGCCACGTCGCCTTCTCTTTGTTTAGATTCAGGAGGTTAACTTGTCATATAATTAGAACGAAGACGACGTGCCAGACCACATGAATATTGTGCCATACGATAATGCGATTGAAGACGTGAGTACTGAGGTTCTCTCCGTTGTAGCAAGCTTCTAATTCCTTCCACGTAGCTCTCGAAGAATGTATTTGATCCCAAGGCGTTGAAGGATCACGATATGCTGCCGCTTGGCGTTGATGCATCGGATCTACCATAATAATGTTGATTTATTTTATCTTCTAAATTTAGCGACGTGCATCGTCATCTTTGATCCCATAGATGGTCACAGTTGCGATCTCAAGTAAGTGGAATTTTTATATATTAACAGTAACCAGTCGATGCAGTCCCGTTTACGTCCGTGCGTACGGGTTTGATATAGCTCCCTCCCCCGGAGGGCAAGTGGGTATAATGTTTATGCTGGGTGGCGCCCAATTTTGATTAAGTTCACCTAACTGATTTCAACGACATTATTTCCGGCGTTTGCACCAAGAACAAGGCACAGGATGCATACTCGACGCGTCTGACTCTCCACTCTTCTCTCAGTTGGTATTCACCAATTCGCTAAACGGGCCCTGAAACAGGTGCGCGCAGGAATGGCGCAGGTGGACATCTAGTGGTTCATTTAGTATGGTGAAAGGGAATCGGTAAGCAACTTCCATCCGCGGGGAGCGTTATGCTTATTCTCTCTCTCCTTCCATTAATAATTGGAATGTCTAATTGTCAGTGGCTTAGGAACGCGTTCAGCGCAATAGCCCCGCGAGGTATGATATTCCCTTGCGAAGTCACGATATCGTCACCGATCATCTGCCGCCAGCATTAAGATTCACGCGGATGGCAGTCTATACAAGCTGTAGTCGATATTGAGTGGCCTCCTAGCGAGGATCAGCAACTCGAATCAGGAATAGGATGGAACTGGTCACTTCAAGTTGACTTCAAGCTTTCGTCTAGCTCAAGCATGCCCCTGTTGCGCTCCTGGTGCCACTCAGGAGTCCTCGGCTCTGTTCGCTGAGTTCTCGGCATTACTTCGTCTTCTCTCGTTTCGTTCGTGAAGCAATTTGACCTTCCAGTGCTATCACATCGAACACTGACTTCTATCTTAGGCCGCCTCGGTCATACTACTTCGTGGTGGGCAAGGTGAAGTCTGACCCCGACTTCGCGGTTGTACCTTTTTATGGCACATCAATAACTATCTTGTTCCGAGCGATCCATGTGCTGGTGGCATCAAGATGTTGCTTCTCCTCGTAGCACAATCTGATATGCTGTAGCTACGTGAGTAAGAGTTGTATCGTTCTATGGCTCGCATCGAGGTCCCCGTTTTGCTTAAAAGCCATAACAGAACCGATGCCCATCAATCTCAATCCCCTCTTTCGATGATCCTGTTTCTCCACCTATTATTGCACTTGCAATTCATGCTTGGTTTGGCACGACCGCCTCCAAAGAATGCAAGTGGCGAGACGGAACTCTCGGCATTCGTGGATCCACCCAACTGTTTCCCAGCTTTGGGGTTCAAGATGCCTGCCAGCGTCCCGAGTAGCCTGACAAATTGGTGGTGCAATCCTGCCAAAGAGTACGCATTCCTTGGCTTTAGCTACGAGGTCACTGCGTGTACGAAACTTGATTCGCTCTTCTTGGATGACCGTCACCTAATATGCACGGCATTTAGGCCAGAGCCCAGCCCAACTGAAGAAAGAGTTCCTTGACATCAGAAATAAATTCAAGTCTCGTTACGTTCGCTTATACGGGTTCTGTGACCGGAAAGGCTTTTAGTGGGTTGCACCCATCTACGGAGATATTTCGCTAATTTTCGTCCCAGCAACGACATCGTTGACGCTGCTTGGGCGAGTGGTTTGGGTGTTCATGCTCTGATTTGGGTGCGTTACGAAACAATGGCGTGGTTTCATCATTGAAAGAATTCATTCCATCTAGTTTGGCTTTGACGGGGACGATCTCTGGATAGGGCGTCGAGATACCCTCCTCGCCGCTCTTCATGCCAACCCCAAAGCAAAATATGTCACTCGAGTGCTGCAGTTTGGCTCTGAGCCTCTGTTTGACAACGTCCTACCTCACGCTGAACTTGCAGACCAAGTTCGGCTAGCAAAGGCAAACCTCTCGAGTCTTCAAATACCTGTCACTGTTAGCGAGCTCGCCTTTGGATATCAAGAGAGAGGAGGGGCACAGGACGTCCTTGACGCAACTGACTCTATCAATATACACATGCTTCCTTTCTTCTCGCAAAAAGCGTCCACAGGTATGCAATCTATCTAGCAGTCATTTACTATGAAATGAGGCTGACTACGTTTTTCTAGCTAAGAACGCCTGGCCCCTAGTGCAGACCGATCTTCAGTGGTTCATTGACCATGGTAAGGGTAAGAAAATGTATTTCGATGAGGTTGGTTTTCTCTCTGATTTTTCGATCCATGCCCAACTGAGCGTTTATCAGAACGGGTGGCCTTCCGTGACATCTGAAGGTGTCCAGCCCAATAGCCCTAACGCTGTAGCAAATGTAGCAAACGAGCAAGTGAGTCATGCATGTCTGTACTGATCACAGCTATGCTCATCAGTTTTAAAGGATTACTATACACTACTCGATCAGCATTGCAAAGATCTCAAAGCCGTAGTTGGCGGAGGTGTCGGATGGTTCGCTCACATCTACAGCGACAATCAGGAACCCGGATATGGCATATATAATTCGGCGGGGAAACTCAAATTTCCGTTCAGCCCCGTAACTTCGTGTTAGGCGTGTTAAGAATTGATTGCTTAGTGACGGCGCTCATGTTAGATGTCTTGAACTGAGCTGAATGGTTTGACTAATTTAGTCTATGTTACAGTCTGTACGGACTGCGAACGAAAAATATCGGTGTATCACATGGGATGCACTTTAGACAAACGACATATATACGAAAAAAGGTGGGTACGGTAAGGATTGAGTAGTTTACTATTGAGGAGCGGTATAGTATAGAGGCACGAATTGACGACCCATTGTCATCATTGGCTTAATGTCACCCACAGAAGATCCATAAGATTTACTGGTATGATTGCACAAGTTTCGAAGGCCAGCCGTCAACCGTACCATTTGTCGCCCAACCTCGTCTGCGCTGGCGGACGTTGGGGTATCTTCGTCTCGGTAATATTGAATACTTCGATGGCTCGCTGTGGATGTTATTAGTTGGAAACATACTGGTATCATCAACGGGAAGTGGGAGACCAACCCTCCAGGTTGCCATATCAAATTGCGTGACAAGTTGCCGCTTTCTTAAACCACCGCCCATCCTATCTTCATCCGTGGGCGGTTCGCACGGATCTAGTAGAACGTGAGTCCATGAAGAGTAGTGATATGTACAATAGCTACATATTATGGGTTCACCATCCTGGATTTCGAATGCAACATGGCCGTCTCGTATCAAAAACGATAAATAGAAGATGTTTTCCACTGATTGAGCAAAGTCATTCGGATTGATAATAAATTTAAATAGATTGATTGGGTCCGGGTTGTCATTGAGGAGCTTTTGTAGCTGAAGAGGGGATGTGAGTATATATTTATGTTGGGAACAAAGAATCCTTACAATTGCAACGTTTTTAGTCGTCTCGTTTGGTGACCGGGAAATGTCCTCTTCCTTGAGCTCTTGGGGTCGCTTCAGATCTTCTTTGTTCTTCTCTAGTTTAGCGCGTTTAATAACATTCCGTTTCTTCTGTTCAATCGTCAATGGTCCGAGCCTGTGCTCCATTAGAAAACGGCAAGTTCAGCGGCTGTCTTCAGCCTACATGAAATCCATCACAGGAACCCTTCGACTTTGGGCAAGGGCCTTGCGCCCAATCTTCTCCCAGTTGAGAGGGGCATCAGCGCTATCTACCTGCTCATCGTCCGAATCTTCGGGTAGTTGGTCTTCCATTTGTTGAGCGCCACCCATAAACGAAAGTAGTTTCGTGATGAATTCATCCACATCGAAAGTGCCTGTCCCCGACTTCATAGCACGGGCTTTCTGCGCTCCAATATTGGATGCCATCAAAAGAAATGCGGAGTCGAGGGTCGCCTCTTGAGGTCCCTTGACTACGTTTCGAGGTCAATCGTCTTGAACAGTGCATATTGCATCAAATTGAAATCTACCATTCATAAAGAGTCCGTCTGAATCCTGGACTTTGGATATCAGGTGGTCTGGGGTGCATTGGTTATCGTCTCGCTTGTCTATATCGTAACGTCAGCTCCGACATGGATGGTCCAGAGAATGCGCTCTCCACCTTCCAGATCCCGTGCCAAACTTCTGTACTGCCGTCGTACTGCGCGCTTCTCCTCGGGATTCTGGTCGGGGTCGAAGGCCAAGTCAGACATTCCTTGGTTGATGTCTTCTGGCATCGTGAAGAGTCTAGCGAAGATCCTGAGGCTCCTTGTATCTTCTCGCGATGTGGATAGGAGCAAGATAGACGCGTTATTTAGGGTTGTTTGCTTTATGCAATATTTCTCCCTGTCACGTATCACAGGTGTGACGGACGCGTTTGATATACAACTGCAATCTTCGACGCGTTCTCGGCGACCGACGCGCCCAAATGTCAGTGACTTCCCACCACATAGAGTACAGCAAGACTTCCAGAGCCAAGTGTCACGGAACGTGCAATGTGATTGGTCTATCTTCTCTTCTCTTCTCACGTCCCTGATGGCATGGGCATCCTAGGGGTCCAATATTGAACTGGGAAGCCTGCGTTATGGGCAGACAATCAGTAATGAATACGGAGATACGGTTCAGTGGAGGCATTGGTGAGGCATTTTTGCTGGACGCTAGCTACACTCGTTGTTCACCACGCGTATCACGCTTAGGGGATGTGTCACGACTGCGATTTTAGGGACTTTGGCTGCTATTCCACTGGGAAATTTCCATGGGCTCAACAACTTAAGGTATGTCGGCCTCTGGCTCAGATCTTTACGTCAATAACTGCGTCCTTCAGCTCTGTCGATCAACAGAAGGTTCAGCGTGCTATCGCACTGCGCCGGGTAGAGCCATCGAACGTTTCCCGCACACCTGCTAAGGCATCCAAGGCCCCCACCGTCATTGACCTTACACAAAAAAAACGAAAGGCGCCGCTAGAGGAAGTATCGTCTAATGCCCAAGCCTCCAGCTCGAATCAGCCTACCTTGACTCAAGACGTCGAAGAGGCAGAGGAGCCTGTTGAAGATGTCCGCGAGGACTTATATTGTACCATGACGACGAATGTCGTGGGTATACAGTGAGCACCCTCCTTTCATCTACAAGATATTGATATCAAATGATGCGTGAAGGTATTATACAGGTAAGTACCTGGTTTCATCGACTCCTTACGGCTGTGAACTTTGAATAGGCCTTGTGGGCTCCGGTGAAGAGGCTGTCCTGAGACGGGAACCTGAGAATAAGTACGACCGGTATGTACACTGTGCGTCGTTCCTATATACCCCTCTCATGGAAGGAACACAGCAATGCCATTCAAGTGAAGAACATGGCAGGGCAGCAAGTTGGACACCTGCCTCGCCAGGTCGCAGCGAAGCTTGCTCCTTTAATGGACAGAGCTTTGGTGACCCCAGAGGTAATCATCCGCGAGGGAAATTGTGAGTAGATCATCTTTGGAATATTTCTCTGGTCTTATATGCAACGATAGTGCAAGGCAAGGCATGGAATTTACCTGTGTAAGTGCGGCTTTTCTGAGAACCTTACAAATGTGTATTTATACTCGTGCAGCACCCTCAAAATCTATGCTGCGGCGGATAAACGAGACTTACTCGAGCCGATGCTGATCTGGGCGACGCCGGGACAAAGAGGCTTCACTTCGCGCATGAGGGCTCCTCCACCCAGCTCGGGTCCTTCGAACGTGCCGCCCCCCGCAAAACAGGCGGCACAGGCGGCAAAAAACACGGAGGCTCAAAAGTCTGCCGAATTGGCCCAACTCTTGCAGGGTATAGAAAAGGTAGATGATGACAAGAGACGTTCTGCAGTTCTCGACGTAGTCTGCTCGGTGGAAGATATCCTAGAACTCCCCCTCTACCCCAGTCCTCCAAGTATCGAGTCTGGAGAGTTATATGTGAACCTATTGAAGCATCAAGTGCGCCATTTGTCAAGACTACTTCATACTTGCATTGATCCTTTCTCAGAGTCAAGGTCTTCTGTGGTGCCTTCAGCACGAAAATCCGATTCTGCCAAAGAAGGAAACCGATAAACCAGTTCAGATGTGGCAACTTCGCAAGATTGATAACAAGGTGAGGATGAGCACGTCGTGCTCGGCCGGACATTAACATGTTTCTTCATCTAGAAATCCATTTACTACAACCGTTAGTGTTCGCGCTTCCTCTTCCACTGCCCGCTACTAAATCGCTGGATCCCTCTGACACATAGTTGCGGCACACACTCCCAGAGCCCTTGACTCGCCGCCAGCCTTGGGAAGAGGCGGTCTCTGTGCTGATTCCATGGTGAGCTGGACCAGTGTACTTCGCCCCGTTCTTGCTAAATATTTTCGTACACAAGGGCTTAGTAAAAGTGTTTCACGCTTCGCACATCGCCACACATATTGACTGTTTTTTAGGGCAAAACACTGACCATGCTTGCGCTTATCGTTGCGACTAGAAAAGATAAACTGACAAACTTCTCCAAGAGCACTTTGATCGGTACGTCGGACGTAAATCTTTTTCTCCTAGACTAATTGGGTTCAGTTGTCCCTCTTTCCATCATGTCCAATTGGGAGAAACAAATCAAAGATCATGTTGTTCCCGGTACGCTGAGTAATTCTTGTCTGCATTCTTGTCTCTGAAAGTCTGTTTCAGGGATCTTGACGACTGTAGTGTACTACGGCGCTGGTCGATCCTTGAGCGCTAAGGACCTTTCTGGATATGACGTAGTCATCACAACATATCAAGTCCTCACTGGCGAGCACGATTTGTCGGCCGGTGATGGGCCCAGCAAGAAGAAGCAGAGGAAAGACAGAAGTCTTTTCGACGTAAAATGGAAGGTTTGTTGTTCATGCCACATTCTCACGAATGGTACTCAAACCATGGCAGAGGGTCATTTTAGATGAAGGGCATAACATAAGAAACCCGAAAACGAAGATGGCTAGAGCCGCTTGTGCACTCAATGCTGAGAGACGCTGGGTTTTATCTGGGACACCTATTGTAGGCCTATCTGCAGGTCTGATCTCTGAGGTTAACTTACTGTCCTCTCTCTGCTACAGATCAATTCTCCGAAGGTATATTTACTCTCCTCAAGTAGTAGCGTACATGTTAAACAGGATGGCATTTGCAGGATCTGGGCTCGATGCTTACCTTCCTTAGAGTGTGCCAGCCATTGGATGACGAAGACTTTTTCAAACGGCTCCTCCTTAGGCCTTTGAAAAATGGCCTCCCATCCGGCTCCGAGCTTCTTAGAGTGAGTCACTAATATAGTGTATTGCACCAAGTTTCTGACTGTAGAGAAGTCTCTTATGTCACAAATGTGTATCAGACGAACCAAAGAAGTGAGTATTTCGCGATCTGAACACAACGTTATTAACACACCTCTACAGATGCAAGACAAAAATGGGAACTATCTTGTTCCTCTCCCACCGGTGGAGATGCTCGTTGTTCAAGTAAAATTGACCGACGAAGCTAGAGTGAGTGTCTTTCAGGCGTTCTCAATCGAGTTATGACCGATCTCGATAAAGGCTTTGTACGACGAAGCTGAGCGACGTGTCGCCGACCGCGTTCAAAAGCTCATGAATTCCACCACTACCAGCTTTGTGGGTTCTTCGATACTGATCACCCAAACACCAGTCTGATTCCACGTGCAGGCACAGTCGCACGTCTTGGGGCTCTTGACACGTTTACGACAGCTTGCTCTTCATCCCAATCTGATCCCTCGCAGCTTCCTCGAGGAACTGAGACGAAGTGACCTCGAAGACGAGGACAAGCCTTCCATCGAACTCACTCCTGACCTTCGCGTGCGCTTGCAATCGGTGCTAGCTCAGGCAATCGAAGACAATGAAGAGTGTGCCGTGTGTTTTGATGTCCTATCAGAACCTCGGATCACACCCTGTGCACATTGCTTCTGCCTGGCTTGGTATGTTCCCTGCGAGGCTTATTAGACCAGTTCTTTTTTATCAACAATCTGTTCTAGTATCACCGAAGTTATATCCAGAGATCCCAAATGTCCAATGGTGAGCGCTCTCTCTCTGGGCTACCCGATTCTAAACCTCTATCCTAGGATCGCCGCCTTCTACGCCAGAATGATCTCGTAGCTCCTCTCCCACCCACAGACGCTCTTGACTTAGTGGAAGAAGAAAGTGTCATGTCGGAGGGTCGCTCTGCGAAGATCGAACAATTAGTCCATCTTCTTACCCTTACACCGGCAGGAGAGAAATCAATTGTTTTCTCCCAGTTTACTTCGTTCTTGGACAAGGTGAATTTCATCATAAACAGTCATGCTATCGGCACCGCGCCCTGACAACTCTGCCTTTAGATTGCGGAGGCGTTCGAAGAAAACGAGTAAATATCCAGTCAATGTGCACTCTCGCGTGTTACTGTCACTAACAAATTATTGTCAGCATTTCGTACGTTAGGTTCGACGGGAAGATGTCTGCTCAGAAGCGCGAGGAAACTATCGCTCGGTTTTCGGTACCCCTTGAAGAGGGAGCGGAGCCTGAACAAGCGTCGTCCACCCAAGTATCATCCACCAGGAGGCGCCCCAGGGCTTCGCAAAGGACTATAAACGACGATGCCGACGTTAGCGTGGCAGTCGTCGACGATAATTTCGTTCCAGGCGATGACGATGACGATGATTTCGTAGAGTCTGACGACGATACTGCTTTCACCAGCAAAAAGAAGGGCAAAGGCAAAGCAAAGCAGAGGAAGACATCGTCGACACGGGTGTTCTCAGGAGTCAATCCCAAGGTTATGCTTATCTCTTTGAAGGCTGTGGGCTTGTCTATTTTCGAACCACCATATACTCGCTGACTTTTTCGTACAGGGGGCTCTTGGTTTGAATTTGACAGGTCTGCTTCAACCCCACAAAGTATTATCTTTCTACTAATTATAAACCTACTTCGTAGTCGCCAATAACGTTTATCTGTGAGCTTGAACTCAGTGTTCATAGTGCCCTATTGACTCGCCTTGCTTCCTCTAGCATGGATCCGTACGTATTTTGCATCATAATAATAGCATGCACATCTCATCCATCCTTGCCCGATGTAGATGGTGGCAGGTCCGTGTTGTTTACCTACATTTCTGTCGACCATATTCTTAACCCCCATCCAGGAAGGAATAGAGAGCCAAGCCATTGATAGATGCAACAGGTCAGTTGACCGAGTGTTACAAGCCATCGCCGTACCTCACACCGTTTCCCTAGGATTGGGCAAAAGAAGAATGTCCACGTTTATCAACTTATTGCCGAGAATACTGTTGAATCAAAGGTTTGTCACTTTGACGTTCTAACAAGACAAAGCAGCGTTCTAATTCCGATCTAGGTTCTAGAAATACAAGAGCGCAAAAAGAAACTCATCAAGGAGGTAAACATGCGGGATACTTTCTTTGTTGTACCAGATAATAAACTGTTACCTGATAGGCTTTCTCTGGAACCAAAACGAAAGAAACTCAGCGCCAGAAGAAGGAAGCTAGGCTTCAAGGTCCGTTGCTTCTTCCCGTCCGAACCTCCTTGAGCGCTAAATATCCATCCTTCAGACCTCGTCGAACTTTTCGGTGTCAGACAGCAAGAGGCGTTCGCATTGAGTCAAAGTCAATCTTAATTACTGGTCCCTTGCTAGTGAGAGTATGTAGTCCCCTGATACAACTCGGATATTGGGTAATGCGAGTTTCTCTGGCACCTAATGCCAAATTGGGCAAATGGCGGGACTCGGCCCTCGAATACTCCTTGTTAACGGCGGGGTGGTGCGCCCCCTTGACTGGTAAAGAATAAAGAATCAAAATTCACTCCTACCTAATGAAGGGGACACAGCGGGGCTGTTCTGGGAGGATGTATGGAATATACTGAGTCATTGTCATAACCTGAATGTTTTGCTAATGTGTCGAGCTCAAACGAAACAAGTAAAGTGGGTTCTCAGCAGCCCAATGTTTGCAACTCCAATTATTCCAGGAAGATTAATAGCGCGATGTGTGCGGGTTGCAGCACCGACATGGTGTTCGGAGTCCAAAGGGTGTTCTGCGCCGTTCCCGATCTCTATTACCCAAAGCGGACCCTCGGAATAATGGCCGACGCGCGGAGTTGTATCAGGGGACTCAAGACTGTGCTAGTGACTATCCATATACTCACACTGGATTATATTCAGCTTACTTATCGACTAATTCCATTTGTCTCTATGAGTCAGATTACGTAGTATCAGATACTACATATACAGTCTACCTTCTGATTTTTCGTCAACCTTCCTACCGCACATCTTGGTCAATAATGAAAGATCTCAAGTATATGAAACTTGTGTCCCCCACCGGTCGGCTCATACTAGCGACCCCGCAAGTCGAAGACGATCTCGCCGTATCAATCCTCCGATCAGATCCCGCCGTTCTTCGCTACCTCGCCGGAGTCATCCCAGACGTATGCGAAATCGAAGACGCTCGTCAGCTACGGGAAGCCCGCTCCCAGGACAAACAAACATGCGACTTCTACATACACCTCCTCGAAGACGACTCACCCAAGTTCGTTGGGATGACGGGGATCTTTAAGATCAGTGACGCGCATCGATCATGCGAGGTGGGAATCTTGATTTCACCGCAAGTACACGGGCAAGGAATAGCTACGGAAGCACTGTATACAGCGCTGAATTTCGCCTTTGCGGAGAGGGGGATGCATCGCGTTACTGCGCAAACCAGTGCTGCGAACCAACCCATGAGAAAGTGGTTCGAGGAAGTAGCTGGTGCAACTGTGGATGGCCGTATGAGAGACGCCTGGTCGACGGCTCCGGGGAAATATGTAGACACGATTGTGTATGGCATATTAGAGGACGAGTGGAGAGACGTGATCAAGTCAAAATTGGAGGCAAAGATGACAAAGGAGAAGGGTGGCGGGAAAACTACGGCCTAAATGGACACCACCTTAGAAGCTTTCGTTCAGTCTTGTTTTCAATTCATTGCTCTTGCATCTTGCAACCACTTATCATAGAGCTCCAGAAACAGGGAAAGAGCACAACCAACTTCCAATTGTCCGAATGAAAAATTACAGTTATGAATTGAACTGTTGAAGGATGTCAGCTGCCATATCTACAGACAAGTTCTAGCACGAACCGCAGTCAAGTAGGACTCGGCCACTATGCGGGCACGGGCGTTGAGAGATAGCTTCATTTCGCTTATTTCCTTATCTACTTCTTCCATGAATCTAATGGAGCGGATAATCGATCGGTTGCGGAAACGAAATGTGAGGTAGACCCACTGTATGATGAAATCCACAACCTTGTGCTTCAGCATAGTCTCCGTGTGGGTGTTGGTGATTAAGAAGGAGATGTCGTAACCCTTCAGATGTGCTCAAAGCGTGTATATATATATTGCAGAGTATGTCACGCACCTGAACTGGCTTACGCCGCAATACAATGAAGTTCTCTGCCCGCTGCATCATGAAACGAGTGAACTTGTGGCACAGGATCCGCTCAATCTCGTCAGCTTGCTTTATCTTGATGCTAAGCCGGATGGAATTGATCGACGGTTCGATTAAGACCCGCTCATTTTCATTTCGCGATATAATGAGAGGGTTGAGGAGCACTTCCTTGGACCCACTGATGTAACATCAAGACACGGTATTGCAGTGTGATAGAGGGGAGCTCACCCGGCCTCGACCTCCGGTTTGTTGTGGCGTTCAACTATCTGCAAAGAACACCCTCTGATCACTTCATCTGGTCAGTAAACGAAGTGCATTTACCTGAGACGAGAAGTTCTCCAAGGTGAGAGCAGCAGTCAGCGTCGAACGCACTGCGGCAAGATACGGCCTGAGTACATTCGACTTGGCGCGTGCGTGAGTACGCGTGCCGGTGGTGGTGCAGAAGAAAGCTCACCATGGTATTGAAGTTAGCGAGCAACGCGCGCTGCTGCAGCAATCATATCTGGCGGAGTCTGAATCATCCACGTGACCTCAGAACGATCAGGCAGTTTTCTCGCGTCCAACTCTTTCAACACGAGCAGCATCTTTGCACCAGAATAACGATGAGCATCCCAGTTGGTTTATGGTATTTCTCGACGCGTCTCTGCAGCGGAACTTTTCTGATGTCTTTTTAGGAGTCTTGCTGTTGCGCCGGGCCAAGAGCCCGAGGTCGTTTCCCCACCTGCAGACCTTAAAATAACAAATGTGGCTCTTGGTGAAAAACTCGCAGACGAAAAAGGCAGAACGACTATTAAGCTCTCCTATGCCAACATCCCTGATGACGGATCTGATGATGAAGACGACGAGGAGGATGAAGAAAAGCAACCCGCTGTCAACCTTGTCTCCACTGTGATCACGTCTCTTACGCCTGGCAAGGTTCGCATCATCTTTGCATTCTATATTTATGGGGTAGACATCTCACTGTGTACAGATTGAACAAAGCACAGTCGATATTACCTTGTTCAAAGACGAGGACTATGTTATCGAAGCTGTTGGCAAAAAGTAGGTTTAGATCACAAAACACCCAAGTCTGTAATCTAACTTATAACTCACTCTTAGCACCATTTATCTCACCGGATACTACGTGGGTGAGAGAACATCCGTTGTAGATTGATACGTCTTTCCTCATTGTTTACACCCACAGACCAGACTGGCCCGGACATGGATATGTCTGATATGTCTGACATGGAGTCCGAAGATGATTTTGATTTGAGGGAAGTTAGCTCCGACGTGGAAATCGACCCCGCTGAAATTGATAGCGATGGCAGGTGAGTAGTTTAGGCTGTACTTGCTATCCAAACATCTTAACGGTATGTCATAGCAGGTTCGAAGATGTCGACGATGAGGAGAAAGCAGAGACCAAACCCGCGAAGCGCCCCCGCGAATCTGACGCCATGGACACCGATGCTCCCAAACCCTCCAAGGCCGAGAAGAAAAAGAACAAGAAGATGAAGGCCGAGAATGGCACAGCTGTTCCTTCTGGGACGGATACAAAGGAGGATGAGAAGAGCGGGGACAGTGAGAAAAAGCCGGAGGTCAAGGAGAAGAAGAAGAAGGAGAAGAAAGAGAAAGAGAAGGAGTCTAAGACCGTCGAGCTTCCTGGGGGACTCAAGATAGTAGATGCCAAAATTGGAACAGGACCCATGTCGAAGGCCGGTAATAAATTGAAGATGCGATACATCGGCAAGCTCGACAACGGGAAGGTCTTCGACTCGAATACCAAAGGGAAGCCTGTACGTTTCACAGACCGCTTCACGGTGACTGTTCTCTAACCCTTCCTTCGTAGTTCACCTTCAGGCTAGGTGCCGGGGAGGTGATCAAAGGCATGTGAACCGGTAAACGGTCCAGACTCTCAGGAACTAACACGTCTATAGGTTGGGACCAAGGCCTAGTCGGCATGCAAGCTGGCGGCGAGAGAGTCATCGTTGTCCCTCCTCAACTAGGATACGGAAAGAAGCCCTCGGGCCCTATACCCCCCAACTCTAGGCTTACTTTCGGTGCGCCTTTCCTTTCTTCCTTTACCACTCAAGTAACTGGATTTTGGAACAGAATGTAAACTCTTGGAGATCAATTAACTCCCGGAACATACATGACCCCAAAAGTACATACTTAGTCTCTTAGCTTGATGACGACGCATAGTACGGTTACACACACCGGTTTGTACACACGAAGGCCGATTTTGTACCCATCGAAACACTGTACAATGTCCGTGATTTGTTATACATCCATTATGGTCTATGTGAAGTGTCTATTGAAGGAAGCGAACATATTCATGGGGAACTTCATACCCTTGGCGGGATAGACTGACGGAGTGTGTTCGCTGTTTGGCCCTCTCCTTATACACGGATGATCCGTTGGTGTGCTAAAGATATGGCTCTCTCGGTCTTCATATATGGCACGAACTCTTGCCTACCTCACCCTCCGACTCGGAGCGATCCACGCCTACCGATCTTTACTCTCTACAGCTCTGCAGCTCAGTCTCTCTTGCCCTGCGCCGGGTGCTGTGCCACCAGCGGCTCCCGTAAATCACTTGCCATGATGAAAGCTCCCAGCTTTGCCTGTGGGGGTTCTCTAGCGGCACCCACAGAGATGTCACTCTGCACTATATGAACCAATCGAACGTTTCGTCTGCCTCGGTCACCTGCAGACAAGAGTACGGTGGCGTTCAACGTCAGTAATGCACCCTCACCTTGTGCGCAACGTTGTGGGTAGCTGGCTCCTAACCTGATGTGCCATCATTAATTTGACAGTTCACTCACCACCTTGTGGGACGACAATTTACAATTGCTTCCCGGCCTGCACCGAGTCCCGACACGATGACAATGCACGACGAGAACCGGAACCTTGGCTTCTGCCATATCGTGCTTCATGGCCATGCGAGAAACTGATGTTTCCTGTTGCTTCACGTACGACCCACAGACCATGGCAGCCACCATGTGGAAGCGGACTTTGTTCGAGGGCATTCGAGGGCGTTGGTCGCAAGTTTCGTATTCCATGAGGTTCCTCAGCTCGAAACCCAGCCTATAACCCAGCCTATAGCATCCGTTTTTGATATCTACGCCCAATGTACGGGCTGTAGTTTGATAGACGAACGCTGGTCCATCGATGAAGGTAGATATTTTTTCGTACCGATGTTCCTGCCCGCATCGTCCGCTAGCAATCTTCCGCGCGGTAATAACCTGGGTTGCGGCCACTAAATCGATGTCGATGAACGGCACGGAGCTAACCGTCCATGAATACATGACGCATCATGATACTAAGCGGTAGTTAATCCGGTCTATCCAAATACTCAATCTTACCGAAGGCCCTTTCGTACGGCCACTCACATTGTGGATCGAGTTTGATCTAGTATAGCAATGATGCTTAGTTGATAGGGTCGTTTAAGAGTTGAGATTCATCAGGGCCTTGCTTTTCTTGTGGAGTGTCCGGGCGCAGGATTGACCTTTGCTACTCCGAGCTTTTTCAAATTATCGTGATAGATAGGCACCTACAGAACCTGTTTGAAGGCACATGTTTTTAGCGCAGCCCCAAAAACAGAATAAAAACCCACCGAGACCCATATCCAAAACCTCCATCCCCCCCGCAAGGTGTCCAAAGTAATGCGATGTTACTGAAAAAATATTTGGATGCCTCGCTTACCCCATCGCTTCATGTCGAGAACCCCTTCGCAAACCCGTTGCCGGCGCCCAACTATCTTCTAGTCTGAAATCTTTCTACCCAGACTGTACTTGCGCCGGTGCTGAAATTGGCTCGACGGCAAAAGTACATCCATGGGAATGGAAGATTTCAGACTACGATGTAGCAGTGGCGCGAGCTAGGGTCCCTTTAGCGACCCACTTCTTTCTACCCCGCGTGTGTACTGTTGTGTGAGCTACTTCTTGAGTACCACCAAGGTCCTTAGCCGACGCTGTGTATTTATCTCGAGTAGATGATGGAATCGTTCTTACTTCCGGATAAGGTAACGACTGCGCCATATACAGTACTTTGTGTACTCTCACCGATTTGAATAGGGAAACTGAAAAACTGGGAAGTGTACATCTCGGCTAACAACTTTCTACGCCCATCTGCCAGGGACAACAGGGTGGGATGACGAAAGCCCACCGTCGACAGCAATATTTTGTCCATTGACGTAGCTCGAGTCATCTGCATCGAGGGGTGCGCGTGTCAACGACTTATGTGCTATGTTAAGAGGAGGGAATGCAGACATACCCGACGCCAAGAAGAGAGCGGCTTTCGCGATTTCTGATGATGCAGGGTCAACGTCAAGGATCCCCACGGAACGACGCAAACACACACCTTCTGGGACCCCGTACCGACCGAGAGGGTTTAACTGGCCAATCTTACCATCAGTGCCACGGGAGCGGGCATAGTCGAAGGTGGCAGCAGACATCCCAGTCTCGATGAGGCCAGGGCAGATAGAGTTTACGCGAATGTCGGTCTTTTGTAATTGATATGGGGCAGTCTTAGCCATGGAATTCACGCTTTTATAATGTGAGTTTTTAGTGAGTGAGAACACACTCTACAGAAGTGCACTCACGCAGCCTTGCTTGCACTGTCTAAAAATTGCATGAGCCGGACTGGCTTTCATGGAGTGAGAAATAGACTCACAATCCAGAGTTCCAGCACCTGAACGGATGCCCGCGACTAGAGCCGAGAGTCAAATTGATGGGTAATGGTCAGAAATAGGGTGTCTGAACATACCAGAGGCGGTGAGGATGATACTACCGCCGCTTGTTTCCTTACCCCGAGTAGAATTCGTCTTTAACATAGCCGCGGAGGCGTGCTTAATGGCGAGGAAGCACCTGTGAACGGTTAACAGAGATAAATGCAGAAGATCATCCTCGGCTTACGAAAGGGCATTGATCCTCATGGACCTATTGAACGTTTCTGCGGTTGCATCTTGAATGGTGTCTTTTGACGCCCAACCGGCCTGCAGAGATGTTAAGATTCTGCCGTTCATTATGGACGCGAAGCAACCCCACATTTGCGAAGAACACGTCGAGTCTGCCTTCTTCGTCCAAAGCCTGCTTGCAGAGGCCAGCAATAACTGCTTCGTCTGCGGCGTCACCCTGAACTGTGGTTACCTAAAGATAATCCTGAGTTTATATTGGTATCGAGGGTGAGTATCTTACAGACCTTGACATCGGGGTAAGATTTCTCAATGGTGGATTTGAGATTGGGGAGGTTCTGGGGATCGTAGTCCAACAAATATAGGTGTTTGGCACCTAAGTAGTGGCGTCAATGCGGCAGAGAACACACGCGACCACTGGTATCCTACCTTCGTGGGCATAAAGAATGGCCGTAGCGCGCCTGGGTATTCCCAAGGTTCAAAACACGAATATAGAAGCACGTCGTACTCTTCACTCACCCAATTCCTTTCAATGAACCAACACCCGTGATCACACAAACCTTGTCCTTCAATTTGTTGCTTCTTGGGGCCTGCGTGAGGTGAGAACGAATCTTTTCAAGGCGGGCGTTGGTGATCTTGTAGTGCTCCTCCGCACTGGTTTGAGCTGACCGAATTTTGCTATACGACATTTGAAAGTGGTGGTCTGAAAGCAAGAGCTTGCCTGTAGCTTCGCCCCGAGCTTTGAATATTATGTAGGGGACAGCCGGTGATTCACTTCCCCACACCCGGTTTAAGGTTCGATCACCCTGAATTTAGGGGCGCCACCTGACCAGCGCATCAGCATAAGCTACGACAGCAGACCTACCGCATTCACAAGGCACGTAAAAAGCCAGCAAGAGCCTCCAACTTCTCCGAAGCCATGCCAGCCTCAAATCCTAGGACTCGGGAAGCCAGAAGAAATTCAAACCAATCCCTTGGGCGCTTAGATGATCATGACATAATACTGAGATTAAATAATAGGCGCTCGTCGAGTGAATGCTGAACGCGAGATCGCGAAAACCATTAGAGCTTCCATGTCGTCCAGTATCGAACTCATCAATCCAAAAGCAGAGAGCGTTCGACGGGCTGCAGCTCTCCAGGTGCGTCGAATGATTTAAATACTGTGCTAGTGCTCAATCCTTTCCAGGTGAATACCAATGGGGCGATGGGTCTTGCTAATGTAGTCAAGAGCAATTTAGGCGAGCAGGACGCGTCTTGAAGGCGTGAACAGCACTCACAAAACGTATAACTTATACAGGGCCCCGTGGCACCCTAAAAATGCTCGTGGATGGCTCGGGCCAAATCAAAATGACCAAGGATGGCAAGGTGCTATTGTCGGAAATGCAGATTCAGAATCCTACTGCTGCTATGATCGCACGTACAGCTGTGGCTCAAGATGATCAAGTTGGGGATGGTACCACGTCAGTTGTTCTCCTAGTAGGAGAACTCTTGAAGCAGGCAGATCGATTCATCTCTGAAGGAGTACATCCGACCGTGATCGGCGAGGGGTTTGATCTTGCGAAGAAGGAAGCTCTAGCAGTAAGCACATTCAGTATCATACTACTTTGACTTGGATGAAATGTGAATTACCCCATAGTTCTTGGACAGATTCAAGCAGTCTACTAGCATCGATCGAGCCACCTTGATAAACGTTGCCAATACATCTTTAGCGACCAAGATTAATGCTACACTTGCCAGGAAACTGGCCGCGGATGTCGTCGATGCAGTGTTGACGATAAAACCTCCCCCTGTAGCCAAAGGCACGTTCTAATTATACACAGCGACGCAGTCTCATTGAATTTCGCTATAATAGAGGCTAAAGACCAATATCAAGATCCTATCGACCTTCACATGGTGGAGATCATGAAAATGCAACACCGTACCGCGTCAGATACCCAGCTCGTGCGGGGTTTGGTCTTAGATCATGGTGCTCGCCATCCAGATATGCCCAAACGCCTTGAAAACGCTTTCATCATGATCCTCAACGTCAGTTTGGAGTATGAAAAGACGTGTGTATCTCAATCTTCCTTACTTCCCCTTCCACATACGCGCTGAATATGTCTACCGTCTAGTGAAGTCAATTCAGGATTTTTCTATTCCTCCTCCGAGCAACGCGAAAAACTCGTCGAGTCAGAACGCCGGTTCACCGATGCCAAAGTAAAAAAGATCATCGAACTCAAGCAACTTGTCTGCGATCAAGCTGTAGACAGCAAAGAAAAGCGCAAAAACTTCGTCATCATCAACCAGAAAGGTATCGATCCGCTCAGTCTAGACATGCTCGCCAAGAACGGTATCTTCGCACTTCGACGTGCCAAACGCCGTAACATGGAGCGGTGAATAACAACCGTTTTAGCGCTGCTATCATCGATTAACCTGTTACACTGTTCATGATTTCCATAGCCTTCAGCTCATTTGTGGCGGTATTGCACAGAACTCGGTTGACGATCTGACGCCTGACGTCCTTGGCTGGGCTGGTCTCGTGTACGAACATACGCTCGGGGAAGAGAAGTTTACGTTCATCGAAGAGGTTAAGGCTCCCAGATCGGTTACCCTCCTCATCAAAGGTCCCAATCCCCACACCATCCAACAGATTCAAGATGCACTTCGCGACGGCCTGCGGGCGGTGAAGAATGCTATCGAGGATAACTGCCTAATCCCAGGTGCCGGCGCGTTTGAGGTTGCTTGTTCTGCGTATCTTAGCGGCCCAGTGAAGAAGAGTGCGAAGGGGAGAGTCAAGATGGGAGTCCAGGCCTTTGCGGACGCATTGTTGATTATCCCAAAAACTCTGGCTCAAAATGGTGGTTTCGACGTTCAGGACGTTGTCGTCGCGCTACAAGTGAGCATTCCATCCTTTCTGTTCCTATCCCTGAACCATATAAACGTTGGGGCTGCAGGATGAACAAGCTGAGGGCAACACCGTCGGCGTCGACCTTGAGTCAGGCGAGCCGTTCGACCCAACCGTGGAAGGAATCTGGGATAACTACAGGGTAAAGAGACAGATGCTTCACTCATGGTGAGTTTCTGAAATCCCGCGTCATTTTCCCTGTTCACTGGAACGCCCTAGTTCTGTTATTGCCGTCAATCTCTTATCAACCGACGAGATCCTGAGGGCGGGACGTAGTTCGTTGAAACCCGACGGTCAGCAGTGAACTTCGGAGGGAGTGGTAGCTAACTGTACAGTATATACAACCTCAATCATTCACGCAAAAATCAGAGTGCATCTCAATTACATTTGCCAATTTCTGATTACTCAAGTCGATACTACAGTGGTCATAACATAACTAACAAAGTCGCGTTTATATATGTATAGTGAAAGCAAAGCCAATCTCCTGCGCAAATAGGAAAGTGATAAATAGTGTAAAAAACTGCGAGCGAAGATACACAACATTGGATTGGACTGACGAGGAACAAGTTTGGTGGAAAAACGAAAGTGAATAGTACCCTCAATCCGAAGCGTCCGAAGAGGTGTCCCATCCTGCATTAATGAGGTTGGGGGGAGTGGCTACTATGCCGTTTGTGAAACTCAACGAAGATTTGGGAACATATCCTGATGCCGATCGTCCAGAAGTAGATGGATATATATCTCTGAGCTGTTTGGGGGAGGGCATTATGCTCTCCTGTTCCGGCTCGTCCGATGAGAGGTCCGAGTCATCGTCGCAGATGGGCATCGGTTTGTCGTCCTACGGACACAACATGAGACCGATAAACGTTGAGATAGAACTACTCACATCTGATACTGAGAACGCGGTTAGCCTGCTCGGACCGGGTGAAGACCATCGACGAACAAATTCCAAAAGTTCGGGCGCATTGTCGACTGATGTCAAGGTTGAAGGCGTTGACATGATTGATATTGCTGCCTCGCTCCCAGATATATACTCTACATCAGAAACATCGTCTTCGTTGCGCTTGATGGCAGAGATGGACATCGGCTCCCCTGGACTCGTAGTTGCCGAGTCGTGTTCGGTGCTAGATGAATGAATAGAATCGACATCCATGGTAGTGGGATTCGATGCCCATCGACGCTTCGCAAACATGAAAGGTGATGGCTTGAAGGCTCCAAATGATCGGGGGGCAGAAGGAGGGGCGAGCTTCGCCGAGATCTCGATATCAGTTCCCTCAACTGTGACAGCCGGTGGAGTTCTTGTCTCATCCGGGGTAAAGGGCCCTGCCTCATCAGAAGAGGATGTTTCCTCCTCTGTCGAATGCTCGTCTTGCCACACTGGTCGTCGTGCCATCGTATAAGGCGTAGGCCTACCCAAGAGCCCTCCTCTGAAGGAAGGAGTAGTATTGCTCTGCTCTCGCTCTTCGGAGTCCTTGGAAGTGGACACGACTTCCATTTCGACATCCTCGTCGTGAAACTTCCGTTTGCGCGGGCTGTCATCAGACGATACCTCACTGGCACGTTTAAGGGATGCAGCCTCTTGGTCGAGCCATGATCGCACTTTGCCCCGCTCCAATGCCCTCTCTGCCCTCGTCGACAAGGTCTTGCCGTCAGACGAGAACCTTCTCCCTGCTGGCGTAGTCGGCTTGTTGCGTTTCGCAGTTTTCTTAGCAGACTCGTCCTTCCTCCCAAACCGACCGTTGGATTCCCGAGGTTGGTCGAAACCAGAATCCTTGGCACTCGTGCTCTTGCTCCTCTTGCGGGCGATCGGAGAAGACAATCTTGGTCTCCCTCGCTTGCGTTTTGGAGCATCTGGAGAGGACGTGGTAGGCTTGTTATTCGCCCTTGCTCGGCCATAGAACTTGAGGATCTTTGGCGTGCCCTTGGACGCAAGCTTGCTCTTCATGAACTCCTTCTTGGCCTTCGCAGACATTCCTACCGAGACCTTCGAGGTCTCCAGCTTGCGTCGTTTGGCCGGAGATTCCTCTCCCTCCTGTTCACGTCGCCGTCGTTGCCCAACTTTCACAGAAGTTGCCGCGGCCACTATCTTTTTGTCAATGGCTGTCGAGGGCTTTGTGGTATGACGAGCAGCAGGAAGTTCTGGAGGGGCGGGCTCTTCTCGGGGAGTGGGATGGTTTCCCGAGCCAGGAACGGGCACCCTATGAGGCCATGGATGCCCATATATCGCAAAGTGTCGAAGACAACGAGGACAATCTCGCTTTTCCTTCTTCTTCCTTGACGAAGATGAAGTCTCCTCTAACCCCCAGATGATTTTGTGATCCACAGAAATGAGAGGCAGTACGTTGTTACACGTCCCACACATGGGCAAGGGTTTACCATCGGAGCCATAGATAATTTCTGGTTTCTTCGGCGTCACTTCCACTGGCACTACAGACGCAACAGACGGTCGAGCTCGCAAAATTCTGCTCTCGTTCTCCTCCTTTTTGATCTTGGGCTCTTTACCTTTGCAATCTAAGACACTCGGGGTCGAGGCTTTCTCTTTTCCCTTGGAGGACCGAGGGTTTGTAGAGACTGAAGCGCGGCTGGAGGATGCAGAGCGTCGACCATGAGGTGTACTTGATTTCCCTGCCACAGACACGCTGTCCTCGGAAGCCGGTATAATCCCAGCTTGAGGGGTCCCTGAGATGGCAGCAGCAGCCTTCTGCCGGCGGGTAGAGATTATGGATCGAAACGTTGGTGTGGATTGTTTACTGCCCTTGCCACCTGTTATCGAGTCATGAATAGGCGAGGAAGATACCGACGTGAGAGGGGAAGAACGAGGATGCGGTAGAGTGTCGGGGTCTGGTGTCATGAGGACAGCGGCGTTCGTCACGCTGGAACAAGATCGAGACGAATTTAGTGGGGATAGAAGTGGGTGGCCCTCGATTTCGGGTGTGACTTCCTCTACTTTGGACTGAATAACAGGCTCCGATGATTCAGCGTCGTCTTCACTGTCGTCCGAAGAATCATCTTCGACCTGGACTGTAGCATACACCCCTCTGCGCGTACGTCGCTCGTTGATGTTCAGCGGTATTTGCGGCCTCTTGTTGGCTGAATCAGAGTCGGTTGAAGACCCCGCGTCATCCGAGTCGCTGCCTGAACCTGATTCTGAGCCTGATCCAGCATCCGAGTCCCTATGATCAGGTGCGTATCCACCACGGCCCCTCCTCTCGCATGTTTCACACAAACAATGGCGGTTCTTGCGACCAACTGATGTAAGGTGAGATCATCGAAGCCAGCTAACAGAATGGTGGATACGTACAGTATCCATCGCCGTAATGGGCGGTTATCTCCTCTCCCACTGCAATGGGACGCATCACACGAAATGTAATATATTTTCCCTCACGGAAGAGTTCGCAGTTGTTATCACAATCGTGCTGCCACGTACAAACGTCAGAGGAGCAGAACAAGACAATTCGAGACAATCTCACGTTGACAAATCGGGCAGGCCCCAGGAAGAGATGGTTCTTCTTCATCTGCTTGGAGTGAATGACACTGAAATCGCGGCGGATATCGATATTCTTAATATCTGTGCGCTTGAGTTCCTTGTCTTCCTCCTCTGAGAGGTTGGCCATAGAGCCCTTCAGCTCGGTTATAACAGAACCAGGGGTGAGAGGTCGCGTCGCCAGAATGCACAGCTCGGATTTTCCGGTGCGATGTGAGTACCGCGAGGTATGAGCGATTTCAATGCATCCCGATGGGTGATAAAGTTCAAAGTAACGAGATGCGTGTCTAAGAAAAGGCCTCCGCTTCAACGGTTGAATTCAGAATGAACGTATACGATGTACGCACGTGGCAAACGCGTTGATCTGTTTCTGCTGGTAATTTTGGAGATAGTACCGAATTGGAGAGAGTCTGGAGACGGTCGGTTAGGCCATGGCTGAAGGTGGGAAGAATAGACACGCACTTAAGAAGGTCGTCCACGGCCTGCCTGGTTGCATGCTGCACCGGAAGCTTACTAGTGACAAGCTAGGGAATAAGAGGGCTTGAGAACGCGTGCGCCAAAACGAAGACAATGAACCACGAGACTCACGCGTCGCACGATCTGGAGGAGCTGTTGAGCGTCGGTCTTTGGCAATTTCCTCGATGGGTCCATTTTGTGGACCAGGAGAGGGACCGCACCCGTACCTAGCTTCTCGACGAGCAAATGCGACAAAAAATCGTCGTCCTTGGAGAGGTCGCGCATAGTCATGATTTTTGTGGGCCGCCATGTAATGACCCCTTTCGCTGCGTGCGAGGGCTCATGCTTTGCTGGCGGCATTCAAATGAAAGAGAATGCCCGGGGTCAAAACGAGGGGGAAGGGGGAAGAAAACGGAAAGGGGAGGAGGCGAGGTGGATGAAAGGGGGAAGGAGCAAAGGACGATTGTGGCGGAAGAAGAGCTTGTCCTCCAGTTCTCCCTTAGCATGACGAACAGCTGACTAAGCATTCCCCGTTTAACACAGAGACCATGTGGCAATTCGCACGGTCTATTCTACTCTGCTATGGAACTCAGTGACCAGCCAGCTCTCTCACCTACCACCACCACCACGTTCCCGATGTCCCCAGAGCATCACAACCGTTGCTGACCATGCTCTCAAAGGCGGTCCATGCTGCCCTCAATATCACGAAAGCTCTGCAATTTTCATCTCTTACCCCAATGCGGACTCATTAACACTTGTTGCTGGCGCCAGACCAACCCATCTGTCAGTGACCAGACTGGTGGTCGTAAGACGGGTCGGCGCACAGCGGTGCATCGATTTGCCTTGATCTGTATCATCCGACCTTCGAAACTCGGAAGTTTCCCTCCCTGACCGGTTCCTCAGTTTCTTTGAGCCATATATAGCCACCTCTTCCATGCTGCCGCCACCTGGAACTCTCCTGGTCCTGTGCCGTGCCCTAACTATCGGCGTATACCCATCAATGTTCAGGCCTCGCTTGCGGTTGGTACGCATCCATGTACCTACTATCCCGCCATCTATCGATTATCACTTGGCATACCGTGGATAGCGGAGACGACCAGTCTTGTATGACAACGCGACTCCTGCTGCATCGGATCGGCGATGTAGCGGAGCGGTATCAGAGTTTCTCGGTCCATCAAGAGTTTATAGTTTTGCAGTAAAAAGTTTTTTCAGTAGTCGCATGGGTCTTCAACTCTGACTCAACGTGGCCACAATGTCCAAATGGTATCTGTGTATTAGCAGAGCGTGCGGAGTAGCTATAAATAAAGAAGCGAAGGTTTCGGCCATAACGCATAATCATCCAAGATACCTCCATATTAGATAGAAGCAGAAGAAGGTGAATACAGCACCGGCGAGAAAGATGTACATATCTTGCGTACTAAAAGTTTTGAGATCAGGGCGATGTGATGCAGAAGCACAAGAAAATCACTCGCCTTCGCCGTTCAATCCAGCCAATAACGTCCCTGCTCAAGCCGAGCGTGTTCGCAGCGTCTAATAGCCTTCTTTGCGTCCCCTTCAACATATTCCTCTGGTCCACCAAGTTGTCCAAGACTTCGCGACCTTGCGCCAGGAAATCATCCAACCGAGCTTCCGTATTCTGTATGAACGTATGTTCATTGAGCGCGTGATGCTCCCGCATGCTCATCCCTGCAGGAGAACTCCCTCGGAAAGGGGACTCAGCCACCACTTCTGAACTTCCGTTAGGACGTAGGCCAGGGTGAAGGGTAGAGGATGAGGGGGGATACGTGTTTTGGAAGCGCCGGCGCGCGTCTGACGGTGATGTCTGCGCATTGCTTGACGCATGTATGAGTTCCGCGCGCTGTAAAGCCACTTGCTATGGCATACGTTAGCCCAATCTGCCAACCACCACATCAAAACATATGTGCTGCGCACCTCTGCTGACGCTTGGTCCTTCAACCTCTCAAACTGCGAGCGCAGTTCCAAATAATCCGACCTGAACTTCTGGACGCGCCTGGATACATACACGCATACGGACACAGATCCATGGATGAGCTAGCATACTCGCGTCCGAGGAGAAGCAAATGCATACATCTGAGCCTTTTCCTGCTTGGCTTTTATTATCTCCCGCTTGGCCATGGAGTCGTAGTCTTCGACTGTCCTGTTCATCGCGGCGAGCGAGGCGGAGATCTGCCCTAGCGAGGAAACACGGCAATTGCGTCAAAAGTTAGAAAGCGCCTCGACACAATTAACGGTAACAGGTGACAGAATGAAGTATGTATGTGTATATGGGCGCATCGAAACCTCATATTGAAAGGTGGAACGGCCTGCCCCTCGCATAGTTCATTCTGCCGGAATGTACGCACCTAGCAAGGACGCAGAATTGTCGCCATTCTTCAGCCTCTCCAAATCGCTCTGCAACGAACTTGTCTGTCGTACGCCGAGTGTATAGAGTGAATTCATGATCCTAAGAATGAGACGGGATTGAGTCCGGGGTACAGCAGGTCAATGCCACCTCTTAGTTATTTCGTAGAAGCAGCGCAATGCACTCCAGGTTGGTCGTGACGGACGAGAGCACAGTCGTGAAGCTGCAAGTTGGGCCGACACGTTGGGCGCTAAGACCAATAGCTTGCAAATTAGACAGCGGTAAACATGCCCCTACCCCCTGTTCGAAATATCGCCGCAACGGTAGCTTGAACGAAACAACCCAGCCTCATACGCATTGTGGCAAAGTATTTACATCGAAGTCTATAGTCAATATATCATGTACAATGGAATTCTATCGGGCTGCAGCAACATAAATAAACGTAGGCACAGGTTGCATTACGTTGTACCTTGAGACAGAAAGATGTCAAGGGAGGACCACTGCGGCAGCTCGAGTCCAAATCTGGGGCTCGTGGGGCGCCACCATCGAAGAGAACGGGTGTCGATAAACCGTAGCCCCTCATCACCACTGGAAATTGAACAGGTCATTGTCCTGGGGTGTCGCACGGCATCGCGCCACAATCAACGCAGAAACAAGTATGTCGTCGAAGAGGGGATAACCAGCTGGTGTGATCTTCAACTGCGCTTGAATGATGGGTTGAGTACGAACTTCAGGCCGTCGTGCGGGTGTGAACGTTGCGTAGAGCGTAGTCTTCTCTGGGGATGCGTAGCACTGAATTCAAGCAACGACGTTGGATCTGTTTAGGGCTTCGGTCCAAATAGATAGATGGCTTGACCGACCTTACACTCGATAGGCTTGCTGCCGTCCCAATACAACTTATGGCGAACGAATTGCCAGGCCCATGAACGCTGAGTAATTGCACGTATAAGAACAAGGGATGTAGAGGGCATTGTTGACTTACAGACATGGGTGACCCCCTCTTCTGCATTGCTTCGCTCAGCTTGTAGTGTTTCCCTCGAATGCTAAGAGTCGCAGGAGACTTGGATATACCCATCCTACATAGAATGTGAGTGAAGTACTGGACCCTGTATTCAATCAATCGAACTGACTCGAACTCAGCAACATGGTCACCGTATTCATTCGCCCCTCGTCTAACCGTCGTAATGTGGACTAACGGGTTGAAGCAGTCCACATCGACTGAGATGTGGTATTGTGGTCGAGTATCCTGCGATTCGGGAGGGGGCACGAGAATCATACAGTTATGGCCAAAGGGTGAAAATGTATACAACACGGGTCCGGTCGGTATCCTTGCCTCAACGTACCTAGTAACCAAGCAGGTTCAAGTAATTGTCAGCCCTCTCAATTGACGGGAGGACTCACCCTGGGGGGTTCTCTGACGGTGTGGGGGACGGTGGCCGGGCTAGATTTACACGAGAAGCAGATCCCTCTGAAGATTGTGTAGGTGTGCGACTAGTAGTCCTTGTGATCGGCGCCGGCGGTTCGGCGTATAACTGCGCGGGATTCCATGACAATACCAAAGACCCTGTATCGGTGGTATGCACGGTCGAACTTGGTGGCGGCAGGGGTAGCGATTGGTGATCTTCCACAACAGGTTGCCGAGGTATTATTACAGAGTCTTCGGGGGCGGTAATGGGTTCATGAGCGACCGATGTGTAACTTGTGGGATCGCGATGAGCTGGTCAAGGAGTTGAGATAAGATAGCGCGATTATAGTACTCACTCGGGTGGTGGAACATTGAAGATGGACATTGCTTTCAGTGCCCTGCGAGGTTAAAATAGCTACTTATATACGGCCGAAAACTCGCCATCAACCTAGATTGTGAGTCACACGGTGGTGGATACACTGCTATGGCGAATTGATGCTGTGCAGCCTCACCTTGATCATGCAAGAGACCCGTGTGAGCAAGCAGCTTTGTGGTTACGAAGTGCACTGATACGATAGAGGTTTAAGCTATGCATCATCATCTACCCCACAACCCTTTGCTCACAATCCTAACCAGCGCACAACCGTACGACACGCACCTATGATAGCCAAGTGTAGATCGTAGACGGATTTAAAGTATATATGCTGGACCTTGGCATGTACGCGACTTTTTTGTGGTACCATTGAATGCACTTCAACGTGCGCACTAAAGGCAGTTATAGGGCCGCCTTGCCTCAGCTGAAACTTGGCTCTTCACGGCTGTTGAGACATGTGTGATCCGACCTTGACGGATCCGCCAGGTCGATAACAAAGCGATACTTAGATTATCCGAGGCGGCGAAGGTGCATTCATCCATGCCATTGTTTGTTAGACCACTATATTGATCCCGCCTAACTGCTGATATTGCGGCACCGGTAACCGACAACCTTCTACAGCGCGACCGAAGGCCGGCGGGTTCTAGCCTTGCGAGGATACACGGAGTTGTAGAAGTTGCTCTAACACAATTGGCAGATGACAAGGTCGCCACGGAGTATGCAGGTCTACCGTAGACTTACGTACACCGTCTCGCGGGCGACTTCCTGCGCTTTTTGTTGGCCTTCGTTAATACTACTATACGCACCTATTCAGTGGCAGGGGCGCAGAACCGAAGCCACTGTTCCTTCTTGGACCTCTCCGGATCACTTTGGAAGGAACTTGTCTGGCATGATCGCCGCGCGCTTGGAGAGCCCATGGGGATTCGAAGTAGATGGGTCCGAAGGACCGCAAGCCACCGTGTCGGGAACGGCGGGAAGCAGCAAGTAAACCGCGCCGTGGTATTGGTCGCGACAAAGAGTTTAACAAGTTGGGCAAGCCAATAGCTTGACAAACAAACAACCATCAATACATCTTCCATGTACCGCCCACGATTCCCGAGTCGGTCGGTATTCGCTTTCGAGTTAATGAGGGATAATTATCATACGATAGCGAGTTTAGAGAATAAAAGAAAAAAGACACGCTTGTAGATAGCCTCATAGCTCGCATCAAGCTTACATTGCATCTAAATCATGCCCCTTGGCCATACGGAGATCCCCGCCTATGCAACTCAACTAGAAAATATGAAGTACGAGCTTCTGCTACTCGGTGGTAATCGGGAAGTTGGCATGTTCTTTTCCTTTAATTATGGTCTGTGTCAACCCGTCTACCCAACGCTTTCGTCCGAGATGAATACTAGACGTACTTACTTGCTACCGCGACGAGGCTACTAGATGGCGGCCCGTATAGTAAGGTACCGTAAGCAAACCACAATGCCCTATTGCAGCGTTCGACCCCACAGCTCCCTGCATCGGAGATAGGATCTCAGCCTAGCGCACATCGATACGTAAATTCCTCTTTCGCGCCCTTCCGTGCCCCAGTTACGTCGGTATTCGGCGAATAGACATACGATTTCGGTCTATCGGTTTATTCAAAGCCATTCCATCGTGTCCATGTATACGCACATGCGTGCTATTTCTGTAGACTAGATAACATCCTAGGATGCACGATGCGTCTCAGCTCATATGATTGTAACTCCCAAGCTATATATCATATGACTGACTCCGAGAATACGGCACGCCACAGCAGATATATGGACATGGCGCGATTACGCGCCCCTCTCATGTCCAGTGGAAAGTTCTACGCATCCTAAACAAGCTGACAGTCCACCAAAAAACATCGTTTACCTAACGTGAACTCCGTCGGAAGCCTCCCAAACCTGAAAGCGTCCTGGCGGGGTTGGGCTGCCCATAAGTCAAGTCGCTGATGAAATAGTCTTTCGGCATGTAGCCCACGGTCATCTAACCAACATCACAGGTCAGACCTCCCAAATAGAGTTAAATGCGTGTGCCCGGAGAGATTACCTATGTTATTGGCCCCGCAAGTCAAACGCGAAAAATACAAGGACCAAGTAGAACAAACGAATGATCATGCGCGTTAACGGAGGCGGCGCATTTCGCAGGAACTAGCGGCCCGTGTTCCTCATAGAAAACATACGGGTTGTAGGGGAGTCATGGCCTCTGTTAACACGGTCGAGCTTATCGGACAAACTGTGTGTTTTCCGAGGCGCGGCGTCAGGATAGCACGGACGACAGGAGCTTCTGTAGATCAGGGAAACAACTTCCGGTTCAAGGCCTGTGGAGGCCCTTGGGTCGCACTTGGATGAGAAAGAATGGGACGATGGGAATTCCAGAAACTGTCCTTCCGCACGGACCGATTAACGATGCGATGGGTGGGATAAAGATACGGCGTATGGTCATGTCGAACAGAAGAGTGCTGAATGGATTTGATCAAACGAGCTGAGGTGGTGTCCCCGATGGGTGTTAAGATGGAGAATCAGTCGACTGACGTATATGTATTCTTTTATTGAGTCCAAAGCGAGAAACAATGCAAAGGGACGGATAGTGTGGCCGTTCAATAGAGTTTTACACCCGCCGGATGGTCTCAACAGCATAAATCCAATAGGCAAGGCTAGGGTGGCTGAGTGATGAAAGTGGACTGGTACGCCACCACCCGAGGAGCCTTGAAAACTGGTGTTTATTGCCCAGGATGAGTATAATGCGGGGTTGATGAGAAAGTACATCCCCCTAGTCGAGTTGAGCCTATCGTCGTTTAGTTCTATTGGTCGGTCGCTTCCTCGCTGCCTTCCCACCGGCTCGCTCAGCCTTCTCGGTCCTGCGCGCGCGCTGTTTCATCTTTTGCGCTTTGCGGGCGGCATTGGTCTCGTATTTAATACTCTTGGGTCTGGCTTTGGATGTCGTAGATTGTGCGGTGGATGGGGTACGGTGCTTGTGGCCGAGGTGAGGGACAGGTTGGACCCGAGAAGTCCGCTCGGCGGTAGAACTGGTATGCCCCCGAGAGGACGGGGCATTCGGGGAAGAAGGTTGTGGCTTCGAAGGACCGTGAATGATCTCTGTCGGGTCGAAGTCGTCGACTATGGTAACGGTAGCCACAACCTCCTCTCCCTCGTACTCGGCTTCTTCATCTTCCTTCACGCGTGAGATTCCATCCCAATCGTCATCATCATCGTCTGCATAAGCAACATCAGTGCCCACGCACGACCAAGGAGATAAAGCCGTGAAGACGCGTGGAATATGACGGACTTAATCACCTTGCATGCCCCCATATGCTTTCTCTACTTGTGCTGCATTGGCGGCGGCTTGTTCACGCAAGGCTTTTCGTTGCTAAGAGGGGATAAGCAGTGTTCAGTGTGGAGAAAAATCATCGCTTGTACGACCGAGTCTCACTTCTCTCCTCGCTTCAAGGTGCTGCTGCTTCTCTCTTTCGATGGCCTTCTGTCGCGCAGCGGTCTGCTTTGCGAGCTTGCGTTTATGGAAACCTGTCAGAAATTCTCTACAGGGCGAATGCAAGGAGATGAGGCGACGGTCGATCAGCAGCGACGGGGACGCACCTTCTTGCTTCCTCGTCGAAAGTGACCTCCTTTGGCTGTTGTGCGCGATGTCGCTTCTTTGCAGCGATTGCATGATGGGACTTGGTGAGGGTGGCGATGTTGGTGGAAGGAGCCATTAATGCCGGTGATTAAATTTAGCAGGGGTATCTGGCAAGCGCGTGTTTGGTGCTATTTGGGTGTAGTATTATAGATCTGAGATATATAATAATTATATAATATATATATATCTGGGAGGGGTTGTGAGTTGAGGACCACCATCATGAACGCTCTTTATAATGGCCCTCAGCCAACCGTCCACTCGTTCAGTCCCCCGCCCTCGACCATGTTCCCTCCGCACCACCACCATGTCCCCCACCAGATGCACCTTTTCCCCCACAATCCGTACTCCCCGTCCCCGCCCCCGCCCCCCATCGCGCACAAAGTATGGATCCTCGACTGCAAGTCCTGCGGCTCGTTTCTAACTAACAGAGGGATGAAGGTACGTGCTCGCCCGCTCATTGCACGCCTTTCCTGATTTTTGTTTCACATTTAGGCGGTACTTCTGCTGAGGCCGAATGTGTCCCTGTACTCGTCGGATGCCTTGCCGGTGAACTGTTCGGCGTACACCTCCAACCCCGACGTCTTGCGCCCGGCATCCCCTTGCCAGCCCTCCACATCCTCGCAGCCATCGCGTACGTGTGAATGCCTAACCCAGACATTGTGTTGCCATGGGTGTGGTACCAGCGTCGGCTACATGATCGTGATCCCCGTGAGTACCCCACGGTTAATTACCTCCAAGAAATTCACGCTCATTGGACCATGCCAAAGTGCACTCGCTGCACCTCTTCGATCACTGCGACGAACCGTGCAACAAACGGACATCGCTTCGTCTTCCATTCCAGCGAAATCGTTGGCACCGAGCGGCATTATATAGAGGACGAGCCAGGCGTGATCCCCTATGACCCCTATATCCCCTTTGTGACCTCGCAACCTCCATCTACTTCAACGCCTATCCGCCCAGGCCATTTGCCCCCTGTGTCGCCCGAGCGTAGCGAGCCTTCTATCGCCTACCCCTCACCACCACCTTCTGCTCACGAATCATCCCCATCTCCATTCCGCTTCCATTCCCCCCACGCATCTGCCACACTGGAGAACCCACACGCATCAGTTCCTTCTCAGTTCGCCTACGCAGTACCTCCACCACCGTTCGTGATGCCGTACAATCACCCCGGACATGTGTCTACCGAGAGTAAAGATACCCCAATGCCTTCGCGCAAACTTAATGTTGGAGACGTACTCTTCTGGCATCATCTGGCACGGCATGGCGAGATTCCCGGTGTCATGGAAGACAAGCGTGCGAGGCGTGCTAGCAGCGCATGTGACGACCATCGGGAGGATGGGGCTAGGGTTTCTGAGCTGGGAGTCAAGCTCTCCTCGCGGGGAAAGAAGATGATCTTCTTCGATCGATGAAGACACTCATCAAAACCATTCACCTCGCTATCCTCACGATAACAATGTAAATGAACGTATCACGCAACCACAATACCTTGAACGTCATCAAGCACGCCTATATCCCTCCCGTTGCCCGGAAACTGATAACTCCTGTACAGTATCTGTTGAGAACTCGCGACTTTGTTTTCCATTTTCTCTCTGACTTATTACCCGCTTGTATCATATCCATCGGTTCCACGGTCGTCTTCCGGGAACAAGTTGATACCATCTGCATCCTTTCTATGCATACCCTCGATTCGGATGTATATAATTTTTTCCAACCTTGCCCCTTACGTCCTCTTCTTCACGCTTCCCCCATCACCTACGTTCACCCACTAGCATCCAAATATCCAGCCGTCTTCATCCCCATTCTGCCGCCCCCGTCCCAGAGACACTCGTACATTTGTAGTTCTTCACATGCACTCTCCTTCCTTGCCCGGCATTCCGTCTATATCCCCGACGCGCCCAGTCACCCTCCTTCGCCTTCTATCTCTCATTCGCATTCACCCATCCCTGAAGGCTTGACGCACCACACCTTCTGGAAACGATTTCGTCTCCCGCGTACCACCATTTAGCCCCTAGGGTATATACCAACCGGATCGTACCCCAAGTACAGGAACAACTCCCATATGTAGGATATTGTAGCATTAGGTGTGATACGGCAGAATATAACGTTGTACATTCAAACGAAGCCACAGAATGAGATGAACCCACGCGTTATATATCGCGCTTCGGATGTTGGCCCGCTTGGTGAAAGGATAACCTTTTTTGAATTAGGGGGAAAACAGGGGCCCATTTATGAAGCTTCGCACAGCACCGGTAGCGTAGCGAACCATATCATAGATCACCAGAGTATCATGACTCCCAATCATGATGTTGATGCGTGCTACGGGGTAGCACTTCGGGGACAGCGAGCTTCGAAGCGATTGTCTTTCCACGAACTGGAATGGGTTTGCGGCTGCTGCTCCAAGGAGGAAGTATTCCCTGAAGGATCAAATCACATATGCATCCTCGGGAGCAGAATTAACGTGTCGTATATTCTGACAGATACGGCAAGTGGGAAATCAGAAGTTATTCTTCCCCATGGGACAAGGTTATACGTTTGGCGCCGAATGTCGGCGTGGTAGTATTGAGGGGCCTCCCATCGGAGGTAGCATCATGCTTTCTTCGGGCTTGGGGCATGTTGATGGAGGCTGATACATGACATGGTTCCAACCAAGGTATGAAATGCAGGATGCTACACCGTGTTCCATTACCCCAAGGCGTGTGTAGCACACGGAACCTTGAACTTAGCATGCTGTTGAGGGTGGCCATCAGGCAAAGCTGAGCCGTGCCACAAATCCAAGCTTATACGGTTCCTGGAATGAGGGCCACGTTCGAAGTAGAATATCTACTAATATCGATTCCTCATGGCAGGCTTAACTGAGGTCCTTGCTCGTTTAACAATCAAGGAATTCAAGGTTTCCAGGGAATGTGAAATACCAACATGTGGTCTTCTAGTAGCAGTGCTGTGCTTTGCCACCATCGAACAACAAGTGAATTCAGCGTCGTGACAACATCAGCCAGCCACTATCTCAGGAAACGAGGGATCAAGGAGACCTTTCACCTTTAAAAGGTTTTTTGATCATCATGTTACTGTCTTCGTTAAACACGTTGATGAAACGGTTGTGCTCAGCATTGTACTTGCGTGATCAACTTTCTGCAAGCACGACTATCAATCAGTCATCAAATCATATCAACAAACTATGCATGAGTAGGGATTGTGGATTTACAGGTATTCGCCGTAAATAATTCCTAGATATGATCGAGCTCGAGTTAGTGAACGATCGGCGATCGAGGAGTGATGGAATCGAGATGGGCTGACATACACGTTCAGGTTAAAGGGGTCACCGCTATTATACATGGCAAACTGGGGTTGGAGCTCGACATCAGAACACGTACGGGAGAAGGGGAGAGCACACGGGAGAAGCTGGGTGGACGAGGTTGGTGATAGGGCGAAGCAGCCGGAGACCGGAGAGTCACTCAAGAGTTCACCAGCATGATCATCTCGTTATATCGTCGCGAATGTGAAAAGTCTTCGATGTTGGGACGGACAGTACGCCACCGATAGTCGTTGGTCACTGCTTATCGCTGTGGGTTGTTCATGATTTCAAAAACCACCGACATTGTAGAAACTGATGGAAGGAAGGCATTCAGATAGGTAGCCAATCCTTGATATCGATGGTGATTTCTGGTGGGAAGCCATTTGATGACGGGAATCAGTGAGAATGGGAAGCTCGCACTTTCGACAGGTAGAGAATCCGAGGCCGTAAGTCAACCATAAATGGTGACCCCATGACGACTCGTGAATACTGCATCCGCGTCGCGTGAATACGAACCTGGCGGTGTAAATGGAAACTGGTGTGAATGTTTACCACTAGGGTTATATATATAGCGCCCTCTCACCATTCAGCATTGTACACACCCCTACATAGAGTCGGAAATAGCGCTAGCGCTTCGAGTCGCTGATTTAGAGCAAGATGGAAGCTAGACGCCACGCACGCTGAATTTGAGTACCTAGGACCTTGAAAGGTGGCTGAGAACTTATCAATATGGAATGCTGTCGGCGTATAGCAGACAGCGGGCGCGATACCGAAAGCAAGTTCCGTGCAGAGCGCCCCGGTCCGAGACTAACTTAGGAGGCTATTTTAACCTATCCAAGTCTGAGCGCCGCCGCATCTATCAGATCATTAACGTGGAGTAACGGACTACATATATGTCGGCCGAGGCAACCTACTATCAACGGTTCTATCACCGTCAAGCTGTATTTTAACGCCAACACCAGCAGGAACACACGCCTGTCCAAACTCCTTCTCCAAGGCGATCTTGACAGCCATTCCAGAGCAATGCATAGGAAGAATGTAAGTTGGAGAGGGTGTCAAGGAACGCGATAGAAAGTCAACAGTAGGCTGGATGCGATTTGCGAATTCTGGGCCGGCGAGATGCAAACCCCCAATGATCTATATGGACCAGGTCAGCAGCGGCGTTCGATTATCGATTAGAATGCTGTTTGGAATGAAACAAGCGTTACTGACCATGTATATTGGGCGGTGAAAGCTGTTGACAGCGTCTTTCATCACGTTTACGATGCCTGAATGGGAACAGCTGTAGACATCTGTTGAGTGACGTGACCTCGTTGTAGACTTCGAATGCCCTTACGCGCTGAAAATCACTAGACCTTTCCCCGCAATGTCAATAACAAGGTAACGCTCATCCATAATGTGCTGTGCCCGCCCCAATTAAATCGATGCTCCACGGTGATAAGGGGGGCTCTATGTACCTGTTCTGGGTCCCAAGCACCGGTCTCATCGTTCCACCGCAGGCCTCCCATAATCCCCTTCTCATATGGAGTGACCCGAGGAACAACGCCGCTGACCCATACCGTCCCATCGGCAACTGTGTGAGCTACGTGTTGCTTTTCCAGACGCCCCCCTTGATCTTGAATCTCTTGGAACGTTGGATCTCTGGGCAGTGCACATAGAACTTTGTCGAACTTCGGGCCTGGGGCTATGCCTCTCAGACTTGGCCGACTAGGATGGACATCAACGATACATGGAGACGTAAACCCGTTGTTCTCCCTCGCTTTACGGTGGTGTTCAAGGAAAGTCAGTAAACCCCCAGTATGGTCGCTGTGCCAATGGGAGACGACCACACGATCGATTATATGCACTGGAATATGCATGTTTTTGAGGTTCCGTAAAAGGGACGAAGCATCTGGACCTGTGTCAAACAGTGTATAATGTGGCCTCTTGTCCTTCACTTGAGTTTCCTATACAACAGACATGGGTGGAGAGAAAGCAGTTGACGAGGATGCTTACGATAAGAACAGCGAAACCATGAGCCCCTAAACAAATCAATTAAGTAGGTAGATGGAATATATTCAGAAAGATCTCAATACCACAACAAAACGTATTGAAATCCAAAATCGGGACACCAGTAACCCCGTCGATGGGTAGTGTGTGTTCAGCTAGATGTGTTGATAATTCCTGGGTGAATCCTGGGGGGAGTCTAGTCATCCTATACGCAAGGTAAGTCAGTTCCTCAATGTTATAGATTATGTGAAAGGGTGAATACCATTCAATGCAATCATCCACGAGGAAAGTGATGGTAGCATTGTCGATGGTTTGTAGTAGATGTAGCTGCATGTTAGCTTCACTGCGTAAATGGAGGGAATGGGGCGATGTAATCATACCGCATCGCCCCTTTAATATGCCCCCCGTGCTATGCTTTACAGCTTCTCGGAATTACGGAACGTTTAGCTTCACGCCAGGTCTTTCTAAAGCCGTATTAAAAAAAAACGGTCCTATGGTCCTATGAAACATTTGACAATTAAGATCGTCTCTATGTACGTTGCCTGCGGATACATTGTTAGTGATACTTCCATTGACAACTAGTGATGGTTGACGTACGCCATGCCGCCGTAAGCCATGGCGGCGCCTGATTCTGCAAGTTTTCGTTGCCTGAACGCCTGATTTGATTGCTGTTAGGAATGCGGTGTAAAATAAATTCGAGAGACGCACCTTGCGATACTTAGTCCTCTCATATGTGACGAGGCCAACTACAATGAGGGCAATGACAGAGATACCCGCAAAGACGCCAAGACCAATTGGAAGAACTGATAATTTCTGACCGGGAAGAGCAAATTGTTGGGAACCGTCTGTAGGAGAAGACTCAGCCGCAGCTGCCGTGCCCGTGCCCGATGACGACGTCTCGGTAGCAGCAGCAGATGTAGCAGACCCGTCAGCAGCGCTGGTGCCGCCTGGAGCTATAGATACTGATACAGCGCTTGTGGAAGTAGCGCCACTTGCTCCTGAAGAGGATTCCGAAACGGACACCGAGCCGGAGCCAGACGCTGACGAAGTTGTCGCAGCTGAAGCTGAAGCAACAGAACCGGTGGAAACAGCGGTAGCTGCTATGGATGTGACCCCCTAGATCCACATCATCGTTGTTAACACAGATCAGTGAGACATGTAGGAGATCATACATTGACCGAGATAGCCGGGTTCTGGGCATTTGCACTCGACGTCGAGACAGCAGAAGAAGTGGAGTCAATAGCCACGCTCGTGGCGGAATTCGTCACTGAGGATGCTGCAACGGTGCCGGAGATGGAAGTGGTAGAAGCAGCCGCGTTGGAAGACGATGAGACCGAATCGGTCGATGATGTGGCTGCTGTGGCTGCTGCTGTGGTAGATGATGTCCCAGACGGAGCCCCGCCGTTATTGTTCTGTGGAGAAGCAGTATCCATTGTGATAGAACACTTCTTGACCTCCTCCACGGCAGGTTGACCATTCTGGTCGGTGATCGGTGTGAGGGTAATGATACAAGTCTCAGTCATTGTGCCAGCCACACTGAAATGGAATTCACGTCTCTGTAAGGCTTATAGAATCAAGCAAGCACGCACGTCTCTGCCTTATTAACCGTCATCACAGTAGTTGGTGGGCCGGTGGTCTGTCTACCCAGGATGGTCGGACGAGCATGGATTTGTACGGAAAGCATGCAAAAGCATTGCAAGAGAACGAGTGCGAGCATTTGACGGCGGATAGGAAAGAACATGGCGAATTGTATATGCTTGAAGATGGGCGAATTGGCAAAAGAACGTTGAGCCCGATTCCTGCGGTTTCTCGACGTGTACAGCGGGAGACCTCTGGACGAAGTTGAAGAAATAAAAGATTGGAAGTGCCTCCAGGGCGGAGGAGGGCGATAAGAAAGGAGGAGGACGAGGAGGAGAAAGGCAAGAAATGCAATGACCGTTGCCAAAGCGAAACTCCCACAAAGCCTGTTCCATCATATAACACCGGGTCCAGACAGTATATTCAAGCTCAGATTCACACACAGTGCAGGCACAACCACACTCCGACAAGGATGCCGTCCTGGCGACCAACTGGCGACAATCCAGTTGGTTACCTCAATCAAAACCTGCATCACCACCGACCGACCACTCGCACTCTGGAACACAGTCTCGCCACAGAGGCATCACTGCGCAAATCGCATCGAGGCTTCCCAGTTTTGAATGTTGATGATGCGCTCAGACAATTGTCCGACCAAGCAGGGTCTCTGGTCAACACTAATGACTGTAACAAACCTTTCTGTCAGTGTGAGTATGAAAACAACGTTGCCACGGCATTTGCGTGAAATACCAAGGCCAAAGTGTTTCGATTGTCAAAGGCAGGAACCGCGTGCTGGGCGCATCACATCTATCCATCATGACCCATATCTACCGCTCTGTAAGCCTTGCCATCCTGATACCGCCGAGTGTCATGCGAAATGAGCTCGCGAAGACTGTCGACCGCCTCTGCAATCCCCTGTGCGCCCCATCTCTCGAACACCATCGACAAACACACATTAATCACAACGGAGACCAGCAGGTCCATACGACCCACAAACGGGAGTGGCATCAGCTCCAGGACGACAGTTATCAGTTGCGGTGGATACAATAACACTAGCATGTTAAATGCCGTCAGTGTGATTAACGAGAGCATGAGCCAGCCTAGACACACAAAGTCAATATAGCTACTCGGGGATCGCAGTCATTTACGAAGCGTACCGTTTGTGAACATGGGCTTGCGGTATGGCGGACCAATGCTGAACACGGCAGCAACGAGGATGTACTGGAAACACGAAACCAAAAATAGGGCTGAGTTTTCGAAATTGGTTGCTTCTAGCTTGTCCCCAACAGTAGGGGTATCAGTTGTAGGTGGGCTATACCTGTTCACGAGTTACTATATAGACTCCAAAATCCCGCACGAACGGCGTACCATTCCTTCCTTCGAACCCAGAAGAATGCCCAGAGTTGTACAGCGCTTGTTATGACAATTTGCCCAATAATACTTGAGAGCACCTTGGTGGATACGAGATTCGCAGTGGGGCGCTTGTGATGGATGAAAGGATACGGTAGAGTGCGTCCCACTAACTCGAAGGGTCAGCCCGAAGGTTTATAGCACTATCAAGCAGACCCGACTCACTGGTAACAGCGACGGGGATGATGATAAACAGATCGATGTACAGGAACTTCGATCGCCGCGAGGGTCAGTCAATGGAGCTGAACCAGCAGAGCGGATACTCACCTGGAAATCGCCCAAGGAGGATGCAAACGAGTAAAGCAGCGTAATCGTCGTAAATTGGATAAGCGAGTACAGCGCCCTGTGTCATAGTCATCGCTTCGCGCCCTTCAACGACGGGAGAAGGGGCACTTACATGTATTTAAAGCAGCTGAAGCTTGTTACAAGCGCTGCACGGCCCTCCTTGATGACTTCCAATACACATCCAATATCGGGCGTACTGCTTGTAAATGGGGCAGCAACACTGGCTTCTGCTTCAGATAGCGAGATCCCAACGTCCGCGGCTTTCAGAGCGGCGCAATCATTCGCGCCATCACCGCACATAAGGACGGTATACCCAAGCATCTGCAGTCGCTCGACGATTTCGTTTTTCTCGTCTGGCGACATCCGTGCGAAGATTTGTGCTTTGACGAGCATCTAAGAGCGATTGTCTATATCAATTCTATAATTGTATAGACTGAGATAGCTACCCTTTGTAGCGTCTCGAGGGGTGCGTAGTTGATCATCCATCTGAAAACGTCTCCAGTAACAGCCAGAGAATAGTCCTGGGTTTCGTTATTATCGTCTTCGACAGCCTGGTGTGGGGGCGGGTCCAACGGTTTTAGACTGTAGTCATCGAGTAGCCACTGTGGATCATCCATGCATGACCATTGTAGCTTGGACGCTGGAGTTGTTGCATTGCCTACGACGTATGTGTGCTTAGAATTGCAATCAAAGTAAGACGAAGGGAGGCCACTAACCTAGGAGGAAGACAGGGAAGAAGACATTTGCTGTTTGGTTGATCAAACTGCATTCTCGAGCGACGCTAACGGCGGTGAGTGGGTTATCGCCAGTTATCATCCGGCATGCCAAATGCGCCGAGCGTAGGGCCTGTATAGCAGGTGCCGTCCCGCGCTTAATCTTGTTCTCGAAGATAATCAAACCAAGGAACTGCAAACCGGTCTCCACTTGATCACTGAAGGAATGATGTCAGACGCTGGCATGGAAGGGCGGAAGAATAAGGTACCGTTTCATCAACTGAGCTTTACGCCACGAGAGTCCTTCGATGCTTCTCCCGGCAATTGCGATCACTCGGTATCCGCGCTTAGTGTAGTACGATAAGAGGTCACCATAGTCCTGCGGGACTGTCCGAATATCAGCATGCTGGGTGCTAAACGGAGGAGAATACACGTACATGTATCCGGATCGCATATCTGGCTCATCACTTCCGGAGCACCCTTGACGTATATCTCCATAGAGGAACTCTTTAACCGCTTGACCACGACGCTCATTCTTCGAAGGGACGAGACGAACTCGAAAGTACGGATAACACCCAATTCCAAGAAATGTGCATGCTAAGTCGAAACGGGTCTGAGAATATGTCAAATTTCTCAGGGATACAAACACTAACCTTAGCCCCTCCTTTCAAGGCATCCTCCAGTCTGAATTGGCCACTACCGGGAGGGCGAACCACAGTTTGAACCAAAGATGTTTGCTCGATAATAGCACCGGAGCGGGCCTTGATGACACCTGTTCCTCCAGCAGTTCCTTCATCAAGCGTCCATTTCGTGAACTCGAACATCTTCACATCCAGAGGATCCCCAATAATTTCGCCGTCCACCATCTTCAACGAGTGACATGTAGCCATTGCATGCAAGAACGACGCCTTGTCTCTGCTGGGAGATAGATCGTATATATCTTCAAAGAGTTCGCCAAATCGTTGGACGTTACGATCGAGTCCCCGAACACCCAGAATGTCGAGGCCGTCTTCCGTGAGTGTCCCTGTCTTGTCAAAGCAACAGACGTTAATCTTGCCAGCAACGTTCACCCTGCTGGGTGCGATGCAGAAAATGCCGAGTTTTCGAAGGCGGCTGATGGCGAAGCTGGTGCCGATGGAAAGAGTAGCAGGCAACGCAGGAGGGACAACCACAGTGATTAGGTCAAGGGCTCGAATGACTATGGTGTGCCATTTGACCTAGATTCATAATATATCAGGTACGCAATGTTGGTAAAACAACCTCCTGTACTCACGCCCAACTTTACAAACTGCACGGCACTGGCACAAAACCCTAATCCAGCAATCCCGGCTAGAACACCAATGAACCTCATCGAGTCACGATAAAACTTGAATCCTATTGGCTTGGGGAACAGCATCGATCGCACCAATGCCCCTTTGGTGGTATTGAACCCTAAGACGAGTGAGTTTCTAGTAAAGAGTCATAACTTGTGTTCTTACCGGTACGAGTGACCACAGCAAGGGCAGGTTTGGTATATCCGCCGTCGCCCAGACCACCACGAATCCTGATGACGCGAGTACCGGAGTACAGAAAACCCTTTGCCATTTCGGCGGTAACATCATCGACATCCTTCCACCGCGCGATCTCCTCGTCTTTCAGAGTGGTCTTGCTCACCGGGACACTCTCACCAGTCAACATGCTTTCGTTTATAATGGCGTCACCACATAACAGGAACATGTCGGCAGGAAAGGTGTGAAACTGAGATTGGGAAAGATTGACGATGTCGCCTGGGACCAAGTCACTAGAACTTTGTTCCAACCCTTGGGAGAAGTTGACGTACAGTAAATTTTAGAAATGCGTGCAACTCACAAATACCATCGACGAATACATCTGTTTTGCAGACAAATCTGGACATGGCGCGCATTCGGGCGATAGTCTGCAAAAGGGAAAGAACCTCAGCAAGAAGTTCAAACAAATGCGATTGATGGCCTTGAACTTACTTTCCGGGTGTCAATCAAGGTTGTGATGATACTGAGCGAAGATATCAAAGCAATACAGAAAGCGTAATAATAATAATCGTCCAAAGACCAGAGGATAATGCTGGCAATTTGAAATACATAAAAAGGATGTATGATCTTGGAGATGTAAGACACTGGTCCAAATCTGATAGGGATGGAGGAACGTACTTCGTCCACTAACAGGCTGAGCGATGATTTGCCTTCGATGTCGATCTCGTTTTTGCCGAAAAGAGTTAGCCTTTGCCTTCGTACAGGTTCGGTAAGCCCATTGGTAACAGATGACTGGCCAGTCCAAGAAGGGTCCTTCCAATTCCTGCGAATGAATTGAGAATCTTCCATTGCCTACAGGACGAATGTACCCACTTTATCATAACAAAGAGACCTGTTCGAGGGTCGAGCGCAAATCGGGTGTACCGATAGTCGACTACGGTGAGCTTCCCTAGGGGTCCAACGACAGGTTTTGGCGTTGAACCATCGGGCAAACGTCCGTCAGAACTCAAGTCTACACGTTCAGGAAATACGGTGCTGATGTCGTAGGGGTAGATTAGCGTCCGCAGCGGACACATCGCAATGTCTCCGTGTGCTGACTTCGTCGAAGGCTCAAATTACAGTCGAGGAATCCGATCCTAAGCCACATACCTCTATCACAACAAAGCCTTCCTTCGCATCTTTGAAAGCCTTTTCCTTGGCCACCCAGCGTAGCCAAAATCGAGGGAACCAGTGTCCCAGGAGAGCCAAAAGACCTAGACTCACAAAGCATCCAAAATACCACAAACGGTGTCGTATTGATGGTGTCTCAAACCCTATAAAGCGGACATTGCTATCTTCATCGGCAAGGTATATAGTCTGTCGACTGGGTGGCCCCGGGGGAGGTGGTTCAAGGGATTCAAATGGTATGTCTATATCAATACGTGCTTCGCCGCCGAATATTGGATCGTTGGTGAGCAAAGGGAGTAGTGCACCTGGGTTAGAGCCTGGTTCGAAGTCACGTCTCATACTGTTGGTGACGGAGACGTTGTCGTCCAGCTCATCAGACACGTCGGAGAAGTCGTCTCCAGAAGTATAGCCCCAGCGTTCCTCCTCCTCGTCTCCATCAGTGTCAACAGCATAATCTGAGCCAGCGTCAGAGCGGCGACTCCGCCTTGAGATGGAAGAACGCTGCGAAATGGATGGGCGCCGTGGGTGGTGTGCTTCGGGCGCATTACGGCCAAAGAAGCTCGCGAAGTTGTCGAACACATTTGCGCGGGACGTTGATTTCCTCTTGCGAGGCCCTGGCCTGAGCGAGCGACGCTCTCCTAGGTCCCCTGCCTCCGACCCGCTGTCCACATCATCCCCCTCTCCATCTTGAGTTTGCTGAGAGACTTGACTGTCGCTGTCCTTGCTCGACCGCCTGCTTACCGCCCTCCGCGACGAGGCAGAACTAAGCCGTCGACTCCTTGACCGGTCGTCGCTGCTTCGTCGGCGATCTAGATTGGGCATTCTTGACACACTGCTCGGATTGACTGAATGCCCCGGGCCAGCAAACATGGCTCCTTCCCCATCCTCTCCATAAATGGTGCTGTACTGCGAGTCTCGCCTGGATCGTCTGCTATTTGCAAGTGCTTCTGTGATGTCTATGGCGGATGCTCCTTCTGTGTAGTCGTGAGATTTGTGCGCATTGCTGGTAGAGGGCATAAACGTGTGGTCGACGGTCTGCAAATTGACTGCGAAAATTTGGAGTCGACTTGGATATCTAACCCATGATACTGGGCGCTTAATCGATCAACTACCCGCCGGTACGGTACTTCTTAGATTCACAACCTACCACTGGTCAGGAAGCTAGTTACATATGTAGGCTTTATTATAAGATATGATATACTACGACTGCTCAGGAACAGGTTCAGGGGGAGACAGCGTGATTTCGCCCTTGGTGTGCTGCTGGTGAATCTCCCTAAGAAGGTGCAATAGTCTCTTGATAGGTTTGGCGTTGTAGGTTGGCGTCGACTGGTCATTCAATATTTCAGTGATGCGTGGATCCTGATCCTCTCCTCCATAGAGGTCAAGGAGACGAAGTGTCTCCTGGCAGGCAAGGCCCCAACGCTCGTCAAGGTGTAAAGCAGCCAGGACATGACTCTTACCGACAGAACACGTTAGCAATACCTCAGGGAAACTCGAAGACTACATACCTCCTCAATAGTAAAGACTCGGGACTTCAGATTCGGAGTAGGTTTACCGCTGTATGCATCAATCATACTTTTCACCCATCGGTATTGTTTTAGCACTATCGATGCCGTCTGCGGCGACGCCTTCCACTGAAAGAACTCAGCCCAGGATCGATCTTGCTCGAGTATGGGACTGATGGATTTTGAAATCATCTCATGTATCTCATCTTCATCTGCCTCTGGAGTTGGGGTATGATATCCACGAGGAGGAGCCGGGGGCATGGGATCATCGTCATCTGAGTCGTCTGCCGGATCCATCATGATATGATCTATGGAACCCTTCGCATAGCTTCTCTGCCTCTTGGGGGGTACGCCTGAAGTTCGCAGATCGTAGGAGCCGTGGTCCTGGTAATAAGGTGATATCGTCGATCTGGTCTGCGACGAAGGGGCAGTCCAACGAGGGTGATGCTCGAGGGATGGCGATCTTTGGCGTTTCCGATACCCTTCAGAGTGTGAGGAGTAGGTAGTAAGTAAAGACTCTGCGCGATCTGGGGAATTTCTGGTACTGGGAGAATAGTGACGCCCACGTCTCGGATCTGGTGACGGTTGGCCAGCTGCTGCTCCTCTAGGAGCCGGGCCATACTGAGAGTAGGTGGGGATGGACTAAGCAGTGCCAATGTTAAATGCTACCAAAACCAAATTGGACGATCGTACCTCTTCTACGAAAACTTCTAACGTCCGCTGGGGTGTAACCACGATATTGGCAGAATCCCACTTGTCTTCGTTGTCTGCAGATACCCTCAAAAAGAACTGTCTGAATCTCCCTCTGAGAGTGTACACCTTCGCAGGACCTGCCCAAGGTGATCAGACCCCCGATGCCGATGGAGAAGTCCAAAGTCTGAGATACTTACCATCTATTCTCGATGGGCCCGTCTGAAGCTTTTCGCAGATATCATTTGCGTCCGCCCAATAACCATCTTCTGCTCTTTCGGCTCGTTTCAAAGGTACCCTGACTTCGGCAAGGAGGAAGTCCGGGACCCCGCTTCGTGCGTCCTGAATAAGGATGGTCAACACAGGGAGGGCCCGATTTGCCCGTTTCTGGAGCTCGCTCTCAGACACTAGGGGTTGTGTTAGCGACAATAGCGTCATCTTAACATCGTACTTACCATAAGGCTTGGATTGTGAAGCGGCCGCCTCGCTCCGAGGGGTGTTGTCGATGAACATGTATCCTCCACCCTGCGCCGAACTTGGACCTGCGATTTGTCGGACTCCATTCTCCGACCTAGAGAACTGGTGACTTTCGTAGCTTTGCCCTCCATTGTGATAGTCGGGTACGCGATGACTGTCAGCGGGGTTGCTGGTAGCGTGATGCACACTTTCCACCGGGGTCGCCGAGGTGGACGGCACTGACGCTGGTATCTCGATAGCTGGAGGCTCGCTTACATTGGCTGCCTTATTCTTCACAGGCTTCTTACGGCCTTTCCCTTTCTTCGCAACAGGCTGCACTCCGGCATCGGTGGGTTGAGAACTCGCGGCACTGTTGTTCGTGTCGTTCTGCGCCGCGGGAGGCTGGTTCGGTTTCGTTTGCGGCGAAGGCGCGGACGCATCTTGCTGTGCTGACTTCTCTGCGCGGAAAAGAGAGTTGTACGGTCCATTGCCAGCATATGTTGGAGGGTTGCTAGGAGGTGTTGGGTCGTAAGAAGTGGCTCTCCATCGGCCAGTCTGGTCCGCAAATGCATCGTTGAAATGCTTGACTTTCTTGGTCTCAACCTTTTTAATGGCACCGCGCTTTTTTGGCGGCTGGTCGGGATGTACTGCAATGAACACTTCCTGCCCTGGCAAAAAGGCTTTCCTCCGCGTGGGTTTCGGAGGCGCTGCTTCGTACGTATTCAGGGAAGAAGTCGATGCAAAGGCGGATGCAAAGCCCATAGGCTTGCGTATCAGCGGCCTATCCTCCGGCGGAGGAGTATCATCGTCTGCCATGGGCGGTACTGGCTCATCATCAGAATTGGGCGTGAAGGATCGTCTTTGTCTCTGGTACATTATAAACATGGGGAAGTTAGCAGCCACTATGGCTCTTTGCTGGGTTTATCTTACAGGTTGCGGAGACGACTCCCTGCTGCTCCTGATGCAGTGGTAGAGAGTATAGTCAGGGTGAGAGGATGGCATTATATCTGCAGGAAACGTACGAGTCATCAACAGTGGTTCTCCCCTTCGCAAGCTCCTTGTCTTGAATCCGCATGGCGGTTTGGGTGGACGACTGGCTCATTCGAATCCTGTCGGAAGACCGGCGAGCAGTAGCGTGAGCCAGCTTGAAAATCTGCTTTTCACCGAGCGGGTGGCTGCCCGGCGCGATAAGAGGATGTGGTTGGGGGGAATGTTGATTTCACCCCGCGCTTGACCATTAGTGGCAGTTTTTCTAGCACGTGATGCACTGTGCAACAAATTTCCCAAATGTGGAAGGTGTTTGATCTCAAGCGGAGCACAGCCACAGCAACGGGTTGCTAAATGTGGCGAAAACCCTTGAAGCAGAAACATTGTGCAGGCAACCGATTTCGACAGGCTTTGTTGGTGCGAGTGCTTGATTAGAAGCTATGAAAGACACATTATATGCTTGCACGCTATGGTACGGTAAGCCGGCTTCCAGGAATCTCGATACAATTGTGACAATATATAGCTATAACGACTTTCGAGGACCATTTCGTTGATCAAGACTGGTACACCTTTCGAGCGTTCAAAGCGAAAACAGCATCAATTGCCTCTTGTTCAACGCCCAGCTCAGCTAGTGATTCTCTTGCCAGTTCGTACCAATCTCCCACATTTGATGGGTTTGGAGACGACGTAGATGGTGAGGAACCAAATATGATGCGCTCGTAGCCAAAAGCCTCCACAACAGGGCTCACTTGACAGAAATTGAGTGATGGGGTTGTGGGGTGTTAGGCTCGTGCTTACAGTACATCTTAATTCGGCGTTTCCACTCTTTAGTCTGCTTGCTATCCTGTTCGGAGAATGTGGCACCGGGAGGAGGGGAATTTGGCGTCGCCGCATTCCATGATGGCGGCAAGAACTTGATACGCAAGTCGGGGAAGAGGGATAAGGCAGCAGTCTGACTTTGGTAGGCCAAGTAACTAGGATGATTCATCAACTTGACGATTGGCAAATCGATGTTATCCGGAGGTGGAAGAAAGTTCCCTAGGAAACGTGAGCGCGAAACATATTAAGCGAGGGGGGCCATACGAATCATGATGGGCGGTATTTTTGATAATTCCGCCGTACTTTTTGTTAGCAGATCTTCGAAGGCTTCGAATGATGTTTCCGACAACGTGACTTGTAAGTCTATGTCAACTGGGCGGCCTTGCTCCAGCGCCCATCGCAGACTCGCGCTTGCTTCAGGAGATGATTGAGTGTAAACAGTCGTCAATGTGATAGGAATCGATGATGATGAGAGGTAAACAGGCGGCTCTGATGGTATTGGATCTCCAAGGCGGAATGGCACAACCACGGAGACGACGGAACCATTCTTATCTGCCGAGGTCACTCTTTCACCTTACATTAGGCTTGATAAGTGGCACGATAATCGGAGACTTACTCGGACAATGTTTTCTGGACGTCGGCCACCTTCTCCAAGGACACGACGACGCCATCTATACGTTCGCCCATTGCTGGACCTGCTGCCTTCTTCCAATTGTCCAAATTCGCGTCGTCATCGGATATGATAACATGGGCGTCGAGGACTTTCTCTGGATGTAGCGCGCTTGGGCTCGCTGGCAGAGGGAATCTCTCTGAAGTCCCCGAATTTGGTGGTGAGAACGCAGACATTGGCAGACGTGGGGGAGCTTTGAGGCCCTTGCGACGCAATCCAAAGCCGGGCGAAGGTGGCATGGGTGGAAGAGAGCCGGTACTCATTGTCGGGAAATACTTTGGAATCGAACAGTCAGTTGGATGAGAACAAAAGACAAAGCCTTCTTATATACTCGACAGTGGACAGGCTGCGATAGAGAGATCAAACTGATCTAGATCACCTGATGACCCTCCTAGGCTACTCCTGAACTTAGCTGATTCAGTTCTAACACCAATTTACTCCCTCAATCGCCGCTCGCGTGCAGCAACCTTGGGCGAGCTCTTTCGAATTTCACTGCTGAAGAGAGGTGGAAATATCCTCCGTGTTTCGGAGGCTGTGCTCGAGCCTAAAGACTGGCATCACGAATAACAACCATCATTGTTCTCCAAGTCCGTCTAACACACCTGAACAGAAAAGCTCCGATTCTGCTGATCTAGTCTAATACGAGTCGCTCGAATCAGTTTCACTCTCCTCACCCCAGTGACTGGGCTGAGACACAGGCGTGGGGGCCCTGGCATCGAACTGCGCCGAAGGGTACACAGACGACCTCCATCTATGTACCATCTCCGCAAGCTATGAACACGCGTCGGTCGTCGTGTTGAAAAACGGGAACGGCGGCGTACCTTATCATCAGGCCCATACGTCTGAGCCACGAGGAAGTCATCAAATGCAAGGAGTGCAGACTTCCTCTCCTCCTTCTTCCCCGTCTCTCGACCCTCCCGCAGACCTTCCCTTCTCCCTGCGTTGAAGCCTTTGCGTCTGCCCTTCTTGTAACCGACTTTGTGGCCTTCTTGCCAACCTTGTTCTTGACCTTCATCATACCACCGCTGGAGCGCAGCGCGATGCTCTTCCTCGGCGGAGATATCCTTCTCTTCATATTCTTGTATCATTCGTGCGTATTCCCTGGCGACATCCTTTGCGTGTTGTGCGGACTCTTGAGCGTCTGATCTCTCTCTCTCCAAAATTGCCGCCTGTGTCTTGGCATGCCTAAGCTCATCGTAGTTCGCTTGAAGTTGTGACCTGCAGTGCTCAAGCTCAGCCCGCAACGTAGCTAATTCCCTCTCAGCGGTGGCAAGAGAGTTTTCGGCGACAGCTGCTCGAGAACAGAACTCCATTGCTCTGGACTCTGCGTAGCTCGTTCTTTCGCTCGCCAGGTTCGCCCGGCTGATTTCATTTTGCAAACGGTCATTAACAGCGTTCAGCGCGGACTTGAGGTGAAGTGCCTGTCGCTCTTCCTCTCCGACCAAGGTATACAGCAGAGAGTTAATCGTCTTGTGATCTCTCCGGGGTGCTGGTGACCTCGACCGATCGCGGGATTTCTTCCTAGGTGTCTTCGAGGTAATCGTCTCCAGGACGTCTGGATCCGACAGCATCATCGCCAGCGGGCTAGGTGAATTGCTCATCTCCCGCGCCTGGTCGACGAGGAGCAGACTGGGTGCGCTGCATGTCACCTCGCTGTGAGCAAGAGAAATCCGACTACCATAAGCTAAACTCACTGCGGGGAAAGACCGGCCATGGCCATAGCCTCAACGTAAGCGGCGTCTTCAAGTTGGATATTGTCAATAGGCATTCTGTAAATTTTCTAGTGGGGGCGCGGGATCAATGTTGTGTAAGATTGTTGTAATGTCGCTTAAGGCGCTGCGTAGCTTTATGTCAAACTCCAATGTTATGAATAAATGCGGTGCTCGATAAACGTCGCCGAATGTTTAGCGAAGCCGACAAGGAAGAACGGCTTGGGGTGTTCAGTATGTGTGGATTGCACGTTCCGTGCATGTAGCCTACACGTGTAGTAGGTTGTGAGGCTGCGGAGGCTGGGCAGGCTGGCTACAGAAAGCCATTCCGTGCCACAAGGCCACAGGCCTCGTGGATCAGAAAACAAAGTGAGCGCTGACTGAAGGTCATTTAGCAATTGCAAAAGCTATATGAAGATAAGATTGAATTTTACCATTCAAATGACTCATATCGGTTTCATGATCTCGCACACGCGCAAGTTGAAACGGGGTAGATGAGCAATTATATATGAGCAAAAGATGTTCCTAATCTCCACTTGGAGCCGTACCTAAGAGTTGGGCCTCCATGTCCCCTTCGTCGGTCTCGCTCGCATTATCAAAGTTCCCTTGATATACTTCCCATATGGCGTCACCTTCCGGGCCATCCACCACATGTTCAAGGAGATCTTTGGCCATATCTACCGTATCTAAGTTATTCGTGACCATGTATACGCTTATCAGATTCACATACCAATGACCCTCTCCAGCGCAATCACCGTTGTCTTGTTCATCCAAGAAGGTGGATCGGCATAACTGAGTCTGCCAAAGGCCACGATGAAGACGTGATTGGCGCCGTTGAAATATCGAGGGGGAGCCTGCTGGAGTTTGAGGAGCAAGTCTAACGGAGGCTGGGTGGAGAAGACCAGATGATGGAGTAGACACAGTGTATCTCCCAGCGTCCTGATCACGCTACATCACGTATCACAACGTGATCAATTAGCTAGGGTGACTGATATACGTACCAATCGGCTAGACTGGGATTGTCCAAGTACTTCTTGTCGTCTTCCCATATTGGAGAGACCAGATTCGCGACATAGGAAATCAAAGCAGGAACCAGCACAGGGGATGCCGCCAGTATACTAGCACAATCAATGGTTGTAGCCAGCGTTCCGAAGAAGCATATCAGCAATGTGCGCGAGTAATCTGCCTGTGATTATTGATACAGCGGTTGCATAGCGACTAGTACAGAACTCACTTCGGGTCCTTCACGCTGATCCACGAGATATGTAGATGTTCTCTCGACGAGCGGGATTGTATTAGCTGGAGCATCCGGGGGGACAGTGAGTAAAACACGACGCAATGCGTCATCTACGTCACTCCTTGTTAGACGTAAAATATCAATATCAACGAACTAATGTGGACTCACGAGTAGCTAGAAGGGCGAGAAACCGGATGGTTTGGGACAACACGTCGTCTGGTTGAGAGCGATCTAGAAGAATTGGTATCATATCCGAATCCGAAGCAATGACGCTCATCCTAACCTGAAATTAGTAGGGGGACGCAGTATGACAAGATCTTAGCTACCTCGTTATACTTTCTTCGGAGACATTCCAACACAAAGCTTCCAGCAATCCAATAGTTCCGCGGGCCAAAAGCATTTTCTCTTCGACCTGAACAGCTGGCCGAAGATATTGCGTTATTATAGCCTTCAGATGAACCAGGATAGTAGGTCGATCGGGGTCTTCCGATTGTTGAGCTAATAGCACATTGGAGACGTTGGGTAAAGAGAAATCTAGCAATGTGATCAAGTCTAGCAAGGTAGCCAACGGAGGGATCTGAGAATCATCAATATTTAAGGGTGATAGGCCCTGAGATAGACTTACGAGGTTGGCCGACATGAGGACATATATCATGTCTATGAATGCGCATAGCACAGTTTCAAGCACCTCATGAAATGGCACAGAGGCTGTGTTGATTGCTAGCGAACGAAGAACAACGGCGCAGGCAGCGCGATATCGATCTACGGATTGATTGACTAGTGTCGGAGGGAAATTGACTCCCATCAGGACCTGCAAGGTCAGTATTGTTGACGAGATAGCCGTATGTGTAGACACGATCCTTGACAGCTAAACGCAGCTCTACATGAGCTGAGGAGAAGTCGATGGAGCATGTCCCTACCTCTGCACTCCAGTCAAAGGGTTTCACATCATCAAGCCCCTCTTCCACAACCAAAGGTACATCTGCGGCTACTTCGTCGGTCATAGGGACATCGAACAGCACCTCCGTCGGACGTGCACTATCGACATCCATGTCACCCGCTTCTGACCGCGCCGCACGAGCCAAGGGAAATGGTGGTATGACAGCGTCTGCTCGTTCCCATAAATCAAGCCCATCGCGCTCAACAACTCCATCACTATCATCCTTTAACAAGTCGATCGCTTTCTGCTTCCCCTTTCTATCGGACTGTATTTGTGTTTTTGCTACAGGCGAAGAGGGCATGAAAGCGTTCTCAAACCCGGGAAGCAGAGCAGACTGTCGCATTTTCTCTGGCGACTTCGGAGGTTGCAAACGTTTAGGCGTGAGTCGCTGAGTCGACGGCAAATGTCGCGGCCGTCGAGGCGTCTCAAAGATCTTATTGCTTGGGCCAGCGACATTGGAGCCATCACGATTCCAAGCACCTGCCTGAGATAACGGGTGTAGAGCGGTGGACGATGGCATGTTCGCGATCTTCTTGCTCCGTACAGAGCTGGGGGCCTTCAGACTCGGCATTGCAGAAAGTTGTTCTTGTTGCTGATGAGACCACGGGACGTGAACAGGCGTTGACTCTACGCGTCAACGAGAATAGATATACCTTGAAGATAAACTGCGTCTTTAGCGACTCCATTTCTTCCCTCATTGCCTGTTGGGTTTTACGTTGTTTCGCGTCTGCCTCCTCTTTCGCTGCTCGTAATTTAGACAGCTCAGCTGAATGATCGCGAGACGTCTATATAACTCAGTGAGGCCAGAGTTAGTCTGAATGAAATGACGGTAGTACGCACCTTTTCCATAGCCTTTCTGAGGACAGAAACCTCGCCTTCTTTTGTCAATCTCGCATCCACGGCTTGCTTTAGCTCAGCCTGCATTTGAGCCTGCTGTCTCTGAAGCTATAGAAATATGATACGAGGTTTTAGCTTTGACAGATACCAGGGGACGTGATCAAACCTCTTCAATCTGTTTTTGTAGCTCCCCCATGCCGATCTGTTGCTCGTGTTGTACATAGCGGGTGGGTGGTATGGGTGCAAGGGTCCGAGCACTTTGCGGTTTGGCGTGTGACGAAGACGCAACATTGCTTGCGTACGGCGCCCTTGCAGGCCGAGGGGAATACTCCTGTCGTACCGGCCTCTCCTGGCTGGTCACCGACTCTCCCAGTCTTCTGCGCACGTCCGAGTCGGGTGGGGTGGGACCAAGTCCGTAAGTCCCGTCTTCCTGAATTGAAATATCCGGCAAGTCCTCTACATTGTCCAGGCTAGCAGTTTGGTCAATTTGACGCGTCGCGACGCGGTGAGCGGTCTTCAGCCGTTTGGCAGGCGGAGGCGTAGGGGGAGTTGTAAGGTGAACTCCAGTGCTAGTATTAGAGAAGTAGGTTTTCTCCGCTTCATCGAGTGCTGCAAGCGTAGTGTCGTCCAATTCTACATCGTCAAAGAGAAAATCATCGGAATCAGCCATTCTGGACGTTGTCACAATGGAAGAGCCATCAATGCCAGTGGTTGGCGCTTATGGGTGCTACTAATACGATTGGCGTCTACTAGCAGTGTTCTGGGTTCACCCGTAATACGTGAAATACAATGCCAATGTCCTATACATACAAGTCCCAAATGTTGAATAAATAGATAAATAAAGAGTCCCTGGAATCTTGCTCTCAGGTTTACACGGAATTCAGTTGCCTGAACCAAGCCAGGCTTAAAGGTTTCGGAAGGGGTGGTGTGGGTGCCGTGTCGCGCAGCCACTTTGTGGGTTTGCTGATATCACGCAGTAGCCATGCATTTTTCTGAAACAATTTGAATGTTTGATCATCATGGTAGATATTGGGGACGCACCTTGATTTTCTCCAGGCTCGGCCTCCGCCGTGGGTCCTTCTGCAACATTTGGTCCAGTAGATGAATGACGGTATATCCATCATGTCCAGGATCTTTGGGTCGTCTCCCCCCGGTAGGAACTTGCTCGGCACCCATGGTTTCTCCCACATCCCAATCATGCGTACAAATCAGATTATACAGCACAAACTCCGAGTGATGGGCGTTGCAATTGGCTGATGGGGGCACGGAAAATGGTGTACGGCCAAAAAGCAGGCAATAGAACGTGACTGCAAGCGACCAAATGTCGATGGCCTTGGTGACAGGCGGCCGTTGGTTGGGGATTACATTCTCGTTTGTGAGCGAAGTCAAGGTATCGGACGAGGTGCCGGAAGCCTCCTTGTCAGGGTCAAAGAACCAAACGACTTCGGGAGCGAGGAACGCTGGTGTGCCTATTCGCTTGAGTAGGTCAGAGGCTGGGAACAGCAAAGGGTCATAGAGGGCTTTGAATTGATGATGCAGGCTGTTCCGATTTGGCACAGGCGCCATGCGTTCTGATGGGGAGAAGTGGGAAACACCAAAGTCGATGATCTTGATGGTACTGCGATCCGAAGACCACATGAGATTGGCCGGCTTGATATCTCGATGAATGATGCCATGGAAGTGCACTGTGGAAACATGCCAGTCAATGGGGCAATATTTGAGGTCAAGGGGAGGCCCCTACGATATTCCAGCCCAACAATGACATCTCTGATAATTCTCCGGGTCTGGTCGAGGAATAGGAGGGGCTTGTCGTTCTCGTCAGCCCACTGAACCTGACCACCAGATAGATGTTCCATCACTGAAATACTGATTAGCTCGGTGGAGAGGGAATACTGCATGGCGCCATACCTATGCATATTCGGTCTTTCGTTGGGTCGTCGATAACCTCGAATAACTCGACCAAATGAACGTGGCGGCAGACTTTCATGATAGCAATCTCTTTCCTGATGCTGTTCTCCGTGGTACCAAGTCTGTCAGAGGTACTGGACTGGTGACTTCGTCGCAACAGCCTGAGTCGGTCCCTGGGACCACTTCTCTTGACTATCTTCATGGCCTGAAGAAATGAGCATGGTAGTGGCTAGCCCTCAAAGAGCTTGAACAGACTCACCACAATCTCGTTTGTCCGCTCGTTAGTGCAGCAATATACTTCGCCGTGCTTCCCTGTTCCTATTTTCAAGCCTCTGCGATACTGGTTGATCCTTTTGCCCTGGTGCAGTTCGAGGCGCGTTGTCGTTTTGATTTCCCGAAGCTGGTCGGCTGGCTGAGCAGCAGCGCCGAAAAGACTAGAGAAACATGAAGGCATTAGGTCTTGGTTGTGAAAAAGACCAAAGAGGCAGCCGATTTTGAACACGAAGCTTCAGTTTAGCATTCGTGCTAAACGGGGCCTTGCGCCAAACCCATTGGGGAGCCTAATAACTCCGGCGACTCAAAATCCTGCCTACCAGGAAATTGCCGAATTTCATACTTCTTAGAAATCCAGGGCAAAAATAATGCTACAGGTTGGTGCGATGGTGGGGAAAGAGGGGTACATCAGGTTCGTCTACGAAGATGTATGATAGTCCAGACACTAGACCGTCGGGTTGGGAATCCTACGCTCAATGTTTGCTGTGAGTGAGAACTGCCGTTGCTCATCAGATCACAAAGCCCGTCCAAGTTAAATAAACGGTCTAACCCATCTGACCCGGAGAAACATCCATGATCACGCATGATATGCGACCTGCTGGGAGACATCGCAGATGGGCGGTCCCTGACCATCACTTGCACTGCAGTTGAAGAGGACCGGAAGAGAGTCGCCTCGTTGATTTGAATTGCATGAGTCGTGCTCCTGCTATCCGATGTAACGAATCTTGACAGCTCCATTACGCGACCGAGCTTCGAGTGCTAAACCGGGTGACTGTCTTAGAATCGCCCTCTTCTAACAGGTCCGAGAAACATACCTTTCATTTCCTCGGCTTCCTCTCGTTGTTCGTAATCCAACACAAGTTTCTTGAGCTGCTGCTGTTCAACTTTGTCTTGTAGCTGAGCAGAACGAGTATGGGTGGCAAGAGCCGACTCGGACGGTACAGCAATCTGGCGCGTCTACGAAGCCACCCTCGTAAGCAGTGGCAAAAGAGATAACGAAGCGACATACCTGTTTGCCGCCGCGTTTGGTGATCACCGTAAAATTCATGGTGTTCACCGCGTCCGCGCCTTCACCACTTTCCTCGTCGTTCTCGTCGCTTCGCTTCTTGCGCACAGTAGGAGGCATCACCGCAGAATCCCACAATGCCAAAGCGGTCTTCTTATCGACTCTACGAGCTTCGGCCGATGTGTCTGTAACCAGCTTGGCTAGCTCTTTGGCAAATTCTGCATCAGCCTCTTCCGTGGGACCAAGGTTCTCTTGAAGACTGTTGCTGTTCGAGAGTACTACTGGTTGTTCAGGTGAAGGTGCTCGCTCCTCGACCTAATGGACGGTAAACGTCAGTATCGGCCAGGCAACGTCGAGCAGAATACGAACTGGCGAGTCCGACGCTCCAGCTTCCTCTTCATCATCCTCCGAGGCCTCGGGTCGTTCGTCTTCCTCCTCTTCATCGCCACTGTCATCACCGCTACCAACTATGGCTGGTTAGAAAGGAAATTGTATATCACTTCTTCAGGTTTACTCACACCCTGCAGTTTGCAGTGCTGAGTTCAGCATTTCATCGACTGCGAGTGCAGCCTCTTCAAGATTCTTCGTGAGGGGTAACCTTGGTCGTACAGCCTTTTGCATTGTCCAATCAATGGAGTCATACGAAGGGAAACGACGAACCTCAAGGGAGTCGGATACCATGAAGTCAATGTCCATCGGCAAAGGATTTTTGCAGAAGATGTAGTACTGTATAGCTTCATCAGATTACCTCATCCGAAGCGAGCAACATTAGGCCTACCTGGAAAAATATCAAGAAGCTGTCCAATTTCTTCTTTTGACTGCCACGATCAAAGCACATCCCACACGTGTCCAACAACACGCAGACAAGGCGAACACGGAAGAAATCGTCTGGCATATCCAATTGGCATGGCTGACGGGGGATCGGTCTTCCCTCGGCTATGTTTCAACTCGTCAGAGGTGACGAGGGAATGGAAACACAAAGAACGTACGGTGACCGAATGTTGTCAAAGACCACAGAGTATCGAACACGATCCCGGAACTCATTAGCCGATAGATATATAGCTCCCCAAGATACTTCATTGTAGCAACCCTCCTCTGATTTGTGTTGTAGATGTTCTGCTCCATGCCCAACCGAATGTCTTCAAGCACTTGATCAACGATAGAGATTGCAAAATCAGCATGGTACCGTGTAAGGTCATACGTTAGCATAGCTAGAAGGCTGATATTCCCAAATTTGATCTTCCAGGGTTTCGTGAACACTTTGTGAAGCGTCTTGCGTATAGTCGCATCGTTCCAGTCGAGTTTGCGAATGAGCTTCAGTACCTTGTCGATCGTCCTCTTGGCTAAAACGTCGTAAATGAGATGCCGGATGAAACTCTCCATGGGAGTTCGCTCCTTCTCTTGCCGTGGAGCTCGCTCAGGCGGATTGCACTACATCATGTAAGAACTATGCCCAAAACTATGAGGCAACCCACTTGGTAATAAGCGTTTTCGAGCAACATTTGTTCACGTTGATCGAAGTGTTGCATGCTTTGCTTCCGTTTCATGAGTTCAAGCTACGCATGAATGCTAAGAAATAAGTTGGTCGAAATTGAGAAACTCATACCATGGCACTGAATCTTTCCCGCGTGTTGTCGCTTCGAAGCAGGAATCTTCCGCAACCCTCCAAAAGGAGGGCGATATTTCCAACATTCGTGCCACTGAAGTCGTCCAAGCATACTTTGAAGATATGCAATATAAGGTGAGGGGGTACCACGCCGAACTTCGTCAAATTGGCCAAAAAGGTGATGTTCTATATAATCCAAAAGTGAGACGGCCAACCACTAGCGAGGATGTACATGCCTCACCTTTAGCCGGACTTCGGAAAGCTCCTTGACGACGTTCTTCTTGCGCTGCAGGTATCTGAACTCCTCATCCAACTGAACGATTACGAAGATTAATCCTTAGGGTCGCTACGCAATGAAAATACTTACCACAGCTATTATTTCGGTCCCTATGTCTGGCATATATTTGTTAAGCGTAGCCACCAGTCGGGAGTAATGAGGGAGGAGATCCGTCCGATTTTTCGGGACCTGTGACAAGAACTAAAGGATTCGTTAACGGAAGGCTTGGACGTCTGTTAACATCTGATGTCGTACCCGTACTAATCTCTTCCTGGCAGCCTTGGAATTGAGAAAAGCAAAGTCGATAGCAGCTTGGTCGATCAAAGCACGGTTTGTCGTGTCCGGAAGACGCGCGAGAAGGGCTGTAAGAAGCTGAGAGGGACCTTGGGGTGCAAGCTGGGGAGAAAGAGGGGGAGTTCCACCTTTGGGAGTGCCCGGAGTAGGTGTTGGAGCTCTGAGCAAAAGTGAGCAAGTCAAGAACCAAACTGATGATTATCTTGGGGTGCACGTACTCGTCTTCTTCGACATCGTTCTTGGTGACTTCCTCCTTGTGAGCAGACCCATCGGCGACGGACAGCTTAGCTAGTTCTTCCTCAAGTTTACGAACCTCCTCCTTTTCTCGTTCCTGTTCCTCTGCAATCTGTTCCGTTGTAGATGTCTCAGCGGTAGCCTCGCTTTCATCGATCCCAAGAACGCTCTTCGGAACGAAATCTTTGAGGTCCTGAATATCCTCAAAGAACCGACGCTCCTCTTCGTCTTCCCATTTGCCTCCAGTGACAACGATATCATCTGTATCCTCTAGCGAACTCCCGTTATTGACTCCAATTTGTATGGACTCCGATTTCTGGCTCGTAGTGGGTAGGGTAGGCATCGGTAGATACAGAAGCTCCGACAGACTAGAAATACGTTCAACTCTAGACGAGTCGTCACGATGGCGTACTCACGTCTGGCAGTTAGCGAGCAACTTTTCATATCCCTTTGTCATCTTCTCGTATGCTTGTTGACGATCTTCGAATATTTCACCGGATCGTATATATGCTTCGTGATTGCGCCTATCCTGTTCTTGAAGCCGCTAGCAAAAGGCTGGAGTAAGTGAGGTGAGGCCGGGTCAGAGGGCCGGCAGACCTTGTGTTCAACCATCAGTTTCTTACAAACCGAGTCGAAATACCCCTCGCACATCCGCTTGAAGCGATCGCGAATCTCCTTCTCCACGAGCTCTTCCTCTCCGGAAGTCAACGGAGGAAAGTTACCAGCCTCGCTGTTCCCATTGGTCACAGAAGACGATAAGCTACCGGGCTCTGCTAAGTTTGATATTTGCTTGGATGCAACTTGCGGTGATATGCCTAAGAAGGGGCGTGCGTATGATTTGAGGAAGGTCGAAAGCAGAGGTAGAGACGATAAACTGGGATCATTGGATAGCTGGATATATGTTCACCGATGATTCTCGTGTATAAGCGCATACTTACTAGGTCCTTAATCGCCTTCATTATCCATTCGCCGCCACTCTTGTCGGGAGCATCCTTGATTATCCCTACCAGGGCCAACTCCGAGCAGACTCGGAGCAACGGACGTTGACGAACTACGCGCGCAGTATCTTCCTTCTCCCGTTGTTCGGGCGCAAGAGAGGCGAGAGAGGCCCTAGACGGTGCACTGAGTGCTGTGCCGAGCAACGGGACAAAATTCTGGGTAAATGCGACAGGAAACCTTCTGTGGAGTGCGCATATAACCTATAGATGTCTGACATGTGCACCTTCAGCAGCTAGGCTAGTAACTCACTTCAACAGCGCCCCAGATGTCTTTCTCCGTCTTGCATCTTGATATCCCTTCTAACACGGCTCCAGTGATTTCGTCCACGTACTTCTCCAAAGACAGCGAGTCGATGTCCTTGAGAATCTGGTCACGATTCTCCGCTGCCATCGACAGCCGCATCCTCTTTATAAGCGCAGTGTGACGCTTCAGTGATGAGTCGAGCTTGGAGGATTCTGTCCCATCGTTAAAGGATGTGCGGCCACTTGCGCGTTCTATATGTATGCTGACCTTTCGCTTCAGGAACCTTATTTAATTCCTTCAATTTTGCTCGTTTCTGATACTTGGACCGTTCTTCGTCGCTCTTGATATTCTGAGATTCATTTGGTTGAGCCTGTTCCATACGATTTTGATCTAAGCGTTCGCGGAGGAGTATACAGCCTTTGCTAATCAGCGCTCTGTGGCACGATGTGGTAAGTTGGCAAGTTTGGAACCCTGATCGAGCCGGAGACACTGATCGGTGGTCCGTGTGAACTTCGAGGTCTCAGAAAGGTACCGGGCGCTTAATGAGATCATCCCATCTGCTTTGCTGGTCTCGTGCAAGTGCCACCTTGAAGTTACTACATTGAACACGTTCCAACCATCACCATCTCAGCCTCTGCCGTCTGATCTTCACCATTATTTTTGATTAACATGGCCATGAAAGCTGTAAGTCACTGGATTGTGTACTGGTCGCAGGAGCTTATGGAAATGTATTTAGATCGTAAAATGTGTGTATTCGTTGGCCCTCCGAAACAAAGTAGAACACTCATTATTATCGTGCAGCCGTCATTTCTGGCGACTCTCTACTTCTTCGTGGCCGCCCAGGACCGCAAGGTCAGCCTCCAAAAGAAAGGTATGCAAGATTTGGTTCTCCAGGTCATTTGTTAATATCCTCGCGACAGAGTACTTCATTTGGCAGACGTATCAGCTCCACGAATGGGGTCATCAACGAGGGAAGATGAGGTACGCCCACCGTTCCTATTGGCTTGCTATGCTGCTCATATTCTCAGCCTTGGGCATTTGAAGCTCGTGAATTCATGAGAGTTCACGCCGTTGGCAAGGAGGTCACCTTCACGTCTATACACTCTTTACCCTCGAATGATGACGTCCCTCGAGACCTTGGGTCCGCAGAGATTGGAGGCGTCGACTTGTCCACCGAACTGCTGAAGAATGGCTGGGCTAAGATCAAGGAATCCAAAAGGGATCCAACGGAAGAAGATCTAAAGAAGAAAGAAATCGAAAACGAAGCTAAAGCCGCGGGTAAGGGGGTATGGAACCCCCATGGCCCACAAGTACGTTATGTTCCGCCCTCCATTTCCTCACTGACCCCGGACGATCAGGCCCGCGCCGTGCACCATTCTATGCCGGAAGACTCACAAGGCTTTCTGACTGAATGGAAAGGCAAATCGATTGATGGTATTGTTGAACATGTTCGTGATGGTACAAACATGCGTGTTCGTCTTCTCATGCCAGATGGAGAGCACCAAATTGTCAACATCGCACTAGCAGGTGTACGTAGCCCCCGTACATCAAGCAAGCAGGGTGAACCTTCTGAGCAATGGAGCGAGGAGGTGAGTCAATACCATCGTCCAGAGTCGTTAACGTCTGATCCATCATCCATTGTCCAGGCTAAATTCTTCACTGAATCACGCCTTCTGCATCGTGCAGTCCGTGTTCAATTACTTGGACTACCTAATCCGACAGCCGCAGCTATCGGGTCTAATACAACAGGTCCCACGCCAGCTAGCTCTTTCATCGGAATAGGTACGTAACGAATCGAATATGTCATGAGCCTAATAATCATGCTCAACTCCAGTACTTCATCCTGCCGGCAATGTTGCTGAACATCTGGTCAGCGGAGGCTTAGCTCGAGTAGTCGACTGGCACGCCGGCATCCTTGCGAGCTACGGTGGCATGGAACGACTGCGTTCTGCAGAGAAGTCTGCGAAGGAGAAGCGTCTGCATTTGTACGCTAACGCTACCGCGCCGACCACTGCCTCGAACAATGTCACCACCGTCAACGGCCAAGCACGAGCATTCGATGCTACTGTAGTCCGCATATGGAGTGGCGACCAGGTCTCTGTTGTGGATGCCTCCAATAAGGAACGCCGCCTGCAACTGAGTTCGACACGTGGTCCTAAGTTAGTTCCGGTACTCTGGCAAATATTACTCTGTGTTGACGAATTACCGTCCTATAGGTTGGCCGACCCTAAACAAGCATCGTATGCGATCGAAGCGAGGGAGTTCCTTCGCAAAAAGTTGATTGGCAAGCATGTCAAAGTTCACGTCGACTTCGTACGGCCTCGCGAGGGGGAGTATGAAGAACGCGAATGTGTAACTATTCGATACGGCGGGCATAACGCGTTAGTGAATGTCCACGCCATATCTTCCATCGCTAACATATGTTTCCGTTTAGAAATATTGCTGAACAATTAATAGAGAAGGGTCTTGCCACCGTCGTTCGCCACCGACGTGATGATGAAGACCGATCACCAGACTTTGATAAGTTGATGGCTGCTGAACAAGCGTGAGTTTTCGGACGCGTTTCTGCCAAAACCCCTGCTCAGAGACCCAACAGAGCTGTAGCGGACGCACGCGGTCTGCACTCTGGGAAGGACATTCCAGCGCCGAAACAACCATTAAATATTTCCGAGGTAATAACCATCCCGTCTACTATATAATTGTCTCTGAATACTGCGTAGACGGCGACCCGTGCCAACCAATTCCTCAACGGTTTCAAGCGACTTGGGAGAATACCAGCCGTTGTAGAATACGTCGCCGCTGGCTCACGATTCAAGTCGGTTTCCCTTTGATATATTCACCTCTGTTCTGTCATTGAATCCTCGTTCCATAGGATATTCCTGCCAAAGGACAACCAAACTCTTACCCTTGTTCTTGGTGGTAAGTGCGCTTCTATGGTTGCCGCTACAATTGAATCCATGCAGTTTCACAGGAATTCGCGCTCCTCGCACTGCTCGAAACCCATCCGAAAAGAGCGAGCCCTTTGGAACAGAAGCATTAGACTTTGCCACGCGTCGGTACATGCAACGCGACGCCGAGTTCGAAGTCGACACGGTAGACAAGTCAGGCGGGTTCATCGGTGCACTCTACCTCAATAAGACGGAGAACGCTGCGATTGCCCTTGTCAAAGCCGGCTTAGCTAGTGTCCACGATTATTCAGCCGAAGGACTCTCTTGGTCGAAGCAATTGTACGATGCAGAGGTGAGTATTTCCTGCGCGTCGTAATATACCCTAATGACAATGAGACCTGCAGAGCGAAGCCAAAGAAGCGAAGATAGGCGTGAGTAAAACATATGTTCGTCTCGCGCCAAAATACTTATTTCACGTAGATATGGCAATCGTACGATGCGGAGGCAGAGAAGAAAGCGTCTGAGGCCGAAGCCGTCGCCGATACTAGTGCAGCGCCACTAAAACCAGAATATCTGGATATTATCATCAGCGACGTACGCACTCACAACGGGTTCGGTTTCTCCGTGCAGATTCTCAACACTGAAGGTTAGTCAATGCTTGAATCCTCCCGTGATGCAACTCACCCGTTGCCGCCAGGCATCGCTTCACTTGAGCAACTAATGCGGGACTTCTCCCTCTATCATCGAACGGTAGCTGCACCTGCAAACTTTATTCCAAAAGGCGGTGATCTAGTATCAGCCAAATTCTCTGACGGTGCTTGGTATCGTGCCAAAATCCGACGCTCATCTCCCCTGAAAAAAGAAGCTGAGGTCACTTTCATCGATTACGGAAACCAGGACACTGTCTCCTTCGCCAACATACGACCACTGGAATCCAAATTCCGCTCTTTACCAGGCCAAGCACACGAGGCACGTCTAAGGTATCTAAGGGTCTTGTGTGTTATTACGCTACGCTGACTTGATGATGACCACTTTGTCAGCTTCATCAAGTTGGTTGGCCCAGAAAGCGAATATCATACAGAGGCTATCGAACGATTCCGGGCCCTATGCGAAGGGCGGAAATTAGTCGCCAACGTAGACCACAAAGAGGGGGCCTTGCTACACCTACGCCTGATAGATCCCACCGACCCCAACGCCGCCAACGATCCGCTTGCTTGCATCAACGCCGACCTACTCCGCGAAGGCCTTGCTACGATCGACCGCAAGAACTGCAAGTACACGGCGGCCTATCCGCAGGTCGTCAAGTCGTTGCAGCAAGCTGTGAATCTGGCTAAGCGAGAGCGGCTCGGCATCTTCGAATACGGTGATGTCGAAGAGGATGATGATTAAACGAGCTCATTCATCACCCTCGATATTTACTTGCTATATATAGCTTCGCAATCGAAAGATATTCGCGTCATGATTCGGTTTCAAATAGCCGTTGGAGTTCTGCCAAAGTGGCAATAGTATCAATGTTCGTCAATTCTACTCCCCGGTCGACGTTATTGTCGTACCCGGGTCTACGAAGCAGCAGTGCTCGCATTCCAACTCTTTTCGGTCCATGGTAATCGCTGAGGTATTGATGAGTAAAGGGTCCCTGGAGGAAGGCAAAACATACTTTTCGAGTTCATCGCCGATATGAAGGCACTCGGACAACTCGAGGGGCTGGTCTTCAAACCTGCTCATTCTCGCTATGGCTCTTGTGAACATTTCGGCGTTCGGCTTCTCTGTTTTCATTTCCGCGCTCAAGCCCGTCCAATCGACGTAGCGCTTAATACCAAGTGCGTCGATGACCTGGTCTACACAGAGCCAGGTCAGAGGGGCATACAATTATTCAACGGGGAGGGGTCCTTACGTATCCTAGAATCCGTATTGCTCAGGATTGCAATCTTGAGTTTCCTGTCCTCCTTGAGATACCGCACTAAGCACAGGTATTAGACGTGTAGAAGTAAGAGTCCACGAAACCCTCACAAGTAGATACCGCGTCCCCGAACGCGACATAGCCGCCACTGGAACTAAACTTTCGAAGGAGACTGGGGACAATCTTTGGCAGAGAGTTTTCCACTTCTGAACCATGACTAAATTTCATTGCCATGTCCACAATTAGTAGGACGCTGCTCACTGTCGGGGTCTCCGCCTGCTCCCAGAGCCGTCCTCTTTATGACTTCTCCCCACCAAGCATTGTTACCTCCCTTGTACGAGGCCCTTTCTTTTTGAACCGCTCTCAAGGCTAAGGTACGGTCAGTCAAGTCCCCAGGCCAGTTTGGCACGCACCAATTTGAAACGAATCTTTAATGCGGTCGTGGTCAAGAGGCCCAAGAAGAGGTTCAAACGCCCGTGCATATAAGACGTGCACTGGTGCTTGTGGTGCAATAAGGGTGTGAAGCAAGTCAAAAGTTACGAGGCGGACGCCCACCGTTTTGGTGGTTCCTAACATAGGTACTACGAAACGTGCCGTCTTCCGTCACGCTCACGTGCGCGCCGACCTTGCCTGTAAAGGAAACTATTGGCGCGGCCCGCCAACAGGTATTTCCATATTAGGTTATTTCTTCCTTCCCACTACAACCACTAGGTGATGGTCTCCCTCCTCGTCCTGACGCTCGCTGCGGGGTTATCAGCTCATGCCAAAGGAGATCCCTGTGCCGAAATATCAGGGAAGAAATGGGTGTCCCCAAGAGAAGTGCGCGCATGTTTTACGTCTTTCCCTGTCGAACCGCTCGTCAAGGCAAACGTACGTATCCTCGAACTCTGCGCGGAATACACGCTCAGGATCATGTAGATTATTGAAGTGCTGAACAAGACTCTCGCGTTCCACACGTCTGTGAACTATCAGATCCAAGCACCTGAGCCGTTCGCCCGCGACGTCCATGAAGATCTCCACACAGACTTGGCTAGAATTAACAACCAGAACTATTCATCAGACTTTGAGCTCCATGTTGACCTCTTCCGTACCTTCAAACGAGTCAATGACGGACACTGCGCCTATATCAATTACTGCTATGACGGTAATTTATCCATCGTGTCGCTGTTGGAGGAAAGTTCTGACTATGTTACGGAAAAGCGTCGTATATAACGTACCTGCCAACGCCCTTGGTGTTGCTGACTAACATTGATGGGTCTCAGAGCGTCCACATAGCTCCAGAAGCTTTCAATGTCTCCTCCACCGAATTCGGCAGCGAAGTCGAGTTCTGGCAACAGGCCTTGCCCAGGCAGCTCAAGGGAAAGCTGTCTTCCGTGCGTATCCACAGGCAAACATGACATCTACGTCTCATTTCCTGTGTAGTTGTCTGGTGCCCGAGTTCTGCTCATCGACGGGAACGACCCATTCTCTGCTGTCAACGCCAATGCACTGACTACCGGGAGTTATCAGTCATTCGGTACCCGACAGAACTCGTTAGTAAACTGTACTTTGGCTGTTACATTGTCTAACACAACCCATAGATTCTTCTCGAGCTATTCCCGCACTACTGCAGGCTGGAACTATACGATGGGCAACTTTGCTCAAAGGACGTGGCCAGATGCCGACAATGTCACACTCACTTTGCAGCTGGAGAACTCTACAGAAGCGCAAACCATCTTGGTACATCTCCTCATAAAACAGGGTGGAGGTCGGTAGTGACAGATGTTTTATAGCTGCCATACAGATCCCGGATCTCGGCATCGACAAACCATTTCACGAACTCAAGCACATACCGCGGGCGCAATTGCGTAGCCGTCAAACGGACGAACGGATACGACGAATACGCAGAGGATGAAGCCGACTTCGTTTCCGACGAGCCCAGCCCAATCGCGCGCGCTCAGCAACAACCCTTGCTAGATCGCGTAGATGCAAGGAAACATCACCTCGATGTTCTGCTGGATAGCATGCCGTTGTCTGACGTCGCCTTGCCGACAGGGCTTAGGCCGCCTTTGGCTGCGGTCAACGGCAGCAGCGGCGTTTCACAATTCTACATGATGAAAGACAATTCTACTGGGGTGCTCGTCTTAGGCAGCTTTTCGTCTTCTAGTTTTTCTGGCCTGCAGAAAAGCTTGCTTCGAGGCCTTCTAGAACTGAGAGGGGCCGGTGCTTCACGGCTGATCGTAGATGTGGTAAGTAAGTTACCTCCTGAGTACTATACAGATCTAATCGGGTGAATCAGACGAACAACGGAGGTGGTGAGCCAATGAGTGAGATCTCAGTAACTTTATGTCTACTAATCGTCGCCAGGCTACATTTGTATTGCGCACGTAAGTGCCTTCGCTCACCGTTTTATTGCCTAGGCTGAGACTTGATATCAAGTGGCTTCACCGAATCGTCAGTCCAACTGCCTCCGTCAGGCTGCTTATTTCCATTTACTATTCCACTTCCACGACTACAGATCATCGGACCCAAGCCCACGACAGAGCCACAAGCTGGCCTGGACTCGACCGCCAGAGCCGGCCCGCTGGCGCGTCGGATTGTCAAGGAAATCAAAAACGGTGCCGATCCTCGGGAAAAGCTCTTGTATAATCCGGCGCAATGGACTAACGGGACACATCACCGCTTCAAGAAGCGGGCAAACTGGATGTCAAAAGCGGAGCACCATGTTATCAACGGACATGAGGATAGCTTCAGTCAGAGGTGCGTACTTTGGGCGAGACTGTCTCCTTTGATAGGATCTATTTCTTCTGGATAGGTTAGGCCAAGAATGCCAGCCATTTGATGTTCCTCCACCTAACGAAGCCCTTTTCCATTCCAAAGATGTCGTGATAGTCTCAAATGGAAGGTTCGTCGTTCTTCCTTCTCATTACATGGTATATGACTGAGGTCCGCATTTACACCGCAGATGTGCTAGTTCCTGTTCCCTCTTCAGTGTGAGCCCCTGCCGTTAAACTTTGCAGCTGACGCAAATCTCATCTCGGCATGTTGGAATCATTGATGTAGATCACGATGTCTAAATTAGAAGGCGTCAGGACCGTGGTTGTTGGTGGGAAACGCGATGTACCTCAGCAGTACTGCGGCACTGTGGGAGGACAATCCACCGACTTTTCTACTATTGACACGGAGATCAAGACCGCGAAGCTGAAGAACCATCCCCTTGCTCCTCCGGATTTGTGAGTTCCCGTTCCACTAGAATACTAGGCACCAATGAAGCGCGATCACCGGCTGTTCTTGCTAACGCGTTCCAATGTAGCCTTACGAACAGTGTGCAAGGTATTACTTGGAGGCTCGGCTTTGGCATTGACGACCCGACTCAACCAGAAGGTTCGTGAGCTACAGACTTTCGTGTCGCGTAGTCGAACACTCAAAACTATAATAATAGAATGGCAAGACCATGCGGCGGACTTCAATTTACCGCTCACAAAGGAGACGTGAGTCGTACGGGTCCTCATTCACGCCTTGTCACTGATGCAGTGACATGATAGTGTTAATAACCCTGTTGCAATATGGAAGGAGGTCATCCATACTGCGTGGCCTGAACCCTCGTTCTTCGTCCAAGGACTCTAGTCCTGAGGACATTTAGCAGACCCATCTTATTCGACATCCCTTAAGAAGTCCTTGTATATCATCTATCCATGAGCCAATACACTGGGGTCTGACGCGTTCTTCTTCGGCGGCGTGTACTCGCGTCGATGCCAAATTCTTTGGAGTACACAGAGAGGCTCGCATCGATCACGCGAGCTCGGGTAGCCAAGGCCTCCACTGCCCGAGCTTCGTATTGGCTTTAATCGCATTTGTTGGCCTTCGCGTATATAGGTATGTACATGATTTAAGGGGTCGCCAGGCGCCTGGTACGTCGGGATACGTATCCTTACTGGGGAAACGACCCCTTCGGTGTTCTGTGTGAATCTCCCGCTGATAGGACGTCGGACCCATCTCCCGCTCGGGCGACATCTGCACCGCAGGGTTCCCATTGCCCCGAACCCCATTGCCCCGAACCCCCCATTATCGCCGCTGAGAAGGCTCGGGAGCGGAATTCAGAGCTTAATAGAGAGCAGCAATTTAACAACAGTCTTTCTTGAATGCTGGCATTATTCAGAAGGCGAGCTAAGCTGACAAGGTGGAGTCCTCACGTATAGTTGCCGGACGAATGCCGACATATAAAACACTTAAACTTGTTCCCACCGCCTTGACTAACGTATGCGTAGCGGGCGAGCAACGATGGGTATGGAACAATCATGAACGACACCCTAATTCCATTCTGCTCTGTTCAGTAAACAGAACGACTACTGTACAAGAGATCAGTTAGGTATAAGAACACTAATATATATACCAGAGTAGAGGAAATCAGAGGTAAGCGAGTAATAGTGGCCCCGCACTTATTGGCGGCAAGAGAATGATTCCGTGAAGAGTCTTTATGGCTTGTCCGCATCGATCCACTTAGCGATGGCCTGGAGCGTTTCGGTGCGTTCAGGTTCGTGCCAAGGGAAAACAAGATAATCGTGAATGCCATCGGGGGCCTCAAAATACGATACCTTGCCTTCGCCTGCCGTGATCCCATCGCCGACGCCTAGCTCGCCGACCATCCGGTCAATGAACGTTTTGATCTGATCGTAGAGGGTCTCCGCCCCACCAACAACGACAAAAGTCCTTGGGAAGCCCGTGAACAAGGAAGTGCCCTTTGGATTGTCTGTATTAAAGATAGCGGGGTTCTTCGCCGCCGGCGAGATGTATCGGTTCGTCTCTACAGCACGGAAACCATGAGGACCAATGAAAGCCTTTTTGGAGTGTTCGACGCCGGGTGATAAGGGGAGGATCTCAGCGTAATCCGAGGAATTGTGGCGGCTCGATGAGTCGGTTGCGGGGTTCTCGTCGTGTGAGTTGGATAGGTCAACCCAAGGGGAGAGGAGCAATAGTGCACCGGGGGGCGCTGGTAACTGGACAGTGGTGTTATCGTGTTGTTCGATGAGATAACGCGTGAGGGCGTGGGCGAGGTTACCCCCCGCAGAATCGCCTTCAAAGATGATGTCAGCGGGGTTGAAGCCGACTTCGTTCACGAGATAATTGTAGCCCGCCAATGCGTCAAGCAGGGCGGCGGGGAACGGCCCGAACTCAGACAGACGGTATTCAATTGCGAAGACCCTGTGCACGGAGTCGGTATGCTTCAAAATCCCTCTGGCAATGGCGGCAATGAGATCTGTGGGATGCGCCGACTGGTGCGAGTACGCGCCGCCGTGCATCGAGTAGATGACTTTTTCACCCGGCATGGGCGACTCGCCGACAGGAATAGTGGAATCTTGCTTGTGGGTCCAATACCCCGGAATCTTAACTGGAGTGACGTCCGCTGTCTTGGCCCATTCGGAAAGAGGCGAAGTGATCAACTGGGGTACGGGTTCGACCCAAATTCCATTCACGCCTCTGCCTGGGGTAATTCCCAGGTAATTGGGAGTGGTCACGAAGGGACCAGTCCTAAAGGAAAGCGAGGGTCAGAATTTCGCTCTTTCGGAGAACGAGTATAAAGGACCTCAGGGGTAGGTCCATGAATAATTTGACGAGTCGGACCATGATAACGCGCTTAATATCCCAGGATCGTCGGGGGCGCCATGACCTGCACAAGACGTTCAAATCATGGAAAACGGTCTCCGTAAGACTCTTACCTTGGTATCGAGAGAAGCGTCCACACAGGAATTCGTACGGCGAGCGTGAAGAGGACCTCGATTGCGAGATACAATCCTTTGAATGGCTGGTAGCGAAGAATGCGGGGCATGGTGGTCGAATGAGAAGCTGTGGATTGGTTGCATGCAGCATATGAGGACACATATACAACTTGTAGCCCGGTTATTTCATTCCCAGCTTCCGGATCAGAAACGGATCAGGTGGTCTATTTGCTAGTCAAGTCTATTTGCTAGTCAACGAAAACATGGTATGGAATGTACGAGACAGCCAGCGAAGGGGGGAGGCCACTTGTAGCCTCTCCGACGGGGAATATCATGATATTTCCAGCGCGCCAGCAGCACCTTTCAGGTTTTTGTTGCTGGCATCAGCGACGTCTTCTACCTTCGACCCGAGATTCAGCACCGTCCATCTCAGAACTCTTGGGTCACGTCGCATTATCCCATTCAGCGACCGCAGAGTCTGAGGAGACGTATCGAAGTGCATGGTCCAGTAACTGTACGCGTTTAGTGTTCTCGTAACATAGGAAAGGTCCATCGGAAAGAACGTACTCTCCTCGGTCCTGCTTTACCCCATGCCTAGACATTCTCTGCGGCAGTATTTGAGTGCCCCAGTAGTTCAGATTTCTGACCGCGCCGCCAGCGTTCATGACATGCATGGCCGACTGTCGAACGAGTTCGCGGATGTGTTGCTGCCCCGCTGTCAGTGTTGCAAGGAAAAAGAGAGCCTATACATCGACTCACGTATTCCTTGAAATGGGTGGTGATACACAGCATCTGATACGACGGCATGTCTGGCTCGTCTTCTCGGGATGGAATTTGGGCGGAGCAGAGTTTGCGGTCGTGAGAGGACCATCATGGGCGTGGGAACATGGAGTTGCAGAAGCACCCTGAGCGCCTGATCTTTCCCTCCTGCTTCGAACTACACATCTTCCAAACATTGCTCAATTTCTCATCAACGCCAGGATTCTCCGTTTCTCCTCCAAAGGAAGACGCGGACATGAAAGCTCACATTCCAGGGACTCAAAGCCTTCCCAGCAGTTAATGCAGAACACATATGAGGTAAGTGCCGGGGCCGATTGATAGCAAGGCCTCTTCTAATTCGAGCAGCAGGTTTTGTTCCTTGAAAGCTTCTTTTTAGCTTCTTGGCTCCAGAAAACGTATAGGCCGTAGCAACGAGCCGCCACAAGGAGTCAAGATTCGCAAATCTCGCTCAGTGGGCCACCTCCATCTTCTTTTCTGATGCCGGTACGTCAAATCGGACACCTTATTTACCCATCACACCTCCCACTTTCATCTTTCATCTTCCCCCAACGTCGTCTGTCACGTCGCCTGTAGTTCTCATCATGTCGTCTCAAGATCAAGGATCCCATGCTTCTACGCATTCTCTTCAGGCGCGTATATCTGAGAGGCCACAGTTTCGACACTATCCACAACGCTCGTCTTTGCCTAATCTTTGGTGAGTTTTCGTAATTGTCGCTCCTTAGACTACCACTGAACAAGGGACGAAGGTTGCCGCCCCATTCTGGACCGATCCCACAGCGCCTAATGAGTATCGTTCCTCGAGACAATCTCCACCAACCAGCCACGCCCCCGCACCTGGTCACCAGATTCGACCTCCCAGACCTTCCACAAGAGCTACCAACCACCGCGGCGACTGAGAAACCACTCAACGGTCTATCAGCGCGACACCACCAAAGCGAACAAGGACGGTATAACGCTATGCCAAGTCCGCCGCTGACCCCATCGTCGTCCATACGTACTTCGGGAAGTATCGAGACCAGCGCCACGTCTCACCATCCAACCGACTTCGACAGTGAATTGTTTCCTACAGCTGAAGGCGATAATTTATCCAGGTTTCTAATGGCACGTAGTTTTTTTACGCTAATGGCTGGCCCCCACGTTCCTAATTCCCCCGCGTGCTTATTCTCACCGTACAGGTGAAAAATGTCTCCCCCCGCGCATCCTCAGCGCAACTTGAAAGCTCTTTTCTCAATGCCATTCGCAAACTCAATTCTTCGACTAATTCTCGTTCCCGCCCAGCAATCAAATCTTTTTCACAAAAGCACCAAGCACAAGGAATTGTACTCCTCATTTTCTTCGATACTCGCATCGCGAGTCAAGCACGAGACATTTTTTCGCAACCAGGGACTTTTTCTTCGGATATCGTAGCCGACACGACAGATGCACTTTCCTGCACCTTGACCTCTCTGGAGGTCATTTTGGAGGTACGCGATGAGTAGGGCGCCTTCAATAACCGAGTTTGACAGTATCACGTTAGTTGACTGGCTATTCTGACCACCTTGCCTACATGCAAAGCGCGTTCCATTTACACGTCAGCGAAACCGGAAAATCGGACGGCCAACTTGACAATCAGAACTCTTCCCTAACTCTTGGCTCAGAACAAGGCGGCTATGATATTTCTCTAGTAAAGCGTTTTCTGGGCTCTTTCGGTCCCTTGAGGTTGTTTGCACCCGCACAAGAGACGTCAGCCGCCGAGAATGTGAGTGCCAGGTTCCCGCTTCTTTGTTGAACAACAAATGTAATGAATGTCGTAGGCGCAGGATTGTTCACACTTCATAGTAGACTACTACGACCTTCGTGATGCTAAGTCGGCATTTGTGTCACTCGATGAGCGAGTGTTGTATGGCATGCAGCTTCGCGTTTCTGGCGTTGACATCCTCCCCCCTCCACCGTCGCACCTCGCGCCTCCGCCTCTTAACGCGACCTCTGGGCTCGATACTACCACTAGGGTCCCGTTCCCAGCTATAGATACTTCGCACCGACATACCCAATCCGACATTCATGAAGCCGGTCAATCCGTTCAAAATCGCGAGCGCCTCTTGACCATGGGGCCGCACGACAGCACAGTTCGCCCCAGGAGTCTGAGCGTCGACACCGTCGAGTCGCCTCTAACTACGACCCCTCCGACTGACACCTCCTTGGCTGCAAGCCCAGGGGGTACAGGACCAATGTATCTGTATTCTTCATCGACATCTATCCAAGTCTACGCACATCCCACCGAAGGTCAATATCCATACCCCTCGCCAGCCCCTGCTGCTCCATTTGACATCCCGACACCGTTCTACGCTCCGGCGAATCCAGTCCCCTCAAACCACCCTTACCAACACCCCCAGCAATTCGTCTTCCCCTACGGAAATGCATTCCCGCAAGAAGGGGGTGTCGTCCGAGCGTCGGATGGTACCTTGCACACCGTTATGAGAGGGAGTGGGTCACCCATGCACGTCCTGATTCCATTTGGGCCTTCCAATCCCGTCAATACAGGAGAGCGTTGGTCAGAGAGCCCTCCGTCTCGTCGGGGCTCAGCCGACCGAAACACCCATCAAACTCAGCACCAAGGGAGAGGGGTGCAAGCCAGGCGCCACGACGGCCCTACCAGAACATCTACTCCCGCGGAAATCATGGGCAGCCACTCCGCTCACTCGTCTTCTCCTCAACCTCAACAACATGGGCATCCCCGCCCGGCTCCGAAAAACAACGCTTTGGATATTCCGACAATCGAAGCTGGCTTAGACACAAGGACTACAGTAATGATCCGAAATATCCCCAACAAGATGACGAACGACGATCTAATCGCCTATATCGATTCCGTCTGCCCTCGCCGCATCGATTTCCTCTATCTTAGGATGGATTTCTCAAACGGTAAGATTGATAGGATTTCTGCATGACCAGTATTTGACTGTCCTATGCTTGCAGGATGCAACGTTGGATACGCATTCGTGAACTTTATCGCTGTCGAAGATCTAATGACGTTTGCAAAGGCCAGACTGGGACAAAAGTGGTGAGTTATATTCCTTGCCTCGTGCCCGCATCGAGTCAAACACAACATCCATAGGAACATGTTTTCGAGTGAGAAGATCTTGGAAATGAGCTATGCAGATTACCAGTAAGTCACTTTGGTTTGTTGGCCCGTACATTGGCTGATCAAACTATAGAGGGAAAGAATCGCAAGTTGAGAAGTTCAAGAATTCGTCGATCATGGACGAAAGGGAGGAGTGGAGGCCCAAGATATTCCGCTCTGAGCCAGGGCCTGACCAAGGCCTTCCCGAGCCCTTCCCTGCCCCTACCCACTTGCGCAGGAAGCAGATCAGCTCCCACAACCGCGCTGGGCTTTTCCCGTCCAATCACTCATCGCAGGACTCTCCGAGTAGCCGACGGGGAATGCGGGCATTCGGACATCGGGGCTTCCACCGGTAGTTTCCCGTTCACTATTCGCCACATTACCTTACCCTTGCGATCGGACCTTGCTGCCTCTGAATTCTGCATCCTTCATTGCATAGTTTCCTATTTGTATACCTCACAATATCGCTTGCTAATTCGATTCTTCGTCTGTCGACAACCATCAGGTGTATATCTCCGCTTGCTCCAAGTTTCAAGGGCGTTTGAAAGGAACAATTCCACGCTCCTTGGACTTACTCTGCGCCCATCCATTGATGTGGCTGAGGATAAAAATAGCCGCACAAGAAGGCTTGGCCAATGGTCAGTGGCGGTTGCCCAGTGCAAAACGCATCCAGCACGTCAGAGTAGGTTACTTCCTGGATATGCTACTAGTATCCTTCCTACCGCTTAGGCCGACGAAGACGCGTCGTCGTCCCACCTCTTACCTTGCATTCCTTGAATGGACTTTTACGTGCTTCCCTATCAGGTTTCCATTAAATTTAGCCGTGGTGGGAGTTACCCCATAAATAGTGGGCAATGCGGGGTGTGGTCAGTCCCAACTTCCTTTGAGGCAGCACGCTGAATCAAAGATAGAACCCATGACACCTCATGCCGAATCGGCCAGTCAACTCCAACGAGCACAGTCCTTCATTACTAAATGGCGGGTGAACATTAATAGAGTCGACGCCCAAGGCAGTCCCACGTTTCCTGCCTCCAACTCTGACCTCCTCGAAGACTCGATGGCTTCCGCCAGCACGCTGAAACCGAAGCAAGTGGCCGTGGCCATGCTCGACCATGCCATGGCCAAACATAGAGACCGTTACGAATCCATCTTCATGAAGGCCGTATGTTGCCATTTACACTTCGTGTTGACCAAGGTCTCACTTGCGGTGGCTACAGTTCCTCGCAGGAGCTATGCTTTCCTTCGGAGGCTTGCTCTCTGAGATCATCTCAGGTGGCTCTGCTGGGATCAACTCAGCAAATCCTGGGATCGTCAAGATAATGGGGGGACTCGTCTTTCCTGTCGGTTTGGTAATGTACATTCCACCTCCTACTCCTTTGCCTCTACACGGAGTATAATGCCAAGCTCGCTGTCCGACAGGATTGTATTGCAAGGGCAAGAACTCTTGACGAGTAACATGATGGTTGGTAGCCGTTATCTCAGCCCCGGGTTCGTGAAGCTCACTTGTGTCTTCAAGATATTTCCCATGGGCTTGATCAAAGGGGTCATACCATGGTGGTCCCTCCCCGTTAACTGGATTATTGGTGGGTGATCCGAATCACATCGCAAAGGCTCCTGATATTCAACAGTATTATACTTAGTCACATTCGGCAACCTCGTAGGCAGCTTGTTCTTCGCAGCTATTCTGGTTCGATGTAAGCGAGATTCATTACCGATTCCCTTCTCGACTCCCAAAGCGCATATCTAACGCGGTCAACAGACAGCGGAATAATATCCACCGAGCCTTACCTCACTTACGCGAAGACATTTGCGATGTTCGTTTACTCGAGTGCGAGCGGGATACTCACCTTCTGATATTCATTCTTTACGTAGGCACAAGGCGTCGGACCCAGCGTGGCACCAAATCTTCCTGCGAGGTATAGGATGCAATTGGCTCGTTTGCGTGGCTGTATGGGTAAATAGGCCTCGCTTAGCACGTCGTACCCGAGCTGATCGCCACTTGTTACAATCAGCAAGCGGCCGGGGCAAAAGATACAATCTCGAAGGTATTACTTGCCCCCAATGTAGCAAACCACCAATTTAACACTCAGCTCCCAGATCTTCGCGATATGGATTCCTATCTGGGTATCATCCATGACTTCCGTTCGCTGGATTCTTCGCTGACCCTGTGTACAGATTTTCGTGGCCTGCGGATTTGATCATGGTAGGCAGGGACTTACGGCATGCCCAATAATAATCCTCACCCAACATCCTTCTCAGTTGTTGCCAACATGTTTTCGGTTCCCCTCGGCATTATGTTCGGTGCAGATGTACGTCCGGGAATTTTGATCCTTGGAAATTTGACCTTCTGATATATGTGTTCGGCGCCACGAATAGCTGACTGCGGCAGCATACATTCGCAAGTACGCCACTCTTCCCTTCTGCTGCGCATTTCCATCTGTCATCAACTCGCTGACTGAATCCTGCTTATAGATCGCTCATCGCCGCGTACCTCGGTAACATCGTCGGCGCCCTCCTCGTGGCTCTGCCAGCGACATATTTCTATCTTCGGGACTACGAAGCTGGTGGACTGCGGAGTGCTGAGAGCGGCGAAGCGTTTAACGAAGTGTCGACAAGGCACCAGCACAATCAACGCAACGTTCCTTCGTCCTCGGAGGATGTAAGTACCGAAGATATAGAAGTACGCCAGAAGCAGTGACATCGAGCTTGCATGTGGTATATTATAGCTATGCATTGTCCTTGTTTGGACCTTCATTTGGGGTCTATAGACTGAGCAAGTGTCGACATAGATATGACATCTAGGTAAGATCACGCTTTATCAGCATCGATCCAAGTAGCGATGGCATTGAGTGTCTCGCTGCGCTCAGGCTCGTGCCAGGGGAATACGAGATAATCATGGATAGCGTCGGGGGCTTCGTGAACAGCCACCTTGCCTTCGCCGGCGTTGAGCCCGTCGCCAGCACCCAACTCGCTGACCATTCGACTGATGAATGTCTTGATCTGGTCGTATAGTACTTCGGCACCGCCTACAACAATAAACGTCCTTGGGAATCCCTTGAATAGAGGAGTCTCCATTGGGTTCTCGGTATTGAAGATAGCCGGATTCTTCGCTGCCGGGGAGATATATCGGTTCGTCTCCGCGGCGGCGAACCCATGAGGACCAAGGAAAGCCACTTTGGGATAATTCACTCCCTGTATTCCTGGCCGTATATCGATATAATCCGAGTTGACGAAGCGATGGGACGCGTCGGTCTCAGGATTTTCGTCGTGAGAGAAGGACAAGTCGACCCAGGGAGACAGGAGCAATAAGGCTCCTGGCGGGGCGGGTATCTGGGTGTTGCCATTGTTGTGTTGTTCGACCAGATAGCGCGTGAGAGCGTACGCAAGGTTGCCGCCCGCAGAGTCACCCTCGCAGATGATGTCGGCTGGGTGGAACCCGACTTCGTTTACGAGGTACGCGTAACCAGCTAGCGCGTCGATGAGTGCAGTTGGAAACGGTGCGAACGGCACAGGGCGGGATGAAGATAGCCGGTATTCGATGGAAAAGACTCGGTGCACTGATTGAGCGTGCTTGAGGAACCCTCTGCTGATGGCTGCAACGGGTTGTGTAGGGTGCGCGGATTCATGGACGTAGGCACCGCCGTGCATTGAGTACACGACCTTTTCGCCAGGCATAGGAGGCGCGCCCACCGGAATGGTTGAGCCTTTCTTGTGAATCCAATATCCTGGGATCCTGATCGGAGAAACTGCTGCTTTCGCTGCCCATTCAGAGAGGGGGGAAGTGATTAGTTGTGGTACAGGCTCGACCCAGACCCCATTCACGCCCACGCCCGGGGTAATCGCGAGATGGTTTGGAACTGTGGTTATGGGGCCAGTTCTGTACGGAAGCGCGATTTTAAGGTCAATTCTTCAGGGGGACGATACCAAACGAACCTGTTCGGTAGCTCGATGATCAACTTGATGAGTCGCACCCATATGACACGTCTCATATCCCAGGACCGTCGAGGGCGCCATGACCTGCACACGATGGTGCTCCGTGGATACCAAATGAATAAATTGAATGAAAGCAAGGCTCTTACCTTGGCAGTGACAGAATGGTCCACACAGGTATTCGCACGAAGAGAGTCAGTAGAAGCTCGAAAGCCAGATACAGTCCTTTGAATGGCTGGTGACGAAGGAACATGGTAGTCAGCGGTTGAGCTCCTTTATGGGCAATGTCTGCAAGTACATAAAAGGAGCAACAGCATGCTGTCATTCAAAATCATCCCGTTGCAGCATCGGCATCAATGGGGTAGTGGTAACCTGGGTCGTTGCCATCACGTTTCGACCCGCCGCGAGTTCAATTCTCGCTTGATGCAGCTGTGCTTTTTTGCGAGCAGTCTTTTTGACCTTGAACCTGTATCAAGCATCTCTACTTGGACTTAGACTATGAAGCCGTTGGAAGACATCTTTACATACAGTTCTCTTCGCAGACGAGGTTCCGTTGCAATGGGTAGTTTCTCCGTAGGTCTCCAGAGTCTATAGAACATCTGCCTTGTCAGAACAACTTAGCTTCAGTGTCTACCACACGCTTTCCCAATGACACACTGGATACCCTCATGATATATTGCTTGGTAAAATGAAGGTCGAGCGTCAAAACGTTAACTACCCAACGGGCTATGAAAATCTAGCTCTGGGACGGATTGTACACTCAAAATGCTCTGGATGACTGGACACACACGAAAGATGACATGATGAGCATGACGAAGACCTCTAGTAGACACAAAGGTTACGCACGTAATGGACCCGTCCACGAAGCGAGGATTAGGGAGGATACGTTTACCGTCTTCTGGGGACCGTATGTCAAAGGATGCCAGTACGGATGCACAAGCGAGCCACATTGCCGCATCGCCTGGGTGCATGCCTTTCGGGACCAAATCAAGTGAATCAAGTGAACTTCGAGTTGTGTGCAAAGTAATACTTACCTGGACAAATCCTTGAATAGGCACCATAGACGTAAGCAAGAGCCGCATCTCAACCCGACACACCATCCCAGAACTCACCTTCGCCCGTACCCGAAAACATAGACACGTGGATCTGTCTCTTTAGCACGGCCTTCCCCTAGGAAGCGGCGGGGATCGAAACGTTCTGGATTCTGGTAGGTCTTGGGATCACGGAAGAATTGCCTGCGCGTTCACTTAGCTCGCAAGGGGCTAGAGGAGAGGAGAATAAATCGCCAACCAGTTATTAGTGATAATCTTAGTGCCCTTGGGTATAAAATAGCCGTCGTGGATGTCATCTTCGGTGACAGCATGAGGGATTCCTGAAAATATGGTCGGTATCGAGAGATCGAATGCATGCACGGAGAAAGTATGACCTGTTGGGCCGAGTGTATACATCCTCATAACCTCTGTGAGCAGCGCTTCGACGTAGGGTAGGCGATGGCGATCAGCGAGGGTAGGCAAATTGCCAAAACCAAGGACATTGTCAAGCTCGATCTGTGCTTTAATCTGTTCGTCGGTGTGCCGTGTCATGCCAAGGAAGAAACATTCAATGCCGGTCCCAATCTATAGACGCGATTGAGATGAGAGCGAATAAGGCAATACTATAAACTATACCGTGTCAGAGCCACCTAACGAAGGGTTGAGAATGTGATTGATAACACGCGAAAGAAGTTCACCAACCACCATATAAAGCGGCAGCGGCCCACTGTATACTCCTCTCTTCCTTTGGACTAAGGGGGCTATTTTCCAGCGCCTGGGACACGAAGGATGGCTCAGCCGTCCCATCGCTCTGTCCCCGATGATTGACATGCTGCTCAGTACGTTTGTCCCTAAACTCACCATCCTTTGCTTTACGAACTCGTAGGGCACATTCACCGTCTGTTTGAGGATCGCCCTGTATTCCGCTGCTTTGCGCTTCCACGAAGTCCCGGGGAACCATCGAGGTACGAAGCGCACTATGAGTAAGTAACATCAGAACCTGTGTCAAAAAGCTGGTAGAGACTTACGAATGGGAAATATATCAACCATATACGCATTGGCACCCACGGTTTCGGAAAAGTGTCCCATAGCCTCGTCAACGAGCTTTACCAGCGGATCGTTCTGAGGCTCGGCGGAATAACCATAGGTGAGCTTGAGGACAATGCCCCCGGCGAATCTGAACAGATTAAATTAACGATATCAACAATGCCGCCACCCTGAAAGACGGACCTTCCAGTATGTTGAGTCCACGTCTGGGGCTCCTTGAGGATACTAGCGATGTAAATTCTGGTTTCGTCGTGTAACACATTATGGAAGGCTTCGATCTTGGACTTGGTACCCATGAATCAAGAGTAAAGGCGTCGATATCCGATCCAGGTCTCCGAGAAAGAGATGAGCGCAGGGCATTCGTCCCAACCAACAAAATGTCCTGTCATCATGAATTTTGGGCGATCACTATAGTTACGGCTCTTCGTAGCCAACATATCGAACGCATGTTTGGCGTCGTTGAGAATGATTATCGGGCTGCCCATGACTTCGAGGTACACAATGCCACCTAGAACATGCAAGACTCAGAGTTGAAGAGGCTCGAATCAAAACCCATCATACCGTATTGGCGCCCCAACTCCGAGTATTTAAGCCAAACCTGATCTGAAGGAAGAACGTCGATATTTCCAAGGATGGGCCAGCCTTTGGGACCTGGCGGGAGAGGCGCGGGAAGACGTTGCTTCCGCAACATAAGGAAGGACGCTAGCAAGCCAAACACACTAGCTGCGAGATAATAGGTAGAAGACTCCATGTCGACGTAGAGACGTGTCTAGAGGTCCTTTATACGATCCTGGATTTCATTTTTCTTGAGCCGACTCCTGAGGTGGAGTACCTGGAAGGGTTGCATGCCGGCCAGCTTGTCCGTCGTCCGCAGCGTGGATGCAAGTCTAACCAACCGAAGCGTCTGTGAGGGGATAGTTGTCATATATACTATACATACAGGCGATGATTCTGCGCGATGAGCACGCAATGCTGGGGTGAGCTCCCGCGGGAGGGGTGGGGCTGAGTCACCCACTTGGTACGCAGAGTGAAGGACCCGCGAAGCTTGGCCTAAGGAACGCGGCACTGTAATCGCGTGCAGAAGTGTTCGAAAGCTTGTGCTCTCTGACCCTTCATTCTTTGCCGTGTGGTCGGCCCCCTGCTCTGCGTGAACTCTACTAAGCACACGACGTTCTATCAACCATATCTCACAACTCGAATGCTCACATTGCTTAAAAAGACGCGACTTGGTACGCCTAGAATTGTATTCGGCGCGTTGGTCCATTGCGTGAGGAAACACTACTTGCGAGGCCTGTCAAAGGGCCGTTATCAGAATGCTGCAACTTGAAGCTTGAAGCTTGAATGGATGCATCATATGGAAGGATGGAGAAGGAAGTATGAGGCGCTCCCGCGGCGCTTTCGCGTGGAGTCTCAAAAGCCAAAGCTTGAGCTTTTCACCTAGGCCGATGACCGACCTGTCTATGAAGGACTCGCTCAAAGAGGAGACCCTCTATCGAGGGTCTCCTCTTTGAGCGAGACTTCGTAGAGGCCTGGTCACGAGGCTACTTTTCACCAGCACCATATATCCTAACAATGGTAAGAAATCAAAATCATTACTGACTTAGCGGTTAGCGACCACTTAACTGCATTTGTTTAGGTCTTAGTCGTCACGAGCAATTGACATGAGTCAATTCTCGCTTGCGAGGAATTCTTTGTGCCTTGAACCTGTATCAAGAACCCACCAATGCCAATGGATCTCTAGAGCATGCTATAGGTACAGGAAGGCCCATGATCTGTCGCACACTTTCCATTATGGAGATTGCTGGGTAGAACTCTCGGTAGGAGCTTTATTCCAGTACAGACCTACCCAAACGGTCCATGCTCACTCTGGGACGAATTGTACATTCAAAATGCTCCGGATGACTGGATACACAGGAAACAAAATATGCTGAGTATGGCGTCCTCCAGGAAGGTAGCAAGGTTACGCACCTCATGGACCCATCCATGAAGTGGGGAACAGGAAGAACAGATCTACCGTCTTCTTCTGGAGGTCTTATGTCAAAGGATGCCAGCAAAGACGAGCAAGCGAGCCACATTGTGGCCTCGGCCAGGTGCATGCCTTTGGAGCGACGAAGTAGCAATTTATCAGCTGGGTTCTGAGTAATAAGTGCTTGGATTAATACCTGGACAAATCCTTGAATTGGCACCTCAGAAGTAAGCGAGGGCCACATCCCATATAAGCCATATCCCTTGGCTTACCTACGTCCATACCCAAACAGATAATCGCGAGGATCCGTCTCTTTAACGCGGCTCTCTTCACCTAGGAAACGGTTGGGATCGAAGCACTCTGGATTCATGTACATCTTAGGATCACGCAAGAATTGCCTACACGTTTTGTCAGGTCAGGGGACAGCGACGAAGGGGACGGAGCGCGGACCAGGCATTCGATACAACCGTAGTACCCTTGGGTATGAAATAGCCGTCATGCAAGACATCTTCAGTAGCGGTACGAGGAAGCCCTATTAAAATCAAGGTCAAGATCGGGGGGCTCGCTGTTTGGGTCTGGGAGATGAGTACCTAGCGGGACAAACGTATACGTCCTCATAACCTCAGTGTATAGAGCTTCGACATAAGGTAGGCGGGAGCGATCAGACAGGGTAGGCAACTGGCCAGACCCAAGAACAGCGTCAAGCTCGCCTTGTGCTTTGATCTGTTCGTCAGTGTGCAGCACCATGGCGAGGACGAAACATTCAATGCCGGCGGTGGTCTATACGTGGTATGAGTATTTGTGTACTTGAGGTGGAAGGCAGGAAGATAAATTATACCGAGTCTGCGCCACCTAATGAGGAGATGAGGACGTCATCCATGTCGCACATGAAGAATCACCAACCACCATATATACCCAGAGCGGCCCATTGAATATTCCGTTCGTGTTGCGCTGAATTGAGGGTAGTATTTTCAAGTGCTTGCATCACGAAGCATGGCTCAGCCGTCCCATCAGCCTGAACGGGTCTAGCGACATGTTCTTTCATCCTTTCTTTATTATCAAACTCACCATTTTTCGCTTTACAATCTCATAGGGTCTGTTCACCGTATGCACCAGGTTCATTCTGTATTTTGCTGCCTTGCGTTTCCACGACGCCCCGGGGAACCATTGCGGAACGAAGCGCACTACAAACAAGATCAGAACCTGGGTGAAGCACAGCTAGTCGATACCCACAAATAGGGAATAAGTCAACCATATACGCATTGGCACGCATGGTATCCGAGAAGTGTGCCATGACCTCGTCAACGAGCTTTAGAAGTGGATCATCCTCTGGCTCGGCGGAATAGCCATAGGTGATCTTAAGGGCAATTCCACCAGAGAATCTTCGACGAATGTTATAAACACCAGACGCGACACTGCAGCTAGCTAGAGAGACGAACCTTTGTGAGTGTTGGACCCACCTCCGGGGATCCTTGAAGATACTATCGATATAGGCGCGGGTTTCATCGTGTAACACATTTTGCAAGGCCGCGACCTTGGACTTTGTGCCCATGAATTGAGAAAAAAGACGTCGATACTCTAACCAGGTTTCCGAGAAGGGAATAAGGCCGGGGCATTCGTCCCAACCAACCAGCTGTCCTCCCATCACGAACTTGGGGCGATCGCTGAAGCAACGGCTCTTCATGGCCAACATATCGAACGCATATTTGGCGTCGTTGATAACTACCATCGATTTGCCCATTACTTTGAGGTACACGATGCTACCTAGAAAGTGCGATATCAGAGACTTGAAGCACACCCGAATGAGTCGTCGGTTCCAACAAACCATATTGGTGTCCAAGCTCTGAGTATTTGACCCATGCGCGACTTGAAGGGAGAACATCAATATTTCCAAGGACAGGCCAGCCTTTGGGGCCTGGGGGGAGAGGCGAAGGAAGAGGTCGTTGCTTCAACAGGATGAGGTATCCTAGAAAGCCAGTTACGCCGATAGCAAGATAATAGGCAGACTCCATGCCGACCAGAGATATGCCATGGGTCCTTTATATAACAGTACTTTCGATTTCCTCGACCTTGAGTCGGATCTACGGTAGGGTACCGTGAATAATTCGACAGCAAGTTAATGACAATGTTAGTAACTTTGCACCTGTTGGACCGATTGTTAACACCAGTTATTAACTAATTAGTTACATCGGGGTTAATAACATGTTAAATATTGTTAATAACCTATTATTTACATGTTAAAAAATTTTGGCGGTGAAAAACGCGAAAAAAAACGATGCTAGGCATGTCAAAACTTCCACGCCTCCTCTACAGTAATACTAGCACAGGTCTTTGCAGCGGGAGGTTGTGACGCTGACTGTGCAGCAGGGGTTGCTTCACCTCTAAGCAATGCCCGAAGAACGGGGGCGTTAAGGTTAATCTCGCTATCGAGTTCGAAGTCGTCGTCCTCGATCTCAATGGCTAGCTCCCGGAGCATGCCGTTGTCCCCATCGTCGACCGAATCATAAGATTCCATCGCCGGAAGAGCGGGCGGCCCAGCCAAAAACTGTCTTGAAATTTTCGTTGATATCTTCGTAATCCGGATTTGTGGACCAAGACAAAAATGTGTACACTTTGCTTGTCCGTCCGGTGTCAGGTAGAGTACGAGGTAGGTACCTGAGAAGTCTCGCGAGGCGAACGAGTTTTTGCTCGGGGGTGTTTTCAGTGATTGCGGACATGGATGTTCAAGAACAGGCTTGAAATTTTGCCAACTCCCTTTCCAGGGTTTGCGACATCGTATTCTAGGATCATACTGAGGCAACATCGTTCGTTAAGGGCCTTATTCGGGGTGAGGGCAACTTGGCAAGGCACTACTAAACTTCGTTTGGAAAAGAGCCTCATGGGCTGCTGGTCACGTGTATTTCTCACAATTTTTAACACCCGCCAGGAGCTCTACCGATGTTATTAACCTGTTATTAACCTGTTATTAACACTGTTAATAATCCGTTGTTAAAAAACACCCTATTTTTCACGGTACCCTAATCTACGGGAGTGATCGCATGCTACCACTGCTTCTACTGTCCCTGTCAGATCGTTTCAAGTAGGATGAGTGCAATGTACAGTTGTGACTGTGGGGGATGACCCGATGCAACAGCAGTGCAACTCCACGCACTAGCTGCTAGCGTCCAATAAACGTCAAATGAGGGATACCTGGGTATAAGCTTACGCATGGCATGGCGGCATGATGCCACAGTAAGCTCGAGAGTTCATGGTCTCGAAGCCTTTGTTCTGATGCGTTTCTCGAATCTCTACTTATCGGTGAGGCTCGACGTTGAATTGGCTATACCTCTGCTATAGCTGCTTCATAAATCACATCCTTCAACCTGTGAATTTAAAAGCTGAGAAAGGGATGTGGTGAGAAAGGGATGTGGTGCGATAATATATTGAAAATGTACCAAAAGTCTATACTTTTTTCCCAGCCGTAAATGAGGAAGACGCGATTCATTTGTTTTGGTAGGAAGCTGGGCGCGAATTTGCAAGGCGCCCAAACGCGCTTTCGCGCGGAGTCTCAAAAGATAATGAGCGCGTCGATTCGCGTCGCGAGCTTCAAGCGTTTCACCACCACGCAAATATGTCGGTAAGGACTCGAAATCGCGACCTCAGCTTGTAGTCTCACGGACTGCTGTAGACTCCCCGCGGAAGCAAGCGACAGAGATCTGTCACGCCTCCTCCAGGGCCAACACCGGCGCGCAGACTTTCCCAGTCATCTTCGCTACCCCCATCGTCACCACCTGCACCATTCTCCGACACGGACGACAGCTTAGACGAGAGAGACCCAATACGCGACGCGGAGGGAGCCGATGATGATGAGGAAGGAGAAGATCTATTCGGCCAAACACTCGAAGAGTACGTGATCCAGCCTTTCTAATCGCTGCCGATGATATGAACGTGTAATAAAAGTGATTACACGGGCAATGATATTCTTGACACATACTCCGACACTGGGCTGAACGACGATGAAGAAGCAGAGGAGCTAACGGCTGCTGGTCGACGCGCTGCTGAAATGAAGATGGCTCGAAGAGATCGGTTGGAGAGTCAAGGAAAGCGAGGCAATCGCGCTCTGCGACGTAGTCGTGCGCCTGCCTTCCTAGGCAGTGACGGCATGGACGAAGATGATGAGCTAGACGACGAGTTAGGGATCTCGCGAATGAAAAGACGAACAAGAAGGCAGTATGATGAGCGACGAGACCTAGATGATATGGATGGTGTTGAAGATGTGAGCATCTGTATCTTTGCGTAACATTGAAAACCCCTTATTCTTTTCGATAGGAACTACCCTTAGAACAACTCAGTGATATAAAGGCCAAATCCATTGTCGAGTGGATCGCCAATGAACGCGTCCGAAGATCAATAATAAAGCATTTCAGACAGTTCCTGATGACATACGTCGATGAACATGGTTCCTCAGTTTACGGCCAACGAATTCGTAACCTCGGTGAAAGTACGTACTACATGTAATTGAAGCCAATATCCTTCTAACCCACTGATGTGTAACAGCCAACTCTGAGTCCCTCGAAGTTTCCTATCTACACCTTGCGCTTTCCAAACCTATCCTTGCTTACTTCCTCACCAACGCACCCACCGCCATGCTCACAATATTCGATCAAGTCGCGCTCGACGCCATCTTGGTCTACTACCCTGCTTACGAACGAATCCACTCGGAAGTCCACGTCAGGATCTCTGACTTACCTCTCAGCCTCTCACTTCGCGATCTCCGTCGCGCAAATCTCAATAATTTGGTCCGTGTATCTGGCGTGGTCACTCGAAGGAGTGGCGTCTTCCCGCAATTAAAGTACGTCAAATTCGACTGCAAAAAATGTGGCGCCGTCCTTGGACCGTTCTATCAAGACGCGACGAGGGAAGTCAAGATCAGTTACTGTGCCAATTGCGAATCGAAAGGTCCATTCCCCGTGAACTCGGAGCAGGTGAGCTTGACCTGCCCTTTGTAAGAGTATGTGCTAAACACCCATGGCAGACCGTGTACAGAAATTATCAGAAGATGACGCTGCAAGAGTCTCCAGGATCAGTACCTGCGGGTCGTCTACCGAGGCACCGCGAGGTAGTTCTCTTATGGGATCTCATCGACAGTGCTAAGCCTGGTGAAGAAGTTGTAAGAACCCTTCTGCCTGTTCTATGCCACCGGTGTTCATAACTGTCCACAGGAGATCACAGGCGTGTATCGCAATAACTTCGATGCGTCTCTCAACTCCAAGAACGGATTCCCCGTCTTCTCAACGGTCATCGAAGCTAACCATGTCAACAAGAAGGAAGACCTTTTCGCCGCCTTCCGCCTCACCGAAGAGGACGAGCGAGAGATTCGATTGCTTGCTCGCGATGAACGGATACGAAAGCGAATCATCAAGTCGATCGCACCCTCCATCTACGGACACGAAGACATCAAAACCGCTATCGCCGTGTCTCTATTTGGCGGTGTCCCTAAGAACGTCAACCACAAGCACCCTATTAGAGGAGATATCAACGTGTTGCTTCTCGGTGATCCCGGTACCGCCAAATCGCAGTTCCTGAAATACGTCGAGAAGACGGCTCATCGATCAGTCTTCGCCACGGGCCAGGGCGCTTCCGCTGTCGGTCTGACCGCTAGCGTCAGGAAAGATCCAGTAACACGCGAATGGACCTTGGAAGGCGGCGCTTTGGTGCTCGCGGACAAAGGAACCTGCCTGATTGACGAGTTCGACAAGATGAACGACGCGGACCGGACGTCTATCCACGAAGCTATGGAACAGCAATCTATATCGATCTCGAAGGCGGGGATTGTGACTACGCTCCAGGCGAGATGCGCCATTATCGCTGCAGCCAATCCGATCCGAGGGCGATACAACCCAACGATACCCTTCTCGGCGAACGTCGAGCTGACGGAGCCGATTCTATCCCGTTTCGACGTGTTGTGTGTCGTGAAGGATGGTGTAGATCCTGTGGCGGATGAGCTCCTCGCCAGATTTGTTGTAGGGAGTCATGTCAGAAGCCACCCAGGCTTTGACAAAGAGAAGGAAGAAATGGGAGTCGGAACGACTGTTGATGCCGATGTTTGTCTTTCTCCCCTTTCCCTCTACTATCAAATGCTGAACGCATCCTCCGCAGCTCATCCCGCAAGATGTTCTTAAGAAATATATCATGTACGCTAGAGAGAAGATCAAGCCTAAATTATACGATATCGACCAAGAGAAGATGTCGAAGCTGTTCTCAGACTTGCGACGCGAGTCCCTCGCCACCGGGTCGTACCCCATCACTGTCCGTCACCTGGAAAGTATGATTCGAATGGCGGAGGCCTCGGCAAAGATGGCTCTCCGCGAATACGTCAGAGCGGACGACATCGACCTTGCCATCGAAGTCGCCGTAGGAAGCTTCGTGAGCGCGCAGAAGATGAGTATCAAGAAGACTTTGCAGAGAGTTCGTAGTCTGGATATCTTTTGCTAGAACCTAAGGCTAACAAGGGATAATAGGGCTTCAGGAAATACTTAACGCAATCGAGAGACCACGAAGAGTTGTTGGCATTCGTTCTCGGGCAGCTGATCAAGGAAAAGGCTCGATACTACCAACTGCAACATCATTCCCAGCCAGAGCTGGTCACTGTAAAAGTCTCCGAGCTAGAAGAACGCGTACGTCTCCCTCAAAAACCAAAACAATATAAACACGATATGACGTTGACATCTATGTTTAGGCCAAAGAACACGACATCTTCGATTGCTCGCCATTCATGCGATCGAAGTTGTTCGCTACGAATGGCTACAAGCTGAATGACGGGGTAATCGAGAAGAGGTTCAAGATGGATTGAAAGTTCATGCGTATGAATGATACCCTGCTTGTACCATGCTATGACTTGTTGTATAATCTCTATATTTGATGTATATCTGGGGCGTATGAGTGAGTGGGGATAATGATAACGATACTCAGCGGATACTCTATATATCGCGAATACAACAATAATGTAAGAGTGAGGTACTTTTGGGGGAGACGGCGCGTTCACAGCGATGGTGTAGATGCCGTGTCGGAGGGCGGCGAGTCTGCTGAAGAGGAGTTGATGTGCTCTACTGGAGGCTCATACTTCTCCGACTCTGGGGGAGGTCGAACTTCGTCAGCAGCAGCGGACTCCGCGATGGCTACACCCTCTGGCTCGTCGTCATCATCATCCATAATTTCTAAAGAAAGCCGACATGAATGATGAGCTATATCAATACATGCGCAACTCACCTTCGGCATAGATCTCCGGATGCTCTCTGAAGCAATTCTGCATGTCCTTGAACTTTTCGACGCAGTTGATACCCTTCGGTTCGTCCTCCGAGTGGATAAAGCACGAGAAAGCTTCGCGGAACTGTGGGCCACACGGTCCATGAGCCATTCCACCTAAGCACGGGCAGTCCCAATTGATCTCGCCGGTAACGGGGTCGTATGCACCACCTCCCCCTGCGCCAGCTTCAGCAGAGTCCTCTTCTCCTGCGACGCCAGTAGTTTCTGACTCCGGTGTGGTGGAAGAAGCATCTGTGGTGTCCTCGGATGCAAAGGAGGGCTCGGCCGTGGTTTCAGAAGGTGCCGAAGATGATTCTGCGTCGTCAAAGGACGATACCTCTGGCTCGGCGGCGCGCACAGGCTGGGGGACATGCGCAGGCGAAAAGCTGGGATACCTGAAGTCGGATTGCGGAGGCTTGGAAGCTGGATTCGGAACGAGAGTGAGTTTGGTGCAAACCAATAGCAAACCAGCACGTACATGCTGAACCACTGGCAGGACCATCTAACGCGACTTTTTGGCTATCCAGACTCAACCGCAACGTCAGGTAAGTGGCGACCACGGTCGAGGCACCAAGCGCGAAGCCAAGCCGGTTCAAACGCGGTGCGGGACCGGAACGCGGCGTCGAGGTATGGAGACTTCTTCGTAGCGACGAGTTCGCGGCGCGTCTGAACATGGTGGTATGGCGAGAAGGAGTGGAGGAGAATGTCCGGCGTGCCGCAAAAGATTGCTGACGAATTCCTGAGAAAGCGCCGACCCACCCCTGTCGAACTCCTGAGAGCCATATCATTTCCCGCAAGTAATGGATCACGACAGACGATAGAGTTACCAAAACGAAGCACTACATGAGCATTACGGACAGAACAATAAATACGTAGCCCCGCCCTAGACTCCAAAATAAATCAAAAATTGTAGAAAGCGGAGGGTGAACTGTGACTAGGCTTTGTCGATCCAAGCAGCAATGGCCTTGAGCGTATCAGTACGCTCAGGCTCGTGCCAAGCGAATATCAAGAAATCGTGCACAGCGTCAGGTGCCTCATACCATGCTACTTTGCCTTCACCGTCTTTCACCCCGTCCCCATGACCCAGCTCGCTGACCATACGATCAATGAACGTCTTGATCTGGTCATACAGCGCTTCAGCACCACCAACGACAATAAATGTCCTCGGAAATCCCTTAAACAAAGAGGTGCCCTTGCGACTGTCAGAATCGAAGATCATAGGATTCTTCGCGGCGGGCGAGATATATCGGTTGGTTTCGGCAGCGCCATAGCCATGGGGGCCAATGAATACATCCTTTGACCAAGTAATGTTATTCTTCCCGGGACGCACGTCAAGGTAGTCTGAATCAGCGAAACGGAATGACGAATCGGTACCGGGATTCCTGTCGTGTGAGCTGGACAAGTCAACCCACGGCGAGAGGAGCAGCAGTGATCCAGGCGGGGCAGGAAGCTGGGCATTCGCGTCATTCTGGTGCTCGATGAGATACCGCGTGAGAGCGTGTGCCAAATTAGCCCCCGCAGAATCACCTTCGAACACGATATCAGCGGGGTGGATGCCGACTTGATTGACAAGATAATTGTACCCCGCCAAGGCATCGAGGAGTGCTGCGGGGAACGGCGCGAATGACTCAGAAGAAAGCCGATATTCGATGGCGAAGACCCTGTGTATGGAGTCGGTGTGTTTCAGAATCCCCTTTGAGACGGCGGCGATGAGATTTGAGGGGTGTGCTGACAGACGCGTGTACGCGCCACCGTGCATCGAGTACAGGACTTTCTCTCCCGGCATGGGGGGTGCGCCTACCGGAATTGTCGCGCCCTGCTTGTGAATCCAATATCCCGGGATCTTGATGGAGTCTACGCCTGCTGCTCTGGACCACTCGGTGAGAGGGGAAGTGATGAGATGGGGTACGGGGTCAACCCAGACGCCGTTCACGTCGACGCCTGGGGCAATGGCAAGATGTGAAGGAGTGTCCACAAGTGGACCGGTCCTGCGTGGTCGAACTATGTAAGTAGATGGCTACTGTTCAACCAAGGCTTTGAACGAACCTGCCCAGGACTTTGATCCCAGTCTTGAACAACTTCAGGTGCAAGACACGCTTGATACTCCAGGACGGTCTCGGGCGCCATGACCTAAACGCGACGCGAGCGTTTGAGACGTAGCTCACAGGACAAATGGCTCTCTTACCTGGGCAACGAGAGGGCAACCCACACGGGTACTCGTACGAAAAGAGTGAATGCGAGCTCGACGGCGAGGTACAGACCCTTGAATGGGTGATAATGGAGAAGCGACATGGTGGTTGAGAGTCAGGAGTGAGAAAGCCGAGCGGTATGAATGTAGTAATAGTAAGAACTCGTGAGAATGACATGCTGATTCCCCGCCTTCCGGGTATGTGTCTGCCTCGGTCCCGCCCTCAGTGTGGCCCATTCAAATATTCAACATTCACGTCGAAGAACCAAGTACCGGCAAGAATGAAACCTTCTCCCCGAACAATGTGCCACTGTGGGGTCAGCTGGGGTTTGGCACACCCGATCATGATCGAGCAACTCCTATTTTTGGTCAGGGGATTGTGTTGACTTCAATTTTTTGCCAGTTGGCCGACCTTGTGAAAGGGCTTTACTGGGAGCACGGTACAGGTATGGAGGAAGTACAGCGATCCCGTTTCCTCTAGCCCACTACAGTAGCTGAATTGCCATATCCTGATTGTCCCCATCAAGGCTTGTATTAAGCTCGTGTATGCAAAAGAAAAAATCCCAGCTTTCGTACTCAGTCCTTCCCCCAATGTCTGAGGCCGACTTGATAATGCAGTATCATCTTCAGACTATGCACAGAACAGTTCAATACTCACGTAGATTAATGCGGCTTCCATCGGAATACTCTTGAGCAGTAGACCCTTGTATATATCAGCTCTTCATGAGAAATACTTCCTCCTCAGTATAATGAGACGGTCACTCCCGGAGTCCATTGAAATTAGAGTATACATGGACAGCTATATATTGTCATACCATACAGCATATTCCAAGTTTGGTTGAGGACTCACCTTCCACGTAAGGCCTGGTCTGTACTTGAACCATCTATCATCTTCCGCCCTCTTGCCTTGTCATGACAAATTCTGGATATCCTACTCACCAGATTCCTTTCTCTACGTCTATTTCATAAGACATGGTCATGATTCCAAACACGACAATATATCTGCAGAGTGGTGCAGGAAAGGATGTCGTTGACGAGACGAGTGAATTGACGGTTTATTGTATAGCCCTACCACATCCCAATAAATGTCCACAGGAAATCAGTAAAGACTTTGATGAACTCTTGAATACTTCACTCACTGAAATTCTCAACCTCCTAGTATTTTCGCGGACCTGCTTACAAGATCAAGACATCACAAAGGTATAGGGATCATATCTAGATATAATGACGCCTGATTGGGATGCCTACTGTATATTACGCGTACTCGGTAGTTCTTTATACGATCAAGCCAACGTCCAGCTCTATCTTCTCCGAATGTCCAGTCATGGGCTCCCCGAGACGACTCAAGCTGTTTAATCCATCCTCCTCTCATTATCGTTGTATATGGTACTCTTCTTGGGTACAAATCCTTAGGCGTATCCTACACACGGTTAGGTAGAATTCGGATCATGCGACCTACTTCCAACATCATGGACGAAGACATTTGACGAGAATTCTCGGGCATCACTTGTCTTGATATTCTCGATGCATGAGCCACGGATAGGATAGATGCTGAGGCACGGAATGTAGTATCTCAACGGTCGTTTAAAACCACGAGGCCGATCATACATCTCGAGCCTCCCTTGCGCGAGTGCGAAGTCGATACTCGAGTGAAGGATTTGGAAAAATCACGACTCGCACCCTCCAAAACGACGATCCAGTTGGAAGGACGGATGCGACAAGAAGCCGAAACAGGGGCACGCCTGGCTCGTAGGAGGGAGATGGAGATACTTCAGGCACGGTGAGCTAGAGAGGTGGAACTTGAGGCACGCGAAAGAGAGGCAGAAGCACATCGGGATCGCGAGCTGAAAGAGGCAGAAACTCGGCAAGGTGAATATCGGCGAGAGTTTGAACGGGTAATGGGATTGGGGACAGGAGAGGCAGAGGGAGAAAACGGGTTGGGGGATGGTGTGCCAGTGCTCAAGTGGGTCATGAATTTCTTGTGAAATGTCGGCCAGCCATCTAGAGTAATCTGATTGAGGGGCCAAGGCCCGCCAGTCCGAACTTGAGGTAGATCTCATAAACATACGGTCTTCATATGTTTCAAGCAACATACGGAAGCAATATAATAGACGTGTGTCGGCGGGCTTCTTATCGTCACCGCCAGTACTACATGAAGCGATGATATGAGTCTTAATTTCGATAACATGGTATATACATCGAACATAAGTTGAGCATCCTCACGGTGATCGAAGTAGTCCTGTCCCAACAGCAACGAGCTCGCACGTTCGAGCCGCGAAGCGATGTAGGGCAGCGAATACCGCTAGAACCACGGCTTGTATAATCCGTGGGCCTGCATAGATAACTGCCTCGGGCAGAAATAATCTAAGTAGTATGCATCATGGTGCAATGGGTGCCGTCACATTGTGGGCTTCTGGTTACATATGAAATCAGTATTGCAAGGACGTGTACAGTGGAGACGGAGTAAGGCTTACTTGGTGGCGCGAGGCTACAGCCTCTCTTGCCATGAGGTCGTTTAGGCAACGCGCGACGATGCCCACGCCCTCCTCGACGGCCTCTCTATCTGTTTCCGCAACACGTTCCAGCACCTTTCGGAAACGGTCAGGATGCCAGCGCAACTGCGCGTGCCGTATCCGATCCTTCCGCGACTGGCCTGGTGAGTGCAAGGGGGAATACAGGAACAGCACAATGGCCGCAGACGTGATCCCGGTCGGCGTTGTCGGCGGCAAGACGACAGGCCAGGGTATCGAGGCGAAGTTTAGAGGATCGGTCTGCGACGCAAGAGCTTTCCATCGCTCTTCGTATTCGCGCCAGGCGTCGACTGTAGCCTTGTCGGCTTGAGCGCGTTCCTTCCGTTCCTGCTCGCGCAAGGCAGCAAGTCGCCTCATCCGTTCTTCTTCCATGCGAAGTCGCTTCTCTGCTTCCTTCTGTCGTTGTCGTTGATGAGCTGCCTCTCTCCGTATGTACTCCTCTTGTAGGACTCGATTCTTTATACGTTCTCGTTCCATAGCCAGCCGTCGTGCCTGCTCTTGTTCCCTCATCCACCGGTCTGCCTCAATCTCGTAAGCGCATAGCACTTCTTCCCATCGTTCACCGTCAGCCGGCCAAGGGTACGCGTATTGTCTTCGTAGCGGGGGCCTACTCCCCTTCAAGTTCACTTCAGCGTGATGGTATGAAGTCTGTGCCTTCCCCCCCGAAGCTCCTTTCCCTTCGGCTGCATGGAGCTCAGATATGAGGATCTCATCTTCCAAAATCCACTTGTTCGTCTTCTTCCCCGTCTGCTTCTCGTGTTTGACGAACTCCTGCTCGGTGACCCACGCGTAATTTTGGGCCATATGCTGCCAGGGACTGGAAATGCCCGCTTCTTCGGCGGGATAATGCGTATGGGTGTGGGGGGATGGCTCGGTACGCCGAGCGTGCTGGTATTGGTGGGCGGCGTGTCGGTGTCCCCCCATTGCAGCAGCACCGTCCGTCTTCGATCGATGAACACGAGCGCGAGGGTGTACCTGCTGCATTGTGGCGAATTCGATGGGGACGACTGGGAGAGCTCGCCTTATATAGATTACGCTGGGGACCTCCGAGTCGTAGTGTCACGGTCTCGCCAGGAGGGATTCTGATAGGGAAGGGAAATTTTTAGCCGACCTTGCATGCGATGGGATACAAATAATTATATGCCCTGAGATACAATGAGATGATGGCCATCATGCATGTTCGCCGGTCGGTGCCCACGTTGCACGCCTGCTGGAACAGATCATTTGCAGTATGTCCCATATCAGGGCTCCTCCCAGGGGCTACCCCCGGCTCATCGAACTGTGCAGTCAAATTCACGAAGCAAACCGTGTGTCATTTCGAACAAAGTAGGTAAGGGCTACATGCATCAAGCTTGAGGTTGAGTTTTATCAATACACTAGAATCGAGAATCGACATGAGTAGAAAGGTAACAAGGGCCCGAGGCATATTCAGATGGTGGCATGTCTACAAGCAAGCTCCAGACGCTCTATCTCCTACAAGGAGAGTAATAAATAATGAATGGAATCAAGGAGAGAAACATAATAGTTCAATATTATCAGCGCATGCATACCATATCATGTAGAACAGAATCCGGAGTCACTGACTGCTTCCTTCTTTCCGGATGAAGCTTCCAAGCGAACCGAATCTACACCTTGCGCATCAACGATAATGCTTCATCTAATGAGTCAACTACTCACTGAAGTAAATATGTGACTGAGCCTCAGAGGCTGTCAACCGTTCCTGATGATCATATCTGAGCAGTTTATCCAGTAGATCAATTGCCTCAACTGAAGCTACTGATTGGTTGTCGGCGGTAATGAATCGCGTCCAAGCAAGCCGCGAATAGCTAGCAAAAGTAAGAAGTCAGACCTCTTCTATACCCATCAGTGGAGCATGAAGGAGAGCTTACTCTTGAAGAAGGGCCTCATGGTCCGTTTCAAGGTGTATAGAATATTTTTGTAGGTACTGATCGAATTTCGGTGTCCCGAGTACTTTCATAATCTTCAATAGCTGATCGTCATTATCCAAACCGCGGAAAAAATGTTCGCGTCGAAAGATCTGCAACACGTAAGTCACCGGTGAAGTGCTGTCCTAGAAGCAATAATAAGGTCCGTACCATGGATGCAAACATGCAACCGACACTCCATAGGTCGAGGCTGTAATCGTACATTTTATAGCCGACCAACAGTTCTGGCGCCTTGTAGTAGCGCGAACCGACGCGAATATGATATTCAGTGTCTGGGTGGTAGAATTCCGCGAGTCCCCAGTCGATAAGCTTAAGCTACATGTCGTCCATCAGCACGAGGGTTGGTTCGTCGTAGTATCATACGAAGCTATGACGCACCTCTCCACGAGAATGGTTGATCATTACATTGCCTGGTTTAACATCGCGGTGGATAACACCATGCGAGTGGGTGAAGTCCAGAGCCTGCGCACACATTAAAGTTCAAGGAGACCACTCGACAGTAGATGAAAAAAGACAAAGAGGGCTCACCTTCAATAGTTGGAACGTGTAATGTTTGATGTCCCCTTCTGTCATTTTGGGGAACAACTGTTTCCATTCCACATTGTCCACATACTCCATCACCAAGCTGTGGTATCTCTTCGAGGAGTCCCGAACGACGTCCAGCAATCCAATAACGTTGGGGCCTCCAGCGAGATTGCGGAGAATCTTGATCTCGCGCTTGACCTTTCGTGCAGCGACGGGCTTCAGGACCTTGATCACACAAGGGTCATTGTTTTCCACATCCAAAGCCCCGAAAACCTAAACCCGAAAAGTAACCTCGTTAGTCTACATTCTCGTTACGGTAGGTCATTTTTACATACATCCGAGTACTTGCCACCACCGACTCGGCAAGTAATTTCGTATCGCTCCGGTTGGCTCCATTCGATGTGGAAGGCCTCTACACGCGCAATTCATCCCAATTGCCTCAGTTTCAATTTAGATGGGTCCAGCCCTCAGGTACTTACCATAGTCATACCAAGACAGTCCAAACCTCTGGTTTACATCGCGATAAACCCGAGCCATCAGCACTTATGAATGGGGTTCGGAAGACGTAGTACAATGGCCAATGCTGAGCTGGGGGGTGTGGCAGCGCAGAGGAGCTAACACTCCGGGACCATGAATGCTGGACGATGGAGGTGGCTGGCAAGAAGCTGTGGCGCTTGACAACCGGACCAACTGAGCGCTTTCAGCGAAGGCTTCCGATTCAAACTTGCGCAAATTTACGGATGCGCTGCGATTAGAACCAGATAAATTCAGTGACCATCCAGAGTATGTAGTACGTATGTAAGGAGAATGAGAGGCATATCAATGCAATGCAGTATCATGTATAATGTCGATGAGGCCCAGAAGTAGATAAATAGTCGAGTACTGCGTATATGATTAGATTAAAGCAGAGTCGTGGACGCAAATTATGGTATGTAGCACAGTCGATGAATACACCAAAGCAAGACAGCGAATAGACTAGATACAGTTAGGGGAAAGAGTGAGCGTGCTTTCTAGACATCAGAATAATACGTACAGAGAATTAATCAAACGAAAACAACGAACCCTCTACGAAAGGACGTCCTTCCCCAGGTCGGGTGCACCAACCTGCAGGAAAGATAGCACAAGTGCGATGGAGCTATTTTGTTGGCATTGTAGCTCCAACTCTTGGTTAGACCAGAGCGGGCCGTTGACGCGCGTGTATTGCTCCTCAGCAGACGAGTCCTTCTCATAGGCACTCCCAGTCGAGTTTGCTAGATCTAGCTCGTTCCGACCAGCACCTTGACGGTACAGTTGACTGCGGGACTTGGATCGGATGTGGGCAGCTGCGCGACTCCCGTTTGTAGGATTCCGTTGATCGACGAGGAAACGGCCCGGGCTGGGTGAAGGTGACGGAGACATGCGTGAAGGTTTGTCCAAGAGTTTTGAAGAAAGCCGTGAAGAAAAGGCATCGCTACCCAGCAGTGTCTCCTGAAGGATTCGGAACGCCAAGTGTTCCGCCGCCCGGTAAAATTTGGACGGGCCTGGTCGCCCACCATTAGAGGCCGAGTTGGTTGAATTAGTAGAGCTATCAATCTGGCGTTTGAGTGATACCGCCCACTGATGACGTATGAGAGGGTCGTCGACACTGAACATATACCTCCGCTTGCAGTTGTTGTGGTTGAGGAAAGCAATCTGGAAGGTATTTCTCATGAAAGCGCGTTCGACCTCGAGAGAATGGCTCAGTGGCAGACCCGAATACAAATTAGCATTGGGGCCAGCGCGAACCATGATCAAGGTCTTCGGACCCAGGGATGTGCCCATGATGCGGAAGGAGACTTCGGAGGATTTACCAAAGTTGAGGGTTGGAGGATCGAAGGTTAGGTTTTGGCCATAAAGGTGGATGGTGAGATGCGGGTCTGACTGGGGAATGCGGAGGATGATGGGTTCAGATTGGACTTTATATGTGAGACGAGTAGGAAGGGGACGTTTGACCATGATGAATATATCGGGTGGACTCGATGCAGAATTCCGCGCTTGGCAAAGACGTTCGTCTTTTATCGAATTGTAAGCTTCCTCCAATACTTCGTCAGTGACAAGGTACCTGACATCGTAACGGCGGAAAGCCTCAATGAAATCCCTTCGCGTAATGTTGCGTCTCGGGTAACGCGTTGGTCCATTAACCTGGGAAATGCCTTCATGGAGAAGTTCATTTAACTGCACCAATGCTCGCACGAGTCTGATAGCCAAATCCTTGTCGTACGCAATTCCACCAGCGTGGGCCTCGTACCACCGACTTGCGAAAGAATCAAGCAAGTAGTCCATGGATTTGTGGTCGAGGGGACCGCGACTGGGGATATTTATAGATAACAGAAACGCGCGAAGGGCTTTGTCGATCCTCATACCGGCGAACCCAAAGGAGTTAATAAAGGACTTCAACACAAGCTTTGATGTTCTCCGCGATAGATAATCACCCAACCGCGTTCGGTCAAGATCTAGCGTCTTGAAGAGCAGCTGGCCGAGTACCGTTGGATCATCCCGCGTGCCTGTCTTCGCAAAAAGCGTGCTGATTGCGTGGTCTGGATCCTTGGAGAACTGGTGGACGAAGGTGCGAATCAAAGGGTTACGTGGTGGCACTGTGTAATTTGCCTTTGATTGATGCTCAATTCGATCGTCACAGAATCGCAGCTGGCGAAGTTGGACTACACTCTTCACAACGAACTTCCTGTCTGATGGACTGGGTTTATACGAGTCGATGAAGCTGTCGTGATCCGGAGTGACTGGCTTCGCAATGACCAAGATGTCGGTAAACAGGAAGAGGAAACGATCCTTGACCGTATTGGGATTCACGACCTGGAGGACAGGAGATGATAGGACGAGCTTCCTTGCTGGGTCATCTACGGCCGACGCCCACATTGGACTCCTCGATCCGCGAGCTAGGTTCTCTTCCAGTCGCTCAAGCACAACATGTCCTTGTGATTCAACAGGCGGAGGGCGCTGCTCAGTGAAGTGCGACTCCCGTGATTGGGATGATGAGGCTGAGGAGGATGTAGAGGTAGTGGCAGCAGGATAATCGCTCAGTGAGGACGTGGGGTCTGGAGTGGTTGATGAGGGAGGTTCGGGGGGTGATGATGGGGCGGGTGGCTCAGGAAGTGGTTGGAAAGTCGAAGTCGTTGTCCAACTAGGATATGGACTCGAGAAATCAGGCTCTGAATCGGACGCAGGCATAACCTTCCTTGCTTTGGGCGTCTTTTCTGTGTCCGTCGATTCACCGCGTACGGGGGCGAGTGGCTTTGTTGGGCTAACTGGCGTCTGGGGAGGTTGGGGAGGTTGGGGGGTAATGAGAACCGGCGACTGCTGCGAAACCGCGCTCCCGGGGGCGGTCGTAGGTGTGCGAGACTTCTCGTTTCCTATCTCTTCCCAGTCCGCTCCGAGGTCGCTCTCTTTGCGGATTCGCAACAGATCTGAGAGAGAAGGCTTTTTGTTCGCGTTTGGTGAGGGTGACGCGGGGAATGTCCCGCTCTGGAATATAGGTGGAGAGATCGTAGGTGTACTTGAAGGAGAGGATTGAGTTGAGAATATGTTTTTGTTTTTGCTAAGCCATTGTTTGACACCCGTGAGCGTCATTGGAAGCGAATGCTTCGCACCGTTTCCTCCAATGGTCGACTGAGGAGAGTTCGGGGACAGGTTGGGGGACTTCTCATGTTGCGACGACGACGAAGGGGTGGCCGAGATGGGAGGAGAATTATACTTCGACAATAGTCGAGTGTCGGAGGCTTGATGCGAGAGCTTCCTGTCCCTTGCTGCAACAGGAGACCCGGCAGAAGCAGTAAAGGAACCGGAAAGTGGAGGCTGCTCCTCCTCTTGCCCGTTCAGATCAGGCGATGAGGCGGAGAGCAAGCCCTTGGCTCTGATTCTCTGTTCTTCCAGCTTGATAATCCCAGGGAACGGGAAAAGCTTCTCGTGTTGATACTTCATAAGATCTGCTGAAGAAGCAAGGGCAGGTGAAGCAGCGCCCCGCGAACCGAGATGTGGAGACAACGACACTATCGAAGCAGACGCCGATGGAGATTGCATAAGTGACGTTCTGACATTCGAATCCCCTCGATCCGTCTTAGAGCTAGTGAGACTAGCGCCACTTTCACGGTTGAAGCTGGAATCGCCAGGTTCGCGCCTATCACGATTGACAATGCTGTTCGTCCTCGACCGCCGCCCGGCACTTGACCCAGATCTGGAGAAAGCGCCCTTGACTTTCTCCCAGAGTTGCTCGCCATTGCGCCTGGGTAGCCCTTCACCCCCTGAGCGATCATCCCACTCATGGAATTCAGAGTTTATCGGCGAGCGATCACTCTGTATGCGAGAGGCAACAGAGAGGCGTGTGGGGTATGATCGCGGTGACAACTGAGCAGAGTCATCACTGGCGATGACAAGTGACTGCGTTTGGGAGTATTCGGCGACTGATGAAGGAGAAGCAGGGACCGTGAATTGGGGATCTGGAGAGACCTCAGACTCAATGATGACACTTTTGGACGACGAGGCCCGGGATTGATCATGGTCATCTGGGTAAGATTCATCATGAACAAATCCAACGGACGATCGATTGGACTCTGATGGTTCTTCATAAGGTTCGTCGTCAGCCATATCGTCGTCGTCATCAACATCGTCAACAGGCATGCGAATTTCAGGCACTGGTGCAAGATACATGAGTATACTCGTCTCTATGATATATGACAATGACATACCTGGATCAGCTATCCAACTAATCTCGCGATCAAAGGTATCATCGAGGAGCGGCCGAGCAGCCTGGTATAGGACTTGTTCTTCGTCATCATCACCCAGCCTTTCTCTCAGCGGGGTGGTAAAAGGGCTACTTGGGAACGTATCCTGCCTAGACGGCGTTCTGAAGGCCGCGCTTAGGAACACAGGTACGCCTACCGCTGAAGCCGGCGCAGAATCCGACGAAGCATTTGAAGGCGCATCAGAAGAGTGGGGCTGCCGAGATTGCATAAGGGCTGCAAAAGAGCGCTGAGGTGTACCGGGCATTCCATTGTGTAGTATCTGGTTAGGTACTCGGTCCTCTTCCTCTTCCTCCTCAACAAGTACGCTTCGCCGTCGTTTGGGGTCAGGACGTTCTGGGGGATCGTATTGTTCATTAAGATTCACCGTCATAGGTACAGGTTCTGGGGGGGTCGGCGGAGGCAGTGCATGACTAGGCGTAGTTGAAAGTGCTCGTAGGGCGGCAACGTCGTCCAAAGAAGGTAGAAGTGGCGTTTCTGACTTTATTGGGGTGTTCGGCGTTGATACATGCTCAGAATCTGAAATTCCGGTATTGCTCGCAGAAGCAGATTGTCTTCTTGAACGCCGCCTACGGCGCTTCGGAGTGGGCGCCCTGACTATGTCTTCTCCGGCACTAGCTTGCGTGTCCAGGTCTGTATCTTTGTTGAAACGGCCGCCTAAGCGACTAAGCATGAGCTGCCTAGCCGCCGTTCGCTCGCCCCCAGACACTGTGTTATTCCTCCCGAGCTTGGCCCCATTTAGTGGGGGTGTCGGCGAAGGAGAGGGATCATATGAATCCTTGCCCCCCGTGAGCTTATGCATCGCCATGCGTCTACCGACCACGGCGCTGTTGGACCGAGATAACATGCCTTTCTGGAGAGCTTCGAGCGTCGGTAGCAGAGGTGTTGGCGAAGCTGTCCTGGAATAGAACGCGCCTGGCTCTGGAGACGTGGGCGTCGGTGAACGTAAGAACCCAGATCTCTGCAGTTCAGCGATGCGTGAGGGCGTGGGGGAGTGGAAGGGAGGGATAGTTACTGGGAGCATCATTTGAGGATAGACCATTGGAAGTGATTCATCCTGAGAAGAATCCCCCGGTATTGGTGTTGGTGTCTCGATGTTCCGAGCCTTGCCCTTGAAATCCCTCGACCCCCTTGAACGAGAACGCGATCGTGAACGTCTCTTCGTCTTGGGCGCAGGCTCTGGTGTGTGCCTATCGTCTCCATGATAGTGCGCCCCATTCCTCGCTGCCTCAACAGGCTCCACCTCGGCATCCACTTCTGCGTCAACCTGCACCTCTTCCCTGCTCGGTGCCCTCTCCTCCGTTTTGACCTCTTCCTTCACGTTTGACGTTAAAGCCTCAGCAACTTCCGTCGGCACATCCCCGTTGGCGACCTTTTCTCCTTCACTGACGGCTTCTGTGTGCATCGGGGGTCGTCTCCCGTCCTTCATTCTCGGTAACGATGCGGCGCGTTTTAACCTAGCAACAGCAAATGCCCTTTGCTCGGCTGCTGAAGTCTGTTCGTTTTCGGCCATGGCCAAAGTGTGGAGTCGTGTACCGTATAGTGATAGTAACTGGACAAGAACATATAGTTTGTTAGAATCACTGCGGAAGGTTTTGATGACCTTGACCTACGGTATTCTTCCCTGATCACGCCCGGCTCGCGATCCGAGGGAATTTGGTGGAAGCTTCTATATTGAGGCTGAGGGGCTGTAGTTCAGTGTTGGGAACCGTCAGCGTTGGGGGAAACAGAGGTTTGCTCACAGTTGACGACGGCGACAAAGGGTTGTTCTTACTGATCTACTGCCAAAAAGCCGTTATACTGCTAAATATCCTCGCGTGGGAACCACGGAAGTATATATGTCGCGCCGCAATCGGCTATAAGTTCTCACGCTCCTGTCGTGGTCAGGGGTTCTGTGCCTCCCCACATCCATGAGGCTCTCGTCCATATGTCTAGCGTCCAACTAATAAGGAGGTGAGCTTGTAACCTTGATGATGCCACGATATTTGCAGAAGGTTTCGAATGATAGCTACTTTGAATAAGGGAATCTCCTAAATCTCCCAGGTCTAGAATCGCCGTCGTGCGCAATGGCATCTTTTACACGGCGAAACCAAGCGTGAATTGTGATATCCTCCGGGATTTCTGGGCGCATGTCTCATAGGCCTTCACTTTTTCTCCATTTGTATACTGTGTGGCAGGTCGTGATAGTGACGGAGGAGGACTTGCGCTGTACAGCCCGGGCACGAGAGGCCACGACGTGCTCTTGGGGTACTACCATGTGGCGTAAAATGCCGCTGGGAAATGGCTGAAGAGTGGTGAGTCCCCGTCAGATTTACTACGGGCACGGGTACTTCGAACAAGCCGTAATCATCGCCTCGTTGCCTGCACTCTATACTGACGCCAACGTACTTTATTAACGCATGTCAAACATCCTTCCATATTTGATTCAGGACGCGGCACGAGGATAACAAAAGCTATCGAATCCTATCAGCATCTATTCGGACTCGTTATGCGTGCGTACTGGGAAAGTGATAGGAATGCAATTGTGGCAACCGCCAACTTCGTCAGGGGCCCCTGATTCTCCCAGCCCACAGCCCACACAATAACTAGGACACCTCCGCCGAGTCCCTGTCCTTCAAGGAAACATCACTCGAATATAATATATGCCCTTTTCAGTGTTGTCACCAAGCGACATCGCTTCGCCATTAACGCATCATATCGTTTCGAGAACAAGGGTAAATGGTTTGTCCTTGTTCATTAATTTGTCTTCCCCGCAACGCACCGGAGTCCCGTATCGATATGTAACCCGTTTCTTTCATCAAATACAACGTTTTGTTAGCAGGTTGACATTGTGTTGCCAGCTATCTCTATGGGTCCATTCACTTTACCCGGAATGAATCCTTCAGTTCCTTCCAAGACGGCCGTGGCAGCTCGAATCTATGTCCAATCGTTGCATACTCCAAGCCCCCTAAGCGAGCTACAGCACGAAGTTTCCGAGGGTCGACCGATTCGCCGTCGTCAGAAAGGACCGATTTGCGGATGTGAACCTTCTTAATCAACCCGAGTATCAACGTCGTTCCAATCGTCGCGTCTGCTTCGCTCTTCGGTATATCTTTGGAGAAATATAGCTAGATGAAATACTTGAGTCTCAAGCAACGAAGCAGTAGGAGCACATCGCTGAATAAACAACATCCGACGTACCTCGCACTCAAGGCTAATGGCGCTTTCTCGCACTCTCGCCGGCCATCCGGATTCCTACCAGCGAGTAAGTTTAAGCAGGCGTATTGTTTACGGTTCACTTACACCATAAGCCATAGTGAGGCCACTAATCAACCACTCGTCCACATCCGCCGGTGCTTCTACAGAGGTAGAATTGGCGGCTTCGATGAAATCGTCGCTAATAATATTCACGGTGAACTTCTTCGTGGAGAGGATATTCTCTCTCGTATCTTTCGGCCGTCGCGGAGACAAGCTGAACGATATGCTCAACAGCGGGGGGTTGTGAGATACCTGTAGTGTAGTGCGTTAGCAGAAACGCGACGAGCTTCGCGCAGATGACAACCATTGAGAAATAACTGAGCACGCCACAATCAGCGCCGATGCGACGCGTTTTACAGAGCCAGGACTCACCTAAAGGGTGCCAAATTCGGTGCCCCTTCTGCAGACACGGAAGACACGAAGGCGATGGGTCGGGGTATAATGGCTGATGTCAATACTTTGTACCCATTTCTGCGAGGAACAATAAGAACACAGTCTTCCTCCACACTGACCACGTACTTTGGAGGTACATCTGCCGCGAAGTCCCAAGATTTGTACCTTTCATCTCGGAAATTACGAAGCTGGTTCGTGCCTTCGCCATTGGTCCCTGGAGGCGGTAGGTAACTGAGTGTTGAGCCTTTCCATCTGGCCGACGCGAAACTAAAAGGACGTGTACATGGTCGGTGTATACACCGACTCCGAGCAAGACCTCCCGTCGCCGTCGCCAAGAGCCGCATGATCGAAAGGAACCGTGACGAAATTTCGCTTTCTAATCCACGACGAATGGGACTCCGCGATGCGCACGCGAGGGAGTGACCGCCTCTGCGAAAACCATTGCTGATTCAGACCATATTCCATATTCAGGCTTCCCATAAAGCGGCGGCCGTGGTTCAGAGTGAGTGTTCTAGTTATTGACTCCCATGTCCAGTATCGATTCGTCTCAGGCAGCAAGCAACGGTGTTTCAGGCTTCTACTCCTATACCGATACGCTCAAAGGTGTTTACTATGGTCCTGGGTGTGTGAAGACAGCTTTGCCTCAATTGTTGGAGATCATTGGTGCAAAGAGAGCATTGGTGGTGACGGGCAAGAGCTTGCACGAGAAGGTGAGCCACGATGATAAGCACTTAAGTTATCGCTTGGTTGACTCGATTGCGTTAGACCGATGTCGTGCGCCGAGTAGAAGCTATTCTGAAAGAGCACGACGCATATGGTGCTACATTCCATGAGATCGGAGAGCATTCGCCAATAGCTGGTATACGGGCTGGAATACAAGCCTTCAAAAACGTCGGCGCGGATGTCATAGTCGCAGTAGGCGGAGGATCGCCTGTTGATGCTTCCAAAGCGATGCTCTACTTCCTCCACGAGGAGGGTGGGCCTCAGCGCTATCAGATCGCGATACCAACCACTCTTAGTGCAGCGGAGTATTCAGTATGTTGTCCCGCCCCGTGTAGGTGTCCATTTTCCTGACGTACATAGATCGGAGCAGGCTATACAAATGATGAGGGTGCCAAAGTCGCCGTATCGTCTCAGGCCCTCGCGCCTGCTGGGATCATCTTGGATGCAGAACTCACGTTAGCCACACCTGCTCGACTTTGGTACGTATCGGGCAGTTAACTCGATTAGTTGGAGTAACAAATGCCGTATGCAGGCTTTCCACAGGAATCCGTTCCCTGGATCACACAGTCGGTGAATAAGGATTATGCCATGTGTGGATGTCGATACTAAAATATCTGCTTCTCTAGAGACATTGTACAGGCCTCTGATTCCGCATCCTGTGAAGGTTCTCTGCTACTCAGCGATGGCGGATCTATTCAAGTATCTGCCCCTCTCAAGGGATCATCCGGAGAATGTCGAGTATCGGCAGTGGCTGCAGATCGCATCCTGGATGAGTCTTTGGCCCACTAGGCTCCAGAAGTACAGGTTAGTAGTAGGGAATACAGTGGCGGGTGAATCCCATGTACTCACCGGATACCAGTGCGTTAGGGCTCTCGCATGCGTTAGGTCACAAACTTGGCGCTGCCTACAGCATACCCCATGGGATCACATCGGTCGGTACAACCATTGCACACTGTATAATATGTTTACGCCTTTCCCAGTGCCTTACCCTCTCCCCGACAGTCAAGCTGATGGCTGAAATTGGGTCAGAAGTCGACAAACAATACCTTGCCAAGACACTGTTCTATCTTGAGTCGCCTTCCACCGGCTCATTGAATGGCGACGTTCAAAAGCTCTCATCTCTAATTCAGCAGTATGTTTCAATTTCCGGCCACCCGCCTCGCGTTCGCTCAGCTGACGTCTCCCAGGCTCGTAATAGATTTGAGGCTTGATTCTAACCTTGCAGAATACAACGTTCCGACGGCGGACCTCCCTAAGGTCGCTGAACTGGCACTGGGCACTAAAGACAGCCCCAATTTCCCCAAAGTTGTTGATCTGCTCAAGTCTTTGTACCCCCCTGCGTGATTGTACATGTGTAGATAATAGTGTGAAATCGAAGTCAAGGCAATGTGTCGTCATAAATATGGGTACCGCCGCAGCCGCTATTGGCAGTCACGGTGGGCCATGAGTACGGTGCTGTCCGTGTGATCACGGAGTCATTCTTTGCAATCGACCATCAGTGTGTCAGCCAGGAGGGCGGGCGACGCGAATCCTTGTAGCCCCTGGCCTGATGCCACTCCCCGTAGTTTGTTCCCATCTCGGCGCAACATACGGTCCCAGTTTAGTCGGGAGCGCTCTCCTGAGTCTCTTGCGCAATCTCACCCCTCCAATTCGCTGTGGTTCTCGCTTCACCGCTTACCGCCGTTCTAGGATTCTGACGTGGTCGACCGGACAGGAACACGTCGGACAATTGACACTGTTCCCAGGACATATTACCAGATATATTGCCAGCAGACCAAGATTCACCCAGTCACCGTGTCATACTCGCGGACCCGCAATGCAGCAACGGAGGCCATACTCAGCGAACAAGGGCAAGGACGCCTCGCCTAACGGCAATGGGACGAGCCACGAACACAAGGACACGCATAAGCATGAACACGAACACGAACACGAACACGAACACGAACACGAACACGAACACGAGCATGACCATTCGCACTCGCATTCAATATTCAGTTTACATTCACACTCACATGGCGAGGGAGGCCAGGGTGCAGAGAAGATAATCGAGGCGTTGCAGGGATCTGGTAAGCTCTATTACCGCTGCAGCAGCGGACTGGGAGGTGACACGTCCATAGGTGATCGAGGCAGTCAGATCACATTAGTGGGACTGTTCGCGAATATTGGCTTGACTGCTGCGAAAGGTGCTGCTGGCTGGTACATGCACTCTGCATCGTTGCTGGCAGACGCCGGGCATTCATTGAGTGGTGAGCCTGCCCCTGATGCTGCATGCTTCAGTGCTCAGCGCTCACATTGGCGCAGACCTTCTCGGCGATTTCGTGACACTGTTCTGCTGGCGATTGTCGCGCAAACCACCATCGGAGCGGTACCCCTACGGGTTCGCGAAGTTTGAGACGTTGGGTACCACCACGGTTTCGCTGTTGCTCATTGGCGGCGCGCTGGGAATAGGCGTACATTCCTACCACCTTCTGATAGTAGCGTTGAGTGAAGCTGCTTCCCACACTGCTTCCGGGAGCGTGCAAACCATCCTTCAACAAGTAGCCTCCGTAGCCCCCCACATCCCCACAGTCGGCCACGCGCACGTACACACCGTCGACCCTAATGCAGCATGGTTCGCTGCCGTAAGTGTTCTGGCGAAAGAATGGCTCTACCGCATAACGAAGAAAGTGGCGGACGAAGAAAGAAGCCCTGTGCTGCAGGCTAACGCAATACATCATCGCAGTGATGCTTATTCGAGTGTAGTCGCCCTCGTGGCGATCCTGGGTTCCTGGCTTATCCCAGCCTTGCCTTTGGATCCAATTGGGGGTGAGTTCATGTCCGCCTGCATGTTCGCGTGGATGTGTTTTTGACTTATCATTTCCTTCTTCGTTCTCAGGGCTTATCGTGGCTATCGTTATCCTTCGGCAAGGCTTAGGGCTCTTGGGAGGTGCATGGGGAGACCTTACAGACGCAAGCGTTTCTTCTAGAACGCGGCAATCTCTCCTCAAGACGTTGGACCCGCTAATATCTACCAACAATTCCACGACATCGGACCCATTGCTGCTTGTCATTCGTCAGATAAGAGCTCGCCGTTCGGGGTCTTTGATGTTCGTAGATCTGAAGGTCGATGTTCCTGGAGGCCTGACAGTATACGAATCATCGGCATTGGAAGTGAAGATTTCACAGACGTTGATGAAAGCCCGGAGGGAAATTGCGGAAGTTAATGTACAGTTCCGCCCCATTGATGTGAAAGCCCAAGCATAGTGGGTCTACCTTTACGCAAAAGCTCTGTAATTATTGGGTTCATGGATGGAACTTGTATCGTTATTGCTTCAGTCTTGCGAGAATGCTTTGAATTGAAAGATGTCTAATAGAGCCAATATACTATATAACAATTACATATGTGTTAGTTGTTGTGTCAATAGTCCGAGATCCGTAGGCAGTATGGAAGGAATGCGTCAACGGTGAGTAGAGCACGAGCCTCTACGCGAACATCGCTACCGTAATGGCTTGCATCTTTCCATCACGGATAGCCTACAATCGAAGTCACCGTCAGCGTAGCTCAATGAAATGTTAAACAAAGTAAACAACGTACCTCATGTATGCGCGAGATGTTCTGTCCAATAGTCTCATCCTCGACGCCCAAGCCCTTCGCAAACCTGGTATAGTTCTCGCTGCCGTGCATTTTAACTCCAAGAGTTAATCGGACAAATTCATAGACCATGCGTGTCTTGTTGAGGTATGGACTAGCTGGGGCAGCGCCGCGCTGTCCGGAGAGGTAATCGCGACGGAGTTGGTCGAGGAGGGCAGTTGCGCGGGAGGCGAGATGTGAGCGGAAGGAGGGGATAGAGACCATGGCGATTCCAGAAGAGATGGCGTCGGGCAGGGTGAGTTCGGTCAAGAAGTCGAACAAGGGTATCGTTGTTGTTGAGGCCATCTTCTTCATGCGAGCAGGAGCATCCATCGAGCCGGAGGTGTCAAGTGATGTCTGAGCAGCTGAGAGGACCTTTGATGTAAGTGCCTCAAGCTCTGCTGGGGATACGACTGAAGCGAAGAGGAGCGATAATTCTTCGCGGATGATTTCTTCGACGCCCCTCACAAACTCCATTTGGAGTGCACGAAGGTCAAGTGCTGATGGTAAATCATGTCAGAGCTCGAACGCAATGAGCAAGGTAGTGTACCAACCTTGGCAGAGGATATACAGGTACGAGGAGATCAGAAGCGACAGGACATCCAGTGAATTGACGGTGGCACGAGCAGAAATCAAGGCCAAAGAACTAGAAAATGAGAATAAGACCTTGCTACCTCGACGTATGTAAATGTACCCACTTTACTGCTTGGTTGTGCATTTCAGCGGATTGGATGTGTGTTGAGACAGGGTTTGCGAGGTAGCCGAGTTCGCTCACATACGCAGCAGTTGCGATATCAATACCTTTCGTGTGGTAGTTCAAAGATGGATCGGTGGCGGCAAGGGAGGGAGGGAGGCCGTTGTTCATCGCTGGGTTAACCAGTTCCGTGCATTGGGCGAACAGGAGCTTTCCGATGTGGTGGAGGGCAAGACGCGTCTTCTCCATGGCGTTGGTCACAGCCATCGCCTGGAAGTTTCCTCCATGGTGGATCTCACCAGTCTCGCCGTCGATGAGAGGATTGTCGGTGGCTTGAATGGAGGAAAGTTTAGAATACGAAGGCAAATCAGGGGTGACTTAGGGGCTTACTGGAGTTGCATTCTTGCGTGACGGAGACGTATGCGTGGAGGATATCTTCGAGTTGCGGGCCCAAGAACTGGGGAGAGGTTCTGAGGGGGTAACGATCCTGGCGGAGAGTCCCCTGGTCCTCAGCAATATGGACTTCCTCGTGGTGCACCGAGGCAAATGTCGTCCCTTCAAGCAAGTTGTAGATATTACGGGCAGCCTCGATCTGGGAAGAATTCATGTTTAACAAACCACGGCTATTGAGTTGAGTGACCGTCTTACCTGTCCAGGGTGCGGTCGGCAGGTCGCGTGGATGAAAGGCTCGAAGGAGAGACGGGTGCCTACTAGGGCCTCCGTTCCCATGGCCGTGCACACCTGAGCGAGCATGGCAAAATGAACAGCTTCGTTCAACGCCAACGCGCCTACAGCTGCGGAGAACGCGGTACCGTTAAGGATACCAAGAGGTTCCTTGGATGCAAGGGGAAGGGGGTCGATGCCGTGGCTTGCGAGGGCTTTCGCTGATGGGACCATCTCTCTGGCACCAAACGCTGCAGGCCCGTCGAATACACGGATTGACGGGTTGCCCACTGCCGAGATGACGCGTTAGTCATAGATAGGCCTATGTCATGACTAAAGAACACTGCACCCACCAACTGTCCCAGCGATATATGACAACGGAGACAAATCTAAGACGAAATGAGGTGAGGTAAGGTTAGAGTCATCGATAACACGCGTATGATAACATAACAACTGACCACCGGAGGCCGAGATGCTGCTGCGAAGGGGGACGACGGGGGTGATATTGGCATCGAAGATTTCTGCTATCTTCTCGATGAGCTCCCAGCGCACGCCAGAGTGGCCGCGGATAAGAGAGTTCATGCGAATGAGCATTGCAGCACTGCGAGGACAGAGTCAAGTCCTGTGTTAAGCAGACGTAATTGGGGGAAGACTCACCGAACCCAAGCTTCGGGCATGCTCGTCGCGCTCATTGGGTCGGAAAGGGGAAGGACATCGAGGGGTTGCGAAGAAGATGGGAGGACACCGACATGCTGGTGCTGGAGAAGAGCGTGTCCCAGGCTTAGGGGCTGGTCAGTTCGCGTATCAGCTGAGCGAACAGGTAATTAGGATCGCAACACTTCCTGGGAATCGTGAACGACGTACCACTACCGCCAAATCCTGTACTCAGGCCGTATACACTGGCGCCTGAAGCAACTTTATCGGCAATGACCTTTCGGCTCTTGACGACCTTGTCCTTGATGCTGGCGGAGTCGTCGAGTGATATTTTGGCGTGATGGCGTGCGGCCGCGACCACACCCGCTAGTGACAGCGTCTTGCCATCGACCTTCACAGTCTGGCCACTTCTGGAAAGAGTTCAGGAGTACTGATATGATGGACTCGTAGATCGCGCTTACTTGTACGACTCGAATTCGTAATATGCCTCGACGAACTTGTCTAGTAGCGTCTTCTCCTCGGACTGTGGCCATGGGCTCTCCGTGGTCGCTTTCGGTGCGTGCCCATTGAGGTGAACACCATTGGTGTGCGGTTTCGAGTGCCCGTTCATGATGGTGCCGTTAACGCGAGGAGCGGCGGTGGTCCCTGAGAGAATAGTCATATTCGTTCAGTAAGGGTAGTGAATTCTGGGCTGGCTCCTATGACGGTAAGTGGATAGCTGCAGAACATTTTATAGAGCTGGAGTCCGGGTGAGATCCGGGTACGAGCACAAATTATTTGGGACTTGGTATCACAACACCCTGGAAATTCTGTGTGAGTATGTATTCACGAAAATTTGGGTATCTAAACGGAGTTCTGGTCATCGAGAGAAGGAACATGATTCCGCCCCTGCCTGTGCTGACTCCTAGTCCCTATATAGATGCCGGCGTTAGCGCTGAATATACGCGGTACGTTGGGGACGGTGTTGGATTCAGATTATAGCAATGCCTGCGATGAGGACCAGCGAATATTATCAGCGACTATCATTTAGAACATCGGCGCGATACCATTTGGGTCAGGGCCCGTAGTTATCACTTTATGCAATTTCCAAGGGGACGGCGTGCCGAAGAGCACAAGTTAGCTAACAGTCAGCATGAACGACGAGGAGAATGTCTCGGATCTTGCGAGATAACGATATCCACCTCTTTTTCCAATCCTTCGTCTTCGAGAAGGTTTCACGAAAATGACATTCCGCTTCGCTGGACTTGGTTTCAGAGACCAGGCTATTGGCCCATCATGGAAATCCCACAGTCGAATTATTACAGCAAGTAAGCGACCTGGCTGCAGAGATAGCAGTTCCAAGTCCCGGCGTACTATGCTGTGGCGGACAGATCATCGGGGGCGGAATGGATACTTTATTATCTTGATATCGCGTGTTTCTTTTTCGTTGCGGATCCGTTGCGTTGTTGAAGGTGATCAGGGGAGGGTGCGAGGGGAGCGATGGACTCCTGTGCAGCAGTTGGATGTGGCCGCGCGCATCGCCGGGAGAACTTGATTCAACCCCAATGGCTTTGAGAAATCTCGCCACGCTCCAATTTCATGACAGGAATCTCGTCGCTATTTTTGCCTCTGCCCACGCAAAATTGGGACTCAGGGGCTACGCGCAAGTCTGACAAACCACCGAACGATGCCGCCTCCATGGCTTCTCTCTCGACCACCACCACCGACGCGCGTCGCGAGCTCAGTTATCGCCACCCAGCATCCCATGGAACCCTCCCCCACGAGCTCATCGAGTCCCTCAACAGGGCGTACTGGCTGCACGTACTCGCAGTAGACCCTTCCCAAATATTGCCACCCGGCAAGTCTCTATTGGCGATGATGATGCGAACAGAAGCGCATCGCAGTGAGGCAAAGACGGACTTACATCGCACGGTCGAAGGAATAGTTCACAAGGCATTCTGGGATGAGGTGCGTCTGCCAATCTCGTCTGAGGTCGCCAGGAAACTGATTGCCGATATCACCCATCTATCTCAAGGCGATTGAATCCCTATCGTCTCCGATACCTTCTGCCCAATTGGCGCGGCTGAAGCTTCTCTACGCTGATTTGTCTACCGCCATTACACCACTTCTGCCGCCCGATCATTCGGTACTGGTTCAGCTAGCTTCGCCTTTGCCTCCCACGTCTTCACCACTACAAACGTGTCTCACATTACTGAAGGAGGTCGTGATTGCCTTGAGAGAAAGATGTGCACCCGTCCGTGATGGCGACTTTCTTCAAGTAATGAAGAGACTGGACGAACCTAATGCATTACCTACCACTCCCCCTTTGAAGACTACAAAGGAAGCCGTACCCCATCTGCCGATTGCAGTATGTATCGTGGACGTGATTCAGTCCATAATCACCCTCTCAGAACATATGAAGTCTGATCTTGAACAATTTGCCTTGGGCACAATGTCAGAAACTCAGCTCAAAGCTACGATAACACTGCAAGCCAAGAGGCGTGAACGAGACCTTATCGCAGAACTTTGGAGGACCAATGAGGAGAAAGGGGAAGACGTAGCCCGGCGTTTATGGAACCAATGGGCATCCGAGCCTTTGGAACCCCATCTGCAACTGCGGTCTGAAGATAGAACTCACCATGCCCGATGGGTGCTTCGACTTGTTCAAGCTCTAGGATCCTCTGTGTCGATATCCTGCGATGTACCTACTCCCAAAGATCGCCTGTCGACTGCGATACACCCTGTCCCTGCCTCCCAACTTACCTCAACCCCCTCCCATAAGAACAGTCTCCCTCCGCAATTCCTCCTCTCTTCCCCCTCTCTGTTCTATTTGCAGAACCTTCTCCAGGCTATCGTCATCAGTGCTGCTTTGCGTACCTTGCCCCGGTTACCCACTCCATCGTCTACGTCTGCTACTGCCCCAGGAGGGGACTTCATGGAACGGATATGGTCCCTCCTTCGATCCGAAGTGGACCAACCAGACGACACCCCAGGTGCCACCAAGTTGATCAATCTCGAAGACGAGGTAGTGCGAGCGAGGACCCTGGCTGTCGCCCACCACCCAGCGTCTGTCCCTAATCTCGGAACAGATCCTTCCTCAGCGACCCCAAGTGCACCCCCAATGGGCAAGGAGGAAGAAGCGCGATTACGTGCCGCCGTCCAGCGTACGCTGCAAACGCAAGATCCTGTGTTCGTGCTCCTGCAGACGCGGCTTCTTGTCAGCATGGCGAAATATTCAGTTGATCTTGTGGCGCAGTCACCAGCTGATCAGCCGGCTGGAGGTGTGCCCTCGGGAGGATCTTCGTCTGTTAGTCATGGTGCGCCTTACGCGCCGAGTAGCATGCACACAGGAAGAGATGGAGGGCGGCCTGACAAGAGACTCAGATTATCTTCCCCTAGCGAACTCCCTCAAAATGCGGAACCGCCGAAGCATGTTGCCTTGATCAAAGGGTTTGAAGATCCTGTCTTGGTTCGGGCTATAGAGGAAGCCTTTTCCAAGTTCGCCCGTTGTATCAAATGGGTAGCAGAGACGTGGCAGGATGTAATTTAGCGCTTCAAGTTACGGGCTTCAATGCTGGGGATGTTACTTATATAGGTGTACTATAGAATACTAAAGGACAAAGTACAATAGACATATAATACGTGTCAAAGTAATCCTGTAATAATGGCAATTGTAGATTCAACACCTACATGATTGTGCAACCCCAGCCTCTTTCCTGCCTATCTCTGTCTCTCTCTTGTCTTTCCCTGTCCTGTCTGTCGCTTTCCCGTTTGGCTTGCTCGCGCTCTACAGCCAACATCCGCTTCTGATACGCCTCAAGCTGCTGCTGCTCCCGGACTCGAAGACGTTGGGCTTCCAGTGCCTCCCTTACCGCCTGCCGGTGTTCTTCCGTTGCTCGCCGAGTCCGTTCTAACTGCTGGAGCTGGTCCTCCAGCAACCTGACCTCCATGTGTTCAATTGCCAGCTCAGCGAACAACGGCTGATCTGCTCGGACTGGTAATGGGTTTGGGTTCGGAGCAGCCCCCTGGCGCACCTCCCTGGCATGCGGCAAAGCTTGTTCCTGCTCGCCATCGTTTATCCTTCCCGGGATAGCCTCTTCCTCGACGTCGGTGTGCCCACCGTGCTCAGCTCCCATGTGTGGGTAGATTGCGTTTGCACTAAAGACCCCCATGCATTTCCAGCAGATATGTGCCCCGCATCTGCCAAGTAGAGCCGTTCAGGTGTTAGAACCGTTGCGAGTTGACTACGACATAGACTCGCCTGCAGGACATATGGTTGCATCCCCCCGATTTCTCGATGGGTGCCTGGCAATTAGGACATCTCTTCGCTTGTCGTATCCACGCCTCGCTCCAGTCGTCGTGGTCCCGCAACAACCGGGCATCTGCGCACGACATCCCGTCATGCCCATCTTCGTGGCAAGCCGAACAAACAATCGAGAAACACGATGGGCACTGCACAGCACAATCAGTTCGCGTCTTATCCTCCGTCGCCCGATAGATTTGCACGCAATCCGGTGTCTTGCAATATCTCAGACCTTTGGGATTTCTTGTTATGTGGGACGTGAAGGCCACTTCGAGCAAACGCGCGAAATCGGCGGGTGTTAGGAAGCGTTGGACGATGGGGATCGGAATGGGCTCCCCACAGCCTTCCCCGACGCACGTAAGAGGGAACTTGTCGCTCTCTTCCGCACTAGTTAGGAGATGGCGCATGCAAGGTGTGCAATACGCATGTTTGCAGCCGAGGACCAAGGGATTGCTGACATTATCGTAGCAAACAGGGCATATTTGCTCGGCTGGAACACTTGCAGCTATTGGTATTTTGGCCTCTTCAACCGACTGATCGACGAGACTCTTCAAGATATGTCGTGCCTCTTCTCCTCGCACTAAGATGAGTCGAGACGTCGCATTGAAATGAACATTCTCACTGCCGAACATTTCTTGTAGCGCGGATACGCCTTGACGGATGAGGAAGCCTACGCTCCGCTTCTGCAAAGTGAAGCACCATTCTTTGCTAGCGAGTTTCTGTAACTCGGCTTCCACCATTCTCTTGATGGCGTCGACGACGTCCGGCTTACCATAAGCCTTGAGGAGTTTCTTCCGGTGGTCAGCACTTAGGAATCCGCCTGTATCTTGAACGACAGCGCGGATGAACTGGCTTTTGGAATGTCCTAAAGACGGATGACACCCCTCGATCTTCTCTCCAGCGGCCAGATGTTCGACCCTCACCTTGAGGGCACCGACGGCCTCTCTCACCTTCCCGAGAAGGCGAATCTGAACGACGTCCATGGATCTCAGCTCTGTAATGGCGAGGTTGCACGCATTCTGGTCCTTGATACTCTCCACCAGTGAGTCCCACTGATGCTTTTGGGCAGAGTACTGGGAGGCCGGGATGGTCAACGTGTATTGCATGGGTGTAGGTAGGTGCAGCCAAAACATCGACTCCTTGATGTTCATGTTCCGGGGGAAGGTCCCATCACCCAATAACTGGTAGACCCGTTCGGCTTCTTCCCTTGAATCGAAATGAGCCTCTACAGTGACGATTCCATCTACCGACTTCTGTGAGTTATTGGATTCCCCGAGCGATACCAGGCCAGGTGAAATGCCGGCAATGTGACGGCGCAAGGAGTCGATAACGAACCGGTCGCCTTGCTGCCGGACATCCTGTTCTATTCGTCTCACAAACGATGCCCCAGTGAAATCGCGTATGTTGGTCTCGTCCACGGTAGTGTTTGCGATACTAACCATGATCAAATTTGCGTTGAAGTTCGTCTTCATGCTGACCGGAGGGGGGACATTGACTTCGACTTTGACACGGCGTCCCATGAGGACCTGACTGTTCAGAGCCTCAACCTTCCTCCCTGCGGTTTCCATATCGTCAAACTCAGCGACGAAGCTGACATATGGAGACCTCCATGATATGGTCAAAACGTCCGTATCTTGAAAGCCCGACGTGCCCATCCCGCCGGGAAGGTTGTAAGGGCCTACTTCGACCTTGAGTTTCTCGTTCCTCAACTCGATATCTTCCAAATCGACGGCCAAAGCTTCTCCACCATCAGTGTCGGTGACTACTTTCACAGTGCGCCGACCGCCCAGTGTTGCTTCATTATCCTGGATCAGGAATCGACTGGCTTCAACCCCCCGGTCCAGGAAAATATTTGCGATCTCCGTCTCTCGCGCATCAGCGGGCAGGTTTTTTATCTGCACTGTGCAACACTCAAAGCCTGTGACCAGGTCTTGTACGTCCAATCCAGATCCGAAGGTCACCAGTGAGCCCTCAATGATGCGCTGAATGGCCTGCGTCCCTTCCTCCCGGGCGATCTCCGCCAGTCGTGTCTGGTATTCCGCATCGCGAGCCTTTCGTAGGGCTTCTTGTTGTACAACTCTTGCTTGTCGGGCTGCTTCGCCCACCCTCAACGCCTCCAATGCGTGTTCTTCGCCTGCTGTATGAGCCTGCTCTCCCCCTTCCCTTCGAACCCCCTTGCGTCGCCGTTCTTCTTCGCGATGCTGTTCTTTGACTCCTGTGACCTCTATATGTCCTTCTCCGCGTTCGTTATTGTTTAACCGACGTCTTTCGTGACCTTGTTCCTCCTTCACTTGAGTTTGGTGCGCGTTGCGATGGTGCTGCTGAGCCTGAACATATGCATTAGGTTTAGCACTATATAGTATGCAGCCAACTCCAAATGTACCACAAGATCGTGCCCGAACCAGCATTCAGTGCCCCTTCGGCACGAGCCTAGTTTCCAGGCCCTACAAGGGATTTCGCCTCGTTTAGGCTTGGTCTGCTGTTTGGTAGAGTCGCCAACGGTGCGACTCGACGTAGCTTCATTCTGGTTGCGTCGTGGGACATTCCTTCGCGGAGGTATAAGTGGCTTTGCTGCCTGGCGTACGGAAAATTTCTACACCAGCGAATCAGAAAGTTGTGATCTTGGTAGCCGTACCTGTTGAACGCCAGAATTCGAAACGTTGACTCGAGATTGAGACATGGGAAGAGGAAACGTACCAGCAGCCGCAGTACAGAAGCTTAATGTCATGTCTGGCGATGGCCACGCATCGAGGCCCTCCAGAACCCCAGGACATTGGAATAGGGCAATCCAGCTGTTTACTCCCTTCACCTTGTGGGTGTGCCGCCGCAGCCAGAGTCTCTTAGGAGTTGTGTCAGGGGCCCCTACCATCGACAACAAACCACCGCACCTCCACAAATGAAAGGCCGATATTGTCATTCTATTTACCACATCCAGGACAACAGTGTAGGACGTCGTGCACGAAGACGTCGCATTCCGAGCAGAAATCATGCTTGCAGGTCGTACAGCGATACCTACCTGTAGGGCTGAGTCCCTCTGTCACTGTTGTCAGAGGCGTAGTGGGAAAGAGTCGGCCACAAGCATGGCAGTCGGGAATAAATGATGCATCCTGGAGCGTTTGCCTGCTGTTCATGAGGAGAGCGGCCATAAAGAGATGGGGGTGTTAAGACCTACACTGCATCGTACGGGCTAACCGGGAACAAGTGATGGTAGCTTCTTGCAAGATGCGGCGAGCTCACCACCATCAGACCGCAAATATCACAGTCCGTCGGGATGTCACATATCTTCGCGAGGCAGCGAGGGCACAGAAAACCCTCGCTCTTGAGCTCTGAATGGCACACGCAGAGGCTTTGCGGCGACGTATCCGGCAACCGCGTCGGGAATCCCATCATCATGAGGTCGGCGGCAGGATTACCACCGCGCGAAGTCATATTGCGCTGCGCGGGTGGAGGAACCATTTCGAAAAGAAGGTCTTTGAAGTGCCCTTCATTCAACGCGACGCCGAACTGACCTTCCTTGGCGCCATCAATGACATGGAGATACGGTTCGAGATGGACATACCACCAGTTTTATCGCAGAGTTCTCTGCAGATCTTCATCTCTGCTGCAAGTGCCACTACGGATATACGGATTTTGCTTTTGACGCAAGCGTCTAGAGTGTCGTGGATGTTCCCTGGGTCGCAGGTAGTGAGGGAACCGAAGATGATGAGGATTTCTCGCGAAGAATGTGTAGGAAGATGGCTACAGACGGTCACTTTGAGATTCGGGGCGGAGGAAGAATGTGCTCGCTAACCTCATGCTATTGCGAGCCATTTCAATGGCATTCTGTAAACTGGGGTCTCCGGTCGGTTCTAATTTGTGCCTTTCTGAGATTGCTTTCAATACATCCTGTGGGTTGCCTATAACAACTTTATGGACGCATGATGCAAGAAAATAGCCAATTTGCACACCTGTCATTTCGCCTATACGCTCTCCAAGACCGGCCCTCATTCCGACCACTCCCATCTGACCCAGCGGATTCTGATCGAACCATTCGACTATAAATTCGCGTGCGTACTGTAGTGTCAAGTCAAATCTCGTTGGCCGCATGTCTCGATCGAGCATAGCTAAGGATAGATCGAGCAACAAGACCAGATGTCGGATAATGGTACGCCGAATAGCTGAACCAGGGGTCAGAAGTCTTCAAGGGCACGGCGCATTAGCCTGCCGCGCGCAAGGAGAGCGGTGAATGAGGTACCTCCGTCTCCTCCCCCGGGCCATGAATTCGTTCACCGCCCCCTGAAGACTGCCTCCCTCGTCCTCTTGGACAGTGTCCCATGAGCGCGCAAAATTCGCCTCCCAGGTGTATGCTTGCTACAGAAACATAAACGAGGCTCACATTGACGCGTAATGAAGAAGTTCATACCACGTCTTTGGGCTTTCCCTTGCCCTTTTCTTTCTTCTTCTTGTCGACAGTTTTCCCCTTCCCCTTCCCCTTGCTTACCTTGAAGTCATCATCGTCGCCCATGGAGATGTCTGAATCGTAGTCGACGTCCATGAAGTCATTGTCCTTTCGTTTGGACATGCCGACTTAATGATATTATCAGAGTATGAATGGTAGATTCCCGAATCAGTCCCGTGCAGGACTATGACTTCAGTGTAACGTGGGGATCTGGGGTGGATCCGTAAGCTTTAAACGTTTGCAAACGCGACACGCGATGGTGATGGAAAGGACTCAGAGAGAACGCCAGTGGTTGCGCTAAAGCAGTCACAAAGAAACTGACTGTGGGAATATGGATTGTGATTGTGGGAATAATCTACTTGTGTCAAGAGACCTGTGTCATCGGGATTGGGATGATGCAGCCGGCCATCAACTGCGTCTTTTTATGCCCCCACACTTGGATGCTCCCCGACATACTCTTTAATGGATAACTCTACCTCGACCATCATAAATGACATTCCTAATGCCCCGCCACGCCACGGAAGCCCAGTTGTCGCATTCATAATTGGCCTCGCCATCATATTGCTCGCGTCCATACTGAACGCAGCTGGACTCAACCTTACGAAACTCGATCACGTATGGACGAGCGCAATACCGAAATCCGCAAGGAAAAAGGATTGGATGAGGCCGTTGTGGTTGCTGGGCATGCTTCTCTACATGTGAGATATCATGGGGCAATGACAGCGCGTTCAGAGTGCTCATTATTCTCCAGACTATCACAGCTCATTGGCAGCACACTGGCGCTCGAGTACATGCGCGCAGGTTTGTGGTTTCAGCTATTTCTCAGACATCAGCTAAACAAGCCCCCGTAGAATACGTAGCGCCGCTGGGCTCCACGTCGCTCGTATTCAACTTTCTGTTCGCCCGCTTTCTTGTCGGCACACCAGTGACAAGTACTGACATCTACGTGAGTAGTTGGGAATCATGACCCTGGCAACGGCCTGACCAGTCCCAGGGTACCATCATCGTGATCATTGGTGTAATAGGCATCGTTGCCTTCGGCTCCATCAATAGCGGACTCGCGACTGAAACGGATGCAGCCCATCTATCACATCTGTGGAGGCGCGGTGGCTGGCTGGGATTCTTCTTCTTTATGGCATTCTCCCTGGCCCTGCTCTTACTATTCACCAGCAAGCTTGATGCCCTTCTTGCTGCCCGGTCGGAGATCAATGCGGCTCCTTTCTCAGGGATACCTATACCCCCAACTTCAACTACTGCGGGTCCTAGAAGGGAAGGCCAAGAACTGTCCCCGTGGCAGAAGGTTGCTGGCGTAGGAAGCGCGATCCGTGGGTACTGGGATGCGGCTATGGTCAAGGTTGGAGAGTGGTTAGAACTGTGGACGGCGTCAAAGGACGACAAACAGATTGCATGGACGCTCGGAATAGGTTGGGCTTGCTGTGGGGGTGGTTTAGCCGGTGGTTGCCTGGTATTCGCCAAAGCCTCGTACGTCGCATCTTCATTTGAACCGTCAAACACATATTTAGTTGATCAACGAACCCTAGTGTTCAACTCATCTCAGGCTCGCTTTCACACGAGAACACCGGTAACCAGTTCGGACACGCATCCAGTATCTTCACGTTTATATTCCTGGCGACCACAGCCGTTCTGCAAATCATTTGTTTGAACAGAGGCTTGAAAGTTTACGATTCGACCTTGGTGGTTCCCGTGTTCTATGGTGTATACACAGCTTCTGGGTATGTTTCGCCTTCTGTTCCATATATCCCAAGCTTATTCCGTCTCAAGATTTCTAGATTCTCTGGTAATGTGTTCTCACCGTTTTATGTCACTAATGCACCCGCTCATACATTCATCGTAGATCTTCAACAATGAAGTCGATGCCTACCAATCGTGGACGTTATTCCTCATCTTCGTGTCTATCTTGATCCTCATATCTGGTGTGGTCCTTCTCACGCACAAGAAGCCCGAGCCTCTGCATAATAAGGCTAAGACTTCGCCCGTCGTCTCAGCGCGACAGAGTCACCGAGGGAGAACTCCCACTAAGAAGTCTCCAGGGGATGGCGATGATGACGAAGACGAAGCCGGAGAGGATCACGCTCTGCGAACGAGGGTTGAGGGTGAAGAAGACGGGGAGGCTCTGTGGTCGCTTGGCGACGCTAGTGACGACGAAGACGATGGCTTGGACTCCAAAGCGCACAAGCCACTACATGCCACTGGAAGTTCTAGCCGTGTACATCTCGGTGACGAGGGCGCTCGACTGATAAATGGTGCCGAAGATGACGCTGAAGATGGCTCTCCTGAACACAGGGACAGATCCACTCATCTGCGGAGGTCGATGAGCTCTGATGCGACACTTCCCGTGTCGGCCAAAGACACAGTGCCATTTAGTGACGAACATGAAGATTATGGCGAATGGAAGTATGCTAAACCACCGAAGCCATGATTCTGACGATGACTATTCCGAATTCTACTTCATCACATATTTAAGATATTCCCCACACGCACATCATCAAGAGACTCCATTCACGCACATAGATTCATACATTTATTCATGACGGATTCTTTATCATATCAGTAGCATTGACTTACATATAATGACCATTTTCCTCTCTACAACGCGACAAAGGTTTCGAGGCTTGCGCCTCAGCCCAGTCGAGGTTGATAGGGGCGACACCCCTGATCATGAGGAACATGAAGTCGCGCGCTCGTGGAAGCCTGGCGGTGAACCGGCGCACTCACGCTGAACCAACACTCGACGTTTCTTTCAACTCTCGAGGGGATGGACAAAAGCGATGGGATGTCTTGGACAAGGAAGAAACGCGCGCACAACCCACCAAGGCTCGCGTTCGGCTTCCTCATTATTCTGGTCTCCGTCCTCTTAGCTGCTCAGTTCTTCCAATTGGCCTGGCTATCTCCCACTTCTGTGAACCTGCCGCCCCATGCGTCGGAAACGATATCTCGATGCCGGTCACTTCAGATGAAGGCAGGACCCTCGGAAGGCTTCGATAAACGACAGCAGTCCGACCGGTTCGTCCCCGGGACGAAGCCTTATCTTCTCACCAACGCAAGGATATGGACTGGTTTGGAGAATGGCACCGAAGTCATTCGCGGGGACGTCCTGATTGATAAAGGCATTATCAAGGGAGTAGGTCACTTTGGTCGTGGATTCATTGCGAATGCGCGCACTAGGTTCGCTGACCTCGAGGTCGTGGACGCCGGGGGGAAGTGGCTTACCCCCGGCATTGTGGATATGCACTCACACATTGGAGATGCATCGTCTCCCGCTCTCGATGGCTCCGAAGACGACAACTCTTTGGCAGGAACTGCGCAGCCGTGGTTAAGGAGTTTGGACGGCCTGAACACGCACGATGATTCGTACCTTCTTTCGATATCCGGAGGTGTTACAACGTCGCTGGTTCTTCCAGGGTCAGCCAATGCGATTGGAGGTCAAGCCTACTTGATTAAACTACGCGAAACTGCTGAGCGGACACCTTCGTCAATGTTGCTGGAAGCGCCGTATCAAATCAATTCCTCCTTCCCCGATCCAAACCTACCCCTACACTGGCGGCACATGAAGTGAGACTCTGAGCTACATAGCTTAATTGTTGTTTGATTCTGATTGGCAATGCTTCCGTTAGGCACGCATGTGGTGCGTTTAAGGTCTTGCCTTGCTGTGAAGGACCTCTCTGATGCCTACACTCTTGATTACAGGAGAGAATCCTAGTAAGCCTTAACTTCAATGCCCGTGTCGCTTCATTCAACTCAGCCATTATTGCATAGGCCGAGTATACGGGGTTACACGCATGGATACCATCTGGGCCTTCCGTGCATCGTAAGTTCAATGCTCACAGAGTCTTCCGTGTACTTATTCATCTACCACAGGTATAACAAAGCGCGAGGTATCAAAGAGAAGCAAGACGCTTATTGCGCGCGTGTGAGTAAGAACGAATGGGCTGGATTGGGCGACTTCCCTGAAGATTTACAATGGGAAGCTCTCGTCGATGTTCTTAGAGGGCGTGTCAAGGTATGTCGGACCACCGGAGGCTATAGTGTAAGAGCTCAATCAAGTACCAAGGTAAACATTCATTGTTACGAGACCGTTGATTTGGACGCGCTCGTACGGGTATGTGATTCTCTGTGTATATTTTCTATGATACATTGCTGACATCCTCGCGCAGCTATCCAATGAGTTCAGCTTCCCTATCGCCGCATTTCATCATGCAAGCGAAGCCTATCTCGTTCCCGACACCCTCAAGAAAGCCTACGGTGAGTCCTCGCATCAGAGCATCAAAGCGATACTAATTCCTACAGGGTCTCCTCCGGCGATCGCTCTATTTGCTACCAACTCAAGGTATAAACGGGAGGCGTACAGAGCTTCTGAATTCGCGCCTCGTATCCTGACTTCCCATGGTTTGAAAGTCGCGATGAAGGTCAATTCGCTCGATTTGTTCCCACATCTCTTAGCCTACTCACAATTGAATTAGAGCGACCATCCCGTCCTTAACTCTAGGTTCCTTCTGTACGAAGCGCAACAAGCTTATTTCTATGGAATGCCAGAGAATGCTGCGTTGGCCTCCGTAATCAGCACGCCCGCCGAAGTCGTTGGAATGGGTCATCGACTTGGCTTCGTTCGCAAAGGTAAGCTGAAAAATAGCTAAGACCTGTTGCGTCTTACTCAAAGGCATCAACTCCTCAGGCTGGGACGCAGGTAAGCAGATGTTGTCAGCTATCAAATAGGATACGTATAGATTAACTCCGTTAGATTTGGTGCTCTGGGATAGTCATCCTCTTGCCTTAGGGGCCACCCCTGTTCAGGTTTTCATTGACGGTATCCCCCAGCTGTCTTCTCCACATGTCAACACGAAACCCGCCTCCTTCCAGCACCCTCCCAAGGTACCAAATTTCGACAAGGAAGTCAAGCAAGCGCTCAAATACGAGGGTTTGCAACCCCTTGAGCCAGCGGCCTCTACACATGACGTCGTAGTATTCACCAATGTCAAGGATGTCTTCACAGCTCACGCGAGCGGCATTATGAAATCCTTCTCTGCATCTCATGAAGACGAGCTTGGCGTTGTGGTGGTTCGTGGCGGAAAGATCGAATGTTCTGGCCAACGCGCGACATGTTTCGCGAACGGAAATATTGACAGTCTCGAGGCAGACGTCGTGGACCTGGAAGGAGGATCAATCTCTCCTGGCCTTCTTTCGTTCGGGGCACCGCTAGGACTGGAAGTGATCAACCAAGAGCCTACTACGAACGATGGTCTAGTTGGTGATGCTCTCCGCAAACCGTTACCGAAGATTCTTGGCGGTGACACTACTGTTGTCCGCGCAGTCGACGGCCTCGAATTTGGTACCAGGGACGCATTGTAAATTTTCATCCATTCTCATACTGGCTTCTGTTAATTATGGTATTTGGGCAGGCTGGCGTACCGGGCAGGTGTCACCTCCGCAGTCACTGCACCTCTTGGATCAGGCTTCTTCTCTGGGCTGGGTACAGCCTTTTCGCTGTCAGCGAAGCACAAGTTAGAGCAAGGATCCATCGTCAAGGAGGTCACTGGCTTCCACATTGCTGTCAGGCATAACTCCAAAGGCCCAAGTGTCAGTACGCAAATTGCTTTGCTGAGGCGTTTGCTGCTTGCTCCTGTTGATGGTGCTCTGGGACACCACTTCCGAGACGTTAAAAAGGTGTGTGATCTACATGTTCATTTGCTTAGCCGGTCCAACGATAAGGCAGGGCGTACTGCCGTTGGTCATCGAAGCCCACAGTGCAGATATTATCGCTACGTTGATATTGCTCAAGAGAGAAGTCGAACGAGAGATCGGGTCCGACATCAGAATGACAATTAGCGGGGCGACAGAAGCCCATCTACTGGCCAAGGAACTGGCTCAAGCCGCAGTTGGTGTCATCGTGAGGCCCTCACGACCGTTCCCATATGTTTGGGAAGATAGAAGACTGTGCGTGACCTTAGTCTTCCCTTTTGCCTATGATGCTGATTTTTATATACGCTACAGCATGCCGGGTCCTCCTCTTACGAAAGAGAGCGCTATATCGAAGTTGCTTTCTTACAACGTTACTGTTGGCATCGGCATTGAAGAGCTTTGGAGTGCTAGAAATACACGATTCGATTTGGCATGGGTCAGTTAATTTACTCTTAGATAGCAAGATTCCTGACGAATGTTTATTCAGGCTGCTATCGAGACTGGCCTAACGATGTCTGAGGAGGAAACTCTGGCCTTGGGCACCATCAACCTGCGCAAATTACTGGGTGTGCCGTACGTAGAGGACGACAGCTCGCTAGACATGGTCGCTACCTGTGCCGGCAGCCTCTTGAGCATGGACTCGAAGGTCGTGGCAGTGTTTTCGTCCAGCATCGGGCGAGTAAATTTCTTCTAGCTCTGACCTTTTTATTTAAACGACGTTTCGATATTTATGTTGTATAAACTTTGACAGCAATATTACTCCAGCTCTGGCGTCGAGATACGCCCACAGACAACTCATTCAAAATCTGCTGGTGGGCCTCGATACATGGATATCGGCTTGGGATCTTCATGTACAGGCGCTGCTGCTTTGTCTCTTCACACCGTGCCCTATCTGAGGTTCCCAGAGGAAAGCGCTGTGAATACCTCCAGAATGACGAAGCAGGGGATCAAGCTTGTACATCCAATAGTATCAATGACAACTTTACGAAGACAAGGCCTAAATCCCTCGTAAGCACGCTCGTGCGCCTGGGGTACCAAATGCTAGTAGTTTGGACATCATCTCAAGGTATATTTGAAGTTGAACCCATAAGACCGATCTCAGTAAACTATGTTCATTGCAGCATCGTAATCTACTTGTTCAGGTAAAGCAGCTCGAGGGACAGCCCCGCGAACTAGCATAGGCTCGTTCGCGGACAGAAATCCAAATTCAAATTGATGTAGATTAGGTAGACCGGAGCAACGCTAGGCTGATAAACTAGCCTCTCTTCGAGGCAGAAATCCGAATTCACTGGGGTAGAAATTCACGGTGGAAAATGGTAGAATGGGATTGGCTAGGCAGGAGTGCCGCTGACGTGATTAGCGCTGGCTGCTATCCTCTTCTGTCAAAACCCTTGATGGGGATGTCCTAAACGGGTGGACCAAATCGCGATCCCGTCTGATCGCGGAAGGGTCCATCAAGGGTAGCTGACTGCCCGCCCATCGATCGCGACGTCGTACTCATTGTCTCAGCCAGCGAGCTCAAGATATCAGTCAATATTGAGCCTAAGGATTCAAGTTTTTGCTAGTAAATTCAAATCATGTTTCTGTATGTATACTCTAGTGAATGGACCATCATGTAAGTAGAACATGCTGGAAAACTTGATGATTTGACATTAAATGCACAAAGCAGGAATATGGTGCAACTATCACAGCACTAGTCATTGGAGATATCTATTTACCTCTGAATCACCCATACATTAATATTCTATGATATAATTTCTTTTGTTTTCATTATTATTTCAAACATTGTTTGGACATACTTCGCTTTGTGGCTACTTTTTATCAGCTCTGAGTATCTACCCACTTTCTATCAATTTTATCATGATTTTAAGCAAAAGACGCGGGCTCAAATACTTAAATCTGACGAAGAACTTGAGCTCGCTGTCTAGAACGGCGAGCACGAAGGTTTGGTCGGACGATGGGCCATGCGACTACCAATGTGGCAGGTTCTCACGAGGGACTAGCTAGAAATGGACCGAGGAGCGCCAAGGTTCCTGGATTCTACGGAATTCTCATTCTATGGAATTCTATCCCAGTCAACTGGGTGCCCTCCTTCGAGGGTATGATAGTCGATGCTCTTAGAGCCACGCATACAATCAGCGTTAGAGCGTTAGAGGTGCGTAGCCTCGCAGCACAAGTCGAAGGTCCACGTGCAGCAGAGATCGCGCTCCTGGCGGATGTTGCCGACTGCCAAGAATATAACCACAGCAAAGCGGAATCAATTCTGGAGAGGATAAACTACGACGAACAGCTAGTCTTGGCCCCGCGAGGGAGAGAGCGATCCCATAAACGTCCTGGTTCCATTGCGATGGCACGAGGAACCACAACATGAAGATACAGATATACTGGCGCGGATGGGGCATCCATAAGGCGCAACGGGCGAGGCTGGTTGAAGACACAGTGGAGAAAGGGCATCGAATCTGTCAAAGATTGATTGAAGGTCGCCAGGCTATTTTCATGGAGGAAAGATGTCGAGTCCGGGACGAGGTTGTCACTATTCGGTGACCATGCACATATATTCTTGGTAATATTGTCAGTGTATTGTGTGACTATCATATTCGGGCCACAGAACACAATCTGCATCTTCAAAGGCGAAAGTATGAATTTAGAAGGTTCATGAGCGACATCCAAAGAATTGTACGGAACCGTCAAAGCTAAGAAATATAAAGCGACTAGGATATGACAAAACGACAGACAGCAAATCCTATGATATACAATTAGTCTACTCCTATACTTACAAATACAACTGGTTTATCTTGAAGCGGGGGTAAAGTACGACTGAATCGATTGTTTTCGGCTGACGTACGAGGAAACGGCTGCTCTGCGTTGATAATGAACACGCATCGATAGTTGCTTGATGGCTGCTTTTGTTCGCGAGCGATCAAGGTGAGCAGCACGGGTATCAGCTAGCACAATATTAGCACACACATTGCAGATAAATACCGAAAAACTAACCAATCCGCGAGTGAAGCGAATCTAACGCCAGCTTGATGAGTTGAAGAGGCGTATCAGGCTTTTCAGGACGCCGACCCAAACCCAGCATCGAGGGGGAGAAAGGCTCGGGCTTCTGCGCTTTCTCGTTCTCTGTGTAGAGATCGATAGCGGACAGTGCCACCGCCAGGATATGGACATAGTAGCCCAAATCGACGTAATCCGTCTGTGAGTTGATTTGGAAAATATCACGGCCAGAAGCGTCGTTGAGCAGTGCCTTCACCAGGGGGAACAAGGGAGGCAAGTTGGAGTAACCAGTCTAAACGAACATTAAGTAAGTAAGCAATCACGACATTGGCAGATTAGACTCACTGAAGTAACGGCGCGCTTGTCGAGGATGATTGAGCGCGCAATTACTCTTGCTATTCGCATCGTGCGACCAGACCCAGAGGCAAGCAGGCCCACGACGTAGTCTTTGTTGATAGGTTCCACGTCTGCCAGAAACCCGAGCAACTTGTTGCAGACAGCCGATTCCTGCAATAAATGACGTTGAGTAATTTGCAGCGTCCTAGTCGGCGAGGTGCTCACTATATCGGGAATAACATCATCGCTAGGACCGATGGAAGAACATATGTCGTGTACAGCCATAATGAGGTCTCTGGTGATATCTTGCGAGCAAGAGGGATCCAACGCAACATGAGAGAGCAGAAGCAAAACATTAGGAATCTCCTGGGGTATAAGAGAGCCAAACCTAGGGAGAAAGGTTCAATGACACACAAGGCACAGACAAAAGGTATTTTTATTTACCTTGCCGCTGATGTGGTTAAGTATATTAGACGATAGAGCATCTTCTCCCGAGTCGTGCTGTCAGATGTAGGCCCACGATGGGGGCCCACTGATGCCCATCCCGCTTTCAGAAGGATAGCCGGATCCGCACCTAAGCGATCCAAGGCAGAGTAGAGCACCGAAACCGGTAAAACAGCGGCCGACTGTAGAGGACCACTCCATAGGCGGCTCAGTGTCAGGTAGGCAGAGAGACCTAGACGCGGATGGTCGTCGCTTAAGGCTAGATTATCAGATATATCAGCGTGCATTTGAGGGTCATCGAAGGGGAGACCTACCCAGTTGGCAGGCGTAAGGTACGATACTGCTCAACAGCGAGGTCGGTAAAGTCTCCAGCAATAAACTAGAGAGGGGGACATCTTGGCGCGTGAGTGCCGCGGCAAGCGAACCCCAGACAGGATTGTCGTCCGGAGCGGTAAACTGGGGTACCTCGTGCTCGACTTCCATCTGATCCGTTGCATCGAGCCACAATGGGATCCCAAATGGCTTGCTTTCTGATTCCGTATCCACTGTCTTGCCTTTGTCCTTGTCCAGAATGACATTTATACTTTTGCTGCACTTGCGGCCAAACAGCCTCTGCTGATCTTCTTCGCCCATCTCGTGGTCGTCATTGGCGCCGTCGCTCGAGAGGTCCTTCTCCAAACGGTCTCGGTATTTCAAGGCACTGAAGGCAGCCCCTTCGTCTTGCCAAGCCGGGTCTTCTTCGTCCATCTCCGCCAATAAACCTTGCTTGCCAGCGACGGCTGTTTCAGCAGCACGAAGGGCGTCCGCGCCTTTGCCCTTTTTCTCAGCATTCTTCTTCTCCTTTAGTAAAGCATCTAAGGGATTCTCAACGCGTCGACTACTTGCTGAAGGCCGTCCGGTAGCCTTGCCCTTGCCCTTGACGTCTGTTATCGTTTCGGGGTATTTAGTTGGCGGGGGGCGAGCAGTAGGTCCGTCTAAAGATGAACGCTTTGTGCGTAGGTCATAGCGCTTGCTGCCCGACGAAGAAGCATTGGCTGATGGTTCTTGCTTAGAGGCGCGGGTAGACTTTCGCATGATTCTAGAGAAGGACGTTGCCGTTAGTTCGTAGGACGCGAAGGAGAGATATATCGCACATCGGGTTGATGAGTAAGTCTTCTAGGTCAGAGTCCGAGTCGAGATTATCCTTGAAATCCTTCAGAGCCCGTTCCTCTGAACTCTCCCTGCTCGCTTCGCAACGCGCTTTAATGTCAGCAATGATCTGAGCTGCCTTAGCTTCTCCGCTAAGGGCAACTGGTGCTTTCATAGAAGGGGCGGCGCGGGGACTTGACGGAGGTGGGGTCAATGAGCCAGCATAGACATCGGGAATGCAATCATCGTCGTTGACAGACGTATTGGAGGTCCGAGTTGATATTTCGCCAGGACTAGAGCGGGGAAGTGAAGTAGCAGAGGACCCCGAGACGACGGAGTGATGATCATCTTCCGAAGCCAGCAGAGTGGCTGGGACGGAGGCTTCCCTGTTTTGCAGCGCCTTGATCGAGACTAGTTGAGGATCCTGGCGCCATTTGTCTACGGAGTCCTTCACGACATCTACTTCACGGATTGATAATCTAGATACATCCACCTCCATTTCATCAGACTGGCTGCTGGGGACAATGATGGAGGGTTCGGGTGATAAAAGCCGCGGTCTCTTATGCGAGATAGGAGGCGTGGCGAGGGCTGGCGCGACATTGACTTTAGCCGTCGGAGAGGGAGTTAGAATGAAAGTATGAGCCTTGGCATTTTTTGTAGGGCGTTTTATGACTGTAATCATTGAGTCTAGTCGGTGTTCATTGTCTGAATCGTCGTCGATGTTCTTCTTGCGCTTCCCGGATGGCTTAACAGCGGTGCGTGATGTAGTCTTGTTGATAGTAGATTGGGACGATTGGGACGATGTGACAGGCAGGCCCAAGCCCAGCGCACTGGCATTATGAGAGTGCAAAGCTTTGGGCTTCGTCGCGTCCCTTGTGCTTCGATGTCCTGGCTCCGAGTCGGGAAGCGGTGTGGGCAGCGAAGCAACAGGGCGCGCCGGAACGTCAACCTTGAGTGCAGGCATAGTATTTGCGTCTTGGTCGCGTATTCTGTCCTTGGATTTCTTTGTGTTACTAGGATTTAAGGCTCGCTTAGGAGACTGGGATGGTTGTGGGCCCGAGTCATGGGAAATGGTGCGTGGGCGACGCGTAAAGAAGTCAGTTATTGGCTTTGTAGCTTTGCCTGTGGCCTTCGTCGTGGATTTTGGCATGGTGGCGACCACGGGTGACGGTGAAGAAAGAGGGTAGGGGTACTACGCGATATTGGCGGACCTTGAAAACGCGCTCACCCTGCGCTTCCCACGATACTCGGTACACCATGACGGTGCCTCAGCGAGTTGTGACCTCTCGTCAAGCGCCACCGGATGTTGAGGGCTGCTAGGTGGGGCTTTTTGGAGATACTTCCGAGAACAAATAGGTGTTTGGCTCATCAGAGCAAATCCCAATCCCGGACGTTAAAACGTTTATTAGTGGATGGCTGACATAAAGGAAATACTTCTGAGACTCAAGCATGAGCGTTCTTTCTGAATAGGGTCAACGGAACGGATATCAATACTGAAGAACAAAAACAAAATGTCAATTGTCCATAACAACATCGCCGCTCTCTCTGTTGTCTTGATCATCTTCTTGGGCTTGCTCTACTCCAAGACTGCCTGCAGGGCGCCAGACATTCCCTACTGTGGCTTTCCACAGGCGAATGCGACCATCATTGCCCGCTGAAGACAGGATAGTGCTAAGATACAGAGTTAGTTCAGAGACACTGCATAATTTTGGGGGAAACATACCCAGTAATATTCCACTCTACTCGGCCAACGGATGATCTAGTCCCAACGTTAGTTATACCCAATCAACGCTTTAGGGCGAGGCGAACTTACTTGTGGTTGTCAAAATCAGCGACAATGGTAGCCGACCAACGCCCTTCTTCACCTTCGTCACCCTCGGCATCTTCAGGTGCTGGCTTGACTTTCCAGATACGAACCTTGCCGTCGCGACAGCCAGTTGCGATGAGATGATAAGACCTACCGCAAGACGGGGCCCAGGCCACTGAAGTGACAGCATACGAGGCGGGTGAGGGGGAGTCTGCCTCCGCGGGAGCATCTGCAGAGCCAGTTAAAGTCTGCATAGTCGAAGCAGCATGGGCAGGCGAAGGATCGAGAGTGAGAAGGGTCATTGGACGTTGAGACGCGGATATCTGAATAACCTATGACAACCTCGTCAGTGTGGACTTCGACGAGGAGTGTGAATGGACACGAGTACCTTAACAGTTCCTCCGATACCGCACCCTGCCGCGATGACTTCCCCCCAGTACCGATCTTTGCACCAAGAAATACACCAACCTCCATCTGCCTCACGATTTCCCATTCCTGAGCGTCCTGGGGGAATTGGCCCTGTGGCCAAATTCTGTTGGATGCCTTGTTGTAGAGCCTGAGCCACCAAAGACGCCGAAGCCCCCGCGCCCCCATCTAAAGTCGCGCTCGTCTGGGTAGGGGTAGCCAGCGCCCCAGTGTGAGTGCGCGACAAGAAAGATGGCGTCGTGGAGATCGGGAGATTCAGAACATCGGCTTCTTCGCTGACGTGCCATGCAGTGAGAGAAGGCTGTTCAACGCACTCGTAGATTCTGAGGTGGTTGTCTGAGGAGATAGTAGCCTATGGGGGTTTGGTGTCCTTGTCCCCAAATTGAGTCAAGGGTAACATACCAATTTTAAACCAAAGTGGTGCGGGGCAAATTCAACGGCTCTGACTGTGCCCCTCGCTTCGTGCAGCACAGCTCTTTCGATCCAACGAGAAGGAGAAACAGGAGAGGCTCCATTGCCATTGATTGAGGTCTTTGGTCCATTGTTCGACGCGTCGACGACCTGTTCCCATATCTTCACGGTACGGTCAAAAGACGAAGACGCGATGATTGAGCCAAATGTCGGATGTGCCCATGAAACCTTTGACACCGCCGCGTCGTGAGCCTGCGCGAGCAAGTCAGTCACTCTCCACAGGGAAAACAGAACCACGGTACTATTCACCTTCCAGTCATCTTGTACTGTCCAATTTCCAGTGCTTTCGTCCAGCTGCCAAATCTTTATTCTGTGCTATGCACGCGTATTAGCGGTGCTGGAAGTCGCTGGCGAGACAATCACCTCTGATCAAGACTGCATGTCGCTAAGCGTAAGCCGTAGAAATCGTATGTCGCGTCTGTTACAAGGTCGCCATGCGCATTCGGGATCAGCCCTGTTTGCAGCATGATGCCTTCGTCAGGAGCTTGCGGAAGTTATGGAAGATTTAGTGATTGGGGCTCGAGTCGGATCGACGCGGCGAGCGCCAAAAGTCTGATTACGTGAGACTCGCGTTTCCCTTCGCGCCGCCTCGCCACATGTGTCGTCTGGCTTACATGCTGGTTCAGGCCAGCCGCTCAAATCCATAGCATCAGTCTGACCGCGGATAATCCCCCGCCTGATCTCTCGTCGTTTGCCACAACTTCCTTCAGTGTATATTACTAGGACATTGCGGAATGAAGATCAACAGTCAATCAGAATCGTTCAGATCAAGTTCAATATCCCATGTTGAAGCATCTGCTCCGGTGGTCTTGGATGATGTAGGTGGAGCTGGTATCGGTGGGTCTCTGGGAGGTGAATCCAGATCGATATCCTCGATGTCCCAAGCCGGGCTAGGAGATCGGGCAGGTTGTTTGCTCTTCCCCTTACCAGGATCTGATGCTACAAGTGTGGGCGCTCCGCTGGCTAGGGCGGACCTTTGCGTAGAAGGCAACGGAAGAGTAGATGTAGCATGGTTTCGGAAAGGTTTGTCAAATGCGTTCTTGATGTTCTTGACCTTGACTTGTCCAAATCCAGGGAGGTTTCGAAGCTGGTCACCCGATGCGTTCGCTATGTTTGCGAAGCTCTTTTTCAAATGATATATCACCGTCATCAGATGACATTGAAGAAAGTGCTTACACCGAACGACGATTTGAGCGTCTCGACATCGGTTTTGTTGACACGGCTTATGGTTGTCAGCGCAGTGCGCAAGATGGAGTCATGGTCTTTGTCCACTCGCTCCTTGATCAAGTCTGGTGGCTTGTGCTCGAATTGTTTGAACGTCGAGAGATAGTGCCCCGCGTCTTCATACCTGAAATACTTTGATTGTGAGACTGACTCGCTCCCTCACTATTGCGTACCTACGAGAAGGCAACGATAACTGTGATATTGTTGATAAGGCCCATCTAGACGAGTCAAGTCAGTATTCCAGTAGCTCCCTCTTGACTGCGGGTCGTGCCTTCGTTATTTCTCGGATGGGCTCTCGATGCTCGGACTACAATCCGTGAATGATTGTATAAGTTCCAAGGTAATACTGTACCCACGACATCGCAGTGTATTAGGATGATTCTTAGTCCATATGAGTGCCCTAACTTCTCGACGCGTGTGTGGATGTACTCTGGGTGAAGTCGATGGTACTTAAGGCTATTGAACATTAAATCAATCATTGCTCGGAGCCTTGTCTATACAGCGCACACCTTAGAAACAAAACGCCAGTGGTTCTTCCAACCTGATAATCTGCCACAATATCACCAAATTCTTTGCCCACATTGCGTATACATTCGAGCACAGGGTTACCACGCTTTCTTGGGCCAATTAGAAAGCATTTCCACATGTCGAGGCTGAAGGATCATACCTGCGTTGGGCTTATTATTATGTTGTTTCCTGCGCCTGGTTGCACGACGGGCGGTCTCACGACGGGAGGTTTGGGAGTGGAAGAAGACATGGTGGTGTTGAATGAACTGCCATGTATGGTAATTTCTGTGAGATCGGTCGAACGAAGCTTCCTGATTCCACAATACGGTTTCCCAAGCGTTACCACGCGATACATGTCTGACCGACGGTCCTTCTTTCTTGACCACAATGTCGCCTGATGATAAGGCGTTGCCTGTGTATACCCCGCCCCCTCGACCACCCCCAAGGCAACAGTCTACAAGATTTCGACGCCTGCTGGCCACGCTATTGCTCTCGGCACTGGCTCTCTCCCTTTCAGCTTACAACATATGGACCACAGAGCAGGACAGGACACTGGCGAAGCCCCCCCTTCGCGCAAAGGAAATCTTGGATCAGTGCCGCTCACTAGAGCTAGAACCTGGTCCTCCACCAGACTTTCACCTTCGAAAAGCTTCTGACAGATTTGTCCCCGGTACGAAAGCGGTCCTTATCAAGAACGCGACAATTTGGACTGGAGAGATTAGTGGATACGAAGTTGTCAAAGGGGACTTGCTGCTGGACAAAGGCCTGATACAAGCTATTGGAGACGTTGGCGAAGATATTATACTGAAGTATCAGGAATTGGAGACCGTAGACGTTGCGGGGAGCTGGGTTACGCCTGGGTATGCCGTACAAACAAACCGTCACCGTCTTTACTCAAGTTACTGCTAAGAATTGTAGACCTACACTCTCATCTGGGTGTTCTCAGTTCGCCGAGCTTGCGAGGAAGTTCAGATGGAAATTCTCGCAAGGGCCTCGTCCAGCCTTGGCTTAGAAGTCTGGACGGACTCAACACGCACGATGAGGCTTACCAACTGACCATCTCTGGAGGCGTCACTACCGTCAATGTGCTTCCTGGATCCGCTAATTCAATCGGGGGACAAGCATTCACAATCAAGCTTCGGCCTACGAAAGAGAGATCCGCCTCTTCGATGTTGTTAGAGCCTCCGTTCACGTTGAATGGTACGGAATTTGATCCCTCGGTACCGCCTCGTTGGAGGCAGATGAAGTGAGTCAGCATTGCAATCAATGCCCACTGAAATCACTCAGCCATGAATCCAGACACGCATGTGGTGTGTGCGAAGTCATTTCTACTGTTTCGATGATTTAATTGCCTCAATCATCTAGGTGAAAATCCAAGTACGAACCTCATATTTCCCGGTAGATTCCGTCATTTTATATCTCCCGTTTAGGCAGAGTCTACAGTGATACGCGCATGGACACCATCTGGGCACTTCGACAAGGGTGAGTTCAAATAGCTTTGGTACACCAGTCGAGTAGCTAATCCAGTGGCCAAGTTACGAGACGGCTCGTAAGATCAAGGTCTCCCAGGACGAATTCTGTGCCAAAGCTCAAGCTGGCCTTTGGAATGAAATTGGAGACTTCCCGGAGGATTTACAGTGGGAAGCTCTGGTGGATGTCCTTCGTGGACGCGTTAAGGCAAGTGACTTTGGCAGAGTATCGTTATCTCCAAACAACTTACAGAACACACTCCCTGACTAGGTTCAAAATCACTGCTACGAGGCTGTCGATCTCGATGGTATAGTCAGGGTAAGCATGTTTCCTTCGTGAACGATCGTCTACACCATGTTTACTTTTATTGAGCAGCTCACGAATGAGTTCAAATTCCCACTCGCGGCGTTTCACCATGCCCATGAAACATACTTAGTCCCCGATCTCCTGAAGAAAGCATATGGCCATCCTCCCGCGGTTGCCATATTCGCTACTAACGGGAGATACAAGCGAGAGGCCTACCGTGGCTCTGAGTTCGCTGCACGCATCCTGGCCGACAATGGCCTGAATGTAGTAATGAAGGTCAGCACAAGTTCTGACTATTTGATCTCATGTGCTAAGTCCCGTCATCAAGAGTGATCACCCAGTATTGGATTCCAGATATCTTGTCTACGAAGCGCAGCAAGCCCATTATTATGGCTTACCGAGGAATTTAGCTTTAGCCTCCGTGACCACAACGCCTGCAACCACTATGGGGATGGACCATAGAATAGGTTTCATTAAATCAGGTTGGTCTGATCCTTCTTCAATGAATCAATGATACTAACGTGAGTTCTAGGATATGACGCAGGTTAGTGCAATACACGTCCTTGACGACTCTTGTCTTAGCCCACACACTATTTTTAGATGTTGTTGTTTGGGATAGCCATCCACTTGCCCTCGGCGCAACTCCGAAACAAGTTTACATCGATGGTATTCCTCAGTTAGACGACCCACAAACATTGGAGAAGCCCCCTTCCTTCCAGTCAGCCCCTGAGACTCCTAACTTCGACAAAGAAGCAGCAGACGCCATCAAGTACGAGGGTCTTCCACCTTTAGTGCCTTCGAAGGCGAAGTCCGACGTCGTCATATTCTCTAATGTCAGTAGTCTCTTCGTTAAGAGCTCAGGTACTATCAAACAAGTCTTTGGTACATCTGCCTTCGGAGAACGCGGTGTCGCTGTTGTCAAAGGCGGCAAACTCATCTGCGGCGGAGCTTCCAGCAGTTGCCAGAAGAGCATCCAGGCCTTCGGTCAGAGTAGCGAGACCATTGACATCGAAGGTGGTTCCATTGCGTACGTGTCTACATATCGTTCCTTTCGCTCTTCTAATTAGACAACATCAGCCCGGGTTTGCTAACATTTGGGTCCCCACTTGGTTTACGAGAGATAGCAGGTGAAGCAACCACGTCTGATGGTGTCGTTGGGGACCCCCTGGGTTCCGGGCTTCCTTCTCTTGTCGGTGGCGAAGGTGCAATCATTAGAGCTGTTGATGGTCTTCAATTCTCCACTCGAGATGCACTGTAAGTCCGACATATCACATTATAAAGACATCTCTCTCAACCGATACCATAGAATTGCCTATCGATCTGGTGTAACTAGCGCCGTTGTTTCTCCTTTGTCGTCTGGCTTCTTGTCTGGTCTCGGGGTGGCCTTCTCCGTCGGAGCTTCACATGCGCTAGAAAGCGGAGCGATTCAGAAGCCCATCACTGCACTTCATGTCGCCATCACTCATGCGTCCTCCGTGAGCGTTAGCACCCAAATTGCTGCCTTGCGCCGCTTGTTACTCGGCAAGGCTCCTGGCGAGTTGGGTGAGCGAGCGAAGGCGGTAGTGAGGGTAAGCAAACGAACCCTCAGTTGATCCACAAACTGATCTTTGGGCTATTAGGGAGACCTTCCACTAGTCGTGGTTGTGGATAGCGCTGATGCTATGGCTTCTTTGATAAAACTCAAGGCCGAAGTCGAAGCACAAACTGAAATCCCAATTCGCTTGACATTCTCTGGTGCGAATGAGGCTCACCTCATCGCCGAAGAAATTGCAGCAGCAAACATCGGAGTGGTTCTTGTACAATACCGACCGTTCCCTTCAACATGGGAGAAAAAGCGCATGTGTGTCCTTTGACCAGTTAACAACACTCAACATTATCTGATGATCTCTGCTAGCCTCCCTGGACCACCTTTAAGTAAATTGACTTCCGTCACCACTCTGCTTGCAGCCAATGTCACCGTGGGTGTCGGTGTGGAAGAAGCATGGAATGCACGTAACACTCGATTTGAGATTGGTTGGGTACGTCTACATCCTCCATTCAAGCTGACAGCCATCTTCAACCAGACACGGTTTAGGCAAACCTGGATGCTCAGGGAGATCTGACCAAAGCGGACGCCATTGCCCTTGGATCTGTTAATCTCGAGAAGCTATTGGGTATCGACGAAGACAGCGCTAACAACGATCTAGTGGTTACAAAGGCTGGATCCATTACGGATTTCGAGGCGAAGGTAGTTGGTATCGTCTCCGCCAGCAAAGACGCGGTATATCTTCTTTAAGAGCCGCCAGAAAGACCGGATATATCGTTAAATCTTATGGACATGTATGGAACAATCTATCTAGCGGAATTATTCAGCCGACTTGTCGCGTTGTTGAGCGGGGAGCGTTGCAGGGCTTCGTGTACGAAGTCTTTAATTGTAGGGAAGGCACGTATCATGAGTTTTGCAGGTTGAGTCTCGTCTGAGGGAAGTGGTGAGTGTTTTCCACAGGGGAGACGTAAAGCACCGACCGAAGGTGGTTATTGAACCGTGCTTGGAGAAAACCTTCTTGGATCGAGCGTCGACAATGGCATGGGAAGACGGCAAGACAACCAAGGAATGCTGCGATGATCGTGAATAAAGTTATATATATCAAATGAGTTGTGTTGGTACCTTTATGTACCACGATCGCACATCGTCTGCATATCTCGGCACAGCAGGAGTCCGTGACAAGCCAACAATCTGCACGATGGCCTTAACCATTCGCATAACCGTCGTAGCTAAGTCGATATTCTTAGATTAGCCAAATAAACACGCAAGTGAATCTATTGCGCACATCGCTCGTTAATGAGCTCCATGAGTAGTTGAGAGCCAGGCCCATGGGAAATAATGATAACGCGCCGTACGTTCGATATCCTGCGTTGCATTCGGTTAGGCGGCGGCTGCGCGAGAATACGACGTGTGACGTACGAGACGAAGTTATCCCAGAGGTAAGTGATCAGCTCGCGACCTGATCCGTCTGGCACCCTTGGTCGCCCATTCTATCATATGTTAGCTGGGCAAACGGCAATGTCGAATTCGGACGCACTACAACTGGTTCGACTACAGGCTTCGGGTATGAATTAATGTCTAGGATTGAAAACCCTTCGCCGTGAGCCCAATCGAGGAGTTGTTTTGAATAGTCGATCTAAGGAGCACATCAGCAATACGGCGAGAAAACGAGACGGCGAATTAACCAAATATGATTTTTCGAGCTCAAGATCACATCGTGCCGACGCATCCAATTCTGCACGGATGTTCCCACTAAAGGATTCAGTCCAGGCGTCCTCGGGAGTTCAAACGAACTCACGATTGGTGGATGAAACAGACAAGGGTGTTGTTAGTCATGAAATCCTTACTGTGCGCAGAAATACATTATAGATTCAGGGAGAAGGGCGCCATGAAATCATACCTGAAAGAAACCTGTTCCGAAAAGCGTGCTTCAAGATGAGGCGGGAACGGCACTGTCAACATATCGTACTGGGAGTAGAGGTAATGTTGGCGATGGGCTTTGAGAATTTCTGCCGTAAGATGTTAGCGCAAGTCCCTTGTCACATAATGGGAAGTGTACCAGGTATTGAGAAGGCCAGACTGTCAACATCTACACAGGATACCAGAAAGATTAGCTCACGAAGTCCAAGAGGTAAACTACGACGCTACCTTCTCTTGTTGGTTCGCAAGATACTGGATCAACAGACTTCCAATATTTACTTTGCTCCTTAGCCACCATCCATATCGTCTCAGTAGCAGTTTCACTGGCCACCATTGGCGGGAGTTCCTCCGGCGGCTCTCCCAAGATAACGCGTGTCACTGCCAATGCCGACTGGGATATGGAATCGAGGTTGTAACCACCCTATATTGGTTGCAATCCGTCAGTTAAGAGGAATTCAATGTTCACTAATTTTCATCACCTCTAAAGCAACGACAAGTTTGCCTCTTGCCAGACCAGAGAGCATGTAGGTCATATGAGCATATCCAGCTGGGCTAACGAAGCACTGTCCCAATTCATCACCCGCTGCTGCATCGAAACCAGCAGAGACTAGAAAGGGAGCAAAATTAGCGGCCAAACACCGTTAGAAAAAAAACTTTGCAGCGCTTACTTATAACCAATTCCGGAGCAAATTCCATGGCTATTGGCATTATAATTTTCTGGAATGCGAGAAGATAATCTGCGTCGCCCATCCCAGCGGATGGCCACGGTACATTGACGGAACTGGGGAGCGTTGGGAATGTGCCATAAGAGAATACACAATCACCTACAATCCAAGGCCGGGGCCTTCCCCGCAGGAGTCCAAACAACCAAAAGGACCACACGGGTAGAACGTCCCGTTATCATACCGATGGAGGGACATATAGAGTATCGACGGATCGTCGTTGAAGGCCCGTTGTGTACCATTACCTTCAGGCCCATGTTATATACGAATTACAAAAGAAGGACACGAGAACAAACCGTGATGAATGTCCCTATCCCCAGATCAGTTCAAGCTACTGGAAGACTGCTGAGATTCTGTTTACCAGTCTAAAATAAGGATCTTCTTGATTTTAGTGAGTTGTTGGACTACTCGAGCAGCTACGGCGACGTTGTTGAAGAAGCAGAAGCCCATGTGTTCGTCTGGCTCTGCGTGATGCCCTGGGGGCCTTACTATGGCGAACGACTTCTGTAACTCCCCTCGAGCGACCGCTAGTGTCGCTTCAATGACACCACCACAACTGAGACGAGCTGAACGCGTTGTCCCTGACATAACATAGAGTGACAACTGCTCGTAATAGTCTTCAGAGTCAGCTATCTGGTCCTCCGTCAAATCTGCAATATACGTAACAAAGTTCATCCGTTCCCGCGAAAGCAATCCCGTTAGCAATTAGCGCCTTTGCATCAGCAAATATACAACTAACATTGTATAGATTCCACTTTATTCCAGTGGTCTTCTGAGTGAACGAGCATCGCTTCCTCGCGTTTTACTTGACGGATTGGTAAGCATCGCATCTGAGTATGTAGTTGCGCGGCTCGGAGAGCATCCCATATATGGAGGAGACGATCTGGGCATTCTGGGTGCCCTCTTGGGCAGAAATGCTGGCTCATTTCCGCCGAGTAGACATATCCCACCCTGTTTGGTAGTGAACCTGCGGGAACTGACCGAGCTCGCATGGTGCTCGAGGTCATCGCGTTGTCGGGGGGTGTTGGCGATCCGAGGCGGGGGTGAGTCTGAGACTGGGACTCAGAGGGTTCCGAGTCGACGTCCATCCGCATGGCATCTAGGACCTCCGAGGAGGAATTTCCGTCGTTGCTGTGGTCCATATTGTACCTTGATTGATGTGCGCTTCAGAAGGCGGCCTCGACGCTGCACCTTGGAGGTAAATCTCAGGTTGAAGTTGCCGTTTGTAGGCGTCTATTATTGCAAAAGGAGAAATATCCGACAGGGGCTGTTGTTGAAGAGTTTGGTTCTGGTCGCCAAACTGGTGGTATTTTTGTGGCAACTCGGTGAACAATGGTGGATAGAATGAGAATGATACACACTGCCATTTCCAGCGACATCGACAGGGTATTGACGGCTCTATGAAATACATATATAGTATAAGATACAGTGTTAATTTAACTTCGTGTGTTGGGATTGCTCGAGGAAAGGTATGCATTGAATATAAGAAGTACCGAAGTCAGGTTTGAGAGGGCGATGACCAAGGAGTATACATGGTCGTGAACTGCGGGGTAGAGGAAGTCCGTGCGGAGGGATATCGCGGTTGCGACTGTCGTTGTATGTTCAAAATGAGCCGGCAACCCGCAGACGAGACCAAACACAGGAGCCATCTACATTGTTCGTTCAGTCAAATGGTCTGGCCTTACGTATAGCAGTTGAAAGGGTGTCCACGACTTACGCGTAACTGGTCGCGGTGGATGATAATTGAAGAAGGGTACATATCGTGAGCACCGTTGAAACGACTAGAATAGATATTGCGAACTTTCAGCATTGGTAGGAAGACATGGCTCAAGTTTCCCGACAGACGAAGGGATGGACTTACTTGAGATAGATATAAACGCTAGCATGCCGTCAAACATGAACATACGCATTACAGGCGCGGAGCTCCCTGGCCTCCATCTCATCGCCGACAGAGCCAGAATGGCCACCTGCGACACCAGCGCCGCAACCCTAAAGTCATGTTGCATGATAAGATATAGGTAGGCGAACAAAGTAGCGACTGACCCGAAATACGCGAACGAAGCAGGAGCGGAAATCATGATTGAAGTTGGTTTGAAGTTATCCTCAGGAATATTCAACACCAGTCCCACAATCATAGTCGCGAATCCGGCAAATAGTAAGAATATGAAGGAGAATTTGACATACTTGCTCCGACCATACAGTGCGTACACTAAATCACATTTAACCGTGGTTAGCATCAATTCATGAGTTATCCTCGTAAAATGGGACGAACCTCTGACCATCATCACGGTTTCGACACCAGCCATCGCTAGTTGGGCGACGACCACACCCACGATGTAATAGACTTTTATAGCAGATGGACGCAAGGGGAAGTCATAGAGGACTGCCATGTCCACCGACCGATTAACACTGATGTTATGATCAACAAACGTCCCTCCATTCAAACTACGGGAGAACTCACAATTGGGCAACGAATGTGAAGTACCGTAGGAACAGAAAGACCCATTTGACCCAGGAGCTTTTGGGTTTGCTAGTTGCATGTACGGTGAATTACAAAACCATCGTGAAACGCAGTACACACCTCCAAATGTATTCAACCTCATCATCAAGGGTGATAGCCCATTCCCATACTTGAACGAAGAGCGCTGCACCTGTGCGACGTGCCTTGTAAGCCTTTGAAGGCGCGGAAAGGAGGCTAAGAACTCACCATTAACTCGAACTAAGTTGCGAACTAGCTCAGAGCGCAGAGAACTATCGGGGTTCATGGAGGATGAATGTCGAAGCGAGTCCTTCTGGGAGCATGCACGCAGAATAAACTCGGGGCAACGCGCCACCGAGAGAAAACTTGTCTTGATAGTGCAAAGGAGACCGTGGTAGTGGTTCCGCGTCGGAAGCGCTTCAATTCAATTCAAAGTTATGTTACGCCGCTAGATGCCGCGTCTGGATACGCGATCGGTTCAATTCCAGGGACACTGGGCACTAAGCATTAGAAGAAAAACACAGAGCAAAAATACGATCGTTCGTACTTATCAGATGGCGCCATGGTGGGCGATTTACACAGACCCAGAGTACACCAACACCTCGACTCGGATATCACTTCGTGCACGCATTGGCAACGTCTCGGTGCTGATCAGAAGTGTGGACCAGGAATAGGAGCTGATGGCCCTATCACGTGGAATACTGGCTGCTCGTCGTTGGACGCGATGTCGAGCGCTGTCGAGTGAGATGCACTGGCTGTGATAACCGAGAAAGCCTCCGTTCCAACGCCCACCTGCCTGAATCTGATTGAATGCTATTCCACAATCATCTGCGGAGCACTGCCTTGTGTGAATAACGCGATGTAGTCGGCGACTACGCTTCCGTCAACAATAGGTCCCAGACATCAATTCCGGCGGTACACACCTCTCTCTTCCATTCCTCGACCATCGACCCTTGTCGCCAACCGTCTGGAGCTCGTTGAACATGGCGTTCAGCTACCGGGACCTTTTCTTCGGCGGCACGACTTTCTGCTGCTGCCTGCCTGTGCGCGTGGGCGTCCTAATTATGTCCTTCCTGGGGATGCTATTGTCAGGGATACTCTCTATAATTTTGTGGTTTGAGGTAGCGAGTGAGTATCGTCGGTCCTTGCTCGAGACTGGTAGGCTAATCGCAAGAAGGCACCCCGGATATGACTTCTGGCGAGAAAGCAGCATTTGTATGCGCAGGTCTCGTAGAAACATTGCTGTTTGCGGTGTGCATACTCGGGTGAGCGATACTAAGAGGTCCACTGCGGTGCACGACTCATCCTCATTCGCAGTTTTGCCGGTGTAATCGTTCGGAAGCAACTCTTCGTGATGATATATGCCTATTTCACATACTTCCATTTCGTGCTCAACGTCGGTGTCGCTATTTGGCTGCTGTGGCTCGTCACGCACGGCACTGAGAACGCTGCTGTCAACGCATGCCAAAGAACGATACAAAACCAGGATGCCCAGAACCAATGTATTGGGTTGCTCAAGATTGCGAAGGGTGTCTATATCGGCATCGCCCTCGTGGTGCTACTAGCGGAACTGTGTAAGTCGTTGCTCGCTGCGTTCCTTGGTCTCGCTTCTCACGATGCGATGCGACAGACGGCGCAATCATCGTCGCTCGCTACGTAAATCAGATTCAGCGGGAAAAGCGCGGCGCGCGTGCTTCTCGGATGTCGACTAGCAACGAGAGCGCCTTCAAGCTCGTACCGCAACGGGGTGTTCGTTACTCGAGCGTTCCCGGTGGACAGCACGTCACGCATCTATCATACGACGGCACCAAAGAATTTGATCCCTACCGGGAAGTTGGCACACCCCCGCTGGATGCTGGGGCCATCGCTGGGGGATCATTCTCTTACGGTTCACCTCCGCCGCTAGTCGCGACGGAGGAAGTAGCATACGGAGGCGGTTCGTGGACTCACGAGCAGATCGGCGCAGAGGAGAAAGAGAGGCTGAAACAGCAGGATATTGACATGGGTATACTTCCTGCCCCGCCAGAGGGCGAAGTGAGTGCCCACCGTGATACCAAATCACCAGATGGGCCACCGCCTCCGAATACCTCTGCGATTGATGAGCTCCCGAGGTACACACTTTCTGATCCACCGTCAAGTAGAGTTTGAGTGGGCGTTGATGATTGTTGACCATCTCTTGGGCTTCCTTTGGACTTGTTATCATGGACCTTGCTTGCATGTACCCCTCATCAGTGTATCATACTGTCCCCTTGCTATTATTGCAGCTCACACCCGTATATACTGTAAGGGTTGAACCCTTTCGTTCCGTGCACTCCGGCCTCCCCTATCCCCTATCGACCCCTCTCCGACTCTTCGGACGCGCTCGCACATGACTCGGACGTCACTGACCCGTACCGGACACACGTGATAACGGATCAGACAGCGCGGATCAATACTTCGTCTCCCTTTTGTTTTCGGACCCTAATATTTGGACTATACTAGCACCATTAGTCGTTCCTGGTTCCTTTTCGTTTCGGATACTTCCGATGTTTTCTTAGCTACAAAAACCTACTGCACTGGTAGTTAGAATAACAAGATTTGTTCCCCCCCCACATCGAGCCAGAATCTAAGTCGTCCGAGAAGCTTTCCTCCTCCGTTGTCAGAGTTCGCCGTCGTCCAAGTCCGAGTCCGATCCGAAGCCAGTTCTCCTGCCGTCCTTATCATTCTCCTGCCGTCCTCATCGTACTATCCGAAGCCGGAGTTGTTTGCTCCGCGTTCGAGCGCGTCCGAAGCTATCCGAAGCCATCCGAAGCATCCGAAGTTTCCTAGTAGTTGTTTTCACTCTCGGACTCACCGTTTATCACACTTAGTTCATTCGGGTGTCGCACGGACTTGTCCTGCCGGAGGCGGACCCTCGCATTTCATTTGACTATACTACTAGTCTACGTGTATATTCACTACTACAATACTCATCTTGTACCTGTTGTAGATGTTGAGGAAGAGCTACCAGGACTTCCCTGCTCATTCCGCCTCGCTGACAATCTACTCAATCTGGTCATGTCTCATAATATTCATACAACTGCAATCCTACATAGATACAAGTCTAGCATGGAGCGAGCAAAGAAAGAAGCGTGTCGAGCGATGCGCCAATTATACCACTAGAACAGGCTATGAGCATCTATCTTGAGAAGAAAAGGAAGCTACACCACGCACGTAGTACTGCATTTATGCATCCGTCGTTTTCTGGGTTGTTGGTGACTTGGGCGTATTTTCCGAACACGACCTTGCCTCCTGTCGTGACCATGCCGAGCTCGGAGACATTCACTTCGATGACTGTACCCTTTGTCATGACTCCGAGTTGCGTATACATCGGTGACTGGGGGTTCTTCTTAACACCCAGTATCTGGAGTTGGAAGGTAGCTTTGAGGTCGGCTGTAAGGAACACGATGAGACCCAGATAGCATTGAAACAGTGAATGGCTTGCGTACGATGTGTAACGTTCGCTTTCTTATACCGCAGAGCCATGGGCCGTACGAATCTCTCCATCTTCACAGGTTTGCGCGTAAAGCCTTCACCAACAAACGTCGCCTTCGTCACCATCCGCTTCCACGACTTGCTCTTGCTCTTCCCCGTCTTCAACACCTTGAACATCTCATCCTCCGCAATACCCCGCACTTGCGGCAGGGGTACAGCGTACTTCGCAGCCTTGTCTTTCCGCTTCTGTTTTATTGCGGATGATAGGGCCTTTGCGTCTTTTTGGCCTTCGCGATCGAGGAGATAGGTGGGGAGTGCGCCATCGGGGACGGTAGAAGAATCGGCCTGTTTGACGTTGCGCTCGTCGTGCGCTTTGAGTGTCTTTTTTAGCTGTACTTTCTCGGCATGTCGTTTGGCGTGTAGGAGCTTGGCCTTGATACCAAATGCCTTTTGGGCGAACGAGGATGATTTGTGGGCAGCTCTGGCCTCACGCTTACGCCTGTATCCTGTAGTTCAGAAGTGATTCGCAGTAGAACCTAAGGGGAACGCACTTTCGCTCGAAATGATCGAACCGTCTACCATGCCGTTTGATGTGCTCCTCGATGTACTCGTTCTGTGTGGACCATGAGGATCCTTTCGCTAGCTGGTAACGTAGCTCTTACCTGAGGCTATACAATCAAGAAATCATCAGCATCCGCACACGAGATAAGGACATCGGACTCACCATGGTTGAAACGGTGCAGCAGTTACAAAAATGCTGCGATTATTTCGAGTTCGCTAAGCGCCCAATAATCTGGCACGTGCCCCCGACGTGGTCTTGCGCTTCTGAGTGACCGTTTCCTCAGAAGCCTCTTTCCATCGAAACAATATGTGGCAGGACACCAGCAACCCGTACGGCGCATCCTCGTCGCAGCCCAACTACTACGCCCAGGGCACACCCCAACAACCGCCCGACACCCCGCTGCAGTTCTACTCTGCAGGCCCAGGTGACCCAAATGGATTTTATCCGGGCTCTCGTCCGAGTTTGGATGGGCACGTCGGCGCGCAGGGGACGATACAGCAGCAGGGCATACCGCCTGGGTACGCTGGAAACATACAGCCTGTGGGAGGATGGCTCAGCGCGTTCGGGACCGGAGGGTTTGAAGGGGAACCACCGCTCCTCGAAGGTATGTTAGATTCACCTACGCACGCCGACCTATAGATCAACGCTGATATTTCTTAATTGAAGAGCTCGGAATCAACTTCTCGCATATACGCGCAAAATCACTCACCGTGCTCAACCCATTGAGCAAGGTCGAGCCTCACATAATGGACGACGCCGACCTCGCAGGACCTTTGTTATTCCTGTTTTGCTTCGGCGCATCTCTGCTCCTGGTCTGTACTGTCACAATAACCACCTGATACTTTTGCTGATACTGTTTCAGTCTGGCAAGCTACAGTTTGGATATATCTACGGCGTAGCACTACTGGGCTGCGCTGGAATATACGCGCTCTTGAACTCAATGTCCGAGTCCGGTATTGATGCTTACCGTGTCGCGTCAGTACTAGGCTACTGCCTCTTGCCTATGGTCGGCGTAGGGGCGGTCAGTGTGATGGCTACTCTGGAGTAAGTTGCTTTGTCGCTGCTCAACTCCGTTAACTCAATTGGGTTTGACAGCGGCACATTGGGATACGCACTTGTCCTTCTTTCCATTCTATGGTGCACATACTCCGCTTCTGGGATCTTCGTTACGGTATTACGCATGTCCGACCAAAGACTTCTAGTAGCATATCCTGTTGGCTTGCTGTACGGCTGCTTTGCTCTTCTCAGTGTCTTCAATGGACCCACAGTTTCGAAATGAATAATTATATGATTCCGGATGCTTCCTAAAGACATTTGCTAAATAATAGAGCATATATACATGCATAATACGAAAGTCCCTAGAGTAGTCCCGAAAAGAAGTGAGAATAAAGCGACGTGAATTCTAGGGTCAAGAAGGATGTTCGACCAAAAGCTGTCGGCTGTACACTTTCAACAAAACCTCCATGATTTCTTCCAATGGAGCCGTAGCATACTCGTTCACATATTGCGGTAGCGCATCTTCGAGGTTGAAGCCAGCCTTCTTCATGAAGAATGGATGCATGACATCGGGTGTTGCTTCGCCAAGTTGACGCATAGTCAATCGCTGGATGCTTCTGGTCCTTGCTTGATAGACAAGACTGCTTGACAGCTTCAAGGGCGGTGCACTTGATGGTACATCAGCCGAAGGGGCGGCACCTGCAGACTGAGGGAATGGAATGGCTCCGGGCGTCATTGATCCTCCTGCTGTTTGTGACGATGTTGGGAACATATCAAGAGTTGCAGCCCGTTGTCCATCAGCGTCCGTGAGCCGCCTGGCTGCGCTCATAAGAGTCGCGGAGACAGGAGGCTGCGTTGACCGCGGACTTGTAGCAGATCTCGGTGAATCTAACAATGGGAGGGAGTCAGGACCCTTTCGACGGCCAGAGATTACAGGAGGGGAATTTATCGGTGTCGTGGTACGCCAGTCAGATGCTGCCTGTACTTGGTCCATCTCCCGAGTGAAGTTCTTCCGCAAGAGCGTGAGCCACGAATAAAGTCCCACGTTGAGCGTGATGAAGATGTCCTCCATGTCCTTTACTCCAATTCGTCGGACGAACTTACTGTCGAAGTCGTACGTGATCACTTTGCGGACGGTGCTGGACGGGTCCTCAGGAACTTTCTCCTCGCTGACCATGTGCATAGTCATCGATGGAAGGCCAACAATCGTAGCCTCGTTGGCACCCTTCAGGAGCGCGTCCAACCATTGTTTACAATCCAATTGTGATGCGTCGATCGAAGCGCTCGTAGTGAGTTGGTTGAATCTCGAGATGGTCATAGAGGAAAAGGAGAGGAGAAGGTTCTTCGTCGCAGGGATGGTCTCTGCTTCAACGAGGCGATCCAACCTAGCGTGCACGTCATACGCAACGAAACTAGCCAGTTCTAAGTCACGCATTGTGCGGGGGAAAACCACAAGGCGGAGGAACCCTAGGCGAAGACTCATGTGTTGTTTGATAATGTAGGAGAGCCCAGTCTCTTCCTTGAACCGCTCACGAGCCGAACTGAGCATGGCGTTCGCGACAGCGGACAAAGCATTGTCTGGCTTAGGGGTGCGAGTCGTCCTGAACGTCTTCGACTCTCGGCTAGCACCGTCTTGTTGGGCTTGCAGATTGGCTCTGAATTTATTGGCGTAGGATATCAGCTTGGGGATTGCGCCAACTGTTGTCGCCGCAGTTATTTCGGCGCTATTGACAGTGAAAGAGAGCAGCAGGGGCCGGTCTTGCGCCTGTGGGCCGGCAAGCACCATTGACCAATCGTCTGATATTTCAATGTCCAACGGTTCGGCCCTGGTACAAGTTAATATACAGGAAATGCCATCAGGTAGAGCACACACCTGTAATGCAGCAGTCGCTGATGCTCTGATTCCAAGCTCGCGACAAGGGAACCACTGGTCATACGCAGTTCGAGCATCCTGTTGTTCTCCGCGTTGTGAGTCCCGGGTTTCATTCGGCGTCGAATAGTTTGAAACACGCATCTCGGTACACTTGCCGTGCCAGAGATATTGCCCTTGGCCACTAGCGCGAAGTTCGAAACAGAAATAGCGACCTCATGGTGAGATTCCGTGAATTTGGTTCGAAGGCAAGAATCGGTTAGATCTAGAGTTATAGCACTAATCGAATGGCCAAGGTCGACATCGAGTACTATGTGCCGGACACGAAGAAGGACTGCGGTCGTAAAATCTTGGGTAGACCCAACTTGCTTAGGAGGCGCCTTCGTTGCTGCGACGCTTTCACTTTTCAGAATCGGTATCCGATCTAACCATACTGCCTTGAAACACAATACGTCCTGCAGACGCGAGAAATGTATGCCGCCTGAGAACTCTGTGTCCAATACCATGGAAATTGAGTTCATCGGCGTCCCCTGGTCTGCCTCCATCTTAGAGAAGGTCACCGAGAATGCCAAGTTATGAGCGTCGAGCTTCACGCAATCTTCGCTGAGGAAGCCATGCTTCAAACCCACGGTCAATCCACTTACGCACCCATTGAATGTAACTTGGCGTGCGCCAGGGGAAATGCTGATCATAAATCCACCTGACTCCCAATGTAGCCCAGCTATGACGTTGACGTCGGGTTGGCATGTCAGCTCCAGCTTCGACTGGTCGATACGCAGGCTGAAACTGATTTGCATACTCGAGACTGGGTCGGTCATGCGTTCGTTACTACGGATGGCGTTGGAAAGAGATGGCTGGGTGGTGAGGTCTGGACGAGGGGCTAGGGCACTGACTTTCCTCATGCGAGTTTCAACGTGGTTCGTCAGGTCAGCGATGAAAGGCAGCAAGGTCGGCTTCAACGTGTTCTGACTTGAATGTATGGTACTTTTGAAGATAAGAATGGACGGCTGAAAATCAGTAGCAGAGCTGAGTTTGTGACTAGCCGGAGTCGCTCGATATTCGGCCCAAAGGGATACGACGGGCAAGTGCACAATTTCAGCAGTTTCGGCTTCGTCAGGGAGCTCGATGTTTGGATGGGTGAATGATCGACTTCGAGGGAAGGTTGCGAGGGAACCACTGTGAATTCGAATCGTGCCGCTGAGGAAGGTCAACGAACCCGAAACATTAGATGTCGGGAGAGTAGTGTATTGGGTTTGCAGTCCTGTGTCTACGTCCGGAGAGGCTGGCTCTGGCGTTGAGGATGGGTGAGGGAGGTTGGCGGATAATTGTGCGACTCGATCTTTGCCTTGCCGATAAACGTCGATCAAAGAGAAAACATATTCCGGAATGGAGGACTCTAAATCAAGGATGAACCCGTCCACGGTCGCTGACACCCAGAGTTTGCGAGACGACAATGACGTTTCAGAGCGGATGTGGGCAGTCATCTCAGGGTACAAAAGGCGATTACGAGTTTGATGGCTTTCGCCAGAAAAATCTGCGGCCACGGATTGTCTGAACCTAAACGGATTTGAGTGACATCGAGAGCAAGTTTACGGAAACATTACCTAGAAACAAACTGGAACGAAAAGTTTTTCATAACTGCTTGACCCGTCTCTCCACGTTGAGCGCCAAATCTAACAGACTCGATTGAAAGCAAGAAAGCCTTGAAAGTGTTTGAACCACGACCAGATTGTGGCATTTCTAACTCTTGATCAAGAGTCAGAGGGAAAGCAACACCAATGTCACGCATGGATATATCCAAGTTGAATTTGCTGAACCAAGGTGGGGAGGAAGCGGAAGTCTCTTTTACCGGTGCTTCGAATGTTTGCAATAACTGCCTGGTCCGTTCTTTGAAGGCTGCAACTTCAAGCTGTCTCTGCTCCCTTCGTTCAAGCATCTCTGCCTAGAGCATAGTGTAGGTATGCTGAGGAGCAGGATGGAACGAGATCTTACCTGAAGATGATCAATGAAATCCCCTACTTCCCCTATGGAACTCGGTTGCATCACAGCATGGATCTTCGAGACTTCTACTTTGAGTACTTCACTGGGCTTGACGGTCTTCGCGTCATGAGAGCTTAGGGCACTGATAGCTACGTCGACTATAACGAAGGCTGATCGGTGGTTTCGGCTGAGCGTGGTATGACGTGGATCGAGTGCAGCTCTGGGTGCTAAGGAGAGGGCCAAATCAGAGAGACCGACTTTCCATGCGAGACCATCAACATTGGTAAGACCCCCATATATGTCCGAGCATTCAAGGTATAAAGTAGAAGAGATTCCTTCTAAACCAACTCTAAATCCCTTCATTTTGAGGTCCACGACGTACTTCATGGGCAGTGACGGAAAAGATGACGGCCTCGCAGATGTTCGCCGACTTTGTGTCTTCTGTACAAGCGCCAGGAACTCGTTGAAGTCCTGCCCGAATTTCTGCTGAACAGCAAGCAAGGTATCCCAGTGCGAAGGCTTAACTTTCGCACGGAATTCCTCAACAAGAGCAAGGACTTGGATGGAAGTGCCATCATGATTGCCTGCCAGCGTGATTTGCGGGATCACGACTTGTACTCTGGTTAGTGTGTTGAGTAGGTCTGTAGAGTTTGATGAGATGGTGAAGACCTGAGATGGAAGTTGAATGCCGAAAGCGATGTGGCTTCGCTTCGTGATACTTGAAGATTTGAAGTGCCCGAAAGAGTCCTGGACCTCCCATGAAAGCCACATGCCGTGCATCACTTGAAGAGCGACCTTCATGGAGGGAACCTTGCCATTAATACGATAGTTGAAAGGTTTCCGCACTGAAGGAGCTGGCTTGGGGTTGTGGGCCGTAGTCTTGATCTCACGAAGTAGGTCCTGAGCCATTCCCTCTATCCCAGGGAAGAAATCGGCTCTCCATTCTTCCACAAATCTGTACAGTCTCAATGCACTCCTCGGTACTCGAAGAATCAGACCACCGACGACAAAAGCTACTGCCAGGGAGGAGGTCGACTTGGCATCGAGGTTGAGCAGGAAACTGAGCGAACCGCGGTTGAACGAGAAGGAGGCTAGTCTGTCTTGGTCGTGACCTTGAGAAGAAACCGAGGGCGAGCGTGCCGCGAGAATAGTATCTTGAAACTTTACTGAAATGTTCGCAGATTGACGTTCGGCGTCAGAAAGGGCGGTCGCCGTGACTTCATAGCCCCGTAAAGCCAGTTCAAAAATGAGATTTTGCGCGGCAGCTTGAACCTTAACGTTGTTCAGAGACAATACAAGTGACAGATAAATCGAAGTCGTCGGCTCTGTAGTGGACTGGGCATTAGACGCGGATCTTGAGTTTATCGTAGGGCTCGGAGGTTTTGCATGGTAGGATTGGACTCGCAAGGTATGCTGGGCGAACACCAATAGATGCGGCATAACGATCACGGAGATATCCTCGACCGAGGTCAGGATTGATATCTTCCGCATCATATCGTCGCCCACAGGGGAACCCTGTGAGTCAGGCTTCGCAGTCGGTGCGAAAGCACAGTAGCGGAAATCGGTGGCGACAGACATGGAAGTAATCGAGAGTTCGCTGGCAGATTGGCCGTTGTGATCTAGGATGAGACAAGTGGTCTTTTTGGCGTTGATAGAGGCAGCTGTAACGCCGTATTTCGGGATTGGGGAATAGCGTCGTTTACGGTTGGGAAAGAGTGTTTCTTCGAGGGTTGTGAAATGAGAGAACATCGAGTGGTCCATGTCAAGAGCGAGGTCTTTGAGACGAGCCTCTAGTATTGATAGCGTGTCCCGCATGCTCAGGCTCTGAGTGCTACCTCGAAGAGAAAGGAATCCTTGTCGTTCGTTGCTGCTGATCAGGTTGAGGCAGCTACGTAGATGGTACAGAAACCGGATGGTGATATCGTTGCGTAGTTCACTAGCGACCCCGCTTTGGACCAGATAGGATGGCTGGGTTGTGGAAAGCGAGTCCACCATAGGCTTCCCAGCAGAGAATTGAATAATGTCATGTACCATCTTCTGGGTCATCAGAGAGCGATGATTCGAACGCCTGGAAAATATGGACGGTGCAACTTTCGTGGCATTTTGCAGGGCCTTGACAGTTGACAGTATATATTCGGGACCGTTGTGCGTTATTTCTGTCTTGAAATCGTCCCAGAGTGCATCGACCTGGTTGTCCGAAAAGCCAACGGAGAGCCCAATGCATTTGAGCGAGATGCCACTATCGTTTCCGCCGGCGGACCTCTTCTTTCGTACAGCGGGTGCGACAGAGAAACCCAGAGATTGTGTCGATAAATCAAATATTGGCCTATCAGAGGTTCCAAATCCCGATATATAGCAGCCCCCACAAATGAAGTCCAAAGACATCATCGTGGACTCGTCATGTAAGAGGGTCACGTGCTGCAAAAGGTTAATGTGTATCGTAGGAATCCAGCCGTCCACGACCGTGTTTTGTTCACGGCGCGCAACACGGGGGATGCTCCCCATGCGATCAGCAACGATCGTGTCAATGTTCAACTCAGGACTCGGGGGCTAGAAAAACAGAAGTCAGCGAGAGTTGTCATAGCGATGCGACTTGATAGTACTTTGGCTTCTAGTTGGTGCGCTAAACTTGTGAGCGTCTGTAAAACTAGCGGGGTTAAGCAGATCTTGATACCCTTATCGCACTCAAACCGGAATGTTGTAGTATCGCAAGAGCGGAACTGGCCTTCGTCGCCGTGTTCAGGGGTTTGCTTCCGCATTCCAGGGTCTGAAGGTGATAGTTCAGGGACAAAGCCTGAGTCCTGACAATCAATGAGCTTGAGTGGTATCAATGAAATGGCTACATACTCGGAGGAGGAAGAAAGGACTGCCATTCCATAGGTCAGGAAAACCGAGGAACCGTGATCCATAGTGCCTCACGAATGGCGCATAAGTCTTCAGCGGGCTACGACTCTCTGCGCCCGAGTACGTGTCTTCAATGCAACTTGAGAACGAATCAAACAGCGAACTACAAAAGCTTACCGTCGGACCAGTCACTATCCGACGAGTCCGCCGTCAAATCTTCGTCGTCAGATTCGTCACCACTACTCATATTGGGATCCTCATCCTGCAGAGGTGGCAGAACCACGGGCGTGGCCGTTCGCGTTTTACTAGTAACGGTGAGTCGAAGGTATGGACAAGTCAAGAGTCACCTACGCTAAGCGAGCATCGCGATCTGCTTCTGAGACACCTTCCTCGCCCTCCGATTCCGAAAGATGGGATAATTGAGACCATCGTCGTGGGCCGGACATCGGGCGCATAGGCGCGTGGCTAACGACGCTTGGATGTTTCTGTATCGGAGGAGCTGACACTGTAGACAGCCTAGGTTGCGGCAAGTAGATGCCGTCTCGATGCAAACCTAGCAAAATTTCCAAAGATCCTAAATACTACCAAATCTGCGGTCAACGCGACGGACGTACAGGCTGTTCGCTGATATTGGGCCAGCATTCGGGCAGCGCGACCAGTCAAGCTATCTTGCTTCGCCACAAAGTCATTCTGCGCACGGGCCTTAGCCTGCCAGCCATACGGAGCAGCGTAAATATCAAGGTTCAGATCTGTAGAGAAACTAGCGGTCTCCAGCCACGCTTTACGCGAAGACGGGGTAGTATGAAGAAGATTCGCCGAGACAATCGGGAGCCTGATGCTTGTGACTCTTTTGTGGAAGAGGCCGGGCTTGTCATTGCTATCGATCTGGAGTCCCTTAGGAAGAGAAACCACCAGGGCTGCAGGTGAAGCCAACCAGGTTAAATCCAGCGAGCTGAGCGTAAATTTGAGGACCGTTACTAAAAGAGGTTCAATATTAAGGGTCGTCAGACGGCACCGAGCTTACTGTCAGGATCCAACGGCGGCATGTACTCAGCGGCGGGAGCGTTCGCTGAGTCAACGTAGTTCAGGCCGAAAGAGCGCCCGGCTACAGCAAGTGTCTCTCCCTCCCATGCCGAGAGGATGCCTTTGACCTGACCCACTTGTATCTCCCATATACACAGGTACGTTGTTGTACGAGGTTGTGGCCCGAAGAGTCGGTTGGCCACGATGTGGAGCCCTATCGCTGAGTATGAAGGGAGGTGTGGCAGACGAACAGTGTGAAGCTTACCATCAATGAGAAGTGGGTCTCTTTTCGGGCGTTTGAACGCCTTCCTCGTCACCAGCTCGGGGAAATCTGATTTAATATGGCATGCGACAATGTCGATATTGAGGGACATCTCTGAATGCCCTCATTAGCACATGCAAGCAGCTACGGAGGTTGATTTGAATACCCATGTAGAACTCAGTGACCCTCAGTTGGAGCTGCAACTGGGGCATAACCAAGACAGCGCACGCGCCAATGCCTATACCCTGGCTCTCCAGAGAACCCGATCTTTCATACCCTGGGAGCCCCGAAGGGATCACCATGATCGAGTCCTCCGCGGTGATCATGAGCTCCACTTGCAAGGGATTTGACTATGAATGAGACCACGTCAATATAGGAACCGATGATAACAAGGTCGAAACACCTCACTTGACCGGGGCGGTACTTCGCTTCTATCGGGTCGCCCGCTGGGATCCCCCGTCTGCGTCTGTCGAGATACTCGCCAAGAGTGGAGAAATGAGTAAACGACCCCAAGTAGTTCTCCCTTAAGACCATGAAATATCTAATGGCCCAGCCAAGCGACTTGAACGCAAACTCACGGACCTAAAAACAGCGCACGCGTCAGCGAGTTGGAGCAACGTCCACCCAGCACCTTACCTTCAGGTCTAGCTGTAGTTGTTCCACATGCCCCTCCTTCACCTCTGCGTAGTAGCGATAGGACGCATCGAGTTGAAAGAGCCCCACATGCCCAATGTTGTTGCCCTCTTTCGGCGCATCGAGGGCGTTCGTGTTCCACTTCGGGAGTGATAAATTGATCGATACGTTCGGTGCTTCGGATATAATGGGAATGCAGGTAGTATCGGGCCTGAACTTGTTGGAAGGCACTGTCACCTCGGTGTTCCAATGGGTGCCTTTGAGCGTAAGGAGGGCTTCACAAGCAAAGTTAGTACGTGACAATCTACAAGACAAAGAAAATCACAGGCACATACCATTTTCATCTCTAATTAATGGCTTGTCGATAATATTATGGTCGTTCGCATACATATTGAGCGCAAAATGGTGGAGCTCAAACTTTAGTTGATATATCATAGGCACAAAGCGATGGTAGTCGTGCGGGGGACCTGATGTCCAGTCCCTCACAAGATCCGTTATCATGTTGATGTGGTCTCGCAGGAGGTATAATACAGACTGGCGCAGCGTCACGCCGAAGGACCACTTGCGTTCAGAGTCCCACTTCAGCGGCGCCGGCATCTCGCCATGGATGCGACACGACTCGGCCGTGACCAACCGGATGTCGTTGAGACTTGAGGAGATTTCGACGGTGTCGAGATGGACCTCAAGCAGGGGGTTGTAGCCATCCGCGGCGACGACCATGGGCAGCGTGTAGTTAATGGAAGAGCGATCACCTACTACGAGGTGCAGTGAAGCAGGCTCCCTTGAGCGCCGACGTTCGTACATATCGCCTAGGCCATCCCACTGCCAGTTCTATACGATATGGTCAATGGTGATTTCTCGAGGCTATCTAGAAGACCAACCTTCGATGGTTCACGAAAGGGTATATGTAGCGTGGTTTCGTCCACCAGCTCTATGAATATACGCATATTCGTCCATACCCTCTGATCACCGGGGTGCAAAGGGCGAGAAGGGAGTACATCATGGTATGGTGACGGGAAGAAGGCTCTCTGAAGTTCTGCTCTGCATTCACGAGTTAACGGTAAGGTCACAAATCAGCAAAAGGCAACTTACCTTTGGCGATCAGCCCACGCCCCGTAACGAATGAAGCCATTCCTCACGATAATATCGATGCCCCATTGCGGCGACAAGCCACCGTTACCAATGTCGATAGATTCCACGCTAACCGGTTCCACTCGCTCGGATAATGGAGGCACCTCACCAACGACATCAGCGTAATACGACAGTTCTAGCACCGGTGCCTCAAGAATCCTGCGTTCAATTGCATACTCGGCATTTGGATCGAGAACGGGAGGGTGATCGGAGCTCTTCTTGGCTTTGCTGCGCGAGGCTTGGACATCGTCTTCGTGTTTCTTGTTGGGGGTTGGCAGAGACTTTCCGAGTCGCAGCTGCCGCAAGAGCTTAGAAAACGCGTGATAGGTCGCGTACCAATGCGGGTCGCCGTTGTACTTCGAGTACCTGAAATACAGGATAAGCAAGCACACATGAGAAATAATGAATGTCATTACTGTTTCGTTCGTTCATGTAGAGAAGTGCCCGAATCAACCATAGAACCAACATAGTCATCGTTCTCCATATACCTCACCAACGCGCCCTGGAACTTCAGGTCCAGCACTTGCTTGTATAGATCATGTTTCGACCGTGACTGCACCACCCCAAATATGCCTCCAGTATGCTCAAATTCAGCCAGCAGGAGGTTGGGAGTCGACTTATTGCCGATAATGATAATACCTTTCGTGACGTCGATTCCAAGAGGAAGCAGGTCCTTCGGATCGAGATTTGGGAGTTGTCGGTTGAACCAGTTCACCAGTCTCCTCACGACTGGAGGGGCCTTAAAGGAAGGGATGACCGAGCCTTTGCTCATAGACCTTCGCGCCTCAGTTCCGTAAGATGGTGTTCGCCGCGGCATGTCCTGCATTAGCTGCTCAACGATGCTGTCGTAAGAAGCTGTCCGGTTGTATATATACCACTGAAAGCCCTGGAACTTCATCTGCACGCGACAGTATTGCGACCGGTGGTTATGCTTGTCTAACAAAAGTCAATCGCGGTCTCATAGCTGAAATACGGAAACGCACGATCCTCCATCCCGAGGCCAGTCGCGATATCCTGCTCCAGCATGGGTTTCCGAATCCAGTACCGCCATTCAATTTGGCCTTTGACTATCTTGATAGTCTGGTTGCTCGAGTGGTAGTTGACATCCTTGAGCAGAATTCGACCCGTGATCAACGAAAAGTGGATGGATCCTGGTCAAGTAACTTTAGTCGTGAACGAGAAACAACGAACCGCACTACATACCAATTTCTACCCAGATACTGGCTCCCCCTTGGTTCCAGTAGAGGATTCGAAGTACCAGGCCGATGATCCCTGCAAGCAAGCGGTTCCAGTAGAACAGATAGAGTATAAGTGCAATGACTATGCATATGCAGGCAATTAGAAGCAAGTGGTTGAGCATTTTGCATGGCCAGTCGCAGGATATGCAGGTTTCAGATCGTCGTGGGTTCTCAAAGCATGATATAGCCCGCAAAAAAGCAGGAGCAGTGGGGGGAGGCGCGACACGCTTAGGGTCGAAGCGCCGAGGTTGTGGGCTGCCGAGCGGGCGGGATCAAACTCTTCGGTCACCAAACTCTGGTCGCGATAAGATAAGATAACCTTCTACGACAATGCATCAAGAGATCATTTATCAAAGTTTCACGAAGGAAGAAATTGTATTCAGGGATGACTACACAGTATCATACGGGTAAGTGCATAATGTGTGGTTCTGAGTAAGGTCAAGGTGTTTCATGAAATTTGGGAGGTTGGGTGTTGTAATCTGGACTTCCGAGGGGACATGGGGTTCCGGCTGCTATGGTAGGAGATGTCCAATTTGCAGTCTGGCGTTGAACAGCGAGATCAATAAAGATTAGAGAACCAGGGGCATATGTTCGTGGTCGTGGTGGAGGATGGACGCGGGGAGTCACACGCAGACTCACGCGTAACCTGTGACACAAATAATCTCACGACGAGATCATTAAAGGATTTTCGGAAAATTCATGAAGAATGTTCAATAAATTCCATGCATCTGTTGAGAGTTTTGGCATGTACTGATGTGCATTATATATCTTAACTCTGTACGAGAGGCTCAATCTTTGGGCCGTGGGAAAATTGCTTGGCGTTTGTGCAATTTCGCATAACCTGCATAGGCGCCCGCCAGTTACTGCTATTTCCGGGTTCTTCAGCAAGACATTTCGAGAGCGACAATGGCCTTCTAAATTGTCCCGTTTCTCATAAACTGCTGTCATGAATCTATAACTTCCCTTTCTTCCTTACACCACATGTTAGTCGAATCCATTCTTGCAGAATCATCAACCTCGCCATGTCTGAATCTCCGAGCTCGGTCAGTCGCTTTCACGGTCGTCGTCGACCCCTTCAGCGAAACTGATGCTCATGGGTAGCAGCAACGCTCTGCGTTGAGTTTACTTTCGCTGTCTGTGGCTGCGGCGAGCGCAGCACCGATACCTGTCCCTCAAGACCAGCAGGCCTCAAGTGGCGACGATTCGCTCTCGACGTCTGTAGGCCGTGGTGGAAGCTTGGGGGTTAGTAACGGAGGTACCACAAAGCAACATAGACGGCTGGCCTCGACAGGGAAGGCGCGCAGACGATTGAGCGATGCGAGGGACGCAGCGGCAAGACCATCGTAAGTGTAATATTTTGCGTAGGCTACGATTCTGACGAACAACGTTATGCTATCGTAGAAGTCTAACGGCCCTATCGTTGGCCTCTCTTTCGCTCTCAACCTCGACCGACACGGCGTTGGCTTCGCCTCTAGAAGATTCCTACCCGGTGGCCGTTATTGGGGATCGTCAGCATGACTCAGATACCGCTTTGTCAACTTCCGTCCCGGATAACCTGAACAGCGCTTTGGCTACTCCTATCACCATTGGCAAGAATGGCAAGAAGCGGGGTATGGACTACAAATGCGAGAGCTGTTCAAAGATATACAGACATCCTTCGTGCCTAATCAAGCATCGCTGGGAGCATACCCCGCAATGGCGCGAGGCTTCCAAGTTTGTGCTGAGCAAACATCAGCAAGTACAGTTGCTGGAGGTACGTCTGCACAGTCAAAACCATCGTAATGGCTGCTTACTGTTATTAGGCCGCAGCAATTTTGTCCCACATGTCGCCGGGCGCTACTGGGACGTCCTTGCCCGATGATCGCTCTCTCTGGCCAGCATTCCTTTCTGGCAGTCCAGTAGCACAACCTCCGCCACCGGAGAATGCTCCGGGTGCGACGTCTACCCATGAGCCGACTCGTCCCATTTCAAGCTCTGTCCCCGCCGCTAGCGCTTTGGGTTCGATAACGCGTGCTGGATCGACAGGTCCGCGGCTTCACGACTACTCCATTCCCGCATCGGCTGCAGTCTCTGGTAGCATCACCCAAGTCCGCCCCGGACTTGTTGGTGTATCCACCACGACCAATGCACAAACTCGGCCAGTGCCAGTGCCGAATAACAACAGCGCTTTTACGACGTATCGCACTGTCAGCGCGAGTGCTGATTCGTGGGGTTCGCCTTACAGTCCGGTTGCGATCGGTCACGGAATTCACGGCCCATCACAGTCAGGAATTCGGTCGACTTCGGGCTCGGCGTCGCATTCCTATTATACTCGATCAGCAGATGGAGGAGGAGGAGGATGGTCTTTGCCTCGATCTTCGTTGCGCTCGATTTCTCGGTCGTCGCCATCCCAGCGCTCCAGATCTGACTCTGCTAGTATGGATGAGGACGAAAGCGTGGAAGTAGATGTTGATGGATTAGGCTTTGCTGGACGTGGTAGAAGGAACTGGAAGGGCGAGGACGATGAATTCAGTATTGGATTCAGCGTCAAGGAGGAAGATGAAGAGAAGAAGCAAGATACGTGGGACGGCATGGAGATGGAGATGGATATGGACTAAGTATTTCTCCGCGGATCCTTCCCTCTTTCCCCCGAATGTGAGTTCAAGATTAAGCGCATGCGTGTTTCTCCATTTTCATATAACCTTCAGAATCAGTTATACAAGATGATTATCTCTTAAAGGGTTGTTTGCTGTTCAATGTTATCCTGTTATCCTTCATCTTTTCCCTTTCTAATGTTCATTATGTACTGTTGTTTTACACCTTCTTTCCGACCAGTCGCTGGCGCGTTTCAAGTTTCATTACGGACATGTTCAATCACTTTGTCCTATCAATGTATGTATCACTAATGAATGGGTTCAAGTATTCGTCTACTTGATACGACGAAGATCCCTGGCGACTCCTAACCGCTCCTGAATTCTGTGAGCACGTGCCAGAAACAGGCTCTTCCGACCGCCATGTCGTCGCCCAGGACAACTGCCTCTAAGCCACTGAGTCGGCTTGCTCTTCACTCGACGGTCACCTGTAGCGTGCAGGCATCGGCATACGGGAAATGCATTCTCGGCGTTTACACCGATATTAGAAAGGATGCTTGCCAGGCTGAGTTTGCCAAGTTCAGCCAATGCGTTAAAGAAGCCGTACGTCCTAGAATTTTCCCTTGAACTCCACACGTCTCACAGGACTTCAGATGCGTCGTAAATGAGATTCGGTTGTCAGCCTGTAGAAGTCATTGATCATCCATGGAAGCACTGCGTGGGGGATGGATTACACGGCCTTACAGTACACAAGAAAATGTCTAAAATAACTGAACGATTATGTGGCTTGAACATCCAAAGTACCGGGCATTCTTCCTTCCATGCTATTAGTTTCCGGGGTATCACCAACGGGTCCATCACGATTCCGAGTCTGTCTACCTGCCCTCCGCACTCGAGCAGTAGAGCGCATGAGCACCTGAAAGCTTGCTGGCAGCGGCAGCGGCGGCCATGATGTAGTATTAGGGAGGGGTAGCATGTTGTCCGCGTTGATCCGCCGTGGCGAAGGGTGCCGAAGTCTCGTCATGGTGGACGAGAGACGGAGGTCGAGCACGTATGGAGACTGGGGGATTGGCGGTGCTGCGCATTTAGGGTCGTCCGTCGGGGACGAGTAGATAGCCTCGGTGGAAATCGGTGAAGGTGGGGGTTGTAAGGGTAGCAGCATGTCTTCCTCCCCCTCCGTCTCGCAGAGGTGTTGTTCGTAGGCAATGTTCGCAAGGACAAGTTGCAGGAATATGATGATGAAGTCCAGGGAAAGCAGTTGTAGTTTTGACGGCGTGAATGCTGCGCAATGTCAGTATCGGTTCGTTCAGTAAATCTAGGATAGAAACGTACACATCCCGACGAAGTCAAGAATAATGGCCCTTCCTTCCGACGCCCCATCTCGTGCGTGGTGCCACACGCTACTCGCATTGAAGAATATGGCTCCCAGGAAGCAGAAACGCAGCGACCTGGATGACTCGAAGTCCTTCGGTCGCGTGCATTGGAACTGGTAGACGATACGCAGCAGCAGCGACCACAGCGAGGGCGACATGAAGTAGGACAGCACGAAAAGCTGAAAGAGCAAGGCATCGAACTGCGATTGAAGTCAGCAAATCAGGTTCCAGTCAATGTTCACGAAGATGCGCTCGTACTGAGTATATGATATGTTGCCGTTGCGCATTGTGCTTCTTGTGCATGTCATATGTTCTGGTCAGAAAGGCGAGGAGGCGCTCGCGACACGATCTTATTTGGCAGGGGCTTCAAAATCCAAACTTCTGTTCGCCAGCGCGAAAACCCATTTGAGGGTGATCATGGGATTCCAATACAGCATCAGAGATTATTGCATTCCAACAATCATTATATGCTACTAGTGCCTACACGTAAAGTATAATGAGAAGTGCATGGCCAGATATTAGGGGCAGCTCTTAACTGTTCCCACACTCAGCATCGTTATCTCACAATCACAAATGCTAACTCAGTAATGGCTTCTCCTTCCCCAACACCCACACCGACGGCCTCCACCTCCACCAACCGCCATGTCCTCACCGCGGTTGAGAAACAGCGGCACCAACTCGAGAAGCTACTCAAGGATCCAGCAAAGCCTGCCCATGTCCCTGCGCCGCCAAAGGAGAAGACCATCCGACCTCCCAGAGAGATGATGAAAAACATACAAGGTTCGAGTGCTGGTGCTGGTAGCGGAGAGTTCCACGTCTACAAGGCCAGCAGAAGACGAGAATACGAAAGGCTAAAACTCATCGAGGAGACTACGAAGAAGGTATATAAACCTACTATTGAGTTGTCGTTAACAGGCTAACAGCAATATTGCAATAGGAAGCCGAAATTGCTGAATTTGAGCGGAAGCGTAAGGAGGCAGAGGCCATAGCAGAAGCCAAAACATCCAAGAATCGGGCGAAGAGACAGAAGAAGAAAGAACGCGCGAAGGGGAAGGGACAAGACAAGGATCACAACTCAAAGGAGGATGGTAGTGGTGAACGAGGATCTGATGCGCCAATAAAGAAGCGGCGCCTTGTGAATGGAAAGGAATTGGTCTTTAAGAAGCCTGGAGAGGAGAGCGATGATGAGTCCACAGGGGAAGGTCCGGAGGATGTTGACGGTCCTCAGCCATCGTCCTCAGCGATGGAGGAGCCAGCTACGCCAGTGGCAATCATACAGGAACCCAGGATTATTATTCATGAAGACGATTAGGATGCCTTTTTCTGGTATGGACTCCTTGTATCGGTTGCTGATGCCACAAATGCTGAGCAGGGATTATACAGTTATTATGTACTATCTACTTATGTTTCGGAATATACGCTCTGCGAGATTATCCCGTGCGTTTTGCGCAATACTCGTTTAGCCTGCTCTTGAAGCTTCCCTCGGAGGATTACCCCTCAGCTTCCCCATTTACGATCTTACGAAGACCAAAACTTGACCCCCAAACTACCGTCTACCGGTTGCGTATGGAGCTCCATGCCAAACCACTTCTTCTGCGATACGTAAGTGCACCCGAGCATATGTTCTGTCTATTCAAGTGGCCAACAGTAACTGCGCGTGGAACGGACCGGCCTTTCAGAAGCTCAGATACTCTTTGTATATCCTTCCGAGAGTTTTCCTTGCAGACCGATGATTATCCTCGTCGAAGTGAAGTTCTTACCGTTTACGCTCATCCAATCCAAAGGCGCAAGGTATAAGAAGTTGACATGTGGCAGATAACGCTACGACTTGGTCAAAACATCATCATGTTGTTGAAATCCTTGGTTGTGCTAGCTGCCGCTGTGACTCGGGTATGCTCCCTGTTTTACCTTTGTAGTCGCATTTTTTATGAAATGTTTAGGTCGCTTGTCACGGGGGAGTCCTCAGTTATACCATCAGAGGGACTACTTACCCGGGGTTTGCAAATCGCTCTCTACTGGGAAATCGTTCACTAACAGAATATCTAGCTTCTTGGCCTACAACCCGCCGACTGGTCAAAAGTCAATCCAGGTACATGCACATCATTCTCCAAGTTCGATTTGCCCTTGTAACATCTCTCAGCGCGAATGGGACACCTACAATCCTATCACCGACCCTCTAGACCCAAACATCGCTTGCAACGTCGACGGTTCGTCCTTAGGATCGGGCCAGCTTTCGGCGACAGTACCAGCGGGCTCACAGATCAAGGCGACCTGGAACCAATGGCCGCATACCGTTGGTCGTGAGTATCAGACTGTTTTGAGAGTGAATCGGTCACAAAGTCAAGTATCGTCTATTATAGCTGTAATGGTTTACATGGCAAAATGCCCCGGTAGTTGTACATCAGCAATCGCGTCTTCGCTCTCCTGGGTACGCTTCGTCCCTCAAACCTTCGTGCCGGTTGAAATTGACTCAATCGTTGCAGTTCAAGATTGAAGAGGCGGGTCTTCTGTCAGGAACGCTATCCACTGGATCGTGGGCCCAGGGCGAACTTGTGAACAACGGGAATACTTGGACCACGACCATTCCTGCGTCCTTGGCTCCTGGGGAGTACATGATACGACACGAAGTGCGTTTTAATCGTCCAACCCTCATTTTATTACTGTCGCTTAATTTCATCTACCATAGCTGCTAGCCATCCATACGTCGAACCAACCTCAATTCTACCCCGAGTGCGCGCAACTCGTTCTTACTGGTAGCGGCAGCGCCCAGCCATCCGGCAGCTACCTCGTCAAATTCCCTGGTGCTTACCAAAAGTGCGTATCAATGGTTCTCCTGATATTTGGGGTAGAGCCTTAGCTGATGGTCTCGTATAGGTCTGACCCTGGTGTCACCATAGATGTTTACGCTCAAGCGAGCACAACTAACTATACGATCCCGGGCCCAGCTGTGTGGAGAGGATGAACTCGATACAGCCTGAGCTTTGGCAATTCGACACCCATCGCAATCCTTTTGTAACCTTGGGGTAATGGTAATGAATCGTAAAACAATCGTTCCGTTGTCATCGGAGCTACAGACACACAGAAAACACTACATAAACAATCCTACGGGACAAATCCCCCTTGCCCAATATCCCAGCCAAGCCATTTGTATTTCCATCCAAAAACTTCGTCGGTGTCCCTAACCCAAACAAGAGATCGGTGCAGCCCTGGCAGCTTGTGCATCCCATTTAAGGCCTCCATGTCTGCTTCCGAGAGTTGAACAATCTAATTATTCGTTTTGAAGGACATTAGGTGTCAGCGCAGAGTATACCAGATTGCTTGCTCCTCGCACCGTAATGTTCTCCTTCATCCGTGACTCGGTCTCCGTTTTAGCTACCACCGCGGTTCCCCGCTGAACATCCCAACTGAGAACCACTTGGGCGGGTGTAGCACCGAGCCTCTCCCCAATCTCACGGATGATGGGGCTTTCGTGTAACAATGTAGTCTTCTGACCTATCAAGCTATGTCAGGTGGTTATGCTGTTACATGGAAAACCAGACGTACCCAACGGAGAATATGCCTCTAGGAGTATGCCTTTATCGTCGCAGAGCTTCTTCAACTCTATCGAGGGTAGACAAGGGTGAAGTTCAACTTGGTTGACGGCAGGGACAACTTGGCAATGTGGAAGTAACTCATTCAGAGTCCTCACAGAGAAGTTGGATATGCCAATACTTCTGACCTTACCTGCAACGTAGGACCGTTAAATGTCTCCCCGCGCTCAAACGTCATGAGTGTACATACCGGTGGCGAGAAGCTTTTCCATGTCTCGCCATGTCTCGATGAAGGTAGGTGATTCCCCAGGGGGCGGGATGACTGCATCTGGGTCCGCCATGGACACAGCGCTGATGCACGCCTGCGGCCAGTGCATGAGATATAGATCAATGTAATCCAAACCAAGGCTCCGAAGAGATTCATCGAACGACTCTTGCACTCGATGGTGATCGTTGTTCCTTAGGGAATAATCAATCATCGATGATCGGGTAACATTTGATCAGGGAGTCATATACATACGGGAGCTTGGTAGTAACGTAGATGTCTTCTCTGGGGATCCCAGAGTCGCGAACTGCCTGGCCAACTTGCTTTTCGTTGCCTAGAATAGAGAGGTTGATGTCAGACACTATCGTGCGTGCTACTGATTGCATACCGTATCCATTAGCCTAGGTGCATCGCTTGTCAGTGCTAGTCAATCAACGATCCGCGAGCTTGTCGTACCGTATCTATCAGGCGATATCCATTCTGCGGTGAACATTCAGCGAGTAAGACGGTGGATTAGCCTTTGGACGGCAATGACCTGACCTTCAGCGCTTTCAAGCACATATTATAGACGCGTTCTGCTCCTCCAGGGATACCCATCCAGCATCTAGAAACGCGTGGCTTCAGGATCGAAATTCCGTGTACATCAGTGAGAATTCACCAACCCAATTCCGACAGAGGGTATCTTGTTACCATCATTCAGCGTGAAGTGAGGGATATCAGCCATTGAACTTCAGTGCATGATGATAGACCCGCTTTATAGGCTTGCGCTCACGGCCAATCAACCATACACATTAAGCAGATGATGCCGGAGTGGGTGACTCATCTGCATCAACGCGGTGCAGCGGCAGCAATCTTCCTCCGAGATGGTTGGATTCAGACAAAATGAAGTCCAGGTACCAGAGTCCTTAGAGTGCGAGGACTTGGCGAGGACATGTAATTTCAAGGGTATAACCTGGTATAACTTTTTCAGATTCCCTTTCTCCTATTCTCAGGAAGGCTCAGGGGCCATGATCCCATCACGTGGGCCTCCTCAAGCCCCTGTCACTGTGGTCGCGACTTTGCTTTCGACGAGCACACATGGACGACAGTGAAGCCTCCCCGGAGGACATCAAGGTCCTGACAGACCTGGGACAACTCCTGATTGATGCGATCCTTCAGGACGAACCTTTGGAGAAGATAAACAGCTTGATCGATGCTGGTGCACCCTTGTGGTACCAAACAGAAGACGAGGGCTTGTCTGCACTGCACGCTGCAGTTCACAAAGAGGATTTTGACTTGGCCAAGATGTTGCTAGGGAAAGGTGCAATATGGAATGCTGGTAGGCGCGCTTCGACGGCCAGTTCTTCTCGCTTCCCAGCTGACCGGGACAGGGCATGATCAGTGGATAATGAGAAGATAACCGCAGGAGAAGTTGCACTATCTCTAAATGATGAAAAATTATACACCTTGATTCGGGATGCTGGAATACGCTCAGGTATATTCTTCCCTGGACCGAAACCAAGGTACTGGTTTTCTGATGGATTTACAGAAATGCTGCTCGCCTTGTTATCCAAAAAACATCACTCCGAACCCGCATCTTCTCTTATCCTCCGGTCAACGGACGAGTCGGCCGCGGGATCCACTGATGCATTCTTGTCTTCCAAGCTGCGGTATACAACAGACGCCGGGGGGCAGGAGATATGCCTGCTCCAAATGGATGGAGGAGAAGAAGTAGGTGTCATGATGGGCTGGGAGCGCGAGATCATGGGGGAGACCGTGAACCGGCTCTGCGAAGACCATCCCAACTTCGATCAAGGTCTGAAAATCCTCAACGTTGGCTTCGGTCTTGGGATAGTAGGCTTCTTCGCTTTCACCCCGGTCCCGTTAGTAACACGCCATGATAGATCGACACTCTTTTTCAGCAACTCTCAGTACCTCCTTCCCAGCATGTCATCATAGAACCCCATCCTGATGTCTTGGCACATATGAAAAGCCTGGGATGGGACAGGAAACCGGGTGTCCGGATTCTAGCGGGAAAGTGGCAGGATTTCGTTGAGAGTGAAGACCTACTCCAAACTGGTGGTTTTGATGTCGTCTACACAGACACATTCTCAGAGGACTACGGCGAACTCCACAAATTCTTTGAGGCACTACCTGATCTCCTCTCCGGCACAGAATCGCGATTCAGCTTCTTCAACGGCCTTGGAGCAACTAGTCTGTGTTTCCCATCAATACCTCGCTGCTAGGTTGCGATAATTGATGCTGTTCTCTTATTTTTATAGACGCATTGTTTTACGACGTGTATACCCATCTTTCCGAGCTCCACCTGGCGGAAATAGGTCTGGATGTTGAATGGAGGGATCTGGACGTTACACCAAGCAGTAGTGAAGCTCGATGGGGCCAAACTCGAGAATACTTCTCCCTTCCGATATATCGGTTGCCTATCGGGATGATGAAGATCATGGAACAATGATGATATCTTCAAAAGTAAACCTATTCTTACCTGTTGCAACCAACCTATATGCGTCCCATAACGATTCAGACATCATTTGTCATCCGAATGTTTGATGTTCGGTTATATTCTTGGCCTGCAGTCGCAGCGCATTCCTTCAGAGCTAACATTATCTTCGTTGCTATGATATCCAGCGGTCGTGGAAACACATACATAACAAGCGGTCCCATGCAGTGGGTCAACTTTCCAACCTTCCCCTTCTCTGGTGCCAGGGTGCCATCTCTTCCATTCCTTCCTCCCATCCTTCGACAGGTTCGATAACTTGGCTCTGCGAGTTTCAGAGTCTTTTCACTTCTAGCTTCAAAATCCCTAGAGGATCACTCGATCGTGACAATGTCGGACTTTGAGAGAGGGAAGAACCAGGTGACCTTTGTGAGTACTTCGTACCGTCGCGCAAGTCTGGATGATCTGACAACAAGTAGTATTTATCGCCAAACCAGCGGGGCATTATCCCAGTGCCTGTAGAGTTGCAGCGCATCGTGAGTGTCATCTCAAGTTATCAGGTTTTGGTTCTGAACTGACATTCATTCTTGTAGATACCTGATACCCTGTGGAACGAGCGAGTCCAGGCAGCAACGCAGGTCGCTTCGCGTTACTCAAAGCCCTTGTTCGAGCGGATATGGCTGACCCTTGCTCTAATGTGCGTTCCTCGCTATGTAATCATCTTACAATGACAACAATGTGCTCAAACTTTGCGAAGATCGATCGTTGTTGTTCCCATCGTTCTCGTCCCAGTCATTGCGAAGGCAATCCATGAAGGCCAAGACCCCGACACCCTCGGTGCTCATTATGCTATCGTGAGGGATTATCTTCGTTACGCAATCACTAAAGTGCTGATAATCTGCGAGGCTCGTGGCGTTGGGATTGGGATATTTGCTGGTACCGCACTGCTGTTCTTCATTCCGGTCTTCGTCTGGAAACTAATCGTAAGTGACGATGTATATCTGAGTCCATTCTTCGTATGCTCATTCTTGTGGACCCAGGGGCGAATGCAAGTGAGGAGGCTTTTGCAGCATTGGATCGTGGAGGATAGGGTAATGCTGGACCAGACCCAGTTCATACCAAAATGGATTGTCAAGCCGCCTAGTGTTTTCAGAGACAGCATTGTGAGCCCCTCCTGTTTACCTATGCCTAGCAACTAAGCTGACTGCCACGCTCATATAGGCGTTGTCAATCACGACTCCCCCTCCAATGGGTGCTACACTTTACAATCCGGCAGCTTACATGCCGTCGCACGTAACTGCACCCACTCCTCCCGACCCAGCATTTACTACGGTACCTCTTCGCAACGAGGCCGACAACCCATTTGCGGATTTTGATGAGAAGGTCCCTGCTCGGGGAGACATTAGGAATGTATAATCTAGACATTTGTATATACACTTCAGAAGACTCGACACTCCTTTGACTACACCATACATGGCTATGGAATTTGGTAGTAGATCGGTACTTACTCTTGCTTGTAGTAGAGTAGAGTACTCCTATCGCCCTATCGAGAACTGGTTGCGAGCGCTTAGGTGCCTTGCATCTGCACCTCGACCGTCTCCTTGGACCAAACCACTATTTCGTCTAGCAATGACAATATTCAGTCTCTATATATTCGATAGGCGCGCCCGTTCTCCAGTGAAGCCGTCTTGAGGCTCATTTCATCGTGGCTCCGATTAGACATTGCGCTTGCGTTTACTATCAAGACTGGCATCGCACGAAGCGACCGAGGGTGGCGGTCGAGGGCGGGATATTACCTGGCGTGAGTCAGGTTATAGCCCCAGCGAAGAGCATGGACGCGTCTCCTGCTGTGCCAGGATCAACGATTAGCAGCCCACGGAATACACTCTCGTCGACGTCGGGCGTCGTGGTTGCAGTGGGGGATAGCGCAGAGCCCCAAGGCAATGCACTTCTCCAGACAAACGCGCCTTCAGCATCTTCCTCTGTGGCTCCCACCGGCTTGCCCTTTGATGAAGAGGCGAAACTCGTATACGGTGTCATCTTGTCTCTACGCAACATGGTCAAGAAGCTCTCCGGGAGGTGCGCGTCCGTATAATTCAACCTTTAATGCAGTCGATTGAAACCACGATTAGAGACGAGCAGTTCACCAATTATCGCACTTCCACATACAAGCTGCATCTGTACGAAACAGTCTCTGGTTACAAATTCGTTATCTTCAGCGATCCGAACGCAGAATCCCTTCGAATGGCCTTGCGGTCAATCTACGTCGGTCCTTTCATAGAATATGTCGTTCGCAACCCTTTAGCCGAGATGGACTCCAAAGAACGAGGGCTGGACAACGACTACTTTCGAGCGGGTGTTGATAGATTGATCAGAGGTCTAGCTGTATTCAATTAGATGCTTGGGCTGGGACCACGGTTCATATAATTATCGTGATGAATGCATGGTATCTAAATTACAAAATGCTAATAGTTCAAGCAAAAAGCAACGGAGACTTCAAAGTATATAAGGATAGCTATGCAGTGTCCATGTCCGACCCATCATCCTGCGCCTGCTCGAGTTGTTGTCGTAGAACGTTCATGAGGGACATCTTGATTTCTCGCTCCTGAGCAGTCTCCTCCTTCTCGTCTGAGTCGCCAGCGACGGCCTCGTCTAATGCTAGTTTGGTTTGCCCTAATTTTAGCATATCTTCCTCTATAGTTCCGCGTGTGATAAGCTTGACAACATCGACGTCTCGTTTTTGTCCTATTCGGTATGCTCGGTCCTGCGCTTGCTTATCGTTGTGTGGGTTGAAATCCTGGTCGAACCTAAAAGAACGTCAGCTGAGGACCATGGGAACGGCAAACGGGGAGCATACATTATCACGACCGATGCAGCGGTAAGATTGATTCCCATTCCTACAAGATAAATGAAATGAAGGAGAGAACAAAACTAGAAATATGATGTACTTGCCACCCGCTTTCGTGGAAAGTAAAAACACCTTGATGGATTCGTCCTCCGTGAACTCGTCGACTAACGATTGTCTAGCATCGACGGGAGTAGAGCCTGTGAGGATCAAGAACTTGATCTGCCTTTGATTGAGAATTGCTTGCAGGATATCCAAGATTTGGGTGAACTGGGCCAGCAATGAGCATGGGCCTCCTTTATCCGAATGAGACCATACCTGAGAGAAAATTAACACTCTCCGGCCCTCTTCGTCATACCCTTTTAGCAGCTTCAAGAGGACAGAAACTTTGCCCGCATCGACGTAACACTTCTCGTCCTGAACATATCGTCGCGTTGACTTCATGGCACCGTCAGTGTCAGTAAGTTGGCCATGCTTAAGTTCATCTGCTCACCTTATACGTGGCGGCAAATATTTGAAGCTCTGCATCTGTCATCACCGACATATCTTCCTTGACAAGGTCAAATAAGGCTCCGCGTTTCTTGAAGTCAGGCTCCTTGAGTAACTGCCTAGTTATCGACGAGAGCATATCATCGGTGAACAGAGTACGGAAGAGCATTGGGTGCGACGCGGCCTTGCGCAAATCCATAAGGACGTTGGAGCTGTTCTCCAGGTACATCTTGTCTTTTCCTCGAGGCTTTGGTTTCGCTTTGGCCTTCTTAGGCGCTGCCTTGCTTGCTCGGCCATTAGCCGGTGGAGTGGGTGCAGAATCTTCAGCCGCTTTAGCGTCGGTAGCAGCGTCGAAGATCGTCTTGCGCGAGCGCTTAAGGGTATCCATGTAGATTTTCTTCTGTAACTTAGTCATCTCGCACCACTCAATCCTCTCCGTCTTCTTGGGGAGATCCTTAAGCACCTATTTGAAGCTTGTCAGACAGCATTGACAAGAAAAAAGGATGAACCATGCGCACTTGGTCCTTCCGCCGACGCAATACGAAAGGTGTCATCATCTTCTTTGCTCTTGACACTCGCGATTTGGCGAGGAGCGTGACCTTGGAGTCACCTTTGGCCTTGAAGATGGCCCTCAGCTCGCCCATCGCATCGGTGAATTGCTCCGGCAGGATGAAGTTCATGAGAGACTAGTGTATATATGCGTTAGCGAGGACGAATGTAAGACACGAATACTTACCACAAGCTCTTGCAAGTTGTTTTGTAGTGGAGTCCCGGTCAAAAGGAGCCTCCATCGAGAATCAAACCTAAGCAGTGCCTGGTAGCGTTGGGACTGGAAGTTCTTCAGAACATGACCCTCGTCGAAGACGCAGCACTAGGCGGGATTAGATGAAGGACTAATGTCACTAATTCTGAACAGGTACTCACGTCCCACTCGATACGTCGAAAGAACTTGCGATCCTTCTCGTCGCCTTGAGCCAAATTGTAGGTCGTTATGAGGACCTCCCACCCCTCGCCTGTTTCGCTCGTGCACGCTTGAGTGTCACTCAGAGTTTGGCGTAGGTGTGGTCTCTCTTCTTTACCGGCGTAATAGGTCTGTACGGAGATTGATGGTGCGAAGCGGGCAAACTCTCGACACCAATTCTCAAGTGTAGAAGAACTAGAAGAAATAGAAATCAGCAGAGCACTTGCTGCTTGGTTGACGAGAACGTACGGTACGACGATTAGGTGAGGTCCTTTCTGTCCCTTCTCCTTGAGATGCGCGAAGAAACTGATAACTTGAACGGTTTTCCCGAGACCTGAATATACCGTATGGTTAACTACTAGTTGTGGGCGACAATGACGATGTATAACATACCCATCTCGTCTGCCAATATACAACTTAGTTTATTGCGGTACAACAGATTCAGCCAGTTGACACCGAGGAGTTGATACTCCTTGAGTTGAACGGAATCCGAAAGTAAGGACGGTTGGTCAGACATGAAGTCCAAGGGTTTGCGGCCTTTGATAGAAGCTATCGACCGTAGGCTCAGAGCACCTTCTTCCACCTCGATGGGATTACTTGGGTCTTCCTTCCCCTTTCCTTTGATCGCAGCACCCCACTGAGCAATCGCATCGTTAAGACGCACGCCGATCTTCTCGCAATCTTCGAGGATCTTGTCGACCTTATCATATCCCTCGAAGATTCTGCTGCAATCTTCAAACAATCTAGAGCTAATGCCCACTGACCCAGCCTTCTTCTTGCCTTGGCCCAGTTTTTCATTGAGATCGTCAACTGAGTCGAACGGCCTGAGCTCTGCAATTGCTTCGGCCTGTGCCTTCGTGCAACCTGTACGAGTATTCGGTTAAGTGGACAGAGTGATTACGCTGAAAGACGCACCAGTCAGTTCAACGATTGCATCAGGTGTCGATCTGTTGAAATAATCAAGCGCCTGCTTGTATCTTGAATCGACCGGTTCATCTTCTTCCTTCTCGCTTTCAGTGAGATCCGAATCAGATTCGAGAACCAAGCGTTTGGGACGTTTACTGCGAGCTGCGATGATGGGGGATAAAGGCGAGGCAGTGAGGTCGATGTCGACTTTGACAGTGGGTGGAGTCGTAGCAAGGACTGGAGGTTTGCTGGGAAGGATAGATGATCTGTTCGCATATATAGCAGATTTTTTCCCCTTCTCGCGAATAGCAGCGCGCTGGGCTTTATTAGCGTCGTCTATCTCCTTCACCTTCCCTAGGTCTTCTACAGGTTTACTTGGTGACTTCGATGGCGGCGACCATGATGAATCCAGCACGTAGTCGGTAGCCTTTCTGATGTCACCACTAGCAGAGGTCCATGCTGCATGTATGCGAGCTGGATCGTGGCCTGGCATGGTCATCTTGAATCGCAATAGGCCTTGGTCATTATGTGCTTGTGGTGGTGGTTGACTCGGCGACCAACGAGGGTCGGCAAGTAGATCAGTAGCACGCTTGGAGTCGCCATGAGCTTGATCCCAAGCGGCGCGCACTCGAGAAGCATCTTCTAAAGGGTTCGTGATCTTGAACTGGATGAATTTCGGGTCATCAGCCTGGTCGACAGATGAACGCGCGACGTGACCAGGGCGCTCTCGGACGATACGCGACCTTGAGGGCGCCACGAAGGCAGTTGAGATGTCGGGCATAGACTCATCAGACGAAAGGGAAAGAGAGTCTGGTGCGCCTGTGGTGATTCGCCTCCGCGTAGAGAGACGGCTAATTTCTGGTGAGCCTGGCGAACTCACGACGTCGGTCGGGTCAATAGAAGGACCACGATTGAATTTCTTGCGTGGGGGTCCCTCATCTCGCGCATATCCCCCATCTGAGCCCTCTCCACCCCAAGGTCGGCGCAGTGTCGCGTTCGAAGCGTTTCCATTCAATACGAAGCCACTGGGCGCAGACAGGGGGTCCATGCCAAACGGTGGCCTCGCCATACCCCACTGGCCGCTATGGCTTCCTCCAGCGACTGGTGCCACGTCATGCTCAAAAGATGAGCTATGAGAGTTGTAAGGTCGATAAACGGTCTCAGAGGATAGTGGGCTTGAGCTTGGGACGAGGACATTGCCGTATGAGGTCGAGGGACTAGCGAAAAAGCGTGATGGGTGAGTTGCGTCTCTTGATTGCGTGGGCTGTTGAGCTGCCGACGACGTGCTGGCGACCCCGTTGGTGGCTGAGGACGTCGGCGGCGGTGTTGAGGGAGTCGAAAGGTGAGTCTTGGAGAACTTCAGGTTTTCAAAGCCCGGTTTCTGAAATACAGCAATGATCGTCTATGAGGAGCCGACCCGGAAACAAATTTATACCGCAACTACTGACTTTATTGGAAGCGATGCTAGCCTCTGGGCTCGTATACATCGCCCGTGAAGTTCAAAGCACAATTTACAAAGACGAAGTTGGGGAGGTGTGGTACCAAGGTGAGCTTGAGGCCAAGTCACAGTTGTGGTTCGAGTGAGAAAGTCAGGCGCTGCAAGCTTGCGTATGTGGTCGGACTGTAAAAAGCAGTGGACAAATTTAATGTATTATTGAACCACAGTAGAGTGACATGGATAATATTCGACAATGGTACGGCAACGTAGTATATGAGATGAGATATGCGGTGCCAAAGGGCGTGCACAATGCTACAACAGAAGGGAAAGTATACCTTCGCGATGAACGACCGCAGGTATATGATGGTGGAGAGGAAGTTACGATTGCTTTCCGTGGAGTGGTCGCGGCAAAGGGAACCAGATGGCCAATTGCGAGTGAAGGGGATGCGAAAACCAACAGCGACGCTCCAGGCGCAAAGGACTAAGACTGGACTAAGATCCCCAGAGAAGACCACCGGTTAGCGACGACAGCGAACTAGATAGCAAGGTACGTGGGCGATGAGATGATCCTCGGAGAGTCGACGTCGTAGAAGCCCCCACCAAGTGACCCGACGATCGGAAACGTAGAAAAGGAAAAGCGAGGAAGTCTTCCTCAGGTATATCGTCTATAGCAGTTGTCTGTATTCCATTGGCATTGACGTCCCAGCGCTCTGATGCTACTGGCGGATGATGTACCGAGACAAAACCAACAGCCCCAAGTAGGCTCTTGCACGTAGCTGTGGGCGGAACTGATCCACGCAGCCGTTATCGAGGTATGAAATACCATGGACCCATAAAGCTTTACATCAAAGAAAGATGAAAAAATTGTGGTTTAACGAATTCGGCTCGTCCTATAACAAAATAGATCAACGGCTACAGGCAATGTTCAACCAGATATCAAAACAGCATAAACGGACCGATACATCCTGGCGATGGGGACGCGCTTAAAACAAGGGCCGTTTGAGGCATCAGCTAGAACTCCTTTGGCTCGAGATAGCTGACAATCTTCTTCAGTTTTGTGGAAACGCACGCAGTGCGATGCAGAGGACGATTAAAATATCAGTATATATGGTTGAAAGTCAAATAATAAGACAACCTAAATGCTTACGTGCGTCGTCATATTAACCCCTTCGAGGAGAGAATCGAAATGGGCGGAAAACAAACCCGTCCCTCAGATAGAGCCACGCCGTCTAGCGACATTATGATACAATGAGCTCAAAAGAAGAAACCAGTTGAAATGAAGAACTCCATCAGCCCCGCTTATCTGGAGGTCGAATCACAGCTGTGCACTTACATGGATCTATCCGATGCCAAAGGATCCGATAAAGGCGATGTCTGAGGAAATGCCACATCGTAGGCGAAAGAAAGGACACAGTGAAGAGGAGAGGCACCGGGATACCACAACTGTCAAAAAGTCTGGTTTATCGTCGGAAAGTCACTGAACCTGACTTGGACCTGACACCCGGCAACAGAGAGGGCAAAGAAGCACTTTGTTCTAGTAAAGGTGACCCACTGGCGCAAATCAAAAGATACGAGGAGATTCCTCAACATTTACCAGGTACAAGAGAAGAAAACAAATCGCTGTCAATCCATGAGCTGCATCGCCAAGTCTCGTAAGAAGCCAGCCACATACCAGGTTGGATTGGGGGCCACCGTCGACGTGGGAGGTGACAAGAATTGAAAGGGCGATGCAAGGTGGACACGCAGTGTTTGCTGCTATTTGTCTGCCAGAGCGTCAGGATGCGCGTAGCGCTCAACCGCGCAGTCAACCCACTCAAGCTCTCTCTCTCATGGAGGTCGGCATTTTCGATATTCTGCTACTGTTCTCCTCGTTGGCTATCTCGTTGGCGGTCGTCGTACCACTGGCCGGCGTGCTTGTGCGATTCCGGGCAAACTACAATCCGAAGAGCCTGCAGTTAGACCCTGAAGATGGACCACAACCACACACGGGTCCAATAATCAATTCTTACTTTGGGATGTTCAAGAGGGTGTACCAGCTGGAGGTGGGCGACAACCAACTGTATGAACCGTGCGCAGGGGGGACTAACGCAATATATCATAGAGATTAAGTGGCTTGTACAAGGGGTTCAGTAAGGAGTTCATCTTGGAACCTAACAGGAATAAGGGATTGACTGTTCCTGTAGTGCCTACATTCCTATCTACTACGGCGGTCACTCTTGTCCTCTTATTGGCTATGGATGACCCCAAACCTCGACATGGGCGGTATAGCGCGCCCGATACTGGCGTACTTGGCACCCTTTTCTATGGAATACTCATGAGTTTGATCGGCCTACCCACGGTGATATTGACCTACCGGTACGTACTCCCGTTCTATAACTCAAGCTGGTGATCTCGCGCTCATTAACTGCAATAGGTCTACTACAACGCCACACAAACTACCATGGTTGAACCTCATGCAGTCACTGCGCGTTTTACTTACCCCAACGGAGAGAAGACGACCCTGGGTGCTTTATCTCACACCGGGGCTGCTTGCTGCTGAATTTGCCCATGTGGGTTATGTGACTCTTGTACTGGGAACGCTTCGTCGCCTTCTCCTCCCCGCATTGTCCAAGCCTGGGATCCCGACCCCATCTGATTTCCCCCCATTGCGAACCATCATCTATATTTCCGTCGTCGTCGTTAGCACTGTTGTTTTGACGCCGTTGGAAGTGATTTCGACCCGACTTGCCATCCAACGCAACCACGCATTATCAGAACACAACTCCGTGTCACAGGAAGTTGACGGTGATGCAGAAGATCTCCCTGAATATTCTCCCGAGGAAGACGTCATTGGGTGAGTATGCATTAACGCCTTCGGGACATTTCCCAGTTTAATTTCTGACGTATTGTCCGCTCTTAGTCTCAGAAATGAGGAAGATCCATACATCGGAATTGTGGACTGCGCACAGAGAATTCTACAGGAAGAGGGTTTGAGGGCTCTGTATCGCGCCTGGTGGATAACCATGCTGGGCGGACTCGCTGCCGCGTTCACATGAACTCATCAGCTTCGAATGATCGCCCTCCGTGCATCGCACGATAGACAATACATCTCTTTGCTCCCGTTCATATGTGGCTCTGGGACTAACATGTAACGTCATAGATTAACTTCTCTCATGAAGAAGGATGTATGAACAACCCAATGAAACCCGTCTATCTTCTGTTCAGTTATCCCTGAAACGAAGGAGGAGTGAGAGCGTCGAAGATGTCTGGACCCGCAGTTTTCTTACTCCATATATGGATCCGACTCACCGAGGAACAGGGCGTCGTATCGATGTACGTGCCTGCAACGCTCACCGTGCCCAGACCTTTCTGATCCCTCCCAACCCACACACAACCCTTCATCGATGATATCACTCCACCGGGGGCGTGCAAGTTGCCAGGAAAAATGTAGGATATTTTTGGAAAATGTTCACCATGCTCGCACTGCGCGTTCTCTACCCTGGCCGCATAACCCCCCGACGTGATCATCAATTCCGTCCGGCAGGCAGGTGATGTCGATTGTCAACGGTGTGAGTTCGAGCTGTGTGTTTCGACGTGGGCGTCAATAGATGGGGTGACTGCGGTTAATGACGACGGTAAGAATCGCTTTGAATGAAATGCAACCAACCTAACTCCGAGGTATAAAGTGGAGAATATATGGAACAATTGATGGCGCGGAAAGCTGTTCTTGGACCTTATATTGTTGTTATCTTCTTCTTCCACCGAAGAGCATAATAATACAACGGCACCATACGATGGTTCCAGGAGTAATTGTGGTACCCAACATTGTGTGCAGGGTTCCCGCCGGTGCTTCCATAGAGAGCCATCTCGCTAAATCGTGCCGTAGGCAAATGCAACTAACTCTCATGTACAGCGGTATGACGAAATCTCGGGCCTGGGTCCTGAAGCCCTCTGCACTCTGAAGGAGGGGATAATTGCCAAAGACGGTATGGCCTGCAGGGCAAAAATACACTCGGAGAAATCATACCAAATCCGAAGTCGGAACCCGCGGTACGCAATTGTCCTCAATAGTTGGATGGCCCTGGTACGTTCAGGGACATTGGTTTCATCAACAAGTGACAATCTCATCTGGGGTGGTTGGATGGTTATCATCACAGATGTGCGTCATGTCGAAGCTGCTCAATCGGATTATTCGGGCAGCATGTGGTAACGACGCCGTGCAGAGGAAGAAGAATGAAACATGTCAGAACCTACAATGATTGACAATATGGTAAGTCGGTAAGAGCAAGTGGGATTCTTTGCATGGATGCCATCCATGGCTGGCTAATCGGCGACACAAGGCAGAGGCGACCTAAACGGCCATCAGAAACGGCGAATAATGGTAGATGGACGAGGAATCAGAATGGATGTTCAAAAATAACGGGAAGTAATACGGACCGCATTGGACGGACAACACTAGATCTACGTTCCCATAATCGTCACGCCAGATTACACAAGGGGAGTGAGGTAGCCTAACGACTTAAAAATACAGTATTCTAGAGTACGGACCGATACCCATGATGACAAATGTATAGTGGATGTCATGGGCGTCGGAGAGTGACCCGTAGGATTGTATTGGCTGTCTAGAACAGCCGTTTTGCTAGCGCCTGTGAGCGATCCTTCTCCGGGGTAAGCAACACGGTCTGTGTATGAGGTCATTCACTGCGCTCTTGGCAGGTTAGTGTGTGGACCGGCGCCATCGTTGGGCGTATGGGATCGCATTCGTTGTATTCTGCTGCGGAAAGTTTCAATGACAAACCTCGTGAACAAGGCCGCGGGCAGCAACGAGGGCGCTGCCACCAACATAACAAATCAGTAGCGGTGTCGCTGATGGCGACTACGCAGTCTGGGATACCTCCCGGTATCCGAGGTGATTTACCGACCAACCACGAGAGGTGCGTAAGGCGAGCTGCAAAATTGATAGCCTGGGCCAGAAGAGATCAGGCATGTCACCCACCCAACATCCGGATTTGTTTCGGTAACATGAACCGCGGAGGTCCCCAGCGAGTGAGATGTGGAAGATTAAATGGCCGGACCCGGTTAAGGAGGAGAAGGGGAGAACGCCTGTCAGCGCCACATCTGGATATCCTCCTGGAAAGTCGCATCAGATCAGTTGAATACTTTTTCGTCCGAAAGTGAATTCCAGCAGTCGTCGAGACGGTAGACAGCGTGGCCATTTGCACTCGGGCTTTACGAGGCCAACCCCAGTGCCACGACGAAGTCTACTGCTATAGGCCAGTTATCCACGTGTCGAATGGCTTGGCTTGAGAGAAGTTACCACCAAGTTCTTGTCTGGCTGTGGCGGAAACGCGACCATGATTGGCATCTTTTGATTCGGTTCGAGTCGACTGCTCGATAGCAGTGTATGGCGCAACAAGCTTGGCATTTCTCAACCAGGTGGCAGGTCTATCGGTTTATTGGTTCCCTTTCCGGAGTTCTTGCGCTGATTGGCCCTCGAGTGTGTTCCCAAAACAGATTCTAATTTACGACACATCCTGATTGTTAATTTCGATTCTCACGTCCAGTTCACATAATGCTATCTCCCTTTTGCAGATGCAACTTTTTCTCGCTACACTCTGCCCTGGATCTCGGGTTGACACCTACAGCTACCATATCGATCTAACGAATCTCCTGTATCTCGTTCGGTGCTTCGGAGCGCCAAGACCCATGGGTCGTACAAATACTATGGGTAGATTGCTGAGGTATGTCCATCCAAGGTACTCGCCACCGAAGCCTCACTACACTATGTCTCCAGAAGTCACCGCTGCACGCAAAAAACGCACTGGCGAAGCTAACCCAGCACCAGAGGGCGACCACCGTAAACGGTAAGCCTTCCTACCCCAACTACTACTGTACAAGCACCAACGTGAGGAACATCAGCCGACGCAACAGAACCACCCAGTCATGCCTCAACTGCCACACCTCAAAACGTATGGTAAGTACCTACTTGGCTTGGCGCACAACCAATGCTCACATTCATAACAGTGTGACAGAAAGCGCCCAGCCTGTGCTCGCTGCACCCAACTGGGATTGGTAAGCGATCCTCGTTGGGTTAACGTGTACAGTCAACTTATACATAGCTTGTCTAGACCGGCTTATGTGTATACGAAGTCGATGACCCAAGCCAACGCTCAGACACTCAGGATGAGAGTGCTAGGCTACTCAAGCGAGTAGCCGAGTTGGAGGGTGTCATTCGGGAGGTCAGCCAGCGCACACTTCTTATCATCGCTTATACTTACATACATTTATAGTTGAAGAACAAGCCACATCCTCGATGGGTTCAGGCTACAGCCGCTCCCAGTGAAGACTTCGACAGATGGCATTCGCGAGCGACGGCCCGCCTTGGCGACAGCTCGGAACTCCCCTCAAACGCTTCTTCTCCCCCGAGCTCCTCCTCTTCCGACGGGGGCGACAGTTCTAGTTCCATGTCCCACGCGTCATCCCTGTCCAATGTCTATCCAACGCCTCATCTTTCACAAGATCATACCTACTATAGCTCACCTGGCAGCACTCCATCGCCTTCTACCTTGACCCCTACAGAAGAGTTCTCCCGTCCCCTTGTTTCCATTGCTGGCCACGATGTACCCCACGACTTTGATTTGACATCATGGTTTTCGTCATACCCAGGGATAATGGGATGTGACGATGGTACTTACGGTGCCCTCTCCAAAGAACGGGATGATTCATCTTTCATCAAACAACAAAGTGGCCACTGCGGGTGCTTACACGAGCCAGCGAACTACAATGTTGTTCTCGAACTTTCCCTGCGGCTGCGAAAAGCAGCCGAAGTCCTCGCGCGTTCACCGAGCCACCGGATGGGCTCCAATTGCGTGCTCCAACATCGCATATCAGAGCTTGATACTTTTGCAACGTAAGTCAATTGAAATCGAGCCCACCCCTATCCTGTGTACTCATCTACTCCTAGTAACACTCTCGGCAACATTGCTATACCCCCAGAAGATTTACCCAGTTCCATTCCCACCCCAGAGCGTCCACACCCCGATGCTCTTGCTGCCAATGTCTTGGCGAGCAATGTCTACCCCAACTGCCGGCCTGCACCTTCGTCGTCTCTGTCTCCAAACCCTCTTCATAGCCTCCGCACATGGGACATGTTGCCGGTGACCGAGGCACCTCCCGATGATTCATTCATGTCTTGGGAACCGCCCCGTCGAGGATAGCGATAACAAATATTCCGGAGCACTCGGGAAAGGGTTGATTGCGGACTAACTTATATTTTATTGGTTCTCTCTGTGTTAGATACGTCTATGGTGTAAAGGAGTTTTGGGCTTGTTTCCCTTTCTGTACTAAAAGATACCAATACGTTGGCTTGTACTACCATAGTGCTACAATAGAAGTCTTGAACGATCCAATCGCCCGTTAGTTGAAGACAGCTTTCGGTGCTCACACTAGAATATATCCCGAGGGCCAAGCCTTTGTTCGAGGCTGCATTCAATTGTCATCCTCGATAAATGCAGGTGGATCAGATTCATGGCCGTGGTAACATGATACTCGACCGGTTATCACCGCGAACAAACTTACTTCTTCAAAGTAGCACTTGGTAGGTACGTGTGCCAAGAGAGGTTGTGAAGCTTGCCAGGTATATTCACCGGCGGCAGCCATAATGCATCATAGGCCAGCTGAATGCCCAGCTGCGGGTTATGTGCGGCATCTCCTAGTGTTGGGGCTTGGTATGTCGTACAGGCTTCGGATTTTCCGCGTCATAGGTTATTATCTTTCCGAGAGAAATAACCAGAACACTTCGGGCTTTACCTTTGATCTACGACGGAAGGGTGCAAGGTGACCAATTAAAATGATACGAAGGCTTTAACAGCATTTTGTAGCCAATGAAACGAAGAGAAGACTCACGGGCAACTGGAAAAGTCGCCTAGAATTGCTCCCACACCTGAGAGTGGAGAAGCAGACACACCCATACAACGGATGGTCTACACTCTACCTGACAATCGATCGATGCCCGAGGACCGAGCAGAAGTTGGCGGTGCGAGTACCCAGGTATCATTACCAATTTGCTCAGCCGCTAATCATAAACAATGTGGTAACACTTGAGGCCAACTAGGGGCTGTAAGAAATCATCAGTAAAGCTATACGCCGCTGGGCCTTTAAGTTCTGCCAGCTTACCGGAGAAACATCAATAAAGCACACCCGATGTTTTAGACAGAGGTATAACATTGAATCGTTTCTGTACCGAGGCATACGGCCGCCTAGGGCCTCCTAGGTCCTGTGAGTTCGGGCTCCATGAGTCCATGAGTGACAGTTGTCGAGGAAGGCATGCTTACGTGGTTTAGGCTTGGCTCCACGCCATAACGTCCGAACATTGTCTTCCCGCCAAGCCATGCCAAGGCTGATTGACTCGTGAGTACATTGGAGGTCTTCTTGATAGGAGGATTATGGCCCCGATAGCAGTGGCACCAGATATGTTGTGCAGATGTGGTTGCACCAGACGCAAGGGAATCTACCGATGACCGAGAGTTCGGTACCAGACCCACTCTACCAAGTCAAACGGGGATGAGTGAGGCTGATAACAGACAGTGACATCAAAACTCACTTCATACACTTCTGCATAGAAAGATATAGCACCCCGACACGCGATGGACGTTGATGTCGGGCGTATACTGCGAAAGTGGGTGAATAGTATACCAGAACCAGGAAATTTGCGCGGTAATCGCCTGAAGATCGGCCAGAGCGTGGTGAGGCCCACACGCCTGTATTGCAAGAAAGACACGGGCTGAATCATTCATCGAGGTCTGCGAACAGAAGTTAGCTGGGAAAAAAACCCTCCACGAGGTGCCATCACATCCATAGAATAGCTGTTTTAGAGGAAACCACGCCAACGAAACTCAGCTTGGCAGTTGTGGGAGGTTGAGTGAGTGGAAAGTTCGCGTTGGGTTTGAGTCTACGGACATGGACTCTCATGCAAGTCCTACCGTCCCGTTGGATATCGGGGCAAAAACGCAGTTAGATGATACTGAGTGAGTGCAAAGAAGTCACCTACCATGAGTATCGAGGTCCAGACCTCTGTACGATGCGAACTGTTACCGACTTGGAGCGAATACCGCGAGTCATTAGGGACCGATCGAGTTTATCATATTGATTAAACTCACAACGAAACAGAGGTCCATCACTAGGCCAATCATTTTAGTTGTCGCCTCCGTACTTGAGGGTATTTGAGTCGGAACCGTGGGCAGAGTTCGGTGTCTTCAACACTTTAGCCAACGTTACAAGCGCCAAACCACTGAACTCTGATGTTCGCGGAGTCTGAGAATGAAGTTTCATTGTCCGAACCAGTTCGCTTAGTCACCCTCTTTTCGACCACTGCTCACAGCGACCGACTACCATACACTCTCTTCCAAACTATGGCATCCCATTTGGTACGTACACCGAGGACTTGCATTCCGTGGGTTGCTCTCTGATCTTCTCATTCTCCAGGCGAACATCTTTGGTACCGAGCAGGATCGCGTCAATTGTTCATTCTACTACAAAGTAAGGAATACATATGGTTGCTTCCCACTTCGTTCGAGCAGTATTGAATGTTTTAGATTGGAGCATGCAGGCACGGTGACAGATGCTCGAGAAAGCATATCCGACCCCCGTTCTCCCAAACGATATTATTGCCCAATGTCTACCACAACCCGGCCCACGATCCTGTCTGCAAGCTCACTGAAAAGGACCTACAAGAGGGGTTCGATGCGGTGTATGAGGACCTCTACTGCGAGTTGGCTAAGTTCGGCCATCTCCTCGAGTTACATGTGCGTAGTTTCTCCGTTGAATCCGTATATTCCTTACGCGCCATTAGGTATGCGACAACGTGGGTGACCACCTCATAGGCAATGTTTACGCTCGTTATGAATGGGAAACAGAAGCTCAGGCGGCGGTGGATAACCTGAACGATCGTTGGTATGCAGGTACGCTGCCCGAATATGATATATATTCTACTTTCGCTGACTCGCCGTTTGCCGTAACCAGGGCGCCCACTGTATGCGGAGCTTTCACCAGTGACAGACTTCCGAGAAGCATGCTGTCGTCAAAACGAAAATGGAGAATGTAATCGGGGGGGCTTCTGTAACTTCATGCATCTGCGTCTTGCTTCTTCAGACTTGGTGTCTTCTCTCAAGGCTGGGCAGCGCTTAGAAAGAAGGCTTCATCCTCAAAAGGCGGATCATGGGGCTGGGGGATGGGAGCCAAGTAAGCGAGCTAGATCCGCTAGTCCACGGAGAGGCGGCGGGAATCCCGGAGAGGATCGTTGGACGAGGAAATAAAGTCGCATAGTCGGAGACATGGATGTTTGTTCGTATACTCTTCGATAGTATCCTGTACAGTTCTGTATATGTCTATCCAGGTTACCAGCGACCACAGAGCACTTAGTCGAATCGACTGTTGCCCGCTGTACGATATCGGAAGATCACACCTTGCCAGAGCCAGATTTCGTGGCTCCCGTCAGGATCGACCATCAGATGTGCACATATTGTAGGTGAGTTAACATGGAGTTGTCCAGAGTGCTGAGTAGAGTGGGACGGGCGAACTGAACCCCTTCCTGACAGTCAATGGGCTGGTTATGGGATATAATTCCCTCAGACCAACCATCCACGGCATTCTCCTTTGTTTATCTGAGACCATTGTACTAGAAATCTGATAACGATAAGTACTAGTGGGAACGGACGATAAATAAACACACCTATCGACGAATGGACGAAGGAGTTTCCCAGAGAGCGACAGTGATTTTACGCGTGCGAAGGACTCGACATATATGAGCCTAGGCGATGGCCTACCTAGGAACTTGAAACAAAGCCGTGAAGACGTTATAACTCGACTCGATGTCCCACCAGCATGAGATGCACTTACTCGATTCAGGTACACAGCAATGCACAGAACGAAGCAAGTCCCCGGCCCGTTCAGGATGAGAACATCTGCAAACGAACTGCTTCCTGGACCAGATGATATCAAGGGGGCAATTGACACATGGAACACACACGCCAGCAAGGAGCGAAGCGCGGTAGGCGGTGTCATAAACAAGGATTGATGGACACGACGGGCGCGAGGAATTACGAGGATGTTATAGTCGGTGCCCTAAAAACGAGGGTATCACAATATGTTATCAATCGCGATGAGGGGGGGACGTGTACGGGTCGAGATGAAGCGCTCGTAGCCTTGCTGGTCTCCAGAGAAACAGCTTTCTCGGCGCTGAGTATATCCCCTTCACTAACCACATATTTCCGTGGAGTATAACGGTTGAAATCGAGGGAAGATAATAAGGACAGCGCCTCACTGGTGTGACCGCCTGAGCCCTCGCATTAGCCGCATCACGTCAGGCTTTCAAAGTTCTTACCAGAGCCAAGGAATACAGCCAGGCTGCAGGTATCAGAAGCTTGTCGGTGTCGGGGAACGTGCCTATTCTTTGTACCTCGAGATTGGAAGATTAGCCACATCAACCTCGCGAGTGTACACAGAAGAATGAAGGCAGTTATCCGCCAAAGGTTAGGCATCGAAGTGGTGGAAATAGGTGGCGGAGACGCCAAGACGCTTGATGATGCCCTCGATGAGCTCGCCAGGCAAAGCCAAGATGAAGGTATCCCACGGAGTCCCTGGAGTAGGCTAGGTGTTATCTACGAGAAATGATTTCAACGAGCTGCGGACATCATTGTCGACCGTCGACAAGGCGCTCACCGACTTCAAGGTTGTACCACCGCGAGGTGTGACCTGCTCGGAGTCGCTGATCACGCTGAAGTCAGGAGCGGGGTCCAAATTTGGAAAGTAGACCGATTCTTCATAATAACGCGCCGCCCAGTGGCAAGTCTGCCTGTTACTCTTTCGCGCTCGACATCGACCGATCCCCCCTCCGAGTGCCAAGCTTCGCGTCGCTCTCATTCTTGCAACATGGCGGGGTTTGTGGTAGACCACCAGACGATCTCAGAGCTTAGGTTGGCCACCAAAGAATGTGCAGAACGTGGGCTACTAGTCGCGTCCAAGTGGTATGTTTCTCAATGTACTGCGATAGCCGGTCATTGAACGATTGAAGGGCCTCCGAACTACTATTATCTATTCCTCACCACAAACGGACGACGGCTGCTATGGCTTCGATGACATTCTCCACATCGACACCCGCAAGGCCAAGGTCACCGCTGCCAACGCTTGGGTTTGAATATTCGCCAATACCCGCTCCGGCGACCGCGCATCTTGTTGCAGATCCCGACAAGCCTTCTGAGACACTGTATCTTCCCCAATCCAAGGAGGAGATAATTCTGCAAGTGCAGCTTGAAGCGCAAGAACAGGACGCGATCACATCATCGCGTACACTCATGGATCAACGCGAATTTATGCGCGCTGTACACCTACTGGAGGAATGCAAAAGCCCCAAGGCTCGGTTTATAAGGATATACTGTAAATTTATCGTGAGCTCCTTCTCCGGTGTTTAGAGTAGGTCTTAATTGGATGAAAGGCAAGTGAGAAGGACTCTCTGCGGAGTTGGCACAAGCTAGACAGTGCGTCAACTAAACCGATTTCTTATGAATCGCCGTCGCGCTAATGTTCGAACAAGATAACCGTAATCAACCGCCTATACCTGTGAACAAAACCATCAATTCTCTGTTCGAAGAGGTTCAGAGGGATTCTGACCCGTGGTTATTATTTCTGTGTGTAATTCAAATTTAAATTCACTCGGCGAATTTCAGTACTAATCGTCGACTCGTGAACAGGAAAGCATTATTTCTCTCCCAACTTTCTCGGCGGCAAGCGGCCATCGAATCAGCTTTGTTATCAATAGCTGGATTTCCCTGGAATTGGTCTGCGTGGGTTTTACTCTCCAACTGTGTTAGAGATGGAGACGAAGTTAGTGTTCATCCTACTAGAAGGTGCTTTGCCCCCTGATTGATTTCACAGTTAACCGGACTCCTGCCTTTGATGCCACTACCATCCAATCATGCTCTGGTGCACATGTTTCAGATCAAAACGATGAACGAGCTGAATAACCCGTCAGAGCATGAGCTCGGCTTATGCGACGCCCTTCTGACAGAAGACCTATTCCCAAACAGTCTGTGGATAATGAGCCTTCGTGCGAATTGTCTCTACAATCTCCATGGTAAGGACATGCGGAGCCTCCACATTCCCACAAAACTTCCCTGATGGCTGGGCACCTTTTTTATTTAAGATTTCGGGCAGGCCGAAGCCCAGTTTGACCAAATCCACTCCATGGACCCTCATCGTATAGATAACATTGACATATTCTCGAACATACTATACGTGACCGACAACAGACTCAAACTCTCAAAACTTGCCCACGAATTCCTTCGCTTAGAGAAGGACCGTCCTGAAGTGTGTTGCCTTGTTGGTACGTTTCCAGACGCTTGGCTTCGAATATGCTAAACCGGTGCGGATGTTCTCTAGGGAACCATTACTCGCTGCGTGCTGAACATGAGAAAGCAGTCAAGTATTTCCGACGTGCTACCCAACTTGATCGGACCTTCCTTTCTGCGTGGACGCTTATGGGGCATGAATACGTGGAGATGAAAAACTCACATGCGGCTATTGAAGCCTATAGACGAGCTGTGGGTATGACACTCTCCTAACAGGCCTATCCCAGCCGCTAATCTTTGCTACTGTAGACGTGAACCGAAAGGACTACCGGGCTTGGTATGGTCTTGGCCAAGCCTACGAGCTACTGAGTATGCATCAATATGCGTTGCATTACTATCAACACGCCACAGCGTTACGGTATGTCATAGACTCGGTGATTCTCCCCGCTTACCATGTTGCCCCAGTCCCTATGATGTCCGACTGTGGCAAGCTCAAGGAATGTGCTACGAAGAGATTGGACGGTAGCGAACCATTCACTTGATGTGCTTCATGACCAAAACTCACGGCTTCTTAGATTTGGCGAGGCAATCGAGTGCCTTAGAAGGGCGCTGCTTGGAGCTGATCCGAACGAGATCATCATAACACTCAAACTAGCCAGGCTCCACAGTTTGCTGGGTCAACGGATTGAGTCGATTGGATATCACCGACGAGTGGTCTCGATCTGCCAAGCCACACGTTGAGTTCTTCGGTTCTCCCTGTCATGGGTCTTCGTTACTGAGCCTCATGCCCCGTTTTTTTATAGAACGACCGGTCGCTGATTATGCGAAATCTTGTTTGGAGGTCGCCGAATTTGAGGTCAACACCTTGGGTGGCAACTTGATGTTGGCCAAGGAATGTGCCGAAACAGTCGCGGGAAGTAATGCGGAAGAGGTGGGCCGGGCATCGGACTTGCTAAAGGGCATCAAAATGCGATTGCGTGACCTAGAACTCGCGGAGACTGAGGCAAGAGAAAGAGCTTACGGTAATTTACCCCACCTTGCGGAGGCGGAAGCGAGAGCAAGAGCCCAATATCTGGCGCAAGTGAATGGGGGGCACACGCCTACAGAATAGTCCATTCTTCTCTTTTGTTCGGCCCTTGAGGGAAGCTTTGCAATGTATTCTTTTCGAGCTGGGTACACTTGGCAGATTGCTGTTAAGTCGCCAATGACGATTACCAAATTAGTCCATGCGCACTTTACTTACTGGTTGGGCGTCACGCTTGGGGAAGGACCTGCCCTGAATCATTCAAGCGTCCACGGTCACGAGGTGTCTGACTGCCAAACCAAACCACAACAAATCGCCAGGAAATGTCGAATCTGTCTGGCTCTTCGTTTGTGCTGGGATCTTCTGACCTTGCGGCTCTGAAGCGTGCCCAGAATGCTCATCAAGAGCCATCGAAAGCCCCGACGGAGCCCGGCACCTTCAATTCGTCTACTACCGCTTCTGCAGGTCCGTCAAGCTGGCAGACATGTCACAGAGGAGTAGAAGCACCTGCTGCCTCATCCAGGGCCCGAAATGGGAAATCGTGGACCGCTGATGAATTGCTTATCATACAAGAAACGAAGGGGAGGTTCGCATCCTTCTTCAATCTCATCGACAACATTCTCATCGGTCTCTAGATTTGCTGCAAGACTAGCTGCTGATCATGCAGCGGTTCTGCATCCTGACGTCGATACACCGTTTATGGATGTCCAAGACGCGATGAATAGGTTGCTTCCATACCATATCTTCCAGCAACCGAAAAACGACCTCGAGTGGGTCATCAATGGCGGCAAGGGGAAGCAAAAGGCGGCTCCCGAAGCTGAATTGTCAGGTATGGATACAAGCGCATGTCATCGCAGTTACGAGAACTCAAGGGGTCACCCTCAGAAACTAGATTTGCTATAGAATGTCACAAGCGACGCAAGGCCCTCAAAGACAAACTCAGGAAGATCAAGATTAGAGAGGGCACAGTGAGTGCGACACTAAGTCTCTATTTCGTATTGCTAATAAACCACCAGCGCTCTGCACCTCTGGACCAGGCGTATGCTCTCGCTCAAGCCGTCTTGGACTCCGAGCGCACCGAGACGGCATGGCTAAACGCCGAGTTGCGTACTGCTCGGGGAGAGTTAGACAAAATAGAGCGCGAGAGGCGTGCAGCGAACCCCCCACTGCCCCGCACTTCATACTACAATTCGCCTACGATTCCTTCATCCACTCTGCAGTCTCAATGGTACCGCCCATATCCTTATGCATATAGTCAGCCGTACACGACAGTTTCCACCCCGATGAATATCACCTACACCACTCCCGTGACATCTGCTGCCTTCGCTACTCCAGCACCGACGACTGCCGCAGCCGTTACCACACCCGCCACCACAACTACGGCCACGACCACAACCGCCGCTCCATCTCCTTCGCTGCCGGCATCCATTGCGGGAAAGAGTATACCCGTACAATTACCAGTTTCATCGCTACCTGCACTTCATGCACTAGGTATCACCCCGGTTCCAGCTGCATCACTCACGGCTGGACAAGCCCTTCCACCTGCTGTACTACGAAGTTCGGCGGCGAATGGAACGATGCTCAACTTAGAGATCAATGTCGCATCGCTGAAAGGTGCCCAAATCAACGGCCTAGCCCTGATTTTGAATTCTCTCATGACGCGGGGCACATCAACACAGCCGAGCGTCACGCCTACAGCAACTCCCCTATCAGCCACTCCTGCCAACGGTACAACTAGTAACGGCTGATAATTGGTATCCTTATTGCGTCTGTACAGTTCTGTAGCCCTTTACTTTATTCCTTAATACTACCGGATCAATGTCAGGGCCGGAGAACATTACCGGATTGAGCTGTTGTGGAGGTGAAAACATAAGCCAATGAATTTGAAGAGTTGAACAGCAACCGCCTCCATGCCCGACACAGATAGCAGGCGTCCTGCTCCGGGCCCGTATGATCCCCCGACGACCACAACGACACGTAGGGAGCGTCTGATGCGCATTGGGAGCACTAGTGCTGTCCCCCAGCTGCGCGCTGACGGCGTTGTCCCCGATTTCACAGATGCCGCCCACGACGAGCAGACGGCACTCCACTGTGAGCAGAACAAGCCTACATCGTACGGGACGCTGCCCCCCTCACCGGTTCGCCGGCTATGGAACAAACCTACCTTGAACTTTCGCTCCCGAAGACAGCTCCCGAATAAGAATATCCCTCGCCTTGATTTGAGCAGACGCTCCGCTTCGGCCTCCGCCTCTCATACGCCGTCGCACTCGCCCAGCGCGTCCATTCGCAACTTTACCATCTCTCGGTTGACGCTTCAGAGACCCATCTCTGCTTACGATGCCCAACTACAGGATCCCAAACGCAGCCCTGCGGACGAAGGCGCGGAGCTAGACGCCAAAATCAATGGTATTCGAGTATGGTACTCCTCGTTCACATCCATTGATTGGCTCCACGACGCTATCAAGGACTCGGTTCGCTTTGCACGTCTCAGGCGTAGACGTGGCTCCGTCCGGTCCCGAATTCGCTTGATCTTCGACAAAAGTGTCGGATGGATCATCGTAACCATTGTAGGGTTTCTGACAGCCATAGTTGCCTTCTTGGTCGTGCGCAGCGAGCAATGGCTATTCGACATCAAAGAAGGCTATTGTACAGATTCATGGACCAAAGCGAAGCGTTTCTGCTGCCCAGGGACAGACAACGTGTTCCACTTGCAGCCAGAGGAGGATTGCCCCAGTTGGAGAACCTGGTCTGATGCATTGGGTCAACACGGAAGTGACGATGATGCAGGTGTTGAATTCGTCCAATACCTTGTCTATGCATTTGTTGCTGTACGTCTATCACCTTCGCGCCTTTGATTCGTTCTTCACGATTCCACAGCTCCTCCTCGCAATCACCTCGTCCTTGCTGACGATCTATCTCACAAAGTCTACTACCTTCGTAACGCGCAAAGAATCTGGGGTTCTGGCTCCGCAATTTGCTGAGGACAAGTCTTCCGCGTCTCCCAACGTTCCTGCCATCAAACGCAAAGTCCTTTATTATGTACGCGTTTCTTACTATTCTAACTATTACTTCCCTTCATATGTAAATTTGGACAGGCTGCCGGTAGTGGTATTCCTGAGATCAAGACGATCCTTTCTGGTATATTGCCCGTTATTCCCCTTGCAGTACAACGTTGACGAGAGCTCGGAACAGGCTTTGTGATCCATGGCTACCTTGGAGGTCGTACACTGTTTACCAAGTCAGTAGGCTTAGCCCTGTCAGTTGCTTCAGGCCTATCCCTTGGCAAAGAAGGCCCATTCGTCCACATTGCGAGCTGTATTGGAAATATCGTCAGCCGCTTTCACAGCAAATATGAGAATAACGAAGGTCGGCGAAGCTAAACTTTGAACTCGGATCATGCTCATACACTCAACAGCTAAACGTCGAGAGATCTTGAGCGCAGCGTGTGCAGCTGGCGTGGCAGTAGCCTTCGGTGCCCCAATTGGAGGCACATTGTTCAGTTTAGAGGAAGTTTCTTACTACTTTCCTCCCAAGGTATGGATCTAGCCTTCTCACCTCAACTACATCGCTAACACGCCCCAGGTCATGTGGAGAAGGTAAATCTTAGTCCTCTCAGCCCACCTTGCACCTAACAATGTCTCTAGTTTCTTCTGTGCGATGATTGCAGCCATCACTCTCAAAATGCTTGACCCATTTGGCACTGGTAAACTCGTTCTGTTTCAAGTGACCTACGATAAGGTATGTTCTATATTTTTGAGTTTATCTGTCATCGTTACTCACTCCTCTTAGGATTGGCACGCCTACGAACTCGTTCCCTTCGTCCTTCTTGGCATATTCGGGGTATGTCCCGGTCTTGCTGCTCTGGCGTTGCACCCTCTGATGTGCCCTTCAGGGGATCTATGGTGCCTATTTCTCCAAGTTAAACTACAGATGGAGCAAGAACGTCCGTAACAAGACCTGGCTTGGTGCCCACCCTATAGCCGAAGTAGCTCTGGTAAGACTTAGATCGTATTATTTGTGCAATTCTTAGTGACTGTTTGTTAGGTCACTTTATTGACAACATGGCTATGCTTCCTCAACCCATATACTCGGATGGGTGGTACAGAGTTGGTGGCGAACCTCTTCGCCGAATGCCGTAAAGGATCGTCAGACTACTCTGACCTATGCGTATTGGACGCAAGTACCTTCGCACACATCTGGCCTGTGATCAGCGCAATCCTAGTGGCCTTGGTCGTCAAAGGCACCCTCACGATCATTACATTCGGGATCAAAGTCCCCGCTGGCATCTTCATTCCAACTTTGGGTGTTGGTGCATGTGCAGGCAGAATCCTCGGCATTTTCATGCAATACCTGCAAGCCAGACACCCAGAATCGCGAATGTTTGCCGCATGCGGAGGGGACCTTGACTGTGTTGTCCCTGGATTATATGCCATGGTTGGTGCCGCGGCAGCCTTATCTGGTGTCACCGTGAGTCGTTCATTTTTGTTCCCTCCACATAACAATAGTCCGAATACCCTTTTGGCAGAGAACGACCGTATCTTTGGCTGTTATCATGTTTGAACTGACTGACACGTTAACTTATGCCGTGCCTGTTATGTTGTCTGTGCTTGTCGCTAAAACCATGGCGGATGCGCTCGAACCGAAGGGAATTTATGACCTCGTTATCGAGCTTTCGCAACTGCCATATCTGGATACGAAGCACGAGTACCTTTGGGGTCATTTACAAATCGGCGATGCGGTACGTGTCTGCTCTCGCTAAGATTTCGCCATCGGTACTTATGGGCTAACCCTTGATCAGACTGATAGAGATGTCAGCACCATCAAGCTCGACAAGAAGAATACCGTAAAGAGCCTGCGAGATCAGCTGCAAAGTCTGGTCGATTCGGGTAATGACGATAGTGGGTTTCCCATTTTGAGGGTAGATCCCCACGAAAATGGATGGCGAATGGTCGGCTATATTGGGGCTAACGAGCTCGAACATGCGCTCAGTTCGTATCTTGCTAATGCTTTATCTTGACCGAGGCGTTGACGCTTTGATCGCAGGCCTCGTAGCCGACGACGCTGATGAGGAGGTCTTCTTCCATACAAACTATCCCCATCACTCAATGGCCTCTTCGTCGCTCTCTTCGCTGCACGAAGCGGACGAACGAGAGCAAAACATGTTCGACTTTAGTATTTACATGGATCAAGTATGACATGGACTTCTTGATGGGGATGATTACTCAAGCATGCTCTAGGCTCCCCTCACTTTGACATCGAACTCTCCGCTTGAGATGCTTCAGCAGTTCTTTTCCAAACTCGGCGCCCGTTACGTTGTAATCACCGACATTGACGGCTACTGTATGCTCCCTCGCATTGTTGATTGCCCTACTTTTACTGACTCGCATCTCAGATGAAGGTGTCGTCGACAAGAAGACCTGGTTGGCCTTTTTGAGTGACCTCGAAGAAAGATCATGATTGCCATTTACAAATTCTTTTTCATCTGACCGAAGCAAGCCTTGGAATTACAGGACGATTGCACTATTTATTTTGCATCTTTCATACGTACGAGAATCTGTTCGCTATGTACTTCAATTCCATACCTTTGTGAATGAATCCCTTCGCCCCTATACTCCCAGGTTTTGCGCTATACGTCGTTGCTAATGCGGTTCGGTAATTCCTTCGTGTAGAAATGAACCGTGAGGAACTGACGATCCATTTCGTGCCTTCGTTGGCGTTGACGCGGACGGCCACGCTAGTAGATGGTAAGAACTGTGGGAGTGGTTAGTATATCAACACCATTATATGTCCTATCTTATCTTGGAACATTTATGATGCTACATTCGACAGAACTGCTGGCGATATTACATTTTCTGTTGTACCCATGTCCCAGTATTCAAATATAGTATACTTGGATTGTACGGTTATTTAGACAGCAGAAGTAGATTCGTCTACCGCATCCGGCTTGACTTAATCGACTTGTGTGGCCTACCTTTCAGAACCTTTCCGGGTTGTTTCCAGATGGATAAGTCACAAGAAGTATTCGGCGGTGCAATGATGGCGGTGGTGTCGATTCACGTTGACGTCCTTCCAAGAATAACGTACAATGTGTATTTAAGCCGGGTCAGTGCGCTTAGGGATTGCATATGTGACTTTCCCGTCGTTGTATCGCTGGGAAGCGTCAGGATCAGAATCACAGAAGATGGTAAGATGTACCTTCAATTTGAACATACACATCATGTATCCAGCCTTCCCCGGGGCCTCCCAGCACTACCAACAGTAGTCGTGAGAGGGATCGACAGTGAAGAACCAGCATTCTTACCTCGTCAACAGTATACAATCCGTCATAGCGATACCTTGGTTCCTGTTGAACTGAACAAATGTAATCAAACCGACAAGGGCCTACTTGTATGTGCCGCCAGGCCTTGGCGCGTAATCTGAATTCGACTTGTCCCCTCTGATAACTCTGATAGGAAGGCGAGTCGCAATAGCATTCTGCAAGGACGCGAAGTCAGAAGAAGGGCAAGAGGAGAATGGAGAGGCTCACTTTTAGAGCCGCATTCGGGCCCTTCTTCCAATTCTGGCCTCCAGCTTGACGTTGTCCACGAACCTGTTTAGAAGATTATTTGGCGGGAACGAGCTACGAAACCGAGGAGACGTGACGCACTGCTTGCCCTTTCTCTGCCCCTTTACCTAAGGTAGAACCAAAAGTAAACGGACGATAAATTGTGACGGTGAGAGTCCAGCAACTCGCCTTGTCCGGTATATATACTTGTCACGTTGTCAGTCAATGACATCGCCACTCGAAGGAATGTACCCACATCTCTTCTCCGTCGTCGACGTTGTCTTCGTATCCGCCATGCAATACAACCGAGTATACATTATCTTCACCTACACTGTGGATCCCATGGATAGTTGGCAAGTGAACGCCCGCGTCACTTAGCTCTTGACGATTACGGAACATTGTTCCGGGTTCGATCCCTTCGATGTCCAAATTGACCTGTGCACTTTTCGATGGGTCCACGAGTAATAGTTAGCCCTTCGTACATCGTACAGAGACACCACACTGACATTCGCCTTAGCTGTGCGCTGAGCCTCGACATATCTGGCGGTGGTGGCTTCTTGATGGACTGGAAGTCCAGTTTCCCATCGACTTATATTCCGGAAAGCGAGTCATTCTTGTCTATTCTTGAGCAATGCGCGTGACCGAGTATGGGGGTTCTGTAGAGCCCATAGCCCACAAACTTCCGCAACCTGAGATCGTCGATGCTGCAATTCCGAGGCAGTCCCGGGGGAAGCGATTTGTCACATTAATGGCAACTGGCAACTTCGTAAACTAAAGCAGTTCAATGAACGCGTCTTGCCACGTGACTACATTCACTTGATGATCGGTGGCTGTACTACTCTGAGCTTTAACTCAGGTCATTCCCATCGCCTGGGTCGATCCTTTCGACCAGAACCACTGGTCACCTCCATTTCGTCAGCCATGGGCAAACTTGCAGAAAGGACATTGCAAGGACAACGGCCGCGCTCTGCTCGATATAGAGCAGCAATCAGTACGGCCGGACTACTGTTCTTAACCTCATCTCTTTACCTGGGAACATCTCAATATCGCAGTCATGGACGTGCAACCCAAGTTGAAACAGAGTCGGCTTCGTTGGAGTGGAAGGATGACATATGGCCATTCCGTGAACCAATGCCCTGGGATATCTCGACGGACTTCCCATACAGACGCGTATTGGAATACGACGTTACGGAGGGAACATGGTTGCGTTTAGACGTGCATCCGAAGACGGGAGATATCGTGTTCGACATGGTGGGAGACTTGTACTGCTTACCTGCAACCTCGTATGCACAATTTTCTGAGCGAACTCGCGCGGTTCCTATCATGATCGGCATCCCGCACGACTCCGACCCCCACTTTTCTCCAGACGGTGAGACATTGGTTTGGAGAAGCGACGCCGAACTCGGGATCGAGAACATATGGGTTACAAGCTGGAATGGCTGCCAGTCTATGGATCTCCGCCCCGCTCAGGGATTACCTGCGAATCCCGAGTTGCTCAACGCGTTGGCACTCCAGAACACTGACGAGACATTACTTGCGAACGAAATACGTGAGACGGATGAAAGGAGATACAGACGTTTATTGAGGGAAGGGAGAAGTTCTGGTAATTCTAGACTCGCCTTCGTATGATCCTGTCGTAGCTGACAACTTCTTCCAATAAGCACGGCGGGTAACGAACGAGACGTATCGCTGGGTGTCCGACCCTCGGTTCCACCCATCTGGAGACAAACTCACGGCGACGAAATGGTATACTTCCTCCCGCAGTCTAGGCGCTGGAGAAATATGGGAGTATCAGCTACCAAGCATGGCCTCTGATACTACTCCAATAGCGGTGGGCGCTGGCATACGTCGCGTTGGCCGAGAACTCCCTCCTGGCTGGGATCTCACAACTCAGTACGGTAACCAGCAAATTGGCCCAGAACAAGCCGTTTGGCTTGGGTACGACACGCTCATTTACTCAAAGAATGTACTTGACGAAGCTAGTGGAGCGTTTGACTATAGCAAGGGTGCGTTTCCGCTACCTCTTTATTATTCGCATGGCTCATGTGAACTAGACGTTCACAGTGGCATTTATTCGATTTTCTCGCATAATTTGACGACGAAGACGACAAAAACGCTTGTGGATGCATTTCCAGGAGGCGCGAGTCGACCCGAACTCTCAAGAGATGGTAGAACACTGGCGTTCGTGAGGAGGGTCCGAGACAAAAGCGTACTGGTGCTCAAGTTAGTAATCCATACTCTACTAGCACTAGTGTTAATATAATGCTTTCTAGGGACCTCGCAACTGGGTCGATTCATCATGTCTACGACGGGTTGACATACGATCTATCGACAGTCTCGGCTCCAATGGGTACATACCCATCCTTCGCTTTCACTCCGGCTAGTTCTCCTGAAGAGGCTATTGTTATATGGGCTGCTGGTCAAATTTGGTATCTCCCATTGAGCTTGAACTCACGCGGTGAACGAATTAAGCATCCGGTGCACGAACCGCGTACCATACCATTCAAAGCCACGATAGAGAAGCGTATCAGCGAGACGTTGGTTGCGCAGAGCAACGACGGAAAGCAAGGTATAATCGAAGGACTTGATTTAGTCGGCCTAGAAACCAAAGATGTGGCGCGCGTACGGGCGATGAAAGAACTGAAAGTTGATGAAGCAGGGAAGCAGGCGGTATTCCAAGCTGCTGGCGTCAGTTACGTCCAGAGCCTCACAACCAGTGCTCAAGCTGGAGCATCAAAGGACGCCAGGAAGGTTCCGGTTCTCTCCCCTGACTCCCCCTATTACTCCCCCTCCTTTGTTCCTGGCCTGGAGACTAGCGAAACCTTGGTTATTCATGCGAGATGGTCGGACGAGACTTTCTCTACCCTTGAATTAGCAGACGTCGACTCGGGGTGCTCATACGAAGTCACAGGCTTACCACTCGGCCGATATTACTCCCCTGCGATTTCCAAGTCGGGCTCACGCCAGCGCAAGATCGCTTTTGTAAAGACAGCAGGCGGGATCCTCACCGGCGATATCGTCGCTGTAGCCAATCCAGGCTTGTACGTCGGTGACATAGTCCTACCTGAACACACAGGTCAATGTGTTGGCGTTGAAGTCTCGATCGACAGTGTCCATTTTGTGTCGGAAGACCTCGATCTCGATGAAGACGATGTTATTAAACTTCGCTGGATTGACGTCGCTGAACCCTCTGCGAATCGGCTGCCCTGGTTCCAAGCACCCGAATCAGGGATCAAGGAGCTGCTCCTAGTCGAACAGGGATCGACGGCCTTCGTCGTAGACATTGCGGGAGGCCACGACGAACTCGGTGAATTCAAACGGTGGACGATATCAGAGGGAGAAATGTCCAACGAGATCGTTGTTGGCAGCATCAAACATGTCCAATGTTGGCCCTTCCCGTGGTTCTGCTTTTGGGACTCACTTCCCATGTCGTCTTTCCTTGGGCTGGGCAACAATAAACCTACGGTGTCTCGGGCTGACAGATATCGACCTAGCAAAGTCGCCTTCGTCGATTTCTTCCATGTATACCTTGTCGATGGGAGTAATGTAGGTGTAGGCGAAAAGGTCTGGTCAAAACCTGGTAACGCTAGTGAAGCTTTGGCCCGACTGAGCTTGGACGGCGGTCACGATCTGACATTTAGCGGCGACGGCAAGAGATTGTACTGGTTCTTGGGTAGGGTTTCATGGGTGCGGCATGATTGCACCGTGACTGACTCTGTATCAGGTCCTTTTTTGCATTCTGTCGAAGTTTCCCAGATCGACAAATGCGCGAAAGCAATCAAGGCCGACCCTCTGACATTTGGAATTGATTGCGTTCATCGATATGTCAAGTTCCAGGAAGTCGTCGTGGAGCATTCTACCGACATCGCGCGTCTCAAGCAAGAAGCCCGTCAGGCTCTAGCTTCTCAAACTCCACCTCAAACCGATTTGCAAGACCAAAATGCGGCTGACGCTGTTGATAGTGCCGATGTCCTTGTCATTTTCAATGCGACTCTCGTGACAATGGAAACAGGAAATGTGGCCTCAGATGTCATTTACAACGGAGCGTTAGTCACAAGGGGTGGTATAATAGAGACGGCAGGGCTGACCCACGACCTGGTTGTTCCTTTGGGTGCTACTGTCATTGACGCTCGGGGAGGTGAGCCGAAAGTATTGGTCTTACTATCTACTTCCTCAATTAATATCACCCCAGCCTTCGTGATTCCTGGATTCATCGACGTTCACGCCCACTGGGACGGTTTCAGCTCTCGATATCCTGCTACATCCTGGGAAATGGAGACGTTTTTGGCGTACGGAATCACAACGTTGCACAAGTGTGTTCTTACTGAACGCGCATGGCTGCTAGCATTGACATTTCCTCTATAGCCCTAGTGCCGACAACGTGAATGGATTCGTAGAGCGTAGTCGAGTCGAGAGTGGTCAACTTGTTGGCCCCAGAATATTCACCGTTGGCACCATCATCTATGGTGCCGGCCTTGTCGGCTATCATCAAGACGTCGCTGATACCGCCGAGGCTCGCTCTGCACTACTTAGGCTCAAGGCCGAAGGCGGACCGTCTAGTATCTCGTACAAGAATTACAACCTACCTTCGAGGTAATAACCTCTTTGCTATAGAACGTCATCGCCACACTGACAGTTTACCACAGAGCATCAAGGCAGAGACTTCTTCTCGAGGCCCGAAACCTTAGCATGCTATGTGTACCAGAAGGTGGCATGAACCAGGACTGGGACTTGACTTACATTGTAGACGGTAAGCACTGTTTCGCCCGCCGATGCGATTGCTTATGATTTATTGGAGGCATGACTACCGTCGAGCATAATTTACCTGTCGCAACTCTTTACGACGATGTCATCAATCTTTTTGCTTTCAGTGGGACGGGCAACACCCCAACCCATATTGTAAATTATGGCGGTGCACATGGCGAACAGTTCGTATGGGCAAATGTCGATGTTCCCAATGATCCCAAGTATATTGGCGCCAATTCCTATCTCGACGAATAGCTAAATCCTGGTTAGACTTCGTCGATTCACTAGGCATGACATATTGGAAGGACTGACTGAGTCCACTGCAAGACCTCTGCAATGTCTGTCTGTCTGTCATGTTATTGAGTGTTACTGACTTGGTGCACTAATTTGTAGCATATGCACTCTTCAACACATCAAGTACAGTGGCGAAGATGGTACGCAAGGGCCTCCGTGCCCACATTGGTGCACATGGAGAGCCCCCTTTGGGTCTCAACTACCACGCGGAAATGTTCTTCGCAAAGGCCGGGGGTCTCAGCAACTATGAGGTAGGTCCGCTCTGGCATATCTCACGGGCGATATTTGATTGATGGGCTGTAGGTAATTCGGGCTGCAACTATTCATGGTGCGGAGACACTCGGGTTGCAGAAGTCCATCGGTTCCCTTTCACCAGGGAAGCTCGCAGACTTTTTGGTTTATGAGCCCGACGTGGATATTCTTGGAGGGGAGATAGCCGCCACAAATCAAGTGAGATATGTTTCTCGCGGCGGGCGTGTCTGGGCAGCCTCCACCATGGAGGAAGTATGGCCTGTCAAAGGCAGGAAGAAACCCATCCCTCCATTGAATCCGGAGTAATTGTACTGTTCGCCCGTCGTGAGTACATTGATTGCAAATGTAACCTTTATCTATAGGATGTCTTTCATGCCATAGTCTTACACTGGGCGTATCCGAAATAAAGGAAACTCCGTTATTGGTTTATCGGTTGAACACCCTGGAAATTATGGTGGGAGATACTGACAAGCAGAGAAGTCATGTTTTTCTTGGTTTCTTTACAGTGCAATCTACGGAATGTGATTGAAGGGGAGGGCGAGAGGGGGAATACAAAGGAAATGTTCAACCCAGCTGTTTTGCAATGTGTCCGGACCTCGACTGTTGATGCGAACGAGCAATGGCAGGTGGACACAATATATAGAGTAGGGACCATCAAAATCGAGACAAAGCCCCCCAAAAACTACACAACTGTGAGCATGTTGGATCCCTGCATCATCTGAGAGTATATGGATATCCGTACAAGAACAATGGCTTGTTGCAGGTTCGGAAGGATGCAGGCAGCCCAGAATCATTGGTCGTAAGACAGGGGTTGCAGACTCACCCCATATAAGGAAAACCCTAACCAAACAGCCGCAACCAACCTTAGTCTCAGCAGCTTCACCTCACCGCAAACCGCGAAAGATGACTACTGCAGGACTCGGTGTGCCCGTCAAGCTCCTCCACGAATCCCTCGGCCACATCATCACAGTCGAGCTCAAAACTGGCCAACTTTATCGCGGCAAATTAGCCGAAGGTACGCACGCACGCGCACAGGGCGCATTCATCGTATTTAGCCCATGGTCGTGGATGAACGAAGCTGATCGATGCCTTGTTCTGTAGCCGAGGACAACCTCAATATCTCGTTGAAAGATATCACTGTCACAGGACGAGATGGCCGTGTCTCACAGTTAGATCAAGTGTATATTCGAGGGAGTATGGTCAGATTCTTCATTGTTCCTGATATGTTGCAGAACGCACCCATGTGAGTTGTATTTCCTGTTCCAGAGAACGGGATGGTTCTGAGATTGCGATTGTTTTTCAGGTTCAAACGCGTAGGACCTAATGCGATGAAGGGAAGAGGTATCGGTACAGCTCGTGGTCGTGCAACAATTATGCGCGGTAAGTTTGTTCTTGCATGTTAACTAGTCGATATTCACGTCGCTGACCGTGAATCTTTTTCTTATAGCAAATGGCAAGTCCCTTGCTCAACAATTTGTCGGGGAAATGCGAACTAACTTTCTAATTTCTATCTAGCTCGACGCGGACGTGGAGTGGCGCCTCCTGCTCGTGGTATCAGACGATGAGTATCCCACAAACACTGCATTCTAGATCAATCAAAATCATCATCTCGTTCTGATGTAGCTATTGTACATGCTGTAATGCAGATTGACCATCCGCAGTCTGTTACGGAATGTAACCAACACAATTAGGTGTTTGTAAAGGCTGTGTGGCTGTCTTCTATGAACGCGCTGATTTGTAAATCACTGAACCGTGTCTTTGCGAGAGAAGTATTTACCACTTCAAGTTAGAAGTCGGAGACTCTCCCCTTAAAGCTCCAATCACCTTCACCCTGCCTCCACTGTTTCACGGGCTCTCGTTTAGGCCCACCTTGTTCTCCTGTCGTAGGATGTACGTCCCCCTCGAATTCCGGCTGGAGCGGCTTTCGAGCATCAGGGTGCAAAGTCAAATCTATCTCCTCCGAGGCTGAAGGCGATGCTAAAGGCGTCTGCGCTTTACGAATGAGGTTCTCGAATTCGCGTTGCTGATCTCTGGGCAGAGGCGGTGGTGATGGTCTGTTGAGATTCGTCGACATATTGCGAAAAGCTAAGCGAGGCACGACGAGGCCGACACGACGGACCCCTGGATAGCTCATGGTCACCGTAGCTGTGAGCACGGTTGCCCTCACCCGTTGAAATTCTGAAGCCGCAGCTCGGTTCCGATCCTCGTGGGAAATGAACTTAGGGGCTATTGCTGTTGATCCTCGCTGAGTTCAGTACCGCGTCTCCGCTGAATGTCAGCATGTTCCGTGCGTTGTTCTCCTTTCGCTGGTTTCTTTATGCAAGTATTGAATTGATTCAAATGTATCGCGTCTGGTGTACGTATTTTGTAATTGTACTGCCACCGCTTCGAGGGCTGCGGCGAATGAGTGAAATAATTTGGGTTGATCGAGCAAACCACGTGGATTGTCTCTGTCGAATGCCCTCATCTTGCTCATAGCACTGCTCGTTCATGTCGCTCTCTTCCAACCTTCATGTTCCCCCTCTGATTTTACACCAAATTCGACATCGACTCGCAGATTCTGCCCCAGCTCCACGAGCGGCCCCTTTGAACGCTGGAACCCGCTGAACACCTGGATATCATCCTTATTGTCATTCTCAGGCATCCACAACATACTGTGTGCCCTGCGATCACCCAATGCAACGCATAGATGACTATGACGGCTATGCTGCTGGCCCGTCGCGGATTGTCATAGATATCAACGCGCGACCACCGACAAGCGCACCACCCCCTAGCACTGCTCAAACTCCGTCTGGTGACGGCGGGGCGAAGAAACGGGGCATCAACAGAGCCTGTGATGCCTGTAGGCGGCGCAAGACACGCTGCGACGGCTCGACCATGCCCGACAACATATGCACGAACTGCCTACAAAGCCACAAGTCTTGCACCTATGCGTACGTTCGTTACTCTGTCCCCCGCAGAACCCGCTAAGGTTATTGCATTCAGTGAAGCATCAAAGCCTCGAGGCCCGCCCAAAGCGTGAGTCAGCCTTCTGTTCCCATCGACAGACGACGAGTTGATGAGACCAATCCTAGTTACGTCACGGGAATGGAAGACAAATTGGAAAGACTCGAAGCGTTGCTGAAGAAGGTAAGTTTTGTCGAAACGCCCGCTTCTTTCCGCAATTTCCTGCCAACAACTACTCAATCATCCCACACCCCACTTCTCAAGTAACTCCACCACCTTGATTATCCGCGTATATTGATTCTCACCATGCTCACCCATATTCAATATCATAGCTCCGACCGAATGAAGACTTCTCAGACGAGCTAGGACCACCTGTGATTCGTGATTCGTGGAAGACGGAGGACGCAAACGTCGAACACCGGATGCTATCTGTAAAGCGTGACATTTCTCCATCATTGCCGACCGTTATTCCTTCACTCGGCTCTCTGGTACCTCCTCTCGGGGAGCCGCAGCAAATTGTCATTGGACCCCCCACGCCTCCTCGTGTCCCCGGTAATTCCTCTGTGCAGTGTAAAGTGCAGAACTCGGCTGACTGTCGATGCCACTTAGGTCACATCAAGACCGAGTCTGATGACAATGGTTTATCCTTAGTTGGCTTACCTGAGTCGCCGACCGGTATACACTTGCCCTCGGCAGCTGAAGACGGCTCAGAATTTTCTGCCGGCCTGGCCCGCCTTTCCTTGCGTGGCACCAATGACCTTCTGGAAGACGATGCTAACCAGCTACGTTACCATGGTGGTAGTAGCACCGTAACGTTCGCTGAAGCCGCCAAAAAGTTTAAAGAGCGGCAGGCGCAGGAAGCAAAGAGCACCGACCCTCGCGACGATGGGTTCCAGTCTAGGAGCACAGCGGGTACTCCACGACCCATGCACACGCCCATACGTCGGCCTGAGTATTGGCGCACACCACCTGTAAGTCTTCTTCGCTCATCACCGATTAAAGCTTGTTAAATATATTCTCGCTGCCTTTGGTCTTCTGCATGCTAGTGGGAACTTACCTGGGAAGGCGTCAGGCATGAGTCCACTTCGTTCCTTGCCCCCTTTATCCCCCTTCTCCCGCCACCCGACTTGGTCAAATCCCTCATCGACTTATATTTTCTCCACGTCAATACGCAATTCCCCCTAATCCATCGACCAACATTTGAGCGTCATTGGAAAGAGGGCCTTGTCGAGAAGGATGTTTGGTTTACCTGTTTATGCTTCACCCTTTTTGCTGTCGCCAGCCGATGGTCAAATGATCCCCGCGTCCTGGACGAAACACCTCTGCCTATGGTTGAACATGTCTGGTGGCAGGCGGGGGCGAAGTACTTCAATGCTGCCATGGGTATGTATGCTTTGAGTAACCGCGCGTAGACGTCTTAGAAGTGCTAACTGGTTCATAGAGATCACACGCATGCGAAGAAGTCTGTTTAACCCTGGATGCTTATTTGAGATCCAATCATTATTCGTGTGTTGTTTTTACTCTGGTTACCCTTCCGACCGCTCTGACCACGATGTCGATTGCCCTCTAGCTATTGGCCGACTTCTTACGCGGGACACCAATGTATTCTACCGGATGGCTATTTATAAGCATCGGTATTCGAAAGTCGCAGGACCTCGGTGCTCACAGAAAATCATCTTATAAAGATACTCCAAGCGTAGCGGAAGAGTCATGGCGGCGAGCTTTCTGGCTTATGGTCGCGCTGGACCGTATCACAAGTGCGTTGATGGGAACACCTGCGGTGATCGCTGAAGCAGAGTAAGTCAAAGATATTAATGAATAGAGGACAAGCGTCGAACTCTTAACCCAAGTTTCGATGTAGATTTGCCCTTGGAAGTAGACGACGAATACTGGGAAAACGAAGACCCGTCACTTGCCTTCAAGCAGCCGCCAGATAAACCATCCAAAGTAGCATTCTTCAATTCTTGGGCTAAGCTCAGTCAAATCATAGCCTTTACTACAAAGACGATAGTAAGCGGTCTTTTGCTGATTTACATCCGTTTTGCTCACTTATTGTGCCAAGTACGCCGTCAATAAGTCGAAGGTGTTCATAGGCGCTAACAGTTCCCGTTGGCCGCAAGAAGTGCTTGAGAAAATGAACAAAGCTCTAGGAGAGTTCATGGAGTCAGTTCCACCCCACCGTAAGTCACCCATGAGTCTCTCTCTGTCACAACCGTCGTTGAGGCAAGATCGTTTCCGTAGTGAGATGGTCCAAAGACATCCATGACGAGACCTTCGCGAACCAATCAGCCTGGCTTCACACCACTTATTACGTTACCCAAATCCTCATACATCGTCCATTCATATTTTCTTCAACCAACGGTTCTTCTGACGGTGACGTCCCCTACGAATCCCCCGCCATCGCCCTGGAGATATGCGCATCCGCTGCCAGAGCTTGCGCGCGTATATTCGAAGTACAAACACCTAAAGGCTTTGCGGGCGTGCAAAATATGATCAATTGCGCGCATATATGTGCTAAGATACTTTTGATCAAGGTCGGGGAGGTCAATTCCCGTGTTAAACGACATCCTTTGGATAGCCGTGAAGACGCTGCAACGGTCAAGGACCTCATGCACGATGTCGATATCTTCATGAAGGCCTTGGAGTCATTGGAATCGCGTTGGGAGGTTGTTCCTATTTTCTTGTGAGCAAAGATCCTTTTCGGCGTTTTCGGAATTTTAGCTTTATAATGCAAACACAGAAACGAACTGCGTAAACTATTCCCTTCTAGCAATAGCGATGGTTTCGACGTATCCCCTCCTTTCCCCGCACCTTCAATGCAGTTGGATCTACCAATAATTCCAGCTCCTCGGGTGCCAGAGACCAGTCCAAATGCATTCACTTATCAGCAAGATGTCCCTTCCAGTTTCCAGCACGGTTGGCAATGGTATACATCTGCGCCTCCACCTCCGAACACGCCGAGAGAACTACAGTACCAAGAGCAATATCCTTCTTACGATTCGATAGGGTCAGGTATTCCCATCCCGGACCAACACTATGGCAATGTATACAATGCATACTCAAACGAGGGTCAACACTCTCCGACCCTTCTGCAACAGACCGCCATGCCCCCAAATAAGCTGCCGCCACAATATTACCCGACCTATCCGCCACTCCCGCCGCCCCCACCAATACACCGCTATACCGACCGCAACGGATTCTCCTCTGGCTTTACGCAGACAAGAGGGAGTTCGCGACGCTGGTAGTCTGGAGCAATACTTTCACGTCATCATGATATTCTTCGTGTGTCTGAACGTCACATAACCTAAATTACTTATTTGTCATAGGGACCATGGACACCGCTGCTCGTCATGTATTGTTGTTTCGAATTGCAAACCTAATGTTATTTGGAGATTAATTCAAGGCTCAGAAGGATAGATATCCTGCATTGTAGCGACGCAGGCGTTCCACGACAATGAATGAGACTGGTCGAAGGGTTTGTTGAGACTCGGATTTGGAATGGGGCAATTTGCAACGTACGGACGATGAAATCCATGATGTCGCTAAGGGAAGGGTCAACATCTAGTTTCGGATTCCCCGTGGTGCTGAACAGCGGGGCGAATTTCTTCTCGCGATGATGGACGACTAGAGGCGGATTTGGAGTGTCGAGCTTTATTAGCTATTTAACGGTCGGAAAATTAGTTCGGCCATAGAATATGGCGGCTGCGTTCACGGCTTGCCTCTAAATGATCTCCATTTGTGAGCCATTGGTAAGTGATGCCATCCTTTGCTTGTATATTCCAGGACCTAAAGGCACCGTTAGTTACCAGAATAAGTTTGCTCGGCCAGTGCAATAGATGGCAACCTTCCGTCCTCTACTGGTTGCAAGAATTCGTCCAGTAGTTTAGATGGCTCGCCAACTATCTTCACAGCGGCCGGCCGGCTCTTTCTGTCGAGCGTATTCTCTATCTCGGCGACATTCACGTATTTCCCGGTCGCCGAATCTAATCGCTTCAATGTCGTTACATGTGGCTGCCATTCTGGAGATAGGATCTCGTAGTAGAACTTGTCCTCTTCATCGGACAGTATGCTGTTCTGAATGTCGGTCGTTGTGAATTCGAGCTGAATCATGGTGTGAGGGTAGGTAAGATGCGCGTAAGTAGTTCATGAGAGCCCCCTTATATGCTTACTCCTCCTGTGAAAATACATCCTGATAGGCCAATCAGTGTGCCAGACGGATAGGACAATGTACGGCACACTAAAGTGTCCCGACCGGCGACAACTTGTTGGAGGTAAACCGGGACTCTTGAGCGCGCGCTAATTTATTCCCACTGAATGGTGGCCAAACAACTCTTTCTACGACCACCATGTCGCCAAGTCGCCCACAACGTCTATCGTCGCGAGGCATGGCTTCCTCTGAAGGTGATGCTGGCGGGCATACCCAAGGGCCCGATATATCCCCATCAGACAACCATCTGATGAGATTGGCCGTGTAAGATGGCATTGGGCGTTGTGACGCGAGCGTAGGTATTCGAGGGTTCCAACTAGGCTACTCAATACACAGTGGACAGGTAGCTCTTATATACTATGGGAGTAGGGCAAAGGGTGTGGTAGTCTAGGTAATAAATGCATGTCCAATAGAGTGGTACATGTCCGAGGGTTGGTTCGGGCTGACCGTGGACATATATTACTCCTTCAGCCGCCTCATGGCACACATTGCTGTACATCATTCGCCCATTGGGCTTGAGGCTTCCAAGCGTCCACCGCTCGCCCTCTTGCGATGCCCCCGTCTACTGCATCCAGGGTGTTGTCTTTTCTCCTCCAATTCTTTCGTATCAACTCTATAACACGCTTGCTCCGCCGGGTACCCTCGATTTTCCTCCATCTCTTCCGACTTGCATTCCGGAAAGCATCCACGAAACCACGACGACTAGATGACCATAAACCCGCACCCCCAGAGAAATGCGATATCCCCACTGCCCCCACCATTTGTGCAAGCCGCATGCCGAACATCATTTCTACCTCACAAGGCTATATCCATTCACCGGCTTCTCCCTCTTCTTCCGAAGAAATCACCATTCATGTTGAACAATGTGACGATGGGGAGGATGCAAGACGCAGCAGGGATTCCTTTAGTATACACAGTTTCTTTGATCGTCGTCGACAGAGCACTGGCAGTATCACAGGCAGTGTTCGCAGTCTAAGCCCTCAAAGCGTTCGGACAAAGCCTCCTAGCGTTGTTTCCTTCAATGGAGGACTATCGGCGCAGGTTCCTCGTGCATCAGTCTCCCGGCTTTCGCTCAACTCCGTCCGTAGCTCCGTTCATAGCATTGCTCATTCAGCTTTGACATTCAATGGAGAACGAGCCTCTATTCGACAATCGACGATACACGAACAAATTGATTGTATGCTTTCCATCGATTTGTCGAGATATGTCCGGAAACACAAAATGTCACAGTGCCTCCAATTCTATCATGCTCAATTATTCACAAGCTTATTTCCGCAGACTACAAGCACAACCTAACGTCAAAATTCCTGCTCTGGAGACACAATACGCATGGTGTGTCATTTGCCCTTGTCATTGTGTCCTTGTTCTGAACACAGACAGTCCGATTCCCGAAGGGTGGACAAAATATGTGCATCCAGATGGTTGCCCTTACTGGTATGATACAAAAAAGGTGGATATCATTGTTTGCAACTTTCTATGCACTTGCTCATCCGTTAACAGAAAATCCTGACCGACGTCAATCTTTTGGACGAAGAAATCTTTCTTCAGACACGTCGCTTCGTTGACATTATCTTCGACTACATTCGGGCGGAGAACCTACAGCTTGAACCAGACGTCGAGCTTGTGGTCGAGACGGTGAAGTACGATTGGGACAAAGATTATCGTTGCGGATATTATTTCGTCCATCATAAATCACGCAGTCTGTTCTGGCTTCAAGAATTTGACGTTAGCTATGCTTTATGGGATGCGCAGGCCAACACGTCGCTCTCGCACGTCAGTATGTAGCATTCTATCTGTATAGCTCTTGGTTTGTGATTCTGACGATACTGCAGAACTTGAAATCGAAGTCTCTTACTGGTACCAGTTCCACTAGTCTATCTAGGTTCTAATTGATGTTGTTTTTGTAGGCAACATTGGGAATTTTTCTGCAACATACAGGTAGTCACGGAAGACCTTCTGAACGAGCTAACAAATATTCTGATCACCGATCTTGTTGGTATGGGCACAACGACTGTGAGGGGAGATGTCCACTCATAGTTTCACAGACCTACAAACTAGCGATACATCGAATGCCCTCTTCTCCGCCGACGAACTTCAGAGCTACCTTGGAGCAATAAAAATATCGCGGCGTCAGTTCAATCAGATTCCAAGTCCATGCGTCTTTTTCTGACTCGGCACAGGGCTCATCGACGCACCCTGCAAAGGATCCCCTTTCATCATTGGTGAGTGATCCACAGCGTATGGACTCAAGATATCCTTAACGCGTCTGGTTATTCAGGACGCCTGATGTCGTTGTACAGTAAGTTTATTGACTAATCTCGTATTCTCGTGTATTCAGGCTTCTTAGTGCGCCAACGGTTTGCCAACTTTTGGGGAGAATATGGCGCTCGTCTGCATCGCGAGCAATCAGTACATCACCCAGAGGGGCGCCCACGCACCTGGCTTATTACCCTGCTATCGCCCATTTTGTTTAACGCCCCAGACATCCACCTTCGAGGCCTGCATCTCATATTCATCGACGAGGTCGCGGCCGCCCAGCCTTGGCGTGCCTTCATCAAGAAATTGGGCGATGAGTGGCAAGATTTCATCATCAATGTCAGCTCCATATTCTACCGATTTTTAACTTTCCATACTCAATGGCATACAGTCGGCCGTGTTACTCGCAGCAAACGTCGCTTTCCTCGCCATCCAAAGTGTAGATAACGATAAAGATGATCCCCGTCGATCCCCATCTCAAATTGCTAGCTATCTATCGACTCTAACCAGTGTGTCAAGTATGATTGTTGGTCTCTTGCTTGTTCGCCAAACTCGAACCAAAGGTCGTGATACTGCGAAGGCTGCGGTAAGCTGTCTTTTATCAGTGTCAGAGTATGCACTGACCTATTTTCGTAGGCTGACTACCTTCGCGCCCGCCAATATCGAGTCGTTGGTCATGAACCCCTGGCGATCATGTACAGCCTCCCCTACGCATTTCTCATGTGGGCGTAAGTACTAATCATCTCTGTCACCGGTAACATGCTCACATTTAGGTGTTGTTAGCATGGTCCTTTTCATGATCGCGTTCCTACTGGCCTGCCTTCTGGACACGACACTGATTACTCGTCTCCTTGCGGGTATCACTGGCTTGATTTGTTTGACGCTGATTTTCTGGTGCATCTGGATGAACTGGGACCGTGGTGTCGATGTCCACCAATCTCAGTGGAATACCTCCATCGATACCTTGAGTCAGTGGAGGGTCCGCTTGCACGAAGCACTACGGTCGCTGCCGTTCAAGCTCAGGAAACAAGCGCAATCCCAGGATCCTGAAGACATTCCAATGCCTAACACTTCTGCTTAATGCTTAACGGTCTCCACGCCCCGCTTTGTACTCTATGCCTTCGATTTCGGGGCATTCATGTGGCACCACTCTCCACTCCGGTATATTTACCCTGTTGTACTCATGACATGTAGCTTACGTTTGTATCGGGTACTACTTATTCACGATGCTGTCTTGGTATTTACAACATTCACACAGGCGGTTTCAAGACGTCGTCCAAAACGACCACTTATCCGTATATGGGTACCAGAGAATCATTCACATCTCAACGCCGGCGAGCTTCATCAGCTCCGCGACCTCGGTATCTGTACGGCGTATGAGTTAGTTCTCTCCAGAATGTACCATTGGAGCTTACGGTCTGCCGTGTTCTGCATGCAAGACGCATACGAACATTTTGGCCCTATTGCAAGACCATTACTTGACATACTCAACGTCGTGAAGCAGCCTTACCTGGGCCGAGGATAAAATCACCCCCAAGCTGGGTGATATTGCCTTGCTTCCCGAGCAAAGTTGGATGTGACAGAGGTCCTTTCTAAGAACAAGACGAAAGCATTCAACGGCACGTCCCCCTCGAGCTTCTCAAGGCATACCAGCAGACCTTGGCCTACGGCAGTCCAGAACCCGCCACGGAGGTAGCTGCGCCTCTCTTCACCGGCTGGAGTACCTTTGACGGACCCGATGGTCATCCCTAGCTTGTGGTACAGCTCGCGTGTAGGATCCACGTATATTTCACCGCTGAACCCTGTTGTTTCTGTAAATCGATTAGCGTGTGTGTACCTGCCATGGTGGCTCTGCCTACCAGCGTAAGCTTTGATAGCGTCCCATTTGCCACAACCGATAACGATGATTTTCGCTGAGGCACTTGCAAGATTTTCCTTCTTGACAGTTGCGAGTTGCTCAACATACATCTACACAAATTAATCCATCACCCCGCACTGGTTGGTTAGTTGCAATATACCTGACAGTTCTAAAAGACCACCATGAGCATGTGTATTCTCGGAGAAATAAGACTCTCACACCACAGAAAAAGTGACCTGAGCATGTCGATTAGTTATCTGTAGTTACCTCCCGATTTGCACTCAGGGTAACTCACGAATAAATACGGCGATCACGCTTTCCTTTTCAAATATGGATCCAAACTTGACTTTCTGGCCGTTTAAGTCAAAAATTTCCAGCAGTGAGGCCTCCTGCAAAACTGACGCGTCTGGGATTGATTTGTTGGACGACATGGTCGTGGTAGAAACAGAACCAGGGAACGCTGTTGACCGACAACCCCTCGCAACACGTGGTCCATAGTCCTGCCCCTAAGCTGTGCCCAGTCTCTCGCGCTGTGCACAGCAAATTGCACTTGCTACCCACCACGATGGAGCCCGAATCACAGAACGCCATGTTCGAGAAAAGTACGACCCAAGTCGGGCTGGAGAATGTTCCCAAAGCGCTGAAAAGCGCGACCATGCGCATGAAATTCCCTCCTTCGTATGTCATTGTTGGTGTATACAGGCTCTGCACCGACAAGTTGCTGTACAAGCCTGCATGGGACAAATGCCGACATGGTGCGCGACGGGGCATGATTGCTGGCCTTATCTGGGTAAGTCAACACTACGCAGACCGCTGCACGCGAAACTAATGACCAATGAAACAGGCTATAATGACATATAGAGTACAGAAGAAGTTCATTGAACTCTTTCTGTCAAAGTACGCTTGCAGATTCGTATCAGGGTTTACTTAACAAATAGCCTTCTAGCTCTCCAAGGATAGCTGGACTGTCTAATGACACGATATTCGGATTCAAACCGCCATTCAGTATTCATTCATGTAAGTTAAGTTTTGAGTATATACGTGGTGATGTTTGCTGAACACGCTACCCCCATTCTGTCAGATGCGGCGATGTTATTTGTGGCCTCTCAGGTTGAGATGATCCTGACTTTCTTCCTGTCTCGCAACATGCGCATCGCGCGTGACAGAGCCTGGGCACAGACCGTCGAATCGCGGGGGAAAGGCCCGGAGTTCTGGCAGCCTTACGTGGAAGAATGGAGTGTCCCCCCTCGTGTTCTTGTCGATACTCCGTGGTCAAGGTTCGCGAAGAAGTACTTGGGAGGACCCCTTGCAGTGTTTTTCGTAAAGAAAGGTACGTAGTGGTGTCCCGCTTATAATAACTTGATCCAGAATAATAATGTTTGATGCAGTTTTGCTTCTCCCGTTCGACCTGTATCCCTTCATTGGTATCATTATCTCGTCTTGGCTGAAAGCTCTCAGCACGGCTCATGTCCTCCATCGTCGTGTAGGTCTGATTTGCGCAATCCCCTCGGGCGGAGCTTATTGTTTGAATGACAGTATTTCGAAGCCAAGAAAATGACGGACACCCAAGTTGCCACATTTATGCAAGAGCGCAAATGGGATTACCGAAGTAATGTATTTACTTGTTGAACTTTGGGGTGAAACTAACTGGTGAACCCAGTCTTCGGTTTCACAGCTGCCTTATTGGAAGGGCTGCCCATTATAGGGCTTATTTTCCAGGTTTCCAATCGAGTGGGTGCTGCTATGTGGGCGCACGGTCAGTCCCTTTTTTAATCAATAGCTTCTTCTCACATAATTTATTCTGCGCTAGACCTCGAGAAGCACCAACACTACGTTAGGGAAGAGATCACGAAGGGTACATGGGTAGGGCCAGCTGCTCGGCCCAAGCTGGAGTAATTACATTCCTTCGCACTGAGGGAACGAATACACAGACCAGACATGCTAGGCTTTGCCTTCAATGTCCCATATCTTTGTAGAACTCTTGTGTTGGCGTTGGACTTGGAGGTGCACTGACATAGTGGCAGAGTGTGGATGGAGTGGAGGGTCCCTCCTCGCCTTCGAAAGTGACCGTGCATTCAACCGTCTTCTCTACATTAATACGCAACTATCCAAATATTAAATTGACCAATTGAATCTCAATGCGAACAATGGACTGACCATCGAGTTTCGTACAGGCAGACCCCTTGTACGGTTCAAAGTATTCTTGCGATGGATTGAACGAAGTTGGTCAGCATATGCGGGAAACTCCTCTTCTGCGTCGCGTGGACCCTTCTTAAGGTGGTTTCTTGTATTCAGCCTTTGTATTCCGTTTTAGCTATTCTTGCCAATATACCTGTTGTACTCACGTTGCTAGAAGGGAGTTCGCGTACACTTGGGTGACGGTTAGTACGTCAACGTGATAGAGGCAGACCACTCTCACACTTGCTGATGAAGAAATGTATGCCCATGAACACAAGATTAGACGGCATCGTGAGCCACTGCAGACAAGATTAGCAATTGAATAGGTCACCAAGCAGACAAACGTACACATATCATTGACATAACGGTAGCCGCGCTACGCGAGGTGAAGAACGAACTACTCAATATGCCGTAAGGGGAACATGAGATGGTGACATACCATGTCAGGGAGCCGTTCTCAAATGCGTATAGCATCAGAGAATCGATGACGTGGTTCATGCTTGAGGTCTGCTTGCGGTTCCGGAGGAGGAAATAGCAAAGGGAAGCAGTGATAATGATGTCGAGCGCACACGATAGCGCCAGGCCGAGGGTGAATGACCACTGAGGAACATATTCAATCGGGCTGCAGAGCGCAACACAGTGGGCAGCGTACCCGAAATTCGCGAATGAACTGCGATATGCTTTTGAATATGATCCTAAGGTGGATGATAGTTGAATAAACATATAAGGCCGGGCGAAGTTCGAGCGTGCATAAACACGTACATTTTCGAGGTTGTCACTGTACCCTCAGCCGGTAAGTAGAAATCTGAAGTGATGATAATTCGGCTACTTACAGCAGGCAAATGCTGACCATATAACAATATCATGTTATATTTTGTCCTGGAGTTTATTGCAAAAAGTCACTCACCCACTCTCAGCAGAGCTAAGACACCCTAAGATACGAGTTAGCCACCAGTTGCCGCGTCAGGAGCCATGCCCATACCATCGGTACCGTGATGTACCAATTTCTCTCGCTGACTGCAAACGGAATGAGATAGAGGACAAACAAGTAAGGATCACGTACGTTTGAAAAGCCGGTGGACGAAGAAGCTAGCATTATGGGACACATCCGTCAAACCATAGATAGACAAGGTAGCTTGACACCAACATACCAATGTACAAGGAAAGTCAGAGCAGCCTGCTGTGTTGTCAGTATTTGTGTTTGACGAATAAGACAATATTATATTGACGTACTGTAGAAGCAATAGAGAACTGGAGCAATGATGAAGCTAAGAAATCAGTATCCGGCAACAACAGATGTTGGCGTACCGCGAGGCTCCTGAGGTTAAGTCAGTACCACAGGTTGACGCGGATCGAATCGAATGCACTCACCAAGGGATATAGTCGATCTTGGTGGAATCACCAAACTTCATGATCAAATAATACCACTCAGAAGCCGACACGCAGAAAATATGAAAGAAATCAATCAACCAAACAGTGAAGACCTATATGTTATTTCCTTTACTAAGACCATCATACCAAAGGAGGGATATATACACACGAGGAGTTTGATCCTGAGAGGATCTGCAGGATAGCAATTGAAGTAGACGATGCATTGGACGGTCACTGCGCCCGATAAACTTGATGATTTGCACCTCAATTAGTTTGTTAGATGGCGAAACGGTATAAGGATACGTACAGAGCTGCTATGATACCCCCAATTAGCAGCGCCCCGTATGTGCTTGCGATATCCGCCATTCTGTACGCAAACGAGTGAAATAAAGAGAAAGTAACGACTGGATGGTTTTGGAAAAGAAACCCGAAGAAAGAGACCGCAGCGACACCAATGTTTTTAATAATCTCGAGGGCGGAGGGGGGCTTCTCCATGCTAGCCTATTGGGGAAGCGGACGAAGCCCCCCGGCGAAGGAGCTTCTGGGGCGAAGCGAATTGACGCCCAATCGAGCAACGAAAATGAAAAATGAAATGTTGGAAACATCCAACACATGGAAGTAGGGTGATGGACACTTTGTTTGACGTGTTACAGCAGGTTACAGCAGTACCATGCTCAAAGTGAAGTATATTTCTTGCGGCTGTCAACTGGTCGTCCCGTCGAGAATTTGGATATGTAGTAGTCCGAATGCCACGGAGGTGCAATACCAGCGTCAGCCGTGCACTGAAACGTAAGGCAGCGCGCTGGGCCAAGAATGAATGGGCGGTTCACAACGCACGGATTTGAAAATAGCCCAAGCTCGCAAGTTACAATTCACCGACTCACTCGCCGAGCGGCTTGATGATGGGGGCTCACAGCGACACGCGTGCCGTAGAGTGTGTCCAACATGGCCGATCAGGCATCCGTAAGTTGATGGGGAGGCTGAGAACATCTTGAGAGCACATCGCAAATGGCGGCTTGCTTTCCAAGGAGGTCATTGACAAGATGGGTCTAGAGTGAAAGAATTGGTTCTATTTCCTTCATCGAAAAGTACTTCCGTAGGTTCTCTCCTCGTAGATCCTGGACCTAGAAGAGGATCAGAGGTGAAGTGACACTATAGAAGATATGCCTACCTCTTGATCCAGATGCTTAAATAGGACTTCTCTGAAGCTGTCGAGACACTCCCTCATCTCGCTGGGGGAGTATGTAGTCTGATCGCGACGATACTTGTTAAGAAGCTCCGCGAGGGCGTCCAGTCCTATGGACACGACTAGGTCAATTGATTACTCCGGAGAAGGCGCACGTTGCTATAATACCATCATGAATTCCTTTGTGAGAGTTCCAGTGCTCACCGTCAGGCGTATCCGCAAACGCTGGCATACGCTTACCCAGGGTCGGGAATATGTAGCGCTCCTCAATAGTGTGGTGAGTTGTCAAATCTGACATGTGTTACAGTTAAATACATTGCAACCGGTCATGCCAAAAAGAAATACTGACGGGTCTTCATTCCCTGCGCAGCATTCAGATAATAGTTCAGCGACCACCCGTAATTATTGAAGGATCCGTCGGCCAACTGTGGGGTATTGAGTCGAGGTATATTGCAAAGGGGACTGGCATACTTCATATAACCTGTTAACTGCACCCTTGGTTAGAAGCGAGTTCAGGGTTGGTGGTATCACTTCCACGTACACTCTTGCTTGAAATTCTCATGGAACGCATTCATCGTGACGCTCAGCTGCCTCAAATTAGCGACATCCCCCTCGCCGGCACTGAAATTGGACTCACCTTGTTCCATTTCCGCTCTTCTTGCGGTGAGAGCTTCGTCTCTGCTGTGTTGTTCGACAATGCCATCGTGGAAGATCAATCCTGGGTATGAAAGCGGTGGCTTTTATTTTCCAAACGAGTTGCCGTGGGCAACAGCGCCCTCTTCAGCATCCGATATCCAGAAGCCACTGGATCATGGATGAGTGGTTCAAGCCCCAATCGTAATCCATCTTACGTGAAATGCTGATCATTGTCCTCCCAACCAAACAATGACATCCGCAGCGCTGCTGCTTCAACTTGGCCCAAACTTGGCCTTCTTGGTTCACTTGGCCACTGTTCTGTACTTCCAGGATGGTTTCTTGTCCGTCGACCAACTCGAATGAAGTAGACCAATCTTCGTTCTGGGACTCAGGCGGGATCCACTGGGACCAACACCGAATTGGATGGGCCATCGCGGGCGCCTGCACCTTGGTAGTAAGTGCTTCTTGGCATCGTTGATGTGAAAGGAAGGCTGATGACCTCGTATGGTGCATGTACAGACTGTTATCATTTCTTCGATATCAGTCCTGAAGCACTGTCGGTTCGCAGCACTGCTTTGTTATCACTGGTGCGAACACCGGCTAATCAATGGATACTCAGAAACTACACAAACCCCACGCAGCAACGTCAAATGTAAGTTTCGTGAAATATTTGTATAGAAAGTGATCGTTGACGTCTCCTTGCTCAGATTGCGAATTTTGTACATGCCCCCGGTATACGCCATCATATCATTTATATCATACAGATTCTTCCGCCAATACACCTATTACTCTCTAATTGAAGTTGGTACGTGCGCGTGTTTCGCCTCAGAGGAGTCTCTTTAAGCAAGAAACACCATGTACAGTCTACGAGGTTCGTGACTCTGTTTGGCGCAACGCCGTTACTCTCAGCACTAACGCAGCAGATTCTAGGCCATCACTATGAGCGCATTCCTGTGCGTAAATTTTTCACACCGGTCTTAGTGACCTTCCGAATGTTTTTAGACTATTACTCATCGACTATGTGGCCGAGTCCGCGTCTGGTCACAACGTAGACAACGCAATATCGCGGAAGGCGAAGAGCAAGCTTCTCTTCCCAGTTCGTATGTTTTGTCTCACATTCCTTCGGTCACTAAAGCTGTTTCCACTATACAGTTCTGTTGCTGGCGATATCGTCCCACGAAGGCAAGTAGCATCATCCTCGACATGTACTTCATATTCTTATATTTCTTCTAGGCCTACTTCATGTACACGCTCAAGGTGAGGCATGTACCAATTTATTGACCCGTCTGATTCTGAGAAACGCAGTGGTCCGTTCTGCAATATGTCATCATTCGGCCAGGTTATATCCCACTCTACATCGATTGTCGTTTATCGAGTCTAACAGTCACTTTATTCAGTGGTTTCCATCGTTGGAATCATTTGTCAAGCTGCTGGGGTGCTCTGCGAATCCCAAGGCTTCGATGCACGCTACGCAAATGTTTATCTTGAGTCAATCGACTTCGTTAGTATCAGGTAAGGTAATTTGCTAGTATGTCACGGTAAGAATGCCTTAATATTTTATCTAGTGTCGCTTTGTACGGCTTACTCCTGTTCTATGACCTTACGAGGGAAGAGCTTCGCGGAAAGCGACCGCTGGCTAAATTTCTGTCTATCAAGCTTATAGTCATGTTCACGTTCTATCAGTCCTTTGTCGTAAGTCGCTTTCCTTGCAATTGGTCTAAAGGTGCTTATTTTGATTCCGTAGTTCACCGCCCTGGAAGGCCGTGTCATAAAACGTTAGCATTATCCCATCGGGTTATTCTAATACACCCTCAAGCTCATGCGGATTGATTTATAGCTACGCAATATTGGACGGAGACCAATATTGCAGATGGACTAAATGCGCTTGCTATCTGCATTGAGGTATGTATCCGAGTTCCTCGCGTACTACATCCCTCAACGCTTGGTCTCATTAGATGATCCTGTTCTCTTGCTTGATGTTCTGGGCATACACACCCAACGAGTACAAAAGGAGGGCCGGCGAGCCCCCAACAAGTATCGGGAAGCCGTTATGGGATAGGTATACACACTTTCCCACCCCAGTCAAAGCTCTCAATCCTCATTGCTCTCCCATTTGCAATTCTTAGCATCAACTACTGTAAGCTAATGGTCTTTCCTCGATTTGCGGTTCTTGCACTGATTTAATCTATACAGCGGACTTTGCAGTAGAGATCGTTGGCTCGGTCAGGTTCTTCATGGACTACTTCCGTGGCAAACCGACCGCGCACGGTCATGGTCACCTAGCTACCGAGGATGGCGAGCGACACGGCTTGGTTGACTTCGGAACTGCATTTGGCGTTGAGAATGGTAGATATTCGCCGGCGCGAACGCGGCAGTTGAATGGGCCGCCTATCTAGAGTGCTCCACACTTTTCCCTCACACGGATCCCCCAACCTTGATGTGTCTACTATCGCAATGATCCACTTGTAGCCTGTGCGTATCGCGTAGGGCGCATCACGTTAGTGCTGATACTTAGCCTGGGTATCTCTCATTGTGAGTTACCTTCTGGGTACCACCTAGTTCTGTACCTAAAGAATCCCTAAGTGCTTATGCGCACAGGGGCTTCTCCTGAGATCTTCCGCCATCACAGTGCTACTATGCTTTCCGAATGCTTTCTTGTGCTGATTTTGCGCTCTCAACTGTGTAGAATTGGTCTCTCCCACTCTCAGCAGCTTGCGCTTTAAATTTGCTCCATGTTGTGCTCTCCAAACCCGGTTTTACGCCCAATGTCTGCCATTGAGCCCCTGCGAGTCCCGCCTGCTAACGAGGACTATTGGCTTGATTTGCATTGTATTCATTGTATGGTGTGTCTGGATGAACTGGGATCACGGCCCCCGGGCTGTACACGAATCCCGGGGGGGGGGGTGATTTTAAGAAACACCCCCAAGCCCGGGATTCTGAAGACATTGAAGGCATACCGATGCCTAGCGTCACTACTTGACGTCCAACGCTTGACGGCCGCGCCATGGTTGGCATTTTATACTAGTGGCAGGAATTAAGGCAATCACATATCAATCCCAGTAACACACATTGTACATACTCCTTGTATGCACTATCTTCCTTATGCATCCAATTTGTATCGAGTATCATTGCTCAAATATAGCAATGTTTGGTGTAAGCAGAACCAATCTTCTGAGTATGAGTTAACTTTTAAGTCGAACCCGACCTCACTTCGGGCGCTAAGTGCACACTCGCCGGTCATGTCGTCACCCCACTCTGGAGAGCTTGGTGCCCCGGCGCGCCACCTCGACGACGGGCCTACTTCGTCGCAGTTGGGTCCCCTTGAATTCCTGGAGAGCGATGATGCGGAAGAGTTCGAGTACGAAGGGGACTACGACACGCGTATGGCTGAACTCATGAGTGAAGGCGGGGACGACGCGCCCAAGCCGGACTCTGCTAGCGACGAGGAGGACGGGTTTGTTTATGATGGGGTCGATGCAGACGTGCCCACCAGCTATTCTGATCAGCTTCGAGCAGTTCTTGGCCCTGAACATGAATCGGAGGACGATACAGATGAGCTAGACGAAGTGGAGACGTCCTTGATAATTCAGGACTCGGAGAAGCCCATGCAGCCAGAGGTTCGTTAGTCCAGCAGTTTCCTACCCACTGGGCTAAACCTCGTTGTCAGAACGAATCGTTCTCGGATGCCACACCGTCTACATCTTCCGTAGGGTTGCCCGGTACGCCCCCACGGACAGAAACGCCCTCCAAACGACCATTATCATCGCAGTTATTCAGGTCATATATACACCCGTCTGTGTCGCGATTGCGCTCTTTCACACCTCAGTCTTCTCGCGTACAATCTCCAGGCTCAGGAATGATGAACTCGCATTCACTTCTCTTTAACTCCCAATCATTGTCACGGGCTTCGTCGTCTTCAAATCTTCATTCCCAGTCATCTGAACGTCAGGAGGGCTCAACTAACCACGACGAGCGAGAGGTATTCCGGTGGACTCAGTTACGAAACATCACGACGCATTTGTATTCGCATAAAGCCTCTTCAGTGATGGGAAACCTTTCTTTAGGTTCACCGACAACCTTGGCCGCTAATGGTCTGATATGTATTGGGACAGATGAGGGGAAGGTGTGCGTATACGACTTCCAGCAGGATCTCAAGTGTATTTGCGGTGACGAGGGCTCACGTATGTAAATTCAACTGGTATACCTAAGGTTCTCTAACATATCTTCCAGTCAAGACGATTGGGCCAGTGACCGCATTAGCCTTGTCGCATGACCACACGTATGTAGTTTCTGGTCACGCAACGGGGTACATACAACTGTACGATTTGAAGAACCCCCGCGTCCCCGCTCGTACAGTTGCTCCCACAACTCTCGCATCCGTGGCTTCCGGGCGGCAGGAAGGCCATCTTCAAGGATCACGCATAGTCAGCGTTGGCTTCATCGCGGGGAGGCATACAGCTATAGTATCCGCCGATGAGCACGGTCTGGCGTTCTCCCATAGCTTAGGCAAAGTCTTGTTTGTCGAAGCTCCGGATATTCTACGCATTCTGGGGACGTATGCTGTCGAAGAAGCTGGGAAAGCTCCCTTGAATCCTCTGTTGCAGCGACGGCGGGCTAGATTCACCGTCCTCGCTATGATGCCTCTTCCCTTGGGTACTTCCCCTCACCCCACCGATGCATACAACATCATCGCTCTCCTGACCCCCAAAAAGCTCGTTGTCGTAAGCCTCAAACCGACTCCCAAAACCTGGTTCAAATGCACTCGCGAGGATGTCCGAGGATCACGTAGACGAGGCGCTATGTCGTGGTATCCCAGCGTTGTACCGGGCGCGGCAGAATCATCTGTCAAACCATCTTCAAAAGCAGAGCCAGGCACGATACCCGTTCTCGCATACTCCTGGGGCAAGACCCTCTACTTCATCAAGGTATTCGAAGTCAAAACTATGCAAGATATGCAAAACTCTCGAACGGGAAAAGTACGGCGGATCGAGTCTGGGAATCTCGTTCATGAAGCTTTTGGCAAATGGTCAGCAGATTCTGATATTCTTGCACTGCAATGGTTGAATTCAAAGGTCGGTTCCCAACTAGATCTTTAGACATTAAGCTTATATATGCTATAGCAAATAGTTGTTATGACGGCCACTACGCTAGAAGTGTTTGATATCACTTTGATGAAGACCATCGAACGGGTGGAACGCGATGCTCTTTCCCTGGTGTCTCCTACGCTCGGCCTTACGGTTCGGGGTGCGCTATCTTATGCAGATGCTGCAGGAGATGTTGCACACAGTATCAGAGTGTACAAGGGAAAGATCTTCATGCTGGTATGCCTGCCATCGCACTGGATCTACAAGTCTCTTAACGCGCATATAGGGCAGAGAAACAGTTGAAGTCGGGACCTTATTGACGTGGGCCGACCTCATCTTGACTTACGTTGAAAACGGCCAATTCCTCCAGGCGATCGACCTGGCGAAGTCCTATTATGTTGGTGAGGCGCCAGGAAATAAGAATGGGCTTCCTGAAGATGAGGCAGGGCGGAAAGAGATCACTGGGCAGAGAGTTCGTGATCTCATGGTCGCTTCCGCTCGATACGCCTTCTCGGAGGAGCGTATGACGGATAGTACTCACGTCACCTCAGATGGAAGAGGTGTCGACCGGACGTCTCTCTTCGAGGGCTTAGTCGTTTCCTGCGCCCAGGCAAGCATTGCACTGGACAACTTCGATTTCTTCTTCGAGGACCTATTCCAGTATTACGACGATGCAGGCATATCCCGGATATTCCTCCTGCAACTCGAGCCATTTATATTGGACAACGATATTCGGTTCGTCCCTCCACGGATCACACAGAAACTTGTCGCTCTACATGACGAAGGCGGCCGGCCTGATCTTGTTGAACGAGTAATCTGGCACATCGACCCCGCTTGCTTGGATATCAACCAAGCGATTCATCTATGCCAGCGTCACCAGCTCTACGATGCCCTCATCTACGTCTATTCCAGCGCGTTGCGGGATTATGTGGCCCCTATTGTTGAGCTACTCGGACTCATCCGGAAGATCCAGCGAATGCGCATATATGGATTCGAAACGTCGATAGACGAGGACGACATAGAATCAACGATGGCCCATACGTACAAGGTCTATGGATATCTTGCGAACGCCCTCGCTGGACTCAGCTACCCCGCTGGTCAATCGCTGGACACGGATGACGCCTCACGGGCTAAGAGCGATATATATGGCTTCGTCTTTTCTGGTCGATCCATTGTTTGGCCCCCAGGTGAAGGAGGGGATCTGGTTCTGACATCCACAGATGAGGACGGAGTCGAGCCTACGTACCCATATGTTAGGCTTCTCCTCGAGTACGATGCGGAGTCTTTCCTCCATTCATTGGATATCGCTTTTGAGGATGGGTATCTCAATAACGAATCTCAAGGGGTCAGCCGCCTTCTGATCGTGAAGATCCTACTGGAGCTTTTGTCGTCGGGTGATTTATCACAAAGTGATACTACATTCATCAATATCTTCATCGCTCGTAATGTTCCGAAATACCCGCAGTTCCTACAACTGGCCCCAAGCGCTTTGCACAATGTCTTAATCGCGCTCACCGAGGACCCCGATCCTAGCTCGAGGGAGGATCGTCAATTAGCCGCAGAGTATCTACTTTCTGCGTACACCCCCCATGACAGCGACAGCATGGCGATTGTATTCCGTATAGCAGGATTTTACCGTATCTTGCGGACGTGGCATCGGCAGGAGCAGCAATGGGTTCCGTGGCTCACCGCCATCTTGGATGACCCCGACTTCCGCCCTGCGGAGGTCTTCAGCAGCGTGGAGGATGTTATCAGCTCTGCTGTTAGTCCCAACGGCGACATCCCTCCCGAAGTGGACAACTCAATATCTGATGCTCTGCCTCGCTTACTCCAATCTGACATTCAAAATACCGTCCAACTGCTTCAGAAACACCTCCCGCACCGTCACACACAGGCTGTAGAAGAATTGGGAAAACTAGGCCGCAACAAACAGTATGACTACCTATGCTACTTATTTGGCCCTCCTCGAAACGACGACTCGGAGAGTTGGGTTCCTGCTTGGACTCCAGGCTCCAAAGTCAATATCCCGTCTGCGTTAGTGCAGCAGTACATTTCGTTGCATTGCGAGTTCCACCCAGACAATATCGTGGCCGTCCTGCAGTACCTACCCGAGAGTCTTCTAGACTGGGACCGCGCCGTGGAATCTTGCGAAACTCACGAGGCATTCGATGCGGCTGTCTGGGCGTTGAACCGACACGGCGACCCGCAAAAGTCACTCTCCAAGGCTGAAGGTTACGAACAGCAAGTGATGATCAAAATCCTAAAGGACCTTTCCTCGCCTTCAGAACAAGAGAGAGGTTCGGATTTGGATCATCAAATAGACATGCTCCAATCTATCGCTCGAACGACGGTCGGAATATGTCTCGCGCAATCTCGCAGCACGGACACGACAGATGTTCCATTGGAAGATATCTGGTTCCAGGTGCTTGGTAGCCAAATTAGCTGCGTACAACGAGTATCGAGTTTCTACACTCGGAGCACTTCAGATGGCGATGCCACCGCTAAAGTCGAAAGAGCTTGGAAAACGCTTTCCTCCCTGCGCTTGATCGTTCAGGATACGTTCAGCTCCCTAGTCTCCGTCACTTCCACAAGAGCTGTATCCTTCCCTCGTCTGTTCAAGCGATTGGTCAACTCAGCTTCTCGAACTGAACTTTCTTCCGGGGCACACTACGACGAATTCCGGTCCATCCTAACCGGAATGCTTGAATCCTACCGCTCCGATGGAGACATCCTTACCATCAGCAAGCACTTGGTTGATCGCGACCTCTTCGAAACGGTCTCAGAGGCAACTCGTGAACGTATGCGTGGATGGGCAGCACCTCAGATGGCTTGCGCATTCTGCCGTCAATCCCTCTTCCAAACTCCTCAAAAGTTAGATCAAGAATTCCTACATATTGTCGTTTCGCGGACTGGTACTATATACCATCGTAGATGTTTACCCCAGGACTAATTTGATATCACTTTGGATCTGTCTTTTGCATATGGCATTGTCAATATAGCCAATAATGAAAACCACGCTTCGAAACTGACAAATCATGAATCTGGGACATGTCAGCCTGGGTGTTTAGGATGAGGGGAAGGGATTTCTCACCTTCCGATAGTGGCGCCATGACTAGTTCATGAAGTGACCTGAACGATTCGTGCCTGTCAGTCCGGACCCCTAGAGTCTCCCCATCTTTGCCGAATGCTTCCACATCCAAAACCATTTGGTTTCGAATTCGCGCTTCATCTTTCCCGTCGTCGTCCTTGCCGCTGGAAGAGCTTCCGAATAAAGAATAGCTAACTTTCTTCCCTTTTTTCAATCGCCTCAGTGATTCCTCAGTTTTCCGCATCGCCGTAAGGTAGTACATGTACCTAGCCCATACTAGTTTAGCGATGCAAGAATCAGGCATGCTTTGGGCGGCTTACCTCTGGGCAACGGTATCAAAGACGTCGTTAGCATAGGCATCCAGGTACTCTTGCTTGAGCGAGGCACCGGGTCCTTCATTCGTGCCAATGCAGAAAAATACCTTCAACGGCCGGAGAATCGAAGGAACGAAGTAGCTGGGCTCCGTCGGCATCCTCTTGTTGGACATCGCCCTAAACTGAGATGGGATGGAGCGAACGGGGAGTAGAGCATCGCAACAACGTTTGCTAAGGATGGTGACAATCTCGCTCGACATCGAGGGAATGAGTGTCGTTAATGCCGCAAGGGATTGCTGGAGCGCGTCTGCGAAGAAGTGAGATGAATACTTTTTGAAGAACTTCAGAAGGCGAACCTTCGGCATTTAATGTCTGGCCTTCATTTGGGGCCTCGGGTAGCATTATACTAATGCTCTGACGCCAGAGAGTAAGGACATTGCCTCTAAATTGTTTGATATCAGAGATGGCCGTGGCGTACTGGCTTAGGACTGCTTCATCCGACGCTGTGCTCTCAGTCGACGCGTCAGTCTGCGAAGTACTTGATCGTGGAGCACCAATAGAACCTCCTGCCTGTACTTGCGGAGTTTAGACCCGAACCCAGCGCACTTAAGGAAAGGTACCATACCTTGTCAGCTGTTGTTGACTGTTGCGGAATTTCCATTGCAAGCGACTGGTCCAGCCATGTTTTGAATCGACTAATGATCTAAGAGGAATAAGTTGATGATCGTCCGATCAAGGGAAATTTTACCTGCAAGGTTAGCCTCCAAAACCTGTAGCTCAGCTCAGGGATATATACATCTGAACTCCAGCACAGAGACACCGCGGACCACGCTGCAGCAGCTTGTGACATTACAAAAGGAGTGCCTGATAGAGACGAGCTAGTTAGTGAAAATGCTTACAACTTGACTCAGGGTTAGTTAGCACTTACTGGTATCTGTGGAGCGCTCTATGCTTATCGTAGAAAGGGAACCTTCTAGTTTCCCAACGACGTCTTTCCAGCGCATCTGGAAGTATACCGGCAGCTGCCATCGCTGTTGGAAACTGGTGAAGACGGGATGACTGCGCATTAACTCGACAGAACGCAGCGACGGGGCAAGCATCTCGAGAGACCTAATAAATATCTGTGTCGTGTCGTAGTGCTGCAGGGAGTGAGTGCGAGTGCAATACAAGTGATACTAGGGACGGACCTTTTTGAATTCATTGGGTTTACCCGAAGCAAAGACCACGGTCCCAAGTTCATCCATGATCGCGCTACCGAGTTCAGCCCATATAACATCAGAAAATATCCTGAATCCTTTGGTGCGCCCATCGGAAGGATGTGCATCCGCAACAGCAGATGAATCCGTTGATGATTTATCCGGCTTGACATCGGCATTAGAAACGATTGAAACCCTTTCAGCAATCTCCATGATTCGGCTCAAGTCCCGTTCTACGAAACGGAGAATCTGATTGTAGAGCCTAGCAAGAGGGTCGTCTGCATCATCCAAAAGGTGGGTGTGGGAAGTGAGAGTGCCAACAGAGGTTTGGCCAAGAAACGAGGGTGGCTGGCGGGGGGAGAAGGTGGTATATGGGGTTGAGGGAGATCGAGGAAAGGCTGTGGAAGAAGCTCCTTGGAAAGGCGTATGAGGGACGATGGGTGAAGGAGGTGCAACTAGTGCGCCTGGGAAAATTGTCTAGTAACAATTCAGGAACTGCGACAAGAGAATGAATGCACGGACAGACCTTCCGTACAAACCCGCGAACGACTTGTTTTTGCAGTATCTCTTCAGCATCTTGCCAAAGGCCCAGCATATCGTAAGCACGGAGGCATTCAGCAAGATCTGCCATTAGCTTTGCCTTGTCAATTTCTGACGTCTTATTGCTACCAGTGCCATCCACAATCGATGTCACAGTAGCCGTGAAGAAATGGTCCAAGTCGGAAGAAAGTGTAGATTGTATGCGGTCAAGCCTCTGAGGTTTCAGTTCAGTGTTAGAAAACGCGAGTACGGAGTAGAAAAGGCTCACAAACCCATTGTATCTCCTCCACAAATGTACATTTCTCTGCTCGAGCTTTTGAGGTGTGGTATAGCAGCTGTATGTATTCCGACGCGACGCGACTAAGGTGCTTTGCGCGTGCCCCTTGGTTCCTAGCGGGAGTTGCTTAGCAAGTATATGCGCGGCGCGTTGTCACTAACCCACCTGTCCCCTTCGATTTGCGAAGTGAACGCAGGTCGCATAGCAGAGTCCTCGCCGTCCGAAGGTTGAAATATCAGAAGCAGAGACTCTAGACGGGTGATAGATTCCGATATTTTGAGCAATAGATGCAGCAACGCCTGTGAAATGGTCAGCGAGGTCTGGCGGTGATTAACTCCAAGCACACCTTCTCCTCTCGCAGCGTAGCTCTTCTCTTCAATTTCTCCTGTATGGCGCCCTGGAGCACGCTCAGTTCGTCCTTCGACGCCTAATTAGCGTGAGTGATGTCCCATTGCGCATATACGCGTGCCATACGCACCAGTATCTGCTCTTTAAGTCCATCCAGCGGGTACTTCAGCTTCTCCAGCCGAGCTCCCTCGTCCTTCAAGTCGGTGCTGAGACTTATGAACGCCTCGTAGTCATCATTGATCAACTTCACCAGCTCGTCCTTCAGCGTCGCGAGGTAATCCCGAAGCTCTGAGCGAAGGTCTGGCAAGGAGGTGTATGTGCGGGATAGCAGAAACTCTTCGACGTTGAACTCTTCAGCTGCGAGCAATTGGTTGCCGTGCACTAAAGGAACAAACGCCGGAAGGTCATGGTCAGAAAAGTCTTGTTGCGACGACTCCCTCGACGCGAGTTCCTCTGCCAAACGGTCCAGTTCGTATGGATCCTTCCTCGAGCCTACGTTCGGACTGATGACAGACATTGTGGGCTGGTCCGCGTGAGTGATTGATGAAGGTTAGGACCAAAGTGAATTCAATTGATCTGGGATTGGAAGCGATCTTATCTTATCTGCCGCGGAAGCGGATTCAGGACAGGCGATAATTAACGACATACAATACATGAATACGAAATATTTGTCTGAACGGAAGCCAAGACATGGCACATAAACAGGAAAACAGAAGCAGTATACAATATGCGTGAAGGAATGGCGGTTGAGAATGCGACGATGAGGAACAATACCTAGGTCATACAATAGATAAAAGTATTCCACTCGGATACCAGAACAATAAGAAGTGTCATGAAGTCGCTGCCATCGTCCTTCGTTCTCGCTCGCGAGTCTTGACGCCGGAGCCAAATCGTTCCTGGAAGCCAATAAGCTCTTCCATGAGAGACTCCATCATGGTCATCGTTGATGCTTCCGAGGAAGCGGCCTCTTCTGCTCGAGACGGACCCGATGCAGGACCTGGGTTGGACGTCTCTTCTTTGTTTTGAGCGGGAGACTGACGCGGAGTAGCTTGGTCAAGGACCATCGGGCTGCCGACGTCAGCAAGCTGTCTAGCGGGAGCTTCTTTAAGTGCTTTCTCCAGTGCTTCCCTCCGTCTACCACGATCTAGCGCGCTTGCTTGTTCTCGGCCAACCCAATCCATGAGAGCTCTCACACGCTTGTTCATGTCCCCTACGCTCATTCGCTTGCTCGGCCATTTGACTTTGACACCTCTTTCTAGCGTCCTCTCTGAACTTTCTCGCCCGTTCACGGAGTTGTTTAGGACACCCACACCTCCCCTTACTTCGAGCGGTTGAGGCGTGTCTGTGGGGAGCATGTGTCCGAGGTGGGCGAGGTAGTCGGGGAGATTCCACGAGGTGAACAGCGGTTGTTGTGACACGACATATGCATGAGAATTGCGGTAGGCTCGTGCTTCCGCAGGTCCATTGCTGGTACCGTTAAGTCCTCCTGGGTTGCGTCGATCGTGGCCTGGCATATGTGATGATGCTGGCGGTCGTTTGGGGTTCGCCTTGGCACGACTGTGAGTCTGCCTCTTCGGGGCAGGGGCGGCGGTGCCTGAAAGGACGTGATGTCAGTCACGTGGGAAACAGACAGATCAGCATACGCACCATCCTCCCCATCACCAGGAGTCTCATGAACAACCGTCTTGCGAGGTCCTCCGCGTCTTTGTCGAGTTGCGCTTTTGGGAGCTGGGGGTGCAGGGTTGTTCGGTGGTTTGGCTGATACGGACGGCGCGGGTGTCTCTTCGTGATCAACCGTGGATACTATGGGTCGATCCGACACGGTTGACATTGATCGCGTACGTTTCTTGGGATTACTAGGTTTACAATCATCAATGTTAGGTCGCGCGGATATACGAAGAGAAGATAGACACGCACGAGTCGTCGTCACTGCGTTTTCGCTTTTTCCGGTTGTTGGGGACAACTTCTTCTCCTTCTGGAGGCGCAGTCCCATTAACATGGCCATTAGATGTGACGCTCTTCGAATCGAACGCAGCCGCTTCAGCTGCAGAGGCTTCCATTATCTCTTTGATGCTTTCATCAAAGTTGGCATCCCTACTATTCATCGTATTGCGACGTTTATTCGGTTGTTTGTGCGAAAGGGATGGGGAGTGTGAGCGAGATGTTCTAGAGTGAGGAGGGTAGCTGACGTGAACATTGGAAGCCGGGTGCTGGGAACGTCGGAGGCGTTTCCTAAGCGCGTGGTACCCGGACATCAGTGGTTGGCGAGAGTGCTCCAGGGAGAAACGTACTTCAATAAGTCAGCGTGCATGTCCGGTCGACATAGTTCGCAGTAGTAGAAGTAATCGTCGTCGTGGAGTTGGTCTTCGGATTCGAAGCCCATACAAAGGCCATGCTGCCAGACTTTGCACGTCTCGCACTGTACCATGAACTCCCCAGCATCTGGGTCGTCCTCTAGAGAAGGGGATAAACATCAGTAAAAGTGGGATTGAAGGGAGTATCGTACCCGTACTTCCGCAAACACAACGCGTTACACCCTGTTCGTCCTCTTCGTCGTCGGCAGGCTCAACGGAGGCATCTTCGACGCCCACCACAGCCGCCTTGACGGTCTTCCGAGACGAAGCTTCGCTGATACTATCTGTGACGCTCACTTGTCTGTCCTTTTCCTTCGGTTTGCGTTTGTTCCTGCCATTCCCGCTGGCAGGGTGGGGGGTAGATGAGCCATTGACTGGGGATATGACACTCTGTCCGTCTTCAGGAGCATCGTCGAGGTCTTCGGTCTTTGGACGCTTTCCCTTGCCGTTGGTAGTGCTTGTCGACAGCGAGCGGCGGTGGTTTGGGCCTTCTTTGACACGGGGGGGAGGGGGAGCAGAATCGGAATCTGGCGATTTGGAGGTACTGGCAGATGCTGAGGGTGCTGAACGCCGCCCAGATCGGCGAGGCTCTCTGGGAGACAACGGGGGGCCCATGGTCGCCGCCTGAGCCATAATTGACGAATATGCGGGTTGGGGGGGATGATGGGGGGTGAGACAACAGAGGATTCGGTCCGTGCACCTCTTCTAATCGCCGACAAATAAATGTCCACACGTGCATCCTCATTCTCTCTTTCGCCCACACTTCATCTGCCCGGATTCCATCTACGCTATGCACACCGCAATCCGCGATTCAGCACGTTCAGCACTGGTCACCTGTCAGACGTTCTCTAGAGCCTCATCCCGGAGCACCTATCGCGGAGCGAGCATAGGCATGCTTATATTCAGTGCAGGATCATGCTAGGTGCGTCGACGATTCGCTCTAATTCCAGTCTTGAGGCAGAGATTCAAGTCAAGGCTCGTTTCAAAGGACCACGTCTGCTGGATATCACCTTCGTCGCCTGAGCCGGGCTCTACGACACCCATCCATATCCACTGCCAGTCGTGACCTCAGTCGCCACGAAAATATAGCATCACGTGACTTTCATTTAGCCAATATATGAACATTGCATAGGGGTTTGCCGACTTCGATGCAGCCCCATGTCTCGAAGGGCCGAGCGGAACAACCACCCCTGTAATAATAGATGGCTATTCGGACAACTTCCTTCCTTTATCTTCAATGGCAACCCCCATGTCCCGGGGCAAAACCCTCGGGTACGATTCGCTCTCTTATTTCCTTCATTACACGCGATGGCTCATTGTATGGTCCAGTCCTCTCGTCATTGCCAACTGTGTCAACTCAGTGAGTGCCACTACTTGCCCCACTGGATAACCTCAACAACTCCTTACAGCTGTCGTACACCCTTGAACTTGTAATGGTATGTCCTCAGACTATCGAAGACTGCTGTCCGTATGAACCCTTCATTTCAGGCCTATGTTTATTTTAGGAACTACCAAGAAGACAAGAAATTGATGAAGCTTGCTGTTGCTGGTATGTGGCCGATCTCAGATCTTATCCATCACTAACAACACCATTTAGCACTCCTCCTCGTAGGACTTGTATCCGTCGTTTCCTATATGGCCTGCACATACCTTGTGAGCCCTCACTTCAACTTACCAGGACACAGCTCATTCCTCTGTAGTACACTGTGATCCATTGGGGTTCGCATCCCCTGTCTGAATGTCTTGCGCCGCTGATAGTCTCATAGGTAACCAGGAATACCTCGAAGTTCAAAATACTGTACGTACGTCATCCTGACGCTGCATATTTTTCTCATTCGCACACAGTTCATCATCATATCCTTATTAACGACGGGCATCTCAGCCACCGTCGTTCAATCATTTATGACCTATCGATATTGGACCTTGTATGTCTTTTCGACGCACCATCTATGGATCACTTTAACCTGCTCTCATAGTTCATCGAACAATTGCATCGCACTTTTTCTCGCTGTGCTCGCCATGCTTTCGGCAAGTTATCAGATTTATTACACCGTTCCTTAACATGCTTATTGGCTTTTAGTTTGCGGACAGTTTGGTCTCCTCCATTATTATCAAATCCAACCCGCACTATTCCGACCGAAACAAAGTGGCAGTCGTAATGACGTACGTTCGTCTAAACCTTCTGTCTTTATGCTTTTGCTCATGCCAATATTAGATCTTGGTTATCGTTCAGTGCTTGTCTGGATGTGGCCACCACCGTTTGCCTCGTGTGGACGCTTAAACATACGAACCCATCATTTGTTCGGACCAAAAGGTACGTAACCCTCTCAGATCTCCTTCAGACGATCTATAATGCAGTCTTCAGTACGATTAACTCGTTAGTCGGCATCAGCTTTGGGAGTGGCGGGGTTACATCTGTCGGTGCCGTTCTGGCCCTCGTCTCATACTTGGTCGATGGAGAAAGTAATGGCAAGTTCGGAGACCCTTCTTCCACGAAGCCTTCTGACCTCTACTCAGTCTGGTTAGGGGTTATCTCCTGCCTCAGGCCGTTGTATGTGCTTACAATGGTAGCCAATTTCATTGCGTTTGGTTCCTTATCTAACGCCATCAACAGTTATTCAACCTCATCATGCGCAAGGTCATACGTAACCGACTCGCTGCCGGCACCAGCTTTCTGAATACAAGTGACCTATACTTTAGCCACGAAAGCACCTCTCAGATTGCTAGTACGTAGCCCGCTCCTCCGCGATTGCGAGCAACTCCTGAGTACACAGCGTAGATGCCACTCGTCGAGAAAGTAAAGCAACGAGTAGCGGTAGCGAGGCAAGTACTTCACAACGTAGTCAAATAATCTCGACTGAAAGAGTTCACGTAGCCATCGTCTCCGGCAATCAATTCACCGCCGTTTACCAGTTCGTCGAGCTATGCATCGAGCTACCACCAACTGGAACCACTATATCCTCATCGGCTCCACGACGAATCACACACCCCACCGACACCATCCGAGGTACATTCTGTATACATACATCGCCCCGAGAGTGTACACAGTCCGCAGGGATCCAGATTGACATGGCTTTCTCAAGGACACTGCACGTCTTGAACACATGTTCATCGGCGTCTTAGCTCAGCTGGGAGAGCAACAGACTGAAGCGAGTTTCGGTCATCTGGAGGTCCCGTGTTCAATCCACGGAGATGCCATTGTTTTTGCTATAGTACCTGTCATATGTAATATAATTTTTATTTGGCCGGGTCATCGATTGCATGAATCGGATTTATGGCCGACCACAATTGAAGTTTGTTTGAACTTAAGCGGTCAAATTCCAGTCAGGATCTTACCTTCATGGCGACATCTACGACGATAGAGTACGCGTCGGGCGCACCCGAGCCCATAGCCTATCCCCGGCTCGCAAAGCACCTTCTTCTTCCCGACCAAACCCCTGATTACCTTCGTCTCATACTCACCTCCAAAGTCTACGAGATCGTTAAAGACACACCTCTGGTACTCGCCACCAACCTCAGCAATACTCTGGGGAATCAGATATGGCTCAAGCGCGAAGATTTACAGGAAGTCTTCAGCTTCAAGATACGCGGGGCGTACAATTTCATGGCGAGCCTGTCTGAGGAAGAACGATGGAAAGGAGTGGTCACTTGTAGTGCGGGTTAGTGTGCGTGCTCCCGTGCACGACGAGATGGCAAACTGTTGGTTATTGATATCGGATCCCCTCAGGCAATCACGCCCAAGGTGTGGCATTATCTGGGGCGAAGCTGGGAATACCATGCACCATAGTCATGCCCAAGGGCACGCCTTCTATCAAGGTCAGGAACGTGGATCGTCTAGGGGCCAAAGTCGTCCTTCATGGCGTGGATTTTGACGAAGCAAAGGCCGAGTGCGTTCGGCTTGCAGCCGTCCATGGCCTGGCATTTGTACCCCCGTATGACGACCCCCTGGTCATTGCAGGTCAAGGCACGATAGGCATGGAAATCCTGAAACAGCTTCCAGACTCAGATCACCTCGATGGAATATTCGCTGCAGTTGGTGGCGGTGGTTTAGTCTCCGGCATCTGTGAATATGTCAAGCGCATTGGGAACCCGGACACAAAGATCTTTGGGGCTGAAACTGTGGACGGCGATGCTATGGCTAGAAGCTTGGAGCAAGGCAAGCGTGTTACTCTGCAAGAGGTTGGCCCGTTCTCCGACGGCACCGCTGTCAAGATTGTGGGCGAGGAACCCTTTAGAATATGCAAACGACAGCTTGATGGCATTATCAAAGTCGACAACGACGAACTATGTGCCGGCATCAAAGACATCTTCGAAGGTACTTCATTCACTGACTACCTATAGGAATGTTCGTTGATGCTTGCACGCACACCGTAGAAACCCGATCAATAACAGAACCTGCAGGTGCTCTGGCGTTAGCTGCGCTTAAACGGCATATTCTCGACAACCAGTTGGTGGGCGCAGGGAAGAAGTATGTGGCTGTCATCAGCGGGGCGAATATGAATTTTGACCGGCTTCGCTTTGTTTCCGAGCGCGCCCAGCTGGGTGAAGGCAGGGAAGCCTTACTGAGCGTGGAGATTCCGGAAAAACCTGGGAGGTCAGTTCCTGCTGTCGGTTTATCAACTACTCGTGACCTAAGCATTCCTGAATGCAGTTTCATCAACCTGCACTCAGTCATCCACCCTAGAGCAGTGACTGAGTTCATCTACCGATATAGCGACTCCAATGTGGCGCACGTCTTTATATCTTTCAACGTTGACCCTCTCAGGCGAACAGACGAAGTCGCCGCAATTATCACGGAGCTGGAACGAATAGGGATGAAGGCTTGCGACATCAGTGACAACGAAATGGCAAAGAGCCATGGCCGGTATATGATTGGCGGATGTCAGTCAGTTCCAAACGAGAGACTATTCAGATTTGGTTAGTATTCACTCACTATCATTCACGTTAGCTTACGTTACTCGCGTAGAATTTCCTGAGCGCCCACTCGCCTTGAGGACATTCTTACTTGGTTTGCACCAAGGCTGGAATATCTCATTATTCCATTACAGGAACCATGGTGCAGGTCAGTATCAACCCTGTGGATCGAGCATGATGGCTGAACCCTTTCTGCAGATCTTGGTAAAGTACTCGCTGGGATTCAAGTTCCACCCGAGGACAGTCAGCAGTTTGGCACTTTCCTCAGCGAATTGAACTACACGTACGTTGAGGAGACGCAAAATATGGTATACAGTAGATTCCTGAGGGGATGAAAAACTATTGTACGTATGTACATATACAACCGTGCAGGAAAGCAATTACGCCGTCATAGACTACACTTGCTCAAGAGTAGATTACGAAATACGGTGAAGAATAAATGATCAAATGCAAAAACACAGCAATGTCCAACGATAGTCGATAACTCGAAACCAAACTAGAACTAAACCTGCACGTCCTTTACTGGCCTATGTGATTTGGGTTGGATTTTGGGCAAAATCCATTGCAGAGACGTTCTAAAAGAAGACGCGCGTTTGTGACGCACCCGAGTACCCTCAGTCAGTGGCGATGATGGACGTGTGGCGGATGTTGGGCTTGTCGGTTCGGATGCGAGAGTAGGGGAGGGTGGAGGAGACATAGGAATTGCAGAAACTCCCATTGCCGTGATAGCGTTGATAGCCAGAGCCGTCGTCAAACCACGATTGCCGATCTTGATTTCCGAAGACCCGTACTTGTAAATCCAACCAATCTCCCAACCGCCGTCTTCACATTGTAGTGGTAGAAGGGACCGAAGGTCAACCTCATCCCTCAAGCCGACGGAATCGCAGACGAGGACTCGCATAGCTAGGGCTAGGGCATCGCCGTCGGCACCGACACGCTCCTGAACGCGAAGCCTTAGTAGCGGCTTTAATAATCCGTGGATTTCTGCGTCGCCTGTTGCCTGCAATAGCCGACTGAGGAAGAACAGGAAACATTCAGGTGTTTCATAATAGCGCGTGCCCTCCAAATAAGCCCTGTTGAGCAGAACTTCGTGGACCCACTCCAAGGTCTTCTTCAGCTCATGCCCGCGACCATGGGAGTAAAACAAGCAAAGGGCATTGACACAGACGACAGGGTCAAACCGTGGGCGTCGGTGGTCGAAATATGTCTAGCCGTGGAAGAAGGGATAAGGCTTTGCATTCATTTTCGTAATTTGTTACTTACCTGAATGATCCCGTCCGAGTTCACGAAGCTTAGCATTTCATCCATTACAGAATGTGCAACGGCTGAGCTGGGTTTCGTAACTGTTATGCCCAGGGAAGTCGTGTCTAGATCGAAGGGAAATTCTTCGGTAGTAAGTTGGCCTTTACCTATGACCAATGACCGTTACTATTGGGAATGAGGTGATATGAAGGAGTGGAATACGTACCACGGAAGAAATTCCATGTGCTGGTGTGTCCAAATAGGTTTACCAAACTTCTAGGTAGTCTGTTAGATTTGCGTTTCTGGAGAGTGAAACCAACTTTTCTTCGAAAACTCACCGATCGTTGGTAGCCTCCAAAATCAGTAGTTGGGCAAAATTTTCCTGAAGCACAATGCCGCCGTCCGTGACCGACTCGAGGTGTTGGGCGTTCTTGGTCAGAAACTCCTGCCCTCTCTTCACGGGATCGCCCACTAGATTACGAAGTGCGCGCCCAACGTGATTGACATCATCGAATACAATGCCATGTATGCCCAACGAGCGAGCCGAAAGTACATTTTCTAGCTTGTCGTCGACGAAGATCACTTGATGGGGATCGACCTTTATCTTCTGCAGCACTTGCTTGTAGAAGCCAAGATTGGGTTTGCGTTCCCCAACAGCGCCAGAGGTAAACACATCGTCAAATATGTCCCAGTCAGCGGGCTTCGTACGCAAGACTTCATAGTCCGGCAGCGAGATGTTGGACATGGCGTAGACACGCAACGTGTTCTGCGACTGACTCTTCAGATCTCGTATTAGGGCAATGAATGCATCGTTGGAACGCAACGAATCGCGAGCTTGGATGAAAGCTTGGGCAATTTCGGATGGCTCGATCTTGAACTCGGACCCGACGCGTTTGTAGCATTCATCTTCAGACAGGCGACCACACTCGTAATCAAACCAAGTGGGCGAGGCAAGGATATGACGGAGGGTTCGAGACGAAATGGTCGTTCTGGTTTCCGATGACCAAGAGAAGAGGACGTCGCCGAGATCGCAGAGTAGGGCCGTGTATCGAGGATGGGAGCCCATGATAGATGAAGCACCGGGGAGGATAAGAATCGGAACGGGGTGTTGCAGAGGAACTCGAGTAGATTCCGACCCCAATTTAAAGTGGTTGCGATGGCCAAAACAGTATTCTAGAAAAGAGCGTGTAACTTGCCAAAGAAGTTGCCAGCCTCGAGGCATACTAGACAGAAAGAAGAAACGAAGGAGCGCTTCCATGAGGGGAGAGTCGGCCTATAGTCTCCATCAACACAGGTCGGCAACCCTTGGTCGTATGGCGGTAGTACTCGGGACCCCAGACTCCGAAGGGGCAGATTGCTGCGATCGGTGTGGAATGCGACCCTGGGGCCACAAAACCTCAATGCCTCAAGGCGTCACGAATTCTAATCTAGAATCGTATGTGCCTACTATGTAATCATGAAAAACGAGCCGGCCGTCTGTCCGACTCGGGCTTGTTACTATTTTGTCAGGACTCCTGCATCAAAGTTTTTACGTTCATACCTTGGCACAGTGCAATATATCGACTGCTTCCGCGGCCAGGCCAGGCAGGACCATGCTTGTGCTAATGAGAGTCGTGATTACTTATCTTCTGCCGACTTGATTAGTCTCTTTTAACTCCAGGGACAAATCAGAAAACCGTACGGTCAACTTCTGTGGGTCTGCTGTAGGTCCACTATCAATCAGGCGAATAGAGCGCAGGTTTCAGCGGCATCGAAGCCACCATGCATGACCCGCAAAGAACTAGCCAGAATCTGAGTGTGAAATGCACAAATGTGTACAAGTTGCTCACATTGAATTTTGCTCCTGCGGGTATGCCGCCGAGCATCTAACAATGCGGTAAAGTAACATACAGCAACATTGTGCCACCGCGACGAAGGGGATATTCAAAGCGCTGAAGGTGTTGAATTTCCTGATATCAAATCTTGATTGAAATTTAATTGAGCTGATACCACGTCGGATGTTGACATGTTGAGACCGGCAAGCATGGTGCAACGCTCGGTCCAGGTCCAGTGATAGTATTAGAGGACAAACGGGGCGAAGGGCAATATCATGTGAAACCTCAACAGCAGAGTGGAGGACTTCACACCAGGATGCAAAATGGGATAAACCCACGCACCTGTGCTTCAACAAGATGTTGATCAAAGCACTCCCCCATGACACGGGAAGTCCTGCTCCCAATTCCTCAATGTCTGGTCGAGTCGACACCACGACTTCACGCTCTTGTGCTTGGCTTGAATGGAACCTTCGTGCTTCATGCATCGAGATAGTCCAGGCTTGGAACGTGAATAGCGTACAGGTTATGAGGATCGATTTTGTGTATAGTGACACTCGTCGGGTAGGGCATACTGTTGGTCCTCGTCACGAAGAACTCATCATTTACAATGAGGCGAGGCAATAACTCCAATTTGAGTATCAAAATCGAAGTCTGAAGTGAGGGAATGGAAGAGCAGTAACCGAAGGGTGGCATTCCCACCAGTGCGCATAAATGCTTGGGATGAGTGGTAAGCCACCGCACAGAGTGAATTTGTGTGCGTGTATTACAGGGTGTCTATGATGAAGTCTGATAAACGATTCTCAGCTTGATGTACAGACAAAGTTACCGCACTCACAGGTATTGTTTAATGGCTGACGTCCGGCTTTCTGGTCTTTGCATAAACGTTGTCTACAACAACATATGCGGTGAATGCGACTACAGCGATTCCGAAACCAGGGAACAAGTTTGCGAACATTGCACGATTCGAGAAGACCGGGTGCTTGCGCCAGGCCTCCCGTTTGGCCCAGGGGTCGCGGAATAGTGGTAGGTTAGCCATTTCCTGGATCCAAGGCAAGTCAGCATGTATACTCGGAGCACGGCATGCTGCTACCGCACCTGCTACAGCTAAATGGTTCAATGTCGGGCGTTCTAACAGAGGGAGCTACAGCGGGAGCTTACTATGGCTAGAGGTCATGTGACTGCTCGAGGGCAGGCCCCGAGGAACTTAACAAATAACCGCCATCAGAATCGCAAGCCCGCTGTCAAGTCCCACCAACCTTTCCTCCCACCTCCAGCATCAAGCGGGCCTATTTATTGAAGTATCCACCGCCCTTCTACCCACTCAAATAATATAATCGCTCTGGGAACACCAAATGTCTCGAGAGGACTCCGCCATGATGTCTGACGATGATCAGCCGCTCGTCGCCAACAAACCTACGGCTAATGGTTCGACAGTGGCCAACGGGAGGTCTAATGGACACGTTGAATCAGACTCGTCGATGAGCGAGGATGATATGCCGCTTGTATGTCTTTCATAGTGTTTCCTAAGGTTGGCATATATATAGTTGACAACGGTACTTAGTCTCAATCAATACGTGATAAGTCGGAATCGATTCTGACACCAGAACCACGCTCGGCGAAGCGCAAGAAGCCGATGTACGCTGAGTCGTCAAGCGACGATGACACTCCTCTGGCTTCGTCGCCCGCTAAACCACGCACTGCCGCAGTTCCTATACCTGGCGCAACTGCGGCCACCACCGTTTCCAAGTCTGCGGTCAATGGTCGTAAGAAGGCCACCAACGGGGCGGCCAAAGACAGTGATGCCGATGACGATTATGGTGATGACACGCCAAAGAAACCCACCAAACGGCCACCTCGGAAGAAGGTTAAGAAGCAGGAACCCGACGAATCCGTGTTAGAGGACGAGAAGCCTCCGAAGAAGGTAGCCAAGGGCAAGGGCAAAGTGAAAGCTGAGAGTGCAGACGGCGCGTCAGATGGGGAGGACGCCAACGCTAACGCGAAGAAACCGGCGAAGAAGCCGCGAGCCAAGAAGCAGCCTAAGGCTGAGCCCGAATCAGGCGACGAACTCCCTAAGCCTAAGAAGAGGGCAAGCAAGAAGAAGGACACAGAGGAGAATGGTTCACCGACGAAAGGGAAAAAGGGGAAAAAGGAGGATGAAGAGGAGGAGGAAGTATTCAGATGGTGGGAGCAAGATCCTAACGGCGACGGAACTATTAAGTGGCAAACGCTCGAGCATAATGGAGTCTTATTCCCCCCTCCGTATGAACCACTGCCGTCGAACGTGAAAATGAAATACAAAGGTGTCGCTAGTTTTGTTTATCCTACGCGTAACGATGGCTGACAGAACTGCATAGGGCGGGAAGTCGATCTATCCCCTGGGGCAGAAGAGGTGGCTGGCTTCTATGCCGCCATGATAGAGACAGATCACGCTCGGGACGCAGTTTTTAACAAGAATTTCTTTGAGGACTTCAAGAAGGTCCTCGAAAAACATCCTCCACGCAATGGCATCAAGATCACTGATTTCGACCTCTGCGACTGGCGTCCGATGTTCGAGTACTTTGAGAGCGAGAAAGCTAAGAAGAAGCAACTCACTGCGGCTGAACGGAAAGAACTCAAAAGAAAGAGAGACGAGTCAGAGGCCATCTATACGACCTGTCTTCTAGACGGCCGTAAAGAGAAAGTTGGGAACTTTCGCGTTGAACCACCTGGTCTCTTTCGCGGTCGTGGCGAGCATCCGAAAAAGGGTTGTCTCAAGGTGCGTACTTCAACAAGGTCATTTTACCCCGGCTTAACAGACTCTAGTTTCGTGTACGTCCGGAGGATATCACGATTAACATCGGAAAAGATGCGCCGACACCGGTACCCAACGTACCTGGCGAATGGAAGCGCATTCAGCATGATAAGACGGTTACTTGGTTGGCTACCTGGACGGAGAATGTCAACTACAATCACAAATATGTCTTCTTGGCTGCTGGGAGTTCGTTGAAAGGGCAAAGCGACATGAACAAATTTGAGAAAGCCCGCGAGCTGAAGGTGATACCACGTTTAGATTCAATTTCGCCATGCTCATCTTGTCCCTAGAACCATGTCGATCGCATCAGGTTAAATTATCAATCCGATCTACGTTCCAAGGTCATGGCTGACCGACAACGCGCAACGGCCATGTATTTCATAGACAAGCTCGCGCTTCGTGCCGGAAACGAAAAGGGCGAAGACGAGGCAGACACCGTTGGCTGTTGTTCTCTACGGTGCGAGCATGTGACGTTGGAAGCCCCGAATTTCATTGTTTTCGATTTCCTGGGTAAAGACTCTATTCGGTACTATAATAGAGTGCCTGTGGACGCGCAAGTTTTCAAGAACGTCCGCATATTCAAGGAGAATAAAGAGGATGAGGATAACCTTTTTGACCGTGTGACTGTAAGGACGTTATGTTGGGATCTGAGCACGGCTGCTGACATCCAAGTTAGACGGGATCCCTCAACAAACACTTGAATTCGGAGATGAAGGGGCTCACTGCCAAGGTGTTCCGTACGTTCAATGCATCCAGCACGTTCCAACGTCTGCTCGACGAAAACTCTCTCGAGGACAAAACTCTGCAAGAAAAGCTGAATGCGTACAACGATGCTAATCGTCAAGTCGCCATCCTTTGTAACCATCAACGTAGCGCCCCGAAGACCCATGATCAGTCAATGGAGAAAATGCGGCAACGGGTAAGTGGTCTTTTACAAACATTACTGATGTCCCTCGCTAACGCACACGTCTAGTTGCGTGGGTTCAAATATGACCGCATGAAACTACGGCATGCTTTGTTCTCTATCGATTCCGCGTACAAGAAGGACGAACGATATAAGGCGGACGAGTCTGACGTAGACGACGATTTTGTTGAAGAATGGGAGGATTCATTGAAGGCCAAAGAGATCGAAAAGATTGAAAAGAAGTTCGCCAAGGAGAACGAAAAGCTGGAGGAGGAGGGCAAGAAACCCCAGAACAAGTCTACGCTAGCTGAGCGGATTCAGGCCATCGAGGATGAATTTAACCGCTTGGCAGAGGAACGTGGCACGAAGGCGGCAGCTCTGAAGCGGGACCGGGCCCCAGAGAAGATCGAGGAGGCGATATCGAAGTTGGATAGCAAGATCAAGGCATTCAAGCTTCAAATGGTGGATAGGGATGCCGGTAAGGAAGTAGCCCTCGGCACAAGGTAGATTTCTGGCTCTCGTCTTTAGCATGCCAACTAACACTTTGTTAGTAAAATCAATTACTTGGATCCACGGTATGTGCTTGTTTAACACGTTCCGCATAATATCTGAATCGGCTCGCTTGTAGCATCACTGCTGCCTGGTGCCGGACACACGACGTGCCTATAGAGAAGATCTTCTCCAAGACCCTCCTCACAAAGTGTACGTCCCTCCTGTGACTTAGTTCGGTCTAGACGGTCGCTTAACTCTGTTTAGTCCCTTGGGCCATGGATGTCTCTGAGGACTGGAAGTTCTGATATATTACTGTGACCGTTGACTTAGATGGTTTTTATGTTGCATGGACGCTAACCGCCCCTCTCACTACAATGCATGTACGAATGTTGTGTAATCCCAACAATATTTTATTAGTTCCACAGCTAGAACGAATCCAAGTCTTCAATCTATATACCTCGTATATATAACAAGTACTGCGTGCCCCGTGGCTTAGTTGGTTACGGCGTCCGACTGTTAATTTGTCCATTGCGAACGACATCGGAAGATCGAGAGTTCAAGTCTCTCCGGGGCAGCTTTACTTTTATCATGGGACTCTACAAGCTTTTTTATGCATGATAAGAGTGAAGGTTTAATGACGCATGAAAGCACCGTAGGCTCAGTGAACCGGCTGGCCTAGACGCACACAAAGTACAATCTAATCCATAGGAATACATACTGTGATACAAATGAATGAGAGGAAGATAAATCCCAGAAAGAGGTAGCCATACAAAGATGAAACAACTGGTAAAGATACACAAGTATCCAAGATGTAGTAGACAATGTCCTCAAGGAACACTAAAGGAAACAAAGGAGCGAGTGGAACGAATGTGGCGCTGTCAAGAATACAGTTGAATTGATACAGTTTCGGGCTGATTAGGAATATTTTCTAGAGGAATACGTCGGTAAGGGGATTTACGCCCAAGTCCGAGGTCTATTAACGCCAGGTTCAGCAAGGCGGGGAACAAGAAGGAAGCAACTTTGCTCACCCTATATGTTCGCCAGCAGGGACCGTCATCAGGGTTGTGCCAAGCGCATCGGCGGTGTTCATGAAGACTGTACAACGCCGGCATGAGCATCTAGGAACGGATTATATGGCAACTAATGACACACACCTGTGTTTCCCCACCATTGCTGTATATTGTCTGCGCCTATACTACCATTCGCAGGGAATTGAAGCCTGAACCCGGAATTATGAGACGCGCTTCCAGAAGACGAAGACAGCACTTACGCGAAGAATACAAACAGCGCGCCGATGGCCACGCCAGCGTCCAGCGCAGCCGATAAGACGTAGTTGTACTTCGCCCACCAAGAGAAGTGCCTTCGCCGGATAACGAATTGGAAGATGAACCCAATGATCGCCCATGGTACATAGTTGACCGCAGTGGCAGGAGGAATGGCTGCCGTACCAGAGAAGATGACCGGAAAACTGTAACCAGGGTCAGGGCTGTATAGACACATTGTAAGAAGTTGCGTCATACTTGAGGTTTCGGACAAAGCTATTGGGGTATTTCCTGGTATAGAAGTACACAATTGCCGGACAGATAGCACCGCCGAGGAAGAAGAACACCAAACCTGCGCGTAGAACTGAGTTAGAAAAACATAGCAACCAGGACGTGCGGTATACAGCTCACCGTAGTAAATTTGGCCTTGCGAGAACTGCCGTGCTGGACCAATGACACCCCATACCACACTTGCCGTGTAGAATGTTTCCGTGGAAGGACAGATGAATCCGCTAGACTGTCCCTTCTGACACATATCTGGTATGTTGCTGAACATCCATTGCTGGACACCTAGTTGCACAGTCCCCGCAATGATTGTGGCGATCACCTGAGCCCAGAACATGGCACGAGGTGGGATTTTCATGTAGTGTCCCAATTTGAAGTCGGACGTAAATGTCAGGGCTGCATGGAGCGGTGGGTCGGTCATGTCATAAAGGCAGAAAGGCAAGTGTAACCCCATACCTTGTGCCATCGTGATGTACCCCCAAGTCTTGAACATCATCATTGCGACGGGCCGACCTGGTAGCCCATACCCGATAATAAGTTCCGTAATGACATTCAGGCCGACTTGCTGATTAGTTATGGCTTGTATCATTCCAACGGGTATAACATAGAGGAATGCTACAGAGCAGAACGCCCACAAAGTTATGATCTAGGAAGATGTGGAGCTGGAACGTAACAACTCACCCACAACAAGCGATAGGATGAACTAAGCAAACAAAACGTGGTTGGTAAATTTTCTGGAGATGAATTCAGCTACTCACCCAAGGTACAGGGAAGTCGATAGGCCATATGGAGATGCCAGTGACGCCGAGTGTGAATAAGGACACTAGAAAAGCGAAATTAAGTATAACAGAAGAGTCCTGTAGAAGTGGGAGAAAAGTACCGAAGATGCACATGTACCACCAGTCTGGGACTGCAAATAAGTGTTAGTATGGGGCGTGGACATTCAATGAATCCCTATGCGTACCTTGCTGATATTTGGACATCAGCCTTGCGTGTATATCGGGTTGCTCGTGCATAGCGCGGCGAGCTTGTGACCAGATTTGCTTGCGGAAATAGAGGAATGCGTGTGTCAAGATGGCCGTTATACTGGCAAAGGAAAGGCCATATGACATCGCAAACGTCGTCGACAAGTATAGAGGGCTATAATCGTTATACGCAGTCTGGTTGAAGCTCAAGTCTGGATTGATGATTCTTGACACGTTGTATGCGGCACCGGTGTTATCGTAGGAGCTGCGGGAGGACACAGGGAAGAATTTGCTGTCCCAGACATTGGTGTAGTGAAGGATAGGAGTGATGATCCAGAAGAAAAACACGAAACCCGCAGCGATATTGGCTTCGGCCCACCAAGGAGTAGCGAGGGGTGATCCGATGTACGAGATCTGAGCCCAATCGAAGGTTATGAGACTCATGCCCAATCCATGTTGGTACCCGAAGAGCTGGTTTACGACGACGTTCTCAGGGGCGATCCAGCATACCCAGGAGAAGTAGCTGAGTGCTTGGAACAAGTAGCCTGGGACGATGTACCAGACGGCAGAGCAAACAAAGCAGATGAAGAAGAATCGCTCTCGAGTAATGCCGCCTCGATCGCCGATACCGGCATATGAGGACGAGTGCAGGGTATTGAAGAGGGCACATGTGACCAAATTCGAAGGCCAGATCATGGAGGATGGCTGAACGAGAAAACGACGAGCGATACCACCCATGGAGAAGCCGATGAGTTGGGTAGACATAACGATCATCCACTCGTAGCCGAAATCGTAGACTTGCTTGTAATATACGCGCTGCACAGCGACGATATCGGTTGCATAAGCAGAACCTGAAGCCACTGAGCCCTATAAGAAAGATATGTAAACATGGTCCATAACCTCATCAGATTGTACATACCATGATAGTAATGAGTACCTATGAAAGAACGTATTAGTCTTGCATAGGATAGCGACATCGAAACATCCGTACATGTTCTTTGATCGTGAAGGGTCCGGGGTTCAACGGGACACCGAGTATTGTTACATTGGGCATGACTTTGGCCCAGGCTCGTCCGATGGGAAACGACAGTAATTGTGCGACGATCTGAGGCTCGGTTAAGATCATGGAACAGCGTATACGGTGAGTCACATACGCCTCCAACCGTCACCGAAGGGTAACGGAAATAAAAGAATTGATTCAAGCCAGGCATAACGACGGCGAATAATAAGCCTAAGACACGAACGTCAGCATCGATTATTTGGAAGACTTGACGGAATATTACCAATGACCCAAGCTCGTATTGTTGATGACGGTATTGAGGGATCGTCGGTGTTGGCGACTGCTGAACGAACCTCCGGATATGGCGAGTCGTCCTCTGGATCCCACTTAGTATATCTCAGTGATGATCGATGTAAGACCGTACCAAGGAACGCGGTCATAGCATCTTCTTTCTCAGTATTGGGGTCTTGAAAATCGGCCAAGGTGATCGTGAAAGAGTCGAGTAGAGTGAGATCTGAGGACGAGGGGGACTTCTCCATGTCTCTGTCGAAGGAGCAGGCCTGGCTCCACTCTTCACTTGAGGAGTACGCAGACATAGGGTAATGAGCGACGTTGGGGGAGGACCTGGTACAGCCAGCATTCTGGTTGCGATGTGCTTATGTATGAAGCCAGGTGTTCATGCAAGAAGTTAAGTCGAGATGACAAGGTTGAGCATGATGTCTGTCCTTGACTTCTTGAGTCCCTGCGCCCTGGGTGGCGCCGTGGCACGGGCAATCTGCATCCAGGAATTGACGACTGCCAGTTCGCCTGCTCAGACGATCAATGTTCCGCTGAACAGCCCTGTGGCATGATGCATGATTGGTTCGACGACATGATTCATCGAGGAAAATACACGACCATCTACAATGAAATTAGACTCTTTCGGTTCTTTTACTCGGTAAATATGAAAGGTCACCGTCCAGTTATTTTCTTGCCGCGAACGTAGTTGCTGAACTGAATCCAATGCACTCAAAAGAAGCACTAACACAATCACAGGGGTGGCCATAGGCGCCCATATGTCACGTGCATAAATACGACGTACGTGCTCGGAGTACTCACTCGAAGTTACTCTCTGTTTTCGTTCACGATGCTCAACTCACGTCCTGCGCTCGCGTCAAAATCCCTTTTCCAGCATCTCGACGTTGAATCTGGTGAGGAGGAAGAGGAAGAGGTTGTTGATGAACCCACCCAGCCGGAAAGGTGTCGTAACCCGCTGACGCTCCATTTGTCCGACCATTGAATATTTCATCAGCGAGTCTGACCCCTCAAAGCCGACAAAGTCTGCCATAAAGCGAGCTCAGAAGGCTGCTCGTATACAGAAGAAACTCGAACAAAAGGCTGCTTCGAGAGCGCGCCGCGAGCAAGAGGCTGTCGCGTCTGAGCCAGAGAAGGCTCCAGTGGAACAGCAAAAGCCACAAGAACTCCCAATACCTACGGAAAGTCAGCTTGGTGCGCCGCCGGAACCAGAGGAACTCGACCCTCCACTACCCGAACTACCCGTTGCCCAAAATCCTGAAGTTTCTCCACCTATTCATGTCTCTGAACAAATACACTCGCGACCAGAGCCTGCACTCCCGGTAGAGCAAAACCTGACCCCACCAGTACCAAAAGCAGAGCCGCAAGCGCCTAGTCTTGAGCAAGTAGTGTCTATGCCTTCAGTAATAGAGGTCAAGTCAGCGCCTCCTGACGTCGAAGCGGTCAAAAAGCGCCAGGGTTTTATCACTCGCACCCTCTGGACGTTTATAATGATCGGAGGTTTCCTCAGTATGTCCCTCGTTTTCATTACGGATGTGTGCCTTATGGTATGATTTAGGTCTCCTCCTACTCGGGCATGCCTATATGATCGTACTTGTCCTGATATGCCAAACAGTGGCATACCGAGAGGTCACTGCCTTGTTCAGCCTTCCATCGGCTCAAGCCGCTGGCCACAAGTCCAAAAGCGCAAAGGCGAAGGACCCATGGCGCAAGACTTTGAACTGGTACTTCTTCGCGGTCACGAACTACTTCCTCTATGGGGAAAGTATAATATATTATTTTAAAGTACGTACGCACCTCAGTGTAGTATTGCGAATATCAGCTTTACTCATGGATACCTCCCTTACCAGCATGTTGTTTTTGCAGACGCCCAACTCACACCGTTCGCTACGAACCATCGCTTTATCAGCTTTTCGCTATATACGATCGGGTTTATGGGCTTTGTCATGTCGCTGAAGAAAGGGTACCTCAAACAACAGTTCGGCATGTTCTGTTGGGTACACATGAGCTTGATGATGCTGGTAGTCTCTAGGTGAGTGTGCGCCCCCGCCTCGCTTGACTTTGTTGACAATGTGCCGTACAGCCACTTCATTGTCAACAATATCCTTGAAGGTCTGATTTGGTTCTGGGTCCCGGCTTCACTAGTCATCTGTAATGACGTCTTCGCTTATATCTGGGGTATCACGATTGGCCATACCCCACTCATCGCTCTCTCCCCGAAGAAGACGGTGGAAGGGTTCGTGGGGGCGTTCTTCAGCACTATGGTGTTCGGCGTTATATGGGGGACTTACTTCATGCGGTTTGACTACATGATATGCCCCGTCCATAATCTCGGCGTCAGCGCGTGGAGCTCGGTGTCGTGCGTCCCGAATCCCGTATTCGTCTGGAAGGAGTGGGAGATTTGGCGGCCAGTAGCGGCCATCCTTTCGAATGCTGTAAGTTCATCATTGATAATCGTTGTACGGCACGGAAATGACCTTCCTCGTGCCTGTCGGATAGCTCGGATGGCAACTCACTACGATCCCTTACGCGCCATATCAATTCCACCTCCTCGTCATGTCGTGCTTCGCCTCGCTGGTCGCGCCGTTTGGCGGCTTCTTTGCTTCGGGGTTCAAGCGTGCGTTCGACGTCAAGGACTTTGGGGATAGCATTCCTGGCCATGGTGGGATGACCGACCGAATGGACTGCCAGTGCGTATCTTTACTTCTGTGCCTTTCCCTTGGCCTTCTGCTGCGCCCTTGCGTGCACTGAGTTCAAGCCCCTCTATTCCTCCTTCTCCTGACGTGACATCGGTACTGATTTCGTGCCTAGGTTCCTGATGGGCATCTTCACCTACGTGTACTACAGCAGTCTGGTGAGGGTGCACCACGTTACTGTCGGCAGCGTATTGCAAACGATTGCCAGTGGTTTAACGGTGCAGGAGCAGATAGAGCTACTCAGGGATCTAAGAAGATACTTAGAAAGTCAAGGAATACCGACGAATCTATGATATTAATAACGTACAACCCCCACCTTATTCCCACTTCTCCATGGATGTTCCTTATGACATTATATCCTCCCCAAATGCTCCCTATTGGCGGACGTGGCTTAGTGGCTTAGTCCTTGACAGATTGTACATGCATCAAGTCATTCGCACAAGGGAAAGGCTACATTGGGTGTCGGAGACAGAAACACATCAGTCCATCGAGCTGAGGTACGCTATGAGGAAGGCATATCATATTCGGCGGAAGACATAGAGGGGAGCCTGTGGTTTGCAGCAGGCAATATACGACATGTTGTTGCATAAGGATGATTCGGTGAGAGATACAAGACGCCAACCCAGAATATAAACATTTTACGATCTTGGCTTTTCCTGTGAAGAGAATGAGTTTGCAACGTGGAACCGAGAATATAGGAACGCACCTTCTTCTCCTTCCACAGAGCGAGGAGACCAACACCAGAGACCTTCACGACCTTGAATCGGACACCAGGAATATCACCCTTAGCCTTGCCGCTTCGGCCGAAGCCAGAGATAAGGACTTCGTCATTCTCGTCGACGAAGTTGAGGCAGCCATCATTCTAAGTAAGCGTAGTTCCGTCAGATAAGTGTTCCCAACGATTTAGAGAGCCTCCCTCATCCGAACAACCCCGTTGCAGGAAATCAAATACTCCGATGGTGATTGGGTGTGAGGGAGTTAGTGAATACTCACGGGTACGAAGGCAGTGACCTTCTTGCCGTTCTTGATGAGCTGCACACGGACGCACTTGCGGATGGCGGAATTCGGTTGCTTGGCCTCGACACCGACTTTCTCGAGGACGATCCCCTTTGCGTGGGAGGAACCACCAGTGGGAGAGGTCTTGTAGATGTTGCCAAGGGCTCGCTTTTTGTAAGCTTTATCCGCCTAAAATACCCCAAGACCCGTCAGCCAACTTGCTCCCAACCCCACTCGCGCAGCCAGGCATCACGATGAAGAGAAGATACGGACCCAGCGGTTCAGGCGGCGGTCAGTTCGAAGTTTGCGGGCGGCTTGGAGACCGCGAGGTTTGTTGGCTGCGCATCGTGGAGAACGTTGAGGATGGTACGATCGGGAGGTCAGGAAATTTGAGGTACTCACAGCCCATGCTTGCGTCGTCGTTAGTCGGTCGGTCGAGGTCGCTATACGAGGGGGAAAGGGAAACAGTAGTGTCGGGAACAAGCGGTTGGACTTCGAACCTTATCTGAAAAAACTGTTACAGTTCTCTCTCATCGGCGATCTCCGAGATTACACACGTGATTTGTAGATACGCTGGCGCTCGTCGCTATTTACAGCTTGGAACGCAACCATCAGGACCCAAATTCTTCGCTAAATACTGGGATCATTTGGGAATTCTCGCCGCTCGTCGTTTGAGTACGCTGATATGCCTCTCGCAGCGCCACAGCGCCATCTCATATTTCTCCCGCGGCAACCGTGCTGGCGGTTGGTTCTATTCACACCCAACCTTCACGCACACCGGGGAACTGGGTGGCCCTGCATTGCCGAAGCGCATGATGTGAACTACAGCAGGGTTATCTATCAGCTTGGTCGTACATCGATCCTCTGGCATAACCCACCATGTCTGCTCCCTTAGGCTCCGAGACTCAGTATTACCACCATGGTCGTCTTCGCGTCAAGGGCGGCGTGCTCCCAGATGCTATTACAGCGTACAGGACTTATGGCGACCCACAAAACCCTTGCATCGTGTTTCCTACCTGCTATGGCGCAAAGCTAGACAGTTCGAGCCCTCACTGATGACTGCGTAAAGCCTGCTGAACTGTGCAACCTTAGGTCAATTATGGATGATTGGCGAAGACAAGGTTGGTCCGCTGACTTAGTATACGTACCATCAGCGTCACTCGACTCCATTATAGGTCCTTGATCCGAGGAAATACTACGTCGTCACCTTCGCCCTCTTTTCCAATGGAGAAGTAAGCGCACCACCTTATAACTCAAACCATGATGCGTGATGCAGTACTATATAATACCCGCCTGCAAATAGTCGTCCTCCCCATCCAATACAGTTGGTCCCTTCGCTTCATAATGCGCGCCCGAGGCTCATAGATATCTAGCCCTCTCCCTACAACGGACCGTACTTCCCCGAAGTATCTTACGAGGACAACATGTAAGTAATCACTCCGGTCTGGAAAGAACCCTACTGATGATACTTTCTCAGCCGCGCGCAGTATGCCGTATTGACGAAGGAACTTGGTATCAAACATATTCTGTGTGCCATGGGCTTCTCCATGGGCGCCCAGCAGGTATAACGTTTTGGTGATCGCAACACGCGCCTACTAACAGCACCACTTATCAAATATAGGCCTACTACTGGCCCGTTGTCTTCCCCGACTACGTTGACAAGTCTGCAATCTCGCTATTATCTTAGATCCCATCTAACAGCCGCCGACACCCAGATTCGTGTCTATATGCGGCTCAGCTAGAACAAGCCCACACAACAAATGGTACGCTTCCCCGCCAGTCAATTCCACTAACCGTGATAAAATTCCGTTTCCCAGTTTCCTCGAAGGACCAAAAGCCGCTTTGGTCGCATCCAAGGACTTCGACAACGGACATTACTCGAGTCCACCTCAGCACGGTCTTCGGGCGTTCGGGCGGGTCTATAGCGCCTGGGCCTATGGCCAGACCGTGCGTTTCAATGGCGACTGATAACGTTTATACGTGTGCTGACGTCGCTGTCAGTGGTACCGCGAACATAAATACCTTCACGACGGGAAGTCAGTTTCAGTCGGCTAACTCTAATCGCTTTCTCGAAACTCATCGTCGCTTCTGTCGTTTCTATTGCAGATATCCCAGCCTTGATGCATTTCTCAAGGAACAATGGGAACACGGATTCCTCTCGAAATGGGATGCCAACGATCTCTTGACCTTGTTGAACACCTGGAGTACCGGCGATATCTCCTTGGTCCGAGATAACGGCAATTTCGAGAAGGCCCTCAGCGCCATCACAGCAACAGGTTTGATTATGCCCTCCAAGACTGATCTTTACTTCACGGTATGATATTATTCTCCGTCCATCCTACGGATTATTAAGCACATCTGTCCTTTGTAGCCGGAGGATAACGAATATGAGGTTTCACACATGAAGAACTCCAAGTTAGCGGTGATCGATTCGATTTGGGGCCACTTCGGTGAGGATCACACATGTTGGTGCCTCGTAACGCTCATTGCTCAATATGAACCCGTCCGCAGCTGGTAACGGATCCAACAACACAGACGATGAATTTGTACAGAATGAGATAAAAAAACTTTTGGAAGCTTAAAGCCAGCATGTGCTCCATTGGAGTGATGTGCCGCTGGGGTGCCGGCCGACCTAGCTGATACATGGTATAGTCTCTGCACCACGGCGTCTGTAGACTCCAACCATCACTCCAAGTCAGTATCCTCTAAGAATAACTGTTTTATCTGTGATCACAATATATATTCGAGTCTCCAGCATAGTACAGCGCCAGCAGTACCAACGCAAATGCTCACTCGCTTCGAGGAGATAGTCTTCTGCTTTCCCATCTTACCTATTCTACCACTCACATAAGATGTCGCGCTCTGCATTTCACTGGACCGCTCTTCCTCCAAGAATACCTTCCCCTGCTCGCAGGCATGCTGCACCCTCGGGTCCGTGGCCGTGGATGGACCTTGACTCTGACTCCGAAACCGACGCTACGAAGGTGGCTTCTCCTAATGGCTTCGCAACACCCCGATCCCGAGACTCCCCAGACGCTTCAGAGTCTTCGCTGGATGACTCCGAGCCCGAGGGTGCATCACCTGGGTACACAGGATATCCACAACGCCAGTTTCCCAATTGGTTGCCGGAACAGCTCAAGAGGAGTGGCATAACAAAGGCGATACAAGACATGCCCGAAGCGCCTTGTGTTATCCGCCACCTTGATGTATCAGAAAACGGGCATTTCCAGCATGGAAGATTGCATGCTATATTTGATCGCCAATTGGAAAGGGATGAATTTTGGGAGCTCATGAACAAACCGGTGAGTGAAGATATATGTCACCGGTATCCAAGCTTATGTACTCTTCTTCTTTGTCTTTCAATAGCGGCCGTCACAGCTTAGGCTTCGAGGTTTGTTTGTACAGAATCTCTCCGGACCAGTGCTGCAAATGCTTGGGACTAGGTTCGTTTTTCTGTATATTAGTGTCCGCTACTGATAAGACAAACAGATATAATATCGAGCCTTTCTTCTTCTCGTCTTCGCTGAATTGGATACCTACTCGGTACCAAGAAGATCTCCAACATGGAGTCCGGGATCGTAAGCCCCATGTACTCCTATTCGTCCCCTGTAAGACTTGACTCTCGACAGACATCACCATTACTTTGATGTTTATACGAAGCATCAAAGCTCCCATCGACGTGCCGACTCCTGCAGCGGACTACGACTCATATATCAAGAAGCTACCGCCACTAGAAGGTACGCAGTCTACATGAACAAGTATATGGCGCTGACTATTTATACAGTTAAGAATGTCATTGATACACAAGCACCGTTGGTGCTGCGCTCCGGTAAGCATCATCTAGTCGATCCAACTACTTTGGTCCGACCCGTAACCAACTTCACAGTAAACAAAGTGCTTATGCCAGACATCCTCTCCGTCCACATGGTACGAGATGGCCCAAATACGACACTGATATCCTACCATGCCCCACCCCAATATCGAACTACGTCTTGCCGACAGCTCCACTCCAGGGTCTACAACGCTGGTCAAAGCGTATACTGGAATAAAATCTTCAGGAAATCTCCCGACCCGACGTTTGTTCTCTTAGCCGTGCTCTGGCATGTGCTGTATGCATGGGATGAGGCACTGCAAACCCTGTTCCAACATATCTGCTGGCTGGTAAGCTCATATGTCGACCGATTTGTAGTTGTTAACTGACGTTCGTTCTACTTCACATCTTCAGGAAGCTAGTGTGTTCACATCGGACACCGATCTTACACAAGAGCTCTACATCGTCCGTGCCTCATTACTACACTATTCAGCCTTACTAGAGGACTTCCGCAAATCTGTCCGTTTCGTCATGGACACACCTAACCCCGCTTTAATATCCAAGCTCACGGCAGAACAGCGCGAGGAGAGCCAGCAGCTCATGGCTAAAGAGTGCAACCATCTTCTCGCTGAAATAGAACGACTTCAGAAAGGAAGGAGTATGCATGATGACAGGCTCGGGAATGTCATGAACTTGGTAGGCCGCCACACTCGCGATATGGGGGGTTCGACTGACATCAATGTGCTTCGGAAAGGCCTTCGCCACCGTCAATTTGGCGGACAGCAAGCGTATGCAAGATATGACTGTCGCAACTGTCCGCGATAGCTCCGTGATGAAGCAGATATCATACCTGACGATGGTATATCTCCCTGCCTCCTTCGCAGCTGTGAGTGAAGTCTTCATATACAAATTTGCATCGAGCTGAGATATACATTACTCTATGTAGTCCGCGTTCGGCATGAATATCTCGGAAATCGTTCCGGATACCCAGGGCACCCTGGGGAGATATTTCGCGACAACAATCCCACTCACACTGGTCACGATCTGCATCATCATGATGCTCCGAGCGAAGGACCATAGCGACGACCCCAGCGCCAGCATATGGACCAGGTTGTGGTGGCCTTCTGTCTTGAAGGTGAACTGGAGGAAGCGAAGGCAGGAAGATGCCAGCGAGAAAGTTTAAAAGGAGTGGAGGCCTTGGGCATGTACTTCAATGTTCACAAAAGAGGGTTTTCCTGGCGGGGGTAGCGTATGAGATGGAGCGCCCACGTAACCTTGTAAGGTTTATTTATTGACCTTTTATCAATCCCGAGCCACCAAGACTACGTGCTTGTGTTTACCAGCCCGTAACACTGCAACACGACCGTCAATCAAGTCGTCCGACGCCAGCGTACCTTGAAGATCTGTCCAAACTACATCATTGACGAACAGACCCCGTGCTTTGCACATCGTCTTGGCTTGCGCTGCATGGGGCAGAGTTTGAATACGACTCGTAAGTTGCGGGTGAAGATAGTGACATACATCCAGAATCAGTCAGGCGGTGAACGGCTGCCAATTTTACGACGGAAGTCTCGGTGAGATCAGAGCGGCTTATGACACGTAGTCTCGGGTCTTCTTTCATAGCGCTCAGAATATCAGTCGTCTTGAGCTTTTTGCGGTCGGCAGAATAGAGCAAGTCCGTGACGCGCAAAGCGCTGGTGACGCCGGCCTCTGCGGAAATGTTCTAAATCAGAGAAGAAGGGCGAACGGCTTGGTTGCGAGCACATACCCCCGTGAACGAGTTCCGTTACTTCCTTCGCAAGAAGCGTCTGCTGTATCCGTTGCTCCGGAGCTCGCTGCAACATCGTTGTTAGCTCGAGCTAGACCTAGTGATAAAATGCTCACATTATGCTCGACCATAGCCTCTTCGATCGCTTGCTCTGGGAGCAGGGTAAAGAACTTCAAGTATCTGGCAGAGTCTGCATCGGAGGTATTGTAGAAAAACTGAATGCCGTTGAGTACACCAGCGGCAGGTAAGGAACTTTAGCTTACTTGGTAGAAATCAAATGGCGGTGTTTTTCGTGGATCAAGCCAAACGGCATTCCCTGCACTCTTCCCGAATTTGTCACCAGATGATGTTGTCAAGAGGGGTGTTGTTATCCCGAACGCATCTCGGCCATCTCCCTTGACACGGTCGGGCTCCAGCTTTTGGATGAGGTCAAGTCCAGCGAGGATATTCCCCCACTGATCGGACCCACCAAGCTGAATAGAGCAGCCATGATACTTGTGCAAGTGGTAAAAGTCGTAGGCTTGGAGAAGTTGGTACGTGAATTCTGTAAATGATATGCCCTGTTGGGAGTTCATACGAGCTTGCACGCTTGTGGGGTTGAATTACATTCTGTAGGTGAAGAGTGTTGAAGGCATACCTTTCTCTATTTATCATGGTGTTGACCCGGGCGTGAACGCCCACGTTCCGCAGGAAGTCCAGAAAGCTGACGCCTTCGTACCATTGAATATTGTTTTTTACCTCTACGTCCTGCCACTTTGCAAGATCCAAAGTAACTCGTTTTGACGCGTATGTCTTCGCAGAGTCGAAAAACCTCTTCACACCTTCGGTCAAGCTCGCGACGTTGGCCTCAACCTCTTGCTTAACGGCCAGATCTCTTTCAGTTGTCCTTCCTGATGGGTCTCCAATAAGGCCTGTGGCGCCGCCAATCTATTGTTTCCAATCTCCACCGCGCGTCTTTACTATAGAACCTTGACAACTCACCAAAGGAATTACGCGATGCCCATGAAGCTGAAAGTGTAGCATGCACATCAGTGGCAGTAAATGCCCGGCATGAAAGGAGCCCGCGGTGGGGTCTATCCCAGAGTAAAGGACGCGTGGACCGGACTGGATGGCCTGCTTCAGCTCGTCGGGCCTGTGGTGTAACAAGCGTCAGTTAGCACCCCCTCGACGACGAGCATCGTACCTCGTTACGCTAAATGTAAGTCCACGGTCATGCAAGGCATCCAAGACGCCACGGGTACTGTAAAGGCGGCTCGGAGAAGGCTTCCATGCTCGTAGCACAAGCAGTCGTTTCAACATGAGCTGAAAGTGCTGCAGTGCGTCGCGGGTTGTCACGGGCCGGATGGATCTCAATAGACGCCCGTTGACTATCCGCCGTTTCCGAGATTCAGGGGCATCTGTCTCCAGTCCATGGGTGTATATCTTATCTTACAAGGAGCGTACTCATTGCCTTCGCGCTCCGAGTCTTCCATGAGCGTCGGAGCGACCAAGCCTCAACGAGTGCCTACTAATTCAATTATCAATACTTCCGAATCTCTTTCTACGGATTTTGCTTCAGCGACTCCATCGCCTACTTCACTTGCCATGTTATGATCATATGTATCTGAACCATGCAAGTCTGTTTGGCACGCGTTCTGACGATCATCGCTCAGCAACGGCGCCGGTGCTATATGGCGTCGCTGCCATGTTTACTTCCTCTGTGATCAAGGCCTGATATGAAGAGTGTCGTAACTTGTTAGGCAGGCACTGCCATTGAGCACAGAATATGTTCAAGAGTAGATCTGAATTTCCAAGGGTGCAGTGGACTGATGTTGTAGCACCGATGCTTAGTTGGTTGCAGTGCGATGCGAAGGAACAACGGGAATATATTCCCTACATGCTGTGGGTCCCTGTTTGATTCAACCAAATGTCCGTCCAGGCACTCTTGATCGAGAGTGACGTCGAGAGAGCTTCAAGTGAAGCGACTGTCTCCACTACTAACCTCAACTCTTTCTTGAGAAGATGTTCACTTCTCTGCCGGCTTCCCAACTCCTGTTTTCGAGCATAACACTTCAGAATACAAATCACAGATGCATACCCCAAACATTGCACATTTTCTCCTTCACGTCCACCTTATTGGCTACGCTCCGGCAGCGGATACTTCTCAAAGAACTCCAGGATCATCGTCGTTGCATTGAAGCTTGCCGGGCCGTCCTTGTGCAGGATGTTATCGGGGTTATTGAACGTCGACGGCCACGAGTGGTCGATGTCCGGGCCCGAGAAGACATGGCTGACGAGCCCCCTCTTGCCCTCCGCGGACCCCCACTCGTACAGCACTGCGCCCTCGTCCGTCAGCGGCCGCGATGCATTCGCCGCGCCCAGCCCGTCGTAGCCCGCCCACGTCTGCGCCCAGTGCGGGATCGTCGGCAGGCAGCCGCCCTTGCGCGGGCCCCCGCCGTAGCTGATCGTCCCGTCCGCGCCGCCGTGGAAGTCGAGGATGGGGATGTCAGCGCGGCCCGGCGCGCACGGCTTGATCGGGACTGTCGCGGGCTTGCACGTGTTGCCGAACACCGGCGCTGAGACGTAGAAGGCCGCTGAGACGGGCGCGAATGCCGCGATGCGCTGCGACGCTGTCGTGTTGCACGCCAGCTGGCCCACGAAGCCGCCGCCCTGCGACTTGCCCGTCGCGAAGATGCGTGCCGTGTCCACGCAGTAGGCTGCAGAGATCTCGTCAATGACGGTCATCGTAAAGCCGACGTCGTCCGTCGTCACGCCGGGAACTCCGAACCATGTTTTCTGTAAGTTGTTGCTCTATCAGTCCTTGGGCTCTCAAGGGGAGGACAAGTATCCTCTTGCTCCAAGGATGAGGCACTCACGTCAACGCCATTGGGGTAAGCGACTATATAGTCCTTATTGAACGCCTTCGAAGTGAGATTGTCGAGATTGAGCTGCTGCTCCGCGATGCGCGAGCCGCCATGGAAGGACAAGACCAGCGGCGCTGGCTCCTCGGGGTCGTAGTTGACGGGGATGTACACCAGATAGTAGCGGTCGTCACCGACGGTCACGTTGACGACCGAGTCTGGGACGAAAGCACCCCCACTCGAGCAGCCTGGAGATGGCGCAGCGTGCGAGCCAGCGATGCTGCTCGCGACTGCGAGGGCATGAAAGAGGAGTGAGGTACGCATGTTGCGGACCGGCTCTGTCGGAGTGGTTTCAGCGGTGCGTGTGGCCCCCACAAGTGACATTCTATTTTTACTTAATTGAACTTCCCAGATCCTATGAACGGTGCGATCATGTACAGTACTGCTCGCTGGAAAGCAATATTGCGACACTACTCGGGTCATACCTGACACGTTCATCCCATCTCTAAAACTCTGCCCTCCGAGGTGTGCCCATTTAGGTGGCAAAGCCTCCGTGAGGCATTCCGTATGTTCCTGACAGACGATCGTGGTGAATTCCTTCGATATATCTCCAAATGACCAGCAGTGGCCTCTCTATCCCCCCATTTTTTCAGCGAATCCACCCCGCCACGCTGGCCTTCGCTGTCGTGGGATGATCTACCCCGAAGTTGGTCTTCGTGCTGACTCCTGGTTCTGTTTGGATTTCCTTGGGTATCGTAAGTTGCGGTCTACTCAGACGCCAGAAGAGCCTCCACATGATACGAACCATAAGGTGCTCTTGACCTGAGATTGCACGACTCTTGAGTCTTGACTGTATAAAGGACCCTGGCTATTCAACGACACGATGATCCTCATCCTAATCTGCCATGCGCCTGCACCTTGCGATCTTGCCCTGGCTACCTATCCTCATCGGGGAGGTCCATTATGGTATGAAATCTCTGTGTTCTGGCCCTGTAATGGTCTCACTGTCGATTCCCCTTTAGTCGCTTCCCAAAAGCTTACCACCCGAGTGCCTATACCTCCTGAACAATGCGTCATAGCAGAGACTTGGCCAGCTGGTCCAGGTCAGGCTCTTGTACCGCAGGCTCCCGACGCAGAACTTCGACAGATACTTCGTAGTGTTGATCCGAAACGCATCGAATCCATTATCCAAAAACTCGTTTCGTTTGGCACACGACATACCCTTTCCAACCAGACTGATCCCGTCAGAGGTATCGGTGCCGCGAGAGACTGGATCGCCTCAGAAATGCGGTCATTTGCTAGAGCCTCGAACGGGCGAATGACCGTGACCGTCCCTAGCTACGTCCAAGTACCGGCGAACCGCATCCCCGTTAACACCGTCATCAGCGACGTCGTGGCTACTCTCCGAGGCTCAACCGAGCCCAATCGCGTGTATGTCATTTCAGGGCATTACGATTCCCGCAGAACGGATGTCATGGATTTTGTCAACGATTCCCCTGGGGCGAATGACGATGCATCCGGTGTCGCTACCGTCATGGAACTCGCTAGGGTCATGGCTTCTCACCGGCCAGCTGCGACCATCGTTTTTGCTGCAGTCGCGGGCGAAGAGCAGGGCTTGTTTGGCTCAAACTTCCTTGCGCAAACGCTGGTGGACTCCGGAGTTGAGGTTCAGGGGATGCTGAACAACGATATCGTGGGGAGCTCCACTGCAGACGACGGCACTCGTGACCCATTCGTTATACGTATGTTCGCGCAGGGTGTTCCCTCGAGTGAAACACCCGCTCAAGTCTCGACAAGGCTATCCATCGGTGGCGAGAACGATTCGCCAGCAAGACAGCTAGGCCGGTTTGTGCATGAAGTTGCTACGAATGATGCCACCGGGATGTCCAGTTAAGCAACCATAGATCTTTCAACATTTCCGCCTACTAATGTTACCATCACTAATCTCTAGTCCAAATGATATATCGCCAGGATCGATTCCTCCGCTCAGGAGATCACGTCCCCTTCCTTCAGCGTGGAATAGCAGCAGTCCGATTCACCGAGCCTCACGAGAATTTCAACCACCAGCATCAAGACGTTCGCGTTGAAAACGGCACTCAATTCGGTGATCTTATCGAATTCGTCGACTTTGACTTCATAGCACGTGTTGCGAGAGTAAACGGCGCGGGATTGTGGTCGCTGGCCAACGCGCCTGGCACGCCCAAGAATGTCACCATCAATACGAGTGCGCTCACGAACAACTCCACGCTGACTTGGGCCCTGGACGATCATGCGAACGGGGGTTACGAAGTCGTGTATAGGAATCCTCATGAGCCATTTTGGACCCATGTCGTTCCAGTTGGACGCAGCAACACAGCGTCGCTCAAACTGTCCAAAGATAATGTTAATTGGGGTGTAAGGGCTGTGGGGTCTAATGGATACAAGAGTCCAGCAACCTTCCCGTTTCCCGGTTAGGCCTTGGAGTCTTGAATATAATATATGCGTAGCGCTGCTTAGTCTATACGGATGGCACTATACAGTTTTCTGACCGCCCAATATGATGCTAGGAATCCTATCGCACCTGGAATACAATGTCAATAAGAGTGCAAGCATCTGAGGAAGTACAGCACGTACCAGTGACGAGGAAGTCCAATAGGACGAGAAGGAAAAGGTAACCAAGATATAGCACGACACTCGAGAAGGAATCGAGCGAAAGTCTAGAAGCCCAATAGAACAGACCATATGCTAGCAGCCAGAAAGCGCTGCCCCCTCCTGTGAGGAAGGCACGCCAATGCCATCTACGAATCAAAGGTCAGCCAAGCGTACTGAGGATACGAAATTGGTAGCAATGCATACCGGTATTCTTCAGCACAGAGGAGAAAGTATGTAAAAAGGATCGTGACGGTCGCCGAAGTGAGAGCGACGATGCCTGCAGTTAGAGCCAAAAACCCAAACGCGTAGTACGCCCTAGAGGCGAAAAGGCTGGACAGAACAAAGTAGAGCTCTACAAAGGCAGCCCCTATAGGAAGACACCCATTAGTACCGTAAGGAAACGAAGAGGATAGTAGACTTACCGAAGGGAAGAATGCCACTGAGGATTGCAGCAGCCTTACACCGAATATCAGCGTCCACGTCAGATTTCAGTGAGGAGGGTGCGCACCCATGGTTTGAGGTATTTGGGTGTCGGGGGGATTTGTCGCGGTATGGGGTTAACGCGTACGGGATTGCGGATGGCCTGTATAAAGTTTCGTTAATTACTACATCTTCCAAGTGCGCGGTTATCAAGGGCGTACACCGTGTTTTGTCCCAAAGTAGGCACCGATCGCAGACAGCGGGGCGGAGATACCAAACCAGAGCAACACGATGAGGAGCATCGTACCTGTACGAAATGAGCGATCACATACACTTTCGAAAATCCACTTTACTTACCAAAGGGAACAGCACCGGAAGAACCAGCCGATATCAGGAAAAAGTTCAGCATGAAAACTACGATGAAAACAACGCTGCGAGAACAGTAAGTTTCACTCTAGAAGTCTTCACTATAGCTAATCACTCACGTAGGTAGCAAGGTAGCGGTTAGGAAAGCGTTCTTTCTCCGATCAGTGCCACCCATTGAGGCATAGACTCGGCTCGAGAAATATCCGCCAATGCTAAGTACAATAAGAGAAATAGTTAGCGTGTGCCTGGGGATCGTTGAGGGCGGCTTACCATCCAAAGAAGGACCAGCAAATCATCATGACAGTCGCGAGCGATCCTCGATTTGAAGGCGAAAGGAATCCCAAGAGGGCGAAGACTGCGAAATATTAAGTTCCATTGCAGGATATGATTACGCTCAGAAGATATACCTAAAGTAACAACGACCATCGAGCAAATTTGCGCACCGTTCCCTACCATGATGGACAGGATGAGTGGGTTGTTCGGGGTACGGAACACCTCCCCGTGGACAAGCTTCCACCCCCAATCTTCCTGGACATCTTCCTGAGATATATTTAGTACGGATCGTCAAGGGATAACAAAAGCACCGCTCACGCTAGCGTCGATGGCATTGTACCGCGAAATCTGTTTTGAGAGATCATCAGAACATACGAGAAGCTTAGACATTGAATCCATGCGTACGTCTCTGGAAACGCTGCGATAGAGGATCATGGAAACCATTGCACAAAGGAAAACTACAATAACCAGCGAGTTGACCAAGCTGAACCAGTGAATTCGTGGGTCAAATATGTGAAGGTAATTGTCCCAGCGAGTCGCCTACAACCAGTGTGAGCTGCGAATTCCTGGAGGAGCTAACAGAAGCGTACCCATGGGGTATCTGATTCCTATATCGGGGTAAATGTAAGTGGCGTGTTGGCGAGTAAGGTTAGAAACGTACGTTCCAAGTCACCCGATACGAATAACGAATGGTCTGAGGCATGGTTTCGCTCAGGATGAGGGGAGTTGCTCCCTCGAACTCACATGTGGCAGGTCCATCTTGAGGACCACCGATACTATCCACAACCATGAAACGGCTGATCAATCAAACCATTCATGCACCTACCTCATGGGCCAAACAAGGACTCCTACGACGCGATATGTATCAGGCGTGGGCCTGTGGTACCTGTCGAGGAAGCATGAGTATGTGACTGTACAAACGGGACTCATGATACCTACCTGAGGACGATATCGTAGTGGTTATTTAGCGCAGGTGTATCCTTCAATTCTCCTTCGTTGTTGCCTAGATTGAAACCCATGTCGAAGAACATGTCTCCCGTTCTGACGTCAATCTTCATCTCAGCTGCGGGAAGTCCGTCGACTAGCCAGTTCAACGCATAATCTTCCCGGATGCGGTCGTTGATAAACTTGGAGTCTTCTGGCGGCACGTCGTTGACGGTGCACAATGTCTGGCATTCTGCGTTGTGTTCAAGCATGGACACCTACGATAGATGAATTTGATGCACATGTTATATAGTTAGCTATGGGCGCACGTTATAAGGTGAATTGAATATGCGGTCGCCAAACAGGATAGATCCTAGCGATTCTGGCTGCTTTTGAGGCCCTTCTGGGGGTTGGCAGAAGTGGAATTGAGGGTGGTAATAGTCGTCTGCATTCAGAGTAGACTGTCATGATACCGTCGACATCGCCAATCACGGTTCGCTCACAATTTATCAATGATTTCTAGTTCCAAATTACTTTAGGAAAACAGATTATGCGACGGTCGGGCACGCGGTAAACGCACCAGCTTTGCATTGTCGGTCCCGAGCAGCATAGGTGTCAATGCGTTGACGAATAGCTTGACATCCTCCCCGAGTTTGTAGCTACGAGGAGCAGCACCTGGAAGATAAAAGGCATGGGTTGGGTCCAAGAACGAGAGCGCGAGTGCGCCTATAATGAGTGTAGAGAACATCGGGCATTAGGAGCCTGGAGGATGTGCGACGTGCCACAACATATGAGCCATCGGGGGGCAATATCCTTTGGATCAAGCAGGGACATACACCGGAGGTTCGGCCTCAACTTCGATCATCTTCACCTTACCCGTAACGGACCACGGTGGCAGCTCGCGTGACGTTCTCCCCTCTTCGCCGCATTTTTGGCGTGACGAAAGCCATGGAATTTGAGATTCTAGCGAAATGCCCGACTACAAAGGCTCGGGTCGCGAGGATGAAACTACCCCGTGAGTCACAGGCGTCAGTAAACTCATAGTCGATGCTGATGATGTGCAGATGGAGAAACGATGCTGCCTACGTTCATGCCAGTGGCGACTCAGGCAGCCATCAAGGGCCTTACAGCCCAGCAGGTCGAATCACTGGGAATTACACTTATGCTCAATAATACCTACCACCTAAACCTTCGCCCAGGCATCAAGGTCCTAGACAAAGCAGGAGGCGCACATAAATTCCAAGGGTGGACTAAAAATCTTTTGACGGTGCGTATAAACGCTCTGTAGTCGTGTACGCTCGGTCATGCCCGCATCAGGACAGCGGGGGATTCCAATTGGTTTCACTGAGTAAGTTTACGACGATAACGGAGGAAGGCGCTTTATTTGAGAGTCCTTTCACGGGGGAACCTACAATGTTAACCGTGAGTCTAGCGAGCCATTTCACGTATGCGTACCCTCATGATCCTAGATCAGCCCGAAGAAAGCATATCCATCCAACATTCTATCGGGGCAGATATAATCATGCAACTTGATGACGTTGGTAAGATCTTAGGCATCAAGATGATATATTTGAAGCTAACAGACTTTAGTTTCGAGTTTAACCGTCGGTCCACGCGTTGGAGAAGCTATGGAGCGGTCGGTACGCTGGCTTGATCGCTGTATAGCCCAGCACAGGCGTGCCGGCAAAGAGGGAACTCAGAATCTATTCGCTATCGTGCAAGGGGGTCTCGATCCAATCCTCAGAGACCGATGTCTCGAGGAAATGATCAAAAGGAAGGAGGGGGTGGCTGGATACGCGATCGGTGGGCTTAGTGGCGGCGAAGAAAAAGGCAAGTGCCTGGCGTTGAAACACGCATTATCACTAAACCCCACGTAGATGTCTTTTGGCGAGTGTAAGGAGGGATTCCTTGCTTTATGTGGCGATATTCACCTTGACACCTAGTATCAAGCAATGCGCCGATAAATTACCAGAAGAACGTGAGCCAGCCTTAAGAACGCGATTGGAGACTGTTATTGATTATCCCTTCAGGTCCAAGGTACTCGATGGGTATTGGGTTCGCTGAAGGTACGCTGCGCCGTCCAACCGGGGGATATTTATAGAAGACCCGTAGACCTCCTGGTTTGTGTCGCTCTTGGTGTTGACATGGTGAACTCCTTACCTTTTGCGTCACTGTGGCCCGTCTAACCATAAACATAGGCGGATTGTGTATTCCCTACCAGAACTGCTCGATTTGGTGTTGCTCTGACATTCAATGGCCCGTTGAATCTCAGTACGTCGCTCATCTGCCACTGTCAACCCGCTTCATTCATCAGTCCCCGAACAGAACTACAAAAACATAACAAGGACCTGGGACCTATTGACGAGAACTGTCCCTGTCCGACATGTACTAGTGGAACTTCGCGTGCGATGTTACATCATATCGTCACATTGGAAACGGCGGCAGCGCATGGTGGGTGTTTAGAACGTTACCCAGTCATCTCGCTGACCCGTTTTTCTTATAGCCCTTACCCAGCACAATATTGTATTCCAGGCGCAGCTCATGGGCCGAGCCAGAGATGCTATCATGGCTGGAAATTTCCCCGACTACCTTCGTACCTTTTTCAAGACATACTTTGGCAAAGCCGGGTACCCTGAATGGTGCGTCAATGCACTGCGCAGCGTAGGAGTCGATCTTCTAGAGAACGTGGAGGCCCAAGTAGTGCCAGGCGACGGTGCGAAATGGGAGTATTCAGATGCATCGTGACATGAGGGTAATACACAATAACGAAGTGATAATAACGGTTTGGATCATCGTCTACCTTTTTTACTCGGGCGGGAATTTTTGGCCTTCCTGTTGTCAGCCACTTTTCTATGCTTGCGTATCTGGTCGACTGTCTTGAGCTCGTTTTTAACCCTCGATACAGATTTGCCTTTTATACGACTAGGGGCCACCTTTCTCCCGGTTGGGCGAGAACTTGTCTGAGTATCTTCGCCACCAGCGGCTTGCTTTTTCTTTATCTGGCGTACTTTGCGGTCGTAGTCCTTGCTCAGCTTGTCAAGCGGTTTGGCCTCGACAGTTTTATTGTGTTTGAAACGCTTGCCGCCTCGTCCGTGTTCCCAACGACTTGTTGTATCGTTCTCAGCCTCTCCCGTCCTCGGCAGATCAGTTCGAGTCTTGGCTTTCCATTCGTCGAATCTCCCGCTACGATAAGTGGCTGGGAGTTTGGTGCCACTTTCCGTTTTGACGAGCTTGACGTTATCAGCGCCAACGCCGCCGCCTTGGATGAACTTTTTCTTCTTCTTGTCCCAAGTGAGCTGCCGCCGTTTCTTGTCAGCGGCGCCCTCGTCGCCAGCTAGGTCGAACGTAGCGCCGCGGGCCTGCTCGACAAAAGATGCACCGTCCGTCAGAGAGTACCTAGTGCAGTAAACTCATCAATATGGGATAAGTGCCGTGGTAGACTCGGTACTCACCCTTTTTCTGTTAATGCATCCTTTTGGTAGTGGGACATGTAAAATTCTGAGTCGCGATAACTTGTAGGCTCTGACTTGAAAGCCGACTTCAAGCGAAAGTCAGTTAATGACAAACAACTATCGAGAACGCCGGCCTACCATGATATCCTCCTCATTAGCCATTTCCATTTCCCCTCGAGGGGTAGCACCTGCTTCCACATCTTCGTCAACAGCAGCGGAGGATAATGCTGGAACGATTCTCGATCGTGACTTGCTCAGAGCCTTCCGGCGGTCTTTCATCAAGGCAGCGGTCGCTGCATTGCCTTTCGTGCCAATTTCGAAGACGGTTTCCGAAGGTTGGAAGGAGTTGACGGTGCGGAGGAGAGCCTGCCGGGCCTCCTCTGCTTTACGCTTCTCTGCCGCATCGGAGCCGCGAAGAAGAACAGGGTGAATGCCACTCTCCGAACCAGCGAGCATCCACTTCCGACTCTTCGTCATTTCCTTAGCGCGCTTGTAACTGGCGGGACTCGCCTTTCCCTTACTGCGCTCGTACATCGCGTGTCCACGCTTCATCACTTCTCGTAAAGAAGGCAAAGAGTGATTCACGTCTTCCAACGACCGAGCGTATTCCACGTCTTCGTCAATCTGTTCCCGGGGGAAAGTCCCTAAAATGAGATTTTCTGTATAAACATGATCCCCGTCCTCGGTCGTATCACTCTTCAGAGGTCTTCCCAAGAATAGCTGTAGGTCCAAGAGGTAAGGCAGCTCTGTGTTGGTTACGAAGGACCAAGCCCAGCCTTGCCTGCCCGCACGCGCCGTTCGCCCGACGCGATGAACAAAGACTCGGGCACCCTGGGGAAAGTCAAAGTTGACCACATTTTCTAGCACCGGAATATCAATACCACGAGCAGCTACATCAGTGACCACCAGAATACTGGTCATCCCTCGGCGGAACAGGTCCATTTGGTGCGTTCGAGCAGCTTGATCCAACGAACCATAGATGTGGGAGACGGCGTATCCTGCAGTAGAGAGTAGATTCTGGAGGTACTCGACATGATGCTTAGTAGCAGCAAACACGAGTGTCTGGTGCGGAGCCGTAACGCGCTCCATGTGGTGAAACTTTTTCTTTTTGCGATCCGGGGCATTATCCTCGCCTTTTCCCTCTGCTTCCGGCTTCCCCAATGGTACTTTGATCACGTCTCGAAGCAGGGATAGCAGACACGCATCCTTCTCAGCTTGCTTCACCGAGAAAAACGCCATTTTGAGATCGGAGCTGATCTTGCTCTCCGCATCGAGTCGCACAAGCTTCGGATCCTGCAATCCAGCCTTCGCAAACTCGACTAGTGATTTTGGAAGCGTGGCGGAGAACAGGAGGGTTTGTCTCGTGGTAGGCAGACGCTGGATGATTTCCGTTAGTGCCGTCTCGAAGCCCATCTCGAACAGTCGGTCCGCCTCATCGAAAACCACATATTGTATCGACTTGAGGTCAAGGTTCATCTCAACCAAAAGATGTAGCAATCGTCCGGGTGTAGCAATGATCCTTGTAAACATACCAATATATTCAATGTAAATTCGATCTTCATTGAATAGATTAACGTACACGTCGGGATTACTTGTCATCATCTCGAATTGTTCGTCCAGTCCTTCTCCACCAACAATCATACCCCAGCGCAGACTCTGACCCTTCTTCCCGTCCTCATTGTCCCTGCTATCTCCAGCATGATCGCTCTGACCTCCTCCTTGCCATCCTCTCGTCAGCTCTTTCCCCACTTTTAGCACCTGTAAGGCCAACTCGCGAGTAGGCAGCATGATTAAAGCCCTGGCACCAAAAGCAGTAGAATGGCGCCCCCCTAGTCTCTGAGCAAGAGGAATCATGTAAGCTAGCGATTTACCAGAGCCCGTTCGAGCCATGCCAACTAGATCGCGCGGGGGATTCGCCAGGAGTAAAGGGATAGCCAGCCGTTGGATCGGAGTAGGTATGCGAAATCCCTGCAATGTCAACGACCGCAATAGCGATGGGTGTAGACCTAAATGCACGTAAATCTTTTGTAGTCATAGATGTCACGGTGAACAGGCCTACCCATGCTCTGAAAGCTGCCACCTCCCACTTCACCCTTGATCATCTTGCCCTTCCCCTTGACCTTCTTTAAGAGTTCTGTCCCGCTCTTGATATTCCGTTTCGCGATAGAACTCGCAATTAGCTCGTTGAGGGCGTCCTCATTGTCGTCGTCGCTATTTGCCTCCAACTCTGCGTTTGGAGGCCGTCCCCCCGAGACGAGGGCAGAAGATATATCTATCTCATCTTCATCGTCCGAGAGTCGCGACGGCCCTGCTATGGACTCCTCGTCGGATTCGTCCTGCGATTGTCGTTTCCGCTTGCTGGTTAACATTTGCGATTTACAAAAATTAGACGCCCATTTTGGAGTCTGTACAACGTGAATGTATATCACCCCCTATCACTCCTGGCTTGGTGCGTCTCGACCATTATTGACTTCTGCTAATTCTATGTAGATAAACTGGAGCGTAGGCGCAACTACAGTCTGGTTTTACTGATTGAATTACAGTTGCATCGTGGCAAGAGCTACCTTGCTTGAACCCCAGGTTCAACAATTGTCTTGCTGCGGGAGGGGTCGACCTAGGAGTCAGGAGCTTTGCTTCCTGTTGTTCTTCTCCGAGCCATGTGCAGTCTGGAAGAACGCCTTTGGAAAGAATTATTTCACAGCTATGTCGCCATTGGTATATTGGTAGCTCGGTCGGATATGGATTTGGTGTGTTACCGTCAAATTATGTACATTCTCTCTCCCTTATTTCACCTTTCCTTCCTTAACCTCCAATCTACCCTAAGCTGCGTGCTGAGGAGGTTCCTGCTTTGCTCTGAGACACTCCGCCGGAGGTAGCCTCCCGGGTACTCTTTCCATGGTATAGTTTACTTTTCAAAGGGCCTAGGTGTCTGTTTAGGGAGTATCTAGACGCACCGTTCATCCTCCAAGCTGCAGATGTCTGCTTCGTAGGCACCTAGATGACTGTAATTGGCGATACGAAAGTTGTCCGAAGGTAATAATTTAACATGAAGGTAGTAACATAACGATAATAAGTTATATGAAAGCCGATGGATACCCAGTATCCCGATGAATAAATAAAGTACCCATGATCACACGAATGTCATGATCAGGTGCGACAGAAGGCGGAGTACGTTTACGACACCTATCCCATGAGCAAGCCGTTGAACGATCCTATATTGGTCATCAAATCCACCTCATCCGATGTTCCTCGCTGAGTCGGGCTTTTCAGGCGAGAGTTTCTTGCTGCGCGGGGTAGGTATTGGATATGCCGAGGGCCAGGCGCGCACTCCGTGACGATATCCACCGGCTGGGCCAGCGACGGCTCGCTATTTCGTGCCGAGAAGCCTGTGACGGCGAAAGGGAGGAGCACAACGGAGTACTGCGCGTATCGTAAGAAAACGCCGATGTAATAACCGGCAAGCTCACCTCAATAGTAAGCAACGAGAAATCGGATGTAGGTTGTAAGTCCTTCGGCAAGTGTATCTCGCCTTCGAACTGCCGCATCGATTGCACGCTGGAGGAAGCCCGCATTGGTGGGAGCGGTCGCCAAACAGCCGCTTCAATGTCGTCGGTTTGGGTTTGCGTGGGTGTCAATTTCTTGTTCCCCTTCGATACGCCGAAGTAAAAATTCACGCTCCTACGTAAGCGCACATCGATGGACGAGGATGTCAACAGATCGAGAGTTTGCGAATCCAAGCTCATGATCTTGAGGTAACAAGGTATGACAGTGCCACGAGCGTACGACAGCTATGGCCAAGAGGTGAGGCAATTACATGCTTGTGAGGTGGAACAGACGTACTGGTTGTGAGATGGAAAGCTTTTGAGAGTTATTAAGTTAGAGTTGGTGAAAAAAGTAGCAAGGAGCATGGCTTACGACGCATTTGACCTCAGCGGGTCGATTGTTGAACACTTTGCCATAGACCATTGTGGGTGAAAGTGTCAACCAGCCTTCAGCGTCGTCATCAGGCCCGAAGAGTACCGTGTTCTGGAGATAAGCTCGCTGGCGAAGTGGTAGGGGAGGCATCGCGACGATTCTTGGAATGTGTGCGACCATAGTACGTATCCTAGCAGAACAACTGTGAGGGCGATGTTCGCAGCGAATCACCAAGACGAACTTCTTATCAGGTTTAAATTTGCCCCGAACGAGGCGGAGAACCAGTTCATATTGAACATTGCCGTTCAAATCTCTCTCGAGAAAGGTGTGCGGAAGGTGCGATGCGTGACAGCCAGCGAGGGTGACCCCTGAGGGGAAGATGAATGAGAACGGCCATGTGTATTCGCCCGGAGAGAGTTTTCCATCAAATTGTGGGTGCGTGGGGGTTAGACTTTGTGGGTGAGGCATATCGCGATCCCAGACAGTGTGCGAGAAGTCGAGAAAGGTGAGCATCGGGGGTGCTGAGGCCGTCGAGCCCGAAATGAGCTTGCCTCTGACCTGAATGTGCAGGATGTAAGCCTCGCGCCCTCGAGCGACGTGAAGAGAGAACCTACCGCTATTTTGATTGCCTGAACATACTCTGCCTTCGCCAACTTTAAGGATACCGAGCCTTCGATGTCGTCCCCCTCGAAGAACAAGGGGGTGTGCTTCTTGGAGCTGGCGCTACTCCACAAGGTGAGGGCGAGAGATTTCTCGCCGGCCGAGCTTTCTTGCGGAAATTGGTGCACCGAGCCCTGCCTGCTTGCTTCGCCAATAGGGGGCGGCGATCTGACCTCTGTGAAGGACGGAGGAAGGGTGCTTGGAGGTCGGTAATTAGGCGGCGCATCCTGGTCCACGGTTTGCCCGTCCTCGATGATCACACCCTCCATCATGTGCGAATGATAAGATGGACATGGCTCGCGGCCTCTTGTCGTAAGCGTCGTCAACGTCGAAAGTCGTAGATGAGATGGTGGCATGTTGAGATTTCAAGAATGTTATGGATTATTACCAAAAACATTGGAGAGCTATATACACGCCCAATGTCGGAGGGCCCTGCACGTAGGCGTTCATAGCATCGAGCAGCGTGTTCCGATTCTTTTGTCTTCTGAGCGGTATTAGTTATTGTGCCCAAGTGACACCTTTCCGAAAGAGGTTTGAGCCTAAGGCCTTTGAGGGTGGAGTCCCTGGCAACACATACACCTACCAACTATTGTGAACTCGTCCATCGATTGCCCTTGGGTGTATATACCGGGTGTGGGGGGTAGGGGGGGCAGGTATGTACAAGAGCCAGCCTCCCCTGTTTCACGATCACAGAGACCTCCGAGTCTGTGGGTGAACAATCAAGCCTGCGACTCTGCCGCTCAGTCATCCAGCGGTTTCGATCCTCCGTCCGGGGAATGCGACGCGGATGTTCGAAAATACTCGAAGGGCCTCCAGTCACGGGTGGCCACGGGACATCCTCGAGGCCACTCATCTTTTGCGATTTTTTTAGGATTTACGGTATGATTTTGCCGTGCGCATGTGCAGTGCCTGCGAATCCCGCTTGTACCGTTCAGAGCCTCTTGGACAGATCTGGCTCTGAACTGGCTCCAATGCTCGCATGGGAACAGCCAGATCCAATAGTATCGCCTTCGGAACGCATAGGCTCGACCCGCAGTGGGTCCGACGTCACTTCCACCTAAACATATATAAGCCAGCCCTTCCTCTGCTTTCTGACCAGCAGCTTTCGAGCTTCACTAACTCCACCAACCAACAACTCTAACGACCATGTACTTCACGAACCTCCTCACGATCTCCTATGTGGCCATCGTCGCCCTCGTCTCCTCCCTGGCTTCGGCCGCACCCATACTACCTCGAGACGTCTACGTTCCCCCCATCCTCTACCCCAAAGCCGGCACTGTCTGGCATGTCGGACAGCGACACAACGTTACCTGGTACGCATTGAAATAAATGCCCCCGACGCACCATCTCACACCACTGTTTCTTTAGGGACGTGTCCAACCCACCAGTGAACATCACCAACAGCCGTGGTGCCATCTACCTCAGGAATACGACCCACTTCTTCCAGGGTAAGCTTACTGTGTCCTTGAAATATCCAAGAAGTTGCTGATTATTTGGACGCAGACATTCCCCTTGCGACTGGCTTTGACATTCTGCTAGGCCGCTTCGAGGTCACCGTTCCGGATGTGACTGGCACTGATATTCGGGTCGTCCGTGAGTATTCTCGTGGTCATCTGCCCTCGTGTTCACGCTCTAACGCCTCCTATGACCTAGTCTTCGGCGATTCAGGCAACTGGAGCCCAGAGTTCACCATCAAGCCTTGAAACAGTCATGCCTCACATACAATCATGACCATCGATGAAAGGCCCCCAACCACATAGCATATCCTTCTCCGTAATAGTCACGACATGCCGATATGTCGGCGCACCTAGTTGATGAGATTAAAGGACTGTCTTCTATTAGGACTTTTTGCGGACCTTTCACGGACACGTTTGTACTTTGTGCATCTTACGGCTTCACGGACCTGTACCATTATCATCCTTCTGTACCTGTACTCTTCTGTGGTGTACCATGCACATAAATGACCCTTTGCCACACTCCAACCAAGCAGTACGAACTTGACTCTCCGATGTTGTGACCCCTTCACGTTTCATCACCGCTGCGCAACGCAGGAGGGGTCTCTTGTTAACGCAATGACCGTCCATGCTGTGTCCGGCCGCATGTTCGTTGCGTGTGCAGATAATTTTGGTTCGCAACGAGTCGCTAGGCCATTGCCTGCCTCCACTAACCCAGTGCCCAGGACCACGTTATGTTCGAGGCAGGCAAGTTTAATTAGGATTGTACCCCCTGCGGACCACACCCCGCGTAGGGATGCCTGTTCCAGTCGCCGATCGCTTCGTAGGACCGCCACCAGCAGCCGATTGGGAACTCGGCGGACGACTTCTAGTGCTCGTTCCCGCTACGCCACCAGGGGCCACGACTGAAGTCAAACAACAATACCGCTCAGAAGCGTGCTTGGAAGCAAATAACTGAATTAAAGTCTCACCGCTAGCTCTTGTGCTGCCCCGTACCCCCCGCATCGATGCTCGGGTGCCTCTAACCCCCGTTACGCCCCCACGTGAAGAATGCCTTTGCGAACGTTCGCGGTCTATTCGCTCCTTCTCTTCTTGCGCCAATCTCTCCTGCTCCTCGCGTTCGAGCCGCTCTTGTTCGCGCTTCCGCGCTAGAGCCCTCTCTTGTGCTTCGAGACGCGCCTTTTCTTCTGCGGCTATACGCTCTTGTTCGAGGACCGTTTCATCCTGCGGATCGATCGTAGGTCACCATTCAATGCCGACGCTAGAAACGCAGATAAGACGACCTCACCTCTTCCGCACCCTGCCACTCTTCATCAAAAATTAGGCGCGAAATATCCTCCGACTTTGATAGTACGTGGGCATATTGATTCAGCAGAGCATCCGTCTGTTCTAGCTGAGTAGCTATCCGCTTCAAACCATTCAGTCCTTCCACAACCAACGATGCAGCCATAATCAATACGTACTTCGTTCGCCGATCCTGCATCTTCTAGACCTTCGTTGAACGCGGCAAATGCAGCATTCAGTTTGCGCAATATGAATACATCGCTCCGTAGCTTCTCTTCTCGTGTTCTCGATGCAATCCTCTTGATCTTGTCTTGGTCAATTGTTTCATCGCCTTCCTCGTCAGGGTCAAGTGGATCCTCATCGTCCCCACTGTTATCTCCAAATTCGCGTTCCTTTGTCGGTGGTGTAGAAGGAACGGGATCGGGACGCGCTAGAAGACTGAATGGACGGTTGCTTATCTCGTCGCGATCTGAAAGGGACAGTTCGGAGATGGACAGGTCTGCGCCGCCTGGGCCTGTATCCGACTCAGAGTAACGCGAAGGTAATAGAGGGGACTCGGACATCAGCCTTCGCGAGGAACTAGGGCCAGGTAAGGTGAACGAATCTAGAGAATCCATGTTTCGGACTTGATGCAAGATGGTGCTGAGCAAGGACCATGGTCGTAGTTCTGTGGTTCAATGATCGTGGGAACAGGATACCATTAGTTTAGGTAGACTACAAACAAATACACGACATATACAGAAAAGAAAGCAGCTACGAACGGAAACATATGTAGAGTGGTCGAGGTCTTGAGCAGATAGTGATAATCAGCAATCAGATTGCCTGGAAGTTCATTTATCGTACGAGGGTGGTAGCCCCGGTAGGATATGTGGCACGAGGAGACGGCCGGGAGAATATGTCATTACTGGGAAGCATATAAACGGGGAGATCAGCAGGTAGCATGTAAAGTAACTTACACTGCATCGATAGGCACGCTGGTACCCCGTGCCATGGGCGAGCGAGGGTCAAAAGCAGAGCTGTGACTCTCGCTTTGAACATGGAGAGAATGCTGGGCCAACTGCTCCCATCGACGGGTAATGAGCGCCCGCTTCTCCGACGACAACGAAGATCGCCTACGCTCTCCGGCTCGCCCCCGGTCTTCTTCGTCATCACTATCGGGCACGACGACAACATGGCGGGCGTCCCTATTCCGTCTGGGTGTCGCGACGGCGGTCTGGGAAGCAGACGTCCTGACATTGCTGTACGCTCGAGGCGAAGCAGTGGGCATCGGAGGCCCTTGTTCACGGGTGGCAGACTGAGCGCCGTATAGACTCTCAGGCGATCGAAGATGAGGTGAGCTCCTCAACGGGCTGAGCAGTTCTTGCTGAAGTGTAGGGCGGTTTCTAGCGGCCGGAGAGGGCCTAGGAGACGATATGAGAAGAGGTAGGCGACGATCCTCCCTGTAGATGTCGACCTTATCAAATTCTTCCGCTAAAAGATCGGTATCTGCGTAGTTATCCGTATAGTCGGCCTGTCGCACAGCAGGCGGATTGCGGCGAACCGGCATCTTGAACGCAGGATAGACAGGCCCGGTGTCGTCTGAGCTCAGCGGGCCCACCAACGATATGTCGGAGGAAGGGATCGGCGACTCGGGGCATGTTACAACAGAGAAGGCGGAGCCAGACGACTCAGAAGAGCTGCTGCGTTCACGCCGAACGGGTGGAGCAAGTCCATCATAGTGGACTGGCTTTACTGGAGGGGTTGCGCAGACGGCTGGATCTGAGTCTCGCCGCAGCAACATGCTGTGCCTGTCTTCCTCTTGTAGGTCATTGCTAGTGATCGGCACCGTACGACGACTCTGTACACTTCTGGGGGTCATGTTTGCACGATCCCTGGGGAAGGCGACATTCTCGCGAGTCCCGACCTCGGAGTGTACACGGTTGCGAGAAGGCCTCACCGCCTCTCGATCGTTGCGACCTTGCCGATACATGTTGACATTACCAGTGTTACTTCCTGGCTGTGGAAGAGGCCTTGTTGAGTTGTTGACTCGCTGGTCAGAGTGAACCGGCGATTGAGGGGGAGTTGATGTCTGTATGCTCCGGTCCCATTGGTAAACAGAGTTAATACCATGGCTGGATTGGCTACATCCTGCCTTGTTGGGCACCGAGCTATTGGTGACGACGGGCTCGGAGGATGTGCGTGAGATCCTTTGCGTCCTAGTGGCGTGCGCAGCACCAGTGTACACAACGCGTACATTGCCTTTCGCCCTCTGCTCATTGAACAGGCGAACAGCTTCCTCTCTGCAAGTAAATCCTTCCCAAACGGCGCCCTCAACCCCGTTCACGAGGGGCGCAGTCGTGAGCCTAAAAAAGGTGAGTCAGACGTTCTCCCAAGCTGAATGAGCTGCGCTCTGCGTTCGTAAATGGAACGGCAGCGCTCCAACTTACCAGTTATCGAAAACTCCTACTTCTTTGCCGACAGCGACTACATACCACTTTCTGACCTTAGCCATTGTGTAGCACGGGCAGTAGTAGACGATGAGTCACGCAATAGATACTTCTCGAGCAATCAAAACTGGATACGGTGCACAGACCACCCAAACGCGTGTCTTGATGCGGTAGGAACTTCTGGCTTCGAATTTGTTCCTCGAGGCAAAAGTGTAATGATGAGCTTATTTTTGGGACGGAATAAGGAGGAAGGTTGCGAGAATCGTGATGGCAATGGTGGACCGGGTGGCCGTCCAGGAGCAAGATCTCGTAACCAGCGCTAAAAGCCTAAGCAATAGTCACATGGCGTCCACGCAAATTCCAAAGTAAATATGTGGGCTGTAGGGTATGAAGACACAAAAGCATATAGAGCAACGACGACCTATACAGCAATATAGCCTCCTCTACCACCCGTCCGCCTTGGACGAACACTGGAGCACAAATGCGAGGCGACATCGCTGAGCATGTAGGGAACTTCTCGCCAAAAGTCTCGATGGCTGAGAATATACACTGAGTTCTTGTGTATGGGCCACAGCAGATGGTATACGACTTACGGAATTAAATCTGCACCGCGCGCGCCGTAGGTTGAGTAGTTATAGTATGCACCGACACCGAAATATGCCACGAAGGCCAGCAATAACCTATCAAGGTGAAGTAATGTAAGCAACTTCCTCGAGGAAAACGCACAACTTACACAAGGAAGAACCACCCGATGCCACTTCCTACGCTTTCTTCGGTACCCTTGTCGGGTTCACTATCTCCGTCACCACCCTTGTTATCTTCGTGCTTGTCATCACTGAATGGGCACCCAGCCGAGGAACTCCACTCAATCTCGAGCCGTGTTCCGTCATAGGATATGAACTTCGGGTCCCCGGTATGATCGGGGTCGCAAAGTAGGGTGAGATGCATGGATTGTGCTGTAGGGGTGGTATTTGTCGGATGAGGATACTCCGACCCATGTAGTGTTATTGATAACCCTTTCGAAGGTGCTAATGAAGCCGCATCTTAGCACAGTCATCGGTGGAGCGATAAGCAGGAGCACTTACAGGTAATGTCAGTAATGTCAGGGCTTAGCGTCGAAATCTGCGCGATAGGTATGACAGCAACTACGCGGTCATCACCAGCGTCTGCCTTCTTGTTTACCTGTGTCAGGCAGAACTGGGTACCGCTTGGACACTGAAGTGAACTGAGCATCCGTATGACTGCGGGTGTACAGCAGACGGCGCACCTGGTCAACATCCGGAACGCCATCTTTCTTCTGTATCTCAGCGCAAAGATCAAATGTAACGATGTCCTCCATAGACGACGGAGGCGTCTCTCGCGTCCGAGACATGGTATGTTCTCCTTTCAACGAAGTCAGATCATACTTCGCGGGACCGACGGTGGGATGGCAGTCAAACGGTTCGTCTGCCGCCAGGGCTAGCAGCGCCGTGTATAGATGAATTAGGGCGAAGAGAAGAGCTGCCGGTGACCAGCGAACAGCCATGGGGGACGAGGAGAGATGGTGGTAGAGGGTAAAGCAACTGGAATGACGGAGGCTGAGCGTGTAAGCGTCCAAATTGGGCGGCGTTGCCACGTGGTCGCGGCGACGCGTACGAAATTGGCTGCACCTGTTACGGGCGTCCCTTCTTGGCTTTCTACCACCATCATCCACAACCATCATGGCTGGCCTGGAAGCGCTTTCTTCGATTATATACCACGAGAAACAGCAGTCGGGGTCGATGCTCTGTGCCCAGCATGCACTGAACTCGCTACTTCGTGCGTTTGTTGCCTCGAGATTATCGCCGCCATTAATGCATCTTGAATAATGATCACAGAAGGGAACTATGTGCGTTCGCCCACGGTGAGATGACTGCTGGATGCTGAGCTCGGCTCCTAGTTCTCTGCCCCAGATCTGTCAGACATCGCGCGCAACCTTGACAACCTCGAGGAGAGCTATAGACATCAGGACGATGATAGCACCAGAGGAACAAGCACTAATATGGATGACACCGGTACGCATATAATAATTTTTTATCCATGGAACGCATTGTAGTATGAAATATCTCCCTTGGTCTTGTGCCATTGACGAACGGGATAAATTTTGATGGCCCTTTCATCCGTGGTCTAATGCATTGGCTCCTTTGAGGTGACTTGAGACTGAGGCATCTACGAATTTCAGGGTTCTTCTCTGTCCAAGTTTTGGAGAATGCGTTATCTGTGTGGGGGCTCAAGTGAATACATCTCTCATTTGACAAATCGCCGTATTTCTAACTCGATTAGCCTGGTGCGATGGCGATCAGCGGAAATGAGGGCGTATCAAGACCGACCTCAGTATGCTATTCTCAACTGGTGCTTTGTCTTTGTCTAACCGCCCCCAGTACCCAATTGGGCTTCATTCTGAACTTGCAACAACACTGGTTTACGCTTCGCCGCTTCGGTCCAGCTGAGGCCAAGATCGATCTCGACACTGGGGAAGGACATTGGTTCAATCTCAACTCGTTTCTGCCCGCACCTGAATGGGTAGGCAAGTTGTATCTCGGCATGCTCCTTCAGCAAGCTGAAGCAGACGGTATTTCTACCCAAATACGCATGGCCGGCTTTCACTGACATTTACTTCGCAAGGTTATTCTGTTTTCGTGGTCACGCAAGCAGACCCATCCGCGCCTCTTGCTTTGGCACGAACGGACGCCGATCAGATCGCTGCGACATTGCCAGAACCATCCGAAGCGCCGAATTATCAAGCCTCCCGATCTTATACTACACGCCCCACCACAACAGCATCTACATCTCGAAATACCGGTAATTTGGAAGACGACAGTATGGAAGGGTTTGAGGACGAAGATTTTGAATTGCAAGCCGCCTTGCAAGCATCCATGATGTCGCCCAGCGGACGTGACACACCCATGGAACCCCCACACCTGGCGCGCGCGACGGTGCCGCTCCCTTCTTCTGGCCCACCGTCTGCCCCGGGGTCAGGTGCGATGACGCCTCAAACTGGCGGTCGTTTCCCTGAACCACCGATATTCGGTGCTCCCGTGCACCCTCCTCACCCAACAGGCGACGCGGACTTGGACCCCGTCGCAGCAAGTATGGAACGTAACAGAGTGAGGTTGCAGCGAATGCGTGAGCAACAAGAATTTGCTCAAAGAGAGATGTGGGCGGAACGGGGCTTTGGTCCGGAAGGCCCGCCACCCCGGGACGACGACAATGACGAAGATGAAATGTTACGAAAAGCGATAGAGGAAAGCGAAGCTTTGGCTAGGGAACAAGGGCATGGTACAAGCGACAATCATGAAGGGGAGGCAACCGCTTCTGATAATCCCTATCCTTCCACTTCTGGATTTGATGCAAGGGTATATGACGACGAAGATGCTGAGCTGCAAGCAGCCCTCAAAGCCTCCCTGGAGCACGTACCCGCCGATTGGACGCCACCGGAGGTGAGATATACCCCACCTCGACATACGACGACAGATCCTCCACGGATTCAAACAGACGATACTTATCTCGACGCTACACCTGATGCGGACGATTCAGAGTCTGTAGTGTCAGAGGCGAGTACCTCGATAGCAGCGCCTCCGACACCTGTATTGGACCCAGAGGAGATTCGTAGGAAGAGGCTAGCTAGATTTGGAGCATAGTGGGGTCTTGATGAGTTTCATCCATAGAGTAGCGTATGCATAATTGATGCTGTAACATCGTACTTCGAATTATGAACACTTGTTTGCCAACAGATGAGGAAACGAAACGTTATGCTGAAGCTGGGATCCCCATTTCCGTTTCATGAATTAATATTGAATGTTTGTGCTATACATCTTCATATTATACTACAGCTCGACCGCGAGTTTTGTCATATGTTTCTTCGTACTTGGAATCTTCGTCATCCTGGATCTGGAAGGGTCGGATGGGCTTCATATCAATGTCGTCCGCTGTTGTGGTATACTCCGTAGTGACCATTGGCCCGACACTCCTAGCTCGCCACTGGATGGGGCGACTCTGATCCTCCGTCACGGTGGCACAGTGGACTTTGTAGCTGCGTTTGGAAATGCGTATCGTCATCAACGTAAAGACAATGCCTACGAAAAAAAACTACCGTTCAGTACTTTGTAAAAGAACGTCACTATTTGGACACTTACCAACAGTGGGCACGACGGCTTCTTGTACTACGAACTGCGCGTTATGCTTCAACGCGTAGAGGATGATCAAGACAAGCAGCTCTACGACATATATCATGGCGCTCTCGATGATGATGCGGACGATCGGTAGGAGGCTTGACCTCGAGTCAGCCGAGTGTATCCCCACATTAACCGACTCTTTCTCCTGCCGCCAGATGCGCCAGGCAATGAGGCCGGTGGTCATGACATTTTGCACGAAGGCGAGGGCGTAGATGGTGTTCATCCAGTGCACTAGTGTTGCTCCGAAGATCGTGCCGAGGGGGACGTCGGTGAACTCTTTGAGAGCGATTCCATTGGCGACTGGAAATTAGTGCAGCCGGGTTAGTTGTTGCGCCAGGATGAGTTGGGACAGCAGACGCACTGATACTCATTATGAGCAGGAGAGAAGGCACGATGATAATGTAGTAATTGTGGTTCCAGACGATGAAGCAGCGATATATCTGGCAGCATTGGCGAAAGGTCGGTATTAGTATAGAGGCATAGGTTGACCGTTTACTGGCACGTACAATCAAACAATCAGCGACCCATGTCATAATGGCGTTCAGGGCGTTGTGTGCGACATTGTCCCACCGTCCTAGGTCCAGGAAATAGTTCTCTGGCCCGACTTCTTCCCTCAGCCACACATATCCTCTAAGCAGCCGGTAGAAGTTCAAAGCTAGTACACGCAGACGTTCGTGAGTAACTTCAGTCAGATGAAGATAAGCCGAGGTTAGGACATACCAACGTGCGTTGCCGCAATTAAGAACATTAATAATGTACCCCAGAAAAATATCTGCAGGACGGAACATAGCGCTCGTTGATAACCTAGAATGCACCTAGGGGACGGACGTACTTTAGATGGACCTGTCCGAATTAACCGCTGCTTCCACATAAGGAAAACGGTCTGGATGAAAAGGCTAGCATATATTCCTGTCCGCAGGTTGTATCAGTGTCGTCTCCTCTAGACCTGTCGTTGGAATTCTACCGAAAAGCAAACACTTCGGGTCCCATAGATGAGCATTCAACCATTCTAATAGGTGAAGACACACCTCCATCCACACTGAGAGAATCCCAGCTATATCCAGCGGGAGCTGCGATGCCATCGCTTATAGTGCACTGTTAGGGGGACCTAAACAAAAACCAAACGAGTACGGAATAACGGACGTCGGACGTCGCTTGGATTACGAATTGTGAATTGTGAATTGGCGGCGAGGTGACAACGGTAGATGGGGTCCGGCGGAAGCACATAGAAGCGCATACACATACATATATAAGGACAGTCACTGGTCACCAGCGGGTGATAACCAGTTTGTGGTGTGTCTGTGGCAGGCTGTGGGGATGTGTTCAAGGACCCTTTCTCTCACTTGCTGGAGCCCTGAGGCCTGATTGCACCGCGGGTGTCACGCAATAATGGCCATATGCATTCGCGCATAACCATAGTCACCGCTGGCCAGCACTGAGCGATCCCGGGTGCTGAGTCTTATGTACAACGACGAAGACTGCGAGGGATCGCGAAGCGAGCGCAGACGTTTCGGCAAGGTCAGCGCTCAGCGACTGAGATACGCTGAAATAGTCAAGCAAATATTCAGTCAGTGCAGCGTCACTGAGGGAAAATCGATGAGCGTGAAACATGTTCTCTTGGAACGAACGGAGCACTTACCTCCATGGAGGCAATAGGGTGCGCCATGCGAAGTATGTCAGACTTCCGTTGTCCTCCGCTATCACATTGGTCAAGATGGTGGCTTGGTTACCTGCTGTTTACGTGCGTGGTTCGTTGGGGTGCTGAGTTTTCAGAGACAAGGAAATAAGGATAAGTGAATGAGTGATGGAATGGTGGCGAGAAATCAACCAGAGATACGAGAAATCTGTGGAGGGCGCTGATTTACCCGACCAGAAAATAAGGATAAGTGAGTGAGAGACTGAAAGACTGAGCGTTAAAACATGGGATGGCAGCGAGAAATCAGCGAGAAACGAGAAATACAAGGATTAGAGATGAAATAGCTATGCATGCATACAATAACAATTCGATAATTACTACATATATCCGAGGCAATGCGCACACACAAGTCAGGCATGTAGGGAATGTTCACGGCAGATTGAAGGAAACACCTAGGATGTTGGATGGTACAGGGAGGTGTGGGCTGCCATAGGGAGATACGGGTCGGTGGGGTCTTCCTCCTCTTCAGGCTCAGGCCTCCGCCGCCTCGCGAACCGGAGGTATCTTGAAAAGCGCCCGTTGGTCGGCGATTCGTTGTGGGCATGATGATGATCCGGGCTTTGGTTCCGCGCCGACGTCTCCTCCGATTCGCCGGACAGGATGGTCTCCAAGGCCAGGAAATCTGTGATTCAGCGAAAAGAAATCATCAATACATTCAATACATTGAAGAATAGACCCGGATAGAGAATGGGGAACGGAGATAATGAATGCATTAAAATATGACTGCCCACCTTGTCGGCATATGGGACACGAGCTCGACAGCTCGAGCAACCATGGATCAACACACTGCTGGTGGAAGCGGTGGTTCCCTTCGCATGGCAATACACGCAGATCATCCCCCTCCTCGAAATCCACAATACATATCGGACATGTCTCGCGCCCCATGGACTCCGGCTCGACGATCGTTCTTTGCGAAGGCCTACGTACAGGTGCGGACGAGCCAGACGCAGCTGCCGGCGCAGAATTCGGGCGTGCACTGGGTTCGGCGTCGGATGTGCGCCCGCTGCTGTCAGACGCACGCCGGGGGACAATGGCGACAACATCGCTTGCTACTGGGTCACCCTCTGCATTCCGTGAAGTAAGGTTAGGATTGGGCTGATCACCGAGAGCAGCTGTACTACTTTGCTTCGGTTCTCTAGATAGATCGGCGAGCTTAATCTCAGTGGGGGTGTTTCCTTCGCCGGGGGAAGCACTGGCGAACGACGCTTCGACGTCCTTGCCCGCTCCGCGCACCCCTTCGCGATCGGTGCCGGTGCCCGGGTTACTGCCAAACTTGACGACGGGGAACGTGTCAAGCATCGCGCGCGTGAGGCCGCGTACACGGCTCTGGCTATATGAGCCCCCGAAACGACCAGATCGAGGACCGTACCGCTCGGGGTGGCGAATTGCCCTGACGGCCTGTATGACGATATTAATGGTGTCAGCTGCGGTGAGTGAGGCATGGTGGCTTACGCCCGATATGATGACTACGCAGAATAATGCCGATACGCAGCCAGTGATTGCGTATAGGATGATCCTGCGAGCCTATTAATAGGACGATAAGGTGAAAAACACGGCACGAACATGGCAAGGCTAGTATTTGTGGAGGAACCAGGATCGCTAGCAGCACCGGTAGAACTACTGGTGGGTGATGCAGCGTCGTCGTCGCCTGTTGCATTGTAGGCTCTCAACGTGGCAAGGAGGTAGTTGGGCTCTGTAGGAGTCCTGGCTCTTATTGTCGCATTTACGATTTCACCTGAGTTGTTCAAGTTCTGGGAATCATACCACCGGAACGTGCCATTCGCGTTGCGGAACTGCTCTTCGATGAACTGCGCCGAAGTCAGGGATTGCGTAGAGAAGATATCAAAGACCTTGTCAAACGTTGGATCCAGATACTCTGCGTTGATGAGACACGCCTTGGAGTATATCGAATACAGCAACTGCAGCCTCTTTGAGTCTCATACCGCTACGAAATATCATGCAACGCACCGCAGCTTTTGCACCTTTATCGCGCGCAAGTGTGAATATGTCGATCTCCAACGAGAACTTGGTTGCATTCGCATCGCACGCAACCATCGCAATCCACGGTGTTGTCGCTGCAAATACAGTGTGAATTCGGTAGCTAAGGGGAGTAAGTTGAAAAGGGAGCGTACTGGGAGGTGTGTTCTCGTCTACGCTCTCCTCTGAGAAATGCACCAAAGCTCCCTTGATGAAGGGCATCAGCATTCATTCGGTCGATGAATCCGCATTGAGATGGATACCCTGCTAGTCCCATTGCTTTCCATTCCCGCGAGCTCGTACGAGATGTTATCGGAGTATGACCTGCCACATACATTATCTCGCTGAGTATGCCATCAATTGGAATGCGCGTATCGCAGCCTACCCATTGTAGTACCACTGGACAGTCAGCTGCGATACATCTGTAGTATTTGGTGCGCCTTGGACTCCTGCCACGGTCGAGTTTGTGGGTAACGCTGGTATGTAAGCGAATGCAACCGCGAGCCAGTGGGAAAGATAGACGAGCCAGAACGCTATCAGAGCAGTGGACATGGTCCAATCTTTTGAGAAGTTTGGAGGTGAACAGGTGCAGGGGACTACCTGCCTTGCATTTACATGCAGTGGATGGCCAGGTGCAGGAGTGGGCGCCGGACAGCGAGGATGCCTGGGCCCTACTTACACACGCTAGACACGCTGCACCCAATCGGATCGCTGCACGATATTTGCTGCCTTTCACTGTCTTCCACCCGCCGGTTCAAAACAAAAACATATGGATATCAAAGACAGCAATCGTTTCTCATCGCAGGCCAACATATTCCCAGATTTTATGCGACAATTTCCACAGTAATCAGACACAGGCTGGAACGTGCTCGGCACGCCCCGATCATGCACCACAGTTAATATCCCAGGTCGATAGAAATCAGGACCCTCAACGTCAACTTTCAAGGCCAGCTTGGCTTTTTCTAGCTTGTTTGCCGTGTGATGGATTTATACCTCCTAAATATCTCCTAGGGGCTCTCCTCTCTTCCCCTGAGAACCAAAATCGTTTACCATCTCCCTCAGGGGTCCCCCTTGTATTAGGATCCTTAACACTACGTGACCACGCAGGCTTACTTCCTAGTGACCGAGAAGACCTTCTACATGCCAGCACTCCGTAATGGCAGAAACCCTCGGGTGTTCTTAGGTCCTTTTTCTCCATAGTGCATCAACTCTGGAGGGACACGCAATCCCTCATGTATCACGTTTATTTCCCCAGAGACCTGAAGCGAAGTATTTGGATAGTCACAGGGGTCAAAGAGCCCGCGGAAGGGCACCATACTCAACTGTCACAGTAAGGAGGGCCACTAACTGACCATGATTACGTCCACTATGCCGGTGGTGGATAGCATGCGAAAGAGAGACGTGCAGGAGCTAGAGCGGGATACTGCCTCCGCTGCATCATTACAGGGAACGGAATGCCGCAGACCTTCAATTAATAAATACTTATCATTCTCTCGACACCTCTCGCAATGGTCTTACTTTGACGTCCTCCGCATCGGCCCCAGTGGCGCACACATCTTCCATACCACAGAAGTGCGTGACGACAAGAAGTCTGATGTCCAGCACTAACACAAATGTCCATCAACACATGTCTGCGATAATCAGCGTTGCTGTGCGCTTCGCTTCACATCACGACATGGAGACCTGCGGGTGATTGGACGAGTCCCCCCGCGAACTTCGATGTCTGCGAACAGGAAGATAAGGTCTCCGTGTTGGATCATTGGTGAGATCCACAGCCGCTAGTCACAGTGGGGAAAATCAATTTGGTGGGGAATGCAAGGGAATGCATCTGGCACTGCTATCCGGATAAATAGGTAGTGGTATGGTCGTGAACGTATGGCACGCTGATATAACAGTCCATATCTGCTGCGCTGTGTCTTACTTTCAGCAACAAACGCCACCAACCGTAATGTATTGGCGGGCGTTCAGTCATTGATGAAGACGGCTAGGACACCCCGTAGGCTTGCGGTCTTTGGCCAAGAAGTAGTAAACATGACAGTGACTGCCGGAGGACGAGTGCCAGGACCGCGACGTAAGCTAGCAATTACCAAGGCAGACCTGAACAGTGGCGCCATACAACCACCACTGATTGGTCAAGGCCTTCGAGCCGGGAGGTGAGGTCCTCCGGGTTGCATCATCGGACGCAAGCCGATCAATCATTTAATCAATCCGTTAAGTCGTTTCGTTCCGAGTTCGCTGGAGGGAGACCTAGACAACCCAATCAAGCCCACAGGTATGGGTGAGTTGGTAGCTCCAAAATCAGCGCAACCAACCTATTTTGGAAGACTCGATTTGCTGCGCGCGGGGATATCGAAACTTCACAAAGGTTGCCATTAATGAACGGGGAATATCAGTCATTTGTGGTCGATGAATTTCGAGGTTACTTTGTAGCGGCGAATCCAATAACGGTCCCATATATGGTTTAATCTTCAATGGTCGGGGAAGGGCAGTCACTTGTAGTCAATGAATTTGAAACTTATCCTGGACGACGTGTACAGTCATATACGGTATAATCTTCACCTTCAAAGCAGTTTTCCGCTTGGCTGTATGCCTTCAAACCCTTGCACAGCATCGTATACAAGATGGCCGCGTAGATATGTTTTCTCCACGCGTCCCTGGAGGACCAATCCCTCATATGGCGAGAGTTTATTCTTAAAATTAAGACCCTCCTTGGTTACCTGTGAAAACAGTTAAGAATACGCACACCCGCTGGTCCTAGGAAACTACCTTGAAAGATGTATCAGGATTCCAGATCGAGAAGTCACCGTCAAATCCCACTCGTAGCTGGCCTTTAGTGGAGGCTAAATTTGCGTGGGCGGCGGTCTTCACACCCATCCAGTCGACGATTTGACATATTGTAACCCCTCGCTTCAGACCCTCCGTCCATAACAAACTCAAGCCAAGCCCGAGGGTGCTGATACCGCCCCAGGCGCTCATTATGTCTCCGTCGACGAGATTCTTGAGCTCAGCAACGCAGGGGCTGTGATCGGAGACAACGCAATCAATGTCGCCTCCTATCAACGCCTCCCACAGCGCATCTCTGTTCACACCTTCTCTGATAGGGGGGCAGCACTTGAATTCTGGGTGGCCTTTGGGTATGTCTTGGGAACTGAGACACAGGTAGTGAAAGCATGTCTCCACTGTCAACGGAAGTTTCTTTGACTTCGCCGCGCGAATGAGTGGCAGCGCAGATGCGGCGGATAGGTGGACGATGTGGCATTTCAAAGAGGGGTATTGCTCTTGAAGAGATGTAATCAGTGATATTGCGTCAGCTTCGAGTCGTTGTGGGCGCGAGTCAAGGAATGTTTGATAGTCCGTAGGGTCGGCGGACCGAGAGTGTTCTTCTTGGTCTGACGGAAGCTGATCCAATTCTGCGTGGAATAATAATGTCGTTGGAAGATCCTGTACAGAGGTGAGCGGACTAAGCGCTGATGTTTAATATGATGAAACCGCACCTGCATTTCCGCCATCGCCACCTTTAAATCAGGTTCCTGGACACAAGGAAACTCCTGGAATGGAAAAGTGTTCATCTTATGATGATCACGAATGCATTCACTCGCGATCGCCCTACCTCGACACCACTTTCGATCAGAAAGCATTTGAAGCCTTTGACACCTGCATCGACCAACGCCTTCAGATGGGACTGATATTCAGCGGCATCGGATCACTGGCGCAAACGAGTAGATACGGAATATAGGACCAACTTGATTTCCGGGAATAACACCTCCCCAGAATGCTACATCTGTATAGCATTGCCCTCGGGCAGCTGCTCGCTTTGCTTCTAAATTGGGTACTGTGGTGGTTGGTGGAATTGAGTTCAACGGCATATCAACCACCGCTGTCACTCCGCCGGACGCAGCTGCGCGTGTTCCAGTCAGAAATCCCTCCCAGTCAGTTCTACCTGGCTCATTGAGGTGGACATGTGCACTGGATTAGAACACGAGTCAATCTGTGAATGACATGAAGAGTGCACTGAAATAAACTCGCTCAACCAATCCTGGAAGAATCAATCTGTCACCAGCATCTATAAATTGATCATCGGGGATATCTGGAAAGGCAGAGCGACCAGATCGAGCATGCTGAACATCAATGATGATACCAGTAGTGGTGTCTATTGCGAGTGTGGCCGGCTGCGGGTCGCTTGCGCCTGGCAGAACCACTTTGTCGCCGGTGCAGACGAGGAGGGCGGTAGCAGCAGCGTGAGCCATGGTTGTGGTCGCGCGCACTGCCAGACACTGAAGCATCGGTCTGCATGGTGACATAAGCCTTTCCCATGGTATCAAGGATCCAAACACGGTGGTCACAATGTTGCACGTCTTTCACCGCCACCACCACCATCCCCGTCTCGTCGGCTGTCTCTGGCGTCTCGTCCAAGCCAAAATTTCGTTTCAGGGTTCTCCGTTCTGCAAGTCTCTTTAACGCTTGCAGGGAACTTGACACAAAACTCCCAGGCTGTTCCACTAGGCCACTTGAAACCCAGTTTGGAGCAGTATCGTACATTACAGCGACCCACGAGTATTCACATTATAGCTTCGTTTCCCCCCATTTTAGAAGAAATGTCAAACTCTGATGCAGATGTTACCAAGAATAGCATGTGCAATCCGATCCATCTACGAATCGGACCTCTTCTTCGGGCTCGGCGCTACATCTGCTCACCTCTGATCGCAACAGCTGGTAGGTAACCCCACCGGACGTATCTGATTCTGAATCGAGGACGTCCTATATAACGACCGTTTCTCGGGTCTACCCCTGTACATTCCCCCTCGCTTTCCCAAACTATGGACCACCATCGCCAACTCTCCGTTTCTTCCATTGCATCCTCGTCGACGACGTCCAGTACTAGTAGCACTGAGTCCTCTCCTAGGAGACGTCGACCACTTCCGCTCATTCCACACCCCTTGTCATGCAAGTCATGTCGCAGCTGCATAACATCGGTAGATGTCATTCTGCCGCAAGCAGCAGTAAGTTGTTGATGTCCCCTACCTATAGTGCACATAACTAACAGCCATGCCAAGATTCCAAACTCTCGCGGGTTCAAGGGCTTTGCGGGCAAAGCCTCATTATTCAGCGAAGTGTAAGTCTGCCCCTGCTTGCTCTCACCGCCACATTCTCATTGGTTACCCCCAGTTATCATGTAACACTATCAAAGCCCGGTGTACACCTTATGTCAACGGGAGCCCATACCATGCAGGAAATCGTCTGCTCAACTTGCGACGCTTATCTGGGCTGGAAGATAGTTAAAGCTCACAGCCGTTCCGAGCGATGGAAAGAAGGATATAACATGTTAGAGCTAGAAAAGCTTCACGGTGGAAAAGTAGAAGCGCAACTAGTGCAAGCGGCCCTTCGACCTAGAATACGCTCAGACTCGGATTCCGATGACAGCAATTGATTTCGTCTCTAACTTATCTTGGCCACTTCATCATTGTATACTATTTCAAGCACACCACTCCTTTCACATATCTATACGCTCACTATGTACCTTTTCATAGGAGCCGCACTCCCCTTTTCGTTCCTTAGACATTCTTATATATTGACATGGCGTCTATATGCTATGGTGTAACAATACGGTACAATGCAGTCGAAAGCAAATGTGAAGATCGTAAACATGCAGAATGAAGTGGCGTGGCGTGATTCCTGGAAGGATAATTATCTGTTATTGCTTTTATTCATACTCAACATCGACGCAAGTGAGATGCGATGGGAAGACTGTGCATCTTGGTTTTCATGCATGGCTTCAGCGTACCTGTTCAAGCGCTGTTAGACAAATTCTCGGAGTAATATTATCAATACCCACAGTAACTTATAGCGAACCAATTCTCCCTCCATCTCCTCATTGCGTAGGCGGGCCATCACCAGCTGATTCTGTTTCAGTGTCAGCTCGACGTACCCCCGGCCGCGAAGATCTTTACTCACGAGAAGCTCAACGTGCTCTGTGTTGATCTGTGCGAGGCTAGACTCAAGACTTTTCCTACATACGCGTGGATATTAGTCAAACCATTCTCACTGCCGTATGTTTTCCGGCGAAATACTGACACTTGAGCCGACAACAAACGGTTGCTATTCCGCAAGTTATCAATCTCAATCGCATGGGCATTTGTCCGACCTAATCACGAAGGTCTTTAGATGATGAATTCCCCATTAGTCGTGAGGGTCCCGACTTACGGACTACTTCCTCGTATTCGTGGCGGTAGGAATCCAACATAAATGGCGTTATCCTCAGCGCAAACGCATCCTGGATAAATTCGTCGACCTTGTACAGGGCTGCGCTACCCTCAGTTTCCTCGCTCGTAGGATCAATCTATGGTGAGCGTACGAGCATCACGGTGAGCCCTACATCAATCAGTGGCTAACCCGTACCTTGTAGACATCAAAGAGGCGCGTGTTGAGGAACGCCAGCAGTTCGTCGAATTTTAAAGACAGCAGCGCTTCTTCGTTCTTAGCGAGCAATATTATGCTGAAGCCGAAGATCGCTTCGATGCCGTTGGCCAAGCAGCTGTCGTATATGCGGAAGACGATCTCCTGTGGGAAGCTACGGCATATGAGCGGACGTTTCACCTAGGAACAGTATTGTGGATCACCGGTAACTGAATAGAGTCAAGAACCATTGGGAGCAGAACATGCTGGATTTGATGCCCTGGCGGAGGAAATGTAGGTGCAGAACTGGAAGAAGCTCTTCAATGAGTCGATCGAACTGGGTGAAACACATCAGCTCGGTTGCGCGTTGACGACGAGGATGACGCTGCGCATCATACCTGGAACTGAATGCGCACGGATGAATATAGAGTGGGGGAAGATGTACAGGCCGCTCACCAATCGTAACTGCAGTCCTGGCATTTCCGGAAGGAAATGTCCCCGTAATTGGTAGGAATACATTAGCCGTACCAGCAAGGAGAACGCCTCTTCATCTGGCATCTTTGATGGGGCATCAGTGTTGAAAGCGATGATAGATTCAACGAGGCTCACATTGAGGAGCAGTATAGCGACTACAAAAGGCAGTCCCTGGCAATACCCAACTTGAGGATCATATCTTTGGCCCAATATCAGCACATTTGCAGAATATAGTCAATAAACGGTTGAAGCACAGTGAATATGCTTTCAATACATTGAACAGATTCTCCTGGCCGATACCCTGACCATCATGGAAGAATTCGTGATGGGGGAATGTCCTGCGGGCATCAGTTTGGGGATCGACGTGTAATGCATCGCCCTCACCTTCCCAGATCACGTATGATGGCTTTCTCATGCGTACTGGTTTCCTTCAGCAATTTCAGGTATGTATTCTCAAGTTCGGGGTCCTTCGACGCTGCCCTGAATGGCCAAGGAGTGTAAGGCTCAATCGGTGCCTCAAGATATAAAATCCTTTACATTAACTGCCACATCATGCCTCGGAGCGTTCCCGGGATGCCCTTTTCAATCGCCCGAGCAAGCTGTTCGGGCTGTTTGGCGGCAAAGTCCTGGTAGTCTGAGAACGGTTACACAGGCAAGAGGGAGATGCCAAACTTGAATGAACCCGCACCAGATATCACCGCACCCCAGAAGTCTACGAAACATTGCGTATTAGTGTCTGGTACTCGAGAATGGATGGACAATACATGCCCCAATCAATGACAGTACCATCGGCCTTCTCCTGATCTACTTGAAGTTTGGCGAATTCTTCATGAAACCTACCGTCCATACTTCCCCGATCTGACCGCGAGGCACCCTCAGCTTTCTGTGCGTCCAGCCTGGCCAGCAGGAATGGCACATTGCGAATAGACCGGATCGTTGTCGTAGACGCAGATTTCTTGTGTGAACTGCCCCCACTAGCCCGCGCCACGGACTCTTGATGAGTCCCTGCAGATGAGGTGCTATGTCGCCGACTGCCAGTGCTGACAGCCGACTTGAATGACTTCATGCTACTTCTAGCGGACAATGCAACGCTAGAGAGGGGGGATTCGTCTCCTCCAAGGCCCACATCGCTGAACTCTGATTCTGCCACTGATTCTCGAATTCCGTTCGTCGCGCCCACTGGCTCGAATGTCGAAGCTTTCGGAGAAAGTAACGAATCCAGCGACGCCGCAGACGACGCGCTTGAAGAAGGAGAAATCGCGTCTGCCGAGTCCTTAGACATTGTTGAGATGTGGTAATGAGGAGCGGGGAGTCATGAACAACCGACAACGCAGCAAAGGCGCAAATACCATTGGAGGTAATAACATTCGGGGCGCGTGCGAATAAAATAATCCCGAACACTCCTGTCTTCGAACGCTGGTCACCGTTCTGGGCGAGCTTGATGCATTATCGCCTTCATACTGGTCTCTTCGGTCGAAGAACGTTACAGCTCAACGCCAAAGGTCACAGGGGCAGCCCACTGTCATTTTCTCAGCCTTCGTACAGCCTGATAACGACACGCAGAGCCAGTGGTACCAATTCACGCAATTCACGCAACCCATGGCTGGCCACTTCGACTGGGATCCTTGTCATAGCTGCGGGATCGTATGCAGCCTACGAAAATTACCAGCCATTTAGGCACTCTATACTAGCGGCCGTACGGTGCTGGAGGGTCGCGGTTGCAGCGGTGCTCGGTGCCATTGACTACAAGGCCACCTTTGCGAAGGCCTACGAATCAGAAGATGTACGTCTTCAGGCATACTCTGAATGCCATACGCGTAGTGCCAATAGGGTTCTGAAGGCATTGCTGGCCAACGGAGGTGCGTGTGCGTCACTAGTATGATCTGTGAATGGCAAACCAACTGGCGGACGGTATAAATTCCAGGAATATTTATCAAGCTCGGACAACATATGTCTTCCTTGTGAGTTGCTGTTGCTCTACTATGCGACGTTTATCTATAACGGAATCCGTGACCTACAGATTTGTGCTGCCGAGTGAATGGACCAGTACAATGAGGCCACTTCAGGACCAATGCGAACCAACACCCTACGAGCATGTCGAAGCATTATTTGTGTCCGACATGGGTCTACCTATATCCGAACTCTTCGAGGAATTCGATCCCGAACCAATTGGAGTTGCGAGTTTAGCTCAAGTCCATGTTGCGCGTCTCAGAGATTCTGGCAAACAAGTTGCCGTCAAAGTAAGACTCCATCAGCGCATTTACCATTTACTTACCGGATATCTCAGCTTCAGCATCCCCATCTCGCCGAGTTCTGTGACATAGACATGGAGATGGTAGAAGTCGCTCTCGGTACATCTTCTACGACACACTTAACGATCCACGTATTAAGCTTGGCTTCCAGGTTGGATCAAGCATTGGTTCCCTGATTTTGAGTTCACATGGCTAGCGGTATGTTGTCTGATCGAAATATCTCTGATAGTTCTGATTCTGTTGGCAGGAAGAGATGCGAACTAACCTACCCAAAGAAATGGATTTCACGCACGAAGCTAATAATGCGGCCCGCACCACACGAGAATTTCAAGATATCACCACATCTCTCTATATACCCTCGGTTCTTACCAGCACAAAACGTGTTCTGATTATGGAATACATTAAGGGCGGGCGAGTAGACGATCTGGTTTATTTGGCTGATAGCAATATCGACCGAAATAAAGTTGCTTTGGAGCTATCTAGAATATTTAACCAGATGGTCTTCATAAACGGTTGGTTCCACGCGGTATGTGGCGGCAGTCTTCAGACAAACTTGATTAATCTCACCTGCTATCGTAGGATCCTCACCCTGGTACGTAGTTCTCTGCGAAAGATATCATTGCTTGATGATCATCTTGCACGTAGGTAACCTTCTGATACGGCCCGCGCCCATGGGGTCAAAATCTCCCTACAACTTTGAAATAGTTCTTCTTGATCACGGGCTGTATTTCGACCTGGATACAGAGCTGCGCGTCAACTACAGCAAGTTCTGGTTGTCGCTCATCGCACCTGCTTCGCCATCTACATCAGCTGACCGGAGGAAGTATGCTGAGTTGGTAGGAAACATCGGACCTGATCTGGTACGTTGACTCCTCGGATATGGTTTTCAATACTAGTGTGCCGAATCAATGATTAATTCGCCTATCCGTCCATGCCTCTAAAGTATCCCGTCTTCGAGGCTGCAATTACCGGACGCGCGGCGCTAGAAGGGACTTGGGAAGACGACATGGGTAGCCCTTCAGGTGTGCATTCAAATCACCTCCGTGTATCAAAATCATTGCATTCTTACCAATCGCCTCATGCGCCTGTCCAAATGGGATCGCTTTTCATCGTAGAATCTGAAAACCCACCGTCGACATTCAAGCGTGCTTCTGGCATGATTGATATGATGCCCCAGACTGAGGAAGAGATGGAAGCCATTAGGAACGCCGTCATTAACCGCGAAGGATTATTGGTGTCCGTCTTTGATGTCTTGAGGCGAGTTCCTAGGCGAGTTCTCATGGTATTGAAGTTGAATGACTTAACGAGGTAAGTGAATCTACATGTTAACATTAGATGTTCTGATATGATGTCTTGATACCTGATCGTCGTAGGCATCTTGATCATGCTCTCATGACGACTCATTCCAATGTGAGTACCTGGGCGTTCCTACGGCCATACATCAGCGTCGTTCAGGTTCACAAACCTTGACTGACCGTCCTGATCACCTGGATATGGCCTTATTTATTGTAGATCCGCATATTCTTAATAACAGCCAAGTACTGTACCTTCGCAGTCTGGCAAAATGACAAGAGGAGGCTGATCGATCTCATGAGAGACCAAGGTCTTATATCGTTAAGCCTCTTATCGGAATATTTCACCAGTTGGTGGTGAGCCCTATCTGTGGCACTGTTGATGGTTGATTTGACGTGTCATCCTGTAGGCGGTTCAAGAAAAACTACTATGGCATAGTGTTTGTGGAGACAATCATGGATGCCCAAGCTCGTTTGGCTTTACTACGCGCCTGGACACAGGGACTCTGGTCAATGGGGTTCGAGGGAGCGCATAAAGCTGCTGCGGGACTTGCATGAAGGATATCCTTATTGACAATAGACCATATGATACAGCGAATAAACCAAAATAATACATCGGTTATAGTACCCAAAGGAAAAGGAATGGAAGGGTGCATTGATTCACTCGGTCACCTCTGCAAGGAGACAGTCAATCTTGTCAAAATTTGCCTTCAGGACCTCCCACTAAAAGATTCTCTTAGGCACTGCTCACTGCTCCACTAATAGCACTCCACTCACCTGATCTTTGGTCAGAGCTATGCCCTTCTTCCCTGGCTTCTCATCGTCTGCCGGTCCATAATACTCCCTGATGTCGACATAGGTAGAGCCTTTGAATGTCGTGATACCGGCCCGTTTCTGTTTCCCAAGGTGTATATAAACCTGTCCATCTTTCGTGGTTTGTTCTCCCTCTGGAACCTGGGTTGGCGGAATCATTTTCAGTAACAGAGGGGCTATGTCTGGTATGCCGTGCGCACCTGTTTTGTGTCCTGCTTTGCTTTCTTCGTGACCGGTACCTCGTCGTCATCCACGATCTTTCGTTTGCTTACAGACGAACGACCCTTGGGCTTAGAAGAAGCCGCCTACAAGTGGTGGAAGGGGTTTAGGGGATGTCATACTTGGCAAGTGGATGAACAAAATACCTTGGGGCTCTTGGATTGGTCGTCGTCTACTACGGCGGGCTTCCTGACCATGGCCGTATGTTCGACGCGTAAATTGAGAGTTTGTGGTGATTAATGTGGTGGACAATGTTCAAGAAGTTAACGCGCATATGTAGAAGCTCATCGAAGTAGAAGCGAAAGAGTCACGTGAGCGTGAGCGTGACGGTATTGGTGGAGAGAAGAGAAACGTGCAAGTTCAAGAGAGTCGTAGTCTATTCAAGAGAGTAAGAGTACTGGACACCATTGACATTGATAGGTATTGAGTAGGTAGATCTTAAGGATTATATATTTGATATGAATTCAGCAATTGTAGATCTCGGATATAACTAGCGTCGTGCTGCTGCCATTTCGATGTTTTCAGGGGTAGACTGCGACGATGGATGCGGCATGGTAACTGGAGTGGGCATGGCAGCCCCAGGAGGCACACCCATTCCGGGTGTCCGTACGTTGATGGCAGAGCCCGCGGGCGTCCTTTGTCGAGGACTTGTCATGCGAAGCTAAGAATACAGTGAGAACAAGTTGAGTAAGTAGAACAGACATTATTTCGTACCTCATCGCCCTCCCCAAATATGTCGTTCGAAGGGTCCACTGAGCCCATGTCAACGACGCTCATAGACAAAGATGGAGCAAACTTACTTAGGACCGAGTTCCTGTCTCTCAAACGCCACCCACCGACAGGCGCTATCTCAGAGTCCGGACGTTGTGTCTGATCCTTCCAGCGTATTTGGTCTTCATCCTTAACCAATTGCCACGGCACCTCGGTGTACCGGGCAACGCTGGGCTCGGCATCGGGATCTCCTTTGGGTCCATGAATCTTGACTTCAGCAAGGGCAGACTTCAGCGCGCAAATCCACTTGTTCCGTCGCTTCGCTATTTGTCAAGGATCAGGAAGAATTCTCATGGGAAGGGCGCCGTTCGTGACCCACCTTTGAGAGCTCCTTGCTGGAAGTTGCTCTTGTACTTGATGTCCGCGGATAACTTCATTTTCTCTTGTTCAGGGAAATCTGATATTCGCGTAATCAGCGAAACATGGTTGATCGTGGAGAAAGTGGGGGGAGTGAGTGCTTACCGACGACATTGACGTCGAAGACGGGATGATAATCGCGCCTCTCTTCCTTCAGGAACTGGAGCATCTTATCTCTCAACTTCTCTAGAGCTTCGAAACTTGTTGAATAATGAACGTCAAAGGTAAAGGTTTCCGACATCTACCCCCAAGTTTCGTAAGGGGGAAGGGGGATTTCAGTAGAACCCACGTACCTGAGGACTTCTGCGGATATTTTGGATAAACTGTCGAACGAACATCAATATTTCTTTCCGAGTGAGCGCCGTGCGTAAAGCGCTTTACGACTCTTACCATCCCGTTGAGCACGACATTAGGGGCTTGGACCGAAGTGCCGTTCGAATCAAGGAAGACGGTGCTGAGAAGACGGATTTCTTTGACAGTGTAAGAACCCTTTTCAAGATTGATCCTGTCCCCGACGTCAAAGGGGTGCTTGATAAACAGAAAGATGATGCTCGTAAGGACTTCTTGCAAGCTCCCACCAATGAGCCAGCTTAAGCCTATAAAGCGGACAAAGGATATTAGTCGCGTACGGCAAGAGGGACGGCGAGTGCCCTGATTTACCGAGGATGAGAGTGCCAGCACCCGTTACAAGTGCCACGAGTTGGGTTTCCTTGATTGAGATTTATGAGCACATGGTCATAGAGCGACTTCAAGAGGAATCCTACCAGGGCAACTGCGATGATCAATGCGGCTACAACAACGTACACAGACATCAAGATATTGTCTAATCGCCCCACCGCACTATCCAAGTCCTGCATGGAGTGTTCGATAGACAATTGCTCCCGGTGGAACTCCCTACTTCCCGTAAGCCGCATGCACGAGTTGATCCTAGATATAAGGTTACGTACATGCATGCCATCTCGACTTCATCCCTAGTGGCATCCCCATTCCCGTCCTATACAGCAAATTCATATTCGTATCCGCTTGGCGAGAATTTGGGTTATTTATATACCTGATCAAAGAGGGCGAAGGCCTTCTCCGCCTCTTCACGGGAAGGGAAATAAGGAAGTACGTCCTCCAATAGGATGTATTCTGAACCCTTCTTGGCGAATGAGTAGAATAGCCGGCGAGCAAGCTACAAGATACGCTCAGTGGTTTGACCATAACTCGGGCCGAGAGGAAACTCACTAAACGTGATTTATTGGCAGAACTCAAAGCAGTCTGGACCATAGCTTGCGGCGAGTTAGGTTGGAGTACAGACCTGTGATGATCGTAATTGCCGGTGTTAGAGGCGATTTAATGCTGTATTCATCAGCAGAGCTCACGTTCCAGCAATCTCAGACGCAACATTGCCAAAAGCCGTCGTTGTGGTGGTGGCTGCTATCCGCACACCCTTGAGCGCCTTTTTGAAGAACCGGCCAGGACTGATAGACATAGTTTTTGCGTGAGTAGCCCGATCATGTAGAGTATCCGTTCTGTCCAGAATGTCCCGCGAGTTTCTGTATAACGTCACAAGCGACTTAACGGCGAACTTCTGGTCCGCAATGCGTTCTGAAGGGCTCTATTGTTAGGACGGGAAAACGGAGTATAAAGAAGACTGACCGGCGTAGGATCTCTCATGGAATTTACCAGCAATCCACTGAATGGAGAATTTTTCGAATAGCAGGACGGCAGCGCAGACGAAGAAGGCAAACAGAAGTTTGCCCATTACGTCGACCGCACGTCGAGAATTATCACTAACTTCGCCATCTTGCCTTCTATCAATGAGGGGATTGAAGCTGACCCAGTTTACCAAGGTCCATGCGAATAGAGCGACGTATCTGACAATGTCACGAATTAGACCGCGAAGTGCTTGCCTTCCTGTATATAATTACCTATGTAGTACTTCCATCCAATCCACATACCGGCGCGTAGCAACAGCCACGACGCCAATAGTTGAACGGAGTACTGATGGAAAGATTCGCCTATAATATCCATGAGCAAAACCTTCATCAAAACACGACAATTGAGACATACGACGCAGCCAATGCTCCCCACCATCCTGTAGGGTCTTTCAGCGCATGATCCACCAAGGGACTAAAAACTTAATTCACCTCCCCAAACAACACTAAGCCAGATACTCCACCAGATGAGTTTCACTGCCCAAATCTTGAACACGTTTATGAGACGCGGCGCATTTGAGCATGGGTTATCAACTCACTCGCGTATTGGGAAAGGTAGTGATCCCCAGGATTCCTGGTATCCAGAGGATCCCCAGAACTGGCACAATAAATAGAAACCAACGAGTGACGATAGAAACGTTCAGAAGGTAATGGTAAAATTTGGACAACTATATGAACCAAGGAGATGGATTTCAGCGCGACAACAAGAACATCTGGAAAGTCACGTACCTTGTTATTTGGCATGTCTCCATCTGCAAAGGCCAAGTGAGCTTCGCTCGCATTCCTCGAATCAAACTCTTCGTAGCCGTGCTCGAATCTTTTGATCCCAGATAACAAATCCCAGCTAGGGTTCCGTGTGCTGTGTGGTCGATTTGGATGCGGTTGTGCTGAACTAGATTCATTGGGCGAGAAATGGGGTCTTGCTGCCCTCTCCGCGTCGTAATTCGGGCCAGGCATTTGGACGCGTCTAGCGTCGTCGCTAGCCATTGCGTTCGATGAAGAATAAGGCGGATAGGTTGTAGGAATCGAAGGTGGGGGAACGATAGGAGTATCAGACCGAGCTGATAGCGAAATGGAATCCAAACGGTCGTCTCGCTGCCCAAATGCTTGGGAAGGGAACGTAGGTTCAGAAACAGGCGAAGTCTCAGGACTTGTAGGCGAGACTGGGTTGTAAGTAACCTTTTGTGAGGAAGCCATTTACATCCAAAACATTGGTGGCGAAGGGAACGAACAAGACAATTTTTATCAGGGCCTTTCACACAGGCCGTTGCAGGCCGTTGCCACTCCACGAGAAAGTGACAAAACGGACAACCGATCAACAAACTTGAGTTCTACAATGCTACAATGGAGCTATCACGTCGCCCACCCGTTGGTCTCTCGGTTGGGACTACCCCAGCCCGTTTGCGCACCTCCCCACCCACCACCTCCACCACCGCCAGTGGGCGAAGAACTCCATGCGGCCCGTCCAGGACTAGCTGCTCCACGCCTACTACTTCCACCCCCGAAAGGTGGAGCGGTGTTCGCCCATGCAGGAGATGTAGCATCTTGTGCAGTAGCAGCGCCCCAGGCTCCGCCTGCCGCCGGTTCAGAGGCATTCCAATTCCCCCCGTCAGTTCCCCATGCCCCTGCAGCCTGACCATCTCCTCCTGCTATCATATCCAAGTCAGGCTTGATACCTAGGATCAAATTAGCAAGTTTTGTTTGCAGCTCTGCAAGACCCTGTGTCCAATGTCAATGTTGTTCGCCCCCCGAAAGCAAGCCAATCCACGCACCTTCATTATGACTTCCTGAGCCCCCAAGCTCCCATCGGTCTCTACTTCCATATAGAATTTGTTTGGTTTAGCGTTGAAGTCGAAGGGCTGGTCTTCCCTGGGTGCCTCTTCCTCTTCAGCATTTGGGCCGAGAGGCCATTCCGCTCGCTCATCGACTTCGAACCAATGAGTTGTGTGTCGAAGCTTGTTGTGAGGATCATACTCGAAAGATACGGCGCTACAAGGGGACCATTTTGCGTGTTCTTTCGCGATACCCTGAAAACAAAGTATTAAACGTGATCAACGAGGAACCGTTAATATAAACCTTGCGAGCCACGCAGCGCAGTTTCAACTCTTGTCCTTTGCGAATTTTGCATAGTAACACTGGCTGTGCGCCTGGTTCATCTAAAGGATCATCCATCTGAGTCATGGTCCAACTCATAACGCTAGGCGGCCTACGTTTACTAACGGGATGTCCAAAATAAGGGCCTCGTTTGGTAAGTTCTTCTGGCGCATCATCCATGGACATAGACATCCCAAACGGACCCGGAACGACTTCTAGATTATCGCTGGTCACGTCGATCGTTCGGTCGTCGGTACATGTGACGGACAATTGCAGCCATATTGAACATATAGGGCACCCTGCCGGACATGTGCAATCCTGAGTAGAACGTAAACCTGGGTGCGTTGTGCATGGACACTGCTGCTCACCCTTGTATAACGCATAGCATCGTCGCAATTCGCACTTATCAATGGCACCATTCCAAGTCTGTGGGCGATGAATTCATCAGGCAACACAGTCGTATTGGCGTCAATTTCGACCATATCAATGGCTAATTCCATAAGTTTCGTCCATGCGAAAGATATTACACATAACGCACCAATTGAAGGGATGTCCGCCATAACCACCCGTCTCAGCGAGTTGGCGAACCTGTATGACTGCGTAAGCGACGCTTGAGACGCTCAATCTCAACATGCGCATACGCCAGGTCGACATTTTCCAGGACAAAGTTGACGCTGTCCTTTTTGAGTTCGCGAATGCGCACGATGGCGGCCCCGTCCATTTTGGTGGTTTCAATGAGAAACCAGTCTCTTTGTTTGGTTGGACATAGGCGGTGCAAATACGCCCCTGGCGCGTGTAACAAGGGTAAACTTCCAAGTTCAGCAACTACTGCCAAGTTGCCACTGAGCTCACAGCAACTAGTTGGGGGTCATGCGAGACCTCGGACGCGCTGCACACATCTATTTCATGCTAGTGAATATCTCCCTTCGCGGAGAATTTTAATGGGGATGATAGGTCCGTTCCTCAGAATCTTGCACCTCATGTGTCCTCGTCGCGCATGCTTGGGCCCGTATATGTCGGCTAGTAATCAGCAAGTCCGCAATGAACTTCCATCACGATACAGCTTTTCTAAAACAATCAGACCGGTGGGCGGACAAGAACTGTTTACCCAAATCTTCCGGGATCATGCTTAATCGTTGTGAGTTCCTTTTTGAATTTTCGTCTGCATGCGATGTTAACATATTGATTCAGAACCGAGCAAGTTTTCTACCACAGATGGAAGCCTCAGATGAGGTGTCCGACGGCAGTGGAGAGATACAGACAACGGACCGTCTCGCAGACGGCATAATACGGTGATCAGCCCAAGTAAAGGGACGAACCGCATGAGGTCTGCCCTGCCATAGAGACACCTTTGAACACTATGATCACTATCCCGAGGACTTCTGGAGATAAGACATTTATGATATCTGACTAAAGTATGTTGGCCCGGTTTCTACCCATGTTCCTGGTTTAAAATTACAGTCTACCAGGCCACCCGACGACATCTTATGCTGTGTCGCCCTGGAGCTCGTGCCGACGGCTTGAACATGGCAAGCCGCTGTCTAACGTATATCAGCTTCTTTGAGATCTTGTTATACCGTCCCCCGAGCTCATTGGACATCTGGGAACACGGCGTCTTCGTCTTCTTCCAGAACCTTGGTGTTGCATGTCCGTCCCCATATTTAGCCCACTGAACAACTACCGGCCTATCTTGGATCATCATCGGGTAATAGTTCAGTATGGACTAGCGTGCCTTGTATATGCAAGCCACCGTGGCGTAACTGCATGATGACACCGGGGTAGGCAGCCTAGGCTGAGGTATTCCGTCATCTTATCCTGCGTGGTGAGTGGCTATCTCCCCTCAGAAATATACAATAACGCAAGGGATAAGCCGGCATTTTCCTACGTCGGTGGCTTGAGCCGGACCACGCACTTATGACAGAATCAAGGGCGCCATACTTTCTACGGCACCTTCGCCTCAAGCATTCGAAGTGCGCTCTTTGCATTTCAGGGCCCATCGATACTTCTACCGGCACCCTGCAAGAATTCCCATATCACGAAGTACATTGGGGTTAGGCGCCAGGCATTTATGTAAACGGCCGATTGAAAGACAATCTGGGACCTCGGCTAACACCATCAAAGGATGTGTGATCACTTAGCTTCCGAGGGAAAGAGAATTTACCGAGGTGATTATTATTGTATGTGCAATCTCTTTGGGCCCTGATCATGCAATCCGGACTTATCTTAAAGAATATGTCACTTAGGTGCATGGCAGCGATCGCTGGTCTAAATAAAAAGGGCGTTTTGGTCTGACACTTCCACCAGGTTCCTTACACCTTTCCATCTCTCTCACACGCCCTCACCTTAATCACCATGCATTGGACGCCGAAGAGGACGTTGCAAGAGAGTATGTCTTCGCTCGCAGCCGAGCTCGTCGCGTAGCATGGTCTCTGATCGCTTTGTAGCCGACGCCATCATATGCGCAGCAGGCAATCCACACGAGATGGAGACGTCCCTTGTGAATGGTCGGCTTTATCGCGTCTACAAGAACTTGTGGCTGTCTCTCCGCGAATTTTGGATCCATTGTGCCACCGCGTACTCGAAGAACACCTATATCGTCTTTGAAGGCGACCGCTACACCTACGAATATATATTCAGCCGTTCTATCAAGGCCGCCCATTTGTTCAGCAAGGTGTACGGCATCCAGAAAGGCGACCGAGTAGGAATATGCTCCCGCAACTGTCCAGATTACCTCGTCGCATTCTGGGCCTGCCGTAGGTTACACTACGTTGTATAACACCACTTACTAACGGCTATATAGACCTATTGGGCGCGGTGTCCGTGCTCGCAAATGCGTAAGGCGGGAGCTTACCTTGCTGTTCATATCTGATGCTCATTATGCAGCTGGCTACCCTTGGACCCACTGAGATACTGTCTGGAGCACACCGAATGCAAGTTAATCATCTTGGACCCCGAACGAGCAGATCTCCTGGAGCCCGTAGTTGGCGAAATAGCCGAGAAAGCAGGTACTCAGGGATTCCTCGTTTTTGATACACTCGATGGCAAGGGGTTCTGGAAGCAAATGCGTTGCTTCAACAACATGGTCGACGACCTGGATCGAGATGTCAATTGGACAATGGAAGATACGCCGGCCATCCAACCAGAAGACAATGCCACCATTATGTTTACTTCTGGAACGTAAGCCCCTGCGTCCCATCCCCTTTTTGTTTATGTTAATGACACCTACAATAGAACCGGGTTGCCGAAAGGCGTATTAAGTACACAACGAATGTTCCTGACCAATCTTCGGAATGTTGGTAGTTACTGATATTATCGGCATTTCTGCGCTAATCTTTTTGATAGATCTCGGTGGGCGTACTGAGGGCCAAACTGCGGCAAGGGGAAAACTTGCCCGAGCCGAAGCAAGGAGCTCAGCAAGGAGTTCTCGTAGCTGTCCCCCTGTTTCACGTCACCGGTTCCACGAGTCTTTCAGTACGTCGAAATTCTTATTTACTCAGCATGACAGCAGCTTAGATATCTGATAGATGCTCGCCACAATGAATGGGCAGAAGGTCGTGTTGATGAGAAAATGGATAGTCGAAGAAGGTAAGCGAGTGATGTTTCAATTATCGTCCTGCCGCCGCTTATGTGTTCATCCACTTCTAGCTGTCAGGTCAGTTGTCGAATCTTTTTGTGGCCACGCTGCTCAGGCTAACCTATAACAGGCTCATCAAGAAAGAGAATATCTCAGTTGGTGGAGGGTGAGTATTATTTGTTATGCCGTACCCTCCGCGTGAAGGGATTGATCAATCGCTCCAGCGTTCCCACCATGGTGTCAGACCTCACAGAAAGCTCTTTGGTCGGCCATCCTCTGGATGCATTAATCTTTGGTGGGGCCTCTGCTCCAAGTGCTCTCCCATCAAAAGCCCGTAGATCGTTCCCCACTGCTATCATGTACGTCGACGCCAAGAACCCGGTACATTTAACCTACTGATAAGATCTCCAGGAGCCAGACGTACGGCATGACGGAAACGAATTCTGTGAGTAACGCACAGGGCATTGTGATACTCAGGATTAACTCTAACTTTCGTAGATTTCGGTAGCATGTGCTGGAAATGACTATCTAGCTCGCCCTTCAAGCACGTTGGTAGAGTTCTATTTTGGCCATATCAGACACTAAATATTCTATCCATCTGACAGCGGCCTCCCTGCGCCAGTTAATGACGTGATGATCGTACATAACGACACAGTTGTACCTGTAGGACAACGTGGCGAAGTATGGCTGTGAGTACACATGGATCAAGGCAACAAAAGGCTGGTTATAACATTTTCCGTAAGGCGGGGCCCCAATGTTATGAAGGAGTATTGGCGCGAGCCTGGTGCGTGTTTCGATCTTCGGAGCGGTTAACCGTTTGCTGAGTAGCTTAACAGCTGCGACGGCAAAAGCTTTGACAACGGATGGCTGGCTTAGGACAGGAGACTTGGGATCTGTCGATGAAGAGGGCTTTTTGTACATACACGATCGACGTGAGTGGTGCGATGTCAAGCGTTGCCCAAACTCTGACATTGAACTTTCTTTTCTCTAGTCAAAGACATCATAATCCGAGGAGGAGAAAACATAGTGGGCACCGTCACCTGCCGTGTGATATGCCTTTCCTTTTAACGATGTGGATTTTTTAGAGTTCTGTATCGGTGGAAGATGCTATTTACGACGACCCCCGTGTGCTGGAAGCCGCTGCCGTCGGTATTCCGGACTCAAGGCTTGGCGAACTCGTGGCTGTTGTTGTCTCAACCAAGGCCCCGTTTTATGGACAAGTAACGGAAGAACAACTCCTGGCATTAGCGAAAAGCAAGTGAGTACCCTAATCTTTTGTCTTATTACGGCATGGAATTGAGATGTGTCCCGTAGACTTCCTCGGTTCGCCGTGCCCGTCATGATACTCGTCCAGGATCGCCCACTCGGTAGGTTCATGGTTTACCCCGTAGAACATTAACTCATGTCTGTGTTTCGAAGACCACACTCCTTCGGAGAAGATTACGAAGGGGGAACTTCGCAAGCTAGCCCAAGGAGCCTGGGAAGCACGGCAGCAGCGCGGCATAACTGGTACCGTCTCACATCGACTGTAGCACATACGTTAGCGACTCCCAATACACTTCTCTCGGAATAATAGCTCGTACATATCGTCTTAATGTATTTATCCGTTTGTATGATTTAGTTTTAGTTATGTAGCCCCTGTCATGTCGACCCTGAAATTACTTAAAGTATAGCTCACATATGGGGATGAGATTACTGTGGATTCAAATTTTTGTGCCGTTCAAACGTTAACGCCAGTATATTTCTACATGTCTTCCGATGGAGCACGAACAGACTCTGCAAGAGGTCGAGGCGAAGTTGACTCAGTCGTATGTAGAGCAATTCCGACAGCACACGCAGGAGGTCCGAACCCATCTCGCAGGGAAGACAGCTGACGAGCTTCCCCCTTCATTCGTACCTCCCGCTGGCTACTGGACGTCCGCCGAAAAGGATCTCTTCTTTCGCGGAATATGTACATACTCGCGCCTTCGACCAGATTTGATTTCAGAATCCATCGGAACCAAATCCATGCTTGACGTCTGTACCTACATCGACATCTTGGAATCCGCCTCTGCTCGCGCTCCGACTCGGGAAAGCGACTCGGGGACAAACCGTGCTGACACTGAGATTGCCATGGAAATGTCTAGATCTTGGATCAAATGGGAGAACGGACAGGCGTCCGCTCTTGCCACTGCAGAGCCACTCTGGGAAGCCGCAGAAACAGAACGATTGCAAGAGGCTACACTAGCTGAAAAAGCTGCCACGGTTCCCTCAGAACTTACACGCGAAGCTTTTCTCGCATGGAAGGTTGATAGGGAAGCTCGGTGGAGCGCAGACTCTGTGCTCAATAATCTTGGAAAATACCATCTGAAAGTGATGGACGCTGTCTTGAACGATGGCAAACCGGAGCCCGACGAGGACGAACAAATCTCCGACAGCGCAAGACACCATGACGGTGCGGTAGGAAGCCTCGAACCTTCGGCTCCTGCCACATCTGCCACGGCTGTCAGAGCGGCGGCGAACTCTGTTCACAGGCACAGCGCTATCGACACGAATAACTCTGAGAGGAATGTGATCCAACCGGGTCTCAAACGCCGTGCTGCTACGCCACCTGGAGAAGGCGACGCTGCCGAGATGAACGGTGCAGACCTAGCAAGCATGTCTCCTACGTCTCGGCGGCGTTTTCAGAAGCGACTATACATGAGACGGAAACGTGCAGAGCTTGCAGGAGGGACTGTGGACACAACCACCGAGAAATTCAAACCAGGAAGAAAGCCCAAGGAGAGGCTACCGCGACCCCGTCCGAAGGCATACGCCACAAGGAAGCAGCAGAGAATATCGAAGAAACCAAGGCACGATTCACCTTCGTCTGAGGGCGACGAGGACGAGGAAGGCACCGGCTCCCAGAGCGAATCAACGATGGGGGGATCAGGAGGGACAGGAGACGCCAGCACGCTGGATAACAATCCAACGTGCACCTCTAAATCCGAGGGTGACTATGCCCATCCCCACATAAGCGGCGTTACCCAGCCGTATAAGGTCAAAACTGAGCTAGAGTCATTGGGTTTGATCAACGCAGAAGAACTGCGCGCCGCCGAACTAGACTTCTTCAGGCTTGCACCTCTCAGTCGTATGATGAAGTTAGTCATTTGGTCTTATCTACTACTGGATGTTGCTGACTCAAACCACATTGGAACCTAGTGCATATCGCGCACCGTCAGACTCGGAGACCTTTATCTCGGCGAATACGATTCGCTTGGTGAAGAAAATTGTTACGGAATTCATCACTCGTATGGTACAGCTGTCTATTGTCGCTCAGGAGCAAGAGGCACGGCTGAAGGCAGATAAGAAAGTTTGGAGGATGCCCAGTACACCAATTGTAGGCAGCCCTTCCCATGCTTATTTCACGATATGGCTAAGCATTTATCTCCTTTATGAATGTTTTGACAGGTGACTGCAGCGAATGTCGTGCTTGCAGCAGACATGATGGGCGTACCTACGCTCAATCAACGGCCTGCCGAAATTCGCACCTCTGGGAATGATCTCGACGCGTGTACGGCGCTCGCCGCGCAACCCAGAGCAATAACAGATAATCCTAGTGAACCAGGATCTGATGAAGAGGATTCAGAGCCAGAAGATGATAAGAATCTTCCATCCCAATACTCCCATTCGCTCTGTAGGCAGCTCAATCCCGCGTTCGTTCGCCTGCCGCCAAATATTGGCACGCTTCTGTCTTCTGCATCCGGTCAGGATCGTATCGTTCAGGATGTTGAAGAGGACTTGCTGGAGCTAGAGTTAGAGGAAGAAGAATATTTGAACGAGCAGGATAAGTTAGTCGAGCAAGCTTTTGAGAAGGAATTGTGGAAGATAATTGGAGGTTCCGTTGAATTGTAGTCACGCAGAGATGATGAAGTCATCTTAATCTTGATCTGTATAATGCGCCAGCGGGCAGGACGTATATGTATGATATTACAGTTAGTGTATCCATTCAAATAATCAGCGAAGCTAGAGCTTGGGCTTCTCCTTTTCTTCTTGAATTCTAATGATGACCTTGCCCCATGTTTCCCTTCGCTCCAGGGCACCCAAAGCCTCGCCTAGTCGCTCTAGCGGGTAGACCTCCGAGTAGATGACGGGTTTTACGATTCCAGAAGCAAGTAGGCTAAGCAAAGGAAAGTTAGTAGAGTCCTTTCAATCCCAGATTGGTATACTCACTCAAGCAGACCTTTCCAGACGCTGGGGATGTGGGCGGGTTCTTTCACTGAATTCCGAGGTGAGTTCCGACAAATGCGCGAGGTTCGACAGAGACTAACAAGTATAGGCACCCCAGTGGAGACCAACAATAGAGATGTTTTTCAGCAACACCAAGTTCATGGGGATCTAAACCCTCGTTGAGACGTGATTTCTTAGGGCAGAAAGGTAAACTCACCTTCTCAATCTCGCCACCAGCGAATCCAATGACCAGAGCGCGTCCTTTCCATGCAATGCACTTGAGCGAGTCTATCAATGTCAATGACTCATCAGGGTCTGAACAGAGAAATTAAGGCATAGCGTGGTACCTCTAATGAGACCAACAGGGTCATAGATGACATCTACGCCTTTCCCCCCAGTAATTTTCAAGACTTGCTGATTCCAATCCTTCTGGGTATAATCGACAGCATAGTCCGCACCACCGTACTTGACGGCAACGTCGAGCTTGTCTTTTGATCCTGCGGCCGCGATAACCTTTGCACCAAGACCTGCGGGAGGTTAATGTTAATACAGATCACGGCTTTCTGTTTCAGGTTAACGCACCTTTCGCAATCTGAACGGCAGCAATACCGACACCCCCGGCGGCGGCGGTTACGAGAACCCATTCCCCTGATTTTACACCTTCAGGATACGTGCCTAATGTAAAGGCTTTCGTCCTCACCTGGCTTAACTTGAGCTCGACCGACAAGAGCCTCGTAACTTGTTGGCCATGTCACAAAAAGACCTGGGTGAGGGTTAACAACTCGTTTCAGAGACAAATCACTAAGACGCGCCTGCTCCTTGATCGTACGTCAAAGCATCGGGGAGGGGGAGCAAGGACTTGGCCTTGACCACTGCTTTCTCTGAGTAAGCCCCCTGCGCCGCGCCAAATACCCTGTCGCCAGGCTTGAAGGAGGATCCCTTGGGAATGGGCGAGTTCTTCGCAATTCTTCCCGCGAACTCAGAACCCAAAATGAAGGGCAGCGCGGGCTGGTTCTGGTATTTGCCTTGACTTTGCAAAATCTACAAAACTCTGAGCAACCAAAGGGTTCGGCGCGAACAACGGTGTTCTCACGTCGAAGAAGTTCACTCCAGAGCTATAGATGTCGACGAGTACTTCATCGTCTCCGACCTTTGATGGTTCCGGGTAGTTCGGGGTCAGAGTGATCTTCGAAGGGTGGGCAAGTTCTTTCACGACAAAAGCGCGCATTTTTGATGTGGAGGGTGCTAGAGGGTGCTCGTCGTGGATAATTCAGTTGACCTTAGGGGGAGAGCTATATAAAGGGTCGGTTTCGGTCCAGCCGGTAAGCGTTTTGCCGTCGATCTATGAAGCGGGGTAAACACATGAACGAAGGCAACCAGGAACTGGACAGGGAATAGGGATTGATGAAGAATCATTGAATGTGATGCAATTGTGAGTACAATGGTGTATTCTATCTACGGTAACTTTATATTCTCGGCGACTCGTATTACTCTTACGCCTGGATACAATTCATTAGCGACCCAGAATTCGCCAGGGAAACCGACGACTCACGAATGCAAACCCTTCTCCACCCTCAGTGATAGCGAGTAGCAATTGCTGGCGCAGCATCTCGTACGAGGAGTACTGTGGAAGATCGACTTGGTTGAAGCCTTACGAGCACTTGATTAGCTACACTTCAAGGCAGAACGACGGTAGGGTACTCACAAGTATGTGCTTGAGGTAATCTGTCTGGCTCGCCGTACGCTCTATGGATGCAGAATCTCTGGGTACCTTGCACACCTTGAAGCTCGACGAAACCTCCCAGAGGGACACGGGAGGTTCCAGTCGCAAAGCTCAGCACCTTGGCTCGCTCTTCTCGGTTGAAGGACTTCAGCGCTCGCCACCACCATACAATCGCAGGGTCGGAGCTAGTGTATCCGTTGTACTCGGTCGCGGCCCTCCATTCATCGACGTCAATGTCAGGTGTTCCAGAAATCAAAAGCTCCAGCTCTTGTTCATTGAACTAGAAATCAAAATCAAAAGTAAGTTGGTTTTGTTTGTCAGTAATCCGAGTGGGTACATACAATGGTGATGAGGTCTTTCGGGATGATCTCGTAGAAGCCGGCTAGAAGATTCTCAATTTGCTCTTTGATGGATGAGTAGAGACGATATTGAGCCGATAGCTGCACGAATTCGCGACGGTTTTCCAGGGTGACCGGGATGGTCTCTCCGCCTTCCTTGAGAGGAATGATGCGATTGACACCGAACTACACCAGCAAGTCAATCAAACATGCACAGGCGAAGGAAGAAAACGTACCTCGTCAGCTTCAACACTGAAAGTGAGTTCGAGCGGAGTCGGGTCATTCTCTAGAATCCAGCAAAGGGAGTTGTAATACTCCGGATCAACCCATTCCACGTCTTTGTAATCCACAGGCTTGCCCAGGATCTGGCGGTACAAGCTTCGGGCGAAGTAGGCGTCTAGCAATCGACCATCGTATATAGCCTTTCCAATGATGCGACCAACGAACTTGAAGAACGACAAGTGCTCTGGGTTGACCCAGGAGTTTTTGTTCGGTTGATATGTGAGTCGATCGGCCGCACAAGGTTGGAAGAGCGCGTTGTTGGGGTCAAACATTTGTCGGGCGAGGATCTGGAACCATTCTCGAGTGACTCCGCCTGCATCAACGCCTTCCTCGTCGTAGAACCTGACGCTGAGTTTTCCGTACTTGATCTGATCACCTGACTTTCGCTGGAGATATTGGAAGCTGTCCTCGAATACTCTGGCTCTCCGCACGCTGAGTTGCAAAGTACCGTGATGTTCTCGCGCATGCGGTCGTCGATGGAGTTGCTGATTGAAGTAGTTTCGCTTGTTGTCGAAGTCGAGAACGCGAGGATTGTTCACCAGAAGAGAGAATGATCCACTCATCAGCGAAGGGTTGTTGCGGACCATGATGTTGAGCAGCTTCCTGTGAGTGTCGGTGAATGTTACGAAAAGGTCTTCCGTGGAATCTTTGACTATAGGTGACTTTGGGACAGATGTTGCTCGCAAGGTGCGAGGAATTTGGGTTGTGGACGTTCCTACATGCTTGCAGACAACCATCAAGGCCTCGATGAGTGGAAGGAGAATCGTCGCGATATGCTCCGTTTCCGGCTTCTCTTCGACTATTTTGAGGCAATCGCTGAGCCGCGACCAGAGGGACGTGAAGTGGAAGGACTCGTAGATGGCTTGGACCTTCTCCGCATCGCTGCTTGCTTGTGATTCCGTAGACGACCTGGGGGTGTACATGTAGTCGATGGTTTTGAGCACGCGTAGTAGATTGGCTTGGATGGAAGAAGGCGCAGAGAACCTTGAAGCCACAGCACTGACTTGAACGTCGTTGTCAGATTTACCCAAAATATTGGAAAGCTCCTCTAGGTCGGGATGGAGGCCAAGACCAAACTCTTGTGCTTTGGACTTAAGCTCGTTTGCAATAACGTCGCGGGCATCAGGTATGTATGAAAGGTGTTGTATGAGAGCGAGACTTTGCTGGAAAGTACGGCCCGAGCATTCTCCGGTGGTCAATATGTTAACGATGAGACGAAGAACCGCGTGTGGAATGGTGGGCGGCTTCGTGAGGACGGCCTTCTCCCCCGACTTGTCGGCGTCCGGAGCAGCTAAGGTAGAAAATGATGAGAATCCATATATACTGAGGCAACGAAACGCGTACGATGGGTGGATGCTTCTTGAGAGGTGCTTCCATCTGCGGGCTGTTCAGTTGCAGTAGTGGCTGGTGGTGATGAGGCGGTCTCCGGAGCACTCGATGGTTGTGTTGAAGAGGAATCTAGGTTGCTCGAAGTAGGTAGCTCGGCGGGAACTTTTGACTCAGGAGGTGTCGGGCTCTCTTTGAGGGTGGCGAGAGGACGCGTCACAGTCGCCAATAAGCTTACCACAGATTCCATTATTGACGGCATCTTAAGGAGCGATTGTCGGTCTAATAGCCCAAGCAGGAGTACAACTGGGAAGTGTGTCTGAGGGGCAAGTTTCTCCTTTCCTTTGCCTTTTCGAGTGACCGCTTTTCGTAAGCCAGCCGGTAGTTCGCTTTCCGTCAAGAAGAACAGAGAAGATGTTTCGTTGGCTGTGACAATGTAACTGAGGCCTTCTAAGCATCGTTGAGCAATGAGTTCAGGAGCAGGGTCGTTCTGAGGATTAGAATGGGCGAAGGGTGTCGTGTATTCTGGACCAACGCGTTGTTTACCAGCAGACTTGGGAGTCGGAGACTTAGTCGCCTTGACAGACATCTGAGCAAATGACTTGTCTACAGCAGCCAGGTCCCCAGTGCCATCCTGGAGAATACCAAGTAGTATGTTGAATAATTCGGTGCGCGTCTTGACATTTTCGCATAGATTGACTAGGACTTTGAAAAGCAGATTCTTCTTAAGCACCTGGGGGAAGAAGAGGAGCCGCACGAGGGTGGCCAGCCCGGATTTTTCGAGCAGTTGGATAGCATCATGGTGTGTGACTGGTTTGCGCAGTGGTCCCGGGTCTGGACGGTTGGACGTTGGACGTATCGGGGGATGTCGATGGGGCGGATTGAGACGGCCCTCTTGATAAGCGCCTGCTTCTGCTAGAATATGAGACGGGAGCGTTTGCAAGAATCCATCCTCTTGGTCGAGCAGGACCACCTCTCGAAGATGAGGATCAAGGCTAGCAATGAAACTTGCTGGGTCAATATCCGCAGGGCCTTGGTTCGGAGCCGCTTGCTCTGCACGACGTCTGGCTTGTTCCACACGCTCTTGCTGGATGATCTCAGCTCTGATCTCTGGTGGGAGAGCATCCAAAAATTCCGAACTAATTTGCGAGTCGGGAGGACGTTCGACACGAGCAGCACGCTGGTCGCGAACATGTTGATTGAGGACTTCTTCGCGCATATCGTCGGGAAGGGCTTCAAGGAACGTAGGGTCGATGCCTGTGTCGGTAATGTCTACAGCACTGCCATGAATCATGACAGTTACGCGCTGAGGGGCAGCGGAGGCCTCGGGCGCTGTGGTGTCCGACATTTCGGCGTCTGGCATCAGCGAGCTGGATGAACCAGCTTCAGGTGCAACGGTGCTAGAAATATGTCCCGACGGAGTTGCCAAGTCGGGACTTTCTTCATGTGTCCCCACTTCTGTTTCTGCCTCGGGCCGTTCCTGTCCTTTTTTATCCTTGGTATCCACCTCCACCTCCACCTCCATTCCCTCCTTCTCTTTTCCCTTGTCAGTCTCGCTCTCTTTCTCCTTCGCTCTCTCCTCCTCCTCCGCTCTCTCCCTCTCTTTCTGTTCCTCAGCTTCAAGCCTTGCCTTTTCTTGAGCCTCCAAGTTTGCTTTCTCCGCTGCTCTTGCCTTTTCTGCTTCTGCTTCTGCTTTTGCCCGTGCCTCTTCCTCTTTCAATTTGGCCTGCGCAGCTGCCTCGATCGCGGCTGGAAGCAGAGCAAGGATAACATGATTGCTCAATCTAAGCACCCTTTCTGCAGCAGATTCGCCATGTATCATCTTCACTTCTTCGGCCCATCTTTGGATAGTGAGTAGCGGCTGCAATGTAGTATTTTGAGGCCGCGATTCTTGTCGTGGATGGCGTTCAAGGCGAATACCGATGCTGAGCTGAGGACGCCGGGTACCATACGATGGGACGCGGTCTATGTTGAGCATCGTTCCAGCAGGTACATCTAACCGGATGGTCTCTGCAGCAGCTCCTCCACGATCTTGGGTCATGACATGCTGGATCAGCTGCAAAGCGTCATCTCCAAGGAGTCCTTGAATAGTATGGAGAATATCGCCAGAGCTAGTAGCGATGACACGATGCTGACGAGCGTTGCGTGGATCGTTAGACGAGGCTTGATGACCGCTTGCTTGGGAGCCATCTAACAACAGAGGGTGCGTCGTATTCTCTGGCGGTGTAGGCTGGTTACCTGACCCTTGACCAAAGAACAAGGAGTTGTCTTCTCCTGAAAGTCCCTGCCTAAGACAAATTTCCGTGAGGCAGGTAACATCAACTCACCTGCAGTCACTCGACGCCGTGTACCAAAGATAGCGAACTCATCGCGGGCACCACCCCCTGAGTCCATGAAGGGTATGAATCCCTGTGGTAGTTCTCCTCCACTTCGCATGATCAGCTCCTCGAACCTAGCCAGCCATATATCAATACCGCAGTTGTGAAAGGAACTAAGCGAATAGTGACATACTCCCCATCTTCAGACATCATGTCAGGCTCATCCTCTGGTTCGTGCATGATAGGAATAGGTACTATAGCGATCTTAGTATGTTGAAGTCAAGATCTGTTTAGGAACATACCGCCGTCACCGTCGTCATCGTCACCTTCCTCGCCGCCTATATCTGCTGAGGCGCTGGCTTGGTTCTGTGGGGTTCACCAATTCAAACTCTGTGATGGTAAAGAGAATCCAGACGTACCGGCCACATAGGGTCGCCTTCGATATTCTCTTCGTCGTCTACATCGTCTTCGTCACCGTCGTCACCGTCGTCGTCGTTGTCATCATCGTTCTCTACCAAATCGTCTTCGTCTTCTTCGTCTTCCCAACCTTCCCCGGATTCGTGGGTCGCATTCTCGAGCTCATCCTCATCTTCGTCATCCGTATTCGAGGTGTCTTCGCTACCAGTTTCTTCTCCGTAGTCCATCTCAACATCTTCGTCGTCTTCTTCGTCGTCATCATCCATCGCATCTTCACCATCGAAGTGCACGTCCTCCATTTCCTAAATGTTGTTAGTTAGAAGGATACACTTACCAGCACCGTACTTACCCCTCCATACATGCCAAGAGCCGATGTTCTGTAGAGATTCGGTGTCTCTTCCCTAGTTTCACCACCCTCTGCGTCTTCCCCTTCATCTGAGATGTAGGAATCATCGCTGTCGACGTTGCCGGTAGGAAATTCTTTCGTTTTGGGGGAAGTTCTGCTCATTTTGATGGCTATCTTGGTCCTGCGGAAACTGTCAGCGCGAGCTCAGACTTCGCAACAATACTCACAGAAGTTCAAGAGGCTTCAAGATGGCAGCAACTAGAGATCGTACATTCGGATAGTTCAGGTCAACCTCAGAGATAGCGTTAGTCAATATAGCGACAAAGTTCTTTTCCAGCATGATCTTCGCGATATGTGTTGAAGTTTCTTCACCCTGCCTACGGGGATTAGAATTGAATTTCACCGTCAACAAACGGTAGCAGAGGTCTGCCAGAGAGAGAAGACGCCCATAACGAGATTCAGGGGAGTCCGCGCTAGAGGAGTCCTTGATAGCACGGCTGATTGCATCCAGCACGAATTTCCGGACGGACACCAAGTCGGGAGAAACATCTTTAGCTTCCGAAAGAGATGAAGTGTCCACACATAGGGCGACTACAACAGACATAGCCCAGTTGCATACGGTCACGCGAACCCGACCTTCGTCTGTCGTTGGTGGATCCAAGGATGAGGTTGGAATTAGCTCAAAAAGAAGGAAATTCAGAGCAGGACTCCGATGCTTCGTCGAGTCTTTGGAAGGTGTCTGGACGCGCTTTTTGGTGGAGTACGATAAGAATGCGACCTTGCAAGACTCGTAGGAAAAGAGCAACTCGGTCAAGCATTGCATCAGGAAGCACTGGTGGTGGGAGCGTTCAAGTTTCTGATCACTTGTTATGCTTTCTTCACTACGGGCGACCTGATCACCGGCGGGTTCTGATAACTCTGACTGGTGATTTCCACTGCGAAGCAGCTCAATAATTATGGCGTGCACGGCAGCTTCAACCGTCTCATTCCCCCGAGCAGCCGAACTGGGGCCTTCTGGCGGGGAGTCAACTTGCATGACGGTATTGTCCCCTTCGGGACTATGTGGCGATGCTTTTGAAGGTGAAACGTTGGTCTTTAGTCCAATATGAGGCATCGCGTAGGGATGATTGAGTACGCAAAGAGATGTCGTTGACTTAATGAATGCTTGAGGGTCTCGTAAAGCCAAGGGGGTACATTGCCGGACATAGTTGCTGATTTCGACGATTGGGCGAGGCTGGGTGAAGTAACGTTTGATATTGTTGTTCATGATCTGCTGGATTGTACTTTCATCTTCGACGACGTGGCGGAGAATAATTGCAATATAGGATGCGCAGCTTTGTTCGATTCCAGCCTTCATGCGAGCAAGGAGCATATTGATTCCGTTACGCTTGACAAACAGAGTGGACGTTGAAGGGTTGCGCGTCAATATGACGAACAGTCGTAAGATAGAAATCAGCTCGTTTGTAGGGAGATTGACGATAGCCAATATACGAAGAGAAAACTCGAAGATGACATTTCGCGCATCTGTGAGGGGCGGCCCAGAGTACAGGTCCTCTGGAACTACGGGTTCGTCCTTTTTCGGTAACGTAATCGACCGAGGTTCTTCAGCTAAGGTCAATAGAGCCTCTACACAAAGAAGGTGTGCCGCAAGCCACTTAGGGAGGGCGGGCTGATTTGTATCTCCCCCAGCTGGACTAGATAGTAACAGTGCTAGCAGCTTCTCCAGGAGAGAGGCTCGGAGGTCCTGACCGAGCGATGATGGATTGTCCCACATAACCCACGCCAACAACTGGCAGCGGTTGGCCAAAGACTGTTCCGAGACATCATATGCGGATGGGGAGAGCGATGCAACGTCGTCAACAAGGGATCGAACCGATTGCTTCTGCAGATCATTAGATGGGCGAACGAATGCAGTGTGCAAATCGAAGATCAGCTGTGGGTGGTCGTCGACGATGCGTAGCGCGCGAACGGCGAGACTTTCTCGTAGAGGGGTGCGAGCATCCTCTAGTTCCTTTCGTAACTCCTCAGATGATTTAGCCGGAGGCTGGCTAACGATGGGAGGTGCGACTTCCTCAGCGCCAGCAGCGGATTCGTCCTGAGGTGGGGCTATGTCGTCTGAATTATCCGCGCTTGGTGCATCCTCAACTACCTCATCGTCATCTGATGGTGGCTCTGGTTCAACAGGGACAGGATCTGGAGGGAAAGGGACCGGATGAGAGAGCAGCAATTCAGTGGCAGCATTAACGTTGTTGTGGGTGCGCATAAGTGCACTCAGAGCAGCCGACCGGGGGAAACCCATGTCCACCAACTGGTTAATACGATTGTCATCCGGGGTGGCACGAGGAATTCCTCCAACATTACCCAAAATCTGCTCAACCATAGTTTTTGACTTTACGTCCTCATTGTCGGCATTGATGAGTTCAAGGACTGTTTGGACCACAGACTTCGTGACGGGCAAAGGGGCTTGGATCAACCATTCGGAGGTCCATATGTCCGAGAGGAGCGACACTACGGCAAGACGAAGCTTCACAAGGAAGTTATGGGGTTCGAAGTAATCGGGGTCTGTATCCTTCTTGTCGGGTGTGGTGACGAGCATTGTTTGCCCCGACTCGAAGATGGGCTTCGACGAAATGATGGGGTAGATGAGATGCAACGCAATTTTGAGCCCGCCGTAAGCATGTATGAGTTCCTGTTTCTCGTCCTCGGTGCGGTCTTCAGCTTTGATGTCGCTTAGAGTGGCTATGGATGCCATGAATGCTCGGCAGACCTCAGAAACCGAGTCGAACCCCCCAACGTTGTAGAAAGCATGGAGAGGTACGGTATGCAGGTTGATCGTGGACGTACGCTCTACATTGATACATATATTCAGATGTTCGGTAGTAGGAAGGACCGTGTAACCTACCGTCGACTAGCAGCGTTGTCATCAATCCCAAAATGAGACTGTTGTAGGAGTATGTAACCGCATTGCTTCCTGCAGTACAATTTAGTCTCACTATGCGAGGGAATTTTTCCACGGCCAACGTACCGATCTCTCTCTGTGAAATATGTTTCAGTAATACGTCTGCTAGAACTTTTGACGACTGGGCTATTTGCTTCTTCTGCGCGGGGTCCGGATTGCGTCGTGCATGAAACATTTTGACAAGGGCTGAAATTGCTACATCAACAACCTGAAAAGAAAAAGGCAAGTTTACTACCTTGGAAGAATGGCGCTAGGGATGCAGGGATCCCATGCGACAAATGCTTCAACGCAGCAGCATTGTTTTCTCGGATATTGTCCTTCGAACGGGATTGGTCGGCGGGAGTTGAGCCCTCTGGAGGGGTACCGTCCGCAGAACTAGGCCCGACCCCGTTGGTTGTCGCAGTGCCACCTGCTGGAGGGAGGGCCGAGGGCCCTTGGATCGGCGAGCCCAGCGGGGTGGAGGCGTTGGGTGTATTAAGGCCTTCAATCCCTTGCGTCTTGAGTTCGGTCTTGAAGAGAAGATTCTCGCACAAGGTGGCTCTATGTAGAGCTCCCAGATCGGGGACAATTTCAGGACCTTGGTCCCCCATAAGCGTCTGAAGCAGCGAGATCGCGCCACGTCCATGTGAGTAGCCAGCGGTAGCGAACACATCCGAAAGCAACGTAATCCGTATGTGGAGGGTAATGAAGCTGCGGAATATTCTGTTCTTCTCCTCTCTTTGTTCTTCTGCGAATTCCAGAAGCGGCAGAAGCTTCGATTGACCGCCGACCGTTTCCCAAAACTCCTTCGTCTCGTCGAGAGAGGATTTGACCAATTTCATCAAATATGCGAGTGTCTCATTAGTAGCCACTTCAGCCAGCGTACGCATTACCTGGACCATCGAGTCTGAAGCCACGCTGTTGCCGAAGTCATATGGTAGACATGGCAAAGAAGTAAACCGTCCCAATCGCTCGATGCCTCCCACAAGGGTGACGAAGTCTCTGCAATGAGGAATATGTTGGAATAGACCTTCCAAAAACTGAAAGAGGTTAACGACGTTTCTTCGCACAGCAAAAGCATAACTCACTCGGTTTACGACATCAATATACGACACGATGTTATTGTCATGGGAACGTCTTGAGCTCTCATCGCTCAGCTCCTTGACCTCTTCCCCAGGCTCTTCAACGATCGCCTCAATCACACGTGGGCTTGCTTCAGGGGACTCATCCATGTTCACATCCTCCTCACTTGCTACGGCTACGGGGGTCTCCCCTTCCGTCATCTCTACCTCCTCGATCTCCGCCTCCTTCGGCAATAAAGCATACCATTTGACGAGGTCCCCTTCTGCCTTCCAAGCTGCGCCCATATCCTCGATCTTCGTCATGACTACCTTGATACTTTCAAATATCAAACCTTTCAGAGAAGGATGATGTCTGATCAGCTCGTCCATGGATGTCCCGGTCAGGACGGCATTTTCTTTATCCAGTAACACCTTGAGATGTCGCTCGGAGGTGAAGATAGAGAAGATAGATGGAATGATGCTCGGGCGGGAGGATAGTTGTTGTTGCCCTTCTTCATTCAGGCACAAGGCGCCGATAGCATTCGGAATGGCTTGTATGACCTAGACGGCGATTAGTTTTATAAATCAGAGGAGATGACGGTAGTTACATCAATGGCAGGCTCTACTCCAGCCTCAATAGCGCGATAGAAAGTCTCTGGTAATCCCGACTCTTGGATAGTGGGGAGCGAAGTAGGCTCGTTGTGAATGAAGGTCGCCATAATGTTGATAGCTAAACAGCAGTTAGGATACCGAGTCATGCGACTGGACGGGTTATTTACGCACCCACAGGGAGTACGCTGGGTCCAAAGAGCCCTCTATATTCAATGATGTTCTTGATGGAGGTCAAGATAGAGCTGTCGATGAGACCGCGCAATCCCTCGCCTGTTCCAGACGACTGCATCATTCGATGCATCGAGCGCAGGGTATGCTTGAGGATAGCAGCTCTGGAAACGGGTAGATCACCTACGACACTAAGGTCAGAACGATCAGAGGCAACTAATAGGGAACTGCCCGTACCACACAGGCCTGAGGAGTCCCTAACCCCAGGACCACTGCCAAACTCGGCGATATCTAAATCTATCTCAAACTATCGGGAAAAGCTCAGATACAACGACAGTCAAAGAAAGTGGTCGTACGCACCTTGATTCTTTCCACCAAGGCTTCTACGCCTCTCGCAGCGCAAAACACTTGGAAGGCGTTGGCGAAGTTGTAGAGAACATTATCCACTAACTGCATTGTCTTCGATACCATGGGAAGTCGGTTCGGTAGCTTGTTCTCGATCATCTGTATCAATAGTGGCACGAGGCCAGCGCCTACGACCATGTTCCCTCCTGCAAGATGGGTAGCAATATAGGTGATAAATGAAAGGAGCGCCTCGATGAAGGAGTGCGGGATGGTGGAATCGGCGTTTGTTACATCGGCGACGGTCTTGCGAACGAGAGCCAGCAAGATCCCGTGGTTAACCCCTGCGTTCACGGCAGCGAGGATCTCTTGAGCCTTGCTTCGATATCTAGCTAGCGCATCTAAAGCAGCTATGGCGGCTGTTTGAACAGCAATGGGCACGTCCTTGTCCACTTGCAATAGTTCTGCAACGTGGTTGACCACGTCAGGCTCGTAAAGGAACAAAGATGACGCTGCTTGAGCTTCTGGATGGGTGTGGCCGAAAATGGCTATCGCGAGGAGGCGGACAGTGACATATTTCTCGCGCTCGACGCTGTTCCCCTTTACAAGGGCCTTGGCAGCACGAATCCGGCACATCAGCTCAAACTTCTCTTTCTCTGGGATGGAATAGGTTTCAATGGCTTCCTTCAGTATATGCATCACTGGCTTTGATTCGACTGTCTGTTCGTCGATCTGTACGACGGTTGGTCCACGATTTGGTGCGGCGTCTGTTTCCATCTTCTTGTCTTGATCAGCCGAGGTGGGTGCCGCCGTTCGATAGAACGAGAAATTTACTCGGCCGGCCTCTCGGGGGAGAGAATCAATCGCAGCATTTCCGCTTGGGCTGACCAGATCGACGAGACTGACGCCAAAGTCGCGTAGCTGGGGCCACCGCTTGCATAGTGACTGTAGCCGAGGTGTGGAGATGTTCAACGCCTGTATCACGGAGGGTTGATTGGAGTACTGTTGCGCAGGTCGCAGCAGCAAGTTGAGGGCGAGAATAAGGATATCAAGATCCTCCGTGCATAATAGCTGGTTCAATCGCTACAAAGGGTGTCTAGTCTCCGAAGTGGCATCTTATAAGAGGATCACTCACGTCGTAGGAGCTGAATAACTTGCGATTGGTGGAGTTTTCCAGCAGCAATCTTTCAAAGCGCAGTACTTCCGATAGAAGCCTCTTTGATGCGGGCGAAAATGAGTCTAGCTGCAGGTCATTCACTGTGTAGCCAGCGACAATATCCTCGAGAATCGAATCGAATTTGTTTAGGACCTTGATCCAGGCATTTAGGTCTGAACGCGGCCACTTCCAGGTAGTGATCTCGGACAGGACTTGGGCCAAATCCTCATTGCGCGTCCCTAGAAGACTTGATATAAGCGCAGCCACCTGCGGATGCTGCAGATGATGTCAGGAATCAGGATGGGCCCTTGCAGAATGGCAGTCGACCACGACTCACGGGTGGCACGGAGCGCTTGGATTTGTGGAGAATCCTCATTTCCTGCGACTAGTCGAGGAACAAGGATGAAGTTCGCAATCAATTGCACAAGAATATCAGAGAACGAGACCTGTACTATGGATTGGTCACGCGCAGAGAAGTCACAGTAGGCGGCGTCACCTCGAAACTCAAAAGCTGAAAGGTGGCCAGGGTGGCGCAATGCTCGCATAAAATAGAGAAGTTAAATACCACATCGAGGAGCACTTCTACTAGTTTCCTATGGCAATCTCATTATGATGAATCATTCTTCAAATTTCTTAGTATTGCTGTCCAGCTGTCTCTAAATTGTCGCGACTCACAGTGGAAACTGGACGGAGCCGCGGCAGCGGTGCCGGTGATTCGTCAGCAGTTCCCACAGCGCACAGGGGTCCCCTGAGCAGCATGACTTGGGCTGAGTCGATACAACCAAGACTACGCATGCTCCTCGAACTGCAAGTGGCGATACAAGCGCACGGAAACAGGGAGCCATAAGTTCTACAGCAAAATCTGATCACAATTAATATCTGATTAATACTCAACAGCAATAATCCCTTGATTACTGATACAGACCCGGCGTAATTTAATATCCTTACGGCGGCCCCGACACTGTATACTGCTTCCACTCTCATGGGTGATAATTTGTTTCATTTCACACCAAGTAATATTGGAGTGGAGGCGATCTCCCAAAAGGTGACACAATATATTGGCCCATCCATCAGACGCACAAAGGATTCTGATTCAGAAAGTGCGCCGCTTATTTCACTGAACCGGGAGCCTCATGATCAGCGCGCCAGCACTTTACGATCAACCTGCCTTTATGATCAACGTTTGCGTGTGTGTTTCATTCGCCTTGAAGCCTGAAGTTAACTGAAGGGTCGCCGAGTGCCCGTTTCGGATGATGTATAGGTGACATCGCTTCTGCATCATCAGCGTATCATATATACGATCGAAAGATTGTTGTACAGCACCAGCGATGCAGCGATGCATCGATGAACTTTGAAACTGCAGGCACAGTGACTGTAGCGGTGTATACTCGTTAGAACTCCGAGAGAGAAGTGCAGTCTATCTGGATTCTGGCCGAGGGTAATAGAACGCAGCCATGGGGTCGTGACTCGTGGAGTCCACGAACAGGCTGTATACAGTTTTGATACAGTTAGCATTGAACAGCAGGTCTTTGTCTATTTGAGCCCGTGACGTCGTGCATGGATTACATGTCGTCAATCATTGTAATATTCAAAAACTTGGTTTGATCGAAAGCCAAAGGATGCAGGTACGAGGAGCCAATGCCGCCGAATTCTAACTCCCTGCAAGGCTTATCTGCTCGATATGGGAGGCTGTCGATCTAGGGTGGACGCATGGCGCCAACACACCCATGGTTGAAGTTATATTACAACCATTCCATGCCTTCTCTCACGGGGGAAGGCCTAGTAGCCTCTATTCGGCCAGCGTACATCATCGGCATGCTCTATGTATGGCCCCCGAAGTCATACATCGACCTAGCATCGAACGTTCAAACATCTAAGATACGATCGGAAGTTACAACGCAGCTCCACGCCTGACCGTTCATTCATTTCTTGAGGTGGGCCCTGGCCCCATGTTCGATTCACAACACGACGTGATGTGATGTGATGCCTACCACCAAAAGCTCATGGCATAGAAAATAAGCATGAGTGTAAACTTCCTTCCGGTGTCCCATGGGAAATCGCGCGGCGCTTGGCACCATGCACTGCACGGCTGACTGAGACTAGGTCCATGGTATAGGAAACTAAATTAATCGGCGGTCATCTAGGGGCTGGAGGTGTAAAGTAAGAAGTCCTTCTATACATAAACCAGGGGATCGTCCGTGATGATGGTATTGAATTCGCCGGTGAAGGGAGGGAATCGGGTGGTGGGGGTGGTGAAGGTATTAGGGAACCCGGTGGTGCTGCCGAGTGGCGTCTTGGTTTGAAGATGAGCACCAAAATGAGCCCCAGAATGATCAGCAACAGCAAGAAAATGCATTTCCGCCTTCCAGTGTTTTTCTGATAGCTGTAAAATGAAACGGTGATCAATTTCTAATGCAGGTCCGCAAAGATAAGCAGCTTCGAAATACCTGGTGGCGACGTTCAATTCTCGCACAGCGTCTTGCATATTCACCGCAGTTTGTTCGATATTGTATTCCACGCTGTCGAGAAGTGTCCCCTGGTCGATAACTAAAGCCGATAGGTCTCTGAACAGCTCCGCGAGGGAGGATATTGACTTCGCAATCTCCTGCAATTCGCGATCTCTCGCTTGTAGGTCCGTGTTTCCAGTGAACTGCGTTTGTGTTTGGGACTGGGTGGAATGCTGGTGGCGTCACGAGGTGGTGTGACGGGAGCGACAGTGTGAAGATTAGGTAGGAACGAGGGTGGCCAGATGCAAGATGGTAGTACAGCAAGTCCATGAACGGGGGGACGGTGATAGCGGGCAACAACGTGTACGAAGGGTGCGTGGATCACAGCATCCGAGTCGAATCATCAAATGGACGTAACATATTCCAATACAATGGTCATCAAAGCCAAAGTGCGTGCCGTGTCGCGTCGAAATAGGCGAAGATGGCACGTTTCAATTAAAAAGTCGAGGCGGTAAAATTCCATGCAATATTTGTTTTGCGATTCAATATTGGGGGTTTGATTTGAAAGCAGACCCCATGGCGGCGTCGAGCGTTTGTCGGGCGAACCAGAATCATTTAACGGTCATAATAAATCCGGAAGGAATAGTAGCACACAAGCAAGGGAGAAGCAAAGAAAAAACGTGGTGGATATCAGTGATAGTTGCAGGAACGAAAGAATAATAACGCACAGCGGCTTCGACATCTTCATCGACCGCAGACATGCCTTCCGAACCTTTCAGCGATATTGTACCTGACGCGAGCAATAAATCTTGGTTCTTAATCGCATGACCTTGGAGTTCTGGAAGAATGATAGCGGTTCAGCCATTGTCATAAAAGCTGGCGGAAGCGGCGAATGAAAGAAGCAAGTCTCATGACAAAATCGATGAAAAGCTGATCGATACTGAACTCTCAGAAGAGGGAAGTAGTCAACCATGGCACAAGGTACCCTTAGGGCAAGGAAGGATGATCGAAAGGGTCGTGATGGATAAGGCCGAGGCCGTAAACGTGCATGGCCAACGGGATGATGAAGCAAGAATATACTAGAGAAGTAAGCGGACGTACTTTCCATGTACACGCGTTGTTTCTTTCTGAAGGCTGCGCTGAGCTCTTGGACTTTTGCGGCAAGGCCTCGTTGCACATTCTTAGCGGTCAGAGCCTCGTGGTGATTGGTCTGAGCGTTATACGGCGATGGAGGGAAAGGGTGCGGCGTGGAGGCGGCCAAAGTACCGATGCGTTGAATAAGGGCTTGACATTTCCGGAAATCCTGTTATGATGGACGCCGGTTGGAGATGAAAGACGAACGCGATGGATGAGTTAGGCTGCGTGGTATGACGTTAGAGACGAAGGAACAAAGACGAACTCGAGTGATTTCGGTCGCGGCTGATTCAATCTCCTGCTCCTCTAGTGATCGGTCCGTGAAACCGGGGAGGACATGTTTGGCATGAAGTTTCTCGAGGGCGGTGACTGGACAAATGGGAGTTGCAGAAGAGGCGAAAGTGGCGAGAAGCGTAATTAGATATCGGACGAGTTGAAAACGTGGTGATATGAGTTGAAACAGCGTGTTTCCGGACAAAGAAATTACAATTACCGACTTTTGGCTTGGGTTCCTGCTAGGATATCCTCGACCTGGTCCGCAACATCTACCCTGTTGCAGCACAAAGGACTAAATTCAGCACGTATACGGCATTTATGCGAGCGCTCCCACCATTTCGGGGGCAAAGCATCAACTTCTATTGCAGCATGGACAGGCTGCCCGCTGCTGCTAATGAGGCCTTCACGTTCGTCGTCGTCTTGGGCATAAGGGTCTGGATACGAGTCAATTCTTGAGCGCGAGCGTCGCGACGAGCGTGCGGTTGAGTCGCGGTATGAGAGAAAGAGAAGGGTCCGAGAGCGAGTTGCCATTGAGTCCAGTGCATCCCGCCGCTGTATGGAAAGGCTACGTACCATTTTCCCACGCGTCGAGAAAGAGGCCGGCCGGAGCTGGCTTGCGCCGGCCGAGGGCTTTGTGAAAGCCGTTGAAGAGATCGGAGTTGGTCGCAGATATCATCATTGCTTGACCGAATCCGGAACTTGCAACAAATCTGCCTCGAATCTTTCTCCTGGTTTTCCCTATAAAGGCCCATCTGATTCCTTCTAAAACCTTACCCCACCATAGCAAACACTCCTCCGCGTTCATTAATCCAACCCCCAACCTCTGTGGTCGCTGCACACCCGCACGCTGCACAGCCCGCCCAAACCTGGTGCCCGCCCGGCCCCCTGTTCTCTCGCGACATATATAGGGCGACGCTGCCCAGACGCGCTGCCTGATCCATCACAAACACCCACACGACCGAATGTGCAATTACGAGACGTGTGTACTTTTCCAGCTCTGCGTACAGCACACCCCTAACCCCTGATGCTACAGCGAAGGGACGAAATACGGCTGTGGCCACTACAAAGTCGTGAGTCGACGTGTCACTGCAAGCCAGCATCGCTCGCTAAGCGTCCTGCCACACAGACAAGGAAACTGACCAAACGGGACTGCGGAAATCGCTACTGCAAGTTCTCGTCTCGACACGCGAGACCATGTCCACACTGCCCGACTTGCGAACAAGTGAGCTGCTTCTCCTTTGACGCTGTCTATTAGATGCTGAATGAGCGTTGAACAGTATCTTGGTCCGGACTTCAAAGAGAATGTCGTAGAAGTCAGACAAGAGTACTGCACGACCTGCCACTACTGGTACGAGGGCGAGGGTGCTCGTCCTCGCCGGTAGCGTCGACATCATTTCCCCGCTGCACCGCTTCTCCACCGCAAGGCTCGCCCCGAACCGCTTAATGTGGCCTCACTGCCATCGTCTCGCCAATCATCACAACTTGCATTCTAATCAAGTACATTATTTATTCCCCATTAACTTACACCACATGCCCCCGCCTAAATCACTCCTTCCATTGCCGGCCTTTGGTCGGACTTGCTATCTTGCTCTATTATATATCACGCTCCCCGCTATCACAGCTTTCGTCATCGTCAGTAGCCACGATACCTATTTCTCCAATGCATCTGCTCAAATGTACCATTCATCGCATCTTCCCCTTTTCCATAATCAAAGACTCCTATAAGTATTGTACAACAAATCTATGACTGCGACGCCTCCATCACCACTTGACGGCCAATCCTATCACTTCGCTCTCAACAGCCCGATACTGAGTCCGGAACAGCCGCTTCCGAGTCTCTTCCGCTACTTTATTACCATGCCATTCCACCAAACAACCCATCATTCCGTCTTTAGTATCCACATCATGAAAAGTCCAATCAAAATCGATAGGAAGACGTGCAGAGTCACATGGCTCGTCTGCAGCCCCTGCGCCGGCCCGACGTTCTTGAACACAACTGTCATCGGCGTTCTTTATGAAACCATTGAGCGTAGTAGCTCCTGTATCTGCTGCGGTGTCTCGAGGTCCAGAAGCTGGCTGATAACAAAGGTCTAGTAGCACCCTTCGGCTCAGCATATTGGCCCCCTGGTAGTACCTTCTGAGCTGGGCAAGTTTCAAATTTGGAGTGGATGATGACGACAGACGATCATGATCAGGAGGATTAGGCACGGAAGGTTCTAGGCTCGAAGTCGATAACGAAAGCGTAGAATCCACGCCTAACCAGTACGATGCTTCAACCTGCCTGGTCCACTCTTTGTCCCCCCATTTGGCAGCGATACCGGATGTCGGGTCGAATTCAGAGCTGGTGGTGCTCGTCGCCACTCCACTCTCCGTCCAGTCTCGTGGAAACCCCTCGGCATCCTTTTCACGCCCTGTAGGGACACGGGGAGTGTATCTCGATTTCAGCTGCCCTCCCCCGTTGACGCACCCGCCTGGGCATGCCATGACCTCGACATAATCGTACCGCGAATCTTGGCCTCCAGAACTAGTGGCGTTTCCCTTGACACCACGCCGAAGTGCCGCACCCCGCCGTGGCCCAGCTAGCCTGCCAGCTGCGCCTGAACCGACTCTGACACCGCTCTCCTTACCAACCTTCCTAACAACGTTTTGCAAATTTCGGAATCCGTAACACTTGGCACCTTTGAACACGATCTCTCCTTCATTAGGTTTACGGAGGATGTATTCCTCGTAATCAGCATTACGCATGGTCTGCGCGGATAGGGTGAGCGGGACCGGCGAAGTCTGTCGAATGTAGTCGAGGATAGCTTGTAGGTATGAACCTGATGACGATCCCGGGTGGGTGATTAGTTCAGGGAAATAGGCGTCTTCGGAGGAGTCAGGGTGATGATCTAACTCGCCCGGTACAAATTCGGCGAGGTCGAAGTTCTTCTCTCGCATCATGAGTTCTAGTTCCCCCGTGGTGATGACACAATCTACGTCCCGTGTCGAATATACGTCGTTGTAAAAATCTTGACGTGACGCCTCTAACTTCTTATCATAGCAAGGCATGACAGAGACATGATATATCTCGTGGGGCCTAATATCCCAGTATCAGTCATCATCCAACCCAGCTGAATAATCCGCCTACAGTTTTTTCCACTTCATGCCCATCCAATTTTTCACCAAGGTGCCCATGATTTGTTGCGGGCTTTTCGTAGATGCGATGAACGGCAGCATTTCGGCGTGAGTTTTCTCTGCGTAGCATATCCAGCCCGGGCATGCACTGGCCAGCATAGGGAGCTTTGCATCCTTCCTTCGCTCTAAGAACTCGCGGATATGCTCCTGTAACGCCATATGCCTTGCGAAGGTCGTGTCGAACACATGCGAAAAGCCGAGGACGTTGAGGCAGAATGTCTGTATCCGTCGCAGGACTTGCCGTGGAGTGATGGGAGAAGATGGGGTGGATATGGAGGCTGCGAGTGATGCGAGTGACTGAGGTGAAATCGATATAACGGGTACTTTGTCGGTATTAGTTTCGAGTACATTTAGTACCTCTACATGGGATTGCAGTGTTATCAGTACGGATTCCGCAGAAGTAATGCATCCGCTATACACAAATCAGTATACCGTTTGTTTTATTCAGAGAAGCAATTCACCTGCACGCCAGGCAGTCATTAAGATTAATCTGCGCCTGTTCCAGCTTTCTGTCCGTGCGCGAAGGCTCATTTCTATCAAGTCCATTCACAGCAACCTCATGGTAGCCCCCGCTTGAATCTATGCGGATCTCTGTCTACAGCGCTGTCAACTCGACGTCCCCCACATTGATCGCATGCGACTCACCGAAGCGGCAGCTGCATCTGGCGTTTGACTTCGATTTATTTGCTCCACTGGCTTGATGCAGGCCTGAGACGGCGTAATAAAGTCATTGAGGTCGGTTAGCGTCTTTCAACATTGCAAGAGTCAGACAATGTGCGCCGCCAATAGTCATCGCGGGCTTACGAGTGCACCAGAGAAAGCCATATCGACAAAATAGGAGTCAACAGGTTTGATGTGATTGAGCGCTTATTTGAGCGCTTGCGTCTATTACGAATCGGGTCCTCGAGTCCCAACGTTTGCCTGTATTCACCGCGTTCTTAAGTCCTTCGCACAGGCTTGGGCGCCGTGGCTCACTGCCAAGCGGTGCAATATAGTACATCAACATTGCCTACCCGAATCCGTATACTTACCACGTGCAGTCAAGTCAGAGCGAGTCACTTGACTTTGACTCACAGAGAGGATTAAATACGACCGGGCCCAAGCACGTTTGTGCCAACCGACAATGACTACGCTACGCTCATTTCAAGTGGACATAGACAACATACGGGCACACGAAGTGTCCAAGCAGCGCAAGCATGCGATTGCCCAAATGGATCAGGAGAACGTGAAAGGCAAGGGGAAGGAGAAGGAGAATGGGGAGAAGGCTGCAGCGGTGAATGTACTCGACCACTACGACCTTGTGAATGAAGATGCGGAGGCCTCCATTCAAGTGAGCGATATGTGCGCTGCAGCGTTGAGTCGAACTAACCCCATGGACCAAGTCACTCCTACTGACGAAGACCCTTCCCGATCGCGACAAAGCTAGAGATAATCTAGCCGCGTTGATTACCCAGAATCATGGCGAATACGTCCTGCGTATGGGGTCACGCCCGCCCTCGATAAATATGTTCGCTGGCGATCTTAACGACGACACGGACGGGTACACGGGTACCCCTCGGACGGCAGGGGAGTTGGATTATCTGACTGAGGCGATCAGTGCAGCGCTAGATGAGATAGGGGGGAAGGTGCGTAGAGTGGTTCGTCCATCGAAGACTAAGCTCATTGCCACCATTATAACCTTGAAGACTTCAATATTATTCCGAATAGATGGCAAACATGCACGAACATCACTCCTTCTCCGTCTTCCCCCGCCCAGCGTTTCACTAACGCCTGAAGTTCGATGTGCAGTGGTTGGTAACGTAGATAGTGGCAAATCGACAACATTAGGTGTACTCACTCGAGGTATGCAGTCTCGAAGATCTATGACCTCTCTAACAATCAGCAGGCGCCTTGGATGACGGAAGGGGTAGGGCGCGAGTGGGACTCTTCCGCCACAAACACGAGATGGAGACTGGTCGGACGTCCAGCGTGGGCATGGAGGTCAGTCGCATCATTCCTTCGGCACAATCCATTGAAGTACTTACGATCTGCGGAGATATTGGGCTTCAACACTTCTGGAGCACCGATACTCCCAAATACCGCCCACTCCAACGATCCGGACACAATACGACGCGAGAAGATGGGCTGGGAGGAAATATCCACCCAAGCTGCGAAGATCGTGTCTTTCATCGACCTTGCTGGACACGAGCGGTATCTGAAGACAACATTATACGGTCTGACGTCTGGTGCACCTTCGTGTATAATACTCATCGTTGGAGCCAATGCTGGTCTCATTGGCATGTCGAAGGAACATTTGGCTATTGGTCTGGCACTGGGTGTTCCCATTGTTGTTTGCATTACCAAGGTACGGTTGTCTGCAGCCCGAGTGATTTACTACATCACTAATGGGATGTAATCTTCACGAAGATTGATATGACCCCAGCAAATGTACTGGCGGAGACACAGAAACAAGTCGTTAAGATCCTCAAGAGTCCTGGATGTCGGTCAGAAACCACATCTACGTTCATAATTATGATAAGTATTAAACAACCCCACAGGAAGGTTCCTGTGTTTGTCAAGTCGACTGAGGTCGCCGTGGAGTTAGCACAATGCTTCGGCCGAGAGAAGTCAGCCTTTCGCACTCCTGCCTTATCTTGGGTATCGCTTACCATTGGACTCTAGGCTATGTCCCATATTCCAATTATCCAACGTCACCGGCGAGGGACTCGACCATGTTCGTAGTTCCACCGACCTACCCACTATCTGCTAACTCTGGTGCAACAGTTCCGCACATTCCTGAATTTGCTTCCTTCCAGCGAGGCGGACGAAGATAAGTTCGCTATCAACCACCCGTTAGAGGTTACTATGCCGGCCTTACCCCTACGCTTATACACACACACTCATGCTACGCTTCACAGTTTTCCATTACAGAGATCTGGTCTGTACCGTACGTCGGCACCGTCGTCAACGGAATCGTCAACGCAGGCACCGTCAAGACAGGCGATGCGGTGATGTTCGGTCCAGACGCCAACGGGAACTACCAGAATACGATAATAAGGAGCATGCAAAGGAAGCGGTCAGTACTATCTTATGATGATGCCAACCTCGGTGGTTAATACCAAGTGGATTAGGGCCAATGTAAAATCCGCGGACGCAGGCCAATGCGTGTCGCTGGCGCTCAAGCGGACCCGTCGTGCAGATGTCCGCAAGGGCATGGTACTCGTGCATAAAACTGAGACCCCGCCACGCCGTAAGCTCCACGAATCGCTTGGACGCGGCGGGCTAACTTCCGTTTACCACAGCGGTTAAGCAGTTTGAAGGACAAGTACTGATTCTATAGTAAGTTGATCATTACTTCGACGTTGGGTTGACGTTGAAATGACACGGCCGCTAGCCATAATACGACTCTTCAAAGAAATTATCAGGTATGTCATTTGCATCCCCCCTCCACACATCACTGACTTCATCTCGCAAAAATAGGCGATGCTTCACTGTGGGGTTAGTCATGGGGCTGCGTGTATCCCAACAAACTCCTTTGCTCACAGTTACACCACAGGCCATCCGTCAGACAGTCCGAATAATAGGGATGGACCACCCAAATGGAGTGCTCCGTACAGGCGACCGAGCGACGGTTCAGTTCGAATTCATATCGCACCCAGAGTTCATCAAGGAGGGCATGAAACTACTTTTCCGCGAGGGCAAGACCAAGGTGTGTATTTCATTCTTCTCTGTATTCTTCTAATAATCGAGAACGGCTTATAGGGACTTGGTATGATCACCCGTTTGCTGTAAACGTGCTGCACGCCGTACCAACCCTCACACTGTGTATTTCGTTCTTGCTGTGTTAGATTATTGATCTGATTATTGTTGTATGTAACACTTCCCGCTCTCAAGTCGACGCTGATGCGATACATATCGTTCCTGTACTATTACATCCACGAGTAACCGAACTATCTAAACTAATTTACATCTCCCAATACATCCTTGACTTTGGTTACCATCCGTTTGTCTTCATCGCCTGGTACGAAGCCTTCCCTGGCCTCCAACACTAGACCAGCAAGTTCGCTGAGAGACAAAGGCAAAAGGGTTATACCCTCATCCGTGAGCGGACGTTTTAGCTCCATCGTGAGCTGCTTCGAAAAACCCTGCACACTCGTCTCCTTCAACTCCACATCACCTTCTGAATCACCCCTGCCCTTGACTGCGACCAAGATTCTGTCGATCGGCTGTGATGTAGTGGGCCGCTTGAGAGCCCAAGTATTTCTGAATGTGCCCGTCGACGGTAGGGCGAGTACTTCGTGGGCTAGGGATATGATCCCTTCGTAGTCTTCAGCAGTTACTTGGAGTACTCTCCCCATCGCATCGACAGCAATAGCGGCGTCTGTGGCGCCGTGGAACAAGGCCAATGTAAACCCTTCTGGCTGTACGGGGTCGTTACGCAGCACCGCGAGCGACAGGGCTGATCTCGTTGGCTCGAACAATGTCGGATTCGGATTCGGTGTCGCTCTGCTATGCCAGTCAGCGTATCTGGACGACCATTCGGCTGTCGACATTATAACGCTGAAGTGGTTGTCGTCAAACAGTGACTGGTCTTGAGATTGAGCGGTAGCGAGGATGGTGAAGAGCAGAGCTGCGATAGCGAATAAAGGAATCATTTGAAGTGCTGGGGCGCAGCAAGTCCGATTAAGTATGCGGTTAGCTGATGCAGCCATGTGCAGCCATAGCTTTTGCAGCCCAGAAGCTGCCAGAGCATGCGCACCTCCGAGTCTCTGCAAGCTGGCTCTAGTCACGTCTGTCACAGACCTGTGACAGATGAAGTTTTGATTCTAAGGAGCGAAACGACATACCACCACAAGCACAAGGCCTGGTCGGCAACGGCTGCCCCACGGTACAGATTCTTGGAATATTACTGTGTGTCTTGGCGAGACCAACACCAACACTGGTGCGCAGGCCAGTACTCTTACTCAACAGTTTCTTCAGACCAGTCCTGCTAAGGAGCTGTTCAATAGCCTTGACACTTATCATGTAGGGGTTGCCAATAGAGCATATTTAGTCCGATTTATCGCAGGAATTGAAAGCATGCGCTACAACTTGAATGTGTAAGGGTTGTGCAATTAATCACCATGATTTGAATTCAGGTTGACCTTCCTTTCAAAGGGAATTGCGACTGAGAGCTGGCGACCTTGTGCGTCCGTCGTCACCTTGCTTGCTGAACGACTTGACCACCAAAGCATTCAGTACGCACACTCTGTATAGTGCCACATTGTCAAGCAAGACACCTCCTTTGCAACAATGCCTGAGGGCCAAGATCTTGGTGTCTCAACCCAACGTCAAAGTTCAATTTTGTCACTGATGTATGGTGAGCTAAGCTGCACATAGTGTTAGAACTCCTAATTTTGAGTTTTTTTTTCGATGCAGGGATACTGCGAGACCTCTGCAGCACCCTCGACCATTGTAGACCACATTTGTAACATTTTACACACCACAAGTACTTGTCTCGTTTCATTTGGTACTTCTTGTATCGTGTTTATAATTATGGACAGTACATTATGACCAAGGGTCCTGCTTGGTTCCTGCTACTTGAAGCTCATTCTCGGCATCCTGTTCCCGGCGCCGTTTGTTATTGCAACCAACACAACCCCCGGATTATCGCCCTCACAGCTCGCCGACTACCGCGATTAGTGCATGAAACTGATCAAAGAGCAATTGGAAACTCGAGTCGGCCAAGTATCTAGCATGAAGAACGAATCTCTGTGGAAAAGTTGGAAGCAAGTAGTAAACCGGAGCACGAACTACCGAGTTCGAACTCCGATCTAGGTGCTTGACGAACAAATGTGACGGCATGTTGTCTCTTCCCGTGCTTTTCAATAAGCACCAACCAGATGTAATGAGTGGATGCAGGTCGACACTCCAGCACGACATCACGGAAGCATCTAATCGCTCGAGCGCGTCGTTCTTGTCCATGGCTTTTCGTTAGCAATTTAGAAATTGAGACAGTAAACTACATTTTAGGTCGAGAGCATAAGTACACTACCCTCCGTGAATCAAAACATACATGTAAACGGATCATATTCCATTATAACGCAGAGAAACCAGATTGACCGTTGGAGTCCATTGTCCATGACGGCCAAACCATGTGTAGTGTGTGTGAGTGGCGGATTAACTGCGGTTCCTATTTCCATTATTCTTCTTCTTCGACTGTGCTGGGATTTCAACGGCGCGCTGACATACTGGGCACCTCCCTGATACGTCGATCAACCACGGATCTAAACACGTTTTCTGCCAACACAGAAGTCAGAGAAGAGAAGGGTAAACGTAGAAGCGGAGACCAACGTGGAAAACATGACCGCAAGCTAGCAGTCGTAGGGGCTGCGCACCCTCTCCGGCGTCCGTCAACCTAAGTTTATCCTCGTCACTCTCCGAAGATGGGGTCTCGACCCCGATCTCCTGCACAGCAGCAGACGGCTCGACGAGTGTCGTGTTGGCGTCGGTCGCGGGGGGCTCTCCTACGAGCGAGTCAGCCTTGCCCTCACCCGATGGCTGGCCTTCATTGCCCGACTGCACACGTTTAGGTTCTTCAAAGTCCATCAAACAAATCGCGCACGCCGCGCGGTTTCCTTCCAACTTTACAAACGGATATTCGCACTGCTCCCATTGGTTCTCCCACGTTTGAGGATCTTCAGCGCCCTTTCCTGACGGAGACTTTGCATCTTCCCCACCCTCGCCCTTCTCTGACGTCGACGTGGCCAGTTTCTTGCGCGATATCCGTAGGAATTTGAACCGCCGCGAGGGTGTTGACGGTTTTACGGTTGTCTTTGGCGGGTAGGCATGTACTGCCTCAGGGACAGTAACGGGTGATTTGGAATCCTCGGGGGATGGTGGAATGTACATGACAAGTGGGATACGGTCGACCACCGATTTGGGCAGCTTACCGATTTCTGGCTTGATGAGAGACGGGTTCTGCAAAGGGTGCCGCCCTAGGCACATCAGCAGGATGTTCCAGCATAACTACGCAGGATATCAGCAGAAATGTTAGATAACGGGTCGTTGTCCACGTACGAAGAGAATCGGTGCGATAACGAAGACGACGAATCCGATTAGGACTACCTCGAGGACCATGATGTACATTAAGCACAAGATCCCGAAGACAAGCCACCAGAGATGCGGTGACGAGAAGCGACATGTATTGATTGATGTATACTCCAGGATATGAGCAGTGAGGAACCAGCTGAGCGTCAAGAGAGACGACAGGAGCGAAAGTCTAGATATGGCAAGTCATGAGTATCGCGACAGCGCCTCTGCCTAGACCAGACGAACCGCGTGTACAGTATAGGACGGATCGGGGGTGGGGGTGGATCGCGCGGATTACGGCCGTCCATAGTCGAATTGCGGGACGGCCTGCTCGTTGATGCGGGTGCTGGTTGACGGCGTAAATCAGCATTAGTCTGGTTCATTGATGGTTCAATGTTGGCAGCTTCAGCATCATTAGGGGCTGGTCTGCATAGACTGTTAGGTCATCCAGTCAGAGGAAGCCCAAAAGTACCCACCCTTCACGGTCCCGTTTCCAACCCCAGTAAGTGAGAACGCAGGCTAGCGCTACCCTCCCCACCCACAGACAGCACCAAACACCCAGAGGACGAGAGCATGCTGTCCATTCTGTCAGCCCCGGCATCGTTGGACTTTCCGTATTTGCTGAGACGGCCAAGAGTGCCACGATCACCACGAACTAACGAAAAGCACATCAGCACGAGTCACTGAGTATGCAAAACACCAAGACGAGCCTGCGCAAAGCCAAGCGCTAGATTCCATAGCAGAGACACGAGGAGTCGGCGTGAGTGCGATGCGCCCCGTCCATAGCCAAAGAACGCCATGATTTTGCTGTACCAGGACAGGTTGTGCTGTCGTTGAGGTTGGTTCAGCAGATTTGCGGCCCCACGGTGGTGCGCTTGGGCCTCCTCCATCTGCTGCATCATCAACGGCGGGGGTACCCACATCCCGCCGACGGTCGCGGCGGCATTGTTGGCGTCGGGGGGAGTCACGGACGAGGGGTTTCCGATAGTAGAACGATTCATAATCTGATCCCGTCGAGCATCGCTCAACCCCAGAGGATGCTGGGAATGACGAATCCGGTCCCGGTGATGGCGCCTGGTCGTTCTTGGGGGTTGCAAATCGCCCATCGACCGCACTCTGCGCAGGCCAGCGACCGTATCAGCGTTCCTTGCGTCCGTCGACATTTGTGATGAGTTATTCATGGTTGATGGGCTGAGCAGCGGTCGAGGTCGAGCGCGAGGCAACTCCAGAGGGGTGAAATTGACACTGGAATTGAGTACGTGTCGCAATCAACTGAATGACGCGACAGCTTGCAAGTACGATGAGGAAGGGGGGACAAGAACAACGACCTCTGAGCGATTTGTGACGGTAGGACGACAGGCCTGTTGAGGAAATAGGCGCCAACTCAGGGAAACTACTCCTCAGTTGATTCCAGATGCGATTACAATGCAAGAAAACATGTAGTAAGACAACAACAGCAGTAATAGACAGCACTCGACAGTAATGTATCCAATTTAATATTAGGAGGTAAAATATTGAGAATTACTTCAGTTCGCGCCAGAGGGGCGTCACAGCTTGCGCAACGGTGTTAGCCGCGACCTCCAGGCAGTTTCGGTCCGTCTCGTCTTCAATGCTGTTGAGAAGGCCACGAGAACGCCATCGATCGGGGTGGAAGCGCCTGTGGCATTTCACAACGAAGGGTTTGTAGTCTTGGGGCTTCATGTGAAGCTTTACTTGATGGAAGAATTTCTCGACATCTTGCCATTCGATGTCCTCGGCTTTAAATGACATGGGTGGATGAAGAACAGGCCATGGGATATCTTCGAATGTGAGGGGAGAGCTGCGGGAGTATTTAGCTTCGTCGAAGGCATCGCTAAGCACCTTGCAGCGCTCCAAAGCTCGTTGAACGGTCCAGGGGCCTGCCGACCATCGTTGCTGCCGCTGTCGTCTTTCTCGCTCTTGTCGAGCCTCTGCCTCCGCTCGTCGGCGTCTCAGGGCCTCTTCCTGTCTCCTTTCCTCTGCCTCCCTCTGAGCCCTAGCCTTTTGCTCCTCCTCTGCTCTCTTAGCCTCCGCGGCTCGTCTTCGGGCCTCTGCAAGTCGCCGTTCTTCCTCTGCTTGTGCTTGCTCTTGTTGCTTGCGTCTGGCCTCTGCCTCCCAGAGCGGACGATCTGCCTCGAGCTCAGCCAGTTTCCGCCGAGATTCTTCTATAGATGCTAGCCTCGCAACTTCCTCGTCATCGATACTGTCTTCTTCGTCAGCGGCTTCGTCTTGTTCTCTATGCCCGTTCTCGTGGTGTGTACCATTTGTAGCTGGGGGATCTGTTAGACAACTTAGCTGTACGTTCGTCCAACGTTGTAGGAAACTTACCCTGGATGTCGGCCATGACAGATTCCATGATTTCCTGATCTCTGGCTCGCCGTCTCTGCTCAAGTTCGGCCTCCCGACGCTCCCTCTTCGCCTTCTCCCTATCTAGACGTTTCATTTCTAGCTTTCGCTTGGCAGCGACAGGGGACACCGTTCGAGTACGCTTCGAATTCACGTTTGTTGCATAGTTGTACGCGTTGCGGTCTTCCTCCAATGGTTCAGTGTAGTCTGGGTCTTCTCGGGTTGCTCGGATGGAGTTATATAAGAATTCGACTGTATACCTTGTAAGCATGAGGCATTTCGGACATGTGTGACTTTACCTTTTCTCTTCGCCTTGGTTTCCGAAGGTGGTGCAGTAGTGGAACGTTTGGGCGACGGAGTCGTCGGGACGGGGATATCAGTCAAGTTTTGCAAGTGGGACAACTTCTCTGTTCGGTGATCGGTCTTCTCTCTCCTAACCTTCCTGTTTTCTTGAATCATCTTGCGCAGACGTTCCACCCCAGGGTTCCTAGCACCGGCTGAGGCGGATCGAGAGCGCGAGCGACGAGGCGGGGGAGGAGGGTCATCTACAACCATGTCATCCTCGTTTTCAGACGAAGACTCGGCCTCTTCTACGAATGCTCTCTTCGATAGACGTTCCGAAGAGGGTGATGATCTGCGTTTTCCGTTCTGCTTCTCCGGGGTCGGAGGAATGGCAGTAGGTTCGCGAATTGGTGGCTTTCGCGTTATCATCGGTATTCCTGGTGACGCGGGCACGTAACAGTCGTACTCTGGATCCAGCTTGTATATATCCCATTGGTCGTGGGACAGCTCGTAGAGCTCGCTAGTGACATTAGGACAAGTTAATAGCTTATGACAGATTTAAAGGCTCACCCATGCTTACCCGCAAATGTCTACAACGCGAGGCCACGTCCCCTCATCTACAACACCGTCCTCCAGACGCGCTTTGGGCACGAAACGCCAACGACAGTATCCACTCGAGCTGATTTCAATTACAATCCTCTTTGGACGAAGAGGGGTATCGTTAATGTTTATCTTGCGTACATCGTCGACGTCAAAGTATGCAGAAGCAGCGCGAGCATCGTGCGTCGCGAAAATAAGTTGTCCGTTAGACCCCCTCAACAGGCGAGTGCGTTGCGATGGGTCTAAGAGGCCCGGTATAAAACCTGACAGTATCCGCGGAGGAGGAGTGGTCGATGAGCTTGCTACTGGACTGGCCATTGCATGGACGCGCAATGGTGGACGGTGGACTCTAAAGTAGAGAACTTTTCGGAAATAATTGTCCAGTTGTGAAGACAACGCGGGGCACCACGTGACCATGATCATTATTGCCACTCTCGGAAATCATCGTCACGGCGTCACACCAGCGTGACTCGAACAAGTCTGCAACCTCAGAAGTGTAAGAACCGTTTTATTCAACAGCGTTCATACGACGCGGGTTGGCAGCATTTTTCCTTGTCCGGTGGTCACAGCAACACTTAGAATGGGTTAGAAGCCCTTGGATAACGGTCCACAGCTGAGAGGTACTACTGACACTAATTACGGGGTTAATGCTAAATTTACGCCTTAGGGGGTATCTTGTTGCCTGCGGATAGGATTATATCCACCCGTCGCCGTTACACCTTCCGTCGAACGATGATTGGTGGGTGTTCAGGCGAAAATGCTTCCGGGCAAGGCATTGCTCCAATATGCCGACTTATGGCCCCTCTTTCCATTCATTCATAACTTCCATGGCCGTAGTAATTAACAATATGATGTTCACCTTTATGAAACTCAAATTGCGCACATATTTCACCAAGAAGGCAAAGCCTGTCCCCTCGGAAGGCGATTCAGTTTCGAACATTGCCAGTACGGTCAGTCCAAGACAGCCGGCCTCGCATGATCGACTGTAGTCTAATGCATGCTGCAGTCTACAGGGATCAGCAGACAACCCAGGTCGTTCTCCCATGTACAGGGCTGGAAGCAAGTATTCTCCGAGACGCAGGTCGTTCCCAATTGCTCTTGTGTCTTTTGCATGACCATGAGAGCCCACGACGCTCATGATACCCATGAGGTTAGCACTCTATTTCTCTTCGGAGATGCTCAAACCTGATCTCAGCCATTGCATATAGGTACCTACAAGCCCCTCAGACGGGTCTCCGCGCCCACAATCCCACTCATGTACCCCTTCAGTACCACCAATGGCTAGTGTCTACGATGTGCTATACCCATCGAGGCGCGCTCCCTTAGAGCCCAGGGGGGATATTCCTACTTCTACCACGGCTGCTACTCACGCAGGAACGCGACCTCGGAAGGTCCCTGCCGGTGGTGAGAGATGTGAGCCGCGCCCCACTCGGGCCCGCGTAGATGGCTACTTCACTGGCACCATCGATTCCTTGGACACGCCTCCACCGTACTCGAAAAGCGACCCTATACGCAGAATAGGCTCAGCTCCCTATTACACGTCTTAGTTTTTCCGTTCCCCTTTTCCTGTATTGACTACCATATATTCATGAAATTGTCCTTGTGCGATTGGTGGGAAAGATTCCGCTGCAAATAGTTACCGCTCGATTGCCGGAGTGTCAGTTCCCACGTGAGCATGACGGTGTGCAATCGGCGTCGAAGCATGAAAGGGCTGAACACGTCGATGCCTTAACCTTTTCTTCGCTCCCCCACCACTCAGTCGTTCGTTTGGGACGAATTTGCACATTCCGCATTGCTGCAACAATGGCTGTCCCTCGCAGTTTAGCTCGCGCGTTCGCCACGTTTAACGCCGCTGGAAAGTCGGGTCAAAGGTGAGTTTGTGCACAAGAATATGCCGTGTTTGCCTTTTGAGATAGTTCAAGCCCCACAGGTACCGGACAGTAACGTTATGGTTGACTTTGAGCTAACGCCCTGTTTCAGCAATCGTTATGATGAATATGGGAGGTCCCTCGACGGTGTGTTTGGCTATTGCGTCTAGGGTGCACGCTTAGACTGTGTCAATGTCACTTCGCAGGTACCGGAAACCCACGACTTCTTGAAAAATCTGTTTTCGGATGGCGACTTGATACCTCTGCCGTTCCAGAGTGTGCTAGCTCCGTTTATTGCGCGAAGGAGAACGCCGCAAATAGAGAAGCAATATGAGGACATCGGAGGTGGTTCCCCAATCCTTCGTTACACGCAAATCCAGGGTGAGGGCATGGCGAAACTTTTGGACGAGCTACACCCGGAGACAGCACCGCACAAGGCGTATGTAGCGTTTCGTTACGCGAAACCACTTACTTCGGAAACGGCGCGGCAAATGAAAGCGGACGGCATCAAGCGTGCCGTCGCATTTACCCAGTATCCGCAATATAGCTGCAGTACGACGGGCAGTAGTCTCAATGAATTATACCGCCTGAATAAGGCAGGGGAATTTGGCAATGATGTAGAGTGGAGTGTTATTGATCGCTGGGGTACACATTCGGGTTTCATTGAGGTAGAGTTCTCACCAAGATCAGTTAATTGTCTTCTGGTGCTAAGTCGTTAATTCTACAGTCAGTAGCCCAACGCGTCGAAGCTGCGCTCGCCAAATTCGCTCCTACAGATCGAAAAGATGTCGTAATACTGTTTTCGGCCCACTCGCTACCAATGTCTGTTGTAAACCGTGGTGACCCTTACATACTCGAGGTGGCGTCGTCCGTGTCCGCTGTGATGGATCGCTTAGGACAGTCAAATCCATATCGGTTAGTGTGGCAGTCCCAGGTCGGACCGCGGGCTTGGATGGGGATGCAGACAAGTGAGGCGTTGAAAGGGCTGGCTCGCTTAGGGAAGAAGCACGTCGTCCTGGTACCTATCGCGTTTACGAGCGACCATATCGAAACGCTATACGAGCTAGATCTGGAATACGGAAAGGAAGCAGAAGAGGTGTGCTTTATCCCTAACTTAATTGCCTACCCTGCTGACCGTTCCTCGGCAGCATGGCATGGAAGTTCATCGTGCGGAGTCGTTGAACGATTCTCCGGTATTCATTCGGGCACTGGCCGATATGGCTGCCCAGCACCTCCGGGAGTACAAAGCAGGGACTATCGGACCAACGAGCGTCCAATTAGGCCTGCGGTGTCCGGGTTGTACGAATGCAACATGTGGGCAACAGAAGAGCTGGCTCGCGCAGGGGAAGCGGTGATATGTAGTAATACGGCGCATTTCAATTATGTTCATACCTTTTTTCTGAGAACCCCAAAACACGATCAGCTAAGAACCACGAAAATTCCGTGAGGTTGTTTAACCTGCACCTCATGTTTGTCCGATCATAGCTCCGTCACAAGAAGAAAAAAAGCACGGACAGGAAGCAGGGAACCAAGATGTAAGTGCTCCGAAACGTGCACTGAGCTGTCACCAAAAACCGTCGCTGAGTCAGCCATGTCTGAGATGAATACCGCGAAATCCGCTTTTGTTTCCAGGCGCTTGGGTGCGCGAATAAAAGGAGCCCGGGCATTCATCAGTTCGTGATTCAGATTTCGGATTCAGACATGAGCACCACCGTCGTATCATCTCCTGGTAAAGTACTGGTCGCGGGGGGATACCTCGTCCTGGATCCAGCTTACTCGGGCATCGTCGTGTCCACATCGTCCAGATTCTATACCATCATTCAACCCGCGGCAGCCCCAAGCCATGCGAACCAGATCCAGGTGCTCTCCCCCCAGTTCACCCAGGCGTCGTGGCGCTACGATGTGACGGTAGAACCCAAGCTTTCCGTCGTGCCCAATCAAGAGAAGTAAGTATTGCTTTGTCCCATGCGCTAGCCTTTAATCTTTGACCCGATGTGTAGCTCCAGCAAGAATAAGTTTGTCCATCAAGCTTTGGAAAGTGCAATACTTCTTGCTACCGAAATGAAGGGTTCTTCTTCAGTACTCAGTGCTCTTGCCGCGGGGCTGGACATCACCATTGCGGGGGACAACGACTTTTACTCCCAAAGAGCAAAGGTCAGCGCTACGGTCACTTCGCAATGATGCTCGATTTGACCGATCAGACTGCCAGCTCGCCGAATTAAAGCTTCCACGAAATTTGGAATCCCTTACGAAAATACCTCCTTTCGCTCCGACTGGAGGGTCGTTGGCGCAAGTACATAAGACCGGACTGGGTTCCTCAGCAGCTCTCATCACCTCCCTCGTTTCAGCACTTCTAGTCCACTTCTCAGTCATCTCTTCCGCTGACCTCTCCGAAGACTCGGAAGGACGTCATCTAGCACACAATCTCGCCCAGTACGTGCATTGCTTGGCACAAGGCAAAGTTGGTAGCGGCTTCGACGTTGCAGCAGCAGTCTTTGGTAGCCACCTCTACACCCGCTTTGACCCCTCCGTACTCGAGGACCTCATGACAGGCGACACGGTGAGCAGCTTATCACCACTGCATTTCGCCGTCCATTCTCTAACCAGGTTGACAGACATCACCACGTACACTTTTCCCAACTCTATCGCCGAAGAATAGAGCATGGAATCACAAGATTCGCCCCTTCGCTTTGCCCCCTCTGACAAGGATCATGCTCGCGGACGTCGACGCTGGCAGTGATACCCCATCACTGGTCGGGAAGGTGCTGAAATGGCGCAAGGAAAACGATGCGGAAGGTAGCTCCTCAATCTCGCTTGACATCCCCAAGGGCTTAACAACACGTCTCTTCGTTTTCCAGCGCATGCACTTTGGACATCAATTGATCAATTGAACCAGTCCCTCGCCAGCATTCTGACACGGATCTCTGAGCTCCATGATAGGGATCCAGCTGTGTACAGTGCTGCGGTCAAGTACCTTTCCTCTCTGCAGCCAGTCCAGGTGATTACCGTCTTTCTGATTTCATCATTGTGCCTCACACCTTGGCGTATGCAGTGGATGGCCAATCCATGGACGCCACCTGAAGAGGAGGACATCATGACTGCATTCTACGATGCCCATCAAACGTCAGAGGTGCGGGCTATTACGCGTGGCCCTCGGCTACAAACATCTAACGGCATGCTTCCATAGGCCATCCGTGCAAAAATGCGCGAAATGGGGCGCTTGTCAGGGGTGCCCATAGAGCCGTCTGAGCAGACCAAACTTCTTGATGAATGTGTACGGCAGGCCGGTGTTATTGGCGGAGGAGTCCCCGGAGGTACGATTTAACCTATTTACGCCGCGAATGCTATTGGCTGACTCTTTTGCCCGAAGCGGGTGGTTTTGACGCCATTTGGCTTCTGGTGTGCGACCCCGTTGATTGTTCACCTGATCAGAGGCCAACAGAGCGGATCGAATACGTTTGGAGCCATTATGAAAGTGTGTCGCCGCTGATGGCAGTCGAAAGCAAGGCCAAGGGCTCCAGAACGGAGAACATCGATGACATTATGGGACTCAAGGACACATTGCACCTTTCATAACCAGGTTCCAGATTTTCTTTATGTATTAGAATGTACTGAGTACGAAATGGATACTATACTAGATATTTACGCTATTCCATCGTAATGGCTTTACATGCAAATTTTAGCATTACCTGCTGGAGTCCAGACCTTGCCGAGAGCAAGGAAGAGAGAAATAGCCATGACGACAATGCCAAAGGCCGCACACACGATGGCTGGAAGTTTTGAACGGCTAAGCCAGTGATCGCTGGATCCCGTAAGTTTGAGGTAACACGCGGCGGGAAAAATGTAAGCCAACGCCGTTGCAGAGACTCCGCCAGTGATCTCCAGCATGACGCCCAAGTCGCACGTTATCAATGAAACTGCGATGACCGGGGTTAAATTAGGATGGTGGCTGTCCCGCGTTATTGTTTGTGTACGTACCGATCATCGAGGAGCATAGAATGGTGGTGGTGAAGAACAAGTGCCTCTGTTGATCGAATCCTTCATGAGAAAAAAAGTATTGTTCGACGACCTGGCCGCTTAGTTAGTGCATGAAACAGCGCGGCAACGGGGATGTCGCAAAAAAACTCCCCACCTCGCGGCAAACAAATAACTCCAGGGGTAAAGTGGTGAACATGTTCAAGCCAAAGCAGAACCGTGCTATGTTGATGATGGTATCGTCCTGACTCGCCGGGTGAGCCAAGGCACAATTTTAGAGAGCGGAGACACATACCCTTGGGAAATTATTGAGGATATTGCCTTGTGTTCTATCCGTAAATACCACATAAGCGGATATAGCGAGGATGCAACATGAAACGAGGGAGATGAAGGTCGAAATGTGGGTTACTTTGGCGAATCTATCTAGCGTTGGAGTTCGCAGACTACCGTAGATGAGAAGGGAGTTGTGATGGCAGACGAATGCAAAGGAGATCACCCCAATGGCCTGGAATACTCCGCTGCCGATGAAAGTGAACCGTTTTGATGGGTCGCCTTTTAGGTCGTCCGGAACATGAGGCCCTTCAACGAGCACAGCGCCAACAATAATGAGCATGCCAACCAGGGCTAAGCCTGATGCGCGAGAGAGCTTGTGGATATCGCGGTATAGTGATAGAGGGTATGACACGGTAACTGTGCAGAACGCGATGACGAACTGTCGATTCGTGAATAGCCAGAGAACGGGTACAGTATGCAGGGTGGGGAATAATGAACGGATAACATGGGGAATGGTGTCGCCTATGATGATGCCAAATGCACACATGCCTATAGACGCTGATGAGTACAGCACATCATGGCTAAAGAAGCGATTTACCTCCGAATGCAAATGCAAATTGAAAGAATGAAACAGCTGCGCGGCCGCTGGGGCCAAAGCAACGGTCCATAATTTCAATGTATGACTTGCTTCCGCTCAGTTTGGCGTTTACAACGATCAGGCGAATCGTCCAGTCCGTGACACCGCACAATATGACAAGGAGCACCAAGCCAACAAAGAAGCCTGCCTGACTCACGGCGTACGGCAGTCCTGCGACAGCAATTCAGAAATAGACGGGTGTGCTCAATCACTATACCCACCGATTATTCCTAGGGGAGTATGAGGCGACGGTCCGTTATGACAGTTGAGCGACACGAACCTGCGCCGAGGATAGAATTGGCCATGTTAGCTATTGAGTCGACCATGTTGCCACCAGCAATTCTCTGCGCTGCTACTTCGTCAATGTCAATAGGTTCGCCCTGCGAGTGATTTCCGTTTCCATTGTACAATGGTATTGATGCATCCACGCTTCGTCTGACTGCCGAGGTTTCGACCAAACCGACAAGGAGGGGCATTCTGCGGTCATCCCGTAGCCTCGTGGACACTGGCCGTATCCTTGCCAACTCGCTGTCGTCTAGTTCATCTGTATCTGCCTCAAATTCTGGAAGAAGTGAGTGTTTGACGAGCTTGGCTGCACGCCACGACGCACCTGCCTCTCTACTCGAAGTCGTTGACCGCAGCGGGGGTGCAATCACCTGCACCTCTTCCTGGAAGCGAACCCCATGCTCCGGCTTCAGTGTAGGTTCATTGAGCGCGCTGCTCTCTTCGTCGAAATCATCGTCCACGGCAAAAATTGTGTTATCTTGCGAGCTGAGGAGAGGTTGATTTGCTTCCTCCTGGCTGGCTCCTGCTCTATCTCTTGCTCGCGTATTTTGAGAGAACATGGGGCATGAGGGGGTACTGAACGCTGACGGGACCGCCACATTGATTGGCTGGCTGTGACGCGTGACTTTCTCCTGTCCCAAGCAGGGGCCTTGAGGGGTAATGAGTATCTCGCTTTCAAGCTGGCACGTCGAAGAGTACGATTATCATTTATTATCTAGCAATGGTATATCTGGAGCAGTTATAACTCTCTTTGACTTATAAGCGATAAATGATACAATGTAAATGACCTTCTAAGTTTATCAAGAAACCATGTCTCTAGCTTGAGTTGGATTGCGGGCAGAATACGAATATGAATCTCGCGAGGGATTGTACTCCCTCAGTACATTGCTAAATCATTCCAAGTGCACCGCTGGTTATGAATAAGTCCATGTCCGTTGCAATACATTGGTCACAGCAGGTCCCAGGAAGCTTTCAGCTCTAAACGTGCACTTCATCAAGATTAAATTGTAAGCTCGTATTCACCCCCATGGCGCTGCTATGGACACTCGTATTCGAGTTCTCCCTCGGAATTTATCTCATCGCCCCCTATGGGTCACTGTCAAATAACCCCTACACTCCTATTACCAGTATTTGTGAGCGGGCTTCGCACAGGACAATTCGACAGCTAGATTATGACAGAAAGTGTGGTTGTAATCGCATTGCAGCAAGATCTTACAGTGCTACTTTTATGTGGAATTGTCTGAAATCAATATTTCGATGATTCGTGGATAGACGCTGGTCGCTGCGCACAAGCGCTTGGTCGCCGCCCAGAGGAGTGAAGCCAACGCCGTGTTAGCCAAGTATATTCACAAGTGTCTTTGGTGCGAGCCAGCTGTAACGCTAATTCACCACTTTATCTGGGCTGGTTCCCAATTTACCATTGCCTTTTCACCTCAAGCAACCACCATCATGACTTCTCGACTCGCAACTCTCGTTTGGCTTGTGGGACTCTTGCCTTTGTTCGCCAGCGCAGACCGCGCTTCAGTCGAAGATTTGGCGCAGCGCTACTCTTTGACGACCAGCACAACTCTGCCCTTTCCCACCGCCACGCAGGCGAACGCAGACACCCAGAATCTACTCGTTCAGCAATGGTCACTTGGGAAAGGCCGTATACAAGACGGGGCTGACAGACTAGAGTTCGTGGCCGATCCGTTTCCTCGCAACAGCGTCCCAGGATCCACACAAAATGCGACTGGGCCAGTTCTTCAGGCAACATATCCCGCTGGCAGCTTCTCTCATGAATCAGGCGGCGCTCAGTTCTACAACCTGTGGAACAACACAAATGGAAACCCGTTCCAGTCCATGATCGTATCGTACGAGTTGGCCTTTCCCCAAGATTTCGACTGGGTGAAAGGGGGGAAGCTGCCTGGGCTGAGGGGCGGCCTGAATTCGACGGGGTGTAGTGGTGGCAACGAGCCCGACGGGCGGGATTGCCTGAGTGCACGGTTAATGTGGAGAAGGAATGGAAACGGCGAAGGTGAGCATGGGCAGGCTAAGGTTAGGCGGAGTCCTTCTCAATAGCGCTCTCCAGCCTACCTTTACATACCGAAACCCAACGGCCTCTGTGACGAACGAAGTATCTCTTGCAACGATGACTTCGGTATCAGCGTTTCTCGAGGATCCTTTGTATTGACACCCGCGCAGTGAGAATTACGTCTCAATCTCGACCATGGACCATGAACTCAACTTCACTAGATGGTATCGCATCACTATGCTGGTTCAAGTCAACAACCCCCCAAACGTTGCCAACGGTAACCTCCGTATATAGTGGGTGCTCACTCCGTAACCTCGGGCATGATCAGCTAATTGTCTACTCCGTTCAGTTTCAACGACGAAGAAGTCATACGCCAACAAGACCTCCAGTTCCGTGCTGTGGACTCGCTCACCGTGAACGGATTCTTCTTCTCGTGAGTCTTCTCTTGTCCTTGCTTGGCATCTTCTGTGCTTATCTATGATTTCTTAGCACTTTCTTCGGCGGTTCGTTCCTCTCTTGTTTCCTTGTACATCGGAATCATACTGATAGTTTTTTTGGTCGTCATACAGGAGGTGACAATAGCTGGGCAACCCCTCAGACCACGCACACTTACTACCGCAACATCCGGATGTGGGGTGGATCCCAGCCCTCAAACCTCACAGGCCAAACCGTGAATGCCGCATATCACCCAGCTGCGTCCACAGCAGTAATCAGCTGTGTGGGCGTGTTCTTGCTCTTCGTAAATACCCTCGTATAGACACTGTCACCAACACTTCTGGACTTGTGCATAACTGTCTTTAGTACCGTATCGATATTACTCACTCATTGGACAATACAAGCAGTATTAATGTTATGTGACCAACTCGAAAGTTGTTAATTCGACGCCCCGCGTGCGTTTGGCGATGACCTCGACACCATTGAACCTCCTGATGCTGGGTATGGCGAGGGCGAGTACTTCCATGATGGCGTGTTCGAGTTGACGAGAGGGATAGGTTCGTGGAGGGGTATCAATTCCTACAGAGAGGTCTGCGACCTTCCAACCCGTATACTGAATTCCTTTCAAGCTGCGGATGAACGTTCCCTGTAGAAGATTATGAGTAATGAGATCAAAACATGTAAGGGGAAAACGTACGCTTCGGGCTTTCATACCAAGGGGGGAGATGCGGATGGAAAGTTTCTTGAGGAGAGGGAATTGCGTCGCCAGCAGGTCAATCACCGGCTTGTCGAGGTCGGCAATGCAGATATACAGTTCGCGGAGGGGTATAGGTGTGGTGAGGCACCCTACCGAAAGTGTTGTTGCCAGCAAGGAGAGCTCGTCGTAGTTCATGGTCGTTCCGGTCATTTTGAAACTTCGAAGACCTACGCAGAACCTCGCTACCTGTTCAAAGACAGTTTTCAAGGGATCAACGTGGTACAAGAGCCCCAGACGAAGGGAGTCGAGGGGTATCGGTGAGATGGATTGGAAGAGCCGTGGCACCCAGGATGTTTCGGAGTAGTCGAAGCTAGAGTGTGTGTCGGCCCCCAGCGTCAACTCTCTGAGCGTGTCTCGATGTGAGTCGATGAATTTCTGGAAGATGGCGATGTCGCTCATGTGTATGCCATCAATAGGCTCACGCACACATAAGTGCCGCAGACGAGAGAAATGTCCTATGGATTTGAAGGGATCAGAGAATTTACCGAAATGAGAAGGACCACGCATACCTAGACCTTCGAATAGTGGTTTCAAGTCGTAAGGGGCAGGCGGCGAAATCGAGAGCGCCTCCAACGTAGGAGCCAATCCATTCACAAATGATAATAAAGCCGCTAAAGACTTCAGGTTCCACTTCCCGGTAGTGAAGGTCCAAAAACCGGAAACCAGCGCGATATCTAGCGATGAGAGGTTCTGCAGCCTCGGAGCAAGGAGGAGAGGTATCCGACGAAAGGTCCTTGCCAATGAGTCCCCGGTCCAGGTTCCAGGAGCGTCACGGTTAGTCTCTAGGTTTGAGAGGGGTGTGAGCAACCTGTAGCACGGGAGTTAGCGAGCCTACTCCCTTACTTGTAATTTTGGGCTCATCGTATATTTGTGGATCCCAAAACATGGAGTACTCTCTGATGTTCTTCAAATGTGGAATGCTAGCCAAAAGTGTCTTCTGTGTCTTGCGCAGGTACGGGTCTTGTCCCGATTTAACACCGAGTTTCGTTAATGCCCTACTGACAATGCTCGCTCTGCTTTGTCGGTTGACCGCAAGCCATACATTATACTTGATAAATTCAAGAGAAATTCTGAACTTATGGACGCGGTGGGCGATATGTGGGACCCTGAATTAGTCAATAGGGGAAGTCGTCGAATTAGCTCGTCTTATGTACTCGCAAGCACAAACAGACTCGGTGAGAACACGTACTGCAGGCATTCCAACGGCGGCGTGACGGTCGACGGGTCGACGTCGATCGTTCCATATTTAGCTGTGAACGCTACTTCCAGGAAGATTCTGTTAACGCTATAGAGCTTGGTCAACTGGGAATCTGGTACGAAGCTCGCAATATGTTGCCAAATCTCAGGAGGAAGAATGGGCATCATAACGTCGCGATGAGAAGGTCAACTATCGCTACATTTATACGATATTCGGATATACACAAGGGGTTAAGGTTGTACAGCCTGGGCTTGACAGATACAGTGTTGCCAGCAGGTAACGGTGTGCCGCACTTCACACGGAAGGAACGTTTGCCTGGACTGCCTTCTTCCTCCTCTTCAACTCGTTATAGTTTAACCCAACATCCCTAAGACCCATAGTCCTGATGAGATGCTCTGCAGCCATAAACTTGACCTCTTCTGCGCTTGCATGGCCGTGGTCCATGGCGCTCATGGAAATAGTGTCTTCTTCGTCTAGTGCTATCGTACACTTGACCTCCCCCTTCACCTTCTCAGTCCGATATTTGACCTTTTTACCGATTTTCGATGCCCACAACGAAACTCTGGACACCGGGTGCAATACATCCACCCCATCGTCAACCACTCTCTCCAAGATATCTGTATGGCCGAGCCTTCGAAGCACTTGCCTCACGACATCAAGGTTTCCAGAGGTATCCAGAAAAATGGCGCCTATGAGACTCTCGACCATGTCACTCAGGAATTTGGGTGCTTGCAGGCGAAGCAGAGCCGCCCAAGGGAATATAGTGCCACCGAAGAAAGCGGTTTCGAGCTCGTTTCGCATCTTCTGATACCGCGCGAAAGTCTGAGCTTGATCGTCAAGGACGCGGGGGCTGGAGTGAGCCAAGCATTGCCACAGATACACTCGTTGGGTTTCGTGTTCGAGTCCTACCAGACCACGGCCTTTGGTTCTGGGCATATCAGTGATCAAGTCGATGTGGGTCTTAAGACAGATATACGCTAGCATGTGTGCATTGACGAGTGCTGACCGGCGTAGGTGTATGTGACCAGGGCTGTATAGCTTGCCGGGTGCGTGATAAAGATAGTGGGTCACTATCATGTCGAGAACTGAATCTCCAAGGAACTCCAAGCGTTCGTAAGAGACGGTGCGCTCGTTCTCTTGGTGACTAGCATGGCTGAGAGCCTCGATGAGCAAGAATTTCCGATTAAAAGTATATCCAAGCATTTTCTCCACGTTAGACAAGACGGTGGGCATGTTCTCGTCGTTCTCTTCTACCCGGGAGAAAAGGGACGAAATGCATTTTGGGAGAGGTTCCCATTCCATACCGAGGCCAAATACGCGGATACATTCAAGACCAAGTTCAAACCCTCCGTGAATGTAAGATGCGCCGATCAATGCCTCCACGACGTCAGCCAAGACTACGACCTCACATAAATGTAAGTATTCGCAAGATTAGAATGTACATACCCTTGGTCGACAACTCTTGAGTGTTCGCTTGGCTGTTCTTTTTCCTCCTCTTTTTCTTTTCGCCCACGACTCCACCTTTCACCTTGTGGGCGACTTTACCGCCCTCCCTCCTTTTATCAGTTTCCTTCCGTTGCCTGGTTTCGGGAGAACTGGTAGGGTTGGGGGGAGGAGCTGTGTTAGGGGCGATAACAGGGGCCGAAGTCGAAAAATACTCCGGTTTCCATTTCTTCCCCAACATCCTGTTGCGAATGATCCAAGTATAAAGCCCCCTGCCTACAGCACTTTTTGCTAGCCGCACATTCGACACGCTGTGATCTTTGCGTTTAGTAAGGTACCCCTCATGCCAGAGAGGGAATTTGTGTAACAGCTGAATGCTCGTGGAGAATTTGAGCACCGTGTCACCGAGGGTTTCTAGCCGCTGGTAATTGAAGCGCTCTTGGGACACAGGAGCAGTCGTTGCCACAGTCAAGAGATCGAGGGGTATAGCATGAAGAGGCGTCGAACGAAACAAGGTGTCACGGAGAGATTCGACGGTTGCAACCATTTCTATCGCTCGCAGGACAGAGGGTAAAAGCATGGAGTATTCGACGTCGCTAGCCGAATATAACACGACAGATGACTGGTCCGGGGATAATAACAGCTCGGAGGAGTTCACCTTCGGTTGCGTTGCGGGGGTAGGAAGTAGGAAGTTGGTGCGAGGTGGTAGATGGCGAGCGACAAGCAGTGGATATCTGATCTCCGGGACGCCATGCTTCGCATACCTTTCCGAGTATTGTCTTTCTTCTTCCTCGTTCATCCGGTCAAACTTCCACCGCACAAACTGACAAATCTTATCGAAACCAAAGCCCATTCGCAGTATTGTAACATCTTCCGGATACTTGAAATTTTCTCCAAACATCCTTGCGTGAGCAAGAAAGTGATACTTTCGAGCGAAGTCGCTGAGCTGGTCCTGCTCAAGTAGCCATTCGCGTCTAGTATCCCATGGCTGGTCACCCGTATTATTGGCAGGGAGAAACAAGTATCGAAAGTCGAGATCGTCCCATTGCATCCGGGAACCATGAATGCACCAAAATAATCGTCGAGTGAACACCCGGGCATCGTCTACGGTATCATTCGTGGGTAAATCATCCAGTGTAGTCCAGATGGCCTTCACAGGTAGACGGCCGGGACGATACAACGTTGGCCCGCCATCGTTCTCCCAAGTCGGAAGACGACGACGAGTGAACAACAACAGAGATGGAAGACCATCGACCGTCAGTCGAGATGTCCACCACTTCTCTTCTTCAGAGAGTGTGCGGTCAGTCGACTGCTGTCCGATCCAAGGATCCATTTGCACGGAAACACTAGCAGTGCTCGCTCGCTTCTCTACGTCTTTGAGCATTGCTTTCACCTCGTCCTCCAATTGGGGTTCGGCTACACTCGTTAAAGGAAGCAGGTGGTCATTCAACATCCCGGCGTGGTAGAGGGCCTTGTAGGCCTTGAATGCGACATGGCGTTGAGCAAGAGCCTTCTTCTTGTATATCCTGGGTACTTTGAACACTCGGAGTTCCAGGGCAAGGAGTTTGGGGAGAGTAACGGTGGCACCGAAAGGTCCTTCGGGAGGTTCGACGGCGACCTTGTGTTCAAATGCGTGCCATCCTTCAGGCATATCAGGAGGGTCGATATCGTATATAGGCTGGTGACTTGCATGACCAGAATTGGGCATCACTGCACAGAAGTGCTCCAAGTGCCCTATGGCAGAGTGAAGAGTAAGGACGGCACTACGTTTCCGTTTCGCGTGAGGAAGAAGTACGTCAACGGCTGCGATAAAGTCTCACCCAGTCGATTCAATCCTCAGCATCTTATCCCCGCCATCGCCGTCGCCGTCGTCACCCTCTGGGTCTTCATCGAAGCTTTCCTGAATGCGACGAACCTCCGCTTGCCTTTGACGCTCGCTGTTGTAGAGAGCAATCATCTCTTGCTCCATCTTTTCCCATTCCTCCACCGATTTCTGATCTGAGCTGTCCGACGAAAACATCAACGTAAACGTGCTCCTCTTTCGCCTTGCTCGGCCCCGACTTTGAGCCCAGCTAGCCATGTTCGGGGGTGGGTCCCATCGAATGACGCTACCACACCCTTGGACGTCGATTCCTTCCTCCGCAACTGACGTCGATACGAGTAGATTGATTTCCCCAAGTCTGAAGTCCATCAAAATCTCATCTTGTGTTTGTTGGAGGAAGGCCCGAGTGATATCGAGGAACGAATGGCGCTGATAGTTATCGGAGGACCCAACAAGGCATCCAACCCGAAATTGGTCCTTCGTGTCGGGATGGTGGCGTAACAAGGTGGCTAGACCATAGACGATGTCGCGCCTTCGCACGAACACAATGCCGCTGTACGCTTCGTTTTCCGCCTCCGCCTCCGCCTTTTCCTGGAGCAAACGCGCGATCAGGACTTGGGACTTGTGAGAAACATCATCGATGATATCGTCTGGATCATATGAGATCTCTGTCGCCTGGACCTTGGCGAGTTGCTTTCCCAAGTACGCTTTCTCTGTTTCTCGCCAACTGGGGAAGAGGTGATTATACTGACCGCCGCGGAGCGCATGGAACTTTGTCAAAACTTCTGCGATATACCAATCAGCAGCCCATCCACCAACATCTAGACCTATGGCTTCGGCCGCTCGCTTGAAGTCTCGCAAACCCTTCTCGGAGAAGGTATCCTTCTTGGCTATCGCCTTCGAAAGCCTTTGGTCAAGCCGAGGTCGCTCGGCCGCATGATTGGGCATCTGTGCTAACCGTTTTCGAAGGAGAATGACAAGGGGGTCGTCATCTATCTGCAGGGAATTAACGACGTGATCTAAAGAGGCGAGATTCGTAGAGAAGAAAGTGCCATCTGAACTCGGTTCATACATGACGTGGGTGAAGGTAGGGCGATAGACGTGTCGAGTCAATTCTTCACGGTGGATCTGTGGTGCTCTGATCGTACAATCTAAGTTTGCTTCGAGAGATCTGAGTATGAGGCCAGGTCATCTGTGGTACATGATAAATGGCGAGATGCAAACTTACCTAAACGCGCGCTCAACGTTACCGCCATAAACTGGACTCGCAGTCAGCCCCAAGATCACAGGTCGCACAATGGCAGCTGGACCATCGCCTTGTACCTTAGGCGGAAGGTGAAAGTAGAATTCTTTCATTATTTGATTATATGGTTCATCTCCAAGCGCATGGTGGGCCTCGTCGAACACGACAAGGCTGATATCTCTACCCATGGAAACATATCCGTGCCTGAGAGCATTAAGCAATACTTGCGGTGTAGAGACAACGACCTTGTTTGTGGCTAATAGCCTGTCCCAGAGAGCTTTGTCTTTCCACTGATCGGGCTCTGACGCGCCAGAGATGAAGCCTACGCCGACGGGGATTGCTTTCGCAATAAATGTCCTTTGTTGCTCACATAAAGTAACGGTCGGCGCAAGGAACCAGGAAACCTGCGCATACACCGACCGGTGGGTGCCACACCGACTAATACATTCAAGTTGATACTCACCTTGATAGGTTCCCGCTCAACTTCAGCCCTGATTCGTAAGATCGCGATATGAGTCTTGCCCGACCCTGTATCCAGCGCGATTATGATGTTCTTCCTCATGCTCTCTTCAAGCATTTCCTGCTGATACCCTCTCGTGTGAGGTAGCGCGACCGTTGGCGGAAACGTATCAGCCATGATCAAAGCAGGTTATGGTGACAGGATATGGAAAGACTGCGGCAATATCATGACGGTGGCCACACATATACTTTCAATCAGCCTTGAATCAGCCAGCGCTTGTGCATCTCAACAGATTGTGGGCGCTGAATATGAATTGTTGACGTCTATTGGTCGAACTTTCTATCCTTCCACAGCCAACTTACAGATGTTAACTACAGTCGAGGACAATCGAACACATAGTTTGTTTTTGTACGCATCCAGAGTCCTGGAGGATTCTTTTGTACACCTTCCATATCACTGTGTCCAATCAATACGCCTGACCCGCAGATGCAACTCAACCGCCTTTCCGAGGAACATCTACTCTTCGAGCCGCAATCCGCAGCGGCATAAAGACCAAGAGAGCTTCGGGTGCATGCACAAATCCAGATGCATTATGCTGAGGTTTACTATAATATACAAATGAACACCAGAAGAACATGCATAATGTGTAAGGGAGACCGTTTCAGCAGTAATTCAAATAGATACGAAAATAGTCGTCTGAAGTCCTTGCGCGTCGAAAACTGTCAACTGTGTACTGAGTTGACTTATGCTGACGTGAGTTGCAGATTGCAAAATCCTACACATGGGATACCAATGACCAAGAGGGGGAGGTTTTAGATATCGTAACATCAAGTAATATGCACAATGGGGTGGTTTGAGTCGTTACCTCAGAAGGTCGATGCGCTGCTCAGATGATGGATAACGATACGCTACGAAGTCGCGATCTTGGTCCACCAGCTCGTCGATGGCTTTGCGGGACATCATTGATATCCTCGCCCCACTACCCTGGATGGGGTTGAACTTCGAAGCCACTGACGGAGAGCTGTTGGACACCATATCCACATGGATGTCCGAGTTCGAAGCCCCCATGGAAGGGAATTGTTGAGGCTCGTCAAATACTTTCTCTGGTGCAGTATGCCTTTTACCAAGCAGCGACGAAAAACCGAATTTGCTTTTTCGCTTAGGGGTGGCGAGCGAGGTGGGGGACTCCATGGGCCCAAGGGATCGCCTCGAGGTACCGAACTCGTCGTAATGTGGGCCAAATGATGGGTATCCTCTCAATGCTTGGCCTTGCACGGGCATCGTTTGTAAGACGAGATTGGGATGTGAGGCTGTCCCACCAAATGATTGACGGCGAACATCTGCTGTTCGGAAGGGAGCTTGAGGTGGGAGGAAATCATGTGCAGGAGCTGTACCGGGAGGTCGATAGTTCAAGCTGAAGACAGACCGTGGGCGCACGTCACCATTCATCGTGTCAGAGCGCGTCCGCGGCTCGCCGGGAAGTGGCGGTAATGATTTATCGCGGGAGATGACTGATACTGGTCGCGAGGCCGGAATACTAGGAAGCGGGGGTCGGGAAGATGGGGTATCTCCCATATGTTGTGACATCCGTCCTCGTATATCAGGTTCAGAGATGACAGAGTGGACGTTGCGCGACATGATGGTTCGCAACGATCCATCAGCGCCAACCTCATCGCCCCGCTGGTCTACGGGGAACTGCTGCATGGGTTCCTCAAATCCACCACTGATCTTCCGGGGATCAGATGAATCTAGCATATCATGACCGGATCGGCGTGAGGATACTGGGGAGGGCAATATGCTAGACGGAGCTGTGGACGGAGACATACCGGGAGACGAAGGGATACCCATCATCCTCGGCGATGTGGAGGATTGAAGTGAGGGCGTAGACGTTTGCTTAGAGCCAGTGCCAGAGCCAACTGCCACGGCGTCCCCGGGAGCTCTGTCAACCAGATATGACAGTGGTGGCGGCGGAGCCAGCGGTGTGTCGTCGTCCTGGCGGTCAGCGGAGAGAACGCCTCGCGAACGTGATGAGTCGTGTCTGTTTGATCCAGTAACGATTCGCCATATCTTGGCTAACCCAGTCTTCTTCTTCTTCGGCTTTTCATCGAGCATCGGCTGTATTGAAGAATCGGCTTCTGTCGAAGGCCAGATGTGGCTCCTACGAGTGGGCGTATTAAGGTCAATAGGGGAGGGCGCATAAGGGTGACGTTGGTCTTCGCGTGCGAGCGCGACACTAAGAGACGTCCATCAATACAATTGCGTTTCTCTCGTTCAGGAAGAACATACTGCATATTGACCACGCTTCCGGACATGATTGACATACCAGACGGCGCCAGACTGTCTTGGCTCCTCCAACCTGTGAGATTTTTGAACCCAAGGAACCTGGGTCGCCTTGAGGAAGCGGCACTCATGCTATGTGCATCAGAGAATGAGGCTTGTGAGTAGGCACGGGGTATATCGGGTCTTGGGCTTCCAGGTACTCCGTCGAGTGGCGCGGTGAGGACGCTCGTAGGTCTGCCAATGGAGCTACCAGTCATTTGCGAGTATCTTGAGTACGGTCTGTGCTGTCCGAAAGTAGCGCTATCCGGCAGAGGACTAGCAGGATATGAGGTGACCGAGTACAGCGACGTTACATCCATGCCTGAACTGCGCGAGCCCTTTCTTGCTCGTTTCTCTTCCTTCCTACGCCGCTCCCTCGCTTCGCGTTCTTCCTTACGCACATCGACGTGTTCCATGATCATGCCATTTTCCAGAAGAGTGATCTCTCTGGACTGACTGCGGCCGTGGACATCATGCGTGTAGGTAGGATTGTTATGGGCGTACGCAGCAGGAGAGTACGGAGAGGTAGGAATAACAGACACAGGCGGTTTGATGCGCACACCGCCCGCGTCGTCTCCTGGGAGAGCAGCCGAGCCAGTATCATAAGCAGACCGCCGAAGTTGAGAATATGTATCTCGCATGCGATTGTCGAGTTGCTTGGATTCCTGCATGGCGCGGGCATGAGCGATGGCTTCGGCCTCCAGTAGACTTCGTTGAGCAGTAACATATGTGGTGAGGGTTTGTTGGCGAGAGGCAGGCTCCCGTGGATTCTATGAAAAATGTTACACGAGTTGAAAATACTGGGATGCAGCGTCGCGCACCATTGTTAACCAGAGTCTAAGATTTTGTTCCGTGAGCCGTCCGCCTCGAGCTCGAGGCCTGGGTGGCGCCGAGTTGTCTTCGACGCTACCTCGACTTGACCCATTGGATAAACCGTGTACGTCCTCCTCAAGCTCCCTACGAAGTAGTTCACGATAGTGTACGTCGCTTTCCCGTTCCCATACCCCCGAACTCGTTACGTCAACATCGGCCATGTCCTGGTCACGCATAGCACATTCTACGCAGACTTCCTCTTGCACGGGCACTCGTTGGGGTTGAATGGGTTGCAGTGCGGGCTGAAGTGTAGCTTGAGGAGAACTTGAAGGCCGGTAAGCTGTATTGCCTGCGTTGGGGGCGGAGACGTAGGTAGGTTGCTGTGCGTAAGCACGCATGTTAGGTGAGATGGGCGGAGAGTACGCAGGAGAGGCAGAAAGGGGCAGGAAAGGAGACGGAGACCCTCCGTTTGCGTTGGAGCTGGCGCCGGCGGCAAGTGTAAGAGAGGGGTGGCGAGGAGATGAGGGTTGAAGGGAAGGTCGGTCGGACACGCTGAGGCGAGGCGCCATGCTGCCATTCCGCGGCTGCGATTGTGAACTAGGAGTGGCTTCTAGCATTTGAGCAGGCGAACCGGATCTGTAGCCGTCCAAGCCTCTTGATGCTGTTCGCTCAATCTCTGGCATGCCTGCTCCTGGTGGCAGACCATACGAGTTGGCAATTTCCGTACGAGATGTTCCCTGCGGTAGGGTCTGAGATTGCTGTGACACAGTTCCCAACGATCGCAAGGACTGTATATCTGCCGTTGGGGCAGCGCCGCTCGCTGAACTTGTATTTCGAAAGAGATTCCGTGACTGGAAAAGCATCGGCGGTGATGATGGAGGCAAGGATTGGTTCAGCGACTGGGGTGATTGGGGACGAGTATCGGCTTGGCCTTGAACGACGGTCGAACTCGCTGCGTCGCCTGTCGTTGGTCGCCCATCCCCTGATTCTTGCTCGACGTTCCGCTCTCTGGGCCCAACCGGCTGCTCTCCGTATTCCTTTCGCAACTGTGACACACGCGATGGGCGTCGTTGAATGTCCCCGTTTCTGATTGAGGGAGGCTTCTGGGACTCCCATTCAGCAGGCTCTGTAGACCCGAGCAACATGGCGCTGGTTCGTCGAATGGACGGGGTGGCCAGCGAGGGGTAGCGATCATCCCGGAAATCAAGGTCAGACATGAGAGCCTGCGAGTGCGCACCGCTTGGGCCAGCGATGCCACGGGATTGGTCCGAAACGAACGTCGTTGCCATCGTGGCGAGCGTTGGCCGGCGCAACTACAAAGACGTGCGGTCTTGAGAGCGAGCAGGAAAAGAAACAACGAGGCCTCCAATGTGGTGGTGGTCGGCACAAAAAAGGTTGTGAATAGGAAACAGAAACAGTGCAATGTGATATTGGGCGGAATGGGTGTTGGGCGAGGAGAAGTGTGCCCGTGACCGTCCAGACGCAAAAATGTGGGGTATCGAGGATGTCCGCTGCAAAGGTCCTCTTGAAACGGTACTCCCCTCAAACTCGGGGCATTTGATGGTGTAAAAGATGAAGCTAGCCTTCTCTAAACGGAATTACGGTTCTTCTCTGTCGACCGTGCGATGCAAACAAAGATATAGAAGCTTCTCACTCAAGTACCAGCACCTGGATCAGGCCCCGCCAGGGACAAACAAGCCTGACACAACTGACACGCTGCTGATCATGCATTGATCTTTCAAATGGCTATGAACTCTCAAAACTACGCTACAGCCTCTAGAGTAGACTATAATTACTTTCGGTACCTAAATTCCCTCATGAGAACCACGAAATCGGTAACGAATGAAAAACACTGACCAGAGGACTCCCTTTCGACTTCTCCTCATCTTACGCTGGAGCTGCAACATACCGTATAGAAGGGCTTCGGCCGTAGGAGGGCAACCAGGCACATAGATATCCACGGGAACGATACCTGCACCATCTGTTTAGTACTCAAAAGCTCCGAAAGAAGTAGAATAACGTACGGTCGCATCCTCTGACGACGGAATACGAATAGTGATAATAGCCACCGCCATTTGCGCAAGAACCCATGGAGACAACCCATCCTAGGTGGTGAATTAGCTGTCGAGCTCCAGAGCGGAAGAGTGAAGGTATGCCTACTTGGCTCGGGCATCTGGTCGTACACCTTTCTCAAGGCAGGCGCCATCTTGTTGGTGAGTGTTCCAGCCACTATCATGATATCACTTTGGCGAGGGCTGGCACGGAAAATAATACCAAGTCTGTCTTGGTCATAACGAGCAGCAGCCATATGCATCATTTCTACGGCACAGCAGGCAAGTCCTGTGAACAGGGAAGATCTGAGAACAATGAACTGTGATGGGAATTCTTGACGAAACTTGCCGAAGGTCATCGGCCACATTGATCCTTGCCTCGCCCAGTTGGCGACCTTGTCCAGGGTAGAGAGCACATACTCTACGAAAGGAGGTTATTTCCGATACACAAAGATTGTCGAGGCCAACGCACCAGCCTTGTTCTTGGGATGTTCCAAACTATATTGGTTGGAGTCACGGTTTGCGAGTGCGGTCATAGGCTCGGTCGCTGATGTTGTACTGGAAGGGATTGGGGCCGACACTGGCCGCGAAGGCGACGGGGATAACGCAGCAGCTGTGAGGTGGAACGAACGAGAACCTGTGCAGACGCTTAAGGCGGTGTGGATGGGCCCCGAAGTAACATCACTGACCAGTATGCCCAGCCACGACGGCCTCCCTCAACATTGAGCTCCTCGCACTCTTAATAGCTGCAGAGTGTCAACAAACCAATGGAAAGCAAGCCGAAACGATGCAGAATTGTGGCTGTAAGCAACAGCTTCGGCGTCTCATTCAAGTGCAAACCACGCACCATTTGATGCCCTCAATATTGAGGTCAGCGACATTTTCGAGACGAATGGTGCGGAGGAGGAGCAGGTGAAGTTAGGGTGAATTGCACGCTCACCGATTGGTTGGTCAAAATCGGAGTGATATTAAGCGCCAAGATTAGATAAGCCACAGTATGATTATCTGATAAGCACTGCTCTTACTCTTGGACTTTCATGTCTGTCACCGTCTTCCCAGACGAAGTTCTTCTCCTGATTCTTGCCGACCTACTCCCAATAGATGTTGTGCATCTTAGTCAGGCATGCAACTTACCGCTCATTTATTCCAATATTAACCACTCCCCAGGTGTCTAAACGTTTTAACGAACTTACGAAGGATAGCAGGCTATGGGGGGATGTCTACAGCAACACGCCCCTTCCTGTGACACCCAAGCATCAGGTCCATCCTCGCGAGGCAAAGGACAATATTGTCAAGTCATATACATTAGACAGATACCTTAGGAATGAGATGTCTCGCGGACCTCAACCTTTGGTAACAAGTCTCGTTGGAGAGGTCCACCACGGCCAAAGAATCGAAGGATATCAAGTGATATGGGAGCGTTACTTGCTACTGATGAAATCCGACGTAATTCGTTGCTACGATCTGGATGGTTTGGTCCCGGGCAAGACGGAACCAATTTGTGAAACCCAATTACCTCCTGGAACGTTATACAGCTCCATTTTATCTCCACACAAGATCAACTCCAACGGCATCATCAATGGCTACTTATACTTTGGAGTTCCGACGAAAACATCTATGTGCGTCGTACCCAGTTTTCACCGGTGTGGACATGATAGAGGCAACATCAGGTTACTGTATAGATTCCTAATGCCTCATCTTACTTCCTCGCCTCCGTGCATCGAATTCGACATTGAGATTGGTCAGGGCGCGCAATACCACACACTTGCCACAGGTCATGGCTACATCCTTTACACGGCAGTGGGCACCAACGCCCTTTATTTATTCTCTTTCATAACCCGAGAGGTGTACAAGCTCCAACACATATCTGACGTACGTTACATTGCCACGGATCTCCTTTCAAGCCGACATCTGAGTGGTTAAATAGGCCTCTATCTTCTTGACATTCGAAATCACCCCGCGACACGTTATCGGAGGCGGTTACTTCGGACACCTCACCACCAGGATATACGCTTGGGTCTTACCGCACCTAATGACAATACCGCTCCCCCCGCTCCTTCCTCAGAAGCACACCGAAATCCGGAAAGAGAGCTATAGCTTTCAGGTAGTCCATTGGTACCTTTCAGATTACAGCAAAGTGATCTTCATCCTCACTTCTCCTGCAAGCGATGTTTACACGACGGAAGGAGATGAACCGGCGTTCCTTGCAGTCTACGGAGCCAAGATCATTGACGAAGCGGACAAAATCGAAATCGAGCGCCTGACAGAGGGACTGCTTAGTACCTCATCATACTCCTTAACGATAACGTCCATGGCTAGCGGCTTCGCCAATCTTTATTTAATGTCAACCCGCACCATGAACCCCACTCTCTTCGTGTTTCGGCTGGAACCAGGAGGTGGAGATACAGCGCTCGACAACCAGACGGATTGGAAAATGACCCTTATCAAAGAAGTGCAGTTCAGACTCGACGCCCAAGGTATGGTAGACTTCTTCTGCGACCCATACAAGGGGCGGATGTATTGGCCCCTTGCAGATTCTAGTATTTTGAAGCTGGACATCCTTGATGTCCTCGATGAGTAGGTGTAGAATGTATCATTCGAGATCAATCCGGTTCAGCGGTGAATACCTGCGATCCCTATGGACCGGAAGGATTTATACTTTCTCGCCGTCCCCCAATGAATGGAACCAGAGTATCAGGACAAATTGCGGACAGACGAACCAACTCCGGTAAAAGAATAAACGTCTTCCAAGAACTACACGACATTTAGAGTACCCGAGTGCGTTGGCTCGCTTCTCAAAAAGTTGAACGGTCATTTCTATTATGAACTAGTCACCCTGGAGAGTGAAACTCCTTTCAGATGGAGCCAACGACGACTCGCTTCTAAGTTACTGAGCGACTACAGAGACGCTAACCATGATCCCAGCTCTTTATTTACTTCGTCTTTCCTTTCCAATTGTACCCAATGACCTGAGTCGAACTCGCGAACCGTGACGTTCGAGCATGCATGCGTCGTGGCCGGTGTTTGCAGCTTGGGCAGGCAAATGGCATCCCTTCTCGTCGCGCCGAAAAACACGGGCTTCGAAACCGCGGGAGATCGAACTGGTATATCTGCACATAGCTACATATGATGATATACAAACGATACAGGCAGACATACCCTTGTCGTCGTCACTTTGGATCCCGCTCGTGGTAACCTTATACCAACAGGTAGGCCCCGTCAAACCGCCCTTGCGAAGTTCGCCGCTGTGGATCTTGCGTTCCTAGTAAACGATGCACAGGTGAAAAATCTATCAAGAAGGATATGAAATAGAGCTGATTACCTCCTCGGTGATCCACGAACCAACGGCAGTGGTCCTTCCAGACTCTATCCAAGCACGAAGAGTTCCGGTTGGCGCCATATCAGTGATCCATAAACTAGGATCCTCTGGGTACAGGATGCTGAAGAAAGAGTCAAACTAATACTTGAGGATCAGTGTGGTCGCATCATGAAATCAAATACTGCCTCACATTCTTCTCAATGAGTTCAGGGGCATCTGGCGCCGAAAAGAACTTCCAGTAACCGAACAGTTCGTATCCGGCCACTTTCTTGGTGTATTCTAAAAGTTTCTCCAAATCGAAGACAGGGCGAGGAGGGGAATACCCCACGGCGAGCAAGGCGAAGGCAATAAACCGGTCTTCATACAAATCCGCCAACCTAGATGTAATTCCAGAGCCCCTGAGACGATGATTAGATCCCAGCGTCAGGGGGAAAGAGCTTGAATCTACCAATCATGGCCAATAACAATGCACTGCTTGTCAACGCCCTCTGCGTCGAGCAATTCGACGAGGTCCCTGCTGATAAGGGACTTCCTATATAACTCGACATCAGTAGGAATGGAGGTGCCCCCGTAGCCTAGCATGTCCGGTACAATCAAGCCGTATCCCAGGTCCTTGAAGTAGGCCACCTGGTGGCGCCAATCGTACGACGTCGACGGAAAGCCGTGCAAAAAGAGAAGGTATGGTTTATCTTGCAGCGGTGGTACTGCAAGGTAGTGATAGTTGAGTCCTCTCGAGGTCTTGAAGTCTTTGTACAAGCTGGGGTCCATAGCTGAGTATGAGAATGAATACTATGCTACATCGTCTGCTCTTATATTCTGAGAGGCGCGATGATACGTGATCGTTACGGAACTTACCCTCCATGGGAAATGCTATAAATTGGAGCCCACAAGTGCCCGTGCGGAAACTGGACAACACCGAAGCAATACATTATAAATTCGGGATTCCCGTAGAAGCTACCCAAATGGTCAAGTTATGCTTCGTGCTGTGAAATCATTGCCGGCAAGTTACAAAGCACTCGTCCTCATACTGATTGATGACTCGGTTCTCGAACTTCTCAAGGTTTCGTGTAAGGCTGTAGATGGCCATGGCATGGTGGGGATCCCACCAGTCGTGACTAAGTGATATATCATCAACGACAGGCCAAAAAATACATGGTTGCGACATCATCGTATATTTGGCATACCGCGGAGGAAATTCGAAGCACGATCAGGGTAAGTGCAACGTCACCGAAGAACAAGTCCAGCCAATTGGCGTGTCGGTCCCCGTCTGCAAATATACACTGTAGAATAACGGATTGCCGGACCCACAAGCCAAGAAATTGAGTTGACGGGGATCAGTCGTGATGATCGTATCGCCCTCAAGGCCCCAGTTCGTCGTCGTCGCTGTAGCACTTAGGGTTAAAGCCTTATACGACAACGTGCTGTTTTGAAGGTTGAGGTATAAACTACTACCGTCGGCATTGTTCAGAGTGATAGTCGTGTCGATGGTGAAACGCGCAGAGGAGGACTCGGGCCCAAGCATTGGAACATCGCCTATACATTTAAGCTTAAGTCATTTTCTTTGAAGCCACAATAAGTACATACTGATATTCTGGAGGTAAAAATGGAAGACGGGGTCCTCGATGGCGCGAATCTGAGTACCTGGTGCAGGTTGTGGAGCTGCAGGGAGGCATTGCGAGTGGTCTGGTAGCGCAGATGCATGAGTCTCAAATATGCGACTAGGCACTATTGCCAGGCACTTACACGGGTTTGAGAATATACAGTCATATCCTGCTACGCAAGTGGTTGGGCCTGTCCTAGCAGAGAACATCGATGAATGTCGAAGGACGCGCGGTAAAAGCAGAAGCTTGCCATCCGATACCGCCACACTGTCCCCATGCTGGAGATTGAGCCGCGACGTTTAGGACGAAAGCATGGAGTAGAGTCACAATAAGCGTTAACGAGGGCATCATGTATTCGTTGCAGTCCTTGGCTCATTGAACGCGGCTTTATAAGTCGCACCTATAAGAGAGGGCAACGGCAGTTATAAAGGTCTATAGAAGCTAAACATCACCGATGACAGGCTTCCTTGATCGCGTTTAAGAGGGTGTTGATAACACGCCGAGTCGCCACCGAAGATTGGGAGCCCTGTAACTTGACTTCCAATGTGTATCGATGATGTTGCACGGATTGGGTTGGTATGCTGGGTGCCCTGAGCCTAAGACTGGCCAGAGACCAAGCAGATGATTTGAGTCAGATTGGAACATCGTCCAGCCTAACAAGACAAAGCGAGGAGCCTCCGCCAAAGGACACGAAGATCCGAATGCTGTTGTGAGCGTAATTTACTTCTGCAGGACCAGACAGAGAGAGAACTTCGTTCCGAATCAGCATTTTGCTGTATACCATAGAAATCAATGCCGGTCGGACATATACGTTCCAATAGCCATAGCAGTACACTTTGCGTTACCTTATACTACAGCATCGTGGTCAGATATACATATATATCAGCACAAACACGGCAAATGCATTGTAACCGAGGAGCAAGTCTTGCCAGCTGGCAAGTCGTTCCCAGTCTGCAAGTATACATCGTAGAACGTCGGATCGCTGGATGCACAGGCCAAGAAATTGAGTAGTCGAGGTGCAGTGGTGATGATCGTATCTCCTTCGAGGGCCCAGTCGGTGGTTGTCGCCGTGGTGCCCAAGGTTAAAGCCTTGTACGAGGCCGTACTGCTTTGGTCAACGTTGAGGTATAATTTGGAGCCGTCAGCACCGTTCAAGCTGATGGTGGTCCCAATCGTGAAACGACCTGATGAAGACTCGGGACCAAGCATTGGAGCACCTCCTACAAGTACCGCCGCAGGTGAGCTTATATATGAAACCCAAGTCGCACGACGTACCCTTATTCTGGAGGTAAAAGTGGAAGACAGGGTTCTCAACAGTGCGAATCTGAGACCCTGTTACACCTGGCGCACTAACGGTGGTCGAAGATGGGACGGAAGGAGTTGAGATGGGAGTGGTCGGTGTGGGAGTGGTCGAGGCTGGCGGCGCAGTTCCCGGAAGGCACTGCGAGTAATCTGGTAGAAGCGTGCGCGTGAGTGATGATACCTGTGAGTTTCGCCTATTCTTACATGGATTAGACACCGTGCAGGCGTATCCAGACACACAAGTGGTCGCGCCGGACCTAACAGAAAAGCGGCTACTTTAATAGAGATGAAGGAATGGCATGAACATACTCACCATCCTATGCCACCACATTGTCCCCACGCCGGAGACTGCGCAGCGACATTGAGAACGATAGCCGGTAGCAAAGCAAAAAGTATCGGCGCAAGCATTCTTTAAACAAAAGGAGACAACATCGATGCGGCATTATATCTGCACCGGGAATATAAGAGGCTAAACATCGCATTATTTCGCTAGTAGGCTTCCTTCTATTGCGGGGAACATCGTTTATGAGAATCAGCCTCCGAGTCGTCGCCGAAGATTGAGCGCGTCGGTCGCGTCGCTGCGCACTGTTGATGATCATCGAGCTGGAGCACGGCTCGTGGCACTGTTAGTGGCGATGCCTGGCGGCTCCAAATACATCACTCAGGGTCACCTTTGGGCCCTGACCAAGGCTATCCCTGGAGCTGCAACGCATGATCACCAACATTCATGGCATCGACCTATGAAGCACTTCCAACGACAGATATCGATGGCCAAGAGCCAGATACGGCCATCGCACGGGAAAAGCCACCCGCAGAGCGACCAGGATTCTTCTACCGCTCTAGGAAACGGCTCGTATTCTTCTTCTTGCTGTGCTTCGTCGCATTTGTGTTTTACAAGGCTGGGCAGTGGTCTGTCAGCGTCGTGACCCAAATCAGAGAAGACGGAACTGCGGCGGACAAGCCCGAGGATCTTGAAATTAACCTTGATAAAGGCCACAACACGACTCAAGTTCCAGAAGAACAACCACAAATGGCGGGCAAGAAATACAGCGTTGGATAGTGAGTATCCCATTCTATTGACGATATATCTCATAAATTGGGCGCAGTTTTGTGAACTGGGGCATCTATGGCCGCAAGTTTCCCCCTTCTTTGATCCCAGCTCAGGACCTCACGTACGTACCAGTATCTTTGTGAACAGCGCGCATATGCCAACTTCTCGTGGCAGCCATATCCTTTACGCATTCGCGGATATCAATCCCGAGAGTGGCGAGGTCTTCCTGTCAGATAAATGGGCCGACCAAGATATACATTATCCAGGCGATTCCTGGAACGACCAGGGGACAAACCTATACGGCAACTTCAAAGCTATCTACAACCTCAAGAAGAAGCACCGTCACCTCAAAGTCCTCCTCAGTATCGGTGGTTGGACTTACTCACCAAAGTTCCATAACATGATCGTTTCCAAGTCCCACAGAGAGACTTTCGCTTCGTCTGCTATCAAGCTTCTTGAAGATTACGGGTTGGATGGATTGGACGTCGACTATGAGTATCCCCAGAACGATGCGCAAGCTGAGGGATACGTAGAGTTACTCAAAACAATGCGACACGGCCTAGACAAACACGCTCAAGAGAAAGGCGCGAATTATCATTTCCTCCTCACTGTGAGTACTGCTTCCAACGCTTCGCCGTACACCAAACCGACGGTTGTATAGATTGCTGCGCCCTGCGGCCCATCCAATTATGAGAAGCTCCACATAGGAAAAATGGATCAATACCTCGACTTCTGGAACATGATGGCATATGACTACTGTTGGTTATATGTCCTTCCTGTTGAATTGATGCTCACTTCATTCTTGCAGCTGGTTCATGGGACCAAATTTCTAACCATCAAGCAAATGTATACGGTGGCCCAATTAGAACATCCACCGCTCTCGCCTACTACGAAAGCCACGGGGTTCCACGTTCGAAGATGGTCTTAGGCATTCCCCTGTATGGTCGTTCCTTCCTCAACACCAATGGCCCTGGCCATCCGTTCAGCGGTGTCGGCCCCGGCAGTTGGGAACAAGGTGTTTACGATTACCGTGCGCTCCCGCTCCCACATTCCCAAGTTCACCTTGATCACGCCGCCTTGGCAAGCTGGGCTTTCGATCCTGCGAAGAAAGAGATGGTCAGCTTTGATAACGAGGATGTTGGGGCTTGGAAGGGGGGATACATCAAGCATGAGGGGCTTGGGGGCAGCATGTTCTGGGAATTGAGCGGTGATAAAGGTTCCAACAGAGAAGGAATGGAAGGAGGTCAAGGTAAAGACCCTCAGCCTGGACGCAGTTTGGTGAGGGTTGTGAAAGAAGCCATGGGCGAATTGGACGATAGCCCTAATTGGCTACACTATGAACGCAGTAAATTTGATAACATGAAGGCAGGTATGCCTTAATCACCTCTCCTTCCTTCGTACACTTTTGCATTCTCATTCAATCATTTGCACTCGCGGACAACTTCAACCATGGACGACATATTTGTATTATATCGATAACATCCTCGTAATACAAACACTCTATTCGACCAATCTAATTAATGGATGTGTTGGAATATTATCTATAAATATAAGTTCACCAGTCCTTCTGCATCCATCTACGTTGTGCGTTTGAGTCATTTCCGCTTCCATCTGTGGGTGGGGGCGCGGGAGGGGTGCTTGTGTCTCCTCCATCTGACCCGTCTCCCATATTCCCAGTAGTACCCTCGGGTGGTGGCACCTGTGTCCCGTTTCCGTTGCGACAAGGCGGGACATTATCACCGACAGGGGGCATAGGAGGCATAGGGGGGCCTATTCAGCAAAATAATCAACGGGGTATCCCACAGGACCACCTTTCGATGACTTACCTTGCCCGTCCGATGGATCTCCTGAGCCATTCGTACCGTCGGGTGGAGGACCTTGAGGAGGTGCGTTTGGTGGGGAATTTACTGCGCATGGGCAAGGCTCCGTGCTGTTCATCCCCCCATCGGGATTCTGGGTAGGTGCTCCCGGAGGGGCATCACCCATACCTGGAGCCATGGGAGGAGTTTGGGCGTCTGGTGGTGGTATATCATCCGGAGGACATTCAGGCAAGTCTTCCTCGTCATCGCAGTCTTCCTCAGGCGGAGCATCCGTATTTGGGGGAGGTGGAGGAGGGATATTGTCCGGAGATCCCTGGGGCGGTGGTGAGTCTGTATTCGGGGCAGGCATGTTCCCTGGAGTGGAGTCGGGCGGCCCGCCGCCGCTTGAGTTTGAATCGCCTTCGTCACAATCTTCACCGTTAGACGGCGGGGGTGGGGGACTTTGCTTGTCTGGCGGAGAGCCGGGCGGCGCACCGCCGCTTGCGTTCGAATCGCCTTCGTCGCAATCATCACCGTCGGGTGGTGGGGCGTCAGTGTTCGACGGCGGAAGGGGAGGTTTGTTGTCTGGGGACCCTTCAGGCGGTGGCGAGACACCCGAGCCCGAGCCATCATCATCATCACAGTCCTCTTCAGGCGGGGCGCCTGCATTCGGGGGAGGAACCTTATCGGGGGATCCTCCAGGCGCTGTGGTGGTAGAGTTTGCGTTCGGATTGTCATCACAATTCTCAGGCAGTGGTTCTGGGAGGGCGCCGGTGAGTGGGGACGGGGACAGATTGTCAGGTGGCGGTGGTGGTCCACCACTATATGAGAACAACATCAGAATACGTTTCGACACGGATGAAACAGTGAACCCACCTCATCAATGAACTGTACATCGCCTCCGTCTGGTCGGGAGGCACCATTCGTCTTTGCACAATCTGGATGTTACGACCATAGCTAGTGAATAGCATTGTGGGTTAGTACTAATTATAGACGTAAGCATATTAGCAACGGCGCGCACCCAATAGGAAGTGCGGCGGCTTGCTCTGCACATGCAAGCACAGACAACACAAGGAAGAGGGTGGAAAACTTGGTAGACACCATCGTCAAGATGTTCTATTGAAAAGGTTAGGAAGTCGTGAACGAAGGAGGTGGAGGGAGTGGGGACGTCAAAGTCAACCAGGACTTTGGGGGGAAGGCGAAGGGAGTGAGACACAGCTACAGATAGCGGCCAAATTGGCCTCTCTTATATGTCGTAGGAGAGGATGGGCGCGAGGACTCCAAGGTACCATAGTGATCATGGTGGGCCATTCCACTACAATCAGTGTAGCGATAGATGGAGTAGCGAAGTGTATGAGATGTGAAGCTTGTCGCAAAATGTCGCCGAGATGCCAGGACGTTTCCCGCGCAGCATTGGCGAGTACGGGCAGGCGCAAACTCTGGCCGTGTAACGAAAACACTAAGGCCCAAGGCCTGAAACAAGGTAAGTATCACTTCGTGTGATCTGGATCCATAGTGGAGTACCAGCCGAATCTATAAGTAGGTGAAACGCATGAGACAGTTTTATCCTTGGGACTCCTACATACGAGCTCACGGCCACTGCACTGAATCGTCCGTGTAAACGACGAACGGTTACATGGCAGATAACGAATTCTTAGTCCCCGATGATGTCGTCGTGCCGCCAAACCACTCAGCTTGTCACATCCTCTCCAGCATCGCGGGTCCTAAAGTAGGTGCTCTTTGACAGGCGAGGACAGCGAGTACTTCCCTCACTCCTTTCCTCATACTTTCAATGTCCTCAGCAGACGTTTGCACCATTCCGAATAAGGTTTGGATAGGCGAAGCTACGGTCAGGCGTAAGTGGTTGTTAGTCATGGTGATTGTGTTTGCAGTGCTGACGTTGTGTGTATCCCTCCAAAGTTTAGCCAGAGCGTTCTCGTAGCGGGGTTGTAAGTGTCTGAGGGTACCTCAGGGGGCGCGTTTAGAATTCGGTAACTAACCATCGCGTCGAACACGTGACTAAGGTGGATTGGCATGAAGCATTCTACATCGACATCACTGATATCCTTCTTTTCTTGTTTCTTTCCCGACCAAACTCGGTAGCAAGAGAGAGCAGAAACTGGGAGCGAGGTATGGAATTTTAGCCTGAGTCCCCCTAGCAATTTGTCGACAAATTCAACTCTAGATCAAATTCAATAGCCTCACTGACACACTTGAAGGACTTGGACGCCGATACCCAATGTGGCGTGTTCTAGCTATTGTGATTTCACCCCAAAACGCTCGATGAAATGACGTGGAAGCTAGAAAGCAGACCAACAGAGTGGCTCGCGCGTCCGCGAAATCTAGTCCTTGTCGCAGTCGGTCCGTCTCAGAAGCTGCTGCGATGCCCAAGCGCTGACTGACGTTCTCTATTTAAAGCATCTGTGTATTTAAGATGCTGCCGCAGTCCTTCTTTATCCTGCCATACATCTATCCTCGCGCGTGGTTACCGTAGGATACTCTGATCATGGCCGATGCGACGCTTCCAGCAACGGTCGCTCTACCGTCGAATGAGACAAGAGGCTACCAGCGGGAAATGCTGGAAGAAAGCTTCAAAGAGAATATTATCATAGCGCTAGACACAGGATCTGGCAAGACCCGTATCGCGATCTTACGAATCAAGGCTGAAGTTGAACGCCAGCCCGTCAAGGTGAGTATCTATGGCTTGCAGGTAGTTGAGAGACTCGCTGATGCATCAATAGGTGTGCTGGTTCCTTGCCCCCACCGTCACCCTTTGCGAGCAACAAAAAACCGTCATTACACAAGCGATCCCCGGCGGCGTAGCCTTCATATCTGGCGCGTCAAATCCTGACGACTGGAAAGGCCGAGTTCTCTGGGAAGGGCTGCTGTCCACACACAAGGTTGTTGTGTCCACGCCGCAAGTCCTGCTCAATGCCCTGAGGCATGGGTATGTTTCCATGGGCAAGGATATCAGCCTAATCGTCTTCGATGAAGCCCATCACGCGGTTCGAGAGGAGCCATATAACCAAATAATGAGAGAATTTTACTAACGACATGTGTATTCGTTGTCGCCAAGAGCTCTCTTGTTCGGCGACTGGCTCGCGGACCGGGAACAGAAGGAACCCGGACGCGGAACGCAGCCGAACTCCTGAAAGGAGAAACCCCTGTAAGGGGGGCCGAACTCAAGCCGGCCTAGGCGAAGTGTGCGAGTACGTAGATGTAGGTAAATCTAAGTAGTAGATGCAGTAGGGTAAGCGATATGGGTGGGGGAAAGAAATAGACTGCTCGATATGCTATCGAGCGTGAAAGTAAGAAGATGCTGGGAAAGCGGTAAACTAAATAAGAGTTTACCTATCGAGCGTGAAAGTAAGAAGATGGGAACAGTATACGGGAATAGAACATATATATACGTTCGCGCGAGGACAAAGGCGCGATGCTCAAAGGGAGAGACAGGGGATAGGAGTCTCACGTGCACTCGCAAATAGACCGAGGATAAACTTCATCTATCCTCACATCCATCCAGCTCGTTTGGGATAACGACATGTGTATTCGTTGTCGCCAAGAGCTCTCTTGTTCGGCGACTGGCTCGCGGACCGGGAACAGAAGGAACCCGGACGCGGAACGCAGCCGAACTCCTGAAAGGAGAAACCCCTGTAAGGGGGGCCGAACTCAAGCCAAGGAGGGTGTGAAGCGTAGAGAAGGAGGCTCGAAAGCGGGAACATGAGGATCGGCCATGTGGAGACGCGATGAAAGGTTGAGAATCCTGTCTTTCGGAGTGTCGATGTAGAGGCGGTAGGCGTCGCTGCGCCAGCGTCCGAGTTGTTGGATTTCATGATCGAGGAAGCCTGCTGCTGCTGCTGCAGATGCTGCTCCACGCCTGAAGCTATGACCGGAGAAACCGTGAGGTTGGTAACCTGCGTCAAGTAATGCAATGCGAAGGCGAGCGATGAAGCGCGAGCGTGTGAGAGGGGATTGATCAGAAGTAGTAAAGAGGGGGGAATTAGGGGGAAGGGGATTAACAGTGAAAAGATGTAAAAGGGCGGAGACTGGACAAGTAGCGGGGGAATCAGGGGCGGAGGAAATATAGATAGTGACTCCTTTTCGAAAGGGATCCGTCTTGGATGCGGGTAGGGTGAGAATAATGTGGTCAGGATTAAGAGTGGAAGGCATGAAACGAACTGAGGAGCGAGTAATGTGAACGTTAGGGTCAAAGGAATTGGGTTTGTCTATAGTAAATTCGCCGCAACGGAGGAAGCCAGCGTAAGCTAGCTTCGCTGCCGTTATAAAGACGACATCGTCGAATGATGGATATGCGAGGGAAGCAAGTTTGAATAAAATGGGGAAAGTGATGGGAAGTTTGGGTTTACGCTCGCGCTCACCGTGGTACCGCTTGATGCCTCTGATGAGGCGCTGAACGATAGGTGCTTCGCATGCCGTAAAGGGGGCGTCCGCCTCGAGATGGAGGGAACGAACGGCGGTGAGGTAGGATTTAATGGTCTTGGGTTGGAGCGAGCGCGATCCCAGGTATGCGATCCACTCAAGGATGCTACGTTGTGAGGCTGGGATGCAAGAGCCGTCGTTGTTGACCAGGGCGGGACGTTCGCGGACGAAGTTGATAAAAGATTTTTGACCAGTGCTGTAGGTGGACCGGGTGCTGGACGCGAGACCGTGCCAGAGGTAGAATGCGACGAGTCTTGAGTGCTGAGGATGCGTTTGATACCAAGAGTCTGGAGGTTGACTGAGTAGGGCTTCTTGTCGAGATTAGGGGCGAGAGAGAATAGACGAGCATATTGAAAACGGGAAGCAGCGTCAGCGATTGCATTATCAGTGGAAGAAAGCCAAGAAGATGAAAAAGAGAATTGTAGGGCGGCGGCAAGCATGAGGACAAGTCGCAGCAGCTTGACGAGGTGGGTTGATCTGTTGGTGTGGTCGGATAGAGCGGCTACCACAGCCTGATTATCGACGTGAAAGTGTACGTGAGAGTGTCGCCAAAGGTGCCCCCAGCGAAGTATGGCCTGTAGGACCGCGTAGAGTTCTTTGAATTGAATATCGCGTTTCGAGCCCCTGAATCGCCTAGGGACCCGCGTGCTGAACCAATGATTGTTGTAGGCGCCTCCTAACCCTTTTGTACCACTGGCGTCAGTGTAGACGTTGTGATGAATACGGGGAGGGTCGATAAGCGTGACCCCGTTCCAAGAGGAAGCGTACGTAGACCACCAGCGCAAATCACTGCGAGCGTAGCGAGGGATGAAGCGGCGTGAATGTGGCGTGGAGAAAGATGTGGAGAACCTAATCAATTGGCGAATAAATGCGCGAGAATAAGGCACTACTTGAGAGGAGAAGTAGAGGAATCCTGTGAGCTCTTGCAGCTCGTGTAAGTTGCACGACGATTTAGATGACCAAGAGGAGAGCAGCTCTTTGAGGTACGTCAGTTTGTCATCAGGGAGACGAGCTTCCATTGATCCGGAGTCGAGCTCGATCCCGAGAAATTCGAGACGAGTCGTAGGCCAGACCGTTTTCTCTGGTTGGAATGTGAGCCCGAGCGAGTTGCCTAACGTCTGCATCCAGGCGACGGCGTCGTTGGCTAGTGTCAGGGGAGTATCAGGGGCAAAGATGGGGAGAAAATCGTCTAAGTAGTGCTTGAGCTCTGCGGGAATATGACGTTGTATGATCCAATGGAGCGCTTCAGCAAACAAGTTGAAGATGTATGGTGCTGATTTGAGTCCGAATATGAGGACCATGTATTCATAGAACGCGCCGTCCCAGAAGCAACCAATTAGGTGGTAATCCGCGACCCTGAGAGGGATGTGGCGAAAGGCGTCCTTAAGGTCCAGCTTTGCGAGCAGGCAGTTGCGCCCCAAGCGGCGAATGGTGCTTATTGCGTGATAAACAGCCTCGTATACAATGTGTGCCTCGCTGTCTGGGATGCCGTCGTTAACGGAATCGCCGGGGGGCCAGGAGAGGTGGTTGATCACGCGGAATTTGCTGGGGAAGCGCTTTCGCGTAACCGTTCCGAGAGGGGAGGCGCGGAATGCTGGATGAGGTGGTGAGCTGAGGGGGCCGTGGACTCTGCCGTTGGACTGCAGGACACACATGTCCTTGTCTATGACGTCAGGGTGCTCGACGGCTGTTTTGAGGTTGCGGCACGATTGAGGCTTATCGCTTCCAGCAAATCCTATAGCAGCACCATGTTTTATTATATGCAGTAATGCCTGTACAAACTCATAATCGGGGTATTCGGCTAAGTAATGCGCCCACTGAGAGGGGACGAGTGTCGAAACGACTGGCGGGTCATCGGCGGAGCGAAGGGATACCCGATTGCAACGAGGGTCCGAGTTGGGGCGAGCAGGAGGCAGAATATTAGGAGGGAATAGGGATAGAGGAGCGTCGATTAGGGGAGGAGGTGTAGAAGTAGGAATAGATGATGGGAGAGGAGGAATCCGTGGCTCGTCCTGCTGGCGAGGACGAGGAGAGGACAGTGGGTGCGAAGCCCTCGTCCTGCCAGGACTTCAGGTGCTGGATGATGCCTGCGTACAAGCCGACTTGCCGTGCGCGGTAGAGCCGCAGGCGGAGCATTTATGAATGCGGCCGGACTTGCAAGGCGTCGTCGAGCATCTGCCGTCATTGAATCGGTTGCAGGTTTGGCTAGAGACGTCGCGCGTCACCGATGCGGGGGCGGCGGACTTTTGCTTGGACGAGCTGGCGGAGCTAGACTTTACCTCCTGGAAGATATTCGATCGGTGGAGCTGCCCAACTAGTGCTCGATCCTCGTCTGCCCAAAGGGAATAGTCCCCCCTGAGCATCTCCCTGATGCGACGGGAGTGATGTGCGATGTGATAAGTGAGGATAGCGGGATAGCTGAAGTACCTCGAGTATTCATGTAGGAGGTTGGTGTAACCCTGAGTGGAAACTGCCACATCAGCGACCGCCTGGATGCTGCCCGTAGTTGCGACGAATCTGAATAGGATTTGGAAGTAAACCCCGAGAGCGCGCATGAAGGTGGAGAAATCTGGGAGATCTTTGATTGGAGCTGTGTCCGTGGCGCGGAGAGCGCCGTCCTCGAGGGCATATGTGGTTGTGGTAGCCTTCGCGGTGATACTGGGGATGAGTTTCCCAAGCTGCTGAGGCTTGAACTCATGCTTGCCGATAGACGCGACGATCGTGGCATCGACGTCGGGGAAGAGATCAGGAATTGATAACGCACCGGTAGTGGTGTTCGACGTGGGAGGAGGAACATAGGAGAGCAAAGGGGGGGCCCCTTGTGGGTTTGGTGTGATGGGGTTGGCTGGAACCACCGGAACAGGAGGAACAGGGGGGGGTTGAGGAGGAGTACTCGCCGCTGTGCGAAGAAGGCTCAAGATCTCCTGCATGCTTGATTCGAGTCCTACGACCCTTTGTTCTAAGGGATTGTTCTCCGGGTCGTTTACTGGCGTTGTTCTTCCTTCACCTGGCATGATTGGCTCGTGAGGTGACAAAGGCTGAGGAGATGATATTATTGGTGAAGTAATAGGCGAAGAGGGAGGAGTAGGCGAAAGACGCGACTGAGTGGCTAAGGACGACGATGAAAGGAAGCGGCCGTTGGCGTCGCGGGGGCGAGCAGAGGTGCGAGCTCTCCTTGGAGGCGTCCTGGAAAGAAATAGACTGCTCGATATGCTATCGAGCGTGAAAGTAAGAAGATGCTGGGAAAGCGGTAAACTAAATAAGAGTTTACCTATCGAGCGTGAAAGTAAGAAGATGGGAACAGTATACGGGAATAGAACATATATATACGTTCGCGCGAGGACAAAGGCGCGATGCTCAAAGGGAGAGACAGGGGATAGGAGTCTCACGTGCACTCGCAAATAGACCGAGGATAAACTTCATCTATCCTCACAATGAGAGAATTTTACTTCCATCTTCCCCCACGAGTATCAGACAATGGTCCATGTACGATCGCACGGCCTGCAATCATGGGGATGACTGCGAGTCCGGTATATGGTGGCAATGTCGAGCGAGCATTCAGGTATGTGTACATTTCGATCCACGCTCCCTTTTGTCGATCATTGTCGATAACATAGTTATCATGCCCAGGTCGCTTGAAGCAAACCTGGATTGTACAATCCGAGCGCCAAGGATCCACCGTGCAGAATTAGGCCGACATGTCTATCGCCCCACCTTCACACATGTCATGTACGAGCCGAGTTCAGACTTGGATCCCATCTCTACGAATCTCGCCTCCTTGGATTATGTCGTCAAATCATTAAAGATAGATGACGACCCCCTCGTCATTCTCCTACGCAAACAGTTGTCAACGATGCCTCAAGACGCAGTCGAGCGACCCCGGCTTGATCAACGCCTCTCCAAGGTGATAGCCAAGAAGGATACCTTCTGTGAGAAGGGTCTACGAGACCTCCGACGGGCGGCCCAAGCGATAAGCCTCGATGTTGGTACATGGGCTGCTGACTGGTACATCGCGGAAGTTTTGACGAAAATCAACTCGTTCCAAAGAGGCCAGTATACTCAGCTCTTCTCCAGTTGGAGAGACACAGAGGCAGCCTACATGGCCAAGCAACTGACAGTCCAGGCGACTGAGGTGTCCTACGATCCGGATGACATTGTCGATGATGTTACAAGCAAGACCCAAACGCTGATTGCGCATTTGCTCCAGGAGAAGGCGGAAGCAGAGGCGAAAAACGATGCATACAGCTGTATTGTATTCGTGCAGCGGCGCGATATAGTATATGCTCTGGCAACAGTTCTGCGCCATCATCCCAAAACGAAAGACAAATTTCGGATCAGATGCCTTGTTGGGTCTTCCGATAACTCCCAGCGTTATTCGTTCCTCGATATTACTCGAACGTTCGTGCAACAAACGCAAGACAAGATCTTGAAGGACTTCGAATCTGGGATCATTAACTTACTGATATCGACATCAGTTGCGGAGGAAGGGGTTGATGTTCAGGCGTGTGGTAGTGTTATTCGCTGGGATCCACCTCCAAACATGGCTAGCTGGGCTCAAAGTCGGGGTCGAGCAAGGCGAAAGAGGAGCACATTCACTTTGATGTTTTCGTCGGACAGCGCAAATCAGAAATCGGTGGAGGAATGGGAAAAGATGGAGCAACAAATGATTGCCCTTTGCAACAGCGAGCGCGAAAGGCAGGCGCAGGTTCGTCGCCTCCAGGAAGGCTCCAATGAAGGCTCAGAGGATGACGATGAAGACAATGACAACGACGACAAGATGTTGAGGATTGAATCGACTGGGTGAGTGACTTTGTCGCAGTATTGATGTATCGCTTTCTCATGCGAAACGTAGCGCCATCCTTACTCTGCACTCTGCCATAGGGCACTTGGAGTACTTCTGCGCCGTAATGCCAGACTCCGATCATGCGAACCTCCAGCCTCTGTACGATATTGATCCTCCTGACATGCCCGAGGGATGGCACGCATTTGAACACAGGCTCGCCGTTGAACCCCCCAAAGGACCCTTTGGGGCGACAGTTACCCTACCCAAACTCCTCGCTCCAGAACTTCGCGTCTTCAAGGTACCCAGAATATACAAGAAGAGATCCCTTGCTCAGAGGCATGTCGCGTTCAAGGCCTACAAGGCTCTATACCACGCTGGCATGTTGAATGAACATCTCCTTCCTCTAATGGGCGTAGTGGAGCCACATCTGGAAGAAGAATTGAAAGCAATGCTGAAGGACATAGAAAAGCGAGCGAGCACCGCTAGTGTCTCTGCGCAGATGGATCCATGGGCCCCACAGAAGTCAAGCGATGGCACATTCCCTGAAGGAGGGGAATGGTGGTCGTCCCGGCTGGTGGTTGATGGTCTTCCCCCGCTATTGTTGTTCACCCGTCGTCACCTTCCGGCTTGGGAGAACGACAGTGGGCCAACGTTGTATCGCCCCGGCCGTCTACCTGTGAAAGCAATTTGGACTACACTGAATGATTTACCCACGAATGCTATGATCAATGAAGCGCGTACGTTCACCAGACAGTTATTCTGGGGCATTCATGGTTCTCGGATGCAATGGGATGACCTCGACTTTCAATACCTGTTTCTCCCTACCGGTGACAAGAGGGATGACTTGTGGAGCGCTAGACGTGCTTGGCTACTCGAGCAGGACCTGCTAAACGATTTCGAGGAAAACCATTTCCTTGCCGACGCAAGAACCTTTGGAGAAGCCTTCAAGTATCCAGACGATGTGACCCTAGTGCGAACGGGTTATGGCTTCCATAAAGTTCGCCAGTTCGTGCGCTGGAAATATGATCCGATGAACGATGAAGAAAAGACACGATTTTTGGAAACATATGCGTGTGAAGCACCAAAAATCACCTATCCTCTCCTTGTGGTCCGCCGCTTACCGGCACGTACCAACTTCCTCCTGCCTACTCCCATCGCACAACCAAATCTCGACCCCACTGAGCTGCTGTTATCTCCAGACCAGTGCTCTGTGGTGTTATCTTCAGCTAGTGAGGTCGAATATTCCATACTGTTGCCCTCTATCCTCCGGGAGATAGCAATCTTTACAACCGTCGAATCCCTCCGCAACACTTTATTTCGATCAACAACTCTTCATTCAATACCGCTCGATCTTTTGGCTGTGGCAGCCACTGCTCCCGCGGCACAAGAGCGCTTCAATTACCAGCGACTAGAAATGCTTGGTGACACAGTCCTCAAATTCATCACGACCATCCAGCTGTTGCATAGGTATCCTCTCTGGCACGAGGGATATCTTAGTAAACGAAAAGACCACATCGTGTCGAATGTACAACTAGCGAAAAGCGCCCTGGGCAAGCAGCTCTATACTTGGATCATTCGCAACACGATGGTAGGAAAGAAATGGAAACCGGAGTATTTTTCGACCTCCGCCCCTGCGTCTACCCCTGGCCAACAGGTTGCTCCCCCGGTTCCCACTTCCAACTTATCTAAAGAAGGGACAGAAAAGGAGCAGGAGGACCACCACTTCGGAGCCGAATTTAATGGAATATGCGAGAAGAAAAGCAAGAAGAACAAGAGACAGGCGGACTTCCAGGAGTTGTCTACTAAGGGTAGGTGGACGGATGTCTTGCGCCTATATACAAACATACTCACATTGTTCTGTAGTCTTAGCTGACGTCGTGGAGTCGTTGATAGGTGCAGCTTACATTCACGGTGGCTTCGAACTCGGTCTTGAGTGTATCCGCGTATTTGGCCTCGGTATGGAATGGGAACCTCTCCCGAAATGCATCTCGTCGTTGTTCTCCCGGGTGGCCAAAAACGACGGGAACATGACCGCCGTCCTGCCTAACGTCGAGAAGATGCTTGGATACACGTTCAATCGTAAACTGCTACTCGTTGAGGCTCTCAGCCATGCTAGTCACCAAGAAAACAAGTGCACGGTCTCTTACGAACGCTTGGAGTTCCTTGGGGACTCGGTTCTCGACATGATAGTAACCCACCATATTTACCACGCGCCTGGCAAGCTATACAGTCCCGGACACGTCCACTTACGCCGGTCGGCACTTGTCAACGCGCACATGCTGGCATACATCTGCCTCAAGACATATATCGACCTCATCACTGCTGTACCTAAACGCAAGGACCAAGGTCTGGTAGAGCTGCAACACGGAACACAACGAGTGTATTTGTGGCAGTGTTTAGCACACTCGAGCCCTCGCCTCCTCGACGAACAAGCTCAAACTTTCGTGCGATACCAAAAGATGCAGAATGAACTCGAAACCGCTTTCCTGGAGGGCACCATCTTCCCTTGGGCAGCATTACTTCACCTACAAGCACCCAAGTCCTTCAGCGATATGGTCGAGAGTCTGATAGGAGCCGTCTTCCTGGATTCCTCTGGAAATATTGATATCGTGAGGCAAGTACTTCGAAAGCTCGGATATATGGACATTCTGGAGAGGGTGGTTGGCGATGGGGTGGATGTACTGCATCCGGTATCGAGGGTCTCGCTGTGGGCTTCGAACATAGGCAAAAAAGTTGAATATCGACCTGAGAAGGTGAGGGGGGAGGTCAAGTGCACAATTGTGTTAGATGAAGAAGACACAATCTCCATGAGCACCGTGGACAATGGGCGTGCGAGTATAGATGAGGTCAAGTTTATGGTCGCGGAAAATCTCATCAAAACCATGGGTCTTAGGGACGTCGGATTAAATTACGACGAGTTGAAAAAGAAAAAGAAGGGCCACGCAGGGAAGGCTGGGGAAAGCTGATATGTCATGATACATTGACGAGGGCAGTCCATCTGCTATAGTCGACGTACGACGTTTACAAATTGCCTCTGCTATACTACATACATGTATCTTCTTCCTATGTATACTAGTATATTGGTGCAAATTCATGATCGCGGTTTAAATAGCAGATGCTCCTTGGTAGGAGGGATAACACCACCAGCAAATACAATATTCTTAGGCCTGGTCACCTCGCCGTCAGGAAGCTTGAACTCATAGTTCAAAAGGATGATGGCAATTATAATTTTGAGCTCCATCTATACGAACAATCAATACCCCATAAAACTGTCACAATGAAGGGTGAGTAGGGTGACTGGATGTAGGCTTACCGAGGCAAAGAACCTTCCGGGACATGCATGTCGGCCTGTGAAGCAGGTGCCAGTTTGGTCAAACGAAGGTTGTAAAACAGGTTATTGGTACATACCAGCTCCGAATGCTAGGAACTGTAAACCGTGCTCTGGTCAGCATAAGACACACTCGAGAAATAAATATCATACAAAATTATCGACAGTGGTGAACCCGTACTTCACGTTCGAATCTTCAGAAATGACATTAGTTAGCTGCCCCCCTCTGATAGAAGCAGGCTGGGCCGGGCACCTCCCTTACCTTCAGTTTCCCTGAGCTTAGAGAACCTGAAAGGATCGAAAACGTGTGGATTTGAGTAGACTTGAGGGTCTCGATGGATGTTCTTGAGGTTCACCGTAACCTGATAACCAGCAGGAATGACGACCCCGTCAGGCAGCTTGCCGCTGGCGATAGTGAGACGATTCATCCCAACTAGAGGAGCGTAAGCGTTCGGTGTTCATCCTATAGATAGTGGTAAGTACTTACAGAAAGATAATCCATGCATACGCCCAACTTCTCTCAAGATGCTATCGATCTTCCAGAACCTATTCAGTGCTGACTTGTTCCAACCGCCTTCTTGGTCCAGCACTTCCCTCACTTCTTTCCTCATGTTTTCAATGTCCTGAGTCGACATTTGTGCCATTTCGAATAAGGCTTGGGAAAGGAAGATCGAGCTACGTAAGTCGTAAGTAGTCGGTGCGTCGCTAGCTTTTCTGGAGTACTGACGATGTGTGTATACTCCCGAAATTAAGGTTCAGGATTCGCATCGCTAGGTCGTCGACGTCCGAAGCCAGCTCAAGAGGCGCATTGTCTAAGATGAATTCTGCGATATTGAACTGAAAGCAATGCTATGAGGAAGATGAAGAGGAGAGTGCAGTCAGTACTCACAGGGTGATCGTTGGATACCTTTCGTTCTTCCAAGCGCTTAACGAGATACGGCTTTATGAAAGCCTTTGGTTGCTTTGAACCGCCCCAAATCGACGAGAGGATGAAGTACACAAGCCTGTGGGAAGCACATTAAATGTTAAACGTTAAACGATCAAAGTGTCAGGATATGTAGCCGGACGCACGATCGTAGCCCAGGGACATTAGGGGTCCAGTTGAGAAGTTGAGAGTAAATCATAAGGGTTTCCGCGAAGTTGACAACCGCGTGCACGAAGTGTTCATTACGGCACAATTCGGTCCCCATTACGGCGTGGTTGCTGATACGGCCAATCATGTGTGTCATGGTGTGGAATAAGGGGAGACTGACATATTCTGGGGGGGGAAAGAATGATTCAAGGAAAGTCAATTTCGAGGTCTAAAAGGGTTACCTGAACCAGAAGGTGGTCTAAAGATCTCCTCCATTGCCAACGTGGACTCCTCCAATATCTCGGGGATGAAGGTCGCGATCCCTTTGGTGACTTCGTTGCGGGTCACGGTAGCTTGAAATGGTATCTTTTGTTGCATGTTGTTCATGGTATGATCGAGTCGTAGATTCTGAGGATGGCTCAATTCACAAAAGGGTCTCGCTCCGTGTTGAATCGATTCAATCCACCTACCTCGTTTACTTGAATCGGTTGATTGAACTGGTTGGGACGATGGATTCCACAAATCTCGAAGGAATGAAGCTAAACGACACGTACAATAGAATCGTTGCTAGTTCGGAGTGTTTCTATATGCTCGGCGCTGAGTACAATAATCCATCCACCGAGGGTGGGGATGGCGTATGGTCGACCACCAAACATTCTGTCGGCCTCATCGAGTACCTCTTCGCTCTTGGTGGTGTATCGCAGCGCAGCGATTAAGTAACCAATTCCTCCAGGCTTGCCGACGCGAGGGATACCTTGGGGCGCGCCATCGTAGACCAGGCGATAGATGATGAATGATATAGCGATACCAGCCAAAAGGGCAAATATCATCTTGCGTGGATGAGTGGAGGAGGATTAATGGGCTCAGGGAGGCGATACGGCGGTGTGAACTGAAGCTTCACCCCATGATCCGACGGATGAGAGCAACCGGGGTCAGAGGCTAACCCCGTCGGGACACTACTGCTCATCCCTTTGTAGTCCTTGACAAGAATTGGCTTCAGCGATCGTTTCTCAGCGCGGATCGCTTTCTTTTCATTTCCAGAGGTATCATGCCCCACGTTTCTAATACAGGCCCACTGGCACATCGCATGCATGGACGCAGTATGCCACCAGGAGCCACTCTGGGACTGGATGGGTGAGCAGATATTTAAAAAATTGAGCTGGGAGGAAGTCCTTTCCTAGAACACCAACGACGAGCGAAGTATCCGGCTCCTTGAGCCTCGCCTCGGTTATGCTCTCTTCTTAAACCTGGGAAGCATAGAAGATCGATTCTGCGAAGAGAGGTGGAGGCCGACAGCTACATCCTCGTCCACCTTTTTCTTTACTTTCAACGCACGGTCCCAGCTGGAGTCCCATCAATCGGTGTTTCTGGAAAGAACTGAGTGATTGAGGATGCGGTATGAGTGAAGATACTAGCACACTGTAAGTACTAATCTCAGGCCTCGGTACTGGTAATAGGCGTCAACGAGACCACGCGTAGTAATTACGAGGGTAGACTTCTGCGGCTCGAAACACCGCTGTAAACTCCTGCCTCAAAGTATGGCAGGATATCCGACCCCCACTTCGTTCAGGAGCCATCTTCTGTGTGCCCATAATATTTCGCGTGGGATTTGCTGGCTTGCAGTAAACCAAGGAGTTCCAGTTCATCATCAGCACGTATCACGCGAGCTTCAACGAGTTTCTTCCTTTCGTGGAGAGCCGTTTGGTGCGCGGGATTGGCCAAGAGGATAACGGCGGTTATATCCACCAAATCCGAGTAGATGGTGGGAGTTCGTTGCTCCCGGCGGATCGAATAGAAGATAGTCTGCGCAGTCACGTAGAGTTTGTACAGCAACTTCTGCAGAACTCCCAGATGTCCGTCAACGAGTAGGAATGGAGTGGTTGAATTTGGGGCGCGCCATATGTCTAGGTCGCCTGGTATGATTTCGATAGATTGTCTGCAGTACCATGGAGTAAGCAGAATTCTTCAGCCGTCGAAATGAGCGTACGGGTGGCTTGAGATGGCCTTCCCAAGGACATGGATACTTTCCATACACGTTGGCGTCAGAACCAAGATGCTCGTAACTGCAATCGGGCAAGCCGGAACAAACAACTTCTTACCTCATATCCACTGGATGCAGTATTTCCTGCTTTTTGCCTCATGTTCCACTTCCCAACGCTTATTCTGCCGGACAACTGCACATGCACGTCTCGTACCGTCTCATGTGTGTCAAGAATGGTGGCTCTACCGGGGATTTGGCCAGAGAGCTCGATCGGGGTTTGGTTAAGTTCTCTACATACAGCGCTGTTGCTGTACATGATGTTATTGATGTTGTATATATACGACTCGCCTGCAGCTTCTTATTCATTATCCTCCCCGCCATGTCCTCCACACCCAGACGCACTCGAGTGAGTGCTAGATGCACACAATGCCATCGCACCCTCTGGAGGTATTGGGATTCTATGTGTCTTGCCTGCTTGGACTCCGAACGGACGTTTGAGCCTCAACGGCTGACTATTCGTCTACCTCCGTCTCTCATATTATGCGAGCTGTGCTCTGGTCGCTTCCCGAGGTCGATTTTCATCGGTCTCGATGGCGCGCTCTATGCACGCTGCGCCTCTTGTCGTAAACGCGAGCGGTGCACTCGATGCCGCAAGATCAAGAAGAGACAGCATTTCCGGAAAGACACAGATTTCCCTGTAACCTACTTCAAGACATGCGATAAATGTCGACAAAGGAAGGCCGAGCGCGCCATCGTGCGCCGTCTTTCGGACACTTTTGCTGCCAGTTCGTCTCTAATCACATTCGCGTTAGCTTTCGTCCCTGACGTCGCGCTGCTTGCGAACTTGCATTGATGTACTATAGGGCAATATCAGATGATGGCGCAGCTGTGCACCAGCAATGAGCTGGACGTCGTTTCCGCAGACAGGTCTGAGGTGGGGTGGTGAGGATAGTCGAACGACGGAAAGCGCCTCCCCCCCTCGTGAAGAGATGTTACTGAGAACCTTCATCGAGGAGGTGAATTGGGACTCGAGATGCACTCGTCGTCCTCGGAAAGCCGTGGTCATCCCGTACGTTGCATTCACTGCCTTTCTGTCCGTTTGATTCTCGCCTCACGAGTCCGAAGGCTCACCCGCAATTTAAACCTGTTCAAGCCAGTAGGATTCGTACTTTCCTGCGATTGCCAACTTGGCTGACAAGCATACACAAACTAGTGCTCAGCCGGATGACCCTTGTTTCCGTAGATATTCGACCGTAAATACTCTAGTACATCCTTACTGATAATTTTCTGAATCCGCGTACCGGGTCGTATATACATGCCCATATCTGCCCTGCAGTCTCCTGCAGTGACCCATGTTACCGGGCGCTTTTTCGGTGAACTTCTACAACGTAACCTTCGTTTTCTCCTCCAGCTTGAACCAGTCATCAATCCTAGTACTGTCGCTCTAGCCCTACAGCGGACTAGCGAGCTGTATGTTTCGCTACCTCAGCTCCTTGAGGCGCTCGGTATTCCTTCCTTTGAAATTCCAGCCGGCGCGTCGCATGATGGCCACCCAACCCCAATACAGACCCCTCGACTTCTACTCCGGGCCGCTGGTGTGGATTGACTGCGAAATGACTGGGCTTAATCCTCGCAAGGATAAAATCATAGAGATTGCGGTGCGTGCCTCGGGTTTGTAGCTGAGGATGATGTGCATGGTGCTTAAGCAGAGTCGGGATTGAGGTAGGTCTTGATCACGAACGGAAATTTGGAGCTCGTAGACGATGGAATAGAGTACATCATCAAGACGGACAAAGAACTCTTGGATCAGTGAGTCGATACGGCCTATTCAGGAGCAGTCGGAGGTTGTGATTTGCGACCGGACGCCTCAAGTTCCCTCAACCATGTCAATTTTATAACAAATACTAGGCTGAAGGAATATCTCCTGGGGCCACACGGCTCGCATCGAGGTGCAGGGAGCTTAGGACGGCCTCTGACTGCTACTATTTCAGATCACATACTCATTGTATCCTCACAGGATGGATGAATGGTGCACCAATCAACATGGTTCTGTGAGTCTCTTTCACGCGCTTTATCCAGTGTGTATACTCACCTTCTCTTCAAACCAGTCTGGCCTAACGCAAGCATGTATCAACTCACCACACACGTTGGACTTCGTGTCAAAGGAAGTCGTGTCCTATATCAGGAAGTGGATCCCCCAGCAGCGCGCAGGCGTCCTGGCCGGCAACTCGATCCATGCAGACCGGGGGTTCCTCGTGGAGGAGATGCCGGAGGTGACAGACTGGCTGCACTATCGGTCTCTGGATTGCTATCCTAATGTCGTGAAATGATGCTGACATGAGCTTGGACATATAGCGTCGTTGGTAAGACACGTTACATTAACGTTTCAAGGCACATTCATTAACCGTTATCCCAACAGATGTCTCGTCTATTAAGGTGCCGCAACACGCGCTTTCCTCTCGCGTTTACTCGTTACTTATTAATCGATGATCCAAAGGAGCTGGCCCGTCGATGGTATCCGGGCCGTACTCCCCCAAAGCAAGAAAGCACCCATAGGTATTTGATACGCCGTTCACTTTTCCTGGGTCTTATTATTCGTGTTTCCCTCCGTCTAGGGCTCTTGATGACATAAGAGCCTCAATACGAGGTTTGTCGCACTCCGAGATTTTGGCGAACATATGGGTTTATGAGCTTGCAGAACTTCAATGGTACCGAGACAACCTGTTCGTGCCGCCTACCCCGCCGAAGCCCTTACCCGCGGCCAACGACACAAACCCGAAAGAGCAACTCTAGGTATCCCGATAGATTATTTCCTAGTGTATCGATATTGAATGTGCGTGCTGTTACTACATATTGCAAATAGGGTTATAGGGTTACGATTCGATTCGACTGCGTGCGGGATGCCGCGAATAAGGATATTGATACTGGGTAGATACCATAATAACCGAAAAACTAGAAATCCCAGAGAGTTCCCTATGTTCTGTGTTAGACCTCGGTTTATAGGCAGAGAAGGTGAGAGCTTACAAAGGCAGGGATACCGGCGGCTTTGCAACCTTCCATCATTTCTGTGTTTCCTTGCAAGTTTGACGTGATGAAGACAACTTCAGCCCCCCATGACGCGTAAGTCTCTTTGATGAGCTTCAATGTGTCAGGGCGACCACCTTTGTAAAGACATCAGTAGGCGAGCAAACCTCGACCGAGGAGACCATTTACCTCGCTGTCGCGAATCCCAAAGTGTGACGCGATTGTCGGGCTTGAGATGCTTCTCAATCAACCCCGAAATAGTTGGACCAAAGGTCTTTTCTTGGTCGGAACCTATCCAGATCAAATACCTTTGCGGGTAATCGTCACTATCGAACCGTCTAATTACGACGGTCATTCTCACCAGTTCGGGCTCTGTTGGATGAATGATATTAATCGTTGAGCGGAACAGATTAGGATTAGAGGCGCACCTGAAGGCATGTGGATAATGCGGCGCCGAGACCTGTACCGGTACAAACTCGGATGCCTCTCTTGTACAAGGTGGAAGTATTAGAAACACCAGCGAACTAGATAATGCGGTTTTAAACATGAGATGGGACCTGAGGGACTTGGCGCGTACCTTCAGCTGTCGCGTCCATAGAGTCGTAGGAGGATTCTGGACGAGGCCGCGGGTGAAGTCGCCCTGTACACCACAGATAAGATAATGGTGATCCGCATGCTTCCCTTCACTAATGGGTCGGAGTGGATTAGGCGATTATAGCCCGACGACTCTGAGGTCTTGGTAGACTTACGAAATGATTCCGAAGGCGTGATACTCCATAATCGAACCTCGGGATATTCTCGCCAGCAACCCCTGTTGCATCCCCCTCTTGAATCTGACAATGACCACCTTCGGAGATGGCTAACGGGAAGACTCCGTGAGACAAACTCATACGCAATACACAGTCGACTAAATAGACCCACGATTTCAATGTCCACTGGTACCTCACGAATAGTGAACCATGGGATAAGAACGCTATGTTTAGGAAATAGTCAGTAGGCAATGAGAATCAATGGATGAAGATCGGACTCACAAGATGGTCATGCCCAGCGCAAACCAGAAATCTTGTTGACGGATAATGCGTATACCATCGGGATTCCAAGAGTGGGTGTTCAAGTCGTAACTGTCACCGAGGACAACAAATATCCAGGCTGTTCTCGGTGCATGATTAGTACTGGCAATTCCATTAACATGGAAGGAAGCTTACTCGAAGCTAGACCTAGCCTAAATTGCAGCATCAGTAACAGTGAATAAGAGACACGCGAGCTCCTTACCATCCAATAAAGCGGTGATGACGTTCAAAGACACTAGAAAAAACATCGGTCTCGTGCCTGAAGATCCGAAATTGTTGATACGCACTTATGATGTGTGTTCCGCACCCAAGGGAACGCTGAGCAAATAGAGATTGCAACGGCCAAGTTCGTAATGACACCCATGACGAGGACCGCGTCGTGGTTGTTCCTGTGATCAAGGAATATGCAGACGACGCGATACACAAGCCACATAAAACCCGACGTCGCGCATCCGGAATGTATGCCTCCCAGGTGCTGAAGAACGGACGTGCATCCGAGTCGGAACCAGAGTGGGGGCCACTGTAGTGCCTGACTGAGTACATTTGTTTATGATGGTGAATAGACTACTTACTTTCGCAAAGAGAGTATTGACAATGAGGTACAGAAATCGTCCAAAGAGTTCGTTTCTCATAAGAATGGCAACTAGAAGATTCCCAAGGACGAAAGCGCCTGTGTACCGCCGCGGATACGTCCATGTACCAATGATCGCCAACAAGAGCCCGATAGAGTTCAACGTAAAAACGATGGTATAGAATTTCCTATCAAACTTTGTGAGTAATATGTTTGATACATCGAGAATATGTCAGTACCGGTAAGTGTTGAACCAAAGTTGAAATCGTATCCAACGTGATGCTCGTGGAAAGGATGGCTTTGGTTTGGACTTCAGAGCAGGTGCAACATTCGTAACTGGGACAACGACGGCTACTGCTTTCTCTGGTGGCGTCTTGGTGCCTAGGTTATTCTGGGATTCTGTTGGTGACGGCTGGCTCCCGAGCGAGGGATTAGATTGGCCCAATGTCAGCGACAACGAAATGGGTTGCTCATGTTCCATAACACCTTTCTCTGCATCGTCGACGTGAGAGTGAGGGATGGCCGACATGGCGAACACGTTAAGTCTCGAGCAGCCAAGAGGGAGTGAGTAGATTGATATGCAGAAGCCTTCACATCAGCGGATAATATAGCCATTGGGGAATTAAGCCTTTCAGCGAAACAGACCGTTCGCATGTGGTGGAAACTTTCCTAGTTGGATATCCCAAAGAAAAGCCGGATAGAGCATGTTCATCCGAAGTGATGGCGAACGTCTGGCATCGGCGTGGGACTCATATCCTGAAATGTGACATCTACTTGCGATAGCCGTAGAAGATAGAATGAGGTCAAGGCCTTTTCACTGCGGTCTCGAGTAGGCCATCGGTATAATCTCTGTCAGGAACCGTATGCCTAAGAACTGGTAAGATGCTAGCTTTGATAACCGGATGGGGACAAAGCCTACGAGGATTCTCTGCGCTTTGTGGTGATGCGCTGGGGTAGGTTTCATTGAGATCAACACGCGCAGACGCGGCCATGTATCGCTAGGTTGACATGCTCATACTGTGCGGAGCGTGGGAAGTGGTTTACGCTGATCTCAGAAACATACTGTTCAGCCGTTGGGCTATCGGCGACACCTGGGAAAGACATTCACGCGCGGGAGGGGCGTGGGTGCCAATATTTGTCCCGCATAAATTTACCACAGCACGACACCATCTTGAGTCCTGGAGACAAACAAATTCCCCACGTCCACCGTTCCTCTGCTGCGTGACAACGGTTACCGAAAGCATCTTTAATGCCTCGGGCAGATAAGATAGGCGGTAGAGTACGCATTCGCTCGCGATATTTTCGGCCTACGATTGCACCAGGCTTCGTAGGTCATTGCCTCAAATCTATAGAAGTTCCATGGTGTTCGGTTTGCCATCTTGCGCGCTGGTTTTAGAATACCTCGGTACCTCAATGTTGGGCCCCCCCCTTGCCCAAGCCTCCTCGATGATGTCTACCTCTCATCATGGGACAGTAAACGTCGGAGAGACTGCGGGGATTTGTTTCCGCTTTTGGTGATTCCCCAAGAAGCGCGCCTGATAAGGGTCGGGCATCGGATTGCCCATCTTGTAGATTGAGACGGAAAACGGGATTGTTGATCTCATCGAGGAAGGAGGCATATCCCTGTGATGCAATGTCTGCAGCTCCCTAGGCGGTATGAAGTAGAACTTGCTGACCCCGCAGGGACCCTAGATGCGGGGGCGCTGGGGAACAGGGCGACAGAATCGTACCTGTAATGCGACTCGACTGCGGGCAATATTTGTGCAATCAATTCGCGTCATGGAGAGGCTTACCGGTAGGGTAGAGGACACGTGCAGCATGATGGCCTTGTTACCGCAACAAAGACGGAGCCAGATATTGCGATCCCAGTCTTTTGGGTTGGTCTGGCCTGGCTGTTGCGGAGGTGCAAGGATGATTCGCGCACAAAGCCTCCATCCGACACCCTCGCCGACGCGAAAATCCCGGGTGCACGTCGCATTGGCCAACATTCTCGATCCCGACCAGAACCTCCCCATCCAACCGTCCAGCTCTTAGCTCATGAGGACAAAGCAACTTAATGAGAATCTGGGCCATGGCCCAGACAAGGTTTGTATCCTAGACATAGCCAGCATGCTGCCTCTGGCGTGCTAGCAAGGCGCAGGCTTCGTCCTGCGCAGTTCATTAGAAAAGTTAATGGAGTGCAGAAGTAGTCTAACGAACAACAGCTGGGCCAAGTCATCTGGCCAAGTCATTCGCGAGATAACTCGAGTATAAGAGGTCCTGCAGCTTTCTTGCTCGAGGTTTCGATAAACTGTGGGATTCAACTCGCGCTGCCTTGGCAGTGGCGCAATATTAGGCTGGCATGCGATCACATGACTGGCCCCCCGTTCTTCTTCAACTTCAAGGCACCACGATTCTGTGCAATGAGTCAAGGAGCCAGAGGTTCTACGAAACAAACTATGTCGCCCTCTGCGTCCTGCCTCTGTATCGATAACAACAACGCGCCCTCCGTTGATGTTATCATGTCGTGCTTGTTCCGAAACTTCGTCACGGTCGTCATCCGATAGCTGGGCGTGCTTGAGACAGCTTCGAAATTTACTCCGATGCGCAAGTCACTCTGATTCGAGCACTGTCAAGCGGACAGGTTCATTTGATCCCTTTGCTGTCTTCGATACATCCGCGACGGCATAATTCTGAAAGTATGTATCTTGCGATGCGATTATTGGAGATGGTTGATCTATCGTCCAGATAATTGACGGGGACGCCCAGCGATTGCTTCGTGGAACCAAGATACCCGATAAGCAGGTGCAATTTGAGTACACAGGTGGAGGTACGGACTCGAACTTGTAGGGAGCATGACCACAAACGGGAACCAAGTGGCGTCTCCTGGGGACTTCTGCCTGCGGCCAACATAGGTACTAGGCGGTTCGACTGAAGCGTATGATAGAGTATGTTCGGCATTCTGCCTTCCACCATATGTCGCTCAGACGCCACCCCCTCGTCTTACATTCGTCCCAATCCCCCTTTATCATCAGTTCCACACTGCCGTGACGCGCCATCTTCCTAAAGTTTAGCACAGCGGCGCTAACGTGAAATATAACGTGCTCCGCCAATAATTTCTTCGCCAAAGCAGCAGCTAACCTAATAGATCACAGGACGACTGAATTACGGAGAGCAGTCGAGACGAGTAAAGAGACACAGGAGGGCCACTACTTTGGAAAATCATGCAAATACTTCCCTTGGGAAGTATATTGAACAGTATTTGAATTTTGAAGCTCGACCACCCTGGTTTTGGGCGAATACGGGGAGTAGCTATTTGCATCAACATCTGAGATGCTTTCGCAACCTGGACGGGAAAATCTCGTTGGAACAGCACGCTGTGGTGGCCCATTAGGCTAATACGGGAGTACCATGGTTATTTGGTACGTTCTTATGTCGCATTCATCCCACAGGATGATCACACTTACTTCTCTATCAAGGCCTAAGGCCAGCTATGAGATAATCAAAGGGAACAATGACGAAGGCCCATTCGGCTATTACGGGAGTGGAGTATCATCTTCGCCCCCGCAGCACGACAACGGAAGTAATCGAGGCGACGACTATCGCAGATACGACCTGGCTCATGCGCGTGAGATCTTCCGAATACTCTCCAATCAAGCAATATCTCTACCATCCTGATCATTATGGATATTGGAACGGTACAAACATTTCTGCGTTCATAATGATTAATGACGGGGTTGTAGACGAGTTCATTCTTCCAGCCAACGCGGATCAACCTTTCAACAGGACAGTACAGTAGAGCTGGGCTACTTTTATATGTTCACCATTTCAATGCCTTCAGTACAATGACCGTCAGAACTATAGCCGAATATTCATGTTGACTCGGAGCCCATGATTCATGTATTCGGAATGGGCCGAAATTCAGAGCAAACCAGCGATATGAGCTCCTACATACCTCGCAGTGAATGGCCATACAGCCGACTGAGGCGGTACGGGAGTTAGAAGTTTGGAACAGAAATAGCAGTCCGTCTATTCGTCGGCCGAGTAACTTAGAGCCCGGGCGCCAGAATGCGATCACATGATCTAGCCGGCGGCAATACAAAATTTATATACGAATGGAGTCAAAGTTCGATTCGATTGCCCCCATAAAAAGTTCATCCTTGTTTCTTCTGACTCAAGCAAGGTTGCTTTTGTTCCGTGCCCAGACCAGTGCTCAGAAATGAGCTTGGTACGCTTGAAGAGCTCGATCCCGACGAGGGCAACACCCTTCAAGGTTTTCACGCGACACCGACATCTGCGCACATGTAAATACAATACCTTCGCACCAACCAGACCTCTGCAAGCCGTTGCCGCACCTGCGGTCGGGTCATACACCCCAAAGGACGGCGAGCATGTGTTAAACTCCCCCTCTGAGCTTGCTCGCAAAATATCGGCCAAGGTTCTCCCTAAACTCCCAAGGCCCAATGTGCAGAAGGTGGTCGTAGTGGGAAGTGGCGGTCTTAGTATTGGTCAGGCTGGCGAATTCGACTACTCTGGTTCCCAGGCGCTGAAGGCCCTTAGCGAAGAAGGGGTCGACGCAGTTCTTATCAACCCCAACATTGCGACATGGCAGACTTCTCACCAATTGGCCTCCGAGGTTTACTTCTTGCCAATCACCGCAGACTATGTCGCCTATGTACTTGAGAAGGAACGCCCGGACGGTATCCTACTTACCTTTGGTGGTCAAAGTGCTCTCAATGTCGGCATCGAACTGGACAAAATGGGTGTTTTGGAACGGCTTGGTGTTCAGGTCCTTGGTACACCGATTAAAACGCTGGAGGTTTCTGAGGACCGTGATCTCTTCGTTCAGGCTTTGAAAGGTAAGTGTTGCGCTATATGTGCTGCGAGATGGTCTTACGTAGTCAATAGAAATCGATATCCCGGTCGCTCAGTCCACGGCTGTCTCTTCCGTCAACGATGCTCTCGCTGCTGCCGAAGTAATTGGTTATCCCGTCATTCTGCGTTCGGCGTTCACACTTGGTGGTCTCGGCTCTGGCTTTGCAAATGATCCTGACGAGCTACGTGACTTGTCTGCCAAGAGTCTAAGTCTGAGCCCTCAAGTACTCATCGAGCGCAGTATGAAAGGCTGGAAGGAACTGGAATACGAGGTTGTTCGTGATGGTGCCGATGTGCGTACTCAAAGTGGTGTCAGTCCGCGATCTCACTCAACGACCAACTATAGAACACAATCATTTGCTGCAATATGGAAAACTTCGATCCCCTCGGAACACACACTGGTGACTCTATTGTCGTGGCCCCATCACAAACATTACCAGATGAAGAGTACCACATGCTACGAAGTGCTGCTATCAAGGTCATCCGTCATCTTGGTGTCGTCGGTGAATGTAATATTCAGTACGCCCTCAATCCCAACGCCAAGGAGTATTGCGTGATCGAAGTTAATGCTCGGTGCGACTCTTCATTTTAATAATCTGAAGACATAGCCAATCTCTATCCTAGTCTGAGTCGCTCCAGTGCGCTTGCTTCGAAAGCCACTGGATATCCTCTGGCTTACACCGCTGCAAAGATCGCCCTCGGACACACCCTACCGGAATTGCCTAACGCCGTCACGAAGACCACAACGGCATGCTTTGAACCCTCGTTGGACTACATTGTCACGAAGATACCCAAATGGGACCTTGCCAAATTCTCTACGCAGGTGAATCGCGAAGTTGGCTCCGCTATGAAGAGCGTCGGCGAAGTTATGGCAATCGGTCGTACATTCGAAGAAAGTCTGCAAAAGGCCATCCGTCAAGTGGACCCGAGATGGAAAGGTTTTGAAGCCTACGTGGAACCCGAGGACTTGGACAAGGCCCTCAGCAGGCCAACGGATATGAGGTTATTCGCCATCGCTTACGCCATGTACAACAAGAATTACTCAGTTGACCAGCTTCATGACCTTACCAAGATTGACAAGGTAATTCCTTATTGGTTCGTGCACGGATCTTCTTGCTGATCGGGTTCTAGTGGTTCTTGTACAAAGTCGACAACATCGTGCAGACACATCATGCTCTCAAGGCCGCTGGTTCTTTGGAAAGGATCGATCACGAGCTCATGCAACGTGCGAAACGAATGGGCTTCTCTGATGGACAAATTGCGGACCTAATCCAGTCAACCGAGGATGCTGTACGAGCAGCCCGCAAGTCTCTGAGCATAACGCCCTTCGTCAAACGGATCGATACTCTTGCTGCTGAATATCCTGCTCACACTAATTACCTTTACACTACGTACAATGCATCCGAACACGATGTCACCTTCGACGAGCACGGTACTATGGTTCTTGGTTCTGGCGTTTACCGCATCGGCAGCAGTGTCGAGTTCGATTGGTGCGCCGTAACATGTGCAAGGAAACTTCGGGATATGGGCAAGCGCACCATCATGATTAACTACAACCCCGAGACCGTATCCACCGACTTCGATGAGGCCGACAGACTCTATTTCGAGGAACTAGGCTACGAGAGGGTCATGGACATCTACGAACTCGAACAAGCTCAAGGTGTTATTGTTAGCATGGGAGGTAGGTTCCATTGTTTTATGGGACGCTGTATTTGCCTCATTTTTCTAATAGGACAACTACCACAAAACATCGCTTTGAGATTGAAAGACACCGGTGTCAACGTTCTGGGTACCGATCCTCATAAGATTGACAGTGCTGAAGACCGTCACAAATTCTCTGGCATCCTTGACAGCATCGGTGTTGACCAGCCCGAATGGACCGAGGTAACAAGCCTCGAGGCTGCGAAGTCCTTCGCCAATCGCGTTGGGTAAGTGTCGTTATTCCAACTTCGTGTTAACCATACTGAAATCTCGTGGCGTAGATATCCCGTCCTTATTCGGCCGTCATATGTACTCTCCGGCGCTGCAATGAATGTTGTTCGCGAGGAAGCCGCGCTGGAGTATAGGCTCTCGGCCGCCGCCGACGTTTCTCCTCTTCACCCCGTTGTCATCACCAAATTTATTGACAACGCGCAAGAGATCGACGTCGATGCTGTTGCTTATCGGGGCAAGCTCCTTGTCCATGCGGTATCCGAACACGTCGAAAATGCAGGTGTACACTCTGGTGACGCCACACTGGTTCTGCCTCCATTCTCTCTCACGGAAACCGATATGCAGCGACTGAAGACTATCGCCGAAAAGGTCGCGGCTGCTTTTGAAATCTCTGGCCCTTTCAACATGCAAGTAATCAAGAAGCCCTCTGATGTTGAGGGTGAAGAGGCTCCCCTCAAAGTCATCGAATGCAATCTCCGTGCATCCAGGTCGTTCCCCTTCGTTTCCAAGGTTCTCGGACATAACTTCATTGACGCTGCAACGGCCGCTATTGTGGGCCAGGATGTACCCGAGCCCGTGGATCTCATGAACCAGAAGAGAGATTATGTTGCTGTCAAGGTCTCCCAGTTCTCCTGGACTCGTTTAGGAGGCGCTGACCCCTTCTTGGGCGTCGGTGAGTACCATATTCATACAAAGCCCTAGGTGGTGTTGATTTCTCTGTTTGGTAGAAATGTCAAGCACCGGAGAAGTGGCTAGCTTTGGAAAAGACATTCACGAAGCCTACTGGACCTCATTGCTCAGCACTACCGGTTTCAAAGTTCCGCGAGCAAACTCTGGTGTCCTCATTGGTGGTGACATCACGCAACCTGAAATGAGGACCGTTTCGAAGACTTTGATTGACCTCGGATTCAAGCTTTATTGCTCCTCGCCCGTCGTCGAGGAGTTCTTGAACGATATCCCATATGTATATGCCAAACGGATATTCTTCCCTACCAAGGACAAGCGACTCTTGCGCGAGGTCTTTGATGAGTACGATATTCAATGCGTCATCAATCTCGCGCGAACTCGCGCAGAGAGCTTTACCGATGAGGATTACGTCGCCCGACGGTATGTTAACTCGAAGAGCTTGTTACAAACTACTGACCTAGTTTGAAAACAGAAACGCCGTTGACTTTGGCTTACCACTCCTTAACAATGCTCGAAATGCCCAACTCTGGGTTGAGAGTCTCGCTAAAAAGATTCCTCAAGGAGGACTCAGACCATACACGGAAGGAAGGATCCCTCCTGAGGTCGCTTCATGGAGGGAGTTCGTTGGGCGCCGGGCGTAATCAGCGCCGTCCAAAAAATATAAATATTGGCCCGGAGAATGCTCCGTTGTAACTTACTGATATGTTTAGATGCTTTATATTTTGCCATTATCACTTTTTTGCACACCAAATTATTCTATTAGGGGCGAGCATTCTACGGGCGGAGGTCCTCCGGCGTGCACAGACTATCTAGATGCAGCACTTCGACGGTCTGCCCATATCTTGATCGATCGACATCTGAATGCCTGCGATCTACAGCGAACTTCGAAGCAAGCAACGGCTCCAACTTTCCTTCGATTGCATCAGCAACCAGCTTCCCTATGACGGGGAAGAACTGGTGGGCGTAGGTGTGAGCGTTCATCGTATGCATTCTCATACTGACCACCAACCTTGTAAGCGTGCCCGCTCCCCGCAGTCGCCAACATGACCGCTGGATCATCTGGGAGGAAACCTATGACCCAATCACCGTCTGGCGAATCGTTGTACCTAGAAAGTAAAATCGTGACCATACTCGGTGAAAATGGAGGGCCTTCCGGTGGATCTCACCAACACAAACGGGTCCCGAGGAAAGGTTTCTCAGCAAGATCCGGGTATACTTCTCGAAGGTGGGCACGCAGTTGCGCCAACACCACTTTCGGGATACGCAAGCCATTTTCATTGGCGTTGGAGATGGTTCGTGGAGTCGAGATGCCTAGGTCATTGGATGGCGATGATGTATCATGTTGCTGAGGGACATATGTATACCCGGCAGCATGCAAGGCCATTTTTACGACGTTGTCTTGGTTCGGCTACGGGGGCTAGAGCTCAGAGAGAGAACATCGTAGAGTAAACCACCGTACGGGAAAGACGTAGAAGCCGGTGCTGAAATTCAGCACGACAGGGCATCGTCTGTAAACCTGAGCTTCCTCAGCGGTCAGTTGAATTGTCGCTACGGATTGCCTGATTCAAGGTGGCTTCAATGCAGGCATACACAACAACAAGCTCCACGCTTACCCAGTCGCCAAACACTTTTCCTTTAATTGCAGCTGGGGAAAGGAAGAAGCCGTCCACGCGCCAGCCGCGATGATCACTAAATCCGCATCGAACACGGACCCGTCACAGCATTCCACCCCCCTCGTCCTCCCATCTTCTGCGTTCCTCACCAGCCTACACACTTCTTTACCTGGCACAAACTTTCCACCCCGAGCACGGATCTTGCTTGTCAAGAGCTCGATGCCTTGCGCCGCATTGGCCCATCCCCCATCGTAGTTCAGGTACCCGGCCGTGTTTTGCAGGCTAGCCACCCGGACACCGTCAGGGAACATGCCCTTATTCCGGATCTCCGTGCTGTTCTCCACGACAGCGACGCGTGCGCCGACGGAGATGTCGTTGACATATGACTGGGACGAATATGAATGTTTATCATCTGAGTGGCCGAGCACCAGAACGCCGCATCTGTGGAAAGTTCATGGGTCCCATGTCAGCAAAGCTATTCCTATTCATACCCCACATATTAGTTAGTAGCTTACTCATGATACGTATCACCCCATTCTTCGGTTTTCCACTGGGCGATGGCTTCTTGTGCTAATTTCGTATAGAACACATCATCGTACGACGTGCGAACAACTACCGTCAGATATTTCAGCAATCAGTGCGGGCGGCACCAGCACAGATATATCATCGTCACCACCAACTTTTGTTAAGATCATAACTTGCCGCATCTGCAGCGGGGAGCGATGCGGCCTTGTCCAAGATAGTTATGTCACTGAAACCCCTGTTGAGCAGATGCGATGCTGTGGATAGCCCAAAGCACCCAGCGCCAACAATGAGGATCTTATCGTCCGGCTGGATCATATAGATTAACGAACTTGACACAGAAGAGGAGCGGGGTTAAGTGGTGAGAGTGGGGACGTGCAAAACATAAGCACGCGTGTACATAATATCATAATATGTGGAAATCCGGCTACGAAGGAATATGTTTACTACGAGTATGTGTAAAGAATATAGTCTGAGTAAACTACTTATTGTGTACTAGGGTCTAGTCTTGTGGGCTGGAATAATGATAGTCCTTTAAATATGCGGAGATGCCGAACTTTAGAATAAGTCAACGATGATAGGCTGTAGTTTGCCATCCCGAATAGCCTATGACATTTCGGTAAGAATAGGCCTAGACACTGGAAAGAAATCGATGCCTACCTCATGGATCAAAGAAACGTTTTGTCCGGTTGTAACATCATCAACACCAACACCGTTCTCGAAGTCATTGTAGTTCTCCGCACCATGCATCTTGATGCCGAGCGTAAGACGAACGAACTCATAGACTGGGCGTGTCTTGTTCAAGAACCTGCTTGCAGGTGCGAGGCCACGGCCGCCACCAGAGAGGTATGCGCGGCGAAGTTCGTCAAGGAGTTCATAACCTCTGGCGGCGATGCGTGCTCGGAAAGCTGGGATCGTCGTAAGAGCCTGACCGGCAGAGACCACATCAGAAAAGGCCTCTCCAGTCAGGAAATCGACCAAGGGAGTCGTCAGCGATGCTGCGACAGAGGTCATACGATCCTTAGCATCCATCGTGCTAGTTGAGTCCATGGCATCGCGCACGATATGGCAACTGATCGCGGTGAAACGAGTGATCTCGTAGTCGTCGAGGAAAGGGGAGAAAGCGGCGATGATCTCCTCCTTCACAATCGCATCCAGGCCTTCGTACAATTCATGTTGCAGCGCACGGAGATCCAGGGCTTGGCAGATGGCGTAGAGGTAAGATGATATCAACAACGAGAGAACTTCCAGCGACGTGATTGTTGCTCGTCCGGAAACCAAAGCCATCGAGCTATAAATAGTTGATGTCAACAAACCGGCTATGAGTGAATCAAAGAAGTATGCTTACTTGATGGCCTGGTTGTGCATTTCCGCACTTTGTATATGCGTGGACACCGGATTCGCTAAGTAGCCTAGCTCTGCAACATAGGCGGCTGAAGCGATATCAATCCCCTTGGCGTGATAGTTGAGAGAAGGATCGGTCGCGGCCAAAGAAGGGGGAAGTCCGCGATTCATGGTTGGGTTGATGAGCTCAGCGCACTGGGAGAATACGAGCTTGCCCAAGTGGTGGAGAGAGAGGCGGGTCTTCTCCATCGCATTGGTTACAGCCATAGCTTGGAAATTACCACCGTTGTGAACTTTCCCGGTTTCGCCGTCAACCAATGGGTTGTCGGTAGCTAAAATCAGATGAGGTTGTAAGCGATGAACAAGCGAACAGGATGCTGGGCACTGACTGGAGTTGCACTCCAACGTGATCGTCGCCAATGATGCGATCAAGTCTTCGACCTGAGGACCAATGAACTGGGGAGAGGTGCGGAGAGGATAGCGGTCTTGGCGTAAGTGACCCTTGTCTTCGTCAATTGTCATCTCCTCTTCCTCCGTCGTTGCAAACTTGCTACCTTCAAGCAGGTTCCAGATGACGTCGGCTGTCTCGATCTGGCCAGGATGTGGTCTCGCGACTGCATGAATGAAAGGATCGAAATTGCCACGAGTGCCAGCTAAGGCCTCTGCCCCCATAGCCGTGAGTACTTGGGTGAGCAGAGTAAGGTGGACCGCATCGTGCAAGGCAAGAGCAGCGACCGATGCACTGAACGCGGTTCCATTTAAGATGCCGAGATGTTCCTTGCACGCAAGCGATATAGGCGAGATACTGTGCGCTTCGAGGGCTTCGACCGAAGATACAATTTTACGGGGGCCAAGCGCTGAAGTCCTTTCTCCGTCGAATACCCGAATAGAAGGGTTACCGTACAATGCACCCGCGACGTAAGACAACGGTTGCAAATCTGCCAATACAAACCGTTACAAAATTCCCAGTAAGCGATGAGTGTTCGAATATGAAGCGTAGATACGCACCGCCAGATGCTGATATACTTCCACGTAATGGAACAACAGGTGTGATGTTGGCGCGAAGGAGGTCATTCATCTTCTCGATGAGTTCCCATCGCACGCCCGAATGTCCTCGAATGAGGGAGTTCATGCGAATGAGCATAGCACCGCGAACCCACGATTCGGGCATTGCGAGGCCAAATGGGTCTTGCAAGGGAAGTGCGTCTAGTGGTTTCGATGAAGAAGGTAAGATACCACTGTGTTGCATCTGCATCAAGGCATTCCCCAGCAGGATCGGCTGGTCAGTACGCGTATCGGCTAGATGATTAGAAGCTGAGTATATGCGTCGGAAGTGGAGGAACCATATGTGTCCCTACCGCTGCCGCCGAATCCCGTTGTCACGCCATAAATACTCGTGCCCTGCTCGACCTTGTCGGCTACGACCTGGCGACTTTGTAGCAGGCGATCCTTGACGAGAGGAGAGTCGTCGAGTTCGACTCCGGCGTCGTAGCGTGCAGCAGCAGCGACTGCTGCTATCGACAACGTGTGTCCATCAAGTACAACGGGTCGGCCACTCCTAAATATATGCGTTAGTCAAAGCTGACTGGTTCGGCTGCGACAGACATACTTGTAACTTTGTAGTTCTTTGTGAGCGTTGATGAATTCCTCGACTAGATTCGTGGCATTGGGTGATATCGAGGAGGCTACAGGCGACGGAGGCGACTCCGTTACGGGCGTAGCGATGACCTTGAGGGTAGACAGAGAGTTGGAATATGGGCGGGTGATAGAGAGCGTGTCTGCGGATAGGATTGTCATGGTAGCAGAGGAAGGAGGATATTGTGGATGACTCCAAAAGGGAGGCCACAGTCCATTATATACGTCAGGCAGAAGGCAATACTGTGTAGGAGAAATCTAAGATGAGATGATCAGTATCGGGACCCTGAAAATGGGGATCGAGTTCATTTCAATCTCCGCTCCGGAGGTCAAACTTATTCTCACGCGCGTAACTGTCCGCAACCTCCGTCCGGCCGGTCCAAAGGTTACATTGCTTGCTGTGTTCCAGTGAACGGCGCTTGACATCCCCAACAAAAGTTGTGCTCAATCAACCACATGCTCTGTGCCTATTTCGCAGCATCGCCCCAATACTGATTATTATCGTAAGCTCTCCAAATGAGTCATCTCGACTGCATGCAAGTCTTGATCTGTACAGCTTAGTGTTTCAGCCCATATGTAAGCAAGTACGGAAGCAAACTGATACCGCACTGAGCACGAGGCATTTTTCCAAAGTACAAGGCATTGCTTAACTTTCCAATGGGGTTGTGTACGGTTGTAGGGCTCCGAAACTTCAATATAGCATAGCAGAAACATATTTTTAAAATGAGCTTCTAGTGGTGCCCTCAAACTTCGACTCACAGAAGAGAACCTTGATAGATGGGAGTAGATATGACTGTAAATTAGTGTTGTCATCGTACCGAAGGTGGGACCATGCATTCCAGGCCGCTCGAACGAAGGTCTCAACGGTGAAATAGATCAAGCTCATAAGGCAACTATTCCGAACAAACAGAAATGAGCGTGAGTGTGTACGAGTGCGCCTCAAAATCAAATTCCCCACCAGCGACCTGAAGTCGAAACATATAGCGTACCATAAAATTTCCGAAGGCTCCAATAAAGATCCTCTAGAACCTGAACCGCCACCACTACGATCCGACTGGTACGGGACAAGCACATGTCGTGCAACGAGGCTTTTCATGTCGACATGCTCGGAAGTGCTTACGGCCACTTTCAAGCGTACAAGCGGGTAACACCAGCCGAGAGGATAGTGTAGGGAGCTTTGCTAATTATCTTATCAGGTAGGAGATCATTCCGGAAGAACGGAATGCCACCCACCTAGCATCCCGGTCATTTTTCTGTCTGAGGAAGAAGATGTGCACGAACGCGACTGAATAGATCAAGAGAAGTATCTGTGTGGCAGCTTTGATGATCCTGATGCAACGCAGGTGGAATGTCGCAACTACCAGTTATCGATGTAAGTTGCATCGTCTTGGTTCTTGATGATGAGAAATTCGGCTGCGTGTCCATATCATGGCACAGTGCAAGGCTTTGATGGTGGACACTCCCACCTTCAAAGGCATAAGTGAGACCAGAAGGTGAGAACCCGCGAGTGTCATTCTTGCGTGTCACTGCCTAGAGTTGTCCAAGATGCTGGGTCCCTCATGATCGGTTAAAGCGCGACAGTGGGATTGGATGCGGCAGAAGCTAGAGGAACACCTCCTGCAAGTACCTGTTTCCAATCGGGTGATAAGGTGGCTTGATAAGCTTCACCAATGGCCCTGCGCAAATTTCTTCCCGTCTCTACATCAGTGTCTCAAGGAAATTTCTGCAACTAGACCCGAAACTCCTTCAGTAGTGTAGTCTTCCGGTCCGTGGAGTCCTACGGCCTGCGGAGAGTTGGCGTGCCGAATTCACATAAGCGCGAATGTAATGGTAAATCGGGATTTTCGTTCTGTCAAGAGTGGGTCAATAATTGGCAATTGCGATACATCGAGGATGAAGCTTCAAACTGACAGGCGGCGTTTGCGATGCAATGTTTTGAATCAAAGACCACTCTCGATGATCATGCTGGATGAAGTAAATATCATTGGAAGTAGACGTGAGACGCCCACTGCCCGAATCAAATTCACAGGCCTCCCGAGGCCGATGCCGGCGTTATTTTCCCACATCCACTCCGTTCTGTGCAGTCACTTGCAGTGTGCACCATCTCGAAAGCCTGTGCATCGTCGTCGCTCCTTCGCTAGGTACTGATGGTATGGTCTTTCCCATCGGCGTGGCATAAACCGTGCTCATCCAAGATCCCATCATGTCCACCGTGTACTTGTGGTGGCTAGGGCAAGGCAAAGAAGACACGCAAGTTCGCCGCTGTGAAGCGGCTCCTCAATCCCAATGATATACGGCTGTCAGCACACCACCGCCAGCTTCTGATTTGTTTGATTCTGATGATTGTTGTGCAGGAAGGAGAACCAATTGAAGCAAAAACAAAAAGAGGAGGCTGAAAAGGAGAAGGCCGTGCGTCGAGTGTGCGTACCATTTTTGTCGCCAGGGTACTCAGCTAACGCGGAATGATAATTCAGGCCCCAGGTCGCCTCATCGATGTTCCTAGCACACAACACTGCGCTTGCTCCACCGTATCGCGTATTGATTGATACCAATTTCATTAATTTCAGCCTGCAAAATAAGCTTGAGCTTATGGGTGGTATGATGGACTGCTTGTACGCGAAATGTAAGTTATTCGTTACAGTTCATCACCCTCGCGGATCATTCCTGGCCGTTGCTACTTGCTACGTGGGTCGTCAGCATACTGAACCGCGTACATCCAGGTATCCCATGCGTAACCGACTGTGTGATGGCCGAGTTGGAAAAGCTGGGTCATAGATATCGCGTTGCGTTGAGGTGGGGTTTCATTCGCTTCTCCATTCCATGTCGAAAATACATTCTTACGAAAATCAACATTAGGATCGCCCGCGATCCTCGATTTGAACGCCTAAAATGCACGCATACGGGGACGTATGCAGATGACTGTCTCGTGCAACGTGTGACCGCGCATAAATGCTACATTGTCGCTACGTGCGATCGAGAGCTCCGCCGGCGGATCCGACAGGTGCCCGGCGTGCCGTTGATGTACATTGTCCGGAGAAGATATGCTATCGAGCGGTTACCAGATCAGGGAGCCCCAGCATAAAGCATAACAGTCACATCTATCCCAGCCCGCCCAGAGGCTGTGAACGCCGCACCTCGAAACGCGCAGAAAATGGCAGCACGATGCCACAACCCACCCCTGATTGCGAGATACGAGATTACTCGCTTAGATTGTGTGTATTAATATATCTTGAGTGTATTAACAGCTTTCTCGATATACTGCGATAGCTTCTCCCGCATCCCTCCATCTTCCTGACCGCGTAACATCCCTCTCAACGAAGGCGCGATCAGAGCGTGCTCTATGCTCTATGTACCCCTCAGCGCTTGTCGACCTCGGTCTCGTCCAAATGCACGTCGATTAGACTATAAGCCACCCACTTCCATTTCTTTCAACGCGCGCGCCTTTGTCTTTGCCGCGGTAGTAGAATATCCGATGCCGCCAAGACTTGAGGGTTCTATCTCACATCTGAGTTCTCGACTCTGGCTCGTCCATGCGCCGACATTGTATTACACATTGAACCTTCAAATGCACGACTTCACTCGGGGTATCCAGGATCATCCAAAATAAGGTATATCTCGTTTTCGGGACCGGGAAACGACGCTCGCGGTGATACACATCCCGGATGAGGTATTTTGAACAAAGTAAGTGCTTGGTCGCGCGGTGGGACGCCCCCGGAATCGTACCGAAAACCGCAAATGACTCGTACAGTAATCTGAGTGAAACACTACGCAGTGATGAACGGGCTTCAACGGGTTGCTCATCACTAGCATTGTCGGCATTTTTGACTTGCCGTAATTATCAGTATGTCAGGCGCTCATCTCAAGATGGTATCTTATCAACAGCATACAGCACAACGGTGATGGCGAGTTTTCATGCCAATTCGGCCCTAGATGCTCTGATACTACCATTGGTTTTGCTGGACGACTTACTGCTTTCTCAAGCACGCTTGGCTCAGCTGAGGTGATACTACATCAGAGTCCATCGGAAAAGGGGAATTTTGTGTGGTCCAACAATATGCATAAACAACGCGTCTCCACTCCGCGATTAAGCGCGACGCGTCGCACGGCCACTGACTCAATACTGTGTCTTATTACCTTGGGACCCCCTCACTCTCACCTCAGGCCAAATCACTCACATACAGAATCCGAAATCATGGCTGCAGAAGACTTGATCGACCTCTTGAACAAATATTCCTGGTCGTCAAAACATGAGTTCACACTAGACGAGTTCCTGAACAAGGTTGGTGCCGTTAAGGACGGTCCTTCCAAGGTTGAAGACTGATATGTGGAGCGCAGTATAGGCCGTCTATGGTGCAGAATGATGGAACGAAACCGGTGCGAGAACCTCCTTATGCCAACACCTTCAACACGGTTCTCATGGGCGTATTGCCTCCTATGTTGTGCATAGTGGATCTGGGTTAATGGTAGCAAGGGACGTGATTTTGATGCGGAAGCACAAAACGCAGCATGCGAAGAGGGCGCACAGTACTGTACGTGTCTTCTGATGCAGCAGTACTAGATGGTAATGTTTCTCATCATCGGAGCATGGTAGTGAACGAGGTCACTGCGCGTGTAGAAGAGATCAAGGTACGGGTTCCGGACCGTTCATAAAGATGGACCTGATGCTGATGAATTGCTGTTGTAGAACGATCCGTCGATTCCAGTACGATCGAATAAGAAAACTGGTGCCAAGAGTAAAAAGGAATTGCGCGAACAGGTAGACCAATAAATTGGATAGGCAATGACGAATGCTTCACAGGATGCTAGGTCCAAGCCACTGCTACGGAAAAGCTCAAGGAGATATCCCTCAAACATAAATATGTTTGTGGCAAATGGTAGCTGTCTATCCCTTTCAACGATACCTTCGCATCATGCTACCCGCTTTCTCAGGCTTGTTTTTGCTGCCGCTGACAAGGTAGATGTGATTTGGAAGGGAATTGCCAGTTTGTACCAGTGTCCCTTTTACTAGCAAATTGCTGACGATTGTAATAGCTTCCCTAGTTTCTGGACCGTTGGCCGAAACCTCAGCGTTCCAAGCCAAAGTGGCCACATCTCCTCAAGAAGAGAATCCTAACTACCAGCATGTCATCTGCGTCTACATGCCAGATGTGTATGACAAGGATGCTGCAACGAAGGTAGGTGTTGTGGTATCTAGCTTCAATAGGCATGTCCTAAAATTCTTAGGTTATGCGAGTTCTCCTCCGAAACCATGGGTTGAACTTGTCCGGCGTCAAGTCTGATATGTACACATCCTTAGGTTAGGGTACAGTTTTGCATTTACGGTGATTGATCTGAATACATATATAGGCATTGATAGCAAACATCCTAGTGGGATACCATCTACGGCAAGTGCTGTATTGCCTTTCTTCCTATTGACGCTCGCTGACTAGGTTTGCTCCCCCCCCCTCTATTCAGATATGGAAGAATACGAGTCTCATGAAGGATGCCGAGATTAAGGTATGGTTCCCAGGCGCCATTTTCAATCCTTTGCTGATTACCCACTTCAAAGGAATTGAAGGAGGCCTTCTTCGCCGAACTTTCCACTGCGAAACCGAAGGCCACGGAGGACAAGGAACAGAAAGGCGCGTCGGGGGACGAGGAGAAAACACACATAGGAGGCTCGTCAACCAAGAAAGCTACTGCAAAGCCGGGACCTAAGCTGAAGAAAAAGGTCGCTGACGATCCTTTTGCGTCTGACAATGACGCCGATGAGCAGGCTGAGAACACAAAGGCAGACTCGAAGGTTGGAGAGAAACCGAAAGCAGTAGCCGACAAGAAGATTGCTGCAAAACCTGCGCCTAAACTTATGAAGAAAAAGGTTGTTGATGACGACTTTGCCTCCGATGATGATATGGATGAGGAAGAAGCACCAAAGGCAAAAGCGAAGGGGAAGAAGAGCACCGTGGTGAAGAGACGCAAATCATTTTCTGACGATGATGAGGACCTAGACGAGCGTCGGAAGAAACCTCGTGGCAAGAAGTGATCCTCAGTTCATACCCTACTTTATTTACCTTTGATATGTGTCAGTTCTAACACTTTGCTCCCTCGGTTTGATTTTGGTTTCAAGGTCGAAATTGATTAGATTACTTCCGTCGACTTTAGAGACCGAGATAAGATAAGATCTCTAATGACGTGGAATCAACGTTTCAATTGGCGGGCGAACATCTGAGAACCTATTTCCATGCACGATTAATTCGGCCTTCCTCGACCTTGACGTGACATTCAGCAATATGTTGAATCGACGCTGCCCACGCAAAGCAGCATGGCTGGCCTTTGGTCTCGTTGCATTTGCCGCGTTGTCGGCCTCCGCACAAGACACAGCTCATAACGCCGTAGTGGAGGTGCCAGAAGTACGTACCTTCCTGTTTTGACTCTGCTCGTTGCTGAAACTAGCCAAGCCAAGTGCAACGACGATACCTGTGGATACGACACCAGAACAGAGGCCGCTCAATGTCGAACAGACAACTTCAACACCACCTGTACGTTTAACCCCCATTCAGAGAGAGCTTTGTTTCTCTGTTTCAGAATATCTCTATTTACTCGAATACTCTACAGCCATCTGAAAACGACCAAGCAGCCGAGGGTAAGCCTGAAAAGTTCCCGAAGCTGTATATGAACACCTGGACTAAATAGGCTTCACTGACAGCGACCAGAGCTTACAAGCAAGCACTATCGACGTTGACGATACTGACGGCCCAACCACCACTGCATACCCAGGACCCCTCCTTTGCCTCAAACCCGCACGCTAATTCCATCCTCTCATACTTTCTACCCAATTTACAGGGACAAGGGCCACTCGGAAGCGCTTTTCGAATATTGGTGAAGTTGCACCAGCAGTCATGGATAACTGGCTTGACATCAGGATTTGCTAAAGAGGGCCTCGGTTTGGGTTCTAAACGAAAGGATGAAGACTTACGAGGGAAAGCCATCAAGGTCATCGACCTACTACAACATTCGGCTGAACTGGGAAACACGGATGCACTCTATACATTAGCTCAGCTATACATGGTGCGTGTGCCTACCCACTGTTTATGACGGTCTTACTCATCTAAAGTAGTTTCCTCCAAGTCCATACTTTGACGCTGATCCTAAGCAGGCGTACGAATCATACTCTGCACACGCTTCTGCTACCGGGAATGCGTCATCACAGGCCATCCTAGGTTTCTTCCATTCTACTGGATATCATGGCGTAGTGCCGGAAGATCAGGCGAAGGCGTTACTCTACTATACATTCGCTGCTAGTGGCGGACACAAAGGAGCACAGATGGCGCTGGGATATCGTTACTGGAGTGGTATTGGGGCGCTTGAGGACTGTAATCGGGCTATGGAATGGTACGAACAAGCGGCTGAACATTGTATGTGCGATACTACTCTTTCTATGTGACGCCTCACTAATTACACACATTAAGCCATGGCGAAATTCCTATCTGGACCCCCGGGCGGAAGGACGCTTACCCACACTGTCACGCGTCTGTCAGACCTTGAAGGAGGTGTGTATGGCCCAGGTGCCAGCGTTGCGTCAACCGGAATAAATGCTGTCCGCCCTTCCATCAAGGCGGGCGCTGCCCGAGCAGCTGGAGAAACATGGGAAGATGTCCTAGAATACTATTTGGTTAGTCTCATGTGCGAAACGTTATACCAGACTCTCATCGCTGACACGCGGCAGTTCAACGCAGATCGTGGTGAGACGGACTTTGCCTATCGCTTGGGGCGTATTTTCTATCAGGGAAGTATCTACGCCAGTCCCGGAGGTATCGCGTCTGGGAGTGAGGGCGTAGGCGCTATTCCACGAGACTATACGCGAGCTCGACACTACTTCCTTCGAATCGCCCGACTGATCTGGCCAAGGGATCCTCCGAACCCAGCTCAATACGTTCCGGCGCCTGTCAAGGAAGATGGTCGCGAGGGTGTCGGATACGCCTCCGCGAGTGCTGCCTATCTAGGCCGAATGTATCTTCGAGGAGAGGGTGTCAAAGCTGATCCCGCGATGGCCAAGATGTGGTTCGAACGCGGGGCGGAGTACGGTGATAAGGAGTGCCATAATGGGCTCGGGATCATATACCGAGATGGACTAGTCGGGGGTAAAGCAGACACGAAAAAGGCAATACTTCATTTCGTGGCCGCTGCAGGGCAAGACCTCGCGGAAGCCCAAGTTAACCTCGGAAAACATCACTATCGTGAGTTCAAATACCTGGCTCGAGTTACGTTTGATCTGACTCCCCCTAGGTCGAGGTGAATACCAAATTGCTTCCAAGTATCTTGAAGCCGCCATGCGAAATGGGTCCCCTTTCGAGGCTTATTATTACATCGGAGAGATTCAAGCGTCACAAGTACGGGCGAAGACCGCGCCACCGCACATCAAGTCGAGCTCGTGCGCCATGGCCGTTTCTTTCTACAAGCTTGTGGCAGAACGTGGGGTGTGGGACGACGACCCATCCAGAGAGGCAGAGCTTAGTTGGCTGGCTGGCACAGATAAGGACAAAGAGATCGCCATCTTGAAGTGGTGGATAGCAGCAGAACGAGGCTCAGAGGTCGCTCAAAACAACCTTGCCTACGTGCTGGACCAAGGTTTGTTTATTGCCGTTGCTCATACACCCGTTGCTCACATAATGCACAGATCGAAGCTTGCTGAGATTGACCCGCTTCTCCCCTTTCACTCCCTCTAACGAAACCGCTAAGCTTGCCCTGACACAATGGATCCGGTCCGCAGGACAACGGAATATTGATGCCCTGGTCAAGGTCGGAGATTACTACTACCATGGCTTGGGTGTCAGTGAAGACGAACCATCACGACTTAAGAAGGCGGCCGAATACTATCAATCCGCCGCCGACACGCAACTAAGCGCATTGGCCATGTGGAACCTGGGCTGGATGTACGAGAACGGTGTGGGCGTCGTTCAGGTACGGTTTACTCTCCATTATCTCACCAATCATCTCTGACCTAGAGTAAAGGATTTCCATTTAGCTAAGCGCCATTATGACCTCGCACTCGACGCGAATCCGGAAGCGTACCTACCAGTTTTCTTGTCGTTGGGCAAATTGTACATAAAGAGCATATGGCATACGCTTATGGGAGGCAAAGGCGGACTTAACATCTGGAGTCTAGAGGAAGAGGAAGGTCAGTGCTATTTATGATCTGTTAGAGCGTCTTGCTGATGAGTACTGAAACCAGTTGTTGGTTCCCCTGTGTCGGGGAGTGGTGAAGGTCGCGAACTTCCAGATGGAGGAAGACAAAGAGGTTCCGACCAGTCTTCAGTCGAGGGCGTTCCAGATGAGCGCATAGAGGAAGATGATGGTCCCTGGTATCTTGGCAAGGCCCGAGAAGAGTTTTCTCGTCGGAGACGACACAGTGGGCGACAAGGCGAAGAAGATGATCCAATCCAGGTTAGTACTTGGCATCAGTTTTTGCCTGTCCTTGTCCTCATTCCTTGCTAGTGGGCCAGAGAGCGTCGCAACGACAGGGATAGAGACGGTGAATTCGGGCCAGACGACTATTATGATGGCGGAGTTCGTCGGGGTGATGACGATGATGAGCTAGGAGAGACAGTGCTCCTTGTTCTCCTCTGCTTGACTGTGTCTGTGCTTCTCTACGTCCGCACTCGGTTGATGGACCAGATGAGACGAGAACAGCAGCCCCAGCCCCAGCAGCAGCAACCACAACAGCAACCACAACAGCAGGGCCACCCACCTAATGGAGGCCCAGCGGCACCTCCAAGAGGCAATGGACTGTTCCCCCCGCTGGGGGATCCTGCGCGCGACGAATGGGCTATCGCCCGCTAAAATTAGACTTATGGGTTTCAATGTTTTTGCTATCTGATATATGTAATGCTGCATGCTTTTTGGAATTGTGTGAGCACCGGAATGGGACTGGACGTCCTGACTTCTTCGAGTCTGCGTGTCATACCTGAAGCTTCTCGATCTTGGAAGTGGCCGTGGTGGCGTACTATTTATGTATGTTAGATTCTCGCGTGGCGACCGGAGGGATTGACGTCCGAGCGAGTCTGCGTCTACGTCCACGTCAAGTTCTTGCTCGCTCTTTACCTCCTATTCTTGTCTATTACTTTTCATTCACCATGGGTTTTGACTTCAACTCGCTCGAGCCTTTAATTAAGGAGATTCTCTCTGCTCCAGGGACGGATTTAAACACTATCAGCGCAAAACGCGTCCGTCGTCAACTCACGGAATTGGATCCTTCGTTGACTTCGGAGTTCATGAAAGAGAATAAGGAGGATGTAGACTTGGTAATTGCGCGGGTTTATGAGAGTGTACGGGAGCCAGGGGGTGATGACGGAGGAGAGGACCACGGAGAGGGTGCGTCGGACACATCGAGGAAGCGCAAACAATCGGAGCAGTCAGAGGATTATGGCGAGAACGGCGAGGAAGAGGCTGGAGATGAAGACGAAGAAGCCGAATCTGCACCTCCTGCGAAGAAAGCGAAGAAGGGAAAGAAGGAACTTAGCGACGAGCAGCTTGCGCGGCAAATATCAAATGAGATAAATGGAGGCGGTCGAAGGAGTGCTACCCGCTCTGCTCGTGCTACTAGTGGAACACCAAAAAAGCCTCGAAAGAGGAAGAGTGCGGCAATTGTGGATTCGGACGACGGGTCAGACGCTGGCGACAAGCCGAAAGCGAAGTCCGCCGCGCGAGGCGGTTTCGCGAAAGAGTACACCCTGAGGCGAGTTCTGCGCGTTTTCCATGCAATTCACGCGTTCTGACGATATTGATTGTGTGCTAGTCCGCCCCTGGCTTCGCTGCTTGCAGTAGATAAGCTGTCGCGGCCACAAGTCGTGAAGCAGCTCTGGGTGTACATAAAAGCAAACGATCTACAGAACCCTTCGAACAAGAAGGAGATCATCTGTGATGCGCCCATGAAAGCCATCTTCAAGTCGGACAAAATTGACATGTTTTCAATGAATAAATATTTGGGATCGTAAGTAGTTCTGCTCTCTCTCGCTTGCCGCTTCGCATTAATCGGGTATACGATCTTTCAGGCATTTGTACAAGGACGCCGAAGAGGAAGCATAGTCGCTACCAGTCTGTTATTCATTTTTAATCCTACGCTTTCCTCTATCCGTTCATTCGTGCTGTCCGTTCATTCGTCATGAATTTGTACCATTTATTCTCGGTGGAGGATGAGAGCCTTCGTGTTCGTATATGCATAATCCAGTACACACATAATACACACTCATAAGGGCTATAGATGATGTTATCAGGCGGGTTCGGTGTTCGAAACGCTGGGTATAGTGCACTTGTATTCCTCATAATATTACATTGTTATTTAACTTGTGTCCCCACCGAAAACCTACGAAAACTATACACAGCAAGTGCCAGCACTGGTACTATACCACAAGGGCATGTGTACCGCGCTGTAGGATTCCCGACCACCAACAACGGACCGGGGAAACCTAGAGAACCACGATCTAACAAGTCCATCGAAGATAAACGATCTCGAAGTGGGCTCCCGTGGAAATTGTACAGCATACACACACACGGTCATCCCGGGCATGAAACATCTGCCTCTCCACGAGAGCCTGTCGCGAAGCAGAGGGAAAGATGCCGAAGACGTGGCGAAGACTCGAGAAGACTGGAGTATCAGGCCGTTCACCGTCTGCCGTTAAAATGTGCGTAAATTTCTTGGTCTAGGTCTAGATCCCAGAGGGCGAAGCGGCCACGTATCCACAGTACGGCAAGGTTTGTGTGGCCACGGGGGGAGGGTGATGGGGGAGGTGCTGAACGGTAGAGAGTGTGCGCAGGGACTGTTGCTGATAATACTCGACCCTCCGTGAGAGCTGGGTCTTTATCTTTGCATGCTTCCCGACGTTCTGTAGTAGACGTGTAAAAGTAAGAAGGAACTCTGTAAGATTGTACACACCATAGAATGAGACTATCAAGCAGAGTACACCGAATACACCGAGTGCTAAACAACTGGCAGGTATCCGTCTGCTTGAGCTCGGTGAAACGATGCCAATTACTTGGGAGCTAACGATGGTAACGAATGCGCCGGACAGAGCAATCAGTCCAAGCCAACGCGCCGAAAACGATGTCCAGAGATGATACGCTTCCTCCTCTGAGTATCGGTTATGTTCATGATCAAATCTGATGTCGATTGACACCTTGGGTTTGATCGGTAGTCGTTTCAGCCATTTAGAACGCGAGAGGAGAAGCGGGCTTAAAGCTTTGACCGCCCGTCGCGGAAAGTTATCGTTCGAAGGCAGTGGTAGAAATGAAGGTGATTCGGTCGTCCAAACGTCTCCAGGCTCTAGTGCGTTTATGTGCTGAAATGGAGCAAGTATGCTCAGTGCGACGTTTAATGGAAAGGCTGTCCTATTGAGGATGGTGATGTTAGAGCTTGACGAGCTGGACATGTCCGCCTCTTCGCCGATTTACGTGAATATGCTAAACTAAGCATTAAGTCGATGAGCCTATGCTGCGGGAGAAGAGAAGGTCAAGGGGACGTACCTAGTGAGTCGGCGGTGGGTAATATGGATTGGCGAGATGACCAGGGGTCAGTGGGTGCGGCAGAAGCTCTATAAGGGCTTCTGGCTGACTGCGTGCGGGGGGGAGGCTGTGGCTCGGAACAGAGTTAACTGTTTGACGAGTGCGGGGGGCGCTCAGGGTTCGAGATGGCGCCGAAAGGTGTTAAAGGAGCGTCGGTGCTGGCTGAGACGACGAGCTACTAAGAAAGTAGGAAGCGACGTCGGAAGCGCAACTGAAAAGTGGAGATATATAAGAGGCAAAAAAAGAAAATGAGGGACAAGGGCCTGCACTGATTTAGAAGAAGCCCGAAGAGAGCAAATCGCCAGGGTCGAATTGCCACAAGGTGCCGTGGCGCGACGGAGGCTTTTCTGAAATCCGATTAGGAATTTCCCAGAGCAGCGTTTGCTGTCAAAGTACCATATGCTCTTGCGTCGTCGTCGTCCGTTTGGGGTGCGCAATGTCCAGTACAGCGAGCAGCGGCACTCGACATCGAGATTCAGATACGCTACATTTAGATCGGTAAATTGGCCAGCACTGACTAGCAACGGAGAGCTTTCGAATCGAAACCTGTCATAATCCTTCCCAAATGAAAAATTGTCCCAGCATCAGCAGATGATTACGGCAGCGCCAGTAATCGGTGCCCAGAGACAGCTCTGCTAGTGTGGATTGCTGTAGGCGCGACTCTTACACTGCGGAATGGTCACCGGATGCATCTCTATACACACAATCATTGATTCATGGTGGCATATTCGATACTGGTACAGGTGCCTACATACGGAATATAGAAACATTTACACACTAAAATTGTACAGCCAATGGAGAACGAGATGGTAAAACGATGGGAGCGGTGATAGAAGTCGAATGTATGAACAGCACAAATGAGTGTGAGTGCGAGCTCCCAACGCGCAGAAAGAAATATGTACACGACCTAGGCTTTCGGTAAACGGGGTATCGCAACCCCACGCTGGCGTATCGTCCGTTTGCCACAAGAGCCCTTGAGTTCGTGTCTCTTCCGAGCATCTGCCCGAGATAAGTTCTCGCCACACTTCGAGCACCGAGCCCGGTCGTCGAGTTGATCAATACTGGTGATATGAGCCGATGCATTCCTCAGATGGCGTTCCACATCTCCCCTGCGCGAGAAAGTGCTGCCGCACCAGGGGTGGGGACATTTGTGGGGCCCCTTGGGCCGCCCACCTTGTGCTGAGGACCCACTGGAGCCAGCGCTCGGGCTAGACGTTATTCTAGCCTTCTTACGACTAGCCTTTCCAGTCGTTCGGATAGGTGAAACCCTAGCTTTCTTAGCTGGCGGCTGGGAATCGACAACTATGTCATCATCGGCGGTATCAGCTTCATCAGCCCGACGCCGAACGGACACGCGGTTGGGCGATAGTAGGGAGGACGATGATATAGGTGGCGGAACTGCAATCACATCATGTCCAGCGGAAGGTATGTCTTTGGGAGTAGAAGAGCGACTTCTGAGTTGCCGGTCGAAGTGTGGCGCTTCCACTCCTGAATCACTTGTTGGACTAGCAGGTCCGGGTGATGAAGCAGCAGCGATCGCCATACTCGATCTACAAGGCCGAAGAGAAGCCTTCTTCGGTGGCGCAGCGGGTCGTGTCTGCACTGTAGTGCTCGGTACAATAGTCGCAGCAGCTTCGACTCGGAGTAATTCGACATTTAATGTCCCATTGGCATTTACGTGAGAGGGTTCCCCAATTTCCTCATTGTCACGCGCCGAAGGTGAATGAGTAACCGAAGGAGTGACTGGGGCTTTATCTACTGAGAAGGAGCTGGTTTCGGCATGGTCTGTCGGCTCGAGTTCAGGTTCAGGGGTGGGCGAATAGATACGCATCTTCTGGTACATTTTGTCGAGTACAATGTCGATCGCTGGGTCCGGGTCTTGTTTCGGGAGCGGATGCCAGTGTTCGCACCATGGCGAAGTTTCCGGTGAGGAAGCTGATGAATCAGTGAGGGGAGAGGGAAGGTTACTGGGAGACGGAAATCCGCGAAAGCAGTCCTCCTGGAATCAGTACACGAGTGTGAGCATTTGATTCAGATTTTGAATCGGTTTCGAGGGACTCACGACGGTGCGGCCAAGTAGGACTGCTAACGGGGGATCGGAAGTGTCGAGTATGACAACCTCGTCTAGATGAGGATCATCATCCGTGGGCTTCCAAAGTGCGCCCATGCGATCATCGTCGAAAAGCCCATTGTTGATAGGGAAAGATTTGAGGCTTGGATCGTCATCGAGGAGATATCCCATCGAACTTGACCCAGATGTCAGCAATACTACAGAGGGAAAAAATGTCTAGTCACATACTCTGACGAAGCAGCCTTGATGTCAAATACCTCCTCGAGGTCGAGTCCCTCTGCAAAAGAATAACCGCTGGTCATGGAATGCATTGTGCTGCCACTCGTGGAAGCCATTGATGACGGAGGGAGGCCGACTCGAGGGACTGGAACAGCAGGTATTTTATGCGGGATTCTCTTTTGTGCGTTTTGTGAGCACTTGTATAACGTTGTGGGCGCAGACTTTCCACGGCTTGATGGATGGCCTTGCGCTAATATGTGTACCTGAATTAGGTAGGGATATACATATGGTTTCCAGGCCGCGCTTCTGCTGCTGCGAATATAGCTGATGATCAGTTCCTTCTGCCACTATTAGGCCATGTACATACAGTCTTATGAACGGTGTACTGGCCTAACATTGGAGAATTCTTGGACCTGCTTTGGCGAGACGCTAAAATGAAGGCTTGCCACTGATGTGTCGGATTTCCAGACCATGAGCCACGAGGCGAGGGGATCTAGGATAGGACGCAATATGCCATCAAATTTTCATAAACGGCAACTTGCACCAAGGAATACAAGACACCCCGGAAATAGGCTTGGATTCCGTTCGTCGATCCTGGTTCGATGGAAATTTCTATGGACACACAGTTGGGGTGATGGGACCGGAGGAGTTGTGCTTGCCTAGGGTCTTGGTCCCCCGCCGTCGTCAGACCATACTTACGAAAAGCATAGCAGCTACACACCATCACGTTCCAGCTCTACCTATCGTCACGATGCTTCTTGTTCTTGTTTCACTTGTTATCTAGAGTTGGGCTTGATGGGAATGCGAAGATAGATGATTCAGAGTTCGAGGGTTGCAAGTCCATCATTGTTCCAGCGCGGCATTCATTGATATGTTTGATTCTTGGGTTCTGTCCATGGGTATCGGGGCAGATGAGTGTAAGCTTGCTAGTGGTCTGGTGCAATATCAACAGCCGCTTCGGTATTTCCTGGTCTCTTGTGGGGTTTGCCACCATCATTCTGTCAGCAGCTGGCGGGATACAGCAGGCCATTCGAAGTTATTTTCGAGACAGCTGCAGCGTGGATTTGCTGGTCACGTGATGATTCTAAGAAGATCGGCCTGATCTGCTCACTTTCAGCTATATTATCCACGACTTTCGATTGAATTGGGGTCGAAACCTGTGGATGTCTCAGCAACCAACAACAGCTCCAAAGCCTTCGCTGCAGGGGGTCAGAATCAAAGCAAGAAAGGGCGCCGTCAAGGCCCACGCAAAGCACGAACCAACCGGTACGCCATGCCTCGCGATCGCCCCACTCGAACATTCAAATTCAATGTTTTTTCTGTGATTGTTGCATAGTTTTCCGCGATCAGCTATACAAGCACCTTGAAACCGTCCCAGCAGGCGACTTTGACGCTTTCACTAACAAGTTAGTTCAGGCAGGATCGACACTCGAGTTTTTGAAATATGCCGATGCGCTGTTCGAGATCATTCTCGTTGGAGGCTTGCTGCAGCCCGGAGGGTCCTACGTCGAAGAGAGCGGTCCCACCTCGCCGTTCTCCATCTCTCATGTCAAGGAGCCCGTTCAGATGGAAGACCTGAAGCCGTACATCGACGTGCTGAATAAACTCATTCGGAGGCGAGTGTTAAAGATCTCAAACGAGCTACCCTAACGAGCTACGTGTAGGTACAAGTATTTGCAGAAACCTCTTGAGGAATCATCCCTCCCCGCTCTCCTGCAGTACGTGCATCGCTGGCCGCCTGCGCAGAAAGACAAGCTCGCCATGACGACTGGGCTGTTGATCTCACAAGGCCTCGCGAGTGCTGCGTGTCTGCAGAGTCTTACCAAGGATCATCTGATCAAGAACGGTGAGTTACGCCGTTACGTGCATCTAGAAACGCTCATCGATACGTCGTACAGATGTATCCATTTCCGCCGTCACTGTTGTGTTCAGAGCTTTCCTTGCTGAGCAGTCTATGGAGCACCTCGCGGCAGCACTGAAGAAGGGTGGCATTAAAGATCTAATGGCGTTCTTCCCCCCGAACAAGCGCGAGCCCAAATACCTGGAAGAGCACTTCAGGAACGAAGGACTGACGCAGGTCGCTGAATGGTGGGCAAAGAAGCAGTATGCGGTCGTCAAAGACAGCCTCATGAAGGATCTTCAATCCATGTGCGAACACGAGGAGTCGGACGAGAACGTAAGTCATCACGAGTTGTTTTGCGTGGTGCATTTTGTGGATAACTTGGGTTGGTAGATTATCGCTGCTATCAGGTCGAAGCAAGATGCTAGCCCTTTGCCCGACACGGAGCTCATCCAATGCATTTGGCAGGGCCTGATGGCTTCCGTCGACTGGAGCGCACGACCAGACCAGATTGAAGGACTTGCTCTCCGGGAAGTCAGCGTACGTCACAAATCCTTCTTCTAACTACCTCTCGGCCTAAACAGAAGTATTACCTTGACCAGAAATTTGCACCTATACTCGAACCCTTTTGCAACGGACCCAAGACAGAAGTCGCTTTAATCAATGTTGTTCAAGTGTATTGCTATGAGGATACCCGCATCATTAAAGCATTCCCCCAGATCTTGAAAGTTCGTAACCATATAACTCTGCTTTAGGACCGGCGGATCCTTACCACTGAATTAGGTGTTGTACAATAAAGACTGTGTATCGGACCAGGCCATTATTTATTGGCACCAGAAGGGTTCCAAGCCTCAAGGAAGACAGCACTTCCTCAAGAGCACGGAGACTCTCGTCAAGGTGCGTCGTAGCGTAATTCATATTTTCACGGCCCCCGGCTGACTGACTCGATCCCGCAGTTCTTACAGGCGCAGGAAGAGGAGAGTGAGGAGGAGGAAGCCTGAGTCCATACCATTTAATCCAGCCTTTCACATCCTGTATCCACTGCGCATTATGTGCATCGCCGCTTCAACTTCAACACAGATGCTGTGCGAGTCCTGCAACTGACGTAGCTGGGTGCCTTTAACCGGCGAATGTGGCATGATGGAGTCACTATGATCAGCGATTGAATTAGGCTATGCGTGTTCCGAGCGTCATGTGAGCAGAGTAATCCAAAGTGGAGAGGAAATCAACGCCGAGGTCAATTTCAGAAGTCAAGCACGTAACTTGCTCTGCAACCACCATCATCGCCTCGTCGTTCTATTGAGTGTCGGGAACAAGATTTGTGTTGACAACCGGCGAGACATTTCTATTGTCCTCAGACGCCACACCACTGTGGTTATAACATCGCGCGCGTTGATACCGCATATATTCACACCTCTCATTCTTGACTCGTTACCACCACCATCGCCAGCAAACCAAGCCCAAACGCGCCCAGAATGCCGCCACATTTCAGCGATTCGCCGAATGCGCGGTCGAAATCAATAAGCCAAGCAGAGGGGATCGACACATACGGCGTACGTCCGATATTGATGCCTATGACTCACGCGTGCAGAAGCTCAAATGTCCTTCACGTATAGGTGCTAAATCGCCATCCTTCTCAAAATCTCGCCTTCGGGATTGGCGTCGCGGAAGATAAGGGCACTCGCCGTACGATGGAGGATGCGCATTCATTCGTAGTTGATTTTGACTCGATCCGTGGGCAGGGGTTTTTTGCGGTCTTCGATGGGCACGCTGGAAAACATGCTGCAGAATGGTGCGGAGCACATTTCCATGAGGTATGCCACTGCGATCTCCGTTTCCATAGGCAATTTTACTAATTCACATTTCTCGATCCCCCGCTTCTAATCCACATTGGTGTTCATCTTGTGCATTGATAACGCACCGCATCTCCACTGCGACCATCCACGTTGCGTATACACAGTATCTCCTTGATGCTCTGCATAAGAACCCCACGACCTCAATACCTGACACGCTCGATAAGACATTCCACAATGTAGATGACGTTCTCTCTCGTATGTGTGAAGAATCGGAAGGCAAGATACATTCCGGTTGCACCGCAGTCACCGCGTTCCTTCGCATCGAAGATGGCGATGGCAAGCAATCATTTACCACCTCACCGCCTTCACCAGCATCGTTGCCGTCTGGGGACTCGGAAACTCCGATACCAGGCCGTAGCGTCATACAGTCATCCCCAACCGATTCAGCATCCGCATCAGCGCAAACAACGGTAGCCGACGACAGTCCCCACGATAGCAGTGGAGCCGAAGGCGCAGACGCCTCCGACAAGAAGCCTAAGAAGGACAAAAAAGCCTCTAGCGGGAGCCGTATAAAGAAGGCTTTGAGGAGTCTCGGAGGCGGATCCATATCGAGTGCGATTTCGTCCCGCTCGACATCCCCGATTTCGCTGTTGGGCTCCAACGGATCGCCTACCGGATCGCATTTTAGCAGCAACTCAATATCAACGCGTGCCACAGGACACAAGACGAATGACAGCACCGTCCAGCCAATCGTCCCACCAGCCACATGTAAACGCGTGCTATATACGGCTAATGTCGGCGATGCGAGGGGTGTGCTTTGTCGTGCGGGCAAAGCTGCACGTCTGACCTACGATCACAAAGGAACAGATCAACAAGAAGCCAAACGGATAACCGACGCAGGCGGGTTTGTGATGAGCGGCCGGGTGAATGGCGTCTTGGCCGTCACTAGAAGTTTGGGTGATACTGCGATGAAAGATTTTGTCGTTGGATCTCCTTATACGACCGAGACCGAACTTTGTGATGAAGATGAGTTCTTGGTCTTGGCTTGTGATGGGGTGAGCTTTCATCCGTCTTTATTGTTATGTTGTCAGGTTCGCTGACATTGTTCTATTGATGTAGTTGTGGGATGTGGTTTCTGACCAAGCTGCCATTGACCTCGTCCGCGAGATTGACGACGCCCAACATGCCAGCACTAAGTTGCTAAAGCACGCCCTTTCACAACACACAACTGACAATGTCACCGTGATTGTTGTACGGTTCAAAAGCATTACACCGCGCACTGCCTAGGGATGTCTACATATCACAAGTCGGCATGGACCTCCCTCTGTGCGTACCCGTGCTCAACCGTTCATTCAATTTGGCTACCAAGTAACCCCGACGCTGGTCATCGAGTTACTCTCCTCATAAATTGAACATTGTACTTTTTTTTGCATTTGCATACGCGTTTGGGTAGTCGCATCCTATATTCCTCCTCCTTCGGGGTCTTAGCAACGTGTAAATTACCACTGTATCCGTGTATGCCCTTGTACTCTATTGAGCCAGCGGAACCACCTTTTATGCGATCAACATACACAGAGGGAAATAGACGAGTGATTCAGGTACGTGGATGAATGATCCTCGATATCCTATAGCCATATACATAGTCCGTAGTGTACTTCGACGATACAAATAAGGGTAGTTATGGAAGCTCCTCAATACTTTTGAGACGATAAGACAACACAAATACAGTATAATTACACATCTTATCAACTCATCACCACGCCTCTGGCATGGGAGCAAACTCGCCGGCCCACCCGTTCGACCCATTCACTTGGAGGAATATACCGTCGGATCCGTTCACGGGGAGTCCTAGGTCCGTCAGGCTCTGGCAACCGGCGAAGTCAGTAACATGTCTCAACGCGATGAGAGGCAGGTTCAAAAATAACACCTGTTCTTGTAGCCATAGGGGAATCGTATTTGGATCGAAGATGCTTCTATCGTTCCTGTCGCTAGGCCATACGAAGCCGAGTTCTTCCATCGTGAAGGGCGCGGGTAGGGTAGGGTCGACGAAGGTACCTGGACCTGGCGAGGGAACGAGCATACCTTCGGCAAATTGGGGAGGTGGTATTGCCGAGGCGTTTGACATGGCCCCAGCGACGAGTCCGACTTTGCGACGAAGGTTCGCTAGCATGATGCGCAGAGTCAATGCATACCTGCCATGGACCCTTCAATGAGCCTTGATTAGCATCGAAGCCAGACCACGATGCCTACCTTTCGGCTGCTACTTCAGATAACAATTGGGCGAGCTGTTCAACTTGCGCTATGATCGCACCGAGGTCGAGTTCTGTTGGGAAAAGATTGGCCATCTTTAGAAGGAACAACCCCGAAAATGCAGCCGTTACGAGGCTGTCATGTACTGCATATCGCAAGGCGGCCCTGTACGGATGCTCAACAACCGGTCGAGCCGAATCATCTAAGGACACCCACCTGTATGCATTAGAGGTCAGGAATATTGAGATCACGTTGGCAGCGGCATCTTTGGCCTGGAAAGCAAGCTCGCGTTGCTCAAACGGCATCTTGTCCCAGGCAACACCCCTCAAAGCTACACAAACAAGCCAAAGCTTGGCGTAATGGAGTTCGCCCGCGAGGATTTTGCGAAGCAAGGCGTCTTCCTCCATAGTTTGTCCTTGACGGGAGGTTATGAGTACAGTGAACGGTTGACAAGGACACCGCTAAAGCTTACGGTGCAGTTCGTCACAGTCCTGCCACCATTTATCCAAAGCGACGTTGGCGCGTCGAATGAATGCTAGCGTACTGTGGTTGACTTGCCCATTCAATGGTGCGAGCGTTTCGTAAATCTGAGCTAACGAAGTAGAGATAACGTCAGCCACTGCGTGTGCGGTAGCCATGGGAAATCAACACACTTTTCTGGCCAATCAACTCTACCTGGGAGATCAGGCGCACGTCCGTGGGACTCGCCATCGGATGCTTCAATAACAATCGACAGTGGCGTATCGAGTTTTCGTCCCGCAGGACGATAGGCCGGCCCGTGCCAAGACTCATTTGATGGTCGAACCAATAGAGACATAGCCAGATGCGAGCCGATACGACTATATGAGTGCCCTCTTCGTTAGTTTAAATAGAGGAAGGGATTCAGCACCCACCCAGGTCTCGCTCCTCGTCCTCAGTCCTCTTCTTACCATTATCATCAGCCAGTTTCTCAAGTGCACGATGAAGACCGAGATCCAGAGCCATGCGCATAGCGTGGCCACTGGGAAGCCAACCATTAGTACTCCATGCAGCTAAGAGTAGCATGCCTAAATTCACAAGGAGGATATTCAGTATAAGAAAAACAATTAAGGCAAGATGTTCCCACTCACCCATCACGGCTTCTTTTCTCACCACCGGGCCGAAGAGGGACGATCTTGCGATACCCTGAGCTTCTTCCAGACACTTGTAGAAGGTGGAACTCAGAGGCCCGCTACCGCTGCGAATTTTGCTGGCGATTGCGAGGATGGCATCAAAGGTCCATGGCGTGCGCTCCATGAGTGACTCGTAGGTGTCATAGGAAGGATCGAAAAGCGGAATGAACAAGTGGCAGCCAGCGAAGAATCTATCGAACCCTCAATACTGAACTCAAACTAAGCAAAAATCAGCGGTACATATGGTAGAGCTCTCGAGCTTCGGCATCGGAAACTAGGCCCTGGACGCACGGGTCAGTGAGGGATAAAGAGGGTGATAATGTGAAGGTTACCTTCTCAACGACGTGGGGGAATGCATTTCGGGGGATGGGCTCAGCGCGCTTGCGCTTCTTGACTCTGAATTGAGACGTTGACATGGTGGATCTGATGCAAGCTTAAGCCCTACCTTGGAGGAGATGCAGAAGTAACTGCAGCTGCTTCAGCAGCGGCATTCGCAAGACCTTGAAGGGCCTCTATTGGTGCATTCAGTGAGGCTCTTGGCAGCGTGTCTTCAGACTCATCGTCTGACGAAGGAGCCGTGCTGGGGACAATACCATACGTGGCATACTTGTGGGGCTATGTTGTCGGATTCCGGGATGTCAGTGTCAATTCTCCTTGAAAAATCCAGGCGACTCAACAGGTGGTGCGAAGCCAGGTAAGGGTGGGAATGCCCTTGCTCTGTGTTGGTCGCTACTGTTTGATGGAGCATCGAAGCCATTCCTATGAGCAGGCAAGATAGGAGGAGGGTACGCTGGAGGGTCGCGGGGTGGGTTTGGGGGTACAGACGAGTACACCTGCGATACCCCCGGTTGGTTCTGATTCTGGACCAGAGATAAAATCCGGTCTAACGAAGATTGCATGCCAATCATTTGGCTTTGCATAACCTTTGACGTTTAGCGGTGATTAGCGTGGTATGTGCTAAGCGAAATGCCTTGGTGTCATACCAAATACTGTCCCTCAAGACGAGACAGGCGCCTGAGAAACTGGTGAGTGCGATGTTCTGCGATAGCGATATACTGTGAGACTGACTCTACGCTCTGGTTCGACAAAGCCTGAGGATTCTTCTTCTCTGGTTTTTCGAATATGCATGGAGTACCACTGATCTGGCAACGACGACAAGGAGCCTGTATGAGGCCAAAAACCGGGCCGGGACGGCGCTGCGGTCAGCGAGCGGGACGGTGACGGGATTAAAAGCACTTGCCTCGCCGCCTTCGCACCTGTTCTTGCCTTTTCTGCAGGCGGTGCAGGCTCTGGCGCCTCTCTTCGGGATATGGGCTGTGGGCTGGGCGTTGTGGGCCGGACCGTCTGTGGGTGATTGGGACATATGAGTATCCGCGATGCTGTCTGTGCGTCGACGCTTGATGGTGTGTCCTTCTGAGTCGTTTGAGGCTGCAGACGGCGACAGCGACATGGACGCAGCGGCGAAAGAGACGCTCGAGTAAGGGAAGACGCAGTGAACGGTCGCAGCCTCAGCCTATGTTTTGACTCTGGCGGCTTCACCACGTGCTGACACATCACTTGACTCCCTCCTGGTTGAATCCTTCTCATGCACTCTCGCTTCCATCAGTTCTCATTTTTACGCGATCCTCAACAGCAAGTCCCGGCATTCATTCCGCCATCCCAACCACTCCCTCCGATGGTTCGCCATTCCATCGGGAAAACAATTTCGCCTCCCTGGAGCGTTCCTGATCGATCTTGGACCACCAGCATCGACGAACAGCGACCAAGGGCACCAGCAGCTACCAGCAGACAAACCGCTTTATCCACGATCGCCAATTTTGCTGTCTCCATGAGTATGTTCTCTTTCTGGACCTACGTTTACACGCCAGTGTAATACTTCCGTTCGCGTCCGAAATCTCCATTTCGCGGAGATGACCATGGTAAAGTGAGTAATCCAATAATACAGCATTCTGACGCGTTCTGTTAGGGCATAAGCATATCACTTCTGTGGAGCAGGTGGAATTCCACGGAGGGTACACACGATATCATATGGTCTCACCTTCCACGTCCGATCGTTACGCATCTTTAGAATGTACGTCAACCCCTCATAGTCCATGCGGGGCACCCCCACAATAGTTTTATCTTCACTGCCGGATCGGCATCCCGATCTCAAAGTCTATTGCACGCGAAAAACGGAGCTCTTTTCCTGATCTACCACCAAGCACTTGTCGGTATACATGAGTAGCGGAAAGCCGAAGCGCTGGGCACGCACCTCAACAACGACTGACCCCATTAGATTGTCTGCAGGACGATCGTAATCCACGCTTCCTATGCTGGCACATTCTATTCTGTTGTGTTGACATGCGATATTACCTTCCGCTTACTCGTCAGCATCTGATCTCCAAAAACGGCGAAAATTCGGTTTTCCAGGTTGATCATAATGATCATAAGCTTCAACTGCCAGGGTCTTAGTGGTGGGTTGATATAGGCAGGATGTGGGATCAATGAACATCTTCGAATTGCTTTGTTATTCGGCCCAAACTTCCGTCTCTATACGTTCGTCGCTAAATATTCTCATCCGATTAACACCTTTGACCGTGTTTTGATGCGAGGTTCGTGGGCTTAGAGCCTTTATGCAGTCCACCGCTAAAGACGACGCCTGGGGTTTGGCTTTCGGTGGTTGTAGTGTCAACCCTTAACTGGGAACTGAGCGAACACAAAGGGTCAAGGGGATTGAATTCCTTGTTTCGGTGAAATAGGAGCTCTACCTCGGGCACAGGCAAGGGATTAGTACGGTAAGTGACACATGGGCATGTAGGACTTATTGCGCTGTGAACAATCCACCACTGAAGCTAATAGATATCTTCGTACTCGTCCTCGACTCCAAGGAATTGCTTGATCTCTTGGGCCTCGACACCGGTCTGTCTTCTGAAATGAGACAACAGGACGGAGTAGTTGTCTGCGGCTCTTTAGCCAAGGTCGAAGCAACGGTGAAACGAACCTACCTGTCCACCGAATGGCTGCCTCCTTGGCCAGGACAACACCCCGTTTCTTTTCTTCAATCTTGATTGGGTCACAAGCACCGTACGCATTGATCTCCCCTTCTAGCTGTGCCAGCTCAGCCTTCAGTGACGCTAGCACCCGAAGAGCCTCCTTGCGACTGTCCTAACCAATCGGTGAGTTCAGGCTGCCTTGGTGAAATAACACTAGAAGACGAGATGTTTAGCAAGGATCATCGTCGTGGCTCTCACCAACTCAAGGCGTTGACCCTTCTCTTCTTCTACGGAGATTCTAAGCTCCTCGATTTGCTTTTGGTAGGTGTCACGGGTTTCCTTGACCGTGCTTAATCTGGCTTGCACCTGAGAAGTGTTAAGAGGAACACGCGTAATGACTATGTGAACTCGGACTCACCATAGCGCCTCGTTGGGAAGGAAAGCTCCAAAAGACTGATCCGATATGTGGGATATGTGGTAAATTAAGGCGCATATATAGGGCGTCTTACAATTGGATGAGCCGATCTTGTCTCCTTGGACGAGACCGTCGTCGACCAGAGATTGAAGGACTTCCTTCACGGATTGTGAGACTAAGCACATTGCCGTCGTGATTGGACTTTAATGCATTGGAGAATGTGACCTACCGATTCCTTTCATTTTGGGGCCGAGTTTCTCTAATTCTTTGAGCTGGCGGAGACCCGTGGGTGCATTATTGAGATCAGGTAACAACCAACGCGTACCTGATAGAAGTCTTTCTATATCGCGCTCCTCAACACTCGCTTCTTGTAAATGAACGTGTGTGCTCACAGTTTCGTGGAAGATTTCCAATAATTTGACGCGCTTTTCCTCCGCCGAAAGTCCTCTTGGTGCCTATGATGATGGTCATACAATGGTTGTACGAAGTATGCATATACCTACCATTGTAGTGGGCTATCTCAGGCGATTCTTGTGGGGAAGAGTCGAAGAACGCGAGCAGTCGCGAGGGGTTACCATCACATGACTGTTATTTACCACCAACTTCTAGACAACCGTGCGACCCTGGACTTTCGTTGAGACTAACATCTCGACATGAAGGCGAGGACGGTTCCAAAGCTCAGTGACCACTTGAACAACGCGTTTATTCAGTTAGCGAAAAGGAGAGTAGCAAATTTTTCAAATGGAAATTGATCCCAAGCCACTGAGCCGAAAGGGTTCATCAGAACTTCAAGAGACGCCATCGCTTTGCTTACGCGTCTGATTGACGAGCCAGAGCCGGCGGCGGACTCAAAACCACATGAGTCTCCACAGTCTCGCAAAGGCAACCATGGTAAGGACCAAGCCGCCGTCCTTTGGGATATATTTGATTCTACTAGTTTGTGCATGCTTGTTAGCCAAATTGGCAATCGCAAATTATCATAGGAAAGTACGAATCCTACTATATAAAACGGCTGGAACAGTTTTGAATTGCGAGTGAGCCTTCGGACTCGTGAGCCGAGATTCAAACGGATAGAAAGACAGTGAATGTAACGTACGGGATGAACACGGCTTTCCGAAGTCCACATCTCGGCAGGACTCCCTCCTCGTCGGCACCACAGGATGAGGAAGCTCGAATCGAGTGCATCTCGAGTCCCAATCACCTCCCCGATGAATGTTCTCAATAACATCTCTTCACGAGGGGGCGAGGCGCTTTCTGTCGCTCGACTCCTCACCACCTCAGACCTGTCTCCAGAAACGACGTTCAGCTCATTGCTGGTGCACAGCTGCGCCATCATCTGATATTGTCCTATAGTACACCAATGCATGTTCGCAAGCAGCGCGACGTCAGGGACGAAAGCTAACGCGAATGTGATTAGAGACGAACTGGCAGCAAAAGTGTATGAAGGACGGCGCACGATGGCGCGCTCGGCCTTCCTTTGTCGACATTTATCGCATGTCTTGAAGTAAGTTACAGGGAAATCTGTGTCTTTCCGGAAATGCCGTCTCTTCTTGATCTTGCGGCATCGAGTGCACCGCTCGCGTTTACGACAAGAGGCGCAGCGTGCATAGAGCGTGCCATCGAGACCGATGAAAATCGACCTCGGGAAGCGACCAGAGCACAACTCGCATAATATGAGAGACGGAGGTAGACGAATAGTCAGCCGTTGAGGCTCAGATGTCCGTTCGGAGTCCAAGCAGGCAAGACACATAGAACCCCAATACCTCCAGAGGGTGCGATGACATTGTGTACATCTAGCACTCACTCGAGTGCGTCTGGGTCAATAACATCATGTACAGCAACAGCGCTGTATGTAGAGAACTTAACCCAAGCCCGATCGAGCTCTCTGGCCAAATCCCCGGTAGAGCCACCATTTTTGACGCACATGAGACGGTACGAGACGTGCATGTGCAGTTGTCCGGCAGAATAAGCGTTGGGAAGTGGAACATGAGGCAAAAAGCAGGAAATACTGCATCCAGTGGATATGAGGTTGTAAGTTGTTTGTTCCGGCTTGCCCGATTGCAGTTACGAGCATCTTGGTTCTGATCCATGTCCTTGGGAAGGCCATCTCAAGCCACCCGTACGCTCATTTCGACGGCTGAAGAATTCTGCTTACTCCATGGTACTGCAGACAATCTATCGAAATTATACCAGGCGACTTAGACATATGGCGCGCCCCAAATTCAACCACTCCATTCCTACTCGTTGACGGACATCTGGGAGTTCTGCAGAAGTTGCTGTACAAACTCTACGTGACTGCGCAGACTATCTTCTATTCGATCCGCCGGGAGCAACGAACTCCCACCGTCTACTCGGATTTGGTGGATATAACCGCCGTTATCCTCTTGGCCAATCCCGCGCACCAAACGGCTCTCCACGAAAGGAAGAAGCTCGTTGAAGCTCGCGTGATACGTGCTGATGATGAACTGGAACTCCTTGGTTTACTGCAAGCCAGCAAATCCCACGCGAAAGAATCAATATTATGGGCACACAGAAGATGGCTTCTGAACGAAGTGGGGGACAGTGGCATCGGTCGGATCTCCTGCCATACTTTGAGGCAGGAGTTTACAGCGGTGTTTCGAGCCGCAGAAGTCTACCCTCGTAATTACTACGCGTGGTCTCATTGGCGATTCTGTGTCGATGCCCTTCTCGACACTCTGACTGTCGGTATCACCGATGACCGTCTCCATTTATTGCTTGAGCAGTATGACCAACTCTCCCTATGGGTAGAGCAACATATCTCCGATTACTCTGCCGCTCATCATTTGACGAATCTTGTGGCCCTCGTCTGCCGGCTCGATGGTGGTCTTGGGGCATCTACAGAATCGCGGATCAGTCCTGCGTCGGCATTCGACCATGTTACCACGTTGTTATCGAGGTACCCTTCCCATGAATCGTTATGGGCTTGCGCAAGGACAGTCGTGCAATTGGAAAGCGATGAAATCACCCAGGAGGAGATGATGAAAAGCCTGCGCGAACTATCGGACGTCAATAATAGCTGGAGCAGGCTGTCGCTTGCTTGGATATCGTGAGTTAAACCGGCTAGGATAGGTTCGTTGCTAATAAACGATTGTTGCAGGCAGCTACCAACTACATCCGATGCGAGAGGTGCATTCCTATGCGCGAAATCATGTCTACCCATGACCAACCGGGATGGCACCAGTTATACCAGCTAGAATATAATGAACCAAATTACCCCGTGTATCTGTAGTATTCCTCATGACTCCTATTTTGGAAGGTGATCTCTTAGACGCCCCGTTTACGAATCCTCATACTTGACCTCGCACCATGGAGTGCAAGAGCTGCGAGCTCAAGCAACGCCGATTCTACTGCGAGAATTGCCTAAGATCACAGCAAGTATACCCTTTCCGCGGTCGCCTCCCCAGAATTTGAAGATTAACTGTCTTCCCAGCCTCAGAGATTTCCGCCTGCAAATACAGCACTTCTCTGTCGATCGCGATGAGCAAGTGGCCAAAGCCTCAAAGGCTCTGGAGACTGTAGACTCTGGGCGGACGTTACGAGGGACTATGGCCCTCCGCCAGAGTAGATTGGAGGAGGTACAAGCTGGGCTGGCTAAGCTACGCAGGGATAACGAGAAGAGTGCGTGTGCTAATTATCGCGACATTGTGGTTATTTACTTCTGGCGTTTCGATACTCTGTAGAACGAGATCGTCTCAGGTTTCTTCGTGAAACCCTTGCGACGCGCAGGCGTACACTATCCGCAGCCAAATTACTACCACACCAAGGCCTGGGTCTGTCAGCAACCATAAGGTCATCGACGCCTCCTCGAGAGCACCAAGAACTGAACTCTCTGTCCTCGACGCTCGCTCGAGCACGGTCTGGGTTAGTACAGGAGCTCGTTGAAGTGTTTAACATCGTCGAAGTAGGCGGTCGGCCCCCAATTGGGGGTAAGGCGGGGACGAAGGGTGAATGGACGATCGGGGACCTTATACTACCTGTGCCAGGCGACATCAGAAGTACTCTCGTGTCTCCGTTTATCTGGATCCTGTGGTCTGACACATTCTGCTAGGGTACCCGCCAGACCACATCAACGCTGTTATTACGCACACCGTGCATTTCTTGTCGCTACTAACATTCTACCTTGGTATCAAACTCCCCTTTGAGGTGGTATGGTCCGGCAAGAAGCTTGGAGTAGGTCAACCATGGATCGGGGCAGGTAAAGGCGCAGAGTCGGGTGGATGGTCGAAGTGCGTCTTACGTTCCTATCCGGTCGTGCGCTCCCGTCTAATAATTGGGATATTTACGTAGATGGTATACAAAACATCCCCTGCACCTTTCGTCTTCTACCTCTGCCGCCGCTCCCTCCAGTGCCCCTCATTCGCCGGTAGAACTGTCTACTTCCCTCGCGGATTCTGTGATGGAGGCCGATGGACCTGACACCCATCCCCGTGCCTCATTCACCACGGCGTTAGCGATGCTCATATACAATGTCTGCTACCTAGCTTATACGCAGGGCGTCGATGTACCGCTCAGCCAAGCTGGTGATGTTTTGAGTAATCTATGGAGCGTCTGTTGTAGTCCAGAACTGGGGAGGTGCGTCTGGTTATTTTGTTCCGACTTTTAACAGGATTCAACTATGTTATAGAAGGTCCCATGAAACACATCCGCTTCAACCTGCGCCGACACCGCCCTCGTTTCCTTTAGAATTTACTCAGCTATTGCAAGCTACAACTGCTAATCCAGCCTCGCGGAACCATCGTTCCTCTCGTCCTACGCGTCGTCCATCTGAGGTAGCCAGAAGGAGGCAAAGCAAGATCATCGAAGAGGACGGCTGGGATATAGTCGACGAAGATCAATTTTCGTGAAAGGATAACGATTCTTGTCTAGTTACAATAACTTGTTTAAATATATGTTGTCAGCTGTTGCGTTGCGAGTAATAACATTAACAGCCTGGATGTCGAAAACAATGTGTAAGCAAAATACAGTACATATGCAGAGTCTTCTGTCAAACTTCAAAGCGATTGGTATCTAATTAGTGAGTTGGGTCTGCAGGCGTCGCTTCTTGTCAGCTTTATCAGATTTTGAAGCCTCTTCCCCCAGAGTCCGACTACGCTTCAGACTTCGCGTTACGCGCCGATTCTCAGTCTCCGGCGCGTCATTTCCTTCCTCTTCCACTTCTGGGAGTGCTTGATCTGCATCTACGCGTCGATTGCGCCTCGCAGCCTTCAGGGGTTTCCGGCGAACTTGGATAGTGATTTCGGTATCCAGCGCACCCCCTTCGTCCTCGTCTTCTGCGTGTGGGTGTCTTCGACGCTTTAATCTCCGATCATCTTCGTTGCCGCTGAAGTATCGCGTTGAGATCGATGATAGGGACGACGCATCGGATTCTCGTTTCCTGCTCGCTATTGACGAGGAGGACTGTGCAACGGAATTTGGAGGACGAGTGGAGCTGATAGAGTCGACGGACGGTTGGCGATTGTGAGACAATGATGATCCACTGGCATCTGATTTACTCTGAGAAGCCTTCAGTGTCGGGGCGGCAGCAGCAGCCCGGGCGCGCTCCGCCGGCGATGGCAAGTAATACACTTCGTGCTCACGAAGTAAGTCGACTCCAACAAGTTGTCGGAGGATACCTATGAGGTCCAGGCTAAAGTCGTCTGCGGTTTCAGAGACTGCAACCATATGCTTGCTGTCTTCGATCGTCGCATCTCCATGGTCTACGATCTCTTCTTCATCCATAAGTTCTTGGTCTCCTAGTGAGCAACCAGGGACAAGGAAGCATATCCGGGGGCCGCCCTCTTCTTTGGGAAGACTGATCTTATGGAAGCGGCAATTCGATCTTGTGCGTGGGGAGGATATGAATGACAGCAAGGTGCGTTGGGCCAGAAGTTTTGAAGGCGTACTTGCCGACGGCCCTGCCTTTGCTGGTGCATTCTTCGCCCCGTTTGTGGTTGGCTTCTTCGAATGAGAGTGTGCGAGAAAGAGGGGGGGAGGAACGATGAAGGGTTGGCCCTTCTCAGTTGGAGATGGTGGATGCAGAACAGAGTCGCTGGAGGATGTAATCGAAGAGGCCCGGTCGAGGCTAGTGTCGATATGTGGTCGTGGGTTGGTCGCTTTACCTTTACCCTTGTCTTGAGCGGTGGTGCAAGCGGATTTAGAGATTTCTGTGCCGATATCTGACAGAGGAGAGCCCAACGAATGCTTGCGTTTATGATTTCGATCTGACTCCGAGGGATCTGGCGAGCTTTCCTTAGCTTGAGGCGGGGCAGCCTTTTCTGGGAGCGCATCTGTTGGTTCACTAGCTCTGGATGGAAGTGTTAGACATAATCTACGACAGAGTCAATCAAGGTGCTTACACTTTCTCGGCCTCAGCGGGTCCACGATTCTCTACCACAGAGAGAGGCTCGTCGTTGACAGCCTCCGTTAGATCGGGCTTGAAATCACTCTCATATGCTCGCGATACGTCGTCCGCTGGTTGAGACGCTTCGAAAATTGGAGGCGTCGCGGACTGACTTCGGTATTGCACTTGCAAAACTTCCTCGGGTTTGACGATGCTCTCAGCAAGGGCAGCATCGGAGAGTACTCTCGGCTCCTTCGGTTCGGAGGGATAACGGAGGACGATATCGTCCATGGGATCATCCACTGCATCATCTCCCTTTTCTGAGCTTTTTGTTCCAGATGAAGTGGATTCCATGGATATGTCAAGGTCATCGATTTCTTCCTCTGAGCCAGGAGTGTCGACCTCAAATCCCGGCGTAGAAAGGCTATATGGATATGGATCCGCGTAAAGGACGGGGTCCGTCGATTTCTGGCGGGTCATGACCATCGGCTTCGGGGACTCAGGTTTAGGTAGTTCTTCTAAGACTGTAGGGGCGTCCACGGGCGGGGGGACATCGTCCTGAGGTGGATTGGCAGCAACGGCTGGAGTGGCTGGAGCGGCGGGAGCGGCGGGAATCTCATCATCTGTGCGTTGAACCCCCAGTGAGGGATTGTTAAGAAGATCATCTCGTAGGTGAGGAGGCCTCAGTAATAAAATAGATGTAGAGGCTGGAGTCTTGTTTACGCGTTGGGAAACGGATGGGGGCTGAGAAACGGATGGAGGAATGGCGTGCCAATTATCTTGTCGAGGGGTAGGGACTGTTCCATAATCAACGGGAGGCGGAGGAAATCCTGGCGTAGAAAGACTATAAGGGTAAGGGTCCACGTATAGGTATGGCACTCTGGGAGGAGTTAACACCATCGTCAGTGGAGGCTCGTGGGGTACACCTGGGCCTGCGAGGCGAGTTGGGTTGGTGGGGATGTCCTCGTGCAGAGGCTCCGGAGGCACACCCGGGCCTGAAAGACGAGATGCGGCGGGGAGATCTTCGTGAAGAGGTTCAGGAGACGTTGGTTTGTCCAGATAAAGATGTCTTGGTGGTGAAGTGGCAGCTTGGGTCTGGCGCCCGTTAGCATCGTTGGCAATATCCGCGTGGTTTACAGGCTGTGGAGTTGGTATTTCAACGGTATCATCGCGAGCGGGTTGGTCATCTTGATCTACTTCGGGAGAGGTTTCGAGATCACCATTAGCGGCCGCATCCTTAATAATCGCCTCGTCCAAGGTCTTCACATCAAGCTGCTGCGATGCATCAATGCTAGCCTTGGGCGAAGCCGGCGTGAAAAGACCATTCACTGGAGAGCCCGGATTATTGGACATCTTCTGCAACGCTTTCAGAACAGCTCGGGAGACAGGCACGGATACGGGTGTTGGCTGTCCTCCAGGCGTCCCTACTGGGCTGAGTACGTAAATCGGTGTTTTAGGCATGTTGAGTATGGCAGGGCGAGTCGGCGTGGTAGCGAAGTCGTTTGTGGCATTAGAATCGACAGGATCAGAGACGTTGGGATCAGCTGATACAGGCATCGGGTACCCGGTTGGGCAGGGGGGTGAGGAATGGGGTACGTCCTTCGGAGGTGAATCTGAGACGGATGCCTTTGGTGGGGTAGCCGGTGGGGTGATAGCTTGTTCGAAAGAAGGCTGACTGACCGTTTGTTCGACTGATTCATCATCATCGACATGCATCAGCGAGTCGTCAGTCATGTGGACATCCGTGGCCTCATCCAAGATACCTTCCTCTTCTTCCACGATGCCAGACAGGGAGGGACCAGCGGCGAGTTCGTCGTCAGCTACATTGTACATGTCGATGCTCGACTCGCGGATGTCAGAGGTCTACACAAATTCATGATTAATGATCGGAAACCGAGAAGCGATCAAGCCATAACTCTACCTGAGCCAGATCGTCAAACCCGATTTCACTGATGATTTCTTCAACGACACCCCGTTGCTCGTCCCCAAGGTCTTGATAATCCTTGTCAGGGATGGTGACAATGTCGATGTCGACATCAATGACTCCTTCAGGTTGCGCCTCGGAAGGACCTCGATTATCTGAACTATTGTTGAGATCTGTGACAAAAGCTTCACCGTCTTGGTGGAAGACACTGCTCATATCCGACGCGCTCATATTACTGGCATCAACGAATGCCGACAGTATGTCCAGTACTTGTTGAGCATCATAGGGATGGCTATCGGCGTCTGTCTCCACCGAGGTTGGAGGGAAAATACTGAATTCAATATTCGCTGCAGCCGCTGAATTCTGGGACGATTGGATCTGGGGCGTTAACTCGTCTATTGTAAACGAGATGGTCAGGAATGGGCAAGCGTATATTAAATACAAGTCCACTGACCGACGGCCATGCTCATGTCCATTGACGATCCCTGAGGGGTGGAGTCTCGAAGTGTTGGGTCGATGTTGGCGTCCTCGAATCCCTCCAGATGTAGCGAGAAATTGAAAGGAGGCATTTCTCCTTGGACAGGAGGAACTATTTCTTGGATCTCATCATCATTGTAAGTGACCTCCCTTGGAGGGCTATATGGGCTAGCATTCGCCTCAAGCGGCGTAACTACGCCTGGCGTCAGGAACGGTGTCTCGTCAATGTCGCCTCCCAGTAGATGGGCCGCTACTTCGGGGCTGACCCCAGCGGGAATGTTCAAAGAGTCACCACCAGCGTAGAAATCCTCTGCGTAGTTTCGTGGGGCTGCCCAGGGATCAATGATGATAGGTTGGTCCGTCTGCGCTCGTAGAGATCGCGGTGGAAACACTAGTCACAAATAGTAACTTTGAATGCTCGTATATAAGAAAGGAAATGACACACCATCATCGTCGTCCTCCGCGCTTTCGGGCTGCACGTCGTCCTCGTCATCATCCAACTCAATAATCTCCACCGGTTCTTTGTCCTCATCTTCGCCGTCTGACAAAGGTAAGGCTTCCTCGACTATCCGTTGTCTAGGATGACCGATGGGTGGACCAATCCGGATGCGCGCATCGGAAGGATAGTGTTGCTCTTCCTCCTCTGCTCCCTCTTCCTCATCGTCATATTCCTCCGCTGGCTCTTCTCCGCCCTCTCCATCCTCACCCTCGCCGTCTGCTAGGTGTCGTATTGGACTGGAGCGCGGGTTGACTTCATCGTCGGAACCGACGTCGATGATTTCCTGGGGACCACCGCGAAGCGCAGACTCTTCCAACTCGTCCTCACTCCACCTCTCCTCGTCGTACTCCCCTCCGGAGTCTTCTTGCTCTTCTCCAGCGTCTTTATGTCCCTCTGCGATAGCCTCTCTTCTATGCCGAGCAGCTTCACGAACAGTGTCCTCCCACCGATCAATACTGACCGCCCGACCAACCTCATCCTCATCCGCCTCGTCGTCACTAATGCCCTCCCCCTCAGCTTCCTCTTCCTCTTCTGAATCGATCGCAATAGGTGACTGAGGCCCTCCATTATCCCCCCTCAAACCCGGCCCCTCCAACGGATCTCGTTGTTTACCTTTGCCACTTCCTACAACGCGACGCGCTTTTATTTCTGCGAACGAATCCTCCACGCCATCCCATTCACTATTTTCATCGGATTCGTTGGGCGGTGGGCCACTCACCGACGCCGCGAACTCTCGTTCCGATGTAGTGGCCAGTTGTTCTGGTGGCATTGGCGTCTCCTCCTCCTCTCCTAACGCACGCCGCAAAGCGCCAGTTATGTTGCCTATCCACGCGTCAAAGTCATTCTGTGTAAACTTGTCGTACGGATTGTAGATAGGTTGCTTGAGCTTCTTCGCTCCGAGCGTGTTTCCGTTGAGGGATGCTTTCGAGTGGGTTAGGAACGATGACGTTGAGAGAGGCGTCGGATGCGGCGCAATGGGGGCTTTGAAAGTAGAAGGGGTCGAATATGGAGATGACATGCTTCCGGGTGCTTTCATGAGCCCAAACTGTGATGGTGACTGGACGGAGAAGGAGTGTGAGAGGAAGTGCCAAAGATGCTCGAGACTTCGAGAGCAAAGAGGATAATAGCCGTAGACAATAATTATTGATCCTCGTGGAAGTCATGTGATGCTCTCCGAGGCGCCCAGGCGCCAATCTCGTTGTGACTTGCCACTGCTCATGCTCATCTTGTTCATCAAGTCATGATCTTACCACCTTCAAAGTTCAATCTCACTCCAGCGGTCCTCTTTCGGTGCCGGCGCCTCCCACTGGTGAAGAAGAGATTGAAGATACTGCTTCAAGCCGGCACGAGGCTCGTACCACCTCCCATCGTGTCGCGCACTATGACTCTAATCCAAGTATTGAAAGGATCACATTTTGATTACATTATCTGGTTTCCGCGAGCGCTGGCAATGGATCCTATCTCGAGTAGATAGGACTTGGAAGCATTTCACCTGTCTACTGCAGCACCGGTTGAGGGGATTCAGCCGTAGACAGATAATGGGAAGCAGACGCTTCACCCTAATCGAAACTAACCCGGAAGCCCTGGAAGGATCGACTTCAACAGAAGCAGTACTGGCTTTCATCTTCGCTTTGCTTAGAAATAGAGAGAGACTAGAACCAAATTGCTCGGATTTGACTCGGATTCGCCGCTGCATCCTATACCCCAGCCTTCTACAGGTCCTTATCGATCATCCCCTCACCATCTTCCCGTAGGACTGGGCAACTCGGCTCTAGCTATTGACCACAAGTAAATCACTACAAGGCAACACCACGCAGAATCGTTTGGCGTCCGCGGAAAGAGGTCCGATGCGCCGGGGAATGCTGGCAGTAGTTCATACTTGAATCCACGACGGCTCCCAAATCTTAAAATACCTCGTAACCCGGCCTACACTCCCACATCCGCTGCGCATACCGATGCACCAACACCTAAACACACCCACAAATCGGATTTATCAATTCTAGCGCGGGGCATACTCATGTGCCTCTACGTACCCTCAACCCCAAGCCCCATACATCCACCACTGCGCCTAATTTCCAAATATACGCCTGCTATTATCTCACATTCGCCGTGCTCCTTGCAATGTTCAATCAAAATTACACGCCTCTGACTGCTCAGTCCCCGGATGAGCACAGAAAGAACGGAAGGATCAGTGCCGTTGGCACATCATCACGCGCCCGCGGCGAACCCTTAATCGCGACGAGCTTCTGACCATTTCTGATAATTGATCAATATTCCATGGAATTGGGCGATAATAGTGTGCGCGGCGCGGCGATGAAGAAGGTTGACTCGGGACCTACGCATATTTTTGATCATCTTGTTTGGTATCGAACGAGGTGTCGGGCATCATATTATACGCCTGGAGCTTCGACGAGACTGGTGTTTATTATCATATGTCCCACCCATGCATACGAGGCTAGCGCCATGCGATGGCGAATCCGATGAAAGCTGTGCACCTGCGCCTGCGGAACGTCCATAGGAGGTGAAGAGATAGTTATAAGAATACCCATAGGCATGTGCTTCCGATTATCTCTGTACTGTCGGCGTACCGTACATTTTATGCCAGCGAATTCGTTGCTTGGTGAGCCATTAGTTGGTCCAAATAAGGGCATGCCGGCGGTTTACCAGCAGTCACTTATACTAACTAGCAACTAGTAACTGGATACTCGCCTCAAGAACCCATCACTCCCCATAGTACAGTTCCGACACTGGCACTTACTCTACATGCATTCATACCAATCGTGAATTGAATCTGGGTTCGTTCCCCGAGCCATGGATGCTGTGGCCGAGGACGCCGTCCAGAACACCTGAATATCAATATCCTACCCACAAGACATCGATATCCGGGGTTTGGATCAGTCACTGCCAATTTCATGTGTACGGCGAGGGTGACATCAGTATCATACATACCCAGCCATCAACATCAGTTCCCGAGTCGATGAACGCCTATGCTTATTTATTCGTGTCCGGTATGTTCTCAGCATCATATGTATGTCATCGCCGTTTCTTGATTGTAGTGTTACTATCATGCATCAGCGCCGCCGCACCCCACCGCCTACTAGGCTTGGCGGTTAGGTATACGTCACGGTAGGAATAGTTTGGGTGACCGTGCTGACCATGGTAGGCAAGCGGGCTGCGACTTGTGATCAGCGGGCTTACGCCCAAATACCAATGGTTTCCTCCCCTTGGTATCAAATTTATTGGTAGTGCCAGCGACGCGGGTTTCGTGGTCACCCCATCTTGTTTTGCTTCCACTAATAGTGTACAACGGGTGTTCCGCTGGCAGCTAAACCCCACTGGCCAACTAGAATGTTTGAACTATTGTAGTTACTCTGACTCGGGAATCGGACGGAATTCTGATGCTAGTAGTAGCCGTGATCATCGTGGTTCCATAAAGACGATAAGGACGCGCTTGAGCTTCAGCCTGATACTGATCACCGTACGTCCTAAACGGTATAACTACCATATAGAGTCTTTGTGCCCAATATGGCATCTCATCCACGTCGATCCATACCGTGAACCAACAGTGAACTAGGATTTTGATGAGATTGATTGGGATTCCTCAGTTGCATACAACATATGTATGGAAAGAAGCGTTTCGATCTTTCCGTAGGAGATATATCATACTGATTGGTACAGCATCATACGACTTGACCGGATGAAAATCTTGATCAAGCAGAGGCGATGATATAGCGATAATATGGGCTATATTTAGAGCCAATTGAATCATATAAAAGGTTGGCGGTAGCTTCAGCTCGATGATGCCAGAAACTTGATCGTACTAGTAGGAGCTGATGCATGATGGCAGGCAGAAAGGTGTCAGCACTTCAGAAAAGCGGTGTTCGAACACGATCAGAAATAGGATGGCATCACTGATCCCTAGGATCGAGTCGATACGAAGTACAAGGTGAGTAACAACAGGAACATCATAGATCACATAGAAGAAATTCTAACAGAATGGAAGGTAGACAAAAGGATGGAGCGGACCGTTTGCATCGTGCTCAAGTAAGTGGCATCAGGATGCGACGATATCCCGCCTAGCCCTCTTCATTTGTTCTTGTTCTTCGTCCTGTTGGTCGTCATCCACAGTATCGCGTGCGCGTTTCCGGCTTTCCGAGCCGGACTTATCGTCAGAGCCTCCATCGCGCCCGTCGTCACTCCCACTCTCGTCCGAACCATCCAACTCCTCCAACTCCCTATCTAACTTCTCCAGCGCCTCCTTGCCCTTCTCCTCCTTCTCCCTCTTCACCTCCTCCAGAAACTCCCTCCACTCCCTCACTCTGTCCCCACCCACAAGCGTCCCATCCCAATACTTCCTCTCCTTCTTTACCTTCTTCAACAGGTCGTGCTCCAAGCAAAACCTCAACCACACCACCTCCCGTGTCCTGCGCGTAGCCTCATTCACCGTGCCCACGGCTTCCTTCAGTAGTTTTTCGAGCGAGGAGAAGGAAGCTTGATGCACCGTCAGTTCATTTGCCAGTTTGGTGCAAGCACGCTTGACGACGCGGATAGCGTGGTTGGTAGGATAGTTGCGCTGCCTCTCGGCGACGATTTGGGCGTGCGTGGGGAGGTGGCGGCGTAGGCGGTCATCTTGCTCCTTCCGCATTGCTTGAATGGCTGCGAGATCTAATAAGCTCGAGCCCGCAATGGGGATCGTCTGGATGCTGCCATCATCGTGCCGCGCCAAGTTTCCGACGGTGAGGTCTCCGAGAGTGGGTTGTTGCTCCGCAGAGCGCGAACGCGTCCGAACCATGTCCCTCCGACTGGGCCCCGGGGTGGCGTTAATTCGACTCGCACCAGGATTCCCTGCCTTCTTAAGGGTAAAGGCAGGGAGAAGAACGGAAGAATGGTGAGACTGGGGAGTTGTTGGAGGCGCGGATTGGGTGGTCACACCTCGGCGACCTTGTAGGCGGGTGCGGGGCTGAGTGGGCGAGCGGGGGTATTGAAGTTGAGGACTAGGTGATGGCGACGGAGTTACTTGCTGTAAGTGTTGGGTGTAGTTCGCCATGTTGCGAGTTCTGCATTGCGGTAAGTCTGCTTGTGCAGAGCGAAGCACGGGCGTAGTACTGACCTGAGCCTGATCAAAGTTTGGTAGTCTGAGCACGTCTAGGAGGATTTCGATGAAGTCGTTTGAGGATGGTGGTGGTGCAGAAGAAGGGTGAGTCGATGACGACAAGCCACAAATCACTGACAATCAACAAAGACTACAAGCCACACGAACGCGACAAGTCACAGTAATGGGGTAACAAGGCAACGGAACGGAACGGACAATAGCATCGTCCCCGATGTCGACTCCATTGTCCTTTGTCCTTTGTTCTCCAAATATGTACGTCCCTAGTGAGTGGCAACCCACCTGGTGCAACTCCTTCATCAAACGCTTCAACGCAGTTTTCGGATACAGTGCTTGTGACGCAGTACAGTAGAACGGGAGCTGTAAGCTACGATGCGCCTTCCAGTTTTTCGGGAAGACGGGAAGATACAGAAGGTAGGAAGGAAGGAAGACAGGAGTGCGGGGAACAAAAGGGAATAAATCACATTACTCTAAGATTTCATTTCCGTACTCCGATCTTGATCGATCTCATTGCGCAAATCTCTCTTCTCTCTGTCATCTTGCTTTATTGTTGTGGGCTTGCAATGTTCCCCTTCGTGAATTGAGCGAAAGAAAAGTAAAACTCGAAGGAGGTACTCACTTCTCAGCATTGCCGTCGCATACGCCATGCATTAGGCATGCCCCCGGGCCTGCACCCTTCAAGCGGCGCAATAGGCAACAACCAAGCATCCCAAGTTCCAACACCCCAACTCGAACAATACATAGTTCCGGAACAAGCATATCGAGCAGGGTCGTCCCCACCGTGACACTCATTCCGAGATAAGATTACTATTACTCACTCTCGAATGATTCCCAGCCCCGCCACTTGCCACCGCGACCAAACAACAAGTGCCGGTGGATAGACCTTCTTGTTCCCTTTCACCGCCTACGCTTGACCACATACCACCACCACCACCACCACCACCACCACCACCACCACCACCACCCATCTGCCCATCTGCCCATTCGCCCATCCGTGCACGCACAAACACACAGGGCAAGCCTATCTCCCAGCACTCCTTCGCTGCGCCTACCACAAGTTCAGCTACTGCAACGCTGACACGATACCTACCTACAACGATGGATATACCAATGGATTACGATACACTATCTGCGCTCAAGCGGAACGAGCTCCAGAAGCTCGCTATGGTACGCACAAATCCTCCCCATTTCCACTACCCCCTCCTCCCTTATATCCCCCCTTGTATCCTCCCTTGTATCCTGACTTGTATCCTCCCACTCATCGCCGCAATTCATTGACCTCAAATCTCACATATTATAGGCACACTCCATAAAAGCGAACCAGAAATCAGCCACACTCATCGCCCTCCTCCTCGCCAAACACGCCAAACACGCCAAACAGCCTGGAGAGCAGGACTGCGGGCTTGACGAAGCGCCTGGGGGCGAAGGAGAGCAGGCGATGGGGATGGAGGGGAAGGGGGAACAAATGACTTTGAGGACTAGACAAACGAAGACGACAGCGACAGCGACAGTGAGAAAGGGAGCGAGAGCAACGAAGAAACGGGGCCGCGCCGCAAACCAAGACGACAATGACCATAACGCTGAGGCCAACGAAGCCGAGGCCGACGATGCGCGAGCCCCTGTCACCTCCGAAGAGCAAGAGCAAGAAGCTCCTGGTCCCAGCAAGAGACTCCGCCCCCGCCGTGGTCAACCTGCACCCGTACCCCCCAAGGTCCCTCCTTCCCGCCCTTCTCGATCGAAGGCCCCCGCTCCCGCTGCGCCTGCACCTGCACCCGCCCCCACGATGGGTCCACCACCATTCCCACTTCCACTTCCACCACCACCCCCTCCCCATCTCCCCGCTCCCCACCGCACACCTCCGCTCCCCACCCCGATTCCAAACACATGCACACGCTACTCCCCCGCATCGACGCCCTCAGTCGTCAGCGCCCGCAGCCGGCACTACACCCCGACCTCGACGCCCACTACTTCATTCACCGGCGTTGGCGCGCGCTACCATCGTTTTCACCATCACCATGATGATGATGATGATGATGTCGGTGGGAGCGGTGGTGGCGGTGCTGCTCCTCCCGCGCTGGAGAGGCGGAAGAGCAGCCGGATACCCCGCCATGCAGACATGGTGAATATGCACGCGGGGCGGGGGCGGAGGCCGTCGCCGCCGTCCCCTTCGCCTGCGCGGCCGAGGGGTTCTCTTCCCTCACGACGTCCCGCTAGATCCGAGGCCAGTGAGTCTCGTGAACGGGCGAGTGCATCTGTTGAAGCGGAGAGGGCTTACGACGGGGAGACGGAAGAAGTGAGAGAAGTGAGAGAAGTGGACGTGGATGGAAGGAGGGTCAAGAAACTCGTCCTGGTCGTGAAGCAGGAAGAAGACTCCGATGAAGATGCGCTTGCGCTACCAGTCAACCCCTACGCGAGGGGCGTATCCAACGGCAAGGGCAAGGAACGAGAACGAGAACGAGAGCGAGAGGAACGGTTTGAAAACGAATACATGGAGACGCGTTTGGAGAGCACGTCTGCTCTCATAGCCGAGCGAGGAGAAGCCGCACGTGCACAGGCAGAAGGACGGTCCACTCCTCAAGCTCACGAACGACAGGCATCGGGACGGGGAGTGAACTGGGACGCTCTGGACTCCCCGGTTCACTCGCCCTCGTCTCCGCCGTGGGTTGTCCCGCCTCTTCAGCTTTCGAGTCCCTTCCCGCCAACGCCTGATTACGAATTCCACCGTGACTCTACTCCAGAGGCGCGACAGGCAGCAGGAGCAGAAGCTCAGCCTCGCCCACAATCCCAGCTCGAACAGCAACGGCAAGTAGCCGCCTGGGCAGGTGCCACACGCGCGCCCAGTCCCAGGCCCTCCGACCGCTCGCCCTCCTACGGCTTCACAACCCCCACGCACTCGCCCCTCCCCTCCCTCTACTCCCCCTCCTCGCCCCGATCCCCCGCCTCCCGGCCCGCACACTCGCACTACGTCTCCCCGCGCGCCTCGCCCGGCGGCGTCCACGAGACCGTCGCCCTCCTGCGCGTGCTCCACGACCGCGACGCCGCGCTGCACGTGCTCCACGACCGCGACGCCGCGCTGCACGTGCTCCACGACCGCGACGCCGCGCTGCACGTGCTCCACGACCGCGACGCCGCGCTGCACGACCAGGTCGCGGCGCTCCGCGTGCAGGCGCAGGGCGTGCGGGCGCAGGCGGCGCTCCTCGTCGAGCGGCTGCGCGCGGAGGCGGGCGAGGCGCGGCGCATGGAGGGGTTCGCGCGGTACTGGCGGGGCGGGGGGTACTACCGCGCGCGGGGCGTGGACGCGGAGGATCCGGGGTGCGGCGTCACCGTCACCGCGGCTGCGAGGGGGCGCGGGCTGGGCGGGGGCGTGAATGGGGATGGGGGTGGAGAGGCGCGTGTGGAGGCGGAGTGGCGGCCGGATGTGAATTGGATGCACGAGGAGGTGTGGGGCGGGCAGATGCAGGTGCTGCGGGCGCTGAAGCCGGAGGAGCAGTTCGAGATCACGAGCGAGGACGAGGGCGAGGGGGGGATCCTGGACCGGCTGGATAACGGGGATGATTTGGGGATTGGGATGCAGCGGGTGCGGGGGGAGGCGGGCGTGCTCGATACGCTGGGCGTGGGGGCGGAGGTTCCGGAAGCGTATTTGGAGGTGCGGAGGCGGGAGGAGGCGGCGGAGAGGGAGAGGGAGAGGATGGCGGAGGAGGAGAGGCTGCAAAGACGGGAGGAGGAGGATATGTTGGAGAGGAAGAGGGAGAACCAGCGCGCAGCGAAGGGCAAGAGAAAGGCAGACGATATCGACCCCGTAGAGAAGGCGGAGGAGAGGATGAAGAGGAAGAGGATCTTCAGTCAGGCGTAATGATATTTTTTGTGCCTTGTAGTGTTCGTAACATCTTGTAGTAACATTGTAGTATCATGCATCCGTTTGTGCTTTGTAATTCATCCAGAGGATCTTTCGTTCGTAGCATCAATGAGGCTCGGATATCAAGTGAATACAGGTGAAGAATCACTGACTTTCCTGCTCCCTTCTCCAATTGCAAGGCCTCCTGTTTCACTTCACTCCAACCTCTGTCCAAAACGTTGCACGCGGTTCCATTCTACAGTATCCTTTGACTCATTCACTCATTCAATCCCTGGTGCTCCGGACGCGTCGCGCATAGGCCCAAAGACGCCGTCGCACGCAACGGCGAAAGCAGCGTCTGTTCAATTAGACGAGGGTCGTCGTCACGCAGGCCGTTTACCCGTTAACGAGCAGTGTGTGAAGAATGTATGGTTGGTGTGCCACAGTGCGGGGTTCGGAGCGTTGCTGCCCAATTCACTCGGCAGCTTGAAACACATCACACAGTTTCGAATGGCATACCGAATCGGAACGCGGATTCAATCGGCCTAGCAAGCGAGCGAATGTCGTGAACGGCCCAAAGTTGCATAGACGGGTGGTCCTTCGTCAGGTGGTCCTTCGTCAGAATGGGCTGGGAGGCCTGAGGGGTGCCGATGAGGGGTGAGGGGTGAGGCCTTGAGGGGTGAGAGACACTAAGTACCAGTATTTCTCGGATGGCGCGCGCACATGACCGCGACCGTGACGGAGTCAACCCCGATCGTCTTGCGAGCTTGCCAATGCGAGCTCGCACTGGCAGCTTGCCCCCTCTTGCCCCATGGGTGTAAGGGGACACTCCTATTTTCTCTCCTTTCCTTCATCCCATGGACTCTTACCTACATTTCCTTTGTTCCCCTTTGTTCCTTTTCGCTTCCTTTCCTTTCCACTTCCTTCCCGCCCACTCCTTTCGCATCCGAGCCACGTCCGGTGACTCCGGAGCCTTCCCGCGCCTCGGACTCGCCTCGGACGCTTCGGACTCGCTCGGACTCGTAGATACACTTCGGGGCTCGTCCGGGCTACCGCTATCCTCCTTTCCCACTTCATTACTCCTTGTCCCCACTTCCCCAGGTCGCCGGCACGACTCCTGTACATTCCCCTTCCACTTCATTATCACATGTTTCCTCGTACCTTGTGATATTCGTTCGTACCTGTGGCTGGTGTACTGTACAGTCACCCTTCATTCCTCCCACGCTACTACAGTATATACTTCGCTTCCTAGCATGGAGAATCCCCATCCTGTTCTCTTTGGATTCTCCCTCTGCTAGGTGAGCAGCTCTCTCATGTATTGTAGTTAGTCTTATTCATTACTTTGGATTCTCCCTCTGCTAGGCCTGCGCTGTCGGCCATCTTGAGGTTGCCCTTGCAGCAGAACAGGATCTCCCATCCTGGCACCAGAGCCCTACGGAAAACGTCCTGCGCCACTCCGGACTCGTTCCCGACGTCTCTCCGGTTTTGCGGACATTCCGGACGCTCTCCTGCTACTCCCACCCACCTCTGAGGACCCAAGGAACTCCATCCCTCGCTCCCCTGACGACTCCGAAATGCCGGGCGCCTCCAGCCAGATCCCGCCATCCGAGCCAGTCGCTTCAGGACCGGACTCCGAGACTTTGCAGACCTTGTGGGCTCAGACGTACGAACACCAAACCCAAATCAGTTCCATCCAGGATACACTCGCCCGAATTGAAGGACTCCTCTTAACACCCCGTCCGACTACTCCGAAAACGACTGTGGACTCCGAGCTGAGGGGCACTGAAGCCTCCCAGCACGCCCCGAGTCGATCCGAAATCACCCCGCGTTCCCGTTTGAAGCCCGCCTCTCCCCCGATCTTTGACGGAAACCGCAAGGATGGTCGCGCGTTCTACAACGCATGCTCCATCTACTTCCAGCTCTGTCCGGACCACTTCCCGACCGAGCAGGCCAAAATCCTCTGGTGTCTCTCCTTCTTCCAGAAGGATCGTGCCAAGGAATACGCGGACATGGTGCTCCGGAGTCCGAAGGATCCGTACTTCGAATCCTGGGCCGCCTTCGCGGCCGAATTCCGGACTCGCTTCCTTCCAGATCGGGAACGCGAAGCCGCCATGCTCAAGCTGGAGTCCACCCGGTACCACCAAGGCCGTCGGACTTTCCAGGAGTACCTCGACGAGTTCCGAGACCTTGTAGACCAGTCCGGATACTCCGAGGGCTCCAACATCACGATGAAGTTCCGTCGCGGACTGGACTCCATCATCCAGAGCCGTGTTGCCGAGTCCGCAGACTGTCCGGACGAGGATGACTTCGAAGGATGGTACAAGGCAGCGCAGCGGGTTGCTGACAACCGTGCTGCCAACCAGTCCTTCCACTTTGGCGTGCACTCCGGAAACTCCGGACACTCCGGATCCCTCGTCCGACCAGCAGCCAGCTCCGGAGTCGCTCGGACCCCTGCGGGTGTACTCCCCACGCCTCGGACTCAGCTCCCGCCTCTGCAACCCCGCTTCCAACTTCCGCCTCCTCCGAAGGCTCTCTCACCCGGCGTCCCCATGGACGTCGACCACACCCGCTCCCGGCCCGCCGCTTCACAGCTCTGCTACCGATGCGGCAAGCCCGGCCACATGTCCCGCGAGTGCCCACTTCGGTACGACGTCCGGTTCATGACCACCGAGGAGCGGATGTCCGCCATTGAAGATCTCCTGACCGCAGCCGATGTTGTAGAAAGTGCGGGGACCTCGGAAGGAATAGACGATGAGGGAACGGCCCCGGTTGAGGAATCGGACACGGCGGATTTTGTCCGGACCAACGAGTGATCAGTGCGACCTCGTTGGTAAATAACCGATTTGCTTGTCTTAGCGTAGACGAAATAGACGATTCCAATCACTCCGATGATTCGTCCGACGCTAAGCAAACGACTCCGGTTACAATCCGCACTCTCCGAAGGTTTCGCCCGCAGTGGGAACGGCGGCTACCCAGTAGCTATAAGATCTCCGCGCTGCCCGGCAAGCTTTCGCTAGATATACCCGTTGAAGTGCAGAGCACGGATACACAACACAGATGCACCCTGCAGGCCCTGGTGGACTGTGGAGCCACCGGAGTCTTCATGCATCCGCGCTTTGCTGATGCCCATGGTTTCACCCGACGCAAGCTGTCCGCTCCGATTCCGGTCTTCAACGTTGACGGATCACCAAATGAGAACGGATCTATCTCCGAAGTCGTGGACCTTGTACTCCGGTTCAAGGATCACACGGAACGGATGCTTTTCGCAGTCACTAACATCGGACGCCAGGACATCATCCTCGGATACACCTGGCTTCGGAAGCACAACCCCGAGATTGACTGGCAGACAAAGGAGGTGACCATGAGCCGCTGTCCGTCCGGATGCGACACCTGTCGGAAGGAGTTCCGCCATGACAAGCTGACCCGACGCAAGGAGTCCGTGCGACTCCGGGAGTGTCGTACGGGTCCGATGCCAAGGGTTGAAGAACTGCACTCGGACGATCTCCCAGGGCTTCAGGACTGCGAGGATGATGATGAGGATGACAATGTTACAACTCCGGACGACTCCGGACTTGAGAGGGGTGACCGTATCTTCGTGGCTATTCCTCCTCCGACTCCGGAGTACCTTCGGAGTCTTCGGGAAGAACATATCCGGGCTTCGGAGACAGTCTCGCAGCGCCTCGCATTGGCTTTCCAGCGCAACAAACCCCACGATCCTCGGAACAGCGCAGTCCCGGACTTCCTCCAGGAATTCGAGGACGTCTTTGCAAAGGAATCCTTTGATGAACTGCCCATGCCGCGTCCGTGGGACCATGCCATTGAGCTACTGGACGGAGCAGAACCGACCTCTACCAAGTGCTACCCACTGTCCCCGGCGGAGCAGAAACAGCTGGACGAATTCCTGGAAGAAAATCTCCGGACTGGTCGGATCCGCCCCAGCAAGTCACCCATGGCTGCCCCGGTGTTCTTTGTTAAGAAGAAGGACGGATCGCTCCGCTTGGTCCAGGACTACCGGAAGCTCAACAACATGACGGTCAAGAATCGGTACCCACTTCCGCTCATCTCGGACTTGGTGGACAAACTCCGGAATGCTCGCTACTTCTCCAAGCTTGACGTCCGGTGGGGTTTCAACAATGTCCGGATCAAGGAGGGTGACGAGTGGAAGGCCGCATTTCGGACTACGCGCGGACTCTTCGAACCTTTGGTGATGTTCTTCGGATTGACCAACAGCCCGTCTACCTTCCAGACCATGATGAACGACTTGTTCCGGGAGCTCATTACGGAAGGTGTGGTTATTATCTATCTGGACGACATCCTGATCTACACCAAGACGCGCGAAGAGCATCGCCGGGTTCTCAAGCGTGTCCTAGAGATCCTCCAGCGGAACAAGCTCTTCCTCCGAGCGGACAAGTGCGATTTCGAGCAGACCAAGGTGGAGTATCTCGGAGTCGTCATCTCCGAGGGTAAGATCGAGATGGACCCTGTGAAGGTCTCCGGAGTTGCGGACTGGCCAACCCCTCGGACTCGGACTGAACTCCAATCCTTCCTTGGGTTTGTCAACTTCTACCGCCGCTTCATCAAGGACTACTCGCATATCGCCCGGCCTCTCTTTGACCTCACTTGCACGAAGGAATGGCAGTGGAACGACTCCGCTCAATCCGCATTTCTTCGGATCAAAGAGCTGATCACTTCGGAACCTGTTCTTGTCTTTCCGAAGGAGGATCGGCCATACCGAGTTGAAGCGGACTCGTCGGACTACGCTACGGGTGCAGTCTTGTCGCAACTGGATCCGGATGATGGTAAATGGCATCCTGTCGCATTCTACTCTAAAAGTCTACAGGCTGCGGAGCGGAACTACGAAATACACGACAAGGAGATGCTTTCGATCATCCGGGCGCTCGAAGAATGGCGGCACTACCTTGAAGGCGCAGAGACTCCGTTCGAGATCTGGACGGACCACAAGAACCTGGAGTACTTCATCAAGGCCCAGAAACTCAACCGCCGTCAAGCCCGCTGGTCGCTATACCTCTCCCGCTTCGACTTCACTCTCCAGCATCGTCCGGGTCGGACTATGGGTAAACCGGACGCTCTCTCGCGACGCTCGGATCACTCGGATGGTAAGGATGACAACAAGGATGTAGTGATGCTCAAGCCATCCTACTTTGCTGTCCGTGCCACGGGTGTCACTCTTGAAGGGGAGGAGAAGGATATCCTCACGGCTATCTGGACTGGAGTGCGAGATGCGAAGTTTGAAGATGCAGTGGCAAAGGCGGCGGAGGAGCTGAAGAAGACCCAGGGCAGTCGCAAGACAGTCCGAAGTGCGGAATGGTCCCAATCGGACGGACTCCTGATGTTCCGGGGTAAGATCTACGTTCCGGACTCACCGGATTTGCGTCGGACTATTGTAGCTCAGCACCACGACACCAAGGTCACAGGACACGCCGGCAGATGGAAGACCCTAGAGCTCGTTTCACGCAGCTACTGGTGGCCCAGCATGTCCCGGTACGTCGGATCCTACACCCGCCATTGCGACCTCTGTCTCCGGACGAAGGCCCAAAGGCATCCGCCCATGGGTGAACTTCATCCGCTTCCCATTCCAGATGAACGCTGGGATCGCCTGAGTGTTGACTTCATCGTCGAGCTTCCGGAGTCCGATGGATTTGACGCTGTCATGAATGTGGTCGACTCCGTAAGCAAACGCGCCCACTTCATTCCGACTCACACCACAGTGTCTGCCCTCGGATCCGCAAACTTGTACCTGCAGAACGTCTGGAAGCTGCATGGACTCCCTCGGTCTGTTGTGTCCGACCGGGGTCCGCAGTTCGTTGCAGAGTTCACCCGGGAAGTCTACCGGATGCTCGGAATCAAGCTGGCTGCCTCCACTGCGTACCACCCTCAGTCCGACGGACAGACGGAACGGACCAACCAGGAACTCGAGTCCTATCTCCGGATCTTCGTCGGAGAGCGTCAGGACGACTGGGCTCGCCTCCTACCTATGGCGGAGTTTGCGTACAACAACCGGGTCCATGCGTCCACTCAGCAGTCACCTTTCCTCCTAGATACTGGCCGACATCCTCGCCTCGGGTTCGAACCTCATCAGCCACTGTCTCGGATGGAGTCCGCAAACGAGTTTGTACATCGGATGAAGTCCGCAGTTGATGAAGCTCAGTCTGCATTGGTCAAGGCTCAGGATGACATGAAGCGTTACTATGATCAGCGTCGGACTCCTGCTCCGGAGTACCAACCGGGTGACAAGGTTTGGCTGGACTCGTCGGACATCAACCTTGCCCGACCCTCCCGGAAACTCGGACACGCACGACTCGGTCCTTACAAGGTTGTCCGAAAGGTTGGCAAGGCAGCGTACCGGCTCCAGCTCCCTCCGGGCTTATCCCGTCTCCATCCCGTCTTCCCCGTGGTCAAACTCTCTCCCTTCGTCCCGGACCCCATCCCGGGTAGACGCCCTGTCGCTCCGCCACCTCCGCAGCTCGTTGACGGAGAAGAGGAGCATGAGGTAGAAGAGGTCCGGAACAGCAGACGGTTTGGTCGGGTCCTGAAGTATCTGGTACGCTGGCGAGGTTATGGCATCGAGCACGACTCCTGGGAGCCCGCGAGCAACCTCCAGCATGCTGCCCAGAAGGTCAAGGACTTCTATGATCGTCATCCGGATGCAGTGCGCTCACTCCGGACGAGTCTGACGAGTCCGACGACCCCTGCACCACTCCGGATGACTCCTACAGCACTGGACCAGTCCTGGGAGCGTTGGTGCAGTCGGAAGGCTCCCGGCTCTGTGCAGTCGTACTTCGACATCTTCTCGCAGCAGTCCGGAGTTTCGGGGTTGGTGAATTCATGGCGCGGCAGGCAGGAATCTTCGCGTCGGGTCGCCGCAACCTTGAAGGGGGGGTGATGTAAGGGGACACTCCTATTTTCTCTCCTTTTCTTCATCCCATGGACTCTTACCTACATTTCCTTTGTTCCCCTTTGTTCCTTTTCGCTTCCTTTCCTTTCCACTTCCTTCCCGCCCACTCCTTTCGCATCCGAGCCACGTCCGGTGACTCCGGAGCCTTCCCGCGCCTCGGACTCGCCTCGGACGCTTCGGACTCGCTCGGACTCGTAGATACACTTCGGGGCTCGTCCGGGCTACCGCTATCCTCCTTTCCCACTTCATTACTCCTTGTCCCCACTTCCCCAGGTCGCCGGCACGACTCCTGTACATTCCCCTTCCACTTCATTATCACATGTTTCCTCGTACCTTGTGATATTCGTTCGTACCTGTGGCTGGTGTACTGTACAGTCACCCTTCATTCCTCCCACGCTACTACAGTATATACTTCGCTTCCTAGCATGGAGAATCCCCATCCTGTTCTCTTTGGATTCTCCCTCTGCTAGGTGAGCAGCTCTCTCATGTATTGTAGTTAGTCTTATTCATTACTTTGGATTCTCCCTCTGCTAGGCCTGCGCTGTCGGCCATCTTGAGGTTGCCCTTACAATGGGCATTCCGGCAGCCCAACCTTTCAATCGTCCACGCAAACGCAAACGCAAACACAAACACAAACGCAACACCCAAGTATCTAAGTACTCACGGGTCCTGCACGCCCTTAGTCCTTAGGCCTTATATCTCGCATCTTATATCTTGCATCGTGCGTCTCGCATCAAAGTTTCACCAGAACGTTATCCCTATCCCTATTATCACGCTCTACACGCGTTTTGCACGCCCCGTGAATGTTCCATATCCCATATTCCACATTGTATATTGAATGTTGAATATTGAACGTTGAACACCCACCGCCCTACCACGTGGTCGGACTGCCAGGTGCAAGGGTGCAAGGTGCTAGTGCAAGGTGCATAAGCACGGAGCTGATACACCGTCGATGGCCGGGCTGCCTGCCTGTTCAGTGCGGACTATAAGATATATAATAAACATCAACGATGAACTGTAAACGATAAACGGAGCCAGGCGACTCGCGAGTGTACCGCATAAACAGAGCAACGGATCAAACTGCATAGAACCCCCACTCTACCCCAACCCCACATCCCATCATCCCATCACCCGAGTCCGAGTCCGAGTCCGAGTCCACCATGGAACGAATCACGACCCCGATAACTGAGCTACTAGGCAAGTCCGTGTTCCCCTCGTCTGCGCATCAGTGAACATGGGGAACTTGTGAACTTACGAGCTCTATGTGATATGATGTGTGTGTGGTATGATGTGTGTGTGGTATGTGGTGGTGTGGTGTGGTGGTGTGTGGTGGTGTGTGATGTATAGGTGTCCCGAGCCCCATCATCCTCGCGCCCATGGCCTTTGGCGCGACGGCGGAGATGTCCACCATCGTGCACCAAGCTGGAGGCTTCGGGATGATACCCGCAGGCAAGTCGCCCTCAGTCTCTCACACAGACCCCGCATCTAACCTCGCACGTGCACGCACAACCAAAGGCTTCGACTCGTCGGCACAACTCAAAGCACACCTCACCACCGCGCGCAAATCCCTCTCCATCGCAGCCGGCGCGCCCATCCCCGTGGGCGTCGGCTTCATCGGGTGGATCCTCGACCAGACCGAAGCGTCCGCGGACCCGCGCCTCCCCGGCGTCCTTGCCGAGAAGCCCGCGGCCATCTGGCTCGCCTTCGGCGCCGCGCTCGGCACATACGTCGCGCAGATCCGTGCATTCGACGCGCAGCGCACGGACGGGCACAGGACGCGCGTGTTCGCGATCGTGAACGACGTGGAGGGCGCGCTGCGGGCCGCGGGGGCGTGGGGCGTGGATGTGGTGGTGGCGCAGGGCATCGAGGCGGGCGGGCACGGCGGGGCGGAGGCGCTGCCCGTGCTCTCGCTCGTGCCGGCTATCCGAGCGGCGTTCCCCCCAGGCGCGTGTCCGCCCATCGTCGCGGCAGGCGGCGTGTCCACCGGCGCGCAGATCGCGGCGCTGCTCGTGCTGGGCGCGTCGGGCGTCGCGCTTGGCACGCGGTTCCTCTACACGCACGAATCGTGCTATACAAGGGAGATGAAGGCGGTGCTGGTTGGGGCGGGGTGGGGCGCGACGACGCGGGGGCTGATGTTCGACGAGGTGAACGGGACGATGGGGTGGCCGGCGAAGCATGATGGGCGGGCGATCGCGAATGGGATCGTGGAGGACTGGGCGGCGGGGCTGCCGCTGAGTGCGCGCCTTGAGCGGTTTGAGGAGAGCAGGGCGAGGGGGGAGAAGGACAGGCTGGTGATATGGGCGGGTGTCGGCGTCGGGATGACGGATGAGATACGGGCTTTGAAGGTGAGAGATGCGTGCCAGAGACGGGGATTGGGCTGACTTTGGGCAGGACGTCTTTGAGGAGCTCCACAGTGACACGGTCAAGGCATTGCGGAAGTCTTCATCTTTACTCGCGTAGTACTACATAATGCATCAGAATTTGATTCTCTTGAGTGTGTCGAATCGATAAGAGAATTGCTCCTCTGGGTCCTCCGACGTGAGGGGAGAGGGCGGGTTCACCGCGACAAGAAAGCAAAGAGGCTCAACCCATGCAAGAAGCGTGGCAAGGGGCGAGAAGAGAGTGGTGAGCGTGATGTTGCCCACTTGACAAATCAGCGCGTCGATACTCGTTACTTGCCAGCCCAGGCCTTGGGACTAGCGAGAGGAAGAAAGCGCTTTGTATTAGTTCTGGTGTTCTGGTGCGAGCATGCAACCAAGCTCAACGAGGAGATAACCAGATAGTGACGTACGTGACACCCCTAAGCGCTATCTCTCTCTCCTTCTATGCCTATGCGCCCTCGACAGCGACACTGAGCTCCAGCGACTAGCAAGATGACCGGACGGGTGCTCTCCCTCCTGCCCTACCTCATCACCATCTTCGCCCTCTCCCTCCCCTCGCCCTCCTTCCCCCTGCGCCTCTCGCTATTCCTCCTCATCCTCGCCCTCACCACCCACATCCTCACGTCCACCGCCCTCCCCCTCGCGTCCCTCAACTTCTCCCAGGGTGCCGCCCTCGCCGCCCACGTCTTCGCCGCCTCCGATTTCCTGCTGCTCTCGCATGTACACACCGACTTGAAGAGAAACGGCCAGACGGGCGCGTGGGAGACGATGGGGCAATGGGAGCGCGTGAGGTGGGCGGTGAGCTTGGTCACTAGTCCCAGGTTGATTGGCTGGTCGTCTACATCTACGTCTACTCCTCGTCCTCCCCCATTACATGCCTCTCCCTCCCCTTCAACGTCAACCACCTCCTTCATCCTCCGCCAATTGCTCCACCTACTCCTCGAGCTCCTCACCCTCCTCGCTTTCATCACCCTCTCGCCCTCCCTCCCCCACCTCTCCGCCTCCGGCCCCACCCTCGCCTCCGCCCCCTACCCCCTCCGCCTGCTCTACGCACCCCTCCTCGGCCTCGCCATGTACGCCTCCATCGACGCCCCCCACAGGATCTGGCTCCTCCTCCTCCTCTGCATCGGCAATCCTCTTATATACGTGCACAACCACGCCTCGGTCAGCCCCTTGCTGTTGTGGACGCCCGCAGACTTCCAGCCCCTCTTCGGCAAGTGGAGCGACGCGTATACGGTGCGCAGGTTCTGGGGGCGGACGTGGCAGCAGACGCATCGCAGGGTGCGTGCCCCTTCCTTCCTCCTCCTCTTTCCTTTCGTGTCGCCTCGATTTTTGATGCTATGCGTCGCTACTTACGCCTATATGTATACGCATACATCCTCAGGCCTTCATACCCAATGACCCTATCCGCGTCCATTCGTCTGCATTCATATTCACGCATCAATGCATCCCGTCTCGCGTTCAAATGTTCACCCATTTCACCTACCTTTCTTCTCCGCATTTCGCTTCTAATCCATCCATCCATCGTTCCATCCTTTCGTTCATTCATTCATCTCTCCCTCTATCCCTCTATCTCTCATCCCTCTATCCCTCTATCCCTCTCTACCCCTCTACCCCTCCATCCGCTCTCTACACCCCTAACGCGCCGCGTACAGAAATTCAAATCCCACAGCCGCTTCCTCAAATCTCTCGTCTGCCCCGTCTGCCCCGTCTGCCCCCCTCCTTCAACGAATAATACAGACAAGAATGAACCCCTCTCCCGCTTACTCGACCTGTACACCGCGTTCCTCGTGTCGGGGCTCATGCACGCCGCGGGGGAGTACATGATGCTCGCCTCCCCTACTTCGCTGTCTTCCCTATCTTCCTCTTCCCTTTCACTATCTTCCCTGTCTTCAGGTCAAATAATGGGAATGGGAGGAGGAGGAGGAGGAGGAGGGGGAGGAGGAATATGGAGAGTATGGGGGGTGAGAGTTGGGGGAAGTATAAAATTTTTCATGATCCAGGCGCTCGCCGTGCACGTCGAGAGCATCGTCCTCGGAGTCGCGCGCGCGGTACTCGCAAGACCGACGACTACACTTGCTTCTGCTCCTGCGCCCTCCGAAAATGCTCCTGCTCCTCCCCCTCCCCCACCTCCTCCTCCTCCCCCTCGCCATATAGATCCTCTAACTCCCCCCCTCCCCTCACCACCACCACCACCACTAATAAAACTCCTCAAATGCCTCGGCTATGCGCTCGGCTACATCTGGGTCTGGCACTGGTTCGCGTACACGGCGCCCGTGCTGTTTGATCCCCTGCTTGGGGCGGGGTTCGTGGATGATCTGCGTGGGGGTTTGGGTGGATGATGGGTGTGGGGGAGGGGAGGGGGGAGTGGGAGGGTGATTTAGGAGGATAAGGGGGTGAGTGGATGGGGAGATGGTGGGGGAGGGGTGGGTGGGGAGAGGGGAGATAGGGAGGGCGGGTGAGTGGGGCACGACGACCTCGCCAACGTCAACCTTCAACCTTCCACCCTCATCCTCACCGCCAACGTCTGCACCTCCCGCCACACCGGATCTAAGGGATTTACAGGTTTTGCGGGGTTTACAGGGTTTACAGGATTAAGGAAGTAGGGGCCGCAAACCCCGCATTTCAATACGCAAAACTCCAAAACTCAAAATCCAAAGCAAAACACCTCCTCGAATACCTCCCCGAATACAAATACCCCCCGAATCCCCTCAGGCCTCGACGTCAGCCCGTTCCTCTGTTCCTCTGTTCCTCTGTGCCCGTTCCTCCGTTCCCGTTCCTCTGTTCCTCTGTTCGCCATAACGCCGGCTCGCCTCCATCTTCACCTTCATCTTCATCTTCATCTTCACCCTCATCCTCATCTTCACCTGCACCTGCACCTTCACCCTCACCTTCACCTTCACCTGCACCTTCACCTTCACCTACGCCTTCGCCTACTCCCACTTGTACACCCACAAAATCGCAGAATCGCAGAAACACGATTCGGAGGCTTCGGGGACGCCATCTGCCCGGGAAACTTCGAAGTTCGAACGGATGTAGACGAGGCATGCGACGCGGCTTTCGCGTTCGCCTGTAAGGGCACCCTTCATCCTTCACCGCATCTCCACCTTCACCTCACGCCCCTCACTGCATCTCACCTCGCACGCATGCTGCAGCTCGCACCGAGCCCAGCCCAGCCCGGCCCGGCTCACGACGCCCGGCTCATCGACGAACGAACGAACGAACGAACTATTCGATTAGCAATACTCAATATTCAATATATTGCACAATACCCAGTAAGTATTCAATGGTCGATGGTCGATGATTGATGGTCAGTAAAGCAGCCGACTGGTCCCAGGACGCGCAGAGCAGCACCGATCCGTCTCATTGTATCTTATGCATGATACTTGATACTTGATGTTTACATGATAGTGGGGTGATGGTGGTAGTGGTAGTGATGTGCAAGTGGCAAGTACAGGTAACAGGTAGTAGGTAACAGGTGATAGGTAACATGTAGTAGGTAACAGGTTGTAGGTGCGACCACGACTCCGACTCACAAGTTAGACCTCATATCTCAGGTTTCAGGCTCAGTCTACGTCTCGTTGATAATTGTTCTCGCTACAATTCGATGAGTTCAACAAAATGTGCCGACATGTCGATGTTTGTTCGTAAGGAAGAGCCTGCAACACACAACGTACAAAGCGTATCGCTTTTTGCTTTTCGCAGCGAGAAGCGAGGAGCAAGGGGTGAGAAGTAAGATGCAACAACTGAGAAGCACCAAGCGACAAACGATACGAAAACAAACGACACGAAAGAGGCGAGATCCACGCGAAGCGGACTTACAGAACGCAGACAAAAACGAAAAACGTTGGGAAAAGGGTTAGGTCATGAAAAGGGTTAGGTCATGGTTTCGGGCGAAACATGGGCCATGGGCGACAGATCATACTATTACTTAGCAGCAACTGGTTTCGATCCAGTGACCTCAGGGTTATGGGCCCTGCGCGCTTCCCCTGCGCCATGCTGCTGTACAGGGTATACAGGTGGCGCAGTGGGTGGGTCCTGGGATGCGTTGGTGGGGGTGCGTCGGAGCCTGCCTGAGGCCTGCCTGAGGAGAGGCATCGTGACATAGTGAGGTGAGGTGTTGTTAAAGGGCAAGGGGAAAGGGGGGCAAGGGAGGGGCGAGGGGCGAGGGGTGCCGGTGAGGAGGCGGGAGTTCCCTTATGTGGAGATGTGGAGATGTGGAATACGAATGAGTATATGAATAACGAATGACACTCAGGGAGGCGTTTACATCCAAGTACCGATTTCGTGAGTTTGTGAGTTTGTGAGTTGTGGCGCCGCTGATCTTGAATACCAACATCGGATATCGAGTACTTGAGTGCTTGCTTGTGAATCGCACTACGCACTACGCACTAAAATATTGTACGTATTGTATCAGATGCAGATGTCTGCCGTGAACACCGACCCGGAGCACTCCTCAAGTCATGTCTTGATACACGCACTTCATATGGCATAGTAATAGCCGCAACTGATTATTCCGGGGCAAGTTAGGAATGCCCGACCTTGGTCCGACCCACCGGCCACTCAAGCTTCAAGCTTCAAACGATCAAAGACAATAAAGACGAAACTCCCTATCGCACCGTTGGCCTGGCTGGCCCGTGCTAGTCCGCATCAGCACAAACCCACAAGAACGGGACCTTGATACCTACCAACGAATCCAGCCGTCTTCGGGCGCACCACCAGGGTTGCATTGGCCGCAATGCGGGCAGGTCCGGAGCGTCGCTGCCAGCCGTTGCACAATGTGCCCGATATTGAAGTGCGCCCCGGGTCTGAGGGCGTTAGCGAAGCTCGCGTCGTCGGTAGCAGCCTTCCCGTCGTCTCTGTGCACGATTTCCCAAACTCCTCGCCGGATATACTCGATCCCCGGGCCATTTCTGCAGTGCTGGTATATGACCATTGCGAAATCCTGCAAAAGTTTAAAGGGTTGGTCAATTGTTCTAGCGGAGGAGCACGGGGTGACCGTACATTCCATGTTTCGCAGAAACTCAGAGGAATGCTGTACAGGAGGCTTCCTGGCTCCCGAACCCAGATCGAGTCGACATTGTCGTATTTGATGTCATACCAAGAGGAAGGGGTGAGAGTCGAAGTAAGATTTTCCAATTCTCGGTCGTGGATGCCAAACACTGCGATAAAATCTGATCTAGATACTACAAATTAGCTCTGAATAAAGGCATAGTGACGAGTTGCTTACGAGATAAGCATGCATAAAAACTGTATCATTACAGTTCGACAGTGACAAAGGTGATTGCGGAGGCGTTCGGACAACGCAGGCCACTGGCAGGTGGTCCTGTTGCCCGGCATGTTGTATGCTTTGTGTGCATGTTTGGAAGATTTGAACGGTTGGGTGACCAGGCCCCAAGCGAGGCTGATCTTTTCTGACTTCCGGGATGTTCGTGAAGGATGTTCGTGGGGCTTGAGTTTACCAAGGGCCTCCCGGAAGCCCTTTAATAAGGTGGTACACGCAAGTGCGTATGCCTCAATGCGAAGGAAGACGGTATGGGAGTTGAACATCGGGAACGCGAATCCAATACGGCGGATTGCCCTTGCTACGCATTTTATTAGCCCCACTAATTCATCAGCTTTGGTGCAGATGTCTGCAATGGAGTCGCCGCGGGGCAAATGCGTTGAGAACGAGCGAAGGTGCTGTAATATATGAGAGAGGCAGACTATGATAGTCTGGTATGGTTCGAGTTCTTTGGAAGGACTGTAGTCAAACAATTCCAAATTAGGGTTCGCCTTAATGAGGACTCCCGGGGGTGCTGCAGTGTGCAAAGTGTTGTGAGAAACCCAGCTTGAATCGCAGTTGCTGTGAACCCCTATGGAAGCAGGGAGTAGGGCGAGTCTGCCAATAATATGATCCAGTTTCTCGTCGACGCTGCCGACGGTGTGTAGAGTGCGGAACACCGCGTCCTGCGTGTCTAGTCCTCGGGCAGACTTCACTTTCTCCGAAGCCTTCTTGAGCAGCTTGCGGTTTTCGTCGAGCCGTTCCTTTACTGTCCTTGTGATGGACATCTCGACTAGTAGATGGGCGTTGCCTCATTGCAAGTTGAAAATATGATAACGTGACTTACCAACATCTAGCTTTCCGAGTGTGCATACGTAGTGGAGACATTTATAAATCACCGGAAATAAGGCCTGGCACGCCGCCTGCTGCCTCGAGCGTAGTTCACCGTGTTTTTCGTCATCAAGATCCTTGACCTCACTACAGACGTCGCCAATGTCCTCCAACAAAGAGATTACACGGTCTTTGCCCTCAAGGTACTTGTTGATGACCTAAAATTGTGTCAGTGATGTTGGTCTTGCAGTCAGTGCCAACTAACCGAAGAGACTTGTGCGATCACCCCTAAGGCAACCTTGGCGTAGCTGTTGAGCTATAGCTAGGTCAGCGAAAATCCGGGGGAAAGTGCCCCACGTACCTCAGCTATCGCAGCCCCAATCTTAATAAAGAAGCACAGATGATCAAAGGCTTTGATTAGTTTAGGAGGAAGCTCCAAGCGACTCTTAAGGGCCTTGATTGCGGAATCCGATGTCCCAGGAAGCTCCTGAAAGGTGCTGGCGGCGTTGAAAGCGAAGACAAGGATAACGTCTGTCGACGATCCCGGCTGGCATCGTCTGAGCACAACTAACGGGACTCGATTTCTGGACGCTTTCGCGAGCACTAAGTATCAAGTACGCACCTCTACCATTCAAGGACCCCAGTGGCACTTGAGTTTCAGCAAGAACTTGTGAATGTTTCTTATCATGCTCGTTGTTGTTGCCCTCGTAAAGCTTGATTTCGACCTTGGTACATGGGTCGGCAAAGCTGGAGAAATTAATGTCTAGCCTTGACTACAAAACTACGCGACTCACAAGATCATAGGGATATTTACTACCTTCTTGTCTGACTTCCTGTCCTGGACGACGAGCTCAAATTCTGCGTCCGAACGGTCATTGATGGCCAAGATGGCGTAAAAGTGGCGGGGCTTGCTCGAACGATTCCATCCAAACGATGTCCCCTTGACCTGGTCTTCGAGCAGATTGTGGGCCTCGATGACTGCAAAGAAGTGAGACAGTCGACATTCGTTGCTGAGCGCAGAGCCCTTACAGGTGATTGCAGCGTATACTTTTCCTGCGCCCAGTGCGCCCAACATGGTGAGAATTGTGGGTGATGCGAGACCATGATGCACATATGGGAGGTTGCGTGGAAGAAGGATGGCGTATCTATAATAAGCACTACTTCACGGTAACTTATATCTGTCCCTTGATATTCGCGCCTGGCCCAGCGATGGACCAAAACCAGCGGGCGGTTCTGTATGCCGCAGCAAAAAGGCCAGCACTCTGGCACAGAGATTCAGAGAGCAAAGGGAAAGGCTGAGAACAGAACGATGGGGCATCCGTGGGGGATGTGGACGCGAGTAGAAGGATTTCCTGAGCCCGAGGCCAGCAGGAGGCGGCTCGTAAGAATGAGGGGAAGGGCGAGGGAACAGCATACTCAATCAGACTTATCACTGATTGTATGCGCCTATAAGTCAACTATGTATCGACCCCGACAGCGAGTATCCACAGTCCAGGAAGCCGGAACTTCAGAGGCCGAGTTCTGAGGCAGATGTCGCGGGACGCCGGAAGCGAGAGGAGGGGTGCTTGAGTTGCCCGTTGCGCTCAGACATGCCGGGGTTGCAGAGGAGCATTTAAAGGGGAAAAAAGGAAAATACGAAGAGATATTACCGGTGAGACAGAGGGAGGACAGTGACGAAGCGAGGCGGGAGGATATAAGCCACGACGTGGAGGCAAAGTGAAAGGCAGACGTGGGTGGCGCAGAGAGGACCTGCTTACTTAGTCTTTATTTACTTGGACGTGCGGACTTGGACCACAAAAGACCGCATGTACCAAGCCACCTCTATCTACTATCCACCTGCTTACTCGCCGCGTACCACATCTCACCTTCAACACACTGGGCCGAGCTGTAGCTTGTCTCGTTACGTCGTGGTTGAAAGGAACTCAAAAAAGGCTGTGAGGTCTCTGATATGGTAGCACTAGTAGCGGTAGATGGCCTGAATCTAGTGACCTTGGGCCCATTACCTACTAGTTCGATGGTATGGGCCCTGCGCGCTTCCCCGGTATGGTGCTGTATAGGATGGGTGGGTTGAGATACATCCGGGTTCGAAGGGCGGGAAGACGGGCTTGCCTAATGTAAGAATGTAGCGGCTTGGGGAAAGGTAGAAGGGTAGAAAAGAAGGTTAGGAGGGTGGAAGAGTAGGAGGGGGAGTCATGCAGTGTCTTAAACTCGGCGTACGTAGAAAATCGTGTTTTCCTAGCGCGTGGGTGGAGGCTAGACAAGACAGACGTACGTATGTGACAATATGTGTATCAAATCCATTCAAATGAGTGACCAATGCGCCTTGCACAAGGGCGATGTAGAGGTATAAGTATGACGGTATGTACGTGTTGCGTTGGAAATGGTGATGTCCGTCTAGCGACTCGCGCTTTTCCAGGGCGGTAGTTCCACAACTGTCGTAGTTGTAGGCACTAAAAAGAAAGAAATGTGTGTTGCGTTACATAGGACGACTAGCGTCAGATTGGATGGGCGGCACTGAAGGGGGAGGGAGCTGAAACTATGAAGGAGACTCGATGATCCTGGCGCCGCCCTTGTCAACCGATAACCGAATTCTGTCGCCTTTGCCGACATCTTTGAACTGCCAAACAAAACACGCGTCAGCTCCATTTCCCCCGCTCCTCTCCTACTCCCAAAATCAACTTGATCAATTCAGTGAAGTCACTCACAGTCAACTCCCTCGTCCGATGCAGACTCTCAATTTCGTCGATCCTGTCCCGAACCTCGTCCAGCAGCTCGTCGAAGCCCTCCTCTTCGCACATCTCCCGCGCGGCGTGGAGGATGAGCATGGAGTCTGGACGGATGTCGTGGTGCGCGTCGATGGAGATGATGTTTGCGCGGTCGAGGTCCTCGAGGAAGTCCGTGCGCGTCATTATTTGGCGTGAGCGATACTGCAGATCATAGAGAAAGGGATAACAGATTGTTTAAGTAGGTGGCGAGGAGACGAAAGGGTGGGGAGAGGAGGGAGACTCACGTAACTGATCTTGGGTAAGTCCAGCCCGCTATAATCGACATCCTCCTCCTTGATACCCTTCGCCAAACAGGATGCGAGATGCTCTTTCTCCTGCTCGTACCGCGCGCGCACGAATTCGCGAAGGAGCAGCCATGAACAGGAGGACCATTTTTGCTGTAAGCATCAACAACCAACCATCAGTTAACCATAACAAAAAACGCGAAACCAACAAAAGGAGGTACGAGTAGATTCGATAAAGATATATATCGCTTCCAAACGCAGAAGAAAATACGCACCTCGTCCATAACGTCGTCGTCATGGTCCGCAATGAGCCCAATCTGGCTGAGGAGCGACGCCTTCTCAACGCTCAGCAGGTGGTCCGCCATCTCGTGCATATCCTTGTGCCGCGCGACCTTGTTGAGGTAGCCGAGCCGCCCGCCGACCTTTGCGACGATTTCGGAGAAGACGTCGCGTTTCTTGGTGGGGGTGGTCTCCTGGTCATCGCTATCTACATCAGTATCGGATTGTTGGGAAGCGTCGGTGGAATCGGAAGATACAGGCGCAGGAGCGGGTGGCGGTGGCGGTTGAAGCGATTCGAGGTCATCAGGGAAACACGATTGTCGCATACGCTTCAACGCGTGCACCGACTCCTTATAATTCAAGTCGTATATGGATAGGACGTGCATGCGGGTCGCAGACCTGCGCAGGTGGTAGAACGGCCAGTAGTCGTCGCTATGCACAGTGTGTCAACACCAGGGGATGTAGAACATAACAAGGAACTACTCACGAGCTAAACAGAATCGTACACACCCCACTCGCCGCCCACGCCTCTGCCTTCTGCTGCAGCTGTAATAGCATGTTCTTGCCCTCGTCATCGTTCTTGAAGTAGTGCACATTGTTGATGATGAGCACGATAGGTTTATGCCGGCGCGCGTGCAATGAGAGCGCGACTTTCTCGAGCTTGTTGAGGGCTATAAATAATCCATCATATCATATGTCAGTGTCTGTCATATAACATATATCATGAACCGTCATCCAACAGGGTTTGCCCATCATGATTTGGAATATGAGACGCCTTTGATCAAAGGCGAGAGGACGAATTGCGGAGTACGATTTCGGATTCACTAACCTCGTTCAATATCCAACGACGGCCCCCCCTCGCGCGGATCTCTTCTCTGGAACAGCCCCGTCTGTGTGTCCTCGTTGAATTCGTAGTTCAGGGCCTTGCCGAGGCGCAGGCGAAAGACCTCGAGGTCAGGGTGCGCGTCGCACATGGCGACGCCGTCGGCGTCGATGGTGGACATAGCGTCAAAGATCATGGTACCCTTACCGGAGCCCTATAGAAAGAGAAAATTGGAAACGAGTAGGTGGATGCGGAAGAGGAGTGGGGAATGCTCGTAAGTTAAACCGGCCTTTTCACTAAGATGCAGCACAGACATACTTTAGGTCCAAGTAGAATGAAATAATGCCCCGCCTCTTCACCCTTGATCATCCTATCTATCAAGTCCTGCTCTTTCCGCCTTAGGTGCTCCGTCCACGGAATATCAGCGTCTGGGTCGTCGCACGATTCTGGCTCTGTCGCACAGTCAGATTCTTAACACAAAACAACCAATCAGACATACCGTGCGTGTGCTGTGTGTGACCCTTCTTCGACGCGTTCGCCAGCTCCAGCGCCGGATCGTACCCTGGCGCGAAGGCGAGCTCGATTTTGTCAAGGACGTTCTTCTTGTACCATTTTATGTACCCAACACCCCCGAGGAACACTGCAAGCACAACACACAGCCCACTCCGGTAAGTTCACAACGCCAATTCAACGAAGCAGAGTTGGAACGGAACCGACTCACCCATGCCGAGACCGACGATGGTAGTTAATGCAGCATCTAGCAAGGGATTCCCAGTACTTGCTCCCCCGGTAGATGCGCCTCCAGGACCAGACCCGCCTCCCGCCCCCGGGAAGTTGAACGGCACGGAGAGCGCAGATGTGCCCTCATGCACCTCGTGTCGGGGTGACGGGGGCGTAGCGCTGGCAAGCTTTATCGGCGAAGCGAACTGACTGGCATGTGCTGGCCCGTGCGCATGCGCATGTGGTGTCGGCTTCGACGTAGGAGGCACTTTCGGCTTTGTTATGGGTTTGTTGGCTGCATGGGCGGCATGAGGGTGCACCGTAGTTGGGCGTTGACCGGAAGAAGAGGAATTAGAGCCAGGAGTGTAGGCCCGCGTGAGCGAAGCGCGTAGGTACGCGCCCGGTATTCGTCGTGTGAGTGGGAGAGGGATCATCCGAGGTCCGGAGAAGGCAATCGAGAGAAGGAAAGTCGGAAACGCTCAGATCGGCGCCACGTGGGTTTGTTGACTACTTGCTGGTTCGTTCAGGGGGGCGCCTTTTCTACTGCCACTACCACTTGCAAGCTGGAGCAACACGATGTAGAGCAGGGTGCTCCCAAGGATGTCATTTTTTGTTCTTTTCTTACTGCGCGCCTGTCGCACGATATGGAACAGACTGACACGGAAAGTCTTCTTTACAATCGAACCAATGATGGCAATGAATCAACGATGTAACCTGGGCAGGACCCGTTCAATCTGTATCACTGTCCGTGATTCCAGATTTCATCCCGCATACGCATCATTTCATTGGTTGGCCCATTCACTGCCTTCCGTAACTAATACTACATTTACTTCGACTTCCTTTCCACAAGGAAGACGATACTAGCCCCAAGAAGAACAACCACCGCGCTGCGTTCTTTACCAAACAAATCCAGGATCAACCCCGCGCCCAGTATCTCTGATTTCTCCAGACTTCAAGATTCGTGTAAGTGTAGAAATTCATCGCCATCACGTATGCTATCCGCGCTGCGCTGATTCTCATTAACGGTGTTCCATTCCCTGGCCAGGGAAAACATAGTAGCCAACACCATGCGGGTAGCTGAATAATCGCGCACCAATGTATGGCTGCGACCTGATATGAATATATGACGAGTCACCGCGGCCAGTTCCCGAGTCGGATAGCCCTCGCGTTTGTCATAATTATGTGAGTACTTCCGTTCAGCCGTGACGGTGTACGCTCGAAGTTAATGTATCACGGCGCCATAGTACCGTGGTGTTGCAATTGGAACCTGAAACGCGTTCTGGAAGGGAGGTGGTGCGTTACGGGCGCGTCACGGTACTACGAATCCCGATACTACCGTTGAGCCTATGCGGCATCTACAACGAGGTATCGCGAGTCAGACGGGGTCGGGGCCTCTTCACCACCATACCATTCGACAACCCAGCGACGGCCTCCACACTTGCTCATCCATGTCCCGAACGGGGAAGGAAACCGACCTTCATCGAACATGTTTCCAGTAAATGGACTCGGTCGCAGCATCTCCACTCCTCAGCTCTAACAAGTGAACGGTCTCTTGTCTGGACTTGTGAAGCTGCCGCGACCCGCAGCGACCATTTGTCGTAGGCAAAGGTATAAGCAGCATGGCGCAGGGGAAGCGCGCAGGGCCCATAACCCTGAGGTCACTGGATCGAAACCAGTTGCTGCTACTAGAATGGCGAAGATCTTGTTTTGTGCGAAATCAGCGATCAATAGTCTCATCTTTCTTTTTGCAAGGTTTGCAGTACGCACGAAGATAATGTCAAAAGGCTTCGGGCATGTTTCTTATTTAATATAAAGGAGGGGATGCAAAGCTAGGAACCACCGACGGCTCCCAGCTATTTTTCTGCTTCATTATATTCCCCCCAAGTATGTAGTCTACCTTCGCCCGCCAGTATATACGTAGATAGAATCAAACGAACATCTTCGCCGGAGGGTGCTTAAATCAGTGTTAACAGAGTTAATGGCAGGCGTCAGAAAGAAATAGAAGATAAACGGACAATAAGAAAGTTGAGACGGAACATGAGTATATGTGTGATACAGCAATATGTTAAGTGCGAGCAAGAGGGAGAGGAAAGATGTACACTAGAGGGCTTTGAGAGCAGTCGAATGTTCTAAGAAGCGGGAGGGATCATCATGCAGCAGCTATTGCAGCAGGCTTTGGGTCGTCCTTCTTGCTGGCATTCGCAGCGGCTTCGGCATCTTTGACTGCCTTCTCCGCTTGCAATTTCTTCTCCTCAATTTCTTTCAACCGTTCCTTCACGCTCGCCGCCGAGTTGAATTTGACACTCTTGTGTGGGCTTGGCGCCCCCATGGAGCCTGGCTCGGGGTTTGGCACGCTGACCATCGGAGCATTCGTCGAAAGGCCTCTGTGGAAAGATGTGGGGAGCACGCGACCATCAGGATGCTGGTATGGGCATGCTGCGCGCGTACAGCCCGATCCAAAGCGGCATTGCACGGCGGAGTGGCGGGGTGGGTGGGAGAATGAACAATTCGGTCGCGTACATGATGCACCGAATCGGCAAGGTACCGTGTTGGATGCTGCTGGCGGGTGACGTACAACGGGCGGTGCGACGATCGGCTGGGGAGTGGGGGGAGGCTGTTCTGCAGCTAAGATCGCAGCACGGAATTAGTAATGAAGCTCGCAGTTGATATCGAAGGCCAATGGTAAGCTTACCGTTGGGATTTAGAACAGCGGGGCTAACATGAGCTTTTATGCAATCCTTGTCTTTACAATCCTTTCCATTTTCGCAGGCTTCGTTACTGAGTACAACACCGCTCTCCGGGGTTGCTACGGGTGACGGATGGGAATAACGACAGTGAGCGTTGGTACATTTTAGGCCGAACTTGCATAGTGACGGCGTTTGTGGCCGTTCAGGAAGCGCGTATGGTATTCGTTGCGGTTGAGGAGGGACTGCTGCGGAAGACGCGACAGTCGCAGGCGTGGGTGTTGGTGCGACAATCGGGACTTCGGTAATGGTGGCTCCGTTCGTCTCTGGGATGTGCGGCTCAACTGAAGATAGATGCCCACCTCTGCCTCTGCCACCGCCCCAGCCTCCTCTGCCTCTCTCTCGTCCACCACCTGTATGCCCGTTCGGCTGCGGTCCCTGGAATCCGCCCATGTTGCCCCCAGGAAACATTCCCATTTCCCCACCAGGCATACCTTGCATCGGCATTCCAAACTGAGGATTCGGGTTCATCATTCCCATGGATGAAGCCATTTGTGCCATAAGCGCCATCTGGTTCATCATCATCTCCTGCAGCATCATCGGGTTTGCCATGCCCATATCCATTCCACCGCCCATAGCTCCAGGCATACCCATACCTCCACCGAACCCTCCACCCATCATCATATTTGATCCATCAGGCACTCCGTTACTGTTGCTTACAATGTTATCAATCCGAGCTTGAATCTCGTCTTGCCTATGATTGCTTCGATGCGCCGGCCCACCTATGCGATCAGCAAGGCTCCGCGAGTGACTCGGGCCATTCGTCGAACCATCACGCTGCATAGCTCTCGGGCCAGTCGGAAGATCTGTCCGTCTTGACTTATTAGGGTGACTAGGAGACGGGGAGCGCGCAGAAGCGGATCGTTTGTGACCCGTGGTGGCAGTTGAGGGTATGGCTTGTGTGATGGCTTGCTGATAGACACCGCTGCGCGCGGCTGGTGGGACTCGTCGTAAAGTGTCGTTCGCGGGCGTAGACGCCGCATCGGCTGAGGAGACTGGGTCGGCAGACTGAGCAGGTGTGGGAGCTTGTGCTGGCAAATCTGCATCTGCAGCGCCCTTGGCAGCTTCAACGAATAACCAATCCGTGAAACTCGCGTCTAATAATGGAGGTGTCAGCCAAACCGGAATTCCATGTTCAAAGTCGGTGTTTCGTACCGTATTCTGCTCCAATCACTACAGATTTTCATTAGATTTGTCTTTAAGGAAAAGGATGAAGAAACGTACAGTCTTCGAGTTCGGCAGTTAATTGAGCTTCACAGCCGAGTCAGCACGGGAGCTCTTGAATGGGGCGAAAAAAGGCTCACCGGGAGTCTTGTTGTTTATCATCATGATTGTTATATACTCAGCCATAACGGGATCTAGAGAATGAACATAGAAGGATGAACGCTACATGCAATTCTTCGTGAAAGACGTACCAGGCTCCGAGCTGAACCCTCGCTTCGTAAGTTCGTCCTGGATGACATTCTACAAAGAATCGTTAGTCAGGGGTTGCAGAGAGTAGTCGATAAAGCGCACTTGAAGAGCTAGCGCACGTTCAGTGCCAATAACGAGACCAAAAGCCATGAATGGTGGAGGACGTTGGCAGTGGCCGAGACAGAAAGCGGTTTGACTGTGTTTGGGTCTCCGACAACGGCATTAGCGCGCTTAGGCGCAGAACGTGACTTCCTGCGTGACTACTTCCTAGTTCCCGTTTGAAACCTCTGATCACAGGCATCAATGGGGTAGTGGTAACCTGGGTCGTTGCCATTGAGTATATCGACCCGCCGCGAGTTCAATTCTCGCTTGATGCATTTGTTTTTCTCTTGAGGAATTAGAACCTGTGAGCACAGGAGGCTCTATTCTTCGCGTGCAACTTTTTAGTCCATCTTCGTGTTCTACTCAGAGGCATAGATATAATGAATACTGGACTTATTCATACAACGATTAACATTGAATGTATTGGAGCCGCCTTCTTCGATAAGAATCCGAGCAACTCAATCTAAGTTGCGCAAGTACGACTACGAGAACACAGCACCACTTCGACATCCTTGGCTCGGTGAATGCTACCTAGAATTCTGATGCATCATATATAGCCTATAGAGCCGTACCGATTTATCCTTGCGGTAGCCCGTCAAACCACCAACTCCGGCATCGAGAAGGAGAAGCAAAGATCACGCCGTACCTTATGCCTTGCCTTATCAACGGACATACTTCCTCCGTAGGCAAGGTGAGTGAAATCGCTGCTTGCGGGGTACATTTGCTGAGAACGACATAGCTGGATTGACTCGGCGAGTGAGAGAGGGGATTGAGCGCGAGAATCCCGGGACCCGGGAAATCATGCACTAGAATGGGCGGTGCGCTATTTCCTCGAAAGTGCCACAGCGATAGGTCAAGTGGTGCGATACGAAGATCCGGGGAATATCCATTGTCACCGAAGGAAGAGGCACAGCGATACGAGCAGATGGTCTTGTCGTTGATCATCAAGCAAAGAGTCGACAGCAGTCGAGAAGCCAGGTCTGGGAATGGTTGATTTACTGCGAGTAACAGGATTGCCAGGGGCGTAGCAAAATGGCTTCAAGGTACCATTCTGGAGGGCAGCACATAACAGCACGGTAGTAGGCAATGCTCGGGTGGTAGGGGGAGACCGGGCGACAGCATGAGAAACCGGTTATTGCATTTCCACATAGAAGTAAGACGATATGATCGCATTGGCTCCATCTTTTCAAGATAATGACACACCAGGCGCAGCCATCTGGAAGTGTAAATCAACAAACAATAGATGTTGGATGCAGGTTAAAATTCACACTAGCAGTGGCTGATATACATATCAGCCATATCGATATCTGAGTCATTTGCAGTGCGGGTGCGCGCTGTGTGGTAGGGATGGCGATGAACAAGACATTGCGTCATTATCGAAACAAGAGTGGAGATAAGATTGATAAAAGATGTATTCACCGAACGACAAGGAATTTATGGTGGCGAGATGGCGAACAATACACCGTGTTCGGTGCCATGAAATCCCGCGCCATGATGCGAATGGCAGGGATCACATCCTAAACGTCACCGCTGGAAACAAACGTCACCATGAGCGCTGCCAGAACACAATGGATCCGAAGAATCTATATTTCGAATAAGCAGTACCTCCGATTGTGGAACTTGCGTGCCACCGGTCCACCGCAGATGACCACCAGAGGAAGGAATCTCCGGTAGATTGAGCCGGATATTCGCATCTTATTCTCTTCGCGAATACGATGCTGAGGCAGAGACTTGCCCATAATTGAATCTGCCTCGGGAACCTGAGGAAAAGGTAAAGTCTCGATATGTCGTTAACGCAGTACGTGAACGCTCCCACCAGTTAAATCGAAAGTGTCGTTAACGGGCAGAAGTCCTCAAACAATACGTGAGTTTGGCTTCCATCATTAAAAGGATGAGGCTGTCGTGAGAGCTGTAACTGCAACGCACTGCGCGCTGAAGCAGTTGGACTGCTTTGTGATACCTCTGATGAACAAAACGAGGTTCAAGCGTGTCGGGTTAAGAGGCCAAAGAGAACGTTCCACCGTGGGTGTACTTCAGCCCTCGTAGCGAGTAACCGTCCCCACCCGTAGATAACAGAAAGGAACGGCATCATTTAGACTACAACGTGCCCGAAGTCCATCAAAAAAAAGGCAGGCATCCGTCATCATTGGCAGCATTCCAAGGAAGTCGAACACAAAAAACTCACACTGGTATACAAAGGCGATCATTATTTTGGGGCAACCTGCCTCGTACGACTGATATCCTTGATGCACATGTTCCCAGGGCAGCTGGGTTCTCCAAGGAATTGTGGAAGTACACCCTAGATCAAATGATCCAAGGATATTTCCTCGAAAGGTTTGCTGTGCCGTTACGACGCTATTTCATTATCACGACGTGTAACATATACGCTGGTATACGGGTAGGAAGGCGGGCGCATGAAAGTCCGCTGCAGTGCGTCACTATGAGCAAAGGGGCTTAATCGCGTTACACCTTTGGAGTAGCGACGAACCTTTGGGGTAGAGCATGTGAGCGCGAACCTCTGTTTTCGGTCTTTACGACGCAAGGCCGAAGGAACGTGGTGATGCCAGGAAGTTTCTATCAGAAACATAAATGACGAAACGGGACTCACGGAGGCTATGCGATGCAAGAGAAACCTGAATTTGAAGGTAGGAAAGTTATCACGCAGGATATGAGTGTTATCATATCTTTATATTGGTTTTTTGTATCATACAATGCAGTCAGTATAATAAGCGTAGGTACTACTAGTCAGCAAATGCGCCAGCCGCCCGAAGTGATGCAAGTACCTAAAAAATACAGATGATGCGTAATAATTAAGTTTGTGTATGAATTGATCAATGCAAGAGTGAGCGTGTGGGTATAAGGATGGTGTCCGACATGCAAGAGGAAGTTACAATGTGATGTGCAAGTTCATGTAGAATGAAATATGAAAACGAGCAAAAGAGATCCCAAAAAGACTACCAGACGGAAGGGAGGGCGAAGGCAAACATCTTGCCCTTGAGGGGGTGTATAGGTGGAGGTCGCTCTGCAACCGGGCGAATGGTGAACGCTGGCATCGAGTCGTCGTAAACCTTGACGAAATGCGACTCTCGGTTCGGTGGTGTCGGCAACGCCTCCGAAGCAGGAGTCGATGACGTCGAGTAACTGGACGAGGGCGTATCGGGGGTGGGAGGAGATGAATAAGTAACGTTCGTATTGATGGGCGCAGTGTAGATGGGCTTCGGCGGGGACGCTTGCCGTTGTTGCTGCTGCTGTTGACCGAACACCGGAATAGGACTCGTAGTGGTGGTGTGGGGAGGGGGAACAGGGGTGTTCGATGTCGAAGCTGCAGCCTTCATCGCGCGCTTCGAAACGAGCTGAAGTGAGTAGGTGGGGTAAGGACCAGACCCCCTAAAGTCACGCTTGACCATGTTTTCGAAGTTCTCGAGGATAGGGTTGTCGACGGTGAGCTCCCAGTCCAGGTAACTGCACATTTCGCGTTCCATCTGGTTGATTTCGCGCAGAGTGAACATCCCTTGCGCGACAATGCTCCATGATTTATTCGAATAGGTATCGTCGCAGATGACCTTCGAGGCGATCATGAAGGCAGATATGAAGAGTCGGTGGCCAGAAGAGCCACGAGCAGTAGGGAATCGCGCCTTCAGACGTTGCAAGAGAACGAGGGCGGCGTACGTCACGGAAGCATGGAGTTTCGTACGATGCAAGGCATACGCGATGAAATACGGCAGTTTCGCCTGCGAGTGCGTCGACGTTGGGGGGTACTCCGGGCAAGCAAAGAGATGCGTTATGAAACGGGCACAAAGCCGACTGGTCGTTTCGTGGCCATAGAATGGATCCGACTTGGTCGTCGGTTGTGCGGGTACGGCCTTGGGTAAATGAGACATGGTTGAAAATTTGGAGTCCAGGTTGAAAACTCACCGGCGGGACTGCCGTGTACCCTCCCATTCTAGCGCGCTGCATGCTAGCCATGCTTTTGATCTCCGTGACGGGGATGGGACCGAGTGCGGTGGCCATGTTAGGATTCTGAGAGGAAGCGTAAAGTTGGACGGAGCTGAGGGAGAGGTGATCAATATTTCAGGCCCAAGTCCTCGACCAATTATAAGGAACTACAGCGAGGGGGATCGGACGAAAAAAAGGCCATCGCCTCGCGCCACGAAAAACTTTTTGTCACTTCCTTTTTAGGGAGGTTTCTTAGATTGTTCCTTGGGATTCTTCCGTCCGTATTTGGATTTCCCGGAATCCGAGAATAATAGGAAATTCGACTCACACTGTGACACAAAAGACGTTGAGGCGAGGAGGCTGCTGGAGGAAGAATAATTCGCTGTACGCCTTTATGCAGAGCTTGCCACTTGATTATCTATTGTGCATTATCATCGTGCGCGTCCTATGGCAACCCATGGTGCTGCCATAGTCTTGTTCAAGCATGGCCACACCATCTTTGTCAATGGATCCCGGTCAGAGCTGCGCTTGGCGGCCGACGGGACCAGAGCTGCCCGCGACTCGGTCTCAACAGTTTCGGCCCATTGCTATGCCACTAGCCTCCTCTAGAGGTTTCCTGCTGGATCATCACTTGCGCACTATCAACGTGAAACAATTGTGGCTTTTTCTACAACACTGACAAAAACCGCTGCCAGCTTGATGTATTACTCGGGCAACGTCGACGCCTTGTCAGTTATCGGCCTTACGACCACACCGTGCCTTCTGGAGTTCGGCTCGCTTCGTCTCAAGGTCACCGCTCTGAGCTTGATGCCTGACTATCGCACTTACGTTCAGGCTACAACCTTTAATGAAAAGCAACGCGCACCCCACGCAACTCTGGGCTACTTCCCACCATTTCCAGACCATCATGCGGACTATCCGGGCGGCGTTTTCTGGAAATTGCATTGCGGGCCTATGTGTAAGCCCTTCAAGCTCCTGTCCACAATATTCGCATCATTGTACCCTACTTGACTCACTAACCCACCGACCACGCTACACCGATCACACATAATATCCTACAAGACCTTGAATCATTCTGACTTTGCGCTGATCGACTGTAGCTGAGCTTTCTTCCTCGTTGCGGCGATGGTACGGACCGTACGCCGCTTGACATCTTGGCCCTGATGCCTTTCTTACTCACCTTCGGTCCTCGTGGATGGATATAGTCCACTCCGCTTTGATGCCAGCTCATGATAGTACGCCTTGCGTTTGTACATCTGCTCAGGACCTCCCCTCAGCTCCCTGTCACGTGGACCATTTTAGACGTTCCGCAGGGGCCCTCCTCCGTCGCGCACTGGCTTGACTTCCCCACCGGAATGGTCCTATGCAATGCAGTCCCCCTTCGGACAATTGTGCGACCTGGGTTCCGGAGCTTATTTTGGCCTCGACCCACACCGAGGAGATTCTGACTAACACCTACTCGGACTTAGATTATCGACATCAAGTCAACGCACTACATCCCACCCTTTACTGTACCCAGAGTACCCACGCTTGCCGTAAAGCGGTCTTTGCGTATGTACCTCTTGGGTGAATTTGTACGACGCCCTGGAAGACTGACCGAGTGGCTGACTTGACATTGGCAGTTGCAGCAGCCCGGGCCCTGATGATGCGCTAGGTCGATATGCCGCGTTCAAGGCTATGTACATAGTTCATCGAGAAATTACTAGGCCGCTCCAGCTAGTCGCCGCACTTTGTACGCTGGCACCGGCTCCGCCCGACTCCCTCGGTCACACACCATGATTTACCGCGGTCGACGTCATGACTGTCCACTTTGTGGTGGAAGACTTGGGCATCATCGATGTTTACGATGGGATCAGTATAGGTTCTGTACTCGGGACTTTAGACCCACAAGAAGACCTCTGAAGAGCGAATGAGGAGTTTACACCCATTCAAATCATCTATTACTCCGATGCGAGAACGACTTGGATAACATTAGAAACACGACACATGGATATCATTGCTTTATCAGGCATCAAATTTCTAGTATCTTCAACCGGGATCAGAGCAGATTAACGTCGAATACCCGAGAACCGAGACGTTCCCGCGAGCTCTGATTATTATCGAACAGCAAGTACCAAGACTCAGCAGATCGAAAACACTCGAGAGCATTCATCAAAGTGGGTACTCTCGTCTAACTCCCTTTGATGCACGCGGATTCAACGCCCAGGGCTTCCCTATGTGAATAGAGACTTTGGCCGATAGACCCAAGGAATCACCATCAGACTTCCCTTCCGCATGTGCTACTCCGACAGTGCACACGAGGATAACATCTTGTAGGGTACAATGTTCTATATAGTAGAGGTTCGGCGTTTGCTTCCGGCCCACGTCAAGGACATGATCCACGTTCCGAGGGTGCAAGTACGGCATTCATATAACTCCCATACCCCACCACTACCACCACAGTCTAAAGCCGACCAGGAGGCGTATATTTGGGCCCAACGTGGTGTATAAATACGGGTCATCTTTTCGTGGGAACCATAGGATTCCCGTCCCCTTTTGACGAATATTTGTGGCTGATGTGAACACCTACATATACGACAGCCAGCAACAGGCGAGTGTATCAATCATGGATAAAAAGAATGTTTGGGGCGTTGCTTGACGTCCTTGTTATTGATGAAAACTGTTATGGCCGGGCGGTTGCCGTTCTGTCGCCCCATACCATCAAACGTATGGAAGATTCAAGATAATTGTGTAGTTGATTGTGTAGTACATTGTGAGGCGCACACGTATTCTATTCTTCTCTTCACCAAGCGGTGTAGTAGTCAACAATCCAACTTGAGCTTGTTCGTCTAATTTGCTTCCGTCTCATTTGCACTCCTCGTCGTACTTGGCTCGGGGTTTCCTTTCCCAGACAAATACCGTCTGTCTCGAACCCCTTTCATCCCTTTCATTGTGTTTGAAATGTTCAAAGCGGCTTGTCGGGGTGAGGCGCATCACAATTGTCAGGTTCAAAATCTTACAAGTCTCACCATCATATCTACCCCTTTTTGTGTCCACTGTCGACAAGGGATTGTTGTGATTTTGCAAGCTCGCAACCGATACTTGTTCTATTTGCGCCAGGAATGAACACTGTATTGAGTCTGAGCCCAGAGCGGCCATAATCCCCTAGGATCCGTAGTTCTCGCGGCATCAGAGGCTGTCGCATCTTCAAGTTCTTGGTATGCGCCGACTCAGGACTGGCTAACATCAACGCCATCGAAGTACCCCTGTGCGCGAAACAAGCGGAGGAGGCGTGCAGATAGGACGTTTTGTCAGTTTTCCCCCCTTGTCGGGTCGGCCGATCTGATTCGGATCACCCACCGCCAGTAAGAGGCGTGCTCGGTGTTATATGATTGTACCCACATACGCCAAGGATATTCACCGAGTCAGTCGCGGCTGTGTTCAACGTCGACGCCTCCAATCCACTGCTCATTACTCGATAATTCACAAAGTCTTGACGCAAGCGACTACGGACTCTGAGCCACTGCCAACAGTCCAGTGCGAACCTATCAAATGTCCCCGGTAATCTTTCTCCATTTTGAATCAATAAACATTCATACGCGGGTTGGCCTTTTCAACGGAAGGCTGTGCTGAGGATGTGCGAAGAGGGCGAAGATCCCAAATATGGTGACTGCGTACCACTAGTAACCGGTTCACATCGCATCAACACTGTTATTCGGTACTCCCAAGGTCGGCTCCATCATCACGCCGTAGACAGTGACATGACTTCCCCAACACTATCAAGTCGCAAGACGGGATTAATAGCATGGAGTGCACCACTTTTGACCAACTTGGAGAAGGAGCACTACGGCCCCGGTCCGAAAATTTGATCATTTTTACCCCGCAACAGTTGATGGAAAGTCAATCTAATCGGGATATGCGTGCGGTGCCTAAGACGATCAGGGCGCTAAATAAAATTGAGCGCTTCCATTTACCGCTCGAATGGTTCTTGGGCCTTACTGGCAGGCTAGCGTCACCTTTCCCCTTCAATACCATTCACTGTCGCCCAAATGCATCACTGTAGTATGGAAGTTTCATCAGGGATGCCTCCTGTACTATCTCTCATTAGGCTGTAGGAAAATGCTGTTTCGCCGGTGCAGTCACCGTATTATCCGAGTCGGGTAATGCAATGCAGTGTCAAGCCACATGCCACGCCGCCGTCGATATGTGAAGTTGCTCATGCGAGCGCATGTGCTCACACACTCGAAATTCTGGGCTGTCCTGTTCAGCGTGTAGTAGTTGATGGTTGGTGAATAATGGATATTATATCAGCCTCAATTTCGAGACATGCGGCTACAACAGCATCATTGCAATTTGCACCACGAGCTACAGCAGGCATGCGATTAGTATTCCAAGTCCTCGACGAAACTCTTGTAGAACACGTGCGCGTCCACGTAATGTTCACCGTTGCCATCAGGCCTGCGTAGGCGGCCAGCGCGGGGAATGAGGCCGGCTTTGGTGAAACCAAGGCGTTCCCAGAGCCTGTCGTGTCCGTACACACGAACGAGGAGAAATAATAACGTCAACAGTGTGCAGCATGGTGCTGTATATGTAATGATGAAGCTCACCGAACAGACGCTGTGTTATTCACATACACCAGATTGAACACGCTGGCCTTGTATCCAAGCTTCGGCGCGTAGTGCACGTATGATCTCGCTAAGGCGGAACCAAAGTTGCGACCTCGATGATGTGGGGGTACGACGAAGCCGGCGTTACAGATCTTATTAAAACGGCAAATGGTCACCGACGGCATCATTATCTGTTACGGATCCACAGTAGACCTACATGCGACGAACGCCCGGGATAATTCGGTTTAACCTATGGTCGACACGTAAACTTATCCAGCCTTGCTGCACACCATCATAACACTCACGTAGTAAAATCCGGCCACGCAATCAACCCATTGTCGGCCATTCTGAGCTCCTTCCAGCCCTACTTCATGCGCCTCTCCATCTGTCACATCCGACGATTGTCCGCCGCCCAAGACCATTTGGGGTGTGTTTCCGATAATGGCGACGAATACGTCCCCAGCGAAGAAATATGACTCGAACGCATCCCTCGTAAGGTCGCCTTCTTGCGGATATGTGAAACCTTCCTCTACTACCTGCGCGAAGGTTTCGTGGAGGTGCTCCACTAACCCTACAAAGCCTAAAGCGGATTCTAGGGTGAGATGGTGTATAGACACGTAGGTCGAGCTCCGATGACCAGTTGGAGCAGAAGTGCTATCGGATCCACTTTGCTGTGGCGTTGAATTTCGGGCAAGCCATAATGTAGACCCAAGCGGAAGGGTATTGTCCCTGTAAGAGCGAGTTATCTCGCCATAGGCTGACATGGTCAGCGATTAGCTTAGGTGAAACAAGCTTTGCACTCAAGGTCGGGGTCGAAGTGGCAGCTAATATCGTAGATCATCAGATAACAAGTCTGTCCTGGTGAAGCCTAACATCGATAGTACGATAGGGAGATAATGGCGCAATTGAGCTCCGCATTTGGAAATGCAAGGAGATTCAGCGACGTTCGCAATCTGTGGGCAATCCTCTTGTTTTTATTACATCAAATTTTCAGAAACGTGGTACTCACATTGTATGTACTACCACCGGGACCCTGCCACTTCAAAATTCCTCGACGGCCACCAGTTCTCTTTCCTCTCCAATAACAAGCCGTAGACCGTTCCCGAGCCAGGGAGGATGCTTAACATCACCTTGCATCTCAAAGGGTTTAGACACGCCTTCACCAAAGAAGACGTAACCTGGTATATACCGATCTACAAAACTGACAACGTGAAAGGTCGATGAACGTGCCAGCAAAGTCCGATAAAACGCACTGTTTAACCCCTTCGTCCGACATGCCCCGACCGCCATTTTGAGCCTTCATGTGATGCTCCTGCTGACGGCGCCATTTATATACAATCTCGTACGGTGATCTGCCTGCAATTACGGTTGGAGTGATCTACGGCAAATGCTCAACGATTAGCCTACGGAAGTTTATGTTCGGGGTTTACGCACCTGGACGAAGACGGTGAAATACTTCCACAAGTCAACGTACTGCTTCAATGCCTCATTCACCATGATGACATCTTCCTTCCGACATACAGAATCTGGACCTGCATCCAACCCGAGTCGAGCCATTTCTTGCGGCCACCGAGTGCTCCAACTTTTCTCCAACTCCATCGACGATATGGGATAGAAGCCTGTGCACCAGCCCTCGAGAAGGACAACGTCTAGAGGCGCACGAATGATATCACCGCCATGGACCAAACGGTCGCCCTCTCCGTTATACAAGCTTTTGTCGAAGACAGGCAGCTCTACCTCCGCCTGCTCTCCGACATTTATCTCGTGTAATGCTTGCATCAAGCGAGCACCTAGTGGGATATCATGGGTGCCCGGTTGACCGCGACCTTGCCACAACTTGTTCGACCTGTGCTGGTCTGCAAGTCTCTTTAGGCCATCATGCGGAAGATATAAGTCGTCAATGGAGAGTACGGCAACATTGAGTGAGTGAGGTTCGCTGGTGAGCATCTTCTTGAGCTGAGAAGTAAGGTATGTCTTCCCTGACCCTTGAGGTCCTTGAATGGCAACGAAGAGCGGCGAAGCCAACAACGTCGACGAGCGATGTGAGGACAGATTCGCGACGACATGATCTAAAATGACCTGGGTCGCAGATCTCGCGGCCATGAACAGTCCCGACGCAATAGTGTGCTCGAACAGTCATATTTGACGGAAAGTGAATCGTAGAGCGGATTAGAGCGGGCCGGCTGTTGGTTGTCACGGGAGGTCTTGTGGGAAAGACTTCGGAAGCTGCCGAGACTGCACAAGAGGTGTGGAACTGTGAGTGTCCTGTCGTGTCGCCGTGACGTTTCAAAAATCCAGCGCGCAGTCGAGTCTGTAGATTTCACCGCCGTGGACGACAGTTCTTAAACGCCTCCCTCTTATACCATACGACTCCCATTCTACGACACAATAATGATGTCTGCCACGGATTCTGGTGTCGAATCGTCTCCAGTTCAAAACATTACGGCGCAGTATTCCAAAGTCAAGAGGGTGTATCAACAAACTCTGGACCGCTGGACGCCGTATATGCTGAACAGATGGCTTGTGACTGCAGGCTTGTTGGCTACGTTCTTTTTACGCATTGTGCTGGCCCAGGGTGTGAGTTTGCATTCTCTTTCATTTCGCCTTCCTGATATTGACTTTTGTCGGTTTCATAGTGGTATATCGGTGAGCCTTGCGAGTCCCCTTACCCTGACGAAGCTTCAATTGACTTGACTGCGCGGTGATTTCAAACAAATAGTGTGCTGTCAGTCGTGTTTTTTCCCCGTTATTCGAGATAGTTACTGAAGACTTACAGATGCCCTTGCTATTTATCTCTTGAACTTGCTGCTTGCGTTCTTGCAGCCGAAGTTTGACCCGTCTCTTCAGGATGACCTCATGGCAGACGAAGCTGAAGAAGGGGTGGATGGAAATGCGAGCCCCTTGCCGAGTCAACGAGATGACGAATTCAGACCTTTTGTACGGCGGTTACCTGAATGGCAGTTTTGGTGAGCTCCTTGCAGCCATTCATTTCATAGCACTCCTCGTTGACGTCTCTCATACAGGCTTTCGTCCACTCGTGCAATCGTCGTTGCCATTTTCTGCACCACTTCCGAGGTCTTTGATGTCCCTGTTTACTGGCCCATCCTCGTCATGTACTTCTTTGTCTTGTTTGCGCTGACTATGCGGAGACAGATACAGTGAGTCTTGTCCTCTACCGGTTTCTTGTCTTAACTCACGAATGTCTTAGACATATGATCAAGTATAAATACGTTCCGTTCGATATCGGCCGTAAAACCAGATACGGAAACCACCATTAATCCAATCATACTTATTTATTCAACTTCGTATTCCTTGCTTCGTGCCTCCCCCGATTTCTCCTGTCGTACTACGGACATAATAGATTCCCAAGCAGCGGATTCAAGGTTTCCTAGGATCGCTCCAACTGGCTGAATGCTTCTTGCTCCCATGGTGAATTGGGCTCATGGTTAGAAGGCATTCTGATGGCTCGTGGCCTTGTGCTGTATTCAAGTCGAGCTATACCGTAAGTTGCAGTTGCCCCGTGCCCCATTGGTTTGATTTCTAGTTACAGCTCGGGCTTAGAGCTGGCCTTGCGTCTATCACAGCGCACAGTAATGATTCGTGGTAGCGCAGCTTTTTCCAATGCTCATGCGCACTGGGCTTGACTGTTTTGAGTCACTTCGTTCCTCGAGTACCATCGAATTCATGTCAGAACTTCGAGAACATCTCATCGAAGCCAGCAGCGCCGCAGCACATAACATACGCTACATCAGTTCGCTTCATTACCATGCTGCTGATGTGATGCTAGTTGCGAAAGCGGATAATGGGGATGACGGGGACCAGTGACTTCCTAAGACTTCCATAACGTGCGCCTGCCATCCAACGGAGGCGTGTTTGTTGCAAGTATACGCGCCTATGATCAGATCGTCCTTCCTTCAGCGACAGGTGAGTGGCCACGAACATCCATCGTGGAAGTATTACTGTAGTTGAACATGCATGGCTGATGGATACCACTCTGTTCCATCTGAAGTATGTCGTCGCAACAAGTGCTGTGGAGAGTACCTCCACTGTGGTGAAGGGCTCCAAGATAATCTGCTTCTTTCAGGGCACGAAGGACAGCACTCTGGCCAACATCTTTTATCTAGGATCATCATCATATTGTACGGACTTCGGCAGCATCTGAGGCGATGTTTGATGTTTCGATGCTTGGGTCCTGCACACCTTTTGTAGACGATTCTCATTTACACAGTCAAAACCGAGTGCATTCCCTTCGATGCTTCGTGGTGGGATCTAATGAAATCCGTTTATCCTCTCTCTTCACGTGTCCAAATCTTTGTAAAGTTCTCCATATCCTCCCAGCTATCTCCGGCGAGAGAAAGATAAAGGATGGTCTACATTGTACTAGGCTTGTCAAATGTACTTCTTGCTTTGATGAATATGCATCTCATTAATGTATCGCTCCTCGCCTCTATATACATCCAGTTCCTTCAACCTTCTACTAATCTACCAACGTTCGTTGGTTAACACCAGTAACTCATTACTTGTCATAGCTTCGGATAGCGAATACAGATCCGCTGATAAGAGAGGTCAACTGTTCAAGCAAAGACTCTAGAGTAGGGGAATCTGGTCTGTATATATCGGTCTAAGCATCAGATGGCTTGGATCACAGGCGTTATCGAATAGTCCCGAGCCTTTCCCCGAGCCATCTCGTCACACCACTTAAGTGGAATACATCGTACCTGTGAGTTCCCACAGGGATGCTAGAATCGTGAAAGACTCCATCACTATTCGAGGATGCCATGCCACAAGGTCGTGGACAGACAAAGATGAGAAAGGACATATTAGGGATCAGTTACCGTCGATACAAGAAAGCGATATTTGGAAACCAAGGGCTGAGTGGGGCAGAATGCCAGGCGTTGAAAGAGTGGTGAAAGGGAATTGTATGCATGCATATCGGTTGCAAAGGTAAAAAAAGACGAGTGCAACGACTGTTGTATCGGATAAAAGAGGGCAAAGTCCGTAGAAGTAAAATTAGTGGTATGTGTACATCATCAAAGCAAATTGCACATACAGCGACTACCTGAACGTGGTGGCTGTTGGCATGTATCATTGCGCAGACTTCGGTATGCGAGCAGCGGTGGAAGATGCAGATTTCCCAATCGAGAGCTTGACAGCCTGGATAGCTTTCTCTCGAGCGTTGATGAGCCTTTTTGCTTTAGGCAGATCTTCGGCCAGTACCATGGCGGTGTAGTCAGGTCGTTTAGCATGTTCGTTTCTGGAGGTAAGTTGTTTCTCAGCCAGGGTGGCAGTGTGCTCCCCGCCTCTCAGATCCTCCAATTGGGATCGTAAGTTGGCTAGGATGTCATCTAGGGAATTCAAGGTCGACATGCATTCGTCCATCTCGTCTTTGCGCTTGAACATGCGACAAACTTCATGAGTGCAAGTCTCCACATGAGAGAATCGGGCTGGCCCAAGCATCGTTCCGCCATACCTAGCACATTTGCAAGTCAAGTTTATGGTTCTGCTAGATGAACAACTCGCACCATCGGCTGACAATCACTACCGCATCGAGGACGCTCTCCGTCTGCATGACTTTGAGGATCTTTTCTCCAGCCCATTTCTCACCATCATCGTCGCTCCCAGCCTGCAGCTGAAAGTCATCTGGACCTGCCAATCCAGTATGTCCCGGTCGAAGGACCATGCACCGCCACGCAGCTATCTCGTGGGTGGCGGGTTTGGATCCATGCACGACGTGCTTTACATGCTTTACGACTTCGCCTGCTTCTTGGGGTGAGTAGGCTCTGTATGCATATGCAACGAACGTGGATCCTCTATCCCGAATTTCCTGCGAGGTTGCGATAGGGGTTGGCCTTGGTTTGCTGGATTTCACGAATGAATCCAGGTTAGCCATTCATACGAAACGATACGCTCATGGCACCAGAGTCGTGAAGCGAAATGAGCTAGTATTATGTAAGAATGGATCATAAACTAGCTTGTCCTATGTGTGACCGAGTAGGCTCGGCGATAGAAGTACATCTGAAATCAATACAACCGTGAAGACCAAAGAGAAACAAAGATGCAGCGAAATACGAGAACCCAAAAATCACGGGCCGTTTCTTGGAGGCGAGGAAGGTTGGTGCGGAGGAAATTGTGGACCTTGCGCAAAAGATCCGGCATTTGCTTCGTAGGGGTTGTATGGTGTCTGAGGATTGGGCTGGGGTTGCGCGAAGTAGTGTTCTTGGATGCCAAAACTGTGCGACTGAGGTTGGGGATACATCGGTGTAGGCGGCGAACCGATCTGACTCATAGGCGAGGGCATCGTTCCGGATATTACTGTCGATCCATCAGAGTAAATCGAAGTCGTGGGCCTGGAATGACCAAAGTAATCTGCTTGTTGATCGGGGGCAATCCAAGACGATGTGTTTCCTGGGGCCAATTCAGGCCGTGGCATTGGCGGATCGGCTTTGAGGTAGCCATCATATCCATATGTTGCCATTTCAGGAGATGGCGTGTACGGGGATTTAGAGTAAACAGTCATAACGTCACTTCCCAGGATATTTGTAGTGGCCATCGACCGACCGTCCCAGTCGAGTTCGCCTCGGTCTCGCTGATAGAGCACTGGATCGTATTCGAGATCGTGTTGGTTCACTGCAGCGATGGTAAGACCCTCGATGAGTTGTACGGTCTCCTTCTCCTCTCCATTCTTCTTTTCAGCTTCGCTGATTTTCCCCTTGTACACCTCAGAAAGCAGGGGCATCATCCTAGCGTGTAGCATAGGCGTGAAAAGCTCTGCGTGGAGGGACGGATGTCCAAAGCGATGCTCGAGACGGTGGCCCCGAACGTCTGCCTTAGCCGAGTGAACGTGGGCATCCCGCAACTCTTCCTCGGTAGGGGTGTAGTATCGGAATTTTGAATTGAATTTCCTCTTGAGGAAGATCTTGAAGATGAGGATCAAGATGATAGGCGGGACGGTTGATAGCCATTTTAGGGTATGGAATTTGTCTTGGAGACCAATGGCTAACAATCCATGTCAGCAAGAGTATACCGAAACGAAGATACCGATATGAGACTTACTGAGGACCACAAGCAATTGCATGAGGACGACAGACGCTAACAGACGGTTGATCATCACATTCCAGAGCCGCTGGTTCATGTTAGCTGTTGGTCGCCCTGATCAAGCATATTACTTACCCCTCCCGTCTCGACCTTGGACACGTACACAAACATCAGTTGATACTTGTAGACCCAGGAGCTCATCCAAAATACAATGGCCGCCGCAAGGGACACCAAGGGTGCAAGTGGCGCAAATAGAAGTCCAACCGCTGCCATGAAGAGCTGCAAACTAGTTCAGTATAAATCGGCCAGGCACAGTGGGTGGTAACTTACGAGGTTAGAGCTGTTCGAAATGAAGATATAAGTATAAGTCGTAGATCTAGATGGAAGTTAAATGTTTTATAACGTACTAAGAGATGGCGTATTCGAAGTTTGAAGGTTGCGTCCATTCCCTTATGTCACGGGGGGTTCTTCCAAAAATCCTAGACGACGATGGATTGTCGTCAATATCATTAATTTGTTGAAATTACGCTACATACCTCGTTTTGAAGAATATCCACACTAAATTGACAATCTGAGCTAGATCAAACACCACCAAGAATCCACGCATTCTAATCGATGTGATTATGTGAGTTGCTTCAGAATTGAATTTCGAGTCAACGTACGGGAACCATTTTAGCCAATATGACGCTTGGTTGATATATGTCCTGTGGATGTTGCCGGGTAGCTCTGGTGGAGTCAGGGATTACTACCAAGTCGTATACGACAACGAAGCAAAGAACTGACTATCCAAGCTCTTGAGAACTGTTGTCGCGGATTTCCCTCTTCCGATTTGGCGGACAATCTCGGCGACAGAGTCTGGAGAAATATGTCAACATGTACACCGGGGAAGGCCCTAGCGAAAGCGACTTACTGAAGACAACACCGATGAGGGTGAATATGATAAGTTGACTAATGACCAAGAAAGCGAAATAGCGAGCTATGACTGCACGGTCAAGCCTGGCATGTGTGGATGCGCCCATGTATTGCGTCAACCAACGCATGACTCTTGGTAGGAAGTATATGAAGATTCCGGCGACCGCAGGGGGAAGGAAACCGGACACGATGGCGAAGGTGACTGGCGAAGAGTCAGTCCAACTGTCCAAGAATCCAATGTATCCGGTGCTTCTGAACTATTTGCGTTGAAGGAGGGTGAATTAGTTGTTGCAGACGGCCGTACACAATGTATGCTTACGGCGTCGAGATTGGCCAGAATAGCCACCAGCAAAAGCGGGATGAGATTTAGGATACAAAAGATAACCAACCACCAATATCCTACCAATCGCTTGCGAGCGATAGCAGCATCGGACTTCGTCATGTTCTCCCAAATCTATCAAAAGCGCGTCAATAGCCTGTGGGTGGTTTGATGTAAGCACTCAACTATATCCTTTGGATTGGGGGCAAGAGCGATAGTAGTCCCTTTCGGAGACTTCCTTGAGAGTAACTTGGCAGCGACGTGAGCTAGGCAGGCGTTCGTGTCAGGAATGAAGTGCGAAGGAAACAGCAATAAGACGCACCGTATGGTACCGCAGCTAAAGAAATGAAGCCATAGTTCTCCGCTTTGCGAGTATCTATTTGATTACGAAATTCTTCTACTGCAGCTTCGGTCCTTTTGAGCTTCATGCTAAAACGAAATAAGCATCGTATTTAGGAGATACTTGGGGATAGGAGATACTTGGGGATGGAACTTACGTATAGAAGTCGATCGCATCCTTTCTTTGTCCCCCCATACCACAGCATCCACCAACGCGTATGGTGGGCCGCGTCTTAGCGGGTCGACCCCCCTTGAGATACTTCACTAAGACGTTCTCTAGCTCCCTAACGGTCTTGTTGTGATATTCAATGAGCTCTGGAAGTCTACCGACTTTGCGTCCGATATGTACCGCGGAAGCTGGGTACGGCATATTGATGTTATGCAAGATGTTCCGGATACCCTCGTCTGATTGGAATTTCTTCGGTACGTGCGTGATCTGGAGGGTTCGAGCGTACAGCGATTGAATGTATTCTGGCGAACGGAACCAAGCGGCGCGAAGTTGCACCATTCGTTTCCAGTGGAAGTAGACAAGTCCCATAAGGAGGAAAGTGATGATGTAGGAAATGGCAACATGAGCATACAGGCGCATGCCCTTCACATCGCGGATGGTCATCATACTGAGGATGTCTCGGTTGCGGGGCTTGACGTGGTCAAGGTTGTACATAACGTTGATGGGGATGAGGACGCCGCACGTGAGGATAGCAACGCCTGTGAAGAACCACCGCATAAGGCGAAGAAAACGAAGGAAGGCTACCGCGTCAAGGCCGATCTTGTCCACTAGTTCGGGTTCCTTGGTATGCAAGAGCGGCGGGAGCCATCCGCATAGGGAGTCGGAGATGCGAGGAGGGGCCTTATTGCCAACATGGTACTTGACTTTGGGTTCGTAAATGATCTGTGGCCATAACATTTAGCGATGAAGACATCAATATTCTCGTTGTACCACGAACCTTGTTTTTGGGCCGCAAAAAATTGAACAAGAGGATTGTGGCGATCTGACAAGAACATCAGACGCGGGAAATTTGACAAAGCTATTGGCGCACGGAAATCCCACTCATGATCACCACCTGCGAGCCCACAGCGGCGGGTGCCAATGTCCTTCCTTCCTCTAAAGCACTACCAACACGTTCGACGCCTGTCGACATCTTCTCTTGTAGACCGCACAAAGAAAAGAGACACGCGTTGTGATGAAAGGGAGGGGGAAGATGGAAAATCTGCTAAAGCAGCCCTCCCTTCCGCTACCAACCTTATAAAACTTTGGATGTAAGGGAGACGTGCCAAGACTCAACATCTTGGCAATAACGCGGAAGCGATGAACATTCTAATGTTTGTCCGCTCCTCTCATCGGGACCAGGCACGCCAGTTTGGCAGCCGTTTGGCTGGTCTCATCTTCAATTTGAACTGGCGAGCGGTGCTATCGAGCGAATATTCGATGCTGCTTTGCGGAGCTTGCGATTCTGAGACTCTGAGACAAATTCAAAAGAACCGTTCGACAGAGGTCGTCCTAGGCACACTCCGCAAGCAATACCCCGCATATCGCCCAAACAGGAAAGCGGCCTGTTGAAGGAATGCGGATGCTGCCTTGCCACAAGTTGGAAGTTGGATGTCTTCCGTTCACGCAACTGGATCGGTTGGAGGGGTGGCCAAGCATTGCGGAACGGGATAGAATGACGCTCCTCTGGCAATATATTAGCTGAGCGCGAAATACCAGGCAGAGAGAGGGAACATCATGGGTTAGTGAAGTGTATTTCCCCTGAGACAATATGTACAAAGACCCTTCACTGCCACTGAACACCGCCCGTCGCGGAGGTTGATCGAGACGTGTCTTCGAGGCGAACGGAATGGAAAATAGCGCGCACCGAATAGGGGCACGTTGGTGCCAGAAAAGCTGCTAAACCCAGGCACTCATGTACTGCATAGCCTAGCCCCAGTGCACAATGGTGGTGAGGCAAGGTCGATAGCCCAATAGCCTAGGTATGATTCAGTCTTGTGCAGGGAATTCTACTCGAGGTAGTTACCGTCGGAAGAACCATTGCAGGGATGGTTATGCACAGCGATTCGCGAAATATACAATTGAATAACAGAATGGCGTTATGCATTCTCGACCTGCACCGTTAGAAGTGAGGAGACGTTAATATATGACGTTTCGAGTCTGACAAGGAACCCACTTTGCCCTTTATCCAATCTTTTAACTGCTGTTTGCCACGTGGATGTCTTATTATCATGTCCAGCACGTTTGAAAGCTGCGTTTCCCTGCCTTCGTACAGTTGATCTTGGCATGTAGAGAACTCTGGTCTGCTCGGATCCAATGCGTCTATGAGGAACTCGGCGAAGTCGATGCCTCCATCTTGCAAAAGAGTGAGGGCTAAATCCACGCGGTTTGAACGTGTCAATCGTTTCAAGCGATCATTTCTACCAACTGGTGGCTCGTTATTCGTTGTTGACGAAAGAAATGAAGCTTCCGAGTCGGTACTCCCAGGCATACCCGAACCAGTACCCGTGCTCCCTTCTTCAGATGCGGCTCGTTCGTTTGTATTTTGAGATTGGATAACCTGAGCTTTTGTAAAGGCGACCGGTTGCGAGACGATGGGGGTTGGAAGAGGTTGCGGTACTGGGGTCGAGGACGAGGACGGAAGCACGGGGCCTACAAGGACAGGTTCAATCGGTCTCGGGGTCACCAACGGTTTGGACATCCCGAATGGTACGATGAAAGTAAACGGAGGTGGTACGGGTACATTGAATGCCATCGGAGCTGGTGCAACCGCTTGGGGCACACGGAACTTGCTCATGCTTGTGCCCATTCCGGTATTAACAGCTTGTTTTGCGCGTACGGAGAAGGTGAAAGTCGTGCCGCCTGGATTTGGCGATGGTATAGCCGTCGAACTGCCGGTGTCGCTTGATTGCTTCGAGTCTTTCGAATCGGGGCCTTGAGTTCGTTGTCGTTTTCTTCGTTCGAATTCGGTTTCCTGGCATGCGACTTTAGCTGCCGCCTTGATCTCATCCAAGGATTTCGATGGGGATCGCTTCATAGACATGTCCCCCGGCGAGTTGAAAGTGCATTGGGTTTAGCCTGCTAGGTCGCTGGCAAGAACAACGCGACAGGGAAATCTTCTACCGCGTCCGGCATGTGATCTTGGTGTATTTACCCCTGTCTCCTGTCTCTGAAGTTTGATGGAAGGCGGAGGCGAAACTGCAGGACATGTAATTGCATGCAGGTCCTAGGTAAATGGCCAAGCAATATTGTTGCTACCGCCGCGAAGTCACTCTTTTATAGCCTAATTTATTATCGACAATCATTCTTGACTTTGATATCATTGATACATTCTATCGAGTCTTGATTGCACGAGTAGGCAATGGCCCATTCCGCCCGACACTTGTACGCACAAGTCTGCCATACTGTTGTACCCCGAATAGCCATACACACTCGCACAACCGCAGAAAGGCCTCATTTTTTTGCCTGTCCGGGCAAAGTCACGAATTTCAGAAGATCAAAATCCATAAAAACCTCAACGTAGTATCTTCTCATCGGGCAGGAAAGAAATGAAATTCAACGGTGTTTAATAGCACAAATCCGATGACCGCTCTCTGTGAGAAGTGTATACGTCTGTTCAAATCCTTGGAGGCCTGGGATCACCATCTACCAGGGTTTGCAGAGGGGGAACCAGCACGGCCTGGGCTCACGAGCAATGGGCTGAAAGGAACAGCAAATCAGCGACTTGTAAGTCTTGAAATATCACTCGACTTACAGCATCCCTAGCTACGGCAGCGAGGGCTGGTGCGGGTGCTGCAGCGACAGCAATGGTCACTGTGTATCAAGAGGGGAGGTCGGTCAGCTCTGATACGGTGGATGTGAGTGAACGACGCACAGCAAGCAATGACACAAGTAGCGGCGGAGTTGAACTGCATCTTTGGAGCTGGGACTCGACAGTGGGTTGTAAGTAGCACTAGGGTGCTGAAGTACGAGACCCACTCGACAGGACCTTTTATACATCTGACCGGGAAGGCAGGAAAGGGTTGAATGAATAGAGATCCATTCTCCTGCGCTTGGCTAACGTACGTCGAAATTTACACGCCAAATTCCCCGAGTCGATTATAGTAGGACATACCACGTATAGTAGTGATTGGCGTATCTCAGTTAGAACGTACGCCGTAGTTGGTGTGCACGGCTGGCGTCCGAGATGTTTCAACCGCCTGATATGGCGCTCAGTCGGTCAATATGGAAGCTTCTGAGACTGCAGAGATCACTCACTTCTAGATACGCAACGCCCCTGGCCTGGAGTCACATAACATCACTTATATCGGCCGTGCTTATGTTCCCAGAACGTAGGCAATGCTTGCGGGTATGGCGGGGGCCACGGTCAAGTCCCACAGAGTCGCTGGTCTTCGGGCACAGTCAGAGCTCCGAAGTCTAAAGGAGCAAGCTGGTAGATAACTGGTGGAACCCTGAGTGTGTATTAGCTTTTATGTCAACGACAGTGATCGAGGCAACAAGTAGGACGCATCGGTACGAGAGGGAATGTTCAGATAATAGTGTATATCAAGGCATCAAGGCAGCGACCGTGGGTACATTGAATCGAACCATGTTACAGGTATAAATCGTCCGGGTATGATAATATGAGTGAGAGCGACCAAGACGAACTAGGCAAACATCGCAAGCCCAAGGAGAGGAACAAGGAAGGTCATGGTGGAAACGATAAGGTGACGAGCCTCGTTTGAAGTTTCTGTGGATGCAGTCGAACCCGAGGTAGGGGTACCAGTTGACGAATGCGATGCCGAAGAACTTGACGCGGCTGTACCGTTCAAACGAAGGGCGTTGCGCTGAGGGGAAACCCGCGGTCAACCTCCAGAAATAAGAAGCAGAGAGAGAGGGGGTATTTACCTCAAAGCCGTCCAGAGTCTCCGTTGTATTTTCGTCGTTGTTGATTACTCCGACGCCCCCTGCGCCACATGAATTCCGGTCATAAAACCACATTGTGTGGTTCACGTTTTCGGGGAGCATGGGTACAGCAAGGATGGTAACCGCAGTCCCATTACCAGCATCGCGAAAAAAGGAGTCGAAGCCGTTGATGGTGACGTTCGAGTCATGGGCAGGTACACAAGGGGCACTGAAAGTTGACTGGGTAGCCGAGTGGTTGCCATTTGTGACTGAGAAAGAAGAAAAACGCGTCCAGGAGTCAGCGATTGTCAATTGGTCTCTCGGAAAATTCCAAAGACGTACAGTTGAACATGACTGTATCCCCTAATTTCGCTGTGACGCGTTGAGGTTGGAAAACGGTCGTGGCATCGTTCGTTTTGTTCGCTCCCACTTGGATCCAAATATCTTTGGCTGCTACGCACGCAACGAAAGCCAGGAGCTACGCTCTGCCGTCAGAACGCGTCAAGTCATTATGGCATCTGTCCTACGTACTGCAGTGATCGCGGAGAACGGAGTCATGGTGGTCGATGGGAGGGGGAGAAGCTAGTCAATGCGTGGGGCGTAAGAATTTATAGTCGGAAGCCAGGAAGCGTGGTTTGCATGTGCAGGGCACTTTGATGCGAGGACGAGAATTCTGGCAAGGAACATTTCATATCGAGCCAAAATGACGCTTCTGTGACGTCGCGACTGCCGTACGGTCGCAGATAACAGACATAGCATTTTGCAAAATCGTCGCAGCAGAGAGCGATAGGAAAACATAGATATCTCGTATATGCTGCGTCTGCTGAGGAACATCGCGTCTGCAAGACTGAGGTGACCAGTACATCGCGCAGAGAAGTGGAGAAGATTTTCAGCTGAGGTGCCATCAAAGCTTATCTGACGGAGAAATGGAGCTTTTTCGCTGCTATTAAAGCCTTCATGCGCGGGCGAACAAGGACAGTCTGCACGTCCTTGTACTACATAGGCGTGGAATGCGCGTTGAACACGGTCCTGGGCCTGACGGCGTCCATTGGGCAACGATGGTGAGAGACGAGTAGGTGCGACCAGAAGACATCCCAAGACACGATTCCGAGGAAGAGAACAGTGACTTGGCGGATCCCCCCAGGGTTTGTCGGAAGGAGCAAGATCGAGGCAAGAAGCAAGGGGGCGGGACAGAGCGGGAGGCGGGAGTCGGGATTCCGATCGTCATCACGTGGCATCGATGCATCCACGTGCTTGAGGCCCATTCAGAAGCTGGTGGAATCACAGAGGTCGCGCCATGTCAACTTTTACTATCTTCCACCCATGTTCACCGATAAACCAGGGAAGAACACATTGTCGATCAGGCTCGCAGAGTCGGCTGTATTCCTGCGCACCAACGATTTCACAGGAAGGAGTCGCGATTCACGACCAGCCCTATTGCGCGGGCTCCTTGTTCTCGATCTCGTAAAGCCAACGAAAATATCGAGTATCGAGCTTGAGCTTACTGCCAAGACCTCGACCTCTTGGCCAGAAGGTTAGAGGGCTTATCGCAGCGTAGCCTGTGCGCCTTTGCTAACAGCTCAACTCGTATTTCGTAGGGATCGGGGCACGGCGTCTGGAAGTTACTGAAGATCACACGGTCTTTGCAGCAACCACTATATTCTTCAAAGCCGGTCCTACACCACGACGCACTGCTTCAATCGGTCCAGGCACCCATGATGAAGCTGTCCGGGACGACTGGGATGATGAACCCCAACACATGACCCTCCCTCGAAGGACGGACGAACACCGAGGGAGGCCAGATACCTCCGACCGAGCATCTCGACGCATAAGTCTCGATAGCTCTGTATTCCAGCGATACCCTGTTTCGCATCACGAAGATCACCGATTAACCCAAACACCCCCTTATTCTCCTCAATCCGCTAGCCCATTAACGAGTCCGCTGATGAGCCCCATGGAACGATCTGCGAGCACTTTGTACTCGCCCCATACAAGTCTGCGCCAAGATGAGAGTCCAGCCCAGACACTCGAGGATTTGCGAAACGCACTTTTCGACCACAGTACGTCATGCCAACCCATTTGTCCCCTGAGAGTTGATTCGAGCTACAAGTCGCGCAGATCGCCATAGCAGCCTGTCGCTGAATGGTGGCCTCTTCCCTAGACGAGATGGCTCCAGATCCCTTTCTCGTCGACCCAGTATCGAGGATATACCAGAATATGAGCCAGGACCAAGTAATCACAATAGCATCAACTCTCACATGAGCGTCACATCTCCGCGTTCCCTCAGTCGACACGACCATAGTCTTCCCAACGGCACTTCTTCTCCTCGATCCGTCAGTCGCGACCCAGTATCTCCCGATGACGATAGCAAGCATGACCACAGAGGGCGGAAACATCACCGGTTCAGCTTGGCGTCCGTCTCTAGTGCTATCAGAGACGCCGTCAGGCCTGCTTCACCACGTAAGCCAGAATCCAGGGAACGTGAAGGAGATCACAGACGTGGCAGAAGCCTCGATAAAGGGAAAGGGAAAGCCGTCTCGAAGGAGCGTCCGACGTTGCTCAAATCTGGGTCAGACAGCATAAAGTCAGACAAGGAAAGGAAGGACGCTTGGAAAGAGTTCAAGAAAGGAACTTATACATACCCCATTTCATTTCAAATACCCGGACATTCTCCGCCGACGCTTCAGTGCAACTTTGGCTCCGTGGTATGGCAGCTCAAAGCGACTGTCCACCGCCCAGGGGCTTTCAAGTCCAAACTCGTCACGAGCCGAGAGGTCAATGTTATTTGCTGCCCTGGCTCGGACGACACTGAGGATACTGAGAATATTATTGTCGAGCGGCAGTGGGAAGACCAACTGCAGTACTTCATCTCTATTTCCGGGCGAAGCTTCTACATCGGAGGCACGGTCCCGGTCCAATTCACCTTGATGCCTCTGGCGAAAGTGCGAATATACCGAATTGGAGTGTACATCGAAGGTGAGAGTGCTTGCGATTGTTCTTTGCTCCTACCATCTCAGCATTTTTAGAGCGCGTTGATTACTACACGAATATGAAGCGGATCGCTCGAACCGATCCAATTAATCGAACGCTTCTCCTGTCATTGAAGCATGAAGGCAAGGGTGGCGGTCATATCTTGCCCCTGGACTCCGACGATGTCGAGGCTTACCAGAAGTCCCCCTTGTCTACCGTCTTGACCAGAAACGAGGATCCATCGGAAATGGCATCCAACTTCATGGGACCTGGACCATGGACATTCCATCATGACCTCCAGCTCCCTACATCTTGCAACATCCTCCATTTCACCAACAAGAATCGAAGAGGAAACATAGTGATTACTCACATGCTCAAGTGTGTCATCAGGATTGAGAGGGGGGACGACAAGCATTTGGATGCAAAGACCGGGAAGAGGAAACTGTTTGATATTGTTATCCAGACGCCAGTGCAGATTCTCTCGGTCAGCTTCCTTTCTTACACCACGCTGCTGCGTAATTACTAAACATCCGTCACTGGGTAGTGTCGCTGCAACCCCGATTGGATTTCCCTCCCACCGTACTCGGAGTCGAGCGAGGATTGGATACATGACCAACAACAATGTCCGTGTGTTGTCAGGAAAACTGGTGCTACTAATTTGCTGTCGCGTATGAATACGCGACGTTCGAGCGACTCCTCGGTGTCTAGCGTTGCATCGTCTTTCGTCGATGCAATGTCATCACCTACCCCACGGCGGTATGAAACACTTCTCGACCAGAATACTCTCTTTGAACGACTGGTCGCTGGCCAAGAAAGCGAAGCAGGGGAGGTCCCACCTTCCTACGACGCGGTTACTAGAGAGAGAGGTGGAGTGAACGGACATTAACGAATATTGAACGTAGGCAGGGATGTCGCGATAATCTGAGGGACAGACCACTAATTGTATAACTAATACTAGATAGGACTATTGGTGCAACGCAAAACATATCTTAAAGTAGATACGGAACGAACGCAATGCAATAATTTACTGTACTTTATAGCACAGCTGCGAATTTGTTACTCACGACTAACTCTTTCAACAAGCTGTCGACACTCTGCTGCTAGACGTACAAGCGACCGAGTTCCCAGCGTCAGTTTCTTGGTACCTGTACCTGGATCGTGCTGGTTCCCCGCCGTTCACTATTGGGAATTGCGTTGACTGAGGGTAGATGGGATTATTGATAGATATTAACATTGTGTGGGTAGATAGAAGCGAAGTAATCCAATAATGTACTGTATGTATGGTGTAGATCTAGTCCTCCCTACTGAATTGTTAGCCTCCGGTATTAGCGTACAGCTGAACAAACTCACTCCGGTGTTTCTCTTCGAAGGAATGCCAAGTCAATAATGGCGGAGAATGCAGCGAAGGCAAGCCCGCCTCCAAACGCCGCCTTTGGGCCCGAGTTTCTGGCTAGTACACCACCAGCGAGGAACCCGGACGACACTGAGTTGTATATATCATTTTTGGCACGGTACTGGGAGGCGTATGTCCAATGAGCTACGGCACGTCCGGGGAAGACTGAGATGTACTCACCGATTCTATGACACACTCTATACCAGCAAACAATGCACCGACTTTTCCGAAGCCTTTCCCACTGGACCACATCCCGCGTCCCATCTCTTTCATGACCTCTCTGGCCTTTTGGTGGGCCTTCATTCCGGCCTGCGTCTGTTGCCGAAGCAAAGGGTCTTCATAGGCGAATGAAGCAGACATCAACGAGAAGAAAGCACCGATACCGAAGCCTACATCACACTGCGTTGAACTGAGCTCTATGGGACGCGACGAATTGAAGCATACCTGCACCCCCCGCGAGGACGGTCTTAACCGCGCAAGATTCCATGGCCATTGCGGCGTAGCCCTCCCATTTTCGTTGCTGCGCAAGTTGGGCACGGTCTTCTTCGGTGAAACCTGGAGGGAGAGGCTCCTTTCCGGGTGTGAAAATGGGTGCTGAGCCTGGGTAGGCCGTTAGCGACCTCCCGTTCATGATCCCGACGCCAGACTTGACGTTCCGAAGAAAAGGTTTTGTTTGGATTTGCTTGGCAACAGCCTGAACTGATCCCTTTCGGCCTCGGACTCTTTCTACTTTCAAGTTCAACTCGAAGATCACGTACACCCAACCCAGACGACAATTGCAATTAATCCCACAACGAGACCTCAGCTAAGATGCAAGAACTACTACTATACGATGGTGAGACAATTGCGGATCTTTTCTACCTTTATTCAAATGGAGTCGCTGCCCAGCCACTAGGAAGTATTTCTTGCTGCTCGGGGCTGTAGCTTTCTTCCTACTGTACTTCGTCAACGCCTGGTTCGGTCGATTTGCCCCAGAAGACCCCAGTTCCATTCTTTATATCAACGGGATTCGGTCTTGGATACTCATGGAGCTGGTGTCACCGACTTGCTTCATTGCTACCATCCTCCGTGCTACCAAATTTCCCTCGAACAACTCAACCGTCGCAGACTCCCTCAATCCGCGCTCGAAGTTCATGATAGCTTTGTTCTTGGCCCACTATCTCAATCGTGCAATAATCTCACCGTTGCGTTCACCGTCTCGCTCCAAATCTCACATTTCCGTCCTCATTTGTGGCATGTTTTTCAACATCATGAACGGCTACCTCTTGGCAACGTATCTCACGTCCGCTGAGGCTCAATCCTACATGGATCGCCTCCCTTCTAGCCTTTGGTACTGTGGGGTGGTTACGTGGGCCGTGGGATTTGCTGGGAACGTCATCCACGACGAAATTCTCATGAATATTCGTCGTAAAGCGAAATCAAAAGCCAAAGCCAAAGAGACCGCCAACAAGCCCAAAGGAGAGCACTACGCTATTCCATACGGCCTGTTATTCGAATACGTCACTTTCCCCAACTACTTCTGCGAATGGATTGAATGGCTCGGGTTCGCCATGGCCACGTCCCCGTTTCCTACACTTCCTGATGTGTCGGGCTTGTCTGCGTCCTCGTTATTGACTCTACCGTCTCTCGACAATACCTTCTGGCCGACGTTGACACCGCCATATCTATTCGTCGCCTTGGAACTTCTCACTATGTTTCCTCGGGCTTACAAGGGCCACCTTTGGTACCATAACAAGTTCAGCGACAGCTATCCCAAGCAAAGGAAGATCGTGATACCATTCATACTTTAGGCTTTGGGTAATACGGGCGACTCGACTGTGTACACTATATCCAGGACACCAAATACAAATCGCTTTTGCAACGATCTCGATACACTTCGGGGAGGGAAGGGAAGACGATGGATGGAGTACAGATAATCGCGACGGCGTACGATGTACACAAACTAGCAGACGGAAGATGACAGGAATCCTTGGGTAGTCAGGCCACGCCATCGTAAAGCAACGTACAAACTCGGCGCATTTATAGCTCAGACTCCACATAGGTTCGGAACTGCTTGATCTCCTCGGCCAGGAAAGAGCCTTTGACGTAGCCGTACCGAGGATTGGCGCAAATTGCCTCGAGTTGCTTGCAGAGGTTCGCGACCTCTGCATGACCTTTTTTCCCCTCGCCACCTCCGACAGCAGTCTCTGCAGCTCTCGCTCCCGCGCGTCCCGTTCTCCAGTTACCGTTTTGGAGGGCGAGCAAATGTTTACGCGCTGGGTGCAGATAGAGTTGTTGTTCCTTGGCGGCTTTTTTGCCAGCACGTCTGGGCGACAAGTTTGGCGTAGGCATGGCGGTTATTGCTATATAGATGATGGGGCGATGAGATGATTTAGCGAGATGCTGAGGGGCTGGATTCCCTCTTGCCCACTTATATAGGTTTCCGAAGTGGCTCAGTGGCAATTGCTTTCTGCGACTCGAGCATATGCGTCATTCCGTACTTTGCACTGACCTGTAAAACAAAGCAGCGGGACAGAGGAGCACCCTTGCTTTGAGTTATATTTCTGCGTATCTCCTTCCTGCCTAATCCCGGCACTGCTGCCTACAAATACGATTGTACGAATACCTAGTAAGAGGGAGCTCAAGCAGCCACCGAACATGATGTTCAAAGGGAGCCAACTCCTTGTTTCGTCGAAGTAGGCACGCCATGGGGTTCCTCAACCACCTCCCCCAACCTTTCTAAGCAATTGAACACAATCCTCAGCCCAATGAGCCCGAAGCTATTAGCCCCGAAATCAATGGGATGGAGGAGACTGAAAAACCATGCGTTCCACCCTCTTTCCAAACCCTCTCTCGAGTTCATCTCATCAAACAACTGTCGTCGAACGTCCTTCACCAAGACGTCCATATGGCGTCTCATGCGATACGACCGATTCGACTTCCACGATTTCTGCATGCTTTTGGCCAATATGATGCCCAAAACAACCTCGATTTCAGTCAATTTTGTTCCTGCCTCGTTGGTAAGTGTGTGGGTGCCGCATATATAACGCAATTCGTCTCTGTATTTTTCGTATAGGACTTTTGTTTCCTTGCACGACCAGTTGGGGTCTCGGTATGCCGTGATGTACTTCTGCACTATCGGGTGCAGCTTCAGGAGGAGGGTGTTTTGGTCAAGGTCTGGGGCATCCGGTTTAATGTAGGCATTGAACTCGGGGTCCTCTAAGGTAACCGCCCGGTACATATGTCCCAGCGCCCGGTCTGATTCGTAGTAGTCCGTTTGCCGGACGGCCACTACTTCTTTAGCATGCCAGTCAGGCTTGCATCGTATCAAGGTTTTGGGAAGGGGGTTAGGGCCGTCTTCGTCGATGTCGAGGGGATTCCCATGTTTGGCGTAGTCGACAGCCTAAGATGGAGATAAGGCATTGATTGAACATAATAATGTATTGGAAACAAACCATTGAATGTAAGTGTGCCAGCTTCAGACAATCGGGATCATTGCTGCCTTTCTGTATAAAATGGTCAGAATCGGAGATGCCTTTAATAACGAGGAGATTACCTTGGATTGATCTAAAGAGGGACGGGCACATCAAATTCCGCTCAGGAAAGTGACCAGTTCACTTACCTGCAATAATGAGATGTCTATCCGAAACGAGACCCTTGAGATATCACGGTAAGTGCTCGAAGATATTGAACAGGTCGATTTTCGCACCAAGACGTCTGAATTGATATACTCCACCACAAAGTCACAAACGTCGTCTATAGTGCAATCACGCTCTAGTTTTTTAGGTTCGATGGCTGCGTAGGACGCAGGGTCGAACCGTTTGGGTGCCAACAACTGGGGGTACTGTATGACGAAGTAAGTATCCCTAACAAGTTTGGGTCAACGTTCGTGGCTGAGTAGGAGGACCAGCTGACCTACCCATCCAGGTCCCCTCCGCCGAGGCAAGATGGCAGCGGTCGGCGTCCTGAAACACAGGTCATAGAAGATACAAGCTTGGGCAGGGGTGAGCCCTACCCTTCGAAGCAAACACCACGACGTTCTTCAGACCGGCAAAAGAGCATATCTTACCCTCGGGCGGTTTCCCGATGGCAGTAACTCTTTGCACTGCGTAAATATTAACAGACAATCATGAACATTCAATTGGTTCGCCTCTTACCGTCGCCAGGGTGGACGACAGGACTTCTGCCTACAATGCATGAGCCGGTGAGCCATGTTGGTTCCTCATCGCCAGTGTTTTGTATGCATGCTAGAAAGGTGTCCATGCTAGCTCAAGATAGATAGAAGAATTAGCGATTACCATATATCAGGCCCTCTTCAAGGGTGTAAACGTTACTATGGCCTGCGTTGACGTACGCTGGACCCTCATCAGCCACACCTACAAGCAGGTAGCTCTCAGGAATCAGTATCCTTGCCTCATGTTTGATCTGCACGAGGAGATGAAGCATCAAAGCTTGCCGCAACTGCTGTAAAAAGGAGCTGTCGTAAAGAAATGGGAAGTAGCTTGACGAGCTGATATCAACTCCGAGGTTTCTTATGTTCTTTATAATGTAGGAAAGCCCAAAGGCGCCCCCGAAGTTGTGGGTCCTCAGTAGTCCTTCAAATTTCTCGAGGGAGTCGTGGACCATCCGCGCTTGAGCAACTGCGCGCTTCTGCAGCCCCAAAAAAGCCTCTTGCTTTACGCCGCAGTCTTCAAGCAGCATGGTCAGGGGCCTGTCTATCTTTTAGAGACATAACCACAGCGAGAATTTGATATCGTACATACCTGTTGAGGTAAGCGGGCATAGGAGACGAAAACCACTGGGCTATCTCTAAAGCTGCTGTTGAGTCGTGGTCGTCCTCGAGTGGGTGCTTGAATTTGTGCATCGAGTCGCGGAGCAACATGAGGACGCCGTCCTTGCGCTTGTCTAGATTCCGATCAACGCTGACAACACCCTTGTATCCCAAGAATCGAATTTGAAACTGTAGAACCAACGTCAGTAGCATTGAAATGGGAGTGACTGGAATCTTACAATGGTAGACATGGTAGCGTTCTCGTGCACGCGCTTTGCTACGAGAAGTGCTGCCCAAATCATGACTGCAAGCGCGTGTGATATTGTACCACACCCATCGGTGAATACAGCTTCTGCAGGTGACGGTATATCTTCGACTTGTTGCCACTGGTAGCGCCTCAGGTCTACCGAAGGATCCGTCGCGGTAAAGGCTTGTGCCAAGCGCGCAGCATACTTCGAGGGCTGGTCTAGTAGGTAAAACTTCTTATTCCCTAGATCATTGAAATCGCCTTGTGCTTGCCGGATGGCCTCAGATGTAACCCAACGACCAGTTTGCTCGTCTTGGAACGGATTCATGAACCACACGGCGTGCTCCCTGAGCGCAGATGAAGAATACGCGAGGAACTCGAACCGCCTGCCGCCCAGCTCGAAGCCTTCCTTCAATGTAGGCCCGACTCTCTCCCGAACGAACGAGGCACCGTCGACGGCACGGTCCCATCGGTACTGGAGCATGTCCTCATCGCGAAAGTCGACACGGATAAAGTGCTCTTCATGGCCGCTATATTGGCGTATCACTCTGTTGGACTGAATTGGATAAGGCCCTTCGAGAAGTAGGCGAGTCGGAGTAAAAGTGACGTGACAACAGTTGAACTCGCCCGGTGGTAGCTTTGCGTTGAGAGGGTTCCATAGCCCCAATGCCCGCTGGAAGCACGCCAATGGTGACTGCCGAGCCGGTTTGGCTTGTAGCGCGTCTCCGTAGTGGCGTAGGAAATCACCGACATACGCGCCATTGTCGTCGGCATGTTGCGAAGAGAGGGAATCGATATAAGGCCTCAGGCTATCCAGCAAGTCCTCCGTGTTCAGCAGCCCGTTGCGCATCAGATGTTCAATCTGAAAAGAAACGGCCCACGGCATGGACTTGATCCACAGGCCCATTTGATACAGCCGCTTTTGCCGACGAGTCGACGCGAAGAAGTATTTCCGGTGCGCATCGATCTCGCGGCCCGGCGCGTCGCAGCGGATGATGAGTTTCTGCGTCTCCAGTTCCGCATTTTTACACAGGGAAATGAAGTGCTCGAGCGAGTCCTCATTGTGGTGGCGGAACAAGACGAGTCGGAGCTGGTGTGCAAATGGCGCGACGGCAGCGTGTCCCTCGTCGAGCGATCCCACTCGCCGTCTGACCTTTTTCCCATCGCTGCGATCACCTTTGAGTGCGCGATAGAACTCTATGCTTTCGAGTATAGGAGGAGTATGGGTGTCGAAGCACAAGTCTGGAGGACGTTTGGATCAGCGCATGTCAGGTGTGAGGCCTCCGATCGCTGAAACTTACATGGTTTTCCGTCGTACCCCACTCCAATCACCTTGATGCTATGAAAGGGGATGGAAATTCTGAATCCACGACTTTCGTACGCCGAGTCCCCGACCTAGACGGCAACTCCAGCAAAAACGCCACAGGATATGCATACGACGGCTCACCTCGATATACAGCAGCTTGTGGTCGTAGGAGAAATACAACCATCCCGAACTTGAGCTGACAAGATCCTTCTCCCACTCGATCGAGAATGCCCTTGGGACCAGACGGTCCTTGTCGTGGCGCGGATACGAGGGTCGGTAGAATATGCCGAACTGGATCGCGTCAACGCGAAGGGCGTCGCCCAGGCTGGTGTTGATGGCTTCGTGGCGCTCTTCCACATCGGGATCCACGTAATGCGTCCTCTCCAATGTCTTCGCCAACCAATCTGATGGTTGTCCAGAGCGATAAAAGCGAAGGCGCTGTTTCCCCATCTTGATAGGCCGATCCTTGACATATCTCAAGAATCGGTCGCCCACCGAGGTATCGGGGAGGGTGAGCACACCGCTGCCATCGTTCCGTACGCCACCTAGCTTGCTATCTCCGAGCGAAATTCTGAAGTTGAGAGCACGCTCGCCAGGCTCGCGTCGGCTGAACTCATCTGAGTGGAGGACTTCCGCAAGTTTTCGCGTCACGTCCCATTTACTCGCCTCCCTAGGAATGTACTGGATGTTGAGATTCATGCGATAACGTTTTGATAGCGTTACGTTTGCTTGTGAGGAACAACTCCCTACGGTTGAATCAATGCCTTAGCGCCGCCAGATTTTGTGTTGAAAGCCATGGTTAGGTGCTTCTGTCGGTAACGTAAGATTCTTTACTATGGGGTCTGGTGACATTTATAGACTTCGTGGAGTAATTAGGGCTTTTGTTCACTCTACAGTGAATCATATAGTTATTGTGCGTGTATCTACAATCCATTCACTGTCACGCGGTGGCATCCCCCTTCGAGTTTCTGCATAACAGGGTTTGCAGGCGGGAACCAGCAAGGCCCGGGCCGTCACAATGTCCATCTGGGGAGTCGTAAGTCGACCAATTCATATACCCAGCAACGCCCACCCCGTTGCCGTTGTTCGTAAATATAAAGCAGCAGTTCTGCAAACCAACCTGAATGTATGACGAACGCACTAGAGTTCGTAGTGCCGAGTCTATCTGCTTTACGTACCGCATCGCACGAGGACCTCGCGCCCACTCTCGCCCCAATGCAGAAGCACTACTTGCACCGATAATGTCCCCGATTTCAAAAACGGCGCAAACGCCTTCTCCAGCCTCGCATTCTCTCGCACCCTGATCCCCTCCAGTTCATCTCCTTCGAGAGGCGTGGGGGCCCGGTTTTCGACGGTGATGATGATGCGTTTCAGCAGTGTCGGGCGTTGAAGCGATTGTAAGAGATGACATAGTGCATCGTAGTGCGTAGATTCGGGGAACGGGGGCTGAAGTGCGCGTACGCTGCTGAAGACTTTGATTGTGAGGTGGCGGAGGCAATCGAAAAACGGCAGGAGGGCGAGGAAGTCGTCCGGTGGCCACGTAATGCCAAATGGCATCAACTGGATCGTCAGGCTGGAAGGGTATATCGGCCACCTGAACTGGAGAAGGGTATATCGATACGTAGCTGGAGAGAGAGAGCATTATATATTCTAGGTCGGAGATAAAGGACTATAAATCAGACTTTACATTGTAGCTCGAGCTTAGGGATGCGCTCTGGGATCCACGATGGCAGCTCCCAAGGGACCTGCTCATTGCATGATATGGCGAAGGTTTCCAGGTTCGGGCACTCGATGGTGATTGATCGGGTGAACGGCGTGGGGAATTTGTATAGCTCTATCCTGCGAAGAGCCTCCATACGCACAACCGATGGGACAATTGGCGTCGTATGGCTGGACCCCCTCGGAAGGCTGTCGATCATAAGGTACTCGAGGGTAGCCGAACAGGCCGACAGGATGAGAAGCAGATCTTTGGGATTGTTGGCGGACCTGGCCCAATCTACTAGGGCAAGGCGTTTGAGGCTGGCGCCGGCAAGCATCGATGTGATTCCCCGCAGTAACGATGCGCGCGATATCGACTCCACATCTGACCAGTATCGCAGCTCTAGCTCGCGGAGTTTCGTGAAGCGGCCGAGGCAGACATCTATCCATTGCGGGACCTCTGTTGTTTCAGTGCTCAAGTCCAGATGCAACCCGAGGATGTCCTTGCAGAGATGGGGTGCTGTGAAATGGAGGAAGTCTAAGCTGCTGCGAGCTACGGACTCGTTGCAATCTACGTGAATCGAGCGGAAGATGAGAGGTCGACATATATCGTTCCATGTGTGGCATACGAGGGAGCAAGCAAGCAGGGAAGGAGATATGCGACCTCGGGTCTCTGAAGGGTAACTGAAGTCCCATTCTTCCCTGGGCGACGTGTGATTGTAGAGGTATGGGATGATTTGCAAAAAGAGTTCCACGGGGAGTCGTATCGATGTTTGTTCTATGGTCATAGTCGCACTCCAGATATCGTGGGAAGTCCTGGTAGAAACTGACTCCATTCTCCAGCATTGGATCTAAGTGGATACTGAATATCATAACTCACATCGAAAGGAAATCCGCCAAGTTATGTCCGGGCTTCAGCTTCAGGCTTTAGACGTTGCTGGATGCTCGCCTTCTGAGGGAGGTTGAACCCAGCTTGAGCTCGGGTGAAGGGTCCAGTATGGACCAAGACTTCTTCGAACCCCTGAGCGTTCGAACCTCATCTAACTCACATACACCAAGCGAACTGAACGTTGAACGTTGAACCCCTATGTCCGTGCATTTGTACCTGCAAGATACCTGGTATGAATGGATGAGTGGATCTGGGTGAACGACTGCAATGTTTAACCGCCATCAGAAAGGAAGAGAGGAAGAAAGACTGAAAAGAGGTTGAGCTTCAATGAACGTATTACAACATATACCTATGATTAATTTAATGGGGGGATGTCCGAGTCCGAACGAGCTATGATACATTTTGCGTGATATTATACCCAGCGGAAGGGCTTGGACTTCTCCTGTTCAACTTCCTTTTCGAGTTTCTTGCGCTGTTCTTCTCTCTGGATTCTATGCATGGTCACTTTCTTTTGTCGCAGAAGTAACGTCAGCCACATGTCGGAATGAACTGAAGGGACACAGCTACATACATTCTTCAAGGCTTCGATAGCGCTCAACACGGAGTCCAATGTGGCTTCGGATATCTCGGCCATCTAGACATTCAAGTCGACTGTGAGTTTCGTTCGAACAAGATGAGATGAGAGTACGAACACTATCGCCTGCCTGCCTGCCCAGCTCCAGCATCCGCTCCTTCTCTTCCTCCCACTTCTCCTGCTGCAATCTCTCGCCGAATGACCTTGGCAACCCCGAATCGTCTGCCGGCGGGATGTTGTTGATCGTCTGCGGAAGGCCCTTGACCATGCTCGAGACATTCGAGACGTCGGCACTCCAGCGACTTGGTTCCTCGGTAGTTTCAGGCGTGCGTGGTGTCGGTGGTGTGGGCGGAGGAAGGTAATGTGGTGGCACGCGGTAGCAATGCCCGTAAGAGCGGCCTTGAGTATAGCATTCCATCCGTTTAGCCCATATTGTGGCGACTATTGCGCCGAATGAGAACCAGACGAAGCGAGAGGGGCCAGCGTGGAAGCGGTACGGATAGGCCCAATATCCACGGTACATGTCTTGCACGTTGATTAGTATAATTCAAGGGGGAAGAATGGGCTGTGGCGGCGTCGCGTCGGTCCTTAAGAAAACATGAGAGGGCGCATACGAAAGCGTTCGGCGACCGCACAAGAAAACGTCCAAGCCGTAGTGGGTCGCATGCCGAAGTGTAACGTTCTGAGGCACGTATGGGCTCAAATTCGCTGCGCCGTGTTACCGATTGGTGTAATTGGCTATTACGTCGAATTTCGGACTCCGAAGTCATTCGGCACGAGTTTACTTCCTCGGTTGTTTAAATTGCTTAGGAAGCGCTGTGCTCGGTGGAGCACACGACGGTCATCTTGGGGAGGGGGCTCGTTACGGGTAAACGCTGCGTAGTTTTCCGATGATGATTAAGAATGAATTTATAAACATCACATACATCCTTTCTCATTAGACAGACTCCAGACTCGAAGTAGTTACGCAGCTTGAGGCCTGCTCCAAACTTCCCTCCCTTTGACCCAAGTGCTGACAACATTACCTTGCCGATCAAGGACGACGAGGTCGGCATCTGCTCCGGGTCTTAAAGTGCCTTTCTTATGCTCGATTCCAAGACACCTTAACCATGTCGTAAGCGCGGTAAGTGAGTCGAATAGATGGAAGGCACCTACTTAGCAGGGTTATAAGTAGCACACTTGATGGCTTCTCCCAGAGAACAGCCCGTGAAGCGAGAGAAGTTGCGAATGCACTTGTCGAGGGTAACGACGCTGTAGGTTATGTGACATCAGTTAATAATAACTTCTAAATCGTAAAGAATGAATGGAAGGGGAGCTCACCTCCCCGCAAGGGTGTTTGTCCCTTCGAGGTAGAGTTTGTCACCTTCTTTGACAAAGCGTTGGCCGTCTCTCCACTCGTGTATGCCATCCTTAAGGTTTGGGTCCAGGATTTTCATTGCTGCGAAACAAGCGTGTAAGTCATGTTCATACGGTAAATCGACATGGAGATTTACCATCCGTTATCAATATGCACCCCTCGGGGTATGCAGAAAACGCGAGCTAGATGACAGACGTTTTTCATATAATCCCCATTGAAAGTTATCAATGCTCTCACCCTAACTGAATTGGGATGCGAATGGATACCATCGACGATGAGCCCATAGAACGGCCGCTCAAACTCCATGTCAGCAATCTGGCCCTTCTCTAGATGCAACTCAGGCCTGCTCGTCTTCCTGCTATGACCAATGCTCAGTGGCGTCACAACACCAGACGGGGCGAATTTTGCTGCACGATTTGCTGCCAAGACGGGCGTTTGTGGGGGCGTCATGGAATCATCGAAGGCCTCTGACTTCGCGTGGATGGATCTTGTGGTGGAGGACGTAGATGCTGCGCGCGAGAGTGCCTTAACAGGCGGAGAACCGGTAGGTGATGTCTTTACCGGGCTTGTAGAGACCGCGGGATTATACGGGGGTAGAGAAGGGTAGTGTGCCGTAATCGGGGAGAACGAGCTGGAAAGGTGAGGGGATGCCCCGAGGAGCCCGATGATCGAAGGGTCACGATGATGTAACTGAGGCATAGCATTGAACAAGTGGGTAATGAGGCGAGCGCCATGCTGAACTGCTCCTGTAGCGATGTCGGAGGTAGCCACACTATCATGGGACAATAAGTACAGACGTAAGTGAAGATATCAGAACCGCCATACCTGTGACCGATAGAGAATACAATGCCTCGCTTGTCCAATTCACCAATAGATTGCATAACACCTTCTATCTCAGGTGCTGCCGTGATCATCCTGACTCCGATTCGCGTACCGTCTGAAGACATTAACCAGTCCTCAGAATCTGCCAAATTCTCAGCGCCGTAGACTTCCTCAAAAGACTTGATTCCGTCTGGTGCTGCGAGAAGGAAGGAAGGCACATGTGCACCACGCTTCGCGTATTCAAGGAACGGCCCCTCAGCATGCCATCCAAGGAGAGTGGCGGAATTAGCAGTGGAGAAGGGCTTTAGCAGACGTAGAAGCTTTGGGTATAGCGATTTCTCTTGAGTCTGATAGGCATTGGGCGTCTGTATCTGTATAGGGCTCTGATTGTGATATTAATAGACTTACGATGAGCGTGGGTACCAACCTGCATTGGTTGATAAAACATGAGACATCAAGAAATGCAGGCAATGTGTGGGCAGGACATACGCGGTAACTCCAGTCTCAACAATCTTCTCGGCCACGAGCTGCATACCGGCACGATAGGCATCGTCGTCACCCTCGTAGACGGAGAAGTCAAATCCATAAGCGCCATTAAGTTGAATGTCCAGGAGGCCCGGGCTATGACGCAGAAGTTAGCTTTTGTTAAGTTCCGGACACTGATCGCAGAAAACTATAGAAGGTACAGTGGAGCAAAGTCGGCACACGAAAAGCAATCATGGGGTAGACAAATATGTGACTGTGCCCTCTGCTTACGGGACTGGGCTTTACTCTACTTACCTCAAAATATTGCCTCCAAGATCAATGATCCTGTCTGGACGTTCCTGTCTAATGAAGAATGTTTTCTACATCACTGATAAGCCACAGTTAGATAGCACGGCCCACAAGGCTCACCTGAGCATCGAGTATAGTCCCTTGTCGTTCATCGATCCACAGATCTTTCTCAATAAGACTGCCATCTTCAAGAGGCAATAAGCAGTTTGTGAAGCACACAAGGCCATTCGAGGGGGACATGATGGTTTCCGCACGAAGACAGCAGAGGCGATGGGAGTATAAGCACAAGGCTTGGTACCCACTTCAGTCCAGTCAGCAACGTATACTATTTGAGATTGCGGGCTTAGAGTTCCAAGTCACGTATGTCCGACCATATGGTGATTGTGTTCTACTGCAATTAGCGCACCAACCAGACGTCGAGAACACAACACATGTTCCTCAAAGCGACGAGCTCTGGAAGCACGTTCGCGTCCTTTTGCAGGCAACTGCAAGGATTCTCCAGAGCCCGGGATCCCATAGGGCTGCGGACCTCGGAGCGATGAGGAATAGGAGGTCGTTCAAGTTGATCATTTTGCAGGGCCGGTTAGCCGGCGGGATATGCGCATATTTCCCACGCCTTCGGAAGCAAACGCTAAGTCACCGGCACCGGGCACTCTCTGAACCAGGACACTTGCTAAGGTTACTTACTCGACCTCATGTCATGGATTTCGGCGCAAGTGACCGTATGACCACTTTTCGAGTTTCTCGGTACAAAACAAAGTGCCAAGCTCAAGCGGTCGTATTCTCCAGCAAAAGACCGCAAGTTGCGTCAATGATGATCTCTTTTCCTTTTCTGCGTATGTTTTCCAGAGAAGAAGGCAGTCACTCGCCCAACTTAGCAAAAACACCGAACTTTCGTCCTTCTGACCATCTCACAAAGCAACTGGCACAGCGACTATCATATGGGCTCACGATAATAATATCTTAGCAAGTCAGGATACGGACCACGAGCTTCCCAACTTTCTCGAAGGAAATTCATCAAGGTCCAATAGAGGGAAGCGCCACTGTCGTCGTCGATGCGGATAATTACCGTCGTACCACCCGAGCTATTTCGCCGCAGGGAGGAAAAGCCTCGAAATGGTATGTTGTCGAATTTCTTGCGACAGATGCGCGAGCAAGTGAGAGAGTTTTGCAGTTTATGTTCACTTCAACCTCGAGGCCACATGTCATATGCACTCTACCGTTGGGTTCACCTTTTCGGAGAGTACTTACACCCTCCGATTGTACGTACGGCGTATGTCCGCACCTAATCATTTCCTGATTATCTGATTTCTAGGCATTCCAGCACCGGCGACCATGATTTTTGCCTCGTATTATATCCGTCAGCCTTAGCAATGTCTTGCTGCTAGACCCCATACTCCTGCCCCTTGCCGGCAACGACCGCAGCCAGTAGAATCTCATTAAGCCACCGACATATTCTCTACATCTTTTCCGAAAATTCCTCTTTTCAAAACGGTTCCTGATTCGCAGTAAACGGGGAAATTGATCTCGCGTGCATGTAAGTACATAGATGCGGACCCACGAGGGTCCTTTTCCTTTTGATGGCTTTGCTAGTGATCGTTGGAGTGGAAAAATACCTGCCTTCAAAACACCGAGGATTAGGACGTATGTCGTGTGTCAAGCGGAATCCATGTATGAAAGAACGGAGGTTTTCTGAACTCAGGAAACATCCACAGGTCGCCATGATTTAATATGTATTATGAATTCCATCGGCCGTAAGCGACGCAGCGGAAGGGAAGGGCTCCCTCGGCCCTCAAGGCCTCAAACACAAAGATCAACCATATGTTCTTCCCGCCTGATGCAGATCCGGGACACTTCCTACGACATATCGCACTTCTTGCTCGGCGTCGTCGGCCTAAGCCATTGACTCAGCAGTCCTCAGCCTCGCATATGCAAACTTCAGATTAACCTCGTTATCGCCATACGCATCTCTGCTGCCTTCCACCCGAATCGGTCCTCTCTCACCTACCAACCATTCCCAATTTTCCCAACACAAGCCTTCGTGCATATGCAAAAGTGTCTTCTGATTCATGCTGTGGACTTTGCCGTCGCCAATTCACGTTAACCCAGAATTGATCCACGCGATTATCTGCTATGCACCGTTATCTAAGAAGTGAATCATATGTACGGTCGTACGAGATCGACTCCAGGAATAGTCCAACTTGCATTCAGCGATGAACACAAGAGATAACAATGACCAAAAAATACTTCTCCGACTTGAATCATGCGTTACCCCTTGCTAAGGACTTGGTGTTCTCTGCTAAGATTCTAGGAACAGCATGATGCATTGTGCATTTTTGGTTCAAGAAGAGTTTGGCAGCATCAGAATGCTATTATTGGGTGAATATGTACGTTGTAAAGAAGTCTGCGAAGTGATTATCACGCGTTGAGCTCGTGGAGAGCGCATCTAGGTCGTATGTGCATCTATACTTATCGGTGCTGAGAATATGCATGTCGTATTCGCCTCCACCGCCATCATCATCTATCCAACGAATGTTGCTGTACGTTTGTACGTTCCTCGAGCTTCGAGCCCGGCCGGCACACACCCTTCCGCCCCCTTACTGGCCTTCTCGGGAGATAGCGTAAGTGACAACACCAAAGTTGGAACTCGGGAATTTTGGCAAGATTGATGCAGTCGATATCTGCACAGCAAAGCGAGGAACGCGTCTACATACGACGCATGGCAGTTATTTGTTTGATAGAGATATGATATCACGCCCATCTTGTTATCAAACGTGTCTGGTTTGGCGATAGATGTTGTCGCGACGGCCTTACAGGCACTGAAAGGACCGGAAAATGATCCATGGTGGATGCCGAAACAGATCTATCACAGAGGTCCTCGAACTCCCACTCGGGCGCACGTCGCACGATCTTAATTTGATTGATATATTATCGACTCCCGGTGCGGCACAATTCATTCAAAGTTCTTTTGTTTCCAGATTTCATTTCAATTTCGGGACGCGTGTTTGTCATGGGTATATATGTATCCGAAGTACAACAATAATTCGAGGAAATTCTAAGGTATGGTGGTACGTATGTTGTTGATACACGATCGCGATAGCTATTATACATCCGGCGAGCGCAAAGCAGAGTAAAAAGGAAAGTGTATCGAAGTATATTACTTTTTAAAAAGTGGGAGATAAGGGATGTGTAGTACTATTGGGCTGTTGGTATCTCGATGCTGATGGTAATACAGTGGAGGTGTAGTTAGTTAGATAGCAAAGCGACTGGAACGAACAAGCAGGGAATAAAAGAGGACCTCCGAATAGAGAGGTCATTATAAGCAAGGCAATAAACAGAAGGAACAGCGAGCAAAGGGGGTATTGAGGGATAGAAGTCGTAATAATTAATAACACAACCGACGATCGACCAAGTGCGAGCCATGAAGATGAATGTAAAGGTGCAAGAAAGAATTAACTCGTGTTTTGTTTCGTTCCAGCGTTTAGCAGACTTGGACTTCCCATTCGCCGCCTTCGCCGCCCTCCTTGGGTAGACTCTTCAAAGCGATTCTTACTCGCCTCTTGGAAGTACCCTCGTTGGCAGGCAACTCGGAAGACACGCTTGATGTGGGCGATTGGGTGCCACTAGTAGCACTAGCATAGCCCATAGACATGGAAGACGTCGAAGACAAGTAGTCTGAAATGCCCCCGATACCAAGGAACGGATCGTCTTGGCTCGCCAGCCCGAAATCAGCGACGGAAGTAAAATCATTGAATCCAGATGCGGATACTGCTGCGCCACCTGCAGCGGAGGCAGAATCGTCTGCCCAGCCGAAGGACATTATTTGGTCGTCAAGTTTCATCGAATGTGAAGATGAGGAGGAAGAGGAGGCCGGGGAGGCCGCTCGTGACGATGTCGCCGAGGTCGACGGAAGGATTCGAACCCGGATTTTACCATTTTCCGAAGGTGTGGTATCGAAGGAGATATCAAGATCTCCGAGAGCGCGAAGGGCCTCTGCGTCGATATCGGCGAACTCGAGCCGTTTGGGAAGAGTGAACGAAGGCTTGGGGGTGGGGATTTGTGAAGGGTCGGAAGAAGCGGATGTCCAGTCGAAGTCATTAGGGAGGAACGGATTGAAATCGAAAGACGATGCAGAGGAGGAGAGCGCAGTAGGCAGAGAGAATGTAGAAGGCACATTCGTGGATTGGGCTGGCATCGACAATAGACTCGGTAGTGCGCAAAGGAGAACCTGCGAGGAAGAGGTGAGGTTAGCGTGACAGTTATTGCGAATTAAAAATACCTCGACATACCATGAGGCCTAGCGAAGCGTTCGACTTGCTTGAAGCATTCACTGGGGTATTGGAAGACGACCGATCTGAGTCTGACAAGGGGTATTGTGCTTCGGGGGCTTCTACTTTTACAGAAGGCTGTTCCTTGCGAAGAGCGAGTTCGGCATTTAGCTCGCGCTCGCGTGCTTCTGCAGCTGCTAGCTGAGCACGGAGTCGTTCTACTTCGGAAGTAAGTGCCTTGGAGGGCGCTGGAGGTGCTTGTACGGCTTGTGCCGAGGTACCACCGTTTTGAGCGATAGCTTGAAGACGGGCATTTTCTTGCTCTAATTCAGCGACGCGACTGAATCGTGATTTGGTTAGTCTCGGAGGAGACGATCGAATCAAATGAGACGTACATTTCCATTGCCTCAAACTCTTCGCGTTTCCGCTGCCTGCTGAGGAATGCAGCAGCACGGTTTTTTACAAGACGCGCTTCGCGTTTGCTTAGGCCGGTGACGTCGGGAGGCACGAAGTCTTTGCTGTTAATACGCTCTCCGATCGTGCGCTTCTTTGCCGCCGGTGGGGGGCTTTCTGAGCAGCGCTTAGAAGGTATCATGGAAGCTATTGCGACTGTAGACAATTTTGGCTGGGCTGGTGGTGGAAATTGGTGGTGTTCCTGAACTACTCCGGTGGTGAAGTCGAAGAGTTTGTGAGTTGGAAGGCAGAGCTGGGGTTGCTCGGAGTCTGAGGCCGAAGAGGATTCCGGGCTGAGACGCATCTTGAACATGGAGTCTGTCGGAGAACTGGATGAAGACGAGGAGGAGGGGGTGCTTGCTGCGAAGTAGTTGCCGTAGTCGTTGACGGGAGAGTAGAGCTGGTTGTGCCAGGGATTTGTGTCGAGTGGTGAGATTGGGGAGAGCAGGGACGAGTCGTGATGGTGGTGGTTGCGTTGAGAGAGGAGATGTGACATTTTGATTCGAGTCTGGGGGGCAAATGGGACTGTGACTTGATATATATTTATATAGTGGACGATTATGACCGGATTTATATCGCTTGTATGAGCGGTGCCATTCCAAGTATGCAACGGTTGCCATTCTGAGCGAGCAGATTCCATAATATCCTTCAAAATGTTTTGAAAGGCTGAATTATTACGAAATACGGAATGCTAAGTGCCTTCCCGACATCACTCCGACAGGTCTCCTTCCCCGGACCTCTCCTCCATTGCCTCCGCTTCTCTCTTGACGTCGCCATGGCCAATCCTCGGGAATCGAGTCTTCTCATCCCCCGCATCCCCACATCACGGGTCGTGCCTTCTCGGTCCGTATGTGCTTTTTCAACACAAGTCTAAATACTTCGTTTTCGGTACAACATGAGGTTCACAATCGCGAAGCACTACGAACCACATACTTCGATCACGTGTCTATATTTACCACTACTCTCTCGTGTGCCCCCCCTCAGCATCTTGCCCATGACATACCACACAATCCCCATATCTCTCCGTCAGACAACCATCTCACCCTACCGGACCTCTCTCTGCATCAACCACCTTACCTCCGCACCTGCACCCCTTTCCCCCTATCCATCGGTCCGACCCATTCTTCTACTTCATCCTCAACTCATCTTCCACTTTTTCTGGCAGTGCATCTGCCTCCGAACCACCTTCTTCTTCTCGTGGCCTCATCGATCACCCCCGCCGCAACCGAGCCAAGGGTACCCCACTTCCTCGCAAGAACACTCCCGGAACCAACAACTTTCTTCTTTCCTCTTCCAGAAAATTAACGAACTCATGGTCGCTTCGCTACCTCTGCCCTGTGCATCCCCCAATCTGCTCCTTACTTGCCACATTCATAAGTGGCGTCCGCGAATCGTTTACTTCTACCATCTTCATGCGCTGATGCGCCCGAACCTTTATCTCCCCGGTGTGCGATTTGGGTCTAAGACGTTTAGTACATTTCCCTCCGCAGCAAAGTGGAAATACACGAACAGACGATCAACTATACCTTTTATCACGGTTCATTCTCTCATATGTTTGTTTTTCAAGGGCTGAAAAAAACAGCCTAAAATCCGCATGGGAATCCATGATCACCAGCACCGCCAGTAGTATTGCTGCCTTGCCTACTGGTTCGTACGCAATAGGCTTTAACGCTCTGCACCTCGAAAATATTTGCTCGGCTTTTAATAACCCACGGTACCGTTCGCATCACCCCCCGCCCCTTCCACATTCCCACTAAACCTGCGAGATCTACAGTCGCTCGTGAGTGCCAGTGATCACCTCTACGGCGAGGATGGGCTACCGCTAAGGGTCTCGTCTCTCTGCGACCGCGTACGCGCATATCGTCGCAACAATCAACCATATCTCCGAGGTCATATTGTGTCATATGTGCATTGAGCCGTACTCTACCGTATGTCGTCCCTTGTTCCTTTGCGCAGCTTTCGAGAGTGCGTGCGGCGTGGATCCCACCTTCAACACCGCCTGCGCACATCCTTATTCAACATAGCAATTGGAAAATATTAGTGATATGTCGTCCTCGTAACAATTTCAGTTGTTGTCTCAGTGACCGTGATACAATACGATACCTCCTGGATTTGAGATATCTGAGACAGTAATCTATATACCTTATAATTACTCGTACTGTCGACAATTTGTTTGATAGATAGATATGTAAACAGATGGGCGCGCCGTAGATATCAAACACCAGCTTGAAACGCTGCGAGCGTTCGCCCCAAACCCGCGAACGCCCACTTTAAAACATGTAGACATCGGAGCGTCTCCGCATTCATGAGTGCGTACAAAGGTTTTGGTGCCTATCAATCCGCCTACGCCTAGTAAGGCCTAATATCTTGATAATACAATCTAGAGTCTAGTGCAGTGTATGGACCAAGCGGCGCAGCCATGCGATTCCGCTACAAATTGACAAATGAAGTACGTACTGCACTCATGGTTCTTAGAAATGTGCATGGGAACGGGATTTGTACTGTATGAGTGGGCCATGGGGCGCGGAAATCTGCGAGTACATATGGGAATCAAATTAATAGTCACATCGTCGTATGGAAGTGGGTACGAGCATGAGTGTGTGCATGTATGGGTGTGGTCCATTTGACAAGTATGGAGTATGAGTACGAGCATCGGTATCGCGTATCGCGTATCATATACCATCATGGGCTTCACACACAGGTGCCGCCCATACCCATGCGTACCCGACACATACTAATACTATATCTTTCTATCTATCGTGGGTTTTCTCCCCGTTGCATTAGTGGGGAAAATGATAACCGTGGTCACCTCTTACTTTGCAATGGCGCGTGCCTGGGCAGGATAGGCGACGGCTAGTAGGCCCTAGGTGGGAGACTTCCAAGCAACATCTCCCCGATATCTAATCGTCCAGTTGCTATTATTGACTAGCGTGGTCGAACACCGCAGTCAATATATCCAGGGCGGGGGTTTGTACTGCCGGCACTACGAACCTCGAGTTTCCCAAGGAGTACGGAAGTATCTTCTCGTCCCCAAGGTACGATACGCTCATTCGTAGTGAAATCTTCATGATTGACTGCCGTGGTTAGACGCGGCAAGCTGATAGTGATGGTGGCGGTGATGCTGATGATGCTAACTGGCTGCTAAGTCCCAAAGATCGAGTCCGGCGCTCCCTGATTGTTTTACTTGAGCTTGTCGGGGAGGGGAGAGGGCGTTAGACGGACAGAACGACGTCATCAATCAGTCCAAAACATGATGAAAATTATCTGACAAAACCCGAGGGAGACAGAAATTCAGACAGACATAAGATAAGGAGGCAGGAGTAAAACACTCAAAAACGGGCATTGGAACAGAGGAATGGACGTGTGGCTACGCTTTCTAAAATCCGTTGATGCCTGATTTGATTCCGAGGACAGGTTCCCTGAACGTTCGATCCGTTTCAGCGTACGGGAGTTTGAACTGGTGAACTGATTGTCGAACTATCAGTGTCTAATCAGTCCTGATAAGACACAGAACTAGACTACTGAAATACCGTCGATGTCGAACTTCAACGTCCAACATCTACACAAATGATCAATATTAGACACTTGAGTAAGGGAGAAAGGGTAACAGGGTCGAGAAAGAGGCGTGCAGGCTTGCGTTCAATTGATCGGAAGACGTGAACTCAGTGGCTAATGTTTAAAAATGGACGAATAAGTTAGACAACGACATGAGTGATGTTCAGGTTATATGTCACTTGCCATTGTTCAGTGTGTACGCGGTAGACTTTATCGTCTGTGACCGCCGACCCTAGGTTAATCAATGGAGACCCTTCGCTTTGACTTTCTGCAAGCTTCATGTATATCCGGCTATTCACGACAGTTGTACTTACGCCGCCCGCATGCGCAGAATTCTGATCAGTTCAGGAGGTTCTCACTGCCACTATCATAAATAAAATAAACACAGAAACCAATAAACCCCGGGAAAACATACCAAAGACCCGATTACATGGACGGAGAAAACAACGGTCGTCCTGCCAGTCTGCGTTTCACAGTTTCCAAGGTACCTCAAGCCTGCAAGCAGACTTCACATTGACGACGGGCCACGGACATGCAGTGTGTTGCAGACTGACTGAGAGAGGCCGTAGTAGTCACTAGTACGACATTCAGCTGCCAATCAAAACTGTGGCTGACATAATCGAGGCATCTAGGTAAGTGACCGGCCTCGGAAGCAAGCGCCTTTCGACTCCGAGAAAACGGCCCTGAGAGGCGCGATCATGTCAAAGATTTGGCAAACATTCCGTGTCTGTCATGGCGCACATCCTTCATGCATCGAGCAAGTCTGTCATAGAGGTAGACTTAGCAGCTTACATAAATCGATAATTGCAGGCTTCAGTTACCAGAGATTTCAAGTGAGCGCTCGGAGTCAGAGTTGGAACCTACTGACGACGAGGGTTTCCTAGTAACGCATTGACTGGTAACTCGCATGGATGGAATATGTTCAGAATTTGGGATTGAATGCGCTTGGCGACGTGTGTAGATCAACCTTCCCTGCGATGAAGTTCTTCTGCCTCGGTGCCTACAACATTCATTATACATTGCGTACAACGCAGGCTCGCTCCCGACGTACTTACTTGCCTTGGAACCAGCGTCGCTCCCGGCTCGATTACTTCTCTACTTCGACCCCAATCCTGGCCCCGCGCCTAGTCACGCTTCCCGTCGTGCCTCCTTTCAACTGTGTCTTCTAGCTCGTCGACTGTTACCAAGGACCCGCTAGCTTACTTCCGTTCAACGTTCTCTCACTAGCTCAATTACCCCCCCCCCCCCGAAAACATTGACATCGGTGCTTCTGAGGATCTCTGCCGTTCGGACACCGGCCTCCAGATGCTTCGAATGCTTCGAATGCTTCGTAGAATGGATGCATTAGGCTAGCAGCGCGGTTGCGAAACCACATAAACAGACATGTATCCACTGATTGCTAGGTCACTGAGTCAACTCTATGTTGAATGGAATGGCCCTTCTGGCCTCGAGTCTGGACTGCACCAAGAGAAACCACTGTCATTTCTAATATCGAGAGGCCATCTCCAGTGCGCCCCGTAGTATTTGGTTAGCATGCTTTGGATTTGTCCAGTGCTCTCGTGCTGAACTATATCAAGCCCAGTCCAAGCCACACTACTTAGCGTTGATTTACTGATATCAAGACTTACACTTGGAATTGTGGACCCGTCGTTCAAGTTTGCTAAGGGCTTCGCTCTTTGGAAGCTGGATGTTTTAGGCGCGTTGCATTCTACTCCAATGCTTTCGAGCAACTTCTAGTTGGTCTGGTTCCGCCGGTCTAGTGTGCTTGGATGCCGATTGACGGAAATATATGGATATTTGTGATGTCTTCCAAACCTCGGAACCATCAATACGGCGAATAGGATACATCATCGTATAACTTGGTGCATCAGGCATGCTATTAGGTGTTAGAACCTTCGCCTTTCTGGCTCGCGAGGGCACCGCTGTTAGGCTTTAGTTCTCCGAATTTCAGGGCTAAAGGTTGCTTCTTCGTTATTTCAATCCGACCCTTCTAGTTGCCCGCAAGTACTAACGTTCCTTCCCGAGGCTTCCTCCGCAAGACTCCAAACCCTATCACAACTCACAGAAGTAGCTGAAGGAGCGTCGCTGACACAGCTCCGACATATGGCGGCTGACCTTTCGGAATGAGACGCACAAGGAAGAATCTTGGTATGAATAGAGCAATATCGTATATGTATTATATTTCGTTATATTAACAAATAGCATTTGTCCTTTGATGCTTGTCCAATGTTAGTCCAAGTCCATGGTAAACTAGCTCATGCCACTAGATCAAACGATGTTGACAGTAGCGTTTCTAATCTCAAAGAGTGGGAATGGCCCAGCCTGGTGTGAAGACCGTTAGCCCAAGTAGTACAGCACAAGAAGGAAAGTAGACTCACTCCGACCAAACTGAGATGAGTCACGCTCAATAAAGCTGTCCCTTTTGCGAAAGAACTTGGTAGTGCGACCGTGAAGTTTTGGTGAGGGGGTAGGCCGAATGATACGTTGGTGTGGAACTGCGGGTTGTATGAACCGGCGTAGAGGGTGAATCCAAGGAGATCTTCAGGGGGTATGCATTCTCCTCTGGCGGCGCATGGTTGGATGTTTATGGCGATGCCAACCTCCGTGGAACCAGTGAGACTATTCTATAAAGGTGGTTAATAGGAGTTCGAAGAGAGAAAGGGGTGACATACTGGTCGGTCAACTTCGACGGTGAAATTGGAGCCCGCAGTAATATTAGCACTTGGCTTAGGGAAACCAATCATGATACTCTGTGCAAGCGACACAGAGAGGAGGGAGAAGAGAAAGACGACGCAGGATGTAAACTTCATTGTGGTTGCAAAATGAAGCTGGAGTCGTAAGGTGAGGTTAAGGTGAGGCGAAGTAGTCGCAAACGTGGTCAATGGAGAAGTTGGACCAAGGCATGGGTTATATAGAAGGTCGAATATATGGCTCCACCACGGCTGCACTGCCCTAGCTCCTCAATTAGCAGGCGACAATGCTTCATCCATTGGCCAGTTGAGCCGCCCTCGGGAGAGCTCGAGGCCCGTCATCAACAAGGCTCAACTATTCGCATATATAGCTACTTCCGATCCATCGGTGTAGGCTAGAATTCTCTCATGTCCGTGAACTCAGCAAGTGGCATTATTTCTTCAAGAGAGGGGGCCCACGGAGGAGGTTACTAACCGTGTTTCGTTCTAAAAATACGCACGGAGCTTTATGTAAACCAACGGGGCGCGTCCCTTGAGGTCACTTCCAGGCGGCAAGGGCGATCTATAGCAAGATGATGGTCAATGTAGGGCGCTATTCACGGCGAGTATGAGAACGAGAAGGCTGGTCTGCGTATGATCTGCGCTTCGGGTGCCCTGAAGTTGTTCAGCGCGCTGTACGGGGTTGTGGATGACTCGGGATGAGGAACGGATGGATGCCGATGATGGTGCGCGAATGACCTCGCAAGTGCTCGAAAATTTTAGGAGTGATTACGATGCCGATGCCGAGTGGTCTACCGTCATTACAACTGGATCGAGAACCCATTGATTACGCGCCCGGAGATCTGCTATATCAGTCTCCAAAGAACTCGGTAGAACGACTTGCTGCTCGCCGTTCGGATTCAATTGTCACCTCCTTCACTTCCAAGATCGTGACATGGTACCCTACCAACGACGGCAAAACATCGCAGCTCGTCCCAGGCACCCTCTAAGGTCCACGAGGCACTCGACAGTCTCTTTGCCTCGGTATTCGACAAACTATTGAGGACCCAATACGACGTGTTAGGCTTAGCCTGGACACCGAAGTAGGGAGCTTCTGCTTAGACCGGAGTGTATAGTGGAGCGTAGAAGAAGGAAGAGATCCGATGATGCGTCAGACGGCCTTACCCACATCATGCCATGAGGCTGGTCAGGAAAGGCATACGTTGGCAAACGCTTGAATCGAGGGTGCCTTCTGGTTCTCAAGACGAACTACTAGATTAGTTTCTGAGGAACCAGTGGCAGTCTGGTCTCGAGTTGCGCGGGTCACCAGAGTTCAGGGGTTACTAGTCTATTCAAAAGCGTTCATTGCACTGATGCAACTGAGTTCGACTCGGAATCTACTCGGTGGTATGTATGTACTTGTGCCTTTCTATACTGTTTAAATCATCCCAACCCTGACAACTCATCATCTAATCTTCGGTAAATCCGAGTTTGACACCGAGACAGTGGGGTAATAAGGATCTTTTATCTTTACTTTGAATCCCGGTCTGGAAATATATTGGTGGCACACTACGGGGACATTCTGGGTACATTGCACCTGAGGTGCCTGAATCGAATCAATGAACCGCGAGTATTTACCGAAGGAAAAATAGTTATGTTATATCAGACAACGTGCCCGAGAGTGAATAAACTCGAGGATTTTTACTACGTAGAGTGAATTGAACGCTCTCTCGGCGATTTTAGTTCTCCTATCTCCCCTCGAGGGACGTGATTCAATGGATGTCGATGAGCGCTTACCCATCTACTACCCTCTTACAACAGGTTACTGGCAGTGACTCCGTTGTTGCGACTACGCTCCCTTCTCGTCCCGGGCTTCACTGTTGTCCTGTCTAGTTCTGCCCTGGGGTTGGGCCCATTTCTCTTGTACTTGCCACTACGAGCGTCCGACATGATTCCTCATTCTAAGAGACGGTCTCAGTTTCATACGGATAGCTACAATATGTCTGGACGAACCACTGAAGGTACGTAGCGTAGCGCTCGTACACCTCGTCGCTCGTATGACAGGCGACGTGGGTGCGAAGCTATTTTTCCATTGGGTTTGCAAAGCTGATGTGTTGCTTCTCATAACTGCAGATTCCGGAATGTGTGCGTGTAGCTGGGCCAGGCAGCAGGCTATAACCAATGGAGCGACCCTCTGACTCTGAGGGTGCACATTGGCCCTTAGAACATGATTTCGCATTTTCATTTCATTCACTATGTAGTGGTTTGGTGGTAAAGCTAACAATTAGTTGCTCTCCATAAACCTCATCGCCCCGTGATTTCCCAATATGAGGGTGGGGCATATGAGTACGAATATCGAGGAACATAGGCAAAGTAACGTGGATGGGCGCATTGTTCAATACGTTGGGTTTAACAGAGGTACGAGTCCCCCAATATCGCGAAAAGCTGATTGATGTCTCTGCAGTTATACCGGGCACATTGTGTTCTGTAGGCGCAAATCTCTCTGGTGGGAAGGTCGCAATCTATCACTCAAAAATTTCCATGATTTGTGGGGAAGTTAATGGCACGTTGCAAGATGTCAGCAATGTCGTGAGTGTCTATGCCCTGCTTCTCAAGCAGTTGCTCACATCAATCACCTACTTCTGCATAATGAACTGCTCCGTAAGTCTAGTCATAGTCTGACACTCACCCATTCCTTCTGAAAGAGACCCTACTCCTGTCCTCTTGCAGCCGGCCAGATGTCCAACGCCTCGCAATCTCCCAAATCTCGCCTCAACTCCACCTATCCTCCTCCGGACCCCGCCCTTTCCAGCGCACCAAGAACTTCCATCCCCGGCCGACCCTCATTTACAATCCTGTCCACCACATATTCCTCCTCGTCATCGACCATAACTGGCGGAGGCTACACAAGACGCCGGTTGGGGAAGGTGTCGACGTCGTTCAATCAGGCACGCTTTAGCAAGGAAGAACGAAGGGTGGACGTTGCTGTTGGGCAGATCGAGCGTGTAAATGGATGATCGAGGGTTTGCAGTGAGCACTTTGTAAGGACCATCGAAACACGGCATAAATTTTCTAACACGCCCGTCACCACTCTGCATGTAATCCCGACGACGATTCACCATGGATAAGTAAACAAGATCGCCGACCGTCGACGCGCTGGTGTTTGTTACCGTGGCTGTCACACTGAGTCGTGTGATGTTTGCCGCACGTGTATCTTACGAGCGGCTGGTTCAACTTCTAGGAGCCTGATGCAGAAGTATTATCTGCGACACAAGTCCTCATTCTGAGGACTGGCTATTGGAGTGGAGGACCATGACCCTTAACCAGAGGATAGATCATGGGATGTTCTCCTCCATCGACGCTGTCAAAGATGCAAACAGAAACATTGTATACAAGCTCGTTCGTTAAAACCTATTTTCTATTTTCCTGATAATCCAGGATTGGCCTTTTCATGTTAAAAATATGGTGTGTAAGCCTTTCGTTTAAATTTGACGATCCCCAGATAACCGGCGTTTTGTTGGTGTAGATACCTCGTCAACCCATGGGTATGCAGACGGGCACGGAACGTATATGAAGAACGGCGCAGGATAAATGAGGTGTTGCCGAGGGAGTGGTACGCGAGCGGCCGGGCGACATGGGGAGGTTCAGAAGCGCAATACAAGTCACCAGCCCAGGTCAAGATGAAGTCGCCGCAACTAGACGCAGTTCCCGGACCCGGACCACACAGAAAGCTCATAGAAGAACGGTAACGCGACTGAAGGCATCTAGGCGTCCAGGCGATGTGGGTCAAGATGCTCATGCTCGCGGCTAATAAGCTTCTGAGCATTCTAAGTATAAGACTCGGGCAAGTTGCATATTCGGGCATTCCTGAGAAGAAGTTCGAAGTGGTCGTTGGTCTGGAGCCATTGGTTCGGCATTACGAAGCAGTGAGTAGCGTTGAGTCTCGTTCGAAGGACAGTTCGAAGGACAACACCGCAAGAGCAGATTGCAGAAGGCGGCCTAGCTTTGTCCAAGGATACCAGCGCCGTATTGAAGCAGTCCCAGTCCTGCTCGGGCCGAATCGCTGTAACGAGGCAGATAAATACAAGCCTGATGAAAGCTCGATAATAGATATTAAAATACCAGCTCGTGACTGAGTTCTCAGCGTGCACATTCTTTCTCCCAGGAGGCAGCGGGACCCTCTTGTCCTCCTCACCATTCACCGCACCATTTTAATCTCCTTCGCTGTCCGATTTCACCCACGCATGTGCACCGCCAACAGACCTCGCTTATCCTCTTCGATCTCTCCACGTAAATATCCCAAGAAGCCAGACCCACCTCGAACTTGATGCATTCATGATTCAGACGGAGGCATGGAAGGCATGGAAGGCAGACATGAGAAGATACGAGAAGATACGAACAAGATACGAAGATATGAAGAAAGGCTGTCGGTATGTCGGGACTGATGTTATTCCGTGCTCCTCCGGGTTAATCCGAGACATCCCCAGTCCTCCCGCCCCAGCCGCGCCCGAGTCCCGTCTCCAGCTGCCTCATGCATGAATCATCGATCAATGTCGCGTCATCACTAAAAGTCCGAGCCTATAAAAACAAATCATTCTAAAAATTTCAAATCTTCAAGCCCCCGTTTCCGTTGTTTTTGCTTTGCCGACCCCACACTCAACCCAGCAAACGAAACAAAGGCTAGTACATAAGCGCGCGCCGTTCCAGATACGAGCAGAATTAGAGTTGTGAACTTGGACGCGTCCGAAGGCAACGCCGACGATCATCGCGCTCGCTGTTTACAGTATACCATACACCGGTGAGTGATTCGATTCCTTCGATGCTCGGACAGCTAATTTAGACTCGCCTTTGGAATATAAAGTTTATAGACCACATAGACTTCTAGACGACTTCATTCACGACCTCCATACGATAAATAAAACCAGCAAAAACGCGGTCTCTGATCTCGTCTCACCAATCCATCCCTCAGATACTTTCGCTTACACCTCCCATGTCGACAGTCAGAGTCAGAGCCCGAGGGACTTCCACCTCTTCTACAACAGTTGTCATAACACCGACGACAACGGTGGCTAAGCGTCCGCGCGCCTTATCAATAGGGCTTATCGCGTCGTCCGTGCCTCTACCTCTTTCACCTACTCTCCCCGATTTTGCATCCCTGCCTCCACTTACTCTACCAACCCAGGAAGAAGATGGTTTTAGCAAGTACGGAACCGATTGCCAGACGGATTCCGTTGTACCCCCACTCCTCCGCCTCCCCTCCGAACTCCTACTCCAAATCATTCGCTTACTGTACACCCCATCTCCTACCCCTCCTTCGGCCATCCCTGCACCCTTTCCCAACAAACCCAACTACAAATCAAACAGTTCCGATAAGGAACCCAGGGCCGAGCCAGCATTTTTCGCACTAGCACGCACATGCACCCATCTCCTTGCCCACGTACGCGACGTACTCTACGAAAAGGTTGTTCTGGGGAGCGTTAAAGACTTAGCGCGGTTCAGGAGATCCCTAATCCCTATCTACTCCTATGGTTATGGTCGAGGGGTCCGTGAAAGTGGAAGCGGGATAGGAAAATCGGTGCGCCAACTAGCTATTACGTGCGACACGGACGCCGCCTATGCGTACAAGAACACCAGTGCCCTCGTAGACGCGGAAGCGATTCTGGGGAACGCGAATGTTGTTCGGCATTTGAGGAAGCTGGCCGTTCCATCGCTTTTCGAGTTGAGATTCCTCCCGCCTGCGGAGGGGGGCATTGAACAAGTCTTTGTTCGATCCGTCAACGCGGTCACTCACCCTTCCAAATCCACCATCACCGTCGATTCCAGTGGAACCAGAGTCTACCCTCCCCTTCTGAGGGACACGACCCACTTCTGCGTCGCCGAGCCTTCGACAAGAGGGTGGGTCTCCCCGCGCGAGATCTTGGACTCCGTTTTCCCTTCCCCATCTCCCTCGCCTGCCTTTACCTCGGTCAACTCACAATATAAGTTAACGCACCTCCATTTCGCGCGCCGCGCCGACGCGAACGCAGAGAATGATGTCGCGTTCGTCAAGGATGTGCAGGGTATCATCACTTCGAACTCGGGCTCTAGGTTCCCAGAATTGGATTCTGTGGTGATCTCCGTATTTGCGCCGGAGTGGATGGATTCTTCCTCGACCGAGTCCGACGAAGTCGACGAGCCTGTGGGTGTCGCGGAAAAGGTAGATACACCATATGAACAATACGCGAAGGCATCTCATTTGTGGGGCTTGCTTGACGATCTAAGCGGTTCCCTCACTCCTTCCGATGCGAGGTTGGTCATACGCGTGGGTAGATCAGACGAGTGGACGGAAGAGTGGCAGACTCGCTCCTTGCCGAAGGCCAGGGAGGACTTGGGATTCTGGGAACGATGCATTGTTGAGGAGAGGGCGCGCGAGAGAAGGGTATCAGGGTATTAACTTGTTGGACATCTAGAGTATCGGATTAGACTGTAGTATGATATATCTATGTGCACTGCACGATCATGACACCGACGCCTTTTCATTATAATTATCAGCACTAATACTGCAGCTTTGTTCGCGTTAAAATTTCAGTCAGAGGTCGGATTGAGGACTAAGATTAGGTCGAGGCAACCAAGATATATTCAAACTTAGGTCATAGGTCGGATCGAGTCAGAGTTATGCAGGTCAAGTCAAAATCAAAATCAAATCCCACCAGGCTCTCGCGCGGGTTGAGCCCTGCTGAATATAAGGCCCTTTATTCCAAACTACCAGTTTCTTTTGCGGACCATCGTAGTCGGCCTCGACAGGGGGCAAGAAAGCATGTGACATGCCATCTTGTCAAGTTGACAACTCAATATTCAATTCCAACTTACGTCTTACTTCAACTATGAAATGCCAAAAGCCGTTCGGCATTGAGATACTTGCCTCAATTCTGTCCTACTTGGACGACGCTGACCTGTCCAGATGCGCTACTGTCAGCAAAGAGTGGTCAAGCATCTCGCTTGACTTGAAATGGTCCACTGTCACTGATTTGGTTCGATTGCTTCATGCGCTCATCCCTCTCAAACAAGGAGCAAACAATGTATACGTACGTGATTCTCCCTAGCCTCCGAGTCCGGATACTTATCAATCATCAAAATATCAATCGAACCATCATTTCAAAGCGATTTTCTCGTACGCTGGGCCCGGCTGACTGGAAGCGCTTCGAGCCGACGGCCGCAAGAGTCCGGCACCTCCGATACTTGCAGGATGCGACTACCAGCGGGCGTATTCACCCTCAGTCGTTCCAGGATATCGGCTTCACGCGTCTGAGAATTGACATCCTTCCTAATCTACGTACCCTCGCATGGGGGATCGATCCCATCCATTCCGTGCTCTTTATGCATCCCGGCGTCCGCGTTTTCGTCGCGTCGTTCACGACTATGCAGGTACTTGCACTCCCGAACCTTTTCTCCAATGTAGCCATACGGATTCCGCAACTCAAGACTCTCGATCTCCGCACATCGGTTCCGGTTAATACCATTCAGCAGGATTTTATACGACTCATTCAACAACTCCCTGGGCTCGAAAGTATAAACCTTCCTCCGAATTATCTGACCGATGACTGCATTGACGCGTTATCGCGTCTTTCTCAGCTCAAAAAGATCACACTTTCCTCCGAAGGCCCAGGGAAGCTTGTCGATTTACCGGCATCCGTTGCAACACCCTCACCAGGGAGCTTTCCCTCTATCTCGTCTATGTCTTTCTCCCTTCCCTTCGCCGCTTCAACGCGACTTATATACAATCTTTCTGGATGTCGTCACCTGGAGGAGTTGGGTGTTCATTCGACTGAGCTCGGGTCAGAAGTCGGTATCCACGATCTCCTCGAGGCCATCTGCAGCAGCGCCCCATCTGTGAAGAAATTGTCTATACACCCGAAAATTCGATTTCCGCATGAGGATCCCAAAATCACCTTACCCTTCGAGCACTTACGTCCGATTTCCAATCTAACAGAGCTCACACATTTATCCATCCACTACCAACACGCTCTAACACTCTCAACCGTCGATCTCGCGCAATCGCTCCCGAACCTCCAATCATGTTACCTTAACCCATACATCCCAAACCTCTCAAACCCGTTCCACCTTGATTCACTAATTCCGTTCGCGCGGCACTGTTTCCATCTCCGCGAACTTGGGCTATACCTCAGTGCGTCGGAGGAAGGAGTATCCCTGTATTCGAACCCACCAGCCTTCCGCTCACTCGTCACGTTGGATGTAGGGAATTCCCACATAGAGGACCACCTCCCTGTAGCGCTGTTCCTTGCGCAGCTCATCCCGTTTCGCTGTGTGATCACTACGCAAATGACGGTGGTGTGTGGTGGTGGCGAGGAGAATGGCGATGGGGGCAAGACAAACTGCGACCATTGCTTGTGTAAAGCGTGTTCGCGGCATCAACAATGCTGGGCAAAGGTTCAGCATATGGTTGGGGCTCTGGTACGATGGCGGGTAGAGGAAAGAAGGAAAGCCAGGGCAGAGATCCGAGAAGAATTCGCGCGTTTGCATCCTCCTCTGGGTCAGCTCCAAAAGGAAGACGCAGACGCCCAGGTAGCGAACAGCGATAAAAACGACGAATTATCTAATGTTCCGTCGATAATACACTCCCCTCAAATACCTTCTCTCCAGGGTGTGATACTCATACCTGATCACGACGATGCGCCTCGGCAGTCTTCCTCTCATCCACCGTCCATAGAGCTCATACCGAAGTTTCAATCCCGCGATATCGTCACTGCAGCATTGACTGGGACGTCTTCATGGCCGGGCATGGTACGTTGCATTGACGGTCATCGTTGGAAACAATTTCTTATACTCTGTCTCATTTTCATTGGTCTCGTTTAGATCGTCGATCTAAAGAATACCCCGTCATTAATGCTGCGCACGGAACGACCTAACGGTGTCGATGGTGACGATATGTTTCTCGTCCGTTTCTTCCCTCGGGGGGATTAGTTAGTCATTCCTTCTATACATGCCTAGCATGCCTGAAACTTACGGCTTGCGAATTATAGCGCGTGGATACCGTCAAAGGATATCAAACATCTCACTAACGACGAGATTGAGGCATTTTTAGAGGAGCCATACAAGAAGAGCGAGGAAATCTTACATGCGTATACAATTGCGCTCGACCCTGGAGAATGGGAGATGCTTACAGAGGAACGGCTAGCAGCTGAGAGGGAGGAAGGGGACGGGAGTTGTCCTCCACACCTCAAGAAGCGGAGGGGTACTCACCGTAGCTCTGGTGTGGGTGTGGGTTTGGGTTTGCCAGTTGAGGGTAACGTGAATGAGAATGGCAAGGGTGTGGTTAACTCTGCATCACCTGCCCCTCATCAACACGATCTATCCTTGAACGAGGAAGCACAGAAAGTACGCAAGTGGAGGTGCGCATTGCAAAAGTGCTTCTTAACTCCAAAAAACCCCCCGAAAGAAGAGGTTAGTCTCCATAGCTTTGTTTTCATGAGACATTTTTCACAACGATTGGATGGTCATGACGGTGGTATTTTTATGATTATTCATTGATCGCTTTGATAGAATATGCCCGCAATGGACGATATATTCACGACAATCGAGAATTTCCCAAACATGAAGCCCGAGTACCTCCAGGTACGTACTACGTGTTTCGTTTGCACCTGCTATTTGGGCGTCGAAACTCCCTGACCAGTCACATTTAGTTCTCAAAACTCGCGAAGGTAATGCGACTCATATCTTCGCTCGAAGACGGAGTCCTCCCGCTGGACGGCGAATTCCGATTCCGGAGTCGAGCAACGAAGTTGGCTGAAAAGTGGCATTATCCACTTCCTACTACGAACGCGCCTCAAGCTGACGTTGCGTCGACCGGTTCGTAGCATTGACTGTTGAATATGAATTTGTATCATATGGAGGAGTCGGAGGCATCTAGTAGGGACAGTTAAGATAGTATCTGAAACGGATTTTACGAGAGGGACCTTGGAATATCATACGTCAGATTCGAGGCTCATCGACGGATGACTAGTCGCACACCACGCTGACGGCAGATCTCTACGGTACCAGAGGTTCACAGTGCTCTTTTGTGTTGAATATCGATCTCAATTCCATATCAACGGGAAAACATACAAATCTCCTTGAAATACTTTCAATGCTCACAGAGGGAATAAGCCCCGCTGTCAAGCCAGAACTATTCTATTACATCAGAAAAATGATCACACAAGGGAACAATCAGTTACTCACCCGATGGGATGAAGCGGTTGGGGTGAATTTCCTATCTTCCATCAATTCCCTTCTCCGCTTCTCCGCTTCCTCTCTGGTTATCGTTCCCTCGGTTGCCATGCCCACTATATAATTGCGCAGTTCTGCAGGAATTTCTTTGCCTATCGAGCGCTTGAAGGAAAGCAGAAGCAGGGAGTGTAAAGTCCGGATGTTGCAAGGGCGCGCTTGCCAGGGCACGTCAGAAGTGGACAGAACGTTCATATCCTCTAAGCCATCGGTGGAGTAACCTCGATACTCTAATCTGCCGCCTTCGCTTGCCTCGTCATCTACCAGGAAGAAACAGAGCTATCCCTCCCATCTCAGTAAGCATTATTCATAACCTAGAGTGTGTTGAGTACTCACAATTTTCCTGGACGCCAGCGGAGCAGAGGGATCAGCGGAAGAATGCGAAATCCCTGCAACTTTGTGCTAAAGACTTTTGGTCAGTAACGACGAGGCTCAGCGGTGCGTAAGACGTACTTGGATCCAGTTAGGAAATGTGATGATTCTTCCTGTTGGATGGTTTGATCTGCTCGACACACCGGTGGCCTGCACAGTACCGAGGTCAATGTAGTTCCGTAGACCGGTTGTCGTCCACGGCCTCCGTACTCCATCATACTCTGTGTATTCCCAGTCGCTCGGATAGTCCCTCTCGGACTTATCGTCATCTACATCAAAGTCGTCTTCTTCCTCTTCGTCCTCATCGGTAAAGTTGATATCAAAGTGCTGATGCCAGCATCATCAGTTTGTCGCTCAAAATGTCTTGGTAATTGGAGCATTAATGAACGAACCTCGTGTCTATAATCTTCCATGTTGGGGAAATCTTCCTCCGCCCTTCGACGCCGGAAGGAAAGCCCTTGGTCCGTAATCTCGGGGTCGGCTTGGTAATAATATATAGCGGAGGCAACAATTTGTTCATGAGGCTGGCGAAGGCATATCGGCGAATGTCAACTCTTAGATGAAGGCAGGCACCCACCATCCCCTCCATATGCCAGGTCCCAACGTATTCCTGACCGGACTGCAACACGTAGTTTGCGGCCTACGATGAATATTTCCGATAAGACGAACTTTCGTTGCAGTAAGTATCAGCAAACCTTCACGATGACCTTGAGGCGTTTGCCTCTATAGTTCGCGGGTACGGCAGCGACGGAATCGTCCAAGCCGTGGAAGTCTGTGATATTGTCAAGTTCGTGTTGGAGCTGCTTAGCCCTGTCATTGTCGCGTTGTTCCTCTATGGTTGCTTGATCCTCCTTGGCTTTCGTTTGAGAATCAAGGAGAGCAAGCCAGTCAGCACGGGTAGTCCCTTCCCGCGCATTCCAACGCTCTATCCACCGTTGTTCTTTGGGAAACGTGATATTTAACTACTCCGCTGGAGATACTACGATGTTGACTTACCAGAAGCAGACTCCTCATACGAATAGTCCCATTCTGTAGTGCGTTCGAGTTGCGGAAGCACTACCAGGAACACTTTCTCAATAAGTCGGTACAGGCCGGGATGACGTTCCCGAGGTCCCAAGCCGTTGATATATGATTCGATATGAACGTCCTGTCCGTCGTCCGAAACATGAAAAACGGAGGGAATCCAGGCGTAGCGCGATGCGAACTCGAAGCCGTGCGTCGTGAACTGCGCTGTTCTGAATTCTCCTTGTTCCAGACGAGGGAGAGTGACTCCTGGATTGACAGGCGAGATGCCACCCATGTATGGATCTACAAGCCACTAAATGGGTAGGACGGAGACAACATACGTGTAACCACGTACACAAGGATGGATGGATCAGATCTTGGACCTTGGCGTCGACGGTCAGCAAGGAATTACGGTGTTAAGCCAGCCTTCGTACGAACTTTGCCTCCACTCCCAGGGTGAATATCTCTGGGCTCTTTTTGAGCGATGAGATCTAACTCGTGCACAAGCTACAAAACTTTAGTGTCATGAGTACTGTCACATAGCACGACCGCATACCTCGGAGTGCAATGATCTTGGAACGATGTTGTCTGTCACAAACACCCCAACCTCTTCCCTTAACTTGGGCTGAACAATGGAGTACTTAGATGACCTCACGAACTTCAGCGTGTCGGTAACATCTTGATCTATCTTTTCGAAAGGAATGTCCCGATGTCCCTCCTCCGCATGAACACTTGCCTGCAAAAGCTGCGGCGAATGATCCAAGGCCACGATTCGGCTTGCTTCCGCCTTGAGATCACTGGAGATCAAACACCAACATTCAGCTGCATCCACATCAAATGACCATGTCCATTCACCGTATTGCTTGCACGACCAAAAGGGACTCATCATTCATCGCTTCTTCGTTGTGCAGAAGTTGCGCTTCCATCGCCCATTTCGTCGCAAGACCTTTGGATTCATCGAGCAACTTGAACGGCCAACCAGGCTTCATTCTAATAGCATCGCAGAATGTGGAGACAGCGTCAGAATCCGGCTCATGTAGGTAAGACGAGGCCATGTTGAGTCTATCTTCAAGAGAATTCGAAGGCCTGGGGTTCGTGGCTTGTTAATGAGTCAAGCAACCACTGGCCCGTGGGCATGATCGATTGGATACATTTGTTCCAGGCACCCGGCAATGCATGCTCAGGGAAACATATCATCTGAGAAGAACCCCGAGATCGCCAGTGTAGGCACTCACCACTTCGTGACCGAATCTCTGATACCAACACAGTCACTCGGAAGTACTGACAGTTACTTACCAGGGAATTGCCAAAGTTGCCTCATCTGGGTCTTTCTTACACATCTGCCTCGTCCGGGGGCGAAGGCAATTTCACGAACTTCGTGCGCTCAACCACGTTTGTGACTCCAGCGACTTGGGCTTTGGTTCTGAAATTTTCTTGGACAGGATTAATGAGTATGCGTTAAAACGGTGCTACCATCAGATTCATGCAGGGCGAAATTGAGGTGCGTTTGATTTGAAGGATGCTGAACGTTTGAACCGCAGGACGGGACGGTGAGAAAACGTGACCGTGATATCCCGCCCAACCTGGATATGGAAATGACGGCGGGATTCTTCTCAACCCGTAGACCTTGAAACGGGTATGAATTCAGTCCCCGTACGCCTCTCACATTATTCCTCACCCATTTGAACATTGGCTTGCTTCATCTTCAAATATCTCAAAGTGCCTCCTATGCAACTCCTATGAGGCCCCTACTCAGCGTGGCAGCTTCTCCCACTTCCATGCTGAGATTACACATGGTACATGCATTAAATCGACCAGACGTGTATGTATGCAAAATGTATCGTACACACCCGTTTCTTCTGTCATTAATCATCAAGCGTTCTGCACGCCTCATTCGTTGGGATCAAAACCCAAAACCATCCCAGCTCCTGTAAATGGATCCAACCGTCCATCTCCCATCATCGCATTATAAAGTATACCTAAACCCTGGTTGCCCCTCAAGCACCTTCCGCCCACCTCCCAACTTCCCTTCATCACATAACCGATTCATCCTCTTGAAGTGTAAATTCATCACTCCTACTAGAACCACTATCAATACTTGCATCCCCAGTGTTACCCATAAGCCTGGAACGTATTTCGGACGATCAACTTCGCGGAAGACTGTGGAAGCGATGATGCCGCCGATGCCGCCAAAGGCTACTGTTACGGCTGACTGAACAACTCGTTTGCTGAAGGAGCAAAGGGGAATGTGTTAGCTGCCGGAAGGCGAGGGAACTAAGGGGCGTACCTTTGAGATACGACGTTATTCGCGCCCTAGAGAAACAGAAAGAACATTAACTCGCAAAGACAAATATCATACATCCTCGGAACCCACGTATGCCAAAATACCCGGGATGCAGCCTGAACTACCTGCATTGACGAGGAACGTGCCTTATTGGACATTTTTTTTAGAAAACAAACAGATTGAATGGAAGACGGTGGAAGCCACACACCGAAATACCGAACACCATTTTGTGGCGCGTAAGCCATGAGGGCCAAACCAACTATACCTATGACAGCTTGGATAGCGATATACGGGGATCGGATCTGTGTTTTATCCGAGAGCCAGGCAAAAGCCATTGCCGAGACAAACTATACATTGTTTCGTCGCGGAGAGGAGGCGGCGTGAGATCGGATAAATATCAGCGCGCCGAGAAGATGCCTAATAAGTTGAATACGTACCGCGGGACCATAGGGTGGAGCGCTCTGTTGACAGGAACCGCCCGTGACATGAGGTTTATGGACAGGAGAAGGGAGAAGGGGGAGAAAAGGGGACCAGAACAAACAATCAATTGATCGAGTTTACAGCGGTCAGTAATTCAGCAAATCGGCGGGAGCGTGGTGTATGGGTGTACATGTGAGAGAAATTGGTCGGTTTTGAATTGGGTGGTCAGCGACGATTACGTGAAGACGCTAGGCGTTGGTGGGGGATAACGTACGAGGAGAAGAGCCGACTTCGCTTTGTATCCCATTCCTTCAAGGATGATCGAGATGAAGTAGGACATGGCGTAAGCAGGTGTTGTGGCACACATGAACATGACGCCTGTACAAAGAGATGGCATGAGAACGGATGGGCGACACAAAAGGATAAGTTGATTAGACGTCCGAGTCGGGAGGGGAAGCCAACGACGGCTCGGTATCGATCCTAAACTCACCGTACGCCCAAATCGTCCAATCGCCTAAATGCGTCAGAATCTTCTTGAACGTAATCTTATCAGGAATGGAGTCGCCTCTGTCGTCTTCTACGCGTTTGAGGACGAAGGCAGTTTGCTCGGGCGTGAGGAATGTGTTTTTATCGGGGAAGTCGGGGAGGGCATAGAAAAGAACGATCCCGAGAGCGATAGTTATTGCGCCTTCGATGATCTGGGTAGAAATTTGTTTAGAATGGGCATCGTGAGCCGGGAAAAGCAAGAAGGTGGTGCTCACAAAGATCCATTCCCAGCCCGCGATCCCCTTCTTCCCGTCCAAGAGACTGAGTCCATACGCGATGATGGGGCTAAACCCACTAATAGTGATAGAAGATAGGTAGAAGGCCGCAAGCCGCTTCTGTACTTCGTAACGCTTATACCTTGGATGATAACGGGAGGAAGTTAGAAAAGTCTGAAGATATCGCCATTATTCGCGACGCTCCTCCTTCTGCCCACTTCTCCCAGGAGAAGGGAGAAGGAGAGGAGAAGAGGTAACAATGACATAAAAACGAGAAAGTCAATCCCAACGTACCATGTTGATATGATGTAAACTAAAGCTGGGAAGAAGGGAGCCTGTGGGAGAGAACCGGTGATTAATGGATGTGTGTAGAGGGAGCGAATCCAAGTTAAGTTAGTGTCAATAGGGTTTGGGTTATGTGGTATGGCTTAAACTTACCTCAAAGAGACCCAGCAGCACACGGCAGAGGATAAGCCATCCCCATGTCGGGACAAATCCCATTCCGAGTTGCACAGCACCCCTATGAAACGCAAAGTGACTCAAGGGTTGGTTCCGTTGCGCAGAAAAACGTAGAGGTAGAGGAAAATCTAGAGTATAAGCGTGCTCTTACCATGCGACTACACAGAAAGCAAGCCAGTTACGTGCCCCAAGTAATCTAAGAACAAGGTTCCCCGGTAATTGGCTGCAATCAGAGGCGATGCAAGTGTCAAATCAGTACGGTGATAAGGTGAAGATCGGACACCACAAACCCAAGGATATAGGGAATGAAGTAAAGGCAGGTCACGATGCTGAACCGGCTTCCGACAGCAAGATTCTGTTCGCAATGCACATTGCAGTCATCAGCGATGCGGTAGACGCGGATTCGAATAACAGCGTACCAGATCCGCTCCCATGCCTGCCGTTCGAGCAACGCCAAGATTGATACGGTCAATGAGGGCGATGGCATAAACTACAGCTAGCAAAGGGAGTACGCGGAAGTCGACGAGACGCCTGCGGATTGTGGGGTCAATACAGACACCTCCGTAGCGAAGCAGAGTGAGTACATAGTGCGCCTTTCGAATGCTTGAAAGTGAGTATCGTTGCCCCCCCGCACAGATGTAATCGAAACCCCATCGTTCTTCTCCGAGTCCGTCCCGCTGCTGAACTGGTCTTTCGAATCTGCCATTTGGTGAGTATCCTTGAAAGGAGGTGGGATGACCGGGCTCCAGAGGCACGACGAAGGGGGAGAAGTGGGTTTACAAAAACCAAGCCATCTCAAGGCCCTTCTTTATATTGTAAATCCACAACAGCGCCTGCCTGCCCAAGCCATCTGGTGATCTTCTACAGGTCGTACCTGCCCTGGGAATCCGGACAAACGACTCTATTCGGTCATACCACGAGGAAATCAATCGTCTGCAGTGTATTACCGCCGCCTTCAAAGCGGAATAGTTCGATCGCACCTTTTGTGGATGCGTTGTGGTAAGCCGCAGGAGACAGTACCACTCCGAGGCACATAAGGTTGCGCCACTAGAACTAAACTCTTCATTTCTCCTAGGATGTAATCGAGAGGTAATTAAAAGAAGAACTCACTGAATGTGCGCAGCCCCAACGTTTCGGGTAGCCATCAATGCAGACCCGCCAGTCGCCCGAATTTCAGAAAATCGATGACATAGTGGGCCGTTCGCGGCCCAGATTCTTTGGGTGCCATTCAAGGCAAGGCCACTAGGGACCCTGTCTTCACCCATGCAGGCTTGGTCCAACCAGTGTGAGAAGAGATACATGGATTCCCCCGTTAAGCTCACCCTTGCAAAAGTGGCTCTACGAGGAAGTCTAAGTGAGGGGGGCTCACCAATCTCTAGACTATCTGATGAGATGGATGAGATGTGCTGTATTCACAGCAGAATAGCACCATGATCCTCGAAACTTGTGGCGCAAATGGCTGTAAACCATGCTGGAACTTGGATGAGAAGCCTGGAAGGTCGGTCCGATGCTAGGAGGTCACGTGTTGGAGTTCCACTCCGGAGTTCTTCGAAAGGTGAATTGTGCTAGATTATGCCATAGATAAGTAGATACGGAGTTCATAACGTAGATAGTTACATGATATAAAATGTAACACAAACTGACAATATCCTTACGGGCACCGGGTGTTCGATTCAATTAGAGAGTATACCTGAATCCCTGTTGGCCCTCGACAGGGGGTCCTCCGTGACGGGCAATCCTATTGACCCGGTAGTAATGTACGCTCGTGAGAAGTAGGAGGGCCAAGAGGAGTAACTGGCAGCCCACTGTGGCCCACAGCCCAGGAACATAGCGAGGGGAGTCTTGCTCCCGAAATGTTGTAGTCGCAAAAATGCTGCCTGCTCCGCCGAAGCCAACCACTAGGGCCACAGAAGCCGCTCTCTTCGAATGTGATATGACGTTGTTCGATGACTGAATAGCGGAAGAACCTGAATCAGGATCGCGAGCGGCGAGAAGATGGAGACAGGACGCACGTAAGCTAGTACACCTGGGCTGCACCCTGCTGTCCCTGATGCTATGAGGAAAATACCTACATCAAAACCCATCAGTTGCTGCGGTTTCTTCTATTCATTGAATGCGATACTAACCAGCGTAACGCCAACTATGAGATGGGGAATACGCCGTAGTTACGAGGCCAGTGATGGTGATGAACACCTGAGCGGCGATGAAAGGTGCGCGCAGTCGACATTTATCAGACAGCCAAGCAAAGAGCATACTGCTGAATAGCTGCAAAAAGAGATGTTTGTATGCTGCACTATATTTAGGAGGAGGAGGAGGGCAGCTACTACTTACAGCGAGGACATATGGCGGAGCACTCTGTAGGTAATGTCAACCCACGAAAGCGACAATCACCGAGGTCTTAACTCACTAAAAGTAGAGCCTTCTCTTTCGACCAACCCATTCCACTTAGGATAATAGTCATGAAGAACCTAAGATCAAGGCTCGAGATCGTAGTATCTCCGTTTCCATGATTCTGGATACATACGATAGCGCAGTTTGTGGGACCGTCGAGCAGAAGAACATAACCCCTTGTAGGGGATCAATACCGGAATCATACATTTGGACTTCAGACTTACCATGCACCCAAAGTACCCAATCTTTGAGATGCCCCAACACTGACAGAAGAGTCACTTCGTCCGCGACGGAATCGCCACGATCTTCCGCTACACGCTTCAGTACGAGGTGAGTCTGTTCTTTCGTCAAGAAGGCGTTTCTCTCTGGAACATCTGGAATGAAGAACCACGATAGCAATCCGAGAGCTACCGTGATGAGGCCTTCTACGAGCTAGCTTGCAGGTCAATACAACGCCACAGCATAAAAAGGTCCAGTCACTCAACGAAAATCCATGACCAGCCGGCCAAGCCCCCTCTCCCATTGAGCAGACTCAACCCGTAAGCCAGGATGGGACTGAACCCTGCGGCGAGGAGAGAGATGACCGCGAAGCCGGCAATTCTATGGACCGAGTACGAAACACTGGCATTAATGACCGGGACGAAGGAACAGCCATTCGAAGCACCTCTTCTGGAGTTCATATCTAGTATACCTGAATATCGAGAGTGAGGATAGATCAGTATTCAACGTTGTGAGCGTATTCAAGGAGTATTTGTTTACCAGGTACTTGTAATGAAGACAAACGATGGCAAGAAGGGTCCCTTGTAGGGGGAGATGTCAAACTACAACGCATATCGTATGACGCGTGCATGGCTTACCTCAAGCACACCAAGCAGCAAACGACATAGTAGTAGATATCCCCATGTGGAGACGAATGCCATACAAAGCTGCACAATGCCCCACGAAACCGTGCAGAAGGCTAGCAGGGAAGGAGCCCCCACTCGCCGAAGAAGTACACCAGTTGGTATCTGGCTAGATCCCATTTAACATTTCAGAGCAGAATGGCGGACGCATGGTGCACGTACACAAGGATGCTTCCGATGGAGAACACAAAAGATACAATACTGTATCTGTGTCCCTCAGTGAGGTGCTGTGATCAAAGTGTAGAAGTCAGCATTATTGAGCAGACAGGGGCAGGCGCATCGGTTCATGTGCCGATAGACTCACCAAGGCTTCCCCCATACCCGCCACGCGTGCGAGCCCAAGGTTGATTCGGTCAATGTGGGCAAAAGAATATAGAAGACCCAGGAGCAGCATCAATCTCACATCGACGAGACGGCTGTCGGTTCAATTTTCCCGGCGTCGGAGCGCGCACACATCCAATAGGCTCAATATACTCACATAACTTTCAGCTCGTCCCGCCTTCTTGTTTCATTCTCTTCTTCGACGTCATGAGAAGTGACTTCGACTGGGGATTTCTCCAGAGAAATGGTTTCCCTTGCAGTGGTTGGTGCCATAGGCAGCGATGTCGACTTGGGGCACGAAGTTGGTGGATGCGAAGAACAACTCACCTTTAAGTATCGGGGTAGGGGTAGGGCACCCACATTCCAACGCGAACATGGAATTAACTCTGTTGCACCTGCCAAGGCACAATTCAAAACCATGGCCAGGTGGTTCTTGACCTTCATACGGGCTACTGGAGGATCATCTTCACCGCACGTACGAAGGGCACAGCGTTAGCACGATGGCATCCTAGCTAGAAAAGCGTTGACCTGCAGCTTCCAGATGCCCAGCTGTCCTCGTGGGGGTACTAGGTCGGAAAAGGATATCCATATTCCTTTTCTGGGGCAGGGACGCAGCAGAACCCCTGGAAAGCCCTCGCACGGTAAAAGGGGTATCTAGATGCGAAATACACGCGGTTGAGGAAGCCTACTATGAGTTGTGAGCAGACACCGCACGGAGTGATTCTTATTCTTCACAGGCGGATGGGAGGATAACATGTAATATTTGGGGTGAGCCTTCTGCGAACGCTCTAGTGGTTCTTGCCCATGCTAACCATTTACCGCATGGTTGAAGCAAAGATCCTGGCACGAGGATCTCAGTCCAGGAATCAGTAGCGGGACATGGTAAACCGAGGGTTGCTTCCCCTAGGTTCACAGTCATCAAAGTCAACATTGCGGCCGGCTGTACAACCAAACCTCTTGAAGAAGGAAACAATCATCCAAAGTAGGCTCCGTCCCCCCAGAAGTAGTCAATATTGAGCGACCATAAGATATACAACACAAAGCATCGTCCTCGTTCGCGGCCCGACGGATCTTCCACAACGTAAATAGTATTAAGATGACCATATTTTCAGCAGCACTTGCTTTCATTCTACTAGCAGGACATCCTGTTCACGAGTCAGCGGAAGCGATGCCTCAAAAACGGAAGTTTCACCTCGTGAAGACCCCTCAATTGATTTAGCACGATGATTGAATGTGGGCCCGCTGGAACGAGGACTCGTTTTTGGTATGAGTCTCCTTGCCCTTGTCTCGGTCCTTATCTGAGCCGGTAGGACTGGAATAGCTCATGCTGTCGTCTTTGTAGAGGTTATGCTCCTCTATGTAATCTACGACTGCCGAGGGCAGAAGGTACCGAACGGAAAGCCCTCTTCTCAGGAAGAGGCGAACCTGTGGGATAAACCGTCGATCAGATTGAATTACCCTTAGCGGAAGCATGGTCGACCCACCTTCGTGCTTGAAACGTCGTTTTGTATCAGCTGTGGAACCAAATAGATGTTGTGTCTCCAACGAGCGAGGCTGTCTGTCGCCTGGTCCATTGCCGCTCCTGCACGTTCTATGATAAATGTGCCATATCTTCCGAGAATATGATCGAGCTAGGTGATCGTCTGCATTAGCACCACACGCCTTGAGAGCGTTCAACAGGGCGTACATCGCTGTAGCTCCATACGCCTGGCTCGCTCATTGTGCTAATGAGATCGGAACCTGCCAGCAGCATGACCCGAACGTCGCGATGTTCCCCTTCAATGGTTTTGACGCCTCCCAAGACGGTGTTGATTTCATAGTCGAAATGGTCGAGGACGACAGCAGTTCGTTGATACGTTTGAAACGCTTCCCAGCTGTCGACCATGATCCATGACGACGACTCTTGAGCAGCAAGAGTGCACATATTAACACTAAGATGGGCCGTTAGTACGTAGTCACATGCTTCACCACAAAATGCGAATAAAATTGTGAGATTTGCGCCATCCTGAGAGCGTGTAATCTGTGCACTGAGTCACGTCATCCTAGCCGAGTGCCCTATTCCGAATTGCCGGAACGAGGACTGCCGCAGTTGTGCGTATCACGCTCTCCATCGCGAAGCGCTAAAGATAAGGGCTTCGAAGGGCATCTCGTTCTAAACCCGCAACCAGATGAGATTTGACTCACCGGTGCTGGGCAGTTAACAAGCCAGGCTTCTTGTACTGGTCGCTGACTGGACTCAGGTAGCCCCCGACGATCTCGAGATCAGTGTTGTGTCGGATGTAATCTCTGGCCATCTCGAACATTCGCATGTGCAGGTACGTAACAGGGCTGAAGGAACCGCAGGCCACCAAGACTACAGGTGTCTTCCGGGAGTCTCGAAGGGTGTGGGTCAGACGGTTCGACGGAAACGAATAATTCGGGGGGTTTGTGAAATCGTCTGCTGAGTACTCTGGAGCCGACATGGTAGAAGAGACGGTGACCGTGTGGGCGGTGGATGTGAAGAGGAGAATGGATGGATGGGTCAGCCATGGATTTGACTGCAGTGTTTTAGTGATCCATCGTTCCCACGCCTGCAGCAGACTCAATCCCGAGGGTCACATGTATGATTCATCAGAAACTCATTTTCTCATCTCTACCGTCGTCGTCGATGGTCGCAGCGTTGCGGCTCTACGTGAATCAGACTACTATCTAGGTTCCAGCGTGTTCCATTCGGTTAGGCCGTTGCTGGGCACACAAGGATTGAATGGGCTCAAGCTCAGACACTCATCATCACCGCACCGTTCGGCAGTCGCAGCTCGTGCCGTCGTTTGCCGTGTGGGTTGCCTTGATTTCAATCAGAATCTCCCAGTGAGTCTATGAGAACCAGGGTAGCTATTTGGTAAGTAGAACATTTATCAGTGGTATGCCACCAGACCCCTCATATGAGAGTATATCGCATACGATACCGCGTGCTCTACGTTGGTACGTATGCCCCAAGGCAAGCCTATTAACCGAGGAAATTCCGGAATCAGTGAGTATGATTTCCTTCACAAACAATGTAGGCACGATGTCCGAGTTACATTCGCTTCCAGAGACAAAATGCGGCTCGATTGAACGATAAACATACTTACTCGCCGCTTAATAAATTGTATCTAGAACCTGAACCTGCCGTTCTCGTCACCCGCTGCCCCCCAACGCTCAACGCCACAGCCGTCTACTCATCTCAGACTAATGGCACCGCACGATGTACAAGCATTTCCGAGAAATGATATTTCAGACGATGTCCCCGTCATCGGGCATCGGCGCGGCATTTGCAATCATGCTCAAGGTTTGCTTATAGGTACTACGATCGGGGTTGTAAGTGGAGAGGGCCGCCCAAGGTCGCACTGCCTTAAACTTTCAGTCGTATGGTTTATTAAACTTTTCAAGGTGGCGTATTTGGGCTGTGTACCGATACCAGTCTTCGTCGAAGCCTAAGTACGAATGCATAGTCGCCGTCCACCTCTCCTCGTCGCTCAAGTATGTACTTCTCCTCAAGTATGGTCGATCAGCCTAAATAGGTACTGAGTATTCGATAACGATAACGGCCCTTGGACTTGAGTTTGAGAGCAGGCCCGTCGTTATTCCATATTTAGGCAGGGCGGGGGCGGGTATTGCCACGGTCACGTTTTCGTTATTGACAACTACGACTTCCAGGGTCACGGTCTCATTGAATTCGAACTTCCCGCAAGTTGTTGCGTCCGGTGAACCGAATGAAACGCACACGCACGTCGAGGTCATCCTCCTACGAGTCTGTAGATAGCGATATGTCCACACGTTCGTCCTTCAAGCGGCTCAAACATTTCGAATCCGACGAAGAGTCAGATGACAGTGGATTCCCAATCAAAGTTTTCGTCGTGCAAGCCAAGCTGTCACCTGAAGAAATCTCGGGACTAATAAGTATGGTCGAGCAGCAGAGCATGCGCATGTTGGAGTTGTGTTCGATCCCGGCGGAAGCAGATGTAATCGTAACGGGGATTCAGATGAAGAAACGCCTGGAACGACATATCTCCTGGCAACTGGCTGTCAGTAATCTGGTAATAACGCCTCTCAATATCTCATATTGCTGTCGTAGAAGCGGAGAGCGATTGTCAGTCCGCAATGGATCAAAGATTCCGTGGCGAAGGAGCAACTTATGCCATGCGGAGATTACGCTGCGATCCAAGAGCTACACGACGAAACAGTGCACAACTGCCCAGATCCAAAGGGTTGCGATGAATGCAGCGGCACTTCGCAACCCGAAGTCGCACCCTCGTCATTATCATACAAAGCCCGCTACGCATGCCAACGTGCTTCTCCGCTTGTGTGCGCCAACCAGTCTTTGGCCAAGGAAATCGACATCCTCAAGCGTGCAAGGGAACTAGAAGGCGAAGCTATGAGTGCCCTAGCCTATGAAAGGGCCGTTGCTGTAGGTCCAAGCCAACTTCAGTTCCGTTCACTGTCATCTGCCTTGATGCGTATAGGTAATCAAAGGTAATCTCCACCGAAGTCCTCGAAGAGAGTTTACCAACGAAGACTTACCGCTTAGCTTATCCCCACGTTATCAACCCATCGAAATTGGAATTTGATCTTGCAAAAATATCTAGCGTTGGAAAGAAGGTACAAGTCAAGGTAGGCCCCCACGTTGTCTTCGAGCACCATCCATACATCGTATATATTCAGATTGAAGAGTACCTCACAACGGGACAAATTTTGGAAGCTCGTACGTGACGCTGGATTCATCATTTCTACATCTCCGTTGACGCCTCGCCCAATTGGCAGGGGAAATCCTGGCGTCACAACGCTTCCGATCCCTATCTGAGTTCAACACCATCTACGGAATAGGCCCCGTAACAGCCAGACAGCTATACGACAAAGGAATGTCGACCTTGGAACACCTAGAATCATACTACGACATTCGCGCGCACAATCCAGTTCTCGAAGAACAGACAAACCCAAATATCATTGAGTCTCAAGTCAAACGACTATCAACTAAGGGCATACCGGAGGTCACCGTTCAGGTTGGACTTGCGCTGCGACACGATCTGAGCCAGAAAATTCCCCGCGAAGAGGTCCGCGAAATGCATGTTCTTGTCATGAAGGAGTTAGAAACCCTTCAGCATGGTTGTGTTAGTACGATTGTTGGAGGGTACCCTTGTTGGCCGTTTAGGCGATTTAGAGAGCTGATTACATGCCGCGCTTGTAGGTATAGAAGAGGGAAAGAAGAAAGCAACGATGTGGATATTGTGATCAGCCATAAGGATTGGCGGGGAGGCGGGGAGAAGATTAAGGGTTTGTGCACAAGGCTGGTCAAGCATCTATACAACAAAGGTGAGCTATGTAGTCTCTTCCATGATGTCAAGCACAGCTGAATCATGTTGATGGTACAGGGCTCGTCACCCATGTCATGCGTTCGTCCACCGCAACTCAATGCGGATCTCAGATATCTAGATGCTTATTGGATTTATGTAGATTTATCCAGCTTCCGCCCTCACAATGCACTACGGACAGGACACTGGGACTCTCTCGAGAAGGCCTTAACAATATTCCGCCTGCCTCAATCCGAAGGGACGAGCAGAATACACCGACGACTGGACCTGATATTCGCATCTCCTGAGGCCTACTGGACGGCAGTGACCGGGTGGTTGGTCCTTCAAATATGATGCAATGACCATAATAGTGATATACATCTTCCGAAGGACTGGTTCCAAAATGTTCGAACGGGACCTACGATTATGGGCAGAGCATGAGAAGTGTGTTCACCAATGGTGATGGAGGGCTTCAATACTGACCTTGAGGTTGATCCCCCAGAGGCTACAAGTTTGACAGTACCGGGATGTAAGACGTTTGGATTCGCTTTTCCTGTATGGCTGCTCATTGACTGTAGAACACGGAGACATGATTCGAAGTTATTTTATCCGAAGAGCGAGCAGGAGGTGTTCGAAATTTTGGGACTCGAGTGGGTCGATCCTACGCTACGGAATACCGGAGTCTAGCGGCACCCTTATTGTTATTATTATTATTACTCGAGCAAGGCTTCTAGATATTCATGTACTTGTGAGACCAATGATTTAGTTCGCGAACGCTTGGATGTCAGTCATGGCCTTCCCCAAGATGAGAGCGTGAATGTCGTTAGTCCCTAAGAGCAGAATGAGTAACGATGAAAACCAGGCGGTAATAAATTTTGATTACCCTCGTAAGTGTTAGTTACTTGGAGATTGGCGACATGTCGCCCAACGTGGTACCTACAGGGAATGAGCCAACGCTGGGATCCCAAAATGGCAAACTGGTACTCACTCATCAGATGCCGCATTACCACCCAAGATATCCAGAACCACACGAGAGTGTTGCAGCGCTTTTCCACAGTTGTTCCTCTTTACCATACTGATCATCTCAGGGGCGAGCTTTCCGGCATCCTTCAAACGGCCGACCTGGAGACTAGCTAGCAATCCCAGTGAAACTTCAGTTTGCGCGTCGACAAGTTTCTTCTGGACCAGCTGGAAAGAAGCAAGAGGTCGCTTGAATTGGTGACGCTCCAAAGCATAGGCACGGGTTCGATCAATGCAGTCTTCTAGGGAGCCCATAACGCCCCAAGAAATACCGAAGCTAAGAGCGAACGGTTGTGGGTTCGAGACTTCGCAAAGAAAAAGGATGATACCGACCGTGCAGAGTTTAAGCATGAGAATGCGGAACCAAGGCCTTTGGACTTTGGGAGTAGAGCATCTTGCGCGACTCGGACGTTGTCCATGAAGATGGAACCCGTCAAAGACACACGAAGTGCAACCTTGTTCTTGATAGCGGGTGCAGAAAGTCCTTTGAGGCCCTAAGAACGGACAATTTCAATTCGTTTTCAATTGCAACGCCCATCTTCTGGACTAGCGGGGATTAATTTACCTTGTCGAGCAAGAAGCCACGGACTTTGTTATCCCACTTGCAGCGAGCCCAGATAACGAATACGTCGCTGTGGAAAGTTTGAGAGAGTTAGACTGAGTAGCATCTCGGGAGAACCTACGTACGCAGCAGGAGCATTTGTTATCCATGTCTTGCTTCCATTGATGATAAAACCGCCATCGACTTCTTCTGCGACCGTTTCCATGCCCGCGGGGTCTGATCCATGGTTTGGCTCAGTCAATCCCTACTAGATCATGAAGAAACGTCATCAGGAACAACCAAAAATGCTCACAAAGGCACCAACGATCTCGCCCTTCGCTGTAGCTTCGTCAGACAAAGCGAGCTCACGCTCGAGAACACAGACGTACCTAGGCGAGGAAGGTATTTTTCCTTCTGTGCATCCGTACCAAACTCGTTGATAGGATGCATGACCAGCGAGGATTGCACGGAAGCGGTAGATCGGTAGCCAGAGTCAATGCTAGTAAGACCTCACGTCAGAATTATGATGCCGGCATGGGGTGAATGGAGGGAGCATTACCGTTCAACCTCTCGAGCAATAAGGCCATATGCAACGTAACTGGTTCCGGCGCACCCGTATCCAGAGATGGTGGGTCCGAGGAGGCCCAAGCTACCCATTTCCTTCAGGATATCACCGTCCCATTCTACAGTAAAGGATGATTTAATTATGCTTGAATTCGATGAATAAATCCGGGCGCGCCTTCGGTCCTCCATTGGTGCAATACACGGGGTAAGAGTTTCTCCTATACACCAACATAAGTAAGAGCCTCGCGCCGTCGTCGGGAGGCAACCAACCTGACAATATTCGCGAGCAGTGTCGCTAACGGAGGGAGTGTTTAGTTGCTAGCATGCGATCATGAAGGCATGTTGTTCTTACCGGATAGCTACCTCCTCCTCCGTTAAAAGCGATTCGAGGTTCAGGGGATCCTAAACCAACGTTAGTAGCCGAAACCAACGCTCGTAGTAGATCCCGCACTTCTCTGTCGAACTTTACGAAGGCTGGGAACAGTCAGGATGTTGAAACGACCATACAATTGGGCAACAACTCACTCGACGCGCTCCGACCAGATGCCAGACGCGGGGCTAAGCGGGCTGCACCCCGAAGACACGGAGCCACCGAAGCCAAACGGACGGTTTGAGAACCTTGCAAGGCTAGCATCTTAGTTGGTAAAGCGTTGAAGACAAGGGAAGAATTTCTGGAGAAGGTGATTTGTGGAGAGTTCCATGACCCGGGACTTGTGGTCGCCGGATCTAAAATTGACGATCTCCGCAACGGGTACTATCTCAAAATCTTTTACAGTGACATGCAGCGATTATTTGCAGAATTTCAAGGAAATGGACAATGGAACCATGAACTTAGTTCAGACCAATATATTGCTTATGATAAAACAGCATAGGGCATGCGAATATGTTGTATATTGCAATATAGTGTGAAGACGAGAAGGTGCGAGCATAGAGTATCTGCTTATACATGTGGCTCAAATGTTTGATGGGTAGAGCATCTAAAGTATAGGTTGATGAGCAGTTCGGTTACAGGAAGCATGGGGCACTCACGATACGGACACTTGCGCCGAAGGCTCGAGGAGGAAGGTTGGAACGGAATTTTGATTTGACGACACCGCCGCTGCCGTGTGGCCGTGTTACGCGACTGGTTGGGCAATATTGGCATCGATTCGCGAGGTAGAAAAGTACAATCATGAACGCACCCCCAGATTACTCGAACTTTGGATCCCTGAACTTCTTTCTTTGCTCGGTAGACGAAAGCAACCCGCTGTAAAAGCACAAGTGCATCAGAAGGACGTCGAGCGACGTCACCCGAGTATCATTCACCTTGCCGAGATAGAACTGCGCGTCTTCCTTTGAACCAACGCCCTCGATTTGAATGAGGGAGGTGTTGGGGCGGGTGTTGCGCTTCGCCCGCTTGTGTCCCAAAACACGGCCCTTGGAGTATAGTCTAAACGACAAGTTCAGTCAGATAACGAGCATTGTAGAGGGGGCGGCGGGCTGGCGACGATGCGGGTGCTGGCGATATTCTGTCGATCTGTATTTGAGGCCCAATAACCGTTCAATCCCATTATCTCCAGTATCCAAACTGGCAGCCTCATCCGAAGCACCAACGTCGAATCCAGCTAAAAGCATCGTCCAGCCGCATCGTCGTCGCCAGCACCAGTCCTATTGGGCGTGAAGACACGATGTCTCACCTAGTCGAGCCCATTTTTGTCGCCGTTCGTGTCGTTACCGAAAGTCTTGAGGATGCTGATGTCGGGGCGTTGGCGTTGATTCTGATTGTGAGACCTCCCAAGTCCAGCACAGCAAGCTGAAGCAAACAACATGGTCCCGCGGCCCAGTGCGTGCGGACAGGGGCTAGAAGAGATTTCTGAAGCCTCAACTCATCAACGCACATAGATATTCCAATATGCTTCTTCTTGCATCAGCGCGCGCTGAAGTGCTCAAAACTTCCATCACCTTCTACCGTCACCTTTTCATACAAAGTGGATACAATGTCCTCAACTACGCTGTATACGGCCAAACAACTTCGTTCCCATTAATCATAATATAGTCGTGATCTAAGATTATAAAGTACAATCGTAATCGCCGTCAACAGTCTTGCGTACTAGTTTACAAGGGAGGAATTTAATATACAGTTCGAAGCGAGCGTGGTGGTAGCGGACGAGTAGTGAGCATAGCATAGTAAAGCATATAAAAATATGGGAAGAAGAGTCTCAGTCGCAATCAAGCAGAAAACCGAAGAAATTTAGAAAAAGCAAGCCCAAATCCCAAGCCCGGGACAGGAATACCAAAGCCAATCGAGCGACTGTAAACTTGGGGGTGTTACCAAGCCCCTGCGGACAAGTGGTGCGTAGGCAATCATTTTGACGTGATCATAACCCAGTGAATAGGATCGCTGGTCGGGACCAGTCCCATGAATACAGTGTGTCCCATCAGGAAGTCCACTCTCTTGACTCCCTGAGCTTTCTCTAATGCAGCATCGCCCGAGCTCCTCATACGGCGGTATCTGTTCTCGTACGCCTTCCTCACCCTCTTCTGATTGCCACGACTCATCCTGTTGAAGTCTTGAGGGTAGATAGCCGTGCGAAGACCCACATAGATGCCATGCAGGACATCTGAGACGCTGATCACACCGTGGCGAGGTGTAACGCGCAAAGTCCAAGGTAAGTATGGCGATGAGATCGTCATGGACGTTGTGGGTGGGTACGTCGCAGGCTCAGAGACATAATGCGGTGGGACATGACGATTCAAGATGGATAGGTGCGGCGGCGGATAGCTGCAATCGTAACGAATGCTAGGCTGAGGGCCCGCGAGGGCAACATGGAGCTGAAACCGGCGACGGAGCGGCTTAGCGGGCTTAGGAGGGAGCACGAAAGGGTACGGCGTGGACCCAGGGAGGGTGTATGGAAGGTTCGGGGGTGTAGGCAGGCTCCCGGAGGAGGCAGGGGAGGGTGGTGAATGCGAGAGAGGGGGTACCGCTGGGAGGTGGTGTACCATGGGCCTGTCTGAGAAGCGGACCTTCCTAGTCATGGTGATAGCTGGTAGATGTGCAGAGGTATTGACAGTATTGCAGAGGATATGGTGAAATTGACTGGAGGAAATGGTCGAATTCTATCCATCTTATACGTTGCAGACCGAGACTGCTTCTTGAGATTAATCAAGGGCGAATTTGCGAGGCAAGACAGTATCGCCTCCGGAATGAGTCGAGCATGACAAGCGTCGCAAACCAAGGACTTGCGTACATAGGGGCACCACCTTACCGCAAGTAGTTATGTTATCGCGATTCGAACCTGTAGATCGATTGCACTCCAATGCCGTCAGTGAGCAGGACCGAGAGAACATAGCAGGACCATACCGGACGATTGCATTCTATGGCTTGGGTGAATAAATCTAATCGCCATCCGAAACGGTCAAGTTGACGGGATTCAATGGCTGGCATACGATGTGCCGTTATTTCAGTAGCTTCCACAGCTTTCATTCGGGGGTTCGGGAGGACGCCGTGGATTCCGCCACGGCTTTCCAGCTTCGGAACTCGCTGAGACTCTATTCAGTTCTTCCAGCGCTAAGACAATACAATGTCTCACAGTTTGCTGTCGTGATACACGTGTATCTCTACGATGAGGAGCAGGGGGACTTGGAGAGGAGCGGGGCTGCGCATCTGAGATTTCCTATTTCAACTAGGAAGGTACCAGCTCGGAAACTGTGCAAGATTTCCGAGCCTGTACCGAGTGATAGGGCGGGAGAAAGATTTCAAGCATGGATACTTGTGCAATATGGTGGGCTATGCTGCCGGAGGGCAGCTATACAGAGAGATCATATCTATAGGATCAAATCAGTTTTGCATACTGAAGTAAAGGAAGTTCTCTCATGGCCAAGTATGACGTCCAGCGCTGGGTACATATCGGACATTTGTTGCCTCTTCGATTCATCCACTACGAGCTATTCAACGTTGGAACGCGTGCTGAAGCGCTGACGGTGCAAAATCCATGAATTGTAGCATTGTGCAGTACACTGTACAGACATACATCGACCGTCACAAGTTCTTTATATCCACAGAAATATATAGGGAAGGGTAGATCATTAAGAGATCCATTATAATAGAGCTCCAAAGAAATTACGCTTCACATCCATCCGTTGATTAGACGGTGGAGTTCGTCGCTATAGGCGCTTCACCAGAACCGATGCAGGGTGGATGCGTTACTGCGCTGCTCGGGCAGAAAGAGGCCAGGTGTTGTATGTATACGAGGTTCGAGAGAGCAAGGGGATGACCTTGGAAAGTAAAATCATGAAAAAATTCGGAGAATTTGATTGAAACCGAAGGGGAACGGAGGAAAGAAAATTTGTGTGTCGACACGCCTTATAAATGGCGGGATGGTCCTCTGAAACTAACAACCCCATACAAGTGCCTCCGACAGCCGCATTCTCTTTTACTTCGAGTTGAACCTTGCAGAGAACCGAGGGATGTATGATACGCTAGCATGCATTGTATGCAATGACTAAAAGAGTGGTAGTGTAAGTCCCAGGGATAAGTGACCGACAAAGTACCCTAAAGTACAAGAATTAGTTAATAGTGCGTCCAATGTTCATGTAGGGATGTGCCTATGTAGTGCGTCTAGAACGATAGCGTGGAGTGTCTAATCCTAATCGCGAGTCGCTGCAGCACGGTCGATATCGAGGGGATGTAGGGGATATCAGGGAGGAGATCGATGTGCTAGTCTAAAAGTGCAAAAAGGATACAAGGATAGCAAGACAGAACACATCAATAATAGATCAATCAAATAGTCAGTGGCATGCGCAAGAGTCCATCCAACGGCGCGCAATCATGGAGCCCTAAGGCTGGATCTGGTGTCTAGAGTCTGGACATGTTTAGTATCCTCCTCTGAACGCGCCCCGGCCAGCCATGTTCATATTACTCTGCTGCCGCTGGTGTGAGGGCTGTTGCTGCTGCTGTGTCTGCGAATACGAGGGGTGCTGTTGATGCGATAGTGAAGATGAAGGCTGTGTCCGATGCCCTGGTGGTGGCGTCTGCGTCCGTGGATCTACTGAACTCTGTTGCTGGTAGTATTGGTGGGGTTGCATCTGAGATGGTGTACCTGTTCGGAATGGCGGCTGTTGATGATTATCAAAGTAGCCTGGAGCATCCGCTAGACTCGTGTAGCTGGGAGCCTGAGACCGTGCATCCACCGTCATGCCCGTCGTCCGTCGAATTGGTGCTTCCCTCAATCCAGGACCCTCCTGATACATTGTCGGGGGCGACGCAAGACTCGCGTCAGAAGCGTAGAATGAACTCCTGCTTGCTCCACCTTGCGGATACACAGCCGTATGATTTGGGGGAAGCAGAGGCTGATGATCTGTTGGTATCCTCGACAGTTCGATGTCCTGGGAGTCGAAGCCACCATGATTCGGTCCCTGTGCGAGATAGCGGTCGTAATTCGAGACCCCTCCGAGTTTGGGTTCACTGCCATTAGTGCTTGCGTAGTACATGGATTTCGAAGCTTGGAGATGCGACCCTCCGTCGTTGAGTACGTTGAATGATGAGACCGATTTGGTATCCCAGTCCAATTCACCACGATCGCGTTGGTAGAGCGCAGGGTCGTATTCCAGATCGCGCTAGACATTGTCAAAACATCATCAGCATTCCGCACTGCGCACATCGCACTTGCACTATTATTCGAGTGACTCACTTGATCGATAGCTGCAATTTTAATGCCCTCCACAACCTGAGTCTCCATCTTCTGTCCGCCATACTCCCCAAGCGCCGCCTCGTCCTTCCCAATCTTCCCATTATAAACCTCGCCCAAAAGCGGCATCATCTTAGCGTGTAACATGGGCGTGAAGAGATCCGTGTGCAGCGCAGGGTGCCCGAAGCGCTTCTCAAGACGGTTGCCCTTGTGATCAGCGCGCTCCGAGTGGACTTTCGCGAGTCTAAGCTCGTCTTCAGTTGGGTGGTAGTACCGGAACGTCCTGTCGAATGTGCGGTTTATGTAGATCTTGAAGGCCAGTAGGAACAGGATGGGAGGGCAAGAGGAAAGCCATTGAAGGGATTTGAACTCGTATTGCAGGCCGATAGCTATTTGAAAAGTGAGTTACATCCGTGGTTGAAAAGCGATTGCTACATACTCAAGATCATCAGCAATTGCATCAGGACGCCAGAGGCGAGAAGACGGTTGATGACAACATTCCAAAGGCGCTAGAGTGAGAAATTGTAAGCGAGGGCACCGAGCAAAGTACCCTCGTTACTCACGCCACCAGTCTCAACCTTCGACACGAACACGAACATCAACTGATATTTATAGACCCACGACGAGATCCAGAAAACAACGGCGGCGGCGAGGGGTACGAGAGGGGCTATAGGGGCGAATACCATACCAACACAACCCATAAACAGCTGCGAGGCTGCTGTAAGTAGACGCATGCGACAATAAAAAGGTGGGCAGGGCTTACGATATTCGAACTAGACAAGGGAATATATGTGTTAGCATACGACTAGTTTGACGGAGGCAATGTACCCACTAATAAACGGCATACTGGAATTCGGGAGGTTGCGTCCACTCTCTGATATCTCTTGGTGTTCGACCGAAGACACTACGCGCAGCATGTCAGCAAGAGCCTAACAGATATTGAGCCCTAGGACGAACTGGGTCTTGAAAGATATCCAGATCAGATTGACGATTTGCGCCAAGTCAAAGATAGCGAGGAAACCACGTAGACTAGACAAACATTAGGCGAAATTGACCAACATTGCAGGGACGACATACGGGAAGAAGGTCAACCAATACGGCGCTTGATCAATATACGTTCTATTGATCTTGTCTGGCAAAGCTACAGAAAGGGTGAACATGTCAGCAGGGGACGCTTGGTCCAACAATTTGGCTAAACCTACTCGACAAGGACGAGCTGCTCATGATCTCCGCAAAGCTCTTCTTCCCAACTTGACGAACAATTTCCTTTACGATATCTAGAAGCAAGTTGTCGTATCAAGTGCAGAGGGGACGCGGAATAGTAGGCTCACTGAAGAGGACACCGATCAACGTGAAGATGACTAACTGGGAGATAACCAAGAACGCGAAATAGCGGGCAATGACGGCCCTGTCCAGGCGCGAGTGTGTTAGAGCGCCCATGTACTGGGAGAGCCATCGCATGATAACGGGCAAGAAGAAACCGAAGAGTGCAGAAACGGCAGGAGGTAGGACACCAGAAACAATCGCAAAGGTGGTTCCCGACGTGGTGCGCCACTCGTCGAGAAAGCCGACATAGGTTGTGAGCTATAAGTCTGTAAGATGCAAGTCTCGCATACTATGTCTCACGGATGGCTCACGGATGTCAAGTTAGCAAGAGCTGAAATAATCAAGAGTGGGACGGTGTTGAAGAAGCAGACGAGGGCCAGCCAGAGGAACCCCATCGCCTTCTTGCGAGCGATCTCTCCATCAGACTTGTTCATGTTCTCCCATATCTATTTGAGGTAGGATGGAATGTGATCGGGAACGAGGAGAAAAGCATCAGGAAGCGCCGTTGACATGACATTCGGAGTACGATCAACCGGGGCAGTTGTGAACACGCGCAAGTGCACAGTAAGCAGGGATTGTTGTGAGGATGAACACGAAACAACGTACGATATCTTTGGGATTGGGCGCCAATGTGATATCAGTCCCCTTCGGGTGCTTGCCGCGCAGTATGTGTGCCACAATATGAGCATAGGGGACGGCAGCCATCGATGCAAACCCGTAGTTCTCAGCCTTGCGTGTGTCGATCTGCGCGCGGTAGTCTTCAATCGCACCCTCTGTGCGTTTGAGCTTTGCGCTGCACACCCATCAGGCGTGCTTTCAATGTGAATGTGAATAGACATACGTGTAGAACTCTATAGCATCCCTCTGCGTGCCACCTATCCCACAGCATCCCCCCGTGCGTATTGTCGGACGTTTCTTGCCAATCCTGCCCCCTTTGAGGTACTTGACGAGCACTTGCTCCAGTTCCCGCACTGTCTCGTTGTGGTACTCGATCAGTTCAGGCAGCCTGCCGACTTTGCGGCCTACGTGCACGCTCGTGGTGGGATATGGCACCTTCACTGATTCGAAGATGGCTTTGATGCCCTCGTCGCTTTGGTTTTTCTTCGGGACATGCAGAACTGCGAGTGTGCGAGCATAGAACGATTGGAGGTACTCTGGGGAGCGGAACCATGCGTGGCGTAGCCGTACCATCTCGCGCCAGTGAATGTACACGAATCCAATGATGGTGAATGTGACAAGGTATGTCGCAACGACGTGGAAGAACAGCCAGCGATCGTGCACGTCGCGAATCGTGAGCATGCTCAGCTTGTCGCGGTCCTTAGATTCGACATGTCGCAGATTGTAGACGACGTTCACAGGGATCAGGCCGATGCAGGTGAGGGCGGCGACTGCTGTGAACAGCCAACGCATGAGCCTCAGAAAGCGGAGGAAAGTCACCGCATCCAGCCCAATTTTGTCTACCAGCTCCGGCTCCTTCGTGTGTATCAACGGGGGCAACCATCCACATAGAGAGTCGGATATCCTTGGAGGAGGCTTGTTCCCTACGTGGTATTTGACCTTGGGTTCGTAGATTATCTTGTTCTTCGGGCGCAGGACGTTGAAGAAGAGGATCGTGACTATTGAAATGACAGACATTAGGGCGAGTTGGGAACCGACAGCCCCGGGCGCCAGCGACCGGGAGTCTGTGTTGAAGATCTGTTTTGTGGCCTTGTCGAGGTCAGCCATGAAGAATGAGTGGGGGGAGAGAACAAGGAGCGTGATACCAGAACCGTTGTGGTGCTGAACTTGGTGTGTGAAACACGGCACCTCGGCTTGGCTGATGGAGTTTCTTCGCGAAGTCAAACAAAGGTCGAAACAAAAGGCCGATGGGATTATGGGGTAGTACGTAGAGTATGTAGTTTAGCTACAGACTCAAAACCATCCGCCAATAAACTTCTTGAATCTCTGCGAGAATCCGTCGTCTTCAACCTTCGGCGAATGTAGTTGTGTCTTTGCCTTCTTCTCCCTGACTCTCTTTGCCTGCATTGGCGGGGCGGGATCTTTGGGCAGAGACTCCGATGCTTTGATGAACAGATCAGCATCTATAGCCGACGCCTGGCTGGTCGACGGCAGAAGCTTGCCTCCGAGACGCGTTGGCCGTTTCGAAGCCTGAGGTGAAGCAGACGCTGGCGGCGACTGTGGAGCTGGGACAGGCACTTCATCGGCCACAGCATCTTCCATCGGGAGTGGCTCCCACTCTGTAGGTTTCTGTGATTCAGGTGGCGGCGATGGCGGCGGCGGCGTCTCTGTCGAGACCTCCGGCGTCGGGCTAGCTTCGGCTACACTCGACACCTCGAAGGGATTCGGAGCCTGAGTGATATCGCTCCATTTTCGCAACAGTCTCCGCATTCGCAGCTGGTCAGCGTCCGACACCCCATATTCCAGCGAAGAGCCCTTCAGAACAGGCTTGAGCGGGTAGAATCCGCCCCAATTAAGCATGGACCGCCCGATGGCAAAGCGCAGCTGGCGCCTCAGGCCGTACGGCTCCCACGGCGTCGTCGCGTGGAACTCCTTTCCTGTAGTTGCGTGAAGCTTAGGATCGCTGGAATAGAAAAGATGGAGACTCACGGGCTTGGAATATGCTGAAGGATATCGCGCGAGGAGGCTTGACGTCTTGCTTGCCGCCTTCGCTGATAGCGGTGTCGATTATGCTCTCAAAGGCAGGGATTTCGTTGCTTGTGTTCACGTCCTTCGGGTCAAGCAAGCTGTGGAAGTCGGCGAGCGAAGGACCCCCCGGTTTGGACTCGAAAGTGTCTGCCGTAGGAGCAGGAATGGTGATACTCTCCGTCGCGTTCTTGGGGAGCTTTAAGTGCGACTCAGGCGACTTGAACACCACGTAGAATTGATTTGTATAGACATTGGGAGATCCCACTTCCTAAAAAACCACGAGTTTACTTCCTGCTTATTGAGTGACACGAACGGGTAAACGCACTCGAGGGAACTGATATTCTCGCAAAGTGCCATACTTCTGCTCAATAGCACGTATAATAGCATATGCATCGACCATGGAGGCTATCTTAGTCTTGGTGATAACAATAGCAGAACATCGCTCCGACTCGTCTTCGCGCGTGTTCCGGGTCGCTGAAGCGCGGGGCGGAGGAGGGAGGCTAGATTTGTGCTCAGCAGCGGTGGCCGTTGAGGCTTGCCGCAGAAAACCATGGCTATGAGGTCGACATCGTGGCAGGGCGCGAACGAATTGTTTTTGCATTCGTGGATGGCGGAGGCGGAGGAAAGAGAGGAATAAGGTAAGGTTAGGGTTTAAATTCCCTGAGCCCGACACCGACAAATGGGCTCCAAGCCTCCCCTGACCCCGAGCCGCTTCGCTGCGTACCAAAGCGCTCTGAAGGCCATCTCTGCGCGTACGGGGACGCCTTTGCCCTCTCTTATCGTCTCATTTGGCATTCTCCATGAGCTCACTGCCATTCTCCCGATCGTGGGCTTGTTCCACGCCTCGCGCTCGCTCGGACTGGGCGAGCGGATGGTCAATGCCATGGCGAGTGCGGGACACGACGACAATCAACCCTCACAACCCTCGAAACTCGATGGGTCCGGCGAGCGGAGCGAGGGGGTCAGCTGGATGGTGCAGAAAGGGCAAGCGTGGGTAGATGAGGGCGAGAAGTGGGCTGCACGCGTCGGGCGTCGGTACGGCATGTTTGGGTTCGAGAAACGCGCGAAGGGGGACATGTCCCAGACCTTATACGAGGAGGATTCGAAGGCAATGAAGGGCCACATTGCCGGAGACGTCGCAAACGTCGTAGTAGCATATGCCGCTACAAAGGTAACGCAGCATCCCCGTAACATCCCCCCTACACTCACGCAGACCACTGCAGGCCCTCTTACCACTCAGAATCGGCGCTTCGCTGTACTTGTCACCCGCCTTCTCTCGCAGAGCTGTCGAGCCGTGTAGGCAGTGGATAATACGATCTTTCCGCAAATCGTAGGTGGGGTAGAATCTCTTTGTAGTTTCGTTCATATACAAATAATGGGTGTGGATATGCCATATTTAAGGGTACAGCGCGATACCTCTGAAAGGTATACGACCTTCGGTACTTAAGTACTTATGAGGGCAAAGGCTGTGAATTCTGACCGCAAGTTAGGGGTTTCTGCGAACTTTGGTCGTGACTCGGTCCGTGGAGTGGGTCGAACTTCCACCGCGACGCCCACGTTCTTTCACTCTCTGGCCGCTAGATGACTTGCTATGGGCAAGTTACATTTGAAGCGTACGCCGGAGGAAGAGGCCGAACGCCAGCGACGTAAAAAACGAAGAAAAGAACATAGAAAGTCTGAGAGTCGGAACTATCCTGAGCCATCGTCTACTCAACCCAACGTCTCGTCGACTGCACGCAAATGGGCTAGCGACGACGAAGACCATGACACAGACGTGTATGGGCCAACGCCACCTCCTTCAGCCAACGCCCCCACACTCAAGGGAAATGCCGATACCGGGTACCATAGCTCCAAACCCGACTATGATGCCATTCGCGCCGAACTCGAGGAGCAGAGGTTCAGAGAAAGGCTGTTTGGCGCGTACGATGACGACGAACGACTTGATTCTTTAGAAGCGCGTCTTAACGACTACGCACACGTACCGGATAGATGGCACAGCGAGCCGGCTAGAAAGCATAGACGACTTGGGCCTGATGACGAAGACGAGTTCCTCCAAACGGACCCGCAGCATCTGGACGATGAAGAGTATGCCGAGTGGATTCGGCTTGGGATGTACAGGAAAACACATCGAGATGAGTATGAAGAACAACAGCGGGAGAAAGCAAGGAAGAAGGAGAGGAAGAAAGAGAAGGCTGCTAAGGAGGAGGCCAAGAGGTTAGAGAAGGCCATGGAAGAGGACAGAAAGCGCAGGAGGGAAGAAAAGGAGAACATGCGATGGGGGGCGGCGAAGGAGGTATACGAAAGCAGGTGGACAGAGTTGCTGAGAAGAGATGCAATGGCGCCGGAACCGATTGCGAGTAGCGGAAAGGATGTCGACGAAGAAGGCTGGATAGGCACGAATCTACGATTTGAGGACATTCCTTGGCCAGTCCTAGCAGCCTACCCAAAAATCAAGAAGCGGCGTCGCGAGGCAGAAGCTAGTGGATCAGTGGGCGCTCTGTCATTAGATGACTTCACCTCAGACGCCATTTCGCGCTTCGTGCTCACCTCCACTCCAACTACGGGTCCAAGCCCCGCCTCTGATACGGAGCAAGATAAGAAGGAACGCAGAGAGAAGCTGCGTGACGCCATGCTGCGCTTCCATCCAGACAAGTTTGAGGGGAGGGTAATGAGTCGTGTCAGAGAAGGTGATAAAGAAAGAGTACGAGACGCTGTTGGCCAGGTGGCTAGGGTGCTGAACGACTTGATGGGCTAGTCAATTGACGGTCGCCCCCTGCTGAGGCCCACAAGCAGCTAGCTGCAGTTCGCCCACTCAGGTCCGCTTCATCCCTTGGTCCGACGCTCGTGCAGTTGATTGTCGATCCCTGAAGCCTCCACGATGACCCAATTCCATCGTCATGCTGAAGAGACAACCAATTGTTCAGTCGACTGAAGATATCGATTATCTTCCTGTTCTTACACTGGTCGGGCGGCTAATTCCGCGCACCATTGTTCTCTCGAGTATCGCAGCCGACGACAGTTACAGGCACCTCCTGCTTGCCTTGTTATAAACACGATACTTCGCTAAAAGTGGACCTACAAGGACCCACAACCGCCATCGCACACACCATGCATGTCCACCTGAGAACAAGGACCTCGATCTGTCAATCGATCAACTCACTCGGACCTTTCCCTCGTTATATTGCATTGCTTTGTGGCTCTGAGCTCTTGCTGCTTCCATTCCCCGCGACGTTTTCTGTTCTATCTTCTCGATAGCTGGTCTGTCAAGTTCGTTCTATTCTAGGATCCATCGTAGGCACTGCGCTACTATCGATAAGAAGCTCGTGTTGGTTCGCCGGGCATCCGATTCGGCCGTTCAAGCTGTACTCTGTACTCTCCTCTTCCTTATAACCCATACCGTTACGAGGAGTAGACAATCTTCGCACTTTCTTAACTCCTTTGATCTGAATTCGAAATGCCTGCCCGTTGCTTTCATGCCAACCCTCAGGTTGCTAGTTACGACTACGGTGGTATGTGTTTCACAAAAAAAAACATCGGTATCCTTTGTTCATCCTCGATGCCTTGCTAGTGCCTCGAATCTACACACCTCGGCGGGGGACAGGGCATCTACCCACCATACCTGCATGGCCAACCCTTTCCCCTTTCGGCAACCCAGCGATGCCCCCTCATTCGATGACGATGACTACTTCGACGCCCTTCGGGCAGGCCAATCTTACTCTATTCGGTCCTTCGAGAGAAGATGGCGCGCCGCTATGGATGCCGGGCACATTTCCACCTATACCCTACGGCATCGCAGTCCCAATCCAGCTTAATCCCCTGCTTATCGTCAACCCCAACGACCCCAATTGTCCACCTCTGCAATGGGACGTCTCCCGACAACCAGACACAGCTGTCCAATTCACCGGACGAGAGCTCTACATGAAACCAGACTTGGACCAGGAAGCGGTTGCCCAAGACGTCCATCGTATAGTAATACATTCGGGTGCCCCCTCGCTCGCCTCATGGATGCAACGTTGGGGTCCGATCGAGGTGACAAGCGCAGGCAAGATCACGGCTTACGACGTGCTGAAAGCAGTATACCAATACTTGCAAATACCCTTGACGCCTAGGGAATACAAGAAAGCGATCAAGCTTGACCCGGAGAATGCGCGTCGTTTTCACGAAGCGGCGTACTGGAGGATCGCAACTTCATCGCAGATAGCATCCGTTGAACAAGCCCAAGGGCTGAAGCGAGTGGACGTGCTAGGAGATTACAAATACTTCCGAGGGTTCCGTCCCGTATGGCATGAGGGCCTATGGGTAGTGATCATGGAATTGGGTGCCAGAGGGGTTCCGAATTACCCAATGGTATATTGATATCTCAGTCTTTGGATGGAGGGCATAGTGTGGAGAAGCAGGAGATACTTATAGACACGGGCGATCACAACGCCGATGTACGATATCATCAAACTTAACGAACCAATCTTTCAAATGTGGGGTGACTCCTTGGAGCTTCAGTTCGTTCGAGGATCGGTCATTCATATATATTCAAATCCTGTAAGTATAGGCCTGTACATGCAAGCTTTCATTCAGCCATCACTTACTCTCCAAAGCGCCACCTCTGCACCAGGGTTCTCGAATTGGTCGTGAGTCGAAGCGCTGGAGATGGCTCCAAACTTAACGCGGTGCATTGGACACGTACTCCTGATGTTCTGCCTGCATGTGCCATACGAGGCACTGTTCAGTCATCAAATGCTCACGAGGATTGCCCTTAGACGTCACTAGTCCTCGCACGTCGGCCTTCGACCTTCAGTGCTTCAATTGACCAAGGGTTCATTAATTCATTCCTTGCGGTTGACCAGTGCTCTGCCTCTATAGGTACACAGGAGCTCTCTTAGACTGATCGCAGCTGGTGGGATGATCCTGACAAGCCCCTCGCATTCATTCTAATTCCAGAGTTGCTGCGATATCATCCCATAAACATGATGCACGCCTTAAAGGCAGAACCATTCAATTCCTTACACGCAATGCTGTTCACGTCGCTACGCTCATCCTTCCACGAGGCTCACACTTTCCGTTTGATAGCTTTTTCGGCGGCCCCGACACCCACGGTCACCATCATTAACAGCTTCAAAGGCGGTGGTTCTCCCCGCCCTCTAGCGCTTATTTGAACCTTGTCGTTCGGTATGGGGTCGGAAATCTTTTCCATCTCGGTACCTTCCTTCTTGAAATAGGAAATCTCAGATACGCAGTCCCTCCACTCCTCTCCAAGTCCCCGCCGCTCCTCTTCGCAGTGATACACGTGTATCACAACAGCAAGTGTGAGACAGTATCTAGTTAATACTGTCTTAGTGCTTGAGTATTTGAATACTCATTGATTTCCGAAGCTGGCAAGTCGAGGCGGAACCCATGGCGCCCTCTTTCCGAATCTCCAAATGAAAGCGGTGGAAGCCACCGACATAACGGCACACTGTACTACGTCAGCCACAACCTAGTACGCTCGATTACTTCAAAGCGCCTGGGATGGCCGCTAGATCTTATCCAAGCGATATAATGCAATCGTCCGGTACGATCTTGCTATGTTCTCTCTCACTGATGGCATTTGGGTGGGATCAATCTGCAAGATCGAACCATCGGGATAGGATGACTACTTGCGGTAAGGCGGAGCCCCTATGTGTGCAGGCCCCTTGCTTTGTGACGCTTGCCATGCTCGAATTCCGGAGGCGATACTGTCTTGCCTCGCAAACTCACCCCAGATTAATCTCTAGGTCTGCAACTTATAAGATGGATAGAATTCGACCAGTTCCTCCAGTCATTTTCACCACATCCTTCGCAATACTGTCAATACCTCTGCACATCTACCAACTATCACCATGACTAGGAAGGTCCGCTTCTCAGACAAGGCCACGGTACACCATATCCCAGCGGTACCCCCTCTCTCGCATTCACCACCCTCCCCTGCCTCCTCCGGGAGCCTGCCTACACCCCCGAACCTTCCATACACCCTCCCTGGGTCCACGCCGTACCCTTTCGTGCTCCCTCCCAAGCCCGCTGCACCGCTCCGTCACCAACCCCAGCTTCATGCTGCCCTCGCGGGCCCTCAGCCTAACATTCTCTATGACTGCAGCTATTCGCCGTCGCATCTATCCATTTTGAACCGTCATATTTCACCACGTTTCGCCTCTGAATCTGCGACGTACCCACCCACAACGTCCATGACTATCTCGTCACCGTCCCTACCCTGGACTTTGCGCGTTACACCGCGCCATGGTGTGATCAGCGTGTCAGATGTCCTGTATGCCATCTATGATGGCCTTCGCTCAGGCATCTACCCTCAGGACTTCGAAAGCATGACTCGTGACAATCAGAAGAGGGTGAGGAAGGCATACGAGAACAGGTACCGCCGTATGAGGAGCTCGACTGCTGCTTTGGAGAAGGCTAACGGAGTCAAGAGGGTGGACTTCCTGATGGGACACACTGTATTCATGGGATTGGCCCCAACCAGGAATCCTACTCACTGGGTTCTGATCACGTCAAAATGATCACCTGCGCACCACTTATCGGCTTCAGCCCAGGGGTTTTGATAACGCCCCAAGTCTACCGTCACTGGATTGGCTTCAGTACTCCTGGCCCTGGCTTCGAATTGGGGCTTTGATTTTTTGCTTTGTTCATTTTTCTTCGGTTGTCTGCTTGATTGCGACTGGGACTTTTCTTCCCGTATCTTTATATGCTTTACTATCCTGCTTTTCCCGCTCTCCCGACACTCGCTACATATATCAAATTCCCAATCCCGACTTGTAAACTAGTTAGTAAGACTATAGCCACATTGCCTCGTGTTGACGACGATTATGATCGTACTTCATGTAATTTTAGATCACGACTACTATGATTAATGCCATCTAGATACTTGTTTTATCAGTGGGAACAAACAGCAACTAGCTGGGGGCGTTGCATCCACTCTTCTTCAGGTTGCGAAGCTTGGTGGTGACGGGAGCCAAGGGGTTCTACGCCTTCCTGATGTAAGAAGAGGTACTTCTGTGGGTTGACAACGCAAGTTTTTATAGTTCTAGTGATGTCGATGGGGCTTTGGTACAAATTCGTGCAATCGTAGTATGTATCTTAGAAGAAGTGGTTTACCAGCAATGCTTTGTATGGTGCTGTTTGTTTCAGAGGATGGTGCCCTTGTTTATAAAGCGCGCCGACGTACCGAAATCTTGAAGTCGTTCCCTTTCTGTCAATTAGATTCTCTTGCTCACACTTTTGGATGAGATCGTGTCCTTGCTTTATTGACCCTCAACCACACCTCACCTCTTTCTCCGGACAGCACTGTTGTTCATCCACCCCACATTGCAGGCTGCATCGGTTCAAGCGAAGCGCCCATAACGATGGGAAGCGTATTATGGGAACTCTTCTATGATGGATCTCTTGGGATATACTTTCCCTTGTATAATGTTCTGGGTATGAAGTTATGCTGGACTTTGCAAGTCACGATTTTCGACTTTCGAGCGTCAGAGCCTGCAGTTAGTAGTCCTGCGCTAAATTTGTGCGCGTAGCAGCCTGGGATTCATGAAGTGACGATTCTACGGCTCGTAGGTGTGTTCGCCGGCTCTTCGGCGACAAAATCTAATTTCGATCTCGAACAAGCTGTTTGGAGATGGACCCACTTGCGTAAACATCGAAGCAACAAGCTCCCTTTGATCATAATCATTTCTTCAATAGTCCACTCAGCATGAGTAGCACACTCTCAACAATCAGCCTACCCTCGAACCAATACTCGGGCTCCTTTCCAGTTGTCTACGACCACGGTCGAAGTTCGACGCAGCCTCGGAACTCGTTCCGGAACGCGAAAGCAGTGAAAGGTGGCTTCCGACCTCGTCTCGTTGCACCTCTACGCCTGTCTACGACAAGAACACTCACCGCCGATCCCGTTTCACTGGATACGGTCTGTCGGAAAGTCAGGGCTTTGCTTAACAAACTTGCCGTGGCAACGTTCGACTCTATCTCAGATCAGATCATCGAGTGGGCCAACATGCCTCGAATGGAGACTGACGCTCGAACGCTCAAACAAATTATACAGCTGATCTATGGGGCGGTGGACGAAAACGAGTGGTTGGTGGAGATGCTTGCGCGCCTGTGCAGAAAGATGATGGAGCAGATAAGCCCCGAGGTGCAAGATAGCAGTGTCATGAGCGCGCAGGGCTGGCCTATCACTGGAGGACACCTCTTCCGTAAATACCTCCTCAACCGGTGCCAGGAAGATTTCGAGCGAGGCTGGGTATCGATGGAAGCTGCTGCGACATCTAAAACTTTGAGCGACAAGGTGGTCAACGATAAAGCCACCGCCAACGCTAAAGGGGCCGAGTCGCCCGACGAGGTTGCTTTTTACTCCGAGAAATATTACGCCACCCAGAAAGCCAGGCATCAGGGTCTTGGTCTCATCGTGTTCATGAGTGAGCTGTTCAAGTTCCAAATGTTGACGGAGCGTATCATGCACGAGTGCGTGAAGAAATTGCTCCGAAACTTTGACAACCCTGAGGAGGAAGAGATCGAGGGTTTGTGCAAGCTACTCTCTACCGTTGGACAATTGCTCGACACGCCCAAGGCCCGTGCCCACATGGACGCGTACTTCTTGAGGATAAACAATTTGATGAAGAGTCTCATCGTATCATCGCGCATGCAATTTATGCTCCAGGTAAGTAAATGATATAACTTTTTCTGGTGTACTTGGTCAATGATTTCACCTATCCAGGACATCATTGAGCTACGCCAACGCAGATGGGTCAGCCGCAGCTCAGCCACAGTGCCTACTACACAGGTGTTTCATGAACTCGTAAGTCCGTACTCGAGTCCGTATCGTGTCAATTAAACATGACCGGGTTCGGATCCGCTCGATTTGGCCTTAAGCCTCGCCGCCTTTCCCAGTCGAGCAAGATTTTCAGCCAGATCAACGAAAACTTTAATGAACTCCTCGGTCTCCGCAATTCAGACGCAGCGGAGGAATATTTTTCGAATTGGCCACCATCTCGTCATGAAGACCTGGTCCGCGCCCTCGTACTGAAGGCCATCGAGTCGAGGGAGGCTGGTGTTACCCTAATCGCCAGAGTGTTCGCTCGCGCAGTATCCAAGAACCTATGCACACGCACAGCCTTTGAACAAGGATTCTCTCGTGTCGCCCAATCTTTGGAGGACATTGTCATCGATGCGCCCAAAGCATGGGACTTTCTAGACACCATGGCTAAGGGGGCCGGTCTGACAGAGGAAAGTCAGAGATGGACAATGCCAAGGACGGTAAATGGGAAGAGGACTCCCTTTTCCGTTACTAGTGCCGTCGATGGCTCTATCCGATCATCCAGCACCAATGTAGACATCGATCCAGCAGAAGAAGTTCGGCAAATTTATTCCCTGGCTCTTTTGTTCGGGCACTTGATACGTGACGACGGTAGCGGAATTTATGACAACAAGGAAATCATATCCAAGAATATTGCCAAAGATGCACCCAGCGCTCAAGGGATCGCAATACGTGGTACGGATGGTGGGCCTATCCCTAGCATGTCTTGTTTCTGTTAACAGCTCTTGACAGGTGTGTCCCGTTCTGGATCCATGCCGTCTGGCTCCCCTGCTTTCACTGTGCCGCAACAGGAAGTGGACGACGCCGTGAACACGATGCAGCATGGTTCGCACAATACTGTGCCATCTAATATGCCACAACTCTACGCTGGCCAAATTGAAGAATACAGAGCTCGGGAAGCAAGTTGGTCCAAGGAGGTTGAATTTCTTCGTCGGCAAGTCGCAATATGGCAAGAGCTCCATAAACAATCAGAAGATAAACGAAAAGATGTGACCATTCACCGCCACCTCGTAGGACAATCAGACACCAGTCTGTCATCCGAACTGTGAGCCATTTGTTCGAGTCACCAACACTTCTAATACACCTGAAGAGCATTTTCGGAGACAGAGACGTCTATAACTCTGGATGACGGCGTATCGCAATGGCTTACGTACTCCTCTCCTTAGCCCTCAACTTCAAGAACGTTTCAGCAGCTTGCGACGCCTTCTAGCGTTGATGTTGGTGCCACGGCTAGCCCATGTACTTATAAGCATATGCATTCATTTTTTGTACGTCGATCTCCTGCGATGTTAGGGTGCGTCCGCCTGTAGTTTGATAGAAATTGATACTAGGCCTTCATTATTCCCATTGGTAGTCGGGTTGAGTTTAGATGCCCATACTTGTAGAAATGGGGACAACAGTGAGTCGGAAGCGTTTAGCCGCAACGTGTTTACGAGACACCGCGGATAGATAGCTTCAGACTGAAGATAACAGGACGAAACAAGGGTTATGACCGCACTACGCACGCCGCCGGCCCAGTATCGAATCATCGCTCAACTCCTCCCCTCCATGGCGACGGGCCTCGACAACGATATCCCTGTGGTTTATGGTGCGACTTCCAGTGGGTTGTAGTTTCATGAGGACCAAATTTGATCATATGTTTGTTGACTGCTGCGCATCATGATGTAGATATAGACTCCCCGAGCTCTCACACCCTCAAAATCAGGTATCAGGCTCATGTCGCCGAGCGGCTCGTAACAGTAGCAACCTTCCCCAAATCGAGGACAAACGCATCTATAAAAGGAAATCCTATCCAGATTTGGAAGGTATTCGAGTCTTTGCACCATTTACTTCCCAGGTGAACAAACGATGTTCCATATCGAGAATATAAACACCAGCACTCTCAAAGCACCAGAATCACCGCGACGGCAAAAACGAATGTCCAAATTAGGACAAGTTAAAGCTATGCTCCTCTTACGGTACATACCTTGTCCCCTCCCTCCCCTTGTGCGTCGCCATGTGTTGTACTCTAGTATAAATGATTCGACTCGCCCCATTGTTCCACCATCCCCACCATCCCTAATCTACTAGCCTCGGGCTCCATTGTTTAGCACTACCACCGAACGCAAACATCGGAAGATATTCTAACAATGCAATTCTCAACCTCTTTCCTCGCTTGCTTCGTCAGCTTGGCTCTGTCATTGTCAGTGTCAGCAGCGCCCACACCCATTGATTTGGCGGCGGACATACAAGCTAGAGCTGCTGTGAGTACCACCCTTCCTATCTGTCTAGATTTCACTCAATCATTTCACCAATAGCCCAACCCAAACCCATCCCGCCGCGCTCCAGAGATCGCACTCCCTGTAGTACACCCAGGGACATTCGTGGAGACCGTCTCCCGTGAAGCTCTTCCAGAGCCTGAGCCCGTCGCTGAGCCACAGCCGGAGCCGTGGTGCCGATACGGCTGCATCTAATCCTACTCAGGGAGCAGGAGACTCACACCCCATTCATCGCCGCCAACACCTTGACCCGCGCCACCTACCCTCATCCCCCACCTTTTACCGCGGAATGCACATAGTTCGACCACTTCTACCCCCAACTTCGACTCTTTTCCTTATGACGCGTCGAACCGTTTGCCTACAAAATCTCACAGTCAAACGTGGCCCGCGCTGGTACCACTGTCTTCGTAGTATTATTTTATTGCCACAACTAGCGCAACACCAACATTGCGAAATAACACATAATGCGCCCTCCGAGCCCCGACATCTCGCATTCTCCCGGCTCACCTACCAATACACACGAGCAGCGAGGTTCTCGATAGAGATAGAGCTCCAACTCGAGCTATACCTTTAAAACTGGTTGCTCTTCCACATTCACTCCTTACACCCGTCCAACCTCTCCTCTCCCGAACTCGCGTTGTCCATAACGCACGCCTCCCTATCCCCTATATTTTGCTATCCCCTATATCCCCCTATCCATTCGCATCTATTACCGCATCCGTACATAACCGGCCCTCATCTGTATTTTTATTCGTCTCCTTGTCGTGTATCTCAACCGGATTTTGTATCACTTCTCTATATATGTGACTTTGACTTTGACTCCTTTGGTATTCGTATTATAAGTGCCATACAGTAGTATTTGGTAGACTTGGGAATACAACCAATTGCTTGCGGCTTTACGGCCAAACAAAAATTGCCGCTCCAGACAGCAACGAAGCACCCATCGCAATTGTGACAAATATGCTGACGCTCAAGGGATGCTTAGCCCACGCAAAACATATAATCCCCATAAGTGCGAGGGCGAACCCGATGAACGATAGCTGGATACATAATGAATGAAACCGCCCAAGGATATGGATGGGCGCGTTCCTACGGAATGGACCGACTTGGACGAGTTCGGGATTCGTGGAGAGGATGGGAGGTTCTGGAGAGGATTCGGTGGAGTGGCGGCTTTGTGAGGGGAGGAAGGATTTCGTGTCTCCGTGAATGGGGTCTTCAAAAGAGATGGTCTTTGTTGCAGGTGGGTCGCCATTACCCAGCCCGACGGGCGGGAGTTCTCCTTGCTCGGCTGTCTGGTCGACGTCGACCACATGCCCTTATCAACAAGTTCAGCATTGTCCAGATATGTCGAGGAGGTGATTACCATTCATGTCCGCCGCCAACGCTCGAAATTCGTTTTTGGAGGGTTTCCTCACCTCTGAAGGAGCTGTACCTACAAGCGTAATTGCCAGGTTCAGGGCCCAGACAAAGTATCATTATTGATGAAATAGTATGGACTACTTACCGGCCATGGCGGCAGCCTGAGCTTTTAGTTCCTGTTTCCCCGCTTGTTTGACCTTATATCTGATCAGGAAGAAAGCCGCCAGGAACGAAAGAATGGCTAATTTCGCAATATGCAGGCATCAGAAGGCAACGTCTCGGACAAGTGGACGGAACTTCGTACCCGCATTGACGTGCACGACGAGAGCACCAATGAGACCTGCGTTGGAGGCTTCTTCCAAACGCGTCGAGTTGTTATCCGGATCGGGAGCAGTGACTTGTAAAAGACCTGCTTCCATCGAGGCGAAAAAGGTCGTCTAAAGAGTAAGGTAGTAAGCAACTTTCGTCCACCGATCATCCTTACACTACCCATGAACCAAAGTTATGAACGAATCTCACAATAACGGAAATAAGCTGGAGTCGATCCATCCACGATTGGACCAAGTCCTCCATGGCTTTTTGATACGCTTTCAGGTCATCTTTATCTTGGTCCTCTTGCGTGCCTGCGTCATCGTCAGCACCACACATACGGGTAACCGCAATGTCCGAGGGCAAGATGAGACGAACGTTTACGAGGAGGTGTCACAAGTCGGTGCTGGTAATTTGTAGGTTCCTCGTGGATCGGATCCCTCGGCAGGACTCTCCGACGTTGGGCTGTCGTGTTTGCTGTATCGGGGGTTGATCAAGGCGAAGGGTTTGAAAGGTATGATATAGCTCACGAAAGAATTGGTGCATGATAGTGGGAGACGAGCGAGGGATGAACGAATGAAGCCAGGCTGCGCTTGTCACGCCCATTTATATAACCTTGGTTCTGGTTGTGGAGCTGCAGTCCGATTCCTTGATGGACGGAACTCATGTACAGCTATATATCAATAGAGGTGGAGGAAGAAGCATCAGAGCACCATCACGAGGTTGGGGAGGTCAAACGCAAGCTAGAGAGGTCTGCAGGGTATAAATGTGATTGAAGTAAAATTAACATCCATGTATGCCAACAAATCCGTACGAGTAAGAAGTCGAGAGCCATTGACTGATAGGTATCGAAGCTCATCCCAGCGACCCATTACATCGGAGCCATGTGGCATACCGAGCCTGACTGAGGGCGAGTCTTGTTGCCCTGAAGCAACTGTTGGGACGAGACATCTCTCCTACGGTGTGTATAAGCACGCACCGCTGGTGAGATACCGTAATAACTCACAAAGATGCTGCAATCGACCATGCTTCATGGCGAAACGCCGCAACAGCAACATTATCCGCAGCCCGTTCTTCTTTCCAAGCCTGCTGCTCTAAAGTATACGCCATATCACTGAAGCCTCGCGAACATTGCGGGTGCGCGGTCGGAAGGGACATGAAGATTTCGCGATGGGCGAATATGGTTTCGAGATACTGGCTGCCTGAGTCTGGGAAGGTATCCATTTGAGCTTGTACGGCCTGGAGGAACGCGCAGCCGAAGAATTCGACGGTGGTGGATTGAGAGCTTGACGTTGAGTACTCTGACGCTGTATCGGACTGAACAAACATAGTTTAGAAAGGGGTGCAATGGATAGGGGTGAACAGTCTTACTTGGTGATCGTCGGTCATGGCAGTGTCTCCGTTGTCGACCTGTGGACTTGATGCTTGGTCTCTTTGCGTGCTTTTCTTTCTCGAATAGACCGTCAGCATACACAGCTGGCACCTCCTGACAGAAGGGGGCTCACCACGACATATTGCTGCTCAGCGAGCTTCATCATGTTCAACATCTCACAGAGATCCATCTCCGAGTGCACCTGCGAAAGCTAAGTCGTGTACCAAGCACCAAGGAATGAACTGTGCTTACGAGTTGGTCAATCATGGCAGCAGTGGTAGCTTGGGAACGGAGGCAAGGAGGCTGAACTGAAGGCTGGAATGGGAATGTGGTGGTCGAAGATATTGGTTTTCGCCAGGGTTTTGTACCAATTAGTGCCACTGGCATGGCATGCCCTGGTCCTTTATGCCTGCCTCGTGTATACTGTGAGGACCTCCTCAAGGCCAGTTGGCTGCAGAACGCCGGTTATGGAGATCCGAGATAATAATCGAGGTCCCGAGTCATGTCACTGATCGCATGATTGCGCTGTCCAGGACTCCAGTGGCCCAAAGCCCAAGGCATGCCTATTACACGATGTAAGGAAACATCCTCTTCCTCCATCGTCATCTCGACAATCAGCCCAAATATGCACCCCGTTTCGCGTCTCGTGTTGAAACCACCACGAATACGCCATGTGTAGTGAAGTGAGGTTGCTCCAAGGTCGCAGCACTGCAGGGCCTCCTGTGATGCATTCTCGATAGTCAGTAACGGAAGAACCACGGAAGTAACGCCAACGTGAAATGGGTGAATCAGAGAGAAGATTGGTGAAACAGTCATTGGAGAGCGACGCAAGGTCCTCTCCTCGTGAAGATATAAATACGATACTTCTGTTATGCATCATTCAAGCAACTAGAAGTCGAACTCACGCATTCATGCCACAGGGCCAATTGGATAACGGCGACGGGTGGGTTTCATTCGCGGAGGTGAGTGTAAGGAAGCAAGGGTTGAACTGAGCGCCTGCACGGTACTCAAAGTAATCATGTTGAAATTTTGAAAGCCCAAAAGTCTATCTATGTCCTATCTAGTATGTGTGCCAAAAAATACGTGCCAAAACGTCCTAAACTGCTCTATCTGTACCGAATAACAAATCTATGAGAATGCAAAGTCCGCCAAAAACTTCATAAAATATTTACTGCAACATGCTACAAATGATAAACCAAAAAACGCATCATATAACATAACGAATTAGAGAGATATGGTTAAGATATCACATATCACGTATCATGTATCAATCATCACGTAGCAAGGCGGTGGTCGAGGGTATTAGTCCGAAGAAAGGAAGCCCGTTTCTCTCTTGTAGCGTCTGTCGAGCCCGCATATTCTTCGCTGCTCGAAGGCCTCGTCTGGTCCGCATGATCAGATTCGTCCGACAGGTCCTGGTCGTGATGCTTCGGAAGCGCATCCCCACCATCCCGCTGCTGCTGCTGCTGGTAATGTTGTTGTAGTTGTGCGGTACCATCATAGCCTTGGTCCTGATTAGCATGATCTTCTTGGTTTTGCTGATTGATGTCAATTTTTTCTTCAGGCGGTAACACAGCTCGGTCAATCGCGACGGGAAGACCGCGGTGGCGGCCACGTATCATGACTGCACACACGATGAGCTTGGAGAGAGGGTGGAATGCACCGGAGAATGAGTAGTTCTCCTAAAGTGTTTGAAGAGTAATGAGCTCAGGGATCTTGCGACATATCTGAAGTAGAGGACAGACCGTCGGTATGCCAAGACTGAGGCCAACCGTACCATACGCAGAGACCAACTCGAAGACTATAAAACCCCCAGGTGAGCATATCGCAGCTCTGGCGACTGACGAAACACCCTTACGGATATTGAAAATATTGAACCAGCCGAAATTTTCGACCGCGTCAAGATTCGCGCGCTGCAAAAACAAATCCACATATCAAGTCCCGTGTCGCAATACAGAACTCAAAAACACACTTACCTCAATTATGCAAACAAGGAAGACAGCGGTGACTAGCCACCACATATCTAAGGGACGGTGTGTCAGAGTCAGCACCCACGAAACTCAGTTGATCGTGTACAGAATTTCGCGTACCAAAAGCAAGTTGCATGCGAGCGTGCCTAGCCAGATAACGGCCCCAAACCGACACTCTCGAAACCTCCATTGTCGAGCCCTCCAGTAGGGACTCTTCTTCACCTTGCCCTTCATCCTCGTTGTATATCCCTAGTGATTGTTCTTCGTAAACATTCGTCGATCGCACACTAGACATGGAAACACAATGTGAGTTACGACAGTGTCTCTACGTCATGAAGCGTCACCAACCTCATGGCGATGGGATAAACACTGATGTACATCATGATCACATACAAGACCCTGTTAATTTTCATGAGCAGTGCAAAAAAGCCAAGCATATGATACCTACTTCACTGCAGGAGCGAGGACAGACAGTGAGACTGCCCCAAAGCCAGCTGCGCGGACTGCAACCGCTTGCAGCAAGCCAAGCAGAAACCGCACGCCCAGCGGTATCGTCTCCATACCAGAGTTGCCTATATCAAGCACGATGAAGAAGAACCAATCGGTGAATCTGTATAAAATTCATCAGTTTCGAGTCGTGAGGGCTGGGAGAAAGTGGGGCGTACGTTAGACCTAGAACAATGGCAAGAAGGAGCCACGTCTGTTGTGAGGGGAAGAGGTATATGAAACAACGCCGCGGGTGGTCGAGGAGGAACTGGAGCGTTTCAAAGGTACGGGACCCAGCGGGTACGGATTTCGACATTATCCAACTGTTGCGATGTTCAGAATGCAGATTCAGGAATGCAATTGCAAAGGAGACCTACATTACAAGGCGAAGGCTGGACGCATATGGCGGTGTGGATGAGCACACACGTCACAAGTCACACAAAATTATTGACGGTACTCACAATATGGGCTACAATGTGTCATGTAACTCAGCACCTGTAGCGCAAAGGACAAAAGAGAAGAGCACTCACGAAGGCGGTATTACCAGCAAGGATCAAGAATATCATAAATATTATCATAACATATGCCTGTTGAAAGGGTAGCATAGATTGGTCGACCAGCGACATGCCCGTATTCGTGTACGAAGAGACAACTTGAAAAAGAGAAAACCTATCATAGTTGTCTCGTTGAGTGATATATCGCAGCATCATCAGTGTAACGAACCAAGGTGACGCAAGAGTCTTGTGTAGTTGAGGGGGGACAAAGGCGGGTTTCCAACGGGACTGGGACATGTAGGGCGCGATGACGATGAATGAGAGTAGTTGGACGCCTATATGGTACTATCACAGCGTCACTGAGGGGGTCTGCAGTTGGAGAAACAGAACTTACGGCTCCAACAATCCACAGCAGGGCGTTCAGCGCACGATACTCCACGCCGCCGAGCTGTTCGAGCTGTTCATTGGTGAGGAAGTGGAACGCCGAGTTGCGCCCTACGATCGCATCGAACTTCAGATATGTTACGATTTTTGCGCCCTCAGCGACGGCGTGGGCGTCGGGATGCGTCGTGATCGTGCGAGCCAGTGGTATTGTCACCGTCCTCGCAAGCCGGTGGTGCACGTTGGGGAAGAACTTGCGGAAGAGTTTGGCGATGATTGCATGGGGCATCGGGAACCCTCCGAACCCCCGATGAATCGGAGGAAGTGCCGCGCGGGCACCATGGCTGGTGGGATACCTATTCAGCGATACCCCGGGGACTACCGATCCGCGATACGTAGACCTTCGTTCGTCAAAGTCCAGGTTGCCGGTCGCACTAGCCTCCCTGGTACGTGTGCGTTCCAAGGGGTTACTTGAGTATGTGCGTTCGGGGCGCCCACGCCGACGTAGCGCGTTATGCGGCGCGAACTCGACGGTCATTGTACGCGGGAAAAGGGGCTCTTGAGGCGCGGCCACGGTTTCGTACCGAGGAACTAAACACCGTGTAAGCTCAGCGATACGCAGTGAGCATGCCCAATCCACAAACAGTTGACAATCGAGGCCGGTCTTGACACCGCGCCGGGATCAGAGAGACGGCGGCTAAATCTGCAGGAGGTTTGTAACTAGGCGCGCTACCAGGAAAACAAGCCCACCTTTTCCTGCCTGGAGAAATAGCACTCCGGGGGGGCTGAGGCTGCCTGACCTCCTCCTGGATGGTAGGCGTCTTCTCCGAGAATGTGAGCTGCCGAATCAAACCTGTCCCCACTACTGGCGGGCCCGCTGTGTTGCTCCCAGTAATCCACCCACTAGGGTTGATGAGTTTCGGCTCATCATTATCTACGCGCCGTATCATGTCTGGGCGCAGCTTCGGAGCCTTTGGGCCCTTGACGCGCCGTGTATGGTCCTCCTTGCTGTCTTCCTCGCCGTCCCAGCGACCCTGAGGGTGTTCTTCTGCGAGTTCGCTGTCCTGAACATGGCTTCCGTATCCGCTGTACGTCTTGGCAAAGTAGTATCTGCGGGATATGGTTACACTGTGGGTAGCTCCGCCGCAAGTGTCCACTTACTTTCGCACCAACACAATCAGCCAAGAGACGAAGACCTAGACAAGCGTTAGTGTCGGGGATACGCCGTAACGCTGCACGCACCGGACTACCGATGCACATCTGCATAAAGATCAAGACTTGCTGCCAAGGAGTCAAAGCGCTGAGATCCACCGTCGCCAGTCCGCACACTGTCACCGCGCTCACGCATAGAAAAAGGGAATCGATATAGGATATAGGATACTGGCCATTGCTTGCATAGAAAACCGCCGAAAAGATGAGAGGGGTAAATATGCTGCAGAAAAAGATCAATCTTTTGATTCGGTTGCGGCGAGATAAACTCACAAAGCTAGGATATGAATACGATAGAAGTTAAGGTGGCTGCGCAGTCTCTTCCATAGCCCACGATTTGCCATTCAGGCCAAAAGCTGGAGGAGAGGAGCCTGGAGGGGTGGGTGTCCGCGGCGGGCGCTTTGGTTTGTGGCTCCGTTCAAGACTTTGAAGATCGTTCGCTTTCACGAGCAAAATGGGTTATATTAGGTTCGTCTCACAATCAAAGCATCTTCATTCTCGCCGACTATCATTGGAAGAATCATCAAAGGCCTATCTATTAAACGACACCTGACATCGCCTCAAGGCATGCTGGCGAAGACCTGCTGCAAACAGGGTCTATTCTTGTGTCAACGGAAGGACGGTATCTCCTAATGTATGCCCTTGACACGATAAGAAAAGCCTACCAGGCTAATGTCGTGGGGGTAGGTCCTGTGCTGGCTCAGCCACACAAGTCAGTGTCCTTAATGAGCCTAAAACGATGGACAGGTGATGAAGACTACAGTACTCGAATAAACGAGAGGCTGTAAGAGACATTGGATGGCACCAGTGATAGTTCGTCCTCTCATTGTTCCTTTGAAATACGAAGATGAAGCCAAGTTGAATTTCGGACGATAGATCCTCTTTCTTTGAGGGATCGTACATTCCCATTCCTTGAGAGCTATTGGGTCGTCCGGGATACACAGCGTCGATTACCAACTGAATATCGAAGCAATATACGCAGGAAATGGTGGCGGAAGAAAGCGATTCAAAAAGGAGAGGCGACGAAGGTAAGGCATCTAGTTACCGTTTGTTTCTTCGATTGACCAACACTGATTCCCTCAGTATAGCGACGCGAGCATCACCCTGGACCAGCCGCCCTCATACGAAGTATGAGTGGCATCGCTAAACTCTGGTCTTGCGCCGCCAGGATATGCCTCCACAACCTGTCGAGTGCTCCTATGACTGGATCCAAGACCGATAAGAGGGCATCCTTCAACTCGAAAGGCTGTGTGGAGTTACCAGTGTGCTCCCGTTCTTCCGTGCTCCCGTATCTTGCCGCGCTGTATTCACGATGGTACGTAATGCCCCGTCCCCACCAGCAAACATCGATGGCGAACATCCAACATCTCGACACGCTGTATCAAATCTTGATCATCGTGTACAAGCGAGGTGGTGTGCCCCCCGGTTCTTTCATCTCCCGGTAATAAATTCGATCCAGAGTGCTCAGCTGCTCAGTAAGTGCAGGTTCACCATCAATGTCCCTAGATTCCCAGGTATTCTTCGTATGTGGCTTCTCCTCTAATCAATTGGACGACCCGAGCGTGATGGTTTGTGCTTCTACCACTATGGTCAGTATATTGACACGCTGATCCCGTACAGTATGGCGTTCAAGTCGACACGTCTATCAAGGTGAATTTGAATTTGGGGGGAGAATAATCTGTTTGCCCGAGAGCCTCCGTTGGCGTCCATCCGATTTCTGAGTCTTTGTAGTAGACAGAACGGCCGGTACAAGGCGATAGTACACAGCAAAATTACATAGGCGACTTTGCATGAACTTCGAGCTGTGGCACCATTCCATGTCAGAAGGCATCGCGATCTCGGTTAAAAACCCTTGAAGTAGGGGACTAGGAGGAGCCTGAAGGACTAGCATCCCTCGATTGTCGAACCAAAATTTCCCGCTCTTTTTCCGACTGCTTGTACAACTCCTGCCATACTACGACTTGCTGACGGAGAAATTTGACTTCTTCGACCCATGTTGCTTCCCGGGATCTATATTCTTCGATTTGGCTAGCGTAGAGTTGCCGCGTATCAGACGGTACTGCTGAAGAGGTATCGCACGATTTGCAATGCTGGGGTGAGTCTACGGCGTCGTCTGCTTTTTGATGCGGCTCCGTGCAATTGACCAACGTGGATCCAGAGGTGCTGCTAGAAGAGGAAAGGGTACTTCTGCTGTTGCCGAGCGACTGAACAAAATCCTCGACAGCACCGGTATCGACACAAAGATTGCGAAGTAATCTATCTGCATCCGTCGTCTTAGAAGCTATGCGTCGTTGCCCTACTTTGTCTAGGCCGGTGGCGGTAATCAACATGGCCATGAAGTCCCAGGCTTTGGGCGTATTGATAGCAATGACTCCCAAAAACTCGGCGACGCCAATGAACCCTGCCTCAAACGACGCCGGTGAGCATAAGTTATGTGACGCTGCACGGCCGAAAAAGTCAGCTACTAGAGCAGCATCAGCGTCTTTCGACTTGATCGCTTCCAAGACGAGTTGATCCACGAGTCGTCCGTGATATGTAGATGGTAGACCAGAGAAGTACGCCTCCGCTTTGTCTAATTTCCGCAGGTCAAATAATGCCTTGACATCTCCGTCGATTTTCTTCTTAGCGTCAGCTTCGCTCATCGTGGTAGCCTCGGCCTGACCTTCCCCACCTCTCCCATCCATCTCCCGCTCTGGACCCGCTTGCTTGTACGAACCATGTTCCTTCTCTTTCCCCTCTTTACGCTGCTCCTCCTGCTCCGCCGTCTCATTAGCCTCCTTCGCCTTCCTCTGTTTCTCCTCCTCGGCAATGCGCTTCTTCTTTGCACCCTCGCTTTCTAACCGTATAGGCCATCGATTGACCGGATAATCGACCGAGGTATGCGGCGGCAAAGGAGCAGGATCCTCGATTGAGACTTTGGTTGGGCGTCGACCAGGGACAAACGTCGGCGCATTCGTGTTCAATCTTGCAGCACTGAGAGATGTATTCCCTGATGAGGGCGTGGTAGGTGGAGAAGGTGGGTCGCTGATACCGGGCGACATAGCATGCGTAAGGGCAGAAAGATGCGAAATATCTGGGATGTGCATAGGGACGGTATGGGAGGACGTTGGTGTGGTCGGAGTGGAATTCTGTGAAGGTATATAGCCATTCAAAGGGAACATATCCAGATCTGAATGTGGAGGTCCAGATGAATCGGCTGTAGACGCGTATCCATAATCGTAGGAAGGGTGCTAGTGGAGATTTAGAATACGAACAAAACAGCCGGTATGGACCTACACAAGAATAAGGAGGCCATGAAGGATAATAAGGATCGTAAGGATCCGTCAACGATGTGTTTGCATCACCGTTGATCATAGTAGACGAGGGTGAACCCCAAAATTCGAGTTCTGCACGGGGCCTAAGGTCCTGTCGGCGTAGCCCTGGTGGCACGAAGAGGGTAGGGCGATGTCCAAGTGTCTGCTCGTGACATTGTTGATCAAGCGATGGAGGAGGTGATGATTGAGTCTTTGCAGGTTGCTGGAGAGAAGCGACAGGTCCATGATCATGATTATTTCTCTTCCAACCCTCTATGTCTATCTCTGTCCCGTCGCGAGGGTCTTTGAACGAGAGTTTGGACGACACTCGGCTGGGAACAAAGTCTACAGCACTTGCAGTCAACCTCGCACTTGGAGGTGTCATGATGGCAGTTTAAGCGTATAGTTCCGAACTGGATGAAATTGTAGATATGTATGTAGGTGAGGCCAGGGGCTGCTGGGATGCGATAAAGATGGATGAATGGATCTTGCTGCTTCGCTTGAATGGACGGTCGCTGCGCGACCAAACTGCGCTTCAAAGGAGATCACTGAAGTTTAAAGCATAGAGTCGCCGAGCTTCCGCCATACTTATACTTACCATTGGGTTTTGGCCGTGTCATTTTATCGGCATTCTTTGTAAACAAAGTCTTAAATTGGAGTTGAAACCCTCGTATCTGTTTGTTCAAACGTTACATAACTTCTGTCGCGAGCACATTAGGGTGGATTCAACCATGAAAGCTATAATGAAACTTACTTGAATCTATTCTTTTTCAAGCGTTATACGGCGCGAGGTAACCCAGCACAAGCGAACGAGCGTCCAGAGTTACAACTTAAGAGCTCAACGCTCAGGCTGCATTGCGCCTGCCTTTTGTCGCAGTTGATCTTGAGCCTGAAGCTGAATACGTGAACTTTATCCTCCAGAACCTCTGAGCAGTCTTAGGTCATGGTCGTCTTGCCAATCAGAGATGACCGTTCTGTTGCGGCCGTTTGGAAGTAACATGAACAGCGGCGGCTATCCCACAATTTCTGATCCATCGTTGGTTGAGTCTCAAACAAGTCTCAAATCATCCGAGACCAATGTAGAGGACGCGCCCTGCAAGCAGGGTCTATTCTTGCGCAAGATATATATTACGCGCGGACGGAGGATAAGTACACAAGGAAAAACAAGTTATGCACAGTAAAATACGGTAGCAAGTGATGGACGCTGAACATGGGATGAGATGTATATAAACAGCAATGCAAACGAGAAGAACCGGGACAAAGGTGAATGCAAGATGACGAAGAAACGAGCGTGAGGGGACTGAGAATATATATGCAAAGAAAAGAACCCGCAATAGCGCCATAATGAACAACATCTATGATAAAAGTGCAAGTAGTTTATTAGCATCCGTTGTCTTCGACGCTATGCGTCCCTGAGTGTCCCCGTTCAGGCTGGCGCCCTTAACCATGAGGGCCATGAAGTCCCAGGCTTTGGGTGCATCAATGGCAATGTCTTCCAAGACTTCGGCAATACCAAGGAACCCTTCCTCAAAGGACGTGGGTGAGCATAGGCTCTTCGATGATGCGCGGGCGAAGAAATCAGCGACCAGGGTAGCATCAGCCTCCTTGGACTCGATAGCCTTTGAGACAAGTTTATCGACCAGGCGCTCATGATGCGTAGACGGCAAACCAGAGAAGTACACCTCCGCCTCGTCCAAGTTCCGCACGCCAAAGAATTCCTTGACATCTTCGTCTATCTTCTTCTTAGCGTCGGCTTCGCTCATCGTGGGCGCCTCAGCTTCCTCACCCTCCTCGCTCTCGCCCTCTTGCGAAGGTCCCGCCTCAACTTCTTCAACTGGCTTCGTGCGGGGAAGTAGGTTGAGTCGTCGTCTCTGTCCGTCGGGAGCCCCAGACTGGGATAGGTCGATGCTGGCCTTGCGGCTGGGCGGTCGACTTGACTTGGATGCGCCGCTCTCTGACATGGCAACTTCGGGATTACCGCTAAGCATAGAGAACATATTGGAGCTGGAGCTAGTACGGGAAATCGGTTCCTTCTTCTCGACACCCTTCTTGTTTGCGAAGACGCTACTGGGTCCGAAGTTCATCGTGGCAGGCTTGCTGATCTTCCCGAATTGTGAAAGGTCACCAGCCTTTGATGGCGGTCTAGTAGTCCAGCCGTCGGGTCCAGTAAGTTCGTTGCGCTCGCCACCTCGTCGTGAGCCTCCACGAGACATGCTGAGTTGCTGCTTCTGGAATGCTTCCTTCTCAGCGGAAGCCTTCTCTTTGGCCGCCTGTTCAAAGATATAGATTCAGTGGGTGGCTACATTGGAATGCTTATGAAGAAGCTTACCGCCTCATGGACAGCTGCCAACGTAGTGGGGGCTGCGACTTGATTGCGGCTAACCCATCTGCGTTCGCGCAGTTCGATAACATCCTGAAGCAAGCACGTTAGGGTAGTTCGTGAGCTAAGCGAGGGGCTAGCGACTTACTTGAAGCATAAATTGCATTCGTGAAGATACGTTAGGACTCTTAATCAAATCCTTCATCCTCGAGAAGTACACGTCCATGTGGGCACGGGCCTTGGGCGTGTCGAGCAATTGTCCAACAGTGGAGAGGAGCTTGCACAAACTCTCGATCTCCTCCTCTTCGGGATTGTCGACGTTTCCGAGCAGCTTCTTCACGCACTCGTGCATGATACGCTCCGTCAACATTTGAAGCTTGAACAGCTCCCCAATGAACTTGATGAGACCAAGACCCTGGCGTTTGGCTTTCTGGGCAGCGTAGTATTCTTCGGAGTACAAAGCAACCTCGTCAGTGGACTCGCCCTCCTTAGCATTCTCCTTGGCCTTATCGTTAGCCGCTTTGGCAGCTTTGTCCTCCAACGCCTTAGAGGCCGCCGCTGCTGCAGTGGCTTCCTTCGCTACCCAACCACGCTCGAAGTCTTCCTGGCATCGGTTGAGAAGGTATTTACGGAAGAGATGACCTCCAGTGATAGGTTTGCCCTCAGCGTTCTTGATACCGTCATCTTGGACCTTAGGACTTATCTGTTCCATCATCTTCCGGCAAAGACGAGCGTACATCTCCGACCACGTAGCCTCATCCGTCGCCTTTTCGAAGACCAACCGAATGACCTGGATGAGCGTGCGTCCATCTTTCTCCTTCTCCGACCTATTCGCCCACTCGATGATCTGGTCCGAGATGGAGTCGAACTTCTCCATGGTAAGCTTGTTGAGCAAACCCTTGACCTTACGATCGACGATTTCAGGTGAGTCAGGATCGGCAGCGAGCGACTTCCTGTCCCATCTGTTTGCAGACTGCTGCAGAGGTGCGACGGGCTCCAGGCCAAGACTTGACTGAGACATAGCACCCGAGTTGTAGTTGGAGCCATGGCTGTGTTGAGAACCGGAGTTAGCCTTGTTCCCTCCACGGTCCTCCCCGCGCTTGCTCCTCGTCCGTTGTTTGTTCATAGGGCCCGGGCCGCCCTGACTGGCAGTGCGCTGCATCTGCGCCGGGCGGCCGAAGGCCATCCCAGCAGGACCGCTGGCGGAACGACTCGACATAGCGAATCTATCTTCGCTCGACATCTTCGCGGCTCCAGGAGTGGCGAATTGGCCCATGGTGAAGGTGTTGACGGGGCTAGCTTTGTTGAAGCCCGAAGGTTGGTTGAAGTTCAGCCCAGTGGAGGCTTGACGAGAAGCTGGCACGGCGCCGGAGCTCTGCCTGTGGCGACCAGAGCCACCGCGTGTCATTGAATACGAGCTTTGGTCGGACGGCTGAAGTCCAATGGCGTCGAGTGGTGGCAACATATCCGGTTTCTCTGTGCAGATCTTCATGAATTGTAGCAAGAAGTCACGATCATACCTATTAGTTCATTAGTGACGCGCTCGGCGAGTGTTATGATTTTAAGAGCCTCTCACCTGAACTTGCTGTCCTGGGCATTCGCGTTGAGCTCGGTGCTAGGACTTCTGATGCCATCGGGGTATTGGACACTTCCAAGATCTTCGATTCGACGCGCGGTAGCGAGGGCAGACATTGGGGCAGCCGAGATGGGAACGCCTTTGGCGATATTCAAGTTGAGGGGGCCAGGTCGCTTGCGACCACTATCAGCAGTATCGATGCGTAGACTTTCCTTCTCCCTGGGCTTGGGTATGCCATTCAATACCGGGGCGTCAGCTTCGACGACCTCGCCCTCCTCTGGCTCCTCGACGGTCGCTTGTTTCGCCGCCGCTTCAACTTTCGCCTTCTCTTCTGCCTCTGCCTGAGCCTTGGCTTTCTCTTCTGCCTCCCGTTCAGCACGTTCCTTCGCCTCCTTCTCCTTCAACAGACGAGCCTGGTCCTCCTCCTCCTTCCTCTTCCGCTCGGCCTCCTCCAACTTGCGAACACGTTCTGCTTCTTCCAACCGCAGCCGCTCATCTTCCTTCTCCTTCTCCTCTTTCTGCTTGCGTTCCCGCTCTTCTTGCTCTTTCCGGATTTTCTCTTCTTCCAATCTCTTAAGCTCCTTCTCCTTCTCCTCCTCCTTCCTGCGACGTTCGTCCTCTTCTTTCTCCTTGCGTTCCTTCTCCTCCTTCTCCTTGCGCTCCTTCTCCCGTTTCGCCACTTCCTCTGCCTCTCGCTTAGCCTGTTCAGCCTCCTTTGCTTTTCTCTGCTTTTCCTCCTCCTCGGCAATCCGCTTCTTTCTCGCATCCTCGCTCTCTAACCGGATGGGTTGTCGACTACCTGGGCTGTTAAACGTGGTAGGAGGCGGCGTGGATGATGCAGGGGAGGGGCCAGGACCAGGACTTCCTTTCTTCCAATTTTCTATTTTTATCTCTGCCCCGTCATTGGGATTCTTGATCGAGATTTTAGCACCTCGACCGCTGCCGGGAACAAACGACGGTGCACCCATGTTTAATCGTGCAGCACTGAGAGGTATGTTCCCTGTCGATGGCGTGGTAGGAGTGGACGGTGTCCCACTGATACTTGATGACGAAGTGTGTGAGAGGGCAGGGGGATGTGGGACATGGGGAATGTGGGGAACGGCATGAGGAGGTGTTGGTGTACCCGGAGTAGGAGACTGTAGAGGTATAGGGCCAGTACGAGGGGACATAGCCATACCAGGCTGTGGAGGTCCGAGGGAATTAGGCGGAGGGGGCATTTGTTGAGGCATATACATGTAACCATATTCATAGGGAGGGTACTAAGGAAGACTTAGAATATGAACGGGAGAGCGAGTATGAACTTACATAAGTATAAGGAGGCCATTGCATCTGAGGCGGAGGAGCCATAGGAGCGGGTTGACCAGCATGAGGATGTGATTGGAGCCGGGGACTCGACATACTTGGAGGTATCGGTGAGGGGCCATTTGGGCCATTAGGACCCGTCGGTCTGGATGAGTTACCGTTCGTCATATTTCTATTATACGAGGGCGAACGAGGGACTCCTCCAGGACCACCGTTCTGCTGGCGCATCCCTGGCACGAAGGGGGTAAAGTGATGCCCACCCATCTGCGACGGTTGCCCAGATTGAGACGACTGTCCCTGGTGTTGTTGCGGAGGCGGTTGATGTGATGATTGGGGAGGGAGATTTGATGATCGTACAGAGGGAGATTGGGTTTCCGATGTTGAAGGAGCGGAAGGGGTCGAAGATGAGCCCGAACCTTGAAACAGTTTTGCTACATCCATTTTAAAAGCAGATTTTGTTGATGATGCAGATGGGGTCGTCGAGGAGGCCGCTGAAGTAGAGGCCGCGGGCGTCGAAGAAATCCTTGAAGAACTGCTGGTCGATGCGGCGGAGGCAGTGGGCTTGGTATCACCATTAACAAGTACTGAACCAAACGTTTTTACGCTTCCGGCAGCTGCCACGGCGGGAGCCGCAACGGGAGATGATGATATAGGTGCGGGAGCGTCGCGAATTGTGCCAAAGGTCACACCCGACCCTATTCGCCCACGACGATGAATATCTGCCCAACCGGCGCAAAAAAATAGGCAAAAATCCCATACCTTGTTTTAGCGCGTCTCCCCGTGGTATGCTTACGCCATCCTTTATGCCTACGCCTTGGCTAAGTTGGCTCGAGCGTCGCTGGTGTGTCTGGACATGGGGTGGTACGTTAGACGGGGCGGGGGATTGTGAGCGTGATGATGGTGCGTTCGCTGGCTGCGGCGGGCCCCTTGCCCAAGCTGACTTAGTTGGAAGCTGCTTCGATGCAGATGCGGTTGAAGATCTGCTCATTCTGTTATCCCCATCACCAACGCCGTCGCCGTCAGTGAGTGCAGGGGAAAGGAAAAGCGCAGACTCACGAATTTTCTTGCAGAGCGGGGAGAATCGTGTGGTATGTTGTCGTCGTCGACTACGCTGATAATCTGCGCAAAACTGAATCGCGTGTGGTCGGGTCGTAACAGTGACCTGCCAGCAGGCGAAAAAGCAGCTGGTTGTGGAAGAGGAAAAGGTCTAAGATGAAGAAGCGACGGACACTCGAGTCGAGTCTGTCCGATTCAGCAGTCAGTCCTGTACAGAAACAAGGACGGTAAGCAGAAGAATCCGTATTCCAAAAAACTCCCACTCAATTTATGGCCAGGAACGACCCTTGCCACCGCAATTACATAAGCATCGGCTCCGTCCACGTTTCGACTCAAAATGTGACCGAATGTCACGCCGAGACAGCCATTGTTCGGTATTCGGGGTCCCTCATGTGAGTTCACTTGACAATGATTGCTGGCGACAGCAACGATTCACCAAAAAAATTAATATGTTGTCTGCCATGCGTCGGCCGCATGCTACTCGTGCTGGACGGAATCTATTTTACATCGTGGAGGCTTTCTATTGACTTCACTCTGACGTATCGCTATCAACCGGCTGAGCTGCAACTGCTTGATTCAAGCCCCAACCAGCCCAGTCGGCCTTTGTCTCACCAGTTCCGTCAATCCACGCGCCCCACGTAATGGCATAATGCTCTAGCACAAGCTCGAGCTCTTCGACTTCGTCCAGCATTTCGAGCTTGGATATCCTGACAACATCAATGTCACGATTCAGGCGCAGAGACAGATAACAACAGCACATACCTTTCCAGTTCCGTTGTTCCGAGATGCGATGCGCGTAGTTCCCGCAACGACAGGGCGTGCGAAGCCCTAAATCCGTGCTGTAGAAACCTCTTGGGCAACGACTGCATTGTAGGATAGGGCTCGGCACCCGGGAGAGAGACATTGCGTGTCTGGACAAAATAAGTCAACTGGGGGAATCAAGGACAGTGGTCTCAGATCGGCGTACCTTAAGATTATTAACCATGACCCTTCCGAAAGGATCATTGAGTCCAAACATCTCGTATACGATTCCACCGAGAACGCGTGGCTTCCGATTGGTGTTGTTATCTGTGGATGAGAAGTAATCAACGAACCACTGAACGAGCTGCGCCGAAGCCTCCGGCGTCATGTATACAAGCACGCATTCGAAAAGTAAGAGTGTCGGAACGTCGGGGGAGAGAAGCGGCGTAGTAGAGTCACTTGTTGACGGAGAGGCAAGCAGTATCGACAAAGTATCAGCAGGGGGGAGTCTTAAGTCAACTCCAAATAGATGGTATTTGGGCGAATGTAGCCCAGTCCCAGATTTATCTAGACGTAAGGATAGAAGTAAACGTGTTTACAAATGAAGGCACCGCAACACACCTATCTGAACTTCGCCTGGCTTACCCAACAGGCTGCTCAACTCTCGACTCTTGGTTATAGCCATAGTTTTCTTGGTAGTGATCTCGGGGAAGTCGAGCTCAATGTATTTGCTGAGAGTATCCTTCCACGGACCGGTCTACCTGGGACATCCCATGAGTCCCCTTCTTAATTCCGACCAGAAACTTGGGCTCAGATGGCACGCACAGCAAGCCTCCAAAACCTCGTATCACTCCCTGCTCCGAGGCTCAATATTTGGCATCCGGATCGCCCTTCGATGGAGCATTTCTGCAACCACCCATCGACTAACTTGTCGATGCAGACGGTCCTGACGTAGGTTCCGATGTTGATTAGAGGCGGACGAGGTGGTTGCAGATGTGCCCTGGGTACAAGATGTCGGACAAATGGATCGACAAGGTACCCCTTTTGAACAGCAGAGAGGCGAGCAAGAGCTGCATCGGAATCCGTAGCTCGTATCGATGCATCGGGATCGGTGGGTTCCCTTGGTGGGCGGAACATGCTGCTTCGAGATCGAATGAGATCGAAGCGGTAGTACTGAAGATAAACAAGCGCCAAGCGTTTATACCGAGAAGTAAATGCATTGGCGCCCACAGGATTTCCCTCCAATACAGCGATAAATTGCACAGCAACAAAGCAAACAACTAGTTAGAAGTTCGTGTATACATACATTGCGTAGGAAGTCCATATATCACCTCTCCAAGTACACAAACTTGCTGACAACGTCGATTTCAATAAAGGTTTCCAGCCGTCTCGAAAGCATCTAAATTGATCGAGAGGCCAGTCGACCAAGCCCGCTCGGCAAAGCCTTTGAGAAATGCGTAGCCCTTTGCAGTCCCTTCGTTCGTCAGAACCCGTATTGCAGGGCGGAGGACCTCCGAAGATGTTACCAAGATGCACAAGGTCTTCGCTCGGCTTATGGCCACATTGAGCCTCCGTCGTTCTAAAAGGAATGAGACATCCACCCCTGCAGAGGGCGGAATCGAGAACAAGCATATGACGAACGCAGCCTCGGCTCCTACCCACACAGATGAGTGAGGAGAGGCCAAGAATGGAGAACGCTGCGTGCATACCCTGCAGCCTTTCTATCGTGTCAACCGTGACATTCTTCATCGAAATCGGGGTTTCGCTGAGCTTCATCCTCCTCGTTGCGTCTACTAATTGGTCAACCGAACCATTGGCCTTCATTTTCGAACCGGATGGTGAATGAGGGAAGTGCGTTTTCTTCAGAATGTTCCTCACTGCTTGCCGTTGGACGCGATAAGGGGTTGCCACGAATATGGAAGCCTCAGGCATACAACTCTGAATGGACGCGACGAGAGCTGCTGCGACAGCCGCCTCTGCCCGTACATGACCTTCGTACCCTGTAGATTCCAGCCGGCTGGCGGTGGTCTCCAACTGTATCATCGCAAGCGATACTGGTAGATGAGGTTCGTCGAGTGCCTTGGACGACAAATGATCCATGCTCGATGCGGGGACACTTGGGTCGTCCGCTTGCCCAATTGTGGGAGGGAGGAGAAGCTCTTGTGGTTTTCGCTGCATAACATTTGACAAAGCCAGTAAGAAATGTCGTATTGCATCTGCTATGCCGAGCGGTATGCCGATATCCTGACCCAACTGCGGCCGAATAGTCTGGAAGAATTTTCCGAGTTCCCTCTCCTGCGCCTTCTGAGGCTTGAATGAGCGTCGATATATAGTAGATATGAACTCGCCCAAATCCGGATTGAGGCTGTTGACAGCTGTAAAATACGGGCCGACTCGATCATTGCGGTACTCACCGGAAGTTTTCTGTCAATTGTACTATGGAGCCTTGAGACGAGCCCTCTAACGACCCCTGGCTACTGGGCCCTTCTCCATCATATGCTGTGGGGGCTGGGGGGCGCATCAAATAGTCCAGCACTGATCCAAATAGACGCTTCATTGCTATCGGATACGAGCCCGTTAAGATCGGCGCCAGTTGCTCTGAATCACCAGCAAATATCATTTTCCCATCAGGTTTGAGGGCCCCCAGCACCAGGGCGACAGATGCCAAGCTCAGTTGACCTGCCTCATCGACAACGACAACATCAACGTCGAAGGAGTTCCTTTTGCTGAAATTGTGTAGCTACAGCCAGTGAACAAGCAATTCGTTAAAGAGTACCGAGTGCGTACCTGATAGACTGTCCCAGCATAGATATATCGAAAACGAGCAAGATTCGGGGGAGGGTGTTTATTTCCGTTCAGAACCTTCTCGATTTTGACTTCGTCCAGCCAGGCCGTATCCAGGTCCGATATCTCTTTGTAACAAGTCGTCAAGAAGTGGAACTTATCCAAGCAGGCTTGTATGGCAGCGTGTGTCATAGCCGACACGAATACAACGCGTGTTCTGATTCTGCCCGTTCTCGTTTCCGCGTCAAGAAGTCGTAGAATAGAAAGGGCAATCGTATGTGTCTTTCCAGTACCTGCAGCCGAATCAGGTTTACGGTTGATGCGCATCCCTCGAGAACGTACCAGGAGGTCCCCACACCACCGACAGTTGGTTGGAAAGAATACGCTTGGCCGCTTGTAATTGGGACGCCTGCAACATCAGAGCGCCGGCAGACTCGTTGCCCAAATCATGGATCTCGCGAAACAGTCGCTGGATACTTGTAGAAGCCTGTATAACATCGTCAGTGACGGTGTTCACATGCCTTAACCGGCGGGGGTTCTTGATCAGCTGCCAAAATGGTGAATCGGGTTGTTCAACGTCTCCGGCGCCAGCGCGAACGTCCAATTCGAACAGTGTAGCGAGTACTTTAGTGATGTTGAAGTCAACTAGTCGCGGAGAGAGTCGATATTTCTTTCCGACTTCAACTTGAAATGTACCGCCGGTCCAGAGGTTGAGTGTCAGAGCGGTGACCTTCGACCGGCCTCTACCTCGGATTGAAACGTCCTGAAGATCGACTAGTGCTAAATTGTCCCGCACTGCAGGGTGCTGAAAGTCCCATCGCTTCCTCGTGAAGTTGTTGAGAGGAATGACAGATCCAGCAATGGTAAGGTCGTCAAAAAGGGCTTCAACCGGAATGTCTTCATCATCCTCGTTGTCGGCGACGATAATGTACTCATAGAAGCTTTTCTCTTTCTCGATAGGCATGTCCAAGGCACCAGCAGTGACGATGAAACAATATTCAAGTCCTCTTGAGCCTTGAGCAATGTTTTGGAACTCGATCACAGGCGCGTCCGGACATCCTTCAATCCGTGTTTTCCACAGCTCGACGAGCTTTGTTAGGACCTCGAACTGCACGGGACGGTTAGCGTGAGGAGCCCAAAGATGATGGTCAATTTGACCTGTTGCATAAAGAACAGCTTGCGCAACTGTTCGTCCTTGCAGATATCCATGCAATTCGCCGATAGCCGTCGTCCAGGATTGACTAGAAGGTCTGGGCGGCCATGTGACGCCCGGGTACGCAGGCTGTTCAGTGTCGCATAGACATACCTACTCAAACATATTAGCAAAGGTAAACGACAATGGAGAGTAAATTGCTACCAATTTCGTAGTTTCAGCTGACTTTCGAGCTGTTCGACGGAACCAGTAATGCAGTTGGATAACATTTCATCACCCGTTGGGCATTCAGGAACCGATGGTTCGGAAACTAAAACCTTCGCACACTCTTCTAGTTCCCAATACCCAGGCATTGGCAATGCCAACAATTTCTCAACTTCCGACTTGACGGTAACGACTCGCGGAACTTGTCCTAATAACGTTCGTCTACTTTCGTCCTCAGGAGTGAGACTAGGAGTATTCGCTTCGGCCTTGAGAGCTTCCAGTTTAACCCGGACCATGCATCTAATTTCTTCGGGAAATCCAGATACGTTCAACCCCAATCTTTCGGCGTAAAGTCGAAATTCGGCATCGGTGGCTACTTGATGCGGTCTGTCCAAGAAGGATAGAAATACACCAGACAAAATCAGAGGTTGATATGTTGTTTGTAGCAGCGAAGCGCCAGATGCAAGGGCTCCAATACACATTCGGATATCTGCGTCGGAATGGTCCGAAGCTAGCGCGGCCTCAACGAGGTGGGACTGAAGGGCGGTATGCTCTGCAGATGAGAAGACATAACATTGGGTGGACAGTATAGACGTCTGCGACAAAATGCTTCGAATTATGGAAGCCAAAGTGGGCACCATCTGATCTACTTTACCAGTCGCAGGCTTTGGAGGCTTGTACGAGGCTGTATTTGAGAACACAGAGACGCAGAAATATGCGATTGGAGCCGCACGAATGGAAGGGTCCTTGAGCAACGATACTACGATGGCGATGTCTTCCGACCGAGGGCAGGTAAAGCTGCGGCGCTGAGTCAACTGATAGCATTATATAATGAACGTCTGACGAATTGAAAGAAACGAAAGGACTGACTTGTATTTCCCCTGACTTGGCCGAGTCTAACAAAGGTGTAGACATGGTCACGCCTGTTTTTCCTTTGCGTTTGGCAACGCCCAGCGCTTTGGTGGCTTTCCGGAAGGTTGTAGGATAGGCTTTCTCAAGGTGTTTCCATCGAGTTTGATTCTGGAAGACAACGTGTAACTGCTCGATGTCAGACAATCCACTATCCGGCTGAACAACATTGAGGAGGTTCTGCACTGAGTTGGCATCTGCATGGGAAAGGTTCGGGATGCTTCCGACGGCGCCTTGGACGAGTGTTCTACTTCGACAGGCATCTTCGTACGGGCAGTTCCGACACAGTGGGTTATAATGCCAATTGGGCTCCCCGTTAGGTTGCTCGAGTATACGGGGAAGACGACCAAAAAGGAATGTATGCAATGAGGGGGCAAGTAGTGAGAGATTGATAGACTTGAGATCAGTGAAAGAAGGTTGGCTATGTGAGGATTCCGATGGGGGCAACCAGACTGCAGTAGATCCCGAGGGTCTGAATCGCGGTTGTGGGAGGATATATGTGAGGCAGAGGGTATAGAAATAGATCTGAACGTAATGCGAAGCCTAAACAAACCATATATCATTCCCTTCATTTGATCACAGCAAAGACGCTCACCTTCACATTCTCTGACGACTTGGCATCTACGACTCTCCATACCACCATTCCGTCGGCAGTTCGGAATATTTCCAGTAAATCAGGTTTAGCCACAGAAAACGTGACATCTTCATTTCCCTTTTCCCGAAATAGCTCATGGAAGGCTTGCTGAGGCGGTCGAAGTGTTAGGCCTGATACAAAGAAGTGGTCTCTACTATCAGCCAAAATACGTTCCGCGAGGTCTTCTGCTTGAATCGGCGCAGAGGGGATGGGCAGCAGCAGGCAGTGGTTGTCCAGCCACCGAAAGAGAAGCTTCTCCCAGTCCATGCCGCGATTGAAGTGGGCTTGAACGACTTGCGACGCCAACACCGACTCGGGGCCACTTGATTGGTGATACACGTTGTGCAAGTAGAGGTCACAGTTCAGATGATAGTAAGTCGCCAAATTGGTGGCAGATAATCTGCCTTTAGGCATGGTGGGGTCCTGGTTGAGCGCGTTCATCCCCGTCGATAGATATAGGAGGACATTGGCACCGGTTCCGGTCGGACATGCTGAGAACGTTAACCTTGTGGTTTGAAATTTGACTCCCAAAGAATCAAAGCTTCAGCACTTCTCACGCTCAGGAGTCTCCTGATAGCCCCTGACTCACTTCCCCTTTGAACAATGTGAAAGCACGATGCGTGGCTATGGTATCTGGGGTAGCAAGTATGAGTATATGACTCAATAAAAAACCGATGACTTCGCAGCTTGCGAGTGCAGACTGGAAGGGATCACAGCCCCTCATCGCTTTCCGGACAATAGAGAGTTTGCGAAAGCCACCGGGTGGCTTTCGCGGAGCTTGCGGAACTCGGTGGCTTCCCGGTCAAAAAGCCCGAAACTCACCGGCTGGTGGCTTTGGGCGTCTACTTAGAATTCGCTGGTAGCCTCTCCTCCAAGCAGCAGGCTAGCTGTATTATGCTGCGCATTCACAGCTGCGCATATGAGCTTATTATGCCGCAGAAATCAAATTTGTGCTCCATCAACAGAAGGAGTAAATGCTTGTCAAACCAGCCACCAGTTTGCGCAAGTTGAAAATCGCTCGATTTGGGCATTCGGTGGCTGACAAAGCCACCTGGGTGGCTTTCGCAAACTCTCTAATGCCGCTGCCCGGAGTGCTAACTTGGACCAAAGCAAATGTCTGCCCTGTTACTCCAAGAGGCTAGAGTCATCATCCACAGCAATGGTTCTATTGGTTGAGGTTGAAAGTAGAAAGTTTGAACAGCAGAATTCCCCAAATAAAACATATCACATATATATCCTGGAAAATCTACACCCGGAAACATCGTTATTTACGAAGGGGGACTGAAGTCGAAAGGTCAGGCTAAGCACTTCTGAAAGGCGAGGGATACTTACACAGGAGGAACGGTGGTAACTGGGCCAGGGTCAGCAGTGAGGGCTGGGAATGGCGTGGCGCGGCACTATTGTACACGATGGTCAGATAGAGAGAAAACGCCCACAAGGCAAAACAACTTACTGCGGCCTCAATATCAGCCAAGCTGCGCCCAGCTGGGAGGGTAGGGGTCTTGGTGAGGGCGACCTTGGGCACAGGAATAACGTCGGAGCAGTCAGTGAGGAGAGCTCGGATTTGGCCTAGAGTGGACATCTTGTCCATGACCTTCTCGAATTTCGAGACCATGGAGGCGTGGTCGGCTGGCAAGTGGGTCAATATATAGGCGAAGGTGGAGGGAACTCTGACTCACTGATGAAGGATTGCCATTCGCAAGCAGTGCGGGCATCGCGGGCAAGAAGGAAGTCAGAAGTAAGGCGGAACTCGCCCGGGATGGGAGAGAGGGATTGGCCTCGGTTAGTTCCGTTTCCGGGGGTGATGCTTCCCTTGAGGAGAGTCTACAGATCCCCCGATTAGTACTTTTGCGGACTAGGTACTAGTAGATTTTTGCGAACCTCGACGAAGAACTGAGCGTCGAAGCTGTTGGGAGTAGAGTCGAAGGGAGTTCCCTGTACGCCGATTGTTAGGATGCAATAGGAACTGGTAAGAATTTGCAATGATTGCTTACGGGAATAGTGGGGTCAACGTTGTCCTGAGCAGCGACGGTGTGAGAGATGAGCAAATCAACTACTTCGTTAGGGGAGAAGCCAGCATCGCCCATGCGGGCCAAGATGGTGTCAACAGAGTCGCTAGGTTCGGGGACGAGGAGGTCTGGCGAGGGCAAAGAGACGTTGAGACGTCCCGCGTGGAAAGGAATGCGAGCACCACCAGCGCAGTTGCTAACACCGACGGCACCAGCGAATTGGATGCTGATGACAATGCGTATAAACACTAGGTCCGCACGATCACAAGATGCACGTACAAGTCACCGAAAGATACTTTGTGCTTGATGGCAAACGGCCTTTGAGCTTCAATAATCTCATCGACACCGAGATTGGCGGCTTTGAGGGAATTGAGATTGTGTATTCTTGTTCTGATGAGTAGAACACTTACGGAAGGCGGTTTCGATCTCAGAGTGGGCCATGATGGAACCATCAGCGCCGAGACCACTGTTTGAAGTTCAGAGACTCTTCGAAGAGGCAGGAACCTTGCGTCACTTACCCAAATTTGCCTTGGAGGAAGAGCTTGGGGGAGAATCCAATAGCGTCGTGGAAGGTCAACTAATATGGTGGGTCAGCGATGTGGGATGGAGCGAGTCAATAATCCTTACACGGAGAGACTGCAGAACGTTGCGTTGGTCTCAGATCAGTATTGTTCACCATGCATAGGATCTATTGTTATTACCTCGTGGACTTCCTCACCTGCAGTCAATGTAAACTTGAGAACAGGCCATGCGCAAGGTGATCGCAAGCTACTTACCGCACTCGCCACCATCAAAGAGGTTCTCTTGAATGTCGTCCAAAACGTCGAACCAGATGCAGCACTGACGCGGACACTGTTAGCAACCAAGTCATAGCATAATGGGCAAAGCACCTACGGATGCATGAGCAGTGGTCCTGCCGCCCGAGCATGTGGCGCGCTTGGTGTGGCTAGGAGCAGCGAGGGCCGCTACAGCGAGAGTGGCGAAAGTGAATAGAGCCTTGAAAGACATTGCTTGCTGTGCGTTCCTAAGCAAGAGACAGAAGGAGACCCGTTGAGAGCACTGACTCTTTCAACCCAGAACCACCTCAGCTTTTATATCGCTGGACGCGTCGTAGGCCATTGTGTAGGTGTAAATTTAGTGATATTGTTCTCCACGAATGACAGCTCGCGTATTGGAAATGACAAGACGCGTATGAGCATTACCAATGGGTTGGATATGGCTCTCAGAGTACCGGTGATGCAGAGCATGAAACTGATAGCGGATTCAACAGTGTGGGATGAGGCGGTGGGGGCGGTGAACCAGAGGAGCGGGATTCCACACGTATAAGCAATTGACTCTGCAAAGGGCGTCAATTGGTGTGAGCGCGCACAGGACGATGCACGTTACCGGACGTGTAGCATCAACCGGTAATGCTCAAAAACTGACTGGTGGACGCTGGAGAGACACTGGCATCGAGGGACGTGCCGTTATATTCCCACATGTCGCGATAGATTTGCGCAAACACAATGTGGAGGTGTATTGAAGAAGCAATGACATAGACATCGATTAGACTCGTCGTGTTAACATAAGACCCATACCTTTGGTAGACCAATGGATCAGGAAGCATTTATCGAGAACCTGCCACTATATGACGTCTGCCATCAATTTACCATGCGCTCCTTGATCAACGTAGATAGGGTACAGTCGACTCTGTCATAACCCATGACCGTCATAACCCATACTCTGCCGAAACCCATACATTTTCCCATCCACCAAGTTGGTTCGCAGGGAAATCCCATATCTCTGCGATACCTGATAACCCATACTTTTTGGGGATGTCAAAACCCATATGTATATGTTATTTTTGTCATATATTCAATTAAATTCGTTGTAAACGGTTGAATTATGAAACTAAAAACCATTATTTTTTCACTTTTGAGCCCGCACTCTACATGATTGAGCTCCCTGTACTTAAAAGGGGGCTAGAAATCCTCCAACGTGCCACTAGGAATCAGAAAGAGGAACTTCAAACTCGCATTCAGCAAAAGAAGCCTATTACGGAGGAGGAAGAAATATGGCTTGATGGTGAAGGGAACAATGTTGATGGCGAAGCCCTCATTGGGCTTCTTGAATCTCATGAAAGCAACAAAGATTTCTGACCACTTTGCTAGCATTTGACATTTTCATGGCTTTCCTCTCTAACTATAGTAGACTTTAGTCTTGCTTTAATCTTTCCTTGTCATATATATTATAGTTACAGCCGTAGTCCTGTAAATAAATCCACCAACTAATTCGACGGTGATTTTTCTTAGACGCCCAAATAGGCGCTTTGAGTTAACCCATACTCTCTCAAAACCCATAGCCCAGCACGTCCACCGAGGGTCATGGGTTATGACAGAGTCGACTGTAGTTGCAACCGCTCCCTCGTTCCTGGATACCGACAACATTAACCGGTTTGCTGTATGACGCGGCTGCATTCATCGAGGATAGAGGTTTGAAGGAACCCTCGGTAAACATACAACCCGTTGAACCACGGTAGCAATTCAAATGTGTTCACTGCCGGTCGTGCGATGGTTCTTTGTATCTTTGTCGACGAACTACGAAAAGTGGAGCCCCATGCGACCGAGGAATGCGACCGAGTTGATCCAAGGAACATTGTTAATTTAGTGGAGCTCACTGCTCTCCAAGGCCCTCCAGCAAGACCCGATTCCTCAGCTCAGCCTCAGCCTCGCCGAAAGTGGGAGCCAATCATCGAGCATTCCGAGTCTTTGGTAGCCCGAAACAGCGCATCAGGCATAACATTTCATTCAGTGAGAAAAAGATATTCGCACCCATGTTGTTCTGTCATACATGCGAGTATACGCGGACAGCCTATTCGGTGTGTGAGCATCCAAAGAAGTGACAGAAGTGACCCCTTGACGGATAATTGATATTTGGGAAATGCATACTATCCAAGTTCTCGTTCCAAACTTCGGGAACTGGGGAACTCGGATCAGGAGGGAGAGAGAAATCTACCTTGATATAGCCTAGTTTCTTCGAGTGGATAAATCTTCTCAGAACACAGTATAACAAAGCGAAGACCGAGTAGCTGTACGCCGTTTCTGGTAAATCCGGGCACATGGACTTGTGAACGGAGTTCAAAACAGGGATAGGAGTTACTTCCGGGTTGTTGCGAAGCCACATGTACACTTCCCTGGACTAATAGGCTTCCGACACCATACGAGGACTTTAAAAGACCACAAGCCCAGGCCCAAGCCATGCCTGAAAACAGGTTAGAAGTCAGCATCGGGGTCGAGAACAGAGCATGCCTTGTAGGTGGTGACAATGATCTGTGGCTATCGTCGTAACGTCCCTCCAACTGATAGGAGGGAGTTCTTACGGTACTGCCAGATACGCTGAGGCTATGCGGCAGTATATGCGGAATTCATCCTATCGCAAGGAATATACTGCGCTAAGTGGTGGAGGGAAAGGCCGAGTCTGTCTACACGACGCTGCGTCAGCCTCGTCTGTTGCCTGAAGAGCCTGTGTTGCAGCGCAAGACTCACAAGGTGGGAATATGCCTGGAAATCTAGTAGAAGAGTTAATATATGGTATGTCGTCGTTACGGCACCAACCACGATGCATTCACGGACCGTACATTAACATACCCTCCCGCTCAGGCATATCTCCGAGTCCGCGAAAAGCAAACTGTCGAATGCCAAGAATCTACGGATGATTAGACATTTAACCGCTCACTGAGTGGCATTCCGGCTAAACTTGCATCGGGCCTTGGGTTCAGGCCAAGCCACTACTGAGAAGGTCCTAAATTTCCGGCGAAGCAACGCTGTCGAGCGTAGCTAATCTCGGAGCATCACAAGTAGCCTATGCATGCTTGGCCGCATGGTGACTTCCTAATACTGCTTTTGTCGTCGAAGAGGCGTAGATTCTATGCGTCGAGCGGATCTATCGACATTGAGGCCTAAGCAAAGCTATAGGAGGAGGTATGTAGGTCCGAAACCTCAACGTAGCAACTATCGCAGTTTTGTAAGTTACGGCTAGGAAAGGGTGCTGCAGTACGGATGCTCACTGGTCGCTTGCCCTTCAGTTACGTGTTGGTCGAAGCGCGGCTTGTGTGGAGATGCGAAGAACTCCAATGAGCGAAATTCTTGTCCGCCTGCGCCTGCACCTTCAGAATACTAGGATGGAAGAAAAGTTCGACGCCAGAGGTTTTGATCCTTGTCTGAGCAGGCTAAGGCCACACGTCGTTGGTGGGCAAATCCGCTGATCCTGTTTCTCTGGATAAATTAGCCGATGGAAGGACATCCGAACGTTCTAGAGACGGGGGAGAAAGAAAAGGATCAGTGATTATCAACGGCGTGTCGTTTATTCCACTCTACCACCGCTGACTATAATATGAAAAAGGGGTTGCTGTCAGATGCAATAAAGGTGTGATACTGTGATGGCATATCCGAACTAAAAAATGCTGGACTGATTTGGGGCATCTTTGTCAGTGGTAAGAAAGTTCCCCTTCGATGGACAGCATGAACCCTATTATTCGCGAAGCAACAGAAGACGCACTGATACTGAAGCGCCAAGATATTCCGGTAGCTGATTGATGTGACCCGAGAAGGTTAGGGGATATTTGAAGCTGGGGTATTCTTTGTGTATTTCAACCCGACATTCAGTCACCGAATTGGGACGAGAGGAGTTTCGATATCAATGTATATAGTGTCGATAATGATCAACTCAAGAATGTAAGACATGTGCATGAGACCTTGACTCGGAGGACCTTTGATTCGATTTGGACACAAAAATCAGAGTTCACGTGATCACCCAGGCGACTGCGCGCGCGCGTGGGGCCTTAAGGACTCTTCTACAGATCAGACTCTTGAAAATGGAAGTGATCGACATGACCGGTTCTCACTCAAAAGGTACTACGAGTGAGGCGTTACGGATTTCTGCCAAGGCCAAGTTCGCACAATAGCTATGGTCGCTTGCCGCCCACATGCTACTATGATCGTCTGCAGTACTAACGACTGTGACCTGCAGCAACGACGGGTACACCGAAATACTAGCGAGGTCGATATATGGGATGTCCGGCTAAATGCCTTGGCAAAGAAGCAGGACTCACGCTGTATGCCAAGACACGTCGGTGTAGTTCGTCCACTCTACCCCCGCAGAGCACAGGCAATTTTCCTCCTTCTAATCAAAAAAGTGGCTATTTTGGGTACATCTACCACCAAGATCATTGTTGGGACTGGGACCCCGACCCTGGAAGGTACGCTGTATTACTACCTGGTACCCGAAACTGATGCCGCATACGTCGCGCACGACGAGGGGCACTTGCCTGGACGATCCATTCGGGACGTCGCTTCTCGCTTTGAGGGACCGTTGCTACCGGGGATGGCGCTTATCTAGGTATCGCGAATGACACAATCGAATAGGATACGAGTTCTACCAATAGCCTAACAAGTGGAAGCGAAACTTTCCTTGGGTATCCACCGGAGGATTCTCAGGGCGGAATTCGATGCCACCATCGGACTCCGTCTCATGGGGCATCCAATGTTATCTATCGCGAATTTCTCTTGGCGCTGCCAGTGCTTCAATGCCAGGATGTGGGCTCGGTGATGCTTCTCAGTCTCCGAATCTTACGACCGATGGAAGACGTCTGGGCACGAATCTCATTTCTACAGATTTCACCATGGACTGGAAACATATTTAAACCCCAGAACCAAGCACATCTTACTACCATCCTCCCAAGCCTTCTACATCTCTTCTACCTTCTCGAGAACCTTTCAAGCCACTTCTACAACAATGTCTCCTGCTCTCGATTACTTCACCAACTCTCAGGCTGCCCCAGCCCCAGTCCCCGCCGCTGAACCCTCTGCTGAACCTTCCTCCAAGCCCGGCGTATACTACAATGCTCGTCTTGACCCCAAGAACTTCCTTGAAGGACCCCTCTCAGACAACCCCTCTACTCGCCTCCGACAGATGCTCGCACGACCAGGAATTGTCGTACGTACACACTTTCTTTAATTTGGTCTGGATCTTCTAACATGTAATCCCAAGGTTGCTCCTGGTATCTGCGATGGTATCAGTGCTCGATGCGCCTTGGAAGCCGGCTTCGATTGCTTGTACCAAAGTGGAGCTGCCACAACCGCATCTCGCCTCGGTCAGCCCGATCTTGCCATCGCAACATTGAACGACTTCGTTGGCGTACGTATATTCCAGCGATGCAGCAAAGATAACCGCTAAATATAATTTATAGTCCGCGCAAATGGTCTGCAGCTTGGACCCGACTATCCCAGTCATTGCTGATGCCGATACCGGTTTCGGCGGCCCAGCAATGGTTGCACGGACTGTCACCCAATACGCTCGCTCTGGTGTTGCCGCTCTTCATATTGAAGACCAAGTGCAAACCAAGCGATGCGGTCATCTTCTTGGCAAGCAAGTGGTCTCGCGGGAAGAATTCCTCACCCGCATCCGTGCGGCAGTGATTGCCCGCGATGCTATTCCCGGCGGCTCTGACTTTGTATGTCGCCTTCCTTTCAATCATTCATTCAATGACTAGATACTTACCTGTTGGCCAGGTTATTATCGGCCGAACAGACTCTGCCCAGGTTTTGGGCATGGAGGAGGCCGTCGAGCGATTGAAGCTCGCTGCTGCCGCCGGTGCCGATGTCTGCTTCATCGAGGGAGTCAAATCGAAAGATCTTCTTGAGTCCACCGTCAAGGCTCTCGCCCCAACACCAGTCCTCGTCAACGTTATCTCCGGCGGTCTCACCCCTCCTTTCACATATAGAGAAGCTGAGCAGATGGGTGCCAAGATCATCAGTGAGTCTTCCCTTATCCACGGTCGATAAGCGGTGGATGTTTATCGGTCTCATCTTCTAGTCTTCTCGCTTGTTTCCTGTGTCGCTATGGTACACGCTTGCCGGGCCGCCATGCAGTCCCTCAAGAAGACCGGTACCGACTTCATCTCTGCTCAAGGCATGGACCCAAAATCGTTCTTCCAAGTCATGGGTCTGGACCCTGTCATAGAGCTAGACGCGAAGGCTGGCGGCAAAGCATTCGAGCAAGTTTGAGCTTTCACATATATCCATGGAAAATCAGGGGGGGAAACTCTAGAATAGCCCCAATATCTATATATTATTGTACTTCCTACATAGATCTCATTCTTATTCATCTCATTTTTTTGCACCCGAGTGGCTCGAAGGGTCTGCGTCGTTCATTTTCGCATCGGGAAATAAAACTTCCATATATAGCCGTCTACAAACAGATCACTACCAACTCCGATCCTCAACAGGGAAAGAGAGCTTGTGAGGCGGGGAACATGAAATCTACAATTTCGACTTGACCTCCTTCAGGCGGGCTGTTTGCAAGGTCTCGTCTAAATGAAAGTCAATACCAATTGCGCAGGTAAGAAAGGTGTACGGTACGCACAATTCGTCATGTATAAGCGATCGTCGGGAACCGCCACAAGATGGTTACTCAGGCTTGAAGCATCCACCATGGATGGGACAACATCCTTAAGTGTAGGTGCGCCCAAAAGACGAAGGTTCATTTCGAACTCGTCGTGCAGAATTTGCAGTGCTTTATCAACGCCATCGACACCGTAGGACGAGAACGCGTACAGGAACGGGCGCCCGACTCCCACTAACACAGCACAAATACAATAAGCTGCAATAACGCGGTAGTGAAGGGCGACTTACCGGCAGTGGCACCCAATGCGATGGCCTTCAGCACGTCAGTTGCCCTTCTCACACCACCATCGACGAAAAGCTGGAACTTCTCGTTTGGGAACTTCAACCCACGTTCCTCGCCTAAGTGTTTAGTAACTTCTGCTAACACTTCGACTCCAGAACGGGAGAAATCGATCTGACGACCTCCATGGTTAGACAATACGACGCCGGCTAGTCCTTGGTCGTAGGCTTCGAGGGCGTCCTGATGACACATCAGTCAAATCTTGATGAAAGAGTTCGGACGCAGCGTACCTCCCAGCACTGAACCCCCTTCAGGATCAGAGGCATTTTGGTTATGCTCTTGAACCAACTCAGGTCATCCCAACATAGACCGGGGTCAATAAAGGACTAAGCATCGTAAATACATGTTTCATTCGAGAGTTGATTATACTTACACTTATCGCCCTCGCCGCCCCTTGTGACCTATCAACGCCTTTGGAACCAGTCTCCGAGACAACCGAGGGATCTTCGTCTTCGAACTTCATCCTCATATCCTACACATGAGGGGAAATTTAGTTGCTGCTGAGGCACAAGGTTCAGCGGTATCTTTACCTTCTCTCGTCGGCCAAGTTGTGGTGCATCAACAGTTATGAAGAGCCCCTTTATGCCTCTCTCTTCGGCGTGTTGGACGATCTTCTTTGTTATTTCCCGGTCCTTATTGACATATCTATGCCATGGCTATCAGCTATCTCATGAAGGAGTGATTTCTGATATACATACAGCTGTAGGAACTGCACTTGACCTGGTTGGGCGCCGTCGATGATTTCGTCGAAGGAGCAGGATGCAAGCGTCGGGATCTGTTTTGCGCAGTCAGAGAAGCATTAGTAACATTTGAAAGGCGTCCCTACCATTTGTATCACACCGTGTTTGGCTGCGGCTCTTGTCAGGTTGAGTTCGCCGTCAGGATGACCGAGCTTTCCAAGAGCCGTCGCGGTCTGTACCGGCGATTGTCATACGCTGGACAGGATATAGAGGTGTTACGAACGCACGATGTAAACAGGCATACTCGTTTTGTGTCCCAATATCTTCGTTGACCAATCAACTTTCGTGACATTGCGCAATATCCGTGGTCGGAACCATATTCTATCGAATAACGTAAGGCGTGTCCCATTACTCCAAACCACAGCAAAGGTCGTACCTGTGGTAAGCAGCATGGTTTTCTCGCATTGTAATCTCGTCATCTGCAGCAGATGAATAATATGCCCATGCCTTTTCAGACATTACTTGTCTTGCAATGGACTGCAAGAGTTTAAGTCGCCAAACTGGTCATGGTAAATTTACAAAGAGGCCTACCTCGAAATCATGAAGGTTAAGGATTTCGCTGAGAGGAGGTCGTGCTTCTATCCGTTTCTGCCGTTGCTTCTCCTCGTCAGTGATAGTAACTTCGACCTTCTCTACTGTTGCAAGATCCACGAGACCAAGACTAATCAGCACAGGTGAGCTTGTCTACAGTATGGCCTCCGAAATGGGGAACGCACTGCTTCTCCTTTGGTAGATTCGTTTCAATGGCATCTGGTGGATGTATTGGGTCATATTCCTGGCTTATAGAATAATTCATTTGTTAAATTCTAAGTTCATATGCTGAAGACGTACGTTGCATCTTTCCCAGCATACTTCAGGATGATTTTGCTCCCCCCTGCGTCGTTTGGCATTCATTCTCCCACCCGAAGCACACGAAATTGCCGCCTACCTGGGTGATCTGTTCCGTGGCCAGTTGTCCGTTAGCGCGTCCCCTTCACACAACAAATACGATAGACGCACCATCAAGGAACTCAGTAACATCATAAACTTTGCCTGGGTAAGAGTTCCCCGTCAGCTTCAAATGTCGACCATTCCATGCCGCCGTAGAGGCATGGGCAGCATGGCTTGGCAAACAATAAGTACCGTGCACGATTATCCAGCAGCTTGCGCGAGAGTTGTGTTTCGCGACTTCTTTACCCGAGATTTTTGAAGCCATTTGGTGCTACTGTTGAATGTAGTTCGACTCGAGTTGGGAGGAGAGAGATAAGAGGGATACGGAAGGCCACTGCAGCACACAATGCGGTTGGCGGAGACCCACCCGGGACCTCTATGACGCCAAACAACGGTCCGAAGAGGTCCGGTTGGTCCCGCGGGCTAAGTTTAGACTCACGCGGCAGGACCTTGGTGGACCACTGAAACCACATCTAGGAAGAAACTTTGTGAGTAGATATCGACGACGAAAAAAGTAAATCGCGAGTTACGCTCGTATGCATCTCTCATGGGTGTTTGACCCTCATAAAGCCACTCAAAAACTATGGGTGTCATCCTTGGCTTTCCTCTTCTTTCTCTCCTTTCTGCCTCGGTTTCGTGTCGTTTGTGTGGGGCCCATCTCTAGCATCAAAAATATTTCAGGAAAGGGAGGTTGAATTGTGAAAGAAAAAGTTTCTGGCTCGATGGACACGTTGTTGGACGGTGGCCATTCCTTTGACTACATCGCCGTGATGTACGCACACAAAGTCCGTTCGTCTGCTCTTCCACATAGCGGAAGTTCGTTGTATTAAATGTGATATCTTTTAGATACCGTATATAGCATAGTGTATACTTAAGTGACATCCAAAACCCATGACCCACTTCGAAGCGTCCCGCGGATCAGTGGTAGCAATGGCGAGAAAAAACAACAATGATATGGCTTCCTCAAATAATGATAACAAAACTACACTGAAGCGAAGGCGGAACCCCCCGCTCGAGCATCGAGTTCGATCACCTCATCAAGACCTATTGCGTTGTTCAACTTGGGGACTACAACTCAGTCACACGGAGAGAAACCTACCCATGACTTTGAAGAACGATCTCGGATCCATTCCATTGGCAGAAGAGAAGTCCGTCCCAGTCTTCTTCAATGCTTGCATCGCAGCACGACACGCATGCACCATAGCAACACACGACACTAACGAAAATACTAAAAGGGATTGCAGATAAGCCGCATGCGTCTGCTGTTTCGGAGAAGCTCGGGCTTACTGATAATCTTCGCCCCCGAATGCTCTGCTTCTTGTGAAGTAAATGATGGCGTAAGACCCCCGGAGATGACGTTGACCAGCACGGGTACGGGGGCGAGGGCTTTGACAGTAGACTCGAGGAGTTCCTTGGACTTCACGCCTTCGATGAAGCAAACGTCCGCGCCTGCTGCAGCAGCGAGCTTCAGCCTTGCAATTGCTTCGTCCATCCCCAGCACCTGGGCCGAGTCAGTACGACCAATGATGACCTATTGTGCCCCGGGTTAGATCAAATCGCCAAGAAGTCTGGAATTAATACCCACAAAGTCTGATCCGCCGGGTATAGAATCTCTAGCAATGACGGCTGCTCGGATTCGAGTCAAGAACTCTTCTCTCGAGACGACTTGCTTGCCGAGGAGATGCCCGCATCGTTTAGTTTGTACTTGATCTTCGATATGCAATGCAGCGACGCCTGCTCTGGCATATTGCGTTACCGTGCGAGCGACCATGGCCGGTCCACCAAATCCCGTGTCGGCGTCGGCGATGACAGGACATGTAGGGTTAAGGCTGCATACCATTTGAGCGGCCTACGATAATCAGATGAGACAATGGCGCGAGAGGAGGTGGAAGGACATACCCCGACAAAATCATTCAGCGTAGCAATGGCAAGGTCAGGTTGGCCGAGACGAGACGCAGTTGTTGCGGCGCCGCTCTGATATAAACATGTGAACCCAGCTTCAAGAGCACATCTGGCGCTAATTCCGTCACATATTCCGGGCGCGACCTGAGGATGCGATGATCAAAACACGGTCACATGAGGGAGGGGATTAAGATTGCATACCACGATTCCAGGCCGGGCAAGCATTTGCCGCAGGCGGGTAGCGGGGTTCACGGAAAGAGGGCCCTCGAGGAAATTCTTGGGGTCAAGACGAGCGTTGTAGTATACGTCGCGGGGTGGACTTGGATGGGAAACCGGAGAATCGGCGAAGTCCTCGTCCACGAGTGAGTCTGGGGTGTATAGAGGTAGTGTGGATTGAACATTAGACGACGAGGATTGACCGTTCTGAACAGGAGCTTGGAAGTAGTCGAGGCCAGGCATGTTTGCAGATGGAGGAGAGGATGGCTGTCGGTGGTTGGGATACCGGACTCGAGAAATCTACCCTGCTTTTATCCTGCAAGCGAGGCTCCCCGTCGAGGATACTGGATTGCAGTATGTAAAAACCCGCTCGCAAATCGCTCATTATTTTGGAACTCATGCTGATGTTTTCGGCGCGAACTGCACTAAACATTGCCAAGACTCCTCTATTCGGGTTAACCTTCGTATCCCCATCTGATTCTGCAGGATTCATCATTCTACCCACGAAAGCAGGAGGATCTGGATCGCGAATGCAGCTTCCGTTCGTTAGGTCCTTGGCACACGCCGGTGTTGCTGAACTGGCGACATATCGGTTCAGTGCTCCCGGCGCCGTGGTACGGAATGAGCGAACCGCCAAATACTTACATCCCGCCTTGACGGTACGCACGCAGCGAGCTCGGCGCGTCGAACACCAGACCATAAGTAGTCCCCCCCCCGCTCGGCCTCGTCGACGGGTCATAACGATGGACATTCATCCTAGTGCAGATCCCAGACACATCAATCAAAAGAGCTGTAGGTCGAAGATCATCCATGCGTCAACTGGGTATCGAACGAGAAAGCGAGGTCGAGGACCGAGGTCAAGAATGTTCTGATATTGGGCAGCGGCTTCCATACGCGTTGTTCGGTGTTGTTTGTTCTTGCTTGCCATCAGCTTCAAGTACTGCCAAGTCTCCAGCCAAGTTCGACTTGGCGCGAACACGGTTCCCAGAAGAAGCAATCAACACCCTCAGTCCGTGTGTCAGTGCGGTCTCCGAGCTCGCTCCGAGCGGTAGAAGCCCTGTGGTTTCTGTTAGCCCGGACCTTGATAGTATACAGTCTCTTTTACTACTGCAAGTCACCTGCTGCCCATGCTTTTCTTTGCTGATACTGACACCCAATTCAGGTACTTATTGTGCGAGTCTGAAGTTAGACCACACGCCCACGGCTCACGATGTGGGGTGCGAAGCAGCCGAAGCTTCTACGCTCGACATCCAGCCAGACAAGCGACTATGGGATCAATCAAGATACGCTGCTTGACACTGTGTAATCGCTTTCGGTGTTAAAGTGGAGTTTACTTCCACAGTGCAACTCTGTTGAGTTCATCCACCGCCACGCGAGAGTTCTTTCTCTTGCCTCGGAAAGAAGAACGATTCACCGAAGGTTGTTCGCAGCACGCCTTGGTCTATGCAGGAGGGGTCTCGACTCGAGCATCCTCCCAAGCTTGAAGCTGTGAATAGTGAATGTGACAAGCCACGAACCGATAAACCATGGGAAACTCTCCCAACGATTGCGTTGTCTAACACAACGCGACGGAGATACCCGTCGTATCGTTGATTGGATACACTGTTTCGGCCCTCCTACGCACTACCGTCTATACCACACCGTACCTCTCAATCTCCGGATCCGTCATATCGTCGAACAGCCAAGCTCATCTCAACCGCCCAAATCCAAGCCTTCCTGCGGGCCTATGGCATTCCAGGAGTTTGTGTTACACGGGACGCCAGCTTCGCGTCAACTGGAATGGCAATTGTGTCCATAGACTGCATCGGCCTCCCTGCGTTCCGGCAGCCTCCCCAGCTACTTTAAAGCGACCAGGTCTGCCGTAGGTGCACCCCATACCCCATATCTACCTGTATTCTTCTCCCGCCCCGCCGCTTGCAGAAATGTCCTTGGTCTCCTCCGCCGCTGTTGCTGAGCACGCCAGCCGTGATAGCTGCTGGATCGTTGTACACGGTAGCCTCTCTTCGCCGCTAATTTACTGCCTCGTAGCTCATAAACATCGCTTTGTTAGGCAAAGTCTACGATGTCACCGACTTTTTGGATGGTAGACCTTACTTTTCCCCACTTTTTCCTGATTGATATACTTACGATGATTTAAGAGCATCCTGGTGGAAGCAAAATCATCCTCAAGTACGCTGGAGCAGACGCAACGTGAGTCTATGCAACCGCTCGAATCGTCCAAGAGCATCGTATGACATAAATCCCAATCCAGCGAGGCCTATGAACCGATCCACCCACCCAATGCCATCACAGATAATCTTCCCACTGACAAACAGTAAGTCTTCTATAGCCGCATACACCTACGCTTGGTTCTAACGTATTTTCTAGCATTGGAACGGTCGATCCCGACACCGTAGTCAAAGTCGTCAAAGAGGTCACCGAGGAGGACAAGAGGCGCCAGGCCCTCCTCGATGCCCGCCCACCTCTCGATGAAATCATCAATCTCCATGATTTCGAGGTAGGACCCTACATCACGTACACTTGGCGCGTTCTCAATAACTCTATTTTCCAGGCTGTAGCCAAGGCCGTTCTCCCTCCAAAGGCCTGGGCCTACTACTCATCGGCCTCAGATGACGAGATTACTATCCGTGAAAACAGGGCCGCCTTCCAACGGTCAGTGCCCTCTCAAGTTGGGAGAACCGCGTGACTAACATGATTCCAGCGTTTGGTTCCGCCCGCGCATCCTCCGTGATGTTACCTCCGTGGACTGGTCGACGACCATCTTGGGTCAGAAGTCTTCCCTGCCTGTCTACATATCCGCCACAGCCCTTGGCAAACTTGGTCACCCGGATGGCGAGCTCAACCTGACGAGAGCTGCCGGAAAGCACGGCGTTATCCAGATGGTGAGCACACCACCGCAGGATCCGATCCTTCGAGCATCAATCAATATTGATATTGACGCATCTCACAGATACCCACTCTCGCATCTTGCTCCTTCGACGAGATCCTCGACGCCGCTCTCCCGGGGCAGCCGCTTTTCCTACAGCTGTAAGGAGCAGCCTACTTGCATTATGTCAAACCCCAAGCTAATCCCCTGTTCTCACAGCTACGTCAACCGCGACCGGGAAATTACGAAGAAATATGTTCAGCACGCCGAGAAGCGAGGCGTCAAAGCCCTCTTTATCACAGTCGATGCTCCGCAACTCGGTCGTCGCGAGAAGGACATGCGAATGAAGTTTGTCGGTGACGCCGGCGCTAAGGTTCAGGAAGGCCAGAAGGATATCAAACAAGACCAAGGTGTCGCCCGTGCCATCAGCGTCAGTGCTCTCTAGTCCACAAGGAAATTCGGTCTGACTTCCGTTCTGCCAGTCGTTCATTGATCCCAGTCTGTCATGGAAGGATATTCCTTGGTTCAGAAGCATCACCAATAGTATGTGCTAGTTTGTCAGATGAATCCTGCAGCGCACTTATCCGAACCATAGTGCACATCATCTTGAAGGGTGTCTCCACCCCCGAAGACGCTCTCCTCGCCTACGATGCTGGTTTGCAAGGAATCGTTCTCTCTAACCATGGTGGCCGTCAACTGGATACCGCCCGCTCAGGCTTGGAGAACCTGCCTCCCATCATTGCTGCCCTCAAGACCCGTGGCCCCTGGCCGAACCCCAACTTCTCCGTCTTCATCGACGGTGGTGTCCGCAGGGCTACAGATGTGTTGAAAGCTCTCGCCATGGGCGCTTCGGCCGTTGGCATTGGACGAGGATTCCTGTACGCTTTCGCCAGTTACGGGCAGGAAGGCGTGGAGAAGTCGTTCCAGATCCTCAGGGTGTGTATTCTCCGCGGCATCTCAGTTTGTTTCTGGCGCTAATGATGCTATGAACTTGCAGGAGGAATTCGAGATGAACTTGCGTCTACTTGGTGCTCGTAACCTGTCTGAGCTCACTCCGGATATGGTCGACGCCAGCGGCCTCCATCAGCACGTCGGTCTCACTCCTCCTGATAACCTCTTCAACACGACGTGTAAGCTCCATCCCCACTCGCCTTATCTAATACAGTATTAATTCGTGGTATTCCAGATCAACCTCTCCGCCTGGCGGAATTCAGGGATGCCAAGCTATAAGCCTGCTGGTTGCACGTATAAATTATTTCTTCGCGACGACGCACCCTTCCATGACTATCTCTTCCCTCTTCGCTTCAAAATATCATGTACATCGTAGACAACACATTTTCCATGAATACCATTCTCATCGTAAACCCATAAACTCAAGTGAATTCGGACTAAAGATATATAGGGGATCCAGGGGCAGGGGTGCTAGTAAGCCAGTCGGAGCTGCTCGTGCTTCATGTCCGTAAGGTGAACGAGGGCCATAGCCGTGTCGTACGTCGGCGGAGGATAGAAGTCTTCAACTTCAGCAGCGGCCAAGCGATGCGCCGCCGTCTTGGCAACCAGCGCGGAAGTGCTGACTACGGCATGGACACCCTACAGCGAATGATCAGAGATAGGAAGAGATAGATAATGGGAAGTGCTGGCCGTACAGGTGAGCTCGGTGGGTCTGTCTTGACCTGATCCTCAGCATTCTTGATGGCGTCCTGGTAGCTTGGGTCTTCATTAGTCCAGCTTCCACGTTGCTTATCGAGGACAACTAGGAGATCCAGTGACGAGGCGGTGGTGATAGCGCCCCAGTCCTTTTTCACATACTCGACGAATTTGTTGACGATCTGTTTTCCACGATGCTTCAGCACAAGATCACAGTTGAAGTGGAATCATTCTTCACCTTGTCGGCTGCATCTTGGTCTTCCTTGCTGATGGTCCCGTCATCACCTACAAGAATTAAGTAGCCAAGCATCAGGCCGTCCTTTATGACCTATGTTAGTATCATTCGAGTATGTCACTATAGCACTTACCTGTGTCTTGATGGCGTCGCACATTCTAGCAAAAGACTTGGCGACGATACGGGACACGTAGAGCTCATTGATTGCCTTGTCCAACTCTTCCTTTTGTTTCTTTTGTTCAAAGAACTGCAGTAAGTTAGTGGCAGATGAGGTGCGGATTGGTGCTAACGCCTACGTCAAATGCGAGGATAAACCCGTCAGCAAATATACCGATAACAGAAAGGACTTTGAGGAATCGACTGGCGTTCCCAGCGTATCTGGCGAGCTGGCTAGTCTCCAGCAAAGTCTCTGAGGGACTGTATGAGACCACCGCCAGGTGACAATAAACCCACGTACCTTCCGACCATCGGAAGACTGTTGAGACTAGCCTAAAGGCTCTCATGCCCGCCTCGACACCTTCAGTCACTAGAGTGATGAATGCACGAGCGTAGCTGCGTAGCACCGTAACGAGGTTAACAGCCCGCAAGAAGTTTCCGATATCGATTGCTGGAGATATCGATGAGTCCCCATCGAAGTAAAGAACAAATAAATCGTTACCTTTGGCTACAATCCCTGCTGAGAATAAGATACCGCTCATCACCACTGCGGGACCCAAGTAATTAGCTCATAGCAACTGTGTTTTAGAACTTGAACTCTGACTCAGGGCGGTGTCATCGCCAACAGATAGTCTCCGGGCATTGTTCACGAGCTATTAACTTGGGCTTTAGAAGATAATTGTGTTGAGGCGGCAGAGCAGAGCTCACATCATCGTACATCTCTTTCTGTGTGCCGGAAAGAGCATCATTCAGCTTCTTTTGGAGGTCATCGAAGGTAGACATGTTGTGATTCTTGAGGATCTGATTGATGTACGGAAGCATACGTGCGTCCTCTTTGTCCATGGCTTCTCTGGCCTCCCTTGCAGAATTTTGGAGCACAGAGATGTCGTTTTGCAATTGTATGGCACGATCGCGCCGAGGAACGTTATCTGGATAGAAAACTGGCAGAAAACCAGCAACTTGCGTACATGACCGAAGTTAGGTGTGTTGGGACTCACCCATGGTTATCAATTGATGGCTAGGATGCTGATGTGTTATTCAACCTCCATTGCACCTTGAATTTATACGACTTTGTATCCGTCTGATGATTGATGCGAAAGTAACGCGACATCCCTGAAGGTCGCCCATGGAAGTTCCTTTCTGCCGCAGGAGATCATGAACGGGACCGCCCACTGAAAGGGAGGTCCTGAGGAGATTCTGCCCTTGACCACAGTATATTATCGCAAAACAAGCATCGGGCGAGTAGTATTGCCGGTCACACTGATATCCAAGAAGGGGCAAAATGACCACGGCCTTCCAAAATATGGCGACGGCTGTGATACTAGTCCTTGTCGTTAGCGCAAGAGTCCATTATTCCTAGAAAATACGCCCTCAGCTTCCACTCAGCAGAATGTCCTGAGTAGTGCGCAAAATTTTGCTTACTTACGGTATGCACTCAAGTTGATGGTCGTAATCAACTCGAAATTCTCGAATACACTGAGTTGGGATTGTGGTATCAGGGGCCAGGGGTACCAAGCCAAGCATTTTGGTTCCGACAATTTCAACGCTTTCAACTCTTTTCAACCTTGAACGGCCGTTCTCTTAGATCTACGACTGTGTTGTACCTTTATTCCGGACGAAATTCACAAGCGATTGATACGCACCTTTGTGGTTAAAACGTTCAACATGGGGACCGCCGAAGTTCAAGGAGTCGGCGGTTGGCGGTCAAGCCACAGAGGCATATAAGAATATCGGTTCTACGCACGTTTAGGCCACCGTCTAACAAGACATGGGAAACAACCAGTCCATTTTCTTCCCGGACAACCCGAAACGTCGCGATCGAGCTGATCAGCTTGCGAACGATTGCCAGAACTTCAAGTTCACCTTCGATGCTAAACACGCCGAGGTCGAACAGATCCTTGGCCCATGTAAAGCCAAACTCGACAATGTGCTTCGTGCATTTGGCTGCACCGACTTGGACCAACTAGACCGCGTCGTACAGGAACGCGCCACCGGACAAGCCCTCGATGATTGGAACAAGACTAAAGGCAACTACGACAAGACACAAATGTAGTTTGCTTATTTTGTTACGAAGTGGACGCATTCTAATCTACTCGTTCCCTTAGAGTCGATCAGGTTATCATGGGGGCAATGGGGACGTAAGTAGGTAGCTGTACTTGCGGTGCTCAGGTACTGAACTTTGCCATAAAACAATAGTGTGGCCATTGCCGGGTTGGCTATCAGCGCTGTTGGTGCCCTAGCCGGTGGTTTTGGGTTCTTCGTAGGTATGATCCACGTCTTTTGAGGTCCCAACTCGCGTAACCTTATTTGTCTTTCTAGGATTGGCCGTAACTTCTGATATCCTCCTTGCACTGGGAATTATTGGCGCAATCTTCGACATCGTCAACGGTGCCGTCCAAAGATCTAAATTACGAGATGCAATCGATAGAGTAAGTGATTTTACCTAAAGTACGACTTCTCTGACACTCAATGCATTTTAGCTCTTCGAGTCTCGCCTCAAGGTCGGGCAGGTGCTCGTCCACATCCAGAACTTGGCTCTATGGCTACCCAGCATTGTGGACATCTACCAGACGTACGAAGAAGTTGGCTATGATCCTGACAAGATAATCGAGCGTTTCAGAACCAAGGGCCTCATGAAGCCCCTTCAGAGCGATCTTCAAGACGAGAATTTCCATAAGGTTGCGTCCGACCTCCACGACATAGACAATAACCGAGGCTCGTGGATGAATGAGGATCCTAATTGGCAGTCCCTTGCTGATAGGCTCCAGTCCACTTCTGCGGTCAACGTGTCTGTCGTCAGCCTGTCCCTACGTAGCGCGTCAGCATTCATTGGTGCTGAAGCTCTCTCTGATTCCCCGCCGGTGCGCCTGAGCCCGATCAATATTGCATGTCTGCTAATTCTAACCAACAAATATTCAGCTCTACGACGCTTCGATCAAGGTGAAGCTATCTTCCGCCGCACCAGACCACAATCCAGACTTGCCTAGCTTCACCCTACCGCTGGAACTCGTCCTACTTAGCTTCCCTGATGACGAATCTGCGGAAGTTCTCCTTCGGTACGTTTCATTAATTACCCAAGGGAAGAAAGGACGTCACTGTATTTACTATAGCATGGACTCAAGCCACTATTTGAGCGTCGACAGGAACGGCAGGCTCGAAAGAGGCCTGAATTCTCCAAGCGCACAAGTTGTAAGTCTTGATTTGAGTATGACGGGCAGTGTACCGCATGCTCACTATTCTCTAGACGCGCTGGATAATCCGACTTACCGAGCCTGGTGACTTCGATCACGAGCCTTGGAAGCCAGGATACGACCCCTCTTCCGTCCAGGCAGAGGTGAATGTTACCAGCGAATCAAACGGCTACCGCTGGCATTTAGATGCGAATGGCGAGATTTTATCCGATTCGCATGGACTTGAGGCTTTGTACCTTCGCTATGCTTGATGGGGCTATGACGGTAACGAATTTGTAGTCGGTGCCAAAAATATCAACTGTCCACCATGTGCAGAGAGCATTTGCTTGGAGTGGCGAGTGGCGAGCACTTTGTAGACCGCCCCTAGATCTCCTGAACACTTTCAGGGGCCTCCGCTAGGCGGCCCTCTACTCGGATCGCGCCGAATGTGCCGGAGCTCAGCGCTCAGCTTCAACACTTTCAACCATCGTGGACGAACGAAATAGCGGCGGTCATCTATGTCCTCTTTTTCAGGGACATTGTGTGCTTGTTGGCGCTTCTTATGATGGCGACCTTATGAATACAGACGATGGACCGCGATTTGCGACACACGTGTGGCTGGCCATATGCCACCCCAGCTTCTCAGTTCTGTCTGTGGGAGAAGAATTACTCCACAACTGTTGGTTTGAAATATATAATGAGGACAGCTGGTCTTAGGGGAGTCGCGTAGCGAGATGCAACCCCTTCAGCGCCTTTCCAGAGTACTGTTGCTTATTTCGCTGATTGCGCCTCTGGCCTGCGCTGCACATGGAAATCTGACTAGTTTAGCCAACCTTTTTATCGGAACGGCCTCTGGTCGTAATGGCGGGAGCGGTGGCAACGCGTTTCCTGGCGCGGCTGTACCCCATGGGATGGCAAAGGTTAGTCTTGAATTTTGGCCAAGTTGGACTCCACAGCTCAACGTAGAATCTGAACATAGGTGGGAATTGACGTCGATACCGCTCCTAGGCAAGCTGGATATATCCATGATAACTCATCTATCACAGGTCTCCTCCGTAGCCTACTTATCACTGGAAGACTGACCACTGACATTAACTCCAAGGTATATCCTTGATGCATGACGAGGGTACTGGCGGTAACACGAACGGTGGATATGGGATTTTCCCTTTATTTCCGTTGGCCAATTGTGCCTTTTCGTCATGTCCTGTAGGACTTGATGCTCGCAAAGCACTACGCGCGGCGAACGTGGATGGTGAGCAATACACTCATCTTGCACGACCCTCGCTGATCGTGCCGTTCAGTGGCCAGTCCGGGATACTTCGCGACCCAATTTGTAAACGGGATCAAAATCGAGACAACCGCTACTCGGCGAGCAGGCTTGATCCGCTTTACCTATCCCCTTGCACAAGTAAATCATGTTGTGGTCGATTTAACGAATGACTTGCAACGGTCGTTCGAGGGCGGTAGTATTTCCATATCGCCGTCCGCCCAAACGATCAAGTTAGGCGGAACATTTCTTCAGGTTCGTGTTTCTCGTGAGGATGATCAAAATGCAACGAGCTGAATCTGCTGTCAGAGCTATGGAACCGACAATTACACGGCGTTCGCTTGTTATAACTTCAGGACCTCGGCTGGCGCCTCCGCTCCATTCACGTCCTTTGGGACCTTCCAATCAACTTCTACATCTACGCCCGCCAACATCGCTGTCTCTGTCAATTCTACCTCCCTCTCGTTCCCCTTCACGTCATCAGTAAATAGGGTGCAGGCAGGGGGTCTGGTCTCGTTCAATAGCTCTACCATTCTTGCACGATTTGGAATATCCTTCATCAACGCCGAGCAGGCTTGCGCCAACGCAGACGCGGAAGTACCTACCTGGGATTGGGACGCCGTTCAGACGAGCTCTAGAAATCAATGGGAGGATGTCTTGTCCCGAGTGCAGATTGACACCCAGGTCGAGGATGCGACAGTCACTGAGCTGCTATATTCATCGGTATGCGCAATTGCGGTACACATTCCCGCGTCATGATACTGATAACACTCAACAGCTCTATCGCGCCTCCTTGGTGCCGGCCAATGTCACTGGTGAGAACCCCTATTGGGACTCTCCTTTCCCCTTTTATGATGCACTGTTCTGGTGTGTTCAGCTTCAGCCTCAACTATATTTGTGTCGTCAATGCTAATCTGAGCTGCGGATAGCTCCTGGGACACATTCCGTACTGTACACCCGTTGCTTTCGCTGACTTCGCCGAGAGAGTGGTCAGAAATAGTGAATACTTACATCGATGGATGGCGCCATACAGGTAACGAGTCTATGAGTGTTCCATGGTTCATCCATCTCACTCATGGGTAGGGTTCTTACCGGAGTGCAGGGCAAATACCAAAGCGTACGGACTGCTTCGCTTTGATTCTTTCATTTACTGAGTCCACCGCAGAGGATACGTCCAAGGAGGCAGCGATGGTATGCCCATCCTTGGAGACTTTGCTGTGAAATATGCAGCCCATGCGGAGTCTCTTGGCGTACCAACCGATGATCTATATCAGGCCTTGAAAGACACTGCTGAGAACACCGTAAGTTGCCAGACACCTTCGCGGTGAAGCACGATTGATCCCTTTCGAGCCCTCTGATTGGTACAGGGGTAAGCTAAAGCAACCATCTAGTTGGCAGACGCATGCTGACAGCGTTGTTGTTTTGCAGTTGGTCGCCAGAATACCGCGTGGAAAACCTTTGGGTTTATACCGACCGCCTGGGTAGATCCATCTGGCTCCACCGGCCTACCAACCAGGGAGGCTTCAAGGGCATACGAGGTTCGCATGTTCAACGCCCACCACGAAGTGATTTCAACCCACTGATAAACATAAATCCAAAGTACGCGTTAGGCGACTTCGCAGTGCGCCAGGCCGGCCTGGCCCTCCAGAAACCGGCGTCGGATATCGCGACCTACGCGAACCGCTCGATGAACTTTGTCAACATGTGGGATGCGTCTCTGACACACGATGGCTTCACGGGTTTCGCACAGAGGAGGTTCCAGGTTGGATACCCCTTCATCTGTGCGCATCGACCTTGTTGGGCTAATTTAGAGATTAGAACGGGTCGTTCGCCTTCAGCCCTCCAGACGCTTGCTCGCCCGTCGATCCGTCCCCCCACTCGTGCGCCAGGGGTACTGACAATAATGTTGGCTTCTACGAGTGTAAGCCGATGTGTCTGGGTAACCGCGTATCTCACCTCATGCACCTTGTGCTTAGCTTCGTCTTGGGAAATGAGTTTCTTCGCCCCGCACTCGATGTCTACGCTTGTGAAGCTAATGGGAGGCCCGACAACGTTCGTAGACCGCGTGTAAGGTCCCCTTCCGCTCGACTAAAAGCACCAAAACTAACGAGTGCTAGTAATCATTACTTCGACAAAGGTTATTTCCAGGCCGGAAACGAGCCCTCATTCGAGATCCCTTGGGTGTATCACTATGCAAACCGACCAGATCTAAGTGCTCTTCGGGTCAGGCAGATAGTATACAAGAACTTCAATACCGGAATTGGCGGGTGCGCTCTTCATCCTGCCTCTACTCTGACGACCGTCACTCATTCCAGCGCAGAATTCCTGGAAACGATGATTCCGGTGCGATGGCCGCCTTGCTAACATTCCACTTACTCGGCCTCTATCCTGTTCCGTCCTCGAGGCAACTCCTCATCGGCTCGCCCTTCCTCTCCTCATTCACCTTGTCCAACAACGTCTTCAACACAAAGACCCATTTTATTGTCCGGAACTTCGACAAAACTACGTTAACGGGGACGCCTCCAGCAGGCAGTCGGATATTCGTGAAAAGGGTGCTTATCAATGGGAAGGCGAGCGAGAGTTTGTGCTGGATTAACTTTGACGATGTTGTGGGGGGAGGAGAGATTGAGATTGAGGTCGATTCGGATGCGAGTGCGGCTGCAGCGGCCGGGTGTGGTCCTGCGCCCAATGCGTTACCCGACTCTCTCGAGACGGGTGGCTTTGCGGCGTGATGCATGACCCCCGCGCAAAGCAATTATCTACCTGAAGCTGGCGTAACATTTAATTATAAGCATTTGAACCCCCTTATATAGTCGCCGGAAGGGCATCGATCCGTGCTTTCATTTCCTGGAGGAACGGCCACGCCGAACACAAACTTTCAAAGCACCGCTGGCACTCCGCCGCGTTCGCGCATTCCGCCAGGAACTCCATCTCGAAAATGCCGTCGGTCGTAGGCGCGATCGCGAGGCGCTCCTTCGCCCGGCTCTCGAACTCCTTCCACCATCTCGGGGACCGGAACATCGCGTGGACCCCCCCGGTGCACAGCGCGCACTTGACGGACTCAGGGAAGTACACGATCAGCTCCCGTGCAGCGCGCGAGCGGCGGCGGTGGAGGTCCAGGAGCTGGTGGTACGAGTAGGCTGAGATATGCTTGAGGTCGTCGGATAGGGGGCAGTCCAGGACGTTCACGCGCAGCGTATACTGCGACGCGGTCTTTGCCTCAGCGTCCAGATCGAAGCGGCATGCAATGGCGAAGACGCGCACGGGCTGCGATTGGAGGAAGTGCGGGGATACCAGGAGCTTGCGCAGCGATGCGACGGGGCATTCAAATTCATATTTGAGCGCGGCGCCCAGCATCGTCGTCACCTCTTCCAAAGTGCTGATCGCGGGATCGGGGATGGGGTAGACGAATTGGAGCAGGCCTTCGATGGTGCGCTTTGGCTCCGAGACGGGGATGTGTGGCAGACTTGCGCCGGCGCTGCCTGGCTTGCCTGGGTTGTTGGGCTGCGAAAGGGAGAACATGGTGCGGAAGAAGGGCGAGGCCACTGCGAGCACGCATTTGTGAACCCGGAACTCGAAAGGCTCTGTGTCGTTTGAGACGAGGACAATGTCCGCATCCGAAGCGTTGAACTCGTAGCCGCGCAGCATCAAGGGAGGCATGCTGCCGCTGCATGCCCATGGCGACCTATATATGAACATCAGAGCCATGCATCCAGGCTGCAAATGGACTAGACATCGCTCCAAGCGATTCGCATTCCCCTGGCGCCAAAGCGGGGTCAAATCAGCACTCGCGGAGGCTATTGCCTGATATCAGGAAGTGGCCCCATCATTGTCATTGGAGTCAAACCCAAGGCCGATACCGAGCGGATTCAGCGCCCGTTTATACTATCGAAACTGTTGGTCTCCTGGTCACAATGCCAACCTTGTGCCAACCCCAAACCGTGTTCCTCTGCCCGGGGTCAAAAAGGGTCGATGTGGGCGTATTTATCAGATGGCTCCCCTGCATACCTAAACACCCAGTAGTCGTCCGGGTCCCGCAAACTGCCTTCATGACAACTTTCGATTCTGACATCCGACCACTGCCTCGCACTTCGCTTAGCGCCCACCCCAGCGTCTACATCCCAGAGATACCCATCAAGAGCCACCGTGCGCACGCCACCGAGCTCGGACACTCAGCCCCTCGACCTACACGTGTGCCCACTCAATAATGACTCTGAGAGCGAGAGCGACTGTGCGTACCAGTGGATGAATGAGCGGGATGCCCTGGGGGCCAAGTCCGAATACCACAGGACATGCAGGGCCTCAAGGTGCGGCGGCAAAGCTCGACACAATGCTTGCAGCGTGCTGGGAACAGCTGGGTATCGCACTTGAAGGCCCAGAGTGACGAGCGAGGGCAATTTCGACAGCGAAGGAGCGACTACAGTATCGATAAGAGCGTCCCTTTTCACCGTCCCCCATCTCTGCAAATATGTTCGCAACCTTAAGCTATGTTTGCCCACCAAATTCCCCCTCTTCACAAGCCGACATCTGGAATTTATTAATCTATTCAAAAATCTCTGTTCGTTGCGTCTTGGCGGTAATTCAACCCGTGCGTCGCACGCACCGCTTATGCATGTGGTATCCTTCCTGGGGATCGTGTCCTTGCTTTCTACCTCACACCTCAAGCGACTTGAATTGATCAACTGGACCGTATCTAACCCGGATGCCTCAGATCTGCTCCCCATCCTTGTTGCATGTCAGCGCACTCTTCGGGAGTTGACGCCAGAAATAATTGGCGTACGCTGTGGGCGGGGGAACCCTCGGCAAGTACACTCAGAATCCAGGCCTTCCACTCCCGTGGTCTGCCTTGACGCTCTCCGACACCTCACGCTCTCGCAGAACATGAAATCCCTCCCTACCATCGATTTCATTGAATGTCCAAAATTGGAATCCCTCAAGATGGCGAATCATGGCGACGACCCTTGGTTTATTCCAGAGTGGATCCCAGCAAGTGTTTCTCATCTCATCCTGAATGGTTTGTCTTCGACCCACCCCCATCTTTAGTCGTTGTTTCACCCCACCTTTTAGTTCTCCCAGATATTCCGCTCCCTAATCTCGGCACGACCATATGTCCTTCTGAATTAACGATCAATATGATTGACGCAGAAGTCGTCGAATACCTCGACACCATGACGTGGATACAGCAGTGCCTCGACAAACTTCCGCATCCCGGTCGTCTTCAGCAGATTACTATTTTGATTGACGGTCCATACGAGGAGCCACTGACGTGCAAGCGTAGTGATTATGAACCACTATATTGCGCCTTACAGCGACTCCACGGGCTCGGGGGCTTGAAGCGCATCAACTTCAATATCATCAATGATCGTGACGAGGTTTCCACATTCAAAGAGGTGTTTGCCGACATATTGGAGGAAATATCTGCCGAGGTTGAGGGCGCGCGGATAGACTTACGCATGCGATTTGTGTAGATCCTGCCTACAGCCGCAACCGGGATATAGGCGACGGAGAAAGGGAGAGCAAACCACACGGAGAGTAGTGGTCAAAAGTCTACAGGAATTATTGTCGCCTGCCGCTTCGACTGGAAGGAAAAGGTCGTTGAGATTAAATATTTGTTAAGAAGCTACATCGACACGGATCATTCGTAGCGATATCCATATATCCGTAATACTGCATTGATCCTGCTTTGGACTATTACGAGACCGGAATGGAATGGAGGCTCGTTAGTATGAAGTGCTCTGAAACTTTGGGACAGGGTCCAACGAGGAGCTAGGAACAGCGATCTCATTGGTTCGGCCGGGATTTCTCAGCCCGCTATTGGCTGTCTGGATGTTTGTCTTTATTTGCTCGAAAAAAAGCTCTTTCTCTTCTGATTGGCTGGAGTGAGCGCCTAACATCGCCAGACTTTTTGCGACAAGGGCGCTACAAGTAAGTGGTCATGCTCAGTAAAAAATAAAGTCTCCAATTGTCCAAAATAGATAATCTACGCACCAAATGGTCACCAGATGAAGACCAGTTCATTTTGACCCTGAGCGCGACAGACTGAATCGTCAGGTGGTGTTCAATTTGTCATTTCAGCACCAAATAAGCACGCGACCCGTACCAAGTCGAGACCAAGCAAAGTGTTTCATTGGTTCACTGAGGTGTAGTTTAGGTGGTCAGGTTCAAAGTTTCGCGCTAGCTTGACTAACACACAGTGACACCAATACACCGCTAGGCCTGGACCAGAAGTACCAAAGACAGACGTTTGGTTCACTCAATTGAGACCAAATGCGGACATTCAGTTCACCGAATATTGACTGAGGTCGCGCATGGTGTTGAAAGGGTCTTCATGTTCACACTAATCTACTACCTGGTTCGTATTTAGTGTGTTGCTTGAGTGATAATTTGGTGAAAGTAAAGCATATATTTAAACCATACTATGACCATAACAACACAAAAAGTAGCCGATGGTCATCAAATAGTCCGGAAAATGTAACTAACATATCTAGATTGAAAGGGGCATATTGATCATACAGGAAAGCCATAGCGGACAGAGTAGTGATAGGAATATAGAAACGGCAGCGCGTAGGAAAGGAGCTAGGTAGCAGGAGGGGGGGAGAACACAGGAGGTATCTGAGTGACGGGAGGCATGATACGACGGGGTTTGGGACGAGGTACAGTTGCTTTGGATTTGGACATCTGAATGGAGTAAGCTGATAAGTAACAGTGAACACGGCAGAGCTGACTGAACGTACAGCTTTGCAACTGATATCAGCAATGAGCCGGCTGCTTGTTTCGGCATCTTGACCCGCTGCGAGTTTCACAATGTACTCGATGACTGATTAATACATCAGATCAGAATGAATCGCACGCAGAGATACGACTCACATGCAGGTTTCTTCATCGCTTTCGGTGGTGTAAGCCCTAGGCCCTGGAGGATCAATTGACAATCGGGCATTGATATAGAGTCCAACTCCTGGCGAAGCTTGGCGTCAACATTAGCATTATCAATAGCCATGTCGTTATTGTCGTCATCGTCCACGATAGGGCTGGTGCCGGTGGGGCCTGAAGGCAGTAGGAGTTCAGGCTGCCCAAAAGTGCCGCTTTGGCTTAAAATGTGCCCCAGCCCATGAAGTCGAGATGGTTGGGGGGAGAGAATTGGAATCTGGGGTCGATGAGGAGGGGGGAGTGTAAGGGGACACTCCTATTTTCTCTCCTTTCCTTCATCCCATGGACTCTTACCTACATTTCCTTTGTTCCCCTTTGTTCCTTTTCGCTTCCTTTCCTTTCCACTTCCTTTCCGCCCACTCCTTTCGCATCCGAGCCACGTCCGGTGACTCCGGAGTCTTCCCGCACTCCGGACTCGCTCGGACTCGCTTCGGACACCTCGGACTCGCTCGGACTCGTCTATACTCTTCGGGGCTCGTCCGGGTTACCTCTACCCTCTTTCCCCACTTCGTTACCCTTTGCCCTTACTTCCCCAAGTCGCTGGCACGACTCCTGTGCATTTACCCTCCACTTCATTATCACATGTCTCCTCGTACCTTGTGATATCTGTTTGGACCTGTGGCTGGTGTACTGTACAGTTATCCTGCATTCCTCTCACGCTACTACAGTATATACTTCACTTCCTAGCATGGAGAATCCTTATCCTGTTCTCTTTGGATTCTCCCTCTGCTAGGTGAGCAGCTCTCTCATGTATTGTAGTTAGTCCTATTCATATCTTTGGATTCTCCCTCTGCTAGGCCCGCGCTGTCGGCCATCTTGAGGTTGCCCTTACAGCAGAACAGGATCTCCCATCCTGGCACCAGAGCCCTACGGAAAACGTCCTGCGCCACTCCAGACTCGTTCTCGACGTCTCTCCGGTTTTGCGGACATTCCGGACGCTCTCCTGCTACTCCCACCCACCTCTGAGGACCCAAGGAACTCCATCCCTCGCTCCCCTGACGACTCCGAAATGCTGGGCGCTTCCAGCCAGATCCCGCCATCCGAGCCAGTCGCTTCAGGACTGGACTCCGAGACTTTGCAGACCTTGTGGGCTCAGACGTACAAACACCAAACCCAAATCAGCTCCATCCAGGATACACTTGCCTGAATCGAAGGACTCCTCTTAACACCCCGTCCGACTACTCCAAAAACGACTCCGGACTCCGAGCTGAGGGGCACCGAAGCCTCCCAGCACGCCCCGAGTCGATCCGAAAACACCCCACGTTCCCGCTTGAAGCCCGCCCCTCCCCCGATCTTCGACGGAAACCGCAAGGATGGTCGCGCATTCTACAACGCGTGCTCCATCTACTTCCAGCTCTGTCCGGACCACTTCCCGACCGAGCAGGCCAAAATCCTCTGGTGTCTCTCCTTCTTCCAGAAGGATCGAGCTAAGGAGTACGCGGACATGGTGCTCCGGAGTCCGAAGGATCCATACTTTGCGTCCTGGGCCGCCTTCGCAACCGAGTTCCGGACTTGCTTCCTTCCGGATCGGGAACGCGAAGCCGCCATGCTAAAACTGGAGTCCACCCAGTACCACCAAGGACGTCTGTTAGGGCGACACTAGTCAAAGACTAACGTGGCTCCTACAAGAATACTAAAACAAAGGAATAGACGAAGTAGCTTAGTTGACTTAGTTCTCACTATTACTAGTGGAAATCCCAAGAGAACGAGCTAGCGTTCTAGGGCCTGTTATTGGTACTTAAATACTAAAATACATGCGTAACCCTCATGTACTACTACATGCCTACTGCAACCGTCTTTCCATGGAACGCGCACCGATTCCATGAGGGTGCTTGGTAATGTACTGCAGACATGTGTTATGCGTGAGGATCTTACTAAGGTACCGTAATGTGAATTAGTAATAGGCGCGTCCTGCGCGTTTAGATAAGATATCGAAAAAGATAGTGTTCGGAACAGACCGGACCATAACAACGTCGGACCTTCCAGGAGTACCTCGACGAGTTCCGGGACCTTGTAGACCAGTCCGGATACACCGAGGGCTCCAACATCACGATGAAGTTCCGTCGTGGATTGGACTCCATCATCCAGAGCCACGTTGCCGAGTCCGCAGACTGTCCGGACGAGGATGACTTCGAGGAATGGTACAAGGCAGCACAGCGGGTTGCTGACAACCGTGCTGCTAACCAATCCTTCCACTTTGGCGTGCACTCCGGAAACTCCGGACACTCCGGATCCCTCGTCCAACCAGCAGCCAGCTCTGGAGTCGCTCGGACTCCTGCGGGTGTGCTCCCCACGCCTCGGACTCAGCTCCCACCTTTGCAACCCCGTTTCCAACCTCCGCCTCCTCCAAAGGCTCTCTCACCCGGTGTCCCAATGGATGTCGACCACACCCGCTCCCGACCTGCCACCTCACAGCTCTGCTACCGATGCGGCAAGCCCGGTCACATGTCTCGCGAGTGCCCACTCCGGTACGACATCCGGTTCATGACCACCGAGGAGCGGATGTCCGCCATTGAAGATCTCTTGACTGCGGCCGATGTTGTAGAAAGTACGGGGACTTTGGAAGGAATAGACGATGAGGGAACAGCCCCGGTTGAGGAATCGGACACGGCGGATTTTGTCCGGACCAACGAGTGATCAGTGCGACCTCGTTGGTAAATAACCGATTTGCTTGTCTTAGTGTAGACAAAATAGACGATTCCAATCACTCCGATGATTCGTCCGACGTTAAGCAAGCAACTCCGGTTACAATCCGCACACTCCGAAGGTTTCGCCTGCAGTGGGAACGGCGGCTACCCAGTAGCTATAAGATCTCTGCGCTGCCCGGCAAGCTTTCGCTAGATATACCCGTTGAAGTGCAGAGCACGGATACACAACACAGATGCACCCTGCAGGCCCTGGTGGACTGCGGAGCCACCGGAGTCTTCATGCATCCGCGCTTTGCTGATGCCCATGGTTTCACCCGACGCAAGCTGTCCGCTCCGATTCCGGTCTTCAACGTTGACGGATCACCAAATGAGAACAGATCTATCTCCGAAGTTGTGGACCTTGTACTCCGGTTCAAGGATCACACGGAACGGATGCTTTTCGCAGTCACTAACATCGGACGGCAGGACATCATCCTCGGATACACCTGGCTTCGGAAGCACAACCCCGAGATTGACTGGCAGACAAAGGAGGTGACCATGAGCCGCTGTCCGTCTGGATGCGACACCTGTCGGAAGGAGTTCCGCTATGACAAGCTGACCCGACGCAAGGAGTCTGTGCGACTCCGGGAGTGTCGTACGGGTCCGATGCCAAGGGTCGAGGAACTGCACTCGGACGATCTCCCAGAGCTTCAGGACTGCGAGGATGATGATGAGGATGACAATGCTACAACTCCGGACGACTCCGGACTTGAGAGGGGTGACCGTATCTTCGTGGCTATTCCTCCTCCGACTCCGGAGTACCTTCGGAGTCTTCAAGAAGAACATATCCGGGCTTCGGAGACAGTCTCGCAGCGCCTTGCATTGGCTTTCCAGCGCAACAAACCCCACGATCCTCGGAACAGCGCAGTCCCGGACTTCCTCCAGGAATTCGAGGACGTCTTCGCAAAGGAGTCCTTTGATGAACTGCCCATGCCGCGTCCGTGGGACCATGCCATTGAGCTACTGGATGGAGCGGAACCGACCTCTACCAAGTGCTACCCGCTGTCCCCGGCGGAGCAGAAACAGCTGGATGAATTCCTGGAAGAAAATCTCCGGACTGACCGGATCCACCCCAGCAAGTCGCCCATGGCTGCCCCAGTGTTCTTTGTTAAGAAGAAGGACGGATCGCTCCGCTTGGTCCAGGACTACCGGAAGCTCAACAACATGACGGTCAAGAATCGGTACCCACTTCCGCTCATCTCGGACTTGGTGGATAAACTCCGGAACGCTCGCTACTTCTCCAAGCTTGACGTCCGGTGGGGTTTCAACAATGTCCGGATCAAGGAGGGTGACGAGTGGAAGGCCGCATTTCGGACTACGCGCGGACTCTTCGAACCGTTGGTAATGTTCTTCGGACTGACGAATAGCCCATCCACCTTCCAGACCATGATGAACGACCTCTTCCGGGAGCTCATTACGGAAGGTGTGGTCATCATCTATCTGGATGACATTCTGATCTACACCAAGACGCGCGAAGAGCATCGCCGGGTCCTCAGGCGTGTCCTAGAGATCCTCCAGCGGAACAAGCTCTTCCTCCGAGCGGACAAGTGTGATTTCGAGCAGACCAAGGTGGAGTATCTCGGAGTCGTCATCTCCGAGGGTAAGATCGAGATGGACCCCGTGAAGGTCTCCGGAGTTGCGGACTGGCCGACCCCTCAGACTCGGACTGAACTCCAATCCTTCCTTGGGTTCATCAACTTCTACCGCCGCTTCATCAAGGACTACTCGCATATCGCCCGGCCTCTCTTTGACCTCACTTGCGCGAAGGAATGGCAGTGGAACGACTCCGCTCAATCCGCATTTCTTCGGATCAAAGAGCTGATCACTTCGGAACCTGTTCTTGTCTTTCCAAAGGAGGATCAGCCATACCGGGTTGAAGCGGACTCGTCGGACTACGCTATGGGTGCAGTCTTGTCGCAACTGGATCCGGATGATGGTAAATGGCATCCTGTCGCATTCTACTCTAAAAGTCTACAGGCTGCGGAGCGGAACTACGAAATACATGACAAGGAGATGCTTTCAATCATCCGGGCGCTTGAAGAATGGCGGCACTACCTTGAAGGCGCAGAGACTCCGTTCGAGATCTGGACGGACCACAAGAACCTGGAGTACTTCATCAAGGCCCAGAAGCTCAACCGCCGTCAAGCCCGCTGGTCGCTATACCTCTCCCGCTTCGACTTCACTCTCCAGCATCGTCCGGGTCGGACTATGGGTAAACCGGACGCTCTCTCGCGACGCTCAGATCATTCGGATGGTAAGGATGACAACAAGGATGTAGTGATGCTCAAGCCTTCCTACTTTGCTGTCCGTGCCACGGGTGTCACTCTTGAAGGGGAGGAGAAGGATATCCTCACGGCTATCCGGACTGGAGTGCGAGATGCGAAGTTTGAAGACGCAGTGGCAAAGGCGGCAGAGGAGCTGAAGAAGACCCAGGGCAGTCGCAAGACAGTCCGGAGCGCGGAATGGTCTCAATCGGACGGACTCCTGATGTTCTGGGGTAAGATCTACGTTCTGGACTCACCGGACTTGCGTCGGACCATTGTAGCCCAGCACCATGACACTAAGGTCGCAGGACACGCTGGCAGATGGAAGACCCTAGAGCTCGTTTCACGCAGCTACTGGTGGCCCAACATGTCCCGGTACGTCGGATCCTACACCCGCCATTGCGACCTCTGTCTCCGGACGAAGGCCCAAAGGCATCCGCCCATGGGTGAACTCCATCCGCTCCCCATTCCGGATGAACGCTGGGATCGCCTGAGTGTTGACTTCATCGTCGAGCTTCCGGAGTCCGATGGGTTTGATGCTGTCATGAACGTGGTCGACTCCGTAAGCAAACGCACCCACTTCATTCCGACTCACACCACAGTGTCTGCCCTCGGATCCGCAAACTTGTACCTGCAGAACGTCTGGAAGCTGCACGGACTCCCTCGGTCCGTTGTGTCCGACCGGGGTCCACAATTCGTCGCAGAGTTCACCCGAGAAGTCTACCGGATGCTCGGAATCAAGCTGGCTGCCTCCACTGCGTACCACCCTCAGTCCGACGGACAAACGGAACGGACTAACCAGGAACTCGAGTCCTATCTCCGGATCTTCGTTGGAGAGCGCCAGGACGACTGGGCTCGCCTCCTACCTATGGCGGAGTTTGCGTACAACAACCGGGTCCATGCGTCCACTCAGCAGTCACCTTTCCTCCTAGATACTGGCCGACATCCTCGCCTTGGGTTCGAACCTCATCAGCCACCGTCTCGGATGGAGTCCGCAAACAAGTTTGTACACCGGATGAAGTCCGCAGTCGACGAAGCTCAGTCTGCATTGGTCAAGGCTCAGGATGACATGAAGCGCTACTACGATCAGCGTCGGACCCCTGCTCCAGAGTACCAACCGGGTGACAAGGTTTGGCTGGACTCGTCGGACATCAACCTTGCCCGACCCTCCCGGAAACTCGGACACGCACGACTCGGTCCTTACAAGGTTGTCCGGAAGGTTGGCAAGGCAGTGTACCGACTCCAGCTCCCTCCGGGCTTATCCCGCCTCCACCCTGTCTTCCCCGTGGTCAAACTCTTTCCCTTCGTCCCGGACCCCATTCCAGGTAGACACCCTGTTGCTCCACCCCCTCCACAGCTTGTTGATGGAGAAGAAGAGCATGAGGTAGAAGAGGTCCGGAATAGCAGACGGTTTGGTCGGGTCCTGAAGTATCTGGTACGCTGGCGAGGCTATGGCATCGAGCATGACTCCTGGGAGCCCGCGAGCAACCTCCAGCATGCTGCCCAGAAGGTCAAGGACTTCCATGATCGTCATCCGGACGCAGTACACTCGCTCCGGACGAGTCTGACGAGTCCGACGACCCCTGCACCGCTCTGGATGACTCCTACAGCACTGGACCAGTCCTGGGAGCGTTGGCGCAGTCGGAAGGCTCCGGGCTCTGTGCAGTTGTACTTCGACATCTTCTCGCAGCAGTCCGGAGTTTCGGGGTTGGTGAATTTGTGGCGCAGCAGGCAGGAATCTTCGCGTCGGGTCGCCGCAACTGTAAGGGCAACCTCAAGATAGCCGCACAGTGCAAGCCTAGCAGAGGGAGAATCCAAAGAGATGAATAAGACTAACTGCAATACATGAGAGAGCTGCTCACCTAGCAGAGGGAGAATCCAAAGAGAACAGGATAAGGGTTCTCCATGCTAGGAAGCGAAGTATATACTGTAGTAGCGTGAGAGGAATGCAGGATAACTGTACAGTACACCAGCCACAAATCCGAATGAATATCACAAGGTACAAGGAAACATGTGATAATGAAGTGGAGGGTAAGTGCACAGGAGTCGTGCCAGCGACTTGGGGAAGTAAGGGCGAAGGGTAACGAAGTGGGGAAAGAGGGTAGAGGTAACCCGGACGAGCCCCGAAGAGTATAGACGAGTCCGAGCGAGTCCGGAGTGCGGGAAGACTCCGGAGTCACCGGACGTGGCTCGGATGCGAAAGGAGTGGGTGGAAAGGAAGTGGAAAGGAAAGGGAGCAAAAAGGAACGAAGGGGAATGAAGGGAACGTAGGTAAGAGTCCATGGAATGAAGGAAAGGAGAGAAAATAGGAGTGTCCCCTTACATTCTCCCTCTGCTAGGCCCGCGCTGTCGGCCATCTTGAGGTTGCCCTTACACCAACCGTAGGTTGGGCGATGAGGCCCAATTTGCAATGCAGCACTTAGAACAGCTTGAGAGAGAGTAATTAGTGTGGGGATGGCCTACAATAGTTACCAACATCCCTTATGCAGTGCAAGATGCCACAAAACAAGGTATGAAGCACCAAAGTTCAGATAGTTGCAATTTGGAATTCTGAACATGACCCAAATACATGTGGCCCAAGTGTTGAGTATGCCCCAGTCTTCAACGGTCTCGTACATGCCGTGCTCCTAGCATCGGCCCTCAAGCCCAAGTCTATGACTTTTAATACACCGTGGTCGGGCGACGTCGACTTATCGACGACTCCCACGGTCATTGATTGACTCGTCAGTTCCATTTACTCAGCGGCGCTCTCGAAATATCATGAATCCTATTCGACTTCGCGTTTTCACTTGAACTCGGATGCTGCACCAATTCTGCATCGCTCGGCCATTGTTTCGGTGGACTCCTTTTTGTACCGCGAGCATCCCAGCGCGCCAGTTTCGCCCCGTCCACTGCCTACCCGCTTGGCGGTCGTTTGCTTCGAAAACAGCACCGCGCTCGGGGGATGCTCTCTCCAAAGCCCATGTCCCCATAAAACCCCTCGTAGGCGCGGTAGATTACGAAGGACCACTATCCAACACATTCCGACGACTCAAAATATTCTCCGTTGCCTCATTGACCCTCTCGACCACCCTCGCACCGTTCATTTTTGTCATCGAATCCACACTGCCTACAATCGCTCGTGGGGCCTTGGTTTGCGCAGCATTGGGAACGAGCGGCATATCGACTGCGCTTGTTTCGTGGTGTGGTCGCCCGTATGTCACGACGCTCAGCCGCTTAACGCCCTCGGAGAACAACGGCGTAGAGGGACTCGAAATGACTACATTGACGCTCACGCTCCGTCCGCGCATCACCCGGGTGAGTCCATTACACACACAACACACTCAGTATATGACGGGCAACCATTCAAATATTCAAGGTCTACGATACGGAATTCCTGGCAGAGACCGATCGGCCGTTCGCGAAATGGGAGCTGCGGGAGCTGATAGGTTATGTCAAGGACAAAATGGACCGCGCCATACCCGTGCAAGGGCAAGAAGAAACCGTTGCTGAGACTTTCGACAAGGCGGGGAACGTGATCGGTCGGTGGATCGTCCAGTGGAAGCATAATACGGAAGACGGACGAGATTATGTGAGTGGGGAATGTCGCGCGGTGGGGAAGGTTGAACGGTGCGTAGTCCCCAGTTGCTATCTGGCATTGTTACCTATTCTGTCCAGGTACTTCAACGTCCACGAGGAACTGCTACATTGATTATACTATAATAGTGCATTCAGCGATCCATTGGTTGGAATCGCGTGTAATATTGCTTTGTCTGAGCCTCCATCATCTCCTGCGTTGATTCCGAAAGGTCCTCCACGAAGCATCCTAGCCTAACTTGAGACAAACAGTACCCATCTTTATGAGATACTTACCTGGCGAACCAGCAAAGAGAGACAACGCCGGCACGACTGTGTTCGGCGGTATTATCGTATTGTCTGCGATCTTAGCACAATCCTTGATGATAGTGAACTTCCCCTACGCACTCGCATCGTGAGGAGTGTGTCTGTGAGAGAGAAAATGCGACACGAGACATACAATAACGCAGTTCTTCCCGATCTCAACATGACTGCCAATCGTCGCCGCCTCCACGACGCTCCCCGCGCCGATATGCACATGGTCCCCGATCTTCATCGGGTAGTAGTTGAACGTGTTCTTATACGTCTTGTACGGCGGTCTGCGCACTACCACTCTCAGAACAATCCATGAACGACATAGACCGACTATACGCGTACCTCATCACGCAACCTTCGCCTACGAGGCAGTAGCGGCCGAGAGAGATGACGACGGCATGGCCAGGCCCCGTGCGCCTGAGGTCGCCGCGAATGATTGCACCCGTGGAGATGATGGTCTTCCCACCGAGGATGATGTTCTGGGGACCTGCGATGGTGGCGCGACGAGACACTTTGTTGCCGGTGTCCTGATCTGAGGAGGTGAGAGGTTAATGGAAACGACGACGCGGCAAAGGACGTACAGTTTCTATGAACTCAGCTTTCGAGTAGTATATGGGAGCCTCCATATGGTCAGCAACAGAAGTGCAATTGCCACTAATTTGCGCACTTCGTGTGCAACGTGACTTGTTGACACAGACTCTGTCGAGAAAATGGCAAGCTCCTCAAAAACTCAATGAATAGAACAATCTTAGCGAGGAGCATGTGTGCATAAGCAAAACACTTTGGTCTTCATATTGATGATGCAGAATTACAAACGAGCGACGTGCAGTCAACATAACAGGAATGATCCAAAGCATAAACTGAGTGGGGGGATTGCAAAATAACTATAGACTCTATGATAGCTAGTAAGATAAATGATGTGTACTTTTACGTCTGAATGGTATGCTGAGTAGGAGGGTAATCGCTGAGGCCGTGACGAGGAAGGTGCGTGAAGGGGGCGTGAATGCGAAGGGGATACGCGCAAGAGAGACAACAAGAAAGGAAAGACGGTTAGTCCTTCTTCTCTTCCTTCTTCTCCGATGACTCTGAGGTAGACTGCTCAGAGGCGTTGTTCTCAGCGTTACGCTTCTCGTAGACCTTCTGGAAGAGGCCGAGCGATGCCTGCTGCGTCTCGTTGATCTTCTCACGGATGCTCTCGGCGGTGACGGAGGAGTCAGCAGCTTGGCCTTTAACTGCGATCTCACGAAGCTCGGCGACAAGCTTGGTAACCTTCTCCTTCTCGGTAGCATCGAGTTGGTCCTTGAACTCGTTCATGGCTGCAACAAGTGTTAGCTACAAGCTCATTCGCTTAAGCAATGTTGCTTACCCTTCTCGGTATCAGCGCAGACCGAGTCAGCTTTGTTGGCTTCCTCGATGAGAGCGCGGCGCTCCTTGTCGGTCTCGGCGTACTGTTCGGCGTCAGAAACCATCTTCTCGATGTCCTTGTCGCTAAGCCCGGAAGATGAAGCAATGGTCATGGATTGATCCTTGTTGGTAGCCTTGTCCTTTGCAGAAACGTTGACGATACCATCTACACACGCTATTAGAACGATGCAAGAGTGGGAAGCGTTGACACGTACCAGCATCAATGTCGAAGGTGATCTCAATCTGAGGGACACCCTTGGGAGCGGGTGGGATCCCGACGAGGTTGAAGTTGCCAAGAAGCTTGTTGTCACGGACCAATTCACGTTCGCCCTGGTAGATCTTAACTTCGATGGCAGTTTGGCCGTCAGCAGCAGTCGAGAAAACTTGCGACTTCTTAGTGGGGATGGTAGTGTTGCGGCTGATCAACTTGGTCATGATACCACCGAGCGTCTCGATACCTGCAGGACAGACGAGCATTAGTGTGAGGGGAACTTGGAGAGCAAAAGTACGAACCGAGAGACAAAGGAGTGACATCAAGGAGAAGAATGTCAGTGACATTGCCGGCAAGGACACCGCCTTGGATGGAAGCACCAATAGCGACGGCCTCATCGGGGTTAACACCCTTTGAAGGATCGCGACCGAAGATAGACTTGACGGTCTCTCCAACACGTGGCATACGAGTCATGCCGCCAACAAGGATGACTTCATTGATCTCACTGGGCTTAACACCAGCGTCGGACAAAGCCTTCTTGCACGGGTCAACGGTGCGTTGAATGAGGGGAGCGACGAGCGACTCGAATTGCGAACGCATGAGCTTGGTGTTGATGTGCTTGGGTCCGGATGCATCGGCAGTTATGAATGGCAAGTTGATCTCTGTCTGTGACGTCGATGACAACTCGATCTTGGCCTTCTCGGCAGCCTCACGGATACGCTGGATAGCCATGCGGTCTCCGGCGAGGTCAATGCCTGACTCCTTCTTGAACTCGTTCAAGAGATGGTTCACAAGCACGATGTCGAAATCTTCGCCACCCAAATGCGTGTCACCATTGGTCGACTTCACTTCGAACACACCCTTTTGCATCTCCAGGATTGAAATATCAAAAGTTCCTCCTCCAAGATCGTAGACGGCAATGACGGATGAATCAGCGCGGTCAAGACCGTAAGCCAGAGCGGCCGCAGTCGGCTCATTGATGACGCGCAGAACGTCCAACCCAGCAATTTGACCGGCATCCTTCGTCGCTTGACGCTGAGCATCGTTGAAGTAAGCGGGGACAGTGACAACAGCGTGGCTATTGTGTGGGATGAGCATGAGAAGGCAACAAACTCCGCGGTCCACTCACTTGACTTTTTTGTTCAAGAACTGCTCGGCGGTTTCACGCATCTTCACCAGGACCATTGACGAGAGCTCTTCTGCCGACTACAGTTTGAAAGTTAGAAAAGGCATTTGCGGAAATTTTCGGACATGTACGTACAAACTGTTGACGTTTATCACCGTTGTCGACTTCCACAGCTGGCCTTCCGTCTGGCTTCTCCACGATTTTGAATGGCCTATGAAACTATGAGATTGAGGATAGCGAAAAAGTCTGATGCGCCTACCAATGCTTGGCATCCTCCTGGACCTCCTTATCCCGGAATTGTCGTCCAATCAACCGCTTGAATGCAAAAACGGTGTTGGCAGAGTTGACAACGGCCTGTCTCTTTGCAGGCAGACCGACTAGTCTCTCTCCGTGCTTCGTGAAAGCAACAACGGACGGTGTTGTACGTGCACCTTCCGCGTTCTCGATCACCCTCGACGTCTTACCCTCCATGACGGAGACACACGAGTTTGTTGTACCCAAGTCAATACCCACGACGGGGCCTACAAAGATATTTGTTAGTACCGAAAAACATTTGGGAATTGAACGTCGCGACAACCCACCATTGACTTTCGTGTTCATATGGCGCGCAATGGCGGAACGGGGAAGGTTCTAAAAGTGCGGTGAGTTCAGGTATTGACTGCGACACTAATGTGTTGCACGTACGGCATAGTTGCCAGAGCGAGAGACAGCGGTACGGAGAGCACGACCTGCAGCGAACATAGTGGTAGGAGTGGAAGGAATGGTAGCTTCAAATTTTTTGCGGACGCGTTTGTAATACCTTGCCGCGGAATCTCCCGAATTTTCTCGATCGTGGAAACCCATTCACGTGAGGGCAACGACCGTAGTGAGACAGGGGTCGCATCCCGGCATACCGTTGTTGAGCGCTGTTCGCGCCGATGAACTCCAGTTTGAAAGGGACCATATAGGAAGAGGATTGAGGCACAACCGTGAAAAGAGAATCTACGACGAAGATTCAGGATATCGAATTCAATTCTACAGCATCGTCAGAATGGCCACGCGAGTGCCCGTATTTTCATGTGCCCACGCATTTGAGCGGAACCTCCTCCAATTCCGTCTCAGTCATATTGCATTGCGGGGTACGTCGACGACCGTATGGCCATTTCATGCGGGGGACGCCTGTCCCTGCGTCAGGCGGTATGGGAATGGAGATTTGTCGACTGCGACCACGTTATGCTCTTTTACTCCATGACCGCCGGTATTCCGTATATATAGGACCTCCTCAACCACTTTGATGTTTCCGATTTTCCACTTCCCGGGCCCCGAAACAGCACTTTTGCTGCCCTAAGCGCACAGTTTCATCACGAAACAGCGCTAGCGTTATACTACACGCCGTGGCCAGGTGTATATATAACCAGACGCGCCGTTGCTGTGGCATGATAAGAAGTTTTATCCCTTCCTTCGTACCACCATGCCAATCAACACTCTCACTACCCAGGCCGGGTTGAAAATAGGCCCAATCGTCTTCGAGACGTTGGTCAAGCATTATTTCGACCGAGTGAAGAAAGATCTCCGGGACGGGAAGACGACGCAGCTGAGACAGGAGGAGTTATTGTACGACCAAGCATTCACGATTATCAAGGTGAGTATCAGCGTCGCTCCTGTCACCGAACGCACCTGAAACTGTGGTGAAGGCGTTCCTCGAAGCATCAACATAGTACGTCTGTTGCACACGACCTCCTGAAATATACTTAGCCTAAGAACTTTGATTCAGTCACACAGTCGAAGAAGTTCAAGGTGATTGATATTCCGTTCATCACTTCTCCTATTGCCAATGCACCACCATAGACTTCTCCAATACGCGTATACCATCCCCGCCATGGGTGCGAGTGGTTCGGCTTTTGGTGCCCCTGTCATGCTGCGAGGACGCCGCAAGCTACTTGATTCAAGTATTCGGAGGTGAAGCCATGGCTCGCAGAGTTGTTGGCGGCATCAAATGGTGGCAAGTGCGCGGCAGCAACGGGTACATTCTATTCTACATCAGCGATGTGACTGGCCTCTGACACTATAGCGCAGCGTGGACGGGCAGTGGATTGCGGCGAAGAAAGATTGGCGTGAAGCGAAGCGTAAGCACAAGATGCAAGAAGCAACGGCGAAGGGCCCTTCTGGTACTCCTGAGGCCTCCCCGAACGCCCAAGACCAAGGTCACTATGAGGAGGAGATGGACGAAATGCGGTGTATTCTCTATCTTCACGGAGGTGCGCACTACGTTACAACAGTGTGACGACCAATCCCTGAACCCTAAGTAGGTGGATACTACTTCGGGAGCGTGGACCAAGAACGGTATGCCCGATGTATCAACCTCGAAGCGCCGAAATTGATTCTTGTCACTTCAGGTACAGCATACAGCGATATGCAAGGAAGATAAATGGAAGAGTGTTTGGTATGTATGCACGCGACTACTGTGACATCGCTCTACGCTAATAACCGGTTCAGCCATCAACTACAGACTAGCACCTCAGTATCCATTTCCTTGTGCCCTGCAAGATGCACTGGCAGCTTGTGTGTATCTTTATATTCAAAATTACCTTGTATTCACCATGTGCTGTAGACCTCTATCTTATTCGACCACCCCCGGACGCGGCGCATCGCCCTGTAAAACCAAGTCACATCGTTATCTCAGGAGACTCAGCAGGCGGCGGTCTTTCCCTTGCACTCCTTCAAGTTATTCGAGACACAGATCTACCCATGCCAGCGGGTGGAGTCCTCATTTCTCCGTGGTGTGACCTCACCCACTCTTTCCCCAGCATCCATATGAATACAGCAACGGTTTGCATCTTACTCCACCTCTAATGATCCTCGCAAGCTCAACCCCTCGTTCTAGGATGTTATACCCACATACGGCCTGTCTCTACAGAAACCGAGTTCATTATGGCCTCCTCCATCTGATGAGATGACGACCCGAGTCCATGCATCCCTCCGTTCGCGACTCAAACAAGCGCTTCACCTCAGTGTCGACCATCCCGTCGCCCCTAATGTTCCTCGTTCACGAAGGAACTCCAACGCTTCGTCGATTCTACCTGTCGATATCGGATCAACGACCTGCGTCCCACAATTCGATTCTCCGGATTGTCAGAAAATCAGCATTGCCACGGAAAGTGGGGAGACGCTAACTATCGACCAGCAAGTTCACCTGTATACGGAGAATCATCTGATCGTGCACCCGCTTGTCAGCCCGGCACTATCATATCTCGGTGGTCTCCCACCGTTGTTGGTCATTGCGAGTGAGAAAGAGGTCCTCCGAGATGAGATAATTTATACGTGTGTCTTCCCATGTATCACCAGGCGTCTTGTTGTTGACTCGTTTTCAGTGCGCACAAGGCAGCCTACCCGTCTAGATTCTCAGTAAGGCCTGAATCGCGGGCTTTGTACCCTCCCTTGAATGGAATTGAAGCAAAGTACCCACCCACCCAAGTTCACCTACAGGTATATGATGGTGAGTCAAACAAGCAGTAGTTACATAAATTGTGCCTTAATATTCGTTAGATGCTGCTCATGTCCTTCCCGTGCTCTTTTCGTTCACAACTCCCGGGAAGTTCTGTTTCCGCGCCATGGCCGCCTTCTGTAAACATGTCACCGGGATGTCGCCCACCTTGCCGGAAAGCCCCATGTCATCGCCCGCCATGCCGTCCTTCTTACCTCGCCGTCAAAGCTATCGGCGCTCGCAGAAAAGGTCGACGACGACCGACTCTATCACACCCCGTTCGCCTCCTTTGACTGAAACCATCCATGAGAATGGGAATTCACTAACGCCGGCGGCTGGGGAGAGAACCAAGAACCCGTCTCTGCGGCGTTCTCTCTCAGCTGGCGTCACGAGGATATCGTCAGTTATCCGGCGAAAACCGCGCTCGCGATCTTCGTCGTTCCACCAAGGCGACTCGCCCTTGCCCACGCATAGTGAGATGCCGAGTACGATTCCCTCATCTGATTCCAGCCTTGCTCTGGAGGGTTCGTCATCTGGGAGCCGCTCAGCTGGGGACAGCAGCGTGTACAAGAACACCATTGTAAGTCGTACATAGGCCTGTTCCCCATGCAGCTGCTCACCTTCCCTATCTGCAGAATTCAACAGTCTGGAAAGACACGATCATACGTGAACGTGTGTCGACACAAGGCATTATACGCCCGTTGGAGCCAGAATCCGAACTCGACGCATTCAAAGTTCCCCAAGACATCGTTGGTTCCCTCTCTGAACTTGCCATCCGGCGTTATCTCGACGGCAAAGCTAAATTCGATCATAAATTCGCGCATGCGGCTAAATCTGTGGAGAAGGAGCGCCACCGCCAGCTCGAACGTGCAAAGAAGGATCCCATGTTTAATATGAAGATGTTTCAAAATGGAACGCTGGCCCGACCACAGAATAATGGAGGACCTGCGTCTGACAAGGATAGGAAGGGAATCAAGGACGGTCTGTTGGCCACCTCAGGAACATGGGCATGGGCATGGGTCTTTGATGCACATGAAAGGCCACCACCCAGCAGCATCGTTTCTCGGCGCGATACGCAGGAAGCAAGGCGGCTTGCCAGGTTCGCGGAAGCACCTCTTAGTGGCGACTCCGAGAAAACGATGAGCGCCAACAACTTATGGTCCGTTCTGTCGAATACATTGACGGCCTCCCGAGAGAAACGCCACCCCACGCCATCTCCAGAGGTTGCTCGCCACTCGAAGTTCTCTGTGTTTAGCGTTCCATCGTGGAAGAGGACGATTCGCGGGAGACCTGAGCACAGTGAACATGAACATTGACAGTATCGATGCACTGGGATTTAGAGGCTTATCATTATTGTGCTTTCGACAGTTTTATAGCAGATTATCGTTGGATATCTGTCTAGAATACAGAATGTTTGGGACTTGCTAATCTTATCGTTGGAAACCTTCGTGATGATTTGTCTTACACTGGGCTTCCTCCCTTCTCTCTACGGTTATACCCTCCATTCATTGCTGGTCCCGACGTGCTCCCTGTTGTTGCGGGTTTTTGATCGTTGTTCGTGTTCAACGAATTTCTGGGTCCCTGACCTTCTGCTTCATGCCGCTCAATCTGCTGCCCGGAGACTGCAGCTTTCGCTCTAACAACAGGGTCGTCTGGGGAGTGGTGTGGGTTATCGGTATCTTGGTTCGGGTTGAGTAGCCAGTATTGATGGCTATACGGGGGTTAGATTTAGAGTGCTTTGATATAGAAGGGAAGTAAACGTACTGGACGAGCAGGCTGTAAATGCCGGCGGCAAGCAGCGATCCCAGGGTCGGGCCGAGCCAATACTGCACCATGAGAGTGGTTAGACATTGGCCTATGGAGCGAAAGAGAAAGGGCCCACAATCCAATGATGTCCATCGGGGAATCCTGTCACTGCGGCGACTCCAAAGGAGCGTGCCGTGTTCATCGACGCGCCGGTATAGAAGACAGCAAACAAATGACCAACGAAGAGTGTGAGCCCAACGCCAACCTGAGCGCAGATGCATAGTTAGTTTGAAGATACTGAGAGCATTCCTAAGGATTCTGGCTCACAGGAGCAAAGGGCGTGGCTACGTGCTTTTCCGCAGCCAACATTAAGACTGATAGGACCAACGCGGCTGTGATGAACATCTCGATGAAAACGCCTTGTGCAAGGGATGTTTGGGCGGACAGCCTCGTACTGAAAAGGATATATCAGTAAAAATAAAAGCTCATGATCATTAGTGACGTACTTGGAAGCAAGAGGCATTCCTGTCAGGCCTCTCACGAGGCCAGCGGCAGCAATACCACCAACTATCTGAGCAATGACATAGAGTACGAATCTCACAGGCCCTATGACGCCAGTGAGCAGCAACCCAAGGCTGACATTAGGGTTAAACAATCCTCCGGTGATCCGGTAGAAGAGCCACGCAGAGACGAGGAGACTGAGTCCCATCGACATCGCAATGTACATCAACATCAGGATCGACGGTGGGCTGTCGGGCGATGGATGTCCTAACGCTGCCGCGCCAGCCTGGATGCCTCCGAGACCGAGAAGCAGGAATGTCGTCGTCCCCAAGAACTCCAAGAGTGCTGCCTTGCAGTCCATAACAAAGGATCCCGGCTTGTTGCCCGGTTGGAATCTTCGCATCTTTTACTGTCGAGGTGATGAGGAGTTGTGGTGGGGAGGCCATTGTCGTGGCCAGCATCCCTTTTATCCACCATGATGTTGTTCTTCGCAGTGACAGCCTACGTCGTCCGAGTGGTGTTTCTGCCAACAGGCAAGGAGAAGGCTCCAACAGCGGAGTCTCGTATCAGAACTCCATTTCCCTGCTTCTGCCCGTAAGACACTCATTCACATACAACACACAAACACGCGTTGGAGTCTTGGTGAGAACTCCGCCAAACCTTCGATGGATGCGCGTTCAACAGGCTCCTCAATTAAGCTCGCAACTTCGAACAAATAAAGGCAAACTTTCGCCTGTGGTTGGATGCCGATTAACTTATGTCCGAAGCTCCGGCTACTGATAACAACCGGATGTTCAGTTAAGACGTGAAGCGCCCGGAAACTGGGACCTCTCATTATCCGCCATGGCGAACGATGCACCGAAGAAGATTGGCGGCGAGTATGGGGACGTCAGAGCCAACATTGACGAGGCAAAACTGAACGCCTACCTCCTCAAGAATATTTCTATCATGAAAGGGCCTATTGATGTCAAGCAGTTCAAGGTGCGCGCCATTGTCCTTCTAGGAGAAGGTCCAGAACTGATATCTCTGTATATTTTAGTTCGGTCAAGTGAGTTTCAATGATATTATCAGCAACCCGCGCTGAAACGGCACTTAAGTCAAATCCGACGTACTTCCTGACGGACGCGACGTAGGTTCCATGCGCCCACATTAGATCCACAGCGTTAACAGCACTCCCAGTAAAGCAAAATACGTGCTCCGTAAGAAGCCCGACGGGGGTCTCATCTCGAAAACGGCGCACCAAATTGAACGTGAATTCAAGATGCTGAGCGCGTTGCACAAGTATAACACTAATCCATCGACCCCTGAATCGAAGAAAGTGCCTATACCCGAGCCCATCTTACTCTGTGAAGATAGCTCCATCATAGGGACCCCTTTCTACGTAATGGAATTCTTGGAAGGTCGCATTTTCACCGACCCGAGGATGCCTGAGGTCTCCCCGGAAACGCGTCGGGAATGGTATGTAACAATCCTCGGTTAACCTTCTATCGTATACTGAGCTGGATTCTTGATTCAGCTGGCTTGCCGCCGTTCGTGCTCTGGCCAACCTCAGCTCGCTGGACCCGCTGAAGATCGGTCTCGAAACCTTTGGCCCCCTCACAGCTTATTTCGCCCGTCAAATCAAGTCTATATCTCGTGTCTCGAGCGCCCAAGCAGCCGTAGTCGACATTGAATCGAACAAAACAGTCGGCGATATCCCCGCTTTCAATGAGCTCATCTCTTGGTATCAAACCAACGTACCAGACGAGAGTCGATTCGGCATACGGATAGTACATGGAGATTACAAACTGGACAACATGATCTTCCATCCCACGGAAAACCGTGTCATCGGCATTCTTGACTGGGAATTATGCACGCTGGGTAACCCGGTATGGAACACTCGTTCTCTAATTCTCATCAAATGTTTACGCCGCCCCATAGTTGGCTGATCTTGCGAATATGACCTCTCCTTGGTCAATCGACGAGAAGGATGTCACCGATGGCGGCAACGCTCTTATGGTCGCTTTTAAGAACAGTAAAGGCGTTGTCCCCATTGCTTTGGAGGATATTGAGACAGAGTACTGCCGCCTTATGAACCTAGATTACCCCATCCCAGAGATGGCTTTCGTTCGTAGCTGGATGTTGTTCAGGGTAAGAATCACTACTCTAACCGTTTAGTTGGCCACTGATCGCTCTGTCGTTCAGTTGGCTGTGATCTCTCAAGGGATTGCTGCTCGTTATGCCCGTCGGCAAGCTAGCTCAGCCACAGCCTACATCTCTGTTCGAACCTTCCCCGTCATCGGAAAGCTCGCCCGGAAAGTGCTGGAAGACTCAGGTCACAGTATCGTGCAGTCAAAGGCTAAGCTGTAGGATGAACCTTCGAAAAATAGGGAGTTCGAGGAAGAAGGAATACATTATTCGTAGCAAGTTTGGCTTCAGCACTATATTACTTAACGTATGTGCACTCTGTTTATACACCGTCATCGTCAGTTGTATGTAGAACACAGCGGAACTCGTGAGTAGTCCAGTGAGGGTGCCCCCCCCCCCAACAGGTCGTACACGCTCGCCACAAAGATTAGGCCGCACTCCAGAAGATATCGATCAACCGCAACAGCGAAAGGTCGAGAGTCGAGGCCGAAGGTTAATGCCCAGCAGATGCAGCGTCTCCGCTCAAGGGGGCCTGCTTGTCGGAAGTTGACGATCTTGAGCTTAACTCTTCTGTGGAGTGGTATATCTACACGCTCGAATTAGCAAGACAGCCTACGTTTACGGGAGTGGACCTACCTGTCGCCAGTTCTTGCACGTATGAACAATCGCGGGTCCAGGCGCCTGTGCTTCTTGGTAGGAGGGGATCTGAGTGGAGTTTGGAGGCAATGGTTCGAGCGTAAGGTCTGCAGAGCAAAGGATAGCTTGTCGAAGGTAATGAAAGCAATGCTCTGCATGCTTATAATCGTCGGCCTCCCCTATCAAAGTCCTTCTAATGGAGTTCAGGCAACGGAGCTACGGTAAAGTGGTTAGATACGCGTTATCGTGACGAGCTTCGACGCTAACCTGGTGCCACATTGATACATCGTATGGAGTGCCGTTATCCCCCATGAAGACGATCCCGCCGCCTGCTGGTAGGAGACTGTTCCACTCCACTGACGAATTATGGGCGTTCAAGCCGAAATAGCGGGGGTCATCATGAAACGCCATGTTGACCAGTGGAACATCATCGAGGAGTTCACGAGGGTGGTCTCCGCCTGCGTATGCTGAATCAAATTGCGTCAAGATCATTCACGATACACGATATAAACTGAGAAATACTCACTATAAGATTTCTCCGGGTAAAAGATGACATAGAAGTGTACAAAGACGGCTAGGAAGTTCACTGCTGCAGCCGATATAATGGTTATGGCGAGTGGTGAAAGTGAGGGGGATTGGGCGTGCCACAACATCTTTCGAAAGAAAGAGGTGCGCGTGCCGTCGGTGACGTGTGGAGTAGCTGAAGAATTGTGCGCTCTTCGCGATTCTTGTCGCATAGTTTGTTACTTCGTATAGTATAGTGGCACGAAGTGGTTGTCGAGGAGTTGCTGGCGCAACGACCTCATTCGCGGCAGAGATGACATTTGGCATTTTCTTGCTAGCGTTTCGACCGCCGAGGGGTCATTTAGGTTGAATCCCAGCGTTCTTGAATTTCTGATGTTTAGGAAGTTTACAGACAGCTTGACTTTGGGATGGGAGTGACTGTGGGAATCTAGTCCGACATACGACCCTGCAATGCCGAGCGCTAGTTTAGAAGTTCACTAGTGCGACGATGATTCTTCAGTGACCTGGCGCGGCAACCTCATCTTCTGTTGTAGGCTTCTACTGTCAATCATAGCCTTGATTGGACAGCACACGCTTGTCCTCGTAATTCACAATAGAAACCATCTCAAAGCGCCTCTGAATATTGTCCCGCCATCTTGATTACATCGCGCAAGGTGCACTGTAAAGTGTATGGATGCTGTCCGTCTAGTTCCATTGAATAACCGGTAACCGCCCCGCCCCGCTGATCATTGCGAGGCGCACGGAAAATGACGGGCTATTCGTTTCGGCAGGGCGTAAGCACTTCATTCCAGCGGTCAACCTGTAACTGACTCACTACTCCAGCTCACAACATTGTCTTGGATACATGGTTAGTGGCTCTCAGCATGTTTGGTGCCGTACGGTTGCTGCGGCAATCAATCTGCTGGGCAAGGTCGCGACCGCTTACCCTAATTGGGGGCTGACGGTATTCCATGAGCAATGCCAGTTTGCTTTCCATCTGGTAGTATATAACGTCGTTGGATTTCCTAGTTCAAACCAACAGTGCAGCGCTCTCAGCATCTAGCATCTCATCTCGTCTACTGCTTTGATCGCAATGTTCTCGAAGTCTTTCGTCGCCTTTGTCTTCGCCGGCGTCCTCGCCAACGCTCTCCCGGCTGGTGAGTTTATCCCAAATAATGTACTTTATGGACGGCTTACTGACTCATTGCCTAGTCCCCACTTCCCCGGAAGTTAAAGGTTTGACTCAACCTCTCAATCCTTGGCCGTCAACTTACAGTTATCTAGGCGTTGCAGTAAACGAGCGATCGCTCAATGGCAACACGTGAGCCCAATACCCCTCACTATCATCCAAGTACTGACCCGATATCCTTACAGGTTCCAAACGAGAGACTTTGATAGCCGCACTGATGCTTCGGTGGGAAGCCCGCCCTTGGCCGTGCCTGATGTGTCTGTCGTCCCACAGGCAGCCAACTCTGTCTTCAACGATCACACGAAGAAGAGTCACACTGGCAAGGACAAAATGAACAAGACCCGGGATATCCCCACGTAAGCTCACTTCTTGTTCATTCATGACATATACTGATCCAACCCACGCTAGTGGACCAATTTTGGAGAAGAAGGACACTGCGGCCACAGCTGAGAAGCAGGCTGGCGGTTACTTCCCTGGAGGCTACGGCGGAGGCTACGGAGGTTACAAACGTGAAGAGGCTGCCACCGCTGAGAAGCAAGCAGAGCAAGCCAGCAACTATGGCTACGGTGGCTACGGAGGATATGTTGGAGGCTATGGCGGTGGATACGGCGGCTACAGAGGCTTCGGCCGCTACAAACGCGAGGAGGCTGCTACTCAAGCTGAACAATTCGGCGGCTTCTACGGCGGTTACGGTCGAGGATATGGCCGGGTTCGCTACGGTGGCTACAAGCGCGAGGAAGCTGCCACCGCTGAAACGCAAGCCGAGCAAGCCAGCAACTACGGATACGGTGGATACGGACTATACAGAGGATACAGAGGGTACGGAGGGTACGGCGGCGGCTATGGCGGATACAAGCGCGAGGAAGAGCTCACCAAGCGCGGGGAGGCTGCTACTCAAGCTGAACAATTCGGCGGTTTCTACGGTGGATACGGCCGCGGATACGGTCGAGGCCGCTACGGCGGCTATAAGCGCGAAGAAGCTGCCACCGCTGAAACGCAAGCCGAGCAAGCCAGCAACTACGGATACGGTGGATACGGACTATACAGAGGATACAGAGGGTACGGAGGGTACGGCGGCGGCTATGGCGGATACAAGCGCGAGGAAGAGCTCACCAAGCGCGGGGAGGCTGCTACTCAAGCTGAACAATTCGGCGGTTTCTACGGTGGATACGGCCGCGGATACGGTCGAGGCCGCTACGGCGGCTATAAGCGCGAAGAAGCTGCCACTGCTGAGACGCAAGCTGAGCAGGCCAGCAACTACGGCTACGGAGGAGGATACGGCGGCGGCTATGGATACGGCGGCTACGGCGGCTACGGGCACGGGGGCGGCTATGGAGGCTACAAGCGCGAAGAAGCTGCCACTGCTGAGACGCAAGCTGAGCAAGCCAGCAACTACGGCTACGGAGGAGGATACGGCGGCGGCCATGGATACGGCGGCTACGGGGGCTACGGCTACGGGGGCAGATTTGGCGGATACAAGCGCGAGGCCGAGCCCACCAAGGAGAAGCGCGAGGAAGCTGCCACTGCTGAGACCCAGGCTGAACAATTTGGCGGTTATGGCGGTTACGGCTATGGTCGAGGATACAGATACGGCGGCTATGGAGGCTACAAGCGCGAGGAAGCTGCCACTGCTGAGACTCAGGCTGAACAATTTGGCGGTTACGGCGGTTACGGCTATGGTCGAGGATACAGATATGGCGGCTATGGAGGCTACAAGCGCGAGGAAGCTGCCACTGCCGACACTCAAGCTGAACAATTCGGCGGATACGGCCTCGGTCGAGGATTCGGTCGTGGCCGCTACGGGGGCTACGGAGGCTACAAGCGTGACGCCGACGAGACTCAGAATGCTCAAGACGCCGACGCAGCTGATGTCGAGACAGTCGCCGAATCAGAAACCCACACTCCAGAAACGTAAGCTTTCGACCTTGCTCTCATTGTTCCATCATCTAACACATACAATACTACCAGCCGATCAACACCTTCCATCGCTGACTTGGACTGATTCCGCTCCGCTCTCCTTCGTCTCAGGTAGGCATCCTACCCTCTTATTCCCTTCGCCACAGCTAACATCCTTGCAGTTCTTCATCTCGGCAATGCAACCAATCTGTATTACAAGACTCCCCCGATACCACGATACCACCACCTTTTAGCCTGGGGCCGGCTTAAAAGTTCTATATTCACTGCATACTACTTACTTATAATTCTCGAGACGGATAGTGTTGTACACAGATTTGTATCATTTGGATAGAATGAAAAACTTGACGCGAAAAACTCTTGCGTGATCATGAGACTTCGATACTAACATCATCGTCATCCTCTTTACTAGCTTCGGGGGTCTTCCAGGTTTTCTGCTACACAACTTCTCGAGTAATTAGTGGACGAATGAGTTGGTCGCGGTTCTGTAGTTGCAGCAAAGCTTAGAGACTTCAGGCTAGGATTTGAGTCTATGACACTTGTGTATTGCGAAAGTATATATCTCTATCGGCAAAGCTTAGGGATAATGAACAAACAACATGCCGTTCATGGGCCACGCTGCTTGCACGCTGTTGTAAAGTATGTCACGGTCACATTTCACCTACTTGTTTAACAGAGCATCATTTTGCAGTATGTACTCTCTTGCGACAACATGCTGAAAGTAGCGGAAGAGAATCCTGCACCTAAATAAATGACGATCGCCAGAGTAGAGGCAAGAGAAATGACCGGTCCATCCGCCAATGTGACTCGGTATTGAAGTTCTTAAATACTATTTGTCTGACCCGCAGAGGACTTAGATCTGGTCGGGTTGCATAGTGAGACACCCAAGGTATTGATACTTTCAGCATCGTGGAAAGGGAACTTACACACGGTCCACGAACGTTGATGGGCTGCACGAGCGTAGACATCGAATGCGGGGCGAAGAAACTCATTTCACAAGACGAAGTGAGACACGCTTTAACCGAAAAACATCAATGACATTGAGCCTGGGATAAATAAGTAATGACTATCACGAGAGGTATGTTCAAATGAGGCGAGAAGAGACGGCTACGGGCGCCTTGGTCTTGCTTTAGAATTTTAGAACCAACTATGAAGCGACTTGATGGGACAAAATAGTGGAATATCAACCGGTGTATGATAGCGACATCGAGAGAACGACTTTAAAGAATTCAATAGCATAACGCGCACTAGCGGGATTTATGCATGTCTGACGAGTTCAAATCCTAGTCTCTCAGATGAGCATAGAGTATTTACACGACGTAGTCAAACATACCGTATGCAGGAATTGCCGGAATTTGGTTGAACTTGACATAACACCTTGGAATCAAGCACCTCAACTCCACTATTAATACCATGTCGCTGAATGGGCAAGCGAAATCGACTGTCGTAGCGTTCGGGGTTGAATTAAGATTGAGCGTGCCAAGGAGTTCGCCACGAATTGGGCGGTCGCCCCATGACATGGTGTCCAGATCGAGCTTGGGAAGAGGGATGGAGGAGTTGAAGGCAATGACGGACCATACTTCTATTTGAGAAACGTCGCCTTCTGTTTCCAAGACTTTCGTTCGACCGTGCATTGTGTTGTGTTGGGGAGGGTACCAAGCTACGTTGCACATATATCCTCCGTGTGGAGGCACTACAAATCTCATCAACGTGACGTCCTGCGTAACACGAAGGTCAGTCATAGTGTATTGAGGGGTTGCTTTGACATACCGTGGTGGAGAAAACGACCTGCGTTCCTGTACCATAAACAGCGTTTTTGTACTTGCCATTCAGTCGAGCAATTTGGTCTGGCTGAGAGCGATAGTACGTTTGCGTAGAAGGCGCGAATGCGGCAAGGCGGTTCAGCCCCATCCGTTGATCGACATACGGCAGATTCTCGAGCTCCTGGGGTGTTAGGGGGAGCGCGCCGTGGAGCGAAAAGGGAAGCAAGACAACATTGAAAGTCGATAGAACTGCCACTAACAGGCAAGCCCAAAGCAAATATGGGGGACCGTCAGCGTTGGGCGATTCATATAGTGTGCCTTGGTCTTGACTGTCGGTATCAGTGGGGGACGTGAGGGGCATACGCTCCTCATCCTTGTCGGTATAGTGCAGTGTCATGGAGGTAGTTGAGTACGACGAAGAGACGGCGCTCTACATTGCTTGGTCCAGTGTGATGTACGCTGGCGATTAGTTACGTGACATCTTGCACGTTCGGCGTAGTAACCCGGCACACTGGTATGCATATGCTCAGAGTACGCGTGAATCGAGGCCCAAATTTGTTGTTACAATACCGAGCCAGTCAAACGGACAAAAGGAAGACGTGAGCGTTGCGCAGTGGTATCAAGTCCAGGCGCGTGGAAAGGAAAATCCTGGCGCGCAACAGTTACCTGATTTGGAATACCGACTCCCGACGGCGCAAGGTGCCTTCAGGGTTTGTCCGAGTGTCATTCCAGCTTTCGTCCCACAATCTCGGTTCGCGGCACATCGTCTTATTGGAATGCTTGTCACCCCGAGCATGATGGACGTCAGGCGTGGCGGCTCTGCCAGGCCTAAGAACGCCCGCCGTCTACAGTCTCCTTCAATCCACCACTTCGTACCCACTGTCCTCGTCCTTCGCCATGGTGCTTAAGGCAGCGCTTGGGCGACCTTTTATTTTCCTTTTCGTACCATTGTTACTGCTTACTTACGGCCGGGCGGACCATCACAAAGTTAGTGAACAGTGCGAGTCGTTCACTGTGCGGCGCGAGTGGCGTACACTTTCGAAGGAAGAAAGGGCTAGTTGGGTAGACAGCGTCAAGGTGAGTTCCTTGGATTTGCGCATTGGTCAGCTCTCTGATATCATACAGTGTCTACACTCTATTCGCCATCAACGACTATCGTTCGCCCATCAGAAAACCCTCATGACCAAGCTTCACCCATCCCTATACGAAGACTTCTCGTATGCTCATGCTGAGCTTGACAAGACCGCTCATGTAACACCCAACTTTTTGCCGTGGCGTATGTCCTCCCATCATCATCATAGTGCATTTGAACTGATTTGCTTTCAGATCGCTGGTTTGTCCATCTCTAGTCGTATTATAACAAATGAATACTCAGCTTCCCCTCATTAGGATATTGTGGATGTTCGAGATGAGGTTACGTGATTCGTGCGGATATACGGGGCCTATGCCGTGAGTAGTCGTGGTTTCGCGCGAACACAGCTGACACGATGCATCTGCAGATACTGGGACTGGTCGCTTGACACAGAAGATCTTACGAAAGCCCCAGTCTTTGACCCCGATCCAGAGCATGGACTCGGTGGCGGAGGCGACTGCTATTCCACACCAACGTCAGATTGCACAGTCGAAACGGGGGCGTTTTCTATGGCTAGCCAAACTCCCGTCATGCTCTCCTTCCCGATTCCCCATATCCTCCGCCGCAACTTCTCCCTTTATCCATACGAACACGGTCTTTCCAATGTTGCCCGGAATCTGAGCCTCACGCGTCACAATATCAACAATATCATGAAACAGACGGAACCGGGCGATTACTACATGTTTCAGCATCGTATGACGAAAGTCCACAACCAAGTCCACAATTTTGTGGGCGGAGACTTGATGGGGACGTGCCCCATGATAATGGACACCGACGAATGCGGGAGCTTTACGTCCAACGGTAAGAGCATTGCGTCGGAACCTACCACTTTGGCTAACTTGCACCATCACTTAGATCCGATTTTCTGGCTCCACCATGGTCAAGTCGACCGGATATGGGTCAACGTAAGTTTCATGCTGTCTACCGCGTCGTCATCGGCTAATATTACGAACGAAGTGGCAGAATCTCCATCCAGAGAACTTCAATGTGCGCTTTACGTTCTTCATACCTTTGCCGCTCATCGTTATCCATCTTTTTGTTGTACTTCAGGCTTTCGCTGGAGCGCCCTTACATCCTAAACTCTACCCGAACGCAACCAACTGGAAGGATTACACTCCAAATGCGTCCACAGAGCACATAATGATGTTCGATCGAATATCTGCTCCCGTACCTATAGGTGCAGTGAGTCTTACTCCCCTTCGGGCTTCCATGCGCGCTCAGTGTCTTTTCTTGTCTAGGTTTTTAATATCAGCGAGCCGCCTTTTTGTTACAAATATGACGATGATTGGGAGAGGTGATTATTGCTTTTGCCTATCTTCGTTTTCAGACATTTCTTTCGGGTTTTCCATCCTGTAGATAGTGACGATACTTCATCGGCGTAAATTATATTATTGAAGCTATAACACGTTCGCAAGTACATTCTCGTTTCGGACAAGAATACTCTTCCTAGCCCACAGCACAATGCTAAACCAAGGAGCACCGGACGACTGAACTTCCTCCTCAGCTTGTATCGTGAATACGCGTCCGATCTGGTGAGTACGCCCCCACACCTCGTCTCATGTAGTCGAAGATTGACCGAGCAAGCTCTGAGTAACCCGACCGTACAACTCGGAGTCGTACGCCTGGGGTCCTTGTCTGGAACATATTCGGGGGTCGGCGTGATAGTTATATCAAGCGGAGACTTCTCTGTCAGTCTCCAATTCAACTCCATGACCACCATACGGCCTACGATGGCGAATGTGTAGCTTCTTCCCAACCTTCTTTAAATACACTCACTCGCCTAGCGGTAGTATCTCGCCTAAACCACGAACATGATGCCGCCTCATGATTTGCGGGAGAATTTCGAACAACTTCGTCGTGGCTAAACCGAACTCCCTTTCCGACATAAAAGTGACATCGACGTGAATGCATTCGGTAAGATATCTGGATTGTTTCTCAATCTTTGCACGTAGAACAAGTCGATCATGCTGCAACAATTGATCTTGGCTGTATCATGCATCAGCGCAGTGCTTGCTGCACCGACGGCTCAGACAATAGCTGGTCCATTCGACTGCATTCCGGCCGGGTCCTTCACCCTCTGCCAGAATCTGTGGGGCCGCGGTGAGTCTCTTCGTAGCATTTAGTCTCGTGCTGGACTAAACCGCCCATAAAAGCATCGGGAGTGGGGAACCAGAATTCGACTCTGATTAGCTCCGGAAACGGTGTATCATGGTAAAGCAACACTTTCCTTTGTCAGCGGGGCCACGTATTGTGAGCTAAACATTGAACTGTACCGCTGCAGGTCGACGGCCTATACTTGGGCGAACGGGCCCAACAACGTTAAGAGCTGTTAGCATTCTCCAATCCTCCAGCTAACGTGTTCACTCACATTCCACCAAATAGATGCTAACGTAGAGTCGACAACGGCCAAGGGCGTCCAGGTCACCCCTTCAGTTTCTGCTCTTTTTCGCTGAGACTAACCCCGCCTGAACGCTTGCAGCTTCAAAATGTGAAGTCGGCGCCCACGACCTGGAACTGGCATTACGAGACCCAATCGAGTGGGATCAGAGCGGACGTTGCCTATGACATTTGGACTGGTGTGCCATCGTCTGGAACCCCGGCTTCAAGTGCATCTTCCTTCGAGATGTGAGTCGTCTCCGATGCTTCTGCTGCACTATAACTCGGAATGAACTGGCCTAGAATGATATGGCTGTCCGGGAAGGGAGGGTAATACCGTTCCTCAGACCATGTCCAGTCTCAGGCAGTTGACGTAAAGAATTATGTAGAATCCAGCCCGTAGGCAGTCAGATCCAGAGTAACGTGAACGTCGCTGGACACACCTGGAACCTCTGGAGAGGGCCGAACGCCAACTGGCAGGTTCTCTCCTTCGTTAGCACAACTGGGGATATCACCAACTTCAACGTCGACTTGAACGATTTCTTTAGTATGTCTTCTGTTCTCACTTGGTCAAGGGATGGCGCTCATCGAGGTTCAGAATACATCATCGCCAACCAGGGTGTCGCTCCTACGCAGGTAAGCCCGGTCATGCTTCCAAGGGAGAAAAACATGGTTGACGTAGACGCATGTCGTGTAGTTCGTTCAGTCGATCCAGGCCGGAACCGAGCCGTTCGTTGGCCAGGCCAACCTCATCACGGATTCATACAACGTTGCTATAAACCACTAGTTCGATACGTCTGGAGTTTGTGTTGTACAAGTATTATTGGTTTACAATTCTTCGTTCACCAATGGTTCATGGAATAACCCGACCTGCCCGAGTTGCTTTGGCTGCCTCGCTCTGAGCTTCGTCCCGAAGGTACCGACCATAAATCTCGGTATAGTGTTCCTTGTCCTAAGTGTTTATTAATATCTTGTACGTGGCACAAAGGATACGAAAAGACAGGGCTCACGCTAGAAGTCTTCAAAACGCTATCTCTCTTCTCGATTACCTCCGCGTACTTCTTCCATGCATCGCTCACTTCGTCACGCTTAAACCTTCTGTGCTCGATGACAATGTAATCCCTCACAACCCATGGGGCGATCGCTGCATCTACCAAGCTAAACTGCTCTCCGAAGAAATATGGACCCTTGATTTGCTTCGCGAACGTCCGCAGGGCTTCGTACACATCATTTTTCGCGGCTTCTTGCTTTTCCACCTCTTGGGATTGAAGCAAGCGAAAGAATGCGGGGAGGAACGTTTTAGAGAGGTGATCTATAGCTATACGTCCTTGTGCTCGTGCAATGGGGTCGGCTGGAAGTAAGCTTGGAGTATAGTTTGGGAATGCGTCTTCGAACAGCTCGTTTAGCACAAGCGATTCGTATAGGGCGACTCCCTTATACTCGACAGCTGGGACTAATCCCTTGGGATTGATCGCTGTGCATTCTGCATTGAGATCGAGTTCGTAGAGAGGTGAATCACGTCGTACCCAGAAAGTGCTTTTCCTTCTTGTACGGATTTACTTCTTTATATTGATATGGTATGCCTCTCTCCTCCAGCGCAATCCAGCTTCGCTGAACAAATGGACAAAACTAGATACGCGAGTGCTCATGATTAGCTTGCAGCGCAAAATCAGTGAAGCTATTTACCCATCCTGCGTAGAATACTAAATCTTGAGGATCTTGGTGTTTCGCCACTGTCTCGGCGGCGAGTCCTGTTGCGTTAGGGTGGAAGCGTTCGTCGGGGAGACTCATGATGTTAGTACGTGAACCAGGTTAGCGTGAGTGTCCACCATTGTCCTATATATGTTCCATCATCCCCATGTTTGTAAGCTTGCTCTCCAGTCCAGGATGGCGTGATCAGACATGAGAGTCGACGGTGTGGGTTTGTTCACCCCTACTGTTTCCCCTGTCGCGATAGAAAGGAGTTTATGAATCTCGCGATTGGATCTTGATCACGTCCTCCCAACTCGTTTTCGACTTTTGGCCCGTTCCCTAGCTTCAACACTTGGACACCACGCTAAAAAGTCATTCACTCCAATGGAATCGCGTTCAGAACCAACGTTCAATTGCTCCATGCTTCCAGGATCGTTCTTTGGGGGTCGCTTCCCACAGCATCGGGATCGCACGCGGGTTTCTGTTAAGTGTTGTGATGGGTTCGTGGTCAATAGCACCGCACCTGTGGAATAAGAAGACAAATACTTGCTTCTTTGCATCAACACGAGATTGACTTGACGCCTTAAAAGCACTCCGGGCGATGGATTGCAATTTCTCCCTGTGTTATGAAGCGGTATTTTATCGGATTGAGCATTTTGGCCGTCTGTTTGAGCGTAACAGTAGGTAGTGAAACCCCCTCAACGACTGGTGCGTTTCACGTTCACTCACACACGGAAGGGAGTGGTTTGATCAACATGCCATCCGGTTCTAGTTGAACCAGGTGCCACTGCATCTGTAAACATAACTATATTCCGATCTGGCGTAGCTTTCGCTCCTCAACCCCTTCCAGCCCCCTTTGCCGTTAGCAAGGGTGAATGCATCGTGTCTGCATTCGTCAACATTGGCCGTACGACTACGTGGACCTTGGTCAAGAAGATCGACTTCGGAAGCTTCGTTGAGCCTGAGGGGATTGTGAGGATCGGGGAGGACAGATACTTCGTCAGTCACAACGAATACTACGAGAGGACTGTGAAGTTTCCCGAGGTCGTCGATGGAACGGACCGTACACCTGGCGTCGGGCTAGGACTTATGACAATGTGGGTTGTTCTGTTTTGCGAAAGGGTGTATCTCAAAGTTTGTACAGCATCGACGGACAAGGTAGACACATCGCCCGAGCTGCACTGAACGAGGTTGGTTCACTGGAGTATCATAACGGCGGTATTGATTAGTATGTCCTTGATATTCATTTAGTTGATCCACTAAGATACTGACCTCTGCTCGCAGCGATGGGCGATATATCTGGGCCAACATCGCGCAATATCGACCGAACTCAACTTCTACGCTGGTCAGGATTGATCCCTTAACGTTGCATCACATCCGTATTGCGCACTTCGCCGACCACACTGGCGGCCCGGTTCACAACACCGACACGGGCACAGTGACCAGTCTGAACTGGGGGTCGCGAAATGCGACATCCATAGACCTTCACAAAATAGACAGCCATGCATACCCATCGTTCACCCCATTCGGAAGTCTGGTTCGAAATCCCTCCTACTTCGTTGACTACCAAGACTGCAAGTTCCTCGGGCGCATCAAACGGTTTGGTAACAAGCCCCACATGTTCTGCGGGGGCCTTGCATCCTTCGGGGGCGTGAATATCGGCGGACTAGCCGTCATCGATATGGAAACAATGGTTCCACGGCTAGAAGTGCCCATAATGCTCCAAAGTGAGAATGGTTGGCTCTTGACTACCAATCCAGTTGACGTCGATTGTGTGGATGGAAAGCTCCAGGCATATTTCTTTCCAGACCAAGAAGTCAATAATGCAATGCTCTATTTATACGAAGCTGACCCACAGAGTCCCTTTGAATTTGGAGGTGGCAAACAATAGCAAGAGCTGTTTGTATTGGTGTCTATTATCCACAAGGTACATGTCACGGCAGGCAGTCTTTTCCATTAATAGGAAATGTTGGCAGTTGTCTGACGCAGCGAGTCATCTAAGCACCCTCAGGCATGTTGGTCTCCGTTAAGGAATTGGTAGAATAGTTCCACCTACAACGTGTCTGAGGGAGGGTTAGGCAGAGGAAGATTGGCTTGGTTATCAGAAAGAGCCATGGCGAGTGGTGTGATGGGTAGGTATCCCTGGCTCTGGTGGGAGCTGAGCGCTGAGGCCCGACTGTTTGTGTGGAAGGAGTTTCCTGCAGTGGGCGTCGTGCAACAGAGTGCATGTAGGGATAGGGGGCACGTGCCTCTCCTAATAGACCACGATAACTCAGTCACAACCATACATCCATCCTCACAGTCAGTCCGGCAGCGCACAGCTTGCTCGTTCGCAATCGAGCGCGATACTTTCGGCGATGAACTCTTATCCTCCAGAACTCCTTGCCCAGCTGGCGCCTGTGATGTTCGCGACGGGGTTGGACGCGCCAAATGCATCTCCTCAGGATCCTTTCTCCGTTCTGGCAAGTAGATTACGAGAAGCCTTGCTCGCCCAACGAAAGGTCGCTGTCTGGCAACCTGAGAAAACGAAGACATTTCAAGTCATTGTAGTCGACAAGGAAGCTAGATTCCCTCCTCGAAAGACGGTACCCCTTGAGGATCCCCAATATTCGGCTGCTCATTCACCTCTATCACCTCTGACACCAACTTCGCCCTTGCATCCAGACGGACTCATCGCGCCGATATGGGTGAGAAAACACACTACGATGATTCCGTCGGTGTTTGTCATGTTTCTGCGGCTGTACGAGTCCCCAGTACACAACCCGAAATCACCTCTGGACCCCCCAGACTTCGATCGAGAACGCGAACGCGAGCAGGAGGAGCGACGGCGGGACGCAGAACTATCCGCAGAGGTGGCTCTGCGCAAGAAGACCACGAACGAGCGTGGAATCAAACTCACCGTTGTACTAATGGCGACGAGGCGGATGTTAGGTCAGCTTGAATTGTATGAGATTAGTCTTCTGAATCAAACTTGTTATAAAGATGACCCAGCGTTAGACCATCGGTTGACCTATATACGAAGACAAAGCGGTCTTGACTCGCGTGCTGCCTTGTTCGTGCTGAGCCCGGTGAGCCCCGCCGAGTTGGGTGACTTCATTACCAGGTGAGTAGGTTCGTGATCGAATCAAGCTCCGTGCTTATATCCCAAAGCCTCCAGCAGGCATTGTATGAGCCTGCTTTGGAATACTACACCACGCATTCCAAACGGGTGAGAAGGAAACGCAATCGTCACTCGCATACTATCTCTTCATATCCCAATCCAGTCTCTCCCATTGGAAATATTAATCTACCGCGTCCGCTGCGTTCAGAAGGATGGACCGTCCGATATGAATACAAAATGGCGTGTTTCGCAGAGTTTAGAGGGGAAGATGAAGTTGCTCTTAAGTACGGGCATTCAAACGTCACCCCGCATAATTCTGCTCACCAGCCCTCAGACACTACCAAGATGCGTACGACATGCTCGTAATCATGTTTGGATCAACTGTTATTCTCCCTCCACGAACGAAGAGATGGGCAGAGGCGAAGGTCTTGTCTGATTGTATCAACATCAAGGTACGGAAAGACGAGTTCTCTCTCCAGCGATACGAGTTTACAACCGTCGACTAGATCACGAAGCTCTACCTGTACAACAACGAGCATGCCTTAGCATTGTCCCATCACACTACTCACATGCGGAAATTTGGGGACTTCTCTAGGGGCTGGGGTATAGGCGAAGAGACGTTTGAATACTGGAGCTGGATGGCGAGACAGTGAGTATCTTATTGTCCAGAATATTTCGTTCTACCATCGTACACCATCTACCATCCAACAGGCATCGTGTATTAGCCGAGCTTCTCGAACAAGGAACGCGGACCACACTCGCCATTCCTGTACACAAGCCTGCTCCGCCACCCTCCACCGCAGCTTTAGCAGCATCTCAGCTTCAATCATCCGTGACGACCATCAGGGGCGTCGAGTACGATGCCTTGAGGTCACTGGGTCTCAATCCGAGTCACGCATTGCAACATCCCGGATTTTATTATTACATGGCAGCGAAATGCACGGAGCTGAGGCGAGATAAGTTCCAAATAGCTCTTGAAGCAGAGGTGAATTTTTCCTCCTCGGCGGATACGATCGATACTCAAGATACGGTTGAACCAAGCTGAACCAGCAGTTGACTGCCACTCCCGGTTTTACGAACGAAAAGAAGGTGGACCATTATGTTATCATCCTTGAGGCAAGATTAGTGTCTTTGAGTTAAGTGTTTTGAAGCGCTGACATTCTCAGCATTTCGACAGTTGTACACGAAGTCCTACGAGTTGTTCAAGAAATACGCGACATCTACGTCAACACCGAAGGCGCAAAGCCAGGGCCGACTCACCTTATGGATAGCGTATCGAATAGCCCAGACGTATTATGACTCGGGGAAGTTCGACATGGCAGTTCGGTGAGCTTGGCCCCAATGTCTCACGACTGGCACTAATCTCCTAGAGCCTAGTTTCTTCGAACGCATTGCGCGAACCTATCGTAGGGAGAAATGGGGGTCTATGCTACGGCCATTGCTCTCGACATGGTACTCTTGTGCTCAGCGTTTAGAGGACGTCGAGCTCAGCGTCAAATTGCTCATAGAAATGATGGGATACGGTATGAACACACGACTTAAAGCTGCTATTTTCGTTGATTCGCGGCCTAGACGTCACCGATTCGGAAGAGCCTACGAGCTTGCAGGAGGATTTGGTGGCAATTCTGCGGGTATACATTCCAGTATCGTATGCCTTCCGCCAACCCGTTCTGATGCCTTGCGTAGAGCAGTGTTCCGTCGACCGAAGATCAGGCCCTGGTTGTAGACCTCCCAGAATCCCAGCCGATATGTAAGATCACTGTGCGGTCCGGGTGGCTTGGATTGATTTCTATGTCTAGTCGATACCCAGATGGTATTTTGGTTGCCCGAAGTCAAAGTCGATGAATCCGCGGCATTCCAGCTCTCACTCAGCGCTCCATCGAACGTCGATATATCAGAGCTACCCATTAGTTCGTTGACTATTCACTTTTCCGGAAGCATCAATCCAGTCGTGATCAAACACGATGGAGGAGCCGAGGAGGGAACGCTTTCTGGGAACATTGCGAGAATAGACATCGGTACCATTGCGAACCAGGAATTGGATTCGTCCTCTGAGACGGACGAAACAGTGGTCTCCGGGCATTTGCGATGGGGGAAAGGTAGTACGCTGACAATAGCTGGAAGCATACTGTCTTCTGCCCCGGGAACCTACCACGTTAGTGGATGTTGCGATTTCACGTCTGTTCCTACTAATGAATATCGTCGTTTAGGTCACAAAACTTGTCCTTGAATTGCAAGAAGGGAGCTGGTCGATTGTCGTACCGTTTGAACCCAAGGTCTCTCGGGCGTCGTCTCCCAAGGCGCCTCATTGGCTTTGTTCTACACAGCCCCTGAAATACATCCAAATTCAACGGGTCGAGTGTTCATCAGTCGTGTAAGCTGTCGCCCATGCCATCATCCCCATGGTTAGCTAACCGAAGCCTATCGTACAGCGTGAAGTATCGGCCCCACAATGTAGTGATGACGCTGTCCCATCAAGCCCCAGCGTATCTAGATGAGAGTTATCCTATTCCAATCGAGGTGACCAACTCAGATGACAAGGCACTGGATATCGTTATGGACGTCTTACTTCAACCCGCAGAAATTGATGATGCCAGTTCGTATATCCTTATTTTCTCCTCGAACCTTATCCTCAGTCAATCTCCATCGACAGTCAGCTCCATTTCAGTCGACGGGGAACAGTCTTCTGGCCTGATTAGAAACGTTCAGTTTGGCACGCTTTCACCTGGAGTTTCCGCGGTCAAGGTCTTGCATGTAGTCAGCACCGGAGCGCCAGGCGACAGGCTGGTCGATGTCTCTATCCAATCGAAGCCCCCAGCTAAGCATTGGCAGGACGAATCGGATGCAGAAGGAGATTCCAGACTAGTAGATCTTAGTGAAATGCTGCAAACCATAGCGATCCCCACCGTGGCTCCGTTCAAATACTCTTACGGTATATCATATCGGCACAGTATAGCTGGACCAGCTGGGTTAGCTGACTTACGGACGTTCGAGAGTGATTATTGGGATAGTAGCTCGGGTGGTGAGGCTGTTGTTTGCTTGAATGTAGAGTTCATTGGCCCGTGGCCCTTGACGATCGAATCGCTGGACCTTGTTCGTAAAGTACGTGCCGGATTACTTCTTTTTTCAAGCTTATGAGTTGCTTACGCATTGAATAAACCTAGAACAATGTACGCGCAAGGATCTTAGGCACCTTCGATGACGCGAATACTTTTCGAGGAGGTATGTCTAAAAATCTCTTCGTTTGGCAATCTACTTATGATGCTAGAATACATGCCCGGCGACGAGATATCGGATACACGCCAAGTTAGCATGATAATACCGAGAGAAATGGAGCACGAGCTTGAGAGCATAGATGGTCCTGGGGAGTATGTGATACGTTGGCATCGGTAGGTCAACCTGCTCGCTAGCTCACCTGCATCACTCATTCCTCATCTCTAGGTCGCAATCATCCCAAGACATTGTAGCTCAACCAACTTCGACCACCATCATCCCTCTACCATTCTTACGACCGCCCAGGGAGGAATTGGTCGCTCTAATGTCTGCACCTCCAACGGGGCAACTCCACACGCCAGTTCCCGTAACGCTGAGCATCCGCAATAACCATCCAACCCGTTCTGCGAACATATTCGTGCAACTTGAACCTGATCCATCAGACGGCTTCGTTGTCGCGGGCGCACGGAGCGCCCGTCTTCCTATCTTGATGCCAGGCAGCGAAGAGAAGATTACATGGAAACTGATACCGTTGGAATGCGGCTACGTGAAGATACCTCGAATCAAGGTCATAGATAGACGCAAGGCCATTGCCAGCGCGCAAGGTATTGGTGGACCGAACGCGGAAATCGAGACCGAGGGAGAGACCATTAAGATTATTAATGTTGCTTTGGACCGTAGGGGCGAACAGGGTGTCGAAGAGCCGCAGGCGAGGGCTAGTCGTGGAGCAGATCCTGCACGGGATGGGATTGCAACAATCTTCATACTTCCATGTACATGACGATAGGTTTATATATGGTGGCTTTCAAGTCCAGGACGTTGCTTTGTTTAGTAGCCTTTACGGCAGCAAGTTTCTATACTCGCCGCAGTGTCTTTCATACCGTGCACTGATCCATTTAAGCTATTTAAGCTAGAATCGGTAAAAATAAGGTGAAAGTAAACCGTTTATTTTCTCTAGTACTTTCTGGCTTGGTATTAGTTGAGCGGAACTTGCCAAATAAGGAAATTCTTGATCAATACTTTTCCAATATTGAGCCGAAAAGTACCGGAGAAAGTAATCTGAATACATTCACCATACTTTCATCTGGTGTGTTTCGATGGCGAAGCACGTCCCTCCATCATGTGCGAGCTCCCCATTTGATATTATCTTTCTTAAACCATCGACACTGTATTTTGATGTACTGTCCACCAATATATTCCTCACCACGAGCAATATCTGATTTCATACACACACGTCGCGCGGGACGGCTACGTTGACTTACCATCGCTAAGCCACTACTCACCATCTACACTTGTCGCACAAGCCTCAGCGGGGAGATGAGAGGACCCATGGGCCGTAACACTACCCATCCTGATCATTATTCTTACCTTTCTTTCAAGGCAGATACATTTAGGATCGCGCCCTCAAATTTCAAAGTTTGCTCGTGTCTCCCCATGGTCTGCCAGAATTCTTCACCATTCAACGGAATTCGCAACTGAGTTCCGCTATTCCCTGTTCAGCAAATTCAGGAGTTCGGCTGCCTCGTATCCTCCTCGGAGAGCTCCTATTTTGACCTGCCACCTTAAGGTCCGTTATTCAGAACGTCTAGGTCATCTGTTCTACGAACTACAAACTGAATAGTAACCCCGAAACTATCATGTCTCTTTAGCTCAATCGCCATTTAGGCTCTACCCGCCTTTGGACTCAACGCCAGGTGCTATTTCATTATCAGAGTTTAGCTCAATCTACTTGCAATCATACCGTGACATATCTCGTGGTTATCTTGGAACCATCCGCAATGCGCCCAGCATCGGCTCCAAAAGCCCCTCAAACGCAAGAGATGCTGGTTGATGTCATATCGAGATATGCCTGCTCCAGTTTGCTGCGCCGAGACGGCATGCTCGAGGTATAAATACAACCCCAGTTCACCCCCCGTTGGCTCCAGTCGATTTCAACCGAAGTAATCGACACCAAACTTCTACTACTACCATGGCCAACACTTGTACTTGCCAAAGCAACTGCGGGTATGTCAATTGTCGCGCTTGCCTTGTCGTCGATAGCTGATTACTCGCCTCAGAGCCTGTGGTCCCTCTGGGACTGGGTGCGCCTGCCCAAAGAACGAATGCAACTGCAGCCAGTGCGCGAACAAAGCCCACTCCGATAAGGTATATATCGTCACCCCTGCCTCAGTACTAAATCGTGACTGACAATTTTTGGCAGTGTTCCTGCAACGGCAAAGGCAGCAATTGTAGCTGTGCGAGCACGAACAAGGGTTGCGAATGTGCTTGAATGAGCTCTCGTCGGCTAGCCACTAACCGACCACAACGTTATTTGTAACACAAATGCCTTGTAATTATATTGCTGTTGTAATCTTCATTAGCGATAAACCCGCCTCGGCTTGTATTTAGCGGGCGTTTCGTTGCTTCGACAAATGGCCTTGTACTTTCATAATGTCATGAGTGGTACTTAAGACGGTCGTTATCATTTCTTTCCCTTAGACCTGGCGTCCCAACGAAAAGTCCCTGCATTTATACCCGTCCCATCTACATTCTTCGTCCATCTAAATACCCTCCCCGACCCTTGTCTATCCGACCATGCAGTCCATCACCTTCCTTTTAACCTTAACTCTATGCTTGGCCACGAGCCATGGTATGTTCCTAGCACATGGTCCATTATTCCGTCAATCTGACTTCTCGCGCGTAATCAAAGTTACATCTTCGCCGACACCCGACCCCTCACCAGAACCCATCGACCCAAAACTAGCGGTGGCTGTTGCAAGCAATCATAACATGGGATGCGTCAACGGCTGTCCAGATAGCAACGTCGTAAGCTTTTTCCCTACAATATGTCATTTCGCCTAGTGCCTAATTCACGGTATACACTACATATATAGGCTCTGTCCGATAGTCAAGAAAACGGCGCCCTATCATCATTCGGCTCACCACGAGACATAAGTTCCATTCTAGCCTCGACCACCCTCCTTTACTTCGGGCTCATATGACTTGAGATTTGATCTACCCCTCGTCCAACTCGCAGAGGGTTCTATGGCAGTGGTGTATATTGGATATATTAAGATCTGCAAACGCTACAAGTGTGCTGGTATCAATGCTATGCTGTGGGGATTATAACGATGGTGGTGCTACTACTAATATAAAGCAGATTATTGTCCGAACGAATGTAATAATTTATAAATGTGACGTGCACAAAGTCCGTTTACTTATACAGATCGTGACCGACTATGATGACGGTGGTGGGAACAGAATTCGTGACTCAAGCTGTGGGGCTTCGTAACTTGCTTCTCTCTTCTCTATATCGTCATTGCCTTCTCGAGGGCTCTGCGGACGATGGGTTAGTTGTGAGCAACGATGGAGGTGAAGCAGGGAGCGTACATTGCTACTGTCGTCATACGATTTCGTCTGCGTTACTTTGTTTTCGTCGATTTGGACAATGGCAGTGCGGTGAATGTCTGATTGAAATGATGAGAAGAATTCAAGGAAAGGAACGGTTGGTATACTCACGAATGCCTGTCAATTGCAGCGAGTCGGATAGATCCCCAGGTGCTCCGGGTGTCTGGCCGCTACTTGTTGTGGCCTTATTGCGGCGTCGCATGTTCAGATTCCATAACATGGTGAGAGAGTATATCCGCCCTGCACACAATACGATGCCCATTCCCACTAATGACAGCACCGATCAGTGATAAATCCTTCAAGGGAGAAAGTAGAACTCACCGTTGCTTAGAGGGTCATGGAGGTATACACCCAAGGTGATGGTGCAGACAATCGCGGGAGCCAATCCCGCCTGAATGGCGTTGAAGACAAGTCGTCGTACGAGACTGTATTGAATCATTAGAGAGCTTCGGGTAGAGGGGATGAATATGACATACACTCGCGTCGACTTGAAGGCCGTCCTGACCCTGCTCAATTCGTAGACCAGACCTCCGGCAACGAAAATGCCACACGCAGAAGTCGCTGTCAGCCAAAGCCTGCGTTTCCCGCCATCAGTAACGCACGCGAAATAGAATGATTATTATCTCACTTAATGAAGTTGTTGGCCGTCTGCGAGATACCAAATGGTACGAACTGGAACAGCCCGATTGTTGTTCCTATGCCGCCTGTGATCTGATAGAATGGACGTCAGACTCAACTACGTAGACGTATCAAAAGTCACTGACCGAACCCAGCAACACGATGATCAGGAAGACGGTGAATGTCCATCTCTTCGATCTGGGCGCCGTGAGATGGAGAATCAATACGCGGCTGAATCAATGCTTACATCCCGTAATATCGGTAGATCAAGAAGGCCTGTACGATACTAGTCGTGATGCTGACGGTCAGAACACTGACAGGGAGGGGCCAATGTTGAATCAGAATGTATGTGATTGAACCTGGGGATTGCTCAATATCGCTGCCGTAGACGTGGTCAGAAATGCATACCCCAATGTGTGACGTGATACTATCAATACTTGATCAGGGAAAATTCCAGCGGGAAAGAAGTCGGGAAACGAACCAAGTACACCATAATAAAACTGTTGATTGTACTCCAGGTATCAACCGTGAAGGCAGTAATGACGACAAGTCTGAGGAAGATGGGGTCCTCGTAATGCTTGAAGTAAGAGATCACCTGGGTAAGGGACAATATTGAGTCGCCTGAACAGCGATGGGGAGAGTGTGGACCAACTTGTAGTATCTCCCACATGAATAGGAAGCTGTTGATCCAATTTCCTACGAGGAGGGGACTAGGTAGGGTTGCTCAGCGGGTATGAAGCGAAGGAAAGTACCAACTACTCACGCAAGGACTTTCTCAAGCATGCCATTGGCGCTCATCTTCAGGTCGTGATACTACCGTCAAGGCAAAGAGTATAGAGGGAGTAAGGTATCGATGCCGGCAGCGTCCACATATATATACGCCCGAGTTGACCCAAATGCAGGAGACATCAAGATTGGACCCTAGAGGAAGCCAAGCTGATCAGAGTTTCAGGGTTCGGACGGAACGAAAATCAAGCGATTCGAACAAGTTCGTGCATCGCTGTCTTGTTCAAATGATTGTGTCACAGAAACATGGAAACGGCTCTCGAGCACATGGGTCATGTCAACAAAATGGAAGGGAAATAAAATCATTCCTCCGAGTCGCGACGGGCTTGTCTGCGAGTAGTACAGCATAGGAGTATACTGCGGCTCGATATCTATTGCAGAGATGTAGCCCTGGTCAATGCAGAATGTCAAAATTTACAACACGTACCGGTACCTACCCAAATGATATACACACCAGAGTATATTTGGAATTATTTGGTGGGTTCCTGATTAGGTGATTGTGGTGGCTGAAAGCGCTGACATTCAGGGATTGGTGCGTTGACCCCATGGAGAACACAGGGAGCGGTGGATACTCGACTGATATTCCTGGTGGTTACCTACGGAGTCGACTATGAAACGTCGAACTACGTTGGCCAGATACGGGCAACTTTCGCCAACTCGTCAGCGTGAAAGCAATGGTGGAGAGTGGATGAACCACACCGGGATCATTCAGGACGCCTGTAGGCTCAGGTACAAGGGACCGAGGCTAGGTAAACAGAAGTCTGAAGAGAAGCGCCTCTAATGCAAACCTCCTGGAAAGAAAAGAGATACGAAAAAAACATACTGGTAGATCCTCTCATATCCTGCTCCCAGCTTATGGTATATTCCATATGAAATACCACCCAGGACTTTCCCGACGGACACTTCGCCTTTTTGGATGAGAGGACTGATTCCAAAGGGCACAGTGGTTCCGCTCCGATGCCCGGGCATGAACGCGAAGGGGTTCATGGTCATCAAAAGGAGGTTGATGAAGATAAAGCCACAGGGTGGCAGCGCACACGCTACATCGGAGTGGATTACCCTCAATCCTCGATATCATCGTATGGTCTGATTCGTCTTTGGGGATACAAAGTCAACTGAGCTCTTGCGTGACCTTGACATCTTCAAGCGCAAATGTTGAAAATAAAATACGAACATACTTGACGTCTCCACATGTTCTCCGAGTGCAATAATCATCTTCCATTACAAGCTTCCCTTCTGGACTGGTATGTCAATATTATCGAATGAAACCTTTCCGAAGGCCCAGTCCCGTATAAGCACGCCGGCGATCGCGGTTTCGGGAGGCATCTTGAAGGGAGGCTCATTACCGCTCGGTGGATTGACCTCAGCTGGGGTGGGTTTTGATGCTAGAGTAGATCCCGGGTTGTTGGCCCAAGCATCAGGCATCTCAGCACGATTCGCAGCCGGCGCGCGGTTATCCCTATTATCTATTCTGTCGTTGATTGCCTTGTTGTCCCGGGCAGTAAGTCCAGTCCCCGTTGGATGATTGAATACAGCGATGATCTCATCCCGAGTATACCATCTAGCGTCTATAGTCGCCGAGGGTGCCATGCGATGCATGCATGTCCGGTAGTTAACAGAAAGAGTCAGAACATGACATCTGGGAGTGAAACCGATTGCCCCACCTTCTAGCTCGTTATCCAGGTCAACGCGAATCGGCTTTGAAGAGTCAGCTCGGGCGTAGTATCCGACCATCAAGTTGGCAGGGTAGGGCTATATAATAAATCAAAGTAAATTAACACGGGGAACAATGTGGAGTCGGGATGGGTGGTGAGCATGGAGGGAGTGGGAGGGAGCGTAGCAACCCGACGGGAAGATGTGAAACACTCACCCAAGGTTGCCCGGAGTGGTATGTCACATTCCAAACTTGGACACCAGCCTCCTCCCACATTTCGCGGACGACGGCATCTTCAAATGATTCTCCAGGCTCTATGAAACCGGCCAAGGCAGAGTAGAACTTGCCGGGGAATTTCCTCTGTCAATCCCAATCAGTCAAACGGGCGTCTCATGATAAGGCTTGACAACAACATACATTGCGTCCCAGCAAGATTCTTTCCCCAGTTTCGTCAATCACTGCCATAATGACGACAGGATCAGTGCGGGGGTGGGTGAAGTTATGGAGGCCCTTGCTAGAATAGACGGTCAGCCACCGACAGATGTAATGAATGGCGTTAACTTACACAGTCAGACATGGCTTGCGTCCTGGCGTGTCAACCCATGGCAGAAGTGTCATGCAAGAGAGCTTCCATCCGCCCCACTGCGAGTAGTTCGGCGATCCGCAGCCAGGGCAGAACTGATTACTAGTAGGAACGGCATATTGCGAAGAGCATCATCACACAACTCACCTTGTTCCTGTAGTTCCAGTCTACCATGCTGCGTCCCCCCGCATACACGGCCGCGTCGAATGCATCCATAAAACCAATGACTGATCTAGGCTCAGACCATGTATACTTCAAGCCCTCTGAGTTACGATTCCCTGCTTCATCCAAAACGCGTTGCACAGTGCCTTCATCTGCGTCAGCAACGTCCATAGCAAAGTATGGAGTCCCTTTGAGATTAGCGACCGCCGGTTCTGGATCCTTGAAATCAGACGAAGGTAAGGCACCGCTCCCCATATGAGTTTCCTTCAATCCCAGGAAGACTAATGGTAAGCCTCGGTGTCGTACGGCATCTAAGGGTGATTCGGGGGCATGACCAGATGCATCAGGCTGAATGACCGGCACAAGCTCTCCCTCGCTCTGCGCCTGCCCAAAGTACGGCTCAGCGCCCAGTAGTGGGGTGACATCTTGGGTAGCCAAATACGCCAATCTTCGTTCTCCTTTCCCACTCGGGTCCGATTTCGTGGAAATGAGGGGTTGCCCTGCATTGAATAGGAGCCAGCGCGTAGTTGGTAGGGGTAATACTGCATTCAAGAACAGATGAGACGATCGCAACCATGAAAGCCGGTTCAACGGTGAACCGCTGAACATGTTTACATGTCTAGAATTCCAAACATACTGATCAGTAATGCAATCGCAACCTTGACCAGGACAATCGAAACGTACTGTTCAGCCATTCTAAACGAATTGGCAATGTTGCGAAGTATCTTGAAGGATGTCGAAAGGAAAGAAAGTGATCAACTCTAGGGTGGGTCGGGGCTACTACTAGTAGTACTGTTGTAGCCTACAGGAGGGTCAGAACCCGAACCGAGTGCCATTTGTCAGCGAATACAAATAATCTCCCATCTCATCGCGGATGATGGCAACAGTATGGCCGATGAAACTGAAGTCACCCAATCATGAGAACAGGATTAGTGGCGAAGTGGGTCAGCCGCGATTTCGCGAGGATGCTGACATATTGTGCCGACGCAGACATCTAAAAGACGATTGCAGCAAGATATATACATATGGAGGAGTAAATGGCGGAAAGATGAATGCTATATAATACAGTCGAGAGCGACACGAACCTGATATCTGAGCACTAGTACACTGTAGAGTCCTGCAACCGCCAACGACTTAGCGGACCCCACCACCAGAGGGACTGTTGTCTCCGATCTGACGATGCTGGTTGCTGGTCGTTGTGTGCCGGCGTCGAATTGTCACCACGAAAAGGAGGGAACTCATTTCTGTCATCCATCTCCCGTCGACCAGCATTGCGTCTCTTTTGTGGGCCATCTTCGCCATCGCTATGATCTATACTCCGTCGAGTTTCGTGAGGGATTCTGTTTTCATCAAGCTCCGTGTCGTCCTCTTGATGCTGCGTTCGAGTCCTCCAACCGAAGCTGCCTAATCCCCAGCCAGGGTTTTTGTGCCTATTGGCAGTCCGCCGCCGACTACCACTGCGATCCAACTCGCGTATCCGTTCAGCCCGCTCAGCCGCTTGTTTTCGTGCTGCGGCGACATGCGCTTTGCTAAGCGAGGCGTACCACTGGTGGATGAAGGAAGGGAGTATGTTAGGGAGGGTAGCGTATGTAGGGGTGGTTGAGACGGATGTTGTCGATGCAGACGATAATCCTCGTGATCGCGTATCTGGCGGTGAAGTCGGAGAGGACGGCGATCCGGAACGAGATCCTGAGCGCGATGTTCGTTGACCTCCTCCCCGACGCCCATGTCGTCCACGACTTTCCTCTCCGTATTCCGTATTTTTGCCGAAAGCACCTGCCACACCTCGTAAGACAAGCTTCGCCCGCTCGCTCCTCTCCTTCCTACGTTCCAATTTAGCCTTGCGTCGTTTTTCCCGTTTCTCTCGGCGTATCATCTCCTCTTCCATCCCGTCCCATCCGTTCATCGCACCAGCACTTCCGGCTCCAACCCACCACCACCACCCTAAGAAGCTCTGCCAAAGGATGATAGCCCACATGAGGCCGGGAAGCCAAACATACTCTTCTTCGCGTGGGACATAAAGGAAGGTCAACGCGGTACTCGCAACAGCTAATAATAGGGCAGCAGCCCCAAAAGCAGCTGTCCCCCCGTCAGTGCGCCATGCTTGTTTCCGGTTGACCAGCAGACCCCATATAAATAATGCGGCCGTAAAGAGTAGCGATAGCGTGGCATTGCAGACGTTCCGAACAGCTGACGCGACTTCGAGAACGGCTTCACTTCCATGGATCGGGAGAAGTTGCATTACAGCGGATAGTATTGCCAAGGGGCCTGGAGGATATACACTGTCAGCAGTCCCGGCTTGGCGCCTGACCTGGACTCACCCAGTAAGAGGAATATCAACCTCCCCTCCAGTCGAGAAGGATAGAGAAGCGTCAAGAATTGGATGTGTGTAATCTACGCCATGTTTAGCACCGAGGGAACGAGGCATAGATAGCACATACCTGGATAAGCCCCGATGTAGAAGCGTTCATGACCATCCATGTAGCTTTCTCAGCTGTCGTCCATTCCTTGCCATGTTCTTCGGACATCGAAGAATCAGATGGGGGGACATCCACCGCGATGTAACTCAGCATGTACGGCCAGTTCTTGGACTCATCCAGTGTGGCCGAGAGCACGACGTGAAGTGTAGCGATCAGTGAGATGAGTAGCGTGGTGACCCCCGAAATCTGGAGCACATAGTTGACTGGCGCGAGCGGCCAATGGTACTGCGCAGTGAATATGAGATGGATGAACAGAACCGCGACCAAAGTGAGCACAATCCCCGTCAGGAGAATCTGCACCGGAAGTGAGCTTGCGAAGGCTGGCTTGTAGTCCAGATAAGGGTCCCTAGTAGATGACCTGGCGAATGTGTCAGTTACTGGATCGTCGAGGATGGACACTGGATGGCTCACTCGTCCGCGGCTGCAACGAGAAATAAGGCAGCAATTGCCAAAATTCGGTGCAGGGTTGTGGTCATGATGGGCGGACGCAACGCTAATCGGGCGCTTAACGACCCAAGTGGCGCACGTTTTGTTTGCTTTGAATCCCCGAACCAAATAATTTCTCGCTCGTCGAATTCATGAATTTCCTAAAATCAAGACTGCTTCTCATTTACAGAGATCGACGCCTTTGCGACTCCCATCACTTTTTACTGCAGCCCAACTTCAGCCTGCGACCCAGTCTCACTGAAGAATTTGATGCATATCCAAAAGTGCCTTGCTTGGTTGCGGGAGGGTCTTTCCAAATTTGGATTTAGCACCTTCATCGAACCGTAGCATGAACGGCCTTTCATCCTTGTCATTTTTCCATCAAATCCTGGCCCGTCGCAGGCAGTACAAGTGGTCTTTCCCTTACGAGAAATTGTTGGCACCATTGCCCGCTTGTCCCCCCGCTAGCCAAATACCACGATGAAGCGCGAGCACCGACCGCTAGCCCGACACAAAGTCGTGTCCTCAATCTCTTTTTTCTTGCTTCTCGCCGCCTTCATATTGCTGCTTCTTGTCGCGATTTCGCTACCAATAGTAAAGGCCGTGTATCTCATCAGTGTCAAGGCAGATGTTTCTGCCTTGCCATTGACGAGCGCCGCGACGGAGCTGAGGTTTGGGGTGTGGGGCGTATGTGCGTCAAGGTAACGTACAACTTTCTTTACGTGCAGGGGGATTGCAGTGCTGACATCCCACAGTACATTGAATGCGCCAGGCATCTTCACGAACCGGGGGACTTGCATTGGCCCCCAGCTCGGCTACGACATTCCCGACTCTCTTCTCAGTCTAGTGGGAATCAACACTGCGCTTGCAGATGCAGTGCTGCACGGCCTGCTCGTCGTCCTCGTCCTTCACCCCATAGCGGCAGCACTCAGCTGTCTCTGCTTCCTGTCTGCCCTCTTCCTCGGCTCCCACTGCTCCGCTATATTCGCCCTCATTCTCTCCATCGTTAGCTCCATCCTCGCTACCGTGGTTCTCGCTATCGATTTGGCTTTGGTCATTGCTACGCGCGATAACGTCAATGACATGATTGGAGGGACATCGCTGATTGTGGAGTTTGGGAATGGGGTATGGATGGTGCTTGGCGCTGTGGTATGCTCGTGGTTGGCTGTGATATTCTTGTCTGCGAGGAGTTGTTATTGTTGCGGTGTGCGAAGGCGAGTCCCCCTTCCAAATAACTCTCGACTTTGACTGATCTATCCTGCAGACACGATCATGATCATTACAATCATCACCATTCTCATCATAGTCATAGCTATTGATTTACATCCACGAAATCTGACGGACCACTTACGAGTTACGATACCTGCTTCGGACGTTTAAATATTTGAAATTTTCCATTCCAATCGTTGCAATTATTCATACCCAATTGCTAGTACTCAGGTATGAGTTTGAGCACTGATTCAAAGGTTCAATTATAATATGATAAAGTTACAATTGTTCTTCGCCAAACACCACTACGACTCAGTACATCTCCAGGCTCATACCATCATTAATCTCATAGTCGCCCAGAGTGATATGATCTTTGTAGATCGTATACCTGCAGATCAGATCAGGGTGAGCCAACCGTGGAGGTCCATCTTCGATCGCAGATACTCACCATTTCTTCAGCTGGATCTTCGTCCAGTCCGTACCCGTCTGCGCGGCAATAAGCTTCTTCAAGTCGCCCACCGTGTCGTCGGGGCTGCACTTTACTCGAACTGGCAGACAAGACCGATGTCAGGGGTAGGCTCACTCCGATTCCAATGTCCTGCGTACCTTTGCGTCCCAGACGGTCATTCGCAATCACCTATCATATCATATGGATCAGTACAGGCGGGTATATTGCAAGTACCGGTAGTACTTACCTCGATGAGGGCCATTTCACGCACACTAGTTGTGGATTGACTCAGAGTGATATCCACTGATCGCTAGAGTTTCCATAATAATTTCGATGCCGATACCGTCCATATCAAGCACTCACAAACAACAGCATAACCCATTGGCGCCCAGGCCTTCTAGTAGTGACACGCAGACCATGAATCTCTCCCTGTACACTATAACCGCGTTCATCGTCCTCGACACCGAAGGGCACCGCGTTCTCGCAAAATACTACCGCCCAAAGAGCCATCCGCAAGGCGAGCCCAAGGGTCTCTCGACGCTCAAAGAACAAAAAGCCTTCGAGAAGGGGCTATGGCAGAAGACCAAGAAACCCGGAGGTCAGTAGCCCTCTCCTTGCGTCGCATTGGGCGCGCCATAACGTGTGCTGAACTCGTTCACCAGGCGATATTATCCTGTATGACGGGCATCTCGCGGTGTACCGGCACTCATTGGATCTAATACTATATTTCATTGCTGGACCTTCGGAGAACGAGCTTATGATCTCGTCTGCGCTTTCGGCGCTCACGGACGCTCTGCAAATGCTGCTGAGGAACCAACTGGAGAAGCGGGGAGTGCTGGAGAACTTGGATCTCGTGTTGCTTTGCCTTGACGAAACGATTGATGACGGGTGCGTGTTGCTTCCGTGATATCTACGCCCCACAAAGATTCAACAACGTTTGCTGAATATTTATATCGCCCTTTAGTATTATCGTCGACACCGATGCTACGGCAATAGCGTCCCGCGTCAGCCGTCCGAGACCCGACACAACGGAGATCATTATCAACGAGCAAACCATAATGAATGCGTACCAGACGGTGAAGGAGAAAATGCAGCAAAGGATGGGCCAGTTGTAGCCGTGTCGTTCCGCTTGTTCCTTCCTACCGCCGATCGCTTTGACGCTTCGTCTCGCTGGCACTTGCACTTTATCCGTATCACTCTCGCTTCCACATGCACACCTGCACACACCCTTTGCTGTAGACTGTCGTAATTGGCGGCCGCGATAAGAATGATTTGAAATACAGTACGTCACAAAGTTGAAACCGATTCGGAAGTGCATAGATTATAGTAATGTCGTGAAGGCTGGCATCCTGGATACTACAATGATAATACAAACATATACGATAGGAAATCTTACACCGAAAGAATATGCAAGAAAGAGAAGAAATGGTGCTGCCACGTTGGACCGGCTACTGTAGCAGGCTGTACTTGCTGTCTGTACAGCTGACATGGAATGGATGCGTGTGATTGTGTGCGTGTTGATCGTGACGGAAGCAAATTGCCGCACTGATGGTGATAGGCATCAAGGAAGGAGCAATGAGGTCGACGGGGACATTAGTGCGACGAACTACCATAGGCGATTACAATCAGCAAGCGGAACAACCGCGAAGCATAGTGTACGACGTACCCACCTCATAGCCTTGAGCTTGCCAACATCAGAGAAGCGGTAGACTGCTATGGTCCCCGCTACCGCCAACGTCAAAGCGCCGACTGCAGCGCACAAGACTCCCTTCGCCTCAAGCTTGATATCCTCAGAGTCTGAGTAGTCTGGGTGCTCGTAGATGGCGATTGCAGCGCGCATTGTAAGTTGTGCTTGGCGATGTGGTACAGTTGCAGTGATATAGACGCCAATGGCACAGCGAGCAAGCTCGAAGGATTTGGCAAGAAGGTGATGGGTCGCTCAGTGAAGAAAGGATGGAAGTTCCGAATTGAGAGCCCTATTTAAGGTGCTTCGTATTGTCCTCCGAGACATAAGGCGCCGGACCGCACAATGTGATCCGAGCCAATGCCACCGATGCCTACCACGCTAACCGCCACTGATAATCGCGTATCTACCACTGTGGACCACATAGCGTGTCCAGCCTTGGCCATTGTAAATAATGTAATTGCCTACGCACAGCTCAGCGCTTGCTAACTTGAGGGACTACGGCTGCGAACATCCCCTCCACTTTCCCTGCGATCCTGGCGACCCCCAGGCCTACACCTAACAAGACACCAATATCGACCACCACGACCGAGAGCGCGCCCAACATGAACCTCGGTGCAAATACCTTCCAGACCATCAAATGCCGTCGCAATATTGCTGCACTAACAGCAGTGCCCAGCAGTAAACACCCATAGTAAATCATCACGCCTAGACCAGCAAGCACGCTCTCTCTGTGTACCGCCGACTCCGTGCGGTCCTTATTTTGCTTTGCTTGCTCTGTCAAAGGCGAGCGATTCCACAGAGCCACGAGAGGTGCGGAGACCCCAGCGAGCATCAGTGGTCCGAAGGAATTGAGGATGACTGTCATCGGGGGAAATGGGTACACCAGATCCTTCGTAAGCACGAAGGCAGACTTCCATTGGATAGACGAAATGGTTGCTTGATGACCGGTCGCGTAGAAGACCTGTAGGCCCAGAAGCGCTATGGGCACAACCTCGGAGAACGTCATCTGCGGAGATGAAGAGCTTCCCGATGCACGATCAAAAATCCCGGGATCTTGTAATATTGCAGACGGAGTAGAGGAGCTGAAAGCCTCTTCAAGGGCCCGGACATCTCGAGCACTGTCCACCACCTCAAGGTATGATAACAAAGCCACCGCGCTGAGGCTCAAGACAAGTTGTCCTGTTAGCTGACTTGTTGCGAAAACCCAACAGAAGGGTATCGACCAGAAGAGAAGGTAGGGTGACCCAAAGGCATTCCCGAAGCCAATGACTCTGATTTGTCGCCTTTTGGGACCCGAAGTGGACGCGGTTTTGAGGTCGTCTGCGTTGGCTTCGTCCGTGACGTCCAAGCACGTTGGGACTGCGTACCACAAGGCTGGCGCGAGGATTGATATCGTAGCGAAAGACGATATACCAAGGAGTGACCTCGTAGATCGCAGCGCAGAGCTCCAGGAGCCCAGAATCTGGGCTGAGTCAACCCATTCCAAGACCCATGCTGCCGACGCTGTCATCAACGCAAATCTGAGAATGAAAAGCAAGAAGAGCTTGGCTATCCCGGCGTCTGAGCGGGAGATGTTCAGTACCCGTTGCATGAACAAGGGGATGGCGAAGGCGGCGGGCAGTGCGAGGATGCGTACGAGGAGGGGCGGGGATGGAAGAGACGACGACGCATAGTACGTGACGTGGCAATAGGGTTGTTGTTCCTCCCGACAAACGGTACTAATTGCCATTAAACGAATCGAAACAGCAAAGAGAGCCGAGAACCCCAGAATGCGGTTGCGTAGGCGCGCCGTAGGACCCGTGAAGCCTTTAAGGACAAAGGGGAGGATCGATGAAGCGAGTAGGAAGGGGACAACGCGGTCTTCCCAAAAAGTGAAGGAGTTCGAGAAGAATGCAAGCGTATGCAAGATGAGGAGGATTGGTGTTGAAAGGAGGTTGCGCGCAGACAAGGTAGGGATCAATTTCCAAATTGATGGTAGGCATGCTGCTGACCCTCCAAAAAATAGTGTATAATCTATGAGCGCAGTGTCCATGATGTATGGTTTGACTAGGGCATGGGTGGAGACCCCAGAGAAGACGCCAACGACAAGAGCGATCAAAGACAGCCAAAGTCCTTGATAGGCATGCTGGAGGCTTTTCGTTAGTGATATTTGTGCGAAGAGAGACCACATAGTCAAGAGTCCTGCAACCAGCAAGCAGAGACCGAAGCCCATGCGCACTGGGTTGAATTGCGCCCATAGGGACCTGCAGGTAGACAGAGCCAGACGGTTGAATTCGTACATGTTCGTGAGTTCGCCGTCCGTGCTTGCGAACCATGTCTTCTCGAGGGACGACCATGATTCGCCCAATTCGCCGCCTGAGGGACTCGAACGATAGGCGTCCAAATACGACTTGATCTGGGCAGCGTTAATCTTAAGTGCCTGCGAGAGAAGGCCGGCTCGCTGGAATACTTCGGGAATCACGCTTCCGAGATTGTTGAAAGGTATAGGAAGTCCCAGAAGGAGCGACAACGTAGGGACGAGATCGATTTGCTGGACTCGCCTATGAGGCGTTGCTGCGCCGGGAAACACTGTGTGACCGAGTAGCTGAGAAGGAATTGTCGATGTACCCTCTAGGCCTAGTTCTTTGGTCTTGCTGTATAACCATAACGCCGCAGAGGTCTCCAAGTCCCCGTCTCCTCCATGATCCCCCGTTCTATCCATACCATGGTCACCCAGCACCACCAAAAGAGTGTCGTCATCCAAGAGTTGTACGACTTTCTCGAGGACGGTGTTCATTTGCACGAGTTTGGTCTTCATGCTCTGGTGATCGGGGCCAACACGATGTCCGACATGGTCGACACCGAGAAAATGTCCGATCAGAAAGTCGAATGGCTTGCTCTCGTCGAGGAGAAGGGGGAACAAGTGGGCGATCACACCCTCGTCGACTGTGTGAAGGTCTTCGACGTTGAACGAGTCGTACGGGAAGGACATGTTCGGATGAAAAGAGTTGGGGAACACAGAGAGCCATGTATCGTCTCCCATAAATGCAACCTACGTGTTATGACTTGAATTACACGGAAACGACATGGATTTGAACTCACCTTCTTCCCCGCGGCTTGCAACTGCTTTATGATCGAGTCCTCCGCAATAGATGAAGCACCGAAGTTATTTCCAATATCGACAAATGTTGGTAGCGAGCCTGTAGTCAATGCTTTGATGCGCTGAAGCGTCGCCGTCGGTGGATCGGAGTACGAGTCGAATAAGAATGAATTCCGAGGGTGCTCAGCGGTGAGCCGCCTGGGAAGGGTGAGTACATTATGATGAAACGTCGACGGAGGCTCTGGAGGGTTTGGGGAAACAAAGTCAAAGCGTAGCGCATCAATGATGAGGACGATGGCCCGAGAATGAGTCGGTTCCAGTCGGCATCCTGATGTGCAAGTGGTGGTATCGGAGAGGGATAGCCTGGAAAGCAGAAAGCCACCAGTGAAGAGATATATACCAGCTAACTGGATTAACACGACCCCAAAGAGTAGAAGACTACCCGCCGAAGATAGAGGCATAAAGTAAATGAGGAGTTGAAGGACTAGGTACGCGTGCCGTCACGGTACTACAGTCCAGGTCAGGTGGTTGATGGGTTAGGAGTATAGGGGTATATTTGCTAGCTCATATCCTCTGCTCCCTGGATGAAGTTACTCGTTACTCTCTCATATATTTACAAGGAGCCCAGAAAATAAGGCACTAAGTACAAGAAGGCTTAGTCTCATCAACTCGCATCAACTGTACGTACGCCTCGCACACTCCGTGACCTAGCCATCGATGTATCCCACAGCATCGACGACAAGGTTATGCGCGGTCTCAGAACGGGCTGAAACATTGCACGGAAAATTCTTGATGTGACTAGCGTGGCGGGGGAGTGTCAGAGGTGCAGTAAAATACTGTTGATACATACCTAATCAGCCCATGCTCAAACTCCAGTGGCGGCACAATTTCATTGCCGTGTTTGTCTTTCGCTTTCGTGATATGGACGGTTGAAAGCATAGTGGCCACGGCAATCCATACACTCCTAAGCGCCAGATATTTTCCCGGGCATATCCTGGGATAAACCGAGATTCATCGAGAGCCCTCAAGTTCGCTAAACAAGGGGTACACACCTTCGACCGAATCCAAATGCTGCGCTGAACACTGGCTCGCCATTCCCACCTACTGACTTGGGCAGGAACCGGTTTGGGTTGAAATCCGTAGGGTTTTTATACACATTTTCGTCGAGGGAGATCCCTCTGCACAGACAATAGGTCAAACTTCGATGGAGAGATGAGACCGAAAGAAAGAATACAAACCGAATGTTCGGAATAACAACAGAGCCCTTCGGAATAAACATCCCTCGGTAAATGTCGTCTTCAGTGGAGCGGTGCGCAACGCCTTGTGATCAATGTGAGGATGAATTTACTAGCCATATGTATGATCTTACCTGACGGAACTGAAGGGTGCCATCTTGCACGCATTCCTTAGCTGTTGAACCGGTAGCTCGAAGCAATTCGCCAACGCACCGTAAAATCTCTTGAACAATGCAGGAAACGTATGGCAACGAACTTTTATCCTCGAATGTAGGAAGCCTGTCCCTTCCAACGACCCGATCAACCTCTTCTTGGCCACGCTTTTGGCACTCTGGGTATAAAAGCATTGCCATAGCGAATAACGCCAGGCTAGCGGACGTCTACGATTATGATGATGTATTAGTTTTTCCAAGCCGAGTAGCCCATAGGCATCGGTAACTCAACGGTTTCTGTGCCTCCTGCGTGGACGGCACCAGCAACACCTTTGAGTACGCTGACGTCTTCGTCTGACAATACTTGTTCGCCTCGGCGTTGCAGCTCGGCGGCAAGAATGCAAGGCTTCGCTAATCCTCTGGCCTTCCCGGCGAACCATTTTCACTTGGACTAAATGTGGGATGAAGGCGTGAGACTCACCATTTCCTCGCGAACGACGTCGTACGGATAATTGTGCATTCGGTCTACAACAGGCTTCCATGTGCGCGCTGTTTCCGCATAATGCGTACCCGGGAACCATGCTGGGAAGTGCTTCACTGGATGTCATTATTTAGCTGCGAACCAAGAGGGTTTCGAACGGCGCGGCGGATTTAGCACTCACAAATAGGAAATAGGTCAATCATTGTGGCACCTGGCGTTCCGCCGACTAAAAAGCTGTTCGCACCCTCCGTCCCAATCTTAATGTACTCGTCATCATCAGAACGGATCTGATGACCGTACGCGATTCTCATTGATATAGATGTAGAATATCTAAGGGCGTGCGGTAACATCAGCGCTCAATGACGTATGCCTCAGAATAGTCCTTACCGGCCAATCAAATAAACATAGTCCCCTTTGTTTTTCATCAAGTCATTCACCAAGATGTGGGCATTCTCTATTTGAGTCTGCTGGAACTGAACACAGCCATTTTGTGAGAGGGTTTGTTGAAACACTCTTTTGAGTTTCCGAAACCGTGTCGACGCATATTTCGTGAATACAAGGTTTACACTCCAACCCATGCTATACATGATGGTCAGTTGAAGGCCCAAGATGGCATAACTGAGTCAAGTAAGTACGTACATGTCGTAGACGGGGGTGTCGGGCCTATCACTATAGATGCCGCGCCGTTTCTCCAGGAGATCCGTTGCTGCTTGTTGACTGCCTAGAATAATCATTGAGCGTCCTAGAATTGTCACTCGCATGACATCCCCTGCGCAAGTCATGAGTGCATCCAATACAAAAGAGGTGTGACAAGGTCAACTACCGTATTTCTTCGCCCATTCGTGATAGACTTTCCCGGGTTCATTCTCTTGAGGCAAGGATCGCAGATGGCCAATGATTGGGTCGCCAGGAGGACCAGGTGGTAGTGGAAGGCGTCGGGCAGAGTTACCAATGAAGTAGTAGAGTAGACATATAGCCACGCCAGTTGATACTGCTCCTAAACATCCTTCTGCGAGAGTCATGGTGAAAGGGGGGGATGGATGGTCTGTAAGGATGAATCCCCCATGCATAAATACCGGAGAGGGACGAGATCGATATTGCGGAACCATGGTGTGAACCTTCGATGGTCGCCTGCCTTCCAGTCATAATAGAGGGCACCCGTCACACGCATGCCACAGTTTAAATGAAGGGCCTTCAATAGATTGGATAGATGATAAGGGAGTTCAGCCAAAGAAGGGACAAAAGAGGCTATAGACACCGTCGATTTGGCGTTCTATGACTGCCGTATCTCGTTTGTGAATTTGTGAGTTTCCTGACGGAAGCAGGGGTACCATCAGCATCTGAATCGATAGAAGTCTAGTTTCGAGTCTACCTATACGTTTTATCCAATTCCCCGCGGGACCCCAGGCCACAGACCGTTGGGTTGAGGGACGCATCGGACTATGCGTCCCTCGCGTCTTTGTTTGGCATCCCAGTGAGGCACAGATGAATTCTGTACTGTAAAAGACGCATTGCGAAGGTCACGACAAGGAAGAGTCTTCGTTTGTAGAAGATGAGCGGTCTGTGGGCTTCCATATCTCGATCTAGTCACCGTGGTCCGGTTAGTATGATGTCCATGCCAGCATTCCTTCCATGATTCGATGGTGACGGGGATTTCGTACTCATCCAGGAGCTACTGGACTGTCGAGCCTGAGATCTGACATCTGAAATCAAGTATTGTTTATAATTAGTTGTTGGACGGGGACAAGTGACGAAGTGCGTACCATCCAACCGTTCCTCGAGCATAGCGGAGAACTCGATACTGACTGTTGTTACTCAGAAACAGTATTTATTTGTGCCTCTCATAGAATACCATTGACTGCTTCACTTCTTCTGGCCAAGGGTTACAGCTTGGCGTCATCGCGCCTTCAACCATGAAGTTATCAGAATTGCAAGAATCTTGCAGCTCGCCTTTGGCTCGACCTCTTGAGGAATCTGAGCCGATGGACACGCCGAAACTTACACTTGGACCGTCTTGCGGGGCACACCCTGCTAAAATGCGACAAATACATGGAAATGGGTTAGATCCCCCGCCAGGCATGGTATGGAGGAGTTCTGAGTTACGCGAATGGGACCGGACTTGAGGCAAGATCACGTGGTACAGTGAGTTAGGAGTAAGTGCTAGGGGCATGGTGATGTTCACCACCTCAAACGACACATCATGTAGTTTTCGTATTTCTCATAGCCAATGAGGTAGCAACATCGAGGTTTGTTGGAACGTTCGCCAGTTTATTCATTCACAGAGGGAAATAAACAAAGTTGTCAGCTTGTCTGGACAAGCTCATGTGAAACCTTCCACTCCTCCGTATGCTATTCCACACTCGATGACTTAAACATCAATGTTTTCAACAGCATTAGAAATAAGCTTTCGCGCGTTCTCGGAACGGACTGAAACATCGCACGGAAAATGTTTGATGTGACTAGTATGACAAGAGAATGTAAGAGAGTCGATTTATCGAAATGCTGCAGAAATACACGCACCTGACCACCCCACGGTCAAACTCCATTAAGGGTACGATTTCATTGCCTTGTTCGTCTTTCGCTTTTGTGATATGGAGGGTTGAGAGCATAATCGCTACTGCAATCCAGAGACTCGCGGGTGCCAAGTATTTCCCAGGGCACATCCTAAAACACAGCAAGACACAGTAATTACCGCCAGGTTAGCATATTCTAAGCGCTTCGTACGTACCTTCGACCGAATCCGAATACTGTGTTGAACACTGGCTCTCCATTCCCGCCTGCCGACGTGGGCAAGAATCGACTGGGATTGAACTCTGTAGGGTTTTTGTAGACGTTTTCGTCCAAAGAGATGCCTCTGAGAGATTAGTGTGGATGAGTGAGTTGAAACGGAAGAAGAAAATAGACAGACCTGATGTTCGCAATGAGAACGGAGCCTTTCGGAATAAACATTCCTCTATAGATGTCGTCTTCAGTCGAACGGTGGGCAACACCTTGTGAACGCTGTCAGAAAGGCTCCGTTATTCATATGTATGATTACCTAAAGGGAGCGACGGATGCCATCTTGCTTTATCTTAGTATTGTTGAACTGATAGATTTAGCACTCAAACGCACCGCAAAATCTCCTGCATAATGCAGGTCACGTAGGGCAGTGAATCTTTATCCGCGAACGTAGGAAGCCTATCCTTTCCCACAACCAGGTCAATCTCTTCTTGTCCACGCTTTTGGCATTCCGGGTGTAGAATCATGGCCATAGAGAATAATGCTAGACCAGCAGACGTCTATGTCAGACCTGGTGTCAGTACTTTCGACCCGAGTATTGATGTTGACCACTCAACAGTTTCTGTGCCTCCAGAATGGATCGCGCCACCAAAGCCTTTGAGCACGCTGACGTCTTCGTCTGATAACTCTTGTTCGCCCCAGCGTTGTAACTCGCTCGCCAGAAGGCTGGGCCTTGCTGTTCCTTGGGCCTGCGCAACGAGTCTATAAAGCTAATGTAATATGTGCAGGGCTAAAGCCTACCATCCGGTTGCGCACAGTGTTGTATGGATGTCCATGCATCCGATCTACAACAGGCTTCCACTTGCGTGCTGCTTCGGCGTAATGTGTGCCTGGGAACCAAGAAGGAAAGTACCTCACTAAGTACAGATATTCAGAACTGAGACGCCATTAGCAAGTTCAATGCTCACGGATAGGAAGTAGATCAATCATTGTGGTGCCTGGCGTTCCGCCGACCAAGAAACTATTTGCACCCTCCGTGCTAATTCTAATGAACTCGTCGTCATCAGAACAGATCTGATGACCGTACGCAATTCTCATTGATATAGCTGTGGCGTATCTAAGCCCACACAATTCAATGCACAGTAACACAATATCTGAGGATCAAGACTTACCTGCCGACTAGATAAAAGTAGTCCCCCTTATTGTCCAACAAGTCGTTCACTAAGATATGCGCATTCTCTGTTTGAATCTGCTGGAACTGAACGCAAGCCCTTTGCGAGAGATTCTGTTGAAGCATCTTTTTCAGTTTTCGAAATCGAGGGGATGAGTATCTTGTGAACGCAAGGTTCACACCCCAACCCATGCTTTAAACGCAAAAATTTCAGTAGTCTTAAGGCAGATGACAGACAATCTTCTCATGGTGTCAAGGACGTACATTTCGTAGACGGGGGCTTCAGTTCTGTCGCTATATATGCCACTCCTTTTTTCAAGGAGATCAGTTGCTGCTTGCTGACTGCCAAGAATGATTATTCGGCGTCCTAGAGTGGTTACTCGTATCACATCTCCTACGCAAGTCATGAATGCAACATAGAGGAAAGCGGTGAGGTCATTCACCATATTTCTTCGCCCATTCATGATAGACAAGTTCAGCTTGATCATCTTGAGGCAATGATGGTAGATGTCCTATGATCGGTACGCAGGGAGGGCCAGGTGGTAGCGGAAGGCATTGCTTCCTGAGGAAGTAGTAAGCGAGACCTACGGCCATAGCGGTTACTGCGACTACAAGGTATGTTTCTGGGAGAATCATAGTGAAGGGAGGACCCAAAATGGTTCTGTGAGAATGAGTTGCTCAAGGATAAATACGACGGGGGTGCTAGATCGGTATAATGGGACTGCGGTGTGAACCTTCCCTCTTTTCGTCATAGTGAGGGAAACCCCGTTGTGATTCTGTGGTCTTTCAATAGATGATAAGGGAACCCGCACCGGAAAAGTGGCCGCGGGCACCGTCAATTTGGTAGTCTCAATGACTAACATAGTATCTCCTTGTTGTTTGGTTTGTGGGTTTGCAAACGGAAGCTCAAATATCTATATTAATACAAGTCAGTGTCAATTCTACCTGTACTTTCAGCCGACGCTCCGTACACATTCTAAAGGCAAGTGAAGACTGCATCCCCCTCAGCTTTTGATGAATATCGACAACTCTGCATATACCAACACATAGGAAGTCGAATAGGATGTTCGTCAGGACGGAAGGACTTCGGCAGTGGTAGAAGAGGTCTGATCTGCAGGCTTTGGTCAGTCTGCCTGCCAGTCTGATGTTAGCCAGCATCCATTTAGGTGTCACAAACGTTCTCACCGACTAATACTGCATTGTCCGCAAGACTGAGTAAACTGGTCCAGATTCCCCTTCCGTGATTCGATAGTGACGGTTTTTTGTATTCCTCCTGAAATAAAGAAATGTTGGGCTACTGAGTGAGGCGTGAACCGTCCAATTCGAGTAGTCCTTGAGCGTATGGAGGAACCCAGTGCAGATTTCGCCGTTACCCAGAAGGATAGTGTTTGTCCGTTCGGCGTCATCACACCTGCGACTACCAAGGAGTAAGAAACGCAAGAACCTTGCAACTGACCTTTGGTTCGACCTCTTGAGGAATCTTAGCAGGGCTCGCCGACACATATGCTTGGACCACCTTGCAGACTACACGGTCTTCCAGTGTATGGTAAGTATGCTCTTCGGAGAAGGAGTTACACGGAGTCACTTCCACTGGGCTTAAGCACGTGGTCTCGTTAGTTAGACTAGGGGTGTGTACGTGCTGGCCAGCTCGAATTACAGTTGGCCTAGTTTTGACGTTGTAACGTGCAGTTTCTGTATCTTTCACGCTCCGGCAGGTAATAACGTGAAAATTTGCTTTGAACTTTCACTGATTTATTCGTACATACATTTAGTACAAGCAAGGAGGTAAACAAAATTATCAGCCCGTCCCGAAACCTTCGAAATTGGCATCCGTACGCCATGACACACTCAATAGTTTAACTGTCAATGTTTTCAACAGCGTCGAAAACAAGCTTTCGCGTGGTCTCAGAACGGACTGAAATATTGCACGGACAATGGATGATGTAACTAGTATGACGAGAGACGATTGATCAAAATGCAGAGATACACGTACCTGACCAGCCCACGGTCAAACTCCAGAAGCGGCATGATTTCACTGCCTTGTTCGTCTTTCACTTTTGCGATATGGAGAGTTGAGAGCATAGTGGCTACGGCCATCCATATACTCCCGGGTGCCAGGTATTTTCCTGGGCATATCCTGGAGTAAGGAGGTGCAGTGAATACCATGGTGGTCACATGCGCTACGCGTGAAGTTCGTACCTTCGACCGAACCCAAATGTTGCGTTGAATACTGGTTCTTTGTCTCCACCTGCTGACTTGGGCAAGAACCGGCTTGGATTGAACTCTGCAGGGTTTTATAGACATTTTCGTCCAGGGAGATGCCTCTGCACGGGGAATATGTCAACCTCCAATGAACAGAAGAGTGGAGAACACATAGGCCTAAGGTTCGCAATAACAACGGAACCCTTCGGGATAAACATATTCGGTAAATGTCGTCTTCAGTAGAGCGGTGCGCAACGCCTTGTGATCAATGTGAAGATGAATTTACTAGCCATATGTATGATCTTACCCGACGGAACTGAAGGGTGCCATCTTGCACGCATTCCTTAGCTGTTGAACCGGTAGCTCGAAGCAATTCGCCAACGCACCTCAAAATCTCTTGAACAATGCAAGAGACGTATGGCAACGACTTTTTATCCTCGAATGTGGGAAGCCTGTCCTTTCCAACGACCCGATCAACCTCTTCTTGGCCACGCTTTTGACACTCTGGGTATAAAAGCATTGCCATAGCGAATAACGCCAGGCTAGCGGACGTCTACGATTATGATCATTGACGATGTATTAGATTTTCCAAGCTGAGTAGCCCGTGACTTAACAGTTTCTGTGGCTCCAGCATGAACGGCACCAAGCGACACCTTTCAGCACGACCACCCCTGTTCGCCTCGACGTTACAGATCGGTAGCAAGAAGGCAGGGCTGTGCCATTCCTTGCGCCTTCGCGGCGATTCAATTACGGTAGCCTGAAGGTAATGTGAAGGGACGAGACTCACCATCTGCTGGCGAACGGACTCGTACAAATATTCGTGCATGCGATCGACGACGGGCTTCCATGTGCGTGCTGTTTCTGCATAATGCGTGTCCGGGAACCACGTTGGGAAGTGCTTCACTGGATGCCGGTATTTGCAGCGAAACAAGGGGCCATCGAATGGCACGGTAGATTCAGCACTTACAAATAGGAAATAAATCAATCATTGTGGCGCCTGGGGTTCCACTGACCAAAAAGCTGTTCGCACCCTCCGTGCCGATCTTGATGTACACATCGTCGTCAGAACGGATCTGATGACCGTACGCAATTCTCATTGATATAGAAGTGGCATATCTAAGCCCATACATTGACATCAGTGCTCAATGTCACACGACACATACAAGAGTCAAACCTCGCCGGCCAACATAATCCCCTTTGTTTTCTATCAAGTCGTTCACTAACATGTGCGCATTCTCTGTCTGAATATGCTGGAACTGAACACATCCCTTTTGGGAGAAATTTTGTTGAAACACTTTGAGTTTCCGAAACCGCGTCTTGTCATTTGTGGGTTTGTGAGTTTCCTAACGGAAACGGAATACACCATGAGCATCAATGATGATAGAAGTCTAGTTTCAGTTCAATCAGTAGCTTTGGACCGATTCCCCGTGGAACTCCAATTCACAGACCATTACGTTGGGACGTAGCCTGGTGAAGGACCAAGGCTATGCGCACCTCTCAGCGTTGTTAGGCATTAAGCGCAGATGAATCGCATTCTATGTTGTACAAAGACACATTGCAAAAGCCATCACAACAAAAGGTCTTCTTCGGGTGTAGTGGACGAGCGATCTGAAGGCTTTGCCAGCTTGATCTGGTCGTCGTCATCCTGTCAGTATGATATGTCAGCATCCCTTTAGCGCCACAAAGGTGCTCACCATCTGGTACTGTACGCCACAGAACTGGATAAACTGATTCAGATTTCCCGCACGCGATTCGGTAATGACAGGGATGTCGTATTCATCTAAGAGCTGTCGAACTGTTGCACCTGAAATGAACCAATGTTTAGTAACCTCTGGTGATCACACGAGTGAAAGCGTATACGTACCATCCAAAGCAAAGAGTTCTTTAAGCGTAGCGGGAAACTTCGAGCTGACTTCGCCGTTGCTCATGAAGATGGTGTTTATCTTCTCGTCGCCGCCCTCTCGTAGGAACTCGTTGGCTGCTTGACTCTGTCTGGTCAACCGTATGACCGGGCTTCATCATGCCTGCGACCACAAAGTAATATGATACGCACGAATTATGTAGCTCGCGCTGTACTATATCAAGCTCGGCCTTCGTACGCGCTACTTCATCCTGTACCTCTTGTGGGATCTCAGCTGCCAGACAGGCAGCGACTTGTTCCTGGACTATCTTGTCGATCATGTCCTGATGCATTGCCACAACTATCCACTGTGAGTTCTAAGTATCAACATAAGTGAAGGAGTATACTCTGATCTCGAAGGGCTTGTCGGAGTTTCGTGTCCTTGAGTTTATCAAAAAGTACTTCGAGGACATCAGTTTCATTTCGAGTGCCCTTAGGAAGCTTGCCATACGTTCAATTTCTTCGATACCATCCTTCATGCTTGCCTCAACGCCTTCTAATTGGCGTCGAATCCTTCAACCATGCCAGCTGATTATAACTGCTATAAAAGATACTTTCGAGAATGAGCGTACATCTGAAGGTCCTTCTCGACCTCTTGCCCATCAAGCAATCGATGGTTCGACGTCAGATCGTGCATATCCGTAAGAGAACTCTTGGTGGGAGAGCGTCGTTAGCAGGTATCTAGACGAATAATTTATGACACTAACTTCTAGTGTTTTGAATTCGCCTTTCATTCTGGCGAAGATGTCCAACGTAGCGCTGAATGTGGCTGATGTATTGATAGGAGCGACGGCGGCGGTAGTCCCGACCGTTGACTTAGAAGTGGCTTGTTCAGAAGTGGTAGCTGTTGTCGTCTCTGGAGTGTTTTGGGGGGGTTGGGAGGTTTGGGAGGCCTGGGTAGCCTGGGTCGCGGGTTGAGCAGACTTTCGATTCTTCGGCGGCATTGTTATATATACGATGTGCTGATGGGTGGAGAAGAGGTTCAGTTAGAAAGTACCAACAAGTCAACTCGATGTCATCGTTTCTGTGGGTCGAGGCAACATGCGGCATCAACGTGGGCGAACTGTGAGACTTCGAGTTCTCAGACCTTTGATTAGATCGTTTATCCAAATTGAGTAGAGGGTATGTACTATATCGTCTATAGGAGAGTTATGGTATTAGGCGACAACTTATGTAGTCAGAAGCGAACTGTGAATCCGCAGTCAGTTGCTGCAGCCAGAAGAGATGCACATCCCACGACCGTACATCAATTCTATCAGGATAGTGAGGGAAGTCATGGTTGTACTGGTTCCTCAGTCAATGGGAGCTCTGTGCGTTCCGTGTTGGTGGCGTTGAGCTGTGCCGCCATGAGTGCTCGGAAACGAGAGTTTTCTCGCTTCATCTGCAACAACCATGTTAGGACCGCGAATGACTGAGAGGAGCAGAACATACCAGCTGCCTGTAAGTTCCTGATTCCGTGATTCGGCCATCTGTGAAAAGCAAGATCAGAAACATTGCGTGCTCCACCTCAAGACTTACCTTCAAGCACAACGATTCTCTCTGCTCGTGCGATGGTAGAGAGACGATGAGCCACAAACAAGCACGTTGTTTCCTTGGCTCTCAGGATTTTATCGATTGCATCATTGACCTGCATAGCACGTTTGCAACGCAAATATAGGACTGAGAATGACTGACGTACCCGTAGTTCAGACGTGGCATCCAACGAACTGGTGGCCTCATCTAGAGCCAAGATAGCTGGTTTCTTCAATAGAGCCCGAGCTATAGCCAACCTCTGACGCTGGCCACCACTCAAACTCATTCGGCCGACTAGGGCATATCAGAGTTGAATATCAGCGGAAAACATTGCAGCTCACTCTCTGTATCAAACCCGTGTGGCATCCCCCAAACGAATTCACAGTTCGCTTCGCGCGCTGCTTGTTCTATTTGTTCCCTGGTAGCGGTTGGGTGGCCGTACGCGATATTGGAAGCGATAGTGCCTGTGAATAACACCGGGTCTTGGGGTACAACTCCAATGATCTCCCTCCAAGACTCGGGCGTAAACTCCCTGATGTCTATTGCAAACCAATGAGATGAGGCCCATAAAACAATATATAAGGCTAACCTTGGCCATCGAAAGTGACCTTGCCTTTTACCGGATCATAATATCGTAAGAGAAGAGCGTGGATGGAGGATTTACCCCCGCCACTCTTACCACTGTCAACAGGGCCATTGTCAGGATGTTCACATCCAACTTGTGGAATAGACTTACACGATGGCTACACTTTCGCCTACGCCAACTTCCAAGTTAAACTCTTTCAGAATATCGACGCCCTTACGGCTGGGGTATTCGAACTGGACATTCTCGAATTTGATAACTCCGCGTCGATCGCGCGGAAGTTCAGTCCCTTGATGAGGTGGAATGTGAGGTTGTCGGTCGAGGAGCTCGAAAATCCGTGTCCCTGCGCCAATGCCGCGCATGATCGAAGACTAGAGGATCGAAATATGTCAACGGTCGCGTTACACACTGCGATATACGCACGAAGAATGACCTAGACGGGTTCATCATCAAAGTGTACAAGAAGACGCGAAGATTACACTTACGTTAACATCTGCAATCCATTGCCGACGTATACAGTGTAAAGTAAGAGACTAGTGAGGTCTCCCACTGAAATGTCACCACGCGACACCAGCGTACCACCTTTAAGTTTGCCTTATCAAAACCGTTACTTTGCGAGGGTGAGTGTGTTCCTCACCGTATCCCAACAAAGCCAAAATGGTCACGTTGCCACTCCAACCCGTGCTCCCAAAGAATATCCCAGTAGCAATAGCTTCCTTCCGGGCCAAGTCAAGGACATGGTTCACACGTTGATGGAACTTTTCTTGCTCCTGGGGAACGGCGTTGAACGCTTGCACTGTTCGAAGCGCAGAGAGAGATTCAGAGGCTACCTGCAACCGAAGTCAGGGTACGAATCAACGTAGATTGCTAACAAACGAACTTTCGTCATGTCCCCCATGGCCTCTTGCGTTCTATTTGAAAGTTTCTTGATATATCGACCGTAGAAGACCTAGCAGCACCATATTATAGTTAGTGTGATGAAAGAAGACCATTTGCTTACAGCGCCGAGGGACACCGGAGGAACGACCACTAGCATAAGCGTCGTTAGAGTTGGCGACAAGTAGAACATTGCCCCCACTGATAAATCACAGCATTAGACGAGGTGTCGAGGGTATAGAAAGGGGAAGAGTTACAGCCAACAGAAGCCATGAGAACCGCGCGCAAGCCATCGGATAGGTTCTGCGTCACACTAGCAAATTGTTAACGGGGCTCCTTAGTCTTAAGTCTTGAAGGGAGCGTACCTCTCTCCAACGATAGTTGTGTCCACACTCAACCTACTCAATACATCTCCTTCCCCTCGTTCGACGAATTCCACCTCCTGCTTCAAGGCCGCAGTGTACGTCTGTTCTCGGAGTCTGGCAACAATACGTTGGCCTTGCAGATATATTACACTTTCGTACGGACTAGTTGATCCAGTTGATCTACACTCACCTGCCATTTTCATTATCATTGCACGACCTGCGTTTGCAACGGCGCCTGTTGTGAACAGGACGAGGAGTAGAGCGGCAGCGGAGCCAGCAGACAATCCGAGGGGTAGTTGCTATAATACTCGGTCAAATTAATCAGCGCAGCATAGAGTGTTGCACGTACTGGATTCGTTGTGGAGAAGAAATCGATCAACTTCCCGATCGTGAATGGCACACTGAGTGAAACGGAAGCAGACACAAGCAGCAGACCAACTGCTGTGGTCAGCGGTTTCCGCTCCGCCTTTGCGAGAGACACGAGCTTCCTGAATGACGAAGAACTTTCAGGGGATTTAGAGAAAGCTGAGGGAAGCTTAGGTAGAAAGCGGGCGATGGAAGTCTTCGGAGGTGGCTTCGGAGGGGGGTCGCTTGGTAGTGAGGAGTACGAGCGGATGGGCATTATTCTGCCCTTTCGAAAGTCGCCCTCCGGGCACCATAGTCGCTTGGGAATGCTGGCCCCGAACGCGTGTTGGCGGCACATCCGAGCTTGTGACCACCATGGCCGTAAGATGGAGCCTACGCAACGTTGGTTGGCCAACATCGCGTCGCCAAAGCAAAGAATGAGCTCTGTGGACCTTGGAAAGGGCTGACGTGTCCCCGACGTTCGATGAGAGCAAATCCCAGAGTCGTCGGGCAAGTCGTGGTGGAAATCGTCAACAGGCGGCGGTCACGTGAGCTCATGACTGTGTCACCTTCTTGAATCTTCCGAGTCAACGCCGCAACGTCGCAACTTGAAGTTGCATTGACTCATTCCTCAAAAGCATTCGCCCCCGCCCGTAAGTAATTGTCAGGTATGTCACGTCGTGCTTCAAAGGACGCCCGGTTTGCTTTGACAGCACCCGGCGTCGGAGATTTCTTGGCACGAACGAGCGCTAAAGTCGTGATGATTTACCTCCCAGAACAATCTCGGTCCTACAAAGACTAGACAATAGTTCAAAACTGCTCTGCGACAATCCTCAGTTAACCTTAGTATGGTACACTCACTGATAATGTGTGTATCACTTTCACCATTCCATTGTCCAGAAATGCAACCGATCATCCGAAGCACCCGCCTGATCGAACGGTGCCACTGGGATACAACACCGATGTTGAAATCCATGTTAACCGTACGTAAACTTGATAAATATATAATGAAGGTGCGGAATACTCGCATTGGTACGAGCGAACTCCCCTTTATGGCCGCATCGTGGTACCCATCAACTCGCCAATTCAAGAGGAGGCCCGTCGCATTCCGCCTTCTTGTGCCTCTTCTGCATGGGGAGTCTCTTATCCGGAAACGCATAAGGCAAGCCCATGCTTCTTCGTCAGAATCGGTGCCGTTGATAGGATCCTGCTATACTCTCAAATGGAAGAAACTCCGTCGTTTATCGCGGCTCCCATTATACAAAGCTTCCGTTGTCCCTAGCGGCTGCCAAGAATAAGTTCTATATCTCGCAACGAGAGGCGCGCACTGATAGCGAACCTGACATCCTATTCTGGGCATACGCCTGCTGTACATCGATCTTGCCGAAGGCATCGAGTGCAAACAGAAACAAGCTTGGCACTCTGTGGATATGTCTGTCAAACGGACGCGGCAAACAACCGTGAGCAGCGGACGACACCGGACACACCCTCTATCTTCTGTGTCTACGGTACAATGTTCGAGGTGAGTCGATCTTGGGAGTATAAATACTGTACTGACATTCGGTGGATAGAGCATCTCATCCCTTCTTCACTTTCTCTTCCTTAGATCTCCTCCTCCATTCACTCGACGCCAGTTCATTCTAGAGAACTTTCCAACCCCTCAATTTTACTATTACAATGCCTGCTCCTGACTTCTTCACCAAGACCGCCGGCGAGGCCCCTGCCGCGCCTACCCAGTCCGCACCCTCTGTCACACCCTCTGGCGCCTACTACAACGCTCGCTTGGATCCCAAGAACTATCTTGAGGGACCCCTCTCTGAGAACCCTGCGACGCGCCTCCGCCAGATGCTCGCCCGACCAGGTATAGTGGTAAGCCCCAGAAGCTTCGAGTTAACGGCCGCCCACTTACGAACCACATCCAGGTTGCACCCGGCATCTGCGATGGTATCTCCGCCAGATGTGCACTTGAAGCTGGCTTCACCTGTTTGTACCAATCTGGTGCCGCCACCACTGCCTCCCGCATGGGTCAACCTGATCTCGCCATCGCAACATTGAACGACTTCGTCGGGGTAAGCATCGCGTCCCAGTAACTTTGTTGTACGGCTTATCCGCCCCTCATTAGTCCGCCCAAATGGTCTGCAGCCTTGATCCCACTTGTCCAGTCATCGCTGACGCCGACACCGGGTTCGGTGGCCCTGCAATGGTCGCACGAACTGTGACTCAATATGCCAAGTCCGGCGTTGCTGGCCTTCACATCGAAGATCAAGTCCAGACCAAGCGATGCGGACATCTGCTCGGAAAGCAGGTCGTTTCACGCGAGGAGTTCTTGACTCGCATCCGTGCGGCAGTCATCGCTCGTGATGCTATCCCAGGGGGATCTGACTTTGTAAGTAATATGCGAAGACCTCTTCGAGTATTCTTTTGAACCTAACCTTCAATAGGTTATCATTGGTCGCACCGACTCTGCCCAGGTACTGGGGATGGAGGAAGCCGTTGAACGGTTGAAGCTCGCTGCCGCAGCTGGCGCTGACGTCTGCTTCATCGAGGGCGTCAAGTCAAAGGACCTCCTTGAGTCAACGGTCAAGGCCCTCGCGCCCACACCAGTCCTCGTCAATGTCATTTCTGGCGGTCTCACTCCACCATTCACATACGGAGAAGCTGAACAGATGGGCGCCAAGATCATCAGTGAGTCACAATCCCGTCTCTAAGCGAAAGCGAAGGATCCTAATCACTTACCACCTTCCTTAGTCTTCTCGCTTGTCTCTTGCGTGGCTATGGTGCATGCTTGCCGCGCCGCCATGCAATCGCTCAAGAAGACAGGTACTGATTTCATCTCAGCGCAAGGTATGGACCCGAAGGCATTCTTCAAGGTGATGGGATTGGACCCGGTCATCGAGCTTGACGCCAAGGCCGGCGGTACTGCTTTCCAACAGGTTTAATATGGTGCACATAGACGTCGGATGTCGGGTGATGAGAGGGAGTGATGGAGATCACTGTTTATTATGCGAATGCCTAGATTTCATACCCAACAGGTGTACACATAGCTTGCCCTGTAACATCTATAATCATATTAGCACTGTAGATCATGTACTTTTCAACGGGTGAGAGTTTCAAGTGAATACTTTCACGGCCTGATGAATTCAGAGAACGCGCTCCGTGTCGGCTTCGAGTTGGACCTTTGCGCCATTCGATCCACGATATTGACTAGTCCGCGTTCAATCCACCGCATCACCGTACTCTCCTTGTGCCAAACCCCAGTTGTCCAAATTGCCAACGGACCCGTTTCCTCCCTCCCGTTTCTGCGCTTCATACGGTTGGCCATGACCACGTCCGTCAGTATACGGTCACCAACAACAATGAGCTCATGGTCTGAAATCGGCTTTTCGAGAGAGGAAAAGTAGTTCCGTATGGAGTTTATGCAAGAGTAAGCCGGTTTGAAGGAGGTATGCTTGAGTACCGGCACTCCAAGGTGGTGTGATACGGATTCAGCCTATACATGTTCTTTGGAAAGAGCGTAACTGATAGCCGCATGATCTCTTACCTGGATTTCGCCAGCATCGAGATATGTACCAGCCGAGTTACTGACAATCAAGACGTTGCCATTGCCAAAAGTTCTTCTGCACTCTTGCCACGCGTCCTACCAGACCGTGAGGAGAATGAAACGCGTTTCTCTGATTCGATTTACCTTCAGCTCAGGGACCAGTGTGTCGCGATGTGGTATCGTCTGCCAGTCGATTAGGCCTGGCTTACGGAAAGTCTGAAGATGCACGAACCAGACAATTGTCCTTGTCGAAGACAGCTCCCCTGTATCCGGCTTTCCGTAACTGAGCGAAGTCAATCGAGCGAATGTCTTCCTGAATGAAAACGGTGAGTACAGGCTCTCGCGTTTCACTGGTGGCCTGATAGACCTGGTACAATGACGGCTGGTAGGACCAGACGTGGTTTGAAGAGTAATTGGGCTGGCGCCAGTAGGCCGGGGATGTTCAACGGCATGGTCGTCGAGCGGGAGGTGGGCAACTGACCACGTGAGCACCGGGGCACTTCTGACATCGCCAGCCGAGCCCCTGTGCATTTGTTCAGTGTTCACCTTCATCCACAAACCCGATGGCAGAATTTGTTGAAGCTTGGCTCGCCGGACCAAACGCGACGCAGTTCTACACAAGAACGTATCCCGCAGAATCGCCTAAAGCGGTCGTGGTGTTCCTCCACGGTTTCGCGGAGCACATTGGCCGATATACACATATACACCCTCGGCTCGCACAGAATGGTGTAGCCGTCTTTGCGTTTGACTTGCGCGGCTTTGGGAAGACAGCACAGGATACAGAGAAGAAGAGCTCTCATAGCTCGTATGGAAAGACCAGCTGGCCGGAGAACTTTGCAGATATCGAATGGGCTATCAAGCACGTCCGGAAAGAATACCCCGGAATACCTGTATTCCTCATGGGTCATTCTATGGTACGGGCCCGCCAATTTGTAGCACGCTTATACTTATCAAGTGCTACAGGGAGCCGCCCTTGCTTTGGGATTTGTTACACGCAACTCTGCCCCGCCTGACCCGGAAGTAATCAAGTCGTTGTCTGGTGTTATAAGCCAGAGCCCTCTCGTCCATCAGACGTATCCCGCGTCCAAGGCACTACGCTGGGTTGGCGGCAAAGCCAGCATGCTCGCGCCGTCGACACTCATTCCGGCTCCGGTCAAAGCAGAGGTACATCATTCATCACCGCCTTTATTGGTAGCTAATTAACATCTATCACGAAAGCACTTAAGCCACGACGACGAATTCAATGCCTCCTACCTCAAGGATCCTCTCATCAAACCCTCCGGCTCTCTGAAGGGTATTCATGATATGTTGACTGGCGTAAGTTCCGTCAATCCATGTGATCCGCAAGCTTGCAACTTGCCTAAATTAGGGCGAACAACTCCTTGAAGTCCACTATAAGCATTGGCCAGAGAGTCTTCCCGTTAGTCTTGTCCTATTTCCCCATTTTGTTGTATATTGAATCATTACTCGAAGGTATATATAGTTCATGGATCAGAGGATAAGGTAGGTCGACTACGTGCCCCGCCCGACTATCTTAACCCGACCTCCTGCAGGTAACATGTCCCAAGGCATCCAAAGCCTTCCACGACAAAATCTCCGCACACAAGAAACAATACGAGTTAATCGAAGTAAGCCTTCCATTTCTGCGTCTTGCTCTAAGGCTGAACCCATCTTCAGGGGGGATTTCACGAACTACAGAACGAACCCGATGGTGTCAAAGAAAAGGTGTATGATGGGATATTCGCCTTTATTGAAGCACACCTTGGAGTAACGCCGAAATTATAAGTATCATCGTTTGAACAGTGAAATCTGGATCTCTGGGGCATGGGTGGATTGACTTGTTGCTATGATGATAATGAAATTGCACTCGCAAATGTCAAGAAGCTCTACACCCAACATATGCTTGAAAAGACGGATATGCTACTTACCCAATTCACAAATCAGGTCCAAAGTAACTCTGAAAGAAACGAAACGAAGATCTGGATCCATTACCTACGTACTCTGCCGCATACGTCAGGGATAAAAGTATCGAATAAGCAAGCTAGTAACCAGCAGCACCGGGCGCGGTATCACCATCTCTCTTCAACCGAAGCAACACTTCCTTGAACCTGGTCAGGTCTGTCGTGCCTGCGCCAGTTCGCGCAATAGCCTTGCTCTGAGAGTTCTGAAGTTCGACGTAGTCGCAAATGCGTTCCCAAGTCGTGCCATGGGAGAGGTTGTCCGTGATTTTAGCTACGTATTCAGCTTCCTCTTCTCTGCGCAAGGGAAAGAAAGGTCAGACATCCAAGCATGGGTCTAAAAAGCTTGGTACGAACTTGTTCTGCCTGATAGCATCCTCTTTCTTGGCTGCGTACGACTCATAAAACTCGTCGATGGCACGTTCGGCTTTGTAGATGGTTTCTTGGCGTTTCTCCTTCGAAGCCTTGTCGCGAGCCTCGATTTCCCTCGCCTGCTTCTCTCGCCAGTCCCTACCGCAAGTTAACAATCGCAGCAGCGACGCTGGAACTTTGGATAATTCACCTTATAACTTGCGGCTCGTCTTCAGGCAGAGGTTGGCTCAGGATGGGAGTGTTCGTGAATGTTGAGGGTTGAGGGCGCGGGGCGAATGGTGTGCTAGTGCCGAAACTGGCTTGGGGTTGCATCTGGGGTGGTGACTGAATGGTCTGCAACGGGCAGACGTGTCAGCTGGGCCTTGAAGATTACGCGACTACATGAGCAGCACTTGGGAAGGAAAACGGGATATACGAGTCGGGTTGACCAGCATATGAGCATGGCCAGTGAAAGCTCATCGACATCCCCAATGATGCGGCGTTGACTGCGTAGAACGACAAGGCTCACCGTTGGGACATTAATCTCCGGGAATTCGCTTTCGAACTTCTCGATTTCGTCGTCCCCCGTAATACGCACATCGTTTTGCGGAGGCGGGGTGTCGAAAGTGTCGAATGAGAATCCTGAGCTGGGGTTGCGGGCTGGAGCTGGTGGTTGGCTAGAAAGACTGGGAATGTCTCCCGAGCCGTCGAGCGAAATGTCGGGGAAGGCCGACGCGGCGCGGTCAAAGTCTATCTCGTCGTTGGACGAAGTGAAATCGCCTCCCAGTAAGTCGCTCATTTTTGGTACGTGGAAACTAAGTGGAAAGTTGCAAGTACTCTCATCAAGCGCCGGATACCCTACTTGAGCGTCGGGCGCTTGCAAGTACTACATTGAAGATATTTTGGTAGAGGTCAGTGAGCAAATGGCACGGCCAAAGCTCGGACGCGACACTGGATAACCCGAACGCGACTGGGACCGTGGACGCGCCCGACGCTGTCTACGGCTCACGAAAAGAATATATATATATACCCTACCGTAATCGTGCCACTGCCACCTGCGACTCCAGGCGAGAATGCCTCTGCTCCTCATATTATGGTAGTCAATCCAACTCGAACGAGGTTAATCCTTACTGGACAGTCAACGTTTGCTACTTTACATATACCCACTCGGGAGCTTTGTCCGATGATACATTGGTTACCTTACACTCCTTTAACCCTATTCTCTGATATATTTGCCCGCCGCATCTACGAAGCACAATTGCCATATATGCACCCCCCCTTTTCGCTATTAGTGCGAAAACATGTGTCTGAGATGCATTCAGTGGATGTAGGGCAACCATGATTCGCATGACACCGTTCGAATCGAAGGAAATAGTGGGGTCGAAATTTTCCATGGCTGAATATCTGTGGTCCATGTCCTTTGAGTTATACCATACTGAATCTTCGTCCCAGGCCGTGAAGCTACCAGCAAGCATCGAATTGAAGGGCGAGGAAGCGCCGCTAGTGCCACGCCACAAAAGCAAGCGACGATCATTGGTTTGGGTGAGAATCGCGGCCTGAAGACGGTAGAATGCCCTATCGAATCCTTCGCCGTATTCCACAGGCTATAGTGACGTCGAGAGCGGAGAGAATGGAATACACCATATCTTCTTCCTTTGTAGTCTTGCGCTTTTGCATTGCGCGCATGAGCGAAATGGCGTGGTCAATCCCCGGTTCGTATGCCTCCCATTCCACATATCCTATTTGTTATCGTAAATCAACAGTGATTCTATGTATACATCGATCTGATTACCTGTGGTCGAGCAAAGGTCGTGGTACAGCAAGGAAACCAGTTTGCTTCCTCGACAAGCATGGAACTTGTGTTTGTCTTCAAGGGGCTCCGCAGGATGCCAGTCGTTTGTGAAACACACTATTCTGTTGGGCGCGAGAAACTCTTGAAGGGTCCAGCCTCTTGAAGACCACGGATCGCGCGATGCGAAAGGGGAGTCGGAAGTCGCTGCACCTGAGATAGTCGAAAAGTAAATCACGCAGACGTATGCGCGGCGATACCATGCGAACATGAGGGGGATCGATTCATTCCGATTGGCTTCGTCAATGCACGCGCTATCCACCCAAATATAACGAGAGCCATAGAGAGACTTGACGATGTTTGAAAACTCGATCAACTTCTGGAATCCCTTCTTTGCCTGCACACCCGGATCAGAGATGTTAGACACATCAACAAATAATAGCTCCTCTTCGTCTTGATACCAGCGATGCGACAGGATGGCATACTGGCCGAACAGCGTAATCTGCTCACGTACCCAATGGCTGGGTATCGACGTTTGCGTGGCCTTCGTGCGGATCGACTCGCGGACCGCCAGAAGGACAGAATGTATGGGTATAAGTATTCGCAACCGGCGGGAGTAGTCGTGGAGGGTTCCTGAGTTATAGGCTTGCAGCTCGTCTTTGAGGGCGGAGATGAAGCAGTCTACACCATTTATCAATGGACTCTTCGTCATTGCTGAAAAGACAAATGGGCGAATATCCTCCTCCCATTGAACTGGCCGCGGCGAGGTCTCAGTAAGACGCACGGCATCTGATATAATGTTGATAACCTCGCCGTAGGCCAGGGGGATCTCGATCCAGGCCTGGAGGTTGGTAGTAATATCGTCCTTGAGCTCCGTACGAGAAATGTTGCGCTTTCTTTCCGTGTCGAAAAGGTGAAAGGGACATTTCTCGACATAATCTGAAACATATACACAGTACCTACCAGTGGTGAGCCTGTTAGAATGGTAAGAGCGGGTGAGTGACCTTACTGATTGACCACCGAGACCAAGTAGCATTATTGGTGTCCGGTTGATAACTAGGCAAAGGCAGTCGAGCTCACCTCATTCTGAGAGATATATGTCAATAGGTTTAGAGGGATTTAATTGAAGATCGCGTACCCGAACCTTGTCCCAATCGATACCCTGATGATGTGCTACTAGTACTACGCTTTGAGTTGCGTCCGTCATAATCTAGCAGCGAGCAACGCGTCGGGCGGTATTTGTGTGCCACGAGCCTCTTATCAAACAAATATTGGACAGATCATCGATAGCTTTCTGTGTGTGCCGAGCCCAGAAAACGGGATGCGGAGGCTGTATACAGTACAGTACCACGACGCGGGCTCGACAGGCACTGCGTCTTCTGTATTCTTGGCCGATACGCTCACTGTCTTCAAGCTTCTGAGTTCCGGATGATTCTTCTGGAAGCAGTCGGGACGGTGTGAAAGCCATAGGGCGCTTATGGTCACCCAAACAATATTTACGAAGATTTACGACGTACTAACTTGGTACGGCCAAGGTACGGCAAGCTGTGACCACCATGAGCTAGTACCATAACGTTTTGCTTCGACCGCAACCAGTGTTGGACACTGACCTGACGGGCACTGAACTGACCCCGGGTCAGTGAGGTCAGTCAGTGGGGGTCAGTGAGGGGACTGACCTTGGTGGGGGTCAGTTGGTGAATTATAATCGTGATACAGTCGACTCTGTCATAACCCATGACCGTCATAACCCATACTCTGCCGAAACCCATACATTTTCCCATCCACCAAGTTGGTTCGCAGGGAAATCCCATATCTCTGCGATACCTGATAACCCATACTTTTTGGGGATGTCAAAACCCATATGTATATGTTATTTTTGTCGTATATTCAATTAAATTCGTTGTAAACGGTTGAATTATGAAACTAAAAACCATTATTTTTTCACTTTTGAGCCCGCACTCTACATGATTGAGCTCCCTGTACTTAAAAGGGGGCTAGAAATCCTCCAACGTGCCACTAGGAATCAGAAAGAGGAACTTCAAACTCGCATTCAGCAAAAGAAGCCTATTACGGAGGAGGAAGAAATATGGCTTGATGGTGAAGGGAACAATGTTGATGGCGAAGCCCTCATTGGGCTTCTTGAATCTCATGAAAGCAACAAAGATTTCCGACCACTTTGCTAGCATTTGACATTTTCATGGCTTTCCTCTCTAACTATAGTAGACTTTAGTCTTGCTTTAATCTTTCCTTGTCATATATATTATAGTTATACAGCCGTAGTCCTGTAAATAAATCCACCAACTAATTCGACGGCGATTTTTCTTAGACGCCCAAATAGGCGCTTTGAGTTAACCCATACTCTCTCAAAACCCATAGCCCAGCACGTCCACCGAGGGTCATGGGTTATGACAGAGTCGACTGTATCCGCGCAGGCTTAGGTACTTCGAGCTTCGGAAACTCCCGATACACTCTAAATTTTCTTATTGGCTACGGTACACTCAATCCTTAAATCCTTCCGCGCTGTGATCATGTCCCCACGCGGCTGGGCATGGCAATACTTCTACGAGGATGGCAAAAAATACAAGACCAACAAATCACATAAGAACGCTTATTGCCATCCATTTCAACAGAGAAGAGAAGATTCCCCTCTGTGACGTGTTTGACTTCACCGTTGCCAAGGTATCTCCTTGGGGTGGCCAAATGAAGATGTTTGCCGAGTTTGCAGAAAAGAATTTGGAGGAGGAGATGACTCGGTGTGAGTTGGACTTTGTGGAGGAGCTTGACATTATGGAAATCGACTAGTTACATGTCTTCTACAATGGAATGAATTAATTTGAATTTTTGGCGCTTTTTCCGGCTTTTTCCGTGACTGACCCTCTGACCCCACCCTCTAGACGGTCAGTCGCGCCCCCACTGACCCCTTCCACACTGACCCGGTCTGTGACCCCGGGTCAGTCCAACACTGACCGCAACTGTTGCCGAAGTTCAAATGTCTACGCTCAACTGAGCACGAACTCAGCAAATCGATCCGATGTTGGGCGAGCTATAAGGCGAAGCTCAAGGCCAGCCAATTTGGCCCTCTTCCGTTTATATATTCTGGTCCTCAATGGGTCTATGAGACTGGTGGGTATGTTATGAGGACTCGGAGAAAGTCCAACGGCTAGATCAAATTGTCGCATCAGAGCCAAATCGGAACAGGTAAATTTCGCTTTCGTGACCTCGCTTCTGAACCGTTACTTAGTTCTCATGCACCGTGGCTTATAGGTCTTATGATGTCTTTATTACAGTCACACGAAGAAGCTTGCGCTGCTTCATTGCAGAGCGGACCGTAGCCATCCCACTCCAGATACCAAGCGGACCGCGCCAAACATATACCATGTATATAATGAGGAGTGAAGAAACACTATGGCACGGCCGTTCACTAGCAGGAACCCCATCCAGCACTCATGCTATCTCAATTCCTATCTGTCTTGATTTTTATCCACGCTTGTCTTGCGGCCGTGCCATGTACGCTGCAGGCCACTGGCGGTGATGATGCGCCACAACTCTTATCTGCAATGCAGTCTTGCTCGGTCGTCACAGTTCCGAAAGGTGTTACTCTGTCTGTAGGCACAAGGCTCAACATGACTGGTCTCTCCAACAAGCATCTGGTAAGTCCCCACAGTATGTGGTCGTGCGTCCGTAGCAAGCCGACTGACCAACTTATGACACGTAGAACCTCCAAGGAACCATAAAATTCACCCCCGACATTCCATATTGGACAGGGGTATATTTAGCTCGATACTATTCGTGGTACATTTTCTCACTACAAAGATAGAACGCGTTCTTTATACCTTTCCAAACCCAAGTCACCTTCTGGCTTCTCGGTGGTAAGAACCTACGTGTTGATGGCGGCGGAACTCTTGATGGGTCAGGCCAAGTAAGTCGCCACTGAATTTGGTATTGAATGATATTCGATGCTCATTCGCGTACTAGATCTGGTACGACACCTTGTAAGTGTTGGCCTTACTGTTGGGCGGTAACTCGATTCTCAACCCCAGCCGTCAGCGCGAGCAATTCATCATTGTTGCGACCGATAGTCTTGACCCTTTTCCAAGCAACCGACGTCGTTGTGGAAAGTATCAATATGATCAACGGCCCAGAGTGGTTCAACCTTGTAAGCTACTCTGCCGTACTGTGACTTCAGTTCGCAAGCCAATATATGCGGACGCTAGGTTAACGAGGGAAAGAACATTGTCTACAATAACCTGCACATCGATGCTCGCTCCACGTCTTCGCACAGGATTTCCAATACAGACGGATGGAACATCTATCGCAGCGACAATGTGACCATTCAAAACTCCGTGATCAACAACGGAGACGACTGCGTTGCCTTCAAACCTAGTAAGTCACAACTTCCTTCAAGCAGATCTGTCTAAACGCTGTTGTGCAGATGCTACGAATGTTTTGGTCTCGAATCTACAATGTAATGGATCACAGTACGTTAGGCGATCCAATGGATGTCGACGTGATCTAACGTTAACTGTTTCTAGTGGTATTTCCGTCGGATCCCTAGGACAATTCCCTGACATGTTTGACATCGTCGAAAACGTCCTCGCGGTGTGGGTCTCCACTAGTATCCTCTCCGTCCCGGGTACTGACGAGTATCGACTATAGAAATGTAACCATGACCAACGCTCAAAACGGTGCACGTATCAAAGCGTGGGCAGGGCAAGGTGTCGGCGCCGGACGAGTGAAAAATATTACCTTCCAGCACTTCGTCGAGAGCAAAGTCGACAACCCCGTCGTCATCGACCAGGTAAGTCCCAGGTATCACGATTCGTAACGAGTCCTCCTAAATTTGGGTATCAGTGTTATATGACCAGCGCGTCCGCTTGCGCCCAGTTCCCTTCCAATGTTTTCATCTCTGATATATTCTTCAACGAGTACGCTCTGGTCCCTTTCCTTCGACATGCTGCCACTTAACTCCCAACGTTGTTCCACAGCATCTCTGGCACGTCGTCTGGCTCCCTAGTTGCCGCCCTGTCTTGCTCCCCAGACGGTCGCTGCAGCGACATCAACGTCAACGACTTCACCGTCAAGTAGGCATTTTGTCTATCCTCGGTGAACTTTTCTTCGCGTAATCTAACAACCCTCAATCAGGGCTCCTTCCGGTACCTCCAAGTTAACTTGTCAGAACGTGGAGGTGACAGGAAACGCTGCTTCGCTGTTCCCGACATGCGCCATCACTGGATAAGCTAATCGCGATGTAGGGTTGAAAACTACTCTACCGTGCCTACAAATGTACCAAATTTACAGAAACCGTGCTATACATTTATCAGCATATTTCCCAGTGAAGCTGGATATCCTCTCCCGTGTCTATCTTCTGTCCTCAAACCTAGAAGCAGGCGGAATAGAGCTCGCTTGACTCGTTGTCCCCATGCCACGGCAGTGCGCACTCTTGACTCCATTGGCATCAGACTCCATCCCAACGAATCAACGCCTCTCCGAACCTGGGATTGGTCAGACCGTGATTGACAGACTGAGCCAACATCAAGAGCACGACCAAGTACTAGTTCCCCACCGCGAGTCGCGACGCCAGGATTACAAGGCTATGGGCACTGGCGGTTAACCAGAATCAATTCCGGCGCTCCAAGGCGGTGCTGTGACTCTTCATATATGGCACGGGTTGGGTCAACTGCTTTCTCTGTCACCTCGACGTTGTGATCCAGAAACAACACAAGGAATTTTATTCAGCCAGATTGCGCAACAAGTGAATACGAAGCAAGACCATCCCCCTTGAATCGACTCGCGCATACCGATTTCGAATCAACACTGACTTCCCTCGATAAGTAACGGGAAAGCCGTCGATGTCATTCTTATGGCTTCCGCAACAATTCTAAAGGCTGGTGGTGGTGTGGGAGATATTGTAGGCATTCCTGGCATTCATCAATGCTATTCAGGTGTGAAGCCTGAAAATTCCGACTTGCTTGTAACTAACAATGGTTGCTTACTTACACTCAGAATATGAAGGGAAATGATGCCAAACGGCTTGAGGTCTTAAACCATATTGAATCTCTGGCACATATCGTAACTGATATAAAGGAGAAGGTATCAAGGAATAGGACTGCATATTCATGCGCGTTGGAGGACAGAATAATACAGCTCAATTCGTGAGTATTTAATGTCATGCACATTCAGTGGATTAATCAGGGGAGATTCGTAGTGAGTTGGTGCGGTATGAGCAAACATCATCTCGGTTGGTGGCTATGAAGGGAAGGGTCCTGAAAGGCTCTTGAAGAATCAAGAAATTTCGGGTACACTGACTGACTTATCCGAAGGAGTGCTGTCTTGCGAAAGAACCAATGTTTGGCTGGTTTACTTCGTACGATGTACCTCGCTTGACTCGATCGGTTGCTGACAGATTCAAGAAAGCGAATTGACTTGGTGCTTCCTTCTTTGTTCAAGGCATCCAAGATCTTGGGGATACAAGGTTACTTATAACTACAATTGCCTGCCATCTGGCACGGTTGGATGGGCCGGTCGATACTGCGATCAAGAATGCGGCCCGCGAGTATCAATTAACCCAAACTCCTGGAGAAAAGAGTAGCTAGCGGCAATTCACGGACCTCCTCGAACCTCTCAGGCATCTGGGGCCACAGTCTGAACATATCGTTAGACTCGGCTGTACCTAGAACACCTGAGTGATCATGTAGCCACACAGTCATTCGGTTGGGTCCCATAGTCATGCCAAAAACAAATCTGTGATCCAGTTGTTCGCGGAGTATGCGACGAAGATATCCGATCAGCTGTTTAACGATGTCCATCCCAGTTTGCGAATCCTTGCGTTTCATTGCCATGGCGCAGATGACTTGTAACCACCAGATAGACACCTGCAATGCAGAAATGTGTTAAAATGGTACATACATACAGAGAATGTAAGAAATTTCCTATACCAAGAAGGCTTCCTTCCTCTGCACCTCCAGTTGAATATGAGAAAGAGTCCTTAAAGCATGAACGTCAAACGGCGCTCACTGTGAGCTCCTCATCCGTTTGCTCGGTCTACAGGGGATGAGCGCCCAGCAAGCACATATACCACATAATACTCACCCATCTTACTTGCAGACGCGATTCCTTTGAACTTAGAGACATTGTGTGCAAAAAGGCAGTCTGGTCGAATGGACGTCGGTAGTTTTTGGAACTTGGGAATGGTAATCCACCCATCCCGGCACGCCGAGAAGATCAATTCTTCGGCCCCTCAACCGGTTCAGTGGCCTCACGGATGGCATTGGCGGCTTGAATGAAAGGCGCGTAGAGTGCCTTTTCCTTGACGCGAGCCTTCTCAAGAGGAAAGTCTTTCCAACGCTTGCCGTCGTAAATCCCGGAGGTCTGGAGTTTCGCAAACACTTTGTTGATGGTGTCACTGGGAACTGGGAACATTCTCTGAACAAAATCCGTCGTATCGGCGACGCGACATCGCTTTGCAAAGTCGGCGTCGACTTCATCACGGTCGGTGGAAGCAGTCCCTGTAAGAACCGATTTACTCAGCGCCATGGCCCGAGTGGGTGAATGGGGTAAGGCCGAAGTGCTTGGGCTCGTCTGACTGGTCAATCTGGATGTAACGAGACTCGGAAGGACAGAGGGATGTCGAATATACCTTCAAACACGGGAGTTATCGATTTATCAGGCTTTGTACGTGGTATCCCCTAATTAGGCCCAGCATATTCCGTTGCCTACTGAGCTACAGCTGAGAGCATAACCCCCAGAAACACAATAACGTCCACGACACTCTTCCTCTTAGGTAGAGGAATTGGGGTGATGCATTGACGCACTTGGTTTTGCTCATACTCATCTGATGAGTCTATGAGAAACAGAGGAATGGTGCAGCCATATGTCACCGACTACGAACGACCTTGCTTCCTCGCCGCTGGTCCACTCACCCACCGCCGGTCAGCCGCAGCCAGAGGCGTCCAAGTTCCCGTCCGCCTTGCAGTCCCCCATTCTTCCAATATCGCTCGCTGCGCGTCCATGATCGAGGCCTTTTTCCCATTGATTAGTGAATTTTCGAGGGAGAGGAACCAATGTCCGCGCTCCCCGTCTACCCGTAAGATCATCTCACTGGCGTCCCTCCCTTCCCCAACGGAGCAGGACGCCAGCGAAAACGATTGTCCGTTGTTCTTGAAATTACTCGCACACGAAATCAGTACTTGTCGGTCCTGCGACGGGGTTTGGCTAGGATTCTTGCTGGTTTTGGCCCGCAATAGCGCGGGCGAAAGAGTAAACGTTCGGACGTAGCGAGATTGGGTGACTATTAGCGCGACAGCTATCCCAATTCCGACACCAAGATGAGCTACGCATAGACCAGCGCGCTGCCACGATGGGCGGGGGACATAGCTGTCGTTTGGGGGTTGCTGAACGGCAACAGTACCCTCCTTGCTCTTTTGTGAAATGGTTTTCAAGTCGTCCGTCAGCTGCGTCCAGTTATTCCAAGTGAATTCGACCGCTGAAGCCCTACAAATCCTTGAGAACACAAGGGGGCAATAAATACTTGGGAACGCACGTCACGAAGAGGTCGCAGGCAATGAGAGCGTATGTCCATCGTGCCCACCATGGAGGTACTTTGGAGAAAAGCGGCGGTCTGTCGAGCTTGATGATCGAGGCAGCGCGCCTGGAGAACAGCCTCCCCAATACCCTTGACATGGCAAGATTGAACGGCGCTGTGGATGATTCCGCGGTTGCGGGAGTCGCGTCGACGAATTGAGAGAGAAAACAGTAGGCACGTAAGCGCTGGGACCTGACTCACCCTTTTCCTTGATGTCGTCCAAGCCTCAAATCAGCAAGCACCCGCGATCTGCCTCGCTGCGGGACATCGCGAGAGAAACGCTCGACGCTATCAAAGAAGGATCATATACGATTCCCAATGCCCCTTCCGTTTCTTTCGACCTCGAGGCTAAAGTCGTGGATTCCAAACGACGGACACGATACCACCCTCCGGACTCATCCTTACTCAAAGCATGGCATACGAAGCCTGTATCCACGTCGTCTCTTTCATCAGCGACTGAAATCACTTTCATCGAAATTTCCACATTGGAGGGAGCTCGGTACCTCCGAGCGAAGTCTACTGAGAAAATAGGAGTGCTCAACTTCGCGTCCGCGAAGAAGGCCGGCGGTGGCTTCATCAACGGTGCTTCAGCACAGGAGGAGTCGATAGCCCGATCGTCTACGCTCTATCCTACACTTCTCACTAAGGAAGCGGAGCGATTCTACGCCCTTCATAAACGCGACCCAAAAGGCGGTTATTATTCCCATGCCATGATCTATTCCCCCGACATCGTTCTGTTCCGCGACGATGCAGGGGGATGGTTGGAACCGCTTGAGGTGGACATACTCACAAGCCCCGCTGTAAACGCGGGGGTCGTTCGGCAGACAGTACGCGCCCGTGTCGCTGCGAATGCCGAAGAAGAACTCATTCAAAAGGTAATGACCGAGCGCATGGCCCGGATTCTACACCTTTTTGAGCAGGAAGGGGTCAAGAACCTTGTCCTGGGCAGCTTCGGAACAGGCGTATTCAAGAATCGCGTCGAGACTGTCGGCAGGATATGGGCTGACCTCCTGGGTGTCGAAGGCTCACGGTTTGAACACTCGTTCGAAAGGGTTGTCTTTGCTGTCTTGGGGAAGAAGACTTTCGAAGAGTTACAGACTGCCTTCGAACGGCGTCAGCAGGAAGTCTACAAGCGAATACAACTCGCACCATGACACAACTGTATTTCTATCTCTATCTCGTTCTTTCAAATCACAATAGGTTGCCCGTCAGCCACTTCCTGGCACATTTTTGAGTTCTCCGTGGTAACCCCGGCCCCGAACAATAGCAGAAACTTTAAGGTGAGCCGTTTAGTCGTAACTCTCGAACTACCTTCATGCGCTTACATATAACAAACATGCGGCGTAGCTTATTTCCTTGTTGCATTTTACACGCCTTGTCCCTCAAGATAATATCCTTGCACCCCGTGGTCTTTTCCCGTAAGCAGTAGTAAGGTAGGAAGGGGATCCTGGCAGTCGGCCTGCCCATTGCGGGTTTTGTGTGAGTCGCCTACTAATCCTCAAGCGATCCGCGCCCGCAAAGTGGGTTTGTATGTCGCCGTTGTAGTCCTTCTGCGCAGCAGAAGTTACCAAGCGTCAGCAAGGCGCATTGACATCCCCGCACGTGTCAAGCTATACAAATTCGTCGCTTTTTCAGCGCAAGTCCCAGCAGATTCACCCATACTACCTCCCTCTCCTCTTCCCTGACCACCTCACCATGTCGAGCAATAAAGATAGGGAAAGTGACGACCACGGCTTGAAGGCTGTAAAGCAAAACTCGAAGTATTACTTGAGGGGCGGGGACCTCCACCTACTTGTGAGGCTATCCCATTTGTTCGGATAGTCGAAGACTTACGAAAACACACAGGCTGACGGCGAACTATTCCGTGTTCATCGCTATTTTTTCGAGCGCGAGTCTGATAAGCTACGAGGAAAGCTTGCCCAACCCGCGTCGCCGGGAGGGAAACCGGAGGGCACGAGTGATTCGAACGCAATCATCCTAAGCAAGGTCTCTGCCGCAGATCTGGAGAAGTTTCTCTGGGTCTTCTACAACCCGTGAGCGTTCAATTCCGCCTAGCACTAGGCGCCAACTGACTGTTTGATGCAAAGGCGTTATTCGTTGTATGACGCCACATTCCAGGAGTGGTCTGCGATTCTGCGACTGGCGGACTTATGGGGGTTCTGCGAGGTCAAATCTCTTTGCATCAGACAGCTGGAGAGCATGGAAATCGACATCGTGGATCGACTGGTGTTATATCAGAGATTCAAGGTCACGGAGGAGGTTCTGATTCCCCGCTATGTTGAATTGTGTTCGAGAGACGAGCTCTTGACGGAAGCGGAAGCGACGAGCCTCGGCATCTCCACGACCGTGATGATATGCAGCCTCCGCGAGCGTCTGCGCTCCAGTGCGTCGCCTTCTGACGGCTCGAAAAGCCCCCTTCCGCCTGGCCTTGACGCTGAGGATATCGCGAGTTTCATACGAGCTACAATGTCGGGGGCTTCCGTTCCATTCTCGCCTACAAAGAAAACTCCTAATGGTACGTGATCTTTTTCCTCACAATCTGCCTGTTTCTTCTAACTGTTAGGACTGCCCATTTCAGACAAAAAGGACAAAAAGAAAGATAAAGACGACAAGGGCCGAATAAATGGGACCAACGGCGACAACCCCGCCGGCGGTTACATTAAGGGCAAACCCTAGTCCGAGTGGCATGGAGGATTGCCCGATTATGGTAGAATATATTCCCAGCTGGTTCGTGTCATGTAACAACTTGTTTTATCCCATCGTCGTCAACGGCCTGACTGAAAGAATTGTTCCTCCTTACGACATCTCAATATCCATCAGTGTCCCCCCCAACTGTCAACAATTGATGCGCATTGCCAATCTGATCATAGATATGCAGAGCTAGGAGATATGCCCGTCCATCGTGACTCTCCCATACTTGAGCCCCCTCAACCCTGTCCAGCTCTTAAGGACGATCTACCTAAGGTATAATGAAAACACCCCGCGATTCAAGGTCGCAATTCTGGCTCGACGCTTGGTGCTAGGCCGGTCACCAAGCTAATCATCATGGTTCTCCATCACAACGCAAAATACTTTCTAGACTTCATTGAATTTGTGGTCAGTGACTTCCGCCTCAGCTTCCCCGTCGTCTTCCTGAAACCCCTGCCAGATCGATGGAGAGCTATTCAGAATTCCCAGCGTGGCGCATTTCTCTTCGGATTCGCTTGTCCTGGGGCCACGCATACGGGCTGGGGAGAAGCCGATAGACCTCACCGGATCAGTCTCTGTCAACGAATTCGAGCAGTTCTTAGAAATTATACTACCCTTGTTCGTGATTATTCTCTCCAGCTGTGGCGGAATCTTCTGAACCGTCTCGAACTTAGACAAATTACATCCTGGTTGGAACACTCGATCGCACAATGGTGCTTGTTATTGAAGCTTGCCAATGCTTGGCAGATCGAACCCCTCCGAAAGATCGCTATCCAGAAGATGGGATGGGGCGACACCATCTCGCGCATTGAAAAGGGACACCAGTACCTCGTAGCCGAATGGGTTGAACAAGGTTACGTGTGGTTGGTCCAACGATTCGCACCTTTAACTGTAGCGGAATCGGAACGCCTCGGCTGGCCTGTTGCTTTGAAGATCTGTCACCTCCGCGAGGAGAGGGCCAAGGGGAAGTGGAATCATCCTGATTTGGCTGGCCGAATCAACGCTGCGTTCGCGGATGAGTTCAAAAAGACACGTGATGCATGCGCCTGGCTCTCGAAACCCAAGGCAATCACCCTGGGGCCAGCTCCAATAGCTAATGCTCAACCACTTAAACCCGTCGATAGCAACGGTGCCGTGAAGGACCTTCCAGAAGTATCAGCATCAGCCTCGCCGGGATCAAAGGCTCCGCTAGCAGCCTGTCCGCCCACGACACCTCAGATATTCTCGTTCAAATCACCGGTTCCGCTCGTGAAATCTGATACACCATTTAGCTTCGAGCGTCCGCCTGCTCAAGCAGCCTTCGTTTTCGGACCTTCGAATGGAGACAAAGCTCAACCTGTGGGGCCACTCGTAGATCCTCAGTCTCTCAAAGCCACCAATGGCACTGCCGACAACCAGACGGGAGCATCGGCGCTTCCTTCACCTGATACACCAGCGGGCCCTATATCCCCCGCACCTCAGACATCATTACCATTTCCGCTTGTCAAAACAAATGCGCCCCCAGGCTCTGAGCGTCCCTCCTCCGGGGCTCCTGTCGTTTTCGGACCAGTTGAGTCCAAGGGTTCGAATGCGAAACCCGAACTACCCAAAGTCTTGAAATCCGCCAGTCAGGTCAATTCCCCGAAATCATCAACCCCGCAGTCACCTAAATCCCTAGATGACTCCAAGCGTTCACCTACCCAGGGCATCTTCGGGCCAGCCTCTGAACGCTTAAAAGTCCAGGAGGAAATCTTGGGCCCAGTTCCAATCGTAGAACACGATCCTCCATTCGACTCTAAACGTTCGTGTGCCCAGCCAACGTTCTTCTTCGAGCCGTCTGGCTCGAACCCTCAGGAAGACATCATGGGAGCGGTTCCAGATGTCCGCGTCAAACCTGATGCACTGGCAGCTGATCCTAAGCGTTTAGATGCTCAAACAACGAGTCTCACTGGAGGAGCACCAAAACCACCGAAACCTATCAAAGTCAATGGTCGTACAGTGAAGGTCAACCTCCCTAAGGCATCAGCCGCCACACCCGATCCGCCGTCTGACTCTGAGCCAGAGTCGTCCTCGGCAGTTCGATCACCTGATTCTGCAAGCGAGGGTAGAGATGATATTGAAGCCCACCGTATATTATCCACATTCACTCCTGTAAAATGAGACATATGTGACCCGTATTGAGTACTGGTAGTAGCTGGTAAGTAGCTTCTGTTTGTAACACAGTCACGTGTATTACTGAACAATACGGACGCTTGACGCGCTCTAAATCTTACCTCCACCATCGAGGAATGAATTCCCATTATGTGCCGCACCTCATATACTCGGTAGCCATCACATCGATATCTATACATCTCCTCTCCCGGAGAAAGGAAATAGAGACACAACGGTCGCGGTTATCTGCGCAGATATCAATCCTCGAGTCGTTGAAACAAAGACTTCGAAGTAGCGACAGCATCTCGGACTCGGAGGTAGAAAGGTCAATGAAACTCGCAAGGGCGCATGGTGATGGCTCCAGAGAGGAGGATACACAAATTGAGTGGAAGGAGATATTCTCGCGGGTCAAGCAAGACGACCGCCATGGCATGAACGAATGGGATAAAAAGGACCTTGAAAAGCGTACGTCTGTCGTCCTCTTGGTCGGATGAGATACTGAACTGTCTTGAAGTCATGAAAGAACTTGGTGGGGACGACGAACGGGCGAAAGGCGCGTAGGCCGTCAACTAACGGACGACACTCTGACCGACTCCATGATACCCGTACCACGTCCAACAACTAGTGATTGATATACAGATGTGATACATAATGCATGCGGGAATACAAATGCGCTATTGTTCCGGACTCCAAGCTCCATCAACATCTACCCGCTGCCTAAATCAATTGACAACTGGTTAGTTGTTGCTACGACCCCGACCACGGCCACGACCTCTGTTAGCTTGTCCTCTGCCATCATCCCCTGGCGCAGGGCTGGAAACCCTGGATGGCGTGGACCCCTCACCCTCTTTGACATTGGTCACAATGGCAGCCAGAGGATCTGCCTCTTTGGCCTTTTCACCTTCGTTGGCGCCGTCCTTCTTTTCTGAGGCATCATTAGCTATAGGCGGCATCAATCGCTTGCTCTAATGGGCAATGGACTAAGCTACGCACTCATGAAGACACCACCAAACACATCAGCCGCGGGTGCGGTGCTGGCACTGTTATTGGCGTTGCCATTAGCGTTGGCGGGGGGCGTGTTGCTGCCGCTGAGGGGAGGTGTGACCGTTCCATTAGTGCCGTTGACGCCATTGGCAGGCTTTTTAGCGACATTGCCGTTGGCGAGTGGAGGAGGAGGAGGGATGGTGTTGCCGTTAGTGGCGGTTGCGGAAGTGGGGGTAGTAATCTCGTCGTCTGGAATCGGCGTGATAGTGAAGATGTCTCGGATAATATCTTGCAAGGTGGCAACAGGAACATTTGCCTTCGTGGGGCTACGAAGACCGCCATCGAGAGGCTTGGATCGAGCGATTTCCCGAGCTCTGGCAATCGTCAAGGCGGTCTCCATTCCGAGGCGCATACCCTCGGCCACCGACAAGGGTTCCTCACGCTCACACAGCGCGGCGTATCTTGAGATGAGGAGATTCCGGTCCACCTCGTATTTTTGGTACACATGGATGCGCTCCACGTCGCTCATCTCGAGCCTCTCGAGTTCCCGGACGCAGAGTTTCCTTACTTCGGGGAATTGCCAGCGAAACGCGAGGTCGAGAATCGATGTCCACGAGTCTACATCCGTTTTGTACAGGGAGTATTTCCTGCGTGTGAGAGCTTTGTGAGCTGTCCGATTATCAGAGAACCAGAGATTTACTCACGGATTGTAGAATACCCATAGGAACCGCGCGAAGTCAATGCTCCGAACGTCTTCTAGGACGATGGCAGTTGAGTCGCTGGTCCCTGACCGTGCCGCACCAGGCGACGCTGGGGTTGCTAATTTATTCCGGAAATACAGCGACTCTCGATCGAAGAAATATCGGTGGACGCGAAATTGTACATGCTCGACCTATACGCCAGGTCAGAGCATTGCCTGCGGCTTGACCAGGAGACAACTCACCATGAAATGTAGGTCGCCGCCCTGGATGTAGTACTCCTCGTGCCGATGGAGGGAGCGGAAGGTAGAATCGCCGAGCATCTTCGTTAGAAGGATGGCGCCCTGCTGGCCAAACGACGGTTTTGGAGGAGGAATGGGGGAAGGGAATAAGTGTCGGTGAAGATAGGCTAGGGTTTTTGAGTCCAGGATTATTTATACACGTGTCCGGGCACATGTTGCATTGTTCTGATTTATGTTCCCTCGCTTATGTACCCCGAAGTTTACCTGCCTGCAGGATGCAACGCTGTTTACGCAGCCCCCGTTGGTGAGTCCCATTGTCCCCTTCGCATGGCCATGATTTGTACATAACTTTTCGCGAGTAGGTATGCGGTACACGGAAGCAAATTGTGTGCGTAGAAATCAACAAATCCAAACTCCGGCCAAGAGCTCGCGGTCTCCTCCTCCCACTAACACCATTATTTGAGCTGTCTGGAGCTTTTGAGGGGTCCCCTTGACCCAATTTACGGCACATCATCAGCGAAGATAGGCTCGTACACGTCAACACGGTGCAGCCATCGGAAGGGTCACCAGTAATCGATGAAACGCTCGAATGCCTCGTCTTCATCTCGCAGCGGGTTTGAAGTAATACGCGGCTAACAGCACTAATTCGAGTCAGACATCTCTTGTTTAGCAGACAGACATTGTGATCATTTTCTGCTTTGAACGTTGACTCGCATGGGTTCCAGGTCCCACAGTATGTATGTACTTGGTCACTGGCAAGAGGACTAATATTTCATTGCGACTAGGTTTCTGATAGGGGGGACTAGACGGCAAAATGAAACAACGGAACTTCTTGGCCAATCACTATTCTATCTTCGAATGTCCTCCAGAAGCTCGCTCGCGCTCGTGCCCGCTAGACGGGCTCGGCTTCTAGCCACGTCTTATTGATAGTTATCTGCTATGATCTAGTCCCACCGACGCCCTCGCAGTGTACCGTTCGTCGCTGGGTGGCGTGCGCTGCCACCATTCAGCTTTCCTCCTATCATCGAGTTAGGTTTTCGATCCTCTGCGCCAAGAGTACTCCCTCCACGCACCTGCGTCTGCATTCTCCGTAGTTGTCACCTGGTCATCTAATGGAGTGACTATCATCTTATACTGGTCGATCTCCGTCCCTACTATCTCTGCGTCCAAGGTTCCTCCTCTCCTTTCCCGCAGGCGCTCTCGTACGGTAGCCACCATGATCACAACGTACATGGATAACTTCATCCCCTCGTGCAGCGTTATCGGCTCGGGCCGCAGGCATAGTTCCGAATGTACTTCCGGAGCTCCTCATCGTCGACACCATGTGCTGTGTAGAGGGCAATCCGATCCACGAGGCGAATCTGCTTAGACTCTAATTGCCGTATGACAAGCCTCTTTACTTCGTCAAAGCCCCAGTGATGTGCTAGTTCCAGGATGACAATCCAATCTGTGGCTAGACAGGCGTGGAGGTTGTATGTTCTGTTTGCAACCTCAGTGAGTCATCTCAGAAGCCGCCAGGACGCTTACGGGTTGTAAAAGACCCAAAGGAATTTCTCCAAGTCTGATGACCTTACTGGTACCGGGATTGCGTCGCTATCGCTGGTTCCCCGGGGACGATTCCCGCGCGTAACGGGTGTTGCGATTTGGTCTCGGAACCACTCGGATTCCCTCTGGAAGAAATACTTATGGACTCTGAAGAGTTGCCCATCTGCCTGTCTTAAGGGTCAGGTATATTCCGGTGGTCAACGTCAACATTCTAACGGAATATTGCTCACAAGGAGATGCAGGTCTCCTCCTGGAAGATAGTATTCGTGGTTCCGAACGAGGGCGTGTCCTATATCCTGCGACATCTTGATGAAAGATGACGTACGAAGCTCCTTAGTCGACTTCGAAGTGAACGCAGCAGGGTAAACGATGAAACCCGCCTTCATGAAACACTGTAGATATATGACAACTGCACGTGTCTACTGCACGAGCAGTGTCTCGCTTCCGACCCGCATCAGCACCACGACCTGCGCAACGAACCTCGACACCTCGATGGCGTAGGCCTTATCTACTGCGGGGAACACCAGAATATACGCCTCGCGGCCGCTTTGGACGTTGCTAGGTCGTTCTCAGCGTTGTGGCATGTACGCTTGTTCTATTCCTCCACCAACGACGATCGTGCACGTTTGAAGTTTCCAACTTCTCCGGGGTAAAGTCGTGTCAACAACGTCTATGGCGCAAAGGCATGCCCATATCTGTAGATAGATCTATAGGGTTGGTTTCGATGATAATGATAATGCTAATCAGATGATATGATATACAACTTGAATGTGAAGAACTACTAGTACCTAAAAATAAATCATAGAACCCGATAATTCAAACCATTAAACACCCTGCTTCCGTAGCATGTTCTCCACCTCCTCATTCCACTCCAGCTCGAACGATATATCCCCGAATGAGGAATTTCCTTCTTCCATTTCGTCCATATCCTCCAACTGCTCTGAGCGTATCGAACTCTTAGCGCGATTCAAGTCCGTGTTCGGTTTTGACTTCGAGTTGAACACGGTAGCCGATGTGGCGATGGATGGAGATGGACAGCTCTCTGGGGACGACGGCAGCGAGGACCCCGCAGAGGATAGTCCCGTACTCGAACCCGAACTTGACGAACTCGACGAACCTTGACTCGACGAACTCGCATCCGAATCCAAGACCCTCTGGATCTCTTCTAGCCGTGCCTTCCGCGCCTTGTCGGGCAACAAAGGCACTTTGAACCCTCCTCTCCGCACTGGAGCCGCTGCTGTGGGTCGCATACCCAATCGCGGCGCCCCTCTCCTGGCGTTGACATGACTGGGGGGAAGGGGAGGTCGGAATGGTTGGCTCAGCCTGGTTTGACCTTGACTCGCTTGTGGTTGACTCGGCGGCTGGTTTGCGAGCTGGGAAAATTTTGAGTCGACGATCGAGTCGTTGAAAGCCGACGCGGTGGATTGAGAGCTAGGATGAGACGAGGACTCTGTACGTGGCTGCGATTGACTCCGCGATCGAGACTGGGTCTGGGACCAAACGGACGGCGTAGTTGGGAGCTTGTCAATAGAGTGATTATCGTGCGGGGTGGACGTTATGTGTGGCTGGAATGTCTGCGAGAGATCAACTGACGACAATGTATCTTCACTGCCCTTGCCTTGTCTTTGTCCTGCCAGACTCTGATCATCGCTATCAACCTCCATAGACGCATTGCTGTTATTTTCGTCCATGTCAACATCCATAGAGTGCATACTCGCGACCCGCTTCAACGTGCGTTTCTGCGACGTCCGTGCTCCGGAATGGTCACTTTGCTGCACACATAGTGAGGATACTGTAGATGGCGAACTACTCGAACGCGTCAAACCACCGCGTTTCCTCGCGGTGCCACTCGCTGTCGGGGTGTTAGTCAGCTTCCGAGCCACTGACTGCACCAAAGTCGGGAAAACCGTCGCGAATACTCCGTCGTATGAGTCTGAGCTCGAGGTGGATGACGGTGTCGAGTGTGCGTTTGTGTGTTTATGGGACGAAGGGGACGAGGAGGTAGAAGCCGACAATGGAGAGGTGATGAAAGGATTCGAGTTCAGCGACGATGAAGAGCGCATCCTTGAACGGCTCGGAGCGGTCACTTGCGATCCTTGAGCGTGCGTGTGCGCGTGAGGAGAGTGGACATCTCGAAGAAGTGATGTCGTGCGTGGCGTCTGTGGTGGCTGCCGTGTAATCCCTCCTCTGTCTTCCCCTCCTCCGTCTTCCCCTCCATCGCCGCCCCCGCCTCCGAGCCGGCTTCTACTGGAACCACTGCCCAAATTCAAAGACGGCAGAGATAACTTGGAGTGGTGTTGCCATGATATGACACTTGGGGAACGTTGTGTTGCCGCCGTCGCCGACTGCTGCGTACTTGAGAATTGAAACTGCGAGGACGCGGGGAAGTTCATCGTCGCGAGGAGAAGAGCGCGTGACGGTGGACCAATTTGTGCACTACGTCCCACGTGATGGCTTTGCTCCCACGGTCACGAGCGCAAGCCAAAAGGGTACTTACCCGAAAAGGGACAAAATATTCGTGTCTGCGAGAACTTACGGGGTGTAAGCGCTCCCTCGGCGCTCGGTTTTCCAATTACAGGACTTGCTCTCTACAACCATGGGTTTCGACCTCGGTGCGCCTGCCAATACTGCTCTCTTCCTCTACATCCTCTACTCTTTCCAAAAAATCCTCCTCCCATCTTCTTCTCCTCCAAAGTCTGTCCCAAACGAGTTCAAAGCCGGCTACTCATGGATGCCTAAAGCCCACCCACCCACGGTCCTGTTCAAGACGTACACACCGAAGACCCTGGAGCCGTTCAACGGAGTCGACGGTGGAAGGATCCTACTAGCCATTGACGGGACCGTGTTTGACGTTACTGCTGGCAGGAATTTCTACGGACCGAGTGAGTATACATATGACTTCAGGTGGTGTTTCGGTGGAGTTGTGGTCGCTTATGAGAGTAATGAATCGCAGATGGAATGTACGGAAACTTCGCTGGCAGAGATGCCTCGAGGGGAATGGCCAAGCAGTCATTCGACGTCGGTGCGCTACGCCCTTCTTACGCCCGCCCAAACTTCGTTGCTGACCTGAGAGTGATGACAACAAGAGATGCTCACACCGATCGACCAACCGCTGGATAAACTCCAGGACCTTGCTAAGGATGAAATGTACGTGTGTATCGCGCTCTGCAGTCCAAACGTTTACTGAGTTCCGTTCTCAACCGCCTTGTAAATTGTCGTAACTTCTCCAGTGAGAATATGAGAGGTCAGTCTCGCTGTGAGCCTTGTGCCTTGACGAATTGCTCATTGTTATACTACAGGGTGGGTCGAGCATTTCACCAGCAAGTACATCGTGTGTGGGAAGCTCGTTGAGAACGATGCGTGAAAGGGATGAGCGATCAAGGCATGTATCTTATCTCCTACGCGCTGTGACACATTGTAGATTCTGGGGCGTCGGGGTTCATAGCCGTGCTCTGAATGAACAACATACCGCTGGAATCTCTGCGAGAGGCTTTCTGCTAAATACTTCGGGATGTGCTCAAACACAGTCCTACTCCCCCGAGTCAATCTTTGCATCATATGAGAGTTTGAGGCCTGAGCGCCCTTGTCCCCTTGTCGAGAGCCACATGTTCAAGGGACTGATGACCACCTGCCACAAGTCACAGGGAACAGCAGGTGCGACGTGCAATGTTTTCTAATTTCTACTTACATGCGAGTATGGGGGAATATTCAAACAACAGGAAAGCGAGTCGACACTTCGAACTGTAGGCTAAGGCTACGCATCCTTCACTGAAGTGGCGCCAGCAGCAGGCACAGTCGCCCTCCGCGCGCGGGGGAGAGCTGCGATGATCCTCGGCATAGGCACGCTCAGCGCAACGCCCGCCTCCCGGATCTCCCTCAACTCCTCCGAAAATACCTGGCGCACCGCCGATGCTGTCGTCACCACCGGCGGCGGCAATGACAGGTTCTCTTTCTTCAAGTTCGCCTTCGTCAGCGTGGGCGCGGCACTCAGGCTCAGTGGTGCCACGGTGTCTGAGCCCGACATGAAAGCTGGTGGCGGCACTGGGACAAAAAATCCTCCAGAGTTCGTCGTCGCCACTGTTCGTACTGGGCTGCGGAAGTCCTCGCGGAGGTGGCACAACTTCAAGAGGGCTTTCCACCCTATCTGCTCCGCCTCTTCCTCACTAATTTTCTCGCGTCGATCTACGAGCTCCGTATAACCTTGCTCAACCCATGCTGCAATTTTGTATTGGCGTCCGAGCTCCAGCCGCCCTATCGGGGTGAACATTCGACGTGGCTCGCTTGTTGAAAGCTTGGTAATAGCGGTCTGTCGGAGGTCAGAAAACCCCCATAAGCTAGCTAGCTTCAGCACAGAGAGCCAATGGGCGGTGTTGAAAGTCCTTGTCGGCTCGACTTGACTGGTTACAATTCAGATGTAGCTTATCAATAAAGTACTATATTATTGTTTGATGAACCAATGATACGCACAATCTGAACACTGTTGTAAGAAACCGTTCGAAGTCAAGTTTGCTCACACCATCAAGTATGATAGGGTTGTCGTCGCATTGCCCCCTGGCTGCTGCCCCTGGTGGCAGCTTCGGAGTGAGCATTTCATTGAAAATGGTGGAATATTGTGTTAAGTAGGCCGTTGGGATCTTGAATAACTCTCTTTCTACCTTTTGATCAGGGTTCAAGTATATCATTAGGAATGTTACTACCGCTGCAGCCTCAGAGGACAATATACCTGAAAGACAGAAAAGGACATATAAAATGATTTGTTGCGGAGAGCCGAAGCTTCAGCAGTGGTGGTCGAAGACATTTGCGTGCAGGTATAGTAAGCGGGCTACCCTCAACTTGTCTCCTTATATATGACGGGAGGAACAAAGGCAGATCGTGTAAGTTGCGTGGAGTCCACATTTATTTAGCACTCAGCGGCGGCTGTCCACTCCTTACAGTGCCCTCAACATCGAACGGCCCGTCGTCTTCAATTCAACTTCGCAGCGGAGGCAATGTCGTGTTGCTGAATTTTGGATATTGTGCCTTGTGCTCATCTCGAGGCAAAATACGTTCAAGAGGACCGCTCGAGGACTAATGCAAAGTACATCCCACTGCATAGATGATGGATCTCGACCACTCAGTAGACCTGAACAACGCGAGGCGAGCGTTAACGGTTCGGTAGAGTTAAGGAACTGTAAAGGGACCAAAAAATCCATGAGACCACGACCTGAGTAATGCTTGGTGAGTGTGTTGTGTGAGATGGCGGGATCGGACTGAGCACAGCCTGGAGTAGGTGATGTTAGTGGCGTGGTGATTTCGCAGCGAGACTTTGCAGGCGCTCGATGGACCAAAACACAAAGGTTCCTGATCGCTCAAAGACTAATATGTAGTACATCTCAACTAGGTTGATAATTAAATAATCCATCCGCTTCCGCTCTACATACCACAGTTCGTTGCCAAACCCAATGGCCAGGTTCCGAAGGACCCTACCTATGATGCTCTAGGCGGTGGAACATTCAAGGCAGCGCCCGCCTCTCTAATCTCCTTCAGCTCAGCTGCGAACACTTGCCGCACTGCTGATAGACTAGTCGTCGGAGGTGTTGGACTCGACGTGGCTGGTGACTCTTTCTTCGTTGCGGAGGCAGCAAAGGGTCCTGGGCTCAACGGAGGCACCCCAAAGCCACCTCCACCGAACGTTCCAAAGCCAGACCTACTAGGCGACGAGGTTTGTGTAGTATTGGGCAAGGATGATCCAAAAATATTGTTGTTTGGCGAGAAGACAAACGGCTGCGAAGCAGGGGGAACGAGAACGGCAGTGTTCGTTGCCACGGCTGTCACTGTTTTCGGTGGCCCATGGAAGTCCTCTCGGAGGTGGCAGAGTTTGAGTGAAACTTTCCAGCCAATCAACTCAGCTTCATCCTCGCCGATCTTTTCTCGCCGATCTACGAGCTCGGTATAAGCTTGCTCGACCCATTGCTCAACTTTGTGTAGACGGCCGTAATGAAGCCGGACCGTAGCTGTGGATGCGCGACGGAGTTCTTCGGACGAAAGTTTCGTGATGGCAGTTTTCCGAAGGTCAGAAAACCCCCATAGGTTAGCTAGCTTCAATACCGAAAGCCAGTGGGGAGCGTCAAACGACTTGCTCGGCTCGACTTCACTACAGACATAGATCCATGTTAGGAATAGAATCGCCGCCACTGGAATTGTTTCATGGCACACACTATTTGCCTACGACCGTCAGAAATCGCTCGAATTCAACCTTGCTAACACCTTCGAGCTTGATGGGGTTCCCGTCGCTTTGTCCCGCAGCTTCTGCTCCTGGATGCGCGTTGAGAGACGGCATTTGATGAAAAATCACCGAGTATTTCTTGAGGTAACTCGTAGGGATCCTGAATAAGTCATTCTCTACCTTCAATGATCACAAACCCGCGTCAGTTCCTGCGAAAGGCGCGATGACGGAAGGGCTTACTTGAAATATAGAGATATCCATGTAGAATGTCTTGTTGCGAACTGGAGCTTGGGGGACGGCAGAATTCATTTGCGGTGACTGCTACTCTGCCAGTGGTGTTGACTTAGTATAGACGATAGGATAACAAAGGGCAGTTAGGGACGCCCATACTAAGGCCAGTCTATATTTGATACTCAGCGGCTTCCACCACTGGACTCGACTCCGACTCCGTTGTGATTTCATTGGAGGGGCATCTACTTCTATATCTCTAAGTAAAAGTACTTCTCAAAAGTACTCAATTCATCTATCTCGTCTTTGAACACACCACGAATTGTCTCCATCTTCACCGTTATAGTCTTGACAACGACTTCGTTGGCAGCGGCAGAGGAGGCAAGTTTGCCAGATGATGCGCTCGATGGACGAGGCGTTCGGGTGAGACCATTTTCGCGTAGAGCAGCAAGCTTCAAGATGCAATCCAATCCCTCAGCTGCGTTCAAGCCATACGTGATCTCCTGCGCCTCCGACTGGCCCAGCGGTGATTCCTGCATCGCAAAGCCGTGATAGCCTTGGACCAGCCATTGGGCCACTTTGTAGTCGCGCGCGTACTGGATGAGTTGACCTGGAGTGATTCCCCTCCCGTTCAGCACCTCAATGGCCATCCTTCGAACGTCAATGAGCCTCCACTTTGTTGATAACTTCAGCGCTGAGATCCACACATCTTTGGATTTGTTTTTTTCCCGTTTGAGATCGCTTGTAAAATGTCAAACCAAGGTGCAAAATAGTCAACCAAAAGTGTTACCCACAGATCGCAGATTACCTCGAGCAACCCCTCAAAGTCAACCTTTGAAGTATCAGGCAATATAATCGGGCTTTCGTCGCTCTCGCCTTCAACTGGACTATCCCCGGAGGGCAAAGAACGTGAGGCGAGGGTTCGAAACGGTTCGGTATTGAAGGAGATGCATCGCACAGGGATTTTGAAGAGTTCATTCTCGACCTGAGTAACACTTTAGGTATCGTTTGGTTGGATTCCAAGGGGCACGCACTTGGAACGTAATGCAATCCATGTAGAACTTGCTGTTGTGAATCGGTTTGAGCGATTGGACAGGTAAAGAAAGTGGCTCGTTGTTGTCGACCATGTGTGTCACGCCACTAGGCTATAGTAGATAGTACGCTGGTTGGAAGAGATGGGCTTAGCGGGGAAGCGAAGATTTTTCATCCTGCTTTTAACGGGGGGGTTGGTTGGCGGCAATGGAAACGTCGAAGGAATCTATGGGATTCACTGTGCTAACAAAGAAGTTGCACCTCATTGCAAACCACGATTCAGATTAGGTAAAATGTCGCATCATGGCTGGACTTCTCTTCTACGTCGTGCATCTTGCGGTGATAAACTATGTACCCTTGAACGTCGTGACATGAGGTTGATAGTTTGTGTCAGAGATGATGCATGATGACTGACAATGCTTGTAATAGAGAAATTCCACTGCACTACTGGCGCCTATATTTCCGTACTCAGGTATTTCTCGAACATCACCACTTCGTCGACTTCGGATTTGAACATGGTACGGATCGAATCCATATTTAGTCCGCCTATACCCTTAGCTCTGGGTACTCCGAAACCGAAACCAGGAGAAAGAGGTGGAGGGGGGGTTGGACACCGTGATGGCGACGGCATTGGCTGTTTTACCTTGCCCTTCATTCGTTTGATTGACGAGAAAGGATCATCAAGCATTGGCTTGGGAGAAGGGGGTTGGGGTGGTAAGTCGATGTATGACAAAGGTTTCTCGCCTCGGTCCTTCTCACGTAGACCAGCCAACTTCACGATTTGGTCCAACCCTTCGTCAATTTCCAACCCCCGAAGAACATCCTTCACATCGGTCAAGCTCAGCGGATCGACTTGCGTTGCAAAGCCGAAGTATCCCTTGACCAACCAGTCCGATACTTTGTACTCGCGCCCAAACCGGATGAGGTCACCGTTGCTGAGATCTAGTGTGTTTATCGTCTTGATTGCCAGTGTCCGAACGCGGAAGAACCCCCATTGCGTCGAGAGCTTCAAGACCGAGCTCCAGACGTCAAGCGATCTTATGGGTTCGGGTTCAAAGTCCCTACAATGACAGATACAGTAAGCTCAGGCCCCAGGCGCACAGGAATAGCCACTGTAGAACGCTTACAGAGGACAGATGACTTGGAGCAAGCGCTGGAAGTCGACTTTGGAGGTATCCGGTAATATGATAGGATCTTCGTCGCTCAAGCCTTCAGTGGAATTGTCGCCCGAAGGTAAAGAACGAGTGGCGAGAGTTTGGAACGGCTCGGTCTTGAAGGAGGAGATGAAGCGAACAGGGATTTTGAAGAGTTCATCTTCGACCTGGGTATGACTCAGAACGATGCTCTAGATAGTCAAACGTGAGGCTTACCTGGAAAGTGATAGAGTCTAGGTAGAAGGTGTCGTTGCGTATTGGTTTGGATGAAGGGGGAGAGGACGAGGGGCTGTCGTTGTCGACAGTGTATAACATGCTCGCGAAAGTGGCCAGATCGAAGGGGTTGGACAGGCGCGAAAGGACTTTCTATGATGCTTTTACGTGTGATCAGTGAGGTGCGAGAAGTCTGCAGGAGTCATGGTGCCACCTCATGGCTAAGGAAGTTGGGCCTCATTGCAAAGGATGATTGGGTAGGTAACACCGCATGACCGTCTCTTCTGCGCTGAAATTGGCCTTTTGCTTCACTGCGCAGTCGATGAATATTGCCACAGTACGCTTCCTGAGATATCTGTTCATGGGACCTTGAATACAACAGGAGAGTACTACCGCTTCTTAGTCACGACATCGACTTCAGTCTGCATATATAAACTGTCGGCCGCGACCTCGGCCTCGCCCACGCGAGCACCGCACTGGCTGAACCGGTACTTCTGCAGGGGGACGAGCTTCTTCTACCAGCTCAACAGCAGTTAGCGCCTTGTCGTACTTGAGGGGTGGGATCGTTATGAAACCCTTGAAGTCATGTTCGATTCGCTCCTGGCAGTCATATGTCACCGCGCCTCTCCTAGACTCGGGGGCAATGCCGCTCCTCCCAAAGGTATAGCTGTGTCGGTAGTTGTGAGGTAGACAAGCCTCACGGATGGTGGCGAGCCGCAGTGCGCACTCGATGCCAATATGCTCGAGGTCGGCGACGGACAATGGCGCCTCGCGCTGCACTAGTTCTTGCATGGCGGGGACGAGCCAGAACTCGATGTTGTAATCGATAGCGACGCCCAGTTTCTGCGCGGGATTCGTGAGGAGGGCAGGGAGGTTGGTGATGGCGTCATTCCGGATGCGGTCCATCTCCCATAACGAAGAGAGTTTCAAGACGGTTAGCCATTCGTCTAGCGTTAAGGAAATGGGCCTGTCGATACCTCTGAATCGCGGCATGTTGGAGTTTGTTTAGGGAGATGCATACGACATTGCTAACCTAGGATAGAGGTATTTGAGGAAGTGACGAAAGTCCGCTTGCTCGACCCCGTCGAGTCTCAGCGGCTGCTCGTCAGTGAGACCGTCCGCGCGTTTCTCGCCCAATGGGAGATCAAACATTGAACGGAATATGACGGATTCTTCCACGAATTTGTGGCGGGGGACTTTGAACAAACGATCGCCAACCTGGAGCGGTAGAGACCCCGTACTCAGACTTTGCTCATTACACTTGAATTCAACATACAAACACTCGCCTGGAATATGACGAAGTCAAAGTAATAATCTTCATCGTGCAGTACACAAGCCGTGGTTCGACTCGTAGAGGCATCGCTTCTGGGATCCGCATGAGGAGCACCTTCGGTTGTAATCAGAGGCATGTCGTTCTGGGGTGAGTGGACAGTAGCAGTGGTTTCTGCTTCCATCAGTGCGTTGTTGCGTGTATGGTGGTCAATTCGAGTTGGGCTTTTGAGGCTAACGCTTGCGTTTTCCCTGTATCGTGCCGAGCATGCAATCGATGTGAAAATTCGACATGTTGTTGGGAGAGAAGACCAGCACGCCGTAAACACGAGGGGGTTCTATGATAGTAGAACTATCGATGGACTTTGTCGAGAACTGTGGTTGTAGGGCCTGATTCAGAACCAGGTCTATATCAGATTGCGCAAGTCACTGTTGGAAGCCTTCGCTGTTCACTGGAAGTTGGTGACCGGTGAAGTGGAGTCGGGGCGCCACCCTGCGAATAGGTGAACCAACCTTGACAAAAAATCGAAACGCCGTTACGCGACGAGGCTACACTCGTGCTTCGTTAATACGTGCTACCAGCTAGACCCCTCAAGATGAGTTATGGTGGCCGATCGCGAGAGATGCTCGAGAATGTTTCTGTTGACTCGTTGGCCAAGCTTGCTGGGGTCATTGACGGGGCCAACGAAATTGCACTCGAGGGCCATGAATTTCGGGCATTGTCAGCTCAGGTAAACGCTACATTCCATACGCTAGGTGCTGAGCGTTGAAGACTCATTCTATTTAGCTGAATTTCCTTCGGCCCAAGCCCGAAGCTGAACAGGAAAGGATCTTTAGGTCTGCCTTGATTGTGTCGGGAAATTATGGTGAAACGGAACTGATGGAGGAACTGATGGACTATAGCGAGCTGGCCGCAAAACATCTTCCCGCTTTGGCCGACCAGCTCAGAGCCGATTCCAGCGCGCTCAGCCCCTCGATGGCACTTATGAATACGGTGTCGCATACGTGTGTAACATCTCTGATAGCACGTCTAGTCTTCGTCTCACGATAACAATGATGTGGGCGTTCCACAGGCCTTACTTTGCGCGTTTTCTCAAAACGCCAGGCGGTCAAGGCATCGCCGCCTTACATGTCAAACACATGGCTCAGGATCCCACCGTTGGAGCATTAGACGCGGATAGCATAGGCGAAGCCACGCAGTTTCTATCTACGCTCTTGCTTTTGCAGGGTATAGCGGACGTGGAGCAGGCAGACAAGACGGCCCTCATGCCCAAGCTGCGGTCATGGGTACAGGTCTATCGCGGCCAGTTCGCCGCAGAGACCAGCTCGCGCTGCATCGCTTCCTTAACCTCTGACCCGTAAGTCCCCCATCGTATCCTCATTTTTGCACGAAGCGTGGTTGAGACACAGCCTGATTTGCAGTACAATGCGAACTCACATGATACAAGTTAAAGCCCTTCTCGAAGAATCATTGCATAAATGTGGCAGCACGAACTGCGGACTCTCTGCATCTAATGGAGGAGGGCAACTGCTCCAATGCTCAAGGTGAATTTTCTTAGAGTTGTCCGATGTTCGCAAATCCATTCAGGTGCTGACTACTGCCTTGATCCCTATGTAGGTGTAAATCAGCAGTTTATGCGAGTATTCTTCATCTACTGTTGTGTAGGAACAATCTCATCCTGATCCTGCATTTTATCCTCACAGTGCAGCCAAGAGCATCAGAAGCAAGCGTGGCGTTCGCACAAGGCGACTTGCTTCCAGGTTACGTTCTGACGAAGTCTTTGTCCGACCATCTGCATATCTTCGTTCACGATCACATCACGATACTTTCTCGAACAAATGTTGCAGAACCTGAGTTGATTCTTGTTACATTCTCAGAGGTGGGGCTGGTGCTCGGAGGCGCCAGTGGTTTCAAAGAGTCGAGCGCGATACTTCTTTGGCTCCTGGATACGAAGAGGTTCACACGATCTCAGTGCAACGTAGGTAAAGAGCCTTTAGGGGTCCCCTATTTCGCAAATGACTTGTGCGTTTGCAAATGTCTCGTTTTTACCGATTTGTTCTTCGCCATCCTCTCCTTCGCGTCGCCTCGTCGTGATCAGGTCGCCTTATCGTCGAAGTCTCCCTTCGTTGTGGTATGCATGGTACTATCCTAAGCAGCGATGATCTAGGAAGCGACACTCCCACTTCTACCAATTTCCATGCGGCACAGAAAGGACTTTTTGGGCTAGCCTAAACTACCGGCTGAGAAATATCTGAATCGTCCAACAAATCTATCAAAAAAGCCCGGGTATTCTATACAATTATAATTTATAGCCTCGTACAGAGTAGAGAAGGTAGTATGGTTGATTGGATCTTAAAGATGCGCTGCCTCAGAGCCATGACAAGTCTTTCGCCTCTTCTTTCTGGGAAATCCATCCTCATCTTCATTGTCAATGAGTTCGCGAAGTCGAGAGCGCTTCAAATCGGTCCATTCTGGTCGTTCTCTACGAGCGATGAAATCATATGTCTTGGTGCGTCTGATTTGGTCAATAGCATGGTCGCCCTCTGGCCACAACGAAGAATGTAGTGCCTGATCCCATGTCTTCTCCATATCCGCATGCGTAGCAGGGATATATTCTTCATCGTCATCAGGAGTCGGACCATTTATAGTAGGGTCGTAGCGGCCGTGCCATTGCCTGAGGATGGAGACAGCCCGAAAGATGAAGTCCGTGAGAGGTGGACAGCGAGTGAATACAAGTTCAGGGCGTGATCGCCGACCAATGTAGACGTTACTGGTGACAAGTGCCACTTTTGCGATGCCTCCTCGAGCAATACCGTCTGGGTGGGTGAAGCTGAACTTGTCGAATATATCTACCAGCACCCCCTGTATTGCCTTGGCGAGCGAGTGCGACATGTAGTGAAGCCCGTAATACAGGACAACCCAGAAGAATGACTCAAGGTCATCGCGTGCCGTATGTCGTTTGTGGGGATCTCGGAGGAGTCCGAAAGACATGAATTGCCATGTACCCTGACAAGCACTGCCTACGTCAGTCATGCTCGTCGCGGATAGATGTGGAGCTTACCGTTCTCTCAGAGACCTGATGTCCACCATCGTCCTCCGCTTCCTTACGCGCAAGGTCCCAATCATTCAAAAGTCCTTCGTTGTTGTCTAATATCAATATATTTCCCCCACTGACGTCGCCGTGCAGAATTCCGCACTTCTCGTAGGCTTGTTTGTGCCCTACAGGAGTCTATCAGTATTGTCAACAGTCTTTGGTGCTTAGTCGACTTGCCTTGGAATGCGTCATGGATAGCTTGGAGCATCACTTTCGAAGACGGGAATTGTTCAAGAGGTGAACCAACCTCAGCGACGACGAATCTGGAGTGAATCCTCTTGAGGATGCGTTTATGACCTATTCTCCAACTACTATCGTTGACCTCGTGTGTCTTCGTCTCTTGCCCAGGAAGGTCACCTCCGCATACCAACGTAGGGACATGCTTCACGCCCTTGTCGTTGAGTTCTTGCAGTGTCACCGTCTCGAGTCTTGAAGCGACATCTCGCCACTGCTCCTTGAGAAACATTGGCGTCGAAGAAACGACTCCATCGATGACTTCGACCCCAGGGTATCCGCGAGTTGCGCGCCCAAATGGTGATTCTGGGTCGGCTATCGCACCCCAAACGAGGAATTTACGCGTCCTGTGGCCCTTCGCGGAGGGTACGTCCATCTTGAATACCGGTTGGTCCGTTCTTGGTGCCCATCGTTCAAGATACTTCTTCGCTTCTCCAGCTTCAGTTTCGGGAGCTACTTGTACTGTGGGGTCGAATCCCTTTCCGGCTCGATCCAGTCGGCCGAAGAGTGAAAGGAAGTGTACAAGTGGGGTACAGTCTTCGATGTAGTTCACGCGCTGGCTAATGATAGCGCCTGCTCTGTCCCAGCGAATGAACCTTATGAACGGGTGGAAAACGTAGACCATATAGAGATGTGTCCGATGCTGGCGTCGGCAGATCTCTGTGGCGTGATTGGCGAGTCGGCCCCGGATGAGAGTGGAAGTCATTTCGGGGATTTCGTACGGTGCTTCACAGTCGTCATGGGGTTCCGAGCATTGCGCGGTATCGTCGACGATATCCCTAGCGTCGGGGGTCTTCTTGTCGTAGCCAAGTAACACGAGCTCCAGGACACTGGGACTTTCTTTTGAGACGACACCTTTCTCGTAATTGCTCGCGCCATGCCAAGTTTGTGTGGGGTAGATAGACGCGTCGACGAGTGAGTGGCCTGCAAACAACGTCGTATCACCGGCTCCGTCGAGCATTACTTTGACCTAAATAATGTTTATCAGATGACATAAGAGGGAATAAGACGTGTACGCCTACTATGATCTCGTGGAACTTTTTCTCACAAGATGTGCTCGAATCCGTATAGTACGTCTCCTGAGTATCAAGTTTTGTAGACAAGCCAGTTCCAAGTTGTGTGCGTGCACTCATGCCTGCGAAGAGTTCCTCCACCGGACATGGCCCGATCCAGTTTCCCTTCGTTTCGCGAGCCATGTCACGTATAGTTCCCTTCGCCTGAGCGAGGGTTTCTTCGAGCGACATTCGAGAGAGTATCTCTGGCGATTCTGGAGCGCTGCGTGTTGCTCGGAACGCTGTGTAGCGTGGTATTCCAGCCATTGTTGGGATACAAGCGACTGAAAAGATATTATTGGTGTATGCCAATGAAGTAGCGATAAAGCCTCACCTTCAAGGGGTAATGACTTCGCTTTGGAGAGTCAGAGTTCGGTGGAAGCGGTGCAATGAATTGTTTGAGAAAGGTGGCAAAACAATGAACATGAGTGGTCGAAACAAACAACGAACCTAGTAAACCTGAAAAGGCAATCTGCGAGAGGTCACGTGTATCATCGACAGACAATTCGTAACTCCGCGACTTAAGGCTGCCACCACAACAGACCCATCTTTTGGCCCATGGAATGCATAGACTTCGAACAAAGAGTGGAGAGGGAAAGGACAGCCCTTTTTCATTCTCTTCATCCTCGACCGACGACTCCAGTCTGGCTCCGCCGGCCCTTTTGTCGTACTCAGCACTACATCCATTATCCGCTGAAAACTGCTAGTGAGGACGCCAGCGAGGCGTTTATCGAACAGGTGCTCGCAGACGCAGACGTGCATATTCCTCAAGCAGTTTGGAAGGTGGATTATTTTGCTCTCGTTCCAGGAACCACAACCACGTCAATATCCCCCTCATGTTCAAGGCGTGCTTGATTTCCACTGATGTGTTGGATTGTCACATCAATGCACGACTCGGACACGAGGCCTCCAAGGTACTTTCAAGCAAAGCACCTTCGCCTTGATCTATCTCCCGCCCTTGCGCATACCCATTTCGAACCTGCTGCGCCAGTCTCAGTGCCTACATATCCAGCATCTCCAAATGGGAAAGCCAACTGTTGATGACCTTCTTGAGGCCTCCGTAACCATCCTTAGCGCCGGTGGAAAGGCAATAAGTGCTGCGGGCGTCCCCGGTGTTGGACAGGCCTGCGAGTTGCTGCTGGCCTTCATCCATGCCATTCAGGTGCGAATCATGGAAAGTCGGACTCACTTGTACCTAACAGTGCTGGATTACACTCAGAATATGAAGGGGAACAACGCCAAACGGCTGGAAATCTCAAATGAAATCGAAGCTCTCGCACGTATCGTAGCCGATATCGCGGAGAAGGCATCAAAGAATAAGAATATATATTCGCGCGCGTTGGAGGATAGGATGATGCAGCTTAATTCGTGAGTACATCTTACGTCTCATGCATCCAGCGATTCATGTGGATACCTGTACCAGGGAACTAGTGCAGTACGAGCAAGTGGCATCTCGGTTGGCAACCATGAGAGCTCCCGAAAGACTCTTGCGAAATGAAGCAATTTCCGGTGCATTGGCGGGCTTGGCCAACGGGGTGAAGATGTCTTGCGAACGAACTAATGTTGGGCTGTCAATTTCCACATTGTACTTTGATTGACTCGAGTTTTGCTAGACCCTGGCGCTCTCTCAAATTGAGCTCAACCAGGCTCATCAAGGACAGGTTCTCGACAATATTCACAACGGCTTCCTCAAGGTATGACCATATCCTTATCACGCACCCACCTGATTGCTCACCTTCCGAATTTTCAAGTCCTCTAAAGGTATCATTCTCGACATCGTTTCGCTCGGTCTAACTAATGTGAATAGCCGAAATTGATCCTTCCACTTCGTTACCCTTCGCAAATGCTGGTTTCGATTCTATCAACGTCGACAACAAATCCGAGGTGCTCCCCGGGACACGGGTTGCCATTATGGAACAGGTCGATAGGTGGGCGACCTCAACCTGCCAGGAGCGAGTATTCTGGCTCAGGGGAGCAGCTGGAACGGGCAAGTCAACCATAGCTAAATCAGTTGCGGCCAAGTTCAGCAAGGCGAAGCAACTCGGCGCTTCGTTCTTCTTCGTTCAAGACGTTCAGGATTTAGGGGATACGAGGCTGCTCATCACTACGATTGCTTGTCATCTGGCGCGCTTGGACGGACCAGTTGGTGCGGCAATCAAGGCTGCGGCTCGTCAACAACCCCCTGGGCTGAAGGGAGTCTGGTGGCAAGTCAATGAGCTGCTCCGCGAACCTATTAAGGACCTTAAACCGCAGCCAGAACCTATCGTCATTGTCATCGACGCACTGGACGAAGCTTCCGATCGTGACTCTGTTGTTACCAGCCTCCGGCTTCTTACCACGCAACTGATCACCCTACCAGTCAACATCAAACTGTTCGTAACTAGCCGCCCAGATCCTCGAATCGAATCGGTCCTCAGCGGCGCATCGCTGCTCGTTTTACACGACATCGAAAAGACCATATTGGATCACGATATCAAGCTGTACATCGAATATGCGTTCCGTGAGATTCAAGATTCGAAACAGGCGTTTCAATACACATCTGAGGATATTCAGTCGCTCGTCGAGCACTCTGGGGGGCTCTTCATCTATGTTTCAACGGCGATTAAGGTATTAAAAGACTCCATCGACCCTTCCAAAGCACTGCAGGGCCTCTTCACGCGTAAATCAGACCGCATGCTTGATGAGCTGTATCTACAAGTCCTCGAGAGAGCGTTTGGCGCTCATGACGTGAACAGCGACATCAGTGGGAACAGGGATGCATGGAACGAAAGGCTACGAATACTCGGTATTATTGTCCTGAGTCAAGACAGACACCCCTGCTCGACGTTGGCAGATCTTCTGGACAAAAGAACGCCAGCAATACGCGACGCTCTCAGCCACCTTGGTGCCGTCATCTTGGTGCCGCAAGATGACGACCTACCAGTTCGCATCCTCCACGCTTCATTCACCGACTTCATCGTAGACGCAACTCGGTGTACCAACCGCCAGTTCGCCATCAACACAACTGAGCTCCACTCATTTCTCGCTGAAGAATGCATCCATCATATGAACCGGCTTCTCGTAGAGAATCCATGCAACATCTCGGATCCCTACGCTCTCAATTCCGATGTTCCTGATCTAGACGAACGAATCAACCAATTCCTACCACGTCACCTCCAGTACGCATCACGCAGCTGGGCGTATCACCTATCTCTCTCGACCTATTCCACCTCGTTGAAGGAACAGCTACGTGTTTTCTGCAAGATCCATCTTTTGGAATGGCTGGAGGTCATGAGCCTTTTCGGGCGTGTGGACCTGGCAAGCGCGCATCTGGACAGAGCTTTCAAATGGATTAAGGCTAATGAAGCTTTACCCTCTGCCACCAAAACAAGGTTGTTCCTTAGGATGGAGGTCGGCTCGATAATATTACGATCATTGGGCTCAACTCTGATTACTTGACATATTCTGCAGTCACTATTTGGGCCGACAACTGAAGAGACATCAGATGAAGTCGCAATGCTTCTCTACGACGCGTATCGATTTACACATCACTTTGCCGATACTATCGTCGCTTCGGCCCGCCATATATATGTGTCGGCTCTACCCTTTGTTCCCTCGTGCCTTCTGTACGAAACATATCAGACAAGACTCTCGAGCGCGGCAGTCAAACTTCATCACAGTCGCGATCGCGTTTGGCCGCCTTACTTAAGAATCCTTACTGGGCATTCGGGCCGCGTCCTTGCCCTTGCCATGTCCAAAGATGGCGTCCACGTTGCTAGTAGTTCGGAAGATAACACTCTGCGGGTATGGGATTCGTCCATCGGCACTCTTCTCGCTCAGTATGAAACGGATGAATCACCTTGCTCCATTGCATTCTCAGCTAACGGATCGCGCATTATCGCATGCACATATAGGCATGTACACGTCTGGAACTGGCCAAGCGGTACCTCCTTGCAATGGCCCATTGATTCCCCAACGTCCGATGGATGGGGTAAAATCCCTATTGTAGCATTCAACACTGGTACCCGCTTCGTCGTCTGCCGCAATCGCGACATACAATGGTGGGACTCGGAGATCGGTCTTCAGCTGAAAACCACGACTCGACATTCAGATGAGCTGATCTCCGTTGCACTTTCACCCGATGACAGCAAAATAGTGACCGCATCTATGGACTTTACGATGCATCTCTCGGAGTCTTACACCGGCAAGCTCTTGAAGCTGTTCGGGGTCGGCCAAAAAGTGGCTGTCTCGTTTTCCCCAAACGGCCATCAACTATTCAGTGCATCGAGGAGTGCTGTACGCATTTGGGACGTCCAAACAGGTGCCATGCTTAGGAGAAGGGTATATCATCCTCAACAGGATCCTCTACTCTACGCGATAATATGGCGGACCCCGGCACCGATCAGTTTTACTCCTGATAGAACTCGGCTTGCGATTATACCAGGATACGGCCGTGTATTTGTCTTCGACACATCCTCCGGTGCCCGTACCTTTAACAGTGATATTGGTGGCGGGAGGTTTATGGCGGGCGAGATGAGAACAGTCGTCTTCTCCGTGGATGGCACTCGTGTCTTTGTTGGCTTATCAGATGGGACCATTCGTATCTGGGACTTGTCCGTGGATTATAAGCCTGACACAGCCACATCCAAACACGAATATCACTGTGACATTCAAGGTGTAGCATTCTCCCCCGATTGCACTCGTATCTGCACGCGGCTACAGTATGGAAGACACCTCTATGTCTGGGGTTTGTCCACTGGTCGCCTCTTGGCCAAACTCAAAGGTCACACCGACGGAGTCACATCTATGGACTTCTCGCCCGACAGCACTCAGATTGTTAGCATATCAGAAGACAAGACTATACGCATCTGGGACTCAGACAAGGGCCACCAAGTGAAGAAGTTGGATATGAGCAGATCTGCTGCGCCCTTCTGCTCTTCAATTACTTCTTTTGGAAATGACCTCCGTCGTCTTGACATTACTTTCTCGGAGGATGGCTTCCTTGTCTGCCTCTATCATTCCTTCCTCAGGTTCCATTGGGATACAAGGAGTGGCAAAGTCAAAGTCATTTCTTGGAGTGAGCAGCCTTTGGATCAAGCCGAATTAGCTGAATCAGGAGTACTGCTATATCATGATCGATATCAAACGTCGCGTGGCCGAGACCTGAAGGAAGAAAGCAGTTGGATTGTGCCAGTAAGTGACCCTTCGAGAAAGTTGCTTTGGATCCCTGCCTCCCTTCGGAACTTTTATACCTACGGGCCATTTGTTGTACTTACCGGGCAAGGAGAGTTTGCTATCCTTGATTTTTCGCATATAATCTGATTTAACTTGTTTGCCGCACTTGTTTTGTGTCTGCCTTAATGCACCGCTACAAGTTCCATGTCCACGCGTTGTCACCCTATGGAAGATCAAGCATTGAGCAGATTATGAGATATTATGCATCAATAACTTGCTTCCCATCGCCAGAAATGCGCGATAACGGCGCAGCGCCTGCCAGGACGAGCTCACCACAGTTCAGACTCTGCACTACGCTCGCGGGAGCCACCGTAACACACGGCCGACTATCTAATTCCCGCTCCTCTGCAATCCCGTACGTAACAAGTGATCCCTTCTATGCGCCCCATCACTCGCGAACAACCACAGAACGCTGGAAACGCCTCAAGAACCTGAAGAACCACAGAATGCCAGCCGGAATCGACACAAAATACAGACTGGCAGTGCTCTGTGATAATGGGTTAGTTCGGGTCGCAGCTACGAAGGCAGTCGGGCCTAGGGGGAGACGTGGCGAAACGACACATAACAAAGCGGAAACGGACGATGTGGAGGGGAACAGAGGCGATTGCGGGGAAGGGACACGAATTTTGGAATTACGAGCGGATCAAGTGCAGAAGGCGCAAAGGTATTGATCCTATTTTTATTGTGTTTTGTTCTATCACGCGTACTGAATGCCGGCGTGCATTTGCAGCCGTTCACGTCTTATATCAGGCCGTTACATGTGTACCTACAGACGCCAGTGCGCGCGTGGACGACGACGTCAACACATTCGAAGTACTGGGAAGCTGGAGGGATCGGTGAAACAAAACAACGAAACGAAAATGCAAAACCCCAGTGTGGGGGGAGCAGGAAGGAGGAAGGAGTGTGAACCATGACGCAGACGGGAATAGTGCGCGAACGGACGAACGGACAGGAGACGGACGAACGAACGAATGACATTGAGAATTGGGAACAAGGACCAACCACACAGTCAAAGCACGGGGAGGGGGCGCCTCCCGTTCGTTAATGTTGGGGTAAAGCAAACGCCCGGATTCTTACCTGCAGGAAACAAGGCGTCCTGTCCTAATGAGGAAGCGGGATCGTTCGTGTTGCGCCCTGCATGGACGACGGCGAAGGATATCCAGAGAAAGGCGAGATATCGGCCAGGGTGGCCAACCCATTGTAAAGTTTGTCGCGGTTGTTATTGAGGCAAAGACACCGCCGCGGCAGTGGGCGGCAGTGGGAGAAGCAGCGGCGGTGTAGTCGCACCCGATATCTTCACCCCACCCCACCGCGACGCGACGCCGAATCGATTTCCTGGGATTCCTGGGGGTCCTGGATCTGGGAGTATGCATGGTCATGGGTTCGTGCGCTCGTGGGTTCGCAGATTCGGCGCGGTGGTGTTTGGAATGGTGGTGTGGTGTGGTGGAACGGGGATCTGGGTCGAGGGGAGCAGGCAAACGAATGGACGAGCATACGAAAAAAGATGCGCGAGAGTGAGTGACCATAGTAATATTGTGGTCCACGACGAAGATTATTGGCTTTGAGCAAGATTACTGAGTGCGTAGAATTCAGGTTCATTCAAGTAACCATGCCGCAGATTCATGATGGAATCCGTCATAGTCTGCTCAATGTGATCCCTCGCGCGTACACGTCCTTTGAATATTGCAATGTTCGACGTTAGACGGAGGCATTCATACCCCATCCCCCACGGAACCCCTCGTCCCCTTCGAGCACGTATACCCTTAAGCACATCACAAAGTTTGCCGGCGCAGCAGTCAACTGGAAGTTAGCCCGCGCCTCGTCTCCTCTCTCTCTCTCTCTCACGCGGCGGCGCAAGGGCATCTCTGCCTGCTCACACTACAACAAAGTTCTCGAGTACCATGACCCATCCTTCAGGCCACGCGATCGTCAACTCCCGGGAGGCTCGCCTACGCCCATTCGCAATCGCGTACGACAGCAGATACACACTTGGGTACTTGCACTACAACCCCTGAAAAGTCCGGCTATGTATAAAACGTCTATGAAATCCCCGTGTTGCGAAATGGAGCCTACGCCCCAATTTGCAAAGCAGCACTCCGAACAGCCTGAGAGAGTGTGATTAGTGTGGGGATGGCCTACAATAGTTGCCAACATCCCTTATGCAGTGCAAGATGCAACAAAACAAGGTATGAAGCACCAAAGTTCAGAAAGTTGCAATTGGGGATTCTGAACATGACCCAAATACATGTGGCCCAAGTGTTGAGTATGCCCCAGTCTTCAACGGTCTCGTACATGCTGTGCTCCTAGCATCGGCCCTCAAGCCCAAGTCAAACAACTCACGAGTCGTTTATCGTATGGGGCTTTCACACGGTCTCTGAACCTGAACGTTGAACCGCGACGGTCACTATGAATTTACCACCGTCGAGATATGTCGGCTGGGCCATTTTTCACACAGAGGGGTCAGTTTCGCGACAACCACAAGGGGCCCCTTTATCGGATGGCCCTACTTGAAGACAACGATGTTCTGTATTTCTTGTATCAGGCGAGTCTTTTCGGGCAGGAAATGGTGGTATATATTATTTGCTGACCCTTCTTCAGGCTTTGAACCCAGCTCAACGGTTGACATTGACGTCTGTGCAACTCCCACCCATTTCCGTACCAACATGCAGGATCACCGGGTTGCATCGTTCCGAAACCAGATAACAAGTTGCGACGGGCACTGTATCTTCACCGGTCTGCGAGGAGAAGCCCGCCACATAATTTCATTCGCCCGAGGCTCAACGGTAAGCACTTGAGCGATGGCTTGTATGCAGCATATTCTGACACTATCAATAGTGGCTCAAAATCGTTTCCCGAGCTCGTGGGATAGCATTGAATGACATCAACACGGATTCCTATGCCAGGCTGGCTGGCTTTTGGACATGAGCGAGATTGCAGTTCTTGTTGTACGTCCACCTTTATATTCCCCGCCTTGCTTAGATCTTAGTTCTCTTCAAGACCCCAAACCAAATACTGCGCCCTGAAGATGTTCCTCAAAGTAATCTCCCTTTCGATGATTTCGACACTCGGCCCCCTGCTGAGACTACTTACCAACTTCAGAGGTTGAATGAAAGTCAGCGACCCCGCAGATTCCCGTTTCCTGTTGATGCACGCTACGAACAATAAAGTTGGGTCGTTGCTCGATTACTCGGAAGATACTCTCCCACACCCCTTTCTTCTTGAATACATGTATGGATTAGCCATCGTTGGGACCTTTGGTTCGAAAAGGACATGGTGAAACGCCCCCAAGGCCATCCAAGCAGAAAACTGGTGCCGAATACGATTCCCCCCTTTCCCCGCACGCCCCTCGCAAGTCTGAGTCATCATCCGCTTCCACGAATCTTCCATCCACACCATGTGAAGCTAAGCAACCGAACGACCTTCCAGACTATATCTACCAGGTCATGCAAATACAGCTTGCACAGCAGGATGAGAGGGAGCAGAAGGAGAAGTCCATAGACATCAAGCGCTGGTTGGAGCATTGTAGTGCTCCTAGCGAGATGGAGGAGTTATAGATACAAGAACCGCCCTTCAAGTTTGGCCTCAAACTTCTGCCCAAACTCCCCCGACTCCCCATACATCACATCTCCATCTTCCACTTCATTGGCCTGGCCAACCTCAAGCTACATTAGTCCGTCAAATCCGGTCTGGTCACAGGCCGGCTCCATGTCAATCAACTCAGAAATGTCTGTTTGTTGCGTCTCGACGGCGGCTCTGCTCCAGCGTCACGGTGTATGGTAAGCCACTACAATATTGTGACTACTTACTAGATGAAGGGATCGGTCATAAGAAGCCCCCTGGTAACGGACAGAGTAACATCTTTTTTCTAGATTTTGGTTTCCGTCGGGCCTTTGGTATATTTTGACTTGCGGTATTGGTTGATTGTATATTGCACTGAAATTTGCCAAAAAAATCAGGAATTTGGTGACTCCTTGTGAGGAACGCAGCCTGCATTGGCTCCGAGTCCGAGTCACCCCATGTAGAACGCGAACAATCAGTGTATTAGCTTCGGGCACATCAAGATGTAGGCAACTTTCTGATACTGTATTTACAGAAAACATGTATTGTGATCTCTACCGCTAGAACAATGGGCACTCGTTGGTGAAAAGATCAGGGATGAAACCATTGGAAGGGAATAGGGTCACTAATACCGAAGTTTAGAGGGATGTATATGAGAAACCATTGTACATCAAAAGTACGGAAACTGACGAATTCCATCAAAAAATGGACTTACGTGGACTTTATACTGACTTGGGCAAAATACTGAGATTGAGCAGCGACGCTTGGTCGATGACCACGTGGCCGACGACTTCGCACTGGATGGAGTGTTATACGCGCGCACCATTTTGAGCATTCATTTACTATAAATTACCCAATACCCATGGTCAAGAGAGACCTCTACTCCAAGTACGTTCTCGACGATGCCAAATACACCAGTGAATTGCCCAAGAGATCCGACAGAAATTTCGCAGCAAACAATGAGATGGCAAGGCTTCACACACTACGCGTGAACTTGGTGATGGTTCCTCCCTTGCGTATGTTCCGCCTGCTCTATACGCGTAATCGCTAATTTCCACCGTCGAAGCTGAAGCCCGAGGTCGATTGCTAGGCACCGATCACCTCGCGTAAAACCCACAACTTCCTGAAGCCGACCTTCACCCCAAAGTTCATCGTACCTGGCATCCAAAATAGAAACTGTGCATCATACCGATTCATACATATCATACATCGACACGAGGAGAAAGCGAGGCGATGAAGGCGATATCATTGTGGATCAGTGTGTGTCCTATGTTGCGGTTGCGGGGCCGGTCAGATCATAGATACGTAGATGGCAGCCTACCAACAACTATAGGGTAGTTTCCGTGGATTGGGTTGACCCGCAGGCATCAACGGGCCTGAGGCCTGATCACCGACCGAACTCATGAGTGGTTCTTGGGTAATGGGGTGATGAATAGACGGTATTGCGTGCCTGGCAGTGCGTACCGATTATCCAGACCATGAACCAATGAAGTTTGGAGCCGGGAGTTAAGGCGATGTTTAGTTGTCGACTTAGGATATTGGAGCGAACGCTGATGCCTACCCAGTGACTTAACAGCTTGGAGCTACATATAGGTGCGTACGTGAGCATACGATTGTACTGGGATACCGACAGGCACGGTACAAGGATTGACTCACTCATTTAAGGTCGACTACAGCATCAAGTAGTAATAGGGAAGCTGAAGTCTTGACGGCTATTGAGTGTTCAAATACCTGTCGGACAGCTGGGAATGGGAGGATAGGGCCACAGCATCGCGAAACAGCTTGAGGACGAAGTGCCGTGGGTACAGTAGGCGTACTGGTATTTGGAGTAGGCAATAAATAGACCACCTACGCGAGTTTGTTCCTGAATACAAGGATGGGGATTAGACGTGATGTTGGCATGATGCGGCGCTGGCCAGCCGCCGAGGCCCAAGGGGAATGAATCATCTGACCGAGAAGGCAAAGCAGAGGTGCTGTGTACACGGACGGCGATCAGACAGGATTCTGGGGGAACCACTTAGATTTCGGATGGATATGGACGCAAAGGAGTGACACGATATTTTGCTAACTCGGACAAGGCGCGCATTCGTTACGTTCCCGAACAGCACGCCGCCCTGTGTCTCGGTGACTGTATTCTGTACCTCTTTTTGTGCGCCTGGCCTTCATCATTCATCAGCCTCCCTCTCGTCAATAATAGGGAACCGAAATCATGGAAGGGAGACGACCGGTGAAGCCTAGATTTGTGGTGAATAAATGTCCGTTTAAAACTTGAACGGAGACGGAAGCAAACGAAGCACCCTGGTTCAGCCCCGGCTCGGGTAATCCGTCGAGTCGTGGCGTCCGCAGCTCCTTCTTGCCTCCCAAATCTCATGAATTACTTCCTCTGTACTCACCCTCTACTTCGCCGAATGATCTGAAACCGATGATATGGTACGATGATAACTCACAAATGTGTTTGGCGCTAGACGTCAGGGAGTGGCGGTGCCCATGTGTTTGAGACGACGTGATATCATTGTGTCGGTGTCTGGAGCTGTGCGTGAGCTATGTTACGGTCTGCATTCTGCACTATGGAAATTGTATCATCTTTGTTAAACTCGAGAGAGCGAACGTGGATCTAATGCAATAAATAGGTATCGTAACGATACCAAGCTTCGGCACCAAGACGGATATGAACGTGCCTGTGGCCACGGGTCATTGGGCATTGCGGCGGCTCAGGCATGCTCAAGCCAAGGGTCTCTGATTGAACTGATTGAGACCGTTTGTCGAATCGCTCGAGTATTGCAAAACTCACAGAAGATGATTCTCAGAGATTTCGGATGTTCATGGACTCTGTGGACGCTCGGCTCGGTAAAGCACATTGTCGATCAGGACAGTTCGGGTCGCATCCCCGTGCACGGAGATACCCACCCTATTGCCCGCAAGCGTTGCGCTGCAAAGCTGAGGTCTGCAAAGTCCAAGCCTCCAGAGGACGAGACAGGCCGGAATTCGGTGCTTGGTGACAGGATAAATGCAGGCTGGGAGAGGAAGATTCCGTCTGACATGCTAAGTTGCTGGGAAAAGACAGAAAAATAAATAAATAAATGATGACCAGGCACATAATCAGTGCCTGAAGTGGCAGATAAGTGTTTGGCGGTTGTCGCCTCCCCAATTCACTCCTCTGGCGCATCCATCCATCATCTCCTTCCTCCCCTCCGTCGTCGTCGTCCCCCACGACGACCTCAACGCTCTCTTTCCTTTTCTTTCAAGCGACACATTTCCTTGGACTCTTTCTACCGAACATCCTTCTACTCTAGACGACCGCTAGCGAGCCAGCCATGCCAGCTGGGCCAACAACGGCAGACTCACAGAGGCCGTACACTGCGGCTGGTGGTCGCCCATCGACCTCCGCAGGGATGTTTGATCACGATCCACAGTACACCTACTCGCAAGAGTACACTCTCGAGGAGGAGGACGAGAGTGAGGATGAGGACGTCTTTGCTTTTCTCCCACCCTCAACCGCGGACGGTCAGAACAACCCACAGCAGGAATTCCGTTCCCAGCAGCCAACATACGATAGCGAAGTTGCTCCTGGATATCAAGCGCAGCCCCAGCCGCCAACAGCACCGACCCCGAGCGAACATGCCGCCGCGACAACGGCCCCAGCTTATCCCTCACCTACGTTTGATCCATACGCACGCTATCCCGCCGACACAGTGGCTTCTTCGACTGCCCTCGTCGGCTTCCCACCCTCCGGTCCTTCTTCGCCTTTACCACAAGGATTGTCTCAAACGCCGAGCACCAATAATCCATACATGACCACCTTACTCACCCGAACCCCCAGTACAACTTCACATCGCTCAATACATAATCGTAACACAGGGCCTTATACGCAGCCTTACACCTATGGCACCAGCGACCCCCCGCCATCCACCGATAGCGACGCGAACGACGACCCGTACAGAATGCGGAAAATCAGTTCCAACAAAGAGCACGCAATTCCGACTACAGCGACGACGATGAGCCACCCTGGTACTGCTACAACAAATGCATCATCCCGTGAAGTACGCGTTTCCCTGCCTTCCGGTCATGGTCAGCACGAAAAGGATCTGGAAGCAGTGAGGGAGACGCCGAAGCGTATGACGACTGGCTCTACGGACGCCGACTCGCTGAGCTTGGGGCCCAGCTTGATTGAGGACTATGACGAGAGTAGAGAAGGATCCATCAAGTGAGTTCCTTTTATCTCCACCTTTTTTCTCCCAAGACTTCGACCCTTGCATCCAACTTCTGCGCTCTTCCTTCTTGCACCCGCGAGAGGTCTTCTGCGGGAGTCGCGAAGTTCGAGTGAGTGATATGGATATGACCAATATCCCGGACGTGTCATTATGAACAAGCGACGGCATATTTGACCAACTTGCCCGTTCTCTGGGCTTCCCTCCATGTGCCATGGCCCTCGGACCAACTTGATTCGGGCTTTGTATACGAACGCCCTTCATGATCAAGCCTTTCGGTGAATTCCTTGGTTGGAGTGAAGTATCTTTGGCGTCTTCGTGTACCCAGAGCTTTGGCTTTGGCTTTAGCTTCACTCGTTAGGCTTACGAGGGCCGTATGTGAACCTCCGAAGGATGATTCCCTCTTCCTGGCGTTTCTCTCTTATTGGCCTTGCCTGCGGCCTATTTTCGAGGTCGCCGCTTTCACTCCCTCTTCTATGCGTTCATCCAGAGTTGATCCCGTTACTGACCAGTATCCCCTTCCCACTCTTTCTCATTTTCCTACATATCCTTGCGATGCATCTAGGATGGAGTTCGACTTCGATGCTATCGAGGAAGAGGATAGCCCTTACCCCGAGGTTAGGGCCTCCGTGTCAAACATCGACGATCCCGATATGCCAGCGATGACAATTCGAATGTGGTTTGTCGGGTTGTTCTTGTGTATGATTAGCAGGTACGCATCTTCCAGTTTAGTTAGCTGTGCAATTTTCGATTGATCGCGCTGCAGTGCGATGAATGTTTTCTTCAATTTCCGTTCCCCCGCTCCAACGGTTGTACCACTGGCACTACTCTTGGTCGCATATCCTTTTGGAAAACTTCTGGCCTTCTCCCTCCCTATCACGACTTACCGGCTCCCACTCCCCCCACTCCCTGCATTCTTGTTTCGATCGTCGCCATCGCCTCCTACATCAATCGAGTTCTCGCTGAATCCTGGCCCGTGGAATATCAAAGAGCACGTTCTTGTCTATATCATGGCCAATGTCGCGGTCGGTTCGCCCTACGCTCTCAATGCTATAGTTGTCTCCGAAGTGTTTTACGAAATCGAATTGGGCTTCTGGTTTAATTTGGTGTTGGTTCTTGCAACGCAACTCACGGGTTTCGGGCTGGCCGGTCTTTGTCGGAGATTCTTGGTCTGGCCTGCTAGCATGGTCTGGCCGCAGAATTTGGTTGCCTGCGCACTTCTCAACACGCTACATGCTGAAGACGACGAAGGGACCGGAGGCATTTCAAGATATAAATTCTTCATGTTAGTTACTGGGGGTACATTCGTGTATTTCTTTCTCCCTGGTAAGCCCATTTTCTCTGACTGCACCGTCCCCTGCTGGTTCTGACACCTCTGGAAAGGTTTCCTGTTCCAAGCCCTCTCCATCTTCTCATACATTTGCTGGGCAGCACCGAATAACGTCCCGGTGAACCAATTATTCGGCGTGCACTCCGGCTTGGGAATGGGAGTCTTGACATTTGATTGGACGCAGATAAGTTGGATTGGGAGTCCGCTGATGGGTACGTTCACATTCTTATCTCATATGTTTTCCCGCTGTCTTCCTTTCTCCCTTCCTGTCCACCTGTCAGTTATCTTCCCTGCGGGACGCTGATATTATTTGTTATTTTTAGTACCGTGGTGGGCTGAAGTCCATATTTTCTTCGGATTTGTGCTGTTCTATTGGATTTTGACACCAATCTTGTACTACACGAACGTGAGCCCTCTTCATTTAACCAAATGCACTATCGTCTGACATCATCCTGATAGACATGGTATCTCGCCCATTTCCCCATGTCTGCCAACGAGCCGTACGATCGTTTCGGCAAGTCTTACAATGTCAGCAAAGTGTTGAAGCACGATGACACCTTCGACCTCGAGGCATACAACAATTACTCGCCATTATATCTTCCGGCTACCTACGCCATGACGTACCTTTTGGCCTTCGCGCTGAGCACATGTGTGATCGTGCACACTGCGCTGTATCACGGGAAGAGCTTATGGAACGGCGTGAAGAAGATGAGGTTGGAGCAAGATGACATCCACGCGAAGTTGATGAGGAACTACCCCGAAGTGCCAGATTGGTGGTATGCGAGTGCATTTATCTTGTTCTTCTGCTTGGCCGTGGTCGCAGTTGAGGTGGGTCTTTGCTATCATATCTTCTTTGGGAGACGATATCGACGCAAGGTTGTAGGTTTGGGATACCTCAGTCCCAGTTTGGGCCTTGCTATTGGCAGTCCTCCTTCCTGTCGTCTACATCTTGCCTTCTGGGTTCATCTACGCCATGACAGGTCAACCAGTAAGTATTCAAATTGTTGGTTGTCAACTAACGCTCACCGATCGTCATAGATTTCCCTGAATATCCTTGCTCAAATCATTCCGGGCTCGCTGCTACCGGGTAATCCTCTTGCGAACATGGTCAGTCGCCGAGTTCAACCTTCTCGTCACTCGGAATCTAACTACCGCCGACTCTTGATAAGGTGTTCAAAGCGTATTCCGTACAAACTTTGACTGCTGGTACTTCCTTTGTGCAAGATCTCAAGCTCGGCCATTACGTGAAAGTCCCACCGCGCGCAACCTTCCTGGGTATGATTCAAGGCGGACTTCAATGACGTTTTAGCTAACTTCTAAGTGTAGTTCAATCTGTTGCAACGATCTTGGCTGCGTTCATCCAAGTCGGTGTCAAGCACTGGATTTTCACCAACATCGAAGGAATATGTACACCCACTCAACCAAGCTCGCTTACTTGCCCTCACAATCAAGTCTTTTTCACCGCTTCGGCTGTTTGGTACGATCCATCCCTTCCTTTTTCTGTTGGGCATTATCTGAATCGTTTCTCAGGGGCCTCATTGGGCCAAGTCGACAATTTGGGTCTGGATCAATTTACCACCCACATCTCTATGCTATAGCCATCGGCGCGGTTTTGCCTGTACCGTTCTGGCTATGGCAGCGCCGATATCCCGAATCTTGGGTTAAATATGTCAGCACACCGGTCATTCTGAACGGTGTCGGCGCGATCCCTCCCGCGACCGGTATCAACTACTCTTCTTGGTTCCTCGTTGGCTTCATCTTCCAATATCTGATCCGGAAGAGAAATTTCGCCTGGTGGAGCAAGTTCAACTACGTGACTAGCGCTGCTCTTGACAGTGGCACAGTCGTCGCGCTCATGTTGATTTTCTTCACGTTACAGGTGAGTTTCTCATGATATTCCCCAGTTTGCTGTCTGTTGAAAATATTGCCGTCGTAGTTCCCAAGGAATGGCACGATACAAGTTGATTGGTGGGGTAACACTGTCTTCCTAGATAGTACGTATCTCTCAAATTTTATGCTCGGATGCGTTGCTCATAACTTTGGCAGCCGCGGATTTCAGGCGTGAAGCACTGCGACCAATTCCTATAGATGGCATTCGGCCATGATTGATTCATAATATTTGAAAATCTATACTATTCCTAGCCCTTCGCACTCATGGGGTGATGATGGCGAATGGATGGGCTTGGTTCCCTTCGTACCAGAATGTATACGTCAACTTCTCTTCACCCTCTACATGTTACGCAACAAGACTAAATCCACACATTACGTTTCCCTCTGCGGCCGCTCAAGCTTCGCAACCTCTGTAATGCACCTCCTCCATCGCATCACTTCCTCCCTCCTACCATTCTCGAGCTCTCTCATGTAACGGTCACGACTCGTCGGCTTTAAATATCCGCGCCAATTGTCGCCCCAAAGATAGTCAGTAAAACACTCAGATTTATGGTTCGGGTTATATTGTATAGGCTCTTGATCTCTTTTACTGGCCCAGGCATTGGGTTGTACTCTCGGCTGCTTCACAAGCACGCCGCCTTCAAGTCGATATTGGGTTAATTTCTCCTTCGATATACCTTGGATTCCAAGCATTTCAGTCATTCATTTTACGGTTTTCTTATTACCCACTTTACACTAATATTCTCGATGGATGACTTGTATTCTTTTCAACCCCCTCGGACCGTTTGAACACGAGAGTAGAACGAAACCCCTTTTGTTGATACGCGTAGTAAGGCTAGTGTAGAATGCAATACTAAAATTGCCAAGTCCAGTTTTTGCTTGTCTGAATCCCCTGCAGCATTAATTTTTCGCCCTCAAAAACCATAAGTAACACTCTGAGCTCAGAGCGACTGCTTATTGGGTAATGTTTGTAACCCCTATTGCTCATCCCTTTCAGAAAGCGAAAGGGACCCTTGGCCGGTAGCTGCGCGGAGGCTGTCATGGGAGTAATACTAGTAATAGGAAGAGAACCAAAGGTATATAGATGTATAGCTCCTACTCATGATTGAAACATCTCTCGTCTATCACTATTTCATCCACCTCAACTTGGAAGCTCGTGCGGATCATCCCCTCGTCAACCATCGTCTTCTTAGGGTGGTCCGTTGCAGAACCACAGTAGTCGCACCTGATATGGCCGTAATTACAACTCGGGCATGTCCCATCCGGCGTAGTACTTGTGCCGAAGGCCTCCTTGCGTTCTCGCAATGTCGCGATTCGCACAAGTCGGTGTATGCCTCCATTCAAGCTCACGCCGTGAAAGACATCATTCACGTCGCCTTCATCCAACGGAGATTCGCGTGTGGCAAAGCCAAGGTATCCTTTGATCAACCAGTTGCTCACTCTATAGTCGCGCCCATACCGAACCATCTCTCCGTGAGAAAGGTTCAGAGTATTCATCGTCTCGATGGCATAACTTCGAACGTCTAAGAGTCTCCACTTCGTCGATAGCTTCAAAACTGATTCCCAGACCTCCGTCGACGCGATGGCCTTGGGTTTGAAGCTACTAGAGGCGAGCGAGGTCTTATTCAAGATTGCATCATTATTGGTTGGTGCTTACAGAGGACACAGCACTTCGAGTAGCCGTTCAAAATCGCGCTTGGAAGTATCAGGCAATATGATGGGATGTTCATCGCTTGTCCCTTCTACGGGACCATCGCCCGTGGGCAATGAGCGAGATGCAAGTGTCTTGAATGGTTCGGTATCGAAAGTGATGCACCGTATCGGAATTTTGAACAGCTCATCCTCAACCTAGAACAAAAAGTAAGGGGAAGACGTGGCTTTCGCAACAGCCCGACATGACGCACTTTGAACGTAATGCACTCGAGGTAGAAGTTGCTGTTTCGGCGGGATGGTAGAGCAGCTTCGTCAGACATCGTGGACTGCGTTACTACAGATTGCAAGGACCCATCGGACCTCGTCATGTGCTTTAAATATTGGCGCGAGAGAAATGAATTAAACGTATCAGCCTTGATGCTTGCGCGAGGCTATAAGAAGGGTGTTCGACTACAACGGCCGCAGGATCGATTATATCAGTTGGCCCACAGCTAGAACTCGATTCTATTGTGACGAGGTAAGCAATCAACATGCTGCCAACATGTGGCAGAAAAGATCATATCCGATGCGCGGTTCTGTTGTTATCGGTCCAGATGGGTGCTGAGAAAGTGGCCCGCAGTCCAAGTAGCAGAAGTCCCTTCTGAACTCACGCATTTCCATAAGCAACCGCCTTCTCTTCTAAAATTGGCATAAGATGGTACAGCGCACTACAGCCGACGTAACCACACATTAACCATGCCACCGTCATTGCTTGTGCTAAGTGGATTCTTTTTTGTGAGTACGAAAAGGGAATCCGTTGAAAGAAATCGAGAGTACATACCTATTTCTTCTTCCTCTTCCTTTTCAAACCTTTCATATTGCTGGATGTGGTGAGAGTGTCCTCGGAAGGGATTTCAGCCTCGTTTGCATCCGAAGCAGTTATAACCTTGTCCGCAAGAAGGAGCGGCGTGGTCAGATACTCCTTGAACTCTTGTTGAATCCTATCGTCGGAGTTGTAGGTGACGGCGCCTCTCACGGCCTGCGGTGGGAGGTAGGACCCAGAACCACCTGCATGGCTGGAGTGACAGACTTCACGGATGGCGGCAACTCCCAGCGCGCACTCGATGCCGATGTGCAATAAGTCAGCCATGGAAATCGGCTCCGCACGCTGAATGAGCTTGTTCATTGCAGGGACAAACCAGACTTCAACGTCGAAGCCAATGGCCAGCCCCAACCATCAGGCAGGATCGGCAACGAGCTCAGGAATATTCCTGATAGCATTCGTTCGGGTGTCTTCCATCTCCCATAACGTCGAGAGCTTCAATACGGCCAACCACTGATCTAACGTCAATAGAACCGGCGTGCTAATACCTCTACTCACGAAGAATCAGCATTCACCAAAAGTGTATATGAAGGTGAATTGCGTACTTGGGATAAAGGTACTTCAGCAAGTTGCAAAAATCGACTCGATCGATATCATCAAGTCTCAGCGGCTGCTCGTCGGTGAGCCTGTCAGGAGTTGCATCGCCAGATGGAAAACCAAACATTAAACGAAATATGACCGATTCAGACTCGATTTTGTGTCGAGGGACGCTAAATAATTCATTTCCGACCTAGTTTGAGTGATTGGTCAGTTTCATCCATGGCTTCATAAAGAATAAAACACGCTCACCAGAAAAATGATAGGTTGAAGTAGTAATCAGCGTTATGATGATAGACCACTTTGGGGACGTCACGGTGGACGTCCCAACGGGCTCCGACTGCTTTGAGGGCTCTGCAACTATGGAAACTTCAAGCGACGGCGGGTAGGATGGTAGTTCCATAGGAATTGACACAGGGAACTTTGGTCAATCGTCGCCTTTTAAGTCGCAGGATACAGTAAAAATAGTCAGAGGGGTAAGGCTCGCCAAGTGACAAATGAAAGGCATCGAGGGTTCCTTCCTTCGTTTTAAGCATCAGACGGTGGATCAGGATGCAGATGAGACATGTAGGCCGGCTTGTTTAATGCTGGAAGAAGTCGAAGTCGGCGACTCGGCCTGAAACAGTGCGCCGTTGGGTGGGAAAGACAAGGAGAATTCGACAGACCACTACCTTGTCCTAGAGACTGTGTTTGAATCACCTATTCCGAGGGTTTATGAGTGGCCTGCGGCATAGCGAATTTCGCTGAGACAAGTATGAGTTTACACCTTGGGCTGCACGAACACTTGCGACACCGAATCGTCTTGAGATGTCGAAGCAGATAGATCATATAGAGCCGACCCAGTCTAAGCGCGAGAGTCGCAAAAGTTCAAAGCACTTCATGAATGCGACATAATCGACATTAACGATGGGCGTATATACGCACCCCCCTACTCGCGATTAAAACATTTCTCGTCCGCCACTATTTCAGCGACCTCGACTTTGAAGTTCATACGGACCGTCCCCTCATCGACCACCGTTTTGACAGGGGAGTTTCGCGAAGAATAGCGGGAACAGTTCATGCACCGCACTTCGCCGAATACACAGACTGGACAATTCCAACCCCTTGTATTGGAAAGCTTGTTTTTCTCGTGCAAACCCACAACTCGCATGAGTTGGCGCACGCCCTCATCTAGACTCAAACCCTGCATGATATCTTTGGCATCGCATTCGGATAACGGAGCTTCTTGTATCGCGAAACCTAGGCACCCTTTGATCACCCAGTTGCTGACTTTGTAGTCGCGCCCATACCGAAGCATATTCTGATGGGAAAGGCCTAATTGGTTCATCGTCTCGATGGCGTAACTTCGAACATCCAAGAGTCTCCACTTTGTCGATAGCTTCAACACCGAGTGCCAAATCTCCACAGACGTGATAGGCTTGGGTTTGAAGCTTCTGTACGCGAGAACGCCGGTAAACCTATAGTGCATGAGGATAGTACCGTCGCTAGAACACTCACAGAGGACACAACACTTCAAGTAATCGTTGAAAATCTACCTTGGAAGTATCGGATAATGCAATCGGAGATTCATCGCTCATCCCTTCTACAGGACCATCGCCTGAGGGCAAGGAACGAGAGGCAAGTGTTTTGAATGGTTCGGTATCGAAAGTGATGCATCGGATAGGAATTTTGAATAGTTCGTCTTCGACCTAGATAGACCAATGTCAGTACATTGCTCATCGTGGTCTGATGTGACCTTGGGCAGACCTGAAAGGTGATCCAGTCGAGGTAGAATTCACTGTTGTGGCGTAATTGTGGAGGAGCTTCGCCAGACATCGTGGATTGCACTATAATCAATCGTGAAGACCCATCGGACGTCGTGTGCTTTAAGTATTCGATACACTTGAGCATATCGGCCTTGATTCTTGCACGAGGCTCTAAGAAGGCTGATTCTAGATTACAGCGGCCGCGGTACTGGGATCAATGGGCCTACAGAGTCAGGTGTCAGAAGCTTCAACACTTCACTTGTGTCCTCGATCTGCGGCGAGGTAAATGACAAACACGCTGCCGACATGTGGCAGGAACATATCACATCCGCTGCGCAGTCTTGTTATCAATCCGGAACTTGCGAGAACTGGAGAAGTAGTCTTCAGCCCAAGAAAACGAGGGGCTCTTCTAAATTCAAGCATTTAGTGTAGCGGAAGCAGCCGTCTCCCCATTGAAGTTGACATAGAATAGTACCTGGCACTACATTATGCTTGATCATACATCGACTATGTCACTGGTATTCGCTGCCGTAGTTGGGCTGGCTGAGGGTGCAACCTATAGAAGAGTCCGTGAGTACAAGATGAACACATGCATTCGACGCAATGAATACTTACTTTTTTCTTCTTCCCCAACGACGTTGGCTTCTTTTTGGGCTTGGGGGATGCAGGAGGGTTCAGATATACAGCAGTCAAAGCCTTATCGGCGGAAAGAAGCGGGGTAGTTAGATGATCCTTGAACTCTTGTCCAATCCTGTCGTCGCAATTGTAGGTGACTGGGCCTCTCACAGCATGCGGGAGTATGCATGAGTTCGCCACATCTGCGTGCTTGAAGTGACAGACTTCACGAATGGCGGCAATTTTCAGTGCGCACTCGATTCCAATATGCGCCAAGTCAGCGGTGGAAATGGGCTCGGCACGCTGAACAAGTTTGTTCATCGCAGGGATAAACCAGGCTTCGACATTATAGTCAATGGCTAGCCCTAACAATTGGGCGGGATCGGCCACCAGAGAAGGGATTGTCTCGATAGCATCGTTTCGGATGCGGTCCATCTCCCACCGTGTTGATTGCTTCAGGACCGCTAACCATTCAGCCAGCGTCAGAGGAAGCGGTCTTTCGATACCTCTGCTCGTTCCAGCGAGATATCAACGTCTACTCAACTGTATCCTACGGGTCGATTACGTACCTGGGGTAGAGGTACTCGAGCAGGCTGCTGAACTCGACGCGATCGATTCCGTCAAGTCTGAGTGGCTGTTCGTCGGTAAGCCCGTCCGGAGTCTTATCTCCGGGTGGCAGATCGAACATAGAACGAAATATCACTGATTCGGATTGGAACTTGTGTCGAGGGACGTTGAATAACTCATTTTCAACCTGAAAGGAGTAAATGATCAGGTCAGTGGTCCCTCAAGACTGCGGGGTATTCACCAAGAATATGACATTGCTGAAGTAGTAATCGACATTATGAGGAAATGTCGCTTTGGGAATGTCGGCTTGCATGGTCGCTGCGGGCACTACGGATGTCTGGGACGATTCAAGCCTTCGGACTATGACTCTATAGGCACGATGCAGAATTCGTGGTGAGTCGCCGCCTTTCAACTTCAACTCGTGCTGCGCAGTAAAAATAGTCTGTGTGAGTCTTCTGCCTCGAGGACTTGCTAGGCAATGAACCGTGGTGCATGATGGACACTAATTTGCCTGCTCATATAGCCGCACTTGGGAAAAGCGCAGCTCTTCGCCTACAATTGCAACTCACCCTGGAACAGGAAGCTAGCTAATCAGTAAAAAGATGCTCCAATGTGGCTCAGCCCCTACAGTGTAGTTGGCATACCGGTACCTCGATGGCCGACGTTTGTATCCTGTCCTTGTGCCAAGGTAGGATCAATTTGATTTTGTCTTATCGTCGTTTAGTGCCATACGTAGGCTATTCTTTGACGAGCTTGACATGGTTGGTCGCTGGTGAGAAGAAACCTCGCCGCCCACTGGAGGCGGCCCGATGGCGGGAATCAAGTTGAATTTTTGCCTTTTTTGTATGAGGCCCTTGCTCATTATGTAAGTAAATTCACGGCACGAGGGAATCACTCCCTCATACTCGCTTGAGGAGTCGTTGTCTATCCCAGCTCCGGCGTCGAAGGAGACTATCCCGATGCGACCTCAGGTCCCTCGAAACAACGAAACTTGCTTGCTAGTTACGTTACACGTTAAGTATGATTGACCGCAAAAAATGAGGGCGGTTAGACGAAGCAAGGCTGCAAGAACTTCTTCAATCCATCATAATGGAAGACAAGTTTCAGGCCCGTGACTTCGTCACGCATGGGACTCAGGCTTCCATGATAGATATACTGTACCATTTTGACCGTAGGTTCACGGCCCATTACGCGTTATGGCACATGTTCACCTGGGAAGAGGTTCACAACCCCGTGTGACACATTACACTGTAAGGTTGAGGTTCATGTTCACTGGGATTAGATTACTGTTATGCTGTTCAATGAAAACTGGAGTTATATTAGATGCTTTAGAGCCCTCAAATTTGCCCGAGATAATTTATTCAATTTTTAGCCATTTTCCGGAAATATGTTACTAAGCCCCTAAGAGGTTCACTCGTCAGTGTTACCCGTGATGAACACCCATCAAGGTTCAGTTCACACACGACCATTATGTTTTACTGAACCTACAGTCAAATGATACAGTAATGCAGAAAACTCAAGTTAGGAACTGTGGCTTTGGGATACATATATGAATTCCATTCATTGAATACATCTTAAAATCTTGTTGATCAATGATGTTCTGCACATTTGGCACATGACAATTCCTTCCACTCTCCCCTGTTCCCCTGTTCTAGTGCTCCCATTAAATCAGAGGTGGTGTTCACTTCATTTATCACATAGTTTTCCTCAGATTTATAGTTAAGAGTAACATAAAAGGACATGGAATAAAATCAATGGGCCATCCTCTGCTCTGCTTAAATTGGATTCATTTTGAGTGGTAAGGGTGTCTCATAGGAATAAAAGGGGTTGGAAGTCATTGGGGCAGAGTTTATAGGTAAATATTATTTTTCATAATCCCTCATCTATATAGTACTGATGTTTACCTGTTCTGCTTGCTCAGTAACACTTTCATGGAACTTGGAGATTTGGAAATTTGGGAATTCAGAAAGTAGTCCAACATACTTGGATCCTCTCAACATTGCACAGCTTCATAATCATGCAATTGTTACATTGTAAAACCTCACAATTGTACTACCACAAAATCATAGTTAAGTTGTAAGTCACTCTGAGAGGTTTTGTTATAGGCACATCCAGGAGGTGTAAGGGGACACTCCTATTTTCTCTCCTTTCCTTCATCCCATGGACTCTTACCTACATTTCCTTCGTTCCCCTTTGTTCCTTTTCGCTTCCTTTCCTTTCCACTTCCTTTCCGCCCACTCCTTTCGCATCCGAGCCACGTCCGGTGACTCCGGAGTCTTCCCGCGCCTCGGACTCGCCTCAGACTCGCTTCGGACACCTCGGACTCGTAGATACACTCCGGGGCTCGTCCGGGCTACCTCTATCCTCCTTTCCCACTTCATTACTCCTTGTCCCCACTTCCCCAGGTCGCTGGCACGACTCCTGTACATTCCCCTTCCACTTCATTATCACATGCCCCCTCGTACCTTGTGATATTCGTTCGTACCTGTGGCTGGTGTACTGTACAGTTACCCTTCATTCCTCCCACGCTACTACAGTATATACTTCGCTTCCTAGCATGGAGAATCCCCATCCTGTTCTCTTTGGATTCTCCCTCTGCTAGGTGAGCAGCTCTCTCATGTATTGTAGTTAGCCTTATTCATCTCTTTGGATTCTCCCTCTGCTAGGCCTGCGCTGTCGGCCATCTTGAGGTTGCCCTTACAGCAGAACAGGATCTCCCATCCTGGCACCAGAGCCCTACGGAAAACGTCCTGCGCCACTCCGGACTCGTTCTCGACGTCTCTCCGGTTTTGCGGACATTCCGGACGCTCTCCTGCTACTCCCACCCACCTCTGAGGACCCAAGGAACTCCATCCCTCACTCCCCTGACGACTCCGAAATGCCAGGCGCCTCCAGCCAGATCCCGCCATCCGAGCCAGTCGCTTCAGGACCGGACTCCGAGACTTTGCAGACCTTGTGGGCTCAGACGTACGAACACCAAACCCAAATCAGCTCCATCCAGGATACACTCGCCCGAATTGAAGGACTCCTCTTAACACCCCGTCCGAAGACTCCGAAAACAACTCCGGACTCCGAGCTGAGGGGCACCGAAGCCTCCCAGCACGCCCCGAGTCGATCCGAAAACACCCCACGTTCCCGCCTGAAGCCCGCCTCTCCCCCGATCTTCGACGGGAACCGCAAGGATGGTCGCGCGTTCTACAACGCATGCTCCATCTACTTCCAGCTCTGTCCGGACCACTTTCCGACCGAGCAGGCCAAAATCCTCTGGTGTCTCTCCTTCTTCCAGAAGGATCGAGCTAAGGAGTACGCGGACATGGTGCTCCGGAGTCCGAAGGATCCGTACTTCGCATCCTGGGCCGCCTTCGCAACCGAGTTCCGGACTCGCTTCCTTCCGGATCAGGAACGCGAAGCTGCCATGCTAAAACTGGAGTCCACCTGGTACCACCAAGGGCGCCGGACTTTCCAGGAGTACCTCGACGAGTTCCGGGACCTTGTAGACCAGTCCGGATACACTGAGGGCTCCAACATCACGATGAAGTTCCGTCGTGGATTGGACTCCATCATCCAGAGCCGTGTTGCCGAGTCCGCAGACTGTCCGGACGAGGATGACTTCGAGGAATGGTACAAGGCAGCACAGCGGGTTGCTGACAACCGTGCTGCTAACCAATCCTTCCACTTTGGCGTGCACTCCGGAAACTCCGGACACTCCGGATCCCTCGTCCGACCAGCAGCTGGCTCCGGAGTCGCTCGGACTCCTGCGGGTGTGCTTCCCGCGCCTCGGACTCAGCTCCCGCCTCTGCAACCCCGTTTCCAACCTCCGCCTCCTCCAAAGGCTCTCTCACCCGGTGTCCCAATGGATGTCGACCACACCCGCTCCCGACCCGCCACCTCGCAGCTCTGCTACCGATGCGGCAAACCCGGCCACATGTCCCGCGAGTGCCCACTTCGGTACGATGTCCGGTTCATGACCACCGAGGAGCGGATGTCCGCCATCGAAGATCTCCTGACCGCGGCCGATGTTGTAGAAAGTGTGGGGACCTCGGAAGGAATAGACGATGAGGGAACGGCCCCGGTTGAGGAATCGGACACGGCGGATTTTGTCCGGACCAACGAGTGATCAGTGCGACCTCGTTGGTAAATAACCGATTTGCTTGTCTTAGCGTAGACGAAATAGACAATTCCAATCACTCCGATGATTCGTCCGACGTTAAGCAAGCAACTCCGGTTACAATCCGCACACTCCGAAGGTTCCGCCCGCAGTGGGAACGGCGGCTACCCAGTAGCTATAAGATCTCCGCGCTGCCCGGCAAGCTTTCACTAGATATACCCGTTGAAGTGCAGAGCACGGATACACAACACCGATGCACCCTGCAGGCCCTGGTGGACTGTGGAGCCACCGGAGTCTTCATGCATCCGCGCTTCGCTGATGCCCATGGTTTCACCCGGCGCAAGCTGTCCGCCCCGATCCCGGTCTTCAACGTTGACGGATCACCAAATGAGAACGGATCTATCTCCGAAGTCGTGGACCTTGTACTCCGGTTCAAGGATCACACGGAACGGATGCTTTTCGCAGTCACTAACATCGGACGGCAGGACATCATCCTCGGATACACCTGGCTTCGGAAGCACAACCCCGAGATTGACTGGCAGACAAAGGAGGTGACCATGAGCCGCTGTCCGTCCGGATGCGATACCTGCCGGAAGGAGTTCCGCCATGACAAGCTGACCCGACGCAAGGAGTCCGTACGACTCCGGGAGTGTCGTACGGGTCCGATGCCAATGGTCGAGGAACTGCACTCGGACGAGCTTCCGCAGCTTCAGGACTGCGAGGATGATGACGAGGACGATGAGGCCACAACTCCGGATGACTCCGGACTTGAGAAGGGTGACCGTATTTTCGCAGCCATTCCTCCTCCGACTCCGGAGTACCTTCGGAGTCTTCGGGAAGAACACGTCCGGGCTTCGGAGACAGTCTCGCAGCGCCTCGCATTGGCTTTCCAGCGCAACAAACCCCACGATCCTCGGAACAGCGCAGTCCCGGACTTCCTCCAGGAATTCGAGGACGTCTTCGCAAAGGAATCCTTTGATGAACTGCCCATGCCGCGTCCGTGGGACCATGCCATTGAGCTACTGGACGGAGCGGAACCGACCTCTACCAAGTGCTACCCACTGTCCCCGGCGGAGCAGAAACAGCTGGACGAATTCCTGGAAGAAAATCTCCGGACTGGTCAGATCCGCCCCAGCAAGTCACCCATGGCTGCCCCAGTGTTCTTTGTTAAGAAGAAGGACGGATCGCTCCGCTTGGTCCAGGAC